TTTCCTACTAGGATACTGAAGTGGTCATTCTTAAAGACAAATCTGAAGTGATACTGGCTACCTAGATAGGCTCAAGTAGCACTAGACTCATGCAATCCACAGAAAAAACAGAGTTTCCATTGATATTTGACGAGGGAGAAGCAAGATGTGTCTGTTACCGCCACCTGTGCCAACCTGCGCCACCTTTGTACGTCGAACGGCAGGCGGCGGCTGCGTTCAGCATTCAAGCTCCGCCGCCGACTTTCGTTCCTGTTCTCGAACGTCTATTGCGCCCGTGAGTCTTGGCATCTACCGTTTTCGGTAGCAAGCACGCTTCCCTCATATCCATCGCAATATACGATATGAGGGCCTGCTCGAGTAGCTCGAGCAGATTTTAGAATTGAGCTGCCCCCAGGGGGCAGCTCAAACTCATATCGAGCTCATTTGGAGCTCATATACGTGCCTCATATGTGAGGCCTCAATGCGAACTTTGAGCAAGGCTAGTGTGGCGCGGCTACTCTGCGGTTTGCTTCCATCCATACCTGAAAGGTTTCCGAAATGTCTGACGATACGAAGAGTATGTGCTGGAAGTCGTCTTCCGCGTCTGTTCCACTTACGAGCGTTTTGTTCTTTTGTAGTCATTTCTTTGAGTGATGCAGATCTTACGTCTCTCAAGTTCCTTGGTCCTGGTGAGTACCTCCGCATTTCGCATGTGTATCCCTCACTTATCGTCACGCCCCTAGACTCTATGCAGCGCGTCAGGGATTTGATCACGGCCATCAAGAAAGCTCCTCAGTACTTAGGATGTGAGTGTCTTAGTCTTTTCGTGTATCGTCTCTATAGCTGACTTGCGAACTTCCTCTTAGGGGTCACTGTATTCCACGTCGGGTGCCTCAACACCCAGCTCAAGTACCAACCAAGTCCTCCGTCCCCAACCTCGCCCACGGCCATCGAGATTACGCTTCTCTCACAGTCGTCCGAATCCTCTGTTGGTGATGATGACTACATCTCGCCCTTCGAACGCGTATACTTCTACAACGGCATCGCCGACGACCCTCCCCACCTCTTCCAGCGTTCCGATCTCATGCAGCGTCCTTTCCCCACCCCTGAAGAGAGGCCTACAGAGAGGCACTCCGCCACTCCGGTGAAGGCCGCCCACACCGCTAACCACCCTATCCTCAAGAACGCACTTTGGAAGGGGTCGGTTGCTCCTGAGATCATTGCTTTGTGCAACGAGGCGAGTCGTGGCATCCGCATCTCGACGATGCTGCCTGTGCGTTTCTCTACCCTTGATGAAGACGACAAGGACGTATTCGACGACCACATCGTTCTTTGGATCTCCGTTCATCCTGGCAGCACCAAGATGACCAGCTGCCGTGATGCGAACGACCCCATCCTCGACATCTTCGCCAAATACGACATCCACGACGTCGCAGTCCACTGGATCGAGGGCGCTATGGAATCACTTGCTGGTCCTCCTGAGATGATGCCGATCACCAGAGATACCGACCCGACTCATTGGGTCCGCCGAGCTCTCACAGCCGTCCTGGGCGTCCCCCTTGCTGCGCAGGACATGGCGGACAAAGACTCGCAGGGCTCACTCGGTCTCTACTTCCACCGTGGTAAGGACCGACATGGCAATAAGAGCAAGGACGTCTTGGCATTTACCAACAAACATGTCGTGTCCAAGAAGACCAACGAGGACTACAAGTACAGTGGCCACCAAGGTGAACGTAAGCAGTACATTCGCAACTGCGGTTATCGTCGCTTTGAGAAGCTCCTCAACGAGGCTCGTGCCCTGCTTGCTGAGAAGCTCGATGACGCCAAGTTGTTCGCCGAGCAGCTTGCGGAGCTGGTGGCGAAACGACCTGAGGAAGAGGATGCGGAGTACAACAGGGACTTGAAGGATAAGGAGCAGCAGTTGCAGAAAGCGGAGTCGGACGTTGGTGTCCTCGATGAGTTCCTCAAGCTCCTCAAGTCCACCTGGAGCGATGCCCTCGATCGTATCATCGCCTGGGTCGACTGGGCGCCCAAGATCGCCAATGACGCCGACTCCCGCCGCTACACTCGCGATATAGGTGTCATGACGCTCGAACGGGACAAATTCGTTCAGAACTTCAAGGGGAATGTCGTCTACCTTGGTGCGTACTTCTTTTTGTCTCTCTTCTTTTTCTTGACTTCATCTAATGGAAATTTTAAGCTGGTAAGTTCACCCGCGCCGAGATCAACGCTTGCTTCTACCCCAACGCTGCCAACCCCTCCGTATTTAAGTACCCAAAGGACCACCTCTTCAGGCTCTCGGGTACCGTCGACGCCGCAGCCCTCTCGAACCCGTACTTTGTTGACAAGAACAACAACCCCTGCTTCGTCGTTGCCAAGCAAGGGCAGGTGACCGACCTTACCTTTGGTCGCCAGTCCGAGCTCGAGGCTTACACCTATAGGGACCTCGAAGGCAGGTCCTGGGAGGTCGCAGTCCTCAACTGGGGGGGCAACAAGCACGGTAATTTCTCGGCTAAGGGGGATTCCGGCTCAGCTATCTTCAACGCGGAGGGAAAGCTGGTCGCTGTCCTGCACTCCGGAATGCCCCGCGGCATGTCCAACCATGTTACCTTCGGAACCCCTGGTCACTATGTCATGGAGCTCATCTTGGAGCAGTACCCCGACGCCGATTTCTCCCGCTTAAAGTTCGAAGAAGACGAGGCCACCGCCGCCTAAAGCATCAAAGTCGTTTTTTTTCCTCCTCGACTCTTTTTTCTGTCCTATGGTCGTTGGTTCCAAATGCGTGTCTTGCCACAGTCATCGTGCTGCAAACGTTTGTCCCTGTGCCTTATCATTTTTCGTACTCGTAGCTAATAGACTTTGACACTCTAGATCTACGACAATTCTGCACGCTTCGATTTTGTGCTCTCGACTTCGTCTTGACTCGTTTCTTGGCTCGGTAATGTAATTTATCGGTTGGCTGTCGACGCTGCTGCATCTCTTGACTCGTAATTCCTGACTTGGTATGTTTATCCACTCTGCCTGATGTTGATTTACCATGGGGAAAGGGAGACGATTCTGGGTGGATCCTAGGTGAGAACAACGAGTTGCTTGCATGGGTACCATCAGAGCTGAGGGAAGGGTTCAATTGGTCACCGCAAGTACGCGGCGAGGCTCATGGGATGTCGCGGACGAAGTGTCTGGTCGAGGGATAGTTGAAGGGACGGTCTGTCTACCTGTTTACAGAGTTTGAAATTATTTTTTTGTATTGATTACTTCCAATCAAGTCTATGATCTCTTGCTGCCCTCAGACTTCCTCTTTGGTGTTCGTCATAAGTATACTCGTCAATCTTCGTTCGTTTACTCCTGTGTGAGCTAGACAGTTCGCCGTTCAGTGTGGGCGAGGGCGATCAGACTCATGCTGCATCATAGAGAACTCTGAGGGCTCGGTGCCTTGGGGCTTGGGCTGACATCGAGGCTTGTGGGGTTTCGGGTACTGTTGTGGAAGTATGAAAGTGTCACGCTCGCAGCCTAGGCATCTATCCAGTTCCTTCGCAAAACACGGTGTAAGTCACTTTCTCTTAAGAGTAGTATGTTATAAAAAATGACGACGACCAGCTCAAATAAATAAAGGATGAGATCCTGCCCAGACGGAACTTTCAGCCAGACAAAGCCCCTGATATTAGCAACCCTATCAAAACCCAAAAGCGATGGGCTGTGATCTGTCCAGCTTTGTTTCGTTGCGTTTTGGCAGGAGAGGGAGAGACGGTAGAGGACAGGGCCGATGTGGTGTCTGTATTGCTCGCACTGCTAGTGATTCCTCCGTGATGGATTGGCCCAAAGCAGCTGAGCGAAGTGGTTGCTCTCAACCGAGTCATTCAATTCAAAGTGGCACCGACCATTTTTCACTTTCCGACGGAAGCAAAGTCCAACTCCGCCCTGCCGCGTCGGCAACAGTCTCGGAAAAATGAGGACATAAGTCAATTCCCTTGACACCATGGTAGATAGACAGACAACGCGATCAGCTCGGATAAACATACGATGAAATCGTCCTTAGACTCTCAAATAGACAGGGCCCCTGCGACCAGCATAACGATAAGAACCAAGACGCAATGAGCTACGGCTTGTGAAGCCTTGCTAGATTGCATGCTCGAGGAGGACGTTGAGGCAGCGGTTGACGCGGTACTCGATGCACTGACAACGCTGGAATTACCGCCAGCCGTGCCATCTGACTCGGTGACACTGTGTCGAATGATTAGTACGTGTCATACATTCTAGAGGCAGCACTCACATAAAATTGTCTAATAGCAGAGACCATTGCGAAGAGTCTTGCAGCGTTGAGTTTGCAGTAGGCGACGGACCGCCTATGATCACGCTGATTTCGTGTTCTTTGGTTCCGTCAAGTCCGCTTTGCGAGAAAAGCGTGTCGCAGAGGAATGGACCAGAAAGGCGAGCACCGTCCACGGACGTAGTCACACCGTCTAACGTGATGTTGAACAGATTGGAACCGTCGTCGAGGAGAGCTGAGACGATAATGGCCGTTCCTGTACGCACAAGAAAGATCAGTACATTTGATGCATATAGATGGCCATGTGAACAAGCAAAATCTCACCGTTGAACTTGAGGGAGGCTCCGTTTCCTTCTCCCTTCGACCACCCGAAATGGTCCGTGCAGTTGTGTGGGAGCGTATTGAAACAACCAGCTTGTCCGCCGATGAGTTGACCGTTATCATCGACTTCGCAAGGTATGGCTCCACTTGCGCCATTGGTATAGGAGATAGACGGATTATCATCGTCAACGGTGGTGTTTGTATCTGCGTGGACGAGCTGGATGGTCAAGAAGATAGTCAAGATGGCTGCTGCAGAAAGAGTGGTGCAGAACATGTCGGCGCAGCGAGTGTGTGAGTAGTCAAGAGCAGAAACAGAGCTGGCCAGGAAATATGGTCGCGCTCCTCCTAGAGCGCATCTTTTTATGAGTGTTCCGTTACGGTTGCGAGATCAGTCACGGTAAAAGCGTGGCAGCACCAATCGGCGGAGTGTTCAAGCCGCTCGTAGGTGAACTGAGATGAAAAAGCAGGAACAAGCTTTGGAAGTAGTGAGGAAAAGATTTATCTGCCGTGGGAGGAGGACGTGTGGCGTGGATGCAGGCGCCTAACTCAGACCGGCAATCTGCGAGGTTGAGGCTCGCCACAAATCTTCAACTGCTGCACTCTGTTGCAGTGCTCCTTCACCGTTCTTTACACCTCTTTTATCTGTTCGGACTCTTTGAAACCCAAAAGTACATCAAGTACATCCAACAAAAATGACGACCCCGGCCTCTTCCAATGTCGTATTTGACGATATTTTCACCGTCGAGGACATTGATCGGGAAGGCAGGAAGTTTGACCGAGGTGCGCTCCATTTTGTTCTATGCATCATATATCTTCACCGTCTGACGATATAGTTTTCTCGTTCTAAGTCTCGCGACTATACGCCCACTCTAAAAACTACGACATGGACCTCACACTCGACTACAATATCGAACTCTTCCCTCTCGAGAAGGGCCAAACCCTCGCACTTGCACTCGCCAGTTCGTTAGCACGAGGACCTGCAGGACCATCGGGGGCAGACGGGGCAGAAGATGAGGACAAGGACAAAGATGTATGGAGACCTGATGGAAAAGGACGTAGGGGTCTGGAGGAGGATTACGACTACGTCATGTACGGGAAGGTGTATCGGTTTGACTCTGGTACAGCAGAGATTGTGTACGTGTTTTACCTCTATTTCTTTGATGCTAATAGTGCTGAAGGCAGTTCTTCCAGAACTGCATATGCATCCTTTGGGGGATTGTTGATGTCGTTGACTGGGTCGTTCCGGCATATGACTAGTATCGTCCTGGGAGACCCGGTGTATATTCTGCTACGAAAGTGACGGGTGTATGTGCGTGTGTGTATCATTATTTCCATTCATTGTCAAGCCCTTAGAAAGTGCTCGCTTCCCATGAACCGTCTGACTTGACACTCACCGTCTATTACTGTGGCGCCGTAAAGTTCACTCCTGGGAGGGCCAACATGTTCTCTGGCCGTGTCCCGGAGCTTCCGTTACTTCCAGCTTGTCTTATCAGCATTTCTCTTGTTTCTACACCATCTGTGGCCCTGATGGATGTTCTCGTGCAATGAGGTCTTCCGCCACTCTGTGCCATACTCTTGGTTCCCACGGTCTTCGAGCGCTGGTCTTGTTCTTTCCACTTAGCGGCTCCGCCTCATATCAAACACATATAGACAACTTCCTTTCGTGAACCCTCATCGGCAGCGGTCACCATCCCTCTGATTCTTTCCCATAGTGTTGTCTTCCGACAGCCCCCTCGCGCCTCCTGGGCTTATTGTCTTCACAATACGCGCGCAACGAGGCAAGCTATATAATATTGCGATGCAAGGGGTAAGACAATAGATCGTCGTCTCTACGGGTGTGGATGTACTGATATATCTCAGCAAGTTGTACACGAAGTTCGCGTCGGCTGCTGGACGGCGAGATATACCCCCATCACACTCGAGTACACCGAGCAGCTCCATCTTGCCCTTTCACCATCTACACTCTTTCTACGGTCCTAATCACAAATGTTCCCCTTGGCATGGAATCCTCGCGGCTTGGCCTACAATGTATACAGACGCTTGCAGTACCTGCTTCCGTGGAGGGTTGAGAGGGTGGAAGACGATTGCTTCGTTTGCGAAGTAAGTTCAGTCGAGTATCCTTGTTCTGGTAAGCCCTACACTCCCATACCCGCTCGTGGTCTCTCATACTCACATTGTGTTTGTCAGAATTTTTTGATGACGACGATGAACGAGGAGCGAGACCTCACGGAAGGTTCATCACGAAAAGGTACACAAAATTACTTACCTCCTGCTCATAATCCGCTCAACATGATTTTGGTGATACAGCTGCGCACTCGCATATAACCACAACGGCATGATGGCAGAGGTATGTACGGTTCGCTCGTTCTCCCTCATCCGCACGAAGTCCTCACTCCGTGCATCAGCCTTATCTCCTCTCGAACTCAAAGCTCTTGGAGCCTCTCCAAGGATCATGCGTACCTCGTCTGCTTGGCATGTGGCTCTCCGAAGACGGGTCCACGGTCACATACGATCTAGAGACTTTCGATTCCCTCCGCCAGCGCCTTCTCCATAGTCCCCTTACTGAAGCGGAGAAACAATCCATCGTGGAAGCCTACGAGCTTATCCACGCGCGAAACGTCCTTCACGGCGACGTGTCCTTCGATAATATACTGATTGGTATGTTTCGTCTCTGAATTCCTTCACTGCTCACGGGCGCTGATCGTGGAGGACAGACGACGAAGGCAAGATCATGATCACCGAGTTCAGCCAAGGATGTTGCTTAGCGTCCATAGACGACCCCGACATCGATATGGAAGTCCGCTGCGAGAGATGCGAGCTCGAATACGAAATACGGCATGTCAAGTTTATGCTGGATTACATGGATAGCAGACGATCAGAGTATGCGCTCACGGACAGCGCGGCTGGTCGCCGCGATGGTCATATCTTTCCCTTCCTGGGTCTAGGCTTCGATGTCGAGAAACCGGTGAGTGTATGTCTTTCTGAGGAAAAATTAAGGTGTATCCTAACCGTGTACCTTTTGATAGTTCTACATTCCTCGACGTACGCTAGAACAGTGGCAACTGGAGGCCTCCATGGCCATCGCACCCTGGTCCTTTTCATCAGAGCTTCCTATGCATCTCTTTGCTCCGACACGGCTTACAATAAACACAACTTCTCAGAACGAGAGCTCCGACAGCCTATCGTCCGCCAATCTTTCACCACCCATCTCCTCTTCCTCGCTCTCCCTCTCATCAGACTCATACTATCACGAGTCCACCTCATCCCTCCCACTCCGTCGTAAAAGGTCATTCAGTGACACCTTCAGCGACACCGTTTGCGGCGTGGGCACGACAAGGGCTTCTTCATCGTATAAACGTACACGAGACGGCCGTCGTCGCGCGATCAGTATGGATGACGCTTTGTGGCCCCCAACCCGCGCTCAAATCTCGCCGCCGCCAGAACCACCATATATGCCGTTCGCATCGTATTCTTCTTCCCTCTCCCCCTCCCCTTCCTCCCCTTATGGATTCTCGAACACCCGACCCAAATCATCCACATTCACGGCATACTCGAGCGCTCATTCATATTCACCACCGCCAAGTCCCGTCCTCCTTCTATCCGATTTCATGCAACTCGACCCGGACGACGTGCCTTTCGCGAAATCAGGTCCTGGGACTATCGGGATGTGGTTTCCGCCCTCGCCCTCGCCCTCCCCTTCCGTCGCTGTGGACATGGATGGAGACACTAATATTGCGAGCGATGAGTCGGAGTGTTTCTCCAGCGACGAGGGCGAGAGCGAAGACGAGGTGGAGATGGAGATGGAGGTTGGGTACGAGAGTGGAAGGGGCGGCATCAGTTTCATGGAGAATTTGGGCACGACCACACACCGTCCTATCAAGTGGGACTCTGAGTGGGACGCTGAGGACGAGACTGCTGTCCAGCCTCAGCACACTACAGACGAAGACTCAGGCTTCGACCCGTCGATGCACACCAAGATTTCGCCCTCATCGCCACCAGCTACGACATCCGCTTCCTCGATACCGTACGAAATCATCCATGGTCCCCAGACGGCGACTTGGTATCGCGTTCCGGAGGATAGTGATAGCAATACTCCGGGCTACGTTAGTTTCGAGCCTATGAGTGTTACTCTTATCGACGTTTCGTCGGATGAGGGGCGACAGCGTCATACCGCTCTACCGAGGCCTGAATGTGCGTCTTTGTCGGTTCGCGATCGGAGAATGGAGTCGGTGACTGGGAAGGAGAAGGCGTGGAGGGGGATGGGGCGAGATGGTGTAGGTGAAGATGTTTAATGGTGGCAATCTGTCTCTGTAAAAGTTACTTACCAAGACGTCCGAAGAGTATTTATCGCGACTCTGAAACATGTTAAATCAATTTCTCATGTTTTGCTGTAGGTACTGGCCTGCTCACGTGCTTTCGCGTTGACTAGTGGCGTGGGAAATACCAGGACGCGTTCTGGTCTGTTCTGGTCTGTTCTGTTTCCGGCGTAGTCACCGCGTCGCTGTACCTCTTACCCTTTGCATTTACATCCTCTTCTCCACAGTTTGCTCAAGGAAAACACAGTGCTTCATACTAGCTCTCAGCCCTACCATAATGCCTCCCAAGCGTAAATCTGATGCTCTCGACGACGCGGACGACGCTGCTGTTGCCCCCGCCGTCGCACCAGCCAAGAGAACTCGCGTGTCGAAGAAGAAAGTGAACGTAGATGCGGATGCGGACGCAGACGGCGACGATGACTATGCTGACGATGTCCCAGAGGCGTCGACGTCGAAGGGGAAGAAGAAGGCGAAGGTCCAGGAGGCTCCGAAGGATTATAAGGATATCAAGCTCGATGGGGAGGATGAGGTATGGACTATGATTCTGAACGCGTCGTGTTTCTTCGTCGTTCTCTGTGCTGATTCGGACGCGACGCGTTTTGAATTTGTTGGACGTATAGGGAGAGGTTCCGATCTAGTACGCGTATTTCCTTGTGTTGAGTGTGTTGAGGCGTGGACTGGTACTGATGTTGCTATGCAGTGACGACTGTAATGAAGTCCGTCGTAAGATCCGCCTTCTGCAGAAGGAACCCGGATTCAAGGTATGCATGCATGATCCTTTGAGTAGTTAAATGCACGGATGCTGACATATTATGCCGATCCGACCTGCAAAGGTTACGCACTGGCTGAAAGAGATCGGTGGTGTGAACAGTAATTCATATGGCCGGTTCAGTAAGTGGCTCTTCACTTCTTCAACAGTTTTCTGACTGACACTCAGCGACGTCTGCAGTGAAAGCTACTGGCCCTACTGGAGGTGCAGAGAACTCCACATACTATGGCGCGTGAGTACCAACTGCCCTTCCCTTCCATAATAACTAGCTGACGAGCTCTGGTGGATCACCATACTAGATACGTCTACTTTGAGAAACGGCGGATCGCAGAGGGAAAGAAGAAGACTGCGAAACGCGAGCGCAACGAGATTGAGCATCCGGGCGGGATGCCGCGCGAGGACAGAGGACGGAGGGGTTATTGGGTCTTCACCGGTGTTCCCGGACGTCGTTGAACGTTTTTGGACTTGGCCACGCTAGATGAGGGCTGTACGGTGCCAGAAGCGTGCGTGCGTTTGTTGTGTGCGTTTTAGGCGGATGATAGACGCGTGGGGTGTGCTGCAGTTGGCGTAGTTGTTGTTACTTCTTGGAGCTTTGCCTGCGTATATGGTATGAGCTTGTATAATATCGTGTAAATAGACCGGCAATGGATAATAGTGGCTGTTCCTGAAACCGTCGTGGAGGAGAAGTCGCTCGAGAATTGCCGGCGAAGAAGGCTAAATGAAAGAAATGATTGGTCCTCGGCGCATGGCTGAATTGATGTGGGGCTCTGGCCGAAGAGCGTGGGAGAGTGAGGGTAGTGAGCGGTGACGCCGTCAAGCCGTTGCTCTCGTTCGCCACCGACGACGGCAGCCAGCACATGCTCGTCCTCGCCCTCGTCCACTAGCACTACCCGTACAATGTCCACAGAATCCCTGCTCGCCGCGCTGCCGTCCGACAGGGACCAGCCCACGCCGGAGCCGGACGACGGCCACGAGCAGTGGAGCGATGCACCAGAGATGTTCGACAGCAGCCAGCCACGCCCTCCTTCTTCTGACATCGTCGAGGTCATCGCCACCAGCGAGGACGCAGAGGACCAGGACCAGCTCGAGACCGAGGACACTCAGCTCACCGTCAAATCGGAAAACTTTGCAGGCCCCGAGACCGACAAGACGTCTTCCCCACCAGACATACCCAACCCGACCGACATCGCTCCGCCCGCCTTGCACAACACAGACTCGTCTTCCGTACACTCTCTACCTGCAGTCCACGTGCCACACTCTCCATCTCCCGTTTTAAATAACCGTCCACAGACTGCAAACGCCGCTCCTTCTCCTCTAATTCAACCACCCATGCCGTCCCCGCCCCCGACGGCTTCGTCCGCCAGGAACTCGACGACGACGGCCAGGACAGCGTCCAGGCAATCAGCCACCACTGGACCTCCACCTGCCTCGTCGACCAACTCCTCCAGACGGCTCACTGCCCGTCAGAACTCCGGCAATGATGTCCGTCCTCATCATTCTTCCTCTCTTTTAGCGCTTGCTTACTCAATCTCTCTTTGTGTTTCCCTCAGACTCGTTCCTCCGGTCGACTTTCCGGTTTCTTTTCGCATTTAATTCATCGTAGAGACCATATGCCACCTCCCTCTCCCAATCCTACCCGCGACGACGCCACCACTCCGACACCAGATCAATCATCCCTTCCCTCTCGTTCCGCATCTCCTGTACCCCCGCCCCGCCCAACAACCCCTCCACCCGCGCTCCCCGCTCCTTCCCTATCGGAACTCGGTCTCAGTCTTTCCGTACTCACCAACAATCTTTCTCCTTCCCATTTCAGTACTCCGCCAGCAAGCGGAGCTTTCTTAGCTCCGCATTACCTCCTTCTCTGTCACGCTCAGGGCCTTGACGTATTGCCTTTGTCCTCTCCTCCTGCGCCTCAGCCTTATGCATTGATCCGCAGAGTTAGTTTCAAAAGCGTCGTCGTAATGGAGCACAGAGGTGTCCTCGTCGCTATCGCCGGCCGCCGTGATGGTGTACGCGTCTACGCCTTGGAGGAGGTCAAGAAGGCGGTTGAGTGGCGGTTGGAAGTTGAGATACGCAGGGAGCAGGATCGTGCGAGACGAGAGGAGGCGAAGCGGAGTGTTTTCCCTCGAGATAGTCACTCTTCAGATAAACCCGTCGGTGTCGGTCCCTCGTCTTCCGCCCTCACCAAAAGCAAGACCCCTCGCAGGCCTTCTTCCGCATCCGCGGCATCCTCTGCTGCAGCTAAGGAGCCAAGACGTGTGAGGACACCGGTGAAGTCTCATAGTCCGCATCCACCACCTGGCGCCTTGAATCAAGTACCTACGGCACCTCCGCCTTCGTACAGTCAATCTACGCCTGCCCCATCACCTCCACCTCCACCACCCCCACCACCTCCGACATTGAATGTTAGTACGGCCTCTGAGCGTCGTTCATCAGTCAACAACGTCCTCGCAGGAACAATTACTAGGCGCAACACGGACGCGAATTTCGTCGGACGGGAGCCCTCTACCAGTGACGACGGAGATGCGAAGGGTGACTGGATAGAGGGGAGGGAATCTAGTGATGATGAGGCTATCAATGTCGTTGCGGCGGGTGCGAGCGGCAGTGAGGCTTTGGATGAGCGTACGAGCGCTGCAGCCGCTGCTTCACATCATTCGCCGACTTCGACTCCACATATCGAAAGTTCTCCCCCAATAGACACTCACCGTCCTTTATCGTCTTCTTCAATTCCCGGTCGTCGACGTCCTGCAAACCTAGATCTCACTACATTATCACGTTCGCATTCGAATGGGCCAGCTGCCTCCGCCGCTCCACCACCATCTCCTACACCTACACTTCTCACCTTACGACACGCACTGTCCGGGACGCCTTCTTCTGGAAATCTCCCCACCATGCGGTCTCTAGACTCACAGATGACGGATGCCGAAGCGGACGAACCTGGGACGCCAAATGATGATGATAACGACACGCAAGAGGGACAGACGACTCCGACGAACGAACGGATCTCATTCGCTCAGGCCTTAGAAGAAAGTCGTATACCGGACCTTCCCCCGCCTGGTACCCGCCGATCGCAGCAGGTCATCATGATCACGGAATCTCATCCTGTCGCCACAGGGGACGAGGACACACCTTCCAGTCCAGTTTCGGCAGAGTCACCCAGCGTACGGACGCGACGCAGCCAGGACGCACCGTCTAGTACATCGTCTAACAGTCGTAGGAGGCGCTGGTCCGTTCTCGGTGGTTTGCTTCCCCCTGCAGAATCGTCGTCGAGCCTTCAGCACGAGACGGTCACTCAGGCGAACGCGAATGTACGACCGATACCTTCATCACGGTCTATCCCTGAGATTCCCACTTCGGCCAGTGCCAGTGGTAGCAGTAGTAGACCAGATATGCGTGAACGGCGGACGACCGTCCTCGCCCGCTCACAATCCTCTCATTTCCACCAGCACGGCTCATCCGTCCCCACACCCCATCCTCACCCCGTCTCAAGATCGTCTTCACGACCTTCGACTTCACCCTCGCAGAACGCCAGCTCAAGCACGCACACGACGCCCGCCGACACGCCCGCCGTCCCGACACCCGCCACGTCTCGCTTCTTATCCCGTTTCATCCCCAACGCGTTCTCGTCTCGTCGTTCGGAGGACAGCACGCAGTCATTAGCGCAGAAGAACGATCCCAATGATCCGAACAGGAAGGCCGTGGGCACGCCGACGATGGCTCAGGCTCCCGCGCCCAAGTTGGAGTACGTCAAACTGCCGGGAACTAAGGGTTCCTTGATGATTAAGGCGGTGGAGACATCAAAGAAGAGGTATGTCTGTTTGTCTGTTTTGTCTCTAGGGTTTCGCGTATCACTGATCGTACATCTTTTTTTCGTTTGCTTCTGATGATGCTGCACGTGAACCTTGTTGGTTATATTATAGCTTCCTTGCGATTCTGTGTGGCGAGAACGGAGAGAAGGTGGAGTTGTTCGCAGGGACGTATCGGACGGCTTTGGGCCTTTCGAGGACGTTCATCTTGCCGGATTCGCCTCGTTCTTTGGAGCTTCAGCTGCAGGGAGACGATCTCGTCGAGGTCTTCCTCGTCTTTTCGCAGAACGTGTTCGGGTTGGAGCCCGCGACCGTGCGTGTGCGTGAAGTCCGTATTGGCAGGGCCGAACGGAGAGCTGCACGGCGACGTGCGAGGGAGTTGCGCGATGGGCAGACGGCAGAGCAGGAGCCTGATCCAGCGCCGACAATACCGACTGAAGAACCGACCAGCGTGAACGTCAGCATCGGCGTCTCCGTTCCATCCTCAAGTTCCCTGGCCACTGCAGATACTATACCTCCCGTCACCGGTAGCAGCACCCCCGCACCGACCGGCGTACCGCGCACATCTTCGTCCGCGACCTCGATCGTCCCTCCTGGCCCAGCGAGCGGTACGATTACTTCGACGGTCCAAGCCGACGGCCCAGGAGCGACGAACCCGCCCCATCCACCTCCTTCGCTCCCACACACGGAAGAGCTCGTCGCGCTCGCCACGGCTCAAATGGGTCCCTACACGACGTTCCAGCAGCTCTCGTTCGCGCCGAACTTCCCGCTGGCGTCGATCGCGGACGAGTATGTCATCCCGCCGACGTATCCCGATTTCTTGCAGTATCGCGCAGAGTACGAGCCGACGGAGAATGGGGGAGGTGCGGATGTGGATTTGAGTCAGTTGCAGTTTTCGCCGCCGGGGTTGCCGTTGCCTGCGCCGGCGCTGCCTTCGAAGTGGTTCTATCGCGATCCGAAGGGGGTCGTGCATGGTGGGCATTTTCTCTTGTTTTGTTTGTTCATGGTTTGGTTGCTGATGGACTTTGTTTGTGGGGTTTTTTTTCTTGATCAGGTCCATGGAAAGCGACGCTCATGCAGGCTTGGTACCGCGATGGTCTGTTGCCTCCTGACCTGCCCGTCCGTCGCGAAGAAGACTCGAACTACCTGCTCTTGAAAGACCTACGCCAACAGTCCGTCGACCCCACACAACCCTTCGGTCCTCCACCCTCTCGCCCGACTCCTACCACCGACATGGTGCCCACCGTCCTCGCCGACGCCGCGAAACCGCTCCTCTCACCACTTTCACTCCTCTCCCAACCGAAAATCTTCGGCCCTCCCGCTCTTTTCTTCTCTTCCCGCGGCGGTCACAGTACCGTCATCGTCGACGGCCGCGGTCGATCCGTGCTCAAAGGTCGATTCATGTGGAGTTCCGACGACAGGGACGATGATTCTTCGCCCGTGAGCGGTCGGCTGGGAGACGTCAAGCGTCTCGAGGCGTTCGACGTCCGTGACCGTTCTGTACTCGTCGCAATGCGTCAAGGAGGTCTCGAAGCCGTCGATCTGTCCGACGCGCTCCTTCGTCCAGCTGACTCGTCAAGGAGCTCCCTCCCACAATTCACGCCCGCGCCGTCGCTCGTCAATCGTCGTGCGCCGTTCATTTGGCGCATTGGGATGCCCGTGTCGTCGCCTCATAATTCGGCATCTGCGTCTGCTGCGCTCTTGCCCACTAAACCGCATTCGACGACGACGAGCAAGCTTGCGACGCCTGTGAAGAAGCTGGGAGGGGGTGGTGGAGGTGGTGGAGGCGGGGGAGGTGGGGGTGGGGGTGGAGTGGGCGGGTCAGGGAAGACTGGGGGTGGGAAGACGGACTTTGGGGATGGGCATCATCATCATGCGTCGGAGGACGTGCAGGACGAGGTGATCTTCCTCGGGAGGAGGGAGGATAATATGTATCTTTGTGAGAGGAATGCGGGGGCGTTTAGGATCTTGAGGTTGTGTCCTGTTTCGGCGGCGGGGTCGTCGTGAGAGAATGCGGTCGTGGTGGTGTGGTGTGGTGGTTGGAAGGTTTCCATTGTTTTTTGATGCAGATTCGGATTCGGATTCGCAACACGATTTCCACTCGTAAGTTATGCATGCATGCATCGGTCGTTTCTTTGCTTTATATCCCTCCTCTGGCTTTACTGGACCGGACCGTCTCGATCCCCCGTTCTTGTCCTTTCCACCGGTCCTTTTCTTTCTTTTTTTCCATTCCCATTATCTTTGTCGCTTCCTCACATTGACAGTTCGTTTGCCCGGCATTATCCCCGTCATGGCTCGACACGATCCCTCATCCCATCTCGTCCCGTTACGCGAAATCATCCTGCCTCGTCTGCACGTTCTCATGATCATGGACCGTGACTCCTGACTCCTGAAGCCTGATCGCCTCCATACATTCACATTCGTCCGTCCACATAACATATTCAGTACACCCGCATTCACCAGACCGACCGACAATCCAACATCTCGATTCTCGTCCGCCCCGCCTTTTGATACATTATCATAACCAACCCCGTGTAGCCGCCAGTGATGATCCCGAAATACAGTATCGATACCTTTTTCTTTTCTTTCTTCTTTTCTTTTCTTTACCTCGTACCTTGCACATCCGGCAGTCGCGGTTGGCGATTACTCTTTGCCGTTACCCCCTGCCACCTCGACTTTATGATTTTTCTTGCCGGCTTTCTTTCCATCTCTTCTTCAAACTTCTTCTTTTTATATGGTACCTACGTCAGACAACCTCTCCCTCTCTCCCTCGTTTCTTGTCCACTTGTTGTTCTTACCCTGTCTACCTACCTACCCACCTACCTGACTCGATCGACCGATTATTATGCATGAATATATCGAATATTCTACGTATATTATCTCAATACATAACATGGCTCGGATGCGTTCTGGCATGGCAAGCGCTAGCCTAGCCTCGGTGCGAAGCGGAGAGGAGTGAGTATGAGTGATTGGGTTTTGGTGTTCAGCCGACTATTGATATGAGTGCTGGGCTCTACCAGCTAAAAAAGATAGATACACGCATTCTTTCTATTGGACTTGTCAAGCATCTTTGCATACATTTACACGGTAGCAACCGTTCAGGCCTTGAGATGTATTTATTACAGAGATGGTACAGATAGCAATTATCACAGTGGCCTCAGTCGACGGGCGATCCGACTCCTTCACAATTTAGCCAGCGTAGCCGCACGTTTGCGGAGCGTGGTCTTGAGGATCTTGCCCGTCGACGTTTTCTACTCGGGAAGAACCGGAAGTCAGCCACCACTCGTTCCGAGTCGTTCGAGTCCTGACGTTGTACTCTACTCACCGGCAGCTCATCGACCACGACGACCCACTCCGGCGTTGCGAAGCCAGGCAGACGCTCCCTCGCGTGCTTCTTCAGCTCTTCGGCGAAATGATGGTGTCTTCCTGACCACTGTTTCGCTGGTTCGGCGTGCAGGAGGACGAAGGCCATGGGGCGTTCGCCCCATTTCGGGTGTTCGCGTCCGACGACGGAGACTTCGAGGACGTCGGGATGCGAGGCGAGTTCTGCGAGGGAAGGTGTCAGTCATGGGCTGTATGTGGAGATCAGCGAGGGGATCGGTGAACTGACCTTGTTCGATTGCTAGACTGGACGCGTTCTATTCAAAATAGAATATCATGGACGGTGAGTGAGTTCAAGAATCTAATCCATGGGCAAACTGCTGCTGGGATGCACAAACCTCGCCACCCGAAATGATGATATCTTTCGACCGATCCTGAATCGCGATACTCCCGTCCTCGTGCCACACCGCCAAATCCCCCGTATGAAACCAACCACCTTTGAATGCCCTCTTCGTCGCCTCCTCATCCATAAAATAGCCGTGCATCGCTATATTGCCTCGCATTACAATTTCCCCGATCGTCTTACCATCTTTAGGGACGTCTACCAATGCGCCGTGTGGGTGTTGGTGGGGGTGCTTGTGTGGTTCCGTGTCGCTGGGGAGGTCACTGGAGAGGTAGACAACGCGAAGGGGATGGGAGGTGGTGAAGGTATGGCCTTGGCGGGCAGCAAGTTTGGCGCGCTCGGAGAGAGGGAGAGAGGGCCAGTGGGGCTGCGGATAGTTTCGCGTGAAGGGGCCGTAAGTCTGGAAACAACGCGCGTAAGTCCAGTGTTTTGCTTGTACCAGTCAGAACTCACCTCTCTATATGCACGACGAGTATGAGAGGTAAGGCGTTATATCAAATACTTTGGAACTGGGCTAAACACTCACGTCAGACCATAGACATGAACCGGCTGTATGCCTTTCTGCTCCAATTCACCGAGAAGGTGGGCAGTGGGGGCTGCTCCTGCGATAACTGCCGTTACGGTCTGGGGTAAGCGTCTCGCATCGGGATGGTTTACGATGCCGATCTGGTCAAAATTGTTTCAAATTCTAACAATCACTCATTTTGTAGGAAAAGGCCGAATATACCTGAACTGTGGGTGCGCCACAGTAGTGAGTGACCTTCGAATGGAGGAAGTGTTTCCAGATGAGGGAGTAGTCGACCGTTCTGAGCGTTATCTAACGATGTCACTATAAGCTAAGCAGACTCAGCGCCGAAGATGTCCATAGAGATGCTTGCTTGTGTGGCAAATGCGCAAGTGATAGCCCAAGGGAATGTCCAACCAGCGGCATGGAACATGGGGAGGATCCTGTAGACCTATCACCATCCGACCTCTTCGTTTAAGTGGCTGAAGACCTACCAAAGATACGTCGAATCTATATTCATCCTGTATAGCAAAATCAGTGAGTAATTGACGGGCTGACGGTATCTGGGTCTCACTGAGACTCCATGACATTAGCCATTGCTGCGAGATATGAGCCTGAAAGCCTTGATGATCAATCATATCGCTTACCAGGCGTAGGGGCTGCGACTTACCTCTGAGCGTAGTAAGAACGCCCTTCGGTCGTCCTGTTGTTCCGCTCCTGCAATACATATCTTTATGGGTTATGACTGCATGGCTCATGATCAGTGAACGGCTCACGTATAATTCAGTGATAGGGGTTTATTCTCGTCCGCGTCCATCTCAAGTCCGGCCCATCCTCTCTCCTTGCTGAACCTCCTTCCGGAGCTGAGGAAGTCTTCGTAAGGACAGCCCGCTCGACCTGTATCCTTACAGATAATGATACGTGCTTTGGCGCCCTGAACCAAATGAGCGTATTCGTGATCTACAAATATTATTCTAGAGCCACTGTGCTCTAGTATGTAGGCGACTTCAGGCTTCGTTAATCGAGTATTGATGGTCGTGGCGATGGCTCGAGCACCGATGACACCCTGAAGAGCATCTGTTGGTATGATCATGAGGACTTATTCTCGAAGGATGTTATTGAGCTCATTGTAACCTGCTATCATTGGTCTTCGCCTATTTCAGACAAAGGTATAATCCTCGTGTCGATGGGAAACTCACGAGTTCGGCGCCACAACTGCTACACGATCACCAGGCCGTACACCACCTTCAATGAGACCATACGCAAAGTTCTGGACGCGCTGCGCCCTGACTTAAGTGTCAGAGAGGATGGAACCGAGTTTCCAACGCACTCCTCGGACGTACCACACAGAGTATGTATAGAATACTGGATCCGCAACGTCTGGGTGAGCAATAGCAAGCTTGTCGGGGTAGATCTGAGCGGCTCTTAAGAGGAAACCGAGAGGGTTCTTTCCTATAGATCAACGATAGCCCATTACTTAGCGAGTGCATTACTCACTAAAGGATGAATGTTGATTGGGAGACCCTCTGGGACGCGCAAGGTCAGAGCAACATTACGGGGAGGAATGCTCTCAGGCGTAGGTCTGAATGCAGCAAGAGATTTGGCTGTAGTTTCGGTTAGTACCAAGTAGCTCGTAGAATGTCCCCGACCTACAAAAAGACATTGTTAACGATGGCACGGTGTTTTCGCTGATAGTCTAAAGGAAAGGACAAGGAGGGCAGTCGAAACCCCGCATTGGATGACCCCGCATGATATCCCCACATCCGCTACCCCGGACTTCCGGCAATCAAATAGGTGGGAACACAAGAGCTGATGACAAAGAAGGACAGCCATAAGGGCACCGGAGAAGTCAATGCTTTTCCCTTCCTATCCTGGAATTCCGAGCTTAGTACTTATAAGTGCCTGCTGTTCGGCATGCTGGAATCGGGGTTTGTCTAGAAGAGAATAGTAGCACGATGGCTCGGACAAGTACCCCATTGACGGATTGTCTGCATCCGCCGGTGGCGGCGAGCGGCAACTCAAACTTGCAGTCCAACAGCTAAACAACAATGGTAATGGGCAACAGGAGCAAAAGGACTGTCCGTATAGGTATCTGGAAGCGCATATCGCATTTTGTACAGTCGGCCCAACGTACAGCACAGGACTTTACACAAAACTATAGCCAACAGCATCCACTCTTTATAAAGCCGAACAGCGTTCACAAACGAGACCGCGACAGGATATTTAAGGCAAGTTGGGTTGAACTGGAAGTTGGGGTCGTTAATATTATAAAGACAGGAAAAAAATGCGAAATCCACTTACCAGCAGCAATCCAGAGTGGCTGGTCAGAGCCGTCGGCGTTGGGCGTCACAGTGAGGACGTAGGTGTCATCGAAGGCACCGGCGGCCCAGACGGTGAACCCAACGATGCTATCCGAATTTTCCTTGACAAACGCGAGTTCCTGGCCCAGACTAAGCAGTCCCAGAAAATCAGTCATAGGAAGATCAAAAATTTCGCGCGCACGTACTCAGTCTCGCAACTGCTAGTGTTGCCTCCGCCAGTCTCGCTAAGAATTGCCTGACGGTTTCCGTTTTGCTTCAGCCAAGCAACGAGGGTGGTGAAGGTATCGACGTTGTTCTAGAAAGTAGACGTAAGTACTACTCGGTCTAGATAACTCAATAGGAAGACGTACGGTGACACATTCAGCCTGGGTACCGCTGTCGTCGGAGTCGAGGTACATGTGAACATCGAAGAGCAGCTTGGAAGTGTCACCATTGGGGTCGGTCACGTTCAAAAGGTAGGGGCCGGCCTCTGTGGGCAGAGCTTTTGCGCTCGACCAACTTGAGCCAGGCATGAGCAACAGCTGTTCTGTCGCGCCGGCCGCACGGATCGCATTGACGGCCAATTGAACGGAGTTGGCCCAAGTCGGAACGGCTGGATCGGGGACGGTAAGTTGAGAATACAATCAAGACGAAATATCACAATACTGACAAGGAATGTCATGAGGCTCGTTCATGATTCCGAACTAGGGGCAGACTCAGTCACCGTGTTCAGATTGAGTAGAGCAAGACGAATGCTTACAATGATACGAGGCTCGCTAGCATACTTGGTTGCAAGTTGGGTCCAGATACTCGTGAACTGGTCATCCGTAGGTCCGCCTTGGGCGATGATCCCACCATTCCAGCGCGCATAGTTGTGCTAATGCGAGGCTTAGCACATATCCCGGGAGAGACAGGCAAAGACGTACAAGATCGACGATAACATAGACGTTCGACGCAGATGAAAGAGCAGCCTGAACAGTAGCATCGTATCGCGACAAGAAGCCGGAGTCGATGGTCCCTCCGAGTGTCGGCGTCATGAGCTGCCATGCTGTTGCGATTTCTTAGGGACGGTGACCATTGTTATGCGGTGACAGGACTTACCGAATGCTGAAAACGTCATGCATTAGTATCGTGTCGTATGCATTGAGCAAAATATGGATATTTTCACTTACGAATACGGAAGATGTTGACTCCTTCTTGGGCAAAATGGGTATACTGGTCAGTTGGAGGGGAAACACCAGTTCCGGTGAACGACCCGTCCGTAGCCACGGAAAAGTCATATCCTGCAGTGTTGACACCACCCATGAAAGCAATGGAGCTGGTCGACGTGGAAGTCGGAGCAGAACTAGACGATGAGGGCGAGGTAGGCGTGTTTGAGGCCGTACCGGGGAGGCATCTTTGAAAGAGATGTCAAGAAATATTCGTCCACGCAATGGCGTTACTCACTGGGAATAGTCTTGCAAAGGTACAGTCAGCGAAGAGTGAATGATCATATTTGGGAGAAATACCCACAAGAGTTGCTGTATGTGCATACAGATCCTGAAGCGCAGGCTGTAGCCCCAGCTGTAGAAAGTACGTTTTATATAACTTCGAAGTGAGATGACGCTACGCAAAAAAACTCACTCCAGCCCGTGCCTCCGCCTGTCTCGGTCATCACGGTGAGTAAGTGCCACATATGAAATGTAAAACACACCCACATTGTCCGTAAATCTGCAGTTGATAGGTTTGTGTATTATTACTCGGTGTATCAACATCTGCGCATACGACTCACCGGAGCTTGAGCCTGGGAAAAGGGTATAGCGGCGAGCACAGCAGCAAAGGCGAGGGACTTCATCATGGCTCGAGAAGATGATGGGAGACAGATGTACAGAGTCACTGCTTATATATGGTGTAGCCCCGAGAGTCGACGAGACATCGCTCTGGTGACGGCTGAACTACCACAGGAAGACGTCGGAATAACGGCGGGAAAATTCCTTCCACTAGTAAGGTCCAACGAGCATCACGGTAAAATCGAGACTGTGATATGCATAGAAGAACGTTTATGGAAAGCAGACAAAACGTAGCGTGATACTCCGCATGTAAATCCAGTGTTAATCCGGCAGGGGGTCGCAGTTGAGCTCGAGTGGTACAAAGATTAGACACTAGCCCATGTGCTCCGAAGCGAGTCGGACGCAAAGGCTTGTGATCACTATGGAAGAAAATGACGATGCGATCAAGAAGCACAACTGGACCTCATGTTGACGAAGAGCACAGACGGAAATGTGCCCAGTGATCGGAGTATTGGCTTGCCTTCACCATCACTAGCAGTAGCCTTCGAGCCACCGCGATGTTGCTGAAACGAACTGACTTATCAGTCATTGGGATGATAGCATGCATCGAGCATGTCGTCAAGTCACAATAAGATTTTGAGTTGATTTCCATACAAGCCAAGGTGTAGCATAGCAACCTTCACAAAAGTTACGATGGTGATGGTGGAGAGCCAGACGATGTGGAAGGAAGGGCTTGCATCAGCGTCGATCATATACCCGGAAAGTTCCGAAGACAAACTAGTGCAACAATCAAGTTCGCCTCTTTGAAACGTCTCCGTCACGACCTCGTGCTGCTTTCGACTCCTAACCAAATCTGTCTTCTAAAAGCCCCCTCTCAAAGTACATCTACTTACCAGTGTATCAATTCAAAGGGCGGAGCAGGACGGACTAGGATGGCCTTGATGGAATCAAGGATAGCGCCTCGTGCTTTATTTTCTCTGTATCGCTCGTTATTGCGCCAGGTGCAACAACTTCCTCACTACTACTTGCGGCAAGTACACCTTGGAACGTCTCAACGGTATCTTCTTTGCAGCTAACGTTCCCGCAGAGAATTCTTCCGAATAAAAGTCGGTGAGGATATCCGAAGTATCCTGCATGCGAAGCAGACGGAGAAAGTCCGCATATCCAAAGTAAGGCGAGTTAGACAGGTAAATTATCACCTCATTATATCAGAGAAGTAGGCTCAAGCCTTTCCAGGAGCTGCTAAGATTAGAGCGTGCCAATTCAGGACGGAAGAAATCAATAGACCATATTCTTGATCTTGCTTATGGTCGCAAAGGACCACTGAAATGGAGCATGATGAAGGTCTGTTGCTAAGTTAATCAACATTGCACCGCGTTCTGACCGTGGCAAACCAGCCGCTTCTCACAGATCCTACATCACCTCTACCTCCTCGAATTATTTCGGAAGTTGAGCGCTCACGTCCGCCACAATACTCTCCAGAACTTGCGGCCCTCTTAAGCTCCAACTTTGCTCGTGCGGGAGGTAAACCGATGAAAACACCGCATTTCGAGCGGCCTCCTACACTACCTCCCAGAGCCGACCCGAATTCGGATCAAGCGCGCTGGTTCGGTCCATTCAGTAAACGCCGCCGAGTAAACATCCACTGGCGTTACTTCACTAGCCAATGGAAATCTACGTATCCTCCTCTCGAAGTTTCTGTCTCCGCATGTCCAGAAGGAGCTGACGGGACAGTTCCGATGTCGCAATCAGTCAATGCCCTTGACATCAGAGGAGTTGGCTTGCAGGACAGTGGTGTCTTACAGGAGCTACATGCTCTCGCGGGCCCCCGCTCAAGACGACCGCCCATCCCACGTCGGCAACGACAGTCGCTCAGCCGACCAGATGATCCAACGCCTTCATCCTCGTCACCTTCTCTCGCTGAAGCACCTAACCGATTCCTCCGGCGTCGTTATCGTGAACTTCTGGCCAGGATACCCATCCTCACTTACACGCCACCTCCTATCAACAATACCACATCCGATTCAGTCAAACACGGCCGATACACCGTCTCGTTGTCCAACGCTTCAGTCACACAGAAACTTTCCGGTGAGCTCGGGCTTCCAGAAACGGATATTATCGACGAGGCTTGGTTACAACAGTCCGTAAAAGATCCATCGACGAATGACGAAGAAGTTGGGAAAGCGACAGTGAAGGTGAAGAACAAAAAACTATGATGAGATGGTATATGTACGGATATAATCCTGGGATACCAGAGAAATAAATACACCAGATCCAGTCCGTGCTCACTCGTAGCTCATGATTTTTCGAGCTCCAGTCCATGCAGATCGATGACATACATGCTATAGTTCCTGTCTGTGGGCTGCGAAGCGCCATTCTTCGCCTGGCTTGGGTCTACGCCACATTGCAGGTCCAGCATGGTCTTGTACTCATCGAAGGTGAAGACCTGCTTCTTTCGAATACTGCTCAGCATATCCTATAAACAGAACGAACAAAGTCAGCGCCGCACGCTCCTGAAGGTCACTTGGCACGACGACTCACCGCCGGGTTCTGAGAGAAGAGGGCATAGTACTGCTTTGCTCGCTCGAACTCCGTGTCCCGCGAATCTCGCGCGATGGTCTTCACACACTGTTGAAGAGCAAGCATGTTCCGACTCATTTTCTTCATGCCGAACGCATTAGCACCATGGATCTTCTGAGCGTTCGATATCAAGAGCTCTTCCATGAGTAGTCCCAGACCTTCGAAGACGAATCTGGAGGCTGAACGTGAGATCGACGGCAAGCGTACAGTACAAAGAGACACTAACCGTTGGTCTTCTGGGGGCAATGTAGTCGAGACTACGTCATCGCACTCTCCGAGCTCGATGTTGAGGTCGATGATGTGAGGGTCGGGTTCACCCATCTCGCGATCCGGATGATAGTTTCCCTAGGATTGGACTGAGAATATTTTCTATAACCACAAAGCTTGACATGACTCACGTATCTGAAGGCCAAGTCGAGGTAATGCCCAACTCGACACCGAATGTCGACACGAATGGTAAACAAAACAATCTCGGCGAGCAACTCATATGTCTTGAGCAAGGAATGGAAGCGCCTGTCATTGCTAATGGTTAGTCTCACTAGCTGTTACCTGGTGCTCGGAATACTCACATTGCCATATCCCGCGATAGCGGAAGTTGTAATTCGTCCTCTGCGGAGACGGGGAGGATAAAAGGCATATACGGCGTGTACGGCGTAGTGGCGCTGGTTGGGTCAAGCCTCATCGGTGTAGTGGGTGACAAAGTAGCATCCTCCGCAACGGCTTTCAACTGGTGCAGTGCATTCCAAAACCATGACTGTGCAAAAGTAAGGTCAGTTAGATGATGCCATAAAAAGCAACAGAATGTGCATACAATACTGCGGTGCAGATTGCACAAGGACGAAAGATTTCGCATTGGCATAACGAGATCCTCCTTCGTTATGCTCTCCTCTCCCAAGAAGCCCCTCTCGATCTCGCCCTCTTGCTTGCATAGTCTGCGTTTGCCACCCGTATCGGTTTCCTGTAAACAAGCGTCAACAGCAGAGTTCAACGAAATGATGTTAGTTGTCGAATTCTCACGTCTATATTCATCAACTCCGTAAGAGTGGGTATGAGTTCAGCCTTCTGCGCCCACTGCGAAGCCAACGCCACTCTGGTCTCTGCAGGTGCCTCGTCGGCACTGACAGGCGAAACCAACGCCTGAAAGCGATCACTGCATCGCTGGTAAAACTGGATGATCACCGTGAGGATTAGCCTCGCGTAGTTTTCTCGGTGGAAGGGCGTCGTGCGGAGCATTGCGCAGAGAGAGTTGATTAACGACATGAGCTGGGTGCTCGCCTAAAAGCAGGACTTCCGTTATTCCCCAGGTTTAGTGCTGACGGCATTCTACAACGTACGTTTACAAGAGGTTGCTCCGATAACCATGCCGAGGCGGGGTCAGGTTGGAAAGCTTCGGAGCCTAGTTTATACGACATTTCAGTATTTTTACGATGAGGTCATATGATAGCAACGAATGGGACGCACCAGTTACAGCATGATGGAACAATAGCGAGACCTTGTCTTCGAGCTGCGGAAGATACACTTTTGCAACGAAGTCATCCAGCACGGCACTCGAGGTTCGCGCAGACTCTTGACCCGCGGGCAGAATCGCGGCGACTCGATCCAGGAAAGTGAGCGTTGGCTGGAAGAGGACGCTCACATGGAACGCATCTGGCTTGATGAGCAGTCGGTGATGTTGATCCATGCCTAGGAGTCGCTCGTCCGTCCCTACTGATGAGAGAGTAGATTGTACGGTAGAATCGTTTGAGCCTTGTACGAGACCGGGGACTGTGTCTCTGAGTACGCGGTTCAGCTCTTCTTCGTGGGGCTTCAACATTTTGTTCGACATCTTGAGGTCTGTGTCGGCGAAGCGGAAGACGTGCTACGAGAAGACTCTACAAGTCAGCTGAACGTCCTAAGTGAAAAGCACTACGCTACTCGAACCTTTGCTTTGTCTCGAGTAAATCTGCCTTCCCGTAAGACATCGTTAATGGATGAGATTGGATTTCGACCGGCCATAGCGCCTTGTTCTTCATCTGTCAGGTAGTCGTTTAGAAGCGTCCGTACCTACAAGGAAAACGTCGGTCAGACGAATAGAGGAGCTTAGAGCCCCAAAATGCGACTTGCCTCTGCTTGCACGGGCATCCAGATCTCTGCGAGGTTGAACAAGGATCCCGGTTTTGCACCGGAGGAGTCTTTGAAGTCTCGTCTCTGTATCGGGTGACGAAGACGGTTGAGACGAATGATCAGAGAAAACCAGCAGCAAGACTTACACTTCCTATTCGATTAGAAACCTCGTATACGACCCGAAGACCCTGAGTCACAGCATCCAGCTTAGAGTAAAGCGTCCAAAACAGATCCCTCAAGATTTCATGCTCAGCATGTTTTGACGATCCCTCCAACGCCGCTAAGCGCAGCCGTAGCGCACTGACAGCAACACCCGCACGCGATCCCGCTCTTCGTGCAACTAATGGTCCCGCCGAACTAACTGTGCCATCGCCTGATACTAGCACGTACGCCGAATTCACCTTGCCTGCTGCAGAACTTGCAGGACTGGTGATCAGAATCGACGATCGTCGGGCGTACTCAGCCCGTTCTCCAACTTCTTCGATCGTGCCCTCGATGAGCTGGAAGACTTCACTGGGTAGCCGCTGTGCAACGACGTCCAATGCACTGCCGAGCTTTCCTAGTACGGCGAGAGACTCCAACAAAGTCTCGAGATATGCAAAGGAGTCAGTTTCTGGATTCTTGCCCTGTTCGTCCTCTTGGGCTGTTAGAAGGTGGCCAAACGCCGCCACGGTGGAAGATACGGGTAAGGAGCTGCTGGGATTGGAGAACGTTGTGCCTGATGACGAGTTGCCGCCTCCGAGGGACATGCTGTGTCGGAAGTTTGAACCTTCAAAGTCATCTGGTGGGTTGTTTGGGCGGAGCGCGAGATCGTTGAGATATCGAGATAATCGAGTCGGACGTGAGGAGGAAGACGTGGGGAGATCGGGGGACGTAGGTGTTGAGGGTACTTTGGAATCGAATTTGCTAGATAACGGCTCGTTCTCAAATTCAACATCGACCACTGTACAAGGTTCAGTGTTTTGCCATATGTTTCTCGAGAATGTTGACATACTGCTCTGTTGATTTGGTGTATACGATGCCCATCGGCTGTCGCACCAAAAAGACTTGAGATATAGATGGCTATGGAGCTCGTCAATTAAGATCTCACGCAAAGCCTAGAGAAGAGAATGTCAGCGACTATCCAACACAACCAGCAGATTACGACAGACCGTCTCTTGCCCAATCAAATAACCTCGTAGATCAGCTACAGCTCCGATATCCATCATATCCTGGCTGTTAGCGATCTTCAAGCTTCGTACAAGGAGTATGGCTGCGTGGAGCAACCGCTTCTCAGACATGAGGCTTTCGAGGACATCGGGAACGAGTTTGAGACGTTCACTTGAAAAGATAGACGGTCATTATTACTCTCATTCAAATGTGAGGAAAGGCCTACATCTGATCCAATATTCGCAGCATCTCCTCCAGGATCTGACCACGATTCCACATCTGTACCAAGTCGGCGCGTCGGTTGCCGAGAGCCTCTTTCGATTCTTGCAATGATGTTCGAGCTTCCTTTATCTGAGTTTGTGACGATCCGAGGTGGTTGAGTAGGGAAGCATGGTGAGGTAGTGAGGCAGCAAAGGCTTGGTAGTGCTCTATCGTATAAATAGAACAGAGATGAATTTCAGTGGATTTTAGAGAGTGTGGCACCAAACGTACTATCAACCGATCCCTTCAAGGCGCGCGAAAGCATGTGCTTCGTCTGTCGGAAGGACTCCATATCTTTCCCGGAAGACGATTCGTCGAGTATTTGAAGAGCAAGGTCGACGGGGTTGAACTAAGATAGAGTGTAAGGCGTTGGCTGAATTGTGGCGTAGAATGGGCATGACAGGTCTTACATCTGGATCGACGACAAACTCCCATTCATCCTTGATTTGATCCAACACGGCTATTGCAGTGTTTGTCACAGTTTCAACGAGAGAGTACTGAAGCACGGACCATCAATATCGCCTGCTTTTGCTTTGCCGTTCACGCGCCGCCCAGGGACTTTATCCCGTATTCGCTTCTGCCTCTGCTGTTCTTCCTGCGTAGCACGCCGTCGCTCCGCCTCCCACTCATCGTCACCATCGATCGTCTTCTTTCGGACGGCTTGAAATGCAGACATGACGTTGGCTAATGCCTTAGGTGATGTCTGGTCGGAAGCAGTGGTATCCGTCGTGCCAGACCGGAGACGCCGAGGCTGAGGTCGGCCTGATGAGATAGTAGCATTGCTGTCGTTTCGTGAGCGATACGGGTTGGGCAATGATACCTCTGATGTTGTAGTACCCGAGCTGTCTCTCCGGTCTCTGGAGGGGCGCGCGGGACGAGAAGATATAGAACCAGATCCTGTAGAGACATCTGATACTTGACGAGACCTGAGCTCTGAGCGTTGTGGGCGAGACGGTCCGCTAGGAGAGCTGGAGACTGATATCATGGAATTATTGCTGGGAGTGGTCGGACGAGCAGGTGCTCGACCGATCTGTAGGGGTTTAGTGTTAGTCCCATACGGGTCAACGCCATTAGTAGAAGACGGAGAGCGTGGACGTCGGTTTGAGGCAGCCGGAAAGGGTGGTGCTCGAGACATGAAAGTCGTCGAGAGCTGGTGAGAAGAGCAGCCAGTGCGCGCTCGAACAAACAGAGATGGTGGGACTGGAAACCGAATGGGTATACAACTTGCATAGCAGACGCCGTCCGTCGCCACGTGCTAGCAATACTGCGATATATTACGTAATTTAATCTCGGACATCTTGTGGTTCGCGACTTGCTCTGGACGTCGACGATGAACAGCCCATCTTCGGCTTTGCCTCCCTTTCTAGAACCCCTCGCTCATAACCCAAGCCTACAGGAATCCGACGCTCTCCCTCATCATGCTCGTTTCGCGCACGCTCGCTCAGGCCAACACGCCCACACTATATGGTGGCCCGCTGCAGCGCCTTCACCCACACCACCGTCAACTATTCTGCTCTTCATCCCTGGTGTGGACGAGTCTACCCATATACCTACTGTGTAGGAGACTGATAAGAGTCCAGGAAATCCGGGTCTTATAGGCTTCTACATCCCGTTTCTCTCTGCCCTATGGGAACAATGTTCGTCGAGTAACTTCGCCATATTAGCCCACTCCCACCTAGGCCACACACCCGGCATTGGAGACGATCATCGTCGACCACTTCCCTCAGCAATAGCGCTTACGTCTCAAGTCGAAGCCATTCTCGAGGTCGTGGCTGCTATCCGATCTGCCTTTGGTCCTTCGCCAAAGATTGTCTTTGCAGCCCATAGCGTCGGCTCCTGGCTAGTGCTTCAAGCTCTGAAGAACCTACCATCATCAGAGATATCTGGCACGTTCCTTCTATTCCCAACCATATGCAATATAGGCAACACGCCAAATGGCCGTCGCCTTTCTGTGCGTGCTACATAATCTATTGCTGTACACCGTTCTGACCACAGCGTAGTGGCTATTCGGACCACCCCTCCCTCGAGTGATATCTTCACTATCTGCTCTCATACGCTGGCTTCCTCTTCGAGCACTTTCTGTCCTCTTCCCATCCTGGCCGTTGGCCCAGGTCTCTGTTCTTCGGACTCTGTTGCATTCCCCGCCAGCCATCTTTTCGGCTCTCACCATGGCGGACGACGAGATGAAGATCATACGCGACCTTGACGTAGGTCTGCTCAAAGAGCATCACGATCGACTGTACTACTACTATGCTCAATACGACGATTGGGTGGGAGAAGAAAGAGATGCCGTGCTAGAGGCGCTCAATGATGCTGAATCGCCTGTGAAGATTGTACACGGTCATCAAGACATTCCACACGCCTTTTGCATCAGTGAGTCTACCACTGACAACTGACCCTCTCGAATGTATGTTGAATCTATCCTATTTTCCTTCTAGATCACGGTCAAGAGTTAGCTTCGCAATGTATCGAATGGTTACGTTCCGGTGGCCTGATATGATACGTTTCGCTCCTAAGGCCTAAGGCTCAAATACTACTGTGTACACGTCCTTGGACTCTCAAAGGGAACGAGTGCTGGTGTCAGCTCCGGTGGAAGCTCCTTTGGCATAGCTTCCCTATCGTGGATCTACGCCACGTAATCGGGCCGTAGTTAGTCTCCCATGTGCCACAATGCGGTGAACAAAGCTGTGCGACCAACGGACTCGCGACGGGCCCTTTTCAGTGAACCGGTCGGTGTCCTGTTGAAACACACTCAAGATCGAACTTACTCCTACGAAGGCTTGCGCCTTGTGGGTGCCGCCCATATCCTCTTTACACACAAGGGGAACAGGTTATGCTCACTGGCGCACAACAGGTTTCTGATTGTAAAAGACTTGTTACTCACTGTGAACACCCTCCGGTCCCAATCTCATCAGTCAGATAAGTTTGATTTGACGCCCAAGACATCTAACCAGGCCCAGGTCTCCTATAAAACACGGCTAGCTGTTCTCCTCTCGCCCCAAGTTCCTTGTCTTTACTGTTACTCTTCAGCATACAATCTTGCTCTACGATCTGTCCATCGACATGTCCACCCTCACGCCCTTATCTCACTTGGCTCAGTCTGATGTCGATAACTTCTATAAGCTATCTCCAGAGGAGCGAAAGTTCTTCATGGCTCAGACAGGCATCGGGGATGATGCTGAGCTTAAACAGCATATCGTCTCGGTTGCAGACGAAGCTTTCGGGGTATGTAGTTCAACTTCCTCCATTTAGCAGCTGCCTTCATGACCTACGACTTCCTCTCTCTATAGATCTACCCATACGAGACCATTCGCGTGTTCGCATTTACTAGGTACGCGTTACAGGCTCCAATGACGATCACAGAACGCTGACATCGCATGTATCTCCAGACTAGTCATCTCCAAGTTTCCAGCCTATCAGGATGTGAAGAGGCTAGGGACTGAGCGTCCTGGAGCCTTGTTCCTCGATCTTGGTTGTTGCTTCGGGAACGATATTAGGATGCTGGTTTCCGAAGGGTTTCCTCCGGAGCAATGTATCGCTTCCGACATTAAACCAGGTATGCACGATGAAGTATCCCGCTTCGGCCTGCACGATTCCCTCGCCTTCTTCTAACCGAATCAAAATACTCTGTTATTGCAGAATTCTGGGATTTGGGTCATAAACTGTTCAGGTCCACTCCTAGATCTTTCCCCGTACATTTCATCGGCGGAGACGTTCTCGACCCAGCGAACCTTTCTATCCATCCATTCAATTCTGGGAACGGAGAAGTCGATAAATTCTCGCCTGTCTCCAAAGCTTCCTCGCTGAATGATCTTAAAGGTCAACTCTCCGCCATTCGTGAGTTCGCGCTTAGTCTTCCTTCTACCTCAATGTCGTTCAATCCGTCTAATCCAACTCTTATTTGGCACCACGCAGATGTCTCGAGTCTCTTCCACCTCTTCACCGAACCCCAACAACTCCACCTCGCACGTGCTCTCGCAGGCCTCCTCGTCCCCAAACCCGGATGCGTAATCTTCGGTATGCACCCCGCCAAGAAAGTGAAAGGCGTGTACACCGGCATGCCTCCCAATAACCACACCATATTCTCCCATTCACCTGAGAGTTGGATGCAGATGTGGGAGGAGAAAGTTTTTGGACCTGGGTCTGGGAATGATGGCGCGGTGATAAAAGTACATGCGAAGTTGTTTGAGATTCCGAGAGGGATGGTGAGGTATAAGGTGGATGATGATGGTGGTGCTTTATATATGATGGCGTGGTCGGTTCGGGTTGTATCGTGTTAGTTTGCTAGAGTGTATTGTCTATAAGTTATCAGACTCAGACTTATTTAGAGCATTTTGTTGCGTACTGTGTGAGCTGCGCCACAACAATTAGTGCCACATGTCAGTTGCGCCCATGGTAATTCGGTCGTGGGAAAATGTGGCAAGCAGAAATGCGCTGTGTCGGAATCGCCGTTGTCCGTTGCGCTCAATCACATCGACGGTCAAGTCAGACACTTTCAAGCTCTCGTCTTTCCCCACCCAACACCCCTCTTTGCTTGAAACACACCGTTCTCATTTTTTTCTTGGCCTCGTAGAATAACATCTTCTACTCGCCACACCGTGATCATCTCGATTCTCGACGCGTCTTCGCGGTCAAGTGAGGCTCATTCAAGAAACTTCACCGCGTCCCACTTTTCGCGGCGTTCGCGATTTTAGCGGAGGTCTCTCTGAGCTCGGTCTTCTTTGCTCCAGACGCGACGATCTGAATTGCACTACGCGTCAATAATATTGACCTCGTGTGCAGACTAGGTGTGTACCGATTCGCGTCGCGCTGAACGTCCCGTTTCAAAGCGGCCTGTCGCGTTGTATCCTCGTGAAAAGTTATCTAACAACCCCCTGTCTGCATGCATTTAGTCCTCGTGTCTTCCTTTGAAGATATATGTCCGTTGAGCAGTCTGTGTCATCGAACCCCATAGATCCCAAATCATTCTACAGAGCATCGTCTCGAGCTTCCGCATCCGAGGCCGAGTTATCAACCCTCACTGCGATCACTACTTCTCCCGAAAGCACCCCACAACTTCTTTATCCTTCCACCGCCGAGACTGAGGGGCAGACAAAGACAAAGCGCATCGTAGAAGTTGTCGTCCCGCGTCTTACAGACGAACAACGCGAGAACGCCAAACGTATCGGCGATATCTTATTGGAATCGGACGACGAGGCGTACTTAGAGAGTGCGATAGAAAAAGTAGTTGGAGAGTATACCGAGGGACAGTTTGAGTGGTACTACGCTAGGGTCAAGTCGGGAAGCATCCACAGAGTGCGTTATCCTTACAAGACGTCTTTCGGACAATTATTCTGACTTTGGCCTTTTGCTTTGATCTTTTGTTCAGTACTCCCAAAAACGCCTCGAGAAGCACTTTCCGCATCTCGTTGCTACTTATTGTACGTTCACTTTCACTTGTGCCTTTCCTTCGAACTGACCTCTCGATGTCTTGCAGTGCGCCGCAAGGAGAAAGGAGATTTTGCCCATTTCGACCCGTCGAGCCGCGCAATACACGAAGACTCTCGTATCAAGATGACAATCAGCCTCGGCAAGTTAACGCGCAAGGCGAAAGGCGGACGTGAATCCAGCCCAATAGTCATTCCTGACAGCGAAGAAGAAGAGGAGGAATGGGAGAAGGACGTTCCGGAGGCGTCTGACCCTGTTGACGACGATGAAGATATGGAGGATGACAGGGACGATGCGTATGAAGAAGAGGAAGAGGGGCCCGTTCGTAGGAGCACGAGGGCGGCGGCTGGACTTGCCAATTTGCGCAACAAGAAGTCAGCGCAGGAGTTGCCCTTCAGTCCGAGACGGCGTAATCCAGGAAGGACGATCAGGGCGGTTGATTCGGATGATGAGGACGAGAGCGAAGAGGGCACCCCAACTCCGGCAGCGAGCACCAGAAGGTCTACTCGTGCTCGGAAGACCACTCGAGCGAATGTGGCGGACGAAGATTACGAAATGGACGAGGAGGGTGAAGAGAGCGAGGAGTATGGGTCGTACAAACCGCGTGCCCAGCCGCCGAAGAAGAAGAAGATCGTGCGCGGCAGAGCTTCGCGCGCTGCCTATGGTAATTTTCGACAAGTCATCGAGCTCAGTTTCGATCGAGAGGAAGACCCGGAAACAGTACATCTTCGCGCTCACCGCGACGCTTGCCAGAAATGCCATCGGGGCCCGGCGAATGTGCTCATCGAGAAGGCGCAGAAACGGAACCAGCAACGAAAGAGAAAGGGTAGCTCCAAGAGGAAGAAGAGGGACGAGGATGAAGAGGATAGTGATAATGAGGAACAGTTGGCCGAGCTGGGTGGCTGGGTGAGATGGTACGTTTATCTTCTACACGTCCCTGTCCCGTTCACTATATCTCTCTTACTGACGATCGATACGCGCATATTCTACCAGTCTGAAGTGTCCCGTGTCCGCTCATTGGCGCTGCTTGGCGAGTACACAGCAAATGGAAATTCTGAAGGCTGCTCAAGAACGCGATTGGGAAGAAGCAAAGCGGGCTAGACATGACAATGGTGGCCCCTCTGACGGTGCTCAGCCGTTTGTTCCTAAACCTCGAAAGCGTGACGGCCTTGATGCATATCAAACGACGGAGTTCATCTGCTCGGCGTGCATGAAGGGAGGTGTCTGCATGAACTGTCTGGATGTCGTTTTGGAACCGGAAGCTCTACCTGGAGTACAGAGCGATCAAAAGCAGGCTTCCGATATCCCGAGTTCTTCTCGTCCAGGTTGGTTGTTCATCTCAGAGTCTGCGTTACAAACTATTAACTCCATCTATAGGCTCGAGTGCACCAGAGCAGGCGAACGAGGCCAACAATGAGCTTCTGTTCCGTTGTCAAACCTGCAAACGCCTATCTCATTATGCTCACCTCCCTGTCCCTGAGGGCATGGATCTCGACCCAGACAACGACGAAGACAAAGCGCTACTAGCCCAATACTATCAGAAGGAGAACAACTGGTTATGTTCAGACTGCATTTCATACATTCACATCGTCGACAAAATCCTCGCGTGGCGGCCGTACCCTGCGAACGCCACTGAGTCTCCACGAGCCCCCGGCGAAGTACCCGATCCCAAGAGACAACTTCCTCGCGAATACTTAGTGAAGTGGCAGGATCGTAGCTACCGACGCGTGGAATGGGTTCCGCACGGGTGGTTGGCGGCGAAGTACATGTCTCGGTTGAGGAATTTCCTGGCCGGTAAGGCTCCGGTGGGATTCTTGCTCAAGCAGGCCGTGAAGGAGGAAGAGGAAGCGAACGCGAGTGCTGAAGGTGGTGTCGGTGGCGCAGGAGAAGATGAGGATTCGATGGCCCGTCTCGAGGATGAGGATTCGTATTCCATGGATCCGAAACCAGATGCAGACCGCCGTATACCTCCTGCCTGGAAGACTGTCGACCGCGTTTTGGACGTCGTCATGTGGTGTCCTCACAAGGCCAGAAAGAAGAAGACGATCTCGGTGGGCAAAGGTAAGAAGAGGAGTAGGATCATCACTGATGACGAAGAGTCTATGGATGAGTTCGCGAAGACGGATTGGGAAAGGGCTTTCAAGTATGGCGAACAACCGGATTCTCGGTACACCGAAACACTTGATGAATGGTTAGAGAGGGAGGGTACTTTCCTGACGGAAGACGATATCGAGCATGTCGTTTATGCGTTCATCAAATGGGACGATCTAGGCTACGACGAAGGTGAGCGTGGTCTATTACATAGCTCAGTCATATACGGATTGATTGACTTTTCGTAGCTACATGGGATTCACCTCCTCGGAAAGGAGAACCAGGCTATTCTGCCTTCCAGTCCGCATTCACACGATTAGTCCAGTCTCAGCACGTCTCTATAAACAAACTGTCCAGGGCTGGGTATGCCGAATACGATGCCCGACGGAAAGGCGAGTACCGACGAAAGTTTGCCTTGAAGGATGACATGCAACCGGACTTGGGGCAGAGTCCCGATCTGAAGCTTATGGACTTTCAGGTGAGTCTATGTTACTCTTGGATAATGCTCTGTCCTGAGTTTCATCATGTCTAGATCGACGGTTTCAATTGGTTGTGCAATAACTGGTACAACCTGCAGCCATGTGTAAGCGTCTCATATTGTATATTTCGTACGGTGGCTGAGTTCATATAATAGATCCTTGCGGACGATATGGGTTTGGTACGTGTTTTTGTTTTGCTTTCACCTGTCCACCTGGAGCTCATTCTCTCGTAGGGCAAGACAGTCCAGATTGCAACCTTCGTCGGCAAGATCGCCAAACAATGGAGCGCGTACCCCGTTCTTGTCGTTGTCCCGAACTCTACGATCACGAATTGGTTGCGCGAGTTCGCTCGATGGGCGCCGGGGCTCCGGGTGGTTCCTTTTTATGGCGAAGCGAAGGGTCGTGAAATCATCAAACGGTACGAGTTGCGACACTCGCAGCCGACTGCTGGTACTTCCGGTCTCAAGTTCCATGTCCTCGTCACCACGTATGACAACGTGAGCGGCTCCAAGGATTTTACCTCGGTCTTCAAGAACGTTGATCGATGGGAAGCCTTGATCGTCGATGAGGGCCAGCGGCGTTAGTTCAAACATGCTCTATTTAACTGAGGAAAAATGCTGACTTCGTTGCATCTTGCAGTCAAAAACGACGGCAGTCTCCTTTTCAAGAAGTTGAATGAGCTCAACACTATCCATCGCATAATCATGACAGGGGTACGCTCGCTTTACCTGTCACATTTTGCTTATTTCTTGATCTCCGAGGTCCCAGACTCCTCTGAACAACAACATGCGTGAACTGTTCAATCTCATGAACTTCCTCGACCCAGACCAATGGAATGATCTTGCTGCGCTCGAGAAGGAATACGATCAAGAAAACCTAAACGAAGAATCGGTGAAGGCCCTACATGAGAGGTTACGTCCGTATTTCCTGAGACGGGTCAAGGCCGAGGTGTTGAAGCTGCCGCCTAAGGTATATAATTTCCAATCAACAACGCTGTGGCCCAACTGAAAACACCCGTTCATTCTCCCAGAACGAGGTCATCGTCCCGTTGTCCCTCACTCCTTTACAGAAAGAGCTGTACAAATCCGTCCTCAGTACGATCATATCCCAGGCAACCTTTTCTTTCCTGTGCTCATAGTCTATCTAGGCAAGAACGTCACCCTCCTCACCAGTTTAACGCGTTCGCTCGGACAATCTGTCAAGGGAGCATCAAACAAGTCGAACATAACGAACATTCTCATGGAGTTGCGAAAGTAAGCTCTCGCCCCAACTTTGTCTTTTCATTTTGACCAAGTTCTTGGCCTGTTTAGGTGTATTCAGCATCCCTACCTTCTCTCCCCTGATATCGAACCCAGAGGACTAAACCAGCAGGAGACACATAAGCGTTTAATCGCTGCTAGTGCCAAACTTCGTCTGCTGGAGGTCCTTTTGCCGAAGCTGAAGGCGCGTGGCCATCGGGTGCTCTTGTTCAGTCAAGTATACAACTATCCCGGTCACTACTCTTTATCCTACATCTGATGTGTATTGTACACAGTTCGTCATTGCTTTGGACATCATCGAAGACTTCATAAATGGGGAAGGGTTCAAGTATCTGCGACTGGTCGGTTCATATCTCGGTCTTGGGCCTTCAGATGCTAATAGGCATGAATATCATCTCAGGACGGGAATACGAAGCAGGCCGATCGCCAGAAGGGCATGGACGAGTTCAACCGTCCGAACTCTGATGTATTCATCTACCTCCTCTCTACACGAGCTGGTGGCGTCGGAATCAATCTCTGGAGTGCGGATACTGTAATCATCTTCGATCCAGATTTCAACCCCCATCAGGTCTGTAGCTTTTCTTTTAGACCCTCTTTATGAAGCTAAACATGTTCACAGGATCTTCAAGTACGAGCCATGGTTGCACTGCATTCTGAGTTTGATTTCTAACCGTGTCACCTCCAGGCTATCGCACGGTCTCATCGATACGGACAAACGAAACCATGCCTCGTCTTCAAGTTGATGGCCAAGGACACAGCTGAAGGTAAGCTGTTCTCTGTACTTTCCACTCCCTTCTTCTTTCTGACGGGTCATAACAGAGCGAATCGTACAGAACGGCAAGAAAAAGCTCATACTCGACCACGTTATTGTGCAGAAGATGGACGACAAGGAAACCGGCGAAGACGTCTCTTCCATCTTAACCCACGGCGCTCGAGCTCTTTTCGAAGAAGGGGAGGGAGCCAAAGACATAACGTGTACGCCTACATGACTTCTAGAAATTCTCTCGTCTCATGCTGAATTATATGTATAGATTCCGAAAATGATGTCGATAACCTGATCACCAAGACCGAGAGCGAAACCACTCAGGAGGAGCAGGGTTCATCGGCTATGACCTTCTCGTTCGCGAAGGTCTGGGCTGCTGATAAGGATGGTTTGGAAGAGATGGCGGATGAGGAGGCCGATACTGAACAAGCAGACTCGTGGGCCCAAACCCTCAAACGCATCGAAGACGAGCGCGCTAAGCTGCAAGCCATGGACGTCACCATTGGTGGTCGCCCCGCTCGTCGTGCAGCGGCAATGGCCGTGAAGCCTCAGGTAAGCTTTCTCATCGTCGTCTAAAGCCGTCGCGGGTTTCACTAACCTTTGTTATGTTCAGCAATCTATCGACCTCGGGGACACGCCCAAGAAGAAGACTAACGGTCAGAAGCGCAAACGGTCGAAGTCGACAATATCTGACGAGTCAGAGGGCTTCAAGGGCTCTGTGGCGTCTGCAATTTCCGATGGCGATACGACCGATTCGGGCGTGGTCGACGAGTTCATTCCAAGGACGAAGAAGGCGGCAAGGCCGTCGACTGATACAGCAAGCCCTCATCCAGTAGTTCAAGGCTCGAATATTCCAGGCGAGGAAGCTTTCTGCAGCATATGCAATAGCGTTCATTCCGGGCCTTGTAACATGACAGACAGCCCGGAGAACTTGGCTGCGTATCGACTGGCTTTGTTAACGACGGCGGACAACGAACCTATCGAAGAGAAGGCATGTCCCTGCTTTCTACGTCCGTTTCCCCTTATTAATCTTTCTTTTTTTTTAGCGGGAGGCCATCGCTCTTATCGAAACCGTTCTCAGAGACCGTGGAGAGCTTCACCTTATAGACGGACAACCCCTTCACCTCGTCGAAAGGCCACCGCCGGCAACAGTTTCAGTCAAACAGTCAAAGGAAACATCAATGCTGCATCCACGTCCTAGCGCTCAACCACCTGTGGCACCTGCCGCGTCGTCTTCCAAATCAGCTCCCGGAATGCATGTCCCTGCTCCCGATGGCAGTTCTTCGTCTTCAGCTGCCGCACGTCCAGCGCCAAGTTTCATGGGTAGATTCCGAGCCGACCTCTCCGCGAAGCCCTCCAAACCGAAGCCCAAGCCGAAGCCCGCGCTTAGCGCTAGCGCACCTGTGCAGAAGGGAGTCAATGGAATGGTGTCTAATGCTGCTGCGTCAAGCTCTTCCACTGCCGGCCGCCCACAACCACTATCCTCGTCAGCCAATGCCTTGAAGTCTCAGATGACTCCCGTCTCGAAAGCCACACCTTCGAAGCCAACGGTTTCTAAACAGTCGACGCTGAACGCTCTAAACGGAAGTAGACCTTCAACGGCGTCTAAGTTGCCTTCCGCTACACCGAACGTGCCATCATCTTCGAGCGCTGGCCTGGCTGGTATGAAGCGTCCTGTGGCGCCGAGTACGGCTGATGAACCCAATCCTTCCAAGAAAGCAAAGAGCAGCCCTTTGAAGGAAGGCTGTGCCGTCTGTGGTCGAGAGTTCCACTTACTGAAGGACTGCCCCATCGTCGCCGCTGGGCCGAAGAGGTAGGTTTTCGATCAAAGATCCTTACCCTCCCTACAATTTGACTGACCGACCTTCTAGTATATCCCAAGCGATCCAATCAATGGAGGCCCAACCAAGGCATACGAAGACAGTTCAGACACTGCGTGGGCTCTTACAGCAGCAGAAACGGCGGGAACTCGCGAACTCTGGAGGAATGTAACTTATAAACGTAACTTCTATAGTCTCTTGTACCTCATTAATACCACATCCGTTCTTGTTGTGTTCCGGACCCCTTCGAACTCGTTAAAATTAGTATGTACACAGCTGTGTGGTGTCTCATCAACGTCCCATGCTGCGCCACACAATTACTGGATGTGGCACCGCCACCGTGGAATTCCTGTGGCGCTATAGGAAAGAGGACGATCAAAATTCGAGCTGTCTCCAGCTGACTGTTCGTCTACCTCGTCTGTCCTTGACACTCTCATCTTCTGAATCAGAGTCAGCCTCGCGCAGTTCTCTTAGTCTAGTTTTCGCGGAATTGCCATCTCTTATTGGGTCTCTGCGCGAGTCCGAACCTGATTCAGAGTGTCATAGAACAACGTTGCTTGTCTCAGTCGCGAGTGCCGAGAACAGGCAACAATCGTGGTGCGTGTCATAGGGATCCCGCATCGATACGGAAAACTGAAGAATACAATAGCTGTGTTTTATTGCTAGCTCTATAAATTTCACGTTCTTTGTGACGCACTGTGCTCTTCCTCCCCCGTCCGCTTGCCTATGTCCTTCCCGATGCAGTTTGCGTCCCAAACGCCCGCTACCAACTCTCTCTCGGTCAAACGTTCAAGACACGATTCAGGCGTAGGTTCGAGCATGAGCTCTGACGGACCTTCTGCGTACCAGATGCCTACTCTCCCCGAAATCCATGTAAGAAGTTTTCTATTCTCTATTCACTAGAATGAAGCCAACCGGGTCTCAGGGCGATATGATGTTGGACGTTTTCACGCACAGATCGGTGCGGTTTGCTGGAGCGCCTCCAAACGAGGACTTTGGTGATAGTGAGAGGCTCGCGTGTGTCGGACAGAAAGTTCTCGCGCTGGCTGCGACATCTGCCTTGTTCAATCAACGACCGATGCTCAATGCGTCGACTTTGGAGGTATGAACTCTTGCTTGCATTTCACGCTGCCTTCATGTATTTCTGCTCATAATCAATTCAACACTATCTGGAATATATCTTCTCAGACTCAAATCGGTGACACCCTTTCAGACTCCAAAATCGACGACTGGGTCACTGCGTACAAGATGCGAGACAAGATGCGCTGTTCGCCTGATGCTCGCGACTCGCTCACGGAACCTAAAGTTGTGACGGTTCCTTCTTCATCTGCTTACCCTAACTGATAAAACTCCGTAGGAGACGCTCCTTCTCTTTCATAGTTATGTCGGCGCTGTGTATTTGCAACGTGGCCTCCCGGTAGTGCTAAATTGGATCGGCAAGCTGGTAGACGACAATTTCGAGGACGTCGCACCGGAGCCACCCACACAGCCGGGACAACAATCTCGAAACATTAGACTGCTGAACAACATGAAGCGCATGAAAATTGAGCCTTCTCCCTCTCCGAAGCTTAATCATATCGAGCCCCCCTTCTCAACACCCCCTCCGCCGCCGCCACAGGCGCCTCCGCCGATTCCAATGGCACCGCCGATGTCGAACGGACCCTACGTTCAGGCCGCCCCAACTTATTTCCAGCCCAACCCAATCACTCCAGCGCAACCCACGGCCGCCTTCCTCCCTGCATTCAATCAGCTTGCCGCCCAGAGAAAGCACTCGATAGAGTGGCAAGCTCAATCGACAGGACCATCGCACGCGCCTGCGTGGACTGTCAACTGTTTAGGTGAGTGATTTGGACAGTATTATAGCGCCCAGAGCAGAGTCAGATTGGACGGGGAAGCGAAGCGCCGTTGCTTCACATGTTTATTTCTTTGTGTGTACATGCGGTTAATGAGCTCGAAATTGTCTGTTGGTGAAGGTAGTATACAAGCAACGGCGCTTCCCTTCCCCGTCCAATTTGGCTCTGCTCTGGGTGTGTCTCCCCATCCCTAATGAATGAATTGTAGTCGACGGGTTTCCGAAAGGGTACGGCACTGGAAAGAGTAAGCAGTTGGCGAAGGAAGCCGCCGCGAGACAGGCCTTTTACAATCTGGGTTGGGCTGGCCGTAAGTGCATTCATGTCTTTTTTTTCTATTGTACTTTACTGACTCTAGTAAACAGGATCCTAACATTCACGTCGTTGGTGCTCCAACCACCCTCGGTGCCCCGCGCGCCCTTCCCCGCTCCGGACCTCGACGGGATGTCTGTAGTCTTCTGCATTATTGCTTGCATGTACTACTGTCTTTGTAGGCTATGTTGTTTTTATATCGACCATCGCATTGGGGCTTCGTACCATAAAACGTTGAACTCAATGCGATGGCCTACACAGAAACAACATAGCCTATGTGCAGCACAAGAGGTATCACGACAATGTGTGGCTCTTGTGCCACATGCGCTGGACCAGTAAGCATTCTTACAAATTTCTGCATCTGTTTTGGGCCAGCTCCCGAGCGGGGAAGGATGCGCGGGGCACCGAGGGTGGTTGGAGTATGCTTCGACGTGTCACATACATGTCTATATCGTGGCACTAGATCCGGTCTTCTCCTCCCGAGGAATTCGTCGAGGACACAGCCCGCCTCCATATTCTGTATGGAGGCGTGCTGTGTCCTTGACGAGCCCCTTGGGAGTGGACAGCTCGGTTTTGCTGCTGTGGTAGTATTTTGCTGTCTGTTTATCTGAGTATTGTCCTCGAATTTTCTCTTCGTCGCATGAAAAATGTTGAAACCCTATTTCTCTTCTACTTCGATCCATACATTCCGTGTTCGTGTACCTTTTGTGTTGCCGTTATCTCCCCATTGTCGTTCGTCGCTCTTCGGTTGTAGGCAGATAACGCTGAACCCCTAATCGTTTGTTTCGTTCTGCTATTTCAATGATACATGCCATATTTGTTTCAACTCTTTCAGCCTGTTCGTGCCCCACTCAATACATACATACTATCTGGAAGCTGACTCTCAAATGGACGTGATATCTTTTAACCCCTCCCAGATTATGAATCTCGCCACACTCCCCGCCCCGTTCCCAATGTGCTGGACAGGTGCGACGAACGACATCGGCGCCATGACCGTCGTACCGTCGACGCCTATCTCATACTCGCCCACGAACTCTCCATCCACATATGCAAACGTCTGATTCTCCGTCCCCGCGATCACGATCTCGCGCCACGCAGACGCATCAGTCACGGGCAAGGTGTAGTTCAACAGCGGCCATGTGAAGTTGCTCGATGTGAACGCGAGTGTAGTCCCGTTACCGTACACGGTATACCCGAACGAAGTGTCGGGACCAGAGAGCAGGGTTCCCGTCGTGTCTGAAGTGCTCGCGTTTACGAGGAAGGTGTAGTTGTGGCCCTTCGACCCAAGAGGCGTGACGATGACGCCGTCGACGAATTCGCCATCGTACCCATTACCGCTGAGATCCTTGACCACCCCGCTCGTCTGATTACCAAGTTCGTACGAAAGAACGACGTCGCTTGCGCTGGGCACCCGTCTGTCCAGATTCTGACCGGGCGCGGAGGCTTCGAGGATAGGGAATGAGGCGAGATATTGTTCTTCGGTGAGATGGTTGTCGCGCGTGGAGGATTGCCAGGAGTTGGCGGCGATGACGGGAAGTCCCATTTTGAAGGCATAGAAAGCTTCGAGGACCGTGCTCGCGTTGGGGCCATGATCGTTCCATACGGCCTGATTGGTCACGGGAACTATTAAGATGGTGAGTCGAGCATACGTGGATTCTGCGTACCATGATTGAACCTTGTAGAAGAGGCTCGGAGACGGTAGGATTGTTTGACGCGTTGCCTGTGCCGAATCTTAACCGTCAGCAGACATACACTACTTGCTTGAGATAGAAGACAGCACCTCTGTCAAAGATATGAGGGTCCCATATTCCTTCAGTATCGACATTAGCGCCTTGCCAGAGTCGAGTTTGATTGAGTCGTTGGGGATAAGACTGAATAGCAACAAAATTTCAACGTCACTGTCGAGTTCCGAGGACGTTGACCAGTGCTTACGCCAGACTGGATGAAGAGGACGAGGTTAGGGGTCGTTGTTAGATTAAGTGCAAACAGATGACGCTCACGTATTTCATCACGATGTACTGGAACGCATCATCGCTAGAATAACGCAGACTTGTCAGAGAGAAGGTTGAGAAGCATAGCCATCTTGACATATACCTATTGATCACGTTGTAGCCATCTCGGATCAGCTCGTAAGGATCATCTTCGAAGAACTCCCTGCAAGCCTAGGAGTCAGAACGTGAGTGAAGTTTAAATCATCACTGCCTTACCAATGTTGGATAGTGATGTTCTTCTCTACACTTGTAGTGTTCGACGGCTCGTTCGTCCCCCAAATCCGTATCGTCTTGTTCGCTTCAGCGATGAAGTCACTCTACAATGGCATACAAATGTAGCTCTGTGAAACAATTTATTCAGATCATAAAACAAGGAGACAGACGCACCATCTCGTTGACGAAATTGTTGTAATCGTCCGCTAAATCCGAGTCATACTCGTCTGCGCCGATAGAAACTTGCTCTAAACGACATGACATGAGTCAGAGTGTTTGACGGGCACAGAACGGCTACATACTCGACATGAACCACGGAAGAAACTCTGTTTGGAGTGACAAGAACTTAGTCAAAGGTGTCAGTAACTGTAGGTATTCTGCAATGTCTCACCTGTCCAGATGGACTTGATGGTAGGAATGGCGTCCGGGACGGTCAGGTTGATTAGCGTCATATCCGTGGAAAGCGCAAGTTCGGGTTTCCATTGTGTGATAACCAGGGCATGGCCGGGCTACGACACAGCACGCTTCAGATTATTACCAAATTACATGCCCGAAAAAAAAGCCTACTGATTCGATCTCGGGTATGATCTATTCAAGGTGGGACAGTCTTATGAGGTTGTGCCCTCAAAATATCCAAGGGATTGCAAGCTTGAGTACTCACCGTAACTCCACGAGCGGCACAGTGTTCTTGGAAGCCTATGAACTCGTCGTAGGTGTACGTCTCGTTTAAATGGGGCGTCAAACCGGCCAAGTCTGGGTTAGAAGGCCGCAGGCGGAAACGAGCATAGGTAGTTTTGGTGACGTCGATGCCATAATTGTCGGACAGATGAACGTGCTGAAAGAACACAATCAGACTAAGCTTGAGTACTTGGATGATCATAATTGCTATGATTTTGAACGGCTACGCACAAATTCAGTGGTCTTCCACCATGACGCGTACGTGCATAATTCCTCCAAGAACGTGATAGGGTAGAACTGACGACCGACATCTATGGGATTTCGGCCAGTCAATACCTCTGGCAAGACGACTTCATGTGAACAGAAGAAAGAATCACCTAGCATGTATCCTCTAGTTTGCCAGTCAGGTTGGTCCACGACCATACCACTCGGAAGTTCCTTGTTGTTCAGTAGTAAAGCCTGCAGCATCGTCCTAGTGGCCCAGAACGCGCCTGTTCGAGCACTTGAGCATCTAATTCACACTCAAAATGCATAAATATCGAACTCGATACGGACCTCGTGCGCCAGAGCCACTAATCACCACACTGGAACTCGTGATCGTGATACTATATCCCTCGCTCGTAGGTGTTCCTTTCGCGAGCGTGAAGTTCGCAGCCTCTGCCTCGGACATGATCGTCACGAAAACATCGGCCTTCGCAGTTGACGTTCCAGTAGAGACCTGAGCGGTGAGACCAGAGAAGACAGATTCCGCGTCACTCGCGAAGGTCTTCGCGAAGGAGAGGAGAGTAGGCGGGATGAGAGTGAGACCATCATCATCAGCGGTAGAAGCCACGTCCTGGTCCACTACGATACTCAGAGTCGAAGGCAACGAGAAGGACCCTTCCCCCGAAGAGATGAAAGAGTGAACCGCAGGAACGACGTTCGGAAACTCTGTCGCTGCGTTGACTGGAAGGATCAAGAAAGGCAGAGCAGCGACGGCCAGCAAGCCGACCTTGCCCATCACGGACAGCATCGCAGACGCGTGAGTGAACAGTAGGAGTGGCAGAAGCAAGTCCAAGGATATATATGATCTTCAGCAAACGATATAAGTACACGGCGAGAAGGTTCAAGGTTTAGAAGCAGGCATGACGCAGGATAAGAAAGTTGAAATGAAGGATAACCGTCAGCTGGACGATCCATGCGGTCCTCGAGCGGAGGACGCATAAATATATCTCAAGTTCTGCAAATTCGAGTTTTCAGAGCGCACATGAAGTATCCGGACGAGCGGAGATCGCGGGCCTACGGGCGAAGTAGTCGATACAATGTTGTATCGCTGCACCTGGAATTTCGTGGGCTGGAGATAAGTGGTAAGATAGGTAAGATAATTCAGGAGAACTTGGAGAAGACCGAAGCTTAAGAGCATGCGAGCACGTACCTTGGGAGCCTCGGCGCTGTGAAAAAGGGGCATTTAGAGGAGAGAATGGCCCTTATGACTCTGAACAGACCCAAAATACAATTTGAAGTGTAACGAATTGAAGGCCAAAGCATCGTAGTCTGCCACTGGAAGACAAGGAATGTCGCGATCAGGAAGAGCAGGACATGAAGCAGGTGGTCCACGTGGCGAGATCCGAGTGTGGCGGAAGGCATGACACAACTTTGCCTTCATCCATCAACTTGTGCCCAATTCGCCTTGTTATCTGACCTTGACCTTCGTCTGATGCTAGTGCTCAGCTAGGTTATCTTCATGGCTCCCCTACTCCGTCGAAGGACACATATATCCTGCTTTTTCTGCCAGTCTCTCCTCGACCCCACTCCTCTGAACCCAAACTCATTCAAATGCCCTCAATGCGACTGCTGGAACCGATACAACTCCAAGGGCGAAATCATGGCCGATGAGCCTGCCATGCGTGATGAATCCCTTAACAGACGGTCTTTTGCTCGGAGAGGTGCGTCATGCATCCCACTTGGTCAAATGAGAGCGGAACGATGTAGCTGACTACATATGTGTGTGTGCGGTGTGGCCCTCTTTATATGGACTCGGATGCAGCTTCGCCGAGAAAGGATCGTCTGCCAAGTACCTTTGGGAGTGCGCCATTCTGTAACACTTGTCAGTCTAACCAGCGGCTTATCATGAACTTGCTTTCGAGTTATCTACCCTCTTCCGATGTGCGCCTCTTCCCGCTATGCTCAGACCACGTCTCCCGACTTTTGCTCCTAATCACCTCTTGTGGCTGGTTCTGACCGCTCGGCATTCACACAGGATCCGGACTACGGGCGAAGACTGGAGACGTACGATGAATACGAAGCATCGGTGCACAAGCGCTATAGACCCGTTTGCGAGAGATGTCAGCCGCTAGTCGAGGAGGAAATCCGTAAAAACGATGCTCTGGCAAGATCGAAGGTGTTGGGCGGTTGGTTGCGCGTTTCCAACCCTTCGCAGAAGCGTATACCTCGTTCCTTGGGAGAGAGGGCCAAGATGGAGAAAGATATACGGTTATGGAAGGTCAGAGGGCTGTTGTGCATGACGACGTTGGGCTTAGTTTTGGCTGGAGATTTAGCAGGTACGTGACGGACTGTTGTATGTGCTGGCCATATGTCACTGATTGTCGTGCAGGTGCTCTGCGCTACCAGTTACCCCAATCACCAAGATGGACACTTGCTATCCGCTCGTTTCCCTTGCTCGTCCTGCTCTCCATATTATGGACAATGTGGGAACCAACATGGGCCCGACTACGGCGTGACGAGTTTCAAGGTCGGAAGAGCACTGTAGAAGGGAAGGGCATGCATAGAGTTCGTCGGCTACATCTACTTCTACGTGCAACATGTTCCTGATGAATGTGCCTGCTATACAGGCCCTACAGCTCGTAGCTTGGCTCAAAAGGCTGACTATATCTATTATCCTGGCTGCATCCACATTCAACAGCGTTCCGGATTACTTGGAAGTCTACACACAACCACCCTCTCTATTTCGACGTGCCCTATTCGCTTCATTCCTAACATGCGAACTATCAGTACGTTACACATCCTGTCTACGCGACTGTATCAACATCCTAAGCCTTTTCTTCTTCTTTTCAGATTGCCATCTACAGCTACTCATCCCTCCACCTCAGCCGCTCCCCCTCAATCCGCCTCATTGACGACAACCACAGTCGTCCCTCCACACCCTCCTCCAGCCACTCCTCCTCCGGCTTCCCCGCCTCAAAATCAGCATCCTTACCACGTCCCTCCTCCTCCCGTTCCTCTGCTCCTCCCATACCTTCCTACGACGACGACGACTCTCTCCTCGACTCCCTCTCCTTCTCTTCCTCCCACCTCCCAATCGCATCCTCATCCTCATCCACCCGCCACCTGAACCCCATATTCGGCGTCCCGTCATTCGAGCGCGCATCATCCAAAGCTCGTTCAGAACCCCCTATGGGCGGTGGTCCATACGCAGGAGGAGCAGGAGCAGGAGAAGAGGAAGACGACGACATGGACTTGTTAGAGTTAGACGAAGATCCGGACGCTATGGACTGGCAGCCGACGACTCCCGCGCGTCTACGTGCAGGAGCAAACGGAGGAGCGTTCCAAAGCCCTATATCCCCATTATCATCCCGAATGGGTCCGAGTAACTCTTGGGCGGCGTGGGGTAACGCGAACGGCAACGGGAATGGGAACGGAGGGTTCGACGAAGCGACGGGGTTGGAGAACTTACTCGCACGTACGAACCTTGCCGATCTCGACGGTTCGGGTGGGTTTGGTGGTGGTGGTAGTGGTGGTGGTAGTAGGTGGGGCGGTGGTGGTGGCGGCGGTGTGGGAGGGAGAGGAGGAAGAGGAAGGACGGGGCGGCAGACTCGGAGAGGGAGAGGGGGGAGAGGACAAGAGTTCGAGTGGCGGTGGGTTTATGTGGCATCTCTTGTGCCGTTGACGGTCGCGGCATATATTGCGTGGCGGAACGTTCGGGGTACGTACGAGTATTGAGTAAGGTTTGTATATAGTTTATCTGGTGCTTGTTTGTCTGTTTGTATTTGAGTGAGTCCGTTGCTTCCGATGTCTGTTCTTGTCTGGGCTGTGAAACAAGTGATCATCGCTACATGTCCATCTCTTTTCTTTATCTTTCCGTCTTTCTGAACCTCCGCCACAACATCAGCGATACGCATCATCGTCATTCCAGTAAACACGAGTACGAGTGTACGAGTATAAGAGCACAGGGAGCAGATAAATCGCAAAAACAAAAAACAAAGTTCACAGGAAAAACACGCGGACGAAAGAAAAAGGAAATAAATTGTTTAAAATAACCCACAGGGTCAGGAACAGAAAGGGACACGAATAAAAACGCTGCAAAAAAGAAAAGGAAAAGAAAAGCGCTGCAAAACAAAAACAAAATCTCCGGGTATGTTATGGTTATGGATATTCAAGTTGATGATATGATATGATATTGGGATACCGAAACGACACTGCCTGTACATTGGACCGACCCAGCTACGAACGATGACGACGATGATCCGCCACCGATCGACCAATCCTCCGATCGACCTTCTTCCCAACCATTGAAAACCATCCTCCCTTCCTCATAGTCCTAACCCAGACCAGCCCGACCCATCGAAGAAAAAGAAAGAGAACCCATCCAAAATCATATATAACACAAATAAAGAAAAAGCGAACGGAACCGCCCGTCCAACGTCCAGCGACAGAAACGGAACGAAGGGCAACGAATGTGTTAAAGACCGTGCGGGGTGTGTGCGTGTGTGTTATAATACGAATCTCGAAATCGGGTTACTTCTTCTTCTTCTTCAAGTCGGGTCGGGCGCGAGTGGATGGATAGGCGGGATGGAGACGATGAACGAAAGGGTAGGTAGGGTCAGGTTCAGGTACGCAAGGGGGCGCTCAAGAAAAGGGGGGAGCGGGACTGGCGTAGACTGGGGTGCAACAGGCTGCCACGTAAGGTCCAAAGAAGGGGAAACAGGGGGGATAAAGAAGCAAAGAGAAGGGGGGCCACCTCCAGCGACCGGGGCGCGAAAGTTTATCTACAAATGAAAGAGAACGGCTTGGAACGACCGCTCTTTCACTGTAAAAAGGCCAACCGACACAAACGAAACGTGCGAACGAACGAAACAACGCGGGGGGAAGAGGGGAGATAAAGAGAAGTCAAATGAAGGGGGGTTGCGGGTTGTTAAGACGGAATAAAAAGAAAGGAAAGAAAAGAGTTTGAACTGTCCTCTTCGTCCGAAAAAAACCACGACATGTCTTCGTCGTCATCGTCGTTCAATCACCGGAAATAAAACCCCGCCCGACCGCTCAATATCCCGTAGTGTGCTGTTGCGCATTGTAATCGTACACGCCGCCCATCTGCGTCGCGCCGTAGCCTCCGCCTCCCTGGTGATGCAGCGGCACGCCGTACTGGTCGTAACGGCTCGCCATGCTCGGCCCACGGCTGAGTTCGCTCATGGACGGTTGCGGGCTCGGTCCCCTCGCGAGATCAGCGTAGCCGCCGACGGGCGCGAGCGACGCGCCCGCGGTGAAGTCGTGCTCGGGGAGCGGGGCGAGCGAGGGCGCCATGCTGTTTCCGGCGTCGTGGCCGGCAGAATGGAACGAGGAGGCGTGCGATGGGCGGCGAGAGAGGCCGTCGTCGTGGCTCTCCGTCGAGGGCTGCCAGTCGATGCTAATGCGTATTTTAGAATCAGTATCGCCGTCTCTGTCGCGGGCTGTGCAGAAAGGCACTCACGGTTGCATGCGGTCTTCGAACTAGAACGAAGTGATGAACACCGTCAGCGCCTATCTATCAATTTGAACCTAGAGACAAAAAAAATCTATCGTACCTGAGAGGAAGGTCTGAACTTCCATTTACGAATGACAGTCCAAATGACAGCGACACCCGCAATAGACGACGCGATGACAATCAACACGGTGACCGCGGTATGGCTGATGGACGACGAGCCGCTAGTTGACGCATCGGAGCTCGAGGTCGCAGAGGCGGCGGCCTGGGAGACGGAGCTGGTGACGACGACGTGGCTGACGGAGTTCGTGCTGCCCGAGTTGTCGGCGGCAGAAGTGGCGGCAGGGGCGCTCGTTTGGACGTTCAGCGTCTGGGAGGTCTGTGCGCTGGAGGTGGTAGCCGCGGAGGAGGTGGAGGCGGAGGAGGTGGTCGCGGAGGAGGAGGAAGAGGAAGCGGAGGAAGTAGCGGCGGAAGAGGAAGAGCTCGACGAGGCCTAGAAGACGCTTCAGTACAATCGTCCGCGCAGCTTGCGCAAGAATGAAGAACTAACCGAGGTAGTCGCAGCAGAAGACGTCTGGGACGACGAAGAAGCCGACGTCGTCGCAGCCGAACTGGTAGTCGTCTGAGCGGCGGCGGACGACGAGCTGGAAGTCGTCGCAGCGGCGGCACTGGAGGTCGTAGCCGCCTCTGCCGCCGACGATGAAGTAGCAGCAGCAGCGGACGAGGATGCGGCCTCAGCAGTCGTAGTGGTCTGGCCGAGATCACCCAGGACAGGTTCGGCACGGTTCACGACGAAGGACCTCTTCTTGACCATGCGATTGACGTCGGCATGGGCTCGTCGTGCGGGGACGGCGGCAAAGCCCTTGGCATCGGCGGTAGAGACAAGGATTAGGGCGAAGAGCGTATAGAAAACGAGCGTAAGGACAAGCTTGTTGGGCTTGGAGGAGAGCATGTTGGCGGAGTATTTAATTGGTGTCTTTTCGTGCTGATAGAAGTGTACGTTCGCCGAAGCCTGGTGGGGACCAGCCCGAGTCGAAGTAAGAATATAAAAAGGGAGGACGAAAGAATATGAGCACCAGGCAGGAAAGAAAGAAAGAGAAAGCGACGCACGAAAGGGAGACGCTGCGATGACCAGGCGAAGGAAGAGGAGATGAGAAAGGAGCGAAGACTGGAAGCGACTGCGACGCGGTTGCAAGATGGAGACCACCGCCCGTTGCCAACTGCCAAGACGTCCCCCGCTTTATTATAGCCGATCATTCCCACCCCCAATCACTCGGAATCGCATCTCATTCTCAAAGGCTAAAACGTGGTATCATGCAGGAAAGTACAGGAAATCGCTAAATAAAAAAACTAAAATGTCTGTCCTTGGTCCCACCTCCGGCCCAGAAGGCGAGCTCGATTCCATCAAGTACAAACGCTCGCCACCCAGCCCCGCAGCCAATCGCAGGACGTAAAGTAAAAGAATCCACCCAACAAAGAGCGCTAACTACAAGACCCCTTAGCTGTGTCCTCCAATCCAGTCTAGTAGTATGTAGATGTAGAATCCGACTTATGAGTGGCTCGTCAAGCTCCAGTTCTCCAACGCCACCGATGACGGCGTCACAAAGTCGCTCGACGACATCCCCGACCACTGTGGGTTGAACAGCACCTGGATATCGTACGTCCCCGCATCCTCCAAGTCGATCATCAAGACCGTCACCCCTGGGTTCTCCTGGTCCGTCATCCCCGCCGGCATCGCCGGGTCGCTCGACAGACGAACCGCATCGCCCGTCGTGAACACCGCGCCGCTGGGTGCGTTCAGAATCTGCACGATCATCGTCTGGCCGTCTAGCTCCAGAGTCGCCGACGTCCCGCTCGAATCGACCGTGACCGTCGCGTTCGTGTGCATGCGCCACATGACGGACGCCGAAGCCGTGATCTCGTCTTGAAGGAGGACCTGCTTGCGACCATTAATCAGGCGCATCCCGCGCTTGAACGACGTTCTGTGTAATTCCTTCAAGTCAGCTTCGCTCCATCTCACGCTCAAACACTAAAAACTCACACGTTGAAGTACGCGCTGGTCAAATCGGCGACGAAGTACGCCGTAGAGCTCGAATCGACCTCCATCACCGTACTCGAACCCTGTGTCTCGCCCGTACTATCGTGCGTCACCGTCGGCGCAGCGAGCACATCCTGATTATCCTTATTCACAAGGATCGTGTTCTGTCCCTCCGTGCGCTTGCGATAATACGTCCACCGGTCGCTCCCCTGCGTATCGTTGCTGAAATAGTTCGTCGACAGGTAATCTCCCGACCCGAGCTCGCCCGCCCAACGCGTGCCCAACGCGTCGATCACGAAATCGCCGCAGTCCAAATCGTTGTGCGTCTGGTGGCCCTGGTTCTTCCCGGCCTTGATGGCAGCGAAGAGCGCGTCGCCCTCCGTCCAGCTGCTCCGCATGGACGCCCACTGGTCGAGCCCATTGTCGAAGAAGTGGTCGAGGGCGAGCCCGTCCCAGAACGCGCCGGAGACGGTGGGGTCGTACCAGAACATGTTCCAGGGATCAGCAGCGTCGGGCATGTCCCTCTGGAACAGGGCGTACATCGGCTGGTTGTATTGCGAGGCGTAGAAGATCAGACTGTTGGCGGTGGTCGAGTACTTGTTGGGGCCGTGGTCACCGTAGTTGAAGAGCGAGGTGGCACCGTAGGCGTACATGTGGAAGAGACCGGTCTTGTAGAAGTCAGGGTTGACGGTGAGGAGGTCGTAGTCCGAGCCGGTGGCGGTCATGAGGGACGACGACATCTCGGAGTGTCCGGTCGTACCGAAGTACCAGTAGTTGGCGGTTTCGGCCCAGGTACCGTCGTCGGAGACGGCCATGGCGCAGTTCTCCTTGGCGTTGGGGACGGTGTAGTTGAGAATGGACAAGGCGTTGCCGGTGGTGTCGTCCCCGAGGATAGCGAGCGCACCCATGGTCAGACCGTTGTTGCAGACGCAGTTCCAGTTACCGGTGGTGTTGGTGTTCCACCAGCCGATGTAGTTGGTGTTGACCGTGTAGGCGTTGATGCCGTAGTCGAGACCATACTTGTTCAAGGTGAAGCGGATCATCTCCTTCTGGTCATCCGTCCACATATCGTAGAGCCAGTCATAGCCAATGGCGAATGCAGCGGAGAATTCGCCGGTGTCGAGGAAATGGGCAGAATTCCACTTGTCGTCGTCTGGACCGAACGAGTTGGTGCCGTTACCAGCAGCATTCTGCGAACACGCTCTATTATGAGACGGATGTCAACTTCAGAGCAGGACAACGAACGTACCTGAAGTTCCTCCCATGCTCTGTCGACCCATGCTGAGTTGTTGGTCATACGGTAGGCATAGGCGAAGGCCTTGATCCTCTCTTTGACCTCACGAGCATTGTCCAGAATACCACTGTCTCCGTCCATGTAGTACACGACGGGATCCATAGCAGACCACGTCGTAGCATTGCCGAAAATAGTGTCGTTCCAGCTCTTCATGTAAGGGTCACTGGCGATGAGGGCAGGAAGAGCAGCCCATTTATAGGCGGGGGCGATGAGACGGGGACGATCTGTGCGAACGGAGGTAGGGCTAGGATCGGCGGGTTGGAATGAGTCTTCAGGCCAGGTAGCACTGCTGCTGCTGGATGCAAAAGTAGGGGAAGTGAAAGCGGCGGTGTTGGTCTGATAGTTTTACAAACATTCAATATACCGTTCATTACAAGGCGAACATATGCCGATGAAACTCACCGTCGCAGGGTAAACGGGAATCATATATTCGCTATTGGTAGAAGTGGGGAATATGCCAATAGCAGCTTTCGCCGCGCTGGCTGAAGCCGCACTGGTCGAAGCATCTGCACTGGACGAGCTGCTCGCACGAGAGCCAAGGATGCCTCCGACGACAGCACCGGCGATGACGATGACTGCGACGGGGATGCCGAACTTGATCCAGTTGCTGACGCCCTTCTTGCCTGCTGGGGCGGGGGTGATGTACCCGGTCGACTGGTTGTAGTAGGGGTCGCCGGAGCCATAAGGAGAGCTTGCGTCGTGGTGCTGGTTTTGCACCGAACCGTATGAGGCCATGGCGCTGCGATGGCCTCTGAAAATGCGAAAAAAGAGAGTGACGAGAAAGGGCTAGCAAAGAGCGTGGATGTTGTGGGGGACGACTAGGTACTTGAGAGGAGGAGAGAGAGCGACAGAGGCGACGGCGACGGACGACGGGAATTCGAAGCGGACGAAACTCGCAACGTCCTTTTGTGGCCAATCCGGCTATATTTAGCCGTACCCTTATTCCGTTTCAACATTTCAACCTCGCATGGCCACACACTATAAATACACGGAAAAAATGTGCTCAAACAGATATCTATCTACTCGGCAACGAACACACCAGCAGCTCCCATCCCAGTTCCAATGCACATCGAGGTCACCAGCACCTTGCCTCCCCGCCGCCTCAACTCGTTCAGTCCCGTCGCCACCTGTCGTGCTCCTGTACAGCGTATATACACCCGTCGTCAGCCAAAAGTTGCACATGGAACACCATGCAGGATCAGACTTATCTAATGGATGTCCGAGTGCGATGGCACCGCCGTTCACGTTCACCTTTTCTGGGTCCAACCCAAGCTTGCGTACACAGTACACATACATCGACGCAAAAGCCTCGTTAATCTACAGTGAATAGTGAATGAATATCGTGTCTCGGTGGCGCCAAAACTAAGCAGTCAACTCACCTCAAAGAGATCAACGTCGTCCTTCGTGATGCCGGCGTTCTCCAGCACCATTGGGATCGCCACACTCGGCCCAATACCCATAATCCGCGGCGCCAATCCTAAAAGTGAAAATCCAAGACGTCAGGAATGCAGCGCGACAACTAAACTGCAAATGAGTGCCCAATTACCTGCCACAGCCGTCGTGCAGTACTTCGCCACAATCTGCACACCCAACTCCTCCGCCTTCCTCCTCGTCATCAACAACACCGCCGCCGCCCCGTCCGTAATCTGACTAGCATTCCCACCCGTCGTATTTCCGGGAGCCCACTGCGGGAACGCAGCCTTGATCTTACCCAACCCCTCCTTCGTCGTCCCCGGACGGATACCGTCGTCTGCAGAAATGACGACCTTCTCGCGTTCGCCCGTGCTAGGGTTCTTGACCAGCGCATTGAACGGAACGATCTCGTTCGCGAAGTAGCCTGCCTTGGCCGCGCGTTCGGCGCGTTGGAAGGATCGTGCGGCGAAATCGTCCATGTCTTGACGCGAGATGTTGAAATCGCCAGCGACGTTCTCGCTCGTCCAGCCCATAGGCTTCAGTGCATCCGACGCACTCTGGTGTGCGCTGATCTCGCAACTTCCGGCAGATGGTCCCGAGTCAGGGCTACGACGAGGCGCAGAGTCAGCACTACATATAAAGAACCGTTGAACGGACCATAGACTCACTTCGCAGTCATGCTCTCGACCCCAATCGCAAGCCCGACTTCAATCTGACCCGCTCGTATTTGGTTTGCGATAGTCGTCACGGCCATAAGTCCAGAAGAGCAGAACCGGTTGATGGTTTGGACGGGTACAGATTCTGGGATGCCTGCTGCAAGTGCGGCGGTGCGTGCTTCGTATGTTGGGCCATGCGGGAGAACAGTCCCAACGCAGATATCTCCAATGACGGCCGGATTGACCTTGCTGTGTGCTACAGCTTGCTATAATGGTGCCGGGAGGTTCGTATTGAGTCTATGGAGTATCAGAGGACGTTCATACATACCTTAAACATCTCCGTCAACAGTTCATCGCTCCTACAGCATATAATTAATGGCAGCAAGGGTGCGAAGAACATGAATACGCACCTCATATCCTTGAAGCCTCCCTTCTTCGCCTTGCACATAGGCGACCTTATAGCCATCGTGACCACGACATCGTCCGGGCTCTTACGCTCAAGAGCAGCCAAACCACCAGAAGACGACCCAACAATATGCGAAGCCAGCTGTTTGACGCGTTCCATAGTTCCCAGACTTCAAGCTTCAAGGTTTCGACAGTATATAGCAAGCGAGAACACGGAGGGAAAGGAAGAAATGCGGGGAAGCAACCAAGTGTGTAAGGTTATATACTTCTAGGTCCGGCCGGCTTTCCACGTCGCCGACCCTCTCAAGGTAGAACAGGGCATGGGCGGGCGCAATGAGTAAAACAATCACCTGCACGCACTTGGGAGTAGTGCAGTCGCTTGACCTCGGCCTTGATGTATAGGTACTTCGACCCATGGCCGCGTCTCTCAAGTTAAGTGTTCGCCAAATTTACGCAGGACAGATGGAAAGGGCTCAAGCGGGATCCTTTCCAAATCCTTTCCGCGTCGAGAATATGAGACGGATATTATGTAATATACGCCACACATCGCAACCTATGCGAACTGTGAAGCAGCGTCCTTTTCTACCCGAACAACATGCGTACAGCGCGAAACTTCTAGCTTTTACATTCGTCTACTCGCTTACCCTTCCATAGGTTCTTCCGGAGGAGGTCCACCCTGCTCTTGCTGTCGCTCTCTCCGCGTAGCTGCCACCACATCGTCGACCCTGAGGAGCACACGGGCAGCCTGCAAACAAAGTACGCTCAGAACCATAAAAATAGCGTGTAGACAGGTCGAGACTTACCTCGATGGCCGTTTTGAATGTTTGGATCTACAGGTGAAAAATAGGGGTAAGCATATCGTAAGATACGATAGCCAACGGTCTCGTACCTTGACGCTGGCAGATTCGTACAAGCCGTAAGTCTTCATGTCGACGATCTTGCCCGTGTCGCCATTGATACCCCACGAATGCTCTCCATTAGCATGTTTTGCCTACGATTTTCATCAGTAAACGATCAACGGATAATTCGCCTGCGCGTATAAAGAAGAGCGCACCCTGAGCTCTGTGAGGACACGGATTGCATTGCCACCGCTGTTCTGTACCAAAGTACGGGGAATAACCTCCATGGCATCGGCGACAGCACGGAAGGGACCAGCCTCGACACCGGTGATGGTGCGCGCTTTTGCGTGCAGACCAACCGAGACGGCCATCTCGGTGGCACCACCACCAGGGATAAGAGTAGGGTTGAAGTACACGTTACGGGCGACGGACATCGCGTCCGCGAGGTTACGGTCGATCTCGTTGAGGATATCCTTCGATGGCCCGCGAAGAAGGATAGTGCAGGCCTTCGGGGTTTTGCATTCAGTCAAGAACGTGAAGTATCTAGTAATGTTCGGTCAGATAAAATGGAGCACACCAAGGAGCCTGAAGGGGACTTACTCGTCGCCGATTTTCTCGATGTTGAACAAGCCGCACTTGGTACCGATATCGGTCTCGCGGAGGTCCTCCACGCGGTTGACGATTGTGGCACCAACTGCACGAGCGATACGGTTGTTATCCGACTTACGAACACGTCGGATGGCTGAGATGCCGGCCTTCGCGAGGAAATATTGTGCATAATCTAAGCGTTGAAATATTAGCATCGTGCCACATGAAGACTTCGCAATAACGGAACCAGACGACTCACCAGAAATACCCTTCTCGGTGATGACAAGATCGGGCTTGAACTCCATGACACGGTCAACCATCGCCTTGACCTGCTCCTCCTCGATCTGGTTTATCCGTGCATAGTCGGCCTCCTTCGAGATCTCGATATTCGTCTGACTCTCGCCCTTCTTGTACTCAAGTGGGCAATCGAGAAGAACGACTCTGGGGTTCTGAATCCGACGACGCATCTGGGGGTGGGTGATGTCCTTGTTCAACATAACACCGTTCAACACCCGACTATCCTCGATCTCTCCACCCGGAATCTTCTCGACACGCGCATACCGCTTGATGTCGACTGTCTGGATGCCACCTTCTTCCGCCGAGACTGTGCGTACGGCTTCGAGTGCAAGCTTGCACATCAAGTCAGACCAGCGGATGACAAATTTCGTCCCGATGGACGTTTTGATGAGGGAGAGCATTTGAGCATCGTCAGAAGTGTCGATGGGGATGGATATCCGCTGGACAATCTCCAATGCGGCTTGGAGAGCCTTGTTGTATGCGGAAATGATGACCACGGGGTGAATATCGCGTTCAAGTTGGGACAATGACTGGGCAAGAATCTCGCCGGCTGCTTCGATTTAGAAAACTGAGGTTGCATATGAAGTAAAGAGCATACGCACCCAGCACAATGACACTGGTCGTCCCATCGCCACACTCCTCATCCTGCGTCCGAGACAGTTCGATCATGTTTTTAGCAGCTGGGTGCGCAACATCAATCTCACGAAGGATGGCATTTCCATCATTCGTTAGACTGTTCAAGCCGTCAAGAAGACCGTCGATTCGAAGAGAATGGCAAAGGAAGGTACGAACAGAATGCCACCCATAGGATCCAAGATCATCTTCAGCATGGCTTTGGGACCAAGACATGTCCTGATCACATCGGCAACAGTCTAATTCATGTGGATGTTGTCAGAGTCGTATTTATACGCGAAAGAAACGAACGTCCGACCTTTGCAGCGGTGATATTCGAGATTTGTGCTTTCCGCCCGGACTGCCTCTCCGGGGCGGCATCTACAGAAGATTTGAGCGAGTATTAAGAAAGTACAATGGGGGATACACTTACTCATAACAAACACTGGTGTCTGGCCGGGAGCTTGCATGGTCGATATATGATGTGAGGGAGCAAGCAAAGACGGAGAGGATGAAATGGCTGAGACGCGTGCGCGTAATGCCAGCCCAAAGTCCTGTTCCACGTGAGATTATTTCCTCTTTTATTTTGGGAAGACAAGGATAACGGGGTTACGGCGCTGGAACGGACGAATTGCAAATCCAATGTTCAGATTTAGGACCGCCACACGTCACGGTCAATTGGTTAGTGCCACACTCCACTCTCCTTGACTCTAGATCTCCTCCAACCATCCTCTACTTATCTCCATTTTGCTTGTATATAGGGCTTCAGGATAAGCGCACGAAGAACTCGTCATACCATGTATATATCCCGCGATATACCTATCGAGAAAGAGACTTCCTGACCTAAATCGACTTGCCATCCACATCCCCCCTCGTCTTCCAGCCCTGTAGTAACGAACTCTCGTACTGCAACCTTCCGCTCTACCACGGTGGGATATCTCTATGATGACCTATGATTGTTCTTCTAATGTATCTCGCTTTAGCAGACACTCCGCATGCCTGTGACAGTCGTTGCCAGTAAGCCGACCTCTACGGAAGAACTCAATCCTAGAGATTACAAGTTCATAGGTATCGTGCAGCGGATGTCACTATGTTGGTTTAACAAGAACTAATATTATCCATAATCCAGATATTGGAGGTCTGCCTACTCAACAAAGATAGCAGCCAGAGAGAACCTCATCTCTAACCTTCTGGGTTTATCAGTGAATCTTGGAGACCATGTTTTCCGCGGTGTCCATCATGGAAAGCAGAAGCATGAAGGTAACTGTCGATCAGAGCTGACAGATTTCCCGGTCTTCAAAGGGCTAGCTCCTTAGCTCAATTCGTTGTTTGTGAAGACGATTTTGAGGCCATGCTCGAACGCTCACGAGCCGCTGGGGTCAAGTCCATGATCATCACATGCGGCAGTTTACGAGAATCCAAAGAGGTTTTGGATTTGGCAAAGAAGCATGGTAAACGGAGAGATGATAGTTCTATTTTTTGGACCGCCTGACTGACAGCTATGTGCAGAGATGTACGCCACCATGGGATGTCATCCCACTCGTTCTACGGACTTTGACAAGTACCACGGCGGACCAGAGGCTTACCTTCAAGCATTAGACTCTCTCGTCGCCGAAAACCTAACTGGCAAGGGGCGTGTGGTCGCCATCGGTGAATGTGGACTTGATTACGATAGGACACATTTTGCATCTCCAGACGTACAGAAGAAGTACTTCAGTCAGTCCATCTAGGCGGTGCTCTTTTTTGGACTGAGCTTAAAACTCACACGTTGCTCAGGAGTACAGCTAGGCCTGGCAAAGAAGTACAGCCTACCTCTGTTTCTCCACTCACGAAGCGCGCATGCCGACTTCGTCCAGATCCTGCGAGAGGAAGGCTTTGGTGAGGACGGTGGTCGTGCCATTGGCGCAAAAGGTGGAGTTGTGCATAGCTTTACAGGATCCGTTGAAGAATGCCAAGAATACGTGAGTCTGGCTCAGAATGAAGTGTCTATAGTCATTGACGAGAACCCTTCTCTTGTACTAGATGAGTATGGGATTCCACGTTAGGTATGTGCTCCTTCGAATAAGTCTTGCCGTGTATCATCTCAGTATTACCAGTGTCAACGGCTGTTCCCTGAAAACAGAAGATAATCTCACTGCTGCAAAAGCAATACTTCCAGAGAGGTTACTTCTCGAAACTGGTCAGTCCCTAGACACTCTAGTGGGTTCGTTACGCTGACAACGTATAGACGCTCCATGGTGTTCGATGACCTCGACGCACGCGTCCAAGCGCCATCTAGATACTCTCCCCCCATCCCTTCGTTCAGTATACTTCCCACCTGCTACTAAGCCCGAGGCCTTCGTGCGTGGAAAACCGGTGAAAGGCAGAAACGAACCATCAGCAATCGGTGGTGTTGCTTGGGTCATCCACCAACTTCACCCAGAGATACCATACGAGAAGATTGTTAATAAGGCATGGAAGAACACGGTAGAGCTTTTTGAATTGCAGGAGCTCGCCTAAACGGCATCATTGCGTGTAGTAACGTGTTAGAATACATCATGATTCCCCTTGTACGAGAGTTGAGAGAAATACGCAGGGTCCGTGACATCGTTTCCGTTCCCTGTGGTAAATAGACCCACGATCGTGCCTAAAAGGTAATGACATGAAAGTAAAGTTGACCGAGGGAACTACTCGAGTGCGTGGTGGTGACGTACCTGTAAATCCTCCGCTGACTTGACTCGAATTGCCCCAGCCAACCGTCTTCCATTCAGATCCATTTCCGCCATCAGTGTACCGAAAAGCGTATGTCGTGTGGTTCACGGCTTCGACCTGCAGTTTCAACTTTGTCCCCGTGCTAGAATTGAGAGGCAAAATCGCTGGACTCGAGAACGGATCCGTCGCTCCGGAATTCGTTGAGTTCGCCGTGATAGTGCGAAGGCGAATGTATGAACTGGTCGTTGTGTCGTTGTTGTTCTCTGTCGTCGCAGGAGCCAATCCCGCCTCGGTAGCCAAATCTGGTGATAGCATTACAACGCCCAAATCAAAGTGTTGCGCCTGGTTTAAGAACACAGTGACGCCGGCTTCGGCTTGATCTTGCATCGAGTTGAACTCCAGAGTGACTTCGAAGATGAACTCGATATGCTCTTGACGCCGCCCGACAAAGGTCTGAGGCGTGGCTGCTGACCTTGCGTCGCGTCCAGTGAGATTGAGGACGGATGGCGACAGAGCTAAAGTATTGGGATGACCCGATGGGGAGATGGTGTAGGCGCTGACATCCTGGAAGCGGTTGTAGACAAAGTGGTTCGGGAGTGTTGTGTTCGATTCGAACGTGATGTCGTCGTCGGACCCCACCCAATACCTGAACGAGTTGTTGAGTTGTTGAGTTGTTGAGTGTCTATGTTCAGAAAGCGAGACATACCCATCCCCTGAGATATCTTTGTTGATGGAAGGTAGCGGTCCACTCTCCACGCCGCGTACGGGTGTGAATGTCGGGAATTCACCCTCATTCCATTTTGCGGTGGTCAAAATGGTTTCTCTACCCATCGGGTAATAAACGAACTCGGGACCAGAACGCGTGCTGAGCGCAACGGTCCACCTATACTCACTATGTTAAACAAAGGGTGTGTCCTTGTTGATGCACGATGTCTCAACGTACCAGTTCCCCTCTGTGTCATTGAACAGGTCGGCGTGGCCCACGGTTTGGACTAGAAGCCGGCTTGTGTGTGAGAAGAGGACAGTCGTCGTCACAGATGAACAACTCACAATACTCTGTGGTGTTTGCGTTCGTCAGCACAGGATTTTCGGGATCGCCTGTGTAGTTTCCGAATAGGCTGTCTGAACGCGCGTAATTGGTTTCATGGTTGAGACCTGGTGGAACATACATATTCGTCGAGGGCCACTATCCTCAGAGAAGAATGGTAAACGTACCTGTACCTCCTTCTGCGATTTGAAGGTAAAATGACCCATCGCTCTCGTAAACATGTGGACCTTCAGGAGCCTGCCATGATGTATGATTTGTCATTGAAGTCGCACATAACGGCAAAGTCAACAGCGACGAACTATGCCTCCAGTACCAGGCCACATATCGTGTATGTCACTGGTTATATTTCCCGTGTTCAAGTCAATGCCAAACCCCTGGATCATCTCATAGATTTTCCAAGCGTGACTCCCAATGATATACGAGTTCCCTTGACTATCCCAGTAGGGAGAGGTGTCATAGCCCTCGAAGGTAAAGTGAACTGGGTCAGACCAGGAGTCGGTATCGTATGGATTCGTTGATGTGAAGATAATCTATAAATCATAAGTAAGTATATAAAGACAGGACGAGAGTACAAACCTACATTGTCCCAGCGAGAAGAATCGTTGGCAGCCCGATCGTCATAAACGAGAGTCGTCACAACGTAGAAGGTTCCCTCATGGTAGCTGTATGGGATATACACATGAGACGATGTCAGGAATATTATAGATAATAACAATTCACCGAATCGTGGGTGCCCATATACCAGATGTTGACCCGTTCGTGGCGGCAAGACCAGGAAGCTGACTTTTTCTCGTGATAACGTTGCCTGCAGAGGGGTCCCGTTCATATCGAGATCTACGATTGAGACGTGTATTTCACTGACCAATCTGCCTGAAATTCTGCAGGTCTTTGCTAGCAAAGACCGGAACCCCTGGGACAGCGTTGAACGAGCTTGTCGCACAGAAGAATGTGTCATTCCATTCGGGAACGCGAGTGCAGGAAGGATCAGGGTGAAAGCCAGGAAGTATTGGATTATGCCACTGAGAGGATGCTTCTGTGATAGCATGAACAGCGCCCGTATAGAAGCAGACGAGCAGGAGAAGCATAAGTAGCCCCTCTTGTGAGAGAAGCGAGCGAGGCATTGCCATCTGGAAGGATAGAGCCTGAGTGGTGACTTGGCCTGGACCATAATGTAGTATTCAATATATAGCCGTCCAAAGCAGCGAATGCGGCAAAGAGCAGGTGATCTTTTGCATCCCAGCCGGACCGCTTTCCATCATTACGAGCAAACATCTGAGCAGAAGAATGACCTCGGGGGGAAAGGGTCAAAAAAGTGCGCGACCGTGACGGTCCTGTGGAAGGACTCGGAGCTTATACTTACGCCACAAAATCAGGAGATCGGCGACCCGAGAACTGGGCCTTACCCGAGATTTCCTCAGCTCTCAATGTTCAGCGTCATCCACTCTGCTCATCTATAATCATTTTCTCTGTTTACGAAGGAGGTCGCGCTATGGCTGTGGACGAAATTGGTGGAGAGCATCGGATAACTGCGCCCTTAGTGTTGTCTATCGCAGGGACCGTTTGGTATGCGGTGATTTGGGGTATGGGTCTGGTGGGATGTATCGCGGCGTACGTCTATTCAAAGTGTAACATCCTTTCTGACTTCTCACCTCTTGTTGAGTGTACAGTCGAAAGCGATACAGACTACGTCCACGCTCACCTACGTCAACAGCTCCTGCATCCTCTGCCCCTGGCGTTTCCATCCTACGCCCTCTTCGAGGCTTGGACACGAACCTGTACGAAAACCTGGAGTCTGCGTTCCTCCAGGAATATAATAACTACGAAATCATACTATCAGTCGCAGACGAAAATGATCAGGCTCTGCCTGTCGTTCGGGACTTGTTAGCAAAGTATCCGAACGTGAATGCTAGGGTCATCATAGGTACGCATCACCTGTCGTTCGGCAGAGATAATGATGTCTTACTTATGTAGGCGATGAGAATGTCGGTATCAACCCCAAGGTCAACAACCTCATTCGTCCGTACCGCGAAGCCAAGCACGACATCCTATGGGTTCTTGACTCCAACGTCACTGTCGCTCCAGGAACCCTTGCTCGTGCCGTCGACATTCTTCATCCTCCTTCACCTTCACCCACCCCTTCTCGCCGTCGAATAGCCCTCGTACACCACGTCCCCTTCGCCTTTGCTCACCAGCCGACTCTGGGCTCACGCATAGAGGAAGCATTTCTCAACACGAATCATGCGAAGATGTACATCGCCATCAATACCCTCGCCGTCGACTCTTGTGTCATGGGCAAATCTAACCTCTACCGTCGTTCGGACCTCGAGCGAGTCGATGGCACGCTTAAACCGATATCCAAGACGGTGGACGATGGACAGCCTCATACGCGCGGACTGCTCGCGTTCGGTCGCTTCCTTGCTGAGGACAACATGATCGCGGGTGCATTGTGGCACGAGCTAGATCTTCGCCACGACCTTTCATGCGACGTGGCCCACAATGCTATCGGGAACATGACACTCTCCGATTATGTATGGCGAAGGGTGCGGTGGATTCGCGTACGAAAACACATGACGCTCGCCGCTACGATGACGGAGCCGCTCACGGAGACATTCATGTTGAGCATCATCGCCTCTGCAAGCTTCCGCTACCTCTTCGGCATACCGCCATGGCTATTCCTACCTCTCCACTACGTTGCATGGATCTTCGTGGACCTAGACGTCTATGCTTCCTTGGCCGGTTATCCCCTTCCATCATCGAAACGATGGCCATTCCTCGCAGCATGGGCTGCACGAGAGTTAATGGCTTTCCCGATATGGCTGACGGCGGTTGTGGGGAATGAGGTCGAATGGCGAGGGAGAAAGTACCAGGTCCTGGCTAATGGGCAAGTAGCGCGATCATCAGGTGGAGGTGGACTGTTCGGCTGGTTGAGAGTTGGAAGAGGGCGGCCAGAAGCTGATGCTTATGAGCCTTTGGCACAGAGCGACGACTGAGCTGTGAATAGACCATACTACTACTTCATACTGCTGTGTAACCGACGTGTAGAACATTGCTTGACGGGCCACCCATATCGCATAGCGATCCAATATTTTTGAGGACCCAGGATGGCAATTGCAAAATGGTTGGGCGTAACAGGGGTTTCAGGTACGAAGCCGTTGGACAACAAACCACAACAAACGCGCTCAGATCCGAGATCGTTTCCACTCGATTCGGAAGCTACTTTACTTCACTTGGTTCCCGATCTATACCCTTCAATATTTTACTCGCACGCGGCGCAAGGGCCGTGTACATACCACTTTGGACTAGTTGACCTACATCGTTGCCAGTTTCCATGGCTGCACCCGTTGACATCAAGCAGGCCATAATCGACTCCGTTTTCTCGAGGAGAAATGCTAGTGGTGGCTCGGAGGAGAGTTACATTTCCCATGTAAAGGTATGGGAGGATGCGGGACCCGAGGCAGGAGAGCTCAAGCATCGGTATATCTTGCTCGCTCGTATGTCAGACTATGACTTGTCGTCTTTATGCATTGAACGGAATGGAACTGTGTTGTAGAGGCCAGTAATGGAAGCGGCTTCATCCACAAATCCAAGCTGAACTCGAATGGGTCGTTCTCGGTGGGCAAGACGTGGAGGCTACTTGAACTTCGCGGTCTCGAAGTACTCTCTGTGCGTTTCTTTTGTCGAACCACTGGGCTCAATTTACTGACACTTGGCGTACACTAGCCTACAGTCTTCAACATTACGCTCGGCAGGAGTTATAGGTGGCAAACGGAAAACCCGAAGGACCAAGTCCAGTTTCTCTGGGCATTGGTGGATCTATTCCGTAACGTGAGTAATGGAGCTGCTTTACAATTATCGGGCATGCCGGAACGTCCAGGTGAGTTCACCTTGAGCCGATGCTCGTCATATCGCCGCAGCTCACCTCCGGCATTCAGTCGTGCGACAGGTCGACTCAGGACGGAGCGCTCAAGTACCTACAACCCCGACATCTTCTCGTGCGCCAGGTTCTTACCAGAGTCAACGAGAACCCAGACCTTCCAACTCCTCACTAGACCGAAACGGATACGACGGTATCCCAAACTCTACGTCATCAACAGGTCGAAGTAGAGCAGCATCTCAATCACGTCGCAGACCCTCGCCCCAACCCTCTCGGGCGGCCTCTCCAGCTGAAAGCGTACCCCCACCCCGGGTACCCACGCCTTCATCCCAGGCTCAATCAGGAACGCCCCGTCCATCAAGAGCACGTCGACCGTCGAATGCTGGGTCCTCCACCCGAGAGTCCGTGACATCGAATGGTTACCCTGCCATCAATGCCCCCCCGAGTGCAATGCCGACTCATTCATCGGTCTCGACATTCACATCCTCCATGAGATCTTCACCAGACGCCAACCCGAACCTACTATCCTCACGACCATCCTTCGATGCATCAGCATCAGCAACCTCCCTTGTGCCCTCCGTAGCTTCACGGACTCCAACGACACGTTCTGTATCTCCTGCAGTAAACGGCAGAACGGTGCCCTCTCGTGGTCCCAGTCGTGGCCCTAGTCCTGCGCCACAACAACAACAACAACAACGGCGAGACCATAACGCTCGAGTTTCGTTCTTCGATCCACCAAATCAAGCAGCGCTCGACCGTCTCGTGTCAGAAGACCCAGAAGCGGATGGTGGTGAGGAAGAGAGCACGCAGGCGACGATGGCCAGCGTCGAGGAGATGTTAGAGGGTTATGAGTGGGCGAGCGACGATATCATTGGACGTAAGAGGACGAGGGGCGCAGTGGATCAGATCGAGGCTCGATTGTTGGATGAGCTCATGGCGCTTGAGAAGGTAAGCATGATGGCTGTCGCTCTTCATGCTCGGAAACGACTTACCCTCATTTCCAGGCGAACATTCATTCCTTCATCGAATCGGACGACCGAGTAGGCCTTGTTCTCAAGTATATGGACGAGGCGATAGCGGAGTTGGATAACATGGAGAGCTCGATCTCATCTTACAAGATTCATCTGAATGTAAGGCTTTTTTTGGACGTGTGCTTACCTAGAGTGAGTTTGAATTGACGTACGGAAACTAGGCCGTAAACGACGATATCTCGTTTATTCAGTCACAGAACCGAGGTTTGCAAGTACAAACACAAAACCAACGCGCTCTTTTGAACGAATTGGAGCAGCTTCTGGTGAGTTTTCTCCTCTAAGGACAGTGTCTTGATGTTCTGAAAGCGGCCTGTCTATAGCAAACCGTACAAGTTGACCGCGATGCCCTGATCACGCTCACACAAGAATCTTTATCGGAGCCGAGGGGTATTCAGCGACTCGAAGAAGCTTTGACTGAACTCTATAAGGCCCTTCAAGCTGGGCGAGACACAGGTTAGAAACATCACAATCGAGTATCGGCACCCTTTGACGGTTTGTCTTCCGATAGATATGGCCGCGACGATGGAACGACTGGACGAGTATCGCACACACAACGCGCAGTTCTGCAAACGGCTGAACGATTACTTGTCGATCATGTTCACCGCACAGGTTTGTCACAGACGTTGTCCTCAACGCGAGCGTAGACCCACTAATAACTTTGAACTTCAGTCGAAGATGCTCTTGGGTGAAAACGAGGGTGTAGCCCGCGGACGTGGCCGGTTTACTTTGCTCGATCGCAAGGAAATGGAGAATTACCTCGGGCGTTACAGCGGATTGATTCTGTACCTCAAAGAGATGGACGAGGGTGCCTATGCTCGACTATGTGCTGTATGTGCTCCTTTGGTCCGGTTCGCAAGGGATCATACGATACTCATGGATCTCTAGGACTACTTCTCAGCATCCAGTCAGCTCCACAGAACACAGATCAGCGCCCTCCTTTCGCTGTACGGTGCCGCTGTCAAGAAAGGTCTGGAAGAGGAAGGTGATCAAGGTGAGTGTTTTGAGCAGGAACTGGTATCGCGTTTGCGCTAACATCTATTGGATAGCATTTCTGCTATCGGGCGGTACTGCGCAGAAAGCTGGTCAACCGAGTGGTCTTCGCCGTGCAGGGACCATCGTTCGCTCTCCGCTCGACAGAAAAGACAAGGACAAAGCTCCAGACGGCGACATGCCAGCCTCTGAGGTGAGCACTTCCCTTCCCCGGCCGTCTACGCCATCCTCTGACTGACTGACTGACTGACATATCATGCACTTAGGCCTTTGGTAGCGTCCTCGAACAAATCGCACCCCAGGTCTATCGCGAACAGGAGTTCATCGCCGACTTTCTCCAGATCAACGAGGCCTCGCTCACTTTCGCGGACTACATGGGCTTGGAGAACTACTTCAGACGACAAGCGTCTCGGGCACCAGGGCTGAGCCAGTCGACGATGAAGCTCGTCCGTGGAGCGTTGGATCTGATCTTTGGGTTCTTGCCGGCGGAGATGAAGGCTTGGATTGACGCTGCACTGGCGAAAGATAATATGTAAGTCCCAGTCTCAGTTTCTTGTTGGGCATGTTTGTTGGGTTGTTCCGAGGAGTTGATGGATGGAGGTTGTTCTTGTAGCCAGATTATCGGGATCCTGGCGGTGCTGGATAGGTTCTTATCCGAGGCGGACGAGAGGGGAAACACTTTTGTGATGAACTTCCTAGAGAAGCAGCAGACTCGATTGAAGGCCCTGTTCGACCGTCATGTGGTGAGTCTACTTTCGGTTTCATTTTTGTTCGAATTCCACTGATAACTTTTCTTTCCTTTTCGTTCACAGAACAGTCAAATCAAAGCGGTCGAAGACACGAAGCTAACGAGCAAGAAACGGAATGGTGTAGCACCCTTCATCAAGTCGTTTCCCATCTACGTCTCCCGAGTCGAAAGCCAGCTTATCAACGCCGACACGCTCGAGGTCCGACAGAGCGTCGATATGGCGTATGAGAAGATCGTGCAGACGATGTTTGATTCGCTTAAGCAGATGGCGAAGATGGACGGTGAGGGCGAGGATAAGGGGCAGTTGAACTATCACGTCATCCTCATCGGTGAGCTTTCCTGAGTCTCTCTGATTCGGCGGTGTTACTGAATCGTGTTCTCGTGTAGAGAATATGCATTACTTTGTTGCCGAGATTCGACAGCAGGAGATCGGCTCTGTTATTGCATTCTCGAGACGTGCAGAGAATTTGTACGACGAGAACCTGAACGCCTACGTCAAAATCGTCCTCCGCCGTCCTTTCTACAAGATCATCGTGAGTCTCCCTTTCAATTCTCCCTCCATCTCCATCTCCACAAACTCGAACTCATCTCTACCATCTATCGAACGCAGGACTACTTCGACGGCGTCGAACGCCTCCTCAAAACCACCGCGCCCACCGAAGTCTCCAGCAACAGCAGCTACAACCGCTCCTCGCTCAAAAAGATCGTCAAAGAATACAACTCGAAAGACATCCGCAAACAAGTCGACGCGCTCTTCAAGCGTGTCGAGAAGCACTTCGACGAGGCCGAAGAGAAGGCGACGACGGAGCAGAGCAGCGGGATCGTGCCCGGGACGGTCATGGTGGGTGTTTGGAAGGCGTGCGAGGAAGAGCTGTTGAGGATCACGGAGGTGTTTAATAAGCGGATTTCGCAGTGTTATGCGAATACGGGCGTTGCTTTGGAGTATAGTGCGGCCGATGTCGAAGCGGCGTTCAAGCGGCATCGGGTGGGCTCGTGAGTATGTGCGGCGGTTGTTGTGGGCGCCTGGCGGACGCAGTTGCTTGGTGAGATACGTGGTGCTGGGCACTTACATATCTGTGAAGTTTCTGATGTGGTTTGTGATGGACTGTTCTATTCTGGACTGCGGTACTACTGTAATTTATTCTGTGGTTTTCTGTTTTGTAATTGTTCGTATAGCAACGGGTGAAGAATGACTGACGGATGATGATAGGACAATGGATGGATGGAAGTTGGGTTGCGAAAAGTCCGTTCTATACAGAATTTGGTCTATGTCCATGTATGTATGAACCGCCGCGAAGCACGGAAACATCGAACCACAGCAGCAAAAAGAATGCGAAAGCGACCAAATATAACTAAGCAATAAGCAGCACTATCCCCGGGCCCATAAATTTTTCAAGGGGCCAGCCTCTGCCGACCAATCACTGGTCGAGATTATAGCCAGAGGCGCTACCAGTGGACGGTTCGCGGTTCAGCGGGGGAGTCGCGGGGGCGGGAGCGGAGTATCCGTTCTGCGGGGAGGCGCTGGAGCGCTTCGAAGCGATGGGCGTCTTGTTGAGGAGGGAGAAGACGATCTCCATAAGGTTCGCTAGGTGCTTGCGTAGGAAGGTGAGAGACTCCGTTTGGGCGGAGGCGATGGTGGCGTCAATTCGAGCCTCATTTTGGGTGAAGAACGGCTCGAGGTAGGTCTGGAAGATGTAGCTGGAACCCTGTGATTGTTATAATTAGTAAGGCAGTGTGAGGAATATAGACAAGGTGTCAATGAGCTAACCTGGAACTGGGGAAGAGAGCAGTAGAGGAGGAAGAGCTGGACGGGAAGAAGTGTCAGGACCATGTCTGGCTATCATGGAATGATATGACGATGGCGTGATCTTACTGTCTTGATTTCCCAGTAGAAGGGGATCCTGCACAGCGTTCAGCCACTCGCTATTCGCTACATCAACGGATTTAAACATACCAGCTGACAACCCATTCGGCCACGTATTCGATCGCGACAAACATGCCCATCACGGTCCAGTAGGTAGCCCAGTGTGTGAGATCCGGCTCAGACAGGGGCCTATGCTTGAGGGCCTTGAAGGTGGAGTACGACGGCAGGAAGAAAGCGAACCATGCGCTGTGAAGTGCCGCATAAGAGTCAATGTCCGAGATAGAAGAAGTGAGACGTAGCAAATACCTGAGGACGTGGAATATCATAGACATCAACATGGCTATGACTTGTTATTGGATAAGCTAGAAGACACATGAGAACACAGCAGGGATGGTCAGAGTACAAGTAGGACTGACTTAATTCTAGTTTTGTCGAAAGCTGAGTGAGTGGTCGTGTGAGGGCAGGACTTGGGCGGTGACGCGACGCAGTCGCGTCGATATCGACAACCGTGACAGTTTGTTACTGATGTGACTGACCGCTCTTACTTAAGATAACGGCGATGGGGGCCACTCAGGAAAACGCCACAAAATGGCAGCGCTTTGAATTGTGCCTCAAGTCAAGTTATTGTCTACGCGTCCAGGGACGACTTTTGACAATGACTGCGGTCGCCAGATAATTGTCGACTTATACGTCACTTCACGTTGATATAGGACAAAAACAAGTTGAGATGGCATGAAGAGTGGTCGAAAGAAAATGTGGCCCGGGGTACATTGAATTCCGGTGGACAGCAAAAGCCAATCGAACGACCGTCATCACGACGGTGTACGTACAGCATCAGGACCCCTGGTTGGTGTGAACCTACTCGATGCGGGTTAGGCGAGTGCGTTCGGACGATGCGTCGTTGAAGTGGACGAGTAGCGGAAAACCTCGATACAAGTCGCATAATTTGGAGGCGAGGGCGATAGCAGGGCCCGGATGGGGTTGGCGTATGTTGTGGAATTGTTCAGAGAAGGAAATGGTTGAGAGGCCGGTGCCGCGAGATGCTAGCGCCGGATGCTCGATCGGGGCTCAGCGGAGGCTATTCGCGCTCTCCTTTCGTCTCTCTCTCCCACCACCAACTCCTCTCCCGCCGTCCCCCTCCACGGCCGCCCCTCCGCCCCTTCTCTCTACCTTTCTTTTCTTTTCTGTGAATGGATATACCTAACGGCAATCACGACTCACGCAACGGCCTTGCCAAAATGGAGGACGGCGACTCCAGCAAGAACCTCAGTGCAAGTAAACCAGACATCAAGCCCCCTACTAGGACTCTCAATCGTGTTCCGCGTACGTTGCGCCACCATTGTACCCACTATCAACCTAGATTTGACCTCTTTTATTCTACCTACAGGTGCCTGCGTAGGTATCTTTTGTTTTTAGTGGAGGTATGACGCTGATCATCGCACGGAATGTAGAATGCTTGTAGAAAGCAGAAGATGAGATGTGAAGGCGCGGACAATCCTCCATGTAGGCGCTGCAGACATGCTGGACTCGAGTGCTTGTTTGAGAAGCCGTCCAGGGAGGCGTCCTTAACTGGCGAAGCCGGCCTAGAGTGCGTTCACACAGTTTATAAATCATTCTACATCGGCTTACTCAAGTCTCTCTCCGTCTTCAGACGTATTCGCAGTCTCGAGGCCCATGTCGCAGAAATAAGGCGCTCCCAACTCAACATACAACATACGCTCACAGAAATTGCGACCCAGCTCAGAGGTGCATCGGTCCCGCGTTCACCCTCCGTCATCAGTCAGCCGTACATGCATGCATCCCCGAGCATGCAAGCCGGATCTCCTGCCTCCTCGATTTCCACCGTTCGCGCTCCGCTCATGGTTGAAACTAGCAATCCGATGCATTCTACTCACTCTGGCGGCGTACGATCCATGATGACCCCTGTATCCAGTAGCCAACCCTACCATCACAGCCCAACTCCGTCTCTCGAAATGCATCCCTCCCAGTTCACTCCAGGTCACAATCAATATGCTCAAGGAAACATTCCCCCGAATTTCCATCCTCCTATGCTGCCTCCTGCATACGGGGAACCCATGGGGCCTCCCTCTGGCATGAGGCACCCGTACGCTGATCCTTCACAGCAACACCACCATAGTTTGGGAAATGAGTCTGCCAATTCTGGTTCCAAGCGCACCCTATCGACTTCCGTTGGGACTAGTGCCGAGTCATCCGAAGTTGAGGAGGATGATGGTGAGCTACCGGCTTCCGGGCTGGTAGCGCCTTGGGAGGTTCTGCGCGGTCTGGCTGATGTTGCTGCTCAGAGAGCCGCCAAGGTACGTGTCATGTGATTTAGACATGTATCTAATTGTTCGACAACCCCGTCCTGATTATTGTGCGACTATCTCAGGAGAATGACGGGATCAGCGAGCCACCAAGTCGCGCGAGAACGCCCGACGGCGATCCACAGCGCCGGCCCACAAAACGGAGAAAGGTTCATCACAAGGTTGTGCGAGGACCAACATTCCCCGATGGTTTGTAACTACATTTCTTGATGCGACTTTTGCGTACTGACTGTTTGTGCGATAGTGGTGACCAAGGGCGTCATCAGTGAGGGCGACGCCCGCGATCTCTTCAAGCTGTAAGTCGCAGGCAGTTCATCTCTAAATCTCCCTCGCTCTCACGCCGTATCGTCCATCGTAGATTCTACCACGGCTGTTCTACATTCCTGCCCATCTTCGATCCCGCTGTGGATACCTTCGATGCATTGCACCAGCGTTCACCATTTGCGGTCTCCACAATCTGTATGGTAGCGGCGAGAGTACGAGATGGAGGCGGTACGTGGAACTGACCCTGTGTGCTGTCAACTGCTCACACCATTCGTCATATAGGCAAACCCGGTGACGTCTACATGAAATGCTTGCAAGAAGTACAGGCTATGGCTTGTGCCACGCTCTTCGCCCCTGTTCTGCGAGTGGAGGCTATTCAAGCCATGAGTACGTTCCCCGCCATCGTCCTGTGCTAACCTGTTGCTGACGCTCTGCAGTCCTTGTATCGGGGTGGTCAGACAGTCCATGGTTGAGTGGAGGCCACGCTGTGAGGATGGCTTTGGAACTGTGTAAGTCACAATCGCTCACGCGTGTGAACCGTGGGGAATCAAGGTTTTCATATTTTTGGCAATCTAGCTTTGCATCAAGCTTGGCCGAAGCTCCTCAGGAGAGTGGAAGCAAACAAAGCTACTGATAGTCCCGAGGACAGGGAACTCGTTGTCTATACCAGGACCTGGTTCTGCCTCTATCTCTTCGAGCATCAGTAAGTCCCATGGCGTCAGGAAGTGGATCGACTCGAAGCAGCCTTTTCTCACGGATTTACTTTTTTCTAGAATGTCCTACGGTTCTGGACGGCCCGCCGTCTTGAAGGATGACGAGAGTATATGGAAATGTCGTCTCCTTCTTCGCCACCCCCTGTCCATTGAGGACGACATGCGTCTGGTCTCGACGGTCGAGCTCATGGCCATCCGGGAGCGTGTGAACAACTCGTTGTCCAACAATACCACTGGGCCAGTCGACGACCGGACTTTCGAGGTCCTCCGTACTGCGGACGCCGAGTTCGTGAATTGGTACCAGACCTGGGATCAGGCTTTCTCTCAGAAATACGAGGATGCTGGTAAGGTCATATTAATATCCAACTCCTCTTATAATGCTAATTTGACTCTTTACAGCCTTCTATCGCCAGAGTCTACAGATTCAGCACATACACGCAGAACTGTACCATAACGCCTCTGCTCTTAGAGGTATTGATGGTCCGGAAGACGTACAGAATATGCCTCCTGCGCAAAGAGAATTGGCCATACGCTCCATACATATAGCTCGGCAAGGTTTAGATATCACGGTGAATTCACCGTCTTACAGGGAAGGCATGAAATATGGTTAGTGATAAACTTGGCTGGTTGCTTTACGAATGATTTAATTCTGACTGTGAATCTCTAGCCGTGCACTATACCCATGTCACGGCGACATTCACTGCTTCCTTCCTTTTACGACTTGCACGATTGTTGTGAGTGTAGTTCTCCATGATTCACTAACTGGTTTGCTGACGTGGATCTCTTAAAGCCCTAACGACTGCGATATGCAACAAACGAGATTACAGATTGAACGACTCTCCGCTCTGATGTCAGAAAGTTAGTCTTTCTTTCCATCAAACTCCTACGTGCTATCGATTAACCGATGTATACAGTACCCGGGAGACGTTACGCTCTCACCCTCCAACTGATGCTTAAGAGGCTGACGAGGCGCCAAACCTCGACTTCCCGATCACCCAAAATGGCCCGAGATCAGTACTATTCCCAAGCCGCCGCTGGACCGTCTAACCTGTCAACAAGTCAAGTCGTCAGCCAGGGCCACGTCCCGCCTTCGCCTTCTTATGATAGCCCGATGTCGCAAGGCGGAGGACACCCTCAACATCCTCTCCACACGCCACACCAACAACATCCGCACCAACACCAGCAACTCCCACCACCACCACAACAACAACAACAGCAGCAGCAGCAGTATGTTCCAGGTGTCCAGCAACAGCTGCAGTATCCTCCGAACGCGGACTATATCTGGCAAGGCTTCGAAACCACCGCGAGCGAGCAGTTGCCGGTGTGGTTGTCTGATCAGACTTTGGGCGGCAACTCGTTCACGCAGAACGGGATGGATGCGTTCCTGCTGCCTACGGATTATCTGCCGCCAGCGCCTCAAATCTGGTAGTAGTAGTAGTAGTAGTAGTAAGTGCCATGTCGCTGGTGTGATGGTGGCGTTTTGGTGGTGCTGGTGGTGGCGTTGTTCGATTGGTGGGATGGACGTGTTTTCGGTCCTCCTTTTCGCACCCCTTTTTGTTTTGTTTTTCGCTGCGCTCGGTCGGTCAGCTAATCCTTTTTTTCTTTTGCTTTTTCTTTTTCTTTTTGAACCTTCCTGTTTGATGTAAATATGTACATATGCCTATGGAATTATGGACTTCCCGCTTTCAGTTTCAGGTCTTTCTTTCGTGTTCTCTTCGCCTTCTTCTCCTCTCCCGCCCCCCCCCCCGAATTCTTCTTACGACCTGGCTTGCCACGGCTGTTCGACATCCCGGTTCCCTGCTTCGAGTCTAATACTGTTGTTGTATTAAAGTAATGATGATGAATCCGCTGTATTCTTAGGTTAGGTTAGGTCAGGAATGCTTCCCTCCCCCCCGACCGGGTCTCAAGCTCTCCAAGTTCGAAGTTGCTTTCTCAGTTAGTTTTCCTACTATGCTCTTCTCTCCCCTCGCTCTGTCTCTTGCCTCTGAATCGGTGTTCGCGTTCGCTTTTCTCTCTTATGACTTCGCTTCGACTGGCTTTTCTTTCTTTTTCTTTTCGTTTTCTGTGGACCCGATACCTTAGCTTTACGCGTCGCGTCGGATAGTACTCCCTACTCGCTTTCCTGCCTATGATACACGAAACAACATCGCAACAGGCCCGACGAGACGAGGTTCCGTGTTTGAATCTCCATGACCGTCCTGGTCTGTCCTGGTCCGAGGAGCGCTGTGAGTGGGACCTGTCAGTAGGCTTTGTGGCACCAGGCTCCCGGTCATCTAGATTCTAAGTTATGGGCTTTCCGGTCTATTGCCGCACGTCAGAATCTCGTCCTGTTTTACGATTAGACTTGGACCCCGAGCAGAACCCCGAGCAGAACCACCGTGACATTTTCGCTTATTTTGAAACGTGGCCGCGGTGATAGGTGGTTCGAGGCGTGTGGAGCGAAGGGGATAGTAAGACCCAGGAAAGAAGGAAGCTTGAAGGCTGAGGCTTGAAGGCTTAGTGGCGCAGCGTCCCAAGGAAGGAAGGGAGGGAGACGGAACGCGGCCTTAATTGCAGCAATGTCAAGTTTCGGATCCAAAAAGTGCTTAGCCTTTGTTGAATGCACTGACCGTTGAGAGTGTTGGTAGCTCGGAGTCCTCAGAGGTGAGCTTCAAGGAAGCAGAGATTTAGCAGAGACGTCGAGGTCCAAAGATTGGAACCGTCAAGCTCAACGAGCGCTAAGTATGAAAGCGAAATTGTTCCTTAAGTAAATCAAGAGACGCACAGAGCCAGAGTCTAGTAACGGCGAAAGAAGGAACGAGGTTCATACTTGCGCCACACATCGCAATGGGGCCACATTCGACGCGACGTTCACGTGCTGACGAGATTTCCTCTTCGCGCGTTTGGCCTGCAGTGGTGCTTCCCCACGTCCTCTTCGTCTTTACTGTAAACAACTACAGTGAAAACCCCCACTCACAATCTTCACGATGGTCGTCCGTATCCGCTTCGCCATGCACGGCAAACGCAATAACCGCATTCTCCATCTCGTCGCCATTCACGGCACCAAAGCCCGCAACGCAAAACCCATCGAGACGCTCGCCGTCTACAACCCCCACGTACGAGACGGTGCGACGCACAAGCAGGTGGATTGGAGTGTGGATAGGATAAAGTATTGGTTGGAGATTGCGGGCGCGGAACCAAGTAAATCTGCGGTGCGATTGCTGGAGAAGGTGCGTACTGTTCAGTGTATATGCAATTGTTCGCGTCGAGAGTTTGTGGGATGAGCTGAGGACCGATTGTTTGCATTTGTTGCGGCTGTAGGGAGGAATCATTCCGCCAGATTCGAAGTGGCATCCAAAAGCTACTGGGCCTGGCTCTTCAATACCTTCACCGCCGTATACAATGCCTTCACCACATCCCACACCCGAATCTTCGACGGCTGCATCATAACATCACTCTGTGCGACAGTCTTCTTCCCCAGTGCATACCGGGAGATGCAGGGGAGATTAGATGGGCGGGGGCACTGGTGTTTGCTTTAGAGTGTGGTCCTTGTCCGAGGATATGTTGACACTTCAGGAGGGCGTACGGTTCAGATGTCCAGCCGGTTCACCACTGCATGACATACATCTATAATCACATATTCATACAGACGAACTATCTCAACAGCCGCAGACCCAAGCGTAGTTTCAGGGCCCCCCACTTTCTAACTTAGCAGCGCAGCAATCTCGTCGTGGCCAGCAACGTTGGCTAGTTCTTTTGCAGTAAACTCATCTGGATCCTGTGTCACGAATGTCAGTATCCTTCGGTGACTTCTATAATGCGCAGGCAGACCTGTATGCTTTGGTCCACGCCGTGCTGTAGTAGTAAATGGGCTATCGCGACGTTGCCTCTGTCGCATGCGAGATGAAGCGGGGTATATCCCTGCATCGCGAAATATGGATTCAGTCAACGGGGCGCAACGCAGCGAGACTAGACATACATATTCGTCTTTCGCATTCAAATCAATAGTAGGATTCGCCTCGATAAGTGCCGACAACGCATCCAAATCATTCTCTACGACCAGCCCATGCAGTGTCCCAGCCTCGTCCGCCTCCAGAGCAGGCGCCGAAAGCACGCTCACCGACACCCCCATCCCCATCCCCGTCCCACCTCCCCGACCGTCCGCATCCTCGCCAGCAGATGATTCGGACGACAGTAGAGGAGCTCCTTCCTTCCACCCCAGACCCCTCGCAATCTCCAAATACCGCGTTTCCGCACCCTCCACTCTGCCCTCGTAATCCTTCGCCATCTGAGCCCAAGCGTCCCACTTCGCGCGAGCCGTCATGTCGAAGAACGAGGGTCTTGAACCGATAGGTGTCGGAGAGATGGTGAGGACCTTGAAGAGGCCATAGAGCTAGAATGATGCAAAGAATATGTGCAGATGTGCACGGGGCGGGTTTGGTCAATGTAGGTGCCGGAAAGTCAACAGAGGGGACGGCTCGAGGACCTCCAGTTTGAGTGCATTTGATGTTTGTGATAGAGAAGAGGCTTTGGAAAGGTAAGACGCCGCTTCGTGGAACGTTGGGGAGGGCGTGTAATCTGACATCGGGGCTTGTTATGGTGTATGTGTATGTATGCACTCAAGTCTGCTTTGAATTTCTCGCCAGTATGGATTTGGATGGATGAGGAGATCTATTACGTAACGGACGCGAACGTGTGTGGCAACAAGCTAAAACTACGATTTAAACAAGAACCCCGCCCCTACGCAAGACCAGCGGATTTCATGGCCTGTGACAATCCGGGTAAGCACTCCGTGAAAGATGAGAGGAGAGCGCAAGACGTACCTGGAGCATAGAGAGACCGATCTTTGCTGGGCTGTCAGTGACAATCACGCCAGCCGCCTCAAGGGCCGCCACCTTGTCAGAAGCGGCACCCTTGCCACCAGAGATGATGGCACCCGCGTGACCCATACGACGACCAGGGGGAGCGGTACGGCCAGCGATGAAGCCAACGACGGGCTTGGGCTTCGCGCGTGTGGCGTTGTGCAGGCGGAGATAGTCAGCGGCTTCCTCCTCCATCGAACCACCAATCTCTCCGATGATAACGATACCTGTAAAGCGAGATATTAATGTCCACGCAGATAGAAAAAAAGGGAGGACGAAGAGAAATATATTGTACCTTCCGTGGCATCATCCTCGAGGAAAACCTTCACGACGTCTACGTGCTGGGTACCAGGGAAGGGATCTCCACCAATACCGACGCAAAGAGTCTGACCGAGGCCAACATCGGTCGTCTGTGCGACGGCCTCGTAGGTCAAAGTTCCAGAGCGCGAGACAATACCTGTGTGGCCCGACGCAGAACACGTTCGTCAACCGTTTCGAGAGGCAAAAGTGAATGCGCAATGTGCTTACCGATTTTACCCGGTTTGTGGATGTGGCCTGGCTGAATACCCATCTTGCAACCCAATGGGTTGATGATACCGGGACAGTTGGGGCCCACGAGACGGGACTTGGACTGGCTCTTGAGCGCGTTGACGACCTATAACACATTCGATGCGCCTTGTATAAGACTTCGGGCGGTCTGCGAGACAGTATACGAAGGTGGAGAACATACGCGGATCTCGTCGGCCTGGGGTATACCCTCGGTGATACACACAATGAGACCAATCTCGTTCTCAATGGCTTCGATGATGGCATCTGCGGCGGAGGGAGGAGGAACGTAGAGGACAGTCGCGTCGGGGTGAGTCTCGCGAACGGCCTGCAAAACAATCATACACCGTTGAAACTCTGTGCAGAATGAACCCAACAAACGACAGACGCACCTCCTTCACCGAACCGAAGACAGGAAGGCCCAAATGTGTTTGACCGGCCTTCTTCGGGGAGACACCACCGACCATGTTAGTGCCATATGCCAACGCCTCCTTTACGTGGAACGTGCCCTATTCGAGAGAGAAAATTGAGCTTAGAGCCTGGATGGTCGGGTAGAGTGGGATCGTACAGTCTTGCCAGTGAAGCCCTGGCAGAGGACCCTGGTGTCCTTGTGAATGAGTAGATTCCGGATGGTATCATCATAGCTCCTTCTCGAGACCGACTGCGAGAATGCCCGGCGTCCAGCTGACCCAACCCACTCCAAAACATGAGCGGAAAAAACATGACAAGACGAACTCTAAAAGCTCACCGCTGGTCGCGAACGAGTGAGGGACACGACGAAGCATTTTGGAAGGAGAGGTGGTTGAGGTATAATAGGGAGTTGAGGTCTACTTGAAGAGCAACGGAACGCGGGTCGGCGCAAACAGGAACCGGCATTCTTTACATAATCAACTGATTCAACACGCAACTTGGCGGTCTTCCGTCCTTTTCGTTCTTCTACAACAAAGCGCTGCTACATACAGTGTACATAGATGCATAACGGTACACGGGGCTCCTTCGTGCGTATAGATGTTAAACACAAGCTACTGTCTTCGATTCCGTAATCCCGTCCACCCTTCTCAGCGGTCCAAGGCGCTCACTCTCCGCCTCTCACGCGTTTTCCGCGAAGCGCGATGAAGACCTATGACCGCATACTTCACTTTGTCGTACTCGCCTGCGGTGATGGCGCTGGAAGACGAACAATGATTAGATGGTATGAAAGAGAGAGAAGACGGACGGACGAGACGTACTCTGACAAATCCTTCATGAACTGTGTCTTTGCCTGGTCAGGAGCGCTGCTCGAGGGCAATCGCTGCAGAACGGCGGGACACCAAGCGAGCAGTTCCGCAGACCACAAGGTCGCCAACGTTCGGAATATGCTGATCGTCGAAGAAGATGTCTCTTCCGGGAAATCCCCTACAAGACCAGTCAGGAGTAATCCAACGAGGTCGAAGCCTTCCTTGTCGACGACCTGGCGGATGGCAGCGGCATATATGGGAAATTTCGGAGGAGTGGCAGAAAGAGCGTGGGGAATGAGGCAGTCGTGCGTCATCACTATTCGAAGGAAGTTGAGAGCGGCGAAGATGACATCGGAATGGATTAGAGAGAGGGCGGCCAGAGTGACTTTGAAGGCTACAGGGAAAGCGGACGATTCGAACAGGACATCAGGGGCATAGTCGGTCATCTGCAGCAGTAACTGCAGATAGTCCTCTAGCACTGAACACAACAAAAACATCAGAGACATGAGCGAGGCGCGTACACTGAAATATGCTCACCATCTGGTATGGCCTCTGGCGACTTCTCTTGTAGCAAGGCGACGACCTTGTTCGTCGATCGTTCAAAGAGCTGCCGGAAACAATCGCGAAGAAGTGGATCTTCTTCATTTCCGAACCGCCCGAGAAGCTTGCCACCTATCCAAAGGTAGCTGGGAAGCCCAGTAGCTTCGAAAGCGGTGGCCATTCTTGCTAGTACTGCCGGTGCCACACTAAGAGCGGAGGGGCCAAATAAGGTGAGACCGTGGCGAAGGACGCGGGTGACATGTTCTGTGCTTTCGTAGTCTGATCCATATCTTGCGATGAAAGCGTCGAAGATCGTCCATGCCTCCCGACAAGTGTTCAGACAAGCTGCGGGCAACTCATCGCCGAACGACCCAATGACGTGCAGCATAACCTCGAGGTTTGCCATGGCATCTATCAGAAAGTTAGAACATGTTATGATTGCATTGAAAAACATGATGACTCACCGCCGAGTGCCAGCAGATCTTGCTTGGTAGCAGGAGTGGGTTTGCTAGTGACGGTATGGACGGCTTCCAGTATGTCCATGGCAAATGTCCGGAGAGACTGTGCGGCCTGTTCCATGGGCATTGCTGAGATGACATACGCGATGGCCTCATACACCATGATTTTGTCCTCTTGGGTCAGCTTCGCGCCAGGACCCACGAGGAACGTATGAAGCTGCGGGAGGAAAGTGACAAGGTGCTAGAATAACCAGAAGTCAGAACCGGTTGTTTATATTTACAGTCAAGAAAGAACATACCCGCTTGCAATCTTGGCAAAGGTACTTCAAAGCCTGCCCAGCCGCGCCACACACCTCGACATCGGTATCCTCGAATCCAGCAGACGCATAGCTCAAACACGTAGGGATGTATTCCGGGTGCATATTGATCCATTCGCTATACCTTGAGATGATGAGGAGAGCCGCGTACCGCACGCGAGGGTGCTGAGGGAGATTAGGTATAAGATCCATGATTTTCGGTACGGCTTTCTCGTCTAGAGGGTCTACTTCGGCGCCCATGGACCTGATAGAGAAGAGAGGTGCTTCGATTTCCTGCCAGGTCGCGTTCGGGCCTTTCGCCAAGGACTTTGTGATCAACTCTAGCGTGGCCATAAGGCAAGGCTCTGTACCGAGGACGTAGCAGCAGTCCTTAAGCGTATCGCCCATGACATGTCTGAACGCCCTGAAAGCGTCCATCTCCTGGGCAGACAATGTATGTGCGTCCGCCGGGAAGTGGAGGTGCCCGATAACGATGGTCATCAAAGCTTTGTACGCGTCGTAAAAGAGCGGCGAAACCGTAGAGCGCTTTCCGATGCTTTGGGCCAATCGCATCCAGAAGGGGAACGTGATGGGCACTATATCGAGGTCGGGATAGGCGGAGAATTCGATGATGGTCTCGACGATGGGATAGAACGTTTCGGTGTGCTGCAGAATCAAGAGACGGTAGGTTTCTCCGGCCTCGGTGAAGATGCGAACATAACCTCTTGTCTTCTCGGGATCGTCCTTGGCTGTTGGAAGACCTGCACGTAGGGCGATGACCAAGGGTACGATCTGCTCGATGACCGGCATATTATCGTCGATCTCCTGAGTCTCGTGAATGAGGTCACAGACAACATCAACCGCTGAGTCGAAGAGCTCTTCAGAAGCTAAGGCCTCGAAGGAGAACTTGAAGAGAGGAGTTTTGGCGAGTGCGATGGTAGTGATTTCGCCAGCGACCAGCCAGCTCCTGAGGGTATTGAAGATCTGGCTCTGGACAGCATGCGTGACGCCTTACAAAGCAGATTTAGGAGAAGTTTAAAGATGTTGTAAATAGGAACAACATACCAGGTGCTTGAATATACATCGACAATAAACCGAGAACGCTGTCCGCATTAGCGGTCAACAACTCTGCCGCCCGCTCCCTGTATTCTTGATCCTGTACCAGTGTCAGACAAACGTGTGGCATAATAAAATTGGATACGCACGGTGACCGGTATCTTCGTATTCGTGTTCAATTCCTCCGGCAACACAGTCAAAAACTGGAGAAGGATGGGCACTGTGGCCGGATTCTGTCCAAATCGCTCGATCATGCCCTGGACCGCGTTCCCCCATTGCGGCAGCTGAAGCGCAAGCCCTGATATCGCAAGACATAACTGCACGATGATGGTCCTCGGTCCCGTCTGGTAGTGCTCCAGCGCCGCGACCAGCGTATCCCGCAGATCGAGCAAATGCGGGCCTTCGACCTGATGGAGATCATACGTGACCTGGGAGTAACAAGCACCAGTAAATCGCACATGCGCAAATTCAGCAAAGAACCGGACGCACCTTGCTCCTGAACGTCTGGGCTGCGAAGAGCTTAGCTGCAGGAGGCGCTTCCTGGGAGCGCAGAAGAAGATTGCAAGTGGCCCATGCCTCAGGCTAGGAGAACGAGTGGATCGATGCGGGTCAGAGGTCGTAGTCGATGATGGGCCACAGGCGAAAGAGTATTTACAGAGTGCTGGAAGTCTTGGAGCCACGAGTTGGCCTTTTCCAACGAGGCCTTGTCTGGTGCTCTGCTGAACACGTCCAGTGCTGCGAGGAGTGCCTGTATATCGGCCATGATGTGTGGTTGATCGTGAGTGTGTGAGCAGTGTGTTTGTTTGTGCCCGGTTGCGGATTAAGGCTGCTGATAATGGAGGCGTAACGAGAGTGGCACGAAGAGGTTTTGATCAGAGTTGAGGGCAACGGCTTTTGGCGGTGACACTCAAAGCATTTCTCAAGTGGCGATGACATGCCTGGATTGGGTAAACGGGTGGCGCACAGGCGCCACACATGGTATCAACGGAGTAAATCAATTCCAAAGAAAAATAAACCAGTCGTGTGGATACTAACGACTACGACACCAACTAAGTAGAACGAGGACAAAAAAAGAAGATAAAAGTACGCGGGTCGAAAGATGGGACAAGCCCGGATATCCGTTCAAAAGAGTGTGTGAGTGTTCGGGCGCAGAAGCGACCAACATATGGGTCAAACGCTGATACAGAGGCAGATGGAATGTACGATATGTGAACAAGACCGAGAGAGAGAGAGCAATGCAGCACAGAGTGGTGCAAATAGTAAAGACGAAAGCAGAAGGGGAGTGGGGAGTAAGGAATAGGCGAATATTTTACGAGTCCGAGATAGAGACAGACAACCCTTTACGCGCGAAGGAAGCCCTTCCTCGTCTTTTGCTATGCGATGTGGCATATCAGCGTTCATTCTACACTTCACGAGGGCATGAACATCACTCACGGTTGCCTTCTCTGGCGTCAGAGGCCTGCCGCTCTCGATCTTCCGCTTCTTGTCCTCGAGATCCTGTCGCTGCTTGTCCAAAGCGTCCTTCATCTCCCGATGCCTGGCGTACAACTCTTCCTCGGACTGCTTGAGTTTGGCCTCCTTCTCCTGCACCTTCTGCTGGAAGACCATCTTCATCTCGGCCTCCATCTTGGCGAGCTTCGCCTCGTGCAAGATACGCTCTTCCTGCATGCGGAGAGCCGGGCTACAGATACATGACTGACTGTCAGAAATAGACAATATATGAAAGTTCATAATGAGATACTGACTTGACCTCCTTGAACACGCTCGAGTCCTGGGCGACACCCATGCTCGCGAGCTTTTGAGAACGCCAGTTCTCGTAGAGCACATCATTGGTGTACTCCCGGAGCTCCTCCATGTACGTCCTGACAAGCATCTGGCGAAGCTTGACGAAGTCGCAGTGATCTTCGTTGTCGACCTCGATCACACCCCAGGGGTAAACACGGCCGCGGACTTCACGACCATCCGCGGTCGGGACAACCTTGTCGGAACCGACGACGGCGAAGGGGATCTTGCTGGTGATTTCCTCGTGCTCAGCAATGGTCTCCTCGTCCTCATTTTCGTACGTGGGAGCTTGGAAAATGTGGATGTTGTGGTAGGCGATGTCGGCAAGGATCTGGCATACCAACATCAGAGTGGCGAAATAGAAGGAAGCAACGGGGGGACTCACGCGGGCCTTGAACTCGGCAACTTCCACATCCGTGAGGGTGTCCGCTTTAGCAATGACAGGAATAAGGTTGACCTTATCGTGAAGCTGTTTCATGAATTCAATGTCCAAGGGTTTCAAACTACGCAGGCGAGACGCGTCAGTATGCGCAGTTCGCAGGCATACCAAAAACTAGAACACGCACGAATGACCAGTGGGTTGGATGAAGTACAAGCAGGCGTGAACACGGTTGTCAACAATTTTCTGACGATTGACCCTGTTCTCCTGCTCCAGGTAGGAGTCGAACCGGGACTCAATGTTGTCCACAATGGGCTTCCAGCTGAAAAAGAGCAAAGAAGGTCAGGTCTTCCTACATCGTGGATAGGCACAGTGCATACCTTTCGTCGTTGTTGACGAAGTCACCGAAGCCAGGCGTGTCAACAACAGTCAAACGGAGCCTGACGCCATTTTCCTCGATGTCTATACACGAACAAGCGATGAACATCAAAGTGAGATGACATGAAGTATGAACGGAACATACCAGCGCTAATGCTCTCGATAGCCACAGTCTGTGGCCTCTCGGCATTTGGAGGCAGAGGGACCTTGGGAGGGTAGAGAGGGGTGTCGAACAACGTGTTAATGAGTGTAGACTTGCCAAGCCCAGACTCGCCTGAGTAGCGACGCGGAGGTTGAGCGCTATGCGCGATAGCGAGGATTGGAAAGAAGGGACGCACCGACGACCATGGCAGTGAACTGGAACCCCTTCCTCACGCTCTTCCGGTGAACCTGGTTGGGCAGGTTGGCGAAGCCGACGTAGCCCATGAGTTTCTTGCGAATGATGGGGGAAAGGCCGGCTTGGTGGGCGGGGGTCAAAGACGCGGACGAGCCATTGAGGTTACCGTTGGGAGAAGGAGAAAGGTCGCCGTTGCGGCTGGAAGTGTAAGAATCCGACATCTGGCGAGAAGAAGGGCGTCAGCGACGGGGCGAACGACGTGGAGAAGGGATATTACGTCGGGAAAGGATGGGGGAGGAGGGAGAACGGGCCAGTTGGACGACGCTGGCTGCTCGGCGTGCTTCTGAGCTGTTTGCGCCTGTTTGTGCCAGTCGACGCTTAGCGACAACCGTGGCTTCGGTAGCATGTACTGTCAATATTCGTCCCATTTTTTCGGTCAATGCTCGCTCGCCATAATGTTATGTCAATGCTCACCCATGCAAGCTTCTGTTCTCCTTGTACGGGGTTCATCTTTGCGATCGTATGTTCCGCCGCACCGTCCTCATCTCGCTCTCTTATCCAAGGGCCACCCGCCACGACTTCGCCGTGCGGCGTTGCTGCTTCTTCGCTTGCCACTTCTAGCATTATCGATCCTATTCGTCCCATGCCCTAAGCAATCCCAGACAGCGCTTCCCATCCTTGTATTCACGGAAATTACCATGCTATTAGAGTTAATGCGGCACAGCCTGCCAGTGGCTATAATTATACAGAAAAAATGATTGAAAGCACGACCTATTGCCATGCCTTTTTTGGGCCACACCCTTCCTTCTATCACCCTTTGAAGCCTTAACATTCCTGGTAAGCCTCCGCATTAATAAAGTCGTCGAACAGTTTCGTAGTGGTATACTCCACTCTAAGACGGTCGGACATGTCTCCCCAGAGGCTGCTGCTACGCTCGCTAGACTCTGAACAGGACGACTCCAGATTGCTACAGTCCGAGCTAGCCGTACTCCACGAAGTGGACCGTGTACACGACCACGAGGAGACCATCGACCAGCTCGAGGAATCGCAGGACGGATCCTCCGGGTCCTCGGTCTCCGTCGTGTTGCGTTGTTCGCTAGTCGAGGAGTGTCGGACCTGCCAGTGAGCCTTCATTTTCCTGGAAGCCTCCTGGAGAGCCAGTTGGACAGTGGCAGAGCGCTTCTGTTCCTCAGGATCCATATCAGCGATCAGTCGCCGCTCCCAGCTTGTCATCCATTTTCGCAAGTCCGTGTCAGTTTCGTCGTCAGACCCAAGAGCTGCACGTCCTCCCAAGTTCTCGTTGTTTTGAATCCCAAGAGCAGCAGGTTTAGTCACGTCGTATATCGTGCGTCCTACAGTGGGCAACGATGGCAAGCTGTTATATATGGTACGCCCGATGGCAGGTAACGAAAGAGGCTTCATATGGCTGTCAGTCGTCGCACCCTGTGCGGAAGCTGTGAAGAATGGACGCACCGAAGGCTTATTTGCGGACACGCCATTTACGCTGACACCTCCAGGCTCAAGCTCAGAGCACGACAATTTGGGTGACGCAGCTAAATGGGTCGTCTTGGCATCACCTCTCGATCCCGACCTACGAGCAATCCGTTGCGCAATTTTGAAGGAGGACTTCGCATCGGGGTGGTGGAATAGGCAGTCTATCGCAGCAGGCACAGAGCAACGAGGACGACGGTGTCGAGAAGATGAGCGAGACGGACGGCGGCGCGTGTGCTTGACCTGCATCCCGGGAGGTATTGAGAACTATGTACACGAACAAAAGATTGGAAGGGAGTCAATGGAGCGTCCTGAGGACACTTGGCTGCGGTGCAGTGTGACGAGGCTCGAGAGACAGTATATATATAGGGATCCCGATTGTGTGCCGTTATGCGGCACGTCCGCTCGTTGGCACGGAGACGGTTGTTCCTTTGTCCCTTTGTTCGTTGTGTCGCGCGGACCAAGTCCGACACGCGACACTACTTTGATTAAAAAGGCAAGGTGTCAAAGCAATGGCCCTCGATGGCAAAGACTAATCTGAATGACGCAATACTTAGTCGTAGCCTGCGGCCCCTACCTTTGCCCCATGTTATCCACGAGGCTCAGTTTTCGAACAAGAGGATGGCCATACGTGGGACTCTGCGCATGGGCTCGCAGCTAATACCCTTTGTTACAACATTGCATTGATACTACACGAGCTGTGGAAGCTTTTTAGCATCAGATGGCACTGTCTCCAAGTCTATGCTCCGTTCGCCTCGAACTTGAATACTGTGAGAAGTATCGTTCAGCAACACATCAAACGTTCGGAACAAACGGGATGTTCGCTCACTATCCGACCGCGCATAATGACCCACAACATCCAAGTCAAATTTCCCCCTCGCAATATCGTCCAAATCCAGTTCAGCTGTCAGGACACCCTCGCCTTCCAACAAAGGGCCGGCCAGGATCTTCCCCAGCGGCGACACGATGACACTCCCACCGGCAATCATCACATTCTCGCCATTTCGAGCTTCGGCGTTGCGTACGGCGTGGTCTGGCGGATAGTCCTTCTCCTGAGAGTATTGGCAGGCCGAGAGGACGAAGCAGCGCCCTTCGAGGGCGATGTGGACCATCGTGTGTTGCCAGACGGGACGGGCGTCAACGGTGGGAACACAGTAGAGTTGTGTGTTCTTTGAGTAATAGAAGGTTCGCACTGTGAGTGTATAGACGTCAGCGGGCAATGCAGCGCATGGACCCAGCGAAACAAAGAACAAACAAAGAGGCATATAGTTCTCCCTATGAAAGGGGAGTACGAAGTGAGTTTTTGTTTAATGATTGATCGAGACACAGTCTAACCTACCAACAAATCGTAGCTGAGAGCTTGGCCTTCACTGCTGGTGAGGACTCGCTCGAGAAGGACGATTCAACGACAGGCAAGGTGTCTGCTCCTCCCTGTCCCCAGATCAACCTCTCGGACGCCGTTGGCATTAACTTACGATGTTTTGCGACGTATCCTGCCTTGGGATCGACGAATATCGCGGTGCAATAGAGGGTTCCTCCATCACGCTCGATTATGCCGATGACAAGAAAGACCCCGGTCTCTTTGCTGATGCTCTCGATGCGCTCGAGCGCGGGAGAGGGTAACTCGATGGCCGCTGTGTGGTAGCGGAGGAATTCCTCTCGACCTTCCTGTGAACGTTCTCCTACAACAGCTCCGAATGTCGCCATTTTTGGATATCCCCCGATGCTGAAACATATGCATCAGACAATGTGTAGATAAGTAAAAGGTATAACGTTACGAATATTTGGTACTTACAATGCCTCCGGGAAGACCGCCAATTGGCTGCCATCCCGTTCTGCAGCAAGACGAGTGAGTCGCTCGAGCTTGTCCAAAGTGTCCGGCAGCGAATAAGCCGCTGTGCAAGTCTGGACTACAGATGCTCGTATGGTGTTCATGGTGGTACACAGAAAGTGTGTCTGCGTGAGAGGCCTCGGGAATGACTCTGGAAGACCTAAAGCTTATATACTCGAGAGTCGTCGGTGTAAACGACAGAAAGTACGATAAACTGCTGACCGTGAAATCGGATCAATGATGTTCACCGCGGGATGTAACGGTTCCGATCCCGACATGGCGAAATGCTACAACATTGAGCTGTTGGCCGGAGGCAAGACAAGCCATGGACAACAGATTGAGTACATACAGTTGCGGTACCCAATCATCTGCGTGCTTTCCGAGATTTTAAACCTGCTCTTCCTTCGAACCTTCATCTCACGAGAGTCTTCGCGCGAGCCGTGACTCTCCGCCAACGTAGCAATTTGTAACAGATTGGCAAAGTTTGACGCTCTCAGTCAACTCATGCCTGAGGTACATGTGGCACCTCCGACCTCAGGGAAGGAAGACAACATTCTCTTGCAGGAAGGCGAGTGGGCAAGAAGATAATTCAGTCTACTGCAAACTAGGAGATGGTGTGGATGGTGTGGATGGTGATCCCTGCTTCGGCAGCTTGGGCAGCCATGATTTTGGGAAGTCTCTGATAGAGGGTGGCGTCTCGGATCGCACTCTCCCACCTGCCAGATCTCTCTTGAACTTTCCCTTCCCTGCCTTCATCGCCTTCGCGTCTATATGGCGTAGATCCAGGGGAACATCGGCGAACGTATCTGACGAGTCCTGATTGTGGTGGTACCTCGTTGAGCCCCGACAGAGTCGCGCAAAGCGGAGAAAGAAATGGAAAGAACGTACGTTTGCCTCCGCTACCAATCTGTCCAGAGTATCGCTCGCCCACTTCAAGTTCATGTTCGGTTGTGGGAACTCCTCGCATGCGATCTTCACATATCCCTCCTTCCCTGCCTCCCCTTTTCGGAACCCACCGTCTTTGGGAGGAGACGGTGACCAGCGAGGACCAGCGAGCAGCTTGAGTTTATGGACGGCCTTGTCGTCATTTAGCGGTAAGTGCGCTACGGGAACAGTCAGGACACGTTTGTTGGCAGCTGGGTGGTCTTCTCCGAGGTAAGTGATGGATCGAACGGAAACGGGAGCTTCGGATGTTGGAGGAACAAAAGGTTTTCGGAAGGCTACAATAGTAATACATTGTAAGTACACAAGCAAGACCACGAAAAGAGAACGCACATACCAACAAGTTTGGGCATCTCGTGGTCTATGAGACGCATGTAAGTGAGCTTTTCGCGCTGTCGCATGATCATGAGATGTCCAGCGGACGTAGTATCGTCCTCTCCTTCTCTTGTTCCCTCGTCCTGGTGCGACTGAAGCTCTTCCAACATGATACCCATCTCGTCCATGGGTTCTCCAGGGTCCAAGTCCGCGTCATTGAACTCGTCCACGTCGCGTGTTTCGCTGCGTTTACGAGCTCGAGGAAAAGCGACAGCAGAGCTAGTAGAGAAAGACCTGTTCACGCGCAGCGCGGCCGTGGCAGTCCGACAATGTGTGACCCACGACATGTCGGAATACGGAAAGCTATTGGTGCCAAAGTGTGAAGGCGTAGAGGTATTTCCAAATGAGAATATTCGCCCGAACGGGCAAGTTTGAAGAGGCTGCAGCCAAGCAAAGACAAACAAACCCAACCCTGTCCGTAATCTCGGATTCCGATCATCGTGACGCCACAGCTCTTTCTCCTGCCTCTTCAGTGTCTGATCATGGTCGTCTGTGTCGTCCTCTGGTGACTCTCAGATGCTCGCATAGCTGACAATGAACGACGCCCCATATAGCGTCTACTTCTGTCGATCAAAGCTGAACTGGAAAACGTCACGGATCTCATTCCGAGTTCGGATAACTTTGAATACTTCTTCGAGGTCCGTCCGTTGCTCCCAGAAATATGCTAGATATACTGAATAAATTCCGCTGTACCCATAGGTCAAGTGCACGAGCTGCAATGAGACTCACCCCAAATTCGTTGCGTTAAACCGTGTGGTAGGTTACATTTTCCTTGTGGAACTAGCTGATAGCGCCACATTAACAATACTCACATCTCCAATCCTTAGGAAGAGTACGAGGTCAACTCCGGCAAAGGAAGTACCGCTCATTTTGTTTGGAGATGCGGTCTTTGCAAGCGTGAACATTTCGCCAAGTTTGAAGCTGCATCGCCGCCGCAAGCGTACAAAGCGGACGCCAATGGCCAGTTCGCGCCACTCATCACGGTGGATTGCAGAGGGCTCGAGTTTACAGGATTTGATCCTAGGGTGAATTTTTCGCGACGATAGTCTCTTAACATCTTCACGCTTGACTAATGCAAATACAGGGAACATGGAAGTGCATAGGTGCAGAATCCAGGACGGTGTTCAACGAGGTTGACTTGGAGGAGGGCGAATGGTTCGACTACGATGAAAAGGTATATCTATCGCTATTCGTGTATCGTGCCTACTGACGGTCAATAAAATATGTGCCAGGCTGCGCTGCCAGTGGGTGTATCTAAAATCGAGAGCAAATGGACGCGTGCGTAAGCAAGAGGATAGCCTGGTAGAAGTGTACGAGTACAGGATATAATATATAAAACAGTGCACCGAGGCATGAAGATCAGCCGTGTAATGAGATCTTCAATAAATGATAAGTCCCAAGGAAAAGTGAAGGCAGCTCCCACTCAAGTCTGCAGCGACTCTTCAGTGTTTTGGGCGGGTGACGGGTCGATGCCTGTTGCATCCGGAGTGGGGGCCTCCCCTTTATCCATCCCCTTCGACTCGTCTCCATCGTTTTGCGACGGAGATTTTGTACTAGAATCGTGCAATACAGGCTTTTGTAGCCCATTGCTCTCCTCCGACTTCGCAGCCTCGGTGTGCCCTTCTGCTTCTGGCGTCGACTTCGTAGGACCTGCGGAATCATTCCCGATGGCTGTCTCTTTGTCGCGAGTTCCATTCTCTTTTGGCGAAGACTGTTGGGCATTATTCTCGGGGCTGTCAACCTTCGCTTTCTCGATGATGGATGATGATTTCTTCTCGGAAGGGCCCTGCTCGGTATCTCCTACCGCTTTCTCTTCGTCTGCTTTCGCCTTCGCCTTTTTGCGACCCTCGAGGATCTCCCTCCTATCAGCATCAGAGACTACCCCGACGGAGGCGGCGACTTCCTTGGCCTTCTGCTTGCCCTTGCCGACGAGTGCGGACTGTCGCTTCTTTAGCTTTCCAAGATGTTCAATACTGTAGACCATCAAAGTCACTCATGAGCCTACGTAGCACACCAATGCAAGTAGCAGGTAATGGAAGATGACGCACAACCAAAGTGCAGCTTCTGCTTTGCTTATTTCGACCTTGTCCATGTCAACCCCGCGCTGCTCGAGAATTGCCAGGAATCTGCGGAAATGCTACGCATAGAGACAAACATCAGCTTGCAAGCCCTTCTCAAATACGTCGAAGAAAAACTAAGGCGTACTGAGATGGATGTCCTGGTAACGCCAGAAACTTAGCGTATGCCTTGAAGGATGATATTCTCAGAAAATCCATACCGGTAATGGCCTGACAGAGGCGACAATGTATGAATCACGCCCTCGTGAACCGTGATGAGACCAGCAGAGGTCACCAATCCTCCGCCAAGGAATGTTGAGTGTTGGAAGGTGCCAGGAACTTTGGGGAAAAGGTACGGGCGGTCAGAGGCGACGATCGAATGATTCGGTCCAGCAGAAGCTCACCCTTGATCCCCACAAAGAGATTGACTAGAACAGAACAGTCAATTAAGTATAGAAGGTCAGTTTAGTGAAAAAAAAACTGACAGTTCTTATCCTATGCGACACGTCTAAGAATGACTTTGTGCAACTAGATAGGTCAGGACGAGACGTACCGAGACATATATCCAAGTGTTTCTCCGGACAGTCTTCTTCAGAAGCTTATCTACGATGCCATGGATTGTAAGATACTTTCTGAAGGCTCTCGTCGCCTTCGTTTTACCCTTTGCAGGTCCAATGTAGTGGTTGGCTGCCTCGCCTTCCTCTCCAGAGAACGAGCTTCTCGGAGATGCTATGGAGGCTGCAATTTGACCCGAGGTCTCTGGAATGTCATCGGGAATGATGCCCTGCCCGTTTCCTACAGAATTTATAGGTTCGTCATCCTATGTCGTTTGATACTGATTTGATGATAGACAGACCTGCATCTTTCCATCTACCAGGCGTCGTGTCCACAAGCTCGTCATTTCGCGCCCAACGAAGCTTTCCCTCAGAGTCAATATTGACGAGGTAGTTTAGTCCTATGCTATGGTATGAGTTAAAATGCCGGAGGTGCAGGGAATATGATACTTACGCTGCTCTGAAGAGAAATAACTGAACATGCGCTGTTAGAGCACAGCGGTATACGAAAAAGGCGACGAGACTTACGTTATTCGCTATCATGCAATGACAATCGGATGAGTTGTATGAATATAGAAACAGCGAGTATGAAGCGTACCTCCTTCTCCAACTGCTCTCGTGGACATTCCTTCAGTGACAGTTCTTTACCAGCTCCACGATCCAGCCTACATGAACACTCATATCAGCAAAGACTAGTTGAATCAAAGGCGAGAGCAGTTAGCCACCATTTGAAGAAGTTATCTTCCGTATCCTCCTCCTTCCATCGTCTGAAATAAAACTGGCGATGCCACATTGTGTCGTTCAGTCCAACATTCTTAGCAGACAAGGCTCAGACTTTGCCACCACACCTTCACTACAAATTGAACCATCAGAAGCACTCCCGACAGCAAGAACGAGAACTTCACTAACAGTTTGACCCATAACGATGTTTCCTGTATATTCGACCACAACCAGCACAATAGCGCTTCAGTCCAAGATCATTGTAACCGAACGAGACACGAAAGGCATACCCATCGATAAGTTCCAGCCAATGCTGCAGCTCCAGCGGCTTCCTCGTAGCATCATCATCCTTCACATTCGTCGCTCCCGCAAGCATTTGATTACCATCATGCAATTGCGAGAACCGGAACGCTGCTCGTCGCCAGTGATCCTTGCCCGTATTGTGGCCCTCGTCTGCATTCGCTTGAGTTGCCTTATTCGAGAGCCAGGCCGAACAATGTCAGCCAGCCAAGGCGAACCCAAATGTCCGAAAACAAAAAAAAGAAAAGAAAAGTACAGACCTCAGCTTTTGCGTCTCTAGTCGCTTCCTTCCAGCGAGTCTCGGGAGTCAGGAATTGCTCCTGGAGCGAATTCTTCTTCCTCCACGCCCGTTGTATCCGCTCTGCAGCTTCGGCATGGCTCTGTGTCCTGTCCGGAAGCTCTGGTCTCTTGCCTTGGGTATCCGTCGTGGAAGACATAGCCTGTGTGAGGAGGGGAAGAAGAAAGTGGAAAGGAAACAGCTATTTACTTAGGACCTTGTTGCATCGCTCAAACAGTCGGTATGACATCATAGTTCGCGCCACACTGTTTGAACTTTTCCGATCGACGGTGATCCCGGGGTAGAGTACTTTGTTTTGACAGCTCCGTCGTCGAGTCACATCGACATCCCGGCGAGCTGTCGTGAAATCTGAGACCCCACAGCTGTCGAACAACGCCACTGACGCGGAACGAAGGCAGACAACTGTTACTGTAATGATCAATTGATCCCCACAGCAGTAAAGCTCAAATGCCCAGAACGTTCACACAGGACACGGTCGGCATGGACCAAAAGGACATTTGGGTAAACAACGTGGAGGCGGTCGTTTCTGAGTACGTACTATATCCAGGATGCAGATCACGAAGGGACAACAAGGGAAATGCGGATGCGGGGGAGCTTAAGGAACGGAAGGGGAAAAACAAAGCTATGTACTGTAGAATTAAGAGGGACACAGACGAGCAGGAGAGAAAACAAAGAGAAGGAAAAAAGAAACATGCGCTGTGGATTGGGTTAGACAAATGCAATGCGAAAGATGATTTGGAGATGAAGCAGTATGAGCCACAGAGGAACGAGATAGGCCGGGGGAAAAAGATTATGGGGGAAATGCCAAAGAAGAACAGAAGAAACTTGATGATCGTAAATGGGGATGTATATGGGGAAGGGTGTAGAAGGACGTAGAAAGAAAGGGTGTGGATGTGTGAAGGGGATGAAAAAAAATGCTAGTGATGTTGCTTGTCAGAGTGCTGAGAAAGAAAAAAGTGAAGTGTTCAGAATGCGTCGTCCAATGGTGGGTCACGAGCACTGAAGCCCGTGAACATCCAATCAGGAGGCAGGACGAGATATGGATGCTTGCGCAATTCCGCAGCCGACGGTCGCTCGTCGGGGTTACTGTTAGTAGCTGGATATTAGCATATGCGATGTAGCATTGTCGACACGAAACTGCTTACATGGCAAAACATTTCTTCCTGAAGTCGTCCGCCAAAGCTGAAAGTGTGATACTCTGCGGAACGGGAGGCGCTTGTTTTGAAGAGTACAGCTATAAAAAGTTATGCCCCATTAACCTCAGCACGATCAGACGATCCGTCAAACAGCTACTGACCTTGACGATGACGGCCATGGCCTCCTCCCTTCGCCAAGGCCGCTCACCCGCCCACATCTCGAGCACCACACAACCGACACTCCAAATGTCAACCTTGGCGTTGTAACCGCGCTTTCCAGCGTTGACCACCTCGGGAGCCATCCAGAAGACAGTGCCTTGCATGGCAGTAAGCATAGCCTGCTCATTGATATCGTTCGTCCTTTTGGATATTCCAAAGTCCGATATCTTGCACTTGCCGTCCTGTTCGACCAGAATGTTGTCCGCTTTCAGGTCCTGAAGCACCGCACGTCAATGAAAGTTAACTCCTACAAATGGGAGGAACTACGTACCCGATGCAGGATACCGACGGAATGGAGGTATTCCAGTCCATCCAGAATCTGCTCGGTGAAGGACTTCGTGATTTCCTCGTCGAACTTGCCATATTTCCTCAAACAGCTGCCGACCGAACCACCAGGGACGTACTCGAGAAAGCTGCATCCGCCATCAGTCACAATTCAAAAAGAAACATAATTAAGTGGGGATTACTCACATGCTGAGGAACGTCGGCGTCTCCTCGAAACCGAGGTATTGCACGATATGCGGATGATCCAGATCCTTCAGCGTCTCGCTCTCGAGTTTCAACGCGTCCACCACGCCGACCTGGCGTGAATCGTTCTTGTCGCTCGCTGTACGCGGGATCTCCACCTGCTTCACGGCGATGACCTCTCCGGTCGTGGCGTTCAACGCCATGTAGACCCGTCCGAAGTTGCCCTTGCCGATCAACTCACCGCGAACCCACTTGAAAATGGCTGCAAACCGAAGGATTAAGTGATAAGTATAGATCCGATAGGCAGAACTAAAACGAGAAGAACCCACGTTTAGGAGCGACAGACCCAGCAGACGAAGGAGACTCCGGTGTGGTAGATGCAAGGCCGGCCTTTATCTGTCCCGGCGTGACCTCCTCCAATCGACTGCCCCAGAGCTTCGTACTCCGCTTCCTCAACATATTGTTAGCAGCGGCTGTCGTCGAAAGGATCCTCGACGAACGGTCTATCATCTTCTGCTTGTGCTCCTCCGCAACGACACGAATCGACTTCTTGTGTCTGGAGCGTTTGTCTGCGGGAGCCGGCTGAGGGACAACAGTGGGCTCGGCCGTCGTCGGAGACGTTCCACCAGACGTGGTGTCGATGACTGGCTTGTCCAGATCGTGATTCGGGAAGAACGTATCCAAACGAGCGTACATCTCGTCCGGATCCGGACGCGAGGCCCAGGACTGGTCCTCCTGGAAAGCGTCCGAATGTTCATTCTCGAGATGCTGAAGCCGATCCTGAGTTCGCTGACGCGACGCCGGTGCGCGTCCTTGATAAGGCCGCGCAGGCGGAGGCTCACTGGGCGGCGGCGGGAAGTTGTTGGGGATCGCGGTGTTGTAGCTATTCGAACTCCCTACATGCGTCAGCGATGCGTCTGTATCGTTGATCATCACCGTCAGCGGAGGACCGCGGCCACTGGACCTCGGTCGTTCGGGCGAGGGATGCTTCTGCCAGAGTGTTCCGCCCGATTCGTCTTCCACCATCGGAGTCTGCCATAACGTACCACTTTCGCTGTCTGAACCATCGCCTGTATCGGTGCTGTTGGTTTCGGGCGTCGATGGAGTGGAGAGGATTTCTTTCGGTGGAGGTGTAGTTGGGCGTGGTAGAGTGCGTATTCCTCCTTGCGGAGGTGGCGGTGGCGGAGGGGGCGGAGGAATGAATCCGAGGCCAGAGCGAGAGACAAAGGGTGGTAGCGGGGGTCTCGGTGGTGGTGGTGGGAGGTTGTAAGTTGGAGTACTGACTTGCTGGTCCAGATACTTCTGCATCCTGGGCATGTCGTCCTGCCTGACAGTCGCCGCGTCATCGGAGTTCGTACCGCGGCTAGGGCTATGCGGCGCATCTCCAGACGTATCGTTGCGCAGGAACGGAGGACTTCGAGGGTTAACTGGACTCCGAGGCGGCCCATTGTCGCCGTGAACGTTGTAGGTATCGACGTCGAGCTTCCCTCCGCGAGTATTGTAGGTGGAAGGAAGTGGGCGGTAATGAGGAATCTGCGATGGCGAAGACCGACTGACATCGGATTCCTGGAAAGGCTCGTCGAAAGCTGACTCCGCAGTGTGCTGGGGACGGTATGTGGTCGAAGGGACGGGTAGCGATCCTAGCGAAGAGCCTGGTCTTGAGTGAGATTCTTGCTCGAATGGAAGCTTGCCAATCATAGGATTGCTCGATAGCCCTTGATTTACCGGTGAACGAGGTTGAGATGGCGTGGCAGACGTGAGCGTAACTACAGGAGGCGGAGGAGGCGGAGGAGGCGGGGGTGGGGCTGGTGGTGGAGGGAAAGGCCGGAAGCCAGTTCGATAAGTGGTGGGAGAAGTGTATCCCGCATATTGTCTCTGGTCCGGGCTGGTAGCCTGTGGTGTGTCGCGCCTCGGTGAAGCGGTATTTTCGTCGCCAAAATAACCGCTGGAATTGTTCGTTCCGTAGTTAGTACCGTCGCGCAACATAGATGGATTCGTCGACAGGGGAGGGCCTCTAGGAACGGGTGGCCGTGCACCACCAGGCTGCAATGTTGTCGGATGTTGTACGAACCTGTCCCGCAAGCTATTTTCACTCTTGGCCGTCTTGAGTGAATTACCGTAGGTTGAGGACGACGCTGGACTACTACTCTTCCATTTCATGACGAGATCTGTTGGGACTGGAGTGCCCCTCTGTTCTCTATGTTGAGAGGTCGAAGAAGGCTGTCGTGGAGGGTTGGAGGGTGGTTGGGGACGAGGATAGCTCGATTGTGTTTGTTGATACCTCTTCTTGTCTTGTTCACGTCGACCAGTAGGAGACGGTGTGGGACGATCGCGATCCGCTAAGCCCCACGACGACTCTTGGGATAAGTTGTACGGGTCGCCGTCAGTCCGTTGCCGGGATGGTTTCTCGCGGGGAAGTCTGCCCAACCTAGACCTATCCTCCTTACGCTGAGGGGGACGATTTGACTCGCTCGTCTGGTATCTTTCTCTGTCAGCAGCGGCGTCCGATCCCGAGCGAACATGTGACGTCCAGTGGGGCGACGGCTGCAAAGTCTGTTCATCGTCGTACATTGTTCGCGAATGATTCGGTGAGTGTGGGTACAATGCCGAAGGGGGTGGAGGTGGTGGTGGTAAAGGTGGTGGTGGCGCAGCCTGACCGAAATTCGACCGCGGTTGGCGGGAGCCTGATGAGGGAGACATTATTCGGTTGGAAGCTTTGGTCGGAGAGGTTGGACGCTGCGGCCCGTTCGGTCGGCGAGAGGCAGAAGTCGCGAAACTCTGGGTGGATCCGACCGATTTGAGCTTCGGCGGGGGTCGCAGAGTCGAACGCTGGCTCTCCACTTCGCCATTGTCAAGGTCATCGGAGACAGAGGGGTCGTAGCCGTTGGTGAGTTCTGGACGGTTGCGTTCACTTGTGGAGGATGCGCTCTCGTGCCGTGACGGTGAGCGTCGCCGTTGAGGAGGATAGGGAGTGACGGGAAGCAACACGGGTGGGGGTATAGTGCTAGTGGTGGGTGACGGGGACGATCGCGAGTCCTCGTGAACGGATGCAGCCGAGTTCGCGACAAGAAACTTGAGCGAGCACTCAGCGTCTCCTTCATCTCGACAAAGGTTATACAGAGCCTCATCAGAAAGCGCCTCTCCGATCGCGTACGAGTTGACTTGTGTTCGATACACTGAATATTGCGATTGTTCTTCGTCTGAGATTCGGAGCTAAAGAAGAGAAAGGTCGTTCGGAAGGATGATCGGGAGGATAAGGACGTTTGTGCGGACCTTGGAAAACATGAGCTCCTTGATAAAGGCAGCATTCGTGAAACCGGTGATATCGACAGTATAATACTGGTCCGAGTCTCCTGTCACAAATATGCACACTTTGTCGATCGGACTGCTGCGATTATCGGGAGTGAAGCGGGGTGTGAACGAGTCTGAAGTGGTGGATGTGCTCGGCGACTGGTCATGTGTCAGTCCGCATGCGGGTGAGGGAATGAAGAAAAAAAGGGCGCACCGTTGCAGGACGGCCATTCGGTCTCCGAGTCTGCTTTGGCTTGCTAAATAAGTGCATACGAGCGTTGGGGAAGAAAGAGTGCTGCTGGGGAATGGCGTCGGTCGAGTTGTTGACTTGCGCTACATCTGGTCTCTCGACTGGGATGTCGACCGGGGGAAGGGGTTGACCTGGGGTGCTCGGGGGAGGAGAGCTGGTGCCTGATGGGGACGATAGTGTTGGATTGGAGTAAGCTTGGTGCCGTGCATTGCGGTCAGGGAGATTTGTGGTATTGAGGGGGTCTAGTGAGACGTGTAGACGAGATATGAGCGGGGAGACGAAGCGATTGTAGGAGAGCACACAACTGCTGGACAGAGAAGACGAGGACTGACGAGGCAGATGTGAGTCTTCATCGCTCGAGTCTGGATTGGCGACGACGAAGACGGGCCGGTGCTGCTTGCGGCGGGAGCCGTCGGCCATAGCGATGGTGGTTTAGGCGGGGACGACGGGGGTGGCGACGACGGGGGCCGGTCGACGGCGTCGTGGATGGAGAGAAGGAGGGAGAGCGAGCTCTGGCGTTGTGGAGGATGAGCTGGAGGCAGGCTGGAGGAGAGCCCGGCGCGGGAGGCGTGAAAGAGGCGAGAACAACAAAGCCAAACAGAGTTTGCGGCGCTCATTCCATCTCCTTTCGGATTTCCATGCGGAATATTTAGGACACGACGATTTCATAAAAGACGACGCGTGCATTCATACATGTACAATCCAGACGGTAAATACAAAGAAAAGAGAGAACACGCCCCTCCTGCGTTGCTTGCACGCGCAAATCATATATCCATCGACTGCCCATCGCCGTCCGGGCCAGCTCGCCTCGGCGCCAACCCATCAGTGAGCTCGACCTGCGCGTCCAAACTCGTCAATCAGGATCACTACGACGACAGACGGCAACAGTCCCACAATGAACCTGCACCGCAACGCACCTTCGGGAACTCCGCGCGCTCCTCCAGCAGCGACTCGCTCCAGCAAAGCAGCCGAAGCAGCGCCACCAGCTTCGCCTCCTTCCCCTGGCTCAGACTCTCCAGGATCGCCGCGTTCACCTCCCCCGCCGTCTTCATCCTCTGCGCGGGCGACAGCAGGTCCGAAATCGCCGCAGGCACCACGCTCGACGAGTCGAACGCCAGAAGCGCCATCGTCCGCTCCAGCTCGGCAAGGAACTCTGGGTTCTCCTCGCCCCGCGGCGCTAGCTCCTCTTGTGCGAACTGCAGCGCCTCCGGGATACTCCCTTGGCGGATGTATTCAATCAACTTCTGTTGTTGGAGGTGGAAGTAGAGGGTATGATTCGTATCTAGGATCTTCACGTTCCCGTCAGCATAACCGCCCGAGATTGACAAGTCGCAGAAGCAGATGAGGGAAAGAGGAATCATATTGAAGACTGAAGTTTTGGTGTTTGCATTATCATCACCGCCCCCGAAGGGGCTGAGAGTGGTGCATGCAGTAGTATAATCATGCGAAAAGAGGGGATGTGGTGCGAAAGTGGCGAGGAAAGCACGTACCTCTGGGTTCAAGTCGTTAACGCGCGTGATCGCATCCTGAACGTCGCCCCTCTGCAAGGCCTCCCGGATGTTCATCCGACTCTCGATGCTATCAAAATCAACTGGGGTGATCACCCCCGCCTCCCCGCTGAACTCCTCAGCAGCAGATTTGTACCCCTCGATGACGAGGTAATCCATCACCAGGCGATTCAAGTCACTGTGCATGACAAACGGCAAGTCAGCATACAACGATAACAACCCGGTCGAGGCACGCATGGGGACAGAGGAGCATGGCGATGTCAGATAATACATGCAATAATTTTTTGTCTCATCAAGAAAGTCAGAGAGATTCCCAAAAATTTTGTTCATCCTTCGACGTGCTCCTCCGGCGTGCCATTCATCTGAGAGGAGCGGAATGGACGTACTCTTTCGTGATATTGACTTCCTCTAACCGCCGCTCCCACTCCTCACGCGAAATGGTCGTCCTCGATGGCTAGACAAATCGAAGTCAGTCAAAGCGAGGACCGCAGACATAGCGCGGGACGCGAAAAAACATACCATGGCGAGACGAGGAAAACGTAAAAATGAATTTATGCCGCGGGCGGTCGGTTGGTTGAGGGCAGGCTTTCGCGGACTCGCGCGTCGCGACTCGCGACGGCGGTGTGGCGCCGTTGTGACTTGCTCAAGATTTGCCTATTTATTTTGACCGTTCATTCACATTTCGGTTCTCAGATCGATCGTGTTCTGCGACGGTCGGACCACGAGATTCTCCATATCCTGTCCGGATCAGTCTAAGTTATTATGTATCGACAGGTGACGGACAACTCTATCTGCAAGCTCTGCAACGCACGAGTCGCGACTTGACGGAGCTCAAACATGGCCGTGGAGCAACTACTCTAATGAACGAGAAAAAAACAATGCAACGAACGCTGATGACGACTGTAGGCTTGGTACACTTTGCCACAAGTGCTGCCCAACAGGCACACGCCAGCAGACCTTTGTACTCGAAGGAGGCAAGCTGGCATAAAGCCGTGATGGGCTAGTGATCGTAACCTTTCCTAGTGGAGTAACATCAAAATTGACTGGACAGGAGTGGGTCCCAATGGAGGGGTACAAGCAGAGCAGGATGAAGAAGGTGAGGAGGTCGAAGGAGCCAAAGGAAAACCGACTGAACGGTGTATCCTTGATCACTCGTGGCACCGAAACACCACTCCGACCAATGAATGTCGGCGGGCCACCAAACTTTGTGAGTTCGGTATCAAGGGATCAACTCGGAAGGTAACGAGGAGACGATCAAAGCTCCAGCGGAGACATGGTCAAGCTTTGGAGACGACGCCCGAGCGGATCATGTCTAGGAAATCGTCCTGACCAAGAGTAGCTATACGGAACGGGAACATTCAGTCGTCGAACGCACAAGGATAGACAGAAATAAAACATACTCTCTTTCCCTCTTCCAAGGGGGTTGTCTTTATTTTTAGCCTTCTTACTACCCTTGATATTCTTTTCGAACGACGGTGCCGGGAGTGTCGGTTTTCCCGAACCTCTGCTCGCCTTCGTTTCCTCGACAGCGACAGCAGCAGAGGCCTGTGATTGCTGTATGGCGTTGAACAGTTTTACCACTAGATACATCTAAGTGTTAGAAACTCGTTTCGAGTGAGTAAACATAAAAGCTTACCTCCTCTCTGCGCAACCTTCCTCAACGCCCTCTCGCTCTCCGCTCCCCATCCACCTATCACATCCTTGACTCTTCCCTTATCCTCCTTATCCTTCTTCTCCGTCTTCAGCGCTTTCTTCGCCTTCAGCTCCAACTTCTCATCGTTGCGTTTCCGAGCGAGCGAGGGTTTCAGAGAAAGAGGTTGTGTGGAGGGAGCATCCGTGCTGAGCAAAGTCTGGAGGGTGGCACCGAGATTTGACGCATCCGTAGCACGATACTTTCGTTTGGCAGTGTTCTTGGATTTAGGACGTGTGGCGCCGGCGATTTCGTCGTCGGTGTTGGGCGAGTCGTCTTCGTCGCTGCCTGAAACTTCGCCGTCCCCTGCATCTGAGCCAGAGCCTGAGTCGTCGTTTTCTGAGCCCGCCGAGTCCTCTGACTTTTTGGTTGGAGCATTGACGTTATGTTTTGCTGCAGAGAGCTTTTGTCTTTTGTTGGCAGGCGGCATCCTGTGAGAAATGGCAGGAAGACAGAAGAGAAGATGGTAGACGGAAGAAGAGGAGTCGGTGAATTTCCTATACGCCACACAAAGTCGTTCATGCACCCAAGTCCCACGGTTACGCTGAGTGGCAACGCGTTCAGACCGATTCCCTTTGCTTTCCGCACCCACTCACGACCGCCTGGATAAAATGCGTTTTGTCTGCTGAGTAGGACTTGACCCAAGTCTCGGATACAAGCCTCGGTAAAGTACGGCATATACATGAACTCGTTCGGCCTGCAAATGCTGAATATAGGTGCCCTTTGCCATCATCGCGTGTACGCGTCTGATCATTCAACAGTCTCGCGTGCATACCCCCTCAAGCACGGATACAGAGTGTTCCATCCCATTGCTGTCTGACATCCGACACCTAATATTCATTGACTCTATCTACGAGCAAGTCTATGGCGACCGCTTCACTTCCGCCAATCGACCTCTCGCCAGAACCCGATCTGCATCCCATCTACCCGTCATCCTCATCTATCACCCCTCTTCTATCATCCGAGTCTGGTCTTTCGCCCGTACAGAAGAAGGAGCTCATCGCACACTGTCTCTCCCGTGCATGTCTCTTCGCCGATCTGAGCCTCCTTTCGTTCCTCCTCACGGACACGCATGCGCAAGGATTCGTAGATCTAGGAGCCAGAGATGAGGATGGCCTGGGTGTCGTCAGTCTCACCATCCTTGGGTTTGGTTCTGAAAGTGAGAGGGAAGTCGAGAGGGAGGAATGCGTGAGGTTGCTGATATCTGAGGGTGCCGATGCTAATATGCCAGACGAAGGTCTGTTTGTGCCACACGTACTTCCACTCCGACATCTGATGTGTGTGTACCACAGCTGGCTGGACGGCGTTGCATCATGCTGCTTTGCTGTCGCCGCCCTCATTAATCTCACATCTTCTGACTCACGGCTGCTCGCCATTCTCCGTGACGAAGAAGAACCTTACGCCGCTCGACATCGTGTCCGCGTACGCGACTGTGCCCGGGAGGGAGGTCGTTTCGCTCCTATTAGGGGAAGCCATGCGCAGCGCAGGCTGGACAGGCGGGAGGATGGAGGAGCGAAGAAAGGTGCTGGAGATGAAGCTCATACGGAAAAGCAAGCAGAGGTCCGTTCGCGATAATGTCGAGAAGCGGTTAGAGATCAGTAGGAAGTGGTGGGGAGATGATGAGTGGGAGACGTGGTCTTCTGATTCGTCAGAGGATGAGGATGAGAACGATGAGGATGACAGTCTATATGTGAGGATACTTTTAAACTAAATGAGCCCGTGCATATCGTTGACGGTCATTTGATACCTCCAGACCCCTCCATCGGATTATACCACCATGCTCGTGTTCTCACCACCTTACCTCTCCGACATCTTCCAGTCATTGATCACCAACTTCCAACCATCCTTACGAAATTCAGAACCCGCAAGCGCGCTATATATGCTGGCCCGCTTCGCGTGTCTGAACTGCGATCACAATTGGCTCGAGGATCTAATTATCGGCGCCACAGATGCGATAGAGGACAACATCTTTGTGAGCTACATTTTATCCATCATGTATATTATCGCAGCCGGACTGATGTCTACACAGAACCGACCAGAGGATTTGACCTGCTTGATCTTTTGGCTATACAACACGACCGTCTGGCTGCACCTGATGCGTTGTGATAACTCCATTAACGAAACATGCGAGCTGCTCGGCTCGTTCGTCTTGATTGAAGAAGTCATCAACTCCGTCTTCGGTGAGCATGTCGTTTTGATTGCCACTCCCGCCGGATATTCATCAATGAACTCTTAACAGTGTTCATGATCCGCTATATCGAACGCAGAATCGATACACTCATCGATTCGGCTATTCTGGACCACTCTCCTTTGCCAGAAGAATTCGACGGAATCCAATTCGAGGGCGAATGGTCATTCCTGCGTTCCTTCGGCGCGGGCAAGAAGAAAACAAACGCCACTTCCGCATCCACCCTGCCACCTCGGAACGGCAACCCCCCTGTTCCCTCATCTGCTGCCAATCGCCTACCGTCACCGCCTACCACACCCGGGGCTGGAACGAAAGGGTTCTCTTCTCTTCGACAGACTTTCACTCGGTCCCGCGCAGTGTCGACTACGGCTCCCATGCAGGGAATGTTCCCGGAGCAACCATCTACACCACAGCCGAGCGAGATCACGGGCTTCTTCGACGCGTTACAGACGATGCTTACTTTGTCGGGGATCAACCCTGCGCTGATCACGCAGATGTGGTCTCAGATACTCTATTGGATGTCCTGTGGGTTTTCGATGTCACCCTCTGACTTATGATCAGGAGTTGAGTTTGTGTCCCGTAGGCGAAATATTCAATCGGGTGCTGACTCGGAAAAAGCACCTCTGTCGGTACGCTTTTCCACTATATCTCATACGAGCGAATGGCTGACAGAACGGATATAGTTCACGCGCCGTGCAAATCAACATGAACCTCGGTGTGCTTGAGGAGTGGATCGAGATTTCTAACCTACCTCGGGGTGTCATCTCCCACTTGGCTCCCGTCCGTGACCTTCTCAATTGGTTACAGGTTCGCCCATTCTCCCCGTTATCAATGGCAGTTCCAATTTAGTTGATATATATTTCAGTGTCTGTCGTCTATAACGGAGTTCGCCAACCTTGTCGCGACTATCCAGACCATGAAGCACCTAAATCCACTGCAGGTAGTCGAAAATCATACTTTTTGGGGTTGTATGATAACTTACTCTTTACTTCTCATGATAGATGCGGCGTGCCGTGCGCGAATACAAGTACGAGGTCAACGAAGGCCGAATGACTGAAGAATGTAGCCAATATCTTGCGCAACTGCAAAAGGATTGGGAGCGGCACCGAGTCAAGATCGGCGTGGAAGCTCTCCGTCGTGAGGTAAAGCACACATCGAAATTCTCTGTGTCAATCGTTACTAACAATGACTTGCAGATGGGAGAACGGGAACGAGAACGCGCTGAGGAGGTGGTGTTCAACGACGCCGGTAGTCTTGGGCCCGCCGCCTCAATATCATCTAATTCCACGGAAGCCTCGATGGTACAACGTAACATCGACCTTCTCTTCGACCGTGATCAAGACGCTACTCCCTGGGAACCAGCCAAACCTCCAGACGTCCTCGGCGAATTCCTTGACTCGCGATACATGCTTCCACTTGTCCTCCCCTCTGATCCTCGAATGCTTTCGGCTCTCCCTCGAAAGCCGACGATGATGCCCACCGAGAACGGGAAGGGTGACAAGGTCGATCATCGAACGAGCGTCCAGCTCATGGTGGAGGCCACTACACGCAGCGCTAGCCGTTCCAGTCGGAGGAGCCGCAGTAGCATTCCCTGGCTAACACAGACGAAACGACTGCGGGAAGTGAGTGTCGACGCTCTCCAGTGGGTGGATGGCATAGTTTCTGCCTCGAGATGGACCAGGCCGCTGCAGACCGAGCCCGAAGAGGATGAGGATGCCGACGGAGAAGAAGAGGAAGGGGAAGGGTCTGACTTGGACGGTGAACATACTGGTCGTATGGGTCACGGACGCGACGAGACAGTCACTTCCGAGACCAAGTGGGTTACAACTTTGACTTCGAAGCCTTCGTTGCGAAACAAGGGTAGGTCGGCGTCCAAGGACCCTTCTATGCAGAAAGCTTGAGGGGTGAGTTCGTGGTGAGATTGTTGGTTGAGGTGTTCGCGTCGGACTTGCTTCTGGATCTTCCGTGCTTCGTCTGCAGTCGTTGTTTTGTGCACAATTTTCACTCGCTTGTATAATGAATCTGCTTTGTGCATTTGTGCTATCACATTACTATGGAAATATTATAGACTGTGCATACCGTTTGACACTGCGCGATATGTGTAAGAATCCAGAGCCTATTTAGGAGCACTTCAGAAGTTCCTGTCAGTTTTGGTCAGGAAGTAATGACTTATTAGCTCCGTATTCGGGCCATAAAGAGAAATTGTCCTTTTAGCACAGCCTCAGTGCGATTGGCGCGCTTTGTTCAAGGCCGCAAACGTCTTCAGCCGCCAACCGACGAGTGTCAACATCCTTGTTTCTCCCCTTCGTCCCTTTCACCCTCACCCCCACCTCCTCTCCACCCTCCTCCTTCATGCCATGCAACGCAACGCGCCGGTCAAGCTGACCGCAGACACTGTTCTGGAGCTGGCAAAGTTGACTTTGAAGTATATACCGTGTTGTTGGGATCATTGCACCCATGTTCTCAACTGCTGGAAGTCGTATAGAGAGGTGAGGACATCCTTCGCTTCATTATGCATCGCTCACTGCCAGGGTGAAGCAACACTTGCGATGTTAAACAACTCGACTCTTTGAGAGCACATACATAATGGTGGTACGAGCCAGTGTGAGAACCCAGAATTCATGGATTTGGGGTGCTTTGGGCATGTTTGTCAAAGTGTGCACGACCTGTTTCAAGTTCGTGACACACTTACACCTCATGATTGGCTTAGAAGCCTTCGTCCACGCACTCCTGCTCGTCAACATCAAAAGGCTGGCAATTTTAGGTCACTAATAATGCTCGAACTTCATAGCTATGCAAGCATCTCAATTCTACCATCGTCTCAACCCAAGTTCATCCTCCCATTTTCACTGGCACAATTTTTCGAACCAATGCTATCAATGATGCTAACCGTGTCGACATTTGTCTAGCACATCGAACTACATATTCAGCGTACTCAAGGCTCAAAGAAGGACCAAGTATGTTTATACACCCTCTGTTATTTTGCTTTATTCTAAATATAGGTATCGTGTTCAGGACATTCTACAATGCAGGCTGCCTAGATGTATGACTTCACAGCACACAACACTGTCTGCCCTCAGGGCCCACATTGTGTCGTCCCACCTTTCGACCCAAGCACAATTCTATGTCCCTTGTCCAGTCAAAGGTTCATCTGATCATACTATACATTGTATCTGCATCTGACAGAATTCTGTCAATATTCACAGGCTGTCCCGAAGAAGGCATGAGACTGTCATCAGTGGTGTCTCATTTCGAGGCTTACCATCACGCTCTCTCGTATCAGGACGCTTCTGTCCACACAATCCTGAAGCCTTCACGTCAACCTGAACGACCTCAAATCCGAAAACTAGAACCACTCCCAGCCACAGCACATTCCTTCTCCATTAGCTCTCCAGTAGTCATCCCTCACCGGCATCGACGCGCTATACCCTCTTCGCAAACACTTGGTCCCCGGTGGAGCCGTCTGAACGCCCTGGAGGAATCAGACGAGGAACGTCCGAGCATATTATTCGAGGACCTTCCCGAGCATACTCCCCAAGACCTGCCGCCATCCCTCCTCTCCCAGATGGTCTTCCAGGAGCATGTCTTAACTGCCCCTCAGCTCTCATACCCACCCGCCACTACCATGAAATACACAAACATCCCATCACCTCCAAAGTCCGTCTTCTACGACACATTCTCGCTGAAGCTGGCGCAGTTGGAGGCAAGTGGCACCGTCATCTCAGGCGACGGCACATGGCCAACGGACACGAGAGAACCGACACCCGCGCTGAGCACGACCACTACCACCACCGTCACCACCGTCACCAGCGCCACAAGCGCATCTAAATCTACTCGCTCTCGGAAAGGAGCGAGGTAGTCGATTCTCGTCGCACCCACGCCGTTTCTGTTCACCTTGTAAGTTCGCCGACAACCGCTTTTCGTCATTAACGGATCGTTTGCTAATTCATGGGCCGTGCAGTGTTAGTTGTTTTCGATTCGCTTTCGTATATGTGATGTTTAGAGTAGCACTCACCACAACGTTGCTCTGGTTGTTGGATTGTAATTCATACGCTCACGCTCTGCGTGGCGTTGTTTGTCGAGAGCGTTCGAGGCCGGTCTAGTCGTAAATATCACCACTTGGTGGGTTGATCAAAAGGCAAACGCGAGGGGACTCGTTAGCGCGCAAGCATGAATGCTCTGCCTATTAAGTAGCCGGGAACGAGGGAAGTTGCCCAATGACCAAGCGACGAACCTACGGCCTCGTCGAGAGGCAGTGAGAGACGAGGCAATATGGTGCCCCCAATCGTCTTTACAGTGGTACGAGTTGGTACGAGACATCGCCAGCCAAGCCTTCTACCTCCTATTATTTATTGTCCAAAGAACTTCTCTGCCCCAGAAGGATTGTTACTATATCCTAAGGCGTGTCTCCCCAAGAGCAACTGCCGTCTTCGTTCAACCGAGAAGAGTAGAACACTAAGGCCAACATTCGAGTCTAGATATTGTAAGCTGGAGTTATGATAGAGTTCGGGATGAATTGAGCTTTGAAGGTCTGAACCAGAGCTCGACTTAGCGCAGCAGATGGAGGCGTCGTGGACAGAAGTGGAATGACCTGGAATGACTCGCAGAACATCGTCTGGTTTATCCGGCTGCGCGCCTGTATCCGGGAGGCGGTGGCGACTGGAGACGAACCTCGGATTGTCACCGTGGTTTGACGACTTCAACGTCGCTCATTTGGGCTCATCGTATAGTCTTAATACTGAAGTGGGTGCAATGATCGCGTAGAGTGTGTCTTGGCCTTTTGACGCTCCAAGAGGATAGAGAAAGCGTGCAAAAGGGCCACATCCGGCGTGGCGAAGAGGGTGGCGTCGGTAGCCTCCAAAGGCACAGTCTGGCACAGTCAAGGATCAGCGGCTGTACAACTCTGCTTCCTTTTCTTTTATTCCTACAAGTATCGGCCAACTTTTCATCCACTCATCTCTACCACCTTTTTCCCGTCATTTCCATCTCGCCATGAACACTACTCTACATGACCAGCACGACTCGAACCAACATGACGACGACGTCCTCTCGCCTCGTAACCCACCAGGCATCATTACCGACACGGCGTCTTCGTACACGGCGTCCTCGTACCCAGCCACGAATGCCTCAGATCCAGAGCGTGGTGTACTCTCGCCAACAACTCTAGCAGCAGACTCTCCTGTCAGCCTCTCGCGAAGAGTCTCCACACAGTCTCAAGGATTGAACGTTGACCGAGCTAGCGGCGCCCCTTCCATCTATCCCTATTCGCAAGGCCCGCGACTGTCCTACATCGACGAGAACTTTGACCATTATTCCACCCCACCAGCGAAGCCTGAATACTTCAACGATAAAGGAGACGATACCCTCGTGGACAACGCAGCGGGCTATGGAGGTGTCCATAGTGGCAAATACGAGGATTTCGGTACGTTGTCATTAACGGTCGTACGAGCGCTGTCACTGACCTTCGTTCACGTAGAATTCGCGGATGGCCAACGCTCCCAACCTGTCTCTGAGAAGCCTTCGCCATGGGGTCGCTTTCTTAGTAACGGAAAGTATCCCATAGAACAACGTATCGAGGACAAGAAGCGCGGCATTGGCAGGCAGAAGTATCCCATTGTTGGTACGTGTTTCAACACCACTTGCTATGCACTCGGCTCACATATGACCACAAACAGTCTGGGCGTTGAGTATCGCCATGGTTGGTGTTTTCATCAACGAGCTCGTCGTCAATTCGAGGGCACAGGGTACACCAGTGTCGTTCAAGGTGAGCATTTTCAGCAAGGATGAAGGCTCTGCCGCAGCATCTCACACTCCGCGCAGCCCACCGTGAATCCCATGCTTGGCCCGTCGACGTCGGCCTTGATCAATCTTGGTACGGGCTTTTCCGTCCGCTCAATAGCGATTCCAGATCTAACCCTCTCACGCAGGCGCTCGGTTCCCTCCTTGCATGAAGAATGTCACCGATGTGCCCGTCAGCACGCTGTTCCCTTGTGAGCATCTCCGCAGTCTACTCCATTGTGCTGGGTCATTGACCGGTTTATACAGGCCTAAACGATACCGCCAATCCCCCTGATATCACCTGTGCCATCTCTGAGATCTGCGATTTGTCGGATGCAAACAACCCCAACCAAGCATGGCGGTAAGAATCCTCAACTCCGTCATATCCCACTCGCCGTCCTGATACAGCTCAACAGATTCGTGTCACCTGTTTTCGTTCATGCGGGCTTCATCCACATCATCCTCAATCTACTCGCACAATTGACGGCCGTTGCTCAGGTAGGTTATTGCAACAGTTGTATCGTGGATTGTGAGCTGATCTGTGCCTGTAGATTGAGCGGGAGATGGGCTCCGGAGGGTTCATCATCCTGTACTTCGCGGCCGGAATATTTGGGTACGTACTCAGATTTTATTGCCCAGGCCCTGGTAATAACTCAGTTGAATAGCAACGTCCTCGGAGGCAACTTTGCTCTTGTCGGCGTGCCTTCCATGGGTGCATCGGGAGCTATCTTCGGTTCAATAGCAGTAAGTGAGATGCCTCTACAGGCATGGTCACCAATAATTGACGGTTATACAGGTTTCTTGGATAGACCTTTTCGCTCACTGGCAGTTCCAATATCGGCCGGTAAGGAAGCTCGTCTTCATGATTATCGAGCTTGTATTCGTCATCGCCATGGGATTCATACCATGTAAGTTACTTACAGCCACACTCTATCGGACGGCATTGACGTGATTACCTTCTGCCATCTAGACGTCGATAACTTCGGTACATTTCTGTCTCTCTTGACTCCCGGATCTAAGCATTAACTCATCGACTTCTCGTACAGCTCATCTGGGAGGTTTCCTCATGGGATTGCTAGTCGGCGCCACATTCTACCCCGTCATCAGTACGACAAGGAAACATAAGATGATCATGTGGGGTCTTCGCTTAGCTGCGATCCCACTGGCCATCGTCCTTTATGTCGTCCTCACACGCAATTTCTACACCTCAGATCCTTATGCTGGTAAGTTGTCCTCGTTTTTGAGTCTTGTGGCACACCTCCTAATTCGGTCTCTGCTCCAGCCTGTAGCTGGTGTCGTTACATTTCTTGTATCCCGACTAGTTCGAACAACCATTGTAAAGGGTGAGCGCATCGTTGGTCTGTAGGTGTGAATATTTGTTGATCTCTTCTCCCGTCCGTGTTGCACCCTCAGAACTGGTAAGTGTCCAAATACTTACATATCGAACGCTCGAACCGATTCTGACTGATTGTACTCCAGGCCTTACGACATATACCACAACAAGCACCGGCTCTTAATCGCTCTGGAAGACATCAGACTCTGGCGCCACCTTGATGTGTCCCGCCTTCACTTCCCACTACCTTTCGTGATTCACTTCATACTCAATACCACGCTGAGCGCTTCGTAATGGGCTCTCGAGCTCCACGGACTGTTATACACCTTGTCACCAATATTCCCATTTTTGTCATCGCATTACAGACTCTTTTTACCACATTTACTGTCACGTACTTTTCTATGCGGCTCAAGTGCCCTCGTTTTGCTTGAATGGACAAACCTTTGTTTTGACGATCAAGTTTCGTGCATCGCTTATTAACCTGTATCTGGACTTCTCTCCGGAGTGTCTTGTGTCAACATAACTCTAGCCAGTTCATACCAGTATTTGTCGTAATAATCAATGCTAGCAATTGTTTATCTTGAAAGAGTTTGGCCCTGGGTGTCGATAGTGGCCGAGAGGATTTCAGGTGTCCTAGAGCTTCGAGAGCTGGAGGATCCCACCGGTATCTGCGAACAGCGACCGTGCTATTTACTGACCATGCTATTTACTACGGTCCCAAAAAGACATAGCTGCTACTCGTCTTTGCACATGTTCGACAGTGGCAAACAGGCGTACTTTGATAACGGTACAAACACAGGTATTTTATTGTCTTCTCAAAATCACTGCATGATCTCCGACGCGCCCTACCTCCCAAAGTCCTTACTGGTGTTGACGCTCGCCCCTTTTTTCTCCAACGCAAGGAGAGCATCGACCTCAGGCTTGATAGACTTGAAGTACCCTTCATTGTTGTGCACCGGCTTCCATCCCAGTTTCCGTCCTTGTTCCGCTACACATCGCGAGTTTGTACCGAGGTAGGTTCCCTAATGATGCAAAACGTTAACTTCGTTGTCCCGGAGGGGAGAGGAGAAGGGGGTGAAGTCAAACTTACACCGAAATATTTCTGACACTCTTCATCCGTGAATGTGACTGGCTCCGCGGTCTTCGACCTACCAATCTCGTGAAGAGCGACTGCGACGGCCTTGCAGACGTCGTAAAGCTTGTGCTCTCCTGTCTCGCCGAAGTAGAAGCCTTCCCTGCCGTGAGGCGTTTTTGGATCTTTAATGGCAGCGTCGAAAATTACAATGTAGAGGTCCGCCACTGTCGTAAACCAAAGTTCGCATGATGAATACAGGCTTGATGTTTTAAGCGTGAGATGCTCACCGTCGTCGATGTTCACATTTGGCCAGACATTCTTACCCTCGCCGACCATACCCGCTTGACCCCTTGCGAGCCCAGCTTTGATAAGTCCCGGGATTTGAACGGAATGGGGGTTTTGGATCCCGTCGTCGACGAGCGGTCCAGTGGCGAGACCCCAGATCGTGCTTGGAAGGACAATATGAGAGCGGATATAGCCTGGCCAGTCAAAAGTAAAGGTCAATGACATCCTTGACAGAATACGAAGTAATGTAGAACGGACCCGCTTTGTCTGCATCTACGATGAGGAGGTCGACGTTGCGGTGAATAGCGGTGTCTGGGATGGATTCGATCTCTTCTGGCTTGGAATCGTGATAGATCTTGTCCATGGTCTTTTCACCTTTGGCATCGTCTGTGAGAACACCTGGTTGTGTTGAGATGCAATCTGTCAATAGGGGCTCATCGGGATGACCTCATAAGCATTTAGGTACCTGTGCCAGACTTATAGACAAGTGTTAGTGTGGGGGGTAGCAAGGCGAAGATGTCAATCTTCATACCGTATGGATGAGAATGGGAACTTCGCCAGTCGTTTCATGCCTCTTCTTCAATCCGGCAAGGATCTGGAGTCCGCGTGCTAGATGTTAGCGAAACGAAAGGGGACGGTCAGGGTTTCAGATGTGACCGACCGCTTTGGCTGCCCCGAAATCATCTGCGTCCGCCTATCGAGTGGTGCATTATGCGTTATAAGCCGCCCGACCCTACTGTACGCAAAAGAGCTCGAAGAGCTTACCGTATGGACGACAACGTTTGCGCCCGCGGAAAGTTCCTCCAGTTTCTGCACATTTGTGAAGTCTCCCACATGAGCGTCGATGTGGTATTTCTCCTTGAGGAGCTTGGCCTTGTCGGCGCTACGAGTGATGGTGGTGAATTTGAATGTGGAGGCGTTGGGATGGGTAAGAAGACGTTGGAGAACAGATCCTCCGATGTAACCTAGCATGCCGGCCAGTTGTTTTCAATAGGCCACACTTGAAGGGAGTGTGGCAAATGAGACGCACCCGTTGTACCAGTGATGAAGATGGTGGTGCTTGCAGACATTGTTGCGTACTGCTAGGTGTCGTTCGTAGGGAGATGGAGGGTTCAGAGAAGAAAAGGAAGGGTCGCAGGAACGTTGCGTGCTGCTAAAATGTTCAATGCTCAGGTGGCAGGTTGCTGAGTGAGCCGCACGCTACTGAGTAAAAGCTGACGTCATTCGAGTCCTGCGAGATATTATGACGGTGGAAATACTGTACTCTGATGGATTGGTAAAGAATAAACAACCACAATGAGAGACGGACGGACGATGACATGGGGCGGCATAACGCCGAAGGTCAACAGCATCTATAAGTTGGGCATTCTAGTAGGTGCTCATAGTAGTGCTTGCGCTGCTCAATTGGTTGATAGCCAGAAGCCTATCAGAAGTCTGTGCGAAACATAACGCGCGTAGAGCTCAAGGTGACTCGTCTAGCTGTCGTATGAGTTACAGATATGATGGCTGAGCTACATGAAAATGCGGACGAAAAAGCGAATTCAGCATGAACACAGGTTGCGGTTCAAGCAAGGGTTCAAGCGGCAAGTTCAAGGCGGGCCACGACTAACGCCCGCAACACCGCCCTCGTCCGGGGCAATGCGACCGGCAGATCGGTTCCTTTGCGCAAACGATAACGGTGATCGGATTTCCTCAGTGAAGTCGTGATCGCTGCCAGTCGTTGTGCGCGTTCGATGGCAAACGAAAATCCACTGATGATGTTACATACACACATATATCCCTTCTCTCCAGCTACACTGTCTCCGATATACTTACTACTTAGTACCACTCCACCTCCCGAAGTCAACCGGCGCGCACGCCACCACTCAGTGCTTCTCCACTGACGCGATGAGAGCATCGACCTCAGGCTTGATAGACTTGAAAAAGCTTTCGTTATCGTGCACTGGCTTCCATCCCAACTTCTTTCCTTGCTCTGACACGGCGCGCGCGTTTGTGCCGAGCCAGGTTCCCTGCAGATCAACGGTATCGCCAACAGCGTCAGCACGGAGAGGTTACTTTTGGGCGGTTCAGGAAGATCATCTTACGCCAAAGTATTTCTGGCACTCTTCATCTGTGAAGGTGACCGGCTCCGCGGTCTTGGATTTACCAGCCTCGTACAGAGCGACTGCGATGGCCTTGCAGACGTCGTAGAGCTTGTGCTCCCCCGTCTCGCCGAAGTAAAAGCCTTCCCGGCCATGAGGGGTTTTCGTGTCCTTGATGGCAGAGTCGAATATGAGGATGTAGAGGTCCGCCACTTGATATACATGACATGAGCATACAGTCAGACAGTCGTTCTAGCACAATGGATTGGGAAGTACGTACCATCGTCGATGTTCACGTTTGGCCAGACGTTCTTACCCTCGCCAACCATTCCCGCTTGGCCCCTCGCGAGTCCGGCTTTGATGAGGCCCGGGGTTTGGATAGAGTGAGGGTTTTGTATTCCATCGTCGACGAGTGGTCCCGTGGCGAGACCCCAGATTGTGCTTGGAAGGACGATATGCGAACGGATATAGCCTGGCAACTCAAAACTGAAGGTCGACAACAGTGTCGACAGAACGTGAAGTAGTATGAAACTAACCTGCTTTGTCCGCGTTGACGAAGAGGAGGTCGACTTTGCGGTGAACAGCGGTTTCGGGGAGGGATTCGATCTCTTCTGGCTTGGAATCGTGGTAGATCTTGTCCGTAATCTTTTCACCTTTGGCGTCGTCGATGAGAACACCTGGTCGTATTGAGATGCGTATCGTCAATAAGAGTCAACGAAAGTATCTATACGTGTTACAAGTACCTGTCCCCGACTAATGAACATAAGTTAGTACAGAGAAAGATCATTGCGCACAGGGTGGTCTTCAACGTACCGTATGGATGAGGATGGGAGCTTCGCCAGTAGCTTCATACCTCTTCTTCAATCCAGCAAGGATCTGACGTGTTCGTGCCTTAGAGGTTAGCCAGATAGAGGACACGATTGAGATGTTTGGCTGACCGCCTTGGCTGCTCTGAGATCATCTGCGTCCGCCTGGTGATGTGAGTGTAACAAAATCGTAAGTCACCTCATCCCTGCTAACTTGTGGGCACACGAGCATGAGAAGCTTACCGTATGAATTACGACGTTTGCTCCCGCCGAGAGTTCCTCAAGTTTTTGAACATCCGTGAAGTCTCCCACGTGAGCATCGACGTGATACTTCTCCTTCAGGAGCTTGGCCTTGTCGGCACTGCGAGTGATGGTGGTGAACTTGAAGGCAGAGGCATTAGGATGATCAAGCAAACGCTGAAGAACAGATCCTCCAATATAACCTGATATGCCGGACAATTGACTTTAATATACCGCAAGGGAATGTGGCAATGAGACGCACCCGTGGTACCAGTGATAAAAATGGTAGTGCCTGCAGACATGGTTGTGGGTGATGGTGTGGTGGTGATGGTAAGATAGATATCCCAGAAGAGAGAATGAAGAATCGGAAAAGCCTCGAGTCTGGTTTTATTTACTCAAATATGATCTTTAGAGTACTGTAGTAAGTCGCTGAGTGAGCGCTAGTGGGCGCTGAAGCGCTGACAAGTTGCTGAGCGAGCGCCCTTAGCAGTGAGCCTTGGGAGGTGAGCACGCTGCTGGGAGCAAAATTGACGCGATTTACGGGTGTGCCGAGAGAGAAGGCCCTCCAATGATTGGCCGATTGAGCGAGTCCACAAAAAGTTCGAGAGGCAGGCGGAGGCCGATGATGGCACGACAACTATTCGAGCAGGAAGTGCTCGAGCACGGCTCAGTAAGCTTTTCGCAGTTGTATGTCAGCTTGCTTCAAGTCGGCTAGTTTGTGCCAAGACAACAATCTAGGTGAATCGTCAGACATGTGAGTGTGCTGGGTGAAGGCGACAGAAGAGTGACTCAAGAGTGACTTCAAGTTGGATTGAGCGTGCGATGTCGCCGCCTTCTTCCGGGGCAACGCGGTCCGCAGACCGGTTTCCGTCGAAGGGCGGTGGCGGATGACGAAGTGGGCAGATTATTGCGGCGTGCTTTAGCACTTGTGCATGTCTCCATGGTTCAGTCGAGGTCTATACCACTCTCCCTCAACCCACACTGGCCTCACTTCGCCGCCTTTGCGTGCATAGCCCTTGCACTCCTTCTTGGCTTCACTCGCCTCACCCTTCTTGGTGAGCCTACCGCCCTTCTTACCGTTCCGCGTACCTGCTTACTCTCCGTCAAGATCTCTCCGACCCGTTGCGTTGTGATGCTTTGCTCAATAGAGGCCGGTGGCTCGATGGTGGCTTTAAAAACTGGCAGCCCGATGGTGTGTTCTACCCCTGGTGCTCACTCACTGCCCATCTCAATGGAAATATCACAGGCTGCATGATGCACTCCTACCAATCGAAGGACGCCGAGACGTGCCTACAATCTCGAGATGTCGTCTTCATGGGAGATTCTGTCGCCCGAAAGCTCTTCTTTCAGTTCGCCAATATCGTCGACAAGGGTCTTGCCACAGGCCCACCAGACGACGCACAGAAGCATGCCGACCATCACCTACGCGCTTCGTTTGGGACGGAGCTATCTTTCTACTGGGATCCATTTCTTAACTCGTCCAGCCTCGATGAAGTGCTCAGCGGAAAGGACGCAGATGAACACCCTCTGGGTACACCGTCTTTCAAACGGCCATCACTGCTTGTTCTAGGCTCAGGTCTCTGGTATCTGCGGTATGCTAACACTTCAGGGGGGCTCCCAGCATGGGAAAGCAATACGGAGGCGCTCCTCGATCGGATCTATCGCTCACGCCGCAAACCCGCAGACGAAATAGTCGTTTTACCTATCGAGGATCTTGTTTCGTACAAGCTATCGGACGAGCGTGCCACCACGATGCTACCCTCAGACAGAGACGCCATGAACTCCGAACTTTTCCACAGAATACATCCACCATTCACCCCATTTTTCTCAATATTTTCCCCGCCGCCACCTGAAACTCCCGTCTCGCTCCCCCTCGTATTCAACGATATGCTCGACCCTTCCCAGACGGAAGACGGACTTCATTTCTCGGATCCGGTCGTTCGAACTCAGGCGAACATCCTCCTTAACCTTCACTGTAACGATGAATTACCCAAGAGCTTCCCTCTCGACAAGACGTGCTGTCGTCGCTACCCTTGGCCGTCCTTACTCCATTTTGTGGTTTTAGTAGCCGCTGTTTTTTGGGGTCCTTGCGCCTGGCTCTTGTCCCGCCGAAACGGTAAGCAGCGCCACAGCTCTTCGCGTCAGAGAATGCCACCTTGACGGCTTTTAGAGGGCAGATCGCTTCTCAGCCCACCTTATATCGACGAGGGTCAACTACCACCACTAGTCATGAGCGGCGCGGTTGCAGTCATATATCTGGCAGACAGGTCTTGGTTCTGGTTGAAAGAACAAAAACAATTCGATTCATGGGCTTTTGGTTTCCTCAATTTCTTGTTCTTGGCCATCGGTCTCGCCACAGTCAAGCGTGCGGACAAGGATCTCGGTTTCTTGAACAGAGAGCAAACGGATGAATGGAAAGGCTGGATGCAGAGTGAGTCTATTCACAACGGCACGTTGCATGCCATCTGTCTGACACGTCTGTTCCTTCACCCCAGTCGCCATCCTGATCTATCATTATTACGGGGCATCGAAAGTCTCCGGAATATACAATCCAATTCGGGTCCTCGTTGCATCGTACTTGTTCATGACTGGCTACGGGCATACAACGTTTTACGTCAAAAAGGCGGACTTTGGTTTCCTCCGGGTGGCGCAGGTGAGCGTTCCTCACTGTCGCCACAAGGCGAAGCCTAACTCTTACTGGTTCATCTTAGATCATGGTGCGGTTGAATCTGCTCACCCTCCTGCTCGCGTACACCATGAACACCGATTACATTTCGTACTATTTCGCGCCGCTCGTATCCATGTGGTATTTGATCATCTACGCGACGATGGCCATTGGATCTCAATTCAACGATCGCACCGCGTTCCTCGTGTTCAAGCTCTTCGCCTCCATGGCCCTCGTTACCTGGTTCATGAGCGAGCCCTGGTTGCTCGAAACAATCTTTGCCTTCCTCGCTAATTTCTGCGCCATCCATTGGTCGGCAAAGGAATGGGCCTTCCGCGTCAATCTCGACCTCTGGATCGTCTACTTTGGAATGTTCAGCGCACTCACCTTCATCAAGATCCGCGAGCACCGTCTGACGGAGCATCCGCATTGGCACCACGCAGTCAACGTCGCCATCGGTACCTCAGCGCTCGTCATGATATGGTACTTTGGCTTTGAACTCGCGCAGCCAGACAAGTTCGTCTACAACACGTGGCATCCCTACGTTTCGTTCCTCCCCGTCGCAGCGTTCATCGTCCTACGAAATGCGAACCCCGTTCTCCGATCAGCATCCTCCAGAGCGTTTGCGTGGATCGGTCGTTGCTCCCTCGAGACGTTCATCATCCAGTACCACCTTTGGCTCGCGGCGGACACGAAGGGGATCCTTATCGTCATTCCGTGGACGAGATGGCGCTCTCTCAATATGGTCATCACCGCCGTCATGTTCGTCTACATCAGCCACTACGTAGCTATCGCTACGGGCGAGTTCACCTCTTGGATCTGTGGCACTGGTAACTCGAAGAAATCACTACCCACAACTGCTCCCGGTGCCGGTGCCGGTCCTAGCGCCAATACCAACAATAGACACGATCGTGACCGTACGCCAGAGTCCGTACCGTTGACCACGCAAGGCGAACCGACTCAACCGAAGGATGAGACGGAGAGCGGTGCGGTAGCGGGACAGTCGTCTGAGGAAAGGCCTCCATCGCCGCCGGCTACACCGAGGAGATGGATGGATCGGTTGGCGGAGGGGTCGGAGGCGCCGAGGACGAGAGGGATTCCGATGCGGTTGTGGGAGGGCGTTGGGAATAGGAAGGAGGGGTGGAACTTGGGCGTGAAGGCGAAGCTTGCGATGGGGTTAGGGTTGATGTGGTTCTTGAATGTTTTGTGGGCAGCGCCCGCTTGAAGCGGTGGTTGAGTGACCCACGGACGGATTGACATATACGGAGCGGAAGTATAGTACATAGGCTGTAGCCAGTGTTAATGCAATTCAACGGACATTGTTATCTTCTTTTCTTCTTACTGTTGAGGGACAGAGTTGCCTCAATGGCGGCAAACATGATAGGAATAGCACTGGAATTTATGTCGAACAGACAGATTTCATTGTTCAATAACGTAGTGATACATGGGGATACAGACGTGATGGACAATAAAAAAGCAATTGTACGACCTTGAAAGAAGAAGACAGTAAGCAGAGAGGTCTTGGTGATTGTGAAACGAGGATCATTTGGTTGAAGACATTGAATTAAAAATAAAGGTGACGTCCTTGCTGGGTATCCAGCTCGGCGTAAAGGTAATAATCATCTCAGAAAAGATAGAGATGGACACTGACTCTGTGAGAAACGAGGCGAGGCTAGAATGAGGAGGGCGACCTAGGGAAGATAGAGTAATCAGCAAAACTGAAGACGAAGTTGCGATATGTGAGATCAGTATTAGCATGGATACTCATCAACACCCGTCCAGAAGACGGGGTCAGGGCTTGACTTCTATTTTATTCGATCATGTCGAGAAAGCGTGAAAGTGAAACTCACAAGTTCAAAACAAAAGATGGGCCGGAGATGCGAACCTGTGGTAGAAGAGGGTCGATAAGATGAGCGTGAGGATCAGACAAAAGGCTGTTGGAGACAAAGCTCAGAAATTTGGGTATAATATGAAACAATTCATAAGCCGTAGCTTCGAAGTAGCGATTCATTCTTTGTCTCGTCACTGCGACAACGAGACTGGAAGGAGGAAAGGTGACTGACCGAAAGAGAGAGTCGTCGCGCGAAAGAGAAAAAAGATGGCACGGCTAAATACGGCGCGACATGGTCACGTGCCCGGAGGCAAAACGAGGCTTTAGGGTGAGTCTGGCGGTTGCCTGGCGGGATTACGCCTCTCTCTGCTCTTCGACATCAACACGCACGACCCCGCACTCCCTTACTCCCACCATGGCCAATGTTCTCCAACCACAGCCGAACCCTTTTGGCTTTGCATTCGGTCTCTCATCGCCCTCGTCAAATATTATGGGTTGGTCTCAGCCCCCCATGACACACCCCCTGCACCACCTCGCCGCCCCTGCCACTCAGCCATCATCTCGCCTCAAACGCAGATTCGAGCCTGAAGACGAGAACGACACGGGCCCTCAGAGGCCCAGTCCAGGCGCACGGGATGAGTCAATGGACAGGAGTCCTACTCCAGAGCGGCCAAAGAGAGGGGTGCCTAAGAGGGCTCGCACTTCTCCAGCGACCAATATACTCGGTTCGAAGGATGTGAAGGAGAACAAGTCGGCAGATTCTGATAACGATGTGGATGTCGGTGTGCTGCTCGGTAAGCCTGTCCCTTGCCTCTTCGTATTGCGCTCTCATGAATGACATAAATCAGCGAGCTTGCCTTCACAGTCGCTCTTGCCTATCCTGACCTCACTCATATCCTCGCAACCCTCGCTCAAGTCCCATGTACTCTCACTCATACCCCGCCCATCTCTGGACACGGCCCTTCAAGCCCTCCAGCAGTCTGCCAAGAAACTCCGTGACGCATACCCATACTCGAATCTACCACAGCCCACGCCACCTTCATCCTCTTTCGGTTTTGGTTTCGGATCAGCGTCCACTTCCCGATCACCTACTTTCGGCGCCTCTGTTTTGGGTTTTGGTCGTGCGCCTCAGTCATCTGGCTTTGGTGCATCAACACCAGCGGAGTCCAGTAACGGCGGCATGCGGCAGGAATACATTGTGTCCCGCCTCACACCTCACATCAACGAATTTACGTCCGCGTGTCTATCATATCTTCCCTACTTTTCCTTACTCCCCTCATCCTCTCCGGCCCGACCAACGCCTTCGTCTCCCACCCATGGACCTCAGCGGGACAAGCTCCACCCCACCGAGACTTTCACATTCCTCTCGTCCCTTACCGGACACATTCTGTCTCAGCCACCCCTCACTCAAGCATCGCTCGTCCCAGCTCTTCTCCCACGTCTTCTGGATGAATGGAAGGCCTGGGTGGATCATGTTAGCGAGGTAGTTAATAAGCAGGGAGGCATGTTCGGTGGAGAAACAGTGCGTGGCTGGGAGCGTGCGTTGGACGAGTTTGCAGAGGCCAAAGACCATGGATTGGAGGCGTTCAGGGAGGTTCGAGATCGGTGGGTGGCGCAGGTCGGTTGGCTGGTCGGGCGGCAGCACCATCGCATGATGGACTTGTAAGAGGCCAGTGTTGTGTGTTTCTACTATCATCGTACGGTACTTGATTCCACGGGCTAGGTGGTCGTCTAATCATATGAGTAGTGTATCTTGCTGCTCCTTCCTCATTCATTTGGTTATTTTCTTTTTCTTTTCCCATCGTTGCTCATCATATTCTCCTCCACGCCATGCCCCATGCAACACACGACGCCTTGCTTACCATGATACATAGTTATGCCTATAAATGTACCCGTTATTGTTCAGGGGCGTGTCCGTCTCAGAAGGGGTGTGGCCCATAGGTCGGTGAAGCGCCCGGGTGGCGTCGGTCGAACGTGCCACGTGCAAAGAAATTTCGGCTTTCGTGTGCTGCCCACGGCAACTGTGAGTTGCTGCACTCCGTCGTCGGCGTTGGCTTTGACCTCCATCCTCCTCACGCTGTCGGTCTTTTCTGAACGGGTGAAACCCATGCATGCGCCATCATGCGGCACATATGAGCAATGCTGCACTTTTCCTCAACCGCTACCGGTCATTCCTTCCTTCCGCGACCGACCAAGTTTTGCCTACGCGTTCGAGTCCGAGTCCGAGTCTACGTCTTCACTGTCGACGCGTCCATCATGCTCTCCTTGGTTTCTCGCGCGACAAAACAATTGCGTCTTCTCGAGCTAATCTTCAGATTAATGCTGCCTCCGACTCTGCTCCCGAAATACCGTGAGTTTGGACGTCTGCATATCCCTTCACAGTTCGTTAATTGCATGCTTCAGCATTAGGACTGTAGCCAAATTGAAGGAGAGCATCCTCACTCCCGCGGAACAGACAATCACCAAGAGCGAAGTGCTTCTCGCCACCCCTGTATCATCGGCACCCTCCACACGATCCGCACCCTTCGTCTCATCTACAACCCGCACCCATGCTAAGGACTCCGCTAGTTCCTCCAACTCCGCACAATCTATCCCTCCCATCCCTCAGCTTCTCAAAGCTCGAGGCTATGTCGATGCGGACATTCTATCGGAACGCGACCAAAACTCCGAGGATCCAGGCCGGATGCCTCACCCAGATTCGCTCGAACGTCTGCCTCATTTATCCCAACTTCAGTCAGACGATTTCTTCACTTTACATCCCATGACGACACCTCGCCAACCCAAACCGCCAAGTCTGCATCGACAACTGCAGTCTTTAGTCGACCAAGACCCTACCCCTCCGCTGGATTCTCTCATCCGCTTCCATGCATCTTTCCCCGCACGCAAACAGTCAACTCGTTCCTATAACCTACTCCTCCGTTTGGCCATACGCAACGCGTCTTATCGCACCGTAACGTATCTCCTAGACACGATGAGGGAGCTGGATATTCCGGGAGACGAGCATACCTTGAAATATACAGTCAGATTCTTGGTTCGGCAGGGCTTATGGTCAGACGCCTTCGCGGTGGCCACAGGTAGGGGCAGTCGCAGCATGGCCGACACCGCCTTTGGTCGTGGCGGCGTTCATCCTATCGCCTGGACGGAGTTGTTTGGAGGGGCTCAACGAGGCGCAGTGCGGCGGGGGTTTGAGGAGCTTGGTTCGCGGCCTGTGACACCGCGGACGCATGGAATAGGCTCGGAGCGATTCCACCTAAACATGCGACAACTTCCCAGACTGACGTTGACGAACCGCAGCGTTGACCGGCCGTCAAAGACGACAATTTACCTCTTCGTTCAATCACTTCTCCGCATGGGAGAGCACCGGGCAGCGCTCGACATTACGATCCGGCTCCTTCGCGCCAATCCAACCGTTTGGGGCATGCGTTTCGTCCACCTCCATATTGCATTGCTCGGCCGCAAGCCTATGCCGAAGCCTGGAATCCAAAGCTACAACGCCGCTCGTAGGGATCTCGATGCGATGCTCTCCGCCTGCCCATCGCTTCAACCGGACGCTACCACCCTCTTCATTCTACTCGGCCACCTCAAATCAACGGTGAACTGTGGTACCCTCGGACACAGGCTCCTCCTGCAGTTCGAGTCACGCTGGGGGAAAGATGTCGTAAATGCGAGCGTCCGGGCAAGGATGCTCGCACTCGCGAGGAAGCAGGGTCGGCCTGACCTTATTAGAACTTGTGTGGAGGCCATACGGAGGAGTGGAGATCTGAAGGGCTCGATGCATGTAGGGCTTGAACCGTCGCTGTCTCGAACGACAACCGCAACGAGGACAGAGAGCGCAGGCGGGCATTTACGCTCAATGTATCTGCGAAAGGGTGCGGAGAGGACGCGGAGTTGGAAGCTGGTTGGCAGAGTTGGAAGGCGTAAGGCCAGTCACTCGGTGCCTACTTTGTAATTTTAATTATTGGTTCTTTCCCAACGCTGTTCCCTTCGAGCTGCAGATCTCACCTATCGCAAAGGCAAACAACCTTACTCTCGCGCTGACATGGCCTTTCCTTGGTGAAGACAGTCCTCGGAGTCCGAATGGGCCAAAGTCCTCGCTCCATCAATCCCGAGAAGGCCGCTGCAGGTTGAGCATCTTCAATCATGACTGTCGATCGACGAAAGGCTCGATAAATGGTGCGTGTTATTTTTGCAAGGGCTTTCAAGACACTAATTGAGCTCCAACGTCGCCGGGCTCCAGCTGAATATGACTCGTTTTGACACAAGTAAGTTAATCCTGATAAACAGCGCTTAAGTCTATTCCTGCTTCGACTTGCGATTCCCAACAATACACGTGGAAGGGTCCCGGGCACACCGGCCACGCGTCATGACTTGGTTTCAATTCTGACATCCGCTGAGCTATCAGAGCACAAGTCGAGCGTCCATCGACTTTGAGAGAGTTAAACACGCCTGCTAGCTCCTTCAATTATTTCACTTTGGGTTTGAATTTACGACCGTTTCCGGTGTGAACCGACCTGCCTCGGAGGCCGGGAGCTGGCCAACGAGCATCTCATGACTCGCTCAGAGGTTCAGTGTATTGTCAGCCCTTTCGTATACGACTTTCATGAGCGAGCAGAGCTTCATTTGCAGACTTATCTACCGTGAAGGATCCACCACTTGGCAAGGTTTCGAACATAGTAGCTCTGCCTTTTTTGGGGCAGTTTACTTGCCGGACCCCCGGGATCCGAGGAACAATAGACTTTGGACATGTCCTTTTGAGACGCCTAAATTGCTTAATCGCCTGTTTAGGCCTGCTGCCTATCATTTCCTGTTCACTGTCCCCGACTCATCCCCGAGCTCTGTCATCGTGGTATCTGCTTTCTTGAAGACAGAGGCCTCCCATAGTAGGAGGACCCGAGGGCGAAGGCAAGCTCATTGTATGTCAAGATGGCCTGCAAATGTCTCATGTTCTTGCGCGGAATGGTCAATTTATCGCAGTCGGTCGCGAAGCTGATGACAAGCGAAGGTATGACGAGTTCACCGTTCTCGTCATGGGCGGGACGCATGTTTCTGTAACTTCTTTGCGACGTTGCGAGTTAACCGTTGCTGCCCGTTAGCTGAGTTTCTATCTTTCCGAGTGTGAGTTCACCGTTCCACCGCCCAGGCAACCGTCTCAAACTCAAGAGGCAGGGTCTGACATAAGCAGGTAACGAAGGATCGAGTAGCGCTCTCGGCCTCAATATTTGGGGGGATCTGCTATCCAGCCCCTTAGCTGCTACTTCAATATTGGGCTTCCATATGTCGTGGCACAGATCTCGATTCTTGAATCTTGAAATCTCTGTACAAAGGAGAATATCCGATGCTCGTCACCTCTCCGTTGAGCCTATATCCGCCATGGTTATAAAGGGCGGGTAATGTGGGCAACAAAATGCCATCCTCCCCCTCCGACGCATTTTCAGCCATTTCCTCCCCTCCCGAAATCATTTCCTTCGATGCCATCCTCTGACCAGATCCTGTCTCTCTCGTGTACCGTCGTGGGCGTCGGTCCTGGTGGTAGTACCTCTATGTTGGCGTATGTCTTGGTTTCTCTTCACCTCCCACACCGGACAGTACTCAAGCATTACACAGTCGTGTTGCGATCACAGATTTCCGCGGAGAAAATATCTACGAGCGTTATGTGGCGCCAACTTTGCAAGTTACCGACTATAGGACTGGAGTGACCGGTATCACGGAGGAGCACTTAAGTAGGTATTCGATTTTCCCTCTTCGTCGACCGGTCATTGATCCGTGCTATGCAGGGACCGCATATAAATTCAGTCAGGTTCAACGTCAAGTCGCGGACATCATTCGAAACAAGACAATCGTTGGCCACCAGTTATGGAACGACCTCTCAGGTGAGACATGGAAGTCATAGGCGTCTTGTATGCTCGTTTCTAATTTAGCAAAACTTCTCAGTTCTTGGTATTCCCCATCCGGCAGTGGACACTCGCGATGTGGCACTCTATCAACCTTGTTAGAATCTCTTGTCTTGTCTTCTTCGTACATCGCCATCTGACCCCGAGGATCTCAACGCAGTCCGCAACGCTCTTAACTCCCCCAATCATATCGTAGGGCTCCAAAGCCTTTGTTGGCACCTCATGCGTCGTCGGTGCCAAGATGGTCAACAAAACCCGGTCAGTATCTCCTCTCAGATGGCGCTGCTGTCCGACGACCGTACTGACCTTGTTTTATGCAATGTAATCTCTTTGGACAGATTGAAAATGCTCGGGCAGCCCTCGATCTATATCGTTCACATGGAACCGAATGGGAATCTGCCATTCGGGATGGCCATTGGCCTTGCGCACTGCCTCCCTCCACCTTCGCTCGCTGCTATCTGTAGGTGACGTTGGCGTCGCTCACCGGACGGCGAATGGACCACCGCCTGGCACAGCCGCCCTCTTTCTTGGTTTTTTGTCTTTCCCTCCTCCGTCCCCGTCCGTCATTTCGGACTGGTTGAAAGGGGTATTGCTGCATTGCATTGTTCCTAATTTTACGTGGACCCTGCTTCTTTGTTATCCTTCCTTGGCGCCTCCCTGCGCCTCCTGATTGTCGATCCTCGCTTGAATGTCTGTTAGGCTATGTAGCTTCTAGACCCCTGACCTTGTCACTTCCTCATATTCCTTCATTCTTGCATATCTTGGACTCTCACCCACACGGACCAGAATCGTCCTGTCCATTCCGCCCTTGTAGTATATCTTATTCGTTATGTATGTATATATCTCCAAGTACCTTACCTCCTCATAGTTGCTATTTCTTGGGCTTGTGATCCGGCTTTTCGAGTCATGTTGCATGCCGTAGTGAACCTGTACATAGACTGCGGCCATCGAGCTGATAAAGTATGCTACCATGACTTCCCTAATACAGTGACCCATATGTACGCACAACGGCGACTGATGCTTCTTGTTTCACCCTTCGGCCAGGCTCGCCTCGGATGAGTCGACACGAGAAGCTGATACTACTGCCGGGTCTAGATAAAGCAGCAATGCGTCAACAACGCATCGGCGGGTGCGGTACGACGGCTTCTTGTACGGTGGGGGCGACAGAGCGTGCGTGATTCTCATACCTTTTCGGCACCCAGGGTGCGCATCAAACCCTCGTAGACAAACAGGGCGCAGGCGTTCGCTGGAAACGCACGCAAAAGACTTGTGCCAATCCCGCGATAGAAACCCCGCACGCCGGCCTCATCATAAACGTGGTGGACGGTGATCAGCAAAGACGGGGGCCGCAGCGGGAGTTCGGTCGCCATGATTCGGCTTTGAAATTTAGGTTGATGAGGAACGTGGCAACCCGCCGGGAGTAGGAGGCGGCGAACATTGAGAGATGAAATCAGTCGACAAGGCCCAACAGGACGACATCGACGCCCACAGAGGCACATGAAGGGGGACCCACTTCTTCACGTTGTCAGCCGGGATGGCCATGGTCCAGTAAATGAGCGACGCTAAACCCCCAGCAAGGAAGTTCTGCTGCCCCGTTGACATCTAAGAGATGTTATTATGAGCGCGGTAACGGCGGGTGGCCAAAAGAGCGCCAACAAAGGGGCGGAATATAAGCTTCCGACGCGGTTGAAACCACGTTCGGGAAACGTGCCGGGATCAAGAACCGATATTCAAATAGGGACTACGAACCTCGAACCGAGTTCCTTTGAGGTGCGCAAATGAACGCATCAGGGCCTGTGGCGTTCGCGAAAGCGGATGGTCAACGTAACACGAGCCAGAAAGAAAGGAGTAGTAGAGAAGCTGACTTCGAAGGAGCCAAACAGCCAAAAGAAGTTACTTCTGTATACGAGACTGGCGGGCAAAGCTGTCCAGAGGCCTAGTACGCCTTGGGTCCGTACAATCTTCCTTGCACAGTCCACCGGACCACTATACTGGCGCAGATTAGGGTCATTATGCATCTGCATTTGCAACTTGACCTTCAACAATTCCATAGGGGTTGCTAAGAAGGCACTGGAGGACACCGTTCAGATGGTAAGATTCGCGACGACCTTCCGATGAAAACACAGCCGCACCTGGTTAGTCCAGCGAAAAGTCCAGCTATCCCATGGCTCAGAAGCGTAAGCCTTCGCTCGTCGATGGAGCCTGGCACAGGTTCAGTGGTTCCGTGTCGTAGAAGAAAAAGTCGGTAGTTATGGAGGGAGCCCAGAAGAACGGAGTCTATTGCGGCCCAGCCCACAGCTGGCTACGCGGTACTTCAGCACAAAGGCGTGTATAACAGCCAGCTGTTGACCGCGTACTATAATCTCACCGGTGTCACTCCTTTGTAAAGGGCAAATATCGACTGGGGTACGTCAGGTGAATCGAAACAATGCTAGAGATGAGGAGACCAAGTCACCTCGTTACGAACTGTCTTTACCAGACAATCAATAGCACCCTTGTATACTCCAGGCGGAGAGCACTGCAGGCGGGTTTTGATGGTGTCAAATCTGTGCCCAGACCACGTTCATCCAGTTTGAGACTTTGAACAGTCAGATGGCCGTTGCTCACAAAAGAGGGCCTTGACCGACGTACATGGTAAAGATAACACCGAGGCGACGTACTTACCCATGTCCGACCGCAACCTGAGAAGGCGAAAAGATGTGTGCTGATGTATTTTTCAGAGCGGACGGGTTCTCGAACATACTTTAGTGAGACCTAGAAACAAAGGCTCGATGTTCAAACCCCGCTCGAGTGTGCGTGCCAACATGTACAATTACCACTTCCGACCCCGGCCAAGGCTCCCACAAGTCTGATTTGGCTGGATGGCTCTGGTTCTTCGGTCATGGATCTTCAGCGGGGGTAATAGAGGTGAAAAAGGCCGCTGCGGGGATCAAGCTTTTCCAAGAACGAAACCGTCTTTTCGAAGTCGCACGAAGCGGAAGTCAATATGGTCCTGGTTTGGACGCCCATAGTCGGCCACGTGAGCGGGGCCGCATTTAGAATGCGAGGTGTCAACGTGGCAGGGTGGCCCAGCGGTGGCCCATCAACTTTCTTTCAATCCACGATGAACTCAGCAACGAACGGCGGCCAGGAAGAAAAGCAATGCAGGATTTGCCTCGATGGCCCTGATCCTGAATTGGGTAAACTCATACGACCGTGTCTCTGCAGCGGCTCGATCTCGGTACGGTTTTGTAACTCTCGTTGAATATCGAAGGTCTGAAAGCCCCTGACCAGGACTGCTTTTCCCTTTGATGCATAGTACGTTCACCTGCGTTGTCTTCAGAGGTGGCGCAATACCTCCCCGTCTTCCTCGGCCTTTTACACATGTCCTCAGTGTCATTACCGCTACCATTTCGCCCGCACCAAGGTCGTTGGCCTTGCGACCAACCCCAGTAAGTCTATGGACCCTAGTCTCAGGATTAACAAACAATCTCAGATATGTTTCGCAGTCGCAATAGCTGCATTATCTACTGCGCTATTCGTGGTCTTGGTCATCCTCTCCTCTTTCATCACAACCATGTTCTTCTCCCCTACGGACGACACATCGGCCCAAACAGGGTACCACAGCTACTGGTATTCTTCGTGGGCATACTCGTACGACGTTGGCGGTGATCTCATACGCACAGCACTCGGTATCATCCAAGATGAGACTGGCGATCTGTTCGACGCCGATAAGCTGTTCTCTTCCAGCTCCTCTGCAGGCATTCCATTCCGACAGCCCCCACCACCTCCCGGCCTCATCCGGCGACTCTTTCAGCGTTTCCTGCTCGGGCTGCCCGTCGTCGGCGTGGGCTCGCTCGTCCACATGCTCTCCTGGACCATGCTCACCCCTGTGCACTGGCTGGCCCGGTTCAGAGGCAGTCGAAATAGGCGTGGATCTGGATCGCGGGATACCGCGGCCATCATCCTAGTCCTGCTCATCATCGCTGGCGCCGCTAGGTGGGTTCTTTGGTTACCTCTACCTATATGGACCTACAATTGAAGCCGTATATCTCTAAGGGCGCTGTACAAAGTATATCAATTCACGGAGTCCGTGACGAAGCGCATCTTACTTCGTGCAGAGGAAATGATCCTGGAGGTTGATTCGTAACATGTGTCAGGCTTTATGCGAAATTACCGTAGCCTTGTTCTTTCTCGTCTGTCCACTATTTTATTCAGGGAGTTTCATCGACATCATTTGTTCTGCTATGTATTTGCTCTGTGTTGTAAATCTTCACCACTCGAATTGTTCTCCAGATGTCGAAGTCCTAGCTTCACTTACCAAAACGTGCTAATGGCACCGTGTTCAATGCGTCGAATATATGTCCGAAGAAGAACATTGAAGAAAGCTTGAATTCCCCAACCGTATGACCGCGTATGGCATAGCAAGATAGTCGTTGTATCCCCACATCGGGAAAATCACGTTTGTTTGGGTGTCAGAGTCAAACGTCACATAACTTACAACAGTAGCACAGGCATGAGCCAGATCACACCAACATAACGGGCCGGCTTGTGCACGAATCCTTCCTCCCGGCCACTCTCGTCTCACCCCCCTTCGGCGTATCCGTCATTTTGAGATTGTTGAACCCTGACGTTCAACGGGACAAAGTGTTGCAGACCGATGCACGCATAGCTTCACTGTTATATGATGAGTCTAGCGGCGGTCATGCCTCATGGGTCTTCAGGTCCATTACTTCCAGGGACGAGCTGGACGCAAAGTTGAAACAGCGTATTAAAGCATCTGTCGGATTGAGATGGGTCCATGGAAGCTACGCACCATGCAGATATTATTCCCGTTCAACAGTGTCTGTCTGAGTGCTGTCTTCTTGCGTCCAGCAGAGGTAATTTCACTTCAGCCCATGGTACCGTTAGACGAAAGTCGAGTGAAATGGGGTATTAGTGCAAGGCTGGGCAAAGAAGATTGGCGGGCCAGGAAACGCACAATTCGGTCACGTCCTCCAGCACCATGTCTGCGTTTGTATAGATTAAGAATAAGTTCCAATGATAGTATTCACTTTCTGAAGAATGAGTACGACGTACTGACGAAGTCATCGAATCCGAGCAAAGTTCCAGTGAACTCGCGCTCGTTCTTCATGATGACCCATATCCTCGAACCAATGCACCGATCAATGAGTTCTGCATTATTATATTGCCGTCAGATAGAGCTATGATGCGGTGTATAGCGAGAACAGACCAAGAGGTAGGATCTGAGAGGCCATGAAGAGATAAAATCGCAGGCCGTATCGCAGAAAGTGGAGGTCGTTCTCGACAAGTTCTGAAAGCTCACTTCGACGCGTGCTTGACGCGTACGGAAAACGAGTGGCGAGCGCCACCCACAGTCACGTTCTCTGTCTTCGCGTTGCACAGGTCTGAAGCTCATTGTGAGACATGGAGTAGACTACATTTTTTTCTAACAACTGCAACGCCCCAACAAAAAAACGGACGAAAAAAAACAGATGGACTCTACTGAAATTAATGAAGACGCGTGAATGTGGAAAAAAGCGAGTCCCATTACGCTGAACACGCAAGACACGGACAGCTGAAAGTCAACCTTCGTCAAAACCGGATATAAAACAGGCTAATGAACAGAACACACAACTTCATTGCAAAGTGGAATATCAAAGTACAGCACTACGGGCCTGAGCTAGTATGAAAACAAAATGGTACGCGACGAGGAGTGATGATGAAAACACAACAGAAAAGGATCGGGGAGGCGTGAACACACGAAGAATCGATGGAAAGTCGTACAGTGTAAGGCAGAAAAATACCGGAACCCTTCATTGACCGAAGCTGAACCCACCCGGCGGGGGAGCACCGTCGTTGGTGTTGAACTAAAAAGGAAGACGGTTAATGAAAATGCGGCGAAGGCTCAGAAAAGATAACGTACCGAGAACGCTCCACTGGCATCGACGTTGGCGGGTGCAATACCAGCATCCATCTCCTCCTCGTCGGGGAAGTACTTGTCCATGATGTTAAACGCCTTCTTATAGATGTCGATGTTATCGTGTTGCTGGAGGTTGTGGATGGTAACCATGCCACCGGCTTCCTCGACGTACTGCGCATATTTGTTCAGCGCACCGGGGCCAGCTGCCGCCTTGTCCATCTCTCCGACCTTGAGGATGTTGTCGAGACCATCGAGGGCGACCTGAATGATCTTGTTGTCCATCATCGTCAAGAGATCACAGAGGGGCTTGATGCAGCCCTGCGAGACAAGGTAACGGATCTGCGCAGGCTCTTGAAGGCCACCGGAAGTCGCGTTCGAGATAGCCCAGCAAGCCTCCTTGCGGGTCTTGAAGTCGGCGTTCGACAGAATGTTGATCAACGGAGGGATGATGTTGGCGTCGATGACGTTCTGAATCTGGGGAGGGGAGCCGGCGGTGATGTTGGAGATGGTCCAGCAGGCCTCTTTCCGGATGCCATCCTTGTGGGACGACAGGAGAGACAGGAGAGCGGGTAGAGCACCTGATGCGATAACAACTTGGGTTTGAAGATCATCACCAGTGACGATGTTTCCTACAGAGCGAAGGGCGGGGGTCTGGACGGAGGTAGATGGGTGCATGAGGAGATCAACGAGACGCCTGCAGACACCGGACTCGATGACGGCTTGGATCTTGTCGTTGGAGCCATCGGATAGATACGAGATAGCCCAGCAAGCATCAATGAGGATTTCGTCATCGACTGAATAGATGAGTTTCGTAAGGACATTCAACGCAGGCGCGATCTATTTTATTCGATTAAATTAGTTCCTGTTTGGAGATATTTCGAGAACATTCGAACTTACCAGCTCCCAGTCAGGCTGTGGGGATTTTCCACGGCAGAAGTTGCTCAAAGTCCAGGTAGCATTCCGAAGCATGCTGATTTTGTGATTCTCGCTCAAAAGCGTCAACAAGGGCCTGAGAGCGCCCTGCTTGAGTACGTAATCTCTGCACTGGGGGCTGTCGCCGGCGATGTTGCCCAGCGCCCAAACTGCCTGCTCACGGACATCGAGGACGGGAGACGAGAGAAGGTTGATGAACTCGGGGACAGCGCTGGCGTTGATAACGACTTGGGTGTGCTCTTGGGTACCGGAAGCGATGTTGGTCAAAGCCCATGCAGCTTCGAACTGGAAATATCGTCAATTAACCATCCATTCAAGGAAGCTTCAAAGCGAACGCACCTGAAGCATAGATTGACCGGTACGCAGGAACTCCACGAACCGCGGCACGACACCGCACTCGATGACGCGTTCGATGGGAGGATTCTTTTCTTTCGAAAGCAACTTGCGGAATTTGGTCGTCGTGTCAAGCTGACGCTCGGGGTCGTCGGAGAACACGCCCTGGATCATTTCGTCGGCGAGCTAGAAATGGCATAATCAGTCGTCGTTGAACCATCGACAAAGGGTGGCGGAGGGCACGAACAGGAGCCTCCCAGTTCGCGGGGGCAGTCTCCTCATCGGAGTCAGCAGAGGTATCGGGGAGGAAATTCCTCCTCTTGGCGATGTTCTCCTCTCTCTTCTGTCGCCTGATCTCAACCTGCTGCTCCTCCCTGCGACGCCTCAGATCGTCCTGCTTGAGGGCCTTGTTCTTGAATTCTGGACAAGACGCGTGTTAGACGCATTTCGCTTGGACTAGGAAGCACACTTACGGTCCCGACGGTTGTTGGCAGCGCGTTCGGCCATGATGTTCGATTGGGTTGGGTAGGGGAGATGGGAGACGTGAAGGAAGATGCGGTATGACCGAAAACAAGAGACGCGCTTCCACGAAAACTAATAACCGCGTCTGGACAAAGACACAGTCACATCGAGTCACATTCGTGACACTCACCGTTCTGTCGCCACATGGGCCACAATCGGTCGCAAATCGTTTCATCGATTTCATCATGCCTCTTCACACCACTACACTGGGGGAACGACTGTCTTTCCCCTCCTATGGATCTGATTCGAGAGACTATGCCTCGCATTTTCAGATTGTACTAGGAGAAAAACAAAATACAGATGCATTGCAGTCCAAAACGCGAAGGATGTTAATTATTCTACGGTACACTACGTATCATGGTCAAACGGATACTAGAACAATAAAAAGTCAGCCTATTGCACACAAGACAAAAGGACGAAGACGATCATACCTCGAACGACGACGGTGGTTCTGCCTCCGGTCCCGCCTCCAACGCCGCTGCCCAACCAGTCCGTGGCGTCGCACCCGGTGCCGGTGCCGGAGCCGCTTGCTCGGCGGGCGCTTGTTGTGCAGGTGGCTGAAGGTCGACGAGCTCGGCGGGTTCGTCAGGCTTTTGGTCCAGGAGCATCAAGATACCTCCTCCTCCAGCGTATTTTGACGAAGAAGCCGACAGCGACGCTTTGCCAACCTTGCCCTTGCCACTCGCCGGTGCCGATCGTGTCGAAACGGGGCGCACGGGTTGGTAACGGCTATCGGGTGACAAGGTAATGTACGCGAACTGGGCAGGCGTGACGCGAGAGAAGTTGGACAGGTTCTCTGAGGTAGGTTCTTTACGCTTTGACGCTTTGCCATCCTCGGGCAAGTTCGAGATTGAACCGTTAATGGGGGAAACATCGCCATGTTGTCCGGATGAGGATGGCTCGTCGGACTTCATCTCGACGTCGTTTTCCTTCTTCTCTTTCTCGTCCTGAACGAAACCATAAGCACAAGGTCCGGGGAACAAGTATCAAAAACTAACCGTGTCCATAGCCTCTCCTTCTGCCGCAGCTTTTTTCCTTTCGCGAGCCTTGACCTTGGCAGTGGTCGAAAGAACAGCGGTGGCAACCTTCGTGGCAACCTCTTTCTTCGGTGCTTTGGCAGAGGGTGGGTAGGCGAACAGGCTGGGACGAGCGTTCGAGATGAAGTCGAATTGCGGTACCTAGAATACGTGTGGTCAGCCCGTAAATTTTTGAACAAGAGTGCGTTCGGATTACCTTCAGATCCTCGTTCAAACCGATGATTCCAGTGGGTTCGAACGCCAAGCACGCACAATGTGCCAGAGGGTACCAGTACCAGAATTGGCAGAACATCACCATTCCAACAATAGCGCTGGTGTTCTTCGTCCCTGCGCGACTCTGAAGGCTGATAGTGACATTCCGTCCACCGGCATCGATGAAGCTCTGGCCCAATGCAGCACCAAAGCGAGCCATGGGGTCTTCGTGCTTGTCAGCGACGATCTTCGCGTACAGTGCGCGTGTAGACGCCATGGAAGAGGAAGAGGCCTCCGATTGCTGGACAAGGATCATTCCGAGGGCGATGAAGGCACCTTGTCGGACGAAATCGACGCTGTCCTTGGTCATAGGCTCGAGGATATCCACAGCATCCTGAAGACCTGTACCTGCGCAAGCGATACCCAGAGCGAGCGTGGCACCACATCGTACGTGAGGGTTGTAACTTTCGCTCAGGAGCTGGACGATGCGAGGAACCTGTGTAGGATTCTTGAACAAGAGGAAGGCCAAGGATGTGACTGCCGCACGCCGGACATCATCAGACGTGTCGGAAACAGCGATGTGCAAGAGTTTGCGGACAGCGTCGTTATTCGATGTTCCGGCATACGCGAGAGCCAGGGTGTAGACGCCACCATACCGCAGGATGGGATCCTATTAGGACAGTCAGTAACCCTAAGTTTTTCTGCTTCTAATGAATGTGCGCACCTTCTCAGCCAAAAGTTGTTCGGTGATCTCGTCGGACTCTTCTTGACGGCCGTAGTATAGGAACGCAAGGCCAATTGCGAGACCACGAATGATCTTCTCGTGTTGGGTCTCCCTCGCGTACTGCAACATCTCCGCAGAGCAGGCACTGTCTGCGGTGCCCAACATGATCAACCCGATTGCGTATCCCGCCGCTTCACCAGCAACAGCAGAGTCGGTGAACAAAGTCTGCTTCAGATCATCGTACGCTTCCTGGTTGCGACCACCCATGCCCGCCACACCCAGTCCTAAAGCGGCACCATGTTGAACGACCTCTCCTTGGGCAGCTTTCAGCGTTTCCCTCAAGTAATTCTCCACCGTATTTCCGCTCCCAACTCCAGCATGAATCAGGCCAAGCGCGTAAAGCGCACCACCTTCTGAGTATGCAGCGCCGGGAAGGGTGCTTTGGGACCCGTCTTGGTTGGGCAGGTAAGGGCCGAGGATGATCATGCCCTGTTCGAAATTGCCTTTATGAATGACACCGAGTGCGGCCGTGGTAGTGAACTTCGACCAGTTGGAAGCGAAATTGAGCCATTCGAGATTCTCCCGCAAGAATATATCCGAAGTTGTCCCAGCGTGCATGAAAGCGTTCTGGAAACTCAGTGCCGAGTGATATACGGATGAGCGTGGTTCCAAAGAGTCCTGTAAAATGATCGAGTTCAGTGAGTGGGAGTCAGGAGTAGTGAATGAGTTAGTTACCTTGGTATTCTTCAGAATGAGTAAGTCGGTCTTGTTGTTGCGCTTCAAGAATTCGAGGTACAGTTTGACGGATTCTTGGCCACTCAGAATTTTTCGAATGGTGTCAAATATGGGCTTCGAGTCCTGAGGAAACGGTAAATGTCGGTCGATTGTGTTTCAATCAGATATTGCTTACCCCGTCTTCCTCGGGCAATTCGTTACGAACACTTTCCAGGAAGTCTTGGGCGCCACCCTCTACCAAGTCGAAGGCAAGCTGATACGCAAGCAGCTTCTCCCCGGGAACCAATGATACAAGGAGAGGTGTGGTAAGTGATGGGCTGCTGAGCGTCACCAGAAGCCGAGTCAGAGAGTGGATATGTGGTGACTTCGAGTCCGTGGTAGGCGAAGGGAAAAGGCGGTAGAGGAAATTGAGGACCTCGTCGCGGTACGAAAGCGAGAAGTTGTTGTCGAGGACTGCCTCCATGGCGTACGAGAGTAGGGATGTATCATTGGTTTGTGAGTATACTTGCTCGATGACATCGAGGCGATGAGACTCAAGGGCGATCCCTACAGCCTAGTAATCAAAACACATGGTTCAATAAGATTCTTGAGGGTACCACAGGTTCGTACATACCTGCCGATACTCGCCCTGCTCTATGCAGTGGCGGAAGATTCCCTCAATGATGTTGCGGAGTTGGGAGTCGATGTTCTTGTCATTGCCAGCCTCTTCTGAGCGTGCTTGGATGTATTGGTCGATTGCTTTGGCTGTTATGCACTAGATGTCAGAAAGTATAGCCTGATTCATGATTGTACAACTCACAAATAATCGTCTCAACATATTCCTCCGAGCCTGGTGTGCGGCTGTCCGTCTCGAACGCGTTTCCAGCACCGAGGGCAAAGGATAGGGCCTCATCGTACTCCTCCAGGTAATAGTAGACCTTGCTCGCAAGAAGTGCAGCAGATGATCGAGTATCTTGAGAAAGTTCCTTGCTCTCATAGAGTGATTCACTGTGTGAATTCAAATGAGCCCGCGAGCCAAGCAAAGGAGACAGACGAAAGAGCGCACATGAGAGCTATATACTCTGAAATTTCGGCCCAAAACTGAGGGACAAGGGAAATAAGCACTTTGAGAGCGTGCTCCTTGAGTATTGGCTCTGGCTCTTCAAGCAGAGCAATTGCGCCAGCGGCGGACGACTGTGGGCGAGCGACCATGACGAAGGGGAGGAGGCAAGGGAGAATGTGCGTATACGAGACGCGTCAGCCTTGAACGACGCGCTGTGGCTGAACCACGTGCGTGCGAATTCTGCTGCTGACATAAGCTTTCCTGGCCACCGTCCGTTCGCGCCCGCCGTCGCTATCCTCAACATTATCCACACCATGTCTCTCATCGCCCGCAACGCTCGTAGCGCCGCACGCGTCGTTCCCAGGAACGCTCGCTCTTACGCCCTCACTGTCGAGGCCCCTGCTAAGGAGTGGGCCGCCAAGCGCGAGGCCATCAAGGAGCATGCCAATGGTTTGTGCTATCGCCTTCATCTCCATGCCCTTCGTTCTCAACCAGTTCACGTAGGCACCACCGATCTCTGGCGCAAGATCAGGTCAGCACATCTGCAATATTTCTTGTTGTCCACTTATTGACGTTTGGTGCGAACCGTGAAGTTACTTCGTTGCTGTTCCTGCAAGTGCGTACTCTCTCTCTATCCGACTCTTCCTTCATTCTGACATTCACCCGTATTCAGTCGTCGCTTGCACCCTCTGGGTTCGCAACACCGAGAACGACCACTCCGAGCATATGGACCACCTGAGAGCAGAGAACGATGGTCACCTCCCTCAGCCCCCTGACTATCCTTACCTCAACAGGCGCAACAAGCCTTTCCCTTGGGGACCGAACTCTCTCTTCTTCAACCCTCATGTGCGTGGCTTCTGTTTCGTGAATTGGTCAACCATTGAGCATACTCTACACCTAGGTCAACAAGGACATGGGTGCCGAGTAGTTGATTCACATTCTCCCTTGCTTCTTGTAACCGTGCACACTAGCCAATGCAACAGAGAGTTTGTTTGCACTTCCGTGGATTGTGTCTATTCAGAGATGATGTTCTCACTGCCTCTGGGTGCCTCCATTTTCTGCCTTGCCTTTTCGTTACGCGCCCGGTAAGAGCAGAGGCAGGCATCATGGTATCCAGAAAGCGTCCCGAATTTCTCCGTCAACTCCTAGACGTTGTCTAGACCATCATCTGGACTTTCGCTTATTATTGCATCGTCTGCTCTCAAGTCTCAACCGTCCTACGATACACGAAACAATGACCATCAGAGCGTCAGATACACTGCGAGTGCTCGACGGCGTGGGGAGCTCAGCCTATCACATGAAAGCTCTTACATCCTCTGATCTCACCTTGCGCCCGTGTTCGAAGTTCAATCTAGTTTTCGTGACCATGCATTGGACCACTCTCATGACCGACTTGCATCATTTGCGCCATTCTACGGCATGGCAGTGCGTGTGCATCATCAGACAGACCCATTGGGCTCTGTTCGGACGGAGAACATACACCGAAATCCATGGCCCTGCGGATTCATCAACGCCAAAGTAGTACATGATCCCACAACTATGGATATTCTAGTGTAGGTTAGTCGGGATCGATGCATGGGTAAAAGGGCTCCCTCGTCTGATCATCCTACTGCTGAACATGTTGCGGGACGAAGACAGACGCGCTCGTCGTCCACCTGAAGTGAGTCCTTGAACCGTCCCATGCCGACTTCCCTTCCTGCCTAACGTCTGATCCACGCGTCGGGGTGTTCTCTTTGCAGCCCGAAAACCCCTTCAACATCGTTCTCGAAAACGCGGAGGTCCAGGGCAAGACTAATACTGTCTTGACGACATGGTCTTCGACGTCGGCACACGTATTGCAGATCGGGGATAGAGGTGGAAAGTCCTGAAGACCTGCATAATAGCGTTCAAACACAAGCAGAGCGTGGCTACACGCTCATTGCTACAAGAGGGCATACTCCCGCTTGGGAGGTGGACTGCCACATTGGCCTACGATCGCAGTGATATCACCCGGTCTACACCAAGTCTCACAAGGATGAAGAATGTGGATGCTGAGGGATCTCTCGAGGTCGGTGAACCCCAACTAATCCTCCATCCCTTTCCCTTGTTCTGATCTCTGGAAGACACCGCGCTCATCGAAACTAAGATTCGCCCCATCGCTCGCTAAGCCTCCTTTGCGACGGCCTCCCAATCTTCGCTGGCCGTCATCAATCGTTCACGCACCTCTTGGACGACAATGCAAGTGGGATCGCGGATGAGGGTGTCGTGTCGTCCATCATCCTCAGACTGAGGAAGAGAAAGACAGGCTGAAGGACAAGAGCAGTGGACGTTCCGAGAAACGCGAATCTCTCGCCGAGTCCTTTACTACTTCGGTCCTCACGAGTGCCAACTAAACCATCACGAAGATTTAGCGGTTGAACCAGCTCCAAAGCTCGCGGGGGTCAATGATGCGGAGACAAGATCCGTACGCATACGACCAGCCCTACTGGCCACTGTTGTCCAGTTTGTTCATCACATCTTCATACGTTTCGTCTGCTAGCAACGCGTGGCCACAAGGCGGAAATATCTTTCTCTTGTGCTTCTGATGACAATGGCCCTTCTGATTTTGGCCATATGAAGCAGAGTACAGAACTAGCACAGACTTGATAGGCTGAAGACAATGGTAAGCACCTTACTATACCTGGTGTTGCACGGGTCTCCTGTCCGTGCCACATCACATACAGATTGATCCTTGAATTTCGAGCTCTGTTGGACCCATCATGCTAGCATTGCCGCACGTCGTAGGAATATAAGGATCCGACCGATTTTCTTGTCACTCAGTGCACGCTGGTCGTACCTTCTCTCTTCTTACATCCATTGCTTTTGGCAATGTCCCGAAAATCCGCCTTCAACACGTGTCCCCAACCGACTCTCCCTGTCTTGCTTACGATCGAGTTCGTCGAGATTCTATGCCAGACGATATTCTATGGTGCGGTCTACCATCAGCATATCGTCAGCGGTAACAGCATAGCACTAACACGATCCCCATGAATTCCATAGGCATTTTCCTCGTCATTGTCCCTGTATGTGTGCACACATTCTTGTAAGTAACTATCAGCTCCCCTAGTACGTAGTATGATTCGAGCGTACCCCTCACAGCAAGCACGGGTTGAAAGTGCGGTCTAGCGTGATCATGGTCAGCATCACGATGTTCACGTTCTCCATATCGACGGTGCACTGGTGCATCACAGTCATGATGATCACCTCCTTGATCTCATCCTCAAATGTGTCGAGAGATACAGGAAGTCGTCAAGTTCTCAACGCGATCGCTCTTATTAACGTGCGTACACATGTTCTATGATATCTTTTTGATATAGATCCTCATCCCCTTTACTACTTTATATCAGTACTGCTTTGCCGATGGTGTACTTGTTTGGAGAATGCGTGTCCTTTGCTCCTCCTGGTTCTCGTGGCGACACCTGATCATTCCGGTCACCACCCTGATTATGACTTTCCGTAAGTCTACTACTAGTGCTATGAGAATGTACGCATCACACTCAGTCGTACCGGACAGTGTCGGTAATTACGACCATCTCCATTCAAATCTTGATGATTTCAACGTATAGGAATGCGAACGCTGCCGAAACCATAACCCTAAATAAGGCCATCGATGCCAGCCAGACAGCTACCATGGTATTCTCGCTCATCACGAACGCGATAGCCACCTTTCTCGTCGGACGGTGGGCATGGTATGTCAACAAGATCCTTGAATAACCTGTTTATGTGCTCATCTCCATCTGTATGGGTGCTACCATTTCACAGGGAATATCGAAAGTCTATCCGAGCTACTCTAAGTATGACGGTTAAAGCATCTAGAAGCACTCCTGTAGAGCGTGTACTAGCTCTGTTGGCAGAATCGGGCCTCATTTATATCTTCTCTAGCGTACGCCTCGTTTCCTTTTCGAGCTATGACTTCCCGCGCCCGTTCAACTCACAATAGCCACAGATATTCGTGCTTGCTTCATCATTCATACGTGTTTCCTGTGGGACCGTGGGCGACGTCTATGTCCCAATACACTCTCAGATCGCAGTGAGGCTCATTACATTTACCCTCACTCGTTCGGAAGCCTGGTAAAAACTAAGCTGACCCTAATATATGGCTCTTGCAGGGAATGTATCCCGCCATCGTCATGATCCTCATTAACTCTGGTCGCTCGTCCGACTCTTTTGCCTCAAATCGTCGTAGCTATGTGCTAAACAGCACTCAACTCAGAAGAAACGCGGCGGTGTTACCAAACGTCCAATCAACTAGTAGTCAGCTCGGGACTGGACGGGAGACAGAATCAGTAGGTGATGGCATACAAAATTCAATCCAGAGTCAAGGAAGGTTTGATCACATTAATCGTGGCGAAGTTATGAACGAACTACAGATTATGACAGTGTAGTACTGATGGCTCCTGTTCTTCATATTGTTGTTTGCCGGCGTTTTGCCTGTGGCACCAGCCTGCCAAATCCGGAACACCGCTATAACTCAATTGAGAGTCCGTAACGTATGATGTATCTATTGCTGGGTGAAGAAGTTGGTACATGTTCTGAATTCAGTCACCCACAACACTTATGGCCGCGAATCCTTGTCCGTTGCCCACCGAGTTGCCTTGATCGAATGATGAAAGGGGCAGTGTGGCCCAACGATCGTCGAATGTGGCGGGGCTGAAATTGAAATGCCTCTTCACGATCACGTGGGTCGCGTCCTTGAAATGTCTTTGTGCTTTCCTCTCTCGCAAACTTGAATCATCTCCTTCCCAGCCTTCCGGCCTGACAGGCAACCGATGGCCATGCAACAGGCCCACAAAATTCTGAAGGACGTTTGGGGCTTCGAGTCCTTTCGTCTGTCCCAAGAAGCCGTACGTTTCCTCGAGCCGTAGCATAGACACGATTTGACGCGTCCATCGTGTGCTGGGGGGAAATGATAGGTCATCAATCGCCTGCTGGTGGAAAATGATAATGCACTAGTGCTGTACCCTACGGGAGGTCTGTGCATTCCTCCATAGCTGTATATATCCGAACTGACACGTTTGTGGTCTCTGCCTGCAGGTGGGAAGAGTCTGACATATCAAGTCCCTGCACAATGCTTGGAGGTCAATCGCTTCAGTTTTCGTGCTTTGCAACGCTATATGATGCTCACATTCAGTCCTCACTAGGGATTAACTCTTGTCATATCTCCACTCATCGCGCTCATGAAAGATCAAGTCGATGGTCTGTGTCGGCGCGGTGTCAAGGCCGCGAACTTGGATAGCACCCTGGATGTCGCAAGGTCTACATGGGTGAAGCAAGAAGTGTTATCTGGCTCAATGAAGCTCCTTTATGTTGCTCCTGAGAGGTACGAAATCATTCTTACATGAAGCTCGGTATTTAACTCGCGAATTCCTATTCACTGGTCGCAGGTTAAACAACGAGAGTTTTATAAACATGATGAGTCGAGTGAAAATTTCGCTGCTAGCGGTGGACGAGGCGCACTGCATCTCTCAGGTACGCATTGTATTTATCTCGTACTGTATCCATCTCATGTCACCGTATTCGCAGTGGGGCGCAAGCTTCAGGCCGGAGTATTTGAAAATTGCTCGTTTTGCAGAGGAAATGGATGTTGAACGCGTTCTGTGCCTGACTGCTACTGCCACTAAGGAAGTAGCCGACGACATATGCAAGGCATTCCTCATCAATCCAGCAGGGGGAGTATTCCGAACGTCTACGTATCGGTCTAAGTAGGTCTAGTCATCCATACTGATTTTACGCTATACTCACACCTATCGTTAGTCTCGCGTTCCAAGTTCAAGTTGCCGACACTTTGGATCAGAAATTGAATAGTCTTATTCCTCTTTTGAAGTCGCGGACAGGGCCAGCCATCGTATATGTAACCTTGCAGAAACAAGCGGTAGAGGTCGCGGACTACTTGAGGCCACACGGTTTGGAACCGATGGTGTATCATGCAGGACTGCCTGCCGAAGACCGCGAGCGTGTTCAGAACGCCTTCATGAGCTCTGAGAAGGGCATCGTCTGCGCTACGATAGCTTTTGGCATGGGTGTTGACTGCCCAAATATTCGCCAGGTATGTCTTTCATCAACCATCAGAGGCGCCGTTATTCAAAGATACTCAATATTATATAGGTCGTGCATCTCTCAATGCCGAAAACGATAGAGAACTACAGTCAAGAGGTTGGCCGGGCTGGCCGCGACGGTTTGCCCTCGACATGTCTCATGTTCTTGAGTCCAAGCGATATCCCCATTTTGGAGGGTTTTGCACGAGGCGATACGTGTGCAAAGAAGGACATGGAACTCTGGTTGCAGGAGGTGGCGCTCAAGCAGCCAGATACTGACGGCACCATAAACTTCAACCACTATAACCAGACAAAGATGTGAGTCTCAACTTTTCATTATGTCACATGATCTCTCTAAGACCCCGTTGTGTACACAGATATGATATTCGTGTATGACCAACTTGTTTTGTGTTATTTTCGATGAACTTCTCATGTCTCTTTCATGGCCACAGCAAAATGTCTTGAACCTCCTCTATGCTCAACTGGAACTCGACTATAACTATATCCGGGCTGTCACTCCTTTTTATTCTATTTACGATATTTCGAGCAAAACTGCGGACGGCATGAAGAAAGTCATGGCGAGTACCAGCCCCGCAGCGAAGGCGATTCGGACATATTGGATGCCAAAGGGTGGTGGCTATCAAGTGAGCACTCTGGATCACTGGTTTAAACCTGTCAGACCCTGACCTAGCTCTAGATTGACGTGGTTACCGCGGCTAGCTATTCCAAGCTCGACCGGGCGACACTTGCTCGACAGATCACCGATTGGGAGTTTGACGGTGCGTACTGTTTGTATCTATGTCTTGTTGATGTGCAAATAAAATCAAAATTATAGGACATATCTTCTCTAAACCGTCGCAAGTTAGGGTGGTATGTGGCATTACTTGTATTGTTGCTCAAAGTATCCCTCTGACGAGGTCGCAGAGATACGCTGTTCTGGAACCCATACCCACTACCACCGCGGAGATTCAAAACCTCGCCACTCTCATGTACGACCGCATGCTCAAACGGGAGGAGGACGCCATCGAGAAGCTTCGGAAGGTCATCTCTTTCGCGACGAATGACGATTGTGCGTGATGTTGTCCAGAGCACTATTGTGTCCATGTGATAGGCGCTAACGCTCCCTCATAGGCCTACCCCAATCTCTTGCGTCGTACTTCGGCGAAGAGGACGCCGTGCCAGGCGGCTTGTGCGGGAAATGCACGTTCTGCAAGACTGGATCTGGCATCGAGTTTGACCCAGCAGCCGAGGCTAACCCCGATCCCGCCCAAATCCGTGCCATTCTGAACGCCTGCCCCGATCGCGACGATCCACGTCTTTTGGCTCGTATGGCCTTCGGCATCACTTCACCACGCCTGATGGTCAGTAAGTTGTCCACAAGCCACCCACTGTTCGGAAGTATGGGTTCCTGCGACTTCAACGCTCTGGTGGCAGCCTTTGATGTGGAGTGCAAGAAGGCAGGATATGCAAAGTCAGAGACGAGTTTGTCTACACCTTCCTCATCGTATGCGAACAAGCGGACGTACTCCCAGACATCGTCGTACCAGACCACCAAGTCAACTAGGGGTGGAAGAGGAGGCGGTCGCGGAGGCGGTTCCTACAAAAGGGGTCGTGGAAGATATTCTTGAGTGGGTGTTGGTCGTTGCTATCTTACATACAGGTTTCAATTGCACACTTTGTACAGCACGCTGTAATTTCTTGCTTCCCTTATTGTTATATTATTGTCTCCAATCACAGTTTCGTACGCCAGCGGCCACACCGGACACTGTGGCAAAGCCTGCTTGATTTGAAATGAACAGTCACGTGGTCGCAACACGCTTCGGTTTTGCGTGTTTAGGAGTTGGACACTTACTCTTCGCGCTCACTGTCGGGCCACCCATGGCGCTCTCCTTCAGGCCCTCAGCCTCATCTACCCACCCACAAAATGCCCTTACTTTCTCCCAGCCATCGTCGTCTAAGAATGGATACTCTTTCAGGAACTCACAGCCGCCACCCAAACCTGCGCCAACCCTCGACTTGCCTGCCTTGCAAGATGCCAGTCGCGTCCTCCAGGACCAATTCGCGAAGGATGCACGACTGGTGCCGGATTTGGGGGAATCTTTGACTGTCCGTGCGTGTAACTTATGTCTTGGGCTGTCTGCTCAGCTTCTAATATGCATATTGCAGCTGGGGCGACGTCTTCGTTCTCGTACAGTGTCTCCCCAGATGACTCTCGGGTACAGTTCCAGAAACGGCGGTTCATCGACATTCCAGCGGAGTTATGGACACATTACACCAGTGCGTTGTGCCTTTCGTGTTCTACAAGTGAAGCTGTCACCGACATGGTATCACAGACTCTCACCATAACACTCGAATGGACATCATGCCGGAGCTCGAACGCGTATGGATATCTATTGACCATAAGCTACTCCTGTGGGACTACGTGGATGGGTCTGTCGCTCTCTATCACCGTTCTCTCATCCATGCTCATTATACTACAGGCAGACCATGAGCACATTTGAGGACCAGCCGGACGTCATTCAGCATGTTGCTTTGGTTAAAGCAAAGCCTGGAATCTTCATTGACGAAATCAACTACCTGCTCGTGATCTGCACTGCCGTAAGCGTCGTACTTCTCGGAGTGTCTTCTACCGACGTTCCTGGTACGAACAACCGCACACGGAAGGACATTAGACTATACGCCACGGATTGGTCAATATCTGTCGACGTGGACATGGGTTCCGTTGTTGGCACAGAGGATGGTCGAATATTCATGGCAGGCCAGCAGGATGGCAACCTGTACGAGCTACATTACCAGGAGAAGGAAGGCTGGTTCGGGAAGCGGATCCAGCTCATCAATCACTCAGTAGCCGGCGTCCAGAGCTTTTTACCGCGTTTCTCTGGTCCTAATCACGAGAGTATGTTGCATCTTCGCGGGATCGTAAACTATGCTCACCGGTCCTCTTTGTAGATCACATTATTGCGGTGGTGTCTGATCCATCACGCAATCTCATCTACACAAGGACGGCGAACAACATCATTTGCGTCTATCAACCGCAAGGCGAGAAGACGGTCCAGCTTGTCCAGACTCTGCACAACTTGTACAGAGCAGCGTTAGACAAAGCGCCTGGCTCCCCAGCAATCAATTCAAAAGCCTTCAAGTTTGTAGGCCTTTACCCAGTCGACCAAAACGAATCGCGCTCTGGCGTCTCACTCATGGCCATCACCGAAAATGGAGTTCGACTTTACTTCTCACAATCAGCCTCGCAATTAGGCTACTACCCCAATGCTGGTGCCGATGGTGCACGGGGACATCGACAACTAACGCTCATTCATGTGCGGCTCCCTCCACCGAATCTTCTCCACCCGGACGAGCAGTCCAATAGCTATCGATCCACAGCTCCTGGCTATGGTGCTCAACGAAACCCGTCAGAGCCAGCATCGCGGCCCTACGTTATAACTCATCTCGAAAACGTCCTGTATTCATCAGGATTGACTATCGCGGCCCAAGAAGGAGATGCTGGTGACGGTAAAGATTTCCTGCTTTGTGTAGCTCCCGAACTGCCGAAGATGGGCACTTTTGGCCAGGTCATGCCACAATATGTGAACACCCCTTACGGCGGTGGAGCTGGGCCACAGCGCCCACCTCTGGTCGAACGTGCGGCGTTGCTCACGATACCCGGACGAACATGGGCTCTGGCAGCCGTACCTCGACCTAAGACAGCGTACGCGGCGACAATCGGCGCTCCAAACACCCCCACCCCTCCCATGACCAACGAAGTGGCGTACCAGTTTTCGGAGCCACCACGCCAATTCATGGTCATGACCAACGAGGGTATGAGCATCCTTGCCAAGCGGAGACCGCTGGACTGGTTGCGGGATGCGGTGGAGGAGCTTCAAGCTGATGGAAACATGCAGGCTCTAGTCGAGTTCCGAGATAGGTACGTCCCTTGAAGTCTTCTCTTAGGAAGCAGCTAACATTGGCGATCGATAGTTTCGGGCGTGACCAAATGTGTGCGATGCTTTTGGCCTTGGCTTGCGGCAATACTTTCCTGGATTTGGGAGATCCTTCTCCCCTAGGGTCTGTTGCGACTCTGCCACCCGACCTCGCGAACGTGGCGAAGCAGGCGTTTTACGATTTCGGTGAAAAGCCAATGTGGACGGAGCGGATGACTTATGGTGCCAGTAAGCTCTCCTATGCTTTAAGCGAGACACCAATTCTGAAATTGTTTCCCCTGAAGGCGACGGTTCAGGCACTGCACTATTCAGCGGGCGTCGAGAAGGCCTTGCCATCTACTTTTCACGACTAGTTCGACCAGTGTGGAAGACTAAGCTGACGCAACCAGGGTATGTCGTTCTATATCTTCCCACTTGAAAGCTGTTGAGTAGCGAGCTCATCGGTGATTCCATGCAGCCCACTCGGTCTTCATGTCAGCAACATTGACGAAGAGGTTCTGTGGATGGTCCAGAAGAACATGTACGCTTTGAAAGATTTCCTCGAGAAAAACCCGCATCTCTTCCACTCAGCAACTGGCGATTACGCCGGAGCGCGTTCAGCACCGGCCGGGGACCAGGAAGCTTGGAAGGTTATCTTCATTGCTTCTCCTTAGAGATCAGAACTTTTGCTGACATAGTGTCTCTTAAAAGGCGGAGCAGCATTCCGTTGCCCAGCTGCAGTCACTTCTTTCCCGAACTATCGAAGGAGCGGCGTTCTTCCTACTCCTTAATGACCATCGGATAGGCGAGCTCATAGCGCAGTGAGCCGACTTTTCCTTATTCTCCTGGCTGCCTATTCCTAACACATATCAGGACCGATCCAGAGACACAAAAGGTTATCACCAACCTAACTTTCGAAGGCCTTATCACAGGGAACGAAGGCGTTCTGGTCTCCAGATCTCTCGTCAACGTCATCATCGATCAACAGATTGGGCAGCAAATTGGGGTAAGTACGAAGCGACTTCTACAGTTCTGCGTGACTCAACGGCTTTGCGATTTTAGGTGGATACCATCAGCGATGTTCTTCAAACCCGCTGTGGGTCGTTCTGTAGTACAGACGACGTTATGTTATACAAGGTGGGTAACTGGCAATACCCAAAACTTCTGCTTCCTCTGAATACTCTCACTCAGGCGAAGGAGAACATCCGGAGAGCTGTCGAAAGTAGCAACCCTACGGAGCGTCAGAACCACCTCAGCGAATCACTCAGGTGAGTAATGGCCTTCTGGATTATGTTCCCTATAGCTTATACGTCCGAGTGCTTCAGGTTATTCATGAAAGGGGCACGTATACTGGATTTTGACAAGCTCCGTGAGGTAATTGGTGACTACCAAGAGCTAAATTACGCCAAAGGCACCATCGAGCTTCCTCTTCATTGTGCGGACGCTTCAGATCCCGATCGACTCGGCCAGGAGTATTGGCAGTTATCGCCAGAGCTATGTGTCGGTTATGGCCTCGTTATGCAGCCCGAAACATCTGCTGCGATCGCACTCGAATCAGGTGGCGATGCCGCTAGGAGAGAGGCCTGGCAGCGACGGGCACAGTGTTACGATCTCGCCTTAGACTCGTTGGAGGTTTTCGAGAGAAAAACAACCGCCGGGAACGAGAGTGCTGAGCGGGTGCGGACCCACGCATACGAATTGGCCTTCGCGAGTTCGGATGAGATGTTCCATGCTCGCTTGTATGAGTGGTTGATCCTTCGCGGACTTGCGGATGAACTCTTAGAAGTGAGTTCGTGCATGTTCTAACTACTCTGCACCATGATACTGATATATTGCATCCGATGAAAGATGCGTCCCGCCTACCTGGAGGCCTTCCTTCAGCGAGATCCTGCCACCGTAAAGAAGTATCAGCTACTCTGGCAGTTCTACGTCAAGGACGGGCAACCACTTAGAGCCGCCGAAGTCCTCAGTGTTCTGGCTGATTCGACACAGTAAGTCTTGTATGTCGTCGTCGGTCTTGCACTATAAGTCTCATTTTGTCCCTTCAGGTTCCCTTTGCGTCTGGTAAACCGCCTAGAGTACCTCACGCTCGCTGTTGGTAACGCGAAATCACACCCTATCGCTGTCAACGGCAGACATGAGTCAGCAATCGCTTTCTTGACCGAACTTGAGGAAAAGCTAGAGGTCGCCCAGGTCCAATTGGAGACGTACAATGCCCTTCTTCATCCCCGCACCACGGCTGCCGGACTCGAGAAGGACACCGCGGAGCATCTCGAGTTATTGGATCGAACGCTTCTCGATGTTTCCGAGGTGCGTTGCTTTGACTGACCACCGTTTGGCCTTAAATTGAACCCTTCTCTCCAGCTATACCAAGTGTATGCAGAGCCCTATGATCTTCATGATATCAAGCTCCTCATCCTGCACGTCTCGCAACATCGAGACGAGAAGATGGTGGTTGACATCTGGAACCGTATATTTGATGCATGTAAGAGGAAATGTATTATTCGTCGATATACACTGTGCTAACGATGTTTTGTACAACAGGTATCAAACGGCACGAACTCGATCCGGCACAAGTAGCAGAGGAGATTCGGGGACAAGTGGAAACTTTGGGACAGCGTTTCTACCCTTCAGACTGCGCATTCCCGTTCCGTATGTTGCTCTAGTCCCAAACCAAGAGTTGTGTAAATAATACTGATGGTCTTCTCATTGTCACAGGCCATGTGACGATCCTCCTCGTTGGGTACCAACTCGAGCACACGGACGTGATACAGCCTGACTGGGTTCCCCGAACGCTCCTTCGAGCAGGTGTGCCCTTCGCCGAGATTTGGGACATTCTCCACCAGTTGCATGACTCCCATGTGCGTCGTCTTTCTTCGAAATGTTTGTGAAGCCTTATGCTAATAACTTTGTCTCTTGACTGTTAGATCCCTCCATACCATAGCTCTCAGGCGTGCGAGCTCCTCGAAGACGCCATCAGCATCCTCCTCCAGGACTGGCTCGACGCCGCGAAACGGTCCGCGGGCGAGTTCTTCCCTGTCGACCGCATCGATAGCGCGGTAAATACGTACTTAACCGAGCTGCCAAAAGCTGCTCCGTCGAGGATACGCGAGAGGTTCGAGAGTATCAGGAGGGATTTGCGGCGAAGCTGGTGATTTATATCGGACTATGTTTTTGTTTATGTTTTTCTTGCGTAACGAGACGAGTTTGGTTATTGATGAACTCGCGAAGTGTGGAGGTACTATACACGTTGAAGAGAGAGTTCACAATTGGTGTTCAGGCCGTTCTGCACCGATGAATTGTTTGAATCCGTTTGTGAGAGGTGTACACGCTTACGCCATTAGCTGTCCTCGTCTTCATTGTCCTATAGCTAACGACGTCTTACGCGGCGTTGTCGATGAGTTTTGCGAGGTTTTACGCCACATTCATCCGGGTGCCACACCGTCATACATGATTCGCCACCCAGTGAGATACATCTTGTCCACGAACCCCAACGTTCACAACCCTCTTGCCTGCAGCCATGAACCCATCGCCATCAGACCGGACGACGATCGAGAGGCTTGACGTTGAAGCACCAGAGGAGAGAGAGGCAAGAATACGTGGGTCCATTCGAGACATCCTGCACTCTGTTACTCAAGCTAATGCTCTCTCATCTTCTGAATCTACAGAGACCATCCTCTCGTCTTTGAATAGCTCTCAAAATACAGGCGAGGCAACGAATGCCCCTATTTCATTGGACTTTGGGAATCGTGCCACATTTCCTGTCGAACCGCCTTCTGAACGTATGTATCCTCCTCACGTTCGGGGTTGCTCATGGTTGCTCATGGGTCTTACTTTTTTTCTAGTCCTTGCTCGTATAGAGGCATTTCTACCAGCACTCGAGGCTTCCAACTCCCAGCTCTTGCAGCAGGCAGAAAATGACCCCCGGAGCGTCGACATTGAACATCTCAACAGAGAAGAGGGGAGGTATATTCAAATGGTGCATGCGCTTTCCCGTAATCATCGTGAAGCTGGATAATCATGACTTTATCGCGCCTACATGATAGGATCTAGGGCTCGGGGTTTTTGAAGAGCGACGGGCGGATGCAGGCAGCGATGACAGCTACACCTCTGACGGAGACGACAACGACGACGACGACAATGATAACTTATCATCTTCATCAAGTGACAGTTCCTCTTCCTCTTCCTCTTCATCCACCCTCTCTTCCGACGAGAGCACGACAGACTCCGAAGCGGACAGTCAAGACAACGATGGACCACAGGACCTGATCTCCCAAATCACGCTCCAAGCTCGGCCTATGCGCCCTCTACCCAAGCGTGCTCGTCCGAAGATCGAAGTTCTGTCCTCCGCAACTGGCAATGAACCTGATAACGACCCGACCGGACCTTCAGCAGTATCATGAGGTGGTTCAAGGGTATGACACTGTCCGAGTCGAAGGCATGTATATGCTGCGAGAAATTCAAGTGAGTGACTTCATACAGATGAGTCGCAGGTCTGAGATTTACGGGATGAAATTACTCCTCCTTTCCATCTGCCTCGTCGCTATCCGCCTCTCCTTCCATGACCTCGTACCCGACCCAGACGACCTCCGAACAGCTCCCACATCCCGCCAGATGTACCCCTCTTTCCAATTCTCGTTCCCCAATCTTATACGTCCCACCGCATCGACACGAATACACCCACATCGCCTCCTCGTCCTCTCCCGCTCCCAAAACTTCATCAAAATCATCAAGCGAAATGACCTGTGCTGGCCTGGGTACTTTTCCACCATCATCTTGCCTCGGACGCCGTGAGATAATGAGATCGTACTGCTCCTTCAGGATTGGATCGGATAATGTTTTGTAAGCATCCTGTATTTGCCCGATATCGACTTTATTTGCGTTCTCTGGTGGTGCCAGGATGGAGGTTGTATATGTCTCGTGACCTGGAGTTGCAAAGACTCCTTGGGAAGCGGAAATACATTTGTCTGGGTGGTGGCGCAGTAAGGCATTGCGGTACGCCGACTTTAGTGTCTGAGCAGAATCCTGGACATCGGTGGTAGATGGTCGCGGTACAAGCCCGAGGACAGCGTAGTAATCTGGTAGTGGCGAATCGTTAGAATCCAGCTTTATGATGCACTGATTTTCAGGCTAATGTACAGGTTTGACTCGAATGATTGTGGATGTCCCAAGTATCGAGCGAGAAATTGGCCTTCCGGTTCCATGCGGGCAGCCGGACTTCCGAGCCGCCAGCCGTGTGGCGCGCCACTGAGACTTCCCCGAACTATGTCTCGGGTCGGCATGTTCGAGTCTGCCTTCGAGTCTGCCTTCTCTCCCGCACAGGTCTTTTTTTCTTAGTTGCACTTTCTATAAAACCTGCTTAGTATGACTCCATCTCTCCACCACTGTGACTTCGCTCTTCCCCGACACCCCAACGACGCTCCTAAATCGCTCAAGGCTTCCCTCTATCGTCATGTTCTCTTCTACCAAGATGCCCTCTCCAGACGCAACATATGCCACTCATAATGCTCCTCTATGTCAACCCAATGGGCTCCATGCTTCTTCGCATTGCCGACCTTGGATCGGCGACATAGGATATGTCGAGGCCAATGCCTTCGTTCGGGTCTTCAACATCCTACTCCCTGCGAGCGACCCGCGACAGTCATCAGAGCTCCCTTCCCTATTCAATCCTATGTCGAGGAGAAGCAAGGACGGTCTGGATAATGTCCAGAATTCATGCACGGGCTCATGTTGTTCATCGAGTGAAGATGGTCGGCCAAGGTGTGCACCAATTATTTTGACACGTCCAGCTCGTGCTAACCTTTGCTCGGAAGACGGTCGTCTGTGACCTTCCAAACTCCTCCACAGCCGAATATTACTCGCCTATTCCGTCGTGACACTCATGGCTCTCAACACCCTACTTGGCATTGCTACATCATGGAGAATGTCAATCGCTGGCGCGATCACTTCGAGAAACTCGGACTCAACTGCCGCTTGGAAGACATGATCCTTGTGACCGGCTTTGACCTCACAACATCCCCTGAGCCCTCCTTCCACATTCCCAGAGAAAATTCGGAGGAGACACTTGTCGGTTTGGAGCTGACAGGAGATAAGCATGACTGCAGGCTTTCTCAGACAGAGCGTGTATTCATCCGGGGTTTCCATTTCAAACTCAACGAAAAAGTCGTGCGGACACCTCCTAGCCCACGCCCGACTCTAAAGGAGAGGCGTTTCAGCTCTACGAGGAGACTGATCTTCCAGAAGGACAATTATAATGCGCCTAAGCAGCCATTAGCACTGTTGATGCTAGACGATATTCTGCAGGTATGCCTCACCTCTCGCTCCTTTACACCCACTGTACCTGAACTCGTCTCCCAATCACAGAGGGCCCACTGCACGATGGCTATCGTTCATGACAATGACTTTTCTTCTTTCATCGTGAGTACACCTGAGCATTTCTCACCACCTCAAACGATGACCTGGCTCCCTACATGTCTTCAGAACAGCCACCATCGCCATTGCCAGCAGAACGACGAACGTGAACTCCGAGCGTTCATGAAAGACTATTTGCGGTCTCCTCAAATAAAAACCCCCATGCATATTGCATCTAAGCAAGGTATGTGTGCTACCGTTCACTTTTTGGACGGAATGTGAACTTACAACCACGTCAAACTTACAGCAGGTCATAACGCTGGTTTCCTCCAGCTACGCACTGAATGTGGTCGGCAACGAAAGTGATCCATTGAAGTTCTATGACCCCGTGTGACAGGATAGCGAGAAGTTTAGATGAACTATATTGCCATAGACGAATCGTCGCACCGATACTAGTAGTAGGGATGGTAACTTAGTATAGCATAGGCCCCCAAATCTCCATACCACCCTCCAATTTCGTCCTTTCCACCACGTCTGAGTAGTATAGCATTTGTCGCTGTGCTACGATAGAATAAATGCATCATACTTTGCTTCCTTTTCGCGAGGCTGGGGCTTTTGTACTCCCAGGCCACTGTGGCATCCACATACTTGTTCGGCACACTCCGAAATCGGCCTTGTGCGGAGTTTCATTGCACAAGATGAAGAGGGCTAACTTCCACACGACCTCCCTACAGATCTCGTACGCCCTTCATACCTTGGACCTCCTAGAATTTTCTGTACGGATGCCACCAGTGTCTCGTGTGGACACCCTTATCGTAGACGAATTCGATGCCTACGATCTCTCGGAATTCTCTCAGGAGGATTTCGTTCTCCTTGATACCCTCACATCGCGCGAGCATACTCCCGTCGCATCACCAGACCCTCAGCGACGCTACGCCGACTCTGGGACGCAGACGTTACCGGTGAGAACTGGCGGTCGGCGCGACAGCCCTGCATCAATCGCAGGAGCAGCCCTCGGTGGCCCCCGATTACCTGTTGAAATCGAACTTGCTGCTAAACCCGCTTCTCTGCCAACTCGTACTAGCGGCTCTTTGAATGTAATGGAAAGCCAGAAACCTCATAGTAAGAGCCGTGTCAAAAGTCGGAAAGCGGCAGCGTCGCCTTCCATCGATCCTCAAAGTCCTCTTGCACGACATCGTCCAAGCCAGCGTCTGAGTGTTTCAGATTTGGTAGGACCTGTCTGGTAAGTCAATCCTCTGATACGAAAGGCTCAAGGCTCATGAGGCTCACACCTGTGTGAATTGTGGTTTTCAATGATAGGTGTGAAGTTCAATACGACTATGGACTCAGACAAGGCAGATCTCGAAAGCTGGCGAACCGACCGGCGTCTTTCACTTCAGCCCAAGGAAAGACAATTGTGGCTGAGCAGCAGACCGCCATCAAGAACGAAAGAATCCTTGAGCGTGGTAGGGTACGTGATAGAGGTCAACGTTTTTAGTAGATCATGTTCAAACACGACCTTCTACAGTCTATCCACAAGCAACTGGAAAAGGAGATCCGCCCAGAGGAGGTCCTTATAGAAACTGAGACCGACGAAGAACGCTGGGCCTTGCGGTGAGGGTATAACGTCTTTCTCTGTGAGATCATACGACTGAATTCTCTGCAGGCTGGTCAACATCCTATCCTGCTTGGACAATCTCGTGGAATCAGACTATACTCGGGAGATCCCTGTATTCGGGACTGTTCACGGTCAGCTCGTGACAGGAATCATTGTGAAATCCTCTTCCTCTCCCCTCTTTGAAAAAGTCTAATCATCTTGAACACAGGATGAGATCATCCGAAAAGCTACGCCAGTATCGGATGCATCTTCTCCTGGGAAAAGAGCATCTCCCTCAAAAAGAGAGAGTCCGAAGAAGAGCAAGAAACAACGCAATCCTTCTCCTTCGCAATCGGAAATTACGACATTTTTCTCCTCGCCATCAAAAACGCGGAGTCTCTCGCCTCTATCTCAGGATTCAGGTCCACCTTTTGCGACACAGGTCTACACTTTGTTCATTCTCGACTCTAAAACCCGGCGCGCAAAGAGTCTGCCATCAACTGAGGATGCCCTCAACTCTCGACTCCAACTAATGACCTATCATCGACTGTTATCCGAACTCCTGTCACCGTCATTCGACTTTATATCTCTCTGGGATCGTCTACATCTAGATCCTGCTCGTCTTTTCTCAGATGCTTTTCTCGAATCATCAGGCCTACTTCCAACAGCTGTACGCTGCTTGAGCGACCTTTGCGTCTTGTGGCGAAACTCTGTTGCCGCCCTCAATATCGACAGGGTGGCACCTACACTGGAGATTGTATATAGATACCGGCCGTACACTAAACGGAAGGCTTTAGATCCTGTCAAGGAGGCGGAAGAATCAGCTCAAGCCTCAATCAGGGTCGCTGAAGAGGTCAAGAACGTAGTACAGGATATAGAAACCAACCGGCGGCAGGAGGACTCGGATCTTGCGCGCGCCATTGCGGAGAGCCTCAAGGACCACACGAATTCCGGTGGGCACTCGAAACGCGCTGATTCGATTGGGACTGGGAGATTTGGAGAGGCCAGAAAGCTGGTGTCTTCGTTGACAGAGCCACGAGCATCGAGTTCAAGCAGTACCCTACGACAGGACCCCGAACTTGCATGGGTCGCACAGAAAGAGATGTTGAAGAGGGACGACTCAAACGCGGTGGCAGCGGTAGTGAGGAACACCTCTTTTGGCAGTAAATTGACCGGTTGGTCCTCTTATTCACCCTGTTTCTGGGTTGCTGAGACTGAATGCATTTGTAGAAGCATCTGAACTTGCTGCTGCGATACCGACTGCCCGCGACGAAACACATTCGAATGAAGACGAGAAATCAGAAGTCATCGGACGAACATTGTTCGCGATGGACGACAGACTTTTGGACGCACATCTGAAGAGCGTATTAGCATGGTGGTATGGTCAACGTCCACCACGGGGCGTGGAGATTGAGCAATCGAGACGTTGTTTGTGAGTGACCAGCGCTAGTTCTGGAGGCTCATGATTATTTGCTGATCAGGTCATCGTGACTATATATCCAGCTCTTGCGAATACATTCAAGACTGTGAGTGGAGAGAGCAGAAAGCGTTGGAAGCAACGGCTCGGTACACAAATAATTGACGGGGCCACAAGGAGTCTGAATCGAGTGGCCTTCCGCCTGGTTACCGAGATTACCAGTCCACTGTATCACCTTGTATTATATCTCGGCAGTGTACAACTATATTCCCTCTTTCGTGCAATACAGTGTACTCCTGTACTTAAGATCAACGCAGGGTGAGTTGCTGATGTCGAGTAACGAGGTAGGAAAACTCCGCCGTTTGTGGCAACGGGAATGACGCGCCTCGTTCAAGGCCGCAGTGCGTACAGACTTTTATGCATGCAACGCCCACGACCTGATACAAACCTATCGGCTTTCCCCCCCTCGCACCCACTCTCCTTCATTTTCATCTTCCTATACTCCTTGTAAAGTAATCATGCAAATGGGCGAGGGCTCCTGGGAGGACCGTCTCCACATCTCCTTCATTGGCGAACATGTTCTCTTTCCCGGGCTGCGCCTCGATTCTTGGGGCCACTTCGTAGGGGCATCGCTCTTGACTACGACTTTTTGTCTATGTGAGAGGTGTGTAGTTGCTGGAATTGTGGTACACAAATTCTTGACGATGGGTCGTTGTAGACTTGTCACGCTAGCGCTCATGAGACACTGGGCACCTTTTCGTTATGTGCGCCGGTCGCGTCTTCGCACCGCACTCTGGAGAACGGTATTATACTGGATTGTCACATTGTTGAGATTGTGCGTGAATTATAATCTCGGAGGTTCATTCCGTTCATCATGTATCTGTCAGACTGTACATGCTCATATCCATGACATTCCATGTCGGGTGAGTCTGTACCGCTATAACATTGTGAGGCAACACTGATCGTTGTACGCTGTGGTTGTGTCACAGGTTGATCCTTGTACTCGTGAGTACAGATGCTGTCAAGTTTATATGTAGGAGAGTTACAATGTCTGTCTCAAGGTATCGGCCCTGTCTGTGGGACAATTTGGCATTGAATATATTGGCGAACAACCACCGAGTCCCAATTTTGAGCAGTGTGTCAGGTCCACTCTCAGGTCCTACGCTTATGCTAATTGACCATCGTCTCCTTAGTGCCTATCGTCTGGATTCCGACCCCCTCCTACATCCAGCATCCTCTCCAACTTCGCTGGACAAGCCTCAGCATCCACCCTCCACACGCCCGCGCGCGAAGTCCAGGTGCAAGCCATCAAGCATCTTCATTCACCCCAACGACTCCAACATCGCACGTGCCGATGCGGTCGCTGTAGAGATGGGCATCCACGGAGACACTGATCGTGTTCGGGGCAGCAATACCTACACGGACACGCGCGGCACTGCATGGGAACACGGGAAGGGTAGGGACGTCGCCCGAGACATGATGGCTGGGGCCAAGCAGCATTCGCGATCTGGTTCCCGTCAAGCCTTGTTCCGCATCCAGGATGCAGACAGCGAAGACGATGAAGAACTGTATGATGGTTGAGGAGTCCGTGACGAGTATTTCCACACTCCTAGTTTTGTTTTGTTGTCTTGCTTTCATCCATTCCTCTTGCCACTCGTTATCTTTATTTAAAGCTGGTCTCGATCTAGAGTTTCTTCCTTTTTTACTGCCTTCGAAGTCGAAGTTTCAGTCGTATCTTACGCTCCATTGTACTGAATATTTCTGCTTAGTTCTATAACTATAGCCGATGATTGGGTCTCCCTCGAACGTTCGCAGCCTGTTGCGCCTGTCCTCCCTAACCCTGGCGAAAATCTGGTTAAATTTATACCATCAATTTGGCCACGCAGTGACACAATGACTGCCTTCCGAGCCAAAGACGACACGGCACTTCCTAATGGAATAGACGCTCTCATTTAGTTACTGTCGCGATCTTTTGATGAGCCTCATGCTCCGTATTTCGAGTCAGGACGTCCCAGGGTCGCTGCCACCAATGCAGACTATCATGGTTGGGAGTCTCAGTCCCGAGGCTGTTCTTTGCGACCGGCAAACGGAACTCTACCGCGAAGAGTATTACCGACTGGATGCCAATACGGGCATCATTGTTCGGATTTCTTGACCGACAACAGATTGGTTGACGAGACGGTGTTGGCCGTACAGCAAGGAGTGTTAGGTTACGTTAACATTTGGTTGAGAAGTTGGGTAGGCGAGTCTGCAGCAAATGAGAAGGTGGATGGGCAGAGAGATGTTGAACAGAAAGTATATGTAAACGTGAATGGTCATGTGTGGACATCGCGCTCCGTAATCGTGATACTCACAGCTACAATCGACGGACGTATAAATGCAAAGGAAACAGTGAAGGAACAGAAATAAAAGCGAGCACGCAGGCCGCGCTCGTGATGGCACAAACGACAAAAAGAACAGCACCAACCGAGATGAACCCAGTGGGCAACAAAAGCAACAAAAAACACATTCTATAGCGACCTAAACCTCAGATCACAATCGAAGTCTAATCCTCCCTTCTCAACTCTGAGACGGCTGCCGGTTCCTTCTCCTGCACCGGGACCTTCTCATCCTGGCTCTGTCTCTGGTCACTGTGCGCGTCGGAAGGGGAGGCATCCTGATCCGCATCAGCGCCGGTGCGGTACATAGGGTGCAGCTTTCCATCGACAGCGTTCTGAGTCTTGCCGAGGTAGAAGTCCTTAGCCAATAGGGCAACGATGAGCGGGACGAAGGCTATCAGTCAATTGGGCGGTTGTTCAAGCATAGTCAGCATAAGTCGGCGATCTGAGAGGGGAAGGACTGAGAGGGAGAAGAGAAAGAAGGGGGCTTACAAGTTGCGAGCGAAGCAATGATCAACGGCTTCACAGTCTCGTCGTAAGCTAACAACCCAGTCCAATCAGCAGTCCATCAACATTCCAAGACAAAGTTCGACCGCATCATAGTGCGGAGGATTAGAACGGAAATGCGGAAAAAAACGCACCAGAGATTACTCCAGCCCTGATATCGTCGGTTTCAGACCTCGCGTCCGTAATAGATCCATAGATCTCTGTGATCTCATCTGCATCCACGCCGAGTGGTGTGAGGTATTTTGCGAGGTTGGAGGGCATATCGTTGCTATATCATATAACCGATGGAAGAGGGCGTGAGTCAAGTTCACAATACCCTTGTATGCGATTCAATTGCAGAAATGGGTACTCACGTCCAAACAGAACCGGCTATGATCATGATCAGAAAATACTGTGAGCAATCACGTCCAACAACAGGATGCCGGAAGAGAATGACATACCAACAGCTGACCCAATTGCGCCGAAGAGCTGCGTCCAGAGCGAAAGGTTCGAGATTACAATACCCAAGTCCTCATGCGGGACGGAGGCCTGGACCATGACGTTGACGCAGGCGAGGGAGATACCACCGCCGGCACCATTGAGGATCTGTGTCCAAGCGAGGCCAACGGCGCTGTATTTCCCGGACAAAAATCGCGCGCAGGAGATAATGTGAGTGGAGAATATTGACAAGAGACGGAAGGGAGCCTGGCGGAGGAGACATACGTTGCGTTGGCCCCACGAGCGTGGTACATGACGACGTAGCAGAGGACACGGATGACCCAGGCAAGCACGAGGACCCACTATAGATCAAGTCAACAATACGTTGATTCCCCCGTAAACAATTAAGACCGATGGTAGGGGTAGAGAAATACCGGAGAACACAACGCACCTTATACCGATGCGTATACCTCATCGCCAACCCAGCTAAGAGACCAAAAATACAAACGCCGACGGTCTCCGTCTGGGAAAAGATCGTCCAATTATACAGGTTCCAGTTTGTGACAACATATGACCAGGAGGAGTAGTAGGTGTCGGAGAAGTCTCCGGACATGTAGTAGGTCGCATCTAATGATATCTAGTGAGCTTTGTGAATGAAGCAAAGTGTGTATATGAGAGAATACGGACTGATGATGACACCGAAGATGAATGCCCTATTGATTGGAAAGTTCAGAATGATAGACGTCTCGGATGTGAGTACTTGATTGCCAAAACGGGGGGAGGGGGGATGATGCGGACTTGTGGGCAGACTTACTTATTAAGAACACGTTTCGGAAGAATCGGGTTCGATGCGTAGAACCACTCGTAGAACGCGAATGCAATGAGCAAGATGCCGCCTACCACAAACATCGCGATCAATGAAGCTATACATCCCCAAGATAACCACAACCGGTAAGCATCACCAGACAAAAACCGAAGGGCAGAGACATACGGTTATTATACCCATCTGCCGCACTCGCTGACAGCGTGAATGGCAACAAGATCAAAGTCCACGAGAATCCGAGCAGAATCAAGCCTAAGGCGTCAATGGCCGAGCATATCTTGATCAATACCTGGAGCGGAGACCGGCTCTCAATGACGGCGGCAGGGCCTGTGGCCGTGTCGGCGGTGGGGTTATCAAGGACGTGGAGTTTTTTGGCTTTGATGTCGGCGTAGAAGAGGACAACGAGGGCGGGGGACATGACAACGGGGACCATGATCTTTTTACGAGCCAGCAATGTCATAATGAGGCGTTAAGTATGTGTGGCAGAGAGGGTGTGAACAGAGGTCGCGTACGGCAAACATTCCGTATCCCCAGCGCCAGCCAGCCTCTCCTAAACCATCTGTGATGAAGCCTCTGCATACGAAACATAGGTAAGCTCAAACAACTCCCGATAAAATTGCACAAGAACAGGACTCACGCGATGTAACAGTTGATGATATACGGAGCTAAAGGGAGGGAGGTGACGAAACCTCTGAGGAACAATGAGCGAGCGGCCTTCGGTTTTGTAGCACGAGAACAACAAACCTCCATGCGAGCGGACTGATATCTGCGACGAGCATCGAGGTGACCAAGTCCAATCCCGTGCTTCCAATGGCATTGATCAGAATTCCTGGATAGACCAATTTTTTGTGTAAATGTCCGAGTGCACCGATTATGAGGGTCAATGGGAGCTGACCTGCGGCGATGGCGCTGACACCATTTGCGGACGCGATGACGATGAAACCGAGGGTGTAGAGCGTGACTGAGATCAGGTAGGCGGTCGGACGAGATGTCGTATCCGCAAGCTGAGCTGCGAAAGGTTGGCCTGTAGCAAGCGAAACCATTCAGTAAATAAGCACGCCCAAAAATTATGGTACCATCATCATGAAACCAGAACAATAGGCATAACGACTTACCAACACCACCGATAATCCCCGCCATGACATTGATCGTCGATAACACTGCATGTTCCCCGAAGGAGGAAGTCGCAAACGCATAGAAACTGTCCACCGTTGAACTCCCCAGGGTGTTCGCATAGACATACAGGAACAGGCTCGCATAAAGAGCCCAGAGCGCCTTGCTGCCCTTTGGGAAGACGCGGTAGAGGGCCTCAATCTTTGCGATACCACGGCGACGCTCGCCTACGTCCGCCGGGACCGCTTTTTCGTCGATCTCGGACAAGGCTGCTTCCTGAGTGTGAGCTTCAGCTGGCGCAGCGAGCTTACCCTTGAAAAGGGACTTGAACATCGCGGGAAGAGGCATTGCGGCTGCTGTTTACGCTGTGAAAGACGAGCGAGTGAAAGAAACACAACTTGGGGGAGAGGCTTGAGCCTGAAGGACGGTGGGCGAGGGGAGCGGAAGAGTGGTCGGCAGCCTCGGGAGATCAAGCCATGTCAGAAAGCGAGGGCAATATATACCCTCACAGGGGAGTCAGAATATCCACAGGTCCGCACCACATTTTCACATTTCAATATGCTGCATTGCGAAAGCTGTCGGAATCTGGACTCGGAGACAAAGCCATATGCACACACTAAGGGAAAAAGAAGAGCGTTGATGAACGAGCTCAGATCGAGAACGATGGCATGTTAAGGTTGGCAGGTTGCCTAGTACTGGGAGAGTTGAAGAGTAACAGATACGGGCATGATGGAGCAGTCATTTTCAGGTTACTCAGACGAGTGTGGTTAGTTGTCCAGTGAACTTCTAGGTGGTGTGGCACCTTGGAAAGCATTCAAGAAAGGTCGCGCTCGGTGGAAGGTGCGCGTTGACCCGTCCCGGGTCGACTTTCCTGAGGTTCATCTTCGGGTTTTGTGCGCGCAGAGAACAGACAGGAAGTCCTTGCCTTGCACTCGTAAGAAGCTGCGGAAAAATGATGCGAGTTACACGAGAATACCAGGAGAAGCAGAGCGATTGGTTAGAGAGTGCACTTGAAGTCCGAGAGACTGGAGAGGGCTGACAGCGATCAATTGCTTCACATTTTATCTAATCATCCGCCGCCGGTGCCTGATCAAATCTTATCAGATATGGATATGGATCTGTACTCACCGGAGATTTTAATATGGAGGGCCGCCTGAGCTGTTCTTATCAGATAACAGGAACAAAACCAGGTGCCCTCAGTTCGGCACTGACACCGCAGAAACATTTGCGCGAACCTCGAGGGATGTACACTGGGATGGTCACTGCAATCTGGCATTTGGTTCGCATGGACAGTCGACGGGAAGAGACATGCTGGAGGCAGAGCTCAAATGTGGGAGATTGTTAGGGATGGAGCGAAGGAAAATCGATCTACGGACTGGTGATGAATGCGTATTGTTATCCTTCGCGCTCGTTTATTCTCCATGCGTGCGTAGGGGTAAGTACAGATGCGAGATGGACGACAACGGCTCGCCTGAAGATGTATGATGATTATCGTTTACCAAGACTAGACTATGCTCCTCCTCCTGCAGCTGCAACTATGAACTGTGATATATGCGCGTGTTCCTCGGGAAAAAGTGAATAGTACAGAATAAGTAGGGATATTGTGTTCGTTAGCCATGCTCGATGAGAAACAGGGATCAATAGATACGGCGAGAAAGGTTTCCAACTTCCGAACCGACTGTCCAGACTTGACAAGGAGCATGTCCCGGAGAGGGTGCTCAGAAACTCACTTGAGGATGAGACACTGAAATTAGTGACCACGTCCCTCCACAACGCCTGTACGCCTAGCAGCGTACGCTCCGCGTTTCGCCCCTCCAGCAAGACCCTTCGGACCATCAGAATCGACCGCCTTGCGCTGCCACTGGTCAATCAGCCTTCCGACTCCCTGGTAAGGCTTGTCCGGCGACCCCGACCCCGGCTGCGCCTCTTCAGAGGACGGTGGCGATGGAGTAGATGCGCGAGGTATAGTCACTTTGGGAGGTGGTTCTCGTGCCGCCGGTTTCTCGCTCGTTTGTGGCGGTTTGAAGGGTGATCGGCGACCTGAAGCCTGTTCGTGCGGTTTCCTCTCTGGCGAAGCAAGGCCAGGAAGAGCCACAGGCGAAGACCGAGGCAATCCGGTAGGAGACGTTCGTTGCGTCGACATGTTGCTGCCACGGCTGCCATCCTCCGGAGGGTTCAACGAAGAATTGTGACCCGTAGCGGATTGACTACGACCCTTGAAAGCGGAATTTAGCGCACCGACAACCGGGCCCGACGTCGTAGAGGACGAAGTACCGTGGGTGGCGACCTTGTGTAAAGGCGGTTTGGTAGTTGTCGCAGGTGCGATAGGTTTGCCGCCCATTGCCTCATATCGCTGCACCATATCCGTTATCGAACTCCGTCGTACTTGGCGCTGAGCGCGTACGTCGGGTGGAACATTCAACGACGGAGTCTTGGGCGACTCTGGCAGTGTGGGGAAGGGCTTTGATGACGCGCCTGCTGGCACGAACATCGACTGTGGACGAGATCGGCCCACTGATGTCTGAGGTTGACTGATTGGCGAAGGAGGCGGTAGCAGTGTCGAGGACTGTTTCCTGTGTCTTGAGGAAGGGCGAGGAGGTGAAGGTGATTTGTCTCGATATTCCGGTGCGTTGGGTGTCGGAAGGAGAGGTTGGGGTGAAGCGGTCCTGGCCTGAGCTATTGCTCCAGTGCCGAAAGTCAGGTTCGCAGGCTTCCTGATCTCGCTGCGCCCCTTGCTAGGAGAGCCGATGTCCAGGCCATTGCCTACCTCCTGGCTCTTGACGCCCTCTGCCTCACTCTCCCGCGCTGTTCCCTTCTTCTCAGGACCACTGGCCCCTCCCCATAAATCGACCAAATCATGCACAGAGCTCTGGCGACCCTTCGATTTCGGCCTTCGCTTGCCCTGCCCCACCTTCTCCTTGAACTCGAACGGTTTCACATGTCCAGGTGCGAACCCATTCGCGTCCTCGGGTTCTTCGGAGCCGCCGCTGCTAGACGAAGTGTCTCTCCTCGTAGTACCACGCCGGGGGCTTGTCACTGGCGACCAGTTATCGTTGAGCACCTCGTTCTTGAACGAGCTCGCTCTCGACGCCACCGGAGCCGCCACCAACGTCTCCACCGGTTTAGGACGATGACGTTTCGCATCTGTAGTCGACGACGGAGGTGCAGGTGAAGGCGTAGAGGTAACCTGTTCAGGCGGGGGGAATCGGTCTTCAGCAGCTTCCTGAGGGCTTTGGATAACTGGACTCTTGGGCACAACGGACGCGCGCTTGCTCAACGAGTTGCGGAGAACAGGGGTACCAGGCGGTTTAGGGAGATCATCGTCGTCACCAGTAAGCCAGTCCTGGGTATCCGGTCGCCCCAGAATCTGAGCAGCAGTCGGTGTCGAGGGGGTAGGCTCAATTGGTGATAATTCCACAGACTGCTTGACTTGAACCGAGCTGCGGTGCTTCCTGTCCAAGATAGGTCGTTGTTTGGTAGGGCTGGTACTGCCAAGCTTCGAGGTCTCGTGCGCCTCACGAGACTCGCGCATAGCTGCACCTGTGACATGCTCTGAGCGCGTTCCATCTATCCCAGACGTAGCTGCTGAAGCGGGAGGGCCGAGCGTATTGTTCAGCGACGCTGGAACGCTAGTGGCAGCAAATCCGTTGGACGGTTGAAGACGACTGGGTGTGGGTTTGATGGGTTTGGGAGCAATTCTGCTTATCGACGACGGCGGTGGACCTTGTGAGATAGAGGGAGCAGCAGAAGTGGGTGGCGGCGAAGTATATACGCGATCCAAATCCTCGAGTGATGGGAAACGTTCCTCGGCCGTCAGATTGGGTGACGGAATACCCGATCGAGAAACAGGGGGTTGCGATTTCCAGGATGAGGATATTGCAGGAGAGGGTGAGTGAGGGGGCGGTTGTGGTGAAGGCGAGGGCGAAGGTCGCGGAGAGAGAGAAATTGGCGGACGCGGGGAGATAGGTTTGGGAACATCGAGATTGGATGGGCCTGTGTTGGCGTTGAAACCCGTCCTTGCGGTTCGAGCTTGAGCGAGCGTAGGAGCCGACTGCTTTTCGAAGGAACCGAGGCCGTCGAAGGCATCCTTGGACTTCCCTGATGCACCAAACCCGCCAGTGAAACTACCCAGTGGACGTGGAGGTCCAAGACCAGCACGAGAGCTTGCTTGCTCCGCCATCCGAGAGGCGGCCGCAGCCGCCGCAGAGGACGAAGAGCCAAGCATCCTTTCAAAGGAGTCCCCGAACGCGTTGGAGGCATTGGTGGTCTTATTCGCCTGTCCAATTCTGTCCTGGCCACTTTGACCATCCACTCTCCGTCCCGTGGCCCAAGCATCGTTTGATGAACCATGTTGCACCTTCCACGCCTCCGGACTTGCCACCCCAGACCGATGTCCACGAATACCACCATGAGCCTGCCTGACGGCCTTCCACGAAGACTCTTCTGTCTGTCCGAAGTCCTTTTCTGGGTCCATTTCAAACAATTTACCCTCTGCGGGCCGGGTAGCTTTCGTCTGCTCTTTCGCGGGACTGACTGACCGTGGAGGCGAATGGGCCTGCGTAGGACGACCACGGCGCATTGGTGCGATGGCATCCAACACCTTCTCCCGCGCTTCCACACCCGCATTTTTATGGGGAGATGACGAGAGAGGAGCCTGAGGACCCGAAGTTGAAGAGGATGATCGATAGGACACGAGGTTATCGAGAGTGTTGCCGGCCTGCGGTGGTGCCTCGACCGGGCGTGGAGGTAACGATGGTCGAGCTGGGATGTTATAGGTGAATTGTGACTTGGTTCCACGCATGGCGTGGACGACATTGAGAAGTTCGAAGGCAGACGGCCGATGTGCACCATGTTCACGAAGCATAGAGGCTACATTTGCTTCAATACAATATTCTGGAGTGACAAGAGAGAAGACATACCAATCAGTGCGTTCATCTGAGCCGAGTATATCGGGTAAGGTGGGATCTTATACTGCACGTTGAGAATAGCAAGTGGTCCATGCTCCTCGAAAGGTGTAGTATAGTAGCACAGCTTGTAGAGCAGTACTCCGAGAGCCCACACGTCCGACTTCTCATCGACAGGCCGGCGCAAGTAGGGATCAACCATTTCGGGCGCTCTGTATTGCAGCGTAGTATGTCGATTCAGGTCGGCTTCGAGAGCTCTGATCTCTTGTGTGTTTGCAGGTGGTCGTCGAGCAACTGGCGTCGCAGAGCCGAAGTCACAGAGCTTGAACGATGTGGGGGAGGATTGAAGGATGTTCTCGACTTTGAGATCGCGATGGAGGAGGGCCGGTCGAAGATTGTGCATGGCGGCGACACCTTCGCATACGTCGACGAATATTTGCAGAATTTCCCCTTCTGTGAGACGCTCGCGCAACCGCCTGTTCATCATGTCGATGATCCCACCCCCTTGCGTCCAGTCAGTTACAACTCGTGGCAGAGGGAGAAGCACGACTCACCAGCACAATAGTCCATCAGAATAAATACTTCATACATGCCGTTCGACATCCTGTGCCAAGCTGCATCGATGAGGTGGACGATATTAGGATGACCTTTAAGTATACGCTGATCGCAGCAGCTTGAGCGGCGAAGTCATGCTACGCAACACACAACCTACGTACCATGATATCTACTTCCTTCTTCACCTCAGAAAGCATGCCCTCGTTAGGGACGGCGATACGCTTCAGGACATGGTGGGTGGTACCATAGACGGGAGTGGGAGTTCTACACAGATAGACATGGGCGAAACCACCTGGAACAAACGCGTGAATACCTCCGTCGAAAGCGTTGCAAGGCTGGCGTACCTTGAGAAAGATAGCGGTCGACCTGAACGGTATATTTATTGACTGAGATGGACTGTCCTGGGACGAGGGTGCCCTTGTTCTGAGCGTAGGCCTGCATCTGTTGGGCCATTCGCCGTTCGGGATGGTCAACAAGGATGGCCTGCTTCGTACAGCAACGCCCGCCAAAGTTCCAAGCCGCCCGTATGGGTCTGCCACGTGCGCGACAACATCCATTACCCATATTTGGACGACCACTGTAGCTTTCGCGAACCGACGTCACTTGTCCCGCTAACTTGTCCAGATCTCAACATTTCACGGTCGTCGTCGTCGTCCTCATCCATCTCTCACCTATCACCATGACCGACAAACATCATCTTCTCCCAACCCTTTCCGATGCCGTTCCCTTCTCGAGACCTGGAACTCCTGGAGCCCACGGACCTCTTGCCATTGGTTTCGTGGGGTTGGGTGCGATGGGCCGACCGATGGCTCGTAATCTTGCCCATTATCGTGCCTTGCATTCTCCAGGTGCACCTCCTCAGCTTGTCTGGAATAGGACTATATCGAAGGCAGAGAAGCTCGTTGCTGAGCTCGGCGAGGACAAAGTGCAGGTTGCTCAGACTCCGGGCGAGATCGCTCTCGAATGCGACATAATCATCACCTCTCTGTCAGGCGACGAGGGTGTCAAAGCCATGTACCAACAGTTTGCGGCTGCTCTTCAGGCAAGTAGCATTCGTATGACTGTCTAACTCTTGACTGATGCGTCGAAGCTAGCAATCCAAACCGACTCGTAACAAGATCTTCGTTGACACCAGCACCGTACGCCCAATGATATGATCCCCCCAATATCTTCATAAACTTACGCGATCTGTAGATATACCCCACACTAGCCGGTACGCATTGTCCTGTTGTCTCTATTTACATATTCCCATGGAAAAACAGGCGAGCTCGATGCTATCATCTCTGCCATTCCCCACTGTCATCTCGTAACCGCACCCGTTCTGGGCCCACCTGCAAGTGCTGAAGACGCATCCCTGGTTATCTGCATGAGCGGAGACTACCGATCTAAGAAGGAACTGGCCCATCTACTTGTACCGGCTGTCGGGAGGAAGGTCTACGATCTCGGCGGAAACTTGGAGAAAGGTCAGCTTCCTTCGTTCTATATTTACCTCTCTACTCGTAGTATTGTAACTCATTCACGTTACTTTACCTTAGCTCCCACCTTTAAACTTATTGGAAACTCAATTATTCTCGGGTCTCTCGAGGTTCTCGCTGAGGCGTTCACCATGGGCGAGAAGTCTAACATCGGCCAGGACATGGTCTACCAATTCATCAAAGGTGACTTGTTTATCGTCTCACTGATGAGCTGTTCTAACGTTCACTATGTTCTGCGGTATAGATATGATGCCTGCACCTCTGTAGGTACTCTAGGGCAACTAGAAACGTCATGTTGGCTGATGTGTTATCTATAGTCTACTCGCCTATGGTGACAAGATGCTCCACGACAAGTTCGATGGCTCAAAGGGTTTTGCGATTGACGGTGGAATCAAGGACGCTACGTATGCACTGGTTATATCTCGCGATATCTTTGATGGTCGCTCACCACTGGTTTGTTCATATAGTCACATTCGTAAACTCACGGCGGAGCATAACAGCCCCATGCCCGTTGTCGACACGGCGCACCAGCACCTTCTCACTGCTCGTGCTCTGCATGCACAGGCTGAGAGGGCTGGTAATGCTACTTTCCCTATTCTCGATTGGTCGGCGCTTGTCGCAGGGACAAGGGCTGCAGCTGGGCTGGATGCTTTGGACAGCAACAAGGTCCGTGTCGTCTTTTCAATTTCTGGCCGCGATAGAGGTTTTGGCTTACAAGTCATTTGCAGCACTCTGGTCTCGTGAGGGAAGATTGAGGTGATATGATAGACGAGCGGTAGGCAACTTCGGACAATGAAGCATAAAGTGTAAACGTGAATGTATATTTTCGTGTGTATTTGAAGAACATCGAACTCCTTGTACTCCACTCATTCGGGCGTTGTTGAGCTGCTGATCAAGACTGTCAGTTTCAAGTCAGCATGACTCAAGGTATTGGACTCACCTTTGAGAATAATCCTACAGCACGACAACCCTCTTCAGCGCATCGAGCGTCGTATCAGGCGACATGTTGAACGCAAACTTCGCCTGAGGCGCATACTCCCTGACCGCATTTATCAACGCCTCAAAAGTGACTGTCTCCTTCGGTGTGCCCCTGACTCCCCATCCAAACATCACCGTCTCCCACTTCTTCTCCTGCAACTTCTGTTTCCACTCCTCGAGTGTCGTGTCGAGATCTGTCGTCTCGATGAAGAACCCTTCGATGGGATAGCCTGCTGAGGCGAGCGAGGCGAAGCTGCTGGTTATGGCTGTTTGTATACGCTCTGGGGTATAACCGGAAGTGGCAATCATGGGGTGGTTCCAGTGAAAGCCTACGCCCAGGATAAGAGGGGCCATTGTTTTTTGTTGGAGGGTAGGAGAGGAAGAGTTTTGTCGGGGATGCTGTGATGGGCGACTGAGATGTGAACCCATTTCTCTTTGCGGTTCGACATTATATACTAGGCGTAGGGCTCGTAGCGCAGGTATCGTGTAATCTCTCGGCCTCCGAGCTACTAGGGCCATCAAGTCGATTGAGCGGAGTCCATATTGCGACGACGTTGCTGATTGATCTCATGGTCTGTACGTATGCCTTCATAAGGTGAGGAAACGGCGTAGCACAAGCGGTGTGAAGTGCACTACAGAATTGTTGGCAGAGCAAACGGCGAACTCGTTTTCAAGGCATGGGTCGGAGGACCAGCGCCACGTGGCTCTGTTGTAGTAAATTGTCACCAACGTCGCGTCAAGCTTTCTCTCCGCGCCGTGCAATGCCTGCAGAAGCAAGCATGTCTGGCTCGGACTATTCTCAGCTCTCTGTCTTCAGTCTCAATTGCTGGTATGCTCGTCTTGTGCTCATTGGGCTTTCTTTTAGGACTAATGCAATTTAAGGGGCTTGAAATATGTCTCGAAAGACCGGTCTGACCGTATATTCGCCATCACCAACTTTCTCTCACAGGCTCAATACGACATTGTCGCCTTACAAGAGCTATGGGTGTACTCGGATTATGAGCTCGTCCGTACAAGCGTTTCAAAACGGCTGCCACACTCCAAATTCTTCTACAGGTGCGTAATTCTATATTGCCTGTTTTTAACTACCGTCCAAACCGTCTATGCTCTTAGTGGTGCCTTGGGCGCTGGGCTGGCAATCTTCACTCGTTTCCCTATTATCGCGGCTACGATACACCCGTATTCTCTGAATGGCTCTCCCATAGATGTTGCCGGAGGCGACTGGTTTGTGGGCAAAGCTGCTGCCAGTGTACTCATCTCGCACCCGATACTCGGCCAAGTCCAGATCTTCAACACGCATGTACGTCTTCTTCTTGCTCTGAAGGTTGTCCGGTTCTTAACACAGCGTTCAGCTTTTTGCCAAAGGCGGCGAGGGAGGCCCTGAACATCACAGAGCACATCGACTGGTGAATGCATGGGAGTTCGCCAAACTCGCCAAACAGTCTGCAGAGCTCGGGCGATACGTTATAGCGGTAATAGTTCCTGCTTTAATTCACCATGTGACTGACTGACAGGTGACAGCTGGGAGACTTTAACAGCATACCCACAACACTACCAATGACAGTCATACGTGACCATGCCGCTCTCCGGGACGCGTGGACCGAAACACACCCTTCGCCCCCTTCCTCGTCTTCTATGCTTTCCCCGTTCGACTGTATTCAAGCCTTCGGTGTCACCGCCGACTCGCCAATAAATTCTTATTCTGCAGGAAAACCATTGGATGCCTTCGCTCTCGCCGGTCAAGGCAAACGTCTCGACTACGTCTTCTACCGCGATCCTCATGTCCCACCAACAGGCGGGTCAAAATCACTCCCACAGCTCAAATGCAGCAACACGCGTGTCATGCTGACTGAGAACGTACCCGGTCGTTCGTTCTCCTACTCCGACCACTTTGGTCTGGAAGCCCGTTTCGAGATACGACATCCCGAGGCTCAGGATCACACCCTACCTTCCAATCCTTCGCCGTACACCTCGGACCTTCCCAGCGTAACCTCTGTGGCAGCAACCTCCACCCCTGGGCCACCTTCCACGCATCTTTCGTCCGATTCCGCCACGACTGTCCTACAAGCATTGACGACGTGCTACCGCCACGCACGTGTGCGGTCGCAACAGGAGTTGACAGTGTTCGTGCTGTGCGTCGTTTTACTCGTGGGACTGATAATTGGTTCTGCGTGGTTGCCACATGCTGCTTACGCCCCAGTGTTCGTGTTTTTGGCGGGGCTTGCTACTTGGTTGGGGACGACAATGCTTTATGTTGGATTTGTGTATGGGAAATGGGAGATTAATGCATTGATGAACGTGATTGAAGAGTTGGAGCTCTACAGGAAGGGGATGAATGGGGGACTCGCCGGACAGTCATGAACTTCTAATATCTTGCCTTATTGGGATTCTCTGGATACATATTACGCACATCTATACTTTTCTCAACATAGGGATTCATATATCCCGTAGCACGTATGGTTGTCGCGCTCGCTCAAAGTATCGTTGCAAGTTTCATGGAAGGAAGGATTTCCCAAAGCGGCGGCACGCGCCACAGCTCCGGGTTGTCCACGTCGCGTCGACTCGCAGGACGCAGTGCTCTGCTCATCATCACAACACACCGGCCAGCTCTCCGTCCCCTCTCCGCCCTTTGCTCAGGCTCCTCTCCCGCCATGTCCCTCACTTATACCAAGAAGGAGGAGGAGAGCGGTCTTAGCTCATACTACAACAACAAAACGACCATAATCCAGGAAGCACGCGTCTTCAATGAATCTCCCATTAGCCCCCGGAAATGCAGAGCATTGCTCACTCGGATCGTGTATTTACTTTATATCGGAGAGACGTTTGGGACTCAGGAGGCTACGACACTGTTCTTCGGGACTACGAAATTGTTTCAACATAAAGACGTGAGTGAAAGCGGTCTGCTGCAATAGTTCAGTAACTAAAGTTGTTCTGTCGGTCCGTGGACTTGTAGAGTGCGCTCCGGCAGATGGTCTACCTCGCCATCAAAGAATTGGCCTTGACGGCTGAGGACGTCATTATGGTGACGAGTAGTATCATGAAGGATATGCAACCCAACTCGGAGGTCATATACAGGCCAAATGCCATTCGGGCGTTGTGCCGCATTATCGACGTATGTCCTCCGAATATGCTTCATCTACCTGTCCGTTAAGACTCATACATGTGTATTACCATAGCCATCCATGGTCCAGGGTGTTGAACGTTTCTTCAAAGCCGCCATTGTGGACCGCACCCCCTCCATCTCGTCTGCCGCCCTTGTCTCCGCCTACCACCTCTTCCCCGCCGCCAAAGACGTCGTGAAACGATGGGTGAACGAAGCACAAGAAGCTGCGAACGCCAAATCCTCGTCTGGGTTCTTTGGTGCATCGGCGTCCTCTGGTGGATACCTCGGTTTCGGTGGTGCATCGACTCAGAACACCGGGTACTCGCCCATGCCCTCGACGAGTTATATCACGCAGTACCATGCACTTGGTCTCTTGTACCTCATCCGTCAACAGGACAGGATGGCGATCACAAAAATGATTCAGCAGCTTGGTGGAGGGAAGACTGGGTCTGGGACGGTGCTGAAGAACCCGATGGCACTGTGCATGCTTATTCGGTACGCTGCAAAGGTAATGGAAGAGGATCCAAAGTGAGCAACAATATATAACTGTAGACCGTTTCCTCTGATCACTGACCATTGTATATAGCGTGCAGAGGCAGATGCTAGAAATACTTGAGGGATGGCTGCGCCACAAAAGTGACATGGTCAACTACGAGGCCGCCCGTGCTATCTGTGAGATGAGGAACGTCACCCCCGCTCAACTGACGAGACCGATTGCTGGTGAGTAGAAGTGGTACTTCGCAAGATCCGACAGTTCCTTATTCCTTTCAGTTCTGCAACTCTTCCTCTCCTCCACCAAACCGACGCTCAAATTCGCCGCAACACGCACACTCGCATCTCTCGCTCTTGTTCACCCGGCTAGTGTGGCGACCTGCAATGTCGACTTGGAGAACCTCATTTCGGACTCGAACAGGAGCGTCGCCACATATGCTATCACGACCCTTCTCAAGGTTCGTTCCTTATATAAATCTTCATAGTAGCATCTTTTCAGCTTTCACCTCTTACACCATCCAGACCGGCAATGAAGCCTCCGTCGATCGCCTCATGAAGCAGATCACCGGTTTCATGAGCGAAATCTCAGACGAGTTCAAGGTTATCATCGTCGACGCCATCCGTTCTCTCTGCCTCAAATTCCCCACCAAACACATCGCCATGCTCGGTTTCCTCTCTGGTGTCCTCCGCGATGAAGGTGGCTACGACTTCAAGCGCGCTGTCGTTGAAGCCATCTTCGACATGATCAAGTTCATTGGCGATTGCAAGGAGCAAGCTCTCTCCCATCTGTGCGAGTTCATCGAAGATTGCGAGTTCACGAAATTGTCGGTTCGCATTCTTCATCTCCTGGGAATCGAGGGGCCCAAGGCGCCACAGCCGGCGAAGTATATCAGGTTTATTTACAATCGTGTCGTGCTGGAGAACGCGACTGTGCGTGCGGCTGCTGTCGCTAGTTTGGCGAAGTTTGGGATCAGCGCGGATGATGGGAAGTTGCAGAAGAGTGTAGCTGTCCTCCTGAACCGGTCAGTCTGCTTGGCCGTTAACTCGTCACGTATACGAACTAATCTTCATCTGTCACAGCTGTCTTGATGACGTTGATGACGAAGTTCGGGACCGCGCCGCTATGTACTTGAAGGTATTGAAGGCTCCTCCATTGGCCGAGACCTATGTGAAGGACGGTACGCTATTTTCTGTCTGGTCTCACTCTGACGTCCGCTGATTGTCCACCAGACTCTGTATTTTCCTTGTCTGCCCTCGAGGCAAAGCTGGTGACATATGTCAACGATCCAGAGGCCAGTGAGCAGCCGTTCGACGTCACTTCGATACCAAAAGTCAGTCGTCAACAAGCGGCTCAGGATGCGGCCCGTAAGTTCATCTTGTCATACTTCGGGTATCCGGCCTTTCACTTACCCTTGGCTCTCAGGTCCAAGCACATTGGATACCATCGGCGCTCCGACAGCCAAGAAATCCTCGCCGTCCCCTCCGCCACCTACTGCCGAGGAAACCCAGTCCGCCTACCTTCAACAGCTTGCGGAGGTTCCGGAACTGGAGCCGTACGGACCCGTGCTTCACAGCAGTGCGAAGCCGGTACAACTCACGGAGAGCGAGACGGAGTACCAGGTGTCGTGTGTCAAGCACATATTCAAGGAGCATGTCGTCTTCCAGGTGAAATATATTTATGTTCTACGTCATGTTCGAGCTAATTCTTACTGCTGCCACATTAGTTCAATGTATCGAATACCCTACCAGACACCGTCCTCGAGCAGGTGTCTGTCATCATGCAACCATCTGCAGATTCTGGTTTGACAGAAGACTTCATCATCCCGCTCCCATCGCTCGCCGCGACAACTTCACCAGGGATTGTCTATGTCTCCTTCACACTCGACTCGCCAGAATCGTACACTATGGCTTCCTTCCAATGTATTCTTAAGTTCATCAGCAAGGAGCTTGATCCCTCAACTGGTGAACCAGAAGAAGAAGGATACGAGGACGAATATCAGCTCGAAGAGGTTGAACTTGCGGCCGGAGGGGACTACATCATCCCGAGCTATGCCAACTTCTCGTCCGAGTGGGATCGTTTGCGGGGAGGCGCGACCGCGACGGAGACGTTCTCGCTTTCCGCAATGGACAGTATCAAAGGTATGCGGCTCTCCTTCTCTCCCTTTCCCCCCTTGTCGCTTCCCTGCGGTGCGACGGCGATTGACCCAACTGACGCGTGATCTTGTTCGTCTTGTTGTCACAGCCGCGTGTGATTCTATCATCGAGATTCTCAACATGGAGCCTCTCGGCGGCTCACAGAATCCCACATCGACGTCGGTGCACACATTGCAGCTCTCCGGGCTCCTCGTGGGCGGAGGGGGTAAGATTTTGGTCCGGTCGAGGATGACGTTCACGAGAGGACAGGGCGTCACGTTGGAACTGGGCGTGAGGGCGGAAAAACAGGAGGCGTGCGACCTCGTACTCGCTGCCATCGGTGGTTGATTCAGTTTTATAAGCTTTCGTTGTTGTTGTCGAGGTAGCGCCGTTTTTGTGTATTGGATTTTTGTTTCGTTTGACTATGGTGGACTGTAGCTTACCCGTTCTGTCGACGCACGACGCGGTGTGCGCTTATTTGGGAGTAACCACATCTTGGTGATATCCCTGTCAGAGTCGAATGATGATTCGAACCCAAGGAGAGACAATGGGCGGGGAATGATCAGCGTCAGAGCCCGAGCCCGTCGGGGCAAGGGTGCGATAAGTAGATAAATCCACGGACCTCCACGAGTATGGTCAGACGAAAGAGAAGATAAAAGCTGGTCTAGGCTGGGACCGCGGGGATGAGCACACCACTTTTCTGGCCCTACGGATATCCTATCAAGTGGGGGTACAAATGCATTTGTGCTGATACGCGCACGAAGTGCCTGTGTCAGCCCGCTGTGACTGACTGGCTTACTTCACTCGAGGACTGTGCTGTGCGCCCGAAAGCTAGCCCAGTACCGCGTTACTTATAAAAACCCTGTGAGACCGACGGCCGTGGAACGAAGGAGATGTGTCCCCAGAGTCGCAGTCTTGTGTTTCACTACCCCACAATATTCACCTGCTTTGACGCTTGAGCTTGAACGTCCGCCCCATCCGAAACCGACTGGAGCGCTGCTCCGCTCACCGTCCGTAAATATCGCCATCTCGGACCTACGCACTCTCCCAACATATTTAGAGGACAAGGCCACCGCAGATCACACTCATAGGGCCCTGTCGACATTATATCTATTATAATGGCCTCTCCGCCGCTGCCGAGTGCGAAGGTCATCCACGTAGACACCCGTGGGGCAGTCATTCTAGAGGAAGAGTCACCCGAGGTTCGTGCGCAAAGCGGTATCTCTCTTTCCTTCGTACGCTCATTCACGGACACGGCAACATGGAATTCGCTAGACAAGGGACAGTCGAGGAATATATCTTCCCAACTACATCGAACCGGTCTCACATATCGCTGTAGACGTGAGTTGTATGAGCCATCACACCATCCACGGCGCTAAAGTGATTTCTCGCATTTGCAGATCGGGGGCTCGCTCGCGAAGGTCGTCTATTTCACCCGTTCTCCTGATCCGCCTTCATCACCTTCTATCGCTGCTACGAACGGAAACACCACGCATAGCAGCGGAGTCTCGAGCCCAGGATGGTCTTCTCCTCCCACATCTGATGATGGCCAGCGACAGTCCCCGCCACCACCACCGTTCCCGAAGCAAAATGGAGCGCTTACACCCATGGTCCTCGAAACGACCGCCTCTAACCATCTCCTGAGCCATTCTCACATTCATAATCATAACACGAACGGCCACGCTCTCGCTGGTATTGACCAACTCATACTCCGCCGCGCTTCATTACAACATTTCCCTGGCGGGTCCGTGAACTTTGAGCGATACGAGACGGATAACATCGACGAATGTGTCGAGTTCATTCAGGACCTCATCGCACGCTCGGCGAAAGTGAATGGCGTGTCAATAGAGGAGATGCGGCGGGGCGTGAAGATCATGGCCACGGGAGGGGGCGCGCACAGGTTCTACGAGCTGTTCAGCGAGACGTTGGGCGTCGAAGTGCGCAGGGAGGACGAGATGGAGTGTTTGATTGAGGGGATGAAGTTCATCACGCTCATTCCTGACGAGGTCTACTTCTTCTCGGACGAGCTCATCCAATCCGTAACACATCCTACGACGGGCTCATCCGCGGCGGCGTCGATCTCACCACAACTGTCGAACGGTCCTCCTGCCAAACCATCTGCACCGCTGGAACGACCGAGTCCGGATCCTCCTAAATATGCAGTGACGTTTCAGACGCATCCGACGCCACAGTTGCCTTGCTTGCTCGTGAATATTGGGTCTGGAGTTTCGGTCATCAAGGTGGATGAGGATGGGTCGTTCGAGCGTGTGAGCGGGACAAGTTTGGGAGGCGGAACGCTCTGGGGTCTCCTCAGTTTGCTCACGGGAGCGAGGTCATTTGATGGTATGTCGGTTTCCTTTCCATATACCGTTTGTTTCTTTTGGCTGGAAACCCCAACGTAACCGTCGATATGACTGATCTGGGATTCGCGTGCGCAGAGATGCTGGCGTTTTCGGAACGAGGCGACAATGCGACAGTGGACATGCTCGTGGGAGACATCTACGGGCAAGACTACAGCAAGTTGGGTCTCAAGTCGACGATGATCGCGAGTTCGTTCGGGAAGGTGTTCAAGAAGGGGCAGGAGAAGGGGAAGTTCTCTCCCGAGGACATCAGCAAGAGCCTGCTCTACGCGATCTCGAACAACATCGGGCAAATTGCGTACGTCTCCATTTCTTTCCTTCTACTTTCGAAGTCCTCGGAATGTGCCGGTAGCTGACGGCGAGGTTGGGATGTGCAGGTTCATGAACGCGGAGAAGTATGGGCTGGACAGGATCTACTTTGGTGGTTGCTTTATCCGTGGACACGCAGCGACGATCGCGACGCTCTCGTATGCGATTCGATTCTGGAGTAAAGGCACGAAGCGGGCGTTGTTCCTCCGGCATGAAGGATTCCTGTGCGTTCATGTTCTCTCTTGCATTTCTAATCCTCTCACGACATCCATCTGTCGTTCTCACATCTCGTTCCATTATTCTCATGCTGGCCGATTACCCTCACACACACTACATTTGTACTGACTTTTCTGGCATATCATAACAGCGGTGCTATCGGCGCCTGGATCAAGAATATTGATGAAGAACATACATCTGAGACATCCTCGGCTTCGGGTGATGCATGATGCATGATGCCGCCCGCCCAATGTACATGGCAGATGTATCAGCGTACCCATATTCATCAAGAAACGAAACGAAACACATCCAACCGCTGCGCATTCCATCCCTCGACACAAATATCCCACTTCCACCAACAGCCAGCTTCATCTCTCCCCGCTTTGCTCTGACACCCTCCCGTTGCATATTTCCTCTTCGTTCGTTCGTTCGCCAGGTTGGATATTGGATGCTTTTTTTCTTATTTATGTCCATCTAGTTCACTTCACTTCAAATTGTCGGATTCATTCCTTCCGAAAGCTGCTGTATCTTTATCTGTATGATAGATCTGACCCCCCTGTCCCAAGCTGATTGCTGAAGCGCTGATGCCGCACTCTTAAGTTACTTATTTTGCTCCTCATACAGTACGGTACCCTGGAACATCAATAATGCGATGCGATGTTGCCCTTGGAGAGTTTCCACCCACTTGGTCTGGTCGCGCCAATTACTCAGTCTAATCATGCAGGGTTGTATACAATGCATACGCATGCGACGCTGAGTGCGTTCGAGTTGCGGCGACCGTCGTACATACATACATGTTTTTGCTACCAGGACCGACGACGGACGTCGGACGTGCCAGAACAGGTTGAAACTGGTTTGGGGATCACGCCACTGTGATGCGAGGACATATATCATGGACGGACCTTGTTTAGACCTTGATAAATGGTATGTATAAGTATGCAACTTAGGAGGCTGTAGGAGAACGTGCCATGTATCTGTAAGTATAGCTGTGGCGAAGCCACTGATCAATGATTAGAAGCGGATAGGTACGGCCATAAATGCTCTGTAAGGCCATGTAAAGTGTGGCGGTGTGATCCGGGTACGACGTGAAAATAGATTACGACAGATGTGTTTACAGGTTTTACTTACAGCTGTGCACTGCGCCATGCACGCACGATGCAGCTGTAATTATGTATCGTATCATATCATGCAAACAGCAGTTGGCAGTGGCTGAAACGACAACTTGTCGTTCGAGCGACGAGGCTAGAACATTTCGCATGGGGTGCGGACGACACGGATCTAATCATGCTTTAGTAGTTTTATGTTGTTGGCGAATTTGGTTGATGGGTTTGTTATAGGTGGGTGGGTTACATGCATGGCGGGCCTTTCGGGCGGGTAGAGACCCGGTTCGGGTGTTGTAAACAGACAATCACAAGTCGGAGAGGGATGAACACAGGGACTGAGAATTTTGAGCGGAGTGTGAGCTGTCGAGCGCCTGGGGATATGTTCCTTGTGCGAACTCGCACAAGGTGCTCGTATGTTCGGGAAGGCAAAAACACCGAGAGTTTGAAAGACTGGAAGGAAGCGGGACGAAGAGACAGGGAGGGCACGAAAGGGGGTTGATGAGCAGCGGTGATGGCATGTCATGATGCAAAGAGCATGTAGCGAATGCCGACATGACGTTGCCGATTTTGAATATTTGCTGGAGCAAGGCTCAGGAGGGGACCGAAAACCGGACTACTAATGGTTGGGGCAGAAAATTAGAGCAGCTGAGGAGGAGACGGCGGTGAAGAGGCCGAGAGTGGCTCAGTGGCGTAGCCCGGCCCTGGTTGGCTGACGGAGCGTGAGATCTTGAGATTTAGAGACGCGGCGCGGCTTGACGACCTCGATGCGGTCATCTGCCACGTGCGAACATGCGACATGTCCCTACAGGCACAAACGCATCCAGTGGCTCAGCGCGGGTGAGTAATGCACGATAATGAGGACTAAATAGCGGCGACAATGAATACGACAAGAACAACGGGGAAAAGGAAGGGGATTAATATTGGCGAAGGGCGTGCAGGGCCGGGTGCTGAAGGGGAATGCAGGATCGGAGCATTTCAGTCAACCATGTAGCACCTCTTATTAGTCAGCACTTCTAATTTACATCGCTCTCACAAAAAACAGCTGCAGCGCTCTTGTTCGCGTCCGCTCTCTCCCGTCCCTACCACCACCATCTCCCCCCAAATGGACCCCGCCTTTTCGTCCTGGTCCCAGGAGGACTCGATCTCACAAAAGCAGCAGCAGTCTGACAAGGACAAGCCAAAGAAACCTCGCCATCGTCACTCGGCTCTCCAGCTAGCCGCTCTCAATGAGCTCTTTGACAGAAATGACCACCCGCCGCTCGACGAGCGCCAGGCTTTGGCAGAGCAGCTCGGAATGTACGTATCCTCTATGTCTCCTCTACCCTAACCTCCCCCCTCACACATATCGTGCTCGTCGTGCAGGGAGACAAAGACAGTCAATGCCTGGTTTCAGAATAAACGGGCCTCTACTAAAAAGCGCCATCGCGGCGGTCCCGCTCCTACTTCCACCAACCCAAACCTGGACCTCCCTCCTATATCCGCTATCCTTGCTTCTACTCCCGGCTCCTCATCCTCTGCCCCCTCTCGCTCCCTCGAACGCGACGCTTACGACGCTGACTTCCACGTACCCACACTGCCCCCACCCCGTATAAACAAGCATTCCGTTCGTCCCCACCAGGTCGTCGTACTAGAGGAGACGCCCAGACAGCACTCTCCCTTCTATGCCGGCAATGCTGACCACCACCATTCCTTCGACCGAGGCGTAACGCCACCGCCAGTGGATTTGCCAGCTCGCCCTCGTATGCGCATGCGTCCCTCTTCCCAGCAGACGGACGAACTTCGCAAATTCTATCAGGTGAACCCACACCCAACAAAGGAAGAGCGAGAGGAACTAGGACAACGGATCGGGATGTAAGTCGATCTTCCCTCGTTCTTCAACGTGATTAGATATGACTCAGCCTCGTGCCATCATGCCACTTTTCCACAGGCGCTACCAGTCCATCACAAATTGGTTCCAGAATCAGCGAAGTTTAGCCAAGAAGCGCCAGGAGGAGGATGCCGAACTCGAGGCAGAGACCGCACACAAGGAAAAGGCAGAACGCATCTACGCCTCGTTTCCGCCTGCACACAACCATCCCCCATCGCATCCTTCTCTCGCTGCTTTACTCAACAGGTCAACACGCTCCCCAAGCGCACCACCCTCCAATGCTTCCGCATCTTCCAGAGCGTCGCCCTATCGCAATCTCCTGCCTTCTCAGCGTCCCCGACGGACTCGGCCGGAGGCCCATCAGCTAGAGGCGCTTCAGAAGCTGTACAATCGCACCTCCAACCCTTCCATTGAAGAGCGCAGTGCTTTGGCACTTGAAGTGGGAATGTATGTGTTCAATCATCACGCGGTTTTAGCGCATAAGCGCCCGTTTTGCTGACCGAGCCACTCCTTGTTTCGCCATTTTTTTTTTCATGTAGGGACCTCGCCAAAGTTACGAACTGGTTCCGCAACATTCGTCAGACCGCTCGCAAGCGCACACGAAAGCATGGCGATGACGGTGACACCGACAGTCTGCCTCTTGACTCTGCGTCCGTCTCGAGAGCGGCCACACCCTCCTTTTCGTCCTCGTCGTCCACCGGCATGCGAGACCACGACATGGATACCGACCTCGACGATGGCGATCATCCTATGGACGAGGACGACCGCTACTTGCGCGTACAGCAGCCCATGCCTGTTCGTGTCCCGAGCAACTCTGATCCCGCCAGCGACGAAGAGGACCACGAACCAAAGACACCTTCGCCCGAGCCTGCTCCAATGCCCGCGCCGCGATCGTTCACCTCTGTTGCGTACATTCCTCAGCCCATCGAGCGTACACGAGAGCTGCCATTCCACGTCGACCCCGATACCTATGCAAAATTGAAGCAACTTCCTGGTCGCGTTTCCGGTGTGGAGGTCGAGGACGCCCTGCTATTGCTCGGCTTCCACCACCATATCGTGCACTAGTAATCTGGAGCTTCACTATTTATTTCGATGGCACATGATGCGGGACGCCTCTACACATTGACGGCCGTCTACCCCAGCGCGATTGCTCCCCTTCTTGTGCATAAAATACTTACTCGCCGCTGTTGCCGTACTTATATCATACTGGCATGTGTGGCGCGCCACACAATTGTTTTGTTCACCACCACCACCACCACCACTTCGTTATATTTTGTTGTTTCTGTTTTTTTATGTTATTCCTGCTGCAGCACCCCGAACGTTCTCGCACGATTTGACTCAGACTGTGACTGTTTGCAAAATATTGTACATTCCCCACCACTAAACCTTCGAATGGGTTCCGCCTTCCAAGAGAAGGACCTTGGGAAGACCATTCGCAGTAATCGACATCGTGCCATTCCTCTTTCTGTTTAACGTATTATTCTCTATGTGTCACCCTGTCTGTCGCTGTGTGTTTGTTTGTGTCTGCTCGTTTGTTTGCTCTTTCCGCCCGTCCGACTCTTATTGACACATCGAAACCTCCCTTTTTTTGTTCATCATGTTCACCGTACAATACTCTTTCTGCTCGCTCGTCCGTCCTTGTCCGACTCGAATTTGTCTCTTTCTATTTTATTGTTCTGCTCCCGCGGGCCTGTTCACGCTCTTGTTCAAGTTATAGTATTCGACAACCCTGAGACCGAGTTATCAGTAGGCTTAGGCTCTGCGTTCATTATAGCTCCTTCTGAACCTGTGATCCTCTGAAAGTAGTCCTACGGACACCACTAAAGCATTCATGAGCCGCACGGTACCTGCATGCCAGTGGATGCCTGTCCGTAACGATGTAGAACTCATTCTAGTCCGACAGGCATCCAGTGTAGTAAAGGAGTCGACCTTGCGCATGCGCTTTCTCTGTGCGGATCGACTGTGGTTAACTCTAAAACTCCAAACTGCACGACACCCTCCCACACGAGGCTTCAAGCTTCGAGATTCCTCAAGTTCCGCCACCGCATGGTGCATGGGTAAGTTGAACACACGAGACCTGGCAGGCTGCTCTTGATGTGGTGTTGATTTGGAGCTCGATAACCTAGAATTGGCTCATACCAAGCAGAATCACGAACTTGAATGCCCGCCATGTTTCTTCTGGATCGATACTGTAGTCTAAGCTTTGAACTTGAAGGTTTGCACTTAGGGTGTGATAGAGCCGGAATGGTGTTAGGCTTCGACTTCTGCGTGGTACGAGCACGCGAAAAGTTCAAAAGGGGGTAGGTCATTGCCAACGATTGAGTTGCCAGTCCGCCCGAGGATCTGTGTCAGGCAGGCTGAACCTGTTGGCGGTTCGACCCGCTTCGCTGACCCGTGTTGTATCTACGCCAGACTACTAGGCTATGCCGGATGCTCGAGCTAATATGATGGACTTTCCGTTGCTGGCCCAATCCTAGAGGAATCCAGTAAGAGAGAGCTGTGTTCTTCCTGGTCCGAGGAAGGATTCACACCCGTCATGCATGTATCGTACTACATAGCACTTACCCCAATTGTCAACCGTTCTTACCATGATATCAAGCGCCACTGACGCTATCGCTAGCCTGAGTATTTCTCGCCGGACATACGACCAAGAGGAGCAGTACGAGCACAGGCAGAAGCAGTAGGGCGCCGCAATAATGTCGGCATCCTTCTTACAACTTTCCACGGATAGAATTTTCAAGCGTCCGAGGCCACAGGATCAGATCGCGTGTCTGTTCTCTCACCGTCGTTGCATGATTGTATCTGGGCACAAGCTACAGACGGGGAAGCGTATTGTTGTCGATGATACAATGGATCCCGAGGCTGTCGGGCGTTATGCGCTACAGGTGAAAATACAGGGTTAATCTTCTGCCGAAAGGGGCCATTTATGGATCGCAGAGGGGTCTTGAAGATTGTTCGAAAATAGAGGCAGAGAGAAAAGGAAATCCAAAAATGAAATGTCACATGTATCCATCCGTAGTGGTGAGAGATGCTGATGATGCAAGAGAAGCGGATAAGGTATAGGGATGCAGGTATCCAAATATGTGACGGTGCGAGTGCGAAGGGAGAAGAAGATCGGTCCTGTATTCCGCGTACTAGATGCTACGGGTAGCCGTGAGTAAATAGTCTCAGGTTCTAAGACATGGAATGACCAACCATTCTGGCGTTATCGTAAGAGCGAGAGTGAAACTGCACAAAGCTCCCAAAACGACAAGTACTAGTAGGTTTCTCTCCACGTAGGTACGTGTGACCTCGATGGCGGTGGACTTTCGAGCCCTTGTGCGTCCCAACCCAACCTCATCGGTACGAGAGGCGATGTACTCTGCTGATGTTCGCTGAGCATCCTTGATCAACCTTGATGCGCTTCCAGGAGATCTGTCGAGGTCGCAGAAAGTCGGTAGAGCGAGGGTGCGGGCGAGGTGACAGAGTGCACTGTCCCGCTGTTCTGCGCCGCGCGGTGCGAATGAAGACGGCGATGAGATGATCCATGAAGTGTCTTGCTCCAAGATGATATCGATACCATCCCGCTTCCTCTCCAGTGCCAGTTCAACCTCATCCTCATTACGCCTTCGGCAAACCAGCTCGCAGTCGGCCTCCTCCTTCAATACTTCGGCAACGACGTCCCATATCGGTCGGCCTCCCGGTGCAAGACGCGAAAGACGATTCTCCAGCCATGCATGGGGCATGTGCTGAGGAGCGCGAAGAGAGTGATTTGTGGATGTGATATCGTTCATCGAAGAGAGAGGCGAAATAGGATTATTAGGTATACGGACTCCAAAGATTCTGTCGCGTGTGTCCAGTGTGAAGTGTGCTCCGATGTTGACCTCGAGTTCCCTCTCCCTCTGACGCCACTCTTGCACCATAACTCTGCCACCCCCTACATCCCACATCCCACACCGACACCCTGCCCCAAGCTCTGTGTCTGACTCAAGGATTGGCCAGTTGAGGACGTCTTCGCCATAAACGTCGACGTTGTATGCGAGGCAGTTTGTGCAGAACTCGCGGGCACGAAAGATCAAGGCAGAAGAGAGTGCATGCGCACTGGAAGAGATGAGGGTAGATATGATTGACCGGTGGAGATGGGACCTGACGATAAGGAGTAGTTCGGGGGGTAGTGAGACAAGAGTGAATGTTTGTGCATGGGACGCTGCTACTCGCAGGGTTCCGCATGATTGCAGAGATATAATCTTGTCGAGAATGATCAGCTCGGGTGACAAATGGGCGAGGACTGCATGGGCGAGATACATCCGGGAGGCAAGGAAGCGCTGACTATCTGCGAAGTCGAACATAGCGGAGAGGGCTACAAGCGCAGGATGGGTGAGCAGACCGCGGACAATGAGAGTTGAAGCAAGCTTTTATAGGGCTTCGCGATATCACGATCGAAAGCACAGCAAGAAGCTAGAAAGAACATCATGGTCGGATACTCTGCGAGGGAACCTGTGACCCCCAAGGTTCAAGTTACCTCAAGCCGCATCATCTCGCAATAACTTAGAAGCCCAGTAGCGAGTGAAGTCGCCGTGGTGCCTCTTCCGTTGCACCTCATGTTAGTGAGAAGATACACCAACCTAGTCACGACGATAGACGCTTGCGCTGCATCTAGTAGCCGATGAAGAACACCGACTCCCATGAAACGGTTGTATACGGGGTAAAACAGTCAAAGAATCGTGAATATCGGGGCCACTGCAAAGGGCGGTAAGTTATTTGGACCGTATCTAGGGAAAAGTGTGGTGTTAGTTTTCCTCGCAGCGGAAGAGTTGTTCACCATCGAGAGTTCATGGGAACTTACCATATTCTTTCTCCGTACATTCTCAGGAGACCGCCAATTATCCTCTGAGCCGCATCTGATGAACACAACCTCGGACCGCACTCACCTACCGATTTCCGAAGACAGCAGCCTCATATACTTAGCATCACTGAGCTCGCAGGCCGGGCTAGACTAGAGAGCTCGCTACAGATGGACATCGTGAATTTCATCAGCTAGTTTGATGGTTTGTTCGTAGTGGCAAGGAGAGTGTGGTGCAGTGCTCCTGCTCGCGAGGAACTTACATACACCAAGAGTTCTATCGGAGCGCCAAATAAGGTGGCGGTATCATCGAGTGCACTTTCCCCTTTTGGTGCCACACTACGACAAACTTATGGGCCACGTTCGGTGCAACCAGATCAAACGATGTTTATTCTTTATAGACACCAAGCCTGAAGTAGCTCGACCTGAAGAGAATGGCGCGCTTCTCACATTTGGAAAGTTCTCTACATTGGAGGACAGGTATGGCCAGTGGGATTTTCAAGGTATCAGATTCACAGGCCCCAGAAATTTCATTCATCGTGACCAGTCAGTTACAGTATACAGATTCATACTCCTACGCGTCGTCTGACGATACTTTCCCGAGTTCCTCAACCCCAGAGGTGCAATACCTGCGATGGCACACCATCGATGTACCGGGACCCTTGCACAGGATGCTTTGCCAAGAGAGCATCGATCTCCTTCAAGTCTTCAGCGCTGAGAACTATCTCACCACCGACCATATTCTCGAGCGTACGTTCCGCCTTCCTAGATTCATTGAAATGGAACGTTGTCAGAGTCAAAAATCAATTGGAGGAGTCAAACGGGCAAAGGGGGTAAGACACCGTCTCGAAATAGAAATAGCAAAGATGTGTGAAAGACGTACGAAGAGCCCGGGATGGGAATGATATGCTGCCCAAGGGAGGACACCCAAGCGATGCAAAGCTGAGCAGACGTGCACCCTTTTTTGGCGGCAAGGGCTTTGAGCGCGTCGACCACGGCGGCATTATTCTTCATCACCTGTTGGTTCAGATACACGCATATTTAGCATAGATCGATGGAGGGCAGTGGTCAGATAGGGGAAGAAGAAGTTTTACCTCATCGCTGAAGCGGGTGTAGCGTTTGCGGATATCTCCCTCTACATCGCACGAGCACGTATTGCGAGAAATGTACGAGCGGACAGTCAGTGGAGCCGCGATTGTATATGTGGTCAGCTGTGCTCACCCTCGAGATCATCATTCTTTGTGATTTTGCCAGTCAAGAAACCTCTGCCGAGAGGCGAGTAAGCAAGGATGGCGACGTTGTTCTCCTTGCAGGCTGCAATGACTACAAGAGAGAGTTGCTCAGCGACCAGGAGCAAGATATAGCCAGATTAGCCGTCGTTGAAGCATACCATTCTTAGTTTCCTCTTCATAGCTCCACAAGCTGACTTCGATCTCGCAAGTCACAATGGGAAGGATCTAGCGCATAGCCTCATAGCCCATTAGACTATATCACAAGCCATACATGTTCCACGAAATCACTGACCTTGCTCGCTCTCCTGATCGTCTCTCCTCCAACTTCCGACAACCCGACGTCCTTGAAGAGGCCCTCCTCCTTCAGGGCCTTCAAAGTACGCATCACATCTTCGAGTGGGAATTTCGACTGTTCCATCCTCGCGGGCTCGAAAACATCGATCGCGTGTGTACCGCGGAGTTTGGCAAGACAGTTCTCGACTGAGGCACGCAGGCCTTCGGGACTAAGTTAGGGGAAAGAAGATTATTCAGTGTACGAGGTTGTGAATGCGACGCGATTGATAAACAGAATAGAATGAGACTGACGACAGGTTCACCCCAACACCAACCTTCACTCCACCCTAGAATATGATGTGGATATGCCGACGCCGATGGACATGCCAGTGGTCAGATACTGACTACCAGACGGAGAAGAACCGAGGCACACCTTAACGACCAAAAACGCTTTTTCAACGTACTCGGGGTACTTCTCGAAGAAACGCGCAATGAGCTCTAGGTTGGCCTCGGGAGGGTTGAAACCATAGAACTCCGCTGTAGAACAGATCACCAACCACATCATTTCAGTATCCAATACTAACGGCAAGGTGACGGAGGGGTATGTACCACTGTTGAGCACCATCTTCACCCCAGGAGGTAATTTGTCCATGCCAGCTTTCATAGACTCAAAACATTGTTCGTCTGGGACAGGAGTGGGGATCCATCTGCGGAGGAAAAAAACGAACATGAGCAATACCATGCAGGCGATGAGGCCCATCGTCCATGTTTATTCCACGGCGGTTCGACTTCGCCAGAGAGGAAAATCCGATGGCCGCCGCGAAGTACACAGTAGGACAGAGCATGAAAACACGAACGTCATCATCATAAGTCCATGCTGTATTTGATTCAGAAAGTATCAGCGACATTCTCGAGACCAGTCACCATGAGCCGGGACAGTAGTGGGATCAAACATACACCAATCTTGTAGACGGTAGTGCCAGCTGCAGTTCCACCAAGAGTGACAGTAGCCATGTCGGATACGGCGTCGGATGTGTGTATGGGTGAGTCTAGTGGTATAGCGAAGAGATAGGGGCTAAGACGATGTCGGTGCGAGATCTAAAGGACAGGTGGACAAACACACCTCCTTATATATCTATATTTGAACCCCTGCCTTCAAAGGTACGTACTTACCACGATATTCGTGGAAGTGGATCAAGGAAATCCTATACTATCTACGTCCACCACGGCCCACTGAGAAATCCGACGAACCTACACCGTTGTTTTGCAATTGACTTGCTCTCGGATGGTTGCGCACTGGATATATTTACCAATTAACGCACTCATGCAGAAATGAGGATGTGGGTCCGTCCGTTTCCTTCCAATCCACTCATGTCCGTTCCGTGGCAGACGCAAGCCCCTGTTGCTCGGCATCCATGACGGCCCCGATGTCCATTTCAGGGGCTTAAGCGCCCAATCTGAAACGCGAGACTTTGTTGATCTAATCTAATCTTCAGAGCGTCGGATTACATTTGTGGCTGGTCCTTTGTTGTTTGACGGAGGGTGCTCGATCTAGTTGTACGCAGAACATACAATAACATTGCTCTGAGCACGGAAGCCGCAATCCGTACCGCCGTGCGTCCTTCATGACAGCCATTATACCTCAATGAGGCTGAAGTCCAAGTGCAGTCAGATTCAAACGCTTATTATTAGCAGCGAGGGTGTCATCATGAAAGACACAGTGCCGCAACATGCTTATTTCTCCGGTTACATAGCCCCATCCTGCTAAACTACACTGGCCTTCTCCTTTCCAAGCCAAGCTGCCCTAACCTTTCTCCCAGCGAGACCTCGTGCCACGACCACACGGTCATCCTGCGGCACCACATCCAACGCATTATCACTCCACTTGACTTCTCCCTCTCCATCCAGTTCTTCGATGCTCAGAACCAGACCCTTCACCGGCTTCTCGACGCTGATATATATGTGATCTCCATCTTTTATCGATAGCCGTAGTCCCACCTTCTCTACGCTCGGAAGGTCAAGATGTTTGAATGGCTGTGGCCAATCGGTGTATCGTGCGACAACGGTCGATGTCTCTTTATCCAGGAGCCTTGCATGGACGACGATTGATGAAGTAGATGAAGGGTCACTCGGATTTGGGCTGGGTACAGGGTGGTCGCCCAATTCCGTGGATTGATTAGGAAGAAGGGATATCGGCTGGGCGGATTGCTTTTCCCATGAAGAGCAGAGATCGTATGCATGTAGCTCAAGGATCAGATCACGCTTCTGGAGTGTACTGTTGGTACCCCATATAGCGAGCGTGGCCGACTGTGTTTGGAACGCTCCGAACTCGTAGTTCTTCGGAAGGAAATCAGTTACGACCGAAGTTAGTTGGAAAAAGACGTCTGCCCACCTGCTTCGGCCGGTCATTCTCGCGATTTCTTTCGACCTGGAAGGATATGAGGTCGATCAAATATATATCACAAGCAGCAGACAGACCGTCCTGTATATCCCGATTGTGATTGGATTCAGCTCCCTAGCGATGGTGTAATAGACTGGTTTGGGTCGCAACTACGCAATCTGAGGTTAACGATAGATTCAGGTATACCATCTACGAGGACGCTCACAAAATAATCTGCGATGGCCCAAGACGTCACCGGCCATGTATCATTACTCTGCCATACCAGAACACCTGCGTTCTACCGGGTGCATCAGTGCGAGAGGTCACCTCGCCCATAATGAAGATAAGAACACGTACATATTCTTTACCCTTGCCTCTCCACTCTCGCCTCCAAACCCGATACGCATAGCTCACGGCTTCGCTCTGCATCAGCTGGGTCTGGTACACATGCCTATATAGGATCAAGAAAAAGTGTTATTAACCAAATAAACCCGATATAAGAGGGAGTATACCACTCACGTTTCGAGGTCAGCTGTCAGCCTGAACATCTCATTCATAGGTATCGCAAAGCGCCTCTCAAACATTCCTGCCCGGCAATGTTGTGCCATAATCTTCGATTGTGCGAAATTCTGCTTGGGATCGTCCCGGAGAGAGCCCATCCAGTAGTGTACCGTCCGCAGGTCGGGCATTCCGGGCATACCGAACTCACTAGATGGTAATGAACATGTTAGTGAAATGAGCATACAGAAATGCGAAATCTTGGATGCTTGCCTGACGAATCGTCCACCCATACTTTCATACTCCTGCCACGGCCTCTCCTTGCCACCCCACACATTCCACTGATGAACGTCTCCGATAGTAGGATCAGACGTATCCCAACCTTTTCCACCATAGGGAGAGCCGCGGTGGTATGGGATAGGCTGCGCATCGGAAGACGAGGAGGACGTAAGGCGCTCTACGGTAGAAGGTAGGACATCTTCGTAGAGCACTCGTGCTGGCAGCTGATCGATACCGCCCCACTGGAGAACCATCTGGTAATCTAGTTATCGACAATAGACGTCAGTCAGAAACCGTGTCAAGAAACAGTTATCAGGAGATTATGTGGTCTATGGTGCGCACCTTCGTTATTGCCGCAGAAGATGGCGACAGATGGATGATGCCTCAGTCGTAGCACATTGTCTTCTGCCTCCTTCTTGACACTCTCTACGAACTCGGAGTATGCAGGATAGACGCCACATGCAAACTGAAAGTCCTGCCAGACGAGCAGCCCGAGCTCTGTAATACAAAGAACAAATTTAAATATGCAGGCAAATAACGGAGCCCGGAAAAGCACTCACCGTCACAAATGTCATAGAAGACATCAGGCTCGTAGATACCTCCACCCCATAGCCGAACCATGTTCTGATTTCCGTCTCTTAGCAGCGTCAACCACGCACGATACCTCTCAGCCGTGATCGTGGTCAAGAAGTTGTCCGCGGGGATCCAATTCGAGCCTGAGCCAAACGGTCAAAAAGTGAGAAGAACACGATAGATGCGACATCGGTAGAAAGGTGTCGAGGTTTGGCACATACCACCCATGAACATCCGTACTCCGTTGATTTGGAACAAGAAAGTCGTTCCCTTGCCGTACTGGTCCGCCTCCTCGAGGGGTTCTTGTATCAACTCGACGCGACGGAAACCCAATCGGTGAGATTTCGAATCCAAGATAGCATCCGCCTATATGTAAGATAGTCAGAAAATGATTTCGACAAGAAGAATATCGAAAACTAACCTGATCCAACAAGGTCACTTCTACCGTGTACAAATGTTGACTTCCATATCCAACAGGCCACCATAGTTGTACTTCTGCATCTTCGAAGTTCCACTCAACGACTTTCACCACCTGGGCCACGCCCCCTTCACCATCGCCGCCCTGGATAGAATCGATCTTCAGATCGACTTCGGCTGTACGTATCACATTTCCGCTCAGGTCTTTGAGTGTAACGCTGGCGCGCGGCACAGATTTCAAAGACGTGGCGTCGACGCCTGCAAGCGCGAGATCCAAGACGAATGAGGGCTTGAGGGTGGCTGATACGAGGGCCTGTGCGTGAATTGAGCTTAGGCGGACGGTGGACTTGGCGTAAGTGAGAAGATGTATCGAGCGGTAGGGGCCTGTTCAACCATCAAGATGAGAGCATATCGGGAGGAACAAAATATATCCATGACAGACCAGCAGTCATCAGTTCCGGGCCCTGGAGGTACGATAGGGTACGTATGTGCGCGTGCAGGCAGGTCAATTAGTTTGCTTGACCTTTTGGATGGTGTTCAATCACGACTCACCCAGTCCCATCTGTATTACACAAATAAGCTTTCGGCCATAAAAATCGGCTGTCTGGGACGCTAAATGGATTGACATACCGCCACCCGTACTGAGCCTTGCGTACATATACACGGCTTGGATCTCCCAGGTTGCATGATCCAGCGCGTACCCTCCCGTACTTTGCCTCCAGCGCCTTCCCGATGGCGTATGCCGACTTGAAATGCAGAAGCAGTGTATTCGTCTGGCCAGATCCCCAAAGCAAGAGGCCTGCATTCTTGATAGGGACCTGATAGTGGGGAGCATCTTCTCAACCAACTCAAGACATGAGCTATGGAAATGTAGGCTTACGCGGTAAGTCCTGAACATGTTGTCTGCAGACAGTATTTGTTCTCCATTCTGGGCTGGGGTCAGTATGTGTTGTTGTTAGAGATTTGGAGATTGACTGACGAGGTAGACGTCTGCGAACGTATCCAACCCCTCGAACACCAACTCAGCGTCCAGCTCAAGATTCTCATCCTTCGCCACACTGAACGTCGTCTTGTACAACCATTCCTCCATTCCTACCCCTATTAGTGCCCAAAAATCCGGACAACGACGTCAGAACGCCACCTCTCTCGTGTCAAGCTCAACCTCACATCGCGATGGGAAAAAAGAGACGCACATTGTACTTTATGCTCGTTGAACTCGACGTACGGATCCGGGATCATTCCCGCCTTGAGCAACTCCACATGTACCTCCGACGGAAAAGCCGTAACAGCGCGCCACTTCAACCCCTGAGCATCGTCTGAACCGTCTTCGCTCTTTGTGGTGGAAAGCTCTTCGAGAACAGACTGGACGGACTTGTCTCGCTGCTTCCACTCCCAGTTCTGGTGAATCTCGATGGATTGGACGGTCATACCAGCGGTTCAGAGCCAGTAGTATCGCAACAGGTCGGCTTCGAATGTGGATATGGTAGGTCGCCTTGATGCGAAGAGGATGGGGGTACCGGTGCCAAGATCCACAGTATTCAAACGGCAAGTTTATATGTCCACCGTCCGCTCGATGCTCGATGCTCGGAGACCCGTAATCATACTCGATATCCAGAATCTGTATCGCATCGAGGACATCACATGCTCCTGGAAGACAAAACGGACCGAGCTCAGATACTTAGAAGTTTCCGGCGTCGCAAAAACGAAGATAACAGGACGCTCAAATTCCTGTATAGAATAATATCTAGTACAAAGGCCGATGACAGAGAAGTGCAGGGTTCCAAGCAAACTGGAGACGGATATGACCTGGTCACCTCGGAAGGATCACTGGCAGTTCAAGTTGAGAGCAAGGAGTGGCGCCGTCATAGTGGCACTTCCTGAGCCTCCGGCCCGCACGATCCCGGTTGGCAGCGGCGGCGGGCCACACTCGGGCCACACTCTTTGCCACAAGCCTTTAAATTTGACAGACATACTTTGAGTTGCATGGTATCGAGACACATATGAGTACGGCCAATCTCACATTACCGAACCACTATATACCCTATGCCATCATTAGCGAAAGATGCAGCCTCGGCCGAATGATACGATGAGAGTTTCGTGAGCTGGAGGAGTCAGGACAGAGACGAACGAGGACGGATGAACATGGTATGACACGACAAAGCAAGGTATACGACAGAGTGGGGAGTGGGATGATTCGTGAAATGTTGAGTGTAAGATGCGAGGGTGGAGATGTGTCTGAGAATATGGACATGGATAAGGATACAACATGCAACTGGCGACCCATCAGATCGACACCGACGATGAGAAAAGGGACCATTAGGAAGGAGGACGTTATGTGCGTAAGAACTAGACAGGAGATGACTGCTCAATAGGACGTGAGGGCTAGGACGAAGATTAGTCGTGTAGGGTGTACCGTTAAGGATGCTGAAAGACAGATGAAGAGATGCATTTACAAGAGGTATACAGATGCTGAGTATAATTACGTATGCGATGAGGGATATGCGAGACGAGACGGAGTCGATAGAGAAAAACCAGGATAGAGAAAAAATCAGAGGGAACCACTAGATATCAGTCATTAAGGTGGAGACCAGAAATCAAATCACTGAACAACAGAAGGAACAGGAGCAGAGGCAGAACCGACCGCCGGTAGGCTCTCTCTTCTCTGACTCTGTTCCTTCTCACCGTTCCCCCCATCGATCGACCGCTTCTCTGCACTCGTCAAAGGGTGGCCAGCCGGGGCAGAGGGCGCCGACGCTCGCTTTCTCCTGGTCCAGAGTCCCGTCACATCACCACCCGCGATAGGTGTCGGGACGTTATAAGGTGCCTCGTATGGTTTTGTGCGTGGTATGGGGGCCCCAACCGGTGAAGTCGACGACGCTAGAGATGACGGTGGTATCGATATCGAATGTCGTGAACCGAACAAAGAAGAAAATCGACGACGCCGTGACGAAGGAGAAAGGTTTGAGTTCGGAGGGGTAGATACCGACTTGTGTGCAGGTGTGTGGGCGGCGTCACTGACAGCAGTGCTCAGGGAAGTCGAAGGTGTAACGGTTGAAGGTAGATCGCTCTCCATCGTTTCGGGCGACGAAACCAGATGTAGTGCTCCCGTGACAATGCGTGGCGTCCGTACCGACGTCGACGGCCTCAGTGAAAACCCAGCGAACCGCCCTCTGCTTTTACCACTCTCGCTCGTTGCCTTGCCATGCGCACTATCCTTCATCTTTCCTTTCCGTGAAACTCCCCCGGTGGTCGCGCTCCGCCCTACCGGTTTCCCTACATCGTCCAAAATCTCACCAAACTCGTCCACACTGCCAGCTTCTGCATGAGATCGCCCCATTGCACCCGTACTGTGTGATCTCTTCTGGGACGGCCTCGACGGCCCAGGCGCGGTCGAAGGGCGCCTACCAAAAAACCCTATGTGAGGCCTCCTGTGCGCCATCGAAGTCGAACAAGAGGGTGTGGCTGTTGCTGCTGGAGTTCCTTCGGATATCAAGGTCTCATCAGATGGGAGCGAGAGTGGCGACGTGACATCCGTGGATATGGATCTGTACACGGCTGTGGGTGAGGGCGGGTCATTGCGCGCAAGAAACGTCTTGGCTTTCCGAGCCTTGGCCTTCGCGCAGAGAATGCTGGATCCACGTGAAGGGGGAGGGGTCGGGAGCGCGGAAGGTTCGGAGAAGGAAAGCGGACGAGGGGGTTTGGGGCGGATGACTTCGAACGAGGGTGGAAAGGTGACGGAAGGTGCGTGGGACTCGGCCACCGTTGACAGATCAAGTTCTACCGACTCCGTTGGTTTAAATGGGAGAAGCAGAAGAGGCGGCGGGCGGGCATGCTGTCGCTTCGCCTTGGGCTGAGGGATGGGTTTGATAGCAGGACGTGGTCGTGCAGGGGAAGGTTGGGGAACGGATGGACGAAGGGAGGGAATGACCCAGTACAACCAACCCATGACCATGCTCTGTTCGAGACATGCTGTGTGAGACGGCGATGTAACAGTTGATATTAGGGGACCTTACGTACCGTCATGAAACCAGCAACGCCAACGGTAAACGCAGCAGCGACGATGACCGCACGCGACAGCGGGGACTCAGATGCATGAACAGTCTGAGTAACGCTAGACATACGTGCTGCGACTGAGGATATGGTGAGAGTCGAGCTTGAAGGAAATACGCCTGAGATATTCCTTGTGGTGAAGGGCTTGACGCGAGATCGAGCAACAAAGTATGCCAAGGCTGGAAGTGGCGCGAGTTGGAATTCAAAGAACAGGGATTCTGCTCCATATACCAACCCAATTGTGTGGGCTTCACTGAGTGCAGGGATAGACCAAGGCGAGCACAGAGTGATCCGAGATCGTAACAGCGGAGAGGGTTTGCGGGTCCAGAAATCCTGAGCGCTGAGACGAAGAAGAAAAGCCGACAGAAAAATTGCCGGATAACCTGTCTAAAAGCGATTGACAATCGATGGTGACAGTGTCTTTGCCGGTCGACAACGACAGCAAGCCGGAGGACCGCTGAGGCAGCGGGGATGCGTCAGCGGGCGAAGACAACGGGCGAAGACAATGGATGTCGCGAGCAGCCCGGTTTTGTCCTTAGCGAAGTTGGTGGTGCTGCCAGAATGTGGAACGATGGCGCCTGGGTGTCGCGGGCGGCGAGAGTCAGAGAACGCAACAGGAAAGCAGAAGAGGAGCGCATCATTGAACATGGTACGACTTCGAGATCCCGCTTTCGTACCAGCGCTTCACAGTCTTCACTCCATTCACTCCTCGGCATTCCCCGTATTCGCCACGTTCTTGAAGACCGCTATTGTTGCGTTCGGGCCTTGGCGTTCTATTACTTATCCTCTTGTGCAAGCATACGCTGAACCGGTAGGCACTGCTCATTTACTGCATAGATATCGATACTCCTCTCAACATGCATCGGGCAGACTCGCACCCTCAGCGCTGACACGTGCTTACACTCCCCTGAAGGATCCCACAATGCCCCGCGATCTGACATGATAAAATATGAGTACTACTAGTCCTCGTCGGGGCCCGCACTGGGACAATTGATGGAGTGGAACAATTAATTCTGAATCGTGCGATTCCGGTCGGTTTTTCGACCAATGTACATAAGTAGACGCCCTGTTGCGGTGGCACCTGGGCGTCTAACTCTAATCCATTGCGAGATGTGATGAGTGCTCACCCTGGCCGTCCTCAGCTTGAGAACCTCACCCATAACACACAATGACTCCATAGCATGACTCCTCGAACATCAACAACATTCATGAGGGTCCTTACCATGCCAGTTTAGGCCGTGTCAATATTGCGTGGACTGACTGGGCCACACGTTCGAAGGGGACCGGAATATCGGTCGCAGCTGGAGTAAAAGAAATGTCTGAATCAGATTACACAGCTCATCAAGCCACCCTGTCGGCGATGCGAACCAGAAGAAAAAGATCACGTCCGTACTGTATGTTCTGTAATACAATGAATGCAGAGCTACACGGTCCGTCTTCTCCAACGACATGTCCCGCCGAGGTGTTAGTGGACTGGAAATCAGAGGCGTACGTGAAAAGTATCAAAGGGGATGGGTAGAAGTGGTGAAAGGATAGGCGTAATATAGTCTGTGTGAATGGGAAAAGAATAAGAATAAAATTGGAGCTGAAAGACCAATAGTCAAAGTCAAAAGTCTATGGCGTGAAAAGCCCGTCGTGTTCTCCCTTTCCTCCCCTCTCGTCCAAGAAACCAACGGCGAAAGGAGGAAGAAAATGAAAAGAACCGACGTCCGAGCCTACACGCCCACCCTCATACTCGTCAAAAGTCCATCATCTCCGGTCTCAGCGCACGGCGGTCTCCTCACCTACTCTACTCCAGAGTTCCGAAGGGCCGGCAGCGAAGACCGAACGAAACATAAAAGGAATGGCGGGTATTGTCTGTCAGAATCTGACTCTAGTAGTGTCGAAACGTCTAACTTTTCGACCTGATGCTGGGTCTGAATCTAATCGAGGCGCTCGCAAGAGTTGCCGGCCGCAGAGACGACCCAACCGGACTCGCAGGTGTTGACCTGGCAGCCTCCGATGACGCAAGAAACGCTCTGTACACCAGGGATCTCCATACAGTTGTGGCTACAGAACAGAACATGACGTTGAAGGGGAGTGCGACAGTCAGCACACAAAGGCACAGATAAGGAAAGATAAAGGTACGCACGAAGGCTCCAAAATCCCGCATCCACCGCAGCTCTCGAGATCCGTCTGGAAATCGACGCACTCGAACCCGTTGCTGAGCAATTCATCGAGAGTGTTAGGATGCGAAGTCGAGAGAGGGCAGACAGAGAGCTCGGAGGGGCAGAGCTTCTTCGAGAGATCCGAGCCCATCGGGGACTGCTCGCTCAACGATCGCTTCTTCGGGGACGGGGCGGGCGCACGCTTCACAGGTGTCTGCGAGGGCGAGGCGCGCTTCACAGGTGTCTGCGAGGGCGAGGCACGCTTGGAAGGTGTGGCGCGTTTGGATGGAGTAGCACGTTTGGAGGGAGTCGCGCGCTTTGACGGGAGGCTGCGCTTTGACGGTGTCATTCCTGCAAAGGCACGCTTTGAAGGCTGCGGTGCGCGGGCTTCGACGCCGTCACGGGCGATGACGGGGCCGGGGACGGCGGAAGCGAGGGTGCAGAGGGCGAGGAGAGTGGCGAGGCAGAAAGAATAGCGCATCTTGTGTTTAGATTATGGGTGCGATAGTGGATATTGTTTCAATCTCTTGTGATGGCGAGACCGACAGAGGCCGTGGAGGGAGTAGCTGTTGTAGATAGGGTGGACTAAAGGGCGCGGCGCGGGAGAGAAAGGCGCGAGCGGCGGGAGGCAAGAAAAAGGACCTTGGGGCGAAAGGTGAAAAGGGAAAAGACTGTGGGGCTGCTTTTATAGATATGCGGCGGGCAAGACGGTCTAAAATGTGAAAGACTAGCGAGGGCGATGATGACAGCGCCGTACGCAATGCAAAAGTGCTTGCGTTATCGGTTTTCCCGCACAGTCGGTCTAGTCGAGTTCGAATTGGCCCCGCCAAGTGCCACCGCCATGCAAGTCAAACCGGAACGCGAGGAATGCCCGAACCCTCATTTTCCTGTTCCGTTGTGGTCACGGTCGGTTTGGCCCGACTGGTTCATTCTGCTCTCCATTTGCCTCCACCTACCCCAGATGTCACTCCTCCACTTCGATCTCGCTCCGAGACATTTTTAGAGTCTGGGCCGACATGTTGCAAGAGGGTAATCTCCAGCGAGTGTCTGTCCATCAAGAGGGAGAAAATGACAACTCACGGAGAAACCGGCTGCGACCATCGTGTGCCGTGGACAGAAGAAGAAATCCTTATCGAGGAGCCCGCTCGGTTAAAATTTCATCGTGATATCAACATATCGTTGTCCGAGGCGTGAGGAAGATGTACGATTCCGATCGAGACTATGATGTTTGTATTATCGACGGTATGGCGTCCGACGGCGAGTGACTTCCACGTCACCGACTGGGCGATCCGAGGGTCCTTCCAGCATCAAAAAGCAAGCTGAAGCATGCTGCAGAAGATATGAAACGATGAAGGCAATGTGGAGACACCGCCTAGAGGCATGTTGCCCGTTGATGCGTCGGTAGTCGGTGCTCACTGTTGGTGGTTCGGGACAAGTAGACGGCTCCGCGCGTTATGGCGTCTTCCCGGCGGCCAAATTGACGGAAACGCAGTTTTGGAGAAGCGCCGGATTGCTGGGAGCCAATCCGATCAAGTCTCCCACGCGTCGCGACGCGGATAACGTGCTTTTGCAACTTACCCGCGTTACACTCTGCGTCGGTCTGCGGACGAAGGTCATTTACAGGTGTACATGCTAGCAATGAAAACTGAGAGGGAGCCTGCTGCCACTGCTGTCATGAATGAGGAGACAAGAGCGTGGAAACAGTGAGGTAGTTTAGCGTGCGTGAGCTTATGAGCGTTCCGGAAGTTTCTAGGGGTCCACTAGCTCGGTAAAGATTAGGAATGTTACAGAAAACAGATACTTCACAAACGTGCATAGGTCGGGAAACTTACTGGCCGATAGCTTTTCTCAGAGACAATGCTCAGGATGAGAGTATCGGCAGCTCAATAGTGAGAATGGGCGAGGTTGCAACGTAGCTTTCTTGGGAGCTCTCACGCAGATACGCATTGTCGGGCGCACGCATGAGGTGTTGTCGCTAGAAGTTGTACTTCAAGTCATTCACAGGGGAGGTTCCCATGCGACTGCGATCGGGAGTGTAAGAGGGCATAACGTCGAGGATTCCAAAGGTCATATAAAATGAAGAGTAGACAACCGAACTCGGAGACAGGTGCACAGCTGAAAAATCACGACCTCTCGACTCTCAGAGCTGGCCTCGAATCGCGACGACGCCTCTGGACCAAGAGGAAGCTCACTATTATGCAAGGATAAGCACCGTCAATAGACCCGTTCGGTATCAAGACACTTACTGATGAGTGAGTCCAGGGCTTCAGTAGCTTCGGGTTTCACCTCAAGATAAGCGTGCTAGCATACCACGAGTCAGCATATGCTAACGCCACCTTTCGCACCTATCTACATACCTTTGACATACGCCACACCCAGAAGTGGCGGCGGTGAGCGTGGAAGTCAGCCACGGGAGTATGGTCGTCCTCGGCCGTGCGCACGAGCTATTTAGACACGACGGTGTGAATGAATACGCTAACGTAGCTGTGACTTCACACAGGCGAGAACTTACCTGAAGACGACGGTGGTGACTCTTCCAGCGATATTCGATACCTTGTGCACCGGTGAAAACTGCTTCACTAGAATAATTAACGGCCTTAGTTTACTTCGTGCCGTTCGTATAGAGCAAAGGAGACAAATCCAGCATACCGCTTCCGATCATCCCACCGAAGGAATTCACTCTCCTCCATCCACCTTCCCTGTTCACCGCCGAAGCGAATCCTCGGCTGCTTGCTCTTCAAACGGTCTATCTCCGCAACAAGGTTCATCTCCTTTGAGTCAGGATCCAGCTTGAAGATCTTTGTGGTATCAGGGTGCCAGAATCTGGTGACGACCTCGTAGAAGTGTTCGTCGTTGTCGACGGAGATGGTGGTGTTACGCAGGCTGTTGGTAGCGAATTCCAACAAGTGAGGAGGCTCTGACTTTCTAGGAGGCGGCATGATGAAATGAAGGTGTGGACTAGATACAGATTATGACAGGGGAGCTATATGAAGTGATTCACGGGTGGAGGGACGATACTAGGGGTTATAAAGGGCGGGGCCAACTGCTGTGTAGTGCGAGCATGTCCCACCGGTCCAACACGGACGACTTCATTCGCCAGCATCTCGAGAGCGATGTCACCGGCGTGCATATATACGACAGATGCCACGCACCCTAATGGGATTTACCAAGCCAGACTTTGGAGGAAGGGGGGCCTTGGAGAGAAAATAGCCACATAGTTCCCATGTTACCACAGATATACCATGAGTTCTTCTCAGACGTGTGTACGAGAACGATGTCGATAATTGTCGACGGTGTCGTGCTGGACGGCTTTGATGCAGCCCATCAAAGCCAAAGTGACTGATCTGCGTCGAAGACAAACTATCTCCCGGCCGAAAAAGATTGAAATAAAAACGCATGGTAAATAATACGTCTCGCCTCGACGATAGCGCCGCTAGCTTTGCGAGCGAGTTGGAGTGTCTATCCGCACAGTGTAAAGAGGGCACGCAAATTCTCGCGGTTCAAGGAACCCCATGAGGTGACACAAATGATAGGATGTCACATCAATTTTCGGATGAACGCAACCAGGCCTCTCCTGCGGCGTTTGAAAGTGGATGGATCAGAGGGCTTGAGCTCAACTCGTTTGGCGAGGGGCAGGCGTGCATGTTGCAAAAGTGTCCTTGAGAATTAGGTATACACGGCAGATGAGAGCTGAGAGCAAAGCACGCATTTGATCGGTGTCTTCTTCGACTGACCACCGGAACAATGGACATTACCTTCAGTTGGCGGTCAACCCATCCCCTTCTAAAAGCGCCAACATGGCCTCAATCACCGGGTTCTTCCTTCCCACATCTAGCGTCGTCCCATCTCGTACGAATTGCATGAGCTGAACGTCGAGTAGGCGTCTGATAACGGGAGACGGTGACACATCACATCAGTGGTCATGATTCAGGGAGATAAGTTCCAGATGCGCACCGTAGTTGTTGTACGAGAATGCCGATGCGGGGCCAGGCTTTGAGTTTCATGATGCCCTCTTGTCCTCCAACGACGATCCCGCCGCCAATGTGATTAATCGTAATACGCCCTCCGAAGAGCAGGAGCGCATACAACGGAACCTACGACGCCGCCGTGAGGAGATAATGATCAGTATAACATATAACAAGGGTCAAAAAAGATCGACCACATACCTCTGTCACATCCCGTAAGAATAACTTTCCCGTCTCGACTCTCATGAATGAAACCACCTGCAAACTCGAATATCACTATATGTTGGGCATGGCGAAACAGAATGAACTTACAATCCCGCTTTTCCATGCCCTCTCGGCGAACATCGTACTCGCCGGATGCACCCACACTCTCTGTCCTTTCATATCTGCCGCCCTATACTCCTTCGCCGTGTTCTCTCGCGCCACGGTGCCCGCCGCGACCTGATCAAATTTAAGTGCTCCGCGAGGGAGGGCGATGCGTGCGACGCGAGGATACAGAGCGGCGAGTAGGATCGCTTTGAGGAGGGAAGGCGAGTTGCTATGCGTGTTTAGGGTGGGTGTAATTGGGGAAGATGAGGGAGGCAAGAGGGAGAGGGAGGTTAGAGAGGAAAAGAGTTCGTGTCGAAGTGTGGTGATGTCACGGATTGTGGAGGCGGAGATAAAGTTCTAGCAATGGATTCGTTAGCATGGATGCTGATCCGCATGAAAGCAGGACACATCTGAAGATTTACCTGCTCGCAGAAAACCCGAATTGCATGGGCTGATTGGCCTTCCGAGCGTAGCCGGATACATTCGTCGTATGCATGCACATCCGTCAAGATATCACTTTTCTCTGTCGCGAAACGTGATCGTGCCCTGTTAACCGTTTTCGTTAGACATCGGCCGGGAAAATCGGCAATATTTAACTTAATGTGTGGCCTCATCACGCTTGTCCATAGGGTTGAGAAAGATGGGTTTGGAGGAGAGAGCCGCGGCGATTGTTAGGATAGGACCAAGGCACTGGAAGATGGCACCGAGAATCAACATCTAGTGATTGATTATGGCGTCAACGGCAAGCAAAGCATATATACCCAGACTAAAAACTTACCTTGCCCAACCGGAGATCAACGGGTAGCATGGCCTGGTATACGCTTCAGCATGCTTTGCATTTATCATCGAGAAATAAATCACCATATGGCGGCCTAGGGCCGTCAAATCTCCATTCTCGTCAACAGCTCCCAGTTCTTCGAGTACTGACCACGCCTTGTCAATCGCGGCGACGTCCGGAGGGTCGATGGCACGGCTCAGAAACGCCTACACTATATTATAAATGACCCAGACTCGAAATAAAGACTGCACATCCGTACCTTCACATCTTCGTGTTCACGAGCAGATTTCACAGACAGAGATATACTCTCTAGAGGAACCCGAAGAATTTCTGGCTTCGGAAACGCCGCCATCTTTTTCTCTTGCCGTCGCGTGAACAGTTTGTAGCAAACTCCGGGCTTGGTGCGACCGGCGCGTCCACGGCGTTGCTTAGCAGCGGCCTTCGTTACCCATTGTTCTATGAGTTTGGTGAGGCCACTATCAGGATCGTACTGTGTTTCTTTAACCTTTCCAGTATCGACCACAAAGGTGATATCGTCAATCGTGATAGATGTCTATAAGGTGCAAAGGGTGAATGAGCGTGTCGTGTTCTCGAGGCTCGGTTCGGTGCATAATTTACCTCCGCCACGTTGGTGGTCACTACAATCTTCCACTTTGAGGTCGGGGCGAAGACTATGCGTTGTTCGTCACTGGAGAGATTGGCATGGAGAGGAAATATGGAGGCCATCCCGGAAGAGATTTTCGAGCGGATGGCTTCAATGCATTGTCTGATTTCTTGCACACCAGGAAGGAATACCAAGATGCCACCTTGGCTTTCCGCGGTTGCAATGATATGATTGACGGTAGCAGCTATGAGCTATCCATGTCCAGTGTAAGCATGACGATGACCGGGCACTGTTGGACGAATCACCTCGTAGTCTAGCCGGTCGGAACGCATTATCGATTGAATCGCGAGTGCATTTTGTTCAGATAAACCACTAGAGATGTATTGTGCCTGGGCGTCTTGTTCATCCTCGTCCCGCTTTCGAGGACCTTTCGATGGAGGAGCACGATAGCTTAAAGATGGCAGATAGTCTTCAAGATATCTGCGCACACAACGGTCATTATGCGTAGGCCACAAGAGGTGCAATATTTCGTACTTATCGGTGACTGGATGCGTCATGCCCGGTATGCTGAGCAGAGGGGCTCCGTTGAAATACTTCACAAACGTCTCTTGATTTATTGTCGCGGACATGAGGATGACCTTCAGTGTTGGGTGTGTATGAAGCAGTTCTTTCAGTTCAAGAAGTAGAAAGTCGCCGTCAACCGAACGTTCGTGGACCTGTGAGCTAAATAAATATTCTGCAGTGAACGCATAGGCTTGTTCGATACACATACCTCATCCACAACGACATGAGTAACGTGCTTCAACCCGTCACCGACGCTCAATCTACGAAGGACCACACCGGTTGTACAGAAGAGCAACTTCGTCTTCTCAGTTTGTTTACTTTCACCGCGAATCTGTTCACAACAAGTCAGTAAATCCGGTCTGTGAACAGATGCTGCGATCAACCTACTGTATAACCAACGGAACCGTCGTCGACGCGCTCCGCTGATACGCGAGCAGCAACCGAGATCGCAGATATTCGACGCGGTTGGGTGATCAGGATATTTGCCTTGGAACCTTGGCCACTGAGAATCAACGAATCTAAGATAAATTGTGGCACTGGAAGAGTTTGAGCCTCAGTGAAACAGCCGGCAAGGAAGACGGCTTGAAACTGACATTGTGTTGTTTTCCCAGAACCTGCATCTCGATCCATCAGATACAATTCATATCACAAAGCACGATGCCACTGACCGGTTTCTCCTACGACGACGACTACTCGGGACTTCTCCAACATAGACAAGAACTCGTCCTTCGAGGCGAAAGCAGGTAGCTTCTTGCGGAGAGAGAATAGTTCTGAGTATTTATGCGAGTTCCGCATGGCTTTGAACTCCTCTGTGATCTTCGCATCGTCCCGCATATCACGTCTTTGTCTTCCTCCGTCTCGCCTCTTGTTCCGATCTGTAGCGGGCCCGGTTGTGTCTGGTACACCCTGGTCCAAAGGCAGGCTGGTGGGTTGGGGAATGAGATGCTGCAGTACAAGGGATATATCTGGAAATCCTTGGTCTTCTATAGTGCCCCATTGCTCCTCGACGATCTGCATAGTTCCTAAACATAGGCCAAGCCCAAGTTGGAGGATAGTTCCGTTCTTGAAAGCGTTGAGGAGGTGGGCCAGTAAATGGAGGCGGACGTACGCCGGCATGGATGTAGACGTGATATACATGGGAGGAGGATGTGTGGATATGTTATATGGGAAGGAAGGTGGAATGACAAAGTTCAGCTGGAGTGGCGCAGCGAACATTGGCATGACAAGCGTTACAGAGTCTTCTGCATAAGAGGCGCCAATCGACTCGATGTCGTCCTGAGTGATGAGGTCTATCACATCGCTAGAGAGGTCGCGATCGAAGACTGCAGTCCAGTCGTCTCCTAGTAATCGTTTGTTGAGAGCCGCGGTGAGAAGTGCCCAATCTTCCACAAGACGAGAATCCATCAAGCATTCGCGCACAGCCTTGACAGGCCATCCTGCTTCTTTGACTGCCCGTTCTTCGACCCAGCGTTTCTTGATATCGTCACCACCGCCATGTGCAGAGGTGACAAATGAATTGGACGAGTTAGCGGAAGGTAAGAAACGTTGTGGGAGATCGCACTCCGGAACGTGCAGGACGAGGTATTCAACACAAGCTTGCAGGGGTGCGGCTGATTGTAGAAGGCTGGAGGTCAAGGGGGATGGTTGAGAGAGATAAGCTACAGCATCTCGAGCTTGTGGGCGTGTGAAGCCTATAGCCATAAGTTGCTGAAGGATGGCAGGCGAGTTGTCCTCGGTCAGGACAAGCGGAACTGCGTCTTCTGCTTTGGGATAAAGCAAGATGGCCTAGAGGGAATGGTGAGTGACGAAGCATCGTGTGAGACGGGGAAGCAACCTTTTTGATAGAGCTCTCGACGAGCTCCCGAAGATCGCTGGCCATCTTCACCTCCGGTGCATTCGCAAATTCTATGGATTCCTTCGTAGCAGTCGCTGAGGGACGAATGCTACCCTGCTCTTTTTCCTCTTTTCTCTTCGCAGCTGATGCTTGTCGTCCATCGACTGCTTTTCGTGCCGCAAACGGATCGCTCTCATACATCCACTTTTGGTGCTCTTCGACTTTCCTGTGCTCGTCAGCTAGCTCATTCCAATATTCGCGAGGTCCAGGAGGGAGTACACGATTCAGCTGTATCCCGTTACATATCTAGGAGACTCGGAATAGAGTAAATATGGGAATATATCCACAAAGAAAGAGCTAAGAGAACCAACCCGATATAGAGCGTAAGTTGCTCCCCAATGCCTTGCTTCAATCGCTGTGGGACGAGTATAGGGCGGGTGTGGCTCTAGGCGCACAGATTCACGCTCTTGTCCTGTACCCTTCTTGTACACAATTTGACTCAATGTGACGACGAATGACCATCCATTATCACGTTTCCGCTATGTGTCGGGAGGAGGTTCAGATGTGACCTCTTGAGATTCTTCTTTCCACTTACGGTGTCAACTATTGGCTTTTCCCAGTTATTCTTCTTACATCTGTGCGAGGATATTTTAGATTACTACATTGGACAGAGATAATGTCAACCAAAGTAATGGCTGGCTAGGACCCGTGGAGGGAGATGAATGTTAGACATACCTTTCTTGGAGTAGACTGAGAGGATACTTCGAACCCGGAGGAAAGAGCGGCTTCTCCTTCTCATCTGCAGGCGGTGCAGGTAAAGCACTCGGCTTAGACGAGTTACCCGCGTTTCCCGACTTAACGATGCCCTTTCTTGGGGGCATTAACTGTGAACAATGTTTTGAGAAGGAATGAATTTGATGAACATCACTTCTGGGTGGCGTATGGTGGCGGTAGCCACTTCATGTCACACCGTATCCAATTTCTTCTTGACCTGAAAATAGGATTTCTGGACTCAGGGACCCTCATTCCAGAGTAAATCCGCCATTTCGAAGTCAGGGGATTTTCCTAACCCTAACCCTAATCAAACGGCCAAATTTCTGGTGAAGACCCACACCAGGAACCCTAAGTACCCGAGATATATTGACTAAAAAAATCTCATGATATGTATATACCTGGAACATCGTGCAGTCCGGTTGTATATTTGCTTGTACAGTCTTCAAACAGACGTTGCAGAAGACTGCCAGGCTCTGCCAGGCTACAGTGGCGGAGCGGCGGGGTGGCGGACGACCACACGTGTGACAAATCATGCCCAGTATGGTAATGTCACACGCACGTGGTGTGACAAACGGCCAAATTTCTCTGACGAAAACCCCCCCGGAGAATTTTTAAAAAGTGCACCGACCATCCTCTAGATACCCTCCCTGGGGTCCTATATATGAAACAACAAGCCGCCAAACCCCCGAATCCGTGTTCCATTAAGCAAAGGGTTCCGCGGCACAAGGCTTGCCATGAAGTGGCTACCGCCACCATACTAGCTACCAGCGTGGCGGAAGGGCGGCCCTCAGGGTCCGGCATGCTTGCATAAGCACACTCAACACCAGTCGCGTTCTGTCTGCTCTCTTCCGTCACTCTCGTACTCCCTCACTCGTCGCAGCCATGGCGTCTGACGATCTCTATAATCTCGAACTTCTTTCTCTTGTCTCCAAAATTACACAGGAGATCAACAATCACACAGGCTTAAGCGACAAGACTCTTGCCGAGTTTGTCATCTCCCTCCATGACCAGTGCAAAACACTCCCAGAGTTCAAGCAAAAGCTCAAGGATGTTGGTGCCGACTTCCCCGAATCCTTCATCGAGAACATGGACCGACTCATTTTGAGCATGCACCCGAAGCACAAGAAGAAGACGGCCAAGTCGAAGGGGAAGAAGGGGAAGGGCAATGGGGCTGTGGATGAACAGGACAAGCAGAAACGTCTGTTCCCGGGGCTTGCACTTGCGGACCAGGACTGGCAACCTAGTATCTCGAAGGATGCTTTGATGAAGGAGGTCGACGATATGATGTCACAATTCGAGTCTACTTCGAAGAAGTCTCGACCAAGACCCATCGACGACGAACCATCTCCCAAACGACAACGACGCTCCCCATCACCTCGACGCCGTAGCCCCAGTCCTCCGAGGGGTCGCTCATATGATAGGAGAGACGACCGAGGGGGCCATAGTAGGGGCGCAGTAGACGAGAGAGCCGTGCTTTACAAGGTTTATGACGGCAAAGTGTCGGGTATGAAGGATTTTGGTGCATTCGTAACGTTGGAAGGTGTTGCTGGAAGAGCAGAAGGTACGTCGACTACGTTTTATAGGCACAGAATGCCTTTAATTGATCTTATTAGGTATGGTTCATGTCACGAACATCCAGGCTGGTGCTCGTATCAATTCTCCATCCGACCTCCTCAGTCGTGGTCAACCTGTCAAGGTCAAAGTGATGAGCGTCGCCGGCAATCGTATCGGGCTCTCCATGAAGGACGTTGACCAGGCCACCGGTCGCGATCTTACACCTCATCTTCGTATCAAATCTGAAGCCGAACTTATCGAGGAGGAAAGGGAAGCGGCACGCAGGGCATCTTCCGGAGCGAACGCTGTTCCTCTAAATATCAAAGACGAGCCTGTCCGATCTGCGAAACGCCTCACGTCACCCGAACGATGGGAGATCAAGCAACTCATTTCTTCGGGAATTATCGACGCTTCGGAGTACCCCGACCTGGATGAGGACTTCGCGAATCCGATGGTTCGTGCGGAAGTTGAAGAGGAATTGGATGTCGAGATTCGTGAGGACGAACCAGCTTTCCTTCGCGGACAAACCAAGCGCACGCTCGACCTCAGCCCCGTCAAGATCGTCAAGGCGCCCGACGGTTCACTCAATCGCGCTGCTCTCGCTGGCGCCTCATTGGCGAAGGAACGCCGTGAGCTGCGACAGCAAGAGGCCAATGAACTCGCTGATTCGGAAGCCCGTGATTTCAACGCCCCGTGGTTGGACCCTATGTCGAAGGAGTCGGACAAGGTCTTTGCCCAGGACCTTCGTGGCACGCTTCGGGACGAGAAAGCTAGTCAGAATCAAGGATGGAGGGACAAGACTTTCAACAAAGCGACGACTTTCGGAGAGATTACGAGTCTAAGCATTCAAGATCAGAGGAAATCGTTGCCTATCTATAAGCTACGAGATGCTCTGTTGCAAGCCGTTAACGACGTGAGTACAAGTACTCCGACTATTGCTCAAAAGTAGTTGCTGATATGCTCTACAGCATCCTGTCCTCATCGTTGTTGGTGACACCGGGTCAGGGAAGACCACCCAAATGACGCAATATCTAGCGGAGGCGGGCTACGCCGACAAGGGCAAGATTGGTTGCACCCAGCCTCGTCGTGTCGCCGCCATGTCCGTCGCAAAACGTGTCGCCGAAGAGGTCGGGTGTCGTTTGGGTCAAGAAGTCGGGTACACCATTCGTTTTGAGGACTGCACCAGCCCTGAGACCCGTATCAAGTACATGACGGACGGTATGCTTCAGCGAGAGTGTCTCATCGACCCCGATTTAAGCAACTATTCCATCATCATGTTGGATGAGGCTCACGAACGGACAATTTCTACGGACGTGCTCTTCGGTCTTTTAAAAAGTATGTCCATCCGGATCTTTCTCCCAGCATTGACTAAAACTTGATTCCCTATTCTCTAGAGGCAATCAAACGACGTCCCGACCTCAAGCTGATCGTAACTTCTGCCACCCTGGATGCCGAAAAATTCTCCAAGTACTTCTTTGGATGTCCCATCTTCACAATCCCCGGTCGAACCTTCCCCGTCGAAATTCTTTACACGAAGGAACCCGAATCCGACTACATGGACGCCTCTCTCATCACGGTCATGCAAATCCACTTGTCTGAGCCTCGAGGCGACATTCTTCTCTTCCTCACCGGTCAAGAAGAGATCGATACAGCGTGCGAGATCCTATACGAACGCATGAAGGCGTTGGGCCCGAAAGTCCCGGAGCTGCTCATCCTCCCTATCTACTCTGCTCTGCCTTCTGAAGTCCAGTCCAGGGTCTTTGAACCGACACCCCCTGGCGCGCGTAAAGTCGTCATCGCCACGAACGTCGCCGAAACCAGTCTTACCATCCCTGGCATTTACTACGTTATCGACCCCGGATTTTCCAAACAAAACGCGTACGATCCACGCCTTGGTATGGACTCGCTCGTCGTCATGCCCATCTCTCAGGCACAAGCACGTCAACGCTCAGGGCGCGCAGGACGTACCGGACCAGGCAAATGCTACCGGCTTTATACCGAGGCAGCTTACCGGAACGAGATGTTACCCAATTCCATTCCCGATATCCAGCGGACGAACTTGTCACACACTATTCTTATGCTCAAAGCTATGGGTATCAACGACCTTCTCAGCTTCGACTTCATGGACCCTCCTCCGGCGCAAACCATGCTTACCGCCCTCGAGTCGCTATACGCCCTTTCAGCTCTCGACGATGAGGGTCTTCTTACGCGTCTAGGCCGTAAGATGGCAGATTTCCCTATGGAGCCTCCTCTGGCTAAGATGCTCATCGCATCGGTTGAATTGGGGTGCTCCGAGGAGATTCTGTCCATTGTAGCCATGCTTTCCGTCCAGAGCGTCTTCTATCGTCCCAAGGAGAAACAAGGGCAGGCGGACTCAAAAAAGGCCAAGTTCCATCAGCCTGAGGGAGACCATTTGACTCTGTTAACGGTGTACAACGGGTGGAAAGGTGCGAACTACTCCAACCCGTGGTGTTACGAGAACTTCATACAAGCGAGGAGCATGAGGCGAGCTCAGGATGTCAGAAAGCAGCTTTTGGGAATCATGGACCGGTATGTTTTCGCTCCCATCTTACTGTAGGCTACCCTCGCTGATGACACGAACAGATACAAGCACGATATCCTATCGGCTGGCAAGGACTATAACCGTGTGCGACGTGCGATATGCTCAGGTTTCTTCCGAAATGCCGCGAAGAAAGATCCACAGGAGGGATACAAGACCCTCGTTGAAGGGACTCCGGTCTACATTCACCCGTCCTCAGCCCTGTTCAATCGTAATCCCGAGTGGTGCATCTACCACGAATTGATTCTCACCACTCGAGAGTACTGCCACAACGTTACGGCCATCGAACCGAAGTGGCTTGTGGACGTCGCCCCTCAATTCTTCAAGGTTGCGGATGCGAATAAGATCAGTAAGCGGAAGAAGCAGGAGAAGATTGAGCCTTTGTACAACAAGGTATGTTACTTCCTTTCTGTTCCCCTTCAACCCACCATACTGACGATTCGCCGATGCAGTACGAGAAGCCAGATGAGTGGCGTCTGTCGAAGGTCAAGCGCAATGCCAGGTCCAGTCAGACCTTTGGTTGATTTTCTTTCGCTATGTGTGTTTTGTCTATTGTTGCGGATATCATATTGTAATACCAGTTGCGCCTTACATCTCGTGAATTCTGAAATTTGCTGTTGTGGCGAGTGAATGTTAGTGTAGCCCATGCGAAGCGTCGGTGCTAATATGTTACGAGTAAGTACACGAGAAGATACGGGGAATAGATTATTAAACGGCAGTAATCGACGACAAGACAAAGAAATCAGTTTTGATGATCCAGTTACTTCAAGTACTTATAGAAAGGGGATCGTCAGTAATTACTGATCCCCCTTCTCTGGAACAGACAACGCGTCGCGGGTATCGGAGTTCCAATTCACTTCTTGCACCTCCAGTCAACACTCCTGACGGTCTGACTACTTCGTTATCTGCCGTTGGTTTCCCTTACCCCAGGTTTATCTTTGAGATGGAGCCTTACCCTCAAAAGTATTTGTCCGACCACAGTACTAGTCAAAAATTGCTTGTCAGACTCGGTGGCCCTGCCCTTTCCTGTTCTGATGTTCAGGCCATTATGTCCCGCTCTCCCCATGGTGCTGAGCTCATGGGATGGCTGAACGAGGCGTTAGCATGTGAAGCTGAAGAGGCTGATCCATTGCTCCAGAAATATACTCTTGAAGAAGAAGAGATCAATATGTAAGTTCATTATTCTATCATTGTTCGTTGGGCCACATGGTGCCTAAATCGCGTTATTTCGTGGGCAGTTTGAGACGTGCAGAGCGTCATGAATCTTGGTTTCAAGCAGCACAGCAGAGTTCTGGACACGATCATATTACTTATCTACCACCTTCTAAGCTACAGTAGGTGGTCACTCTGCTTTACACACATATATCGCCTCATACTACTCACTATCACAGCGAGAAGCAGAAGTTGTTGGAAGCAGAGAAAGCCTTATACGAGGAAGAAACAGAAGTACTCAAAATACAGCTATCCCAAGCAAAGTGAGGTTTAAGTGGATCGACGCAATTAGCAGCGTGTGACGAGGCTGATGACCGTTTAGACTAGCTTCTCGCGAGGCGTCAAAAGCTATCCGATCTTTCCAGTCCATGATATCAAAAACGGACAAGGATGTCACTGAACTTAAAGGTAGCCTTTCGGAGTTGTCTTTAAAAGTGCGCTTTCTTGTTAGATAGGTCTATCGACATATGGATGCTCACCGCTAGAGTCAGGCTGATGCCTCCGTGTCTTCAACTCTTCGTTCAACAACACAGGCGTTGCTTCGTTTAGAAGAAATAGGTACATCCATTGCTCACGTACCAGGATGCATGTTCGTTGACAATTTCGTCGTCTTCTTCAGATGATGATGAGCTTTGCTCTCGTTTAGAGGCGCTGTCTGACGTTCGCTCCGATATCATTTCCGCCAATAACTTCGCTCAACCCATTTTACCGGTCACACCATCCAATCATGAAATCACTAGACTCCAGCGCTCGCTTGAACGTTTACCTCATCCCGAAGTGTCGGTTGATGCCCTCAGATACGAAGAGTTTGAAAAGATAATGCAGAATATGCATGATCTCTCGAACGGCGACGTAGCCCATGCCACTGCCTTTCTACATGATATAATTTCAGAAGGCGCTGAGGAAAGTATAGAACTAGATCGACCACGCCCGAAGGAAGAGATAGAGCGTGCTTGGTGGATAGACTATCACAGTATGCTTGCGATACAGGAAGAGTCCCTCGATAAGGCCAGTCATCTATTCGACACTAGCTTTCACCCTTCCTGACAACGTTTTAACACAGAGCATACAAAGATTTACCGACCTCCACGATCCTCATTTGACCTCGCTGCACGAGTATCTGGGCTCCACTCTTGAAATAGTACAGAAAACCGAGGCATACGCGAGAGTATTTCAACAGGAAACGCAACACATCCTCAATGACGCGGATGTCTCTAGCAAATCTGAAACAGTTGACAATGCGGCTCCTGGGAATGAGCAGCTTATCGTGGACGAACTTGTGGAAGTCCTAAAGCAACATCAACGTGAGTGTCAAACACAGCAACCTTACTCCCTCGGAACCTTTCTGACGGAGTGCCCATGAAGACCTCCGCCCAGAGACAGCCCAGCCACTCGTCCTTCTAAGCGACGCTGACCTCTGCGAGGAGATCAGAGCGTTGCTCGAGAGATCGCATTCTTCCGAGAGAGTTCAATTTGCCCTGCCCGCTCAGATATCCCAAGCTTCCTCTGCCCTGTACGTCTACTTTTCCTTCTTTCGCTGATCTCACACAAACACCTCATGGCTGGACAGGCTATCGCAACACCAGCCCTTACTTGACATCCTGTATGCCAACTCACCGCTACCTACGTCTCCCCCCTCCGCCGCTCCGCCCGAACTTCAAGAACTCGAGACACGCACGCGGTCCAAAATAGACACACTGGACCATGACCTGGGAGATTTGGCAAAAGTTGGTATTTTCGTGATGGCGAATGGACACCCGGGCTGACACGCATTGACATAGGAAATTGAACTGAGCAGTCGTACTAAGAAGAAACTGGCTGCTTTCGTTCGTTGAGGCGCGCGTCAACTAATCAGGCGGATGTATGTTCATTCTTGAGACAACAGACGGATCCAGTTTGCTCCATCCGACCATAATAATATCAATCAGTGTCCAGGACAATATTATCACAAGAATTAATCCAGTCCAGCCCACGACAGTAAAGTCGCAACCAATAATCAACAGCCACCCGCACTACGACTGCGTCTTGCCCAGCTCTTGCAACACAGTCACGAACCCCTCCGGATCCCAGATCTCCGTCCCTCCATACGTAATCCTCTTCCCCGTCTTACTTGCCCACTCCTCCAGATTTCCATATTCTACGTACCCTGCTCCACCAACCATGAACACAACTCCATCCTGGAACGCCATCCTCCTTCCACGCGTGCCTCCTGGTCCACCGGTCGCACCTGACGGCGGCCCGTAGTTTGTAGGGTTTGAGCGTGCACCCCGTGGGTCCAAGAAGATGAAGTCATCTGTCTCTTGAAGGGACTGGTTGGAGGCCGCAGAGGAATCCATGAGGGCTTCGGTGAGACGGGTGACGGTGAATAATTTATTGGTCGGGAGGAAGTTCTTCACGCCCGAGATGAGGTTCTCAAGGCCTCCGTCTTTGAAGCGTTCCGTGAACTGTCGGGGGGAATTCAGTCTGAGTTACTCGCTGATTTATGGTGCTGTGGAGGGAAAAACAAACCCTGTTGCCCAATGAACTGAAACCTTTGAAGAGCTCGCCACTCTGTACACCACCGCCCACCACGGGCGTCGCTGTGCCACCAGCAGCACTCGGGACGATCATACGAGAGATTTCCCTCATTCGACGAACGTAACTGAAAGCAGAGACGTCTACGCCAGCGTTCTTGAGTTCGTTTTCCAGCTCCGTGATATCTTCTTTCGTAATGGCGTTGTCCGGGGAAGAAAGGTAGAACACCAGGACGAGCCGGAGCTTGTCGGTTGGCGTAGGCTGCCCCTCCGTTTTTGACGACCGGAGGGTTTCAAGCACTGTGGCGACGGTCTATATATCCCTGTCATGAATAACGTATGTAAGCGACACTGGTTTGAGATCACAATACCTGTTTATTAATCGCCTCCTCCGTGCTGAACAACTCATCCAACCCTCGCCTCTTGATCTCCTCCAACAAGGCTGTGGCAATATTCATATGTGTATCCAATGTTGCCTTCCTCGCTGTCAGTTCGGGCAGCTGCGTGATCGCCGTCTTCAAATGCGCCGCATTCGTGGAGAGGTCCAGTTGAGAAATGTCGTTCACGTCGCTCACCCCTGTCGAGCGCGTGATCTCCGCCGCATCCTGTTTATACCTGTTCAGTTCCGTGTCGATATCCTCTGCGACCTGAGGGAAAGGATTTGCGGCGTTCTTGGACCAGAAGAAATCTTTGGAGTCTAGGTCGTAGGATTTCTTGGTGGGTTGCGGGACGGTTACGCGGTTGAGCTTCATTTCGAGGCAGTCGGAGACGAGGGCTTGGTAGGTCCATCCATGTGACATCATGGGTACGAGATCGGTGTTTCTGTCGAGCAAGAGAAGGACTGTGATACTATATTAGTATGCAGTTCAATTTAGAACGGATCATACGAGGGCGTACGCGGTCGGGAAAGGTTCGAGAGCCCAGTCGAGTCTTGCGCGAAGAGAGAAGGCCCATGAGCGCGAGAGGCAGTAAGGATTGCGTCCCTAATATTAGTTTCTAATTTCTTGGCTATCATCTCAGCGGCATTTCCCTTCGGTGCACGGATAATGGGGACCTGGCCTTCGTTGGTATACGTGTCAGTTACTGTTCGAAGGCGCTTGAGATACGGCCACGTACCCATAGTGGCCACGACACTAAATAGTCCCCGTGCTATCCGCTCAATTTCAGCCTCTATTTCTTGTTCCGATGACGATGGCGAGTTGAGGATTTGGTATGACGAGAGTGGTTGAGAAGGCATAAGTTGGTCTGTAGGTGGTGCAGGCGGTGGTAGGAGTGAAAATAGAGATGCAGATGGAGCAATAAATGACAGATATTGGTCCACAATCTGAACGCGGATACGTTATCAGAACCAATACACATAGAGGATAACGAGCATGACCTGAACATACCTCTTGTATCAGTTCTCCGGTATTGTCTCTCGCCACAGAGGCTGCAAGCTCTTCCAGAAGCGACCTGCTGAGTGGTTCCGAGAAGTTGACATGATAAGACTCGTACAGAGCCTTGTCGAGGTCTTCAGCTATCCGGCGTATGTTGGGGAGGGTAGGTGAAACGAAGTACACTGCAGGAACATCTGGTAATGGTGGCCGAGATGAATGAAGTTGCCTATTCCATTCACAATACACCATGTAAGTTGTGTACCCACCCAAGTTATCAATATGCAGACGTACACGTGAAGAGTTACACCGATATCCCTCAGGTCCTGTACGCGTAGGACTGTGGCGAGCACGTCTTTCGTCTGCTGATCCAACACGAGAACCTTCCACACTGGTGGCCCTGAAGGCGTAGAGAGTTTCAATGAGGATGCGCCTTTAGATGCGCCTGGTGAGGTTGGACTCGTTGGGTCGATGGGTTGGTTGAGGTTGAGCAAGGCCAAGAGCGCGTTGGTCTGTGATTGCTGGAGCGTATGCGGTGCGCTGACCTTGAGGTTATATCGTCTATAAGTTTGTCAGGGGACAGCAAAGTACGAATACAACCTACATGTTTTAGGGCACTACTGGCCATATTATGTTTATGGTATCAATATCGTGGAAGGGAGGAGTGGTTGACCGTCTGAAATGTACGCAACCGGCGCCAACACGAAGGCGCGTCTTGAGCGCGCTTCCACGCGAGCACTTGTCGCCACACGGTCTCCTCTGTCCCTCGTCATTATCAATTCCTTGTCAAGGCCGCAACCATGAATTCATGCATGTATCGGCCGCACATAAAATTCAATGTCTTCTACATGACACTCGAGCATAATTCAGACCTGTATATAGTTACGTCAAACCAATATACCCGCATATTTACTTTCACTCGAAGGTCTCCCTATATTACTGTCCACTCACGCGAAGTTGTCAACCGAGGCTAGCTTTCAATGTGAAGACTAGCGCTATTGGCTTTTACTATTACAAGCCTAGCCAATCAGAATGCGTTTCCATGCTTTCTCCCATCTAACTTCGCTGACCTCCAGGTTGTCCCCGTGCGCATCCCGAACCCGGAAGGTATACACGAATCACGATCCCTCACGACGAGACTGATGGACCGTAGTTGGATGTGATCTCCCTGGCTAGACAATAGATAAAGGACATTGAATAGCCTCGTTGCCTTAGGCCTACCTCTCCTCTTCACCCATTACCTCATTCTCGGCTAGCAAGTCCAACTTGCCTTCTCGTCGTCACAGGTGCGCACGCACAGTCTTGGTCTTCAAAATGTTAGCTAATAATATTTGTGTCTATTCTTTCTAGCCATGGGTTGCATACCGAGTAAACAGTCTGTTCTGGAAGGCGTTTCGTCACATAAGAACAAGCCAGCCAAACGATCAAAGAAACTGCGTCCACCATCGCCGATTATCGAGGCAGAACAAGCACCATGGGTGAAGGGGCATGCGGTGTACTCATTCAATGAGCATAAAGTCTTGGTTCCGAAACCAGAGCCAATGGGGTGTGAGAAAGGCTCGTAGCGCGTCGACGGTTGGTGAGTCCTCTTCCTTATTTCCTGCCTTGCCCTTGTTGAAACGTGATTTTCCTTTTGCTTGTAGTCAGTGTTCTGCTTTGTAGTCCGTGAACACAGTCGGCCTCGCCAGGAACTTACTCGATCGTTCGCTCCGCTCCATTTTGTCTGTCATCCAGTCTCTACTCTCGACACGCCCATCCACTCGTTATTTTCCGTACCTGTACAAGCACGCTCTCTCCGCTTCTGTGTATGTACTTATTATTTATAGGGACAGGAGCAGTCTGACCCTGTTGGCCATTTATCGGCTTGTGAGATGTGACGAGCTTCCAAACCGTGTGGAACGAACAACACGATCCTGGGGCGGCGGGATACTTTCGAGTCACAGCCACTCAAATGCCTCCGGCGAACCACTCTAGATGCTACTGCGTCCTTTGGTTCAACTTTGGGTTGTCACGATGCCACCGGCTGCGGTAGGATGGCTGTAGGAATGCGCAGGACCTGCTTCGCAGTTAGAATTCAACGCAACGGTGCCCGTGATACCCGCCCAGCGCCCCAACCATCCAAGAAATGCTGTTGCTTATTTAGGCCATGATGTGACTTGACATGAAAGAGTCGAACCTCGAGAAATGATTCTTGGGTATTGCGAAGGAAATTGGGAGGTGGGGGATGTGGTCGTAAAAATGTTCATGTGTAGACCGTTGTGTCAAGATAGGAAGACGAGTAGCGTAGCGAGATACAAGACCTTGATGAAAGGTATATGAAAGGTGTGTAGGAACTTTGAAAATTGAGTGAGCAAGGAGATCGTCCCGACGTCGTGACCTACTCGCTCTCCGAACGAGAACCGCCTGGGATACGACCTCGAGAAGGACCTGGTACCCCTTCGGAAAACACGGATACATCTCGAAGCACCTTCTCAACCTCGTCCGTATCCGCGTCGTGCGAGGTCTGGGCACTGATTGGTCTCTGTGACTGCACGATCTTTTCAACAGCGACACGACGCCTGAGTTCATCGGCGTATCGAGCTTCGGCCCTTTGCCGCGCAGAAGATTCAGCTTGGAGGGCATGCTTCATGTCTTCGCCATGTATCATACAGCCGTCAGCAATGATCACAACAGAGGCCCTGAGGCGTGAGTTCAAATTACAATGAAAGACTCACTGTCAATGAGAGTTTGGACGCCAGGTGGGACGTATATACTCGTCGGGCCCTGTTCGTCGTCCGCTTGCGAGGCAGGTACCCAGGGCAACGCCGTCATGTCCGGCATGTCCAACATCTCGAACCCAAAATCACTAACCTCGAGATCCATCATTTTCAAATCTTGGGAATAGGGGGTGTGAGTTCGAGCATGCGTATAAAGAAATGAACAGGAAAAACAACCTTCGCGGACGACCCCATCCTCAGTCCTCGATAACCTTCTGTTCGTTGATTCAGAAGCACGGGAAGTAGGTTTGGGCCCAAAGCGACCGTTGGAGAGTCTGAGTAGGGGTTTTGAAGGAGAAGTAGAACGACGAGGAGAAGTCGCCGAGGTCTCCCTCTCTTTTCCCTTTCCATTAGGTCGTAATCGTACGTTACGGGTCGTAGTGGCATCATTGCTTCCTGGTGTAGATTCAGAGGCAAGCGGACCGGACGAAGGAGACGGAGAGGGTAGTCCTGATACAAGTCTCTTCGAGTTCGACCTCGTACTGCCTTCCGCTTCAACAGAGCTTGTCCTCTTGGGTTTTGCATTCAGGGTGGATTTAGTCCTCTGTCTGACTATGATCACGGATACATCCGATGAACGAGACGGAGTCCCGGACTGGTCTATGTCGAGTTTCCGTTTTTTGCGCGGAGAAGGAGGGGAGGGAGATAGTTGATCCTGGAGCTTCCGTATGTTGCGCTTGACGAGAATTCGCCGTGAAGATGAGGAAATTGGACGGGGAGCAGGAGAGGTACTGCCTGTGCAAGTATTGATTTCGTGTGAGCTAGGCCAACTGGGGACAACATGAGAAAGACGCACGTCCCCGTGAAGCACCTGAGCTGCGTTGGTCTGTATTTGATTTCGCATTTTCCTTGACTTGAGGATTCATCGTCAATGCCCTGTCAAGCGCGAACTGTATCACCGGCGCTTACGGAGGAGCCTTCTAGGAGTCAAGAGGATACATTCTGTTGGGACGGGTATTGGTCTTGTTCAAAATCACATTCATTATAGATTGACTATCATACCAAGAGAAGACCTCGGTTTTGATGACGGTGGTAGACTGCTCGCACGACTGCGTCCAGGAGCATCCTGAGTAGACTCTACGTTCGCGGTGGTCAGCAAGAGTACTTCCTCATATAGAATATCTAAAGTAAGACATACTGCTAACGGAGATGGTCGATCGAATCGCTTGTTTACTACCGCGAGTGTTTGTGTCCAATGAACGTCTGGACATACCAAAGTACTGGTGGGATTGGAGGAACAGACGGTGGACCCGTCCAGAGCAGTTTGAGGACATGAGGTGGACGGAGAACTTGCGGTGAGATCAGATCTAATCTAATCTATTGCCATGATGTGGCACCACATGACGTAGTTATGTGGCCAGCCCATTTCATGCATAACCAACAAAGCAATCAAATATAACCATTACAGAAGAACCAACCGGTATGCTACTATACACATAAATTACAAAATTACGTCCAGATAAACCATGAGACCCACAGAATTGCATGTGCAAAGTAGTCTAAAATCGTGAATGCAGAGGAAACATGAGGAGCAACGAGCTCGCGATCAACCCATAGCGGAGCCGAGCACCTTGAATGCCAACGCTCTCAGAATCTATTTTCAAAAATGGGTATGAGATGGATCAGGATGCGAAACTTCAGAAAAACTCACCTCAGCCTTCTGGGACCCGCCGAGCTGGCTGAAGACCGCCGCGACACTCTTGCCCTTCGCGTCACGCACAGCTCCCAGTCTATTTCCAGCATATGCTCCAACCAAAGTCCCAGGAACATTGGCTATGATGAACCCCAAGCCAGCACCGCAAGCAGCTCCTAGCCATGCCCATAAAGGGGCTGTACGCTCAACCTCGGGGCGAAGAAGCTGAGGACCGAGACCACGAGTGAGAAAACACGGACTATCGGTGCAGACATGGGCAGGGCTTACATCCTCGAACACGTCGCCAAACACGTTGTTGGCATCTGGTCTCTGACCAGTCTCTCCCTCCGCAGCACCTGTCGTTCCACCAGCAGCACTTCCAAACATGCTTGCGAATGTGGAGAAGAAGTCGGACGAAGCGCCTGGGTCTGCACTCTTCTCTGAGCGACTACCGTACAAGTTGTCGTATTCGCGTCGTCTTTGGGTGTCAGAGAGGACGTAGTAGGCATCAGCTACTGCCTGTGGAATGCCGTTAGTATATGAAAAGCGTAGAGGTGCTTTAGAGTGAGACGAGCCTGAAACTTCTCCGTAGCCTTCTTCTTCTCTGCCTCTGAGGCGTTGGCGAGTCTATCTGGGTGTGTCCTATCAAGCAGAAAATTGGAAGAACGTTAGAGAGGGTGGAGCAGCAGATGTGAAAGGAACGCACTTGAGCGACTCCTTCCTATAAGCCTGCCTGACATCGTCTGCAGATGCAGACTTCGGGATGTTGAGGATGGAATAGTAATCGGGAAATGAAGACATGGGTTTGGTTGTATGTGGGAGAGAACAGGGTGTAATTCAGGAGCCGCAAGTCAAAGCGGGACAGTGGAGGTGGCAACGAATTGAACGGTCTTGCCAGTGATGTCATCTCAAGGCGTGTCTTTGCACCTGCTTTCTCACGGTCGGACACGTCCACAAATCCGCCACAGCGACCAATATTCTACAAGTACTATAGCTGGGCTCACTGTGCAGTACATTGACAGAACGTACAGTAACAGTACTGGAGAGGTCAATATGTAAGTAATGCGAACGAAAGCAAATGATCAAAACGAAAAAGAAAGGCTAGTCGTACAAAAATGCAGCACAGAAGGAGTAAAAGTGGGCGACCTCAACTTCCAGAGTATGAGCGTGATGGCAAGCCGGGGGATGGGAAAGGAGGATGGGAGAGTGGGAAAAAATAATTACAAATACATTACGAGAAGAAAGCATTCTAGCGACAGACGGGACCATGGGGAAGAAAAGGGAAGAGGATCAGATATAGCCACGCCTGTCGTTCGAGTTCGCCACTCCAGCAGTGCCGGACTGAAGCTGGGTCTGGATGGCGAGCGGCGCAGGTCGAGGACTCTCGTACGCGGTCGTCTCGTCGAACAGTGGTGATCTACTATTTGCAGCGAACTGATTGGGCCGTTGTGGCAGCCCAAACGGCCGACCTCCCGTTCCCATCCTCGCTGCCTGTCCAGCTCCCGGCCCCCTGAGCGTTGGGTTTGAATTTGAAGTTCTCAGGACGGGAGAGGGCAAGGCTTCGCGAGAGACTGATGTTCTACCAGTGGCCAATTGGTCGTCGGACGCGCTTCTCGAGTGTGATAAGTGTTCATAGGAAGAGTTGGTCGCAGATTCGGATAATGGCGGGGTCCTGCCGCCGCGCCCCATCACCATGCGCTGCGCGACCGGCGCGTTTGTGTATTGTTGCCGTTCAGCGGTGACTATGGTTGCTGATATTGCACTCCCTGTCGCGCTCCCTGGTTCGCTATCCTCGTTTATGAGAGAAGAAGGTCTCCTTGTATGATTTGGGACAGTTAAACCTGACCACACACATCAAACGTGTCAGAGATGTGCGACGGACGAATACTCAATGAAACTCACCTCCGATGAATGAAGTCACGTCGTATTGTGTTCCCTGAGAGTCGAGACGATTCCCTCGCGACGCAGTTACGCCCGCACTGGTCTCACCGAGATTGTCTGTACTGTACCTCGTAGACTGAGGAAGCGACTGTCGCGTCTCAACCTCCTCCGATGCAGCGGGCATACGAGGTGGGATCAACGTGAAGGTAATCGATTGTGTCGTCATTCGCTGTCCGCCAAGATCCAAGAAGTCCTTCTGTGATTCTCTGCTATTCGCGTTCGAGCTCGAGTCCGCGTTCGGCATCTCTGGGACGTCGTCCTGTGCCTCCTCGCTTGCCCACGGAGGTTGAGGGAAATTGCTGAGAGAGAAGTCGCTCTTCACCGAGATGGAACCTACGTCGTTCCTGGAGCTGCGAGTAAACGAGCTGGGAACAGGCGCGGATTCCCGGTCTCCATCACGTTCGAGGATTCCGCGAGGACTTGACGGCTCGGTTGCGGTCGACGGTGTGCTGGGGGCGAACATCTTCAGCGCCGCTATACTCTTCTCGAGCTCGTCTTGCTCGCGTAAGAGTGCTTCGAATCCAGACGACCGGGCAGTCGCGATGTCGACCTCTGTCAAGGGTTCGTCGGAAGAGAAGGCTAGAGGAGAGCGAGGCGGAGCCAGGGAACGAGAGAACCGAACACCCGCAGGGGAGTACCGACCACCACGCAATGTACCATTGAGGCCGTAAATGGGGGATGCCGAACCATTCTGTAAGGAAGGTGCAGTAGGAGGTAGCGTCAGAGGTGACTCGCTTGGCCTGCGAACATAGTACGATGGGACGGTGGACGGCACAGCAGATATAGGACGTGGCTCAGGGGTCTCCTCGGGGATAGGGGCGATGACCGTCCTGTCCTCAGTGACCATTGGAGGTGAGCGCATTTTCTCGCTGTTAGAGGACACCATGCTACTGCTTCCAACGTAGGGCGAGTCGGCCATGACAGTTGTGTAGACGGGATCCTGCCAGCGTGCGCTTTGTTTGGGTTCATCTAGTGCGGTTGCGGTGGGGCTCGTTTGGTAGTATGCGGAGATTCCCTCTTTCTCGTATTCAGAAATCGGAGATATGCCACGCTCAAGGTCGACTTGATTCCATAGCCGCTCCTCGTCACGATCCAGGGCAGGGCGCGGACGACCGGTGATGCCGTCCGCACGACTAAGAATCCAAGACGAGAGTCGAGTAGCGGTGGAGAGACGTGATGGGACATTTTGGCGTTCTAACTGAGGGACAGCGGCTGACAGGTCGGTCATAAGAGGTGCACCGAGAGCCGACTCCCTGGATGTGATACGTAGACCAGAGAAGGAAGAACGGCGGTGGCTGTTACGAGATTGGATGGGGGCGTCGACCGGGTAGAAATACCAAACGAGCAGGTAGACGACGACGATATGATCCTCGACCGCCAGCAGGAATCGTCCGGCGGCGCACTCGGTGAAAGCGACTAAGAAGATAAATATTTCGTCAAATACAAGAATATAGACAAGATAATGATACACCTTACAGAGGAGGAGGTTTCCGATAGCGAGGCCCATATTGATCATCAGTGCGAACATCATCGGGACATACTGCCAAAACGTCCGCCATCTCGAAGGCGTCCTAGCAATAGCCGAGTTCAAGACGAGTTTGAGGATGAATATCGCGGAGGCGATGATCTCAATTGCCGCGTCGATTTCGTATACAGCGCTGAACTTATTGAAGTCCCGAACAACGCGCCAAAGAACCTGCAACGCCAAGATACCAACACTCAACAGAAACAACTTCCACCTCCAAATCACCCCAACGAATCCCCACCTTTTGTTCAAACATCAGGAGATGAACAAGGATGCGTATGAGCGCTGTTAACAGACCAATCAATGAAACATGTTCGATGAGTTACGCACCTATCCCAGGAACCAGAGTGCAAAGATGATGCATCACTTCCGACAGCGAACAGATTCGTCGGCCTTTGATCTCTCTCATCTACGGGTGGAGCCTCTCCTCGCGGTGCTTCGCCGATGAATGCCCAAAATGCCATGAAGCGTAGGGAGACCGAGACTGCAAAGAGAACTTCGCGCGCAATTATGAAGGGGACGATGCTGTCGATAGAAAGTCCATCATGAACTTTTTTGATCCGGAGGAGAGTTTGGGTAAGATCGAGAATGACGGCGAAAAAACCGAGGAGGATAGATGACGAAATGAACATGACGGCACTGAAATGTGACAAGAAGATCATTCAGAGGACGCGCAAAGATGGAAGACATTGCTACCAAGACGTACAGCTTGACCTTCTGCATGATGATGAAGAATATGAGGGTACCTAACCCTAGCAAACTCAATGCGAATACCGGGATCTCAGCGACAAGGGATTCCGCCTATTGAACATCCGGGCGTCAATGATGCCCGTGAACAATAATCTCGGTGCATGATGGGAGACTCACCACGGCATTTTTGCTAAGTGTGAGTTGGTCAGGAAATGTGTAAAGGGTGGTCTGCCAGGCGACAGAGCTCGAGGAAGACATGAAACAGCGAAGGTCGAAGTGAAGGGGGAGACGCAAATTCAAACAACAGCCCAAAGCGTAGTGGGATCTCCAGGACCAGAGAATGTCAGGAGACAGTCGAGGCAATGAAGCCCACCGCCAACGTCGTAAGAGACGAAACAAAGAAACGAAGAAGTCGAAGGAGTGGGAGTGGGCCTGCACAAAAACGGTCGCGCGGCGTCCGCTGGCTTGACACTACGGTCAGCACCTAAAGAAATAGTGCGCCAAGCGGCCTCGAAAGGCGAAGATGAAGGAAGGGGAGAAGAGGAAAGGGGAGGAAAGAAGAAGGAATATACCGTTCGTCATGTCACTATCCCAGAACGGCGGATAGAGGAGGGCCCCGAACTCCCTTGACGACCGCCTTCAATGGTCATCTTCTCCCACATCCTTCGCCGGTCGACAACAGCGTTTACCCATTTTCTCTGCTGGCCATCAGACATATGTATTTATGTTGCTCAGTTCAGCGACTTGCTACCACTCACCTGGTTCTCCGCAACCTGTTGCAGTATCTGCTTGACGCGCCGCATGACCATTTCAAAGCGTTTGTTCATCCCGACGCCACACCAGAAGGACGCCCGCCACCGGTGCACGTTCGCACAAAATTGCATGAGGATCGTCGAGATGAGCGCTAGCGATGATCCGATATGCAATGACAGACGTCAACCAAAAAGTAGCATGCTTGATTTGGATCAAAGGCCAACGGAGAGGTATACAAACAAGTCCGAGAACAGAATGAAAAAAGATAGCAGTAACCAACAGAAAGCGCAGTCATAAAGCAGTCGAGTCTTAGGTCAGTCACAGATCATCATACAGGAAGTCGTGAGTCTCAGTGGTTTACAAGTCGTTAGTATCCGCCTCCACCGCCCGTCATCTGCCGGATGAGATACATCCCTCTACTGCCCTCATCCCGCATCCCAATCACTGACTTCGGACGCGGCCTGCCCACACTTGCGCCACTCCCGCCAAATGAACTTCCACCCGTATGTTGTCTCCCAATAGCCTTTGTCGGGCTCGACGAGAGTTGCCTCGTAGGCGCAAGTCCGCCTCCTGTCAACTGACGAGAGAGGGGTCCGTCTGCACCACCCGTGATCTGACGGGCTATGGTCGTCCCTCCGGTGTACTGGCGAGCAATGGTCGTCCCACCAGTGTGCTGGGCGGTAATCTTGCCACCGGTATTGGTCGGCTTGAGAGGCGAAGGAGAGCGTAACTCCAAGGGGAGAAGGAGCTGTATAGGTGACGAGAAATCAGAAGAAAAGAAGGTTAGCGAATCCGAAACAATACTATGAATATTTCTGGAACATCTAGCGCCAAAGCCAATCAGACGCACCAAACACTCGCGGCACCATACTCCGCCTTCTCCAGCATCCCTCTTGGCCGAGCTGTCCAGCTGCTTCCCACACCCCGCCTTGCCATCTTTCCTTCGACCACCCCGCCCTTTAGCTTCCTTTCCTCCGCAAACCAAACAAGTTGCGTGCCACCTCGAACCTTGGGGTCCAGGCACGACGCCTCTCTCCATAACTGAAACAGACTGATGACATCCACCACAAGTCGTCGATGAGCCAAATCGAGGGAAAGAGATGGCCGTGGCAGGAGCAGTGGTCGCAGGCGGAGTGTACCGACTCGAAATGTACGGCGAAGTTGTGCTTCTTGCAACCGCTGTCTTGGTCGCGGGAGGTGTGGGCACGCTCTCGGCTCTAGTAGGAGGAATGAAAGGTCCCGCTGTTGTCGTCCTGATCGTCTTCTTCTCCGGAGGAGCACACTGTGTGACGAGTCAAGTAGTTATCCGTTAATTATCAAAAATTGAAATTGAATTCGAGCTAGAACTCACGTCTAAGTGGCAGGCACCTTTGATTCCCCTGACAAAGACGGCCTGACCACCCTCCTTCTCCTCGAATACTCTGTCACAAATCCTGCACCTGAAGCAAGCGGAGTGATACACCTTTGGAGGTGCGCCGACCGCAGACGGCTCTGGGACAGTCACATATCGACCTCCGCTCTTGACTGTAAACAGTGGCAACGAGCACTTGGCGCACTTCGAATCTGGCGAGGGGCCAGATGACGGGGAATGGGACTGAGATTGAGATTGAGAAGGGGCAGATTCCGTTTTCTTGGCATGCCTAGTCGACGAGGGCGCGACACTCATAGAATACGTAGATCGAATCGTCTCGCCCGTGACATGGGATGAAATCTTCATATCAGAAATGTTCGACGCAGTACTAAGACGGTTAGATGCGCTGAAGACGTCGTCATCGAGACGGGAGGAAGGGCTGTATGAATGCGGGGATGACGGCTCGGAAGATTGAGTTGTGGTGTCGGACAGGTCGGAGATCAGGTCAGGAGGAGAGGGTATGATGGGTAAGGCTCGAGAGCTCTTCACTTCGATGTCGCGGCGTAGGGACGAACTAGAGAGTCGGCTTCTCAACGGCGGGTCGGAGTCACGGTTGAGGCTATGGCGCGACGTGCTCTTACTAAAGAGTGAATCTTTATCTCGTTCCGTCAGGGGAGATGCGTAACTGGGAGCCGAGGAAAGAGCTCTTGCCCTGGGCGTCGTTCGTGGGGTGATATCGGCAGTGGATGGCGAAGAAGACAAGTCCTTCTCTGGAGCAGGGGACCCCGAACTACGAAGGAACCTTCTCTTCATCTCTTCGACTGCATCCGAGGAAGGTTTCGGGCTGTTGCTCGACCTATTGCTGCTCGAAGAAATGCGGCGTTCGCGGTAATCTCCCTCAGGCTCTGGAGTCCTGAAGCGGTCGTACGGACGTCGCACGGGACTACCATCCACTGTGGCCTCAACACGTCGAGTGACTGATGAAGGACTATCGCCATAGCTCCTGTCCTGGAGGGGACTGGACTCTCTGCCGACCGAGCGAGAGAACAATGGACTAGACGATGTCATGTCCTTAGCCATTGAACTGGCGATCTCGATGACCGGTCTACGAGGGAGGTCTCTGACAGGAGTGGTCTCCCTACTTCGCGTGCGGTCCAGACGTTGTTCGAGTTCTTCGAAGGCAGAGATACCTTCGCGACTTTCCCTCTCATTCGACTTCCGTCCGTCTCGCTTGAACCGATCGTCTTTGGTTTCTTGAAGGGGCTTACTAGGTCTCTTTGGGCTGCCTTTCCTCTGGAGACAGGCTAAGAATAATGATATCAGCGTGAGGGTGCCAGTAGTGAGCATATTACGAGTACATACTGTCAAAGCAGTCCATGCATGATGGGTGACCAAGAAGATCTACGAGTGGATGGTCTCCGATACTCTTCTCACACCCTGAGCACACGAAGCACTTCTTGTGCCACACCCTCCCCGCATTCTCGACGAACCCCCCATCCGTCTTCAAAATCAGAACCGGTCTCTTGCATGCTTGACAGTCCCCCGCTGATCCTCCCCCGACAATGAAGCATGCTCGACACATGAAAAGCTTCCCCGTATCGTCGACAGGATCTGGATAGATAGTAGCATCGGGAGGGAACGAGGCTTGGCAGACGTGACAATGGAAGGTCGCAAGCGTTTCTTTCTTCTGGAGAACTGACCCGTAGACCTTGGCAAGCTCAGAGTTGTTGTATGGAGAAGGGAGGATGTCAGGGTGAGCGGACGGGTCGTCCTTGAATGAAGAACCGCGTTTGGAATGACCAGAGGGTCGTTGAGATGTGGTAGTCGATGTTATGTGAGCAGTGACACGGGATCCAAGAGTAGAGTTTGTGGGTTGGGGGAAGCGTTTCGTTGAGGTCGTGGTAGTCGTTGTGGTAGTGGTCGACCGAGGGGATGCTCGCGCAGAGGGCTTTTCCTCCCTGGTCACGTACGTACGGGACCATCTGTCAGTCGGCGAACTTTCTTGAGATACCCCATGATTCCATGACACCACAGGTGCTGCAGAGTGAATGTTCAATACGAAGTCGAAGCTTGACACAGACAAGACGCAAGACCTACCAACAGCAGTACCTCCACACTTACATCTCGGCCCGCTCACGATGTCGCCGCACCGTCTGCAAAAGCCCATATTTAGTTATACACAAAGCAGGAAAAGAAGCACTGATATCAAGAGAAAGAAAAAAAAGACGAATAGACCAGAGAAAACAAGTGTGAATACAGGCGAAGCAGAGAGAAAAGAAAAGACGCGGGATGCGAGATGCGAGGGGTTAGCCGTCAAGCGATAAGTCGAGTTCGAGGACCCCAGGCAACCCAACATAGCACTGACGCGGTCACGTGAATAATTCAAACACGCCCATCAGCCAATTGTGGACAAGGCCAGACAAGGCCCTAGCGCCACTCCTCAAGGCCAAAGCGCGTCATGCCGTATATGTATGTAGACAATTATGAATGGAAAGGGCTTCAAGAAATCCAGGAATTCGAGTGTCTCGGTATAGATACATGACGGAGCAGGACGAGTATACGCAGCCCAGTTCCACTGTGATACATATACAGCCTTCGGACGTAAACCTCCCGTCGCCTCCTACAGCTTAGCACTGACCGGTTGCCAATCCACCCTCTCAACCTAAGGGCACACCACAAGCAGAACCATGAGCTTACACAGGAACGTGACGTCTCATGACTCGAACGTACCATCTCAGGAGTGAGTTCCTGCAAACTCGACACGCCGAGCAACCTCATGCCTGCAACGAGCTCTCGCTCGAGTATGTGCACGGTCTTGACAACGCCTGCCTCGCCGTACGCGCTCAGAGCATAAAGGAAAGGACGGCCCATGCCCACTGCTTTGGCGCCTAGGCAAAGAGCCTTGAGAACATCTACACGCTAATCATGAGTATGATCTGATGGGCAAAGGAAGAATGAAATCTACAGACCTGTTCCCCGACGAACTCCTCCGTCGAGATATACTGTGACACGATACTGTCATTACTGGTTTCTCGACTCACAGTAAACCAACAATGCTGAAACTTGCCTTCCATTTTCGAGAAGATATCCGGTCGTTGTTTGTGTAGCCGATAAAGGACCTCCATAGAAGGCAGAGAACTATGAACTCGTCAGTACGGTACATGTATCATGCAGGGTGATGACGCTCACTATTCTAGCTGTCGACCTAGATGTACGTTAACAAATCTGTGCAGTTTAGCATGTCGTGTGTGCACTTGCCTCCATGGTTAGATATCAAGATACCGTCCACGCCAGCTTCGGCTGCACGCACGGCATCCTGACCAGACAATTCAGCGTATGGACAGACATCACAGTTCGAGAAGAGTCTACCTCTACGCATTGAATGCCTTTCAAGACGATAGGTAACTTGGTAACACTGCGTAGCCATGGTATAGTCTGTCGACTCAGATGTCATTGCGACACCGACAAAACGAGCACGCGGGCAACGCACCTCCTCCCAAGTCATATCGACATCATCGTTGTTCAGCAAACTACCCGCCGTTCCTCCAAATTCAGTTTCCTTACCCTCCTGGATCTGCTCCTCTTCTGCCGTGGCATCCCCTATCTGCCTCGGCTTCTCGCCCTCAGTCGTCCCTTGCAATCCAGCCTTTTCCATGTCCTCCAACTCGAATGGTGCCCTCAGGTCTCTTTCCCTGTTACTCGCCACAACAGCATCAACCGTCAAAAATATTGCCTTGTACCCCTGCGATTCAATCTCTTTCACGCGTTTCTCTGCGATTGAGTTGTCCTTGTTCTTGTAGAGTTGGAAGAATAGGACTTGCGAGGGGGACGGTCTTGCTGCAGATATCTCGCCGGAAGACAGGGAAGCGTTGCTGGAGATCATTTGGATGATGCCTGTTTTGTGAGCACCGATAGTTATGCAAGCCTCGCCTGTCATACTAGTTAGCTGTGAGTATAATACATCTAGAGCAATGTGTATGTACCGAGAGGGTGCCCAAGCTTGGCGAGTGCTGCGCCACATACAAATACAGGGATAGACGAGGAGAATCCAAGGATAGTCGTTGACGTGTTACAACGTGAGACAGCGCGCAGGACTCGGGCATTGAAGAAGAAGCGAGAGAAAGCCCTCTCGTTCTCGTTGTATGCTGATAGGGTGAGCAGAGCAGGAATCCGTCAACCGTCTCATACAGAAGACAAGCGAAGCAGACGTGATGGAAACGCACTAATCTCGTCATCTGTGGCCGAAGAATAATACGCCAGTGCTTTGTGGGACAGCACTTTCCTCGCTACATGCTCGATGTCCCGCAGACTCAACATCCTCTCAATTTTGGGCTTCTCACGTTGTGCCCGCTCTACCCGTTCCTCATCCACAGTTTTCTTCTTCTTCTTATTCTGCTCCGAGATAGTGTTCTGTGCATCTTGAGTGAGAGAGCCGAGATGTTTCTCTGGTGGAATGTTCTTTTCGAGTGCGTCTGGTGGATGTAGGGGTTCATAGACGGATGTGGCGTCCCGACCTGCGTATTGGAGGATTACTTTTCTGCCTCCTGGATGGTCAGGAAGAAAGTCCGTAACGTCGTATACTTTATTGGCAATGATAACCCAACATGAACTGCGTAGGTGTGAGGAGTAAGAAAGGGTACCACGATGAGATTCGACGCACCTAGCATTGTTGTGTGCCGCAACTTGCTGTAAGGTCAGAGACATGACTGGCGGAGGTAGATAGGCTGTCGTAGATTGTGTCGAGCAAGGTGAATAGCGTAAGATGTGTGTTGACCCGCAATGCCCAATGGGATGATCACGAGTGGACATGCAGTATCTCCGGACCGGACTTCAACGCTTCAACAGACAAATTTGGTATCGGTGGAGGAAAGATTGCGATCACTTGTGCCATGGGTGTGTGCAAGTTCGCAGGAAGCTAGAGGATACGCTCAGAAAATTGCGAGATATCAAAGCACATTACCCGGGGAACACGAAATAGGGTGGCGTTGATTATGAAGGGGAACCGCGTCTGATACAGTACGGTCCTCAAAGTGCGATTGCGACGATATGGACTCGGTTCCAGCCTCCGTCTGCTGCATACGGGTGGCGACGCACGCACAAGACAAATATGAAGATGCATGTTAAGTATGAACTTGTTTTTGACAGGGACAAGGGGGATCGCCATCTAAAATGCTTTGCTAGCGCTCGCCGTCCGCGTCAATTGAAGGAGTTCCCAGGGTGTGGTGCCGAGAGACTGGCGCCAATCACCGTGTCTAATGTGCACGTGCGCGAATCGCGATGTTTACCGTTGCTTGTCCTTGAACCGTTCGAACCAGCTTGCTTCACGTCCACCATCATCGTCCGCCCTGCACGCCAGTCGTCGCCGCCCTCGACGACGATGCCGACCGTCCCGGACAGACAGGCGCTGGAAACCATGAAGAGGGCCGATCTCCAGCGTCTCTGCAAGGTCCGTCCTACCCATCGTTTATTGCAACTGTGAGTGTTGACCAGCACATACCTTCAGGACCACGGCCTCAGAGCGAACCTGAAGAGTGAAGCGCTCATCGACTTATTACTTGAGGAGCCCATGTACGTTCTTAACGACTTGGGTGACTGGTAGCATTCTTCATCTCACTCTCGTGCTCTAGTAACCCGACACTGCAACCTCCTCAACTACTGCCTGCACCTTCGCAACGCCCTCCCTCTAGTCGCAATGTCACTCGCACAGTTGCCCCACGACCCCGCCAGCAATCGACATCTTCTATGATCATCCACTCTGACAGCGAAGACGACGAAGAACCACCACTGGGGTCGCAGCCGGCACTCGCTCCCCAACCTGTAGCTGGTCCTAGTACACGAACGCGGAAGGCGAAGGATACGCAACTTCGATTAGGCATGGGAAGGCCAGTCTTGGCTGGTGGAGAAGGTGCAAGAGCTGTTACCAAACCCGTTAGTGCTTCCAAGAGTAAGAGAGGGAAAGTCAGTAGGACTATCAAGCCGGCCGAAGATACAATACCGGAAGAAGGTACGAGTATTTCTCAGCTTGTGCGCATCCATTCATCAATCCCCACCTGTAATCGAGGACTTCTCAGAACTTTGTATGTAGCACCTCACTAACAGCTGTTGCAGTTCCCATGATTGTAGATGACGCTGCAGATGCCACACCAGTCGCATTGTCGCCTTTGGAATCGGCGATAAGCAGGGATGCTGTTAATGCCCTGATTCTGGAACAGGTTTGTTTGAGTTCACTTCTGTGGGGTATATGATCACTAATACATCCTTTTAGACGAAACCGCTGCGTGATACCATCACTCACTTACAAGAACAGCTACAGCAACAGTCTATGGCTTATTCGAATGAAGTTGGTTCGCTGCAGCGTAGGCTTGATAGTCTAGCCGGTGATTTATTGGAAGCACGACGAGGGGCAGAGACAATGCAGCAAATTGGCGACACAATGCGTCGGCTACAAGCTGAATTCGCTCAGCTGCAAACGACTAGCAGGGCTAACTCTCCCGTTCGTCAATCAATGGCGCCGAGTAGCCCTCAGCTTTGGGCCGAATCTGGGTGAGCTTCATATTCACCTTATTAGCTCACCTTCATTAATCAGGCCTTTTCAGCTTTCCGATACAACCTGCAAGTTCGTCGCCTGTACAGACCCCAAATACTCCGACTACGGCTCACCATCTCCCTCGCGCGAGCTCTGTCTTCGAATACTCACCAGTCCCTGCACGTTCGCCAACCAAGGCAGCCACTTCACAAGCACATCTGGGGAAAAGACATCGAGAAGCTGATACAAATAACATCATGGGTGTCGTCAGTGCTGCAGAAGCAGACAGTTTGCCAGAGGAAGATTTGAGAAAGATGGTTGTACGTCCTGATAGGAAACGTATCAGAACGAGCGAGGAATACCATCGGAGCGACATCTTTGCACGGGCAGTGTTGGCTGGTCCTTCTCTTCAGGACAACGACGACGACCCCAGTTTTGTTCACTCGACGCCACCACCACAACGTCACGCACGGTTTACTGTGTTTACTGGACCGGAGGAGTCCATTCCACAACCAGCACTCGAGGGCGATATATTCACTGATCGCGATTTCGACTTCTTTGACTCTACGCCGCAGATCCCAACGCGACCTACTGGAGCACACGTACCAGTCACCAGTACAGCTAACGCCGCCGAGAACCAGGACCCTTTCAAGTTCGGACACCCGGTGACTGGGCACATACCAATGACTTCCACGCCCGCTGGTTCAGGGAACGGGCCAGCTATGGATGACTCTCCGTTCCCGAATCACCTTCCGTTCCCTCCCCAGCGGCCACAATCTCCTAGTCCAGCCCCTTCACGCATTCTACGAGGTGGAAGAATAGAACGTAACGACCGTTTCCATCCCTTTGGTAGCCCACCTCGTTCGAGTAGTCGAGCGCTGTCTGGCTCCACCACTGCAACGCACGACTCGACTACATCTGCCCTCAGTCCTTCTGCAATATTACGTACGCCACCAGCAATGACATTACCCGACCTCGTCGATGTGGGACCAGACGGGCAGCCCATGCCTGTGGGAGTTGGTGAGCATGGAGAGAGAAGAAAGGCATCGAGTAATGATGTCGGTGCTGGGCTGGGGATGACAACCATTCCGGAGATGCCTGCGGTGCCTGCTGCGAGGACAATGTACGGAACCGAGTTGCAGGCTGACACGCGGTTTGGGGACTTCGGCGTCGAGGGTGTGGCTTCTGGTTATTGGATCAATCCAAGAGGATGAAGGGTGGAAATGGGTCATTTTGTTGGTTAATCCTGTCAAACACACTTTTGGTCCGTCTTTCAATTTGTTTGAGCATCCATTTCATGCTGTGCATAGTCTATTATTCGCTATCGTCGCAACCGTCAACGAACGGTGATCCGACGCCATTGGTTTTCGGAAGGTTTGCATTGGTTAACGCCACCTTACATTACTTGATTTTATCATTTTAGCTCCTGAGACTACCTCCCAACTACGTAGTTCAGAACAGCTAATTAACTCTTGTATACGCTCTCTTTACTCCTGTGTATCCCTGCGCTTCGGTTATATCCATCCTCCCCGCTCTTCACTGAGCAGCTCGCATATGTACGGCTCGCCGCAATCTTGTTTATTTTCTGAGCTATGATTCACGAGTGTACGAGTGTTCGGGCTGGTCACGGTACCACGATTTCACGTTTGGGCTGCCGGTGCAGCGCACGCAACTACTACTAGTACTACTGTACTCGCGTTTCCTTACTTTACGACGGTTCGGACGAATGTAGGTTCGTTTCCCTGCCCATTGCCACTTCGTGAAGAGGCCGCGGTAGGCATCTGCTGTGTGATTGGTGGCTCCCTCCCCAAGTAATACAATAAATAGGTGCTAATAGTAAGTATAAGGGGTCGGTGGAGGTATGTAGACAACCAGTCTTATGCTGGAATGACCGATATTGACGAACTCGAATAAATAAGTGGAGAGTGAGATCTGCTGGAACTAACTTGGGAATGGTGTGTACGAAACTGGTATTCGGCTCGTGTGGAATTAGATAAGGAACGGGGCTTAGGTTTATATGTAGGAGGGCATGGCCATGACCTCCTCGTAAAGAAGTTCTTTGAGCTGTTCCTTGCTCAGAACGTCCTTGAAGTCTGTCATTACAAATAGCAACACATCCTGTCAATGATTTTGTCTAGGACAGCGAGAGGGAGGAATGCCTGGGAAATGAGACTTGCCGTCGAACTCGAAGTAGTCTGGGTCAATGGAAGTAGCGGTGGGTTCGTCGTCTGGGTCATGCTGAAGAAGCTGTGAGTATGTCTCCCGACCGGTCACGGCATTGGTGCTGTGTCTGCAGGTTTAAACTCACGTAGAGAGCTAGGTAGGGATGCTGAATGGCTTCCTCGACCGTCATCCTCTTCTTAGGGTCGAAAGTCTGTGACAATCCAACAACAAAGATCAGGATAGATACACTTTTCCGTCAGATGCAGTTCATCATCGACTTACCAGTGTCCTATTCAAGAAATCAATGGCGTCGGGGCTCGCATTCGGAAACATCGCGGCAAAAGGCCTTCGTTTCCTGATGTCCAAGCCTCGGATATAATCCCTTGAACGCCTCGAAGTGATCGCGTAAAACTCCTCGATAGTAGGCGTGCCGATGACGTCGAGGATGAGGTCAAGCTGGTGGCTATAATCTCGTCCGGGGAATAGTGGTCGTCCGCTGAGGCATTCAGCAAGAATGCAGCCAACGGCCCACATGTCTATCGCCTAGTGTTGACCACAAGATAGTCATTATCAGATGAACATGCAAGCGGAGCACCAGACTCTGACCTTGGTGTACATCTTGAACGAAAGCATGATCTCCGGCGCTCTGTACCACCTCGTCGCCACGTACTCCGTCATCATCCCTACATCCTTACCGCCCATCAAACTCGAGCTCTTGACGCTCCTGGCTAGCCCAAAATCGCATACTTTGAGGTCGCAGTTAGCGTTCACAAGGAGGTTTGAGGGTTTGAGGTCGCGGTGGACGATATCGGCGGTGTGAATCGAGAGGAGGGCGCGGAGGGTTTGGTAGACGAAATACTGCAATTGTATGGCATCAGTATCACGGGAAAGGCACGGTAGAGCGGAGACCGAGTGCGGCAAGTAAGCTGCACATGCGTATAGCAAAGACCGACCGATGTGGTGATGTAGATGGTGATGTGGATGGATGAGAATGTAGAGGTAAAGATGGGATATCGGACAACAGAACGGTAGATCCGCAAGCGAAAAGATGGTAGTCAGTGGTGAGAGGTAAAACGCCGAGGATACGGTACGGTACGGCAGGATTTTGGAGCCCAGGATAAAGAAAAGACCGTGAAACGCTGAATACTCACTTGACAGTGATCGTCAGAGAGGAGCTGTGTCCGGATGACTCGATGGAGGTCGGTCTGCATCAGTTCCTGGACGACTAGGAGAGCAAGTGGTGGCGTTGACGAGATCACATCAAACAATTCAGCACAGCGCAAGTGGCAGATAAGAGGAAGATAATCAGGATAGACGAGATGAACTGACAATATATCTCCTTGAAATCATCCAAGGATGGTGGTTTGATGATACTTAAGATGGAGACGATCTAGACCGCCGCATAAGGACGGAGCGTAGACAGTCCATCTTTAGTATGACGCAAACGAAAAGGGTACCAGGGGAGATAGTCGGTGCGCACATTCTCGTTAAGGCAAGTTTCAGCGAACAAACGTAGGAGTTTCAGCTCCCGCAGAGTTCGCAGACAAAAGAGGGTGTGCTCGAAGGGCAGAACTCTCTTGATTGCGACCTGTCGTCCAGTGGGCTTATGTACGGCGGCGGCGACCGTCCCATATGCGCCTTCTCCGAGGCCAAAAAGTATTTTATAATCGTCACCTGGAAGACGCAAAGGATCAATTGATATGAGTTGAGGGCGAGGGTTCAAGGACTGGCCATTCGTACCGACGTTAAATTTCCCCAAGGACTTGCCGACTTTCTTGGACATATTGGAGATGATTGAACAAGGGGAAGGGGGTTGAGAACGGAAGGTTTGATGGAGGTATATAAAGGAATGTAGCGTAGAGACCGAAGTAAGGATCAGAGAACGTGAATAAAGGAACAGGAAGCCTGAGAATGGGAGGCTTTTCTTGCTGTTCGCTCAGTCTTTTCAAGCAGAACGACATCACAAGGACAGCCACCCAGGACTTCATCGGCGTGATGCACTGATGGGAAAGAGCTCGGAACAATGCACATACGAGGGTTATTTCGTAGGCGAATGAGGATGAAACACGGCGAGCTAACAGGGAGCGTACCTTTAAACAGTCTGGAATGATTCCAACCACGCTGAACAGGGACGGCGTTGACAGGGAGATGGTAGGAACAGACTGTCTCGAGCAGCGGCAGTACGAGGCTGAGACATGATCTGATACCCACACGCCATCAGGTGTGAGGTATGAAACATACACGGAATAGCGAGCTCGGATCGTAGCAGCCCTTGCAGACGGCAAGCTGCCGCTTAGCGAGAAAATCGACGAGATGAGCACTCGCTACATTTAGGTCTGGCGAGCAGTACGAAGCGGGATGTAACGATGAGCATAGGTAGAGGGTTCTGATTTTTGAGGCCTTAGCACCGCAGTCTCGAGTTGCAAACGTGAAAGATCTTCCAGTCGCCTCGTTCGAGAGTACAAGATCCATCTAAGCATTATTGGTACAGATAGCGAAATAAGGATACATATGTCGTGCAATGCATGAGTATATTGCATATCAAGCCGACAGGTGACAAGAGCAAACATAGCGACTAGTGACGGCGACGTATTTACTCTTCATCCTCCTCATCAGGGTTGCTATTAAGGAGCAAACATTAGCAGACAACTCTAGAAGGCGCTAAAGACTGATCACGTACTCGATGTTGTAGAACTTGAGCTGGTAAACATCCTTGGCGGTGGCGATGACGCGAAGGTAATCCCGGAGCTGGTTCTTCTTCAAGAACTTTTTCGTGAGGTACTTGAGATACCTCTTGGAGAAGGGGATGTTGGAGGTCACGGTGATCTTGGTGTCGCCTGCAGAAAGAGTAAGTTGTCTGTTGTGAAATTATGAAGTGGAGTGCACGAACCATCCCTGTGGATTTTAACGTTGTCTCCGAGCTGACCAGCCTTACCATCGACCTTGATACGGTCGTGGAGGAATTTCTCGAAGGCAGCACCATCGAAGAGGCCATCGCTGGCGGGCTTTGAGTAGTCGACGACGAACTTATGCTTAGCAGCAGGGACTTTGGAAGCAGCGGCCTTGACCTAGACGGAGCACAAAAACATAGAGAGAAGAGAAACACCCAGATTAGCCTACTGAGAAGGTAACTCAGCAAAGCAGTACTGGGCACTGACCATCTTGAGGAACTGAGGAGACGAGGAGAGCTTGAGGAGGGCGTTAACGACGTGCGGAAAAGGTTCTGTCCATCCGTCGGTTCCCAAGCTTTTATGGACTATACAGTTCCTGCGGCAAGCACCGAGTCCAAATACAGCAATGTTTTCTCACACCGGCCCGCTTCGGTCGCGGAGTTGGGAAGTTGCAAGAATTTGTGCTCGCCGTCGTTCTCGTCGTCCCCGTCCTCCAAAATGTCGGCCACCGCAGCGCAAGGAAAGGTAGCATCCATTCAGCTCGAGGGTGACTACTCCATCAAGTCCGAGAGCACCCAACCAAAACTCGACACTTCGCAATGGCCTTTACTTCTTAAGAACTACGACAAACTCCTTGTCCGCTCCAGTCATTTTACCCCCATACCTTCCGGAAACAGCCCATTAAAACGCGACCTCGCGTCTTATATCAAGTGGGTACTTGTATTATCACTCCCAATACCATATGTTTAGCTTCTGTGGCTACTAGGTCGGGTGTCATCAACTTGGATAAGCCTTCAAATCCTTCGTCGCATGAAGTCGTCGCTTGGTTGAGGCGGATCCTGCGTTGCGAAAAAACTGGTCACAGTGGTACACTTGACCCAAAAGTCACGGGCTGCCTCATCGTCTGCATTGATCGTGCAACGAGGCTCGTGAAGTCCCAACAGGGCGCCGGTGAGCTTTCTATTGCCTTTGCTTGACTCTAAATACTAACTTTCGACGCGTTCAGGTAAGGAATATGTCTGCGTCCTCCGCCTCCACTCTGCTCTTCCCAACCCCACCGCCCTCCCTCGCGCTCTCGAGACTCTGACAGGCGCGCTCTTCCAACGTCCCCCACTCATCTCTGCCGTGAAGCGTCAGCTTCGTATCCGTACTATCCACGAGTCAAAACTTCTCGAGGTCGACGAGAAACGCAACTTATCCGTCTTTTGGGTTTCCTGCGAGGCTGGCACTTACATCCGTACGCTATGCGTACATCTTGGCCTGATTTTGGGAGTAGGAGGGCACATGCAGGAACTGAGACGAGTGCGGAGTGGTGCGCTTTCTGAGAACGACGACATGGTGACCATGCATGACGTTCTCGACGCACAGTGGATGTACGACAACACCCGTGATGGTGCGTCTATTGCTACCATTTTCTTCATAATTACAATCAAGCTAATCCAAGCGCAGAGTCATACCTCAGGCGTGTCATTCGTCCTTTGGAGTGCTTGCTCATCGGTTACAAGCGCATCGTCGTCAAAGACAGCGCTGTAAATGCGGTTTGTTATGGCGCAAAGCTCATGATTCCTGGTCTTCTTCGCTATGAAGCCGACATATCTGTACATGAAGAAGTCGTGCTCATGACCACCAAAGGAGAGGCCATTGCCCTCGCCATCGCTCAGATGTCTACCGTGGATCTCGCTACGTGCGACCACGGCGTCGTTGCGAAGATTAAGCGTGTCATCATGGAGAGGGATACCTACCCTAGGCGATGGGGTTTGGGTCCCAAGGCCATGGAAAAGAAGAAGATGGTCAAGGATGGGAAGCTCGGGAAGCACGGCGAGAAGATTGAGGGAGTTACCCCGGCGGAATGGAGCAAGGACTATGTGGACTACACTCGCGATGTGAGTTTCCTGATTTCCAATACTCTTCTACTTTTTCTCACCTGCATTGGATGTAGCAACCCACCGCTGGGCCTTCAACGGTGGCGACATCGGTTCCTGCCGCTACGCCTGCTGTTGTCGTCGTTGAGCCATCAGTCAAAGTGGAGGTCAGTCCTTCCAAGAAGGATAAGGAGGACAAGAAGAGGAAGCGTAAGTCGGAAGTTGCCGAAACTGAGAATGGGGATGTCTCGATGGCGGTCACAGAAGGTGGTGCAGAGGATGATGAGGAGCGAAAGCGTCGGAAGAAAGAGAAGAAGGAGAAGAAAGCCAGGGAGAAGGTCGAGGACGAGGACGAAGAGGCAAAGCGGGAGAAGAAAAAGCTGAAGAAGGAGAAAAAGGCTAGGGAATCCCTCGCTGGTGCGGAATCATGATGCATTTCGTACACTTTCTTGTCGTACTGTTCCTTGTATGGCCTTCATTCATCATCTGGCATCGCTGGCGCTGGATATGCGTACCACCAAATATGTCCGAATAATACTTATAAGACTGGCGACAATACTACAAAATACAGATGTGTCAAGCATCAAAAGGGAAACACCAAAGAATCTGGATGGTGAAATACGAATGGGCGTACAGGCGCTGGGTATAAGTGAGACATCGCAGCGTCAACAGGGTAAAGCACAAAGGAGACCGAACTGAAGAAACACGAATCAAGGTGTTCGGTATAAGTATCGTCACAACGGAAGATACTGTTGCGGCTAATGGGACGGAATCGAAGGTGTCAATACGCTCGTGGAGTGCCAAACGGGTCAGAATCTTCGTTCATGAACTGCGAAAGATCAGGGGAGACTGGGGTATTCTGGGTATAAGGCGAAGTCGCTGATCGTTCTACGCCGGATCGCGAATGCCCGATAATGATGTCCATCGCGTCGACATCCAGTCCAGGCGCCGAGTTTGCGAAACTAGGAGAAGTCCTGTAAGGGTCGACAGCAGGCGAATCGGGAATGGAGTCCTCGTGAGACGACCCCGAATCTGAACGTCCTCGACGGCTTTGGTCTCCATCTACGCGGGGAAAGAAAGCGTGTGTACTGTTCCAACTTTCGCCACTCTGCCGATGCTCAGCACTACGATGGCCTCTACTCCCTGCAACATTGCCCCTGAGACTCGGGATGATCGAGGGTCTTGCCCCATGACTAGACTCCGACATCCCCCTTGTCATTCCATCATCCACTCGGCTGCTGAGCGTGAACACAGGCGAGCCCCTCCCCCCGTCTCCCCTTCCACCTTCGTTGATTCGGTTTATGGCCTCACGATCGGGGAGAAGCTTGGGATCCCAGAGCCGAGGGTCCCTGAATATGGCCTCCTGTTCGTTGCGAACGACGGCACGACCGAGACTGTGGCACGCGAGGAGGGAGATGACGGCGAAGTTAAGGGAAAGCCAATTGTCGTCGTCGATGAACATAGGGTGGGCCACACCGACCAGAGCCATGACAGCACTTGCGACCCAGGCACCGGAGACCGCGGTGGTATAGCATAGCTAGAAGTAGATCGTCAAAAACCAAATCTACCAGGAGTAGTGACGGGATAATTGTTTACCTCGTCTCGCATGACTTCACGGAATAGGAGGACGCGGGGTTTGATGTTGATGCGGCGATGTGGTACCAGTAGTCCTGGCCGGGATGACGCTACCTGCGACGCACTGCTTCTGCTTCTCGAACGTCTAGCTTGGGCAGGTAGAGGATGCTCGCTATGTAAGGATGGTTTTCGAGGAGGTTCAACATGCTCAGCCTCCATGAAAAGGCCCTTGAGCACAGAAAATAAGCCACCGTTTTTCGCGTTGAGCGAGGTGTGGGTTACGACGGGCTGTCTGGACTCCAAATTTGTTGGTGGCGGAACGTAGTCCCACCAACCACGAGGCTTTCGTGCACGCAAAGCTGCCCCGCCCACACTAGGTGCTGGTTCCTCGGTTTTTGATTCGTGGTTGGAGAGACGATAAGAAAGACGACCTTGAGCTGCCAGCAGTCTGGAAGACTTCCAGACAGCCAAAATGACTGTACGATTCCGTTAATCAGTTGTGGCGACAAATGATAATAAGCACTACTTACAGCAGCCCAAGACAAAGCAAGACTGTACAAAGATCAGAATGAGCACGTAGGGCAAGAAGCCCAGCCCATTGATGCGCACACATATACCTATCGACAGAAAAAGCATCAGGGCACGTCACGACGAGTAATATCTGCTGAGATTTGAGAACGAATTACCAGACAGGTTTCTGATGCTCTCAGCCAGATGAAAGGTATCCACCAATAAAAGGGCGGTGATAGCGACTTGAAGGAGGGAGACGACAAAAAGGGCAAGCCACGAGTTATTCAGGCAACGGTAAGCTTTGACGCCAAATATGCCGGTCATCTGGGAGGGATTTATGAACATGAAGATACCGAAAAGTATAATACCATGCTCAGTACTCACGATGAGCCCGGATGCAACACCATCCAAAACCTCCATGACAGCTCCTGTTCTGCAGGACGAGCGATCAGAGTCATATTAATGTGAATCTCACTACCAAGGGAGAACTCACGTTGCACAATTGGTCTCCGGCCTGAACGTACTATACAACTTGACGCACAGCATCACAAGACCAAGAAACTGACTGGCGAAAAGTGCATAGAAAAGACCTTTCTTCTTAATCTTGATACGCCATATGAAAGACGCCGAGACGATGGCATTTCGGATCGCGATCAATAGGAAGATACCGGACAAGACAAGGTTCGCGGCGACGACGAGGAATTCGTGGCGGAGAGGAGGCGCAATCAATGAGCCGTCTCGAAGAGCGGTATACGTCACGGCGGAGGTATTGGGGGATGCGGAGCCATAGAACTTGTAGTAGTCGGAAAGTAACAGAGTCGTCTGGAATTGGATGACAGCCGCCTGGCAGGGAACAGGTTCGTCTGCTCGTCGGTGGGGAATCATGAAGTCAATGGGCATTACAACTGGTGTTGTTTGTATGAGCCTGGGTGGTGTATCGACCTTTGCGAGGTCGGAGAAATTAGTGCCCAGTGATGAGCGTGAAAGAGTCATTGTACATCAAGAAAGAGTGACAGTAATCAAGGAACGAATGTAAAAAGAGAGAAGTCGATCCCGTCGACGAGAAGGGAGGTGTCAGAAAGCGAGCGAGCGACGGAACGTGGCAAAAGACAGCGAGAACAGAGACGGATGGCATGGCCTTAAGACATGTATATTTTGAGATATTCCGAGCAGCGTCGTCAGGTCGCTCAAGTAACCCAGCGAATCAGGCACAGATTCTGCTGCCCAAGCAGGAAGGACTGAGAAAAAGCCTACCCTATTTTACACCTTATTCATAGAGTCAATCAACGTCCACGAGCAAACTCTCTCCGGTCCGGCAGAGAGCTTCGTATTGGAGGTTCGACAAAAGGCACATGTCACTATCGCTTGGATACGACTCACACCAAGGAGACTTGGACGGCTTGCAAAACCGTTTGGTTGGGATCAAGAGCCATGTGGGTATAATCATGCATGATTAGCAATGATTCTCTATTTTGCGTGAGAATCAGCCCTTGTTACGCCGAAGAATAACAGCGCTCACTCACGATCAATATTACTGGTCCTTCAAGAGCACGTCTGAAAGCAGTCGATCACTTGACGAGACGTTGTGAGGGATATTGGAACCCTCCATTCGAGAGAAGTTCAATTCACCCTAGCCGTCCTGTCCTATCAGAACGATAGATCACAGAGAGAACTGGGTACGTCCGGCTCCGCATTAGTGTTGTACCCGTGCTTCCGCGTCTGGGAGTCTCGTGCACGATTCGCGACGTGTAAAAGTTTACATACAGGGAAGGATCACTCCTCGCTGCAAAGTCCCAAACACCCGAGGAGTCGTTATCGCAAAATGAGAATCAACATAGAGAGTACCATACACAGCAGAACAGTCGAGTGACCGTGTGTTCTCGCAGAGTTCACGGGAAGAAAACCTGTATCTGTCCCGACCGCTTGCATTGTGGCTGTCGTAGTGGTTACTTCTGATATGCTGAGTAGGGGTCAGAAAAAAGTTCGGGGGACGCAGTCGCAGAACGTACGTAGTGGTGACCGGTTGTCCAGATATCGTCGTCACACTGGTCGAGAGGGATACAAGTATGATAGTGATAGTGTCGGTCACTGTCGTTGGCGGCGCGGATGTGGTGGTAGATGAAGTTGATAACGAGGCGAAGGTTATTGTGGTTGTTGCGCCACCGGAGAGAGTCGTAGTGATGACCGAGGGAACCACCACAGGACCAGGAGCAGTCGGGCTCGGGAGGACCACGCCTCCTGAACCAATGGTGACAGTGACCATACCCGAAGATGCGTACATCGGATAGCTGGACGCGTAGGTTATGTATGAGGTCGGCATCGTGAGGGAGGAGGTATCCATCACGGTCGCGGATCCAGTACCAATCAAGGGGTTAGGGAATAAAGGGGATGATGGTTGTGGGACAGATTGCACAACGTTTGACGCGGCTTCGCAAGAGTCGTTGGAGGAGGTGGCGGATCCTTCGTTGAGTATGGAGATGGCGATGGGTGTAATGGAGAAATACGAGACGTTGTTTATGTGCGATCTTTCGTATACGGTGAACTACATAAGGTCGCGTTTCAGTGAGCGTGACGATGAAGAGCGTGAACCGAATACAGACATTGTAAGCCCCTGCTGGAACGCAGCTCGGTAGATCGAAGTCAAGATGTTTGACGGTACTTCCGGGCTCTCCACTTAAATAATCCGTTCCATTAGATACCGTAAGGTTGAGGTTGGTTTGGGAGGAAACAAGGTAAAGCTCGAGTGAGTCGAAGCCGGTCCAGAGGGCTGAGCTTGTATCCGGGTTCGCTGCTACCTGAGGAAGCTTGCCGTCACCAGAAACCTAGCAAAAGACACGAAATAAATGCGTGAACATTGAGGTATGATTCAAGAACCTACGTCTATGGCGATCGGTATGTTCGAGCCTGCGTGAAATTGACTGGAAACAGTAGAGAAAAAATGACTTAGCACAAACTCGCCCTGCGAGTCTTGCACGTAAACGAAGAATTGGATGCTGACCTGCCCACTGCCGGCGCATCGACGATGGCGAGCCCATTGGTGAAGATCTGGCCGTTGACGACGGTCTGCGCAGCCGCAGGGTAGGGGATACCAAGAACGAGCACGAGAGAGAGCGTGGTAAAAAGGATTGACAAATTGCCGAGTCGGTAGCAAAGGGAAAGGTGGTCCAGCACCCCCCACATTGCTGTGCTATGTGGCTGCAGGGTGAGCTATTTGGCGTGCGCGGACGCGGAGCCCAGTTCACCGACGTCCCAACGTCGAGGACGACGTATGAAAGAACGAAGGAGGCGTGGTGAACGCGCTCACTCTCCGTTCCTATTCCGACTGGGCATAGGCTGTCCTAAAACGATCATGATTGCAGGGAACTTTTCGGTACCAGTGTTCCCTGCCAGGCGAGCTCGGGGGAACCATAACGACCGTCTTGGGCCACACGCCGCACTATCGACACGAGCCACGTCGCCACTCGTCAACGATGTTCTCACGAGGCACTGACAAGGACACATCTGTACCTGGTCATCCCAGTTCCACTTCTCCTTTCATCGCCCACGTCCATCTACTTCTGTTTTGTTCCAATAGACGATGACTGCCATTGCAACATCGCCTTCGCAGCTCCCGGTTATAGACGACGCTCCCAAAAAGCCTCTTTATCATGGCAGCACTCAGTACAGAAACTGGCGGTTCTCTCCACAGCAGCTTGCCGAGACTCGACGTTCCATGAGCGAGGCTGCTGTAGCAGCAATCAAAAACACCTTCGAGGCAGATGAGGTGCGCACATGTTCACTACGTCGAGACACTCATCGTAACGTCTGAGCCATCCTTGTATAGCCAGGTTCTTCGTCAGATATACAGTTCGTCAGCGCAGAAGAAGAGCATCTGTTAGTGAAACTATACATCGCCAAGATTGCTCACTTCTGTGGGCACTTTCGATTCAATGAAGAGGTGGAGGCAACGGCCGTCAGCTACTTGAAACGGTTCTATCTGAAAAACACTGTCATGGATTGGCATCCCAAAAACGTCATGTACGTTTCCAGTTCTTGCGTCACTTACTGCTGAGATAGCTTGACTATGGCCAAGGTTGACCGCACTCTTCCTTGCCACGAAAACGACCAATAACCCTATATCTCTCGAACACTACACCGGAAATATACCCCGCACAGCACCCTCTGATGTCTTGGATCTAGAGTTCCTCGTCGCACAGAGCCTTGGGTTCGAGTTCGCAATATGGCACACACATCGAGCGCTTTGGGGAATATGGCTTGACATTCAAGTCCGCTTGCTCTTGCTTCTTTTCACTTCTATCTCAGACAGCTTACACTCTTATGCCTTAGACTCTCCCTGAACCTCCCTCGAAAGAGGTACTCCAAGAAGCTTACGACATAGCTACTCGTCACGTCAAAACGTCTCGCCTAACGGACGCGGAGCTCATATACACGCCCTCACAGATCGCTCTAGCCTGCATGTCTCTTGCTCAGCCCGACCTCGCCACGTCTTGGGCTCGAGCAAAAGACGCTCTTCTCTCCCTCGATGTCGTAGAGTCTATCAAGAATATGATCCTGAGAGACGGTGACGTTCCGTCCGTTGAGGTTGTCCGCGAGATTGACAGACGGCTTCGGTTATGCAAAAACCCAGAGAAAATCGTCGGGAGCAAGGCATATCTAAAGAAGCAGGCAAAGGAGGAGCAAGCGGCGTCTGAGAAGCGAGAGAAGAAAGCGGAGGTGGTCAGGAAAGCGGCAGAAGCAGATCCTTTTGGAGACGCGTTGGCTGAAGACGTAGAGAGGGTCGCAGAGCTGGACGATGACGATTGAGCCTGACATGTAGATTATTACAGGCGAATACCAGCATTCAGATCTGATGTGTATTTCTCTCCTTGACAGCGCCTTCTACGTGGTATACACCGGAGAATGCGCTAGGCAAAATGTGACTTCTGACCGAATCAACGCATCATATTGAGGCTGAACCATAAAGAAAGCGACGAAGAAAAGGATCATGTGGTTACATACTCATGGGATGAAATCATAGGTCAAAAGGCGGGGGGAAGGTAAGGTACAGCCAACGCAACGATCTAGTAGCCCAGAGCAGTGAGCTTCTCGAAGGAAGCAGCGTTGTCGGTGACGGCCTTTTGACGCAGCTTCACCGCAGCAGTCTGGAGGGGCGTTGAATAACAAGGTATAAATTAGATTGAAGAGAAGCGAACGTACCTTGCGTTCATGGAACGCCTGCGCCTTAATCTTCCTCTTCTCCTCAAGACGGTCAACGACATCCTTGTAACCCCAGCCGACCTCATGCGAGAGACGCTATAACGGCGTAGGGATTGAATATGAAGATTGTTTGAAGATAACGGATAAGACACACCTTCACCGTGCAGTACTTCCTCCCGGGCTTCAACCGCAAAACCCTCAACGCCTCCGGCACAACCATGCGCTTCTTCCTGTCGTATGGGGGAGGGATACCCTCGAAGAGCTTCAAACGCTCGAGGGCAGCAGCGCCACGGGCAGTCTTGTGGGGGACCATACCACGGATGGCTCGGAAAAGGATTTTGGAAGGAGCGCGGTGATGGAAGGGGCCAGACTTTTTGGGGTTGACAATGTGGCGCTTGTGTAGGAAGTTATGGTAGCGCAGCTAGGCAAATGAGAGAAGTCTGAGAATGCAATTCGTGAGCGTGAACCGACAGCGAAACGCGTTACCTTGTTGCGGAAGAAGCTGCCCGAGATGTTGATCTCCTCGCAGCGAACGACGACAATCTTCTGGCCGTTCAAGACCTGCTTGGAGATGATAGAGGCCAGCCGGCCCAGAAGATGGCCCTTACCATCAATGACGATGGGGCTGGAGGAGATGGTGGCCATGGCGAGTCTGTACGCGCAAAATACGTCAATATATGGGATTTTTTGGTCTATATTGTGGAAACACCAAGCGCACCTATGAAAGAGGAGGAGGAGAGTACAGGAAACGGTGTTTAAAATGAGAAATTATGCGTAATATCGGCGGGCTCACCTTGAGGATCTTGCTGTTGGACGAGTATGCTGGTGGCGGCAATGGCCTAGTGACAGCCACCGTGACATTGAACTGCATAGTTGCTCCGGCAAATGCCGGAACTGATGCCGGGTGGCTTGCCCCCAACTTCAGAAATAGGGGCCGTGACACAAAGCTGGTCCCCGTAGGCTCCATCGAATGCCATGACTGTGCAGCTGTAATTTATTCGTAACAATCTACCAATTTACTCGAGCCCATCAGATGCAGTCGCCCATGACTGCTAGCATCGACTCCTACATTCAGCACACGAACATGCCCGTCTCCAAGCTCCTACCCTGGCATCGATCCTGTTGGTCTTCGTGGCAGACATTTATACAATGCATAACAGTATCGACTGCCTTCACGTCCATAAAGACGACGAGCGGTCATCTAGACTGAGAGTCCTTACAAACACGCTCTGGTCATTGAGCTCCTTTGCGATTGACTTGGGTTTGCTGAACATCAACATATCGAGTTGCAACTCAGTTTATGACAGCATGCAAAATACGTCCTGTCACTCCTGTGATGCATCTAGGCGAGAACCTTTGATGGGTGCTTAGATCTTGGCCTGCGTCTCGACAAACAGTGTATGTTCGCCGTTTGATTGCACCTAACCCTAATACAGGTCCAGGGCACGCGAGGAGCCGGGCGTTCCCGATTTCTGCCGTTCGTCATCGCGTCGAAGGCGTCGCTCGAGTCTCGCGTTCTCCTCGATATTCTCAACAAAATGTCTTTCGTTCGTCTTGCCCTTCGCAGCGCTGCGCGCCCAACTCTCGCTGCCCGTGCCCTCCCCAGGACTCAGTTCCCCCGCTTTGCTCCTCGGGCAGCCTTCTCGGCCGCTGCAGGTCTTTCTAAAGGAGAGATTGAGACGCGTGTGTTGGATGTACTGAAGGGCTTTGAGAAGGTCGACCCGGCAAAAGTGCGTCTCGCTCGTTGATATACGGAGGTTATGCGTGCTGAGACAGCATGTTCGTTCTCTGCAGCTTTCCCCAACATCGTCATTTTCGAGTGACTTGGGTTTGGACAGTCTCGATGCAGTAGAGGTTGTTATGGCCGTAGAGGAGGTCAGTCTGCGGTCATTCTCACTCCAGGTATACAGCTCGAGCTGACCACACCTCTGAGAACAGGAGTTCTCTATCGAGATTCCAGATGCCGAGGCGGATGACATCAAAACAGTGAAGGAGGGTGCGTACATCCTATCCTTCGTTTGCGGTCACGGACTCATTATGGAACCTTCGCTATAGCTATCGACTACATTGCCCGAACTCCTGAAGGTGTGTAGCAATGCTCAATGTACTATATACCGTCGTGCTAACTTGTCCTGCTTTCTTAGCGCATTGAGTTCTGGATACTTCCCTGCCCACTAGCTGTATTTCCTTTTTCAATATCACCGCTTTTGAACCATCATGACCGCGCGCGTGATGTACATCTTCCTTGAAGCCGAGGTTGCTGGCGTCCGCTTTGTGCTAGACAGAATTGCAATGAACAACATTACGTTGCGGCCCGCCTAGCCGAGCAATGAGCCAATCCGGGCGCCCTGTTTATAGAACCTTGTCAATCCAGGTTCTGCACGGGCCTCATCTAGTTCAAGCAATTACAACATCTTCACTCCTGTCTTCCATCACTAGCTACCTATTATCGTCGCCCTCCTCGTTCGCGATTACAAAACTTTACCCCAAGCATGCAAAGTAACGCGCCATCTGTTAAGCGTATAACTGTCTCTAAGCCACTGCTGAAGACCGGATGCACGTTGGGCGAAAGTCTGTACTACTCAGGATGATTGTTGACTATCTCTTTGCGTTATGTTCATACCGTCCATAAAGGTCCTCTGTTCGACCCCGCAACCTCTACGCTGCATTTCGTGGACATCGAGGAGCGTAAAGTGAGCCGCTCCTTTGTTCTGGCACGTCAAGTACTCAATGTTTCATACCCGAAGGTATTCCATCTGAAGACGGTGACCATGGACATCTCAGAAGAAGTGTTTCCTGAGAAGATCACATGCCTTGCCTTACGAAAGTCTGGTGCCGGTGTATGTCCACTAACCTTCTGAATTGGCTTTCATCCTAGACTAACCCACACGAAATGAAGCTAGCCTGCGCCACTGCCTCCGGCGTAGCTTTGCTCGCAGACTCACAGTTAAAGTGTATATGTCAAGCGATACCAGAAGAACACCGGCCATTCACCAGATTGAACGATGGTGCCTGTGATAGCCAAGGAAGGTTCTTCGTAGGATCTCTATATAACAAAGACGCGGGCATTCCTGGGATGTTATACCGAATAGACCCTTCAAACGGAAGTGTCGTCGTCGTAGACGAGGGCCCTTTCACCGTAAGTCATTCGTTGGATGAAGAGTTCATTCCGTATCCGCGGATTGACTCCTACCACAGGATTCGAACGGACTAGGGTGGAGCCCGGACGGAAAGATATTGTGAGTGTGTCATGCTTTGCTTACACACAATAATAGCTAATCGCTTGCTTTGGAGCTAGATACTTTACGGACTCGTTCGAGAATATCATATACGCCTACGACTACGACGTGTCCACTGGCTCGGTCACCAACCGACGGGTGTTTATCGACGCAATAGCAGAAGGCCTTAGGAAGGGTTCATTTTGTGACGGGTTTTGCATAGACACAGAAGGCTGTATCTGGAGTGCACGGTTTGCTTTCTTACTCCCTTCCGTTCAGACCTTGAACACAGCTGACGGTATATCGATGATGACTAGATGGGGCGGTTCGTCCATCGCTAGGTTCACGATGGAAGGCAAGCTCGACTTGCTGGTCGACTTCCCCACCGTATACCATGTCACCGCGTGTACGTTTGGAGGGCCAGATATGGACAAGCTTTACGTGACCACGGCGCATTGTGGTGCGATAACTGGGGATAGAGAAGGTCTTCAGGCGCGGTTTCCGGATTCGGGGCATCTGTTTGTGGTTGATTTGAAAGGACAGTTCAAGGGAGCAGAATGGAGGCATCGGATGAACGTGTAAAGTGATGTACGGCAGGAAAAGATGAATGTATTGGAACCGTAGATAATTCTACTGTATTATGACCGGAGGCCTCGAAATGTTGTGTGCCACAACGATCTTACTTTGGGCCACACAAACCGTGGGAGGAATCGGCAGCGAATCCGAGTTTGTGGAATCTTGCAAGCTCAACTCTTCTCGCTCTCCTCACTCGAACGGTCTGCTCGAAAGCAGACCTCCTGCATCATCATGAAACATGGCATGGCCTTCAGGAAACTCTCGCGGACACCATCACATCGGATGCTCATGCTTCGGTATGTATCTCAAGGGTCAACGAGTATTGCGTCGCGTTCTGACGCGGAAAACCATCTAGCAACTTGGTAACTTCCCTTGTCGAGCATGAGCAGATCAAAACAACTCTTCCCAAGGCTCGTGAGGCAGCAAGACTTGCTGAGAAGGTGCGTAGGATTGTATCTGCACTTGTCTATACAAACAAACTAATGGTATACGTGGTCTTGTAGGTCATCACGATGGCGAAGAAGGGTCGGTATGCGGGCTACCAACGCGCCTCCGGTTTCCTCCTCCAACCCAAACTTACCTCTAAGGTCTTCACCACTCTCGCCGAGCGCTACCGTGATCGCCCAGGTGGCTACACCCGCATACACAAGTTCGGCAACCGTCCTGGCGACAACGCTCCTCATGCTATCCTCGAATTCGTCGATAATCCTCGAGACCTCAAATACGAGATGACTTCCCGCGCGGTTGGTTGGGAAGTTCTTGGAAAGGAGATGCGGGAGAGGTCGGCGAAGACATTAGCAGAGGAAGGTGTTGATGGTGTCGCGGAGTTGATGCAGAAGGAGTTGGTTCTTGGGCCAAAAGCGAAGGGAGATTTGAGGCCGCGGACGCGGTGGAATTTGCAGAAGGTGTTGAAGTACAGACCAACGGGTGCACTGACCGAGATAGGATTCAAGGCTGAGGATCATATAGTGCGTCCATCTTCTCAGTAGCCGTTTTCAGTTCCTTGATTTCTTTCAATATAGGACTCGCTGCTCGCGAAACCCTTGTCCATCAAGACACTTCGAGAGAACGCCGACAAGAAGGCCGCTGATACAGCTGAGGAGAACCAAACTTACTTCCGCAGTCTTAAGGACATCAAGATGAACGTCGGTGACCGGGCGCCTGGCCAGACTCGTAGCGCACTAACTCTCGCGAGGGGAGGTCTTGGATGGCAGCCAGGACGCAAAGTTCGATGGTTCGAACGGCGCAAGCTTGGTGTTGAGAAACCTCTCGACTGGACACAATTCTAATGTGTTTCATCCTTTACACTGTTGCCATTATCTTATTTTGTTCTCTCGTTCTGCTATGGGCACGCACGCACGCACGCACATGCTATGGATCTGTATACAAGTATACAATCGCACTCCGTCTCTAATAACGATCTGCCCGCCTCTCCACTTGAGAACTCAACGTCACAGCTTATACTCTAGAACTGGCTTGCCGCCTCCAGATCATCCGCATTCAACCAAAATGCGCCGTCATCCAGCAACTCCTTCCACACTGTGTCCCTCGCCGCGATAGGCCACCCAGGCGTGTCCCAAAACCTCGAGGGAATTCCCAACGCATCCGCTTCTGCCACCAACGACAAAATCGTTGCCCTCTGCGTCTCCGAAATATTTCCTATCCCACTCCAACCCACGGCGGTCTCGTAGTCCGTGCTAGCGATGGGTGAAAGTGTAGGACTCCATGTGGCATTGGTGGTGTCGTTGAGGCCTGTGAGGGGTGCATCGAAGAAGAAATCGCGAGGTGAGAGCGCTTGCACACCGGCGAGGGGGGTGTTTCCGGTTCCGATGACGAGTACGGGTCCTTCGACCAAGGTGTCGTTAACAACAGTGCTCAGGTAACCCGCGTCTCGTAAGGGTTGGAGCGCCTGTAAGACGGGCGGGAGCGTCCTGTCAAAGTCGCAGGCAGGTCAGTTTCCTTTCGTCCGCTTACTGTAATGCATGATGCTTACGCCGCTCCATCCGTCTTCATGTCCACCAACAGCTGGAGTGGAGTTGCCGAACTGGTATCCCAGACACCGCTGAAAATCAATGTGAGTGATCAGACAGACTGACGGTTCCGTGCAGATTCGCAGCCACATGAGAGATGGACTCACTTTGGCGTCGTCTGATTCGCAGTGAATCCATTCTTCGGATTCTGGCCCGCGATGATTTTTAGCAGAGGCTGGACGTAGAGCGAGTCAAACGTCCTTGCAGGGGTGAGGGCCGCCAATTCATGGCCCACCTATAGCCCCAAACACCACGCACATTAGCTGGTGAGGTCAGCATAACTCAGAGGAGGGACGTACGTAGAGTGTGTTGTTGATGAACCTTGCTCGACAGAATGATGGTCATCTAAAGGGAGGAATGCACATTTGAAGTTTCAAGCTTACCAGACATCCGCCTCTACGCTCGCAACGCCAAAGCTCAGTGCGGTGAACAGCGGCACGTCTCTCCAGTCTATGAAACGGACAGCACGTTAACCCGACTGTCCCCGCATAGAACATAAGATATTGGTCCTCACAGTCATTGTGAGAATGGATCTGCTTCGGCACAATACTTTGTGTGAACTGCGTCGGGTATTGCAGTAAACTCGAATTTGAAGCCTCCAGGTTTGCGATATACTGGTCGACCCCTGGCTTGGCGGTGACTGTCACCCAGAACCCACTGAGCACCGTGAGCACGGAAACGGAGAGTTTCGAGAAGGTGTGAGAAAGCATGTTGAATCCTGGAGCAAACCTGGAAGACATGAAATATGTCTGTGTTAGTTAGGCCACGACCGACTCGTGAAGGGTCTCGCCACTCTCACCTTTGGATGGCGTAGGACCAAGATTCGAGGACGGCGTACCAGAGGTCGTTGATCAAGACGACGTCGAGATGGGGGAACTTCATTTCGCCCGACTTTTAGCTCTATATATAATGCGTCAAGAATATGATCAGGCACTTAGCGCTTCCGACGATGGCTGTCCGTGTATTACGCGCTGAATAGCGAATCTTCGGTAGCCAGCGCCCACGTTCGACGTAACCGTTGGATGCGTACAGCATGTGCCATCGTGATTTCATCACAATTCTTGGAGGCCTGGGGAACACGTCCACGTTTATTGGGATCGCGGAAGAGAGCCGATGCAAGGAGCGGAGAACTGAGGAAACGTTTAGTTGGGTACATGGGACTACCCAAAATATTGTGAAGGTGAGAATACGGAGATATTCGGAGAACAACCAAGAAAACAGGACAACACGTAAGGTCGTAGCTATATGAATGACTTGAGTAAAATGTTAAAGGGATACAGAATAGGTGCGTGACAGATGATAAACATGCTTGAGTGTGGCCCGTACGAGATGCAAGATGATGATGATTATTGGGAATGATAACAATGTCAGGATGGTGTAATGATGATGGTCAAGGATGCGTGATATAAAGTGTCAGTTGGTTGGGCCAGTCTTGAATGGTGCCTTCGGAACGTTCTAGTTTAAAATTCATACTAGTGCCACAAGTCGCCGACATGGAAGTCGGCCTCCGCCTTTCCTCCCAACTTCTCTTGCGCTTCCCTCACCTCTCTATAATCATTTAAATCCGCTCCGTTCGCAAGCGCGAGACTCAGAGCCGCCACGACTTTCTCCTCTCGTGACACAGGTGGCGGCGCAGGCAGGACAGCAGAAGCAGGTAGCCAAGGCGTAAAACCGGTGGTAGAGGGAGAGTCCGCGAATGATTGAGAGTCGGAAGTACGGGATATAATGTTGGCGGGACCAGAAAGGGTGAGCGAGGTGAGGGAGGAATCCGTCGAGAGACCTGGTGTGGTAGTATAGATGGATGAGGAAGAAGGGAATGTTCCTCTGCTGGGGGAAATATCCATGTCGATGTCCATCGCTTCGTCTGACGGTGTCGAAGTGGCTGTGTGGACTCCCGACCGGGCTTTCTTGGAGGGCGGGCTACTAGAGCCGTCCGCGACAATGAGGATGTCATCTTCGTCAGACTCTTCGCACTCGTCGTCGTGAAAGGACTGAGTACGCAGATGTGACTGTGTCCGGCTGCCAGGTACCCGTCCACGACGGTGTTTTGTCTGAGGCGCCGAACTAGTGGCCCGAGCTGACTCCAAAGCGCGCATGCGCTGTACGAAGCTCTCATCGCCTTCCGCGAGACTTTTCCGAAGCTCCCCAAACGCATGCGAGTGCAGTTCGACTGCAGAAGGTGGTGGGTTTCTTGCAGCTTGGCTGGATGGTGCGTTCAATGTCTGCGAGGTGAAAACATTGGACGGAGCTGGAGAGACGGTGCGAGACTTGCGCTTGCGGATGGTAGGGTGAGGGAAAAAATTGAAAGCGGCGGATGTCGAGGGCAGCGGTCGAGATGGACGGGAGGGTTGGGTGGGTGTACTGTCCATCTTCGCGATATAAATTTGCGAGACGGAGGATGGGATGTGGGTCAATATAAAGGAATGAAAAACAAAGGATGAAACATACCCAATGATCCTGCCGAGGGCGCTTCGCTCTCTTCCACAGGTCAAGGTCCCACTTTCGGGAACTGCTGACGCTCGCTTCTGTCAACGCCGAGTGCGGTCGTGAACGTTTTGAACGGACGGGTTGTGGATATGCTTCTTCCTCGAGACTTGAAGAGGAAGATGAAGCAGGTGCAGCAGAATGAGACCTTCGAGCAAGACCATTAATTTTCGAACTGGAGTACGGGGCCATGATGGCTGAAAGGAAGAGAGCTGGGGGAGCTCAGTCCGGGTGGCGCGCAAAGAAAGTTCAGACGCGGGATTCCCACACCCCATAGCTCCCTTGGGAAACACTCCTTTGTACATAAGTTACATGTGAATGGAGCTCATGTCGGATGCTCGTTGATTGGCATCATAGTTTCGTATCATTTTAGACGCAATGTCAACGTCGCAGAAAATCGTGCAGTGGACTGTCATAGCACTGTGGCGGTGGCGATTCGCAGTTGAGCCCGGCACTGTGGCCCAACCGACCTTACAATGCTCCGTGATAGGCTTTTCTTCACGGTATCATACATCAAGCTTTGTTTTACTGTCCTCCTTCCCGTTTCTGTCTCACAATTTTTCAGGCATTTGATCTCACCGCAGTGGGTGCTGTCGGATTGACCTGTAAGGACCGTCCTCCTTGATATGACACGACACGCAGCATTAGACTTCTGCTTCCGTGACTAGTACAATCTGCGCGACCAGTGGGGCACGGTAATACACCAGATACGAAGAGGACAAGTGTAGCTCCTGATTATTCGACTGAACACGGTTGGTCACAAATCAATTCATAGCCCAAAGGTCAGCAGACTTCAGCAACGCACCTTCCCTGCATTGGGGGTTTCCGTGTCCTGCTGTTTCAGCTATGCAAGGAAATCGTCAGATAGTGCATGAGGCGCCTGCATTTTGATAAGTGGATTGCCACGAACTGTGGTCAACAGCGCCTTCCCGTGTGAGGCCAGCCTCTGTTTGAGGATCAGGCGCTCGGTGGACAGTCCTTCGTCGGGTGTCTCCAAAAGCATCTTTAGCTCTGCATGTACACTGAGAATCCACGGTGTTGTTGTCAAAAAATATCCTTAAAGAGTGAGGGGAATAATGTTCATTTCTGTGTTATTTCATACAGAGGAAAGGCTTACTCAGACCATGCCCGGCAACACATATCAGCGTTCTAAGAGCTCGGCATAGGGACGGCGAGGACAGTAAAGCCAGAGGTAGTTCATCCGCGAGGATGCGGTTAGTTAGAATGAGCAGGAGAACAGAAATGATTTCAGATGCGACTTCAGCGCAGGTGAGAGGATCCTCGACGAGTTGTTTGGCCGTAGCAATGATGTAGGATGAGAGGATGGCTGTGAGAAAGCAGGTCAGAAAAACTCGCATGAAACGCCTTTCATGGGCACGTCGCTTGCCTGTGGATAGTATTTTTGTTGAACGAGAGCTAAGAGCTAGCTGATAGAAAAGTGTGATGTCTCCCCACGCCCTGTCTGAATCGTCACCAGAAGACCTGCGGAACATCTCATAGGCGCAGACACAGGTCAACAGAGCGGTCAGAAGAGCTGGATGTCGCATCGGGTATTCGGAGAAGAAGTCCATGAGGCGTGACAGGAACGAAGTTATGGACGTTGGATGGACAAGTGTGGAAGTTTGTTTGTGCCACAGAATGGTGAAGAAGTGGAGCATGTGTGCGATGTTCAGGACGTGCTCCTGTCGAAGAACTCCAGTCAGGCGAGCTGCCTTGACGATTCTGGAGAACCCCACAGTTTGAAGACATTCAAGTTCGAAACAATAATACTACTCACCTTCCTAGCGCTTGTAGTGCGCGATCCAGTAGGGCTGCTAGTGATGGGCCTGTTTCCTCTTGCAAGCTTCGGACAACTATCTGGAATACAGTTGAGTCGATAAAGGTGAGAGCCTCCAGCGTCGAATCTCTTACTAGACAAGACGAGTGGAAGTGAAGCATCGTTTATCAGTGTAGGTTATGGTCAAAATAACGTGTACTGACTCACATGACAGAACGTCATCTCCAGTATATGACAATGTCAAGACGAAGAGGGGAACTAGTCCCGCTGCCATACCGTGCGCCAACGATATACATTCATCGTCCAAGCACGGGTCTAACAATTGTGTAGCCGCCCATGTGCACTTTCTCAGGACATTCAGAGTCAACTCTGAGACCTGTGCATCTGAAAATAAATCCACATCATGGCGCAACATATGCTGATAACAGTCGTCAGTAGAGCTCGAAGACGTACTGAACGTATATTTACCATGAAAGTGTATCCGGCCGACTGGGGATTTTGCTTCAAGGCATCATCGAGTCCATCCATCCAAGTCGCCTCGGGAGAGCTGTCCAAGTGATATAGCCAAGTCGCAGTCTGTCCGAAATGAAATATAGATTAATATTCGGGTTTATGACAAGGATATCTGACGTACCAAATGTAAGACCGTTTCGTGGTCTGTGTGCCGAGAGTCTGTCCACGAGCTCCAACACCAAGGGATAAAGCTACCCCAATGCAAAAGGATAATCAGAGCAGAATCCAGCGTCTCTCTCGGCACAACGGAGTCCCGATCGGGGATACTTTTGTTATCGTCCAGAAGGTCTTGGATAACTTGGAGGAATATATTTTGAGTGTATGGTCGATATGACAAGGGCGAGTTAGGCGAACGCGGTCGTCGCGAAGACAAATCTGCGACCTTTATATATTCGAAATAATGCTCAAGACACATCGGTGAGCCAAGACTCACTGAGAGGAGGACTAAAGCCATCGCGATAGAATCTCTATCCTGGATATCGAGAGGGCGAGGTGCCTCACCGACATCGCCGTTTACGCCAGACAGCCGCACAATGTAAGAATGTAGTGATTCTCCCAGATCGTGCGGATGTATGCTATTGAATACAGTTCCATTAGATAGATAAGCAAGTGTCGCTAAGTTGCTCAAAGCTCACCAGACGGTTTGGTGAAATACTTTGGATAGTTGTGGCACAATGACATTAGAAGCGAACAAGAGATGCAGGGCCAGGCGCTGTACTGCAGGGGACAGATGCTGTGATGCTAAGCGAGTGTGCACAGAAGACCATTCGTCTACGGCGGGTGTGAATGCACGTACAATATGGATAAGATGAAGAACACATACGGGGAAGTTGCGTGGCGGCAATGATCGCTGCTTCTTCCTTCTGTCTCTCAAGACTTGCCAATTTACGATTACTTTGAAGAGCAGTGTTGTCGCCGACGAAACGGCTCGAAAGCGTGACGATAGCTTCGGAGAGCTTCACGAGGACGACGTCGACCCAACAGAAGACAACTGCAGCCATCACTCCCGGAGAGGTCGCTTGCGTTGCGATCCTGTGAAATACCTGTCTATATGCGAATAACTTTGTCATAAAAGTATCTCGCACTGGACAGTGGATATGCAGGATCAGCGTTACGACACAATCTGGACCAGGGAAGACTTCGCACTAAGATCCAGAAAAAAGCGGGAAAGGTGAATGAGCCTATCCGATTCGAGATGGTGTTGGGAAGCTATTTCTTGAAGCGCGCATATGAGTGCCCCAGACGCGTTGCGGATGTTATCATGCAAAATGACGTCCGACTCCTACGTATAAATGAGCCATAGCGACAATGCGAGGAAGGATGGGAAGCAAACCCAGTTGGCCACTTCCATGTCCAACTCCGTAAGAAATTGTATCGCTTCTAGACAGCCACCCTGGAAGCCGCGCTGTACATGAGCGGTTGGCTGCACCATTCCGGCGGCGAGGTCCCCATGTTGGTCAGTATATGCGTTGTCGACCGTACAGGTGTTTTCAGCAAGACACGATGTCTCGGACTCCGTCTCCGAGTCGCTGTCCATTTTACCTTGGATGCGTCGATGACAAGCGGTGCAAGGATCGAGCGATCAAGAGTGAGGATGGATGTATGACCTTGGTACGTTTTGGGAGCGCCGGACAAGGATCTTCTTGCACGACCACGTGCGCCACAGGCGCGCCATAATGGTGGGAAACGGAGGCAAGGTAATGAGATTACCAAGTTCATCGTTCTAATTCGTATAACACTACTATCCGCAAGTTACAAGACCCAGTTACACCTCTTAGTGCGGGCTACACACGCTGCACTATTGGAGACTTGAGTGCAACAAATTTCACATATGAAGTGATGCTAGCTCACCGAAATTGCATGGAATAAGACCAGGATAAAGTACAGGAGACTCATACATGATACGGTGAAGCTACAGAGATGCGGGAGCCCAGTCGAAAGCAACGGCCGGGACTGGAGAAACGTATTGACACTATGAGAGCCCGTTGATGCCCTTCAAGAAAGCGGTCATGCTGGTTTTGCACTCCAAATCTTCAGGTTGTTGGCCGAAGAGTGCCTCGTATGCCTCCTCCGATTCACCGGCCTGCGCAAGACACGCATTGAGAATAAATTTAGAGTCTCGGAAATTTGACAGGTACTCACCTCGACACCATGGAAGTCATAATCCTGCCAGCTCTCGTCCTGTTCTGCTCGGATAGCGGCCAGCATCTCTCTACGGACCGTGGAAAGCCCGCCTTGAGGAACCATACTTGACTTGTCTTCGGCCTTTCGTACAGCGACTTGCACATCCCTCGCTTCCCCAGCTGGTTTCTTCTCCTTCTTCGGCGCAGCAACCGGTACAGGCTCGTCAGGATCAGGGGGTGGCCCATCGTCCGAGTCGTCATCAGAATCACCTCGTCGTTTGCTTTTTCGTGACAGGGCGTCCAAGTATGTCAGAGTCGGACGAAGCTGGTGAGTTTCGCTAATAGGATGCAAGTGAAGATGCCCTGAACAAATGTGACTTTGAGCCCTTCGATTACACCACTCGAAGACCACTCACCCTCTCGGACAATGCCAAGTACATATGCTCCTGTGTGTTGGATTTGCTCGCTTTGTAGACGGATTTCCGTGAGACGCGGTTCCTCTCCCTCCTTCAGCTTCACCTTCCCAGCGTCCTGATTCTTCTCCTTATCATCTTCCGCACGCCCTGAACCTAAATCCTTCGACCTGTCCGTATTCCAGACCTCTGGGCGTGTATCGACAGGCAGATGGATTTCAACTCGCTTGACCTCAGGCTTGATTCGGGCTCGGATGCGTTTCCCACTGAGAGCAGCGGACGGAGGGACCTCTAGTGGACGATTGAGTAATGGAAACTGGTGCAAGTGAACATCTGGTGCTAGATGATTAGAGAGATAGATGGGAAGGACAGATACAACAGGGTCGTTGGTGGCGTCCATTTTGCAAACAGAATCTCCAAGACAGCGAAATACTCAGGCTGCTTCATAGCGTGGGAATATCTGACGGTTCTAATTCATAAGATAGGCCTCATCCAGATTCGACGGCATCACGTGATAGGCCTTGAAATCAGTGCCTTTCGCGGTTTTTGGCCGTTCTGCGGTCCACGGTCAATTATTTCGCAAATCTACGACCGCAGTCCTTTTATGAATGCATTTGGTATCCCACTTAAATTACTATCTCATAACAACATTGAGGCACAACAGATCCTTAGGCTTTTTTCTTCGAGGACTCCGTGTGGCACCTGTGTGGCCCAACATCCTGAGTTTTCACCGTTCAAAATGCTAAGGCTCAATTGGTTATGCAATAAAGGGCGCGCCTATGGTAAAGCTACTTTCTGTGAACTATATTCGACAATTTTGCGGTTGTATACTCCCCGTAAGTGTCCACCTCCTGCAACAATCAATATTTTACATTGATTTTAGAGGTCGACACAAGCTGTGGCGGCGCAGTCACGTGATGTCGTCGAATCTGGATGAGGCCTATCTTAGTGCCGCTCATTGACAGGACGCCACCGTCATCGTCTTTCTGTCTGATTTTGCTCCGATGCTGGCATAAATGTTGCCGAATTTCGAGCAGACAGACAGAGGAAATGAGCAGTGGCCTAATGACTAGTGATGGTGTACCAAAAAATTATGTGTAGTAGTCTAATGAAGCACCAAATTCAAGATCGAATTCTGCTGTTCTCCGTCTCCTGCTCCCTCCAGCCTGAGCTTGCCTATGACCACCATCGCCGACTGCATCCACAACATCTGGCTCTCCGTGAGGGGCTTTCCGCGTAGCTGGCTCGCCAAAACGGCATTCACCTGGTTGCGAAGGTGCTTCAACGCGATGTTGGTCTTAGGAGGTATGCGGAACTTGATCTTCCGGTCGATGAAAGCCGAGTCCGAGATCAGCTGCAATCATTTGGTCAGTCACCATCCAGCCAGCTCGAGTTGGAGAAAGAGCATACCTTGAAGTCACACTCGCCACAGAGTAAGACCATGGCTATGTCGTCGACCGGCCCAGTTTCCCAAGCGTACAACTTCTTCGAATGCCTATTTCGAGAATGAGTTGTCTGCCAGCTTCCTGGATGAAGTAAAGATACGTACATCAATGTGAAGTATGCCAGGTAATTGATGCCAAAATCTGAGGGCTTCTTCTTGAAGTTGACGGAAGACGGGTGGAAGGAAGCGGCCTGATTGTTCGTGATTGTACGCATCTGTCCACTGGAGGGATCGATAGCTAGTATCTTGGGATAAAGCCCGGCGGTGAGGGCGGCATTCACTATGTAATAGTTTGTCGAATTGCTATCCAGTTCGGCGGGGACAGTGATCAACCTCGACCTATTTCGACCGTAGCGGGCGCTGAAATGTACGTTATCAGAGCAAAGCACTGGAATGTATCTAAATACAACAGGCACTCACCGACTCAGGTCCTTTACAAACGCGCGGTCCACGTTGATGAACCCTGAATCTATGAGGTACCTGGATGGCGACGGTCAGCGAAGGATGGATGGAAGGGGGATACGGGACATACCCAAGAAACTGTTGACGAAGTTCCTCGATCTGTTGGAGATTCTGATGACTGAGGAAATTCTTCCGGCAGAACTTGCGAACAAAGCCAGGATTTGCGGAGGCGCGGCGCCAACTCGAGAACGCATTGTGAAGAGTCAAGAAGTCCGAGTTCTCTGTGGTTTTGGTCAGTTAATGATAACATGTCAACTCGTGCGAAATATTGATACCAATTCGGAATGAAGCCTTTGCGCGGTCAGCTTCGTCCTCGTGACCGAACGGAGTCAGGAAGGGTGACTTTGAGTTGAGGGTGGCCGCAATAGTGAGAGCAGGATCCAGACATCGGAATAGAGTTGCCAGCAGAAGGAATTTGCCCAGGTGTACATCGGTCGGTAGAGCACTAAGCAGCCTCCCCATGGGGGTGATTTCTTCCGTGGTTGTAAGAGCACGGACCTTGTTTGGCTGGTCAGTCTTCGAAGCACGAGAGAAAATATCGGAGGACCTCACCTCCACAAGTGCTGATATAGCTCTTTGAATGTTGACTGAGGACGGTGGATCGAGGGCACGAAGAAGAACATCCTCGATGGAGGTCCCTAACTTCACCTTCATAATCTTGATCCGAAGGGCCAGATCTGAGAGACTGAGCCGCATCATCTCAGGAAGAGGATGGTCGGCCATCTACGACGGACAATGTCAGTCGATTGCGCCGGCGAAGAAACCTGGGCCATCGCTCACCAGGGTATCGTGGCGTAGCTTGGTGAAAAGATGGAATGCGAGACCATTCTGTACACGACCAGCACGACCACGTCGTTGAGCGGCGTTACTCTTTGCCACGTACGTCTCTACCAGACGAGACAACTGTCGCTTCTCGTCGAACCTATTGCGACGAATGTGAGAACCCTATCACAAAAAATAATATGGCATCCAAGAACAAACCTCATCTCCCTGTGTTTACCAGAGTCGATCACGCAAGTAATGTCAGGGATAGTGATACCAGTTTCCGCAATATTCGTAGCTATACGACCTGTATTAGCGATTAAAGCCACCATGCATCAGCATTGCATACGCACCGATGACGATTTTCCGTACACCTTCAGGGGGAATATCGAACACAGCGCCTTGGTTCTCGCTTGATATTGTTGAGTGTAGAGGATAGATGATGAAGTCTTGGTTGTTAAAGGCGGGATGATCCATCAGGAGGTCGTTCAGACGGCGAATCTCCGCAATACCCGGCATGAAGATCAACACAGCAGATGAGTACGTGAAGTAGGCAGGATCCTCGAAGCAGATACGCTCAAGCAGCCGCATGATAAGGTCGTATGGTATAAGCCGTTCGTCGAGTAGGTTGATGGTTGTAGCCGTGCTAGGGGAGTAACGCTTCTCGAGCTTGACGGCCTCGGAAGAGCTTTCCTCGTCGTCATCGTCGCCCGCAGCCGTTTCTTCGGACCAGTCCATTTTTGTTTTGTTACGATAGAATTTCTCGTGCACTAGTGAGGACGAGTTAGTAATAGGTCGCGAAGTAAAATAGATTAAACTGACGGCGCTTGGCATAAGGCGAGTTCTCAGATATTGACCATTGAGTGAATTCCACCGCATCCTCAAGGAACCGGGTGTCGACGGGAAATGTTCGGCCAGGAACGTAAAGAATTGGGCATCCTCCGAAGTATGTAGATATCTTCTCGGCATCAACCGTCGCAGACATGAGGATAATCCTATATGACAGTTAGACGGAATCATCTGGTGAGGTGGACATCAACTTACTTCAAATCATCCCGTTGTTGTAGCAGGGACTTGAGAACAATCAACAAGAAGTCGGACTCGATGCTCCGTTCGTGAACCTGTCGCTCAATTAGTAGAAATTTTGGGGGAGGGAAATACACGATACGAACCTCATCTATAATGATATGCTAAAGCGTGTACTCCGTCAACAAAAAAAAGCATGGAGGATGAGAAGAAATATGCTTACAGTGATCTCATCGAAAGCAGTCCCCATTCCATTCTGCCCACTACCCCCCTCAAGCATCCTCAGTGCAATACCGTTCGTTACGAACGCTAGTCTTGTGTTGCGGGAGGTATTGCTCTCGAGACGTATTGAATAGCCTACCAGAGAGTTCATGGTTCCACAAGCTCCAGGTGCATCGCCAAGTTCTCGAGACACACGTTGGGCGAGAGAGATAGCAGATATACGTCGAGGTTCAGTGCAGTAGATCTTGCAGTGGTTGCCACGCGAGAGCTGGTCTTCCAAGATGAACGATGGGACCTGCGTAGACTTTCCGCTGGAGCAACAAGTTAAGCTATGTTGGAGCACAGAAAAAAATTGGCTCACCATCCTGTCTCTCCGCTAAGGACCATGATTTGGGAGGTATCTAGCGTAGATATGATTTCGTCTCGGTAGTGAGCGATCGGAAGCCGATTCCGTTGCACCTTCAAGGGATTTAATCAACCGTTCACATGAAGCAGATAATGTGTTGAGTGCTCACGAGCATGTCCTGGTACGCTGGAGCATCCTGCCTTTCTCTGAAAGCAGAGGCTATTTGCTCTGAAGGCGGAATCTTCGGGGGGCTGAACTGGCGCAGTCTGTTTCCGTTTTTCGTATCGCCAACCTGCTTCTCTAGCCTATCATGAACCTGAGAATTACTTCAGTTCTCGAATTTCATTGCAGACACTTCCTTGAGACAAACCTTGGCTTCACGGTCCATCTTCGGCTCGACGATAGCTCTGAGTTTTGCCCAAACACCCCGATTGATGGCGTCCTCTGCAGATTTGCGAGCGGCTTCCAGTTCGTCCCACAATTCTCTGAATGTCGAGGGAAGTAACCGGAAGGACGTGTGCGCATTCCCTGAACTTGTCCCCGAGGCAAACCCTTCAGACGCTGGGAAGGTAAGGGAATGCAGGGCGACAGTGGCGATGTATTGCTCGGCTTGATTCATGTCGTGGCATGCAAACTCATTCATTTCCCAATCCCCGATCTTGCCGCCGCCCCAGCGAATCGTAACAGCTGCACGTTTTGCGCGACTCGGCCCCGAAATACAACGGTAGGTGATGACAGCAAATCGGTCCGTCTACAAGAGTCCACGAAGTGCTGGTCAGTAAGATGCATGAAAAGGGGGTACATGAAGACTGAGGGTACCTTGTGAACAATCTCCGTTAACAGAGTCTTCGGGGTGCGGCCAGACCAATGTTTAGGCAAAGCCATATCGCGGATAGTCACTGTTGTGCCGGTGCTGGTGGTCTCTTCGGTAGGCAAAGGCTCTAAGATATCGAATAGTCCGACCGATGCATCCTCTCCGTCTGCGTCAAAGACATCGGATGAAGGTTTGCTGGGCAACTCCGGCGGTGAAGGTTGTAAGGGTGCGGGGCGGTGCTTTGCGGGAGGTGGTGAGACGGGCAACATTGGCGCTTCATTTGCACGAAGACGAGCTTGAAGATGGGCGGCGTCAGACTTCTGGCGTTCGGTACGATATTGAGCTTCTGCGTCGTCCTCGTCGAAGAAGTAGTGCCTCTTGACTGCCTCAAGACGCAAACGAAGGTCCTTGATGAAGGAGTCGTCCGCCGTCTCGTAGGCAGCCCGACGCCAGCCTGAAAGACTGTCAAGCTTGAGCTTGAGCCTAACGTATTCTGAGTTCGGATTGTCGCCTGAAGGATCGGCATCGAGATAGGAGCCTCCATCGCCGTTGAACCGGGCCAAGATGCGTGCTTTCATATCGACGTGATTTTCTTCCTGGTCATTGATAACAGGACCGGACAAGGGCACGAATATTGGAGCATTGGCATCTAGTATCGAACGGACTTTGGGAGGCGGCGATGAAGGCAGAGGGCGATTGGGTGTGCGAGGTGTACTTGTACGACTAGAGCTGGCGTTTGTGGCAAAGTTAGGAGTTTGTGGCGTCTTCAGGGCCTTGCTTTCTCCTTCGTTAGACCCTATAATCCATTCGACGCGTCAAAACGTATGCCTAGCTGCTATATTGGACAATAGCTGACCTTTATCGAGCACAAGATCCTCCTCGGGTGCATGCAGATAGAGCTGAAATGAATGAAAGGTTGAGCCTAGCGCAGGGGAAATGACGAGGTAGGTCGTACGTACCCAGTCGTAGGCTTCCTCAAGCTCGATACCTCTGATAGACCGAAGGCATTCCTCGACTCTTTCCTCCGAGAATCCTAAACGTCGCAGAACACCGTATGTGATACCCAGCTTCGCCACAGCTTTCTCCTCGGATACATCCAACAACCGTTTACCTGATCACGTCATATATTCAGCACGAGAAAAGTAAGAGTAGGACCGATATAAGGAGTGAGCACTCACCGTCATCAGCACCGTCAGATTCTGCCGATAGTTGCAGAATGCTGTCAAGGACCTCGCTGTCCAGTTCCAAGGTAGCGAGAGTTTTGGTATAACGTCGGTCAATTTCTATGGCCTAAAAGCATGCGTAAGGCCACACTGCAGTCTACTATGATCTCCAAATGGACGTACCTTCACTGTGCGAACTATATCCTTCTCTGTCTTTTCCTGGAGTTTGTCTACAAGGTTCTGTAACGACTGCTCCTCGACCTTCTCCGGGTCAAAGTCGTCCACTGGGTCCTGGGACGCGACTGGTGTGGTGGCCCCGGCAGAATCAGTTGGAGCCGGCTCTGTATCAACAGCGTTGGCTTCTGGAATGGCCTCTGGTTCCTCGGGAAGTGGGACGACTTTCTTCGGCTGGGAGGTCGTGGCGAACCCGCGAGCGACGGGCTTGAGCTGCGTCTTCTTCTTCTTGGCCATTGCGAATGGACCAAGGAATTTACCTCGGTGTCTGGGTAAGACGTGCTCTTATGTACTGTGCGCTATCGTCCTCTAGCGAAAAAGATAGAGCAAATATATAACCTCGTGTATGGGTCTAGGGGAGGATGTGAAAAGCTGGTCCCTTCAACAATCCGGGGCTTCGAGAGCTTGGCTCCAAGGTATATCGGTGGTTAGTTTCGAGGCGTGCGCAGGGAAGAGATAATACTGGGAGGAGTCAGGGATTGTTTGTCTAAGCATGAGAATGGTTGGACGCAAGGATGGCACATAGACAAGTCGAGGGCGTGCGTGCACAAAGGACGTCGTAAGAAGATCAACGCGACTCGAGCTGGACGCGGGCCCGGCGATACTTCGCCACCAAAATTTACCCTTGACTCGATGACGCCACACAGCTTTCCTGGCTCAGAGCAATGCAAGAAGTTATGGAAGCTGTCCATATTCGTAGTACAAGACATAATCCATGACAGTAACCCGGTGTACAGCCGAATGTGTATACAGTAGAGAGTAATATATAATGTGGTCTATCGTTCGACTAAGTGGAGGTGGAAGCAAGAAAGCAAAGTGCATGCGCAAGTCAAGAGAGACGGACGATGCAGACAAAACATAATCATGAATCAACATTCGACTTTCCTCGTCTCCCCCGCTTTGACTCTCCTCGACCTCGACTCGCACCGCGCCCTCGCCCTCTCCCACGCCCTCGCCCTCTTCCTCTTCCCCTTTTGCCCCGTGTGGACTCTGGGACTGGCATGGCATCTCCGTCATTGGCATTCTCATCTCCCATCCCACCACTAGGACCAAAGAACTCATCACCCTCCTCGTTCCAAATCTCCCGTGACGCGTCAGCGCCACCTGCTTGAGCTGCTCGCTTGCCCAAAGCTTTGGTAGATGGGCCACCCAAGTCCGCGTTCGCCAATTGTTCGTCGGTAAGCAACAGCTGCATGATGTCGCTGGGCTTGTTGGCCTCGGAGAAGTTCTTGTTACCAACGACGATATCTTGGACCTGAGGATTGACACGCAAGATTAGACATTGTAAGGCATGTAGGAAGAGACAATACTCACATCCTTCTTGACTCGAGCAAGCTGGACGATACGCTCGTCAATGGTTCCTTTCGTGATCAGGCGGTAGACTGTCACTTGACGAGTCTGTCCGAGACGGTGAGCACGATCCATGGCTTGAGCGTCGTTCGAAGGGTTCCAATCGTGGTCGTAGAAAACCACTGTGTCCGCGGCGGTAAGATTGATACCCAGACCTCCAGCACGAGTACTCAAGATGAAGACGAAGATGTCATTCCTGGCATAGAATTCAGAACCACTCATTGAATGATTCAAAAAGGACGGACGAACCTAGTCTGCCAATCCATCACCATGTCTCTCCGGTCCTCCAACTTGGATGAGCCATCAAGACGCAGGTACTTGTATTGGCGGTAGATCAAGTATTCTTCCATGAGATCCATCATCTTCGTCATCTGGAAGTATATCAAGACACGGTGGTCGCCGGCCTTGAGCTCCTGAAGCAGAGCGTCCAGACGAGCGAGTTTGGCAGAATCGTAGATGAGGCTCTTTGCTTCCGGGACCCGCATCGTTGGCAGAGGCAATTGGTCTGGCTGAGAGCAAGATAAAAGACCACGAGGAGGTATACCAGGCACTATATTGTGGAAATTCTCGACGGCCTCGATGGAATCTTGGAGAGCCGGAGGCATACCGTACAAGGCCAGTGTTTCCAGTGGACCATCCAGTATAGCTGCCTGACGCTCAATGAACGTGCGGTCGGCGCAGTATGTGGATATCGGAGGAGCAATAGCCTGAGGGATGAACCATTTCAGAATGTTTCTTGACAGGCAAGACGTCGTCCAGGCAGATGATGCGGAGAGACGGAGATCGGGAAGGTCTTCAGATGGAGGAGAAGGGATAGCAGATTCCCTCGAAGGTATACGGAAAGCAGAGCCGACTGAAGAAATGGCGAAGTCTTGGCCCCTACGTAGCCCAAGTAAGGATCCAGCATTGCAACATTGAACGACGGCGAACTCACCACCGATATGGGTCTTCCTCCCTCCGCCGCAATTCGTCTTCGATGCCAATGAGGCGCCTACGAATCAAAGGAGAGAAGTGGAGGCTATGGGCCTCCGCAGGTGACATGTCGAGGAAGCGTAGAAAGGCGAAAGGCGATTGTACTAGGTATTCTCTTAGTGAGTACGAGTATAGTGATTAGTTGAAACTACTCACCGTCCTCGAAGTACGACTTCTGTATCCAATCCGTAGACCATATGTTCAAGAGATTTCGCAGGATGCCGGAGTCATCCCGGTGATGGGGCGAATTCTCGGTCGGGACATCAAATAGGCCGCCGTCGCTATAGAAAAGTTTTGGTATGGAGTATTCGATAGGATTGCGAGTCGAATAAGAGACTGGGAGCGGATCCGGATCTCGACTGAGAGGGCCTGACTGCCCAAATCGTGCGAAGGAGAGAGGCGCCTTGACATACGCGCGCTCGAACAATTCGGGATGATTGCAGACCTACGAAGACCACCGTCAGATGTGCGAAGACAAAAACAGAGATGAAGAACCATACTTTGCGGAACTGCATAACGAGGTTCATCAGAGTGCGTGTGGTGTTGGCGTCCGCAGTGTTCGCTGCTTTTTCGAGTAGATCTGCCACAGAAACGTTGGCCAGCAAGCTCTTATACATTGCACGTTGCCTGGCGCTGAGGTCGACATGGATATCTATCTCGATCTGTGGAGGGAAGGTGAGCTAAGATCGAACCTGATTAAATTCAAAATATCCACCTTTTCGCCAAGTTCATTTTGGACGTGCCGCTTGACACGACGCAGCATGAAAGGTTTCAAGATCATATGGAGGCGGCGGAGTTGATGCTCGTTCAACTGGCTACCCTTGTTTTCGGCATGATTCTCTATGTCCTTGGAGAACCATTCGTGGAACTCATCCTGGGAGTCAAACAAAGTCGGCATAATAAAATGAAGGAGGGCCCATAGTTCTGCGCAGCGGGTCAGAAAAGCTTGCGCATACTGTCCATATCAACACTGACCTTGCATGGAGTTTTGGATGGGAGTTCCTGTGAGCAGAAGGCGGTTGCGGCACTGGAACTCAAGCAGTGTCTTCCACCGCACACTAGCCGAGTTCTTGATGTTTTGAGCCTCGTCGAGAACCATATACTCCCATCGAACCTTTTGAAAGTATTGTTGATCTTGTATGATCTAATGGATGGTCAATGGTGTGCAATGTCTGTCTAAATAGGAGGACAACAGACCATGTTGTAGCTGGTAATCAAAACGTGAATATCCGAGTTTTCGTCATAGATCATATCCTTCTTACTCCACACTTTCCTGACAGTCTGACGGTCTTTTGGAGTACCCCAATATGGGATTGCCTTGAACTTGGGCACGAAGCGAGTGATCTCTTGGGCCCAGTTGTGCAATGTTGACAGCGGCGCCACGACGAGGAAGGGCCCCCAGATGTTGTGTGTCTCGGCGAGATGCGCAAGCAACGAAATTGACTGGACAGTTTTACCGAGTCCCATCTCATCGGCGAGGATACCTTGACGAAATCGAGCAAAACTTGCATGTCAGCACGAGCAAGAGAGAGCAGTTGAGGCGCCACGATGGGGAGTTCACAGTCGGCAATGTCCGAAACGCGCCACATGTGGCACCAGAAAGAACGACAGGTGGCCGCAGTGCAGTGGGCGCAGAACTCACCGTTAATGCCCTGTTCCCAGAGCGTTCCCAGCCAGTTAAGACCCTTCAACTGATAACCCTTCAGTTCTGCCTGAAGCATACGCGGCTGCGCAATCGTCAATTGACCGGTGAGCGTCGTTGGATTCTGGAAATTAAGCTCGTCCGAGTCCACTGAAAACAGTCAGTGTTAGTTCGGTAAACCTCCGTGTCACGCAAAACTTACGGTCAACGAGTGTCTTGGTCGATGTATCCACGCCTTCGAGGGTTTCTGGTGTTTCGTCGCGGATGTGGGCCTGAGACTTCGCTAGACGTTGGGCTTCGTTCATCTTGCGCTGGAGAGCGGATTGATTGTCAAATTGGAGGGCCTTCAAGCGGTTCTTCTCCATCGTCTCTTTGGCAATTGCCCGAGCATGCTGGTGCATGTTCGTAGTATCATCTACGAGGTAAGAATTAGCACTGAGTAAGTTTTAAGTACGAGGCACGAAGGACCGTACCGTTGTCCCAATCAATGTCCTGAAGCTTGTCATCCTCGACATCCTCGAGAGAAGCACCGACCGGTACAGCAGAAGCTTGAATATTTGGGTCTGCACTCTCGCCCTCGACTTCCGATGCTATTTGATGTAAAAATATGAGTTCACCGCAGTATCTGCTATGTGTAGATGCACTCACTCTTGAGCTTGCTCCCAAGAAAATGACTGTAGATCTCGCTCTGACTGATCAGGAATTCCAACTTGCGCGCATGCCGAGACGCCTCGCGCTTCTCATCCTCGATCCTGGCACGGTCTTGAGCCGCCTTCTGTTCTCGCTTCCGCATATCCCGCTCCTCCTTCTCGTTCTTCTTCCAAAAGACGAGCATCTCGCGCATGAGTCGTTTACTCCTCGCTTGGAGATCCTTCGTGGCTTTCGGAGTTTTGGTGAACGGTCGGCGAGCTTGCAAAGACGACGCTTCAGCGATGCGCTTGTGCTGAGCCAGCCGGTTCTGGTAGCCCATGACCTGGTACTTGTAGACCTGAAGAGCAAGACTAGGTAAATAGCCTCTCTGAGAAGCGCAAACGGTACGAACCTTCGCCACTTCCCTCCTGGCGATATTTTTCCAGACCTTGTTCTGAGCATCCTCCAACGCCTTCAAGCGCTTGATCATGGTGGCATCATCGACTTTTTTCGCCTTCTTCAACGGAGGAATGATTTCGTCAAGATCGAACACGATAGCGGACGTCACAGTACCAGTCGGCGAAGGTGGTCGAGATCCAGCCGGAGTAACGTCGCCAGAGACAGAAGCAGCCGCAGAGCCAGAGCCGACACCGAGAGAATCTTGCGTCTGAGGTGGCAAGGTATCGATCTTGCGGCGAGGACCAGGTTTCTTCCGCGCTTTCGGTGTTCCAGCACCGGGGGGAATACTCTCAACGCTTTGCTCGCGAGGAGTGGGCTGACTGGGAAGCAGCTTGGCCTTGGCCTTACCCTTCCCTTTGCCAGTCGGAGTGGATTTTGGCGCGATCTCCTGGATGGACGCGGTCGAACGTTGGTCGTCCGCGATGGACTGCTCCACTGCGGCGGTGATGTCTCCGAGGTCCTTGCCCAATCTCCGCTTCTTGTTCGCGTGGCCGTTCTTTGCTGCCATCGGGACATCCAAATCACTGCTGCTGGCCTCCGAGACAGCCCGAGATGCTGGACGCTTCGCAGAGTCGACAGCCTTGCCTTTGCCCTTGTTCTTGCTGGAAATGGCGACGAAATCGTCCGGTCCGACGCTTCCGTTTTCGAACGGAAGTATGGGCTCTTGTGCGTAAGATGGCGTCGGAGAGCGTGCATGCAAGTGTGACAGGGGATCTTGTTCGAATATCGGCTGTGGGATGACTGGAGGAGGGGGCGATGGTGGCGGTGGCGGCAGAGGAATGCGGTCAAGGGTTGCTGCGTAACGTTTTGAAAGGGAGTCCAAAACCATGAAGTTTTGATCCTAAGAGTTTGGTCAGGCGAGGAACAGGTCACAACATCAAGCACACAGTCAACTCACGAGCATTGTCTGTTCAAAGTAGTGCTCCACCGTCCTCTTCCGCTTCTGCGTCTCCAGCATGTACAATCCCAGCTCACCCATGTAAATCTCTTCACAGTCGCTCAAGTCCGACGACACCAAACGACGGTCCTCTTCTGTCGGTGTCAATGGTCTTTGGGGTACTGGCGCTTCAATACGATGCAGAGTGGTCATCCCATCCATCATGGGTGATTCAGTGCTGCGAGGCTGGCGTGTTGAACGCATCGGTTGACGGCGTGTTCCCTGCCACGAGCGTTTCAAGCAAGTCAGAACCGAACCAGACAATGCAACAAGTAACGTTCAACGTACCCGTCGCGTGCCCGGTGGCTGGTAATCTCCATCGTCTTCCCTCGTCTTTCTCTTCTTCTTTGGAGGTGAAACGTTCAGACCCTCCACACTATCCTTCACGAACGTGAGCGGCTCCGATGGCATACGGTCGTGGTCCGCCAACGAACTTGATCCAGAATCCAACGGTGTGGCGACACCCTCGACGGACTGGTGAGTGCCAGGGTCATACCTTCGGAAGTTGAACTGAGACTCCTCCACCGGGGTTCCTACGTCGGAGTATGCTGGAGTGTCGGGCATACGTTTGGATGTACTACGGCGTCGTCGTGTCTGAGTTGGTGAAGAAGATGGACGGAAGTCAAGTTGAGGGTGCATCAGGGCAGGATCAGCAGGGGGTGCAGATGGCTGCTGTTGGACCTGCGAGGGCATAGAGTGCGGGGGAGGTACAGAGTCGTCATTCAAGATTCTGCTCAGCGACATGACGTGAAGTGGATATAGAGTCTGAGGAACGACGAGGAGGGCAACAAGACTGCTGGCGGAAACACTGGATGACCAGTCAACAAGCGTCGAATGTCGGGCGTGGGATCAAAAAGGAGGCAGTGGACGTAAATGCCCTCAAAAAGGCAACGAAGAAATCTTTCTAGGTGGAATGAAGAGATTCGGTATGTTCGAGTTTAGCGGGGTGGGGGCGTTGCGGGGAACGGGAGGGACGTCGTCGACGGCGACGGGGACGACTTTGGGGGGAGAGAAGAGAGGATAGCGAGCCCCAGGGGAGATCTGACGGGAACGCGTCAGGCATTCTAACCTATTATTTCCTCTTTGAACACAGCCAGACTCGCCTATTCGCGATATCCGCCGTTCCAAAACGGCCGACTCGCAGGCGCACGCGAGCCGCACGATACCCCACACGGACATATTCACTTGTTATTTCGCTCGTCTTCTGGGTACTCACTACTGTCCTCGACGACGGTCTCTTATTGTCGTGCAACGTGCTGTGACACCTTGTTTTGCCCTGGGAGCTTGGTCCGAGCGCTCAACCGACGTACGTCGAATATGTATATCAACGCCACGTTGCGGGGCCATTACATATCCTACCCCCAATTTGGAACTCACTGCGAAGTTGCTGGGCGGTGTGGCAACTGTGGCGACATCCACCTTCTGTCTTCCGTGTTTCTTCAACTCGCCTGTCGCAGCTTGCAGCTCACGACCATAGCATCTAGTTTCTGGACTGCATTCACGCCTCCGTACACTGATATAGCTACGATACATCTCATATCTGAACCCAGTTCCAAAGATGGAAGGAAAGCACCGAAGCAGCCTCTAGGGCTCATCAGGGTAAAGCATCAACTCCGGCTTGACCTTCGCGTCGAACTCTTCCGGGGTCAAGAATCCGAGGGAGACTGTAGCCTCCTTCAACGTCGTGCCCTCCTTGTGCGCCTTCTTCGCGCACTTCGCCACATCTGTCATGTGGTTTGTCAGCGATCAATGTGCCCACGCGAAAAGGACAGGCGAGAATGCGTACTATCGTATCCAAGGTGGCTGTTGAGAATGGTGGCGAGCATCAGAGACTCGTTGAGGATGGTGTTAATGCGCTTCTCGTTGGCCTCAATACCGACGACACAGTTCTTCGTGAACGACCGCGAGCCGTCAGCGAGGAGACGGATGCTCTGGAGAACATTCTTGATGATGACTGGCTTGAACACGTTCAACTAAGAAACAAATTCATTAATCAATATCGAATCGTTTCGCAGAAGCGAATGCAACGAACCTCGAATTGTCCATTCGAGCCAGCGATGCTGACGACAGTCTGATTGCCGATGACCTGAGCAGCGACCATAGTCAAGGCCTCGCACTGCGTAGGGTTAACCTTTCCAGGCATGATGCTGCTTCCGGGCTCGTTCTCTGGCAAGCTGAGTTCACCGAGACCGCAGCGAGGGCCGGAGCCGAGGTAGCGAATGTCGTTGGCGATCTTCATGAACGAGCAAGCAATGACATTGAGTGCACCATGGGCTTCCACGAGCGCGTCGTGAGCGGCAAGGGCTTCGAACTAGAAAACGATTAGAAATAGTAATACAGTGGATACTTTAGAGGAAGTACCTTGTTCGGAGCTGTCTTGAACTCGATACCGCTAATCTTGCTAATCTCAGCAGCGACCTTCACATCGAAACCCTTCTTGGTGTTCAAGCCCTGCGTGAAGACGATGAGAGCGAGACCTACAACCGCATTAAGGTAGAAGGTTTACAGTGCCGACAGCGGTACCACCCTGAGCCAGAAGGCTGAGTCGTGGGAGTACATCCTTCACACGATCAATCCCATTCGAAACTTGGGTTACGTAGCCGCTAAATTCTTGACCCAAAGTCAAAGGAGTAGCATCCTATTGGAAACCAAAATCAATACTTGGGTGTGATCCGTCGAGTGAAGGTACACTTGCCTGAAGATGTGTACGACCAATTTTGATGATGTGGTCGAACGCCTTAGCCTTTGCATCCAAGGCATCGCGGAGCTCCTCGAGAGCGGGGACTAGGGAGTTGACGATCTCGGTCACTGCGGCGACATGCATCGCAGTTGGGAAACTATGCAACACGGTCAATGAATACTTCCATATGCTCGAGAAGAGAACTACACGTACGTATCGTTACTGCTCTGGCTCATATTAACATGGTCGTTGGGATGAACGGGCTTCTTAGAGCCCAGCTCCCCACCCAAAATCTCAATAGCGCGGTTAGAGATAACCTGCTCCGTAGTGGCATGTGAGTGGCGGCACTAGGATCCAGAGGACTGCGCCAACGCACCTCGTTCACGTTCATGTTGCTTTGCGTTCCACTGCCAGTTTGGAAAACAACAAGAGGGAAATGGTCCATCAGCTTTCCGGAAATGACCTACTCATACGTGAATATTAGTACCTAGAATGTGATATCGAGCGCTAACCCTTCAGCTCACCTCATCTGCAGCCTGCTGGATAGCCTCCCCAACCTTTGGGTCCATCCCATATCCAACATTGACCACCGAAGCCGCCTTCTTCAACACACCGAAAGCCTTAATCAGAGGTGGGGGCAAACGTTCCGAAGGTCCGCCAATGTCGAAGTTCTGCAGTGACCTACAGCATCATGGTTCGGCTGAGCTTTCCGCGGACATGACCGGTGTGCACACCGAGACGTACCGTTGTGTCTGAGCACCCCAGTACCTGTCTGAAGGTACCTTCAGGTCTCCGAACGTATCCTTCTCCGTCCTGAATGTCTGTTCCGCCTGCCCTCACCGATAGACCCTCAATCTCTGTGATTCCAAAAGTCCAGATGTAACAGTACTCACCATAGCGCGAATAGTAGTTGAGAATGCTCTAGAAGAGACTATGCCTTGCCAGCGAGAAGAAACTGCGAAAGACTATGTACAAACGTCGTTCGAAAGCAGATCAAATTGAGACCCGCAATCGAATCCGATTCCAGTCCCGTGCGATACGCATTGGGACGACAGAGGAGCGGGCGGCGGGCGCAGGGACGGAATCACATGGACGAGTATTTTAGGATCAATTCACCTGCTATTGCTATCGAGAACGGTGAAGACGCACCTTTTGGGGGAGCCTGAGGCCTGCCATGGCTGAGATGGGTGTGGGGTGACTAGGGAAGAGATGTGGAGAACGACGAGCAGGGTATGTTCCTGACGGCGGAGAAGGCTGCCTTGCCTGCGCGGGTCATGTCGGCTGCTCTCGGAAGGAATCCTTGGCCAAATGGAAAATCGGAATGGCGACACGTTCGCGTCTCTGTTCGCGGCGTTCATGAGAAAGTCATCTTTTGTGCAAGAAAAACTCACAAAATAGGCCAAAACATTATCTCGACATTCCGAGACGGTCTGGGTCGATCCGTATGAATATCGACATCTCGTGTTTTCGGACGCGCTCGACGCGTTTGACCGTGAGTAGGCGCGCATGACATGTGATTGCAGTATGGAAAGAGCGCCTCCGACTACACCAGCACCTTATTAGACCTCTCTACCATAGCACAACCTCTCCTGAAACTTACATTCACTTGACCACAGTACAGCTGAACCAAAATGTCCATCGTCGCATCCCAAGTTATCTTGCACCCAACCGTCTCCAATTCGCTCAAGGTCCTCGCCACAACACTCGGACGGGACAAGGTTTGTGCAGCACTCACCTCTGTGGCGATTAGCTTCGAGATCATTGACTGGATGTATCAACAAAGGTCTACCGAGCTGTCCAATACTTCGCTCGATTCTTTGCTTGGTACCTTTTGTCCCGGGGCTACAAGCTCGAAGCTTCACGATGGAACGCTTTGAAAGGTCACCTCGCCACAGGGAGGAAGCGTGCGTAATTCGGGCCTGAACTTGCTGCATTCCAATAGCTCAACCTCGTCCGGCCCTCAATAATTCTCAGTCTTGCGTCTTGGAAAACCTGTGGAACATCTGCAGGCTGCTCTCCGTGCATCGCAGGGCACCGGTGAGATCAAGGAGCAGCTCTTGACTATCGCGAGACAATTGGGTTATTTCGGATATCTGACCTATGATGCTATCGTCTGGGTTCGTAACTTCGCTATTTCGAAACGACAGTGACTGCAGGCTAAACGTGCATGACTTTGCAGGCAAATTCCATCCGTTTCCTGATGCTCAAGCCTGAGACAGCGCAGAAAGTCAACAAGACCGCCAACCGCTTCTGGCTGGCCGGAATCCTATTCAGCATCACCCATGCCGTCTTCAAGGTAAGTTCATCCTAACATCATTGTTTCAGCGAGCCATTGACGGGTTTATGTTGGTGTGGCGGTGGCGCGAATTTAGGCAGGAAGATTGACGCAAGAAGCTAATGAGCTTCGTTCCATGAACGAGAAGAACATAGGTGGCGAGAACGCTAGATTGTCGCAGCTGAGGGCTCTTGAAAGGTAATGCCCCACATAAAATCCTGTTCATTCGGATCCGCTCAGCCATGATCATGGCGCAGTGCTCGTGCAGACACCCGACAGCAGTTCGTGATCGACATCCTCGACCTCTGGATCCCGGCTGCGAACGTCGGCCTTGTAAACTTCAACGACGGCATCTTGGGTATCTTCGGGTACGTCCCTTGTCTGCATGTAAAGTTGTTAAAAGGTTTGGTGCTAACCAATATTACAGAGTCATCACGTCCGTCTTGGCTCTCCGCTCGCAATGGCTGTCCGTGACTGGTGCGAAAAGGGCCTGATATGCTGCTCTGTGCTTGAGGAATATTGGCCGTCTGCTTTGTCCCATACTATATGCTCTCTTGTTCTGTATTCTTGGATGATAATTATGATATTTGTGGTGTCCGATGCAAGATGAGAGTGAGAGTAGAGGGTTCAAGTATAAATACAACAAAACCGAGTAGAGATCAAAGAGGCAAAGAGGCGACAGCATCTAGGAAGGTGTCTGTGAGGCTTGCTGTTGATTCCGGATCCGCAGGTACTCCTCGCGGGCCAGTTGCATACTGTCCGGATTCGTGCTTTACTCCAGGGATTAGTTGAAACGAAGGCGGACAGAGGTCTCTTGAACGCACTATTGATACATGCAGTCCTGTAACCGCTTGTAATGATCCTTGCACGCCCATGCTACAGTCACAGTCCTTCCTGTCGCACATTCAGCGAATTCTAACGAAATGCTGCGTTATAATTGTACTCGGGAAGACAAGAGCTGACTTGGACGCACCTTTGACGATGGGGTCACACTCTTTGAGTGCGTAAGCCTTAGTAGTCTTCATCAAGGTGTCCTCCTCCCGTCGAGAAAGCGTGTTCATAGCCATCGTGCGCAGACAATTGTTGTAAGAAAGCAAATATGGCGGAAGAGGAAAGTGGCAAGACCGTTCGCAATCGGAACCGCGCGCTTGTTTGGATCGGAAGCCGTAGCCAAACAACGCCCTCCGGAGCTCCGCCACGAGCCGCCACCCAAGCTGACCCAAGCTCGTCCGAGCCTGGTTTCAAAGCTTCACATTTGATTCACCTAGACTTGCTTTCCCTTCCATCTTGCGTTTCTTATTATATTACTCGATGGCTTCAATCTTGCGCTCGGCGACAGTTCGCGTGTCGAAACGCTCCGTGCCCCCTTGTACCCGCTCGCTCGCCACGCATTCATCCAGCTCTGAGCCCGGGAAGCGTAACTTTGCTCAGACTTTGTCCGAGGGACCGTCTTTCGATGACTTCGTTGCGGGTGATGTTCCCGAGCGTGTAGTCATGGGAAACACCAGCCAGTACGCAGCTCGTCGTGTTTTACTCTTACACTTCGCGTATCCAACGGAAAATGATATGACAGACCACGGCTTCCTTCATTCCTCAAGACCTCTATTCCGACCGGACCTTCGTTTACGAAAATTAAGAAGGAATTACGAGGACTTGGTCTGCATACTGTCTGTGAGGAGGCTCGGTGTCCAAATATCGGAGATTGTTGGGGTGGAAAGGAGGGCGAGTCGGCAGAGGAGGGCAAGAGGGGTGCCACCGCGACTATCATGGTATGTTTGCGTGGTACTCCGACATGGGCGATCGCAGCTTACCGCCTTCTAATTTACGTCGACAGTTGATGGGCGACACTTGCACTCGTGGTTGCCGGTTCTGTTCTGTGAAGACATCACGAACACCACCTCCACTTGATCCGCATGAGCCAGAGAATACCGCAGAGGCTATTAGTCGATGGGGTTTGGGATATATTGTGTTGACCAGTGTCGACCGTGACGGTATGCCATTTCGTTCATGACATTTGTCAAGTAGATCCTCACTCGCATAACCACTTGCAGATCTCGCCGACTCGGGCTCACATCATTTCGCCGAGACCATCCGGAAAATCAAGCAGAAGTATGTATTATCCCCTATATCACGCCGTTCTGCTCCTTACCAATGCATCCTGGCAGAGCGCCTCAAATTCTGGTCGAAGCGCTCACCGGCGACATGGACGGCAACCTCGACCACGTCGCTGTCGTCGCCAAGTCGGGTCTGGACGTCTACGCACACAACATCGAGACCGTCGAAGCCTTGACGCCTTTCGTTCGTGACCGAAGGGCTACCTTCAGACGAAGTCTGAGTGTGCTTGAGCGTGCTAAGGCTGAGGGTGTGCGGGTGACCAAGACCAGTATCATGCTGGGTGTGGGCGAAAACGAAGAGCAGGTCATGGATGCTCTACGAGGTATGTCATTGCCTTGAATTTTACCATAAATCTCGTCGTTTACCGATCGTATGATTGACTTTTGTAGAACTGCGAAAAGTTAACGTGGACGTCGTGACCTTCGGCCAGTACATGCGACCTACAAAGCGACATATGAAGGTTGACCGATATGTCGAGCCGGCTGAGTTCGACAGGTGGAAGCAGGTGGCTGAGGATATGGGCTTCCTTTACGTTGCCAGCGGTCCACTTGTGCGGAGTAGCTACAAGGTCTGTCTCCTTTTCCTTTTGTGCACACCATAACCGACTGAAGTTATCTGCCATGCCAGGCTGGAGAGTACTTCATTGAGAATGTTCTCCGAGGCAAGGGTGCCGAGAAGCAGACGCAGAAGCTGCTCGTGCAGGACGGTCTTCTGGCCCACACTGCGCCCTCCTCTTGATGCAGATGGGCATCTCACTACCTTGACTGTCTATGTTTAGATGCTATCGTACACGCTACGATCTTTTATCGATCGAACTATGGTAATGCTATCCTATACAGCGCTTCTCAAAAAGATCCCTGGCATGTCCCACAGACTCAGTGCCCCAACCTTCATTTATACTTTCTTTCGGTAAGGGTCGTGAACTCTGGGCCCAAGGTACCAGTGTAATCATAGCGAAAATAGATCCTTAGACCGAGCGAGCTCGAACAGAGCCCACGGACACAACCAAATGGAAATTGGCCTTGTATATTCGGTCTACTCGAGGTGATTGTACTCATACGCTGATTGGCTAACCTTACGCTCGTGTGGCTTCTGCCATAACTCATTGTTCTATTCAACGTTCACCTGAGAAACAAACGGCATTATTTTTCCCTTTCTCCCTTTTTGGACACAATTAGACGCCACTCTGTTTTATAGTATATATACACGTTGCCTCACCTGAAGTTGCTCGCTTCTCCTTCTCTGTCTTCCTCTGATCCCCTTGCACTCCCATAGCACCCCAGAAGATGAAGCGCGGCTTCCTCAATAGCAGCAAGGGCAAAAAGTCCAGCGACGGTAAGCACTTCTATGTAGGATCCCGCCGTCATTGATTCAGTACAACACAGCGAGCGACACCCTCAAGACCACCAGAGCGATCGATTATCTCGATCGTATGTTGTGTCCATTTCCTTAACTCTTTCGTGACGGATAATGAACACGGTTGTCCCTTTCGCGGATTTTCAGAGGCTATCAAAGCGTTCGAGCTCCAAGAGCATGTTGGTGGAGGGCCCGAATGTACGCAGTCACTCCTTCCTTTGTCTTGTATCATTGTGAGACGACATCTGCTTATGAACGTTCAATAGCGATGAAGTCGCGCAATATCCCAGAGCTCAAGACGCGAATGCAAGATGATCCCGAAGCCAGACCTGATGGTTCATCAGGCTAGCGTACGGGCACCGATCTGATTTGACAGGTGCGTTCCTGTCAGCGACAGTCTTCGTGCAGGGTTCGACCTGATCTCCACATGTAGGCAAAAGTCCCGAAGGCCATAGCTTTCCGCAGATACAGAACTTGACGCCGACTGTCAACGGCGACCTCTTGCTCACTACGAGCAGCACGCACAATCCATCGCAGACCATGGTCTTCACCACTCAACCTCCCAAACTCGAAAACGACGATCCTGACGGCCATTCTGAGTGCTACATGCTACTTGCCACCAAGCAGCTCTTTCTCGCCACCAAGGACTACCCTCAGCCGCTCCGTCAGTATTCCTCTTCAGCATTCCGTATCGGGCCCGCAGGCCATTGCGGTTTGGGCATGTTTGCGACGCGAACGATTAGACACGGAGAGTACATATGCATCGAGAGGCCGATGATAGTCATGCCGTCTTCGACTCTTATCCATGGCAACGTCTCAGACGAGTTGTCACTCAACATGACCTATGAGAAATTGGAACAGATCATGCTCGTGGAGAGAGAGCTGGCCCTCGAGGTGATGCTCAAACGCCTGCCACCGAAGCAACAGGAGCAGTACATGTCGTTGGCTAACTGGTACGTCGCTCAGTGATACGGTCCCCATTGAAGATCCAGCTCAACCGTTTCAATAGTAACTCTTTCCAGCCATCCTCACGACGGTAGCGGACCCCTCTTGGGCAGGTTGAGAACGAACGGTTTGATGCTCGATTCCAGGCTATATCATGACGAGCACGGCAAAAAGATCCCCTTCACTGGAGTCACTTACAACATATCACGGTTGAATCACAGGTCAAGAGTTCATCGCCTTTTCCTATAGCCTTCCCAAAACTGACGGATCCCGTTCATTGTATATGTATAGCTGTCGCCCTAACACCACGTGGAGCTTTGACACCGCATCTTTCTCGTACAAGGTCCGAGCCGTTCGCGAGATCAAGGAAGGTGAGGAGCTCTTCATCTCCTACACGATCGGTTCCTCCGCGAGGCGACGAGACCAACTCGCTCCGTACGGAGTCCAATGTACCTGCGCCTCTTGCACGGACCCCAAGTCAGACGAACGCCGCGCCAAGATTCGGCCTCCCCGCATGAACCTCTTCGATCCCTCGATCCCTCGCCGGCCTCCCGCCAAATCTGACCCGATGGCTTCCATGGAGGTGTTGAGACCACATCTTGAGAGTTACAGGAAAGAGAGCCTGGCCCAGCTTGTGCTGATAGAGAAGGAGGGCATGTGGAATCGGAAGGAGTACCGGCAGCATCACCAGGCGTTAGCTTCGGCAAACATGATGCTCAAAAACGAGAAACAGGCTGAGTATCATCTGTCCAAGTTGCCAAGAGACGATGAGATGTTTGGTGATGAGGCAGTCAAGTTGTTATTCGTGTGAAAAGGGGGTGTGGCGTAGGGTTTCCAACATAGGCGTGGACAAAGGATTCGTGACGTGTTGTATGCTATCAATTACTCGAAGTGAGATTACTGGCATTTTGGTAGTAAAAAGAGTGCCTCGAGAAATTGCTTGACCAGCAGGCATCTAACATACTGTAACTGTCGATTATATTACATTGACATGTTGGGTGGCGCTGCGTACATAAAAACCTTCCGGGAATCACCGAGTAGTTGACCCACAGCTCCGATTCCGAACGCTCTTGAAGACCGAGGCGGGACACTCATTCTACGTCCTCTTCATTCTACTTCCACTCCATGCTGGCTTTGACTTACTTGAGCTGTTTGCTTTCAAGCTTAGCGGTAGGACAGACCGTTCGACGCTGAGATATGTATACTAGCAGTAGACGCTCGTGACTATCGGTATTTCTGCCGGTTTGCTTCCACAGGGACCCGACGATCCATCGTGCTTCCATGACCGTGATTCTGGCTGGGAAAGTTGGAGTCCTTATCGAACAGAAAGAACTCCCTTTGAGCGCAAGGAATGGGTGGCGCGATGATCGATTGGAATGGTAGTTGGTTTGTCTATATCGGAAAGCGTTCTTTGATCCTCATGCGTTGATTGGCCAGCAGTGCGACTCCCTGGCTTCTGTCCTAGCTCATTGTCTCATCCGAGTCAAAAGCAAAAGTATTATTGTGCCTTCTTTGGGCGCAATCAGGGCACCGTTCTGTGTATATATGGATGTCGCTTGAGTCGAAATTGTTCGTTCCTTCTCTTTCTCTGTCTTCTCTGGTCCCTTGCATTCTCATACGCCACCGAAGATGAAGCGCGGATTTCTCAACGGCAATAAGGGCAAACGCACCCAAAATGGTATGTTCTCGTTCTTCTCTATTTGATGTTCATTATGATCTTGATCGAACCACTCTGCATCAGCGGACCACCAACCCCGGCACCCCAACTCGAAGGCAATTGCAGCTCTTGATCGTAAGCTAGGCTCGTCTCCTACGCTTTTTCGCAGCAGCTAATACACTCATTGGGTGTACACTTCAAGGGGCTCTGGAACAACTCGACATCAAGGAAGACAATGGTACCAAGCCTGATCGTACGTTGCCACCATCCCTTTCTTGCCATGTGTCGTTTTAAAGTACTATGCGCCTTGGGACACTGTAGCGGTGAAACCACGCAAAATCCCGGACCTCAAGCGGAGAACTCAAGACGACGCCGGAGCCAAGCTTAGTGGGCATATCAGGATGGCGTACGGCAGCCAGCCCGAGATGGCAGGTATGTTCTCCTCGCCAACCACCAATAGTTCAGTCTGTATCGAAATACTTATCCCGAACATGTTTCTCCCGATATACAGCCAAGATCCTCCCTGAGGGCTACAAGGCACCGGAAATGCAGAATTTGAAGCCTAATGCGGACGGCGACCTCCTACTCACTAGCGGCAGCTCGTACGGTCGACCAACGACCATACTGTTCACAACGCAACCTCCCAATGTCAAAGACGATGATCCTGACGGCCAGTCTGAGTGCTACATGTCACCCGCCACAAAGCAACTCCTCCTCGCCACCAAGAACTACCCTCAGCCGATCCTTCAGTATTCTTCTCCGGCCTTTCGTATCGGTCCCGCAGGCAAGTGCGGTTTGGGCATGTTTGCGACGCGAACTATCAGAAACGGTGAATATATATGCATCGAAAGGCCGATCATGGTTATGCCAGCTGGGACTACAATCTTTGGCGAGGTCTCTCGAGAGCTGTCGGTGAACATGACGTATGGGTCCATGCAACAGATAATGCTTGCTGAGAGAGAGTTGGCGCACGAGGTGATGTTCAAACGTTTGAAGCCGAAGCAGCAAGAGGAGTACATGTCGTTGGCGAACTGGTATGTCTTTCAGGGTCACTGCTTTCAGCGTCGAACACTTCGCCGATTTATTTATTTATTTTCTACCCAGTCATCTTCACGACGGCAGTGGGCCCCTCACTGGCATATTGAGAACCAATGGTTTGGCACTCGGCAATGTACTTCACCACGAAGTCCAGGGCCAAAAGATACCTTTCTCCGGAGTCCCATACAACATATCACGGCTCAATCACAGGTGACAAACACACCACTCTTTCGTCCCCCTCCAGCCCAAACTGACGCACCTTTTGGTTTGTATAGCTGCCGCCAGAATACCACATGGGGCTTCGACATGGCGTCATTCTCGTACAATCTTCGAGCCGTTCGTGAGATCAAGGAGGGTGAAGAGCTCTTTATCTCCTACACCGACGACGGCACCACCGCCGAACGTCAAGAGCAGCTCGCTCCGTACGGTTTTCAATGCACCTGCGATTCTTGCACAGACCCAAAGTCGGACGAACGCCGCGCCAAGATTCGACCTCCCCGTACGACTGTTTTCGATCCTTCCATTCCACGCAAACCTCCTATCAGTGCCAACCCGATGGCGAACCTGGACCTGCTCAGACCACATCTCGATAGTTACATCAAGGAGTGTCTGTCGCAGCTTGCGCTCATCGAAAAGGAGGGGATGTGGGCGTGGAAGGAGTATCGCCAGCATCATCAGGCGTTGATGTCAATAAACATGCTTTTGAAGAATAAGGCGCAGCAGGCGTATCATCTGTCCAAGTTGCCCAGGGAGGATGAGATGTTCGGAGATGAGGTGGCCGGGATGGTATTCGCCTAAATGAAATGTGTAGCGTATGTTTTATACGACTCGGACGGCGTGGCGTCGTCTTTCTTGTCGCCGTACATTTACTTTCACACGGCGAGAGCTCTAGTACAGTTGTCTGAATTTCTCGTCCCTTCTTCGAGCACACTGACCATCAGATGAACACAGGAATCAACGTTGCAACTTGGTTGCAACATACTGCATTCATGTGGTAGACAGCACGTTTCAGGTTTAGGTGCCGCTGGTATACGCGTTGAGTAGGTGATTTGCCTCAGGGTAAGAGAATGTGTGTTCGACCTCAGGCTTGATCGGAGTTCGAATGTGGACCACTGGCCAATGAACAAGCCGGATCTTTCATTTCAGATGCCTTCGCCTCTCTTTCTGCATTCTCCACGGCAAGTCACCAGCTCTCGGCGCTTCACAAACTATTTATCTTATCCATCTCGCCTGCTCCATTCTCGTGGTATCCGCGTATGTTGCTTGACCTGACATTCTAGAAATACCGTGGTCGTGCGGCGCCCACTCTTGTTCACATGCCAAGGCTATCTCCATTCTTCAAGATGTCTTCACCGACACAATGTGCACATCTCCATCGTGTAAGTCACTCGTTTCGTTGACTTCAGGCGTATACAATTCACAACTTCACGATGACCAGTGTCCTACTTCTTGTTCCGCAATTACCTAGGCTTGGGTCATCTCCCTGGATCCACTCTCTTCGACTCGGAGCGCGAGAGCGGGATCAGAGATCACAAACAATATGTGGATGCCCCTTTTTCAAATGGAAATTAGAACCAAGGAGACATCGTGGTGTACTTGGGCATGTAATTGAAGCTCAGTAGCACTTAAAGCTAAGGTCGTCACGATCTCACATATGCCGCGCTGCATCCTTCCCTCTTCACCTGAGACATCTTGCGGCGCAACACTCTACCCCACAGTATCACCAAATCCATGACATGGGGGATTCGATACTGTCCTTGCCACGGGAGATTGTCTCCTCAGATAGTATTTGGTGCGCTGAGATCCTCCCGTAGCATGATGCCATCGACTTACAAGTTTCTCGTCAAATGTGACAGGTTGATCTCAAATTATATCTACCTTTCCGCTACCGGTAAGGCTGGACGTTATTACTGTGTTTGTATTCCAATGACGACTAATTGGTACAACTCCGTATTAGTCTTGTGTATACAAGATTGGGTACAGACATTTCCGACGGAGTTGGGGGCGATATGGCAACGAAACCTAACAAGTACTGCGAGCATATTCTTGCTAAACAAATATTTGGTTTTCCTCTGGGCCGTGGCGCAGTTCATTCTCCTCTTCACAGGCTTGTCCTTAGGCATAAGGTATATTCTCGATTCGTTCACAAGAATTTCCCGTGGCTTACAATTACGAAACAATCACTCAGTTGTCGGGTTATGAGTGGTCTTACACAGATTGCCCTATTATTATGCAACGCTCTTACTGGCCGTATGCATCATATAATTCTTCATGCAACTTATCGTATCAACCTCGTTCCGCGTTGACCATCTTGCAGTGCTACTCACCCTTCGGGTATATGCGCTCTGCCAACGAAGAAAAATCATCCTAGCAGTATTCTCAGTTTTTTTGCTCTCGAGATTTGCGCTCGATATTGCAGTGCGTCATTCCTGTGCATCGAAATTTATTACTCTTGAGACTTGGGTTGCACAGATCATCGTGACATCGCAAAGCTCGTGGAGACAGGAGACACCATCGGGGACATTCTCGGGATGTCGATTGGCAATGCTCCCTCGGAACTCTGTGTATGTCGGATTTCACTGTTACATTTTGCGGATTAAGCCAAAGATGGCAACTGAGAGTATTCATCTAGACGTCTGCAGGCGGCTGATTGCTGTGTCGCATTGACTTTCAACTTGGTCCTGATTTCGATGACGGTTCACATGACATATATATCTGTGAGAGAAAGGGACAGGCTCGGAGTCCCACCTGGTATAACATATATTTTACTTCGTGATGGTGAGTGTAATCTACTGTGATCATATGTGTGTCAGTTATGAGATAGCACTTCCTTCCCTACAGGCGTCATGTACTTCCTGTGAGTCGGTTATGAGCCGGTACTCAAGTTTTCGTTGAGGGAATCTTGGGATCATTATCGCTCAACAGCAATGCTTTTAGTGTGGTCTTCACCATAGAATGCATTCAAGCTGCGACAAGCATCGTGAGTCCAACTGCCTCTCAAATAACTCCTTGGACAAACTAAATCAAGTTGCCTCCCATAGACATCCCTCCTGGCCACGAACAATGTGCATTAGTCTATGAAACTATCCCATTATAAGGCCTAACTTAATAATTGCACGCAGCTGTCGTACACGAAGTCGTGTTTTGGCGCAATCGTATCATCGTATACTGTGGTGTGCGCTTTTTTTTTGTATATGGGGTGCTACTTCTCTATATGATCTGATGCTTGACTAATCTACGTTATATTGCAGACTTCCAAACATGCTCGTCAACCGGCTCTTTCTGAACTTGAGAACATTCAATATGCCAGTGGTTCTGGAGCCATCCTTTGACGATATACCCGAGCCTACATTTGCTCAAAATCGGTTTCTTGGCAACATCGGACTCCCTCTCGATAGTGACTGGGGGAACACAATGAGCGACGATGACCGAGTGGCCATTGACTCTCAAGCGCCTCTTATGCGGGGAGATAGCGACGCATCCCATAATTCTGGTCCCTTGTTGTGGCACTCACAAGAGGTTGAGGACAAAGGGGAAAGCGATAGCCCTGGGCTTGCCAAGGGCCCACAAGACAATATGATGTCAGAGTCAACAAACGACGGAGAGAGCTCAAGGTGTCCTTCCGTTCCCTCCTATCATAGCCAGTGGACCAATATGGATAAAGTTGCCAAGGATTTGAGGTCGCTAGATCCTGCGGAGGGAGTGCTCGATGCTCTCAAGACATGGTCTGCGGTCATGAGCGACTCGTCAGACCCCGAGCTAGAACCTCGCAATCTCGAGCAGATGTGCGATTTACTAGGTATTATACCTAAACAGAGACTAGCTCGCGAGAGGCACGGTCGTCTAGCATTAGCGCTAGACCGTCAGGTCATCACTTCCTGTCAGCGCTACGTAGAGCGCGGTCAGACCAAGGACCTCCAGGAGGCGATATCGTCCTCGTGCCGAGCAATTAGTCTGCGTCCCCCTGGCCACCGTCTGCGCTCGCGATCTCTCGAAAAGCTTGTAGAAGTTGTTCACATTTGCATTGACCAAGGTCATGCGATAGAGTGCAACAGTACGACTGTGATCTGGGACATGCTTAGAGAGGCTGCCTCTGATATTACGACCACTCAGACTGCTCGAGTATCAGCCGCTCGAGAATGGACACACTTAGCCAGGGATTGTCACCATCGTTCTCTTCCTGCAGCGTATACAACATTCTTGACCCTACTTGAGCATGAGCTGAATGTGAATCCCAGTCTCGAGGGCCAGCAGGAGTATCTTGGTCGTCATTTCTCGTCGTTTGCATCTGACGCGGCGGCCTCCGCGATTGCATGTGGCCGTGCCACACTCGCGGTGGAGCTGCTCGAACGAGGCAGGACTTTGCTGTGGTCAAAGATGAGAGGGTACAGAGCATGTCATGATGGATTACCTCCTGAATTTGCACAGAGTTTCAAGGATATATGTAAAGAGCTCGAGCTCCTCGCGACGTCTGCCACTAGCCTAGAGCGCGTTTCACATCGTACGGAGGGGGACAAGTGGACGCAGCAACGAGCTCTGGCAGCCAGACTTGAGGACGTCATCCGTCAGATCCACTTGACAGAGGGATTCGATAATTTCTTACGTACGACACCATATCCTCAACTGCGCGAAGCAGCTGCAGAGGGCCCGGTCATAGTTGTCAATCTCTCTCGTATTCGTTGTGACGCCCTTATTGTCCTACGAGAACAAGACAAGCCGATAGTCGTATCACTCGCACGTCGGAATTCCGCAGAGGAACTTCTCAGAAAGGTAGCAGAGCTCAATCACGAGATAAATATAATCACTGATCCACGTCGCCGAGAAGAGGATTGCATGGGACGCATGCATTCCGTCTTGGAGGGATTGTGGGTGCTCCTCGTCGAGCCCGTCATCTCTTGTCTTCTCCGCAATCAAACGGCCCGCTTGTCGCGTATATGGTGGTGCCCGACTGGGAGTTCATGCAATCTTCCCCTCCACGCAGCCCGTCCACCGAACGCTCGGGAGCTTGGTTATGCAGACTTATATGTTCCATCGTACATACCCACCCTAGGGTCCCTCATAACATCGAGAGCAAATACTGTCCCTCGTGTCGGAGCCCCGCGGCTTTTAGTTATTGGTGAACCTGACGGATCTCTACCAATGATAGCAAAAGAGATCCATATTGTACGCGAGAGCGGTGAATTCGTCCAAACGCTCCTCGGGGAGAGCGTAACCCGCGATGCCGTGCTCGCAGGTCTGCGAAGCCATCAATGGGCACACCTCGCATGTCACGGGCACTTACGGCCCAATCCATTCCATTCGTATCTCCGGCTGCATAAACGCAGCCCTCTACGCATCATCGACATTGTCCAAGCTCGTCTTCCTGACGCTGAATTCGCCTTCTTATCTGCATGCCATACCGCGACGATGGGGCAACGAACAAACACCCCCGACGAGGCTGTTCACCTCGCTGCTGCTCTGCAGTTCAGTGGGTTTCGCAGTGTGGTCGGAACACTCTGGGGAATGGCAGACGACGACGGTCCGATTTTGGCAGAGGAATTCTATGCGCACATGTTCCGCCACGGCCCAGCGAAAGCGGACTTCAAAGACGCAGCCATGGCGCTCCGAGTGGCGACGAAGGCACTGAGGAGGAAGGGAGTGCCTGTGGATAGGTGGATTAACTTCATCCATATTGGTGCATAGTCCACCAATCTGGAGCGCGATATTGTGAGTAAGACCCCCAATTCACCATCTGTTTGTCCATCGCTGAAGAATGTAAGCTAGTGTGAGGGCCGTGCGTGTCAACAAAGAATCGTCAGGTATGGGGCTGTTGCCGTGCATGCATATATTGTGATGGGCAAGACTCTTCTATCAGGAGTTCTAAGTCGCTACATTGTGCGGAACATCGAGTGGTGACTGCCGAACAGGAAGCGAGACCGTAGGACCCTAGACACAAGTTATTATGTCAATGACAGAACGAAGACACGGAGATTCGAGAATGTATGCACTTACAGCCTGAGTTGGAGAATCGAAGGCCCGAGTCTGCTGACGGAGATGTGAATATATACTGCGAGGTCACGAAGATGAATAAAACCTATATGATGGAGGGTCGACTCTCGCTGATAGACAAGATAGTTCATGGCACAACATAGCAAAGCGGAAAGACAATGTTTATTGAGGACGTGCCGACACATGACAAAACGTCGGCATGGACATACATGAACACAATGGACAACATTCTCCCACTACCTCTGGCCGGACACACAGCATCAGACCGAACGACTCCTCGGAAACAGGAAAAAGAAAGAAAGAAGAAAATCTCCACGAGGGAGAGGGGGTTTCCAAAAATTGTGCGGAATACGAACGAGGAATCGTGTCAACAAGGACGACAACTCAACCCGTTCGCCATCCAGCCGAAGAACAGCGATCACGAAGACCACCGCTCTCCGACCAGAGCCGCGCAAGCCCAAAGCAAACGCAAGCGTCGACTGCGGGCTTGCAGAAACGGAGACACCGCCGGAACGAACCCAGCCGTCGTTGCAGATCGCTATCGCAAACGACGATGGGCACGAACCAGGAATGCCGAAAGAAGAAAGGGGTATGGGCGGATCAATTTCTGCCTATGTCTGTTATGACTATGTGATATGTTATATATGCAGTTTGTGCGTGCGTTGTGCAGCATGGACACGATGTCCGTAATAGCTCTGTGTATAGGCTTTCCCTCTGTGGGGTTCCCTTGCGGGTGTGCGACGGGGCGCGTTCGAAGCAGCTAGCGGGTATGCGTATGCGTGCTCGAGGTCCTGGTGTGGACGGTCCTGGTATGGACGAGGCGTGTGCCAGTGAAACGGGGGTTTCTATGCCAATAAATCTTCAGTGAAGGGTCAACGTCTGGACTATCGTTTCTAGTTTCATTCCGACCAGCAAGAGCTCCATGGCGTGCCGAAGCACGCAAGGCATCACCGATAGGCGACCAACCGCGGAGCGGTGACCGCCCTCGTATGAAGAACCCAATGGAGTCAGCCAGACAGAACTTCGCTTCTTGTGCAGAATCCATGTCGTATGAGAGGACTCCACGGCATGCCGAAGCACGCAGGACTTCACCGATAAACAGTCATCGCAAAGCGAGACCATCCTCGTATAAAGGACCTTGAGTGGAGCCTCCCGACACAAACACATCGACTAGGTCTCGATATAGCGAATTCGTCCGATAACTGTGTGCGACGGATCGTGACATATAATCATGTACGCATGTAGGGCAAGGTAGGCAAGCATATGGGGCGTAGATAGTGTCGATGATCGTCATATCGGTACGATGAATACGAGTAGAAGAGGGAGTCCAGGTGACAAGAGAATATGCAGGCACGCCAAAAAATTAAGAGTGATGAGCAGAGGGGAGTGGCGCCAATATGAGAAGGTCCAAAGCCGACGAGGTGAAGGATATCCGTTCGAAGTTGGAAGACACATTTGCCTAGTCGGGTGCTGGCTCTCGCCGCGCCGTAAGGCACGAAGAGTATCAGATGGCGAAGCCTACACTCCGCCTCCTCACTCGACTCGAGACCGCCTGCCCGAAGTGATCCTGTACCGCGGTACGTATTGTTCGTGAAAAAAAGCCTCATAACGTTGTGAACAGTAACATGGCAGGCAGAGAGGCTGACTCGAGAAAAAAACATATGAGGATACGTGTAGGTACTGAGACGAAGGGGATACGCACCTGGCAAAGGGTCGTGAATCGCAGCGACCGCAGAGACCACCGAGACGAAGAGGGCAGGAGTAAAGGTGGGGTGTGCGTTGTGCGTCGGTTCGGCATATGACATGGCCCGACAGCTACTTTAGGGCAGGCTTGTCGTCTCCGAAATCGTCCGAAATACTTTCCAACCGAGTGTCTGGCCGGGTCAAGATCAATGAATTTCCCGGAGCTTGGCCTCCAATACCACAAACACAATTCGAACGGTGACTTGCTACAGTATTGGCTCCTTCTACTTTTCTAGGCTCTTACTTCTGACTTTGCTTCATTCGATATTTCAGGCTCTCACTCTCAGGCTTCATAAATTTGTCTTGCTCAGCTTCGTATCATGTCCTCGACGGCGCGCGCCTCCACAGGCTGCCAAATTACCGTAGCACTGTTAGAAGGCGAAGCTACAAAAAGTACCTCTAACCTCCTATTATCCGAGATGTCTCAGGAACTTGAAGAAAAGATATATTTACGGTGAGCACCTTCTCAGTGGAATAGGACATGGTGAAAGCGAGGATAAATACGATGAGAGGTTCGCATGCCTACCAAATATCCGCACCAGAGACGAGGCCTGGTCGTCCATGTTCAGTCAAGGGTCCAAATGGATAATAACTCATCCTGGCCATGTCATTACGCATAATAGAGGCTCCAAGTACAATAACAGAACAATCAACTCCAGATAAACATACTCCTCCATATGTATGATCAAGAATCCGCACAATCCAAAAACGAAATATACTCTATAATGACAATCTAACCAATTGAGAACAGAGCGAGTGGCGGTGCCCATGGAGGCGGAGGAGGGCCACACAAATGAGTTATCATGCACCGAGCTCAAAATAGCGTACGAACGTCGAACGCTCAACGCTTCAGCGTTAATCCTGGGAGATTGAACATCTGTCACGAACAACGCACAATCAAGTTAGTAAGCCACAGAGAATCAGCCGCTGTCCAAAGCACTCGATGGACGAAGGAACACAGCTTACCTCGAAGATGGACTCCGAAGGGACTCCCCAGCCACGCAAACCCTCAACTCGATTATCCATGCGCGTACCGAGCATAACACCCACAACCGCACCCGTCTCCTCATCTATGATGGGACCGCCACTCGATCCTGCGGTAGGCGGTGGCTTGAATAGCATATGAGATAGCGAATCATATGTCCCTGGCTACGATCGAAACATCCTAAATATCAGCATCGACGCAACAAATTTGATCATACGACCAAGAGACAAAAGATGTGAGTGGAAAGACAAACCTGTGCCTCCCTACCCGCAAAATCTCTGTAGCCTAACACAGTCCCCTTCACCCACTTAGCCCACGAGCCTCCGACCCAGGGCTCCCATCCCTCACCGTCCTCACCGTCCAGCTGTGGTCGTGTGGCGCTGTGGAAATGAGCTCTGATAGGCGTTCCGGGATGTGCAGGATATGGTGATACGGGAAATGATGTAAGCTTCGAAAGCGGTGATCCGGAGGTCGCTATGTCTGAGGTGGCGGAAAGGAGAAGGAGGTCGGAACGGTGAAGGGAAGATAAAACGGAGGTGACGGGGTGAGTAAGTGTTGTTCCGGTGCTGTTGGGAGAGGACGAGAGGACAAAGGATCCGGAGGATCGGGCCCCCGGGAGATCGGGTGAGGAGAATGGAGAGGTAGAACCCGGCGTGCTTGGAAGGACGAGTAAAGGAGACCACCGTATCTGCAGAAAAGACGACAATGGGTATATTTGGCATGCGTGACATGTAGACAACCTGAAGGAGGCGATTCAGGATGGGCTGACACATACCTCCTCGAGTGTATGTGCGCAAGTGATGAACAAAGACTCTCCTTCCTGTTCACCGGTTCCATTGATCGCAAAGCCGGACGCTAGTGTGACTTTGTGCCTGTCTCCCTCCTGTGCAGCATGGGCGATGAGATGGACCTTCGCTGCGCCGGGATCCTGTGCATGGTGTGTAACGGAAGCAAAATCTGCGCGCCTCGACGGCGAAGGACGGGATTCGTACGGCAGATGCTGGTCAAGCACTCGTCCAGAGCGCTGCAAGTACTGATCTATAAGCTGAGGTAGACTCGTCCGTGACCCAGATGGCGTACGACTGAGAGCATCGAGGACAATTCGATCTATGTCTGAGGGTGGCTCAGACTCTTGGGTTGGCAATCGTGGCGGAGGCGACAGGGGCGGCTTTGCCACTATGACAGGTGTTTCTACCGTTGCGTATGCGCGAGACTGAGCAAATGCGCCGACGAGAGCTCTCGTCGTCGGCCGCACGAATATCGGCATGACGAGCTAACTCAGCGTTCGAGATGAAGCGGAAACTATAGAACAAACCAGCTGTAGGTATCACAAAGGCCGTGTGTTCCGCAAGAGATGGGGAACCGGCCGTGATGTCACTTCCGTGCACGAATGGAGCGTTCCGGTCCGCGCCAGAGTTATCCCAAAGCAACCACCCGGAGCCAGATGGGACAGCCCGGGCGTCGATCACGTCGTTGGCCGGAACAGGCCGGCCGTGTGCCGGATGTATACAGGTCAAGCGCGCTTCGTCCCATTCGATCTCACAGCTCTGCACCACTTCTCACTCGACACCATCCACGTCTCATCTACCATCGCCTTCAAGCCAGCGCACTCATCCACTCGACAAATCATCATGTCATCTCCTGCCGCTTCACCCATTCAAGGTAAGTCAGATTCATACCCTTGTTTGAGATTGCTCTGGGAGGCTCAATCGTACACATCAACACTTTGTCTCTGTCATAGTTTCCCCCTCGCCGCCCCTAGAATTGCGGCATATTACTTCCAGCGGTGCACTCACCCCTCAGAAGGACGCAAATAAGCTGTCCACACGTACATCACAACATCTCTCTCATCGTCTCGGCTCACCATCAGCCGGATCCATTCCGTCTTCACCTACATCCATGTAAGTCTACGAGTTTTTCGCTCGTGTGCGTTGTCTTCATTGCTATTCTCTTGGAGGAATCGTTCTTTGGAAACTCTCGTCTTTTGCCCGTATCGCTGTCGTCCTCCAATTTTACATAGAGACAATCCGATAAACATCGCTATGACGATTTCCAAATGTGAACTCCACTCCTGAAAAGCGCTGAACACATGCTAGCATTTTCACACTACTTGTATTCGTATCTCGCCAAACCCTATTGATTGACTAATTTCCCGTGACAGTCACTCATCGTCATCCGCCATTTTCGAGCGCGACATCGAACCTATCTCCCCATCACCATCACAGTCCCATTCGAATCCACATCGGACCCCCAGAGGGAAATTCACGGAGCAGCTCGACCAAGCGGTTCCTTCGGTTCTTGATTCGGCCGCGGCAGTCCTTACCTCGTCTTCCTCTCCGATCGATGAGCAGAACATAGCTATCGTTGCTCCAGCACCTGACATCGGGTCCCGTAGCGGCTTGACCAGTCCATCGTCCCGCATGAGCAGCCGGAGTCCCAGTCCCAGCGCCGGTTTTGGTCACGGTAGCGCAGGAAATAGGACGAGCGCGTTCATGAACCTGCCCAGTCCGAGCCCGAGCTTAACTCTTCCGCTCCCATTGCACACGACGTCTACTACTATATCTGCTGGAGCTCCTAGTCCGACTGCACCCGCCTTTCAATCCCCCCTGGCGAGGCCGAATTTGCAGAGTGCTATCAGTACGCAGTCTGTGAGCACACCGCAGCCGCCTGGTGCGTTCAACACCGTGTCGTCTACACCGACGTCGGCATATTTCTCCACGGCGTCATCAGAGGAATCTTCACCGACGACGACGACGCACGAGCATGGGCTACCCCAGACACAGACTTTAACTACAACAGCTGCTTTGTCTCCATCCGACGGCGACACGACCTCGCAGGTTGCAGGTTCGCCGACGCAGAGCGCTGTAAACACCGTCTCCCATCCTCCTTCTCCGCGCGTGGCCAACAATCGGCTTTCGTTCATCTCGTACAATGACTTGCTCACGAGCACCCCTACTTCGACGTTACCTCTCTCGTCGTTCACCACCTCGATCTCGTCCGACCCACCTCCCCACCTACCGAGTGTGCTTGGTGTCCCGCAGCACATGGCGGGTTCTGCCGCGGGCAGTATCCACAGCAACCCTAGGAGCAGTTTCTATGGGGAGCGCGATATCAGGGAGGGAAGAGAGGGGCTGTTACTGGACGATCAGGGTGGGGAGTGGGAGAGGGAGGGCCTTGGGCAGGGATTAGAGGAGAGGTTAGATAAGCTTATGGGTGTGGGTGCAGTTGGGCTTGGGAAAGCCTAGTGGATGCGTATGAGGGGATAGGCAAACAGAAGAAGGTCATAGAGATTGGTAGGATTGTCACGATGTGGAGTGTAAGTTTATTATTCTATGTTTGCTTTCTAATAATCAATGGGATCCTGGTGTCCGCTCGACCCTTTCATCTTTTTGTGATTACAATCAAGTAGTTCTTTTTCGATAATGTTACTCATTTCTTTTTTTGCTTGCTGCTTTGTTTACCGTAAATATTTGTTGCTCTTTGGGTACCTCTTCTCCCCCTTTTCCTGGTCTCGAATCAATTCCTCATCCCTCTGTAACACTATCTAACGGCTACCTACCCCCCACGTATACGGTCTTGCAAGTGTCCCGCTTTCCTTTCTGTCTACGAATCACGATACGATATGATACGATCCTCGAAATTACCTCGATGCCTCCATGCTCTTTCTTTTCTGCCTTGTCTTCTATTCAATTTTCAAGTTTCAATTTCTTCTATGTTTTCACTTTTACGATAACGTATGGCCCCTTCGATGTTGTGGCCCGAATTCCTTTAAGTTTTGAAGATCGCTGCGTACGCCCATATTTATTTTCTACTACGGTGTCAATGAGAAACTGTGCATGGCCCACAGCTATAACGTCTTTTTCTCTGCTATAGGGTTGTCGACCACAATTATTTTACCCCGAGTCAAGATACCTCGAGTAGCCTCGATGATGGCTCGAATGATGGAAAACAGTGGTGAGCGCAAGGATGACGTCACTCCGGATCCGCTACCGCTGACAGACAAGGCACCCCCTTCTCCCTTTTCTCATACCAGCTGCCACCATCCGTCGACTTTCACATCGCTTCTTTCTTATAACGAACGAATACAACATCGAACTCGCTTGCTCAGTGCACACTACTCCGAATCGTCTCGACATCTATACTCCTGCTGATACTTATCTGAACTCGATATCACATCTAGACAAGGATGCCGCACGCACCATCGCCCCCGACCGTCTATTCTTTCCCCACTGCTGACGTGCTCTCTGAGGCACTTGCGAGCTTCATCATCAAAGCGCAGAAGGAGGCGGTCGAGAAGAAGGGAAGGTTCACTGTAGCAATATCGGGTGGAACCTTGCCTTCGAGGCTCACAGCGCTCGCGGGCAAGCCTGGTGTGAAGTGGGACAAATGGTGCGTAATTCTCCTGCTCTCACTCCAGGAAAACCCCCTTTTCAATTGTGCATTTCCGATTGGCTGACCGACTGCTTTTTCGGAATCTTTAAACAATCTGGTATTATTTGGACGCGCATGGCGGCTATAGGCAAGTCTTCTATGCCGACGAGCGCTGCGTCCCGCTCGACCATGAGGACTCCAATCACCGTCTTGCAACGGAAGAATTCTTCCGCCACACCACAATCCCATCCGAAAACATCCACACAATCGACACCTCCCTCCTCAACGACCTCGAAGAGCTTTCCGACGCCTACGAAAAAGAGCTCATCCGTGAATTCGCACAAAAAGATTCTGCTCGTTTCCCCATATTTGATCTCATCCTCCTGGGTGTCGGTCCAGACGGACACACGGCTTCATTATTCCCTGGGCATGAGTTGTTGAGCGAGGAGGATAGATGGGTGGCTTGGATCGATGATAGCCCGAAGCCACCGCCGAAGAGGATCACATTGACGTATCCGGTCATTAACCATGCGGCGAGGGTCGCGTTCGTTATGATTGGGGACAGCAAGGCGCATGTGTTGCAGAGTGTGTTGGATAGGCCGGAGGAAGGGTTGCCGGCGGCCAGGGTGAGGCCTGTGAGTCCCGGGCACCTGTATTGGTTCTTGGATGATGCGGCATCGTCCAAGATTGCTCATGAGAAGGCGGAGTTCAAGTTGTGAAGGTTGGGAGGCAAAGATGAAGAGTTCGTGGGTTAGACTACAGGTTGTGGGAAGGATGGGGCGAGATCGGACGAATTATGAAGGGTATAAGTGATGAAGAAGTTTATGATTTTTGTTGTTGTTGTATTTGTGTGCGCGTTTAGAGTCAGAGTCGCTGTGTTCTTTATTCCCTCATAGTATGCTTTTCCATCTTCGACCGTCCTTTGCTTTCTTCTGTAGCCACTTCTCCATTCCAATTCTTTTTGTTGGATTTACGCGATACGAATATAGAGGCTTCCAGCTTTTCTGTAGCTTCATCATTGTCGTTAAAGAGCATTTTCAGGCAGACAACATTGTCGGGAGAATCTTTGCTCGCCACAGGTTTCATGGACCGAAAGGGTTTTTTCTCTGGTGCGAGCTAACTCTTCAGGAGTGTAATTACCTTTCCCAGTGCATCACACTCGAGAGAGGTACGGTCTTTGCTTTCTCGAGTTTCGCAGTATGTACAATCTTGATCGACGCCACACTTACAGGGATATGGTCCTGTCAGTATTCGCCAGTTCTTTGAGCATCATGATCATACTTCCTGGTCTGTAGGTAGGGCTCCAGCGATGTGCTTAATACCTAGACTGATTATTCCAGTATTTATCCACGCTTTTTGGAGAATACTTAGGCGGTCCATCTCTTCTACCTTCGCTAGTGCTGAGGTGGCATCCTATGACAAGGTCAAGTAACAGTTCATAGTCAAGGGCCCTCTGATCACTTGACTACACACATCATACAGCATCAACACAGGGTCTGTTCGGATTCAAAGCTTTCCGAGCAAGGTTTTTTGAGTCTACGGGCGAAGGCAAAACGTTGAGCGTCGGTGCGCTGGAGCCTGGCGGGACGATGTTCAACGTTCGACCTCGGTGCATCGGTCCGTATTGAGGCGGCCCGGGATTGCCGCTACCCCGGACGAGGTTTGCCCGTGCCACTTTTAGGATTGTTTAAAGAGGACCCAGTCGACGAAATGTCCGAGGTTCTACTTCTCTCGTCTACCCCAATCTCTTTACCACCCACTCAACCGCCAGAAGGAGCCAGAAATCGATAATCATGTCTAACGAACAGAAACTCAATGTTTTGATGTGTGAGTGGCTCTTGTCGCACTCGGCACTGCAAGAAAGTCTCGCGATGTACTTACGATTAGATTTCAGGTGGAACTGTGAGTACGGAGGGGCGAAAAGTGGCTTTTTTCAGTCGCTGACGGTACGAAAAGGGTGAATATACCACGGGATGGACGGGTTCAGGAGCATCAAAGTCGGACAAGAAGGTAACTGCTGAATAGTTGGATAGCCTCCACGACGCTCGTGTTGATCATGTCATGTCTTTAGATCGGCGTAAGGATACGCACACACACTGATCGTCGACACAATACTGATGGTCGTTATAGGTTGTTGGATTAACCTTGTTCGATCTTCGGAGGCTGGGCAAAGTATGTGATTCCGCCACTGCTTGCACTTGAAGTGCCACAGAAGTTCAGGTGGCCTCCTCGTCTAGGTCGACAAGCTCGGCATGGTCGGAGTCAATGGAAATAAATTCCCTGCCATTCGCCAACATCTCAACGAGAACATTGGCCAGGTATATAAGGACATGGATACTACGTTAGTGAAAGGGCTTTGCCTTCGCTCTTATAGGACGCTAAAGCCCCTATTGCCACACCAGGTTTGACGCCTTCCCCGAGGAGACTAAAGTTGATCCCGAAGCGTGTGCGTATTCTAACGGATCGCTTATTATCTTGGACCCACTTTGACACTAATCTCTTTGTTGCAGACAAGGCTGCTATCGATGGCCTCAAGCCAGGAGATGCGGTCATTATCTTCACTCCTGACAGTGCGTATTATGGACTACATCTGCGCGTTCACAAATTCACAGCTACCTCGTGTTTGCAGCTACTCACTACCCCATCGCAAAATACGCCATTGAACGCAACATCCACGTCCTCGTTACAAAACCTGCTGTCCAGCTCCTTTCCCACCACCTCGAGCTCGTCCAGCTCGCGAAAAAGCACAAGGTCGTGTGTATGGTCGAGCACCACAAGCGGTCTGTTCTATTTTTTGGCCTCTATCTAGTACTATGGTCGCTGATAACTATTGCCTATGCTAGCTTTGATCCAGTATACAGTGATGCTCGTGCGCGCGCGGCCTCGCTTGGAGAATTCAACTTCTTCAACGCCTGGATGAGCCAGCCGAAGAGCCAGCTCGAGACTTTCCGTGCATGGGCTGGTAAAGACTCTGACATCAGGTTCGTCGACCAAATGTTCATTCGTTCTGCTGACTAAAGTGTTGCCTTTGTAGTTACTACCTGTCCTCCCACCACATAGATATTTGCTGTTGGATTCTGCAGGGCAGGGCGGTCCCCACCCGTGTCGTAGCGAGCGCCGCGACTGGAATTGCTACCAGTGAACCATACAATTGCGTACCTCAAACAGAAGACACCATCACTCTCCTTGTTGACTGGCAATCACTCAGTAGCTCCAAGCACAAGGGTACCGCGGTATACACCGCATCGTGGACGGCACCCCTCAAGTCAGGTGTTCACTCTGCGCAGCACTGGTACTACATGGGAGAGAAGGTTCGTCGGCTCACAGTTTATTTTGCCGTGCCGCTGCTATTCGGAGCGCGAATCCTCTCTCGAATAAAGTTCATGGCTTGGCTGACTTTGGGTTGGACTTCACCTCTCCTTCGATCGGTCGGTCGCTTTCGCTCTTTTAGGGAGACATCAATGTGGACCAAGCCCATCGTGGGTACGATGTCACGGTGGACGACTCTGGGAAATCCTGGTCCAACCCCTTCTAGTGCGTCCACCTCTCTACTCTTCCTTCTTCTGTTCGACTGCTAATCGTTATATCTTCGGCCGTCATCTATGCTGATGCTCATTTCCGCGGCGCCGAATATGCTATCTCTTCCTTCTCCCCAACAGCATGAAGTATTCGCCCTCCGAGAGTGGCCACTTCGATGGTCAGCGCGGCTATGGCTACGTCTCTATCGAGAAGTTCATCGATGCTGCGCGGAGCGTCAACGCAGGCACGGTCGCTTTCGAGGACTTCGACAAGCACGGCCTGCCGACGATTGCGAACACGGTACTCACGACTGCCATTCTGAACGCGGGACGGATAAGCTTGGATGAGAAGCGGGCCGTGGGCATCAAGCAGAATGGAGACGAGTGGGTCCTTGAGTAGACGCTTCCGAGTATGGTCTGCCCTTGTCTCGAGGGGGGATACGGAGATGGGATGGGATTTAAGGTTGTAGACCGCGAGAGCCATATAGGCAGGTGAGACGTGCTCGCGAGCAGTAGACATGGATTCGAATGTGATTGTATCGAGTTGTATTTGTTACCCGCCGATTGGAACTTATGAAAGCGAGAAGCTTGACTCCATATGGTTGAGAGTATGTGATAGTTCTGTGATATGTGATGGAGATGAAGGTCATGTTACAGTTCCTTCACAGCGGGATACGCGGCGTACCTTGTCGGATAACTGTACGTGAAGTGTACCCTTCTTACTCGTGTGTGAAGTCGCCCGTACGTTCTGTACCATCATTAATCACTCCTTCAAATAATCGGCGACAACGTAGGAGCGATGATGGTGGTACCATCGACTTCATCCATGGCGTAGAGCTCAACAGAACGCGGAGCAGAACTACGTACGCCTCGTCCATTCTTCTGATCCGAAGTATACGTAGCCCTACAAATGATTTCAATAAGGTCATTACACCACCCAGTGTACTTATACAGCCCATTGCGTATCGTACCCACCTTCGACGATATCATAGCCACAATCATAGGGGTCCTCAATGATTGGAATTTCAGCGTTGATACTTCTCGTCAGGCCAGCGCTCGACGAGCGGCCGCCACGACCGAACAACAACAACGTTCTGATAGACATTCTCGAGCGTCTAGCTCTCTGAGCATCACAAGTACTGTCCGTTCTGTATGATAGCTCGTGTGAGCGGTGGTTCGTGTGAAGCTAATCCATAAATCCAAACGAGGCCAAAAAGCGCAGATCCGGAAGCGTCCCCTCCATACTCTGCCACTGTCCCATGAGCATGAGCAAGTGCATTTCAGGGCTTTTTCAGGGCTTCAAAGCCCCGTATCACACTGGCATATCACTTACTCCTCGCTGTCAAGCGTATGAATCGACGTTTCATCGGCTTAGATCCATGGAAGGAAGGAATGTCCGAGTTAGTAGCAGTGAGTCTGCGATAAGTAGGGCAATAATGACGCACAAATGCGCGACTCCGACGCCCTATCACTTATGTAGCCCACATAAGAACACGCAGAGCTCAAATAACGGACGAACGACGGCGAACGCAGCACGAGCTATCGTCATTCATTCAGAGTCGTGACGACGACTCACGAGAAATGGCCTCAAAGAAAAAGGCAGACAAAGAATAAAGGTTCATTATGATAAACCAAAAGCGGACAGAGAAAGGTACTACGCACACGCACAATATTGATATTCAACCACAGGCCATGACTATGACTGCAGCCACTCACCACAGATCCATAGCCAGCCAAGTCTGAATCCAACTCGTCTTGCAATCGCCAAGAGGTCCTCAGGCCTCAGCGTCTATCAGTACAGGAGAACCAAATCCCTCACCTTCCCACTGTAACATCTACAAATTCAGCGTCGTATCGTAGCCTGCCATATCGACGTCATCGAACGTTCACCAGCTGGCTAGAACTCCGGTACGGTACGGTATGGATCGTACCTGAGAAGGTGACCAGGCTCTGAGTTGAATATGAATGTTAGTCTTTTCAGCTAGCTAGCCTACGGCGGATAAGTCAGGAGCTCGAGAGTCGAGGCGAGGTAAGGGGCGGGCTTACCGAGCTCAAGGTTTAGAAACAGGTTCGTTCCGTCTGACATCCACATCCACATCCAAGGGGTACATACATACACTTGTAACTAACTCCCACAGCCACGATGCACGAATTCGAATGCACGTACGCGTACGCACGCAGTCACTGGCCAGACCAACCGGTCTTCGAGCAGCCCCAATCATTGATAGTATTCTGTATTCTGTCAAAAGATAAGTAAGTAACCCAAAACCCCGACCCGGTGACGATAAACCACCGTCCAAAACAATTGGAAAGACACGATTGACAGCGGTAGAATGGAAGGTAGTGTAGCACAAGGGTGCCGGGTGCTTCAAGGGTGAGATCTGAGACGGACGCTAGCGCTTTCGGGGCCTCAGCTTTGGCCTTCAGATGACGACCCGATTCCGATGGTTGACGACCGCGTATGTCAGTACGTTCACGCCGACCGGCCGGGGTAGGAAAAGGGGCGAGGGCCGATGGGTAGGGGAAGTAGGGAAGGATACCATTAAAGCATTAGCTCGAGAAAGTGAAGAGGAGAAAACGCACGCGCACGGTGAAGACTACGTTCGTTCCTGATCGGAGGTCCTTGTATGGGTCTTGAGACACGAGGGCGTGAGGAGCTTGGACCTTGCGTTCAGGAGTTGAGGGATCTCGAACGGCGAGAGCAGCCTATCACGCGACGAGGGAGCTAGTAGTATAGAACACGATTTGCTATTGGAAAACGACGAGTGGTAGTAGACGGGATGGAGGATGGATAGGCCCTACGAACAGAGGCAGAGTTGATGCGACGACGAAAGAATGTAGGTACTGAAGCTGAAGTTGAAAAAAGGATGGGGTGTTGCAACAAAAAGGATGAGCTGTAAAAAAAGGGGGGTAATATGGACAATGCAGAAAGCTTGTGTAACGACTGGGACAGGATGTGAGATGATTGTATGAGTGTTCGAGACGATAGATGATGGGAGTGGGGTACTGAGGATATAAAAGACGAGTACGAAAAAGGGTGTGAAAGCTGAAGGACAATGTGGGTAAGTGGGTAATAGGTACTGTAAAGTGAAGAATAAGATAAAATAACAGGTGCGCGACTAAACGAGACGATACTAGAATGAAGACTGTCGACCTCAACATCGCGGTAGGGACTATGAGGAATGTATAAGAGCCAAAGAGAAATGAGAGGTTTGCATATGTGAGAGAGAGGAGAGATGGATGAAGGCAGAGGAAAAGAAAAGGGGGAGTCGCGTGCGATTGATAAACCCTGAACGAAGAGGGGGGCCAGGGAGTGCAGCCCGATAGAAGTACATTGCAGACGTGAGCTCCAGAATATACGCCAATATCGACGGCTGCAGCGAGAAGCCTCGACTCCTGTTCAACGATCCACCCTCGAGAAGGTGGGGAAAATTGATAGATGAGGGAGTGCCAAAGAGCCGAGAAAAGTGCAAAAGAGAGATGCATGGATGATGGAGATTGCAGATGAGTCGAGAGAGAGAAAAATATTGCGTCTGTTGATTGGCGTTCAACGACGGCGTGTCTGTGTTGATGATACATTTTGCGGGAGGGTTATGCGAGATGGATGGTCGACAGGTAAGGAGATTATGGTCCAGACCGCCGACAGAGAAGAACGTGATTTTGGATGATTATACAACCATCGAAGACCGTGGAGATGCGGCAGCGTTGTATGGGTGGAGGACCGGACGACTGATGGTCACGAATTCGTGGGGCAAGTACTTCTCCGGCGGGTTGTCGTTGACCTTGTTGACAACCGGCTCGAACGTCTTTGAAGCGTTTTCCTTGTCATCCGCCGCGCACGTGAAGGAATCGTTCGAATACGCAGGACTGGTCGGCGTCTGGGGCATCTCGTCTGAAAGGTCGGACGCGGTCGTCGTCGCGCTCATCGGGGTCCCGAATGCAGACATACTCGTCCGGCTCGGCGTGAGCGGTGTCACGGTGGACTTTGCGCGAACGAAATGGCCGCCTTCGATGTAGAACCGCACGACGAGCGTCGCGGCCTTTGAGAAGAACGCGTACGAGTACTTCTTGACGAGGATTTCCGACAGGTCCTCCACATGTTTGGAGAGCTGAAGGTCCAGGGCCTCCACGACGTCAAAGGCCTCCTCGGTCTCTTCGAACACGCGACGAGGCTTGCCGCACAGGAAGCGGGCGAGCATGAGGGAGCCGAGTGCGATAGACGAAGCTGGGAATTTGATGAATGCTCGATAAAAGAGAGTAATTTCCATCAAAAAGCGGGCGACGTGCTGGACTTGCATCTCCTCCGAACGAGGGCTGCGGCAGTAGATACGCAACCAGGCCTCGGCGGTGGGATGGCCCAAACTCCACTGGATGGTCTGGAGAACGTGGCCTTCCATCTGGATGAACGCCGATTCGTCGTACTCGTTACGGCAATAGTGCACGAGCTCGGAGACGGATGGAACCCGGTCCTTCGCATCCTCAAACTTCGCGGCGATCCACAGGGCGGCGCAACCGACGAGCTGGTAGTGCTTGATGTAGACGACTCGGCGAGACACGTAGCGATCGAGGACATTCAGGGTGAGGTACAACGTTTCGGGGCGGAGGCGGAAAGTGAAGTGGAGCTCCAAGAGGAATTCGACGAGACAAGGACGCATATGCCACTTGATCTCTGGCTGTTGGTCCATAGACGAGGTGGAGCCCATTGTGTAGCGCTGTTGGAGAGGTGTCAGGATCCGCGGAGGTCTGCGACTGAAAAAGATGACTGACCTCCATTTGGTACATGTAATTCTGGATTTCGTCCCGGTATTCGTCCTCCATTTGAGGGGCCTCCCGGCAGAGGGTGACAGCGGCGTGGGCGACGAGCTGGTCGCGCTGGCGCTGTTGTTCACGCTGCATCTTGAGGGCGTGCGGTGAACGACAGGCGACGGCGGAAGGGACGTTGGGGGAGCTCGCCAGCTGCTGCTGCTGTTTTCGGGTCTTGTAGATGCCATGTGGAGATGGCCGCTTCTTCGGGTAGGCGGTCGAGCGGGAAGATTTGGAGGATGAGACGGTGACGTCTTTCATGTCGAGGGCGGTGTTGTCTGAGGAAGAGGACATTACGGTGAGCGGACTAGAGGTGCAGGGTCGACCAGGCACGAGGGAAGGAAGAGAAGGGAGAGTATTATCGGCACGAGTGTGATATACGGGATTGTGAGAAGACGAAGAGATTATAGAAGACATTTTTTAGCCGAAGAAGAGCGAAAAAAAGAGGGAGAGAAGGGAGGGCGGTGCGCACGCAGACTGGCGGGAAGCAGAACTGCGAAGAGGACTCGAGAGCAGAGGCTGCTCATGTAACTCGGAGCGCAAACACAGCGACCAAACACTCTGACGGGCCGCCCGCTCAGTATACGCCACCCTCGGAAAGCGCTCCGATCGCGAAGGCATGGTTGGGGAAGCGGGAGAAGACTCACGAATTGAAAAGTAAAGAGAATAAAGTGGGGCGTCGGACGCAGATTGCTTGGAAGGAGGAGTGTGTGCGATGGCGAAGTCGACACGGAGGGAGAGTATGGTGTGGGAAACGACCTGTAAAGAGGCGTCGATGTCGTAGTCGTATCAGCGTGCAAATCGTTAGGGAGGAGGTATGATACGTCGTGGACAAGGAGCGTCGGGGGGCGAAGGGAAGAGACGTGGACGTCGTGGAAGACGAGAAAGAGGGAGGACAGGGACGCAGGCAACAAATACGGCCGCGCCGGGGGTCCGGACACGGATAGCCTGCTTTTGGCGATAGAAGCTGCCGTTGCTCTATCATACTATCGATCAAGCCCTCCGTCGCGACCCTTACGTACGATATGGGCCACAGTGCACAGCAGAGTAGATCATTGTTCACCTTGTTTCCGACTGTAAGCAACTGCAGTCCTCGTCAGCACCGCCAACATCGATATGCCTATCGTCCAACACCGCACTCACCCAATATGTCTGCTTCCCCCGCTTCAATCCGTATCTGAGACCACAAAGCCCGCCTGTCAGCTCCTATCCCCGTCTGCAGCACCCCCTCAGCGCTCGTGACACTCACGAATTGGCGATAGATAGATAATATTGCTCGGACGACGACCAGAGTGAGTGTGCGCACAGTCGTGCGATTAGGGGTCGGTCAATATTAGGATGTATCAGTGTGTCGAAAAAGAATGGACTGGGTGAGTGCTCTTGTCTATCGAGGCCAACGTCGAGCCGTGGTCGAAGCCGCAGAGGGTGAGTGTGCCGAGCACCGAAGCTGGCCGTCCGCTCCCAAGCTATCCGTATCTATGAGCAGCCAGAGGGCGGAGGTTGTGGAATAGAATATAGGATCCTGCAAGTCTTCTCAGACGCTGTCTTCAAGAGGAGGGCGGCAGGTCTCGCAATGCGCACCAGGCGTGTTTCGCTTATGTCCTTTGCGCCCACTGCTATACCTCATCTCCACGGCCATATCAGCGGCATACGCAGTGTGAACTCACAGTCCACGTTCTCAGCCTGCAGGCAGGTCCACGACAGCAGATTCGCCCATCGCTCTGATCGTTCGGGAACATCCACGCAGTCCAAGGGCTCCCCTCCTGCTCCATCCAGCTCTCGCATGCGTTCTCCACCGGCTTTACTCACCGTCTCACCCGTCTTACTCGCTTCGAATCGTCATACAGAACGCCGACGACGTTTCGTTTCCAGGTTCAACTACAGAAACGCTGCTCCATCATCCAAAATTCAAGCTCGAGGTACGCACGTCTCTCGCCTGCGCTTCCGAAATGAAAAATGCATTTAGAGACTAAAGTTATGCGTTCTAGTTCGGGTCTCTGAGACCGCGCATATAGAAATACACTCTCGCCTGCTGGTCTTGTCCTGGTCCGGCGAACCTCTCGCACCGCCATCTTCGCTCTTATACGGGACAGCCTTGTTCTCGCTGCCCACCCAAACACCCCCATCAGTCACGCCTTATCGGATATCACATTCCTCCCGTATTGGCCTCACTTCCGGATTCATACTCACGCCTCCACCTGACATGCTCAAGTACTTGCGTAGAGGGAGGGCCACAAATATGCATCGCCAAAGCCGAGGAGAACGAAGGTCGGACGCTGTCCTTTCCTGGCCATGGGTCGTCCATGCATCAGATACGGACTAGCTCCAAGACTTTTTCTTGTCGCTGATTGTGACTGTTGCCTACTGTTCCATGCAGCAATATTACATGAATTAACAATTAACGTCGGCCGACATGCGATGCGTGAAGTGAACAAGATCATGCGCAGATATATATAAAATGCAAACACTAATCCAAAAACACCGATACGTACGGGGCACGGGCGGCGCTTGCTCTCTTTCAATTCCTTCTGATCAAGTCTCTCGACGACGTTCATCTCACCATCTCCGACATCAATAACAATGACCAGCTCCATTCAGTTATAGACGAGCCCCGTCTCCGCTGTGGACGCTCGGCGGCATCGACGGCACCGTCAGCCACCATCTTTCACCTTGAGACCTTTCTTCCCCCTCTCGCTACAAAGTTCGCCATGAGGCGACCCAACAATGGCGAACCACGAGCGGGAAATAACCTGACGCTATCGTTCACGTCCCTCGAAGTTCCCCAACCCGCCCACGCCACTCGAATTCGAAGCCCGTCCGACGGTTCATCCACTGGCCGACTCGCATCTTGGGCCGGTCGGATCCCCGAACGAGTGGAGGCTTGAGGCTGTAGAACAGCGTCCAAGTGATCATTTCTTTCTTTTGGGCTGTGATCCCCTGGGATTCAAATATAACTTGTAAGTCGGTAGTACCACCGAACACGCCTTTGCTCTTCTGTTCTTCTGAGGAGGTGGAGGCGGGTGCAGTACTAGTATCGCTATTGCCTATTGCTCCGGTGAGAAACGCACGGCGCAAGGCGGTGAATGGAAGTCACGACTCACGGTACGGTGAAGAAGGCTCATGATCCCCCAAACTATGGTTGGCCTGGGTATGTATGTATGTGGCCTGAGTGGCAGAAACAGAAACTTGTGATCAGAAAGATACGCCATCGAACAATCGAACAACACTTCCATCCCGGCGGATTTGCCACTGCGCACCGAGCGCTGAGCTTTGATCTTGAATTGCGAACACTCTGGACTCGCGAACACATGCAACGAGCGTAGTTTTCGTGGGGCCGTCGTCGCCAAGTATTCCTCAGCAGGTACTTCAAGTTAGGGGGACCGCGCATCATGATCACTAGGAGGTGTGGATGTCCCTAAACCTCTGTGAGCTTTTGGAACGCTGATTGCGCCCGGTGACGGTGCCGTCAGCTCGTGCGAATGGGCTGGGCCAAATTCCGATGCGTGCTCGTGTTGCAGTCGCTGCCACGCTCCGATGGGTAAGTTATCGCATCATTCCTCATTCCCACCGCTGCATATATGCGATATATATGCAGGAGGAAGGAAGGCCGCCAAAATTAACCTACAGCATTTTGCTTTTCTTGTTTGGGAGCGTCACTGCCGCTACGTTCATCCTGTGATTCATCGTATCGCAATTAGTGCGTAGAGCTGAGGAAAGGAGCACCCCTTGAAGTTCATCCAGCTGTCATCGAACGACTCGGAAGCAGCTCGGACGTTCTGTACGTGGCAATCGCATATCCCCAACCATTCCCAGCCGTTTCCAGCCCGATGAGATCTCAGGCATAAAAAGCATACGTGTATCTTCGATCACTCTGTTTCAAAAACTCAAACAGCACGCCGGCTCAAGATATGAAACTCGCCCGTTTTGGGAAGTTGCTTTCGACCCGTTCGAGGCCTGACAGTGATTGCAATGTAATGGCTACTCTTGGCTACTAAGTTATTTGACGAAGTCCGAAGATCAATCCCAGTTCAGCGAGAGTTAGCAGAATCATGCATGCAAGAAGCAGCTGGTTCAGGAGGTCTAGGAGCAGCATGTCTGCTGCGCGGTCAAGCTGTGAAAATTTTCGTCAGCCTGACTTCTCGCAACGATGCGTGTACGGTGCGGTGCGAGGGGTTACTACTGTAGTGCGTGTTATTTTGTGTTATCTGGTCCTGTACCTGCACCTGCAGGCTCGTGATGTCATCGTAGGAGCGGAAGTCTCGACTGTACATAACTGCAGGACTCACTGGCAAGCAGAACTCCTTCGCGAACTGAAACTCGGTAACTCTCGGACGTTCATATGTGCGACCGCTGAAGAAACTGAATATCCTGAACCTTACTGGGCCATACATTTCATCGTCACATCCCACCACCAGGCTAGTGTGCGACCTGTGAAGTCTGAAGAACGCGACCGACGTCGTCGACGAAGCATATACCTATGAGGATATAGCGCAGATTGCGAGGGCTCCGAATCATGGGATGTTCTTCCAAGCGAGAGGGTGACACTGGGTGGAGTCCGAATTTGCTTGGATGGAGATGGTACATTCATATGATCACGGCGGAGATATCAAAAATCTTGCACAGAGGGGAAACGTGACGATAAATGAAATAAACGAATGGAATGGTCGAGAAATTCTGGCGACAGGAGAAATCGAGAATGGAATCGACGAGCAAACAAACTTCCAAGAGAAGACGAATTAAGGAAAGAAATCTTATATACAACGGATGGATGAAGAGACGAGAAAAGGGGGATAAAGGAAGGAAGGAAGGAAGGAAAGGCCATTGCGCCTGCCCGTTTGGAGAACACCGACGCCAGTCGAATCAGTTGCGCTGCCCACCCATCAACAACGCCATCAGATCATGCGCCGGCTGAGAAGTGCTGCCTGGGGGAAGTTGTTGTTGCAAGTGAGGGGGAAGCATCTGTGGGAGCATATGCGGCGGAACCTGATGTTGCTGCTGCTGTTGCTGTTGCTGACGCATCGCCATGTTCGTTCCTTGCATCTGTGCATTGAGACCTTGTTGCTGCAGCGGGAACCCGGCTCCTGGTCCTCTCATGAGTCCGCCAACACCAGCACCCATGCCGTTACCCATGCCTAACAGCTGAGCTTGGTTGATTTGCGCCTGCGTCGGTCCTCGCATGTCCATCTTGGTTGGGTGGCCCAGTCCAGCGAGTGCGTTGTGACCCAAAGCGTTCTGGAGCTGATGGGCGCCAGGGGGAGGTCCGCGCATCTGCGGTCCTCCAAAGGGAGCGGGACCTGAGAGATTGTTGAAAGGTGGTTGCATGAGACCATTGTTGCCGGGTAATCCGCCACCAATTCCCATCCCCGAACTCACAAACTGTGACGGGTCGTGTGGAGGGCGACCTCCGAGGTTGGCAAGACCTGGCGGAAGACGCTGCTGAGGTGGAGCATGAAGAGGGGTTTGAACGGGAGAGTTGCCGTTCCGGAAGGGTTGCTGCATGGACAGGGAAGCGTTGCGCGACATATTGCCTTGCTGAGCGTACATGGCGGGCGCTCCACCGCCTCCGAACATCTGCTCTACGCCGCGCTGGGGGAGACGAGGCTGCACGTTGAAAGCCATGGAGTCGTCGAGTTGGTCTTGGAATATGGGACCACCATTGTCTCTGCTCCTGGGGGGAGGGACAGAGCGCAGACCGGGCACCATGCCGTCAGGGACGAAATTCCGATCGTCGAGTTGATTGTCGTAGAGAATATCGAGGTTCCTGGCGTTCACGTAGTTTGACTGCTGTTGTTGCTGTTGCTGTTGCTGCCGCTGTTGTTGCTGCTGCTGCTGCTGCTGCTGCTGTAACAGTAACTGCTGCTGTTGCTGCTGTTGATGAAACTGCAATTCCTGAAGGTGCTGGGGCGTCCGTGCGAATTGTTCGTGACCAAGGGGCGATAGCTGGCTCAGGGGGTTGGCAGGAGGGATTCGTTGTCCCTGCGGTGAAATCTCATTGGTCAGAACGCTTGCCTTTGCAGCAACATTTGAGGCAGTGGACGTACATGAGTTGAATTTTGAAGCATCGCGAAGAGATCTTCCATGGTCCGATTTTCTGCGATATTGACAGCCCCAAAATTGTCATGCATACCAAAGTCCTGCCGATGAACAGGACCAGGAGACGGCGAAGAGTGACCTAAACCGATCGGACCCTTGCCCATTGTTCCGGGGACTTGGGCATCGCGAGATTTACCGTCGAAAAACTTAGCGAAGCGGCTTCCCTTCGGTTGCATGCCTGCTGGACCAGTCACGGAGGACATCGAGTCAATCGACGGACTATGCCTGCTCGTCTGATAATGCGCCTGGCCGCCATTGCTGCTAAAGTCGGAATAAATCTCTGACTGTTGACTATACTGAGACCGTTCTCCAAGAGAAGCGAGGGTTTGACGACGAAGGGCCTCCGCGCGCGCGTAGGCTTCAGCTTCACGTTCTTCGAAGGTAGCAGACTGTGAGCGAGGGGCGTCCGAGGCAGCACCACGCAGGTGTGAGTTGAGCAAATCTGCCTCCGATGTAAAGCGGGCGGCTTCGGGTGAGAATGTGTTAGGAGAGAGGGTCTGGTGCGAAGGAATGAGGGACGAAATTGGGGGAGTACCGATAGCTCCCTGGTTGAGTGAGGGGCCCTTGACAGAGCTGGAGGCAGCGGACGAGGTGCGCGAGCCTAAGGAGAGTAGGCGAGAGCCCACTGGCGGATTGAATTGTGAAGGGGCAGGAGACTTGATGAAGCCGCTAGGAGCTTTCTCAGTAGCGCTGATAGGGGAGGCAGAAGTTTCGGATGGATTGGGGTGGGGGAAGAAACGTGAGCCGACGGCGGGCGGCATTTCGGCAGACGGTGTAGATGCTTTCAGGCCAGTAACGAGAGACATCGGGGTTTCGTGAGGATTAGATGGACTAGTCGGGGAGACTATAGAGCGCGAAATTGCAGATGAGGGTTCGGAGGACGCATTTGCTGAGGTTAGGGGTTGAGACGAATTGGAAGTTAAGGATGCTGAAGCAAAGACTTTCGCGAGATCAGACGAGGGCGGAAGTTGAGAGACACCTTCAAGCAGGGTAAAATCAGTGCCAAGAAACATTTCGAACCATTAAAACTTACCGGGCGGAACATCTGCTGAAGGAGATGAGGTATCCCCAACATCCAAGCCAGGAGGTGGAGCGACCGGTGTTGCACCCTCTGACCCAGACCCTTTCTTCTTCTCCGTTTCGCGCTTCATCATCAACTTGAAGAGTTGGATTTCGTCTAATTGACCTTCAGAAGACGAAGGCGTTGACGTTGCTGCTTCGTCTTGCTTTGACGGCTGGGGTGTCGTGTCACTCTCGCTCTTCTCTCTGCCCTGTTCCACCACCTTTTCCTTCCCCTTGGACTTGTCCTCCTTCTCCTTCATCCCCTTCTTCCAAGCCTGAATACTATCAAGTTCGCCGTCTGCAGCCCTCCCTCCCAATATGCCACCCGATGAACTGGGAGGTATGTATGTGTCCATCCACGCCGGTTCCTTCTCACGCTCCCTCTCCCTGCGCTCTTCTTTATCATCGCGCTCACGGCTAGCCCCCCGTCGCCCATTGACTCGTCGAGGGCGGGCATCACGTTCATCGCCGTTAGCCCAACGGTCTCGGTCGCGTGGACGCTCTGTATCCCAGGCAGATTCGCCATTAGCCCGATCCTTGTCACGTTCGCGGTCCTTGTCGCGTGGGTCGCGGTCGCGCGGGTCACGACGAGCAGCGATACGCTCTTCCCTCTTGCCATCGTCGCGCCATCGTCTACCATCTTCGGTATCACGGTCTTGGTCTCTCTCCCGACGAACGTAATCATCCTTGTCGTCCTTAGTCCGACGACGATCGTCGTCACGCCCTCGATATCGATCGCGGTCGCGGTCCCTATCGTCTCGGTCGCGTTCACGATCTCTTTTGGGTAAGGGTGAGGGATCACGTCTGCCCTTTGACGAATCACGGACCCTAGATCGAGGACGGTCTCGGTCCTCTCGGTCTTTGCGAGTGTCAGATCCTGAAGACAAGTTTGTGTCAGCGTTTCGGACGATGATGGGTCGGAGAATATAACTTCATAGAAGAAAGATTGTAACTCACTCTCTTCGCGACCTGTAAAATGACTTATTTCAGTGTGTGAAGGTGTGAACCGCTTAAATTGTGAGACGAACCTTTCCGCCAATCTTCGCTGGATTCACCGGGCTTACGTTTCGTCACCTCCCTTGTATCTGTGCGACGTCCATTACTAGTACCGAGTGTTGTCTGGGATGAGACCCTGGTGGTGCCAGGAGAAAGATGAGGGGCAGAGTCACGCTCTCGGTTTCGTAGAGTCGAATTGGCGGGAAGAGCGAGACGGTCACGGTCATACTTGTCCGACAGCTGCAGGAGAGTAAGGTAAGAGTCAGAGGTAGGGGGCATGAGGCGTACATTTCTGAGCCTCTCATGCCCTTCCTTGTCTCTAATATCCCTATCCTTCTCCCCGTCACGTTCACGGTCTCGCTCGGCGGTACGTATGGATTGATGCTTGAAGTTGCCCATTTGCGAAGGCTGCGAAAGTGTAGAACGGAAGGTTGCCCGAGGCGGAGGCTCTGAAATATTGAAGTTATCAGCGAAGGTCTTACAAAAAGAGACGTGAGCCTTGCCTCCATCCTCTTGGTCACGCCGAAAGCTACAGAAAGTAAGGATATCAGCAAATGCGATGTTTTGGAGGATGTCTATATTTACCGTCTGTCCCTGATCGCTGTAGTTGTGCTTTGAGGCTCGGTCTCTTTCTTGCTCGCATTGTATTGTTCTGTCCAATCGCTGAGATCAAAGTTTGGATGAATATTGAGTAGTGAAGACAAAGAAGGTCATAACGTACCCGAACCACTCTTTGAGAGCAGGCATGCCATCGGGCGGCTTCACCAACGGTGACTTGGAAAGAAGCAGGGCTTCCGGACGTGTGTAGAGAATGAAAGGGCGTGATGGGTCTGGAAGTCTTTCTTCGGATGATTGGGGTGCTTGCAACTGGACTTTTTCCATTGCGTCAACGATGCTGTTGGACGAGCTGTCTGCCGCAGCTGGTGGTGAAGAGGAGACTGGCTGGGCACCATTTTCCGCAGGGGCCATTGTTTTGTTTGATTCTATATGTTGTGGAGAGATGTAGGTAGAGATTGGAGGAGGACAAGGAGGAGCTGTCGGGTTTGTCGAGGGTATAGGCACCGCGCTGGACGGCGACCGCTGAGAGAAGGACAAGTAGCCTGTCCAAAATAGGCATGTGTCCGGTTACTCCATATTGTGGCGCCTGCGAAGCGCGTCGCGGCTGTGTCGCGAACGCCCATGTTCCAGCCAACTCTGAAGCACTTTATTCTCAGGCAGGAGGCATTAAATCTATATCGCTACGCTATACGTGCATCCAGAGGTATTTCATGTCAATTGATACTGCGTTTTACGGTAGCTGATATGTCTCCGAGCCAGCTATCCCCAGCAGTCCAGCCAGAAAGGAAACTATTGCTTGGATCCGGGCAGAATTTGAACGAAATAGGTTCATATTCGATGTGGTGAGAGATTGACCGGTTGGCTGTTTCTCTTTATGTTGATTTAAGACCATGGCCACTTACAGGACGTGATTGAGCAAAAGCTTGCTTCCGGGCGACGCGAGATCAGACAGTTTCTTCCGTCCCAGCCGTTACACTTGTAAACACTCGGAGTCACTTTAGGTATCATGAATACTGGAGTGGCTCGATGGCTGGCTCGAGTACAACACGCAGAGGACAAGGCTACCAAAACTAGCATATGTAGAGTGCTACTCGAACCAGCCATCAGTTCGTATTTGCATGATGTCAATGCTCGTATTATGCTAGATTTTCCGAATCTTACCCCAGCTACCATGTTCTGGTCATAGGGAGTCGGCCCTCTGCGTGTTGCTTGTGGCCTCATAGAATAGCCTGCGGTCCCAGTCCGATCGGTAGTCCCTGCGAGCTTGTGGCGTCGAGTGGGAGTGATGTTGGGGGGGCAGGTAATATCAGCCTCATAGGCGTTCGAAGCAAACACACAAGCCAAGCTGCTTACAAGCTACCTTCGTACACGACTGCAATTGTGACACCCATGCTCGCAGGAGACAGAGTCACGAATAGTAGTACAGCCCTGTACAGCCTGAGCACGTCGTAACAATATGCGAGGTGTTGTCGCTGTTGACGTCCGCAGGGGGCTGACTTGACTATAGCCAGGTGATTAGCAGGCTAAGTCGGCCGCTCTATAGCGAAGAGAAAGCATGCAATGTGCTAGCCTGTTGGATATTGCTTGAGTGAGACGTGTACGCCAACAACTTCAACAAGGATAAGATATAGCTGTCGGGCACAAGTTCCGAGACCGCGTCTTTCCGCAGTGGCGGACCAGCCGCACGTTTGCCACGAAACCGGAAATCTAGGACCATGATCTAGGCACCGAGGTCCTGCAGGCTCGGACGCCACCTGATCCTCAGGCTTGGGATCCCTCTGCTCTTGACCACAACTGTCGTCGACATTGCGTCGACAGCTTAGGACAGGACGGATTCCGAAAACATCCACTTACTCGAGGTCAAGCTCGACCCTGTACATTGGTGAGCACACTATCACATGCATCAAGATCGCCCTGCTGATCGGATTGTACGAGCAAAGCAATGGAGATCTACATCAAGCACATTCCCCAATGCGCCTTGTGGCAAATCCAAGCCGAGCTCGCGGGTGTCCTTCATAACGATTACTTGCTGCAGCATACTGGCGTACCTGTAAATTTTGATCTACACTTGATCCCCTCGAAGACCATTCCAGGTCAACATGCAGGCTACGGCTTTCTTACCGTCCCTACGTATGAAGTCGGCGAACTCTTTCTTGAGCAAGTCGAGGGTAAACATGCTCCGACCAAGATTTCCATCCACGGACGGAGGTTATGGTTCACTCAGAGCAATAGTGACCCTCGACCCGACACTGTACAGAATATCACACGGTTACCGTATATCGACGCCGACGCCGTTCGGCGAAAGCAAGAGCTGGAGGAAGAGCTGCACATCAATACAGTCTCTCTTTCCATGATCCAGTTCGGATGGGAGACCAGGGATAGACCGTCCCGTTACTCCGTCGAGTGGGAGCGTTCGTTTGATTGGGACTGCAGTCTCACCTTTGGCGGCGAACGTCGTGAGATGCGCATCGAGCTGTATGGAGAGGACTACACACATTCGATCGTGATTCATCTATCGCATATCGAGCACAGTATGGCGGGTTCCGACCGCTCTGGACAGCCCATCATTTTCCTCCGCCTTTTCAGGCCCCCTTCCTTCGAGCGGAAGATCTCGCTCGCCCAACAGATCGCGAGAGGAACCAAGCGCAACGCGATCAAGAGCGAGCGCCTTTGCTCCTTCGATCCCCTCGATCCGCATCACGCTCGCGTCATCCCGTACACATCTATAGCCATTCGTTTGGTCTGTCGAGATCACGGAGGTCCCGAGCTGTTCCAATATCTCTGCTCGAAAGTCCGTCTTCGACGCCCTGACGTGGCTCCACACTCCTTTCCCGCCCCTGTTACGAACCTAGGACTTTTCTCTCTTTTAAACTTCAGGAAGTACGAGAGATGGATCAAGCATGTCCATTGGCGCGTTGCTTTCCAAGTGGAGAGCATGTTACGCAGCCTTGTCGCCAGTCTTCGCGATATCCTGGACATCCGATCACGTATCCTCTCTCTTGAACAAGACATGGGTCCCCTTTACGCTGCCGACCTTCTCCGACGCTTCAGCGCACGGCTCAAAATTGACATGTGGGGTTCGAACCAGGACCTCCCCGTTGAGTCATTCTTTAACTACTACCGACGCATGGAAGCGCAGCTCATCGAATCAATGCCGGAGATACCACCTTCGCCGTTCCTCAATGACCCGGGCGTCTTTGAATCGTTCCACATCGCCGTCACGCCTACAATAATGGCTCTCGAAGGCCCCCTTCCCGAGCGTTCGAACCGAGTTATGCGCATGTATCCCAAGGACCACGATTGTTTCCTTCGCGTTAGCTTCATGGACGAGAACCGCCTCCAATACCGAAGTAATAGGGATATTGACGGGCCGTTGTTCATCAACTCCTGGATCACGCGCATTCTCCATGAAGGAATGGTAGTCGCGGGACGCAAATTCCGCTTTCTGGGGTACTCGCAGTCTGCACTCAAGTCTCATACTGTCTGGTTCGTCCTCGATGACCCGGAGAGGCCAGAATTGCGCGTCGAGAACATCATCAGGGGACTCGGGCAGTTTGATAATCTGAAATACGACCGGCAGCTCATCTACTGCCCTGCCCGCTACGGTGCCCGTATATCTCAGGCATTCACCGCGACGGATCCGTCCATCGTTGTCCGGGCAGAGGAGGTATTTCTCCTGGAGGACATCAAACGCGGCCAATGGTGCTTCACGGAAGGAGTAGGCACACTCTCACGAGCCATGGCAAAAGCCATCTCCAAGACCTTAAAGGACAGTGGGAAACGAGCCTTCCGACGACTGACAACTCACCCAGGCGCTTTCCAGGTGCGCTTCCAAGGGAGCAAAGGCGTAGTCACCGTCGACCCCAGATTACGCGGCAACGCTATCTGCGTACGACCTTCAATGATCAAGTTCGAGGCACCTGAGTCGTTGGACGTCGAGATCGCCCAGGCTTTCGACAGGCCGAGCAAATACTACCTCAATCGTCCATTGATCATGATCCTCGAAGCCCTTGGTGTTCCGTACCGGGTGTTCGACAGGCTACAGACGAGGGCGATCACGCAGGTTCACAAGGCCTCTCGCTCGCTCCGTGGACTGGCTGAAATCATGGAAGCGTACGGTCTAGGAACCTCGTATCGTCTTCCCTCCATATTTCTCAGCCTCTCTAAACTTCATGTCGAGGCACCTCCCGATGATAGTTTCTTTCACCGAGTGAACGACTTCACCGTCCATCATATCCTTCGAGACCTCAAACACCATGCGAGGATTCCTCTTGATCGTCATGGATGGACTCTCGTCGGCGTGGCCGACATACACGGCTGGTTGCGCGAGAAAGAAGTATACGCTTATATCCGTCTTCCGGATGGTGAAGCGTTTTACTTGGAAGGGCGGGTGATGGTCTCGAGGTCCCCAACGATACATCCTGGGGATGTCCAAGTTCTGACGGCTGTTAAACCACCACACGGAAGTATCTACCTGCGTGAGCCTCTCGCAAATACTCTGGTATTTTCTATCCAAGGTGCGCGTCAAGCCAACTTCTCTTTCGAGTTGCCCTTATATTAAGCTATACATAGGTACTAGGCCGGTATATACTGGCCTCGGTGGAGGGGACCTAGACGGGGACCTTTACAACGTCACAACCCTGCGAGAGCTTATGCCTCCGAAGAACTACCATCCGGCAAATTATGATCCAGCGGTGAAGAGGATTCTGGACCGTCGGAGCACAATACACGATATCGCAGACTTTGTCGCGGATTATATCAACAGCGATGTAGGTTTATTTATCCATATTCTGTATAGTACAACGCTGACACCTTATGATTGATGTACGCAGATCATCGGACTTGTTGCCATCAACTGGCTCATCATCGCCGACCAAAGCCCCCAAGGGATTTTCGACCCCGACTGCCTTTCGCTATGCGAACTCCACAGCAATGCTGTTGATTACCCGAAGAGCGGGAACCCTGTGTCGGCCAAAGCTATCCCCTTCCTGAAGTTCAGTGCGAAGCCCGATTGGAATGCACCGGAGACGGTCGACCTGAAGGATACGGCGAATTATTACCAGAGCGAAAAGGCCATAGGAAGACTTTTCCGCGCCGTGACCCTTCCTGATCTGAACGTGGACGGGGGCAACTTCGAGTTCAATCGCCAATTGGGGCATACACCCGAGGCCGACTTGGACGAGGTGTTTGCGAAGCTCTGCATGGAGAACGAGGAGTATGACGATCCATGGAACGACGCCGTCAAGAACCGTGTGGCACAATTCATAGACGTCGAACCCGACAGCGCTTTCGTTGGACCAGCCGTAGAACTCCTCAACAGCTACGTCGTCGACCTCGCGTCGACGTGCGCCAACAACACGATTTCTACCCATCGGTTGTCCATGCTTTCCGAGGAAGAGGCTATCGTTGGTACAATTGTGGCGAAGTGTTCGCAGAAGAACCGTAGGAAGGAATGCATGGCAAAGTTACGAGAGCAGACAGAGGGTTTGGTGAAGGGTATCAGAGCCGGTCTGATAGACAATACTCCACTACCGTCGTCAGTAGAAGACAACGAGGACGAAGAGGCACAGGAGGATGCGGTTCTGAAGAACTGGCTAGCTCAAGCATGGGCAGCGTGGCAAGTTTCGAGGGTTGAGGATGCGTTCGGGTGTACGAGCTTTGGTTGGATCGCGTTGGGTGACGTGTTCGACGCTATAAAGGCAATTGAGCAACGAGAAGTGGACAGAGCTCATGGTTCGAATATGTAGCATTTATCTACGGCCATGTATCGTTAGAATCTGTAGTGGCTCTTGCGTTGTTGTTGTACAGATTAGCGAATGACTACGATGTGATTTGAAGCCAGCTTGAGTTGAATGTTGGACTTGACTTCCTTATAGGGATTACACAAGTCGCTTGACTGCTGCTGCTCACGACCGTCATACCCGCCGCACACAACCCTACCCGCTGGTACAGTACTTCCTTATCCCGGATTACTCGTTCACTTCGGTTTCTAAATATCCATTGCTTTCTTTGTAGATTGCTTCACCTGGATCAACGTTGCCACCCTTGCCCATCTGCCGGCGTACCTTGATGACATTGCCCCAGCATCCGTAGGCGCGATTAGCACCACTCTTGCACCATAGCCTGTACTACGTCCAGAGCTTTCGCTATTCGTCGTTACCATCTCCCTGGCAAGGCCGGTCAAACTAGGCGACTTTGAGCGTGTTTGGAGAGAGGGAGTAAGGCTTTATAATGCCCCCACGGCCACAAACGGCGGCGACGAATTCGTCTCGTACGTCCAGCTATCCTACCCAACTGCTCGACAAAGATCTGCCCCCAACACCACAATCACCCTCGACGGAGAACGTTCGAGCTCCCCCGGTACCTACTCGTGAGATCAGGCAAAGCACTATGCGCGCAGCATCTCAAGCCTTCCCCATGGGCTTCTCCTTGTCTACCCCGGCATCACTGTCCAAGTCCTCAGTCTCCATCGAAACTCCTCTCCCATCGCCCACATCGACTCCAGCTCTGGTTCGTGCCGCGCTGGGCCTTGGGCTTCCTTACGTCATGCCGTCTGCATCAGCCTCCTCGTCGAGTTCTGAAGTCAATACCATTGCATTTCTTACCGCTTCACCACCCGCCGAGCACAGACGCATATCTACGTCTCCCGGGAAGGTTCGCCGTGTTCGTAGCTCTCATACGTTATCTGGACAAGGTTCTTCCACGCCCCCAGTGGCACCCGAGCCCGTGGCACGCAGGCGGACGCGACGGACGTCTGCTGGTCCCGCTGCTGGCCCCCCTGCATCGGGAAAGCAGTCACCAGACCCGAAAGGCAAAAGCAAGGCCCAGGAAATATCTGTTCATGAACCTCCCCCTGAACCTCCGGCTCCTTTGGCAAACCGACTCGTGCGAAGAGCCTCATTCTGGAAGACAAAACGACCTAGTTCATCTCATGCTCCCGAAACGCCATCTCTGACCGAAGGGTCTACTACCTCACGACTATCTGCATCGTCCTCGTTCGGCCGACCTTCACTTCCTTATATTCCACCCGTTTCTCCATTCAGAGTCGCTGAGGGAGACGTATCGCGTTCATCGTCGCCTTCACAGCACGGTCATGAGCCCACGCCAACCCCCGTCCCCCCTCCTCCAGGACTTGTCCGTAGACATTCTGACAGAAAAGCCCCTCGCCAGTCTCCTCCGTCGATATCTCCCATCACTCCTACCGCAACTCCACCGATACCCGCATCTTTACCTCGTAGTCGCCAAAGTCGTTATGCACGCCCTTCCACGGCAGACTCAATTGTATCTCGAGAACGCGCGCGCTCATTATTCCTTGATTCTCCACGCCTTTCATCAACTACCCCTCCGCCATCGACACCCCCTCTTCCTGCACCTTCGGGCTCGCCAAAGGTGGTTCATCCTCGGCAACGAGCGCAGACCAACCCGCATATTCTGCAGCGGCTGTCATTGAACCTGTTCTCCTTCGGCTCTCCATCCGCGCCACCTATCCCAGACCGTTCCGTGAGCAATTCTACCACTCATTCACCACCATCTTCTCCTCGCCCGTCCAACTCGAGGCCCTCGATCGAAATACCCAGACCCAGAACAGACGGAGACACACCCGAAGCGTACATACAACGACTCACGAAAGCTGTCACGAAAGCTGACATAGCAATCGTTTTGGCCACCAAGTACGTATTTTTCTGGCCGTTTGATGGGGGAAATCCCTGATTAATCATGTGCGTAGTGGTGATCAGTTTCACGCTCAATGCTTGCGGATTTACATTGGACGTTTCGATTTCGCCAATGATCCTTTGGACGTCGCCCTACGTAAGCTACTCATGGAAGTCGGATTACCTCGCGAAACCCAACAGATAGATCGTGTCATGGAGGCATTCGCTGCTCGGTACCGACAATGCAATCCTGATCTGTTTATCTCGGATGGTGAGACCGATATCGTCCTCAGCATGCAAGGGCCACAGGCTCAATTCTTTATATATAGATCATCCGTACATCCTGGCGTTCAGTCTCATCATGTTACACACGGACGCCTTCAACAAATCCAATAAGAGGAAGATGACAAAACCCGATTATATGAAGAACACCCGTCTGCCTGGTGTTTCGCCGGAAGTACTGGATGTACGTCCTTCCCCTGCTGTTTCTTTCGCCTGTGCTCATGCGTTTAGCAGTGCTTCTATGACAATACCGTTTTCGCTCCTTTCATCTTCATCGAGGATCCACTAGACGCCAATGGGTACCATGCATCCGAGACAAATCTGACACAACTTCCGTCTGGTCTTCCTGTTCAAGCATCTTCTAGTAGCAGTGGGACTCTCGGCTTGTTAGGGAGAAGCAATAAGATCGACTTGTATCACGTCATCGCGAACGTGAGTTTTATTCGTCTTACCAGATAGCCGCACACGTTCCCTCAACTCGTTTCCTCCGATCGGTTCAGAACTTGCTCGATTCTCTTCGAGTGGATGTAGAAGCCTACGTTCCGCTGAAAAGCCCCTACCGCTACGAAGGAAGTCTTAGATCCTGGGACCATGAAGAACTCCGTCGCAACTTCGTAGAACCCGGTGGAGGTGAAGTGAGCCCAGCGAGATCGCATCTCTTCTTGCAGTGAACGTGTACTGATGTCATCTTTCTTAGGCTACTAAGTTCGGCAGGCTTGATTGCAAGGAGGCAAGGGTAGTGGGCGGAATTACTTCCATGTCAAGAAAATGGAGAGACTGCACCGTGATCCTCACGAGCACTCGACTACTATTATTCCGCGACACCGTCCGGGCAACGAATTTCTTGGAGCAGGCGAAGTCGTCGTCAAGGTCGAACCAACCTCTCACCACCGCTATGCCGTTCAAGCCTGACGAGCGGCTGTCTATGAAGGATGCGATCGCTGTCCTTGATTCGTCCTACAAGAAGGTACGTCATACAGAAAGATTCCCCGTTCGCCAGATAGATTGACTTAGAGTCACAGTACCCGTATACCTTCCGTTTCGTCATCCATGATAGTCGACACCTTCTCTTTCGAGCATCGAACGAGAAGGAGATGAACGAGTGGATCTCTATGATCAATTACGCCAGCGCCTTCCAGAGCAACAGCCTCCGGATGCGACGGACGGGTGTAGCCAGCAGGGACGTCGAGCTCATGGGCGTCGCCGCCGCGGCCTCCCACATGCGGGACACGATGGCAGCCTCGCTGCCTTCGTCCGCTCCGTTGCATGTCTTCACGCGTCCCGAGTCCGATGAGTTCGGCGGACGACTCACCGACTCTCCGCCATCTTCGCTTGGGGACAGCAGGAATGCCAAGTCTGAAGCCGCCACCCCTCCGACCGACATCGACGTGGAGCCAGGGTCCGCTGATCTGGACGAGGCCCAACAGCTGCAGGCTACCTTCGATCAGGTCAAGGTCGACTTGGCTGCTGGCCGAACGCCTTCATTCAGCGAACCTCCTATCACGCCCCGCAAGAAAGCGCGAACTCTTGGCTTCGACGAGTCATTCACACTCTCGCCAGCGAGAATATCGGAAGATGGAGATATCACTTCACCTCGCGTGCGGGTTATCCTGTCGAAGCTGAAAGAGCTCGATCAAAAGTATACGACCACCCAAGCTCACCTGGATTCGGAGCTCCGTCTCGTCCGTAACATTCGTGTCTTGACGCCATTCCAACGTACTACTCGAGATCGTCTGGTCGTCGCAGTTCAGAACGCCCCCAATCGGATCAAGCAGCTGCGTCTGGAGGTCGCGAGGCTTGCGTGTCACCGAGATGTTCTCCGTAGCGACATGCAGGCGGAAGAGAGGGCTTGGACACAAACGAGACGGATTGCGATGAAAGCTGCGACGGAGAGCCTTCATACTCGACGCGAAACGATGCTGCCTTCGTTCAACGTCGAAGGGCCCGACCGATCTTCATCTTCTCCGCATGGTTCGTCGAACACCCCGTCCCCTCATCCACCCGATTCATCTGGAGGATCATACCACTCTGCTTTCGACTTTGACTGGTCTATGAGCACCATGGCGGACGAAAGCACTCAATTCGGAGTTACGGAATACATTGTGGCGTCGCCACTCATGACACCCGTCACGGAAGACGGTCCTCACGGGAACGGCGGATCATTTCCATTCAACCACCACAACGGCTCGACGCCTCCATCACACACTCATTCAATTCATTATGCAGAGTCAACCAGGGGTGACTCTGTTGACCTTCCCCACGCTCGTTCTTCGCACGAGAAATATATCACTGCGCCAGAGATGCCGGAGGAGGAAGCGGAGCAGTGGGATAAGACCCGCGCGGCCAAGCGCGTGTCGTTGGTAAAAACCCCTTCTAATTTTAGGCTAAATGGACTCGACTCTTCGAGCGGATCGTCGGTACAAAGGATACGGACAAGGAACGGTACTTAGAATGACTTTAATTTTGCCTCTCGTTGCCAGTGGCATCTTAACGTAGATCGATCTCTTTTTTCTGGTAATTTACTTTGTCTCTCGCACTCGGACACTACTATTCCTTATACCTACTGTTAAGTTATGTATTTCACGAATCAATTCAGAGGTGTGGCTCTGTTGTTATTATTTGAACGTCCCGGTAGAAGTTTCCGTCTAGTATTTCGGTGAAGTTTATCAAATGTAAATCGTTCTCGGAGTCCCATGTCCGTAAGGAGACCTACGCTACATACTCGAAAGCCCAAGCCTCACTGAAAACCTTACACGACCATACATATCAAGTAGGGGTCGGTATCTTACGTTCATGTCTTGTAATCGCCAGTTGTTCAGGGCTTAGTCGGTCACAATCACACACGGGAGATGGTATTGAAATGTGTTTAATATAAACGTGAAACCCAAAGAGTGTATGTATTACGCATGAAACATGCTGGTAGGTAAAGGAATGTAGAGGAGTCCCGCCGAATCTGATAGAAAGATAACAAAAAATCAGAATCTGGACCACAGGATAACAAGCGGATGGCACTAACCTTTAGGAAACCCGTACAAACGCTTAGCAGTTGACACCCCAGGTCTGGAGGGTGGCGGTGAGGCTGAGCTGAATGCAGACGGGGACACAGATGTCTTGGAGCAGGGGGAGGAGGACAGCCAAGAGACCGCCGAGGACCTGGATGCAGACGCTGACGAGCTGGAGGAGGAGGGTACTGGGTGAAAACATGTCAGAACCATTGAGAATGATAAGTAAAGGGGGAGAAAATCGTACCCGACTTCAGCAAGGAGAGGGATGACGATAGAAGCGTTGGCGGATCCAGCGACGGTAATGACATGACCAAGAGCACCGAAGACAAGCTGAAAGCGCATAAAAAAAAAGAAGGTTAGCTGAGAAAGAAAGAAATGGCGTCGGATACTTACGTTGAGGATAGCGACGAGGGCAGTAGCAATGTCGAGGACACCGAGGTCGAGGATACCGAAGATGTCGACCTCAGCCGCACCAACAAGAGTCGTAACGTCCGTAATAGCAACGTTAATAGCGACCTTGATCTCGTCGGTGATAGGGGAAATGGCGTCGGTAGATCCGCAGTCAGACGCGCCGAGGTTGTCTAAAGGTAGGTGTTCAGTCACAGGACGTCAAAGGGAGATTGTAGGAGTAGGTATTGATGAAAAAGACCTACTAAGCTTGGCGACAAGAGGGGTCACAGTAGTCGTAAGGGTATCGAAGATGTCGGGCATGGAGCTGCAGCCGCAACGGGGGACATTGACGTTGGCGGCGGCGGCGGCGCCGACCTTGGCAAGGTCGCGGGACTCAGTGGGGAGGGCGGAGGTGGAGGTGATGGTGGAGAGGGCCAAAGTGGCGAAGATGGCGACGCTGCTGAAGGAGAACATCTTGCTTGGTACTATTAAAGAATGGAGGTGATCTGGGATCAAAAGAGTGGCAGAACACAAGCAGATGAGGAGTCGAGCGAAGGGGGGTGAGGAACTGGGAGGGAGCGTTGAACCCGACTTTATACGATTTCTCGCTGTGGGCCAGGAAGTCCGCTTCGAAGACGGCGTCTGAATTCCGTCTGAGCCACAAGCCCGTCGGGGAACTCTGAAACAGGTGCTTATACGTTCTTGACATGGCTATTCTTCGCAAGCGGCGGTGTTTACGTCAAATCGACACTGCTAAATTAAAGAAATAACGTGGTCGATCGACTGCAGTGTACGAACGCAGTCGTTCGACCTATTGGGTGCGTTCAGTTCTACGCGAGGTCACGAAATGAAGAATAGAATTCTTGGCAGCCTTACCTTGAGGATTAAAACGTCGTTTGCCTGCCCGCTGCTATCGTCGGTAGGATGTTCCATGAACCTAGCAAGCGTTCGACGTATTTCGAAGCTCTGTGACAGACGACTCGAAGCAAAAGTTAGTGAGGTGACGTTGAGCATAACCAGCGAAAGAAGCACTCCTCGGCACTAAATTCGATTTGAGACCTGCCCGCAGGTTCATTTCGGCTGAAGGTTCTAAGCTCGAAGAAATCCGAAGAGTTCATCATGGAGTGCACTGTGCACTTCGAAAAGGTTGAAAATCAACCGAAGGAAAACCTGTAAACCTAATTCCATTCAATCTCCTGCCGGTAGAAAGCTCACCTGTGTGGGGTACATTTCATCTGTCTCACAGTATAAACGAAGGAGGTTGAGAGCCACCCTTTATATTGCCGAATTCACTCACATCGCACAGAGCGAGAATCAACCCTCTCACGCAGTAAATGTCACCCATTATATGCCACCAAGTTTGCCCACTACAGTTCAACGTGTATGGCTCCCAACTCGTAGTATATTTCATTAAAAACGAAGATACGATACACAACAGAGCCTACATACAGTTACAGATACTATGAGGGCTTCAAAGCGACTAGCTAGCGAAGGTCGAAACTGGATAACCAAGAGACTATGGTCCCTACGTAACTCGACATATACACGCCGTTCCATCTAAGTGTCTCATCGTAGAAGAAAACAAAACCTAAAGATAGGGTAAGTCGAATCGTAACAAGAGACCCAGACGTTGGGATGCTGACACGGTAAGCAGGCGTACCGAACAAACAAGCCACGCACCGGAAAATGAAGGACATGGACTCTTCACTCGGGCTGACGTGTCGGAAACTCCTCTATGCCAATCGTTACAAGTAAGAAAAGTCATGCACCAATGAAACATGATCCGGATATCCTGCATGCGCACGGTACTCTTCACCGTTAGTTCTCCCAGTTGAAGACACATCTGTGCATAGAGTCGTAGTCAGTAAGAACATCGCCCGAGAATGATTAAGGTGACGGGGCAAACCAGGCGGGCGATGTCGAGGTTCTGCGTAGCGAGGAAGAGCCCGCGGGGAGGACTTGCCTGCACGACTGGGATACGTGAATCGGTCAGGTCAAAAAATAAGAGAAACGGAACCGTAAAGACATACCAACTACAACGACTTAGAGACACCCATTCGCAGATGTGCAAATGCCAGAACGTCGCTCTACGAGGCTCTACGTCGTGGTTGAAACGGAACTGGCAAGACGCGGAGGGGATCGCCGTGAAAGCGCTGCCACGCATCCGGTGTGGCGGTGAACTTTAGGGCAGACCGAAGTTGACTCGCCTGCATTGTTATTTCGCATTTCCCGTCTCACCCGCATTCACTCCATCGCCGGCTTCACCCTGAGCGACTCGTTTAACGAGTGAAAAGTAGAAGTCAACCTCCCTTAGAGGTAACATTCAGCCCCTTTCACGTGCACAGTGGTGCCCCTTGTCTGGGCGAGGTCTGGAGCAAGACGCGTTACGCGAGGCCAAAGCAGTGAAATCTCCCAGGATCACCCAAGGGTGTGCAAGCTCATCAAAGGGGACCGGGAAGACGACGAGAAAAGCAAAACACAGCGCAAAGCATTCACATAGCTGAAAGAAAGAAGCCTACACCAAACACTGTAAATCAGAGTTCCAGCACAGCATCACCGCCCGTTCCCATTTCGCTCAACAACGACATCCCGCTGCTCCGAAATCGGCAATTCATCGTCCAACCCAGGCTGAACACTATCCTGAACCACCGGGGATCCTGCACGCGACTCGGAGCCGGCATTCCCGGAACCCTGTTCGACATCCTGGTCCATAGGTCCAAGGCCAGGAGGCGGCATGGTTGTGTGCCCACTGGGTCCTGCTCCATGAGTCGATGCTGCTCCGGGAGCAGTCATGATACCCACTCCCATGCCAAACTTCCTTCCGGTGCGACTGCCGTTGCTGCTCATGGACCTTTCTCGGTGTGAGACATGGTTTCGTCGACCACCTTCACCTTCATCGTCAGAGTCGGACAGCTCTCCGGACGCTTGGACGCGTCGATCGAGCATGCTGGGCGGTCTTCGGTCATCAGGGTCAATCATGTCCTCGTCTTGATTTGGGTCGTCCATTTCGGCGTCAATTGGGTGTTGTGGTACATCTCAAGATTCGTTTCAGGTTTTTACGTTAGCTCAAGTGGTCCATCCCAGATACACAGGAAAGAGCTCACCAGTCATCTGAACGCTGGGAGGACCACCGAGACATCGCAAGTGCTCCATGACAATATTTCTCACACGCTCGAGATACGCCGGGGAGTTCATATCCTCCGTGTTGGACGCCTTGACATCGAGCTGGTGATCCGGCCCGAAATACTCATAATACTCGTTGGTGGGGATGGCTTGCAACACACATCTGTGAGCTGGCAATGACGGTCATTTTAATATGTACTTACTGGGACCAAGCTCCACGCCCGTCGCCAGGCCGGTCTCGTATGCCCATGCACGACTGACATTCCGCATGGTATATCCTCCTCCTCCGAGCAAAAGCAGTGGCTTGTTGAAGGACTTGACGAATTTGACGCAGTTTGCATGCCCTTTAACGACACTGTCAGAGGAGTGCCAGTGGAGATAAACAAATGGTGATGTACCTCGCATTGACAGGTTCAGGCAACCGAGTTTATCACCAGCTAACGAATCGGTACCGCATTGAAGTACGATGGCTGACGGCTGGTACGACTGCATGACTTCTTGTATTACCTATTCCCAGATAATGAGGATAAGGTGCTTTAAGAGTAAGAAACGAGATCACGCACAGGCTCGAAAACGCTCTTGTAATTCGCGTCGTTGATTCCGTCTCTGAGCGGAAAATTCAACGCGTAATATTTACCCTTCCCTATCCCGACATCCTGAGACATCGAATTTTTTGTGTTGTGTTGAGTACGAAAATTTTGGATGAGTAGACTGGATTGGACTTACGCGCAACTCACCCGTCCCGGGGAAGTACTCTCCGTACTTGTGGAAGCTGGCAGTCATGACTCGATCAGTGGTATAGAAGGCCTCCTCGACGCCATCCCCATGATGAACGTCGATGTCGATATAGAGTACCCGAGGATGATACCTATCGCGGCGTTAGCATCACGGAAGCGCCTTGCCCATCGCATTGGTGACACGTACCGTAATAACTCGAGGATACCCAACACGATATCTTCGAAGCGATATCCGTGAGTTTGGTCATGAAGGATACAGAAGTGATAGTCGCCTACCGTTCACATAACAGAAGCCGCTAGCTTCGCTCTTCTTTGCGTGGTGCAGGCCTCCCGCCCAGTTGACTGCAATGTCGCACTTGTCCCGACTTAGTCGTGCAGCGCCCTCTGTTCAGTGGGACGCGCGTCAGAGGAGAACAGCTCAACAAAAGCACGTGGATGCATACCCATGGATCCACCAGCAGATATTGAACAGTAATCGAACAAGCCGTCAAATACGGGACAGTCGTCTCCAACGTTACCTATAGAATGAACAATGGCAATGAGTCCGAGGCGGTAGAGGGATAAAAAAAACAAACAAACAAAGAGGAAGTATGACCTACATTTGTGCTGTTCCTTGACAAATGCGTTCATGTTGCTCGGCGTGATCTTACTCAGAAAGTCGACATATTCATCTGAGTGGAATTGTGTCATCTCGCGCTTGGTGGCCGGTTTCGCTCGCTGTAGGGAGCAGTCAAAATAACTTAGATCAGTGACGGTACACAAAGCATAAGTTTACGATGTATGGTAGCTCACGAAGATCTCCATCCTTTTGTATAGCCCGTAATTCATCACCAATGAGTGGCACATCCGAATCCGGGTCGGTTTCATCCTAATGAAAGTTGAAGGTGGCGTAAAGGATGAGTTGAAGACCATCGCCTAAATCGAGCGAATGAATATACGCACGGGTGCCCCGGACCATAATGAAACCCTCCCACGTCCGAATCGAAGAAGTAGCACTACGATACAGCAATCAAGTCAGTGAGCGTCCAGAAACATACTCAGCTGCGTGGTGACAGGCTGGACCCTTCAGGTCTATAATTGCACGAGAAAGTATACATACAACTCGCTTTTTGCTTTCGCCTTCGATGGGGAATACTTCGCCGGGCATGATGAGGTGGGAAAGCGAGAGGCGTGTTGTGGCACAGCGCTTGCGTTTTGTTCCAAGGTGCACAATCAAATTCGGGACCGACGTGTTGGGTGAGGATCACGTGGTTTTGTTTGGCTGCGGCATTCGAATTCAACAAAGTACGTCATGTTCGACGAAGTTCGAACAATCTCCATTTCGTCTCAATACTGTAATTGCGACATGGATCGTAAGCTAAGACAAAATTATGGGCATATATGGCTGTCTAAAAAGTAACATAGAAACAAGCAAGAAAAGACGTGACGCATAAGTATGTTACAAAGAAGGCATGAAAGTTCGTGATGGGAGGAAAGGAGTGTGGTCATGCCAGTCTGGAAACACAGAACTGAGTCCAAGCTGAACGGGAGGCATATACAACACAGAGACACGGAAGAACGAAGAGAGAGATAAAGACAGTAAGATATGCCGGTGACTAAGAAGATATCAATGAGTAACATAGAAAGTAATGTTGAATCGCGAGTCAGAATCAACACTGATTGAAGCTAGCATACCAAACTTACGCCGTCATAAAGACATTATGAATCGCATGAAATACGTGTGGCCTCGTCATCCGCCGAATCTAGCGCATCGTTCTCAACTTGTGGATTACCGCCCCCATATCTACCGGCTCGCGCATGGTCTCCCTGCGCTCTACCCTTGCCCAGAATCTATTAGGCTCCGCTATCCTGACGTCCACATCTATTGGAGACGACGGTGCATCGAAGGGGACAGGCGGAGGAGCAACAACGCTTGGACGTGGCGTATGAGCGCCAGGTTGGTCGAATGAAGAAATGTCCTGATACGTAACTCCGAAGAACCGCGAGAGCTTCGCAGCTCGCAGACGGCGCTGGCGGAAGTCGGAACTGTTCTCAAGGTCGAGCGCAGCGTGTGGTTGCGATTCTGCGATTGGGGCGGGTGGCGGTTGCATAGAATAGGCTGAGAAAGGGGGTGGTGTTGGAGGTGAGCGGGAAGCAGCCATTTGGGAAGGGTCCGAAGACTCCAGATCTCCGGAGAGCATCGATGGCTGCGAGTATATGGAGGACATGCTCGAGTGAGAACGATGTCTTGACTTGCGCGGGGAAGGCTGAGCAGAGAGCATATCGAACGGGGGCAATGAGAGCAAAGCTGCAGAATTGCGGCTTGGGACGTCGACGGGTTCGGGTGGAACTTCTGCACTCGGCGAGAACTGGTATAGTTCTCGTGGGGGATCTGCGCCGAACATCTGCAATGGGTATACGACGACCACAATTAGAATGGAAAGGCGATTTTGAGTCCACAAAAAACACACCTCTTTCATCTTTCGCGCGCGTTTAACGTTCAATACTCTCTTCCTCTCCATCGCTGATTCGGATTCCGAGCCAAACGGACCCTCTCGAAGGTTCCTGATGGCAGAAGCTCTATCAGGCATGGGCTCGACATGTTTCTCCTTCGCCTTCCTCTTATCTCTATCCGCCCACAAGGAGTTCGCCCTCCTGAGACTTGGGGTGCTTTTGGTATCGATCCGCTTCCCAGCAGGAGCAGACATAGAAGCAGCCCGAGTATCACCTTCTTCACTCCTTCGTTTCCGCTTTTCCTTCACCAAACGACGCCCAGATGCGGAGGATGGCCGAGGTATGGATGTAGCCACCGGGGATTCGAATGACGCTGTACTAGGCTGTGTAGGTATTAGGTCGACAGACAGGGGTTGAACGATTGGGCGAGGCATCAGAGGGGGGACGGGAGGTATGTGTGAATGCGAACTGGCCGTTCCGTCGTGAGTGGTACTGGAGAAGGACTTGACGGACCGATCGAGCGATGGACGAGAGGCCTTCTCACTCGTTGTTCCTCGAGATCCGGACAAAGAGTTCGCAGACCGAGTAATCCCATTCGAGGGGAGGCGAGTAGGCCTTACTGAGGTAGTAGTCGGGATCGAGTGGTCCTGCCCAGATGCAGACGCAGGCGTAGACAGGGTAGGCTGGAAAGACAGCTTCCTGGCGATCTTCGCAGCCATACCTCGCTCTCCGTTCTGATTCTCGTCGGAAGAGTCTCCTGCGAGGATCTTGCTCATTCTCTTTGCCTTCTTCAAGAAGGTGTTGGGCTCCGAGGTGTCCATTTCGGTCGGGGATAGCGGCATGAATGCGGGTGTGAACTTTGTCTCTTCTGGTTTAGATGCGAATGGGTGGCGAAATTCCGGGATGCTGGAGATGGGGGAGCGAATGTTAGCCGGGCCGGGGGCGTAGTGAGACTCCGTCGGTGTTGTCAATGGTGTTTTCTTGCCACTGTCGGGGGCTCTGGAGGACGCGAGTTGGAGAATAAGAGAGAAACGGTTCCGGGAGGGTAGCTGTGAGGTAGACATTGTTGTGGTCGCGACTGATGACAAGGAGAAGATGGTTGTAGCGATATGACGGAAAGCGATCACGATGGACAATAGACTCACCGTCCGTCGAGTGATCGCAAAGGTCCAAAGCGTGTTCTAGTCGAGCTGTGGCGATATGAGACAGCGTCCGTGCTGAACGTATGGACGACGTCAGCTTTGACTTGGACGGGGTCGACGTGGCGGGACCAGCGGCACGTCGAGGGGGAAGCTGTCAGACTAGTGACTAGCAGCTGGTGGCGAAGAGCAAGTAGTGTACATCGGCAGTATATGATATTCGCATGGCGCTTCTCGGGCGAAATACTGTACGCGGTCTGTGGCTGCGAGTCGTGGCGCGGCGAACCGTGCCGTGGGAAGGTATTCAGGCCCCAACGGTTTGGTTCCGTCTGCGTCCCGTCGATCGCGTGGGTGCCTGCTCCTGATCTGATTGGCTGATTGCTCGCGGTAGCCATGCCAACGGCGTTCCATTCCTCCTCACACCATCTTCCCCTGCCTTTCTCGGCCTGCCTTCCCGCCACTTCATATACTTAAGACGAATGTCACCTCAGCCTACGCAGGAAATCATTGATTTCTCCAAAACGCCTTTGGCATCCAACTACACTGGCCTTTATGCCTCTGTGCTCGACGGCCTATTCACGGAGGCAGAATGTTGTTCGCTTATTATTCTCGCTACCTCTCCTCTGTCCGCCAATCAGGGTTCTCCAGGGTCTACTTCTCCCTCCGCCTTATCAGAGCCTCTAGCCACCGATGTATCTGTGACCTCACCGTGGCGGCCTGCAGGTCTGAGTGCGGAAGCGTCTCACCAGACTGTGCATGCCGACTTCCGCAACAGCGAGCGGATCATACGAATTGACGCCCATACCGCTGGCTGGATATACGACCGTGTGCGACCGTTCTTGGAGAGTGAGCTTGGGGCCATCAAACAGGGATCGAAATGGGATGCCGTTGTGGGACGAAAGGGGAAAGTAGACGGTACCTGGAAGCTGGCAGGGTATGTTACTGTCTCGTACACAGGTGCATAATCTAATTCAACTTTCGCTGGGATCGCTCCATAGACCGTGGCCGCGTCTTAGCTTTTTGCGCTACACGTCTGGTCATTTCTTCAAGCAGCACTGCGACGGCCTCCTGACCGACCCTGCTGCCGAGAACACGCACTCCCGGGTTACCCTGCATATATATCTTAACAGCGACTGCGAAGGTGGTGCCACTCGGTTCTGGTCACCAGACAAGAAGCGCTATCTCGACGTGGAACCTCGCATAGGTCGTGTATTGATGTTTCAGCAGCGAATGCTCGTCCATAGCGGCGAAGAGGTCAGGGACGGCGTCAAGTACACATTGCGCCTTGATGTCATGTTCCGGCAGGAAAAGCCTTGAGGTGGTATTACCCTGGAGTCGTAGAGTCATAACGGTGCGACGCGGCCACTCTTCTCCGTCGTTGAGGTCGCATCTCGGAGGACAGATTCATGGCGGTTCACCTCGTCTTCATCCAAATAGCATTATCCGATAAAACAGTCCGTACATGCAATACTGTATACAACGAAGATGTTCCGTAGTAACCTCATCTGACCGGGTACCCAGGCAAGAACCTTCAAAGCTCTTCTACCTCGATCGTAAACCCACACGAATGGCACATCTGCGTGGTCGTCCCGTCCTCCGAAGGATGCGGCTGACTGAACACATGCTTATGCTCAGCATCCTTCCGCTTCTGCCAAACGCCCTCTCGTGTCTTTCTTCTCAGCTCCACCAAGCCCTGCTCGAATTTCTTATTCTTCCTCTTTTTCTTCTCTGATGTTCGTTTATTCCACTCGGCGTCGAGTGCCTCTGGGGAGCCCCACTTCTTCCAAGCAAATTCTTCGACTTGAAAGCGACAAAAGAGCATCATGTTTGCAAACGTCGATTTGTGCGGGTTAGCTTTAAGCAGGTGGGGCATGATCTCTTCGTCGCGAAGTTCGGCTGTGGACATGGAGAGTTAGACTGTCTTGAACTACCCGGTTGCGAGGAGGAAGGAGAGCAGGGAGTCTGAGATAAATATTTCGAACTCACAGTCTGTTAAAAGATAATCCTGACGGAAGCAGCAAGTCAGTATCGTCCTAGTATGTCTTAGCTAGAGGTGTAAGGGGTCACCTCTCTACACTCCGTCTTCGTCAACAGACTGTACTTCTCCGGCTTCTCGTTCTTGCACTTGTTACATACCAAGCACCGAAATACCTTTCTATATGTCTGATCAAGGTCTATGGACCCACATTCTGCGCACTTCGGATTCTTTCCCTTCTCCAGGTAGACCGCTGCAGGTACGAACGAACGCAAAGTTGGATATCAGACATCGAGATTGTGAGTAAGTACCAGAGTAGAAGGGGTAATACGTACGCGGATCCAAATTCTGCACCGCACGCTGCCTTTCCCGTTCCTTCTCTTTCGCCTTGTGAACCTCATCAACCTCTTTATCGTCCTCCACCAAGAATCCACCCTTCGAGTTCACCATTTTTGACAAATCATAGTCAAAATACTTCCCAAGTCTCGTGTCCCTCTTCAGCTTCTGCTGTTGCTGCCGTGACGGACCTGTCGGTGACGTAGATGTCGCGGGGACCACTGCCAGTGGTCGTTTATTGTTCAGATTCGGTAGGGAGGATGAAGAGGAGGCCGTCTCTTTCTGGCGTTGTTGAGCTTTGGCTATATGATTGGTTCTCGTCAGATCAATGACCTTTTGTGATAGAAGATATGATGTGAACGTACCTCGCAGACGGTTCATCTCTATTCGTTTGACCTGTTCAGGCGTAAGCTGTAGGTCATTCCCCGGCACAGGTCTGGGAGGAGGGGTGCATGGACGAGTACTGGGGCCCGCTTCAGACATGATAAAGCTCTTCAAGATATGTTTCTACTAGAAAGTAAGGAATACAAGTTGCAAGAAGCACGAGGACAAGGAGATGGGTGAGACAGACGACTGGTGTGGGGCTGAGTGAGAACGTTGTGGCACTGAGTCACGTCGCACGTGCTGTAATTTACCGCGCGCGCGACGCGCGTTGTTGTAGGTTGTTGTCGCGTCCACACAGACTGTAGCAACCACTCTCTATAGCAGGGTATGTGACGGCTGCACGAGGGCGTCCACTAGCTTTTCTCCCGCCTTTCATTTCCATCCACCTTGCATCCACCTATCGTTCATCTAGAACCACTGCAGTAATCGCTGAGCCCTAAAATCCACTGCTGGGCCATATATCCGGCAATCCGGGCACACTGCATAGCCGGTTGCGTTTACTAGCTGTTCCGTCTCCGAGCTTCGCTATAGGAGCTCTGCTTTCTCTGACCAGCGTTGCATACCATACCATCTCTAGTCCCACCTCACTATCCAACTGCTGACAGCATAGATGGCTGAAGCGGTCCCAGACGCCAATCGTGCAGAGCCGGAGGAAATCTCTACTTCTCTCTCGCTCGAACAGCTCGACACAAACTTGTTCCGGTCCAAGTCTCTCTGGCTTCCGTACCGCGCCAGAGGTGTGTTTGGTGGTCAGGTTATATCTCAGGCTATTGTCGCAGCTACTGCCTGTGTCAAGCCTCAGTATGCACTACACGTACGTCTTTCGAGATTCTTGCGTTATACCGAACGTATTTGGATAATTGCCATTGACATTTCACACTTTCGATCGCTAGTCCTTGCACGTAAGTCCATTCCCTTGACCTCGCGCGCAAATCAATCCCGGAAAGCAGAAAACCAGGCGCTGAAATACCCTCCACATACCACGACCAGTCCTATTTCCTCCTTAGCGCTTCCCCCGCCGTCCCCATCCTCTACTACGTCGACCGCGTCCGCGAAGGGCGAACGTACACCACCCGATCCGTCCGCGCCGTCCAGAACGGAAAGACCGTCTTCATCCTCATCTGCTCCTTCCAAGTTCCAGAAACATGGCAACCTTCTCACCATTGGCCTATACCGCCCAACGTCCTTCCGCCGGAGCAATGCGAGGATGAGAAGGACAGGTGGATCAGGAGTGCGCAGAAGGAGGGGCTGGACGCGAAGATCAGTGAGGCGTACATGCAATTCGCTGATGTATGTAGACTGAACATCTAGTGCGGAGTTGTTGAAGCATTACTCACCGTGAATATCTTCGGTTTGTTGTAGGAGAGGCATAGAAGTCCGGTGGAAGTGAGGAGAGGGGGGAGTTATACGGGAGCGGAGGGAACAGTGGTTGAGATGGTCTGGATGAAAACAAAATCGACAGAGACATACGAAATACCCTTCCAAAAGGTCCGCCATACCCTCCTCCCTTCCGAAACTCTAGTGCTTACCTTGTTGGTCTATTTATCAGGGAATTCTTGGCTACATGTCTGATTTCTACTTGTACGTCTCCATCGCAACCTCTCTCCGTATACACCTTTGGATATGTACCATAACTCATACATATCCACTCGGCTCCACATAGTCTCGGAGTCGCAGCCTCCTCTCTCGGGCTAAAGCGCCACACCCGCGGCCCTGAAGCACTATCCATGCTCTCGACTTTGGACCACTCAATATTCTTCTACTCGTACGTGGCTCCGACATCCTATAGTAACGAAGATCATGAGAGCGCTAAAAATATCGACTCCATTGACAATAGGAACGACTTTGATTGTAATGACTGGGTCTTATATGTTGTACGTGGTACCCTGGCGTGACCTCCCATTGTCATTTATATACTCAACACTAGTCGGTTCCTCAGGTAACATCACCTGCTGCAGGTTCAGGGAGAGGTTTTGTCATAGGCAGGGTAGGTGCTTCAGTCAAGACTCCTGTGTTTATCCATTGATGATCGTTGTCGCAGATGTATTCGAGAAACGGAACTCTCGTAGCAGTTACTACCCAGGAGGGTGTGATCCGAGCGGACATTCGACCTCCACCAAAAGAGAACCCACCAGCGAAGCTATGAGGACGCATACGAGGATCTTGTGATCTTCAAGCGTAGTTAGGCGGACGATCTCACTTATAGACTTGTACGATACACCCATCTGGTACCATACATTATTGACGGTTGGATTGGCGTCGTCGTTCGACCGAGAGGCGACAGAGTTCACTCGCTGAGGCTGGGAGGGCGACTCGTCCATGTTCCGATCAGAAATGGTACAGCATAGCACATTTATGAGAGAACAAAGAAAAAGAGCGAGCACTATGCATGTCGGGAGGCACATATCGAACATAGCAGGAGGATGGGAGAGGCATGGGGATGGACGGGCGCCCGGCAGGCGAAAACAGCGAGTTTGTTGTGGGTGTGTGCGTGAGCGTGCGAGCTAGACAATGCGATAGAGAACCGATGGCAGGAGATGCAAGGCAGGGTAGATACGATACAGGACGGAGAGAGACCAGTCTGCTTAGTTCTTCCGGCGGTACGAGCTCCCTGTATATGTCAAGAGTTGAAGTGGCGACGCATCCGATGAGAACCAGCGCTGGAAGTGAGACGGGAAGTGGACTCACCCTCAGTCAACCTTGCCTTACCACCAGTAGGCTGGCAGAGCACACTGGCGCATGCGCCGCAGAGGACGACAGTCTGTGCGTGCGAGAAGACGGTGGTGATGGCGAAGCACCCTGGATTACGAAGCACGCGAACTCTCCTCAGGCTTTGTATACATGGGCTAGACGGGGAAACAAACGCACCTGGGCACTTAACGTCCATGAAGTATGAGTTGGGCGACTGCACAAGACGCTTGAGCTTGTGCCTGCGGGTTTCAGCACCGGCGGAGGGGTTGAGGAGGTCAACGGCGAGAGTCTAGTACACATCATCGAATGGGTATGAAATACGGCTCAAAAACAGCAGAAATGAGCCCAGACGCACCATGTTGGATGCGAATGAAGGGGGTTGAGGCTTGGCCGGTGTTTTGGGGAGTGACGAGCTTTTTGAGGAGGCGCGGGCGCTGTGAGCGACGAGGTGCAGACGCAATATCTGTCGGTCGGTGGGCGAAAACGGTAGAATAAGGTTCGAACTCAGAAAGTTTCGGACTTTCAAAGCGGCGCGGAGCCTGGCGAGAGTCAGTTTGAGTCGGTGGCGTGCGGCACCGCTGCCGCCACTCAAAGTTTGCTAGTGTTTTCACGCTCAAATCGAGTTCGACTCTTCACAAATCGTTACACAGCACCGGATCCAGTTTTCTGTCACTCCCTCAAGGCCTTACTTATGGCTGAACAACTTGAGCCAAGCTTAGACGCTTTGAGTAAGTCCGAAATCCTAGAATCAGTGGACAGCGGCGCCGGCAGGTATGGAATTGTTTCCCCCACCAAAGCTCCTTTACATATCAAGTGGGCTGCTCCCGGTCAAGACAATAAAGTTCAAAGGTGTTCTGGGTAGGTACTCAATGTACTGAAGACGTGTGCGAAGGCAGAGACCTGGACCAACACTCATGCCGCGAGGCCACCTGCTTTCATAGACAAAGCAAAGGCGTATACGTTACCTCCAGGAGAACCGTAGAAGAGTAGTGCACAGCCGCCTCCCAGGAACTTTCGAGGTACAGGAGTCGAACAAACCATTCCTTTACTCTGCGAAACTACAGATGAAATATCCGGGGAAGGCCAGACCTCGTGGTCTGCGGGTTCGGAGGTTGTGCGACGCAGCTGCTGCCAGGGAAGGACGCTCAATTGTGAACGGGGCTTTGGTATAATTGTGAGAAGCTCAGCGAAATGGGATCAGAAGTCGGCGGGAGAAAGGAAAGGTTGTCTATTGTGCTCTCGGCGCAGGCGCGGTCACGTGTGCGTTCGAAGCGAGTCCTGCGCGCCCATTGTGGCCGGATTCGGCAGGTGTTGTTTCGTCTTGTCCCCCTTTCTTTTTGTCTTGCGCCTCGCGACCTGTACAGCCCGCCGTCCATTGTCTACGCTTAGAGGCGCTGTAATCCCCGACGCTCTATAAGTACTTCTCGTACCTCCCCACTAGTCCCCAGGTGTCGATCCATCTTCCATCTCTCTCTTCGCTTTCCGGTACACGTTCAGGTATGTGCTTTGCCTCTCCATCTTCTCCAAGTCCATCGTCTGACGTTCAGCTCTCTTGGTTGCTTTCTACTCTAGCTCGCTAGGTTTGTACCAGCAATGTACTCTTATACCGCCACCCGAGCTTACCTCTACCCTTCCTGCAGATTCTTGGTTAACCGACTCCATCCACTTGCTACACGTTCGACGCCTGCATATCACTGTATCCAACATCCATACGACCATCGCACTGTTTCCTTAGATCACTCAACGAGCATCTCTGCATCATCTTTCATCGCAGCCGGCTGCCTCCAACTTCATCAGCATCTCATCTCGTCAACACATTCGTCATCTCGTATCTCATCAATCACAATGGCCCCTTACGTTTCCGCTGAGCCCATCCAGACCAACGTCAACAAGGCCGTCGAGTTCCTCACTCATCGCCTTCGCTATCCCACACCTGTCCTTTCCACCCTCCGCGCCGCTCTAATCGACAGCCTCATTGCACACTACGCCCAGTCATGGGATCCCACCGAGCCACCCCGCGGATCTGGCCGCCGTTGCCTCACTCTCAGTCCAGAGAGCCTCCCTCCCCGCCCAATCTACACTGCCATGAAAGCCGCCAACGTGCAGTGGTCCGAGTGGATTGCCGCTCTCGGTGGATTTGAGTTCGACCTCTGCGTCGACCCAGGGCACGTGTACCGTCGTCGGACTATCTCTGGCTTTACCGAAGTTCGCGACATTTGGTCTGAGGAGGCGGAGCAGAAGATGAAAATGGACGCTTTCCGTCGGAATCAGAAGGAGGCGTCGGCCAAAACGCTGGCGCAGCAGGTGATGCTGGCCGATGAAGACTCTGAAGACGAAATCTTCGTTATGATCGCTGACGAACTCCGCGAGCCGACATGGATGACTCCCATTCACCCCACATTCCCCAACACATCATACCTCACCGTTCCTACCACCGCCGCCACCAAGACCAGCTCGACGGTCTCGAACCACTCGCGGTCCAGCTCTCGCTCGTCCAACTCGAGCTCTGGCTTCTCGTTCTCATCCGTCGACACGTCTGACACGTCCTCCGTGTCCTCTGGCACGACCGCCTCTTCCTCTTCGACTCAGACGTCGTCCAAGCTGTCCCGCAGGGAACGTGCCCGCCAAGCGCGCGTCTTCATCGATCAGAGCAAGACGGAGGTCACGAACTACGACGGTGGCAAGACGACCGTCCTCACCGGTGGCGTTATGCTCGGCGGTCGTCCTCCCAAGCCCGCTGCTGCCCCTGCTCCCATTCAGAGGACACGTCCTGCTATGGGTCCCAGCTTCAACTGGCGCGCCACCCGCGTCTGAACGTTCCATGTGTTCTTCTACACCATTCGTATTCACTTTCATTTCTTCCCTGAACGACGTTTTTCACGATTCATCTTTTGCCCACAGTGCAGGACACTTTCGACGTACATATTACGAGCATACTGACGACGTGCCTTCGAGTCATTCATCTTCATCTTCTCACAATGGTTACCCTATTGCACTCTAATACCCCTTTCTCTTTCCCTCGTCTCTCATCCACTGTAGCCTTGGTCTTTCATCTAGTCAACAATTGTGTCCATTATCTCGCAGCGTCTCGAACCGTGTAGCATTTATCAACCTCATACCCATCTTCCCCACTCCGTCGAACCAGCATCCATTTAACGAGCTTCGTGTTATCGTTCTATATCATTATTCCGTTTCGCGGCCTCTCGCTTCTAGCTTCCTAAGGACCGTCTAATCTTCGCTTGCTTCTGCTTTGCTTCATTGCTCTCTCATGTGCATAATAGTCTCCTTCTAGTTTGTCGCTCTTCTTCGTCGGTGCACCGTTTGCATGCATACGCCACACTCCTTGGGCTCTGGTATGTTTATATATCTTTCTGGCTGATACCATACGTTACATACCTACATAGTACACAATTGCTTTTTGTGTTACTTGGTGTTGTCTTGGTGTTAGCGTCGGTATCCGGGCTTCATTTGTAGTTTTGACCTGGTGTTCAATTGAGGCGGGTTCTGGAACTCTTTTTGACGTGTGTGATCTTGCGTGATATCCCGAAAGCAAAGCCAATCGAGCCGGTTCGAGTCGGTTCCAGACGGCAAATATATTTCTGCTTTCAAGATACAAACGATGACTCAGAAGAGCAGATGAAATGCAGAGAAAGAAGAATGTCTTATGGATATCATGATGCATTCAAGTTCGTCGAACAGTGACAATCGCGCATGCCACTGACCAAGTCGTGCTTTCGGAAGAGACCGACATGCTGATAGATGTAAGTAAGTGTCTCTGCTCATCACCACCTCGAAGCTTGCCACGGACGATCGAATGGTGTGTTCACGCCGACTTGCCAGTGCTCTCTATTTCGAAAATAGTTGTTATAAATTTTATTGACCAATCTCTAGGTATAAGTCACCGCGAGATAAACCGTGACTATGGTTCTAATAACAATCAAACCATCAGTGCAACAACGTCGAACTCGACCCGGATTCGTCATGCATGAATCGAGCCACTACAAAGATAAAACCTCTACCAACGACCGATCTTCATTAGCCCCTCCCACCCTGATCCTGTATTTCGAAGACCACTCGTGGTCCATAATGCTCGACATGACGTGCTGTCAGCTCTTGTAAGTAGAGGGCCAAGGTCAGGACGTCCGGTCAGACTGGCCGGGATCGTGGAGACACTTCAGGAGTAGTCCTACACGGTATAAAATGATATCAGTAGGCAGCCTCGACGTGTAATTATGACAGCCCGGGACAATTACGCTGCCAGCTCGAGAGTCTGCGTTCAAAGACATGGTCATTGTTGATGTGGTGCGAAGCAGGCGGGGAGAATGTACCCGAAGTTGCTGTACGGCAGCCTGGGTAATCCCTCGCCTGTGAACGAAGGTAAAAGGGTTGCATCCATCGAGTAGGCCGGGAGGGGTGACCACAAGGTCGGGACGCCGGATGGTCGCTGTCCAGAGGAGAACAAAGACTACAAGGAGGAGCGGGTAGAACGGCGACGGCGACGACAGCAGCGTCGTGCAGTCGACGACAAAGGTCGTCAATTGGCCTCGGAGCGACCTTAGGTAAATGGACGGCCTGAGATAGAGAGTTCGTTGTTCAGTTTCAGCGCAATCAATTGAGCACCAACCAGCCAGATGAAGGTGGAGTACCGAGCATATGCTGAAGAGGTCTGGTGCGGAAAAATAATTAGTTGGAGGGCTTGGCGACGTATGGACGAAGTGGATGGACGCACTGACCGTGTTAGAGTCTGAGGAGGACGGCCAGGCCGTTGGCCATAGGCGCCAGCAACCTCGAGCACCGATGCTGAGCGCTGAGGGGAGCCTTGGGGAGTCGTTCCAAAATGGATCGAACGGGTATACGGCGCTCTTTGGCCGCTTGCCTTCCCAAGGTAGCTTCTCCGGTGATGGTGCTAGAGGAATCGAACAACATTCTCGTTATTCTGGAGAAGAGGAGCGGGGGAGAGAGCCGTCATGATGATATCAGAGAAGGTGCAGAAGGAGTACACGGACAACTATTTGTGTCGATGAAAGTGACGGACCATGAACGGTTCTGGTTTAAGTAGTCACCCAGTGCTCCAAGATATCCACCCAAGCGTCAGCCATCAAGCGCTTCCAGCGGCACAGGCAGACGAGCAGTGACGGGAACCAGGCGGTGTTCAAACGAGGAAGGAGCGATCGACTTGCATACGCTGATGGGCCTCGAGCGTCCTCCACTGCAGATCATCCATGAACGTCACTTAAAATGAAAGATGAAGTCATTGTCTGTTCGCGGTCCAAGCGGAAAGGGTAAGTATATGTGACACGCACAGATTGAACAGTAAGTCTTAACTAGGAGCGAGCCCCACGTTGTCGAATTCGCCTGGGCAGTGTGGCTACAGGCGCTTGAACCGCTAAAAGTAGGCATAAAGTCGTAGGGAAAGCGAGAAGCAGAAGAGCACGCAAACCAGAGAGAAAGTGGGGAGCAGCGACGAAGAGAAAAAAGACGGGTCGGGGGCCTTAGGACAGCCCAGCGTCGCACGAGCAGAATCAGACGATGCGTGCGGTCAATCACCCACTATAGTGCGATTATGGCCTGAAGCTTCGTTCTGAATGTTCCTTCAGGCCCCACTGTGCGCAGATAAATTTGATGACCTCACTGGTGCGACCAGAAAGCTTTAGACTCTGGCACCACCTGCTCCACGCTGCAGCAGCTCGGCGAAGAACGCGACGCGAGATCTCTGCCAAGCGAACCGGCGGTAAGAATATTGTCGGTCTCGAGGCGTGCGCACAGACATGTAGACAGAAGAACTTCGTGGAACCTCTACTTTCCCTCGTCCCTTGAATTACAGGGCTGCCAGGTTCTGTTGCCCCGTAAGCACATATTCGATGTCAAGAACGCCTGGACAAAAACGACACCGCAGTGAAAAACATTCAGAGTCGTGATACAGTGAACTAGGGTCTTTCCAATCCATATGTCGTTGTATTAGCAGCGAGAAGAGCTAAACCGAAAAGAAAAAACGCTCGTTGTGGATGGGAAGTAGGAACAGCTTTATTTCAAATTGTGATATCCTTCGAGCAATGATATCATTCCCGGAGAGTTCCGCCCCATCTCAGATGAGGCTGCCTTTCCCGACTCTGCAAAGAGAGCGGTCAGTTCCTACTTTCTGAATCGTTCATTTGTCGATTATTCGGACGAAAGAAGGCAGCTTACTACAGATGGAGAACACGGGGCAAGGTGGGGAAATCGAACGGGGCGAACCGCCCAGGTGGCGTGAAAGCAGGCGCGCCGAGTGCAAATGACGAACTTTGTTTGTCTGCGGAGTCACAGCCCAACAGGTTCGACAACAACGTCATTCGCCGGGTTCGACCACTGCGGGGCAGTCCGGTCCCCTGAGCCTATATAACCACATTGCTCACAATAAATATTATCATCATCCCATCCCTCGCCCTGAGCTTCAAGCCTCATCGCCTTGCCCGTCTCCAAACACTTCTTCCTACCCATTTACTTTACCACCGACGACTATCATCATGTCCGTCCAAGGCGTTGAACTTCAGAAGCAGCGGTACGCAGAGGAACTCCGCCGCCACACTCTTCGGCAGTGGACTCTTGCCCGCGAGTCGCTTGAGCAAGCACAGGGCAGGAGTTCGGGTGCAGGCTCTCCCAAGTCGCCTTCTCCAGAATCTTCACCAAAACGGTCTGGTTCGCGTACGCATTCGTCCACTGGTGGCTCAGGTCAGTCAGTGCATCCTCCCGATCGACGTTTAAAATCCAAGATGGCTTATTATCCAGGACATGCTCAGCCCTTCCAGCGCATCAAAGGATGGTTTCAGTAACGGCAGGAAACTGAGCAGCTGAATTCTCACCTCTTCGTTTTCGTGAGCCACCTCTCGCATCTCTTCTGTAGCCCGCCAGCTGACCTCAATTACCCAGTCGTCTCGCATCGTGCACGTCGTTTTATTGTCGCCTCTGGACACTTCCGGCGACCCCGCAATTAAATTATTATCTCCCCTCGCCTCTCAATCAACCCTTCCCGTAACGCCTGTACCGATCGTCCGGAATGTACCACCACCCCCTACATCCATACATACCTTTTTACATATTTACGAAACTATACGGTTTCTTTCTTGCTCTCGTCGCAACTGTCTCCCTGTATAACCAGTCTGCTGCCCTTGCGGCAATACGTTCAAATAATTCATTTTCGCATGATGCGCAAGACGCGTCATGTTTTCATACGTATACGGCACGGCAGGATCAATATGTCGAAATGCCTTGAACAAACATCGAGCGAAGTGGAGCGTGCATGTCATCATATCACTACATATAGCCGCCGGGGGCTGCGATCGACGCGGTATGGTCGTCACTGGGCCCTCGAAGCCCCCAATGGGCCAGACTCGACACGGTTACTTGTAAGGCTGGATTCGGGAGTTGGTCCCACCCGTTTGACTTCCGCCTTCGAAGCCGCGGAGAGCTGTGCATTGACATACGCCGGTGTGTCATGTTCATCGAGAAATGATCACGCCAGCTCGCGTAGACCAGTAGGGCTATCCTCCACAGATTGTACACCCGTGCGGCGGCGATGGAGAGAAAGCATAATCATCGCGTTTTATCGACAGGGGCGACACCCCTTTCACACGCTACGGTGGAGACACTGCGTACAGATGGACTGGTTATTCGATATAGCCATCATGGTCCCTCGAGACCAATGCCCGTTCTTCCCGAAGGCATTCGGGAAATACGCAACGCAAAAGCGTAAGTAGTCGAATGAACGTAGCCTGCGCTCCTCCAGAAGCTGCTGGATAATACAGTCATGCGTACGCGAATGTAACTTCCGCTCCCCACTCCAACTTCAAGTGACTAGTCATGCACCGATGAAGGATGGATCTTTAGCTTGTGGCGTTCGACCCGTTTATCATCAAAGCATCCGAGTGTGGAGCCAGAAGTCGATATGTTCGTTCGGTGGGAACATGCCTTTCCAGAAGATGCGGGAAGACCATAACGTGATACAGCGGCTCCAACAAGAGAAGGGTTTGACTATGGGGATGGTAGGCTGCGAGGCTAGGGGGTGGGGCGACTAGTGATGTCTCATGGAAAGATCGTAACGACCCTCTTTTGCCATCGTACTCATCTGCGACACGTTTGAGGGGAAGGTCATGATGAGCCCCCTGTACTCAAAGCGCAACATTTGGCCCGGCATCACCAAAGATAAAGGACAAGGAATTTGAGTGACTCGCGGATCGAGATCCGGGGAATTTAGCATACGCTAGCATGAGATTGAGTGGCACATCGGGGGTACGAGCCTGAGCCTAAAACGCCACACCGTGGCAGCCAGCGGTAATCGTCAGAGCGCAAATGAACTCGTATATTTGTCTTTTGACGAGTGATCGCCGGCGAGCGCCTCATCGCAGAAGAATTTCACTAATGCAGAATAGGTTAGTAACAGAGGATGAAAGGACAATACGAGCGTACCACGTATAGCTACAGCATCCGTAGAATCTAAAGCTACAACTTGAGCATTGCCTGCATTTCCTTGGGTGGTGGCGTGAGCGTTTGACGGTGAATGGCGTCGGTATAACAGCTACACACCTTTGTTCATTTCTACTGTTACACCTCTTCAACATCAACCGCAATCTCTTTCACTTCCTTGTCTTCGGTTCCGTCTCGTTCCGGAGATGAACCCGGGCCTGGGCCACCGTGCTCGATCTCGTTCGAGACCGGGACGTTGGCTTTCTCGTCGAGAGTATTCAACATGAGATCAGCCCGTGGTCGATGCTGTTCGACGTAGCGACGCCATGGACGGTACAAGAGGACGCTGATACCACCAAACAGCACAAACGACGCGCTTATGGCTCCGCCTGTGAAGTGTACGGTCAGAGTCGGCTACTGGTGTGAGGGCACTCGAAGATGGACGAAAACTGACCGATGATGTCAAAGTTATCGCCCGCAGCGGCCACGCCGTCCCAGAAAGCGCCGTGAGGGTTCGCGGTGTTGAGTATGAGCGTGAAGAGTTGTATGAAGCCTATGGCAAGGGCAGCGATGATGGTGATTCCGGTAAGGACGACGGAGAAATATAGCACGGTGATAGGATCCCGAGCTCGTGCCGTAGAGGTATACAGCGCCATCATGAGGGCACCGTCTGTCGTGTCGAGGAGGCACATTCCAGCGGTAAACAGGATAGGAAAGCACAGTATAATCCAGATGTTGGTCCCCTTCGTCGCTTCGATTGAAGATATACCTAAGAGCGCGACCTCAGACGAGGTGTCGAATCCCAGCCCGAAAAGCACGCCCAACGGATACATCTTCCAGGGGGTGTCTATTAGCTTGAACATCCCTTTGAAGATCGAGAACAGACATCCTCCTCCTTCAAACGAGAAGGCGTCCAGTTCGGAATCAGGAGCCCTGGAGAGGATCTTGCGGAGTTGTTCGACAAGCTTGTAGAGAATATATATGTTGACGATGCCGAGGACGAGGAGGAAAGCAGCGGAGACGGAGGTACCGATGATCCCACCTGTCGAGCTGAACTGGTCGAACTTGTTACTGATCGCACCGGCAGTCGCCGCGACCACGATGCTGGTGATGATGACGATCCTGTCATGGGGGCAACCGGGTGAGTACAAGTTCGTTCCTGATCGCGGTGATCTCAGAAGGAAGGAAGGGGACGAACGTCGAGTGCCCCAGGGAGAAGAACATGCCTACAGTTACCGGATGTTGGCCAGCCGCGACGAGTCTCCGGGTCATGAGGTCGATCGCCTGTGAGGGAAAATGTGTACATGTCGGCTACACAGCAGAAACCTCATGGGTAAACGGGTCGTACAGATATATGGTCGGCATCCAGCGCATGCCTTAGGCCAAGAGTGTACGAAAGGACGGCGGTGGAGATCAAGGCCCTGAACTCAAGTATGAGTCTCACTCAACTTCGCCGTCGAAAGATATGGCATCGACGAACCCACTACTTTGAGTGTGCTGAGTATGTTGAACAACGGATCAACATGCCATCAGAGAAGCGGGATCAAAAGGCACATACCAATGCAATGCCGGTACCGGTCCAAACCAACGCATTGACGAGGAGCAGCGCAAAAATAATCGAAACCACCGATAGAGGCAGGACACGGATAAAAGGAATACGGTCATGAACGTTGCGCATGCTTCCTCGCACCTTCAGCGACAACTCAGCGAACATCACCATGGCAGCAACGGTGCAACCGAGCAGTTGGAAGGCTAGACACAGGCGCCTGCGGTCTTTGGCCTCATTCGACCAAAAAGACCGGTTTTGCGAACTTGGGTGACTCGCGGGTGGCGACGAATCAAGTGGCCCGAGTTGACCCTGTTTGAGCGCCTATTTGGAAATTGATAAGATGATCTGCACTCGAACCTTGCTGGGGCTGATGTAATGCGATAAGATTGAAAGATCCCCATCCCCACGGCTATTTCCATTCTCCAAGAAGTCAAGACTCAAACGTTTCCACAGCCAAGTCAGTCGCTCACCTCTACATCCTGTACATTCGTCGTCAGCCACTCTCTTTCATACTGGTCCACGATGTTTCGCGCACCGTCGATGCTCAGATCCTCGCTCGTTAGACGGACGCTTGCGACCCATGCCTCAGAGGTGGCCCCTCCACCAGCTGTGCGCCACAATTGGGCGAGAGATGAGGTCCAGAAGGTCTACGAGACTCCTCTGCTTGATCTCGTCTTCCGGGCTGCTGCTGTACACAGAGAACACTTTGATCCAACGAAGATCCAACTGTGTACCCTGATGAATATTAAAAGTACGTTGTGCTAACAATCTGAATATGCTCCAGGACTGATTGGCTTCATGAATGGACGCGAATGTATAGCCGGTGGATGCACAGAGGACTGTGAGTCTCCATCGTGTACATTTACCGACGTCAACTCAATCTGAGCTGTACGAATGCCTCAGGCTCGTACTGCTCTCAGTCGTCTAAATACTCGACCGCTACCAAGGCGTCCAAGCTCGTTGACATCGAACCCGTCCTCGAGGCTGCACGGAAAGCCAAGGCGAACGGAAGCACTCGTTTCTGTATGGGCGCTGCATGGCGAGATCTCGCAGGCCGGAAGAGTGGCTTCAAACGCATTCTGGAGATGGTCACGGAAGTGCGTAAGATGGACATGGAGGTCTGCACGACGTTAGGAATGTTGTCCCCCGCCCAGGCTCAACAACTTAAGGAGGCGTAGGTTCTTCCAGCTTATTGTGTTACAACTCTAGAACTCTCTTGACCTCTTTGCATGCTAGTGGGCTCACGGCCTATAACCACAATCTCGACACTTCGCGAGAGTTCTACCCAAAGGTATTTGCGCATCTCAGAACTTATGAGTCTGATATCTTGTCGCTGACTTCGAGGGACCAGGTCATCACCACCAGAAGCTACGATGAACGGCTCGATACCATCTCTGCCGTTCGTGATGCAGGTATCAGTGTATGCTCTGGAGGTATCCTTGGGCTTGGCGAGTCTGCGGAGGACCGCGTCGGTTTGATCTGGGAAGTTTCAAAGTACGGATCGCCGGCATCCTCCAAGCGCGCGCTACTGAACTGATCCCATTGGTTCTTCCTTGGCTTTTAGCATGCCAGAACATCCAGAGTCGTTCCCTGTGAATGCGTTGGTCGCAATACCCGGTACACCTCTCGAAGGAAATGACGTACGTCTCTTGATCAGGCAGGGAGTTCACGTCGAGTGGATGCTGACAGATATCTGCAGCCCGTCCCGCACCAGACCATCCTACGGACCATTGCTACAGCCCGTATAGTGCTCCCAAAGACCATCATTCGACTGGCGGCCGGCCGACAGACGTTCAATGAGAGCGAGCAGGCGATGTGCTTCATGGCAGGTGCCAATGCGGTGTTTACAGGCGAACAGATGCTTACCACTCCGTGTACGTTCGATCGCCCGTCTGTTAAGCGTGAGTCTAACGAAGCTCGATGTATGGCTTGTAGGCTCTCCGTGGGACGAAGACAAGGCAATGATGTCTCGCTGGGGTCTCGAGGGCATGAAGAGTTTCTCCCAGGTTGACGTTGCTCGGAAGGAAGGAGCCAGACTGACGTCGTCGCCTGTCTCTACGCTTGAGCAAATCACGGCCGCGGACTCGAAGGAAACGTCGTCAAGCTCGCTGTGAACACATTATATAGCTGCTTGAACGTCAGAGAAGACAAAGATGAATGTTGCTGTGAGTACGGATTGACCTCCTTTGTTTTCTCATCCTTCTATTCGTATTGCTATCGACCCTGCTCACACGAATCGTCACCAATCACAAGAGATGTAGAAGTTAGATCACTTGTATCCCTTTTCTTGCTTGAACAGACCACGATTTGTAGCCCTTCTCATCGGCTTGGCCATTTCCAAATTTACTCGGCGTAAGCGACGAAGCTCAAAATACCTCGGCACGGTGATTGCGCAGGAGTCGCCTTCTGGGCGGAAGAGTCTCATCAACTTCTGATCGCAGAAAATAGTCCTCTGTGCGACTCCATCGGGTTCTTGGCTCTGGTTGGGGTATCGGACACCAAAAATGGAGCTGTTGGCATGTTCGATTGTACTCCGAAGAAAAGCATTGTTGGTACTGGATTCCTGCTGTCTTTGCTCCGTTGACCACCGTCGACGTCATGGCCAACATTTTCACGTAGACTTCAGCTCCCGTCGTCCTTTCTCATTCTCGTGGGAATCGACGGTCAGCTCGGTCGCTGTCAATCGTGATCAGACTCGATTTCGAGTGGACATCAGACTCGAGTTCTGTTTCTATCGCACAGACTCGCAGGATGGGTCGAATCTCTGGCCTACATAAGAAGTGATCGACTTGGACGACAGGGGCAAGGAAGGAAGGAAGGAAGCCCTTTCTAATCTGAGTGTTGTTTACCGCTTTTGGAGTTGGTCGCTTTCTCCTCTCGGCTTCTCATTGTCCTCCCGCTCGCTTCCTCGTACTTCTCAGATCGGGGCCGCTCAGGGACCACATCTGTCGTCTTCGAGTATGTTCGTCCTTCTCCGCGTCGCGTTCACCCTCGGTGCGCTTGTAACCATTTCTGTGCCGCGTCTTCGACATTCATGGGATGCCCTCGGGTTTGTTGTGACAGCCAACTGTGTCAATGGATCCTCATCGTTTTTGAAGGGGTTCTCATCCATGTATATTGTTGTCTGACTGTTATGCATTTCGATGTCTGCAGCACGCAGGACCAGCTACTCAGCAGGCTACCGAGTGTATCACCAACTTGGTCCTGTCCTGGTCTCGCCAATGTCCGGCTCTGATCGAAAATTTCAACTGTTTCTATCATTCGAAGGACCTTTCAGTCTTCTGTATTCACCCACCGGGACCGAAATGTCAACGACAAAAAGACATACTCAATCCAAACCTGGACTTTGGAGTCTGCACGCTGAATTCAAGCAGAGAGTGATCTGATGTAGATGTAGACGCTCACTCGCCTCACTCCTCACTCCCATCCGTCACCCTCGTCAGCTGCAGCGCGTGAACCCTCCTAGAAAAGCTTGAGCGATTCAGACTTTCTCTGGCGTCGACCTATTTTTACCTAACCCGCCAGCTTAGACTACAAACGGCGATGCTTCAGAACTCGAACTCACTCCTGGTTCCATCGTTTGGTCCTTGCACGCCCTTCTCCTACTCGAACTCGCGCTACTATCTCTCATCTGGTTCGCCCACCATGACACCGGATTATCGTTACCCGCCTGCCTCACAGCTCTTTTCTTCGCCTTCAGACTCTTTTTATCCCGACACACTTGCTCCCGGCGGGCGCAGGGACCAGCAAGACACGCCAGAGAGCTGCTCTTTTCCTGCCACTGTCATGTCCCCGCAGTCAGCGGCGAGCGGTGCGAGGGCTGCTGTCTATCCTTTCATGTTGTCAAAAATCCAGCCTTCGAAAAGGTACGCCGTTGTCTTGATCCCTGTCCCGAACTTTCACATCGCTGATAGAAGTTGTGAACCCAGATATCTCGCGGTGTCTGCACAGTCCGTATACGGTGGGCCTTACGCAAATATACCCGTGCTCGCGTCAGTGCCCTTCCTCCTTTCTTCATTACCACAGCCCCGTCTTTTCGAATGTGCACGCTCAGTTCGCCTTAGCTGACGCTTCTCCTTATTTGGATATAAACAGCCGAATATCCGTTATAGACTATCGAGGAAATGTTCTACTGGATACTCTTGTTCGTCCGACGTAAGTCGATGTCCTCAGACTGTGCCGCATATATGCGTTTAACATCGAGCTACACTCTACTTTTGCAGTCTCCCAGTGACCAACTTCCGTTACAGCGAGACTGGTCTACAGACTAACCATTTCGCCTCTGGTAATTCCCCATCGCTCCATCGTGCAACTCTGCCTGCTAATATATGACTTAAATATATAGCTCCGACCATCGATGAAGTCAAACGACAAGTGGCCACTCTCATAAGTGGAAAGATCCTCGTCGGACATAGTCTCTGGGAATTCCTCTCGGTTCGTTCCTCCTCTCTCTTTCTGTCCCTAACTATCTCCTACATCTCCATGATCTTCGCAGACACACTGACGTACTGTCTAAAACCCACTGTTTGGTGGTGTCATGCATCTGTGTTGACTATGATACACGCAGGCTCTACAGATATCGCACCCCGCCAATAACACTCGCGACCTCGCGCTCTTCGACCACTTGCGCCGATTGCTCCAATGCAGACATATCCTCTCCTTGCCCATCCTCGTCAATAGGATACTAGGAAGAGATATCGGCCTGATCACTGAAGATCCGGTGCGTTTTGATGATGAGCTCTATCTCAGACTGTGACTGACCCCTGATACTGACTTGCCAGACGGAGAACGCGCGTGCGGCGATGGACTTGTATAGGTTTAGTGAGGTGAATTGGGAGAGTACGCTGGAGAGAGGGGGATGGCCTTGTGTTTTGCCTCCGGCAGCGGCTGCTGGGTGTTTTACCTGATTGGTGGCTCGACAGACTGCTGAGAGGGTATGGAATGGGTCAACTCGTCGTGCTTGTGTTCAACCGTTACATGCGGATTCAAAGTGTGGTGTACTTGTAACTGGAGGACCTCAAAAGACTCTTCGAGAGTCATTCAATGGATATATTTATTAGCATCGACCAGATTGTACTTGATGAATGGTAGCTGGGAACAATGTCTTCTGGAAAGAGATAATTTGAGTAAGTAAGAGTCGTGGCAGGTGAAGGAAGATCAAAATGTGTGGCCCCGGCACTCGATGCGCCACCCGACGGAAGCAACGGAGCTTGCCGATCGACCAATTCGAGGCCCTTTGAATCCTCTTTCGACTGCCTTCCCCCCAAATACACCTTCCACCCTTCGTCGCGTCGCGTCGTCTTGTCTTTTCATCTCTCTGCTTCATACCTGCAACAATGTCTATCAATATGGCTACAGACCACTCACAGATGCACGTTACGATGAGCCAACCAGCTTCGAGACCGTCGACGAGCCACCAACATCAACACCAACACCAGCACCAGCACCAGCACCCACACACGGTTTACTCCGCTGGGCAGAAACGACCGGCTTCGTTTTTCGATGAGCCTTCGCACTCGCAGTGAGTATCTCTATGTCTCATATTCTCTGTATCTTCTACGCGTTTTCTATGACATGACGGTCGCTGACGATTATGCGCGATTGCTTGAAAGCTATGGTTATGTCCCGGTGGCCTCGAACGACTACAATTCGTCGTATTACCCAAAGGTCGTCTCAGGATCGGACGAGGAGGATGTGCCGATGAGTGCATTGAGGGGCAACTGGGGCCGAAAGACCACGAAAGGCGCGAGATGGCATCGGAGAGGGAAACTCGCGCCATGGGGAGCCGGTCTGGACGAATGGGAGGTACGTCCGTCATCGTCCACAAATTTTCTACGCGGGATTCTATCTGACGATGTGTTGCTACTTAACGGAGCAGGCTGAAGAGCGTGCTAGACAACGCCTGAAGATGCTCTTGCCCCATGAACGACGATCACCGTCTCCGCCCACACTTCCCCATCTCCGTTCAGCATCGCCACCCCTCACTGCTCCCTATCCCGCGCCGAACACGCATCATCTGAGCTACTCTTCGTTCATCATGAGCAAGGCTGTCACGCATTCTTTCCGTTCGCCATTGATCGAAGATCTGGAGCGGGTGTCGAACGGATTGATAGAGGGAGAAGGGCACCTGAAACGGGCGTTGGGGAGGTTGTGGCAAGTCATTAGCGAAGATCCAGACAGGGTGAGAGCACAAGAAGCTGCAACAGCGAACGATCACGTGATGAAGCAGGAGGAGGAGGATGGAGAAGGACCCGGGGCGGATTCGGCTCTCGTCGAGAAAGAGAAGAGGATTGCGCGCGCGCCGGATCTGACCCCTGTAGCACACAAGCTGTTCGTAGAGTTCCAGGACGCGGATGAAGGGGGGCAGATGCAGAATTCTCCGGCTTTGCAGGATACGAGACCTTCGATAGACGTGCAGATGGACGTGCTGGACAATTCGTTGGCGACGTTGAGAGAGCTGCAGGATGATGGTAGGGAGTATACCGAGCGCTTGGAGGAGATACGGGAGCTGTTGGGGGATGTGAGAGCGCAGAGGGACACGGTCTGGAAGGTGGTTCGGACGAACGCTCTCAGCGAGCTGCAACAGATGGCAGCTGAGGCTGAGGCTGAGGCTGAGACTGTTTACGAGTAGTTGTTTTTATGTGTTTCCCTTGAAAGAACTGTACAATGGGCATATTTTATTTTTAGCATTTTGCGGGGATGAGATGCGGGGAAGTGACAGCGGTCAACGATCCGAACAGCCGCCCGCGTGGCACCGACCAGTCGCGGAGGTTTCGCCACCAAGCGCGCTTCGGTGACGAAAGCGCCAACAGGCGCCACAGCTGCCAATTCTCTCTCTCTTGCTGCATACACGACCCAGCGAATTGATAAACGCCCCTCGCCTCCTTTACTCTGTCTCACCACCATCACCAACGAAATGACCCTCCCCGACCTTGCAAAGCTCTCGATACACGACCCGGTTCCGCCAAAGCCACCCCCTATCCCAGAAGATATCGAGCACGCGACTGACCGCTATGTTCAAAAGCTTAAAGCGTATGCAAGGGCCTTGCCCTATTCCATCGAGTCAAACTCGAGGATGCAGGATATGCTCGATTTCATCTCCAAACGCATTGTCCAGTGCGTGGAAGCCAAGGACTATGACCCCGGATTCTTGCAGTGGGACAGCATGCTCACCTAGTAGGCACCACATTCATTCGGGATTTCCATGTCTCTCTCTTATGAATATCCCTTATAACTGAGATGATCGTTTTTTGTTCTGTTTTAGCTGGTGCTACCTCAAGTACCCTATCCCGAAAGATAAGCGGATACGGTTTGTTATGCTGTACTACAATATTTGCATCACCCCAGGCATGCCTCTGCACATAGTCGCCACTTGTGCGGATGCATTGGATGGCTTGACGAGGTCAAAGAATAAGATCTCAGTTGAGGATATACGACTCCCTTGGAAGCCCCTTTACGATCGCCTGTCCCAGGACCTGTTTCTTACCAGGCGTCAGTTCGAAGTCAGGCGAGTTGTCCTAGGTCCATCCTACTCCATAGTCTTGTGCTCATTTGTGGTGATACGAATGCAGCCAAACTTCTTATTATATGGGCTACGTCATAAGCATAATGCGCCGTTTCTACCACCCGGCAGCTATCGACGAGATGCTCGCCACATTCGTGCCACAGATTAATGGAACCGTCTTGAATGCAAGTCACACCTCTCTCCAAATATCTGAATGAACATCCTCACTAACTGCTTGACTTGTTTCGAACCATCATACAGAGTCTACTCGTCACGCAATATTATATGTTAACTTTTCTCCCTCAATCTCACCCTCAATCTTACCTCCCCATGTTGTTCCGTCTCTGGGAGTCCGTGAACTCCTACATCTTCGACGAACGCATGCTCCAATTCCTCGCTCGACTGGCGGAGATGCATCAAGACCCTTCCGTCAGCGATCCTGCCAAGATTACTGAGATTCCTGACGATGCCCTTTCCGAGGGCGAAGGAAGGCCCCAGTGGGCCAAGGACGATATGAAGAACGGCAGCCTTTGGACAGGATTATTCAAGGACGTGGGTATATTTTCTGAGTACGACTGGCACTTTATCATGTGCAAGTGCTTGGCTTCGATGGGTAAGCCTTCCTACTTGCCTGGAGGCCACATCACGGTGCTGACGCCCTCTTCAGAGATTCCTCTGGCGGACTCGGGATCCTTGACAACTGGACCATCCGCGGACAGTCAAGCAGCATTCGAAATCGGTCGTCTGCCCAAGCCAACATGGCGCATTAGTAAGGCCCTCTCGCACATTTGGCCCTTGCCCACAGATTCGGCTGACCATCGCATATTGCTAGTCTCTTTGGCCAGGATCATCGTCCACTCAATGGCTCCAGACGGACGACCCGTTGCTCCATCCAATGCCCCGACACCAATGGGTACTCCCATGGGCTCTGGGTTCAACACGCCAGGAATGACTACACCGGGCGTCATGACGCCACGAGCGGTGGGCAGTGGGTCTGTGGGGGATTATTTGACGGCGCATTTACATAAAATGGCACCGTTGTTGAGCAGCCATAGCTATGTCGGAGGTTCGAAGGCATTGGATTCGTTGGTGAAGCTGATTGCGTCCACGGAGAGCTTCTTCCATCCGTCGAATTCGGGTGCGTGGACCTCAGACGTAAGTGGCGTTTTCGTGTTTGTCCCACCAGATCCGATGTCATGGGTGGAGTGAACTTCTGCTGATGGAAATGGTTATACTGTATAGCTTAGTGCCTTCATCAAATATGTGGCATATGAGTTCAACAAACGTGAGTACAATTTCTTCCTTGGCCTCCCTTCATGCTATCGCGCTAACTCTGAATCAATTCTTAAAGGTTGGCACGATGAACAGAGACCAGACTGCAAAACGCCCAAAGTCCGATATCAGTTACTCTTCCACCCCAAATTTCACCGCTAAATGAACGGATTCATGTAGCATCGGCGACTGACACGCGACATGAAGCGAGAGCTCGTCAAGAGCTTCCGGACTGTCGCTCTCCTGGCAATGTTCTCCGAAGACTCCACGACTGTCAGCAACATCTCGAGCTGCCTGAAGTGGATGAGCCTCATGGAGCCCGAAATGATCCTTTACCCAATCTTGGAGAGAGCTGTGCCCTCGTTGGAAGCTCTCGTCGAGGTCGGTTCCATTGCAGTTTGAAGAGCTATTGTGGAGGATGATTTCTGATCGCCCTGGGTCATACTATTGTAGACTCAACGCACCATTGCGGTGATCAAGGCTTTGGGAGCGATCGCGCCTGCGATCGTGTCGAGGCAGGTCTACTCCCCGGGTGCAAAGCACCTTGTTCCGATTCTACAGCTTTTAATTCCTGGGATTGATCTCGTGAGTGCACTCTCTTTCTGGCAGGTTTGAAGATGCTAATATGTTCTCCTAGAACGACCCGTCGAAGACTGTGAGCCCCGTTCATGAGAGTCCTTGAATCCTCTGCTTATTCTCCCCTCCGCAAAGCTCTGTACTACAACCTTTCTCATCGAAATCTCGCAATACATCAAGTTCGGCGACCTGACATCCCCAGCCCATACCCTGTCTGCCGACATAGATTCAAGGTCTCCGTTGTCGGCATTGTCGGAGGGCTTGCCTGACGGCAACGGCTACAGCAACGGACCTCCAACTATCTCGTGGGAAGCGCGGGCAGCGAATGGGACAGAGGTCAATGGAGCGCCACACTTCAGCAAGGAGGAGGAAGATGCTCTCCTTCGCGAGTCTACCGGCGGCTTCCCGGAGTGGATCGCTAGCTTCATCAGGAGGGTCATTCTTCTCTTTGATAATCTGCCTGAAGAGGCGGGTGGTGCCACAGAAGGTCTGTTACAGCTCCTTTTCTCTCATATCCGGTCACGTTCAGTACTGATACTACAACGACATTTCATGCACCCAGTGCAACTGGTCGATGCGGTGACGAACGCCTGCAGCCAGATTTGCATCCATCTCTCCGAACCGCTCTTCGACCTCGTCCTCAACATGATCTTCGAGTACGCCAGCACGAACGTGCGGCCGAACGCAGTCCGCGCCGTGCATCAGCTTGTCGAATGTGTGGCGAACGCGAATCCGACGAAGACCTTGGCCAGGTTCATGCCGTTTTGTGTGAGGAATATCTATGTCGAGCTGGATAACGGGGCGAGCGCTGTGAGGACGACTTCGAGTCTGTCGACGTCGTTGCCGGCGGATGCGACGTTCCATTGGAGTACGCTTTTCTGGTCGCATGTAAAATGGATGTTGTGTGGCGCTGACTGAGAGGACCTTGATTAGATTTGGCAATTCTTCGTGGTGCGATGTTCAAGTGAGTGTGTGTCTTGCGTTTCTACATGTGTTCTCTATGCTTACTTTCTCCAATCTTAGCGATGGCAAAGCTGTGCGTTCTTTATATCATACGTGGCTGACTGCAATAACTGAGTCATTGTCGACAGGTTCTCAAGTACAAGGACGATGTCGTCCCTCTTCTGCGACGCCTCCGGGATCATACGTTCTCGAAACGTGGATTCTCTTGGAGCGGCAAGCTGCTGTCGAGTCTACTCTTGACCCTCACGCACACCTACCCGTTGGAGGACAAATTCGTGAACCCGAAGGAGTGGAACAGCGAAGGTACCAAAACAGATATCTGCCGCTTTCATCCAAGCTTCTGATCGTTTCATGTGTGATTGTTAGAGTTCCGAGTCAATCATCACCAGCATTGGGGCAAACTGTATAAGGCAGAGGAAGTCGAAGTCTCATGGCATGTACCTACACGGGAAGAGATAGACTTTGGTCTGCAGATATTCAGAGATCTTGTCGAGCCGTTGATGGACAGGCTGGAGGGGTTGCTCAAGCCAGGCAAGCTTTCTGTGGCGCTGCCTCTGAATTTTAACCGTCAGAGATACTGACGGGTCTTTATAGGCGTTGCTCGAGATAGCATATGGCGCAGTGACTTCTGCCGGTTAGTTATTTCCATCTCCTCTGTTAAGACATCATTTTGTTGACAATGTTTGCAGGTATCTGAGCTTCGTTCGTAATGCCTTCGCAGGCACACCCACCTTGGTCAAGGAGACGATCTCGAAGGAAGATAATCAGCACGCAGTCAACACTACGGACATCTTGTGTGTTTCTAGTTTACTCTTACATTTTTCTCCTTTCCCTACTGACTGAAAGATCACTAACGCTTTGATTTGGCAGGAATGAGATCCCAGAAATGATAGCCTCGATCACGCCTTTGAACGCGGGATTCGCGATCTCGGATCCGGCGGACCCACGAGCGAAGTATTACACGGCGATCAAAAAGCGGTTTGGCAGGTTCCTGCATGATGCATCCACCTCGCTGAGGCAGCAAGGGGAAGAGAACACCGTGGATGCTGTTGATCTCCTGGTTTGTACTTCCCCCGGTGAAAATTACTAGGTCATCTGGGTAGTCACTGACTTCATGGTCGTTTGGGGGCGTAGATCGAGTCCATCAGGACGTTTATGCTAGAGTATGGGGATAGCAAAGACAGGTACTGAACAATAACTTCGAGGTTATCGACTCTGATTGATCTAATTTCGTTCACACTTTCCTAGCTACTACCTGCAGCTTGATAGGTATGGGACCGAGCTAAATTACGCACGTCAACATTCGAGGCAGAAGGCTTGGCCCAGAGCCGTCTTCGTTCGGAGGGCACGGTAAGTATCTGACGGTCGTTGCCCTTTTTTTTTCCCGTCAAGTGTACTAAAGTCTCGGTGTCTTCAGACTATACCATGCTGCTCGACTACGATGGAATTCGATTGAGAGGCCACGCGGGCCACTGGAAGACTCTTTGATCGACGACGTCGCTGAATGGTCAATGTGGCAATATGCGACAGGTATGCGGGTCTTCATTCTTTCGACTCTTCATCAACGCTGACTGTCGTATTCTCAGTCAGGGAGTACGTACAATGTCATTGATTTCGGAGAAGCTGTAATGTGACGAGCCTTTTACAGTTCCAGCCAGTCACTTCTGGATTCTCTATCTTCGGTGAGCTCTGACAGTTGGACAATTCGATGTTGTATATGCTCAATCAGACGGTAGAGTTATGATGGCGTCCGACGACTCTGTATACCTCGGATATACGAGGCTCTCGCTCCCGGCACGGACGACGACCGGATGAAGGGCGCACTCTGGACTCTAAACATGGGTGCCTTCGGTGAGCTGTAGTGTCTCGATGACCGCATCGAAGACTTTACTTAACACCATTGTCCCAGTGAAATATGCTATGGCCGGTATGTCTGCCTGTCACGCTCGCCCTAAGGTAGTGATGGCTAACTGAAGAGTGAATAGAACCGACCATGACCGAAGAGCTTCTCAAGCACATATTTAGGTGCCAGGCCAACGAGAAGGTTTGACTATGTGGCCTATTTTACGAACGTAACACCACTAAACAAGTATTAATCAGCCTAGTATTCAAAATTGTGTAGCCTCCGTCACAGAGAATGGTGCGCCACACTTTCCTTGTTGTGTCATACAAAAATCAAACCATTCGTATGGCCACAGCCCTCAACAGCTTCGTCGAGCCATGTTTCCTGGTATACGGTATCGAAGCACCACTGCTAGACAAAGCTATAGAGCGCTTCAAGGCGTCCTTGCCATTCGGACAGGAGGACCAAGCGGTAGTCGCCCGATGCGCAGAACAGCGTGCCCGGCGGAATAACCTCCAAAGCAACGGTGCTAACGCTACGGTGTGTACTTCAATCGTCAATTCAGGCTTCACCATCCTAATCTCAATCTCTCGGCAGACGTCTTTCGTGCTGGACATTGCAAGATCGAAGTCGACCCATTGGCGTTATGCAATCTTTGCGCTTAGGTGTCTGCGAACTCTTATCAGGAGGGACACACCAACCACAAAGGAGCACCTTGCTTATTTCTTGGAGAAGGCCCACGATGATCATCCGTCATTAGTTTGTCTCCGTGTTCCTGCTTCGTGATCATATTATGCTGACCTATCGAACTATTATAGCGCTATGTCTGTTCATCTAACTGACCGCATTTTCGTTTAACTCTGACCCCTATTCAATCTCCTAGTACTCCCAGAGAGCCATCATGAAGAGTACACGGTACATCAAGCTCCGAACATACGCCAAAGCTCCACTCGATATCATGCTGGAAAAGAACAACAACCCCATGAAACGCAAGATCCCGTTGAACACACCCGAGGTGAACTTCACCGACAAGTTCCTGGATGCTTTTAAGCACCCGGAGAAGGTCCAGACATTCTTCCGTGAACCGTAAGCAACGTCTGGGTCGCGCTTGCGTCCGCGGACCTTGATCTTGACGTCATGCCCTTCTTGTACAGACTCTACAAGGAGCGAGCGAACAGTGGTTGGGTGGCCTGGAGCAATATCATCAGTGGTTATTCTCCGCCGCCTGGCTCGGGAGCGGTACTCAAGCCCTGGGAGAGTGCGAGCGCGAGCGCTATCGAGGCGATACGTGAAGCCGCACAGGACGCCAAATTCTGGAAAAGTCTCTCCACTCATTATGCCGCCGAAACTAACGCAGATGCCGTTTCGTCTGACAACATGTCGGCGGTGAAGTCGATAGGTGCGTGGTCCCGTATACTGAGACATTCTTTCTAAAACTGACTCAGCCCATCGTGCCCCACAATGTAGTGCAAATCTTGGAGGATGAGTCGTTTAAGCCTCTGCAGGACCTCGTCGAAGAGCTGTTGGAGAAGTCGGACCAGAATAAGCAGCGTGGAGCCGCAGAGTTGATGGCTGGCCTTCTGTGTGGTATGGTCCTTCCTGTTCTCTTAGGGTTCCACCGTCTCTGATGGTCATAATTTCTCTCAGGCGCTAAACACTGGCCGATGGAGAGTCAGAAGGAATTGTGGGCATGGGCTATGCCTCTCCTCGTGAAAACGTTCAAGACTAAGATCAAGACGGATACTCTTCCGGTCTGGACGTCCTTCCTCGAGGTAAGCGCACATTAAAATATCCCAACGGCCGATATACTTAACATCGTCGCGGCAGTACATGTTCTACAACCGGGATCCACGAAGGTATCAAGTGCTGGTCGATCACCTCATTGCGGAGTTTAATTCAACCGATTACAACGGAGAGTCTTCTCTCAACGCTGTGAAGGCACTGAGCTTCCTTCGCGCGCTATACGAGGAAGAAGGTTGGAAATTCACGGCTTGGACCGATGCTGCCATTGAGCGCGTCTGGCCTGAGATGAGTAGCGAGCACGATGAGGTCCGGTCACATATCAGCGAGCTGTTGGCGTTTGCAGATAAAATCAAGGTCTGTGGTGCTTCAAACTCCATGTACCAGGTGACGGCTTACTGACTCGAGTGATATGCATAGCAACGGCCTGTAGTGTCCCTCCCGACCGCTGAGGTGTTTGTGCAAGAATGCCGCACCACATCCATCGACGTCGACCTTATGGGTATGCGCGGCGTGTTCCACGAAGCCCGGGTCGCCGAGCTCGTCAAGAAGTTCCCCGAGTGGCGTGCGGAGCGTTTACCTGGTTCTCGGGCTTTCCAGTCAACTTATGACAGGTTCGCACCATCTCTTCGTTCACGGGTCAGACGAACGCCCTCACTTACTCAACCTCTGGTAGGGTTGGCACGACGGTCTGTCGGTGGTTGTTCCAGACTGTGCATGATACGAGCGCTATTTCCGTTTTTGACTATGTTCTACCTCTGATGGTGAGCTGCCTAGACCTTGTTACTTTGCTCGCTGAGACCGACTTCGCATCCTATCTTAGCCCGAACTTTTCCGCTTCACCGAAGGTTCGTCCCCAGGATTCTTTTTCTTTGCTCTCCATCTTCTTACCGAGTTCTGATCTAGTGAATGACAACAACGAGCTCGTCAATCGGGCAAGGACGCTCCTTGTTCGGATGTGTGGCGTGACGCCACCCAGACCACTCATTGGACCCATCCTCAAGGCCATCTTCAGTGCCATCCAAAACTCACCCGTACGTCCCCGTATCGTCATATTTTCTGGAGCGTTCTGCTGATGGCTGCTCTATCAGTCGTGGAGAGTACGGCTGCAGGCCCTCCCCCTCATCCAAGGTCTGTTTAGAGTGTATTCTCAGCGTTAGATCGAGTCTCTGACACCGTGGCCTGCAAAAAAAACAGTATTTTATTTCAGGCAGGTCCCTCTACTGAGTGACGCCCAGATTACGGAGATTATGGAGGTATGTATATGTATTGCGTGGCTTCGAAAATTTGTGATGACCGATGATTGGCTGTTTTCGATGACAGGTGTTGTGCAAGTGTTTGGACGACGAGCATGTCGAAGTACGAGAAATGGCCGCGACGTATGTAGTTCTCCTCATCTCAAATTTACCTTGAATCTGCTGTTCATTCACAACATCGGGCTATACAGCACGCTCTCAGGTGTTCTCCGTCTCTCCCCACGGCGAAGTCAATTAACGCTCAAGGTACACATCCCAGTCCTTCCTATCTCCCAACTTTCAATTCCCAACTCCCAATTCTGACACTCTCATCTCTCTGTCCGCCTCCACAGGAACGTTTCCTCCGCCTCCTCAAACGCTCCCACCTCCCGACCAACCGTCAATCGCCCATCTACGCCTCCGCCATCCGTCAACGCCACGCCGCCATCCTCGGCATCGTGGCGTTGGTCGACAGTTACCCCTATACCGTCGAGAGGTGGATGCCCGAGCTGCTGACGAACGTCTTGGCGGAGCATACCTACGATCCGGTCAGTCTTTTTGATATTTCTTACTCTTGAGTCGGGTTTCGTCTCTTTACTGATGTGTGTGGTGTTTATCGTGTGGCTCAGATCCCGATCTCGACGACGGTGCGGAAGTGCGCGAGCGATTTCAAGAAGACGCATCAGGATACGTGGCACGAGGACTCGAAGCGGTTCTCGGAGGAGCAGCTCACGGCGCTGTCGACGCTCTTGACTGGTTCTTCGTATTGTGCGTTCTCCTCCTCCCCTCTTCCTCCTCCCTTCCTTTAGAGTTGAGGTCTGATCATCATTCTTTGCGAAATGGAATAGATGCTTGAAATTGTGAGATGACCGCGAGGACGGCAGACTGAATATTCTTGGCCTTTCCGATACAATCTATCTGTACTGTAACAACTTTATCATGACCGACCGAGAAGAGGGGGCGGGTGGATGCGGAGCACGCGACACAGACCGAAGGGAAGAGGGAAGGGAACAAACGTAGATCGGACTACTTTTATTGTATCAACTAACCTCTCCACGACAAAGTTTCGCCACTAATGCGTGTATGTACATAACCTAACAACTGTATATTTACTACCGGATCGCATCTCGTCTTGTATATATATGACCGTTGTTCGTTCGATCATTATGCTTGGGAAGAGCGCAAGAGGAGACAAGAAAGAACTATCATCTGTATTTAAGTCTTGTTACGAGTGTGAAGACGTGTATACAGACAGCGGATGCGATTCTGATCGTGTCAACCAAAGTTGCAAACTAGAACAATGAAGGGAGCTTACATACACCACGAGATCCAACCCAGAGGGTTGGACACGATAATGCACAAGTATATAATTTCAAACAAAGGAATTGAGAGAAGAAGGAGAAGAAGAAACCCGACAAGAAGTCCCAGACGAAGACGAACGGAGTCCGATGTTTGGAAGAGTACAAGCGTTATTAGAGAGAAGAGGGAGGGGGAGGGGTTGTAATATAAAATCCGATTAGCCGCATCATGAGTCCAAGAGAAAGAAAGCAAAGACGGAAAAAGATGAAATAAATCAACAAACACGATGTGAAAGGATGACAGGGATTGTTTGCGTTATGTGCGTTATGTCATGCGGGGGATTGGGTATGGCGTGATCGTGGATTTAAACAGGGATGGTCCGTATATTGAACGCCGGCTCGAGATTGTTCGAAGACGATGCAGGAGCGGCGGCGGCGGTGTCGACGGTTAATTGTCTAGATGACGACGGACGTGAAGAGGACGGAGAGGAGGACGAAGCGAAGGACCGTGAAGGTGGACGGGAACCGGCTTCGATATCGGGAATGGCGAGTGAGGGTTCCGTCGTCTCTGTTCCGTCTGCGTGGCCCATCCTCGAGCCGGCGTCGGCGACGGTATCGATAGGTGCGTTCGAACGATTGCCATACCCTGACTTGACACGGTTGTTCGTCGTCTCTTCTCTGTGTCCGGTACAGCCGATGTGGCAAGGAGGCGGAGGCGGGTGGTTTAGCCCGAGTGGGTCGGAGTATGCGAAAGAGCACATACCGAATCTCTGCGATGAGGTCCTCAATGGCGTACCATGCCAGACCGCCATAAGCTACACCTCGCCACCAACCGAGTTTATCCGCGGGCAGGACGTAAGCGTGTGCGTGGAGATGGTCCGTCACTGGGATCTTGCTGTCCTTCCAAGGCGGTGTGATGAACCCAATGCGGAAGTTGGGGGTATCCGTCGTAGGTGTCGCTGCCATGAAGGTGGACGCTCGAGGTGAGGGTGAGATGGGTGAGGCTGGGACATCGGTGGACGGTCTGCCGGCGAGGTCGGTGAGGAGGCGTGTTGCGAGATCCCGGACTTGGACGAGGAGGGGCAGATCGCTCGAGGACTGCGGATTTATTGTGTAAGTGAAACTGCTGGCATATAAATAAAAAGAAGAACGGGTTGTACGGACGAGCATGTAAATGGAGGGGACATGGAGGCTGTTACAGAAGGAAGTACGTTAGAAGACGAACAGAAATAGAAAAGGAGGGGTACTGCGGACTTGAAGGCGATGATGATATGGCCCTTGGAAGAGACAGGGTTCGCGGTTTCGTGGTACGCGGTGAAGTTGTCATCCCGATGGAGGATGTTATGGGAGGGCGAGTCACGGGCGGCGGAGACGACCCCGCACAAAGGACAACCGGGTTTTGGACTGAATGACATTTGTGCTCGTTCGACGTGCGGGGAATAACGAACGACTCGGAGCGCACGAATAGCTCCCGCCACGCCCGTCCCGGGCTCCGCTCCATGCGGCCCGCCCGTGTTCCACTCATCCTCCGACGCGGTGATCTCGACGCTCGTGTACTCTACCGTGCCCGATGGCATCCTCAGTACCTCCAGGTGGCGCTCAGGTCTCCGACGTGCTCACCGTGTTTGACTCCTTTCGACAGGAGCTCGACGACCATAATGATCGCAGAGAGCGCCTTATAAAGGTCCCTCCACTCTATTTACACCTGTTCATCACCGCGTTCGAGTCTAACCCTTCTCGCCTCCTTATCCATTTCCATAGGCCAGCCGCGATGTCACCAACGCGTCCAAAAAGGTCATATTCCTCCTCCATCGCATAATGACCGACCCCTCCGTGCAAGATAAGGACGCCGCCTCCCGCGCCACACAGGAGGGCCACAAAAAGCTCAAGGACATCCGGCTCATGTTCAAGGCCATGAAGCCAGAACTGCACGGCGACCGTTTCTGGCGCTATCAGCACCAGGTCTCCCCGGGCCTGCAGGAATACATCGAAGCGCTCAGCTTTGCGCATTATCTCGATCGGGGGACACTCATCACCTTTGATGACGTCCAACAGACCCTCTCGGACGAAGATGGTCTCGTGAGTGCAGAGCCAGGCACCTCCATCAACTAACTAAATTCTGTCTTGTTGAATTAAATTAAATTATGTGGCCCAGTATTTTCCGCTCCCGGTCTCGGACTACCTCCTCGGCCTGTCAGACCTCACAGGCGAACTCATGCGCTACGCCATCTCCGCCATCTCCAAGCGCGGCGGCACCACAAAAGCAGCGAACATCAGTTCTTTCGTTCGGGGATGCAAAGCAGGTACATATATTGACTCTTCCAATTCTTTGACCGGATCTGCCAAGCGCTGATGCCATCAATGCCCGTTCGTAGACTTCGAGGGTTTCACGCCCTACGTTCGGGACCTCTCGAAAAAACAACGGGTTACCTCACAATCACTGCAAAAGATCGAGCAAGGCATGTCTTTTTTTTTCGATACTGAGATAATTAATCAATTTGTGGCCTCACCTGACCACCATCAATCTAACCTCTCATAGCGGCCTACGCTATCGCCGTACGCACGTCCGAATATGATCTTCCCCCAGACATCCTGGAAGATATCGTCGGTCGGATGGTCTCCGGCTTCAGTAGCGCCGACTCATACGGAGGCGGGCGGAAAGGATCTCGCGCGGACGATAACGACGAAGGGGACATGTACGACTAAGTAGTATTGATGGACTTGTGTTTGTGTCTTTTGCCATTTCGTTTTGTTGTACTTACTAGCACCATAAACATAAATTACTGTATGGTTTACTTTATTGTACTCGCTTGGGACTTTCCGGGGAGCCTTGACATTGTATCAGAGCGCGGCATAAGATCTCCTCTATATTGCGTGAATCGTGAGTGGTTCCGTCATACGTGAAATGATCAAAAAGATACGTATGTATGTGGTAGGTAACTAAAAGTGAGCGGACGAGCACACGCACAGGTCAGGTCAATCCGTGTATGGATGGCGGCCAGAATAATGATATGTATGTATTGCAAGAAATGTTTGTATTCGAGAAAGAAAGAAAGAAGTGTATTCGAGAAGAGAGGTGGAAGGAAGAAAGAAGAAGAGTACATGGCGGGGTAAGGCGGGTAGATGGACAGATGGAAGAGCAGAGATGGGGCTAAGCTACACAATTGGGCATACAAGAACAGTAGACAGCGATAGGGAGGGGGGATAAGGGGGAGGGGGTGAGTGGTGAGTGGTGGGGTCAGATAGGGTAAGATAGTCCAAAGCAAAACGAACAAACACAAAGTCCTCAAAAACGGGCCCACAGTCAGAAAAAACCTTAAGGAGGAAGCTGCATCTCGCTCGAACTAGGCGGTGACGGCCCCTCCGTCGTCGCCGCCGACTGCGGCGTATGCATCGGCGAAATATTCGGCGACAGCTCCGCGATCGCCTCGACCTCCTTCTCCTGGATGATCGCCGCCTGTCTCGCCACTGTGGCCGTCTCGAACTCCTCGTCCGGTGGCATCTCCGTCGGCGGACTCGTCGCCAGCTCGTCTTCTTCGTAGTCCTCCAGAGCGGCCTTAAACTCGAGCATCCAGGGGTGATACATCAGCTCTGTTGCGGAAGGACGTTGCATCGGGTCGACGGTCAGACATTGACGGATGAAGTCGATGCCGAGTGCGCTCAGCTGATCAGGTTCTGGCAGTGGTGGATGTTGTGTGGCGACACCGATGTGGAACATGATGGCCCTGCGTAGTAGAATAAGAAGGTCAGATTTCGGGGAACATGTACCACAGACAAAGACGGTCTGCATACCATTCGTTATCCAGATTACTCCACGGTTTCTTCCCGGTAGCGAACTCCAGAACGACACAGCCGAGCGACCAGATATCCATCGCTCCATGACGACCCCGCATGTCGTTCTTGATGACTTCCGGGGACATGTACATCGGTGTCCCAGTCAGACTGTTGTTCATGCCCAGTCCGCCACCGAGTCCGCCATCGGGACCGGCCGGGCGTCGGGAACGTTGGACGACGGAGCGCTGGTTCTTCGCTAGGATCTTGGCAGCACCGAAATCAACGTACTTGATGACGCCGAGGTGGTCGAGAAGGATGTCTACGAGAGATCATGGTCACACAACCAATGAAGAAGTTGAAGAGCAAAAGAGGCGTACTGTCTGGCTTGATGTCTCTGTGAATGATACCTCTGGAGTGCAAATATCCTAGACCCTCGAGCAGCTGCATCGTGTACACCTGTATGATCCGCTCGTCCTCGATCCGTCCATGCTCAAGCAACGCCGCCAAGCTCCCACCCTTACAGTACTCCTCAAAGATGTATACCTTATCGCGGTGTACCTCGATCCCATAATACTCCACCACATTCGGATGATGCAGCATCTCCATGACCGCCAGCTCGTCCTTGATCTGCAAATACAAACTCGGCAAACCGGACATCTCCTGGAACCTGATCTCCTTCACCGCCATGAGCGTTCCCGAATCCAGGTTCACGGCTTGGTAGACGGACCCGAACGCGCCAGCGCCGATGAACTTGCCCTGCTGCCAGCGGATGGAGATATTCGAGCTGAACGAAGCCAAGAACACCAGCGACCGATCCTCCAACTTCTCGTTATCGAGCACCCGGCCGGACATCCTCTGCTCGGACGTCACGCACGCCCTCTCGTTCTCCAACTCCGCCAACGCCCTCGTTGTCTTCTCCCAGTAATGTCTAACCGTCGGATCGAGGTAGCCTGTCGAGACCGCGGTCTCTTCCGAGTGGTCCAACACTGTCCCGGTCAACTCGTCGTCCGCGCTGAACGTCTCCAGAGCGGGCGCTTTACGAGCCAATTCGCCCTGTCGCTGTTCCTTCTCCCGTTTCGCTTCGGATATCGACCGTGCGCCTAAGATGTCGAAGTGGCTGATGAGGAGTGTCATACAACTGGCGACCTTCTGACGCAACATCTCGAATTGATCGTCTGGGAGCTGAAGGATGTTGTTTCGCCGGGTACGGTGGAGGGCGAACTCGAGCGCGTTGACCGCCCACCTGAACGTCTTCCTGTCGTTCGGGTCGCAATCGTCGCAGATGAAGGAAACCCATGAGATCGCGAGCTTGATCAGCAGTCGATTGAACCTGAGCAGCGTGGACCGGTCCATGTATTTCTGAACGTGTAGACCGTGCTCTGACGAGAAGAGGTACCAATTTTCGAGCAGGTCTTGTCGCTTGGGTGAGTCCCGCAGCGACGTGCGGACATAGTGGACGGAATCGACGATGGATTCGGCGAGTCGGTTCGTGGCGCGACCGATCTTGCGCAATTCGCGATTGACACTGGGAAGGTGGGCTTGTTGGTCTGCGATGCAAGTCAGCGGCTTGATGTCCATCTCGATGTCTAGATCTTCCTCGTCGTACGGCATGAAGGCCTCCGCAAACTGTTGTTTCGCCAGATGAAGCCTATGATATGCTCCGTCAGCGATCAGTCGAACTCGATTATCCCTCAGCTCGAGGTCGATCTTCGGCATCTCGAGCATGAAGACGAGGCCATTCCATAGGAAGCGCTCGCGCGGTGAGAGCACGAGGAGATAGCCAGCCTCGTCGGGATATTCGGCATTGAGATCGTAAGTTTCAACCACTTTGCGGCCGTCATCTTCGAGCACCTCGGTGACGTGGAATGCTTCGACGAGTATGCGACGGATATAGTCGGGATGCTCACGCAAGGGTGGCGATGCGATGATGTACGTGCCCTCTTCCTCGTACGTCTGAGTGTAGATAAGGAAGTGGTCGGTCTCGACAAGGGCTGCGATGAAGAGCTCCATGGAGACACCATCGAGGGTATATTCCGCGGAATTGCTGAATCTCTGGTTGATCGTCCTATGTCAGGGAGAGAACGGAGCGATTGATGAGCCTGGAAGCGCAAAACTTGAAGTGTATGTTAATATCTCGTACCGAACAAAGCGTTGCAGCTTTCGGTAGCGTAGACGCACGCTATCTAGGATTTTGCTGTACCAATTTACCATTTGGTCTCCGTTCATTTGCGTGCGGACACCTTGACTATTCAACTGCTCCTGTCTTCGTCGTTCGCCTTTATTCAGAGTTGGTACGCGGACTTGAGTCTCGAAGAAGTTCGTGACGCGAACCATGAGCTTGTTGGTGAGAGCACTACGAGATGTAGACAATGTCATACAGCGAAACAAAATTCAGAGTCCATATCGCACATACCAGAGTTGCTCCGCCACCATCGAAGCGCCGCCTCCCGCTGTCAGCGCGACATCGTTAAATGTGGCCCACTGGGCTTCGATGACATCCGTCTCTTTGAAGTAGATATCCTTCGCTCCACTCTTCAGCTTCCAGTGGATGAGTTTGAACAGGAAGGCCAGAGCTTCGAGGACAATAAAGTCGTAGTCCGCGCTGATACAGTGAGGAAGATTCCAGTTGCCTCCTGGATCCGGAGACAGGAACGCTTCGTATTGACGCTTGAGAGTGCAGGCGATTCCGATGTTGAGTTTCAGATCATCCGTCATTTGGTCAATAATAAGGACTTCTGGATCTTTCAGTTTGAGAGCGTAATCAAGGCGAACGCGGAGGCTAGCTTGGGCGAGTTGAGTTGGGAAGGATATGAGGGGGACGAGCTCGCGCTCGAAAGTGGGGAGGTTTAGCTTTCGGAACATGGGGGCAAGGTTAACCTGTGCGTCACGGGCAGTGCCAATGAGGGCGTGGACGGTGGTCATGAAGCCCTTCGCAAACGTCATCTGGATAGACTCCTCTTTAAGCACGCGTTCGAGGAAAGTAGTCTCATCAGCGAGAGCACCTCCCTCTCCATGAGGTTTGAGAGGATCTCGAGGTCGAATTACTTGGTCGTTGCTGGTGCCAGGGGCACTGACGTCGAGTGTCTCGCTACCAGTCCATTTGCGAAGAATATTGATCTGGTAACGGAGAGACGTGAAGACGGTGGACCATGTGATGATACTGTCGCGGTACAGCTGAAAATCTTCCTCGCCGACGAGTGGTTTGTCTATCTGGAGTGCTTTCAGGCTCGGATAGAGTGACTGCACAATGTCGAGGTGACGAATAACTTCGTTGACCTGCTCGAGAGCTGCCAAACCTGGGTCGACGGCCTTGTCGACATCAACCGCCCGAAAGCTCAATACTTCATTGATAACATGGTCGACGGTGCGCAACCTCCTATCGTCGATCTTCTTCCTCTCTTCCTCCTCCGACGAACCCGTCATTTTCGCGCGAATCCCGAGCCAGATGTTGACTCCAGTATTGTCCTGCCCTTCTCCGGAGGAGGCGAGAGCGGTAGCTATTCGAGTCTTCTCCGACTTTAGAACGTCGCCATCGAGGACTGAAGCAAGCATACTCTGCCACTCTAGCCGTTCCCTGTCCTCGAGAGTTTCTGGCTCTATGGGCTCGGCGTCGAGAACGAGAGACAACCTGTCGTGCGATTCGGTATTGCCGACGAGGGACACGCGGCCTAGCTCCTCGTCATCGCTCTCCCCTGTATCGACCAGTTGCCCAAGACCTCTCTGGAAATAGTGACTGTCCGGATCACTTCGGGGATCATCTTCTGGCTCGGTCCTGTATCTTCGGAGGAACTGAGAGTAGATGTCGTGGTGGTTGGCGCTATACTGAGGGACTGCGGTAGAAGAAGATTGCTGAACAGGGATGTTAGAGGAGTTAGTGCCGGGAGAATAGGACGCTTTCTGGCGAAGTTTGGCACGGGAAGGGACTGAGGAGGCGGACTGTGTAGAGAAAGGCATGGGGCGTGAGAGAGATTGTTGTGGTTCCCAGTCGTCGTCTTCTTCCTGTCCGTCAGCGACCTCGGCGTGCGCAAACAAAGTCGGTGTGTGGCGCATCATCGTCTAGCAAGACGAAGTACTTAAGAAAAGTGCGGAGAAGGCGTCGAAGCAGACCGGCCTTTGACGTTAACTGCCACAGCGCGTTCATGACGTGAACTTTCCTTATTGATCCGACTTTTCCACGCATATTGCGTGGCGCTGTTCACACTTCCAAGTGGCCTCAGCACTTGCACCGATCCACTCTTCTTGTCTCCAACAAAGCTCCTCTGACGATCAAAATGGGTGTCGTAGAAAAGGTGCGTAGGTTGTTCCTGGCTGTAGGTACATTTCTCACTCGATCATGTCCATCATAGATCAAGGAGATCGAGGGTGAGTCCCACAAACTCCGTCTAGAATAAACTACATTTAATTTACGAACTGTCTGGACTGAAGAGGAGATGGCGAGGAGTAAGTAGTCTCTTCCATTCTTGCCGAATATAGTACTTACCTTTGTATAGCCCAGAAGAACAAGGTGAAGCTTGTCCCACACCGACCAGCATCCGCATCGTATTGAAGCGATCGTGCTCGTGCAAGTAGGCGACCGAATACCATCTGGGTCTTCTCAAGGCTAAGCTCGCTCGGTATCGAGCGCAGCTTTTGGAGCCACCCACGAAATCAGGGGGTGCTGGTGTAGGGTTCGATGTGCAAAAGTCAGGTTAGTGTGTGTCCACATCGCGAACTAGAACTTCATTGAACGGCAACACGCAGGGGATGCTCGAGTTGCTTTGATTGGCTTTCCATCGGTCGGGAAGGTACGTTCTCTAAGTTTCTTCCTGACATTGACTCCAGTAAATTCTCATGCTGTACGATGCCAGTCCACACTTCTCGGTAAAGTCACCCACACGGCCTCGGAAGCTGCTGCCTACGAATTTACAACTTTGACCGTAAGATATTCACAACTTATAATTCACGCCTCATAGTCTCGAAAGTTGATGAATTTATCAGGCCATTCCGGGAGTGCTGTGAGTGGAACCTTACCGGCTTTTGTTGCGGTGGCGCGCTGATCTTCTAGGCCAGAACATACGATGGGGCGCGGATACAGCTTCTAGATCTACCAGGAATCGTGGAGGTAAGTGATTTTTCGTCTATTCCTTCCAGCCTCCCTTCTAATAACTCACTGCAAAACTAAACCAGGGGTAAGAACTCTGCAAGATCTCCTGAGGACGTATCAAACTCATGACTGACCCTTGCTCAGTGCGAGTCAAGGCCGTGGTCGTGGTCGACAGGTCGTATCTACAGCTAAGACGGCTGACCTTATCCTGGTGAGGACTTTGATTGTCGGTCGACGTATCAGTGCTCAGTATGCCACAATAGATTATGCTGGACGCAACCAAGTCTGAGGAACAACGGCGATTACTCGAGATCGAACTGGACGCAGTCGGCATCAGGTTGAACAAGCAAAGGCCGGACGTAGTGTTCAAACGAAAAACTACCGGAGGGGTGAGCATGACTGAATATCAGTGGTCTATCTGTCTAAGGCACTCATTGTTCGAGCTCTGTTCTTTCCCTAAAGATCACGGTTCGTCCATCCGTTTATGTCAAGAGTTCTCTGCCAGTGAAGCTGACGGTGCAATTTCCAGTTGACTGCGACCGTGAAACTAACTAAGACGGACGAGAAGACAATTCGAACAATTCTTGCCAGCTGTGAGCACTTCAGTACCGTTGACCATGGCTCATCCAGAACGACTAACTCAACCTTGGTGTTCGCACATGTTAGACAAGCTACACAACTGTGACGTTATGATTCGTGAGGACGTATGTTTGCTGCCGTTTTGTGACTTATTGCAAATTTAACGACTCACTTACACAGATCACGACAGACGAGTTTATCGACGTGCTGATCGGTATGTACCTGATCTGCCAATTATCCCTTAGTGTCTTTCGTGTTTTGCATGCTAACGTTGAGTTTCGACGACAGGAACACGGAAATACATTCCCTGTCTATGTGTGTTGCATATTCATCCTCGCCCCACCTCGCAATCGGGACTTGGCAATATACCAATAAACCTCTAATGATCGAACCCTTCAACAGATGTTTACAACAAGATCGACGCAATCAGTCTGGAACAGCTCGATAAACTAGCTCACGACGATCATACCGTCGTCATCAGCTGTGAGATGGGCCTCAAGTAAGCTTTCCACACCCCCTCTCTCCGTCTTCTCACCAACGCCTCACATGGCCTACGTACTCACCTTCCATTACCAGCCTGGAATATCTCATCGAACGCATCTGGGACGACCTCGACCTCGTCAGAGTCTATACGAAGAAACGAGGAGCGCATCCGGATCTCGACGACCCGGTATGTATGCGGAAGGGATCAACGATCGAGGTAGAGTTGAACCTTTTCATTTCTGGACAAACGGCAATATCTAATCCTACTTACTCGACAGGATGTGTGTAATGGGATCCATAGGTCGCTGGTCCCAAATTTCCGGTATGCTATCGTTTGGTGAGTACTACTCACTGTTTGCATATCTATCCGCCGAGTTGGTCTCCTAGGAGATTGCATTTGGCCGTAAAGAGAAGGTTTACTCACATTGGTCCTCCGAATTATAAGGGGCAAGTCATCGAAATTCTCGCCACACGGACAGAAAGTCGGAATGGCCCATCTGGTGCAGGACGAAGATGTTGTTTCCAGTGCGTGTAGTCTCTTTCTGCTTCGCCGTTGTCAGTCTTGTTGCCCTCGTACTTTGATTTGCTGACATTTGTGTGTGGACTGCGCCATTCAGTATTCACGAAGTAGATGTCGCTATGTCGTCCCTATCGACTCGAAGTTGTTTTGAAAGAGATGTTCAAGTTTGTAGCTGTATGTACTTGTTGTATACTTTCGCACGCGATTCAAAACATGCTCGCTTTCAAACAGTAACAGGAAGAATCGTTTGGACATTCTGCTTTTCGTATACGGTGATGCGGTACTGCACTGAATATGAGGGTTATAACATCAAGGACACAAACACGTATCTACAGACGGCTAGCATGGTACAATGGAGCACTGAAGTAAAAATCAAAACACGGGTGGGTTGTTGGTATGTACAGAAAGCAAGCGACAGCAAAACAAGATCAAGATATCCAAGAAACGATAGTGTGACGCCCAACTTTTTCGTAACAAGACAAGATAAAATTTCTTACATCTGCACGAAACCTTCTTCCTTCATCGCATTCCACCAGTCCAGAATTTCCTTCGCCGACTTCGTCAACTCCGACCCGGCCAGCCATCTCATCTCGCGGTTTCCCCAACCTTCCCACCGCACCAAGTACGACATCCCTTTCCCATGCTTCTTCTCTAATACTATAGTCTCGATCTCCCACTCCTTCTCCCCATCTTTGCCCCTGCCCGCAGGACCAACATTCGGATCGACCGCTTGTTCGTAGTCATCAGGACCACGCCTTCCAGTCCAGCGCTTCAGTCTAGTGCCCGTAAAGATTGTGCTAGGAAGCAGAACACCCTTATGACTGGTGGTAGCGGCCATTTCGACATTCCATCGGGAACAGTGGGGAGTATTATAAGACCGGTGGAGAATCGTGAAGGGGCCTTCCCAGCTAGTATGGAACCGAGGACGGCCGTGCTCGTCGACTTGATCATCATGGGGGAGAGGAGGAAAGTACATGCGGACAAGTACTTCATCTCTAGGTCGAAAGTGACCTGAAGGCTTGACCTTCAAAGAATGCGAGGGTGGCACAGGGCGCTTTTTCTGGACGAAAGGCATGTAGGAGATGAGCACACGTAGAATTCTCAAGGATGAGAAAAGGTACCTGTGACTCCTTTACCTGCGCTCGTGATGTCGACAGCGCAAGCGTCTGCTTCTTCACTGGTTGTCGTTTTTCCTTAATTTCAAGGTGTACTTTCTTCCTGTTCCAGATCTCTTCTTCATCGTCACTACTATCACGAACCTGCGAAATTTTGCGCTTCTTCCCCAAAGGTGCCTTCAACTGCTACGATGTACGGCCCGGGGTAAGTCAAGCTAGCAAGGTTAGTTGAAAGGCGACTCACTGCAGATGGATCCTTGGCCAAGCTGATGGGTTGATGCTGAATTTTGGTCACCTGGTGCTGGACTGGCGCAGACAGCTCCCTCTACGACAAAGAGATGGATGATTCAGTGACAACAAAAACGCATTCGACAACACTGAGGTTATTACTTCGGAAGTTTGCGCCTCGTAGGGCGTGAATCGACCTTTTGAATCTCTGACATTGTTACGCTTTGAAGCCTACATCGCATGAAGTGGTTTATAAGCAAGAGATCAGCAAGAACATAGCGACATTGCTCACAGGGGTTTGAGGCGGAGTTTGCTGTTGTCTCTGAAAACAACGATGTGCACAAAACGGTGGTATTAGAAAAACAGACATAAAGCAGGTGGTTAAGAAAGACGAACCGGTGCGTTGACTATGGCTCGGTTAGAAGCAATAATAGAGTCTCCTTGGTCGGGCTGGACGTCGTTATACGCAACGCGGAAGACGTCCTGCTGGGCTTGCGAAGAGGAACCCTGAAGAGGTCGAACGTGATCAGGTGGACGTTGGTTGCGATCTCTTGGGATGGAAGCCGGGATCATTGGTCGTGCAATGCGCGAGCGCTGCGGCGTGTGCGGGGCAGAACCATTTGACTACATTTGAACGAATATGTAGATAAAAATTGGGGAAGCGGGAGCCTAGGGGTGTGAAGAAGGCAGCGTACCGTACTCGCCTGGCCAGGAATTGGGCTAGGTTCGCGAACGTTTGAGGTGCGATCGCTCGAGCTCTTCGCAGCCACCTGTCGTATATTGACCGGGAAAGTACAGTGTTAGCTGAGTTACAAGACCAAGATGAAGGAGAACGCACAGGATGTTCAATGGTCTCAGGCTCAGCGCGACCTTCCTTCAGAACACTAACTGCTCGGTCGATCGAAAGGCGGGCCCGCGCGGCCATAAAAGTTAGCTCTACCCTTTCCTCCTCTGAGATTCTCCCATCAACAGCACCTGCTTCCCTTGGAAGCAGCTTCTGTAATTCTTCCAAAGAACTGTTAAGGTTTTTAAATATAACGAGAGAACTCGCAGGGCCTGCTTGGCCACGGGCGCCGTGTCCCTCCCAAAAATCTCTGAGACGGCGAACGTTCCCGTCGACGCTCATGATTTCATGAGCTCTAGATCTGTCTGATTACTCAATGTCGAGTACCTGCAGCAAGCAGAAGCCAGAATTCGGATGATTGAATCAAAGTCTGAGGCAAGCCTTCCGAGGTCAAGATGATGGAGGTTCAAGAGAGGAGCCTCGATGGGATCTTTTACCTGAGAACACCGTCTCGCGGTGTTCTCATAGATGAGCTTGATATCCGCATCGTTTACATTTGTTTGCGGCCGAAAAAAGATTGAGTTTATGAGTTGAGCCAAAGTTGTCGAGCGGTGACTTCACGCAAATATCCGACACGGCGCCGACACCCCGGTAGCCTCGTGACCTTGCCTCCTCGAGTTCGAACTGTACGGCTTGAGAGCACTTTCGTCCTTTCCGTTCTCCACTTACTGCTCATACGTATCTGTTGCATCGAAAAATCTGAACACTTCCAGTACGGATCATAATCCTGCGAATTATCTGTGCTATATCTTGCAAGACCTCTCAGACCGACACACTCCCAATTATGTCCACGAATGAACCCCCAGCGCAGCCCGAGGTTTCCGCCTCCGAACTCGATTCCAGCCGCACAGCGAGACAGATATACGCGCTAGGGGATGTCGAAAAGGTGTGTACCTACCTGCTCTAATAGTGGGGTTTTTTTCCACTGACGACACTTCCTGCAGGACATAGCCCGCCTTCTACAGCTCGCCTCCTCCTCGATATCTCTTCTCACCCTGCCTCAAACGGACGGCGAAACCGACAATCTACCACAGGGAGAGGAACGGTCTGAACAGTTTGTGCTGGAAGTGAGCGAATATTTTGAACGGCTTGACGTGAGTTTAAGCCCCTATTCGCTTCTTGTGACATGCACCGACGTCTCTACCGCTATGCTTCGTACCAGAACATCCAATTTGCCATTCGTTCTTCCCTCGCCCACATACGACAGTCACGCATACCACCCACCTCCATCGACGCGCCATCCCAAGGATTCAGACCACGAGCCCCTGGAGTCGGTCTTCCCCCGCTGAACAGACAAGATCCATTGGCCGAGCAGCCTAAGATACGCGGACTGCAGGAGGAGCGAACGGAGAGGGATGCATGGCAAGGGATCCTCGATGCTCTGACTCGAATGCGAGACCTTCGAGCTCAGGAACGTCAAGATGCGAAGGATGAGCAGGAAGACGTGGACATGTCTTGATGCTCGGTGATCGGATTCCGTCAGGCAGGTGTAGGACGCTGCGTATGTGAAGTTTGAGACGATAATAGGTGCGTAGAATACAATTGTCTTTATACAAAATTGTACGGTATCTTCTTCCCGACCACGGGTTTTATCTTACAAGGTAGTACTCGCGCTCCGGCATTCCTACATCTGACTCTGCCATGGGCGTCACCATTACCTCAAACGCTAACCGTTTCCAAAGCTTCCTCGGCAGCTATTAACTGCTCATCTTCCGCGAACGCAGGGTCCCTCTTTGCGAGGACCTGAGGAGGTATCGTGAGACCATAGGAAATGCGTCGAGCGGAGTCCGAGTGAATAGAGGACTTACCACAAGGTCTCTCAAATCGGCCACCGTCTTCCCCAACCGTGTATCGGCGTCAACGACCATCTTCTTGGACTCCTCTAGCATCTTTTTCTGCGCGTCAAGAAAACGAAGAACATCTCAGTTCAGTGACTGCGGATTCGTGAATGGCACAAGGGCGAGGGAAGGCGGAAGAAGGGCAGCGGTCTGCATCACGCACGGCGTTCTTTACGTCCCATTCCTCTGCACCATCTGCTACGAGCTTATCCAGTTTCCGCTTCTGGTCCTCTACTTCGTCACGATACATGTTTTGTTCTTTGTAAAGCCTGCCGTCATACAATAGCAAACAAGAATTGAAATCAGTGTGGAGTTCATATGACCATAAATCGCAAACGTTCAGAAGGCCGGCGGGGAAGTCATCGGACGCTGGAATGGGTGAACGCAGATCTGTGCTTACCTTTTTGCAGAGCCAGACTTGATCCTGAGTTGTTTGCGGGTTGCAGCTGCGTCCATGGTTGCTGTTGAATGTATGTTTTGGAATTACGTGTCGGTGGCAAGAAAGGTGAAGAAAAGACGTTACAAGCGTATGTCGGTACGAGACTCGTCAAGCAATTGCGTGTGAGCTTTCCGATGACGATTGCGGCAGGATCTAACTTCGCCACCGCCATCTTCCTTCGGACGCGAATTAGACCATCGATAAGGGCTAAATCTAGGCTACCTCGCTTCCGCATTCTGAACTGCTACAACGGCTGAAGCGCTGATGGCGCGGCATCAACAACACGTCAAGCAAGCTTTCCTTCAAGGTTCCGTAACGGCGGGTGCATCAAATAGACTACTTACCCGGCATTTTTTTGTCTCAAGCTTGACGTCGGGTTCCCGCATGAGATGACAATAATACCACGTAAAGAGCTCATGACAATATGTCGTAGATGTCTACCTCCTACAGAGAATACAGGCGTGACTAGCACCTCCGGGAACGTAGATAAAACAAGCGTGCAGTTCAGACAACAGGAGCATGTGAATGAACATCAATAGGAGCCGGAATCGAGAAGCGGGGGAAGTGAGGAGGGATTTCGACGGGAAAAGCAACACGGTGAAGAACGATACCGTATAGTATACATGTACTGCAGATGAGACTCGTATGGAAGAAAGTCCTATCAGGCGAAGGGGAACAGACGAGGGCGGGCTACAGAGGGGAACGAGCAAAATCCCAACATAAAACCAAACGAAGAAATTGAAAGCACCGTCCAAGCGAGCCCAACTAGGGGCGCGAACGATGACTCCCAACTTCTCTCTCGTGTCGACGACGACGGTGACCGCAGCCGCAAACCCCAACGACGACTACTCAATCGACAACGACTCGCTCGCGCGCGACGGATTTCAACCCAAGGCCCTTCTCTGGTACGGACTAGCCGCACAGCGAGGCGGGGAAGTGAGTGCGGGAGATACGGGTCGGATATCGAAGAGGAAGCGTAAGGGAAGCAGGATAACGAGTCGCGAGATCGAAGGCGGAGAAGATGGTGATGGTCGAATTGGTGCTGTCTGAGCGACGCGGAACCGAGTGACGGACAAGCCGCCACAAGCTCGAAGGGATGTTTGTGCGTAGCAGAACATCGGGAACGCCGGGATGCAGTGGCCGGAGCTGAACGTCGAGGGATCGGAGGACATGGGAAGTGTATCGAAGCGAGGCGGCAGGCGTTGATCAGGCGCCATTCACACGCTCAAGACGCTGAGGGACGGGATGGAGATGAGGTGGCGACAATAATAATAGACGGGGAGATGATGGCATCGTGACCGGAAGGCGCCGTGAGGAATTCTGGAGGCCAGGAAGGAGATAGCGTTGTGGGAATCATACGAGTTGCAGGAGACCGGGAGACAAAACGAAAAGATGCCGGTGTATTGGCGCGCACCATATGAAGGCGACTGCTCAGCGAAGAGGTCGCATTCGGCGCGTAGACGAGGGAAGAGAGTGGGGATGGAGACTGGACGACGATGTGAAAACAAGAAGGCGCCGTGCGTTCGACGAAGCGCTGACGCTCATGGGGAGCGGCAGAAGGTGCCTCAAGCCGAGATGCACGGTCTTGTGTCAGTGTCGTGTCGTTCGGCATCCGTACATCCTCGGTGATCGTCTTCTTGTCGAGTGTCGAGGGTTCCTAGCACGAGCTGTCGGCGTCGAGAACGGTGACCGCTGGTCGACCGAACGCTAACGGAGAGGAGGGAGAGGCAAGGCGGCGCGGCCGCCACGTACGGTAACGCCGAGGAAGAGTGAGGGTGCATCTTCGACAAGCTGCTGGCTGGTATCCTCCCGGAAACGAGCACCATGGAAATAAAAAACCACATCGATAGCAGGAAAGATGGAAGCGGGAAGGATGATGCGAGGTAGGTATGCGTGCGTAGAGTGTCCATGCGAATAAAAAAGCGTCGAGCCTGCAGTCCTGGCAGGATATCATCATAGCATCAATATTATCATAAAAAAGCGCGGGGTCCGCAAGTTTTTGTCGTAAGACCGCGAGACGGTGCTGCAGTCCTTCCAAATGCGCGGGGCAATCAGAAATTGGGGGCGGACTGCTGCTGGACGGCGGCGACGGCGGCGGCAGCAGCAGCATGACGTTGCTCTGCGGTGCCGAGCATGAGCGCCTCGTTGACCCTGCCATGAATCGTCAGCGACATATCAACATCAAGAGAAGGGGAGGGTACTGACGATCGCAGACGTTGCGTCTCATTCTCAGCCTGCTGAAGTCTCGTCTGCAGTTGACCCTGGGTCATCTCCAAGTACCTGATGTGAGTCGTCGCACGGTCCAACAGGGAAACCTTGCTCGACTTCTGGTTCGAAATGGGCAAGGCCTCCTTCAGACGGCGGTAACCGTCCCTGAGCTCGTCACGTCGGCGCTGCTCCGACTCGATACGCTGGCGGCGGATTTCCTCACGGCGACTATTTTGAGTTTATTGAATGAGTCACGGTCCAGTCTGATAGATTCAAAAATAGAGCTTTACTCACACTTCGTTCGTCGCACCACTGGGGATCTGTGGCTGGAAATCGTCGTCATCGTCGGAGAAGTCTTCCGACTTGCTTCCTCGGCGCTTGCGGGTGGTCGTCCTTGTGGGCGGCGTCACCGCGATGGGGTTGTAGCGGTGGGAGCGGGGAACAGACGCGAGCGAGGATTCGCTGCTGCGGCTGGCACGGCCGGAGCGCATGCTGTCGGAGGAGGTTTCGCCCGGGGTAAGACCAGTGAGCATCGCGGGGTAGATGCCGTGGCTGGGAGGGGTGTACGGGCGAGTTGGCGAGCCGGAGCCGGTGGTGTACGAGCTGGTGAAGGAATAGTCGGCGAGCGGGTTGGAGAGATTAAGGGAGGAAAGTGTGTACGGCTCGGAGTGAGGGTACTGGAGATAGTCGAGCCCCGTCAAGGAGTCGTAGGTGAAGTTGGGGGTGCCAGTGGCCTCCATGAAGCTGGGGCTCTTGGGATGCTCGAGGGGACCTTCCATTGCGGCGAGGATGTGCAGACGAGATAGATGCTGAAGAATAAGATAACGATGCGAATGTGTGCGGCGGCCTTGTACAGATGATTGAATAAATGAGATCAGATAATGCTGGGACGCTAGAAAAGAGGACAGGCTGGGGGTTAGAAAGTCGACGCCGGGCGATGAGAAGGAATACGGACTGCAGTTGGTACAACAAGTGCGTGAGGTGTACGAAGACGCGGAGATGGAAAAGAAAAAGAAAAGGGAGGAGGAGAAAAGGGAGATGCGGAGGGGAGAGAGGTCACGGAGAGACGGAGAAGCAGCTGGGATGATGGGGATGGGGGAGAACAATCCCGATTTGCCTCCGTTCCTTATAGCTTTGCATCCGGCCGGACGCGCCGAATAGGCGGCCTCGTGTCTTAATGAGCCGAATAGTCGGGCGCAGTTTTCTCAGCTGCAGAGGACCCGCAGAGGACTTGGACCGTCCGCTTTCCTCTCTCGTCTTCTCCGTCTGATCGTCTGCGCCCGACCTCCTCAGATGCTCACAGCCCTAGCCCATTCCAGCCTTCTCTGCTCTCTGCCCTTCGACAAGTCACCTAACACCGCCCATGAAACCAGAGTCCATCAATCTTCTCGCTCATTCGCATTAATTTTCCGTCATTACCTTATCCCTGTCTGACCTCTACAGCGTTCTCCATGGAATGTGTGCCCTTCTCTCTTTCTCCCCTGGCTGATGGATTGTACGCCAGCCTGGTCCGTGCATACTGAGCAATCGATCTAGGAAGCATATCTCGTCTTCCCGTCAAGCGCTGGTTCCGTTTTCGCCGAAATCCCCTCACTTCCCATTTCTCACACTTCCTCCGCTTTCCCTGCGCATACTGCTCAGTCTAACCTTACGCAGTGAACCGGCTGCCGTGTCCAATAGAATTTTACGCCCTCCTTCCAGTCTCTTTTTCCCTCATGGTCATGCGTCATGAGGCCCGACACGTTGTTTTAATCAGAGCCCTATGTAGGCCGTTTCTCCCCAAGACCGCTCCCTCGCATTCTTCCGACAAGGCTATGCACGTCCAGGTATCATTTCATCCCGCACTTTGTACCCTCCCGAGACGGATCCGTGAGCGTACACCCCGTCACGGTGACGGATTTGTGACCCTCTGGCTTCATGTTCAAAGGCTAGGCTCAATCGTAAACCTGTGTGGTCCTACTGTAATGTAGTTAGACGCACAATGGTCCAGGGCGCGACGCCACAGGAACCTAATAAGCATTTCGAGCGGTACGGGGGCGGGAAGGAAATATCAATGACAAGATACAAGTCCCCGAAGGGAACGCGAGCGTCAAGGCAGAGGTCGTGATGGGCGGAACAAAAGCCGGGAAACGTAAGGTGTCGTTAATCGTGATCGTTCGTCAATAGTAGTAGCAAAACCCTAAACGTAAAGGAGGAGAGGAGAGCCGAGTCGCGGAAGTCCAGAGAGGAGTAGAAATATCCTAGGAAGGATCAGCGACGGAGGAAAACGGGAACGAAACCTAGGATCAAGCGTTGTAGTAACCTGCAAGTCATAAAAACACGAGGTAAACCACTAGTGACAGATCTTTACTCAAAAGCCACCTGCTCACCTCCGTAAAAGGGTCCCTTCATGCCGGAATAGTGCTCCAGCCGTTTCGAGAATCTCCAATTGAGGAACATAGCGTAGAACTAGAAAAGTTGTAAACTGTCATTGCATGGTTCTACCTACCACGAAGTTCGACGAAAAATCTACCTGGAAGCAAAGGTCAACGAGTACGGCAATGATCCATGCAGTGTCGATGCTACTGTAACCGACGTTACAGAAACACGACGGTAGACTGTACGTCGTATAGTTCACATTGTCCGGGTAGATGGTCGAGTCGTTGTCGCACTCCCAGTTGATCTTGTCCTTCCTGTGATGACGGTGGAGAAGAATCAACGACACGGGGGCAATCGAGAAGAGGAGTAAAGGGTCCACAAAGGATGTAAACCAATCGAGACAGAGCTTACCCCCGCTGAAGCTCCACGATGATGATAATATCTCTAACAGCCGATATGACCACTATGAGTGGCCATAAGAATTTGCATACACGTGTCCAAATGTACGATTTCTATAGCGAAGAAGAATCGTCAGTCGATCTGGGGAAGTGGAGTAGTTAATACGAGAGTCACATTTGAAAGCGCAATAACGTTGATCAGCGCAACAGCACCGATAGCCATAGCAATACCACCATAGATCTGCCTATGGGACTTATGAGCAAGGCGTAAGTATAGGTTCCAAAGTACAACTCCATACCATTCAGGGTATATAAAGAAAAAGTATGGGCCCCACAGAAAAAAGAAGATACCACCGACGATGCTGTAAATCTAGGAAGTGAGGGAAATTAGGCAGAATCTGTCTGGAAGGACGAATTGGACATACGAAGATGGCAGCATTCCAGGCGATACTTCCAGCGCGCTACAGGTAAACAATTAGCCACTGTGGCACCGTCTACGCGGTACAGGGCAGTCTAGTGACAATACACACGAGGGGTAGTAGGAGGAGACAGTTGTCACACCTGAAGAGAAAGGTGATCAATGAATGGACTGCTCGATCGCCTGGTGAGAGAAACCCGTACCACATAGTTCCAATAAGTTAGTAGAATAAGTCAGACGGTGATATTAAGACAGCCAAAAGGGAGCAGGTACAGGTACAGAGGTGCAGAGGCAAATTCAAGGACAAAAAGAAGGACTGGTCGGGGACGACAGCGAGCGTCGAGGAAAGAAGAGCTCTGGTCGGACAGCGTCCGCGTCGATGCACGTTCCCCACACCCAAGCGTGACAACTGTCACCACGACGTCAGTGGCGTTGCCGTTTCTCCCTGTTTCTCCTCTCAATTGCGTTACAGAGAGGTGAAGTGTGACATCTATTAGTCACTGTGACCGACTGAGGACTTTGGTCCAGTTCCTTGCATCTTTTTCCGAGAGCAAGCTAATCCTCGCACCACACAATAGGGCTTATATGTTAGTGAAAACTTGGAAATTTTTGCGAAAGCTCATTGGCGGATCGGACAGATCTTCCGCCAACAAGTTCCAAGTAAACTTGAAACATATAAGGTCTAATGTCGATACTCAATTGAACTTTCACATTAATTTTGTCGCACAGGTCCGAATAGCAATGTTCGTGAACGAGAAGACTGTCTTCCCGAGATCATGTTCGAGAAATAGAGCTCTCGGAACCTACTTGACCCCATCGACACAGGGCTGCATCTCTCGGTCCTCTCTCTCCTCCAGTATGCTTCAACAGTGCTCACACGGAATTCGATTGCTTAACCCGGTGACCTCCCTTGGAACGCACATGCAACACTTACCCGAATCACAAAGCAAGAACCAAATTAACCTGAGGTGCGTAACCTATTCACCATTGCGGGTCAACACACTCTTTGTTTCGTGTCATTCATCCCTCATGTTCCTCCATGCAGCAATTCATTGACTATGATCGGACTGATAGTCCTGAACATACCTGATTCTTGGTCTCCGGGTGCTTTTGGATGCATAGGCCCGCAAAGTCTGGTTCTCCCGTTCACGTCCTTTCTTGACATATGGGTAATCGCTCACGCTTTCTCTCGGGACGCCTCTCCCTTCTACCGCGGGCTTTCGAAACACTGGTCATCAGGTCTTCCAGCTGGCCAGTATTAACGCCAGTTGCTGCTACGAATAGTCACACTCTCCATAGACCTCGGCCTTGCAGAAGGGCGTAAGGCTGAATATAGCTTCCTTCTTCCTTGTGTCGTTCTACCACTTCCGTACTGGACCTCCGTTGGGGACGCTTTGACGCCACAGATCACGCCGGTAGATCTTGGTCATCCTTTGTTTAGAGGTTTTACCTTCACAGATCGTGCTACTCCGGTTTTCCGAGGCATCAAAATGCATGTTGTCCCCTGATTGGGCAGAACTACCCAGAGTTACTCGATCCGTAAGTCCAAGCGTGGAATGTATCCGCGTCCTCGTCACCTTCCAGCGGTTTTCATCTCCGGTTCGTTCTACAGGAATTGGAATAACTGACGGATGTGGCGCCTGGGTATCTGTTTTTGATATCAGTCCAATGAGCTGCTACTCATCTCTCCACTGGGGCGTACAACGCTTTTCCCCTCGCATAAGTCTCATCTCTGCGCTTCCTTACACCAGGAAAGCAACCATTATAATCCTTCTCGAGCCGTTGCTGGTTCCACTCGGCGGAATTTCGCCCTCTTTCTCAGCGATTTCCCAGCGATAAGCACCCGAGTCCTTCATCTGCGATCTTCGTTGCAGCATGTAAGGTTCTGATACACGTTTCTATGAAATCCTCGCTCCCTTTTCTGTTTCTGTCTCTGACTGCCCTATCAGCTGGTCAGTGGCAACTCTGGATCGGCTTCATACCCCGGAATTGTCCTAGCAATGCAGGGTCGCTTCGTGCTGAGCGCGGCTTTTACGAAGTACACGACGCCCTCACATGTGCACTATTTCTGCTATCCGAACTAGAATGTGACAACCACAACACTAACCACACGAAAATACAGGGGTCCACAAGCACAGACTGTTAATTTCCTGTATCTTTGGGTTGTGCGATTGCCTATGCTAATACACCTCCTGAGGCAGTTGGCCCCGACAGCTGTCTTGTAATCCAGTCATCGGGATCCCATGAGGTTTGCCACCCACTGCAGGTAATCAACAACCCCGGTCATTCAATCACAGTATGTCCACAGGCCCTTGTCTCACCCCTGCTTCCTCAAACCTACTGTCGTGGACGCAGAAGCTCACGTCTGTTCAGATTTCAATAGGGGAGAAGCCTACGGATGTCTTTGATGCGCGTGTCCGACGTATGTACTCACGTACGTGCGTACCTGGATGCTTCGAATGCCGGCCACTACGCTTCGCTTCGCTTCGTCTCAGTTGGGTAGTTCTCAACGCCTCAGCTCCACCTCGTGTTATCGTGCGAGCTCGAGGTGCGCTTTCACCTTTGTACGTCTTTGTACCCCGCCGCTTCGAACCACTTACCGAGGGATCTCTTCCGTTTCGTTGCTAGCATGATGTCGACAAACAAGCTCGTGCCACTGAGGCTGTACAGCGCTTTGGCGTACGAGGCTGACTGACATCCACGCAGCTTCCTGCCCAAACCTCAAACCCGAAGCCCTCAGCCCCATTCCAGAACGAGCCTCGCCCCGCACTCAAAGCTCCATACCACCCCTTTCACTACCACAGGTTAGGCAAGGTAAGCAACATCGACTCATGAGCTGTAGGGCCCTGGGGACCGATGTGGCTCTGTGGCTCTCGAAGTGCGGGCTACGCCACTAGTGCACCAGCTGCGAGTGATTTTCAGTGACAAAAAGCGGGGTCAGTGGTGGGTCGACCACTTATGCATGCCTCATGCCAGTTTTCACAGCCTCTTCATTAGAGAGGTAAGCTATAATCGAGCAGGAGCCGACTCCCAAGTTCCATTTCCGAGGCTTATTGGTGGTCGTGCTGACCCGACGCGTTATTGTTCTTCACTCCAGGTGGTCGCCGTCTTTGTCACCCGCCGGACAATCGAGACTTCAGGGATTCATATCCACTCGTCGAAGGGTGGGTGGTCCACCGGGAGACAAGGCTTGTAGTGGCTCTGTACTTTAGACTCTCCGTTCAAGTTCGCTCCCCCTCACCCACTGGCACGTAAGTGACTTCAAAGCGTTTTTACGTACCCTGCATACCATCCGTTTCCCTTTGTTGACGTCTACTACGCCATCGATTTTCCCGCTCGTGCGCGTGGATGGATGTACTCCGTCATCCATCACGATCGGTGGCCCAGGGCAACCTCGAAATCGACAAAGTGGAAACGTACGCATGTTGGTAAGAACACGAGAAACTCCGACAGAGGCTTGCCTTGATTCGACCTGACGAAACACGAAAAGCACGGAGGACGCGTGTTCCAAGCCCAGTCGCTTTCGCTGCAGCCCTTTTTGCGAATTCACCGAGGTGCCACTGACATCCATCGGGCGACGGGGAAATACCAGATCGTTTCGTCGATGCACCGATGGGATACGATTTTGGTATAGCTAACGGTCATGCGTACAGATCGAGGTGGGACGAAAATCAGATTCGGGATCGGATGACACTTCGACCTTCTAGATCTCGAAGGACGAAGGCGACTCGAGGCAGTCGCAGTGAGCTCGAGGTGGGGACTCAAGAGTAGGATGAAGGGGAGAAGAACTACAGGACCCATAGGCTATGTGGTGTTTGCTACGGAGAGTCCCTACTCCCAGCAATCGATGTCGATTGGACCGTGGATAAACGAAGTGGCGTAAGTATCATACGTACAGTGTATGTACCTGGTTATCGATGTTGTTGTCGAGGTCAAGGGTAGCCGGGAGTCAGGTTTGTTGCGACTTTGTGGACTGGTATGTACGGTCCAATAGTAACACAAGGCTTCCTTTGTTCCTGTCTTTCACTGCTTGTTTGTTCTGTCCTGGAATCCGATTTCATGTAACTTATGTACGGCAGAAATGGAAGCTCGAAGGCAGTTAAATCGATTATTGTTCGCGGCGATACCTGCAGTTTGGTGCCACGGCGAACAATAACTGGACAAACATAACCCTGGCCACAACTGCTGGTGCGAGATCTTCGATAATCAACTGGTTCAAAAGATAGTCGAGAGAAAGTTTCATTGGACGACAACACAGACTACGGACAAACTAGTCTAACAGCGGATACAACAGCAGATTGAGATAAGTCAACCGTAGCTAGCACTGGGGAGAAGAAGAATAGGGGAACGCGGTCAAGGAAAGCAAGCAGGCAGAAATGTGTATATACAAATAGTGCAGAGAAGACGAGAAAAAAAGAGAGAAGGACAAGGACATAACGAACAAGTAAGAAATCAACCTCCAGGTAATCGACTGGAACACGATCTTCGAAACGGAAAACAACAAAAACCCAAAACACCACGGACCATCATACAAGAATGGGTGACCTTCGTCTAGAAAGCTGAAGAGAGGAAAAATGCGAACGTAGACCGTGCCACGCCACAGATTGAACCAACCCTTCATGGGTGTTGTGAGATACATGTCGATATCAGATGAAGAACCGGATACAGTCGTGGAGGATGCTTCGCTTGCTGAACCCGACACACAAGAAGGAAACGAGAAGAAAATGAGTAATCGTTAGGGTCCGTACAAAGTCGTGTGTGTCCGTGTTCTTCGTAAATGTCATAAGTGAGCCGTCATGAGTGCGATGTAGTGCTGGGCGGTGTTGGAGATGGTGGAAGATGGAGAATTGCACGGTATACACAGGCAAATGAGGGTACTTGACGGTAGTGTTGAGGACGGCACAGTATTGCAGAGCAAGATATATACGGGGAAAGTGAAGAGAGGCGGTGTGAGGATGTGGAATTCGCCGGGAATCTTGAGATAGTCGAAGAGCGAGACCGCAGGAGCCGACCTCGACGAGTACGAGAGACGGTGGTCAGCGACATGCGCGACACGACGCGACCTCAAGCCCGGATGAAGTACTCCCTATGGCCAGCCCACGGCATCGAGTCGTAGGTCTCGCGGAAGATTGCTGAGGATGTCGCATTCCTCGCAGCGATGCTGTCGAGGACGTGCGAAAGCCGGCCACAGTCAAGATACTTCGATACAGATATTTCTCCACATCCGCCCACGACCGCGACGATAGGGATAAGAAAACGAGAAAAAACGAGCAGATGGATACACAGGACACGAATGGATGGGAGCAGCGGTACGATTGGGTCGGTAGGTGGCGATGATGATGCCGACGAGCCAGACGACGATGTTCTCGGCTAAAAGCCCCCGTCGGAGGGCGAGGAGCCCGAATCGTCGTGCTGCATGTTGTGGCTCGGCACAGGGACAAGAGAGTGCACTGGAGCGGGAGCCTGCTCGGGATTGTGAGGGGTCGACGCCATGGGCGATGGAGTACTACCTGGGCCGAGGGAGATCTTCTCGTTGAGAGACCTCAGCCTGCCGACCTCTTGCTCAACAGCGGCGAGACGCGCCTGGAGCTGCTGGTTCATCTTGTCGAGCTGGACGATGTGGTGGGTTGCTACGGGATCCACGAGCGCGCGTTAAACATTTTGACGCCCGATGCAGACAAAGGACTTGGGATGAACTAACCTCGCTCAAGGAGGGAAACCTTGCTGTTCTTCTGATTGGAGACGGGAAGAACGTCCTTCAAGCGGGCATATCCATCACGAAGGTCGTCGCGCCTCCTCTGCTCGGCCTCTATCCTCTGCCTCCTCGTAGCCTCCTTGCGGGTGTGGGCGATAGACTCGGCCAAAGAGACACCCATATCTTCGTCGGACTCAGAGCGACCTCGGCGGCGGCCAGACGAGCCTGATGGGGACGGAGTCGGGTTGTAGCGGATGGGGTTGCGGTGATGGTGGTGGTTGACGAGGCTGTTTCCCCGGGAGGAAGAGGGAGAGCCGGTGCCGCTACGGGAATTGTAAATGGCGTCGGCTCCAGAGTCGGACCCTCCGCTAATAGGGGGCGAGAGGGGTTCACCGTACATTTGGGGCGACTCGCCTGGGACAGGCGAGGCAGACATGGGCATGCCATGAGGCGCGGGGGGATAGGCCTGAGGGTACTGTTGGGGTGCGTTGGGCATCATGTTAATCGTATGAAGTCGATACATATCCGAAGACGGCATCTGGCCTGAAGGAATAAAGAAGTGTGATTGTCAGATCGAGGCGATCAACGAGGCGGGAGGCACCCACGAGGATGGGCAGGTTGTTGATAGGACTGCATGGTAGGGTTGTAAAGCCCATAGGTCTGTTCGCCTGCGCTATCATCAGAGGCATAGAACGCGGCGTAGGAGGCGCCTGGGGGGGCGAGGCCGGTGGTGTCGTCTGGCATATGTTGATCCATTGTTCGTGTCTGCGTCGTGAAAAGCGCTGCTAGCTAAGAGAGAATGAGGAGATGAAAGAAAGAGAGAAGAGAGAAGGAAAGAGGCGACGCCGTCCACCGAGCCGTGAGATCCCTTTTACGCACGCCCCCGCTACATCAGGCAGGTTCTTCCCACACTCGTCCCGTCCACAAAAGAAATGCTTTGTTCTCGAGATCCTCACGCACAGACAACCGTGGAGGAGCTGTAACTATGGCAGACGAGGCTGTTCGCTTCTGCACTCGCAGACAATAACCCTTTCGCATTAGGAGTGCGGGTGGCGACGCCTTCTCTGAATATTAATTTGTATTTGTGCAGAGTCTACATCGGAGGCAGCGCGAGGCATTGTTGATGTATCGGGATCAAAACAGCAGGCAAAATCGGGTTTCAACCACCACCACGCATCGTCGTCGAGATCAGTGCGCCTCGTCTGGATCTTGTCCTCGAAGTTTTTCAGCTTTCCAGCAGTATTTACTCCAGTCCGCTCACCGCCGGTGCCTGCAGCGAACGTCATGCTACGAGCTAATCGTAGCCCGTACCCTCCGAGCTCGAGCCTATCAACTAAAAAGAAGCAGACCATTCTATATCTAGTCAAGGGCGAGCCATTTGAAACCGTCAAACCCACCTCATACCACTCGATGCCCTACTCGCTGCCCCGGTGGCGAACACGGCGGAGATACCGCTCGATGAGCGATTGGAATTGACGAGTTAAAACTCGGAAGGCCAAGGCAGGGCCGACCTCACAGGTGACCATGTGTCCTAACATCCTTACCTCCTCGGCCTAGCTCCTTGTACTGTAACCATAATATACGTTGCTAGACGCCGACAGTTTCCTTGTGCCGACATTCCGCAAAAAGTACCGCAACATGTCCTCCATGTTTCTCAGACTCTCTGCCGAAGCGCTCTTCTTGTGATCAACCACCATATTTCTCATCTTTTTCAGTGCCTTTCGCAACCACTTATATCCCGGTACCTTATAGCTCGACCCCGTTAAGTAAAGCAGCTTAAACCAAGGTTTCCGGCATCCCAACTTTCGACGTTGACCGCCATGCTCTTCTGTATGGCGTTCTCAGCGTTCTTGGCCTCTCTCTTGGTTGTGCCACTTTCCGTCCTTGCCGACGTCCCCGCCAGCTCGATTTCTAGTTCGCAATGGCAGTCACTAAACCATACCCTCGGTGGCAAGCTGTACAGCGCACTTCCTCTTGCCGCGCCCTGTTTCTCAGTCGTAAACGCCGCCAATGTTTCCGTCAACTCAGCAGCGTGCTCTGATGTCGAAGCGAACTACACTGATCCGCTCTACCGTGTTGAGAAATTCGGCGCCTATATGTTTGTGAGCATCTCTTTCTTGAGTTCACCCCGAGGCATTTGAGCTAACTGATGGGTGGGTAAACCTGTGGTCGGCTTGGAACGTGTAGCCTCATTGGGAGACTTGTCAGTCGACCGCGGAGAAATGCTTGCTGGATGTCACGAACACGAGCAATCCTTTGGCTTGGGAAGACAGCACCTGCTTCCAGGGAAGCGTTTCTCCGTACTACGTGAGTCTTTCATGGTTCCTTTCCACGATGCCAGGGCACTGAGGTGATGCCTAAGGTTGATGTGCAAGGCGCTTCGGACGTGCAAGCAACTTTTGCGTTTGCGAAAGATACAGGCGTCCGCCTCACAATCAAGAACTCGGGCCATGACTACAAGGTAGGCCCACGTTGACTTTCGTGTCTCTCAGATACTGACACCAACGCCGCGCAGGGACGAGCAAGCTCGCCGGATTCTCTAGGCCTTTGGGTACGTACATATTTTCTTTTCCGTCCTGGCAGCTTCTGTGATTTATTGACGTTGTTTCCAGGTACATCACCTAGACGCGGTACGCCACATCTTCCTTCCCTACCGCAACTCACATTTCAGAAGGACTGATCGTGGTCCATCAGATGTCATACGACGCCGAGTTCTCCCCTGAAAGTTGTAATACGACGTACAACGCTATGACCATAGGAGTGCGTTCATCTTTCGTCGATAATGATTTCGCAAGGCTAACGACCGGCGAAATCCCCAAGGGCGGTGTAGCATTCCATACTGTCTACGAGTTCGCTGAGGCCAACAACTTAACGTTCATCGGAGGCTACCACCAGACTATCGCCGCAAGTGGCGGTTGGGTCCAGGTTCATATTCGCTTGTATTTTCTGTTCCCTTTTCACAGTCTGATCATTGGTGTAGGGTGGTGGCCACAGTATCCTCTCCCCAGTCTATGGCCTGGGCGCAGACCGCGTGCTGCAATTCAAAGTCGTCACTCCCGACGGCGAGCTTCGTGTCGCTAATGAATGTCAGAACGAAGATCTGTTCTGGTGCGTTTCTATGGGGTGCATACATTTTTGTGGACCGTTGGAGCTGATGTTATCATAAATGTGTGCCCGACGGGTGTAACTTACAGGGCGTTGCGTGGAGGTGGTGGTGGCACGTTTGGTGTGGTTTTGGAAAGCACGCATCTCGTCGAACCGCAGATGTCGCTCCGAGTGTGAGTAATACCCCGTGATCTCACCGTCAACTCGTTCGCGAATACTTATGATAAACATATAGAGCGTCCATCTCTTTTACTCAGACTTCTAATAACTCACGGGAATGGTTCGAGATCGTAGTGAACAACTCGTTGAGATGGGGTAACGAAGGCTGGGGTGGTCATATCGGGGTCAGTTTATCCTTATCCTCCCCTCAATCCTACTGGCGCGAATGTATATTCACGGGAAGTCGATGACCGGCAGGGAAACACCCTCATCCACGTTAACCCGCTGCTCACGCTCGCCGAAGCGAACACCTCGATGAAGAAAGCGGTTGATTTTGCGATCGCACAGGGTGGGACGGCCGTCATCGAAGAGTTACCATCGTGGTATCAATTCTTCACGAAGTACGTTGGTGCTGCTCAGGCCGTATGTATATCTTACTTGTTTCCCTCTGCGCTTTGGCGACTTATATTTCTCGTTCGCATTGCATCATTGACATGCATAGGCTGTCGGAGTCCAGACTATCCTCGGTACCCGCCTCATCCCGAACTCCATCTTTGAGAACGAAACGAGCCAGGCAGCGCTCGTCGATGTCATGGTCAACATGTTGGATTTTGCGAACCCGTACATCGTAGCGGGGACACCGCTCCTCTACAATACTACCGCCAACGCCACGAGCTACACACCGGCATGGAAGGACTCTCTCTGGAGTGTACGTCTACTTACTCAATTTTGCTCTGAGACAGGTCATGTTGATATTGGGTGTTTGCGTATTGGTGCGGTGGTGGTTGTGGTGGTCATAGCTCGGTTTGCATGCGATATGGCAGTATAACGCTACGGTATCGGAGATCACTACTGATTATGAGGATGTGGATACTGTGATGCAGCCTTACCGCGACCTGACGCCTAATTCTGGAGCTTATACCGTACGTCCTTGTTACTTGCCCGATTGGCCCACTAATGTGAACTCGCACTGACGAGATGTTGCACAATTGTTAGAACGAAGGCGACGTGTACGAACCCGATCATGAATGTGAGTGTCATTGTCGCCCGCTTTGGGAATTCTACGTGTTCTGTGGCTTGATCTGACGGTGATTTCACCCGTAGACGCTTTCTGGGGAGATAATTACCCTGCTCTCCTCGCACTCAAGCAGAAATAGTACGTACCTTCCTATCGACAGAGAACTGAGGAAAGATATCGAGACTGACCGTGTGCTGCGCAGTGACCCTGATGGTCTGCTCGACTGTTGGATGTGTGGTGAGTCTAGCATTGTTCACCCCTCACTCTGCGCTCGAACAGTAACTCACACAGGTGTTTCCGTCCAGTGGGTTGGACGGGGTCACAGGCTCCACGATACGGTTGTTACATGGATATTTAATTGCCCGACTTGGCAAGCTGCTTGTGGTTCGAAGGCAGACTTTTTATTTTTTCTTATGAGTGCTCTGGATGCAGACTACATGCTTTTGTTTGGAAGCCGTTCTAGCTCGTCCTTGATGTGTTGCTGTTGGCGATGAACGACGAACGGCGTACAATGATTGTTAATCTGCGGCGACCTCGGAGGGTAAGAATAAACATGTAGTGGCGCAAAGAACGCCAGTGTGCGACGATTCATATTCTTCATAGAGACATGGACTAGTGGGAGCTACATGGACCTCAGACTACAGTGCGGCGCATAATAGCTTACACACAAGGCTGATACAAACCCAAGATTTTTCTAAACCCAATAGCCCAACGAAAAGGAAAGTAAAAGGTAGGAGGGAAAGGAGGGAAAGGAAGGAAAGGAAGAAAACGACGGCAAACAGCACAAATACGCAATAAATAGTTCGATACTCATCTGTCCGTCCTGCCATCGTCCGACAACGGCGACGGAGGCGCTTCATCATCCTTCTTCAACCTCGTCCCTTCAAACGCAGTAACAGGAGTCCACCCCTCCTCCTCGTGCCCCACCCTCTCCTTCGCATCGAAACCCGTACCACGCTTCACATCGTCCCCATGACCCTCCTCCTCGTCCACATCCTCCACATCCACCCTCTCTCTCCTCGGTCGAATCGGCCCCAGAAGCACCGTATCCCGCCTATCCGTATCCACCTCCATATCCACCGTCACAGTCACCGCCGGCGGCCTCCTCGACCCCCACTCATCCCCTCCGCCCGCTCTCCCTCCCCAATTCAGACGCGTACCCCCAATAGTCTCTATGCTCCCGTTCTGACTCCTATCTCCCTTCCAGAACTGGAGCCCCGATCCGAGCCCGAGTCTGAGTCGATGGGCGTTGTCGCCGTTGCTATTGGTGCTGTACCATCGGCCGCGGGGGTTGCGGCGCGAGCTGGCGCCTCCTTCGTCGGAGCTGGTGCGCGGGTGGTATTGGCCCGTGAGGAAGAGCTCGTCGTCTGCTTTGTTCAAGCCGAAGAGCCGGTAGATTGCGGTGACAAGCAATGCGAGGTTGCTCACGATGACGGAGACTGCGGCCTGGATGAGGATTAATAAGGAAACGAGCAGGTGAGTATAATATGGCGATATTCACCTCAACGTTGGCTGTGATGGCCTCCAGTAATCCGCTCGGACCCAGCACGAACACGCTGCAATATCCGGAGGTTTGATGAGTAAAGAGTGTATATATTGTCGAATATCTAGATAAATTTGATACGCACCCGTGAATGACGCTTACAATCGTCGTGAACACGCTAGCGCAGAAAATGGCCATGAGCAGCCGATATCTCGTGCGCGAGACCGAGAGACCCCAAAGCAGACGCAGTGGAATAATGATGAGGATAATGTCCCCGACGATGTCCGCTGTACACCCATGAAGAGCTGTCAGCAACAAACTGAAAGGGAACATACAATGGGGAAGAACTGACTGCAAAGCTCAAGGATACCCACGTCTATCCCCAAGTGGCATTGCGGTTTTGCCAAAACCGTCCATTGCGGAGCGGTACGTATGCATCTCGGTATTTTTTGCGCCAATAATGCGATCACGAAGGCGACGAAGAGCCCGGCGGACCATTTCGCAAGCTGGTGCAGTCTGAATTGGACTGGAATGATCCGTATGAGAGCCGTGAGCATGCTCAACCGGGCGGCCCTATTTGTGGCAATCCACAACGACAGGTCCGTATGCATCGTGTTAGCAAGGGGCTATTGACAACGAATCGAAGGACGTCCGTGCGTCTCAGGAGATCCGTAAACACGGACGTGCCGGGCGTTTCGGGTTCGCGCTGAGAAAAGGCCAGTCGTGAAATGGCTGGGCTCACCAGAGTGTCAGTGTGAAGCTGATGTTGGCTAGCCAGTAGGCAATTATGCGAGTGTGGGCTGGCTGGTGGAGAGGTCCGACATCGGGGGTGTCTGTTCGGATCCAGACGGCGACGATGAGTACTATGGTCAGGACGAGAGAAATGGCGGCAAAGGCGTCATCCCATCCTAAACGGTGGCGTTTAGTACGGTGATACAGTCGCCATGATGTAGTAAGGACTGCGAGGGCATGAAAGATCGTTATCACCGCTGCGCGATAGAAAAAGGATCAAGAAGTTCGGAAGTTCAACGTTCAGGTCAGCAAGGATATACAAAAATCAGACTAGGCCAACTCACTGCGAACGGCTGTTACAGAGGGCTCTGAAATCATAGGAGAAACATTAGTAGGGAGAAGGCCGGGGTGCTCGATGCGATGGTTGCTTTATATTTGCTCAGCTCGGCAGGATGAGCAAGGTACCGCGTCGTAGGAAGGGGCCCAAAGATCGCCGGATGTATAGACAAGTTAGCTTCTTTTCCCAAGACGATGTCAGGCGTACAGCATCTGTCGAGAGGCTCCTGAGCCGGGTGCCTTCAACGCTTTGAGTTGCATTAGATGAGATCTCTGGATCTCCTACTAACCGTACGCGTGTTCGTCGAGGAAGCTTATGGTCGACAGCGGCAAATCATGGATTGGTGGAAGGAGTCGATAATACAAATTACATGGCACTCCGCATCCGGTCGTGTCCAGTGGCTGGTCGACCGTCGGACGATATTGAAGGCGACGTTACAACGGGCACGTAAACAAGGAGTTGTTTCAACATTTACAGAGAAAAAAACGCCGACGGTGGATCAAGAGACTGAATTGCAAGAAAGAGAGCGATGACCGCCTGCACGTGTTCGGATGGGTAGGCATCAATCAGAGCCGCGGTGATGTTTCCGGACGGAACGCGACCGTCCGAAATCCGAAGGTGAAATCGCGCCTACTTGATAGCTCGAATGGAAGCTACGAGAAATCAGCTATAGATGTAATACAACTTCGATGGGCTCTGGCGGCGAAGAATTTCGGAGGACTTTGAAAAAAAAATAAGACCAATCTGTCTAGTCGGAGAGTTTGGTTCCACTCAACAGCACTCTGAGTCAACTTTGATTGATGCCAAGTGACGGGTGAGCCGAGCTATCGGTATCAGATTGCCTTTTACACATATGCGGTTAGCGAACAGATGCGGCCGGCCGTGCCACATCTCGCTGTGGCGAGTAACGTAGTACGGAGACAAGGAGCCGCACAGTGAGCTCGCATGGGGAAAAGTCGCTACGAACGTTACCTATGGGGAAGATCTAGGAGGACATATGTCTCCTTTCGTGGGGATAGTAGCTATGGACGTAACCTCGAACCCGGCAATCCATACCAAACGAGCCGCCAGCATACAAAACCTGACAGCACCATGCAAGACAAGACGCAACTGCATCTCCTCCTTCTCACTATACTGTGCCGTGCCGCCTTGCGTCCTCGCTCGATAGGTTAGAACAGACCCGGTGCTCTGAATATGGCCATAGGCGGCCGCACCTACAGACAGGCAGTATATCACGAAGACACGTAGAAGTCATTAGTATGAACCGAAGCAAGAGCAAGAATCTTGGTGATTATTTGACTCGGACGACGACGATGGCTATGTATTGGAGAGAACGTTGTAAAGAGGGCAGCTCGGGGGTGGAGTGGAGAGGAAGAAGGGGGACATCGGCGAGGGCCGAGTACGTTTAGTTCGGGGTTGCCCGCGTGGCCGCCGGATTTCCCAGCTGTGCTTGCTCTCATCGTCTCCGACGTCCTTCTCGGCCCCTTCGCCGTCGTTGTCTTTCGTGAGCAAGTTACATATAATCTCTGAGCTAGGCGCTGACACGATAATCTGCAGGCTGCCCGGGGTGCTGAGGCATGTTCTATTGACCACGGTGGTCATCCCGTTGAAGTGCAAACCTCTAATAGTCTGGCTGAACGCGCCTACGCTACGCTCAATCGTAATACCTCTCTTTTCTTGTCGCTCTTTCGACGGATAGTATGTCTGAAGCAGAGGCCACCCTTTCGCCGTCGTGGCCCCCGCCGCGCTCCCCCCTTCCCCCTCACCGTCTCGCCATGCTCGCCAATGCACTCGGCATATCGACCCCCGTCCCCGGCTATTCTCTCACCGACTTTCCTTCTCCAGAACCACGGCGCTCTCCAACTCCATCATCCAATGCATCCACCAGCCATTTACGCCCTCATTCCCCCATGCCACCCTCCTCATCCAAATTTCTCCTCCATGTCATCCCTCCTACGCATCTTCCCCACGACTCCGACGCCTCAGACTCTTCTTCCATGACCCCTCCACCATCGAACGCCTCAGGTTACCACACTCAATTTAGACGTGGAACCCTTGTTCCCCTCTTTCCCAGCCTACAATCTCAACTATTCGCCATTGCTAAGGAATATGCTCTCCCAAGTACCGCCGGTATGATCCTCTACCTCGTCTCCTCAGCTCCCAGTCGGGCAACCTCTCCTAGTCTTGTCGGCTCTCCTGTCGACCCAAACGAGGAGCCAGGTCCCAGGCTTTCCGAAGAGATATGGAAGCACCTCTGGGCACGGGTCGCCAAGTCCGAGCAGGATTCCTTCTCCAGAACTCCGTCTCCAAATCCCATCGGCCTTGGATTTTCCAATGGTTCCCGTTTCTCTCCAGTGGCCAACTCCGATCTAACTCCACAGTCGGACTCCACTCAACTTGCCCTACGACCGCTGGTCTCTCCTGGACGTGTCACTCCTCAGCCTTTTACAACCCCAATGACACCAAACCCGTCTACACCCTCTTCGTCCTCTGATCGTCACAACCCTTCTTCGTCGAACTCTCAATCTGACTGCGATACTCCCGATTCATCTTTCCCGCCCGGATCCCAGGCAGACTCTCTCGAACTTCCAGGCTTACTTTCGTCTTCAATCATACCTATCCTTGCGAAGGTCGAATTCGATATCGACAAACGGAAGGCGACATGGTACGAACCCTGGCTCCGGAGTCGAAAGGCCAATCATAAGAAGCGGTCAGCAGGGAGGTCGAGAGATGATGCTTCCACAAGATCGAAGTCAGTAGACGGGAGTGAAGCCGGGAAGGAGTCCAAGGGTGCACCGCTCAACTTGAAACTTGTCGATCGACAGGCTATTCCTCGCTTTCTACTTTCGAATGAGAAAGAGGAAGAGTTGGACCCCGAGGACGAAAAGAAGCTTTCTGATTCACCTGTAGACACAGAGGATGGACTGAGTCCCGACCGACCGCGGCTTTCGGTCACGATCCCGACATCACCACCTCAGCGGAACGAGCGGCGGTCATCACCCACCACCGCTGGCACCATCAAACGCCCTGTGCCTCCACCACTCACCTTGGCTGCCTCGCAACCCAGCGACATCGTATTCTCGGAGCTGACACCCAGCCCGCTACAGACGGCTATGAGCACCGGAAGCACAAAGCTAGCTTACCTTCAGGATGGTGCACCGTCGAGCTCGGACGACGACCTTGGAGGCGAGAGACCCAAAGTATCTGTGGAGTTCATGGAGAACGGAGATTTGGATGACTCAGATCTTGTGGGTGGAAAGAGTCCATTGGATGAGAAGAGGGGCGGAGCATTCTTTGCGGAATTGGACTTGGGTTTGAACTTTGACGATAGCGGAGATGTACGTGACATGCTATCTCACTCTTACCCTTGTGAGGCTGACAGTCGGTCATCCTTGAACCTCTCATAGTTCGATGCAGACGATCCTCATGATCGTAGACGAAGTCAGTATGCCATGAAAGCTCAGTTGGACGAAATCGAGAAGGTCAGTAGAGGATTCCTTCCATTCCATGCCTTGCCTCCAGAAGTAACCCATTCCACGATGCAATATAGGCCTTGGCCCAGTTCTCACCTCGCAAACTGAAGCACGAGCTCGAAGAGGATCCTGCTGATGGTTCGCCCGCTCGTCCGGGTTCCCTGGCGGCTGCGTCCATCACTTTGACGCCCTCTTCCGGGCATTCACATTTCCTGAATGCATCGTCCAGCGGGAGCAACGGGGGCTCTGTACGGCCAGATCCTAGTGCACCGAAGGACGAGTGAGTTCGTTATAAGTGCTGTTCTTAGTCATGTAATATTTGTCTTACGCTTGCCTGCGTGAACAGTCAACCTCCTGTGTGGCCTGCTGTCCCTTTCTCGATGCTCAAGAACGATAGCACGCCACCGTCACCAGAACTTGAGGACTTTCCTGCGCCACCTCAATTAGCTCTAAACGGCGTCTCACATGCCCTTCCAGTATCTCCTTACGCGAAAGTCAACAGGTCGTCCGCCGTGTCAACTGCTTCGGACGAGTCGTTGGCTCGCAAACGAGAATTCCAGGGAGAGGACGCGGATTATCCCGCTATCATTCCGCTCCCCCCGTCTCTTCGCCACCAAGAAAGCAGTAATTCGCCAATCATCCCCCTATCCGCAGATCCCTTTGGAAGATTCCCTTCGGAAGGCGAAACCGACTTCCGTACGTCAGATGAGCGCAAATCGGGCTCGCATATACATTACTCAACCTTTGAGATTCCTCCGGAGCGGAACGCCTCGTTGAATCGCAATGGTAGCAAGGGCGGCGAGAGCCAAAGCACGCCTCGCAAGCCTCCTTCCAGTCGATTCTCGATGGATTCCGAAGACAATCACGGGAAACCCGCTTCTCCATCCCAATCCCAGCTACGACCGCCGACGACCGCACCGTCGTCGTCCTTGAATCCCGTCAAAAGTATCAGGAAGCTCTGGCGCAAGAGTAACAAGTCATCTGTCTCCTCAGGTCCTTCGTCCACGGCGCCGCCGCCGCCGGTTCCTGGTACACCCGCAACGCCACTCGCTAACGGTCGTTCATCACCCAGCGTCGCACAATCACCTCCAGGACAGGAAGTCGTGACCAATGCGATGATACCCCCTCGTCGGTCTTTGGCCCCATACCCCGAGCAAACTTACATGACTACCGCACAAGCTATCCAGAAAGCTAGGGCGGAGGCTTCTATCAACACCATCGCCTTTGATCAGGAGTCTCCTTATCCCGTTCGCCGTTCACCGGCACCTTCCTTCCAGTCAGCGAATGCCGAGGGAGCACAGGCAACGAGGCCGGCGCATCAATCGCACGTCTCGACTTCGTCATTTGCATCCATGTCACCCCCTTCTTCAGGTGGTCCGCTAGACGGGAGCGTTCGAAAATCGATATTGAAGTCATGGAAGAAATCGCCTCCGAACAGTATATCGAAGGCGACCGGCGCTGTGCTCGCCAATGGCTCTTCGTCAGATGGTCGTTCGAGTACGGAGCCCATGGTTCCGGCACGCAAGCGTCGACCGAGTGTCATTGAGTTCATGTCGGGCAGCAGGAGTTCCATCGGCGCCAGCTCCGTTCTTTCTGAAATTCCTCCCAGTCCCGTTTTACCAGAACAGTACATGTCCTCCAATGCTGCTGCCAACCGCCTTTCGAAACATGCGCACTCACGGGTCCAATCCGTCGTTGATGCTCATGGCCGGAGGATGACTCCTGCATCGTCGCTCGAATCCTCGGCATCGTCGTCGTTACTCGCATCGCCGCCACCAAGGAACCAGCGGGGCCCTGGGCCAGGAATCTCGAGGGCGTCGCAGGAGGATGAGCCGTTTGAGATGATTGATACGGAGAAGACGGCCCATGGCAAAACACCGTCCTTGTCGTACCCATACCATGAATTGGATCACCAGGCGTGATCTGTCTTTCTTTCTTTCCTGTAACTTGATTACTTGTTTATACCTTTTAAGTTCTTTCGTCTCTCGCTATCCTCGCACTTTCGTTAGTCGCGTCCGTACCCGGATGGAACTATTTGTTCTTGTTCTACCTTGATTCCCTTTTCGCTTTTATTCTTTCTGCTTATATACCTTGTTCTCCTCGCTGCCTCGAAGCTCTTCGAGGACATCTTCACACTCATCACCTACTTTTACACAGCAGTATTTGCATTTTTTATCGGTCACACACTCACACTCACTCTCACACACACACCATCAGATTTCGTACTCGCAGATTCGGTGTCGCTATCCATCCATCTGAGAAATGTAATTTAATCAGTATAATTTGCTCACGCTCTCTCTCTCTCTCCAACAGCCCGTACGAGCGATGTACGTCGTTCGTGTATGGAGAAGTTGTGGGGCTACGCCGTTTACTTACTAAAGCACGGCGGTGATGGTGTTTTCGCCGCATGTAACGCGACCCGCGGGATCGAGAAGCCTCTACAATTCCATTGACTATGGGACAGACTAGTGACCATCTAACGGACTACTACAATTGGAAGCGACTAAGGCTACAATACAACAACACGTATTACTTCTGACCAATGTCTAACCTTCACTTAGGACGGTGCCACACAATTCAGCACTCAGTACCGGTCTTGATACTCAGGCCTGTACGACTCCTCCCCATATCCCCCTCGGCGGCCACCTCCACCTCCATAACCTTCTTCGGGCTCCCTCTCCCCTCCCAAATTCAGGCGTTCGGCTCCAAACGTTTCGTCATTCCCCTGGCCGAACCCACCTTCACCGCGATAACCTCCTTGCTCACCTCCGAAGCCTTCCTCTTGACGACCATATCCTCCTCCACCCCCACCTCTATAACCACCACGCTCACCGCCACCAAAGCCTGCATCCTGACGCCCGAATCCTCCGCCCCTGTCTTCAGGTTCACCACCGCCAAATCCTCCTCTACCTCCGAAATCTTCCTCCTGACGGCCGAAATTACCCCCACCACCACCAAAGCTCTCTTCAGGAGCCCTCCCATATCCACCCTCGTTACGCCCTCCGCCATAGGAATCCTCACCGAACCTTTCTTCCCTCCCTCCGCGCCCAGCTGGCCTCTCCTGGTATCCACCACGTTCTTCACCAAACCCTTCGGGCCCACCACCGCTGAACGGTTCTTCTCTGCCTCCTCCATAACCTCCTCGGCCACCATCGTAACCACCCTCGTCCTCGTCGTGATGTTTCTTGTGATGCTTCTGGCGGTGATGTCCTTCCTCTTGCTCACGGCCGTCCCCTCCCCCATAGCCACTACGAGGTTCTTCTCCGCCGTACTCTTGCCTCGGCTCGGGCTGCGAATACGATGGCTCGTAGCCACCGCCACCGCCATAAGAGGGACGCTCTGGCTCTGTCCTCTGGTAGCGTGACGGCTCCTCCTGCCTCCCGTACCCGCGCTGCTCCTCGCCATAGGTAGACGATTGATACTCATTTCTACCTCCGTGGCTCTGCCTCGGGGGCTCGGACTCGTAGTCGTTGCGACGTTCGTAATCACCAGTAGCAGCAGTTGCCGCGCCGCCATACCGTTCGGATTCTGATCACATAGTTAGTGTGAAGCAGGTGAGATTAGTGAGATACATCGAGAATCCAATGAGCTTTAGGACCGACCTTCGCCATAGCGCCTTTGTTGCGCAGAATCGTTGTTACGTCCAGATTGCTGCGAAGAGCCACCACGTCCACTGTAGCCGCCAGCGGCATTGCCTTGGGACATGTAATCCTCGCTGGCAGTGTACTGTCCCTGGGCAGGGAAAGTACCCCCGCTGGAAGCATGCTGGCCTCCAGGAGTAGCGGCCGTCTCGTCGTCCGAGCCTTCACGCTTATTCTTTCCGGCACGAACACTCTCCTGCAGAATACGGATCAGTGACAACTTGCGAGAAGAATGAAACTAGAGTATGCCGTACCTTAGTAAGACTTTCCAAGATTTGATCCTTGTCGTCCAGCTTGCTCTCAAGCCACTCCTGCATGCCCGCATACATGGCGCTCTGGATTTGTGAGCGCCCGGTGTTGAAGTACGGGTGATGGAAGGCCTCCAAAATCTAAGACATCCGGTCTTAGGACCGAGAACAGTTATAAGGCAGGCAATCGAGCACATACGGTGTTGATAACTTGATCTGCGTCTTCGCCGTCGTCAGCCCACGCCTTGACAATATGCCCAACGGAGTATTGGACGACAGTCTGGGCGATCTTTCCAGCGGGCTCATTGAGAATGAGTTGGAAGTGATCCTGGAGGTCAAATTGTTGAGTAGACGATAATAAACAATGTAGATGATATCGTACTTTGGAGAGCAGACTGTGCGATGGGTCAGAGGCTTCGGGGTCGTCGAAGACTGTGTACTGGTCCTCTGAGTCTATGACGGCCTTTGAACCCACTGAGAGGACGTCGGTGACTTGTGATAAGATAGGCTAGGAGTCGATGCGGACAGTGAGCACAGGATGAAAGAGGCGCCAGTTCTAAAGATCGACGTACCGCCACCCAGGGAGCCAAGATGGTGTATACATCTTGTAGTAACCATACATATCAGCATACTGACAGGACTTCCGAGAGTTGCAGATTAACTCACAAGCGTTCAAAGCGTCCGTGAGCGTGTCGATCAAGTCCTCCAATCCGGGAATCATCTCGATCTTGGACAAGATGTCACGGTAAACACCGTCGCGCCACTTGAGCAATTCAAGGAGTTGTTGTTGAACCTCTGGAGGTGCGACATCGTCTGGGTTGAATTCGTAGGCTTTACTCTTCTCGCTCAGGTCTTCAGCCTCGCTTGTGTCGGTTGCTTTTCCACCTATGGGAAGTTTGGAAAGGAGGTTCTTGAGATTTTCGATGTTGCTGTTTCCGTCAGAGTTTTGGGCCTAGGACGACGTACAAAGACGGTCAGAACAATAATATAGGACAAGGAAACGGTAATGGGTCTTACATTGCTCATCTTCTGGGATAGGTCTGTTACCGAAGACTGGCTGATGTGATCGGTGGCCTCGCCTAAGTGCAAAGAGTAAGTTTGGGTGACATGGTTCGCCACGACGGGTGGGGAAATCTTACCCAACATTGAATGCATGAAATCAGCGCTTCCGAAAGTACCAGTAATGAGAGGGGGTGCCTCTCCATTGGGAGTCTGGATTCTGACTACCATGCCCAAGCATCAGTCCAGAAGAAAAAGTGCTATTGGAATTCTGCACGTACCAGAATCACCGACATGACAGAAGACGTCTTCATAGCCCATCTTGCGCAAAGCAAGCTCACACCAGTTGCTATGTGCCAGCAAATCCTCCATAGTATGCAAACCGGTGCCCAGCAGACGATAGGCCTCCCACAAGTCAGCACCTTCTCGACCGCCGGCGCGACGTCCATGTTCGATGCAAGCCCTGAAGGTGCGTCGGATATGCGCAGTGGACGTATCCCATCCCCTGTTCTCTGCAGCCATGTAGTTCTAGCCAAAGTTGTTTGTCAATGACATCTTGACGAGCGGGTGGCAAAGATCCTCACCTTCATGCCTGTCTCTGGATCTATCTCAAGTTCTTCTGGGTTCACAGGTGGGCGCAGCTTGGGGTGGAATTGGCGAGCGTCCCCTTCTGCCTCCCCGTAACCTCTGAAAGACGATCAGTGATCTTGAAAAGACCGCACAAGACAAGCCGACTTACTTGGGGTTGTCGATATGTTCCTGGAAGACGTTTAGCACGAGTGATACTTATGATCTAGCAGTCTAGATACTTACCACAGGTAGATACACGCCAAGTCTATCTGCCGTGACCTCGAACTCTTCTGTGGCAAACCCGAATGTCTGATCAGGCAAGGGCAGAAATGCCCGTTAGTTTAGTATATTTCGGTAAGTCTCCAACCGAACTCACCATGAAGCCCAAGATGGATACAATCAAAACCAAGGTCTCCGCCGTGAGTTTTTGCAGTCCCGCAATATCCATTGCCTAAAAGACTGTAGTGTCAATCGATGATGATTTCGTCTCGAGCAGATCAGATCGTATACCTGAGAATAGTCCCTCAACCAGTTTCCCTGACACATGATGCCATTAGGATCAGTCAGAGCACACCAGATCCAAGACAGCTACACTCACGAAGTAAACCTTCTTCACATCGCTCTTTGAGAATTTTGCGCCACCGCTACCCCCTTGACCAGAAAGTACATTCTTTGCGAAGCCAAGTAGTCCACCTGCCATCGCCGCTGATCCACCAGCAGCGGCAGCGCTCTTCGCGACTTCGGTGAGGATATTCTCAATGTCGCCATGTCGGAATGCCTTCTCTGTTGCCGGTGAGATTCAAGGTAGTGTCGAAAGCGGTAAGCACCGCAAAATTCAATGCGTCAGTGGCGTAAGATGCGTACCGTTCAGGTAAGAGAAATCGGGAATGTCACCCGCGCCGAATGCCCAGGCACTGTCGGGTAGTAATACAACAATAACGGTCAAAAGCAGCAGCGTTGAGCCGAGCGAGGACATGATGGATGGGTACAGGGTGCAAGTCGTTCAGTGGCGACCCGCAGCTTTCAGGTGCAAGGGTATATAAACCACCATGACCCTCCAAGACCTTGCCAAGAAAGTACGATGATGTCAGCCTGGGCCATCGGCACAATCTGAGAAGATCAATGATAGGTTCCAATTATCCGTGGAAATAACATACACGGTACAGCCAGTTGACGAGAGTACCGACGGCATACTAGGTAAGTATTTCAAGTGCCAGTGAATAACTGCATGAGATGTTATTTGAAGCAGTCGTCAACAACTCTGAGGACAGCTGCAACCTTGTTCCCATCAGTGCATCCCGAAGTGGAATCTATTCGACTCCGATGCGGAGCTCAAATTGCCCAGCCAACGTCATGGATCCAAGCACGGAGATCTCTGCGCATGCGACTCGACGTTCTCAAAAATTCCACTCTTCATGTCTTCCTTGCTGACCCTAGAATAGTTTTATCGTCGGGCTTGGGGTAATGACTGGCCTCACCACAAAGGTAGGATCTCTAAGTTCGACGTCGGGCTCCCCATCGACGATCCCGACGACTTCAACTTCGCCGTTGACGATCATTTCGACTACATTTGCTACGACGATGTGGACACCCTTTATCGTATCCTCAACTTGAAGAAGCCGATCGTGAATGCTCTCATTGTTCGTCCCGAGTATGACTTACTTCGGACGATGAGCGATAGTCAGTTCCAAGCCGCGTTCGTCGTGACGGGTCATTCAGGGACTGGTTCGTCAAGATTATCATCTTCAACACAATCAACGCTCATGTCTGCTTCTGCCTCGGGTAGGAAAAACCATGTTCCTCCTGTATCTTCTTATTTATCGCCTTGAACACAAGTATCCGACGGCGGTCCAATTCGACATAGATTGCTACTTCATCTTCGACGAACATGGTGCTTTGGAACGTCCTACCACTGATCACGCCAACCCACGCCTTGACCAGTGTTGGGCACTAGCTAATAGCAACTCCGACGTTACCCAGCCATGTTCAATCTTTCGAAGTGGGGCCAAGCTTGTCATCCAGGCTTCGTCACCAAAACCCTCGAGATGGAAGGATTGTACGAAGGAGGCCCCGGGCGAGCGGATCTACTCGGAGCTGCCCTCGGTGCTCGAGATCGGAGCGATCTTGTAAGCGGACTCGGTGCTTGACCCTGCGATGTCCCTGCTCAAAATATCTCTCCACAGAAAGGAGTCCCACTTTGACCCATCCTCTACTTTCACCCTCGTGTCTAAGTGGGGGCCATCAGTTCGGACGATCATCGGCATCGTGAATGCCGCCGTCTTTGGACGCTCTCAGAAAATCGAAAAGATGTTGGAAGCCGACGCCCGTGGGGCAGCACTCCAGATATGCTCTGCTCCGTCGCTCGTTAACCTCTTCTCATACAACGAAAGTCCCAGTATTAGGTTCGTTCGCCCTTGCCGCGAAAAATTCGTGGATAACGGCAACACTGCCATTGTCTCGTCCTCGGAAGCTATCTCCTTCATCCCGACCAAGTTCCTCGACAATCTCTTCACAACATATTGCACCAAATTCTCCACCGATAGATCCCTCGACCTCTTCGAAGCGTTCAGTTCACACTCCCTGACACGGACCACCGCCACCTGGGTGTTCGAAAAACGCGTGCATAATCTCTTGTGCAGGAGTGGCGCGGATATGGCCATCTTTTCAGCCGATAGACAGCAGATGAAGATGCGGCCATCGACCAATCTCATTCCTGGCACAGCGACCGGGCTCAAGGGCATGGATGTCTCCGACTCCTTCTACTGGATCCCGTCCGTGATGGATTTTCCGGGTATCGACGGTGTCCTCGGCAATACTGAGAGGAACATCTTCGCCGTGCAAACGACTATCGCAGACGGCCACCGTAGATCCGAGGGTGGCCTTCGACGGATTTGGCAAAACCTCGAAGTCAACGTTCGACATGGTCGTACTTGGCACTTGGTTGTCGTTGGAGACAACGATAAAGCGGTTGGTGGGCTGGTGGAGCAGTTTGCGACGGAGTTGAAGAACTTCACCCTCGGCCAATCTCTGATACACGTGCAGGTGTGGGGTTATGTTCTTCATTCTCGCCGTTTGATGTAATTGTTTCACTCGGACTGTTATCTTGCGTGACAGTCTACAGATATCATTATTATCTATGTCGACTTTCTTTGCTGTTTTCGTCCGTATATATAGGGCTGACCATGGTCTGCGTGTTTTACCACTGTGACAAGTTGTGTTAAACGAAAGACAACCAGCAACAAACTCGAATTATCCGTACAAATAAAAAACTATGGTACATCCAATTGACGACAACAACGGCGACATAGGTTAGTTACAGGTAGTACAAGCCTTGTATCCATGACCGAAAGCAACGACAGCGAAAATTTCGAGAAAATCAATGGGCTTCAACCCACCCTGGCCTTCTTCGCCGCACTCGGCTGAGACCCATTTGGCTTGTCCGACTCTTTCCTCTTCTTGGACTTCAGTGGAGCCATCCTGTCCTTAACCCAGTTCCGCACAGTGATTGCCATCATTCCGACCTCGGAGTCTTCGCCGTTGAACCGAATGGCGTTTTGGATCATAAGATCCACATCCTCCTCCCAGGCTTGTATGGACTCATACTTGTCCGCTTCGAGCTTCTGTCGAATCGTTCTGAGATCCCGGGCGGTGTGCTTGGGTATGACATCGTAGTACTGCGGGACGCCAAGTGCGATTGGATCCACTGGTTCTCGGAAGACCCAGGATCTGGTAGAGATGAGAGAATGAGCAACAAAGCTGACGGCAAGCAAAGAAAATGGCGCACATGGGATCCTTGACCAGGTTGTTGACCAACGATAGCAACGCTCGCTTGTCTGAAGGAGCAAGCTTCTTCTCCATAGCCTTCGCCCATTCCCTCCGATACACTTTCTCCACTACTTCGGCCCAAGAATGCGGGGCGGTGGTAGGCGGATTGAATGTCTTGCAATTGCCGAACACGAGCTTGGCATCCTTGTCGAACTCCTCCATCGTGGTATATCTGCCTTCCTTAACCTTCGTACCCATGGTTCCGAAGTCCATCGGGTTCTTGATTTCGTCAAAGTATCTAGAGAGAAACGCTATTGAGGCAAAGAAAGAATAGTGAGGGCAAAATCACGCACGTAGGACAACCGTCGAGCTCAGGATCCACAGGCCGTGAGAATATTCCGTATTCCGGCATTTGTGCCAGTGCTTTCAACACGATCTGGCACTTCTTCTTGTCGAAGGGAGTCACAGTCACAACCGGCGTCGATGTCTTCTTCGGTGCCTTGACCGCAGGCGGTGCTGGTGGAGGGGTGGCGGACGCTGTCGGTTTACTTGGTGCTCTCGAAGGCGACATGGCAGGAACTGGTGAGGCATGAGCACTAGTAGGAGGTTCGAAGGGTTTCCTGGGCTTGATCGGAGGAGCAGGCTTTTCAAGAACAGGAGCCTCTTTCTTCTCATCGGGTGACCGAGGTCGTTTGTGAGGAGAAGCAAGCGCCAAGATCTCATCTTCCTCGACGAGATCGGCGGAAGCGCTAACCTTTTTCCTCTTTGCAGGAGGTGGCCCGGTGATGGACGGCTCAGGTCTCTCGATCGGCCCATACTGGTGTTTCTTCTTCTGGACATCTCGTTCAATCGCAATGACTTCCTCAAGTAGATCATCGGTCCCATCATCAACAGGAGACCCTGAGGTGGTTTCGGCCGCCTTCGATTTGCGAGGTTTGAGTTTCACTGGCTGCGAAGCTGTGGTGGGGATAGGATCCGGACGCAACGAAGATGAGGTTCCGATCTTGAGCTTGATAGATGGACGAGAGGTAGTCTCCGGTACTGTAGAGGTTGAAGATTGAGGGGTTACGGGAGTACGCTTGGGTTGAGACATGTGCGCCGTCGATGCCTTGTGCAAGGGCACCGGAGGGGGCTGCATGGGTCTGGGGGGTGGAGGGGGAGGTTCGTTCGGTTTCTTGCTCTCTATTGTGTGATTGATACGCGCCCACTCTAGATATCCAAAATGTATGAGGATGGCAGCATGCTAGGCAACTATAGATTACTCACGAGCATCGAAGAACTGCTCCAGCGCGACTCCCTCGTTGTAGACATAAGTTTCCGGTGAGTTGTACGTCTTTGCGTTTTGAATCATAAGCCGGAAGTCCGCCTCGAACGCAAAACGGTCTTTGTACATCCCCTGCGAGAGTTTGATGCCCATGGTGTCCAGATCGATGGGGTTCTTGATGATCTCGAAATAACTAATGCGAAGATTGTCAGTTCGTGGGGGCAGGAAAGATATATTGAAATCGTACTTGATAGCCTTGTCCCTGACAGGATCAACAGGATGGAGATAGAAGCGCGCATGCTTGTTGCCTTTCAGTTTCTTCAACGCCATCTCGCAAGCTTTCACATCCCTAATGTCCATCCCACCACTCTGTGCCTTTGGAACAGCCTTCCCATCCTTTGGTTTTGGCGGTCTGCCTTTCGGTCTGGGGGGCGCTACTGAAGGGCCACCATTGATATGTGGCGTCTGGATGGTAACGTTCTTCTTTGTGTTGATGGAAAGCGAAGTCTCTGCATGCGGAGTAGACGGGACTTTGTGGGAGCTGGCATCTGTACTGGCCGTCCCAGGGAGCAATCGGACTTTGGGAGGGTTGGTTGGCGGCACGAGCGGGCTCCTAACAGGTGTACCAGCAGATTTGAGAGGACGACCAGGCTTGAAAGCTGGGATCTTGACAGAGGACAAAGACGGTGGGGTCTCGGTGATGGGGGTCGAAGGGGGAACATGAATCGTAATCTTCGGTGGGACCTCCTCTGAACCCCTGACGAGAATGTCGAGGAGCTTGAGAATAGACCACCGAACTTCGTGATCTGCGTCCGGAGCTCTACGATTGCACGAAGTATTAGCCGAGTCAGAGGAGATACTATGGACACGTACAATATGATGGGGAGCAAGAACTCGCGCAACACTTCATTCTTCCCGACCTCCTTATCCTTCCGGAGGGCCTTCACAAGCTGGTCGACTTCGCTCCTCTTATTCTCCTTGACTTTCTCCTGAGTGGCGCCATCTTCTTCGATGAGCAAGGACTCGGACTCCTTCTTAGAGTCCTTCAGCTCGCCCATTGTGACCAACAAGGCCAGGGACTGGGAAGCATTCCGAGCGACGTGGCGTCGAATAATTCGGGAAGGATCGTTGGCGATGACCGCTAGGATGTACCGGACGATCTTGGGAGTGTACCACCTGGTGAGGAAGAGAGCATCGAAAGCGGCGATGCGGACTTGAACGTAGTTGCCCTCCCTGCGCAACAACTGTCAGCGTCTCATACCATAAAGTGAAAGCAAACGACGCACCGGGTTAGGGGGAAGAACACCCGAGGATCATTGGGAATGAGGTTCGCCACGCTAAGAATCAAGCGGAACTTGATCGCACGATAGTTAATATTCGACGTTCAGCTGCACTCCAGGTCAGGTGCAACCTACCTCGAGAGCAGCAATGGTCACTACGTTGTGTGGCGAAGCGATCAGCCTGTCCATATTCCGATAACGATCCGCCTCAGCCAAGGCGTCCTTCAGGATCATCGCGTCTTCCGAAGACTGTTCGTTCTTTGCCTCCATCGGAAATAGTTCTCCACGTTCCGGGGGAGAAGTAGAGACGCAAGCACAGGCGAGTGAGGAGATGAGGGTGCAAATGTAGAACGCATCGGTATACTGTTGTATTTTAAGCAATTTCCCCTTACGATTTAGTTCAGAAAGGCGAACTCACGGGGTTGGCAGTGTTGTCGTTATACTTCAGTTGATCGGTGAGGAATTTCCGTACGACAGAAGGGCATTTGCCGTTCTCGAAGCGAACTTGAGAAATCGCCTTGATCAAAGCCTGTGCAAATGAGGCATTCAACATGACATGCCCACGGGTAACGCTTAGTGTCGGTCATGATCCTTACCCTCCTGACAAAGTAATCCGCAAAGTCGGAGAAGTCGTTCGGCCGTGGTACATATGTATGGGTGAAGAGATCCTGTTGTGGATCCTCGGGATCGTAGCAGTACCGCAAGAACAACTTAAATAGGTGGAATAGGCCAAGGAAATCCAGGCGACGAATAGCACACTGAACAAGGTGTATGAAGCATATCAGTCATAGTAGGCGATTGAAAAAAGGGAAGGCTACCCACAGTGACCAATGCCAGAGCAGCTTCACACCGGACTCGAAAGAAGTAATTCGAAACGAGCACTGTCTTGGTGAGCTGACTAGAAACAATTGCCGAAGGCATCTTGGATAGAGCATTGACGGCCTGCACATGGTGAGTTCGTATGAAGTCAACCAATACACCTTGTAAAAAGTATGGACTCACCTCCAGCTGCGCCACCACATCCCTATCCCTCTGTAACTGCGATACCCACATATAATCCGGCTGGTCAAATGCAACCGCAGCGATCCATTCGAAATCCGCATCCATCCTGATCCATTCATACGTCGCACCACTCATAACCTGCTCGTCATCCTCCGACCAGTCCGCTACCTTCCAATTTTCTCTTTCCCTCTCATTCTCCCAAATATCGAGTCCGAAGCCCATGTCAACCATTCCCATAGCCTCCGCCGCTTCGGCGTCACCTTCGGCTGCGGCCTGAGCTGCAGCCTGACGGGCAAGGTAACGCTTTGTATTGCGCCGAACACGTTTGTACTTCGTGTTAAACGGAACTTCGTAGCGCTTGAACGGGGCTCGAATATCGAGGACGTGTTCGTAGGGAGTGCCATCGGCTTCGTGAATACGAATTGTCATCTGGCCCTGCGATGAAATGTCAGAGGTCGCTCAAATGATAAGGAAAGAGAACTGTAGTACCTCGAAAAACGGAACAGGTTTCAACAACGCCTTCACAACCGGATTGTTCTCAAGCTCCTTGTACGCCGGAGCATCCTGCCTCATCGTGATCTCTACGGCCATCTTCTTCCTGTTGAACGACGCGGAAAATCCGAACGAGGGGCACCCACTGCCATAGATCCACTGCTCCGCGAACGACCTGAGGTCCACTCCACTGACTTTCCTACATGTCCTAAGGAAAGTGTGCGTCGAGAGCGCGTTGTTTTGCATCTCCCCAGAAATTGCGGAAAGAAAGAGTTTGGGAAGGACACGGGAGAGGCCGAGCGAGGTTCCGGATTTCCCCAATCGACGGTCGAGGATATGCAAAACGAGAGGCGATTTGAGGTTGAGGAAAGGTAGAGTTGCAGCTTCGGGAGGATCGAGATGCTGAGGCTGACAGATAGGTGGCATGCCTCCGTTGTCGAGTTCGGTTACCCGAGACATGTCCTTCTTCATGCGGAATCTGTACTCGTTGGTCCCGAACAGCTTGCGAAGGAATAAACCGCTGATATAAAGCCCTAAACCGTTCGTCAACCACAGGTCGGCCCATGCCTTGGGTTGGATATTGATCCCTATCCATTGATAAGCGAGGGAGTGGGTGAGGGTTTGCCGCGTCTCGTAAACCTGGTCGATGGCATCGTCACCATGTAACAGATCGGCACTGGCGATGGAAAGCGTGGATGTGTCGAACTTGACGCGAGGCATCTCGTCGACGAAGACAAGCTTGTATGAGCCAAAAGGATACGATCCAAACTCACTGGCGAAGAAAGTCATGGCCTGGCGGAGGAAGGGGACAGAATTCGAGAGTTGTGTTTCGTGCCCTGGTAGACAGAAGGCATGCATTTGCGGCTGAGAAGACCCCGCTGGTTCGTCACCGGTGGTGTGTTCTGTGGGAATAGGGAGAACATGAAGAGGGCCTGCAACGAAGCCGATATGCTGAGCCGAAGTTTGTATCCCCTGGGAGAAGATGAAGATGGCTTTGTTCGAGTTGAACGGGTGCGTCACCTTGGTCGAAGCATCAATAATCAACGATGCCGATTTGAACGCATTAGACGCACCTGTTCTACAAACTCTCCACTACAAACCACCACTGTGGGATGTTCGTTCTTTGGTTCGTCTTCCTCGCCACTGGCTTCTGGATCTCCATTATGGTCCTCCAAGTAGCGTGGAACGACAAACTCAAGATCCCAGGTACACTTCTCCCAGATATTATCGATGCAGGGGACCCAACATCTCGCTGCGTCGGGTGTAGATGGAGTCGTATATACATGTGGTACGCGCTGGACAAACAGTTAAATTCCATGTAAACGCCACACGTGACAATGTATGAACTCACGTAGGGATAAGTATCAGTCGGCAGAACAAACTGCAGTCCATCGACAGGATCGCGAATACTGTACTCGATATTGATGGTTATTGGAGAAAATTCCGCTGCGACGGAAGATTGTGGCCCTGAGAAACCTGGCGTTTGAGGCTCAGGGGTCGAAGCTGGAAGGAACGGATACACACCGATATTGACATGCGGATTCAAGTCTGACTAAGGAAGCCAACGCACCTTCGTTGGCAAAAAATGACCCATTTCCACCTCCAGACGACTTCACGGAGACGTCCTTCGGAATGGCTATGGAGAGTTCACCCTCATCGTCTTCTGCAAGTGCCGAGTAGAGTTTTCGCTTCAGTTCTGGATGTGTGTGCACGTCTTGGGGGCTGGAGATATTCAGGTTGGCGAGAGCATCGTATTGGATGAAGTCGGCGCGGTGGGAAGCAACAGTCACGTTGTGGATCGCTGCGGTCAAAAGGGAGCGTCAAGTCAGTCAGGACGCGCCCAAGGCGTTTTAACGCGACATAAAGAACAGTACGTACCACATTGTCGCGAGTGAAGATTGATCGTCCTCAAGTCCTTGCTATTTGGAACTATGATGATCTCCGTGTAACCCTGAGAGGTCGCGGGATAAGAGAGAAGACAACCAGGAGCTCTAGATGAAATACATACCCAAAGCTTGCCCGAGAAGTCAATTTCGAGCACGACTTTTTGGTGACTAGTAGATACGGTGAATGTTATCAGTTGAAGGAATCGTGCATAGAGGAGGATGGACGTATATAGTGAATCCACGACGGAGGTGCTCCCGCTGCATGGTTAACAGACAGTGCCCAGATGAACAGCTATAACAATAAGTTCAAGCTGACTCAGTACAGAAAGCAAATATCGGTGGCTGTCGAGAGGAAAACAGAGTGAATGGTGTAGAGTGGGTAGAAGGTTGGAAGGCAAGTCGACTCGGAGGTGACGCCACGCCGTGATCAACAAGCGTGCGAAAATAATCCCTTTCTGGACTCACTCAGCGCTGCCAATTTGATTTTGATTTTCAATCTTTCTCCCTCTCCGCCAGTCCACTCGAAATGGCACCCAAATCCAAGTCCATCTTCAGGCAGCCCGGCGCACAACACTTCCAGCTCGTACATCGATCACAGCGTGACCCTCTCATTCATGACCCGGAGGCTAGCCAACATGTTCTCAAAGCCTTCGTCCGAGAGAACGATAAAAAGGTGCCCATCTCCCCTACTTTCAACGGCGAATGTAACTAATTGGGTCGCAGGGGAAGTCAAGAGCAGACCTCGAAAAACTCATCTCCCCCACAGATTTAGCACACGATGCTGAACGCCCCAACATCGGCGAGGCATCTCTATACGGTGTCTACTTCGACGATACAGAGTACGACTACATGCAGCATCTTCGCCCCGTCGGTGTTCAGGAAGATGGTGTCGACTCCGTCCTTGTTGAAGCCCCCGCACAATCAAAATCTAAAAGTAAAGGCAAACAACGAGATGACGCTCCTATAACCCTCCGAGACCTCCCTGCCGAAGCTTTACCCTCTACCTCTGAATTACCCCGGAATTACGAAAGCCAGGAAGCCGTCCCGAGCTCAATCGCTGGTTTCAGGCCGGATATGGATCCTCATTTGAGACAAGCTTTGGAGGCGTTGGAAGACGATGCATTCGTGGATGATGGACTAGACGACGATTTCTTCGGAGAGTTGGTGCAGGATGGAGAAAGGAGTATTAACGAGCAGTTTGGGTTTGATTTTGCGGAGGAGGGTTTGAATGATGAAGAGGCACGGTTACAGATGGAGGAAGCGTTAGAGGACGAGGGTGAGGGTGAGGAAGAGGATGACGATTGGGAAGCCAGGTTCGCCAAGTTCAAAAAGGTCCAGGCGAAGGAGGCAGCTGCGGCTGCTGCATCCGACGATGAAGACATGTTCTCAGAGGGCGCAGATACGATCGGAAACCTCCCAGAGTTCTCCGTTATTGGTGGGAAGAAGCGTAGGAAGGGCACATCTGATGCATCAGGATATAGCATGAGCAGCTCGTCTATGTTCCGGAATGAAGGCCTTCGGACGCTGGACGACCGGTTTGATCAGGTCGGTCTCCACTTTCTCTCCCATCTACCATGCATCGTATTGACCTCCTTCCTCGCAGATCGAGAAAGAGTACGCCGAGGACGATGAAGACGAGATGCCAGACGACTCAGACTCAGACGAGTCAGAGGCCCCTCAACTCATCACCTCTCGCGAGGACTTTGACTCCATGATGGACGAATTCTTGGACAAGTACGAAATTTTGGGTGGGAAGATGAAACCTTCACTACCGGGCACCGGTGCAGAAAAGCTCGAAACACTGCGTACAGCTCTGGGCCAGGGGCGGGTACGAGAGCCAGGGAGTGATGAAAGTGATATCGAGGAGGACGATATGCTCGCGGAATGGGCAAAGGAGGATAAGAAGGAGAGGTGGGATGTGGAGACCGTTCTCAGTGAGCATCGTCTTTCGCCTCTCGGTCGTGTGGCGGTGGCACTTGATCAACTAACTGCGATACGTTCTTTCTAGCCACACATACCAATCTAGAGAACCACCCACGACTCATTCGAGCTCGTACATCAAAGCCTGTACCTAAGATTCATCTTGATCCTAGGACAGGTCTCCCCACGGTGACGGACACCGCATCGCCACCTACAAAGAAACATCCTTCGAAGAACAACATTACTTCCGCTCCTTCCTCACAGGAGGATACACTACGTATGCTTCATTTTCATATTTTTAACTCACTCAATATTGCCGTGCTCATCGAGCCATCCATTTGATCGTCCACAGCCGCGCGAGCAACGGTCGCCCGCCCCCGCGACGAATCAAAAGAGGAGAAAAAAGCCCGCAAGCAAGCCGTCAAGACCGAGCGACAGGGTCGTCGTGTCGAGAAGAAGGCTACGAAGCAGGAGTTCAACGCTGCGATCAAGCAGCAGACGAACATCTTGGCTGGCAAGGACATCAAGACGCGCAAGCTCTAGGCTTCTTGACAATGACAGACTTGGAGTTCTCCCATGTTGTTTGTATGATCTGATTTTCTGTTGTATTTGCTAGGAGTGTTTTGCCTTACGGGATGTCTTGACGAATATCATCGTGCTGTCTTCGTTATACGGTCCCGAGTGATACTAGCATAAATCGATCAGTGATAGTAGGGTTGCCTCAGGACACCGACGAGAAGCCAGCGAAGCTGGGATATACGCAAAATATACATTCGAAGCAGGTAATATATACACTAAAGCCAGTCTCGAGCCACACGACAACGTCTTTAAACATGAAGCAATTTACAGACAAGGTGAACACAAGGATGATCTTTGGCTATGAATGCAGCGAAAAGATGAAACAATTGCAGTCTGTGTTCGTTAGTTAAGCATCTACCGCGCGATACGCAGTACAACCTGTTCCTTCAATTGGTCTTGAACATGATCATGTAGCGCAGGCGGATCTGCGACGTGTCGTACACGATGTACTAACACCCAGATTATGATATAGTAAGTATTCTCCCATCGCCAGCGCCGTTACAAAACTCGAGAACGCACCTCATTGTACCACAGACTGTGGTGTTTCGGGTCCTGGACCGCTGGTCCTTCGGGCATGACGCATCCTTTCAAGGCATCGTTACCCAACGCGTCGCCAGCGTCCTTCCAGACCTCAGGACGCCACTGTCCGAGACCGAGGGTGCAACTGAGGAGTGGGTTGTCAATCGAGTATAATCGCCGTAGTAGGCGTTAAGGTCAACTTACAGCTTGTTGTTCGCCTTACAATCCTTGTCGGCGTTATAGTTGGCATTCTCTTGCTCGAAGAACGGCTTGGCTGCAACCTCGCAAAGAAGTAGCAAACCCGTCCCGTCACTCAAGCTAGAGACCGAAAACATTCAGCAAGATATGATTGAGAGGAAAAGACTCGTGCACATACTGGGTATGGCAGTAGCCTGCGGACTATGAGGGGAAGGAAGCCGAATTAGTGGACGATAACGGCAAAAAATATGCTGGTCGCTTACTTTGGAAACCATCTAGAAGACAAGTCATTTAAATGAGAAACGTATAGTGTATAGTGAGGAATAGGGCTTACATCTGCGAAGTACACGCCTTTACCGAACATGTACCCTATGAACGAGGGGGCGTTAGCTAGTTATGTGGGAGATGTACACTGCAAGTCAACTTGCCGGAAACAGGAGCTGTAAATTGAGAGGTTGTCAGAATTAAACCGCCGTCAATACGCAGTGTACCGCCGTACCTTCGGGAGGAGCAATACGAAGACCCCTTTGAGGACAAACAAAAAGTCAGACGGCACCATAGTTCGATGATGAACGTTATCAACGTACTGTCGGAGTATACCTGAAGGAAGAATTGTAAGATAGACTGTTCAGTAGTAGGGTATCTACACATACCGGCGAAGTTAGTGGTCCTAGAACCGTGCCAAAGCAGCATCCTGTTGCCATCTTCCAGCTTATTGTGTCCGCCCTGATGCCATGCCTTAGTTTCAGACTCTCTGCATGAAGACGGCGTGAGCGGTCTAACGAGCACTCGAGACAGAATGTATGCTTGCCTTTCCACGCGATAAGCGTGCTGAATATTAATCTTCATGTGGCTGTGAGTGACGCCGTGCGTATCATTCGCGTAAGCATTTAATGCCTTGAACTCCTGGCTGTCCGCGTTGATAGGTTCCATGTTCGATAGCTGAAGGGAGAGGAATTGAGCGTCCAGTGGGTTCACAGGATTGCCATGCTTGTCCTTCGGAGTCGCAGTCTGGATGAGTTTCTGCGCGACTTCCTGTGCAGCGGGTAAGTTATTGCTACCATCAGAAGACGGGTGTGCCAAACCATGTCTCCTAGGGCGTCAACGAGTTCAAGCTCTTTCTTGAGGATAGCCATATCGCTGATGACTGTGGGCCGACTTCTCCCAAAGGCATGAGGAATGATGCTGCAAGACAAGGATCAACCCCGAATGCAAAACGAAAGAACCCTTCAAAGCGTAACGCACGAATAGTAGGTATTAGTGAGTTCCTGACACGCCGCAGCGTAACTTCCGTATTCAGTCGCCACAGCACCAGCGGGATCAGCAATGACTTCGGAAAGAGACTGGAAGACATATGAGTTGATCTGCGAACATTACTGTGTTATGGACGTACCTTGAGAGCGGAGAACCCGTTCAGGATTGTGGACTTCGCAAGTTTGCCTGTGAGCAGTTCACATAAATGCGGCTGAAAATTTAACGAACAATGATACATACCCAACGGCAGCTTATTCGCGTCGTAGTTCATGGAAGACAAGTGGGCATCTATGAGACTAAAACGACGCGTTAATAAAGGTGATGATCATTGATCGACAGCGAACACACCTCTTGTTGAAGATAAGACGGCAAACGGTCTGAAGTTCCTGTGCAAGGGTGGACTTCGGTATAACCGCCTTGCTCTCGGGTTTCGAGCCTGAGGGACCCGCTTCGGCGCTGTCTTCATCTTCGTCGTTCTCTTCGTCCTCAAATGCACGTTCTGTGCCACAGGAGGGTTAAATACATATACGGCCTTCGTCAAGGTCATGACTTACCCAGCCACATATACTTGCCTGAGGACGATCGATCAGGACGAGAATGTTGGGAGATGAAGGTCAAGACTGACCCTTTTTGGCTGTCATGCCATGCCTCTTTTCCCAAGCAGTGGACGTCTTGGACTTGAATTGCTTTTTGAACTCATCAACCGCTGCAGCGGGCGGAAATGGACCCTGATCGCAACGTAAAAAAGATGACCATTGGGATATTATCTGAATACTCACTTTGACCTGCTGCGATCCGCTCTCACCTGCAATACCAGAGATAAGCGAAAATTGGATCGGTAGAGAGTCCAGGACACTGACCAACACGACCCCACCGAGTGATGAGAATTATAGAAGAGTGGTTGCCAATGGGGTGCAATAATTGTATCACATAGAACCTGAGCGGAGGTAAGGAAGAGTGAGATTACCAAGACGTGGAATTCACTCACTTGTTTGCGTTCTTCCCTACGTCCGTCTGGTTCATCATAGCATCCCAGACCTGCCCACCAGAAGCATAGACTTGATGCGTGGCTGATCAAATCGTCAAATAATGCCCAATGACTGCCATATCACTAAGATGACCTACCGACGTATCCACTCTGGGGATCAACAGGCGCTGCGCCTCTCTTGATGACGGAGACCTGGGGACACCCGTGAGCTTCGCACGAAAACGTCGGAATGCATTGCGTACCATCTTCTTCGGAGGCTCCGGAGTCTGTGCGTCGTCGTCGTCGTCGTCGTCGCCGTCATCATCATCATCTTGAGTATCGACTTTAGCTTTCTTAGAGGCCGGTTTGGCCTTCTTGGTAGCCGGTTTGGCCTTCTTGGAGGCTGGTTTAGCTTTCTTGGGGGCCGGTTTAGCTTTCTTGGGGGCCGGTTTAGCAACCTCTTCCTCAGAGTCAGAGTCGCCTCTTGCGCGCTTGGCACCCACGGCAGGCGCGGCAGGCGTGGCAGGTGCGGCAGGTGTTTTGTTTCTAGTGCTGGCTCTTGTGGGGGCTTTGGGAGGTGGTTTCGGGGCTTTAGCAGTTGCTTTCGGTGCTGCTGCTGTGGAGGCATCGGAAGCCTTTGCTGCAGCTTTCTTCCTGGGGGGCATGGCGATGGGACCGGGCGTTGGTAGAGGGCAGGAGATGTGCTGGGAGAGGGCAGGAGAAAAGCGATGGCAATGTGTCAAGTCGCGACGCGTCGCCGCCTTTTGAGCAAACGCGGTCACGCGGCCCCGTGATCGAGTTTCAAATTCTACTCGAGTCAAGCTGATGGGGACCGAGCCGTCGTAAATACGGGCCCACAACAAGTTCGCCGAATCATCATCCTGACTCCTCCAAAGAGTCAAACGACTGTTACACGCATCACAGTAAATTACTGCAGCTATGGAGAAGGGCCGTTCATACGCGCCACACTGAGCCACTGTACTCCCATCACACAAGCTGGGAGTTCTTTGTGTATGGCTCCTTTGTCGCTCTGGGGTTTATATGGTACCAGCTCGTCTGAATACGCACCCAAACCGAATGGTAGGGCCTCTACAACACGGAATTTCTCTACTCTCGACCCCCTCCCCATCATCGCTGAATGTCTGAACGATTCGTCGAGTGAACATCGTCCTCTTTGCGCGTCTCCTTTGTCCATGGAGTCGCCGCTATGATGCTCCTCAACCGGCATGTGTGGCGTCGGTATGGTCTCCCAGATACCCTGTGCACGTTTTTCGGTTTAGAACTCGGCATCCAACACTTCGAGCTTTTTTAGGACGAATAACGAAATCAATCTGCACCTCGCGCGCGGAATACCTGGGTATTGTCCGAGCCGTTATGCAGGTAAGCATCGATGCCTTTGACCCAGTCCACTATGCCTCGAGGCGCGCTCGTTTGAAATAAAACGCCTTTGAGCGCCTCGTGTGCCCTCGTATGTCGGACCCTGAACCGACGCCACTGAGTATTCCCCCCATACTCACCATTCTCCGCCTCTTTCCTCGACTAATGGGGCTCAGAACTGAGAGAAGACTGTCGGCATGCCCCATGCGCACAGTGTTTCCCGCCTTCCGAGGCTGCCGCATGTGACGGCGTGGCATTCTAATTTGTCTTTACACCCTCTTCGGGAAAGTGACTTGTGATCTTAGAGAGTGGTAACTTTCTCACTCTATGTTGCTGTACTCCAGGGGCTCTTTGCCATCTCCAGAGTATAAAGGATGAGCGAAAGGTATGCCCAATACTCATCCCAACCGATTTCCCGTCGTTCCTAAATCATAATGTCTCCCACTTCTACCCCAGAGAACATCGCCCTCGACGGTGAGCATACATTGCTCTCTAATAGCGCGCTCAGGGAGACTGACTGTCGCCAACTTCCAGGTCCCACTCAGTACACCCCGGCCCACTACCCAGTCATCGGCTCGGCGCAAGCCTTCACCACGCCTCTACTCCCTCTCTGTTACCCCCCATCTCCCTACATTCTCGACTGCCAGTACTCGCCGTCCTCCTCTGCCTCGTCGCCGCCGTCTTCAGCGTCTCCGTCCTCCACCGCCCCGTCGTCTCCGCCGTCCCCTCCCTCTCCCACTCCCTCCCCTAGCCCCAACGCCACTCGTTCGCGTTCTGCCCGCTCGAGACACGACCCGAACCATATCCCCCGTCCTGCCAACGCCTTCGTCATCTTCCGTTCCAAGTACTGCACCCAGTACAAGATCGACAAGACCATCGAGCATGACCACCGTCACGTCAGTCGTATGGCCGGTTGGACTTGGAAGAACATGACGGCGGCTGAGAAGAAGCCCTACCAGGACGAGGCGAAGGCGAGGAAGGCGGAGCATGCGATCAAGTATCCGGGCTATCGCTTCAAGCCTCAGACGCGTCGGGTGAAGGTGAAGCGCAACGCGAACAGGAGATCTCCAGAGGACATCAAAGTCTCGTTAGAGATGGCTGCCATCTTCGCCAGGAAGGATGTTTCAATCGAGGATCGCCAGGCGGAGGCCTTGAAGGTCAAGAACCGACAGGCTCAGGCCAAGCAGGCCCCCGTGCCTCAGCAGGTCGCTGCAAGTTGGCCGTCGTCGTCCAAGAACGACAGCGTCCCCCCATTCCAGAACCCGCTCCTCGACCCTTCTTGCTCGTCCAAGACTGCTACGGCTTCCTTGACCCACGACGCCAGCCCGCCCTCGCTCTCGGTCAACGCTCATCTCGTAAGTTCTTGAGTAAAGTCTTGTCCTCGGGAAGCTGTCGCTGAACAATATGATCCGCAGACTGCCCACACTCCCTTCTTAACCGAGGGATTCACTGGCCCTGTTCATTCCGCGCTCCCACTCGGAAGTCAAGAGCTCTTTTTTCCCTCCCACCCGCTAGCCCCGACCGAATACATTAGTGCTTACAACACACATTCCACCCTCGTCACGCAAAACGCTATATACGGCACGAACATCTCGAACCAATTTTACCAGCTTTCTTTCCCGGAGCCATGCTTCAACCCGCCCGTCGCCCTGGACGTCGCCCTGGACCTCGACCTGCCGATTATTTTCCCTGTCGACGATGGTTATGGCTCAACCATATTCGGCGGAGGTTTACAGTTGCCGTTCATATCCGATGACCCATCCTCCGATATCCCATACGGCGAGTGGCTCCGCGAAGATGCCGTGTGTTGAGAGCTGTCCTTTCTTCTTCTTCTTCGGACGCTCCTTCATTTCTTCTACGAATCTGGGCTTCGTCATTTATTTCTAAGTACGCTTTGCGGCTCTGCTCGATGGCACATCTCTAGTCCCAGACGACCCTCACTGCTACTTCCGTTACATTTGCTATCGTTTTCATCCTGGTCTGCGGCCGAATTCATTGTAGCGTTAGCGTTTCCCATTTCCTTGCATTCTCACTGTATTTTTGGTCCTCCTTTTATCTCCCTTTTTCTTCCCTGATTATGGAAATCTCCTCCCCTATGCATACCTTTTCCTCTATCTCTCACGTCTCCTCTCGCTCAATCTCTCTCATCTACTCGAGTACTTCCCTACTCATGAAACAATCACGCGTCTCAATACATACGCCGAACACTGGCTCTTCGGACTTTACATTTCTCATATCCCAAATACAAAGTCGACTTCTGCGCGACATCTTTCCTCTGTTCACTTTGAGCCCGATCCACAACGCTTCACGGGCGCGAGACGATCTCGAAGGCCCTCAAGCCCTCCCTTCCCAGCAAGGTCGCAAGTCCCACCACACCGGCTCCAGCACTCCTCATCCTCTCCGCTGCCTCATAACTCGTCACGCCTCCTACTCCAATAACGACTATATCCCTCATCGCTTCGTCACCATGGTTCTTCAACAACGTCGTCAGAGTGTAGACGTTTCCGAGCGATAGGGGATGCAAAGAGTCGCCCGCCAAGCCTCCGAAGGCGGGGAGAACGGAGCTTAAGGCAGGGTGGGTGGTAAGGAAGCCTGGTGTGCCAGATGTCTCGGAGGGGAACGACATCGTCTGAGACGGATAGAGAAGAGTGTTTCCGAGTGTGTTCGTAGACGTGAAGAACGCGATGGGATTCGTGCGCCTGCCGTCTGGACCTGGACCAGACATCTCCGCGACGGCGTTCACGAGCTGTTCGAACTGTGTCGAATAGGTGTATGGAGGTAGTTTGAGACCGAGTGTGAGCGTGGGATCCGTAGAGAAGTAGTCCGCGAAGACTTGGAGTAATGGGCGGAGGGTGGAGATGTCGTATGCTGGCGGAGATTTGCCTGAGATGTTGGGACAGGAGGTGTTCAGCTCGACTGCGATGCGTGTTCGGGAGTGGTCGTTGAGTTTGTTGCGTAAGGCTTGGATGAGGTCCATCATCGAGGCCAGGACGGTAGGCAAGGTAGATGTGATGCTGATAATGATGGGTTTGGAGGAGTCGGGGGGAGCATTGGAAAGGATGCTTTCAACGTTTTGGAGGTAAGTGGATAGGGGGTGTGGCGAGTAGCCATAAGTGTTGAGGGATGATACCGAGTCCTTCGTAAACACTACCTATGAACGGATACAAACGGAACACTATGAGCGATAAATCGAGGAATAAATTGGGAGCATACGCACCGAATGAGAGGATGTCTGAGGGAAGCCCTCGTAAGTCGATGATCGTGTCGTGACCGCTCCGGTCAGGGGGCAGTCGAACAGTGCTTGCAGCTGTTCAAGCTCGGAAGCCCAAGCACACGAACTATTAATCAGGGGAGGTGATACCTGGATGCGACCGACTGTAGCCATTGAAACTGTCGACGACAACGACGAGGCAGGAGACGAGGCAATGCATAGCTGCCAGTTATATCTAAGGACAGTCTGCACCTTATCTCTATTTCACTCTTGAGCGCTGAGCCGCAAGGGAGGAAGGAAGGGGCCGCATCCGACGGTGGGTCACACCCGGCCTCTGTTGTTTCGACGTCCCACCGGCATGACGACTTACCTCACCTTTGTGGCAGACTTTGCGGCAGACTTGTGTTATGTGTGAATCGACTCTTAGGTGGATGTTGAGCGTGTTGATCGTCGAGCACAACATCAGCTTCTCATATAACTGTAACTGCGCGCGGCCGCTTAGGGACCAGGTCTGAACGTTGCACACAACCATAACGTTCACTATGGATGCGAACTACTTTGGATTTGGATTTCCTTCGAACGATCCTCAGCAGTCACTGCCGCATATACCTGATCACCGTACTGAAGGCAGCACAGACCTGGGTGACTTCTCGCTTCCTTTCCAGCTCGAGAATAACACGACAATACATCCATTTCCCCCTCCAAATCAACATCATTCCTCCCTTCCAAATACATATAACTCGGAATCACTCAGTGCAGCATACTCGGATCTTCTCGGGACTAGACTTCCACCCTTCTCCAACCCTACGAACTCCTTCCCGTCCTTCCAACCGTCGACATCCTCTGGCCATGCTAATGGAGACCCTAGCAACCAACTCGAAGTCTTGCGAGAGATGCGACGTATCCGAGAGCTCGAGCTAGCGATACACGAAGAGAAACGACGGCTGGCCGAGGAGCTTCGCAAGCAGCGAGAAGCAGAGGTCACGCTAGCTCAATTCGGCCTATACCAGTCGTCCTCGAGCTCAGGTCTTAGTATACTTCCAGCAGGCACCAGCGCATCTGGCAGTAGTAGCGTCGCGTTCGGGACTCCATCACACTACAATCAACCGCTAAACAACCCCCTTCCTACTTTCAACGACCCTTCCGAGCCGCCTTCACATCATACTTCAGACGCATCCCCTCCTTCTCTCGAAACCTCCACCACCGCCAATCCTTCCTCCTCCGCTTCTCCCGAACCATCCTCCAACGCCCCTCGCGAGCAGTCCCAATCCCAATCCAAGAAGACTCTAAAGAAAAAGAAGGACCATATCATAGTCGAGGAGCACGACGCCAAATGCAAGCACTGCTCCAAGACGATGGCCAAGCTGATCCTGCGCGGCCTGCGGAACGAGCTCGACGTGCCGTACCAGATGCAGTACGAGTGCGGTGACTGTGTCGCCGTGTTCCCCAGGACGATCTCGAAGAAGCGGACGAATCAGTTCGAGGATACGACGTTGCCGACTACGTGTGTGGTTTGTACCAGGATTCAGGGGCAGGGTGGGTTTATGGCGAAGAGCAGGGGCCATTTGTCGTTTACGGTCGAGGTGAGGGTGTTATCGATTTCTTTGGGTCATGTAAGGGATGCTCATCATGAGGGACAAGGATAGACTATTTGCGTTTCGTGTTCGAAGAAATATAAACGGTGAGTTCGTACTGAGCTCTCGTGCTTGCCGGCCCCTGACTGTTGACTCGTTTGCAAAGGTGTAGCAACTGTGGCGGAGGAGCAGGCGGTTATGGAAAATGGCGATGTAAAGAGCTCTTCGAAGGAAACCGTAAAACTTGCACCCTCTCCCATGCCAGGTATTCCCACCTTCCTGCATAAACTTTCTTCGCTCCTGACCACATATCGTTCCGCCCCCAGTCTCAACGCCAGAGACATGGAGATGGCGGTCTGGTTGCTTCCCGACCAGACCAAAGACGCGCCGGAACTGCCTGATCTACTGGAAACCATGCAAAAGTACTGGGAGGAGCATATGATTTCGAAGCTAGCTATTCCAGAGGTATCGTTGTCTCCTGCTTATCACTTCGCCTAATCATTCGCACCACCAAGACTGACGAAGGCACGGAGGTCCTCGAACACTCACCGGGCTTGAGCACTTTCGAAGATATCCGTCGGAACATCATCGACGTCGGCTTCATGGGTCGTTCTCTATTTACCGATCCACCTATGAGCCCGAACCATCGCCTGTACGTGGCTTTAACGTGGGCGAAGCAGCGAGCTCGGAGAGACAAGTCAAAACCAGAGTGGAAGAGGAAAGAAGGGAAGACGACGGACGAATGGTAACTCTTACTCCCTCCTCCGGTTTTTGAGTCACATATCGCCTCGACTTCTCAACACCAGTGCTGTGTACATAGGGTCGCCTTCAATACTCGCTGGACAACGTCTCTGATGCCGGACAATGCGATCCCGAGTGCGATGTGGTTACTCGAGTGGGCTATCCCTAGTAAGTCCATCTTATACAGTCGTTGCGATTGATTGCGCCGAATGGTGTTGCAATTGTAGATCGCACCTTGAACCTCTCGACGCTCTATCCCTTCGACTACGGCGAAATCGGGGATCGATACATCTTCTCGTACATCTCGATGCTACGTCCTATACTAGAAGAGCTCGAGGAGCATAACGCCAAGTCGCCGACCGACCCTTGGCTACCTCCACAACACCTATGGGTACGTCTCTCATCTTCTGAGAAAAATGATCTGATATACATCGTAACCTTGGTTCTTGTTGTTCGCACGCCCACAGTGTTCTGTGAAAGTCAACCCATACGGTAAACCACGCTCTAAAATCTCTCCATCGCCCGAACTAACTCCCTTGCCAATTCGTTCTCTTCTCTTCCATTGCCCGTTCTCCAGCCCTTCGCCTCCGCACCCTCGAATTCGTCCAACGCAAACTAAATTTCATGCCCCTCGAAGAATACCTCGCTCTCCACCCGGACATCGACCCGGCGTCTCTCTTCCACAAAGACGCGGGGAACATCGCGCGCTGTATCGACGCGCGGCCGTCGATAGACGGGCATCATGATATGTCGATCTACGCGAAGAGTCTGGGGCCTGAGATGACGTTGGAGAATGTGAAGAGGATAATGGAGATGGAGTTGAATAAGGTGCCGAAGAGGATTGATGTTTGAGCTTAGTTTGCTTGGGGTTTGATATTGGACTACTTTGAGTGTATGGATGGACTTTGTGCTTTATGGAGTAGGCTGACCCGCATGTTGGTTGGAGATGACTTCCTTCACCGCCGAGACGAAGAGGGGAGGGACGCCACACTACCACGAAGTCGAGCACACAAATCCAATAGAGGATCCAATAGGATACCAAGACGATCGACATCAAACCTGGTCAAGCAAAGCATAAAAATACAACGAATACAGCCGCCGGCACGAGCTGCGCGACAGACAATAAGAAATGATACATGTCACTTGAAGAGCTCCTCCCTCTCCAAGACGCTCTTCTCAAGCTTGATGAGAATGGTAGTCCGAGAGGGATAGAGATCATTTGGTGTGTTGTGTGCCGTGACACGAGCAGGCTAGGGTGGTGCATAACATCCGTTCAAGTCATTTCAAGAGCAGAGGAGACAAGAAGATGACTGAACGACGTACGAATCCCAGTCCATCCAATACTGCTTCAACGATACCCGCCGTGAAAGACGAACAACTGAGCTGGCTCATGTCTCGTGGTACGGAGATGTTACGGGTGATGATAGGGTCATTGTCGATGATCATGTCTATGACATTGCGTTCAGACTATCAGAATGAGCTTGAAGAGAGAATAAGAGCAAACACACATTCATCGTCATTCTCCACACTCTTCTCGATCGCGTCTGCCGGCTTTCCAAAGACGGCCTTCCAGACGTTGGTATGGATGTTCATGAGTGCGGGCAGAAATCGGATCTCGCGTTTCGGTGCTTTGGATGCCGACTCTGCACGCCATACCATTAACTCAAGAACGCGTGTGCCGAGTCGATAACCGAGAGTATTCAGCCTGAAGCCTACAGTGTTAAAAAGATAGCTAAGAGCAGGATACGCTGGCGCACTCACCGCCGTTCGAGGTCATTGATACCGTTAACGCGTTTCTGAGTATATTGCACTAGTTCTGAGAAGAGAAACGCGAAAGATGACGCTGAGACTTGGGCAGTACGGGATTTATTGAGAGGTCTGTCATATATGTTCGGACGAGAAAGCGGTTTTGATGGACCGCCGATGGTAGTCGAGATGGAGGGCGCAGTCGGAAGTGAAAAGCGTGCAGACGAAGTGGTCGGCGAGAGATGTTCTGCTGAGGATAAGGACGAATTGGAGAGGACAGAGAAGCGAGGATGTGGTTGAGAGTAAGAAGCCATGAGGGCGTTCGCGAAGGAACAATGGAACGACCGCGTTTGCTACAAAGAGTGCTACTCGGATCCAAATGCGATCTGCACCATGTCATCCTCTTCCACCTCCCACCAGCCTCCTCCACCGCCACCGGTCCCCTTGACCGCCCCCTCGACGACGTCCGCAAATCCATCGTCGTCCGCAAAAGCCCTCTGGACATACATCGAACCCGCCCTCTTCCACATCCTCCGCTCTCCCTCCAACAATCCCTCAAAACCACCCGTCCTCGACGTCGCATACCACGTCGGCATACACACCGCAGTTTACAACTACTTCACCGCTCCAGACTCCAACCAACCCTCCTCTCCGCTCCCGCCGCTCTCCGAACTTGCTTTCGACGGCGGAAATGGTGACGAGTTTCGCGATGTCGTTCGCGAGGGGCTCTACTCCCAGCTCGACGATTATTTTGCAGAAGTAGCTCGCGAAATTCTTTTGGGCGCCGCTCAGGACGAATCAACGCTCATCCAGTACCTTGTTCCTGCATTCACCCGCTTCTCGTCCGGCGCACGATCCGTCGACCGCCTTCTCAGCTACGTCAACAGGTGCGCTAACGTTATTCATTTCCCCAGTTTCAAACAATTCCATCGTCTACATAACATCACTCATCCTCCAAATGACCAAAAATAGACACTACGTCAAACGCGTCGCGAGCGAGGATAAAGGCTGGCTGGCCATCAGCGACCTCATAGACCAAGAAGAGCTCTCCACAATACGCCTCGTCGAAGCCCGTGCCAAACTCTCCATCAGATTGCGCGATCGACGAGCAGAAGAGCTGAAGAAGTGGGGATACGACCCAAACGTCGATCCTCCCGAGCGTCGCACCGAAGCAGAAGCATCTGCCGAGGCCGCCAGTGGCCTGGATCGTGTAGTCCCATTGATCTCCCTAGCTCATCGGCGGTTCAGAGTAGAGGTTCTCGAGCCGCTTCTTGCAGTACCAAAGGCGAAGGGGAAGGGGAAGAAGAAAGGGAAGACAAAAGCGCCACCCGCAGCTCAATCGAATGGAGGGGCGGAGAAGCCCTCGGGTCCCAAGGGTAGACTTGCGCGAGCGGTGAAGGAGCTGTTGGAGTCTAAGGAGGGCGATGAGCAGGAAAGGAGGACTCTGGCGGAGGGTGTGGCCAGAATGCTAGCCGTGACCGGTGTTCGACCGGAACATCCACTACGGCGACGTTTGCGAACATATCTTGACAAGACTTCGACCTAGCGCTATGCCTTTTCTTGCAGCTTTTGCACCCCCAGACGAAAGTATCTTGAAGTCATAAAACCCGCGCAATAATATACAACAGAGCTTACACTCGGCGACTTCCTGAAGAAACAAGATCACATCAATGTTGAATCGTGAACAGAAATAGAGGTGCCACTTACCGCACTGAAACCTTAGGATACGCCTCCCGCCGCGTCCCCTTCTGCATTGACATGTCCCAGATTCAACAATGCATCCATGTCCAATCCCCCGTCCTCAGCACCGTTAAAATCAAAGGTCGAGCTAAAGGCCGCGAAGTCTATATTATCAATATCGAAATTCGTATCCCCGCCCGTGCCTCCGTCCTGGCCAGAAGAGTCGCCAATATTCGCCAGAAGTGTACCAGGCGATACCGCCGCTCCTTGAGTCGAAGAACCAGGCTCGTTATTCTCCGCCGGAGGCACCAAAGAATCTGAGGGGAAAAAGCCAGACCCCTCTGCGGCGTTGCTCTGGTTCGCCAACGACTGGAAGAGGTCCTCCGGCACTGGGCCCGCTTCTCGGACACCCGAAAAGTCCATCATATCCATGCTCATATTCTGGTCATCCCCTTCTTTCTTCAGCCCGGGCTCTGAACCTCCAGTTTCCGGTGGTGGTGCGCCAAACAGTTCCTGATTGTTTCCGTCTACTCCATCGACACCATCGGAGAAAAGGTCCGCCATCTCGATATCCAAGTCCAATTCTATAGGTTTATCCGCTGAGTTGCCCAGCCCAACCTGTGTTTGCGGTGGATCGGAGTCCAGAGTCAGATCGATGTCCACAGGTCTGTTGGATGCGTTATTCGACGGATCAGGGACTGGACCGTTCGACATCGATGCTGAGTGTATAGTGGCAAATAGGTCGGGAGGGTATTCGTTCGTGGCTGTTATCCTACCAGACTTCGGAGCGAGAGTCACGGGCGACGCGAGACCCGACTGGATCTCTTCTGGGTTGATGCGTAGAGCAGCGGCGGAGAGGTCAAGCTTGTGAGGGAATTGGGGGCGATTGAGGCTGGAGAGGGAGATGGTGGATTGACGTCGGGCGGCTGGCGTCGTGCCACCGGGGATAGGAGGAGAAGATTGCTTGCTGGTAGATGGCGATAAGGAAGGGTCTAGAGGGATGGTGAAGGGAGGAATTGTAGGTGAAGATGGACGAGTTCCGGTTGAGGCTGGTTCGCCTGGTTGACTGTTGTCAACGTTGATTTCGGAGGGAGGTGGTTCGATCTTCTCTGGTGGGGGCTTCAACGCTTCGGCTTCAGCCTCTGCTCTCAGACGTGCTCGTTCCCGCTCCATATCACGTTGCAAGACGGCAATCGCATGTAACTACGTTGGGTTAGATGGGACGGCATGAAGACGAACAGGAACTGTACGGACCAGATGTGATTCCATAGCATCGCACAGCTGGTCATATTTCTCAAACTCCCTACCCAGTGCCGTTGTGAGACCCTGATGCGGTTGCGGAGCGTATCTCTCTATATCCCTTGAAGAACCACGAGTTTCAGCAAAGTCGTATTGGTTGGTTATAATGGGCTACAAACAATCTCTTTGCGTCCGCGTAGAACGCCTGGATCTGACCGGTCTTCGCAGCCGCATTCTGACAGAAACTCTGTATGTCAATCCGGATTTGAGTATAATGTCAGGGTGAGCTTACCCTCAAGCACGCTGTCATAGCGTTCAACTCGGGTTCGAGGATGGCCTGTGGAGGAAGAGGATCTGGAGGTGGAAGCATTGCGCCTGCAGCACTGACAGGTTTGGACGCAGTTGAAGATGTGGTGAAAGCATTTGTGGTTGCATTAGGGGGGTTCTTGGATGCCGAAGAATCTTTTCGTTTGATAGGACGTGGCTTGGGAGGCATTGCGGTCGACGAAAGCGGTGATGACGCGGGAACGAGTGGACGTTCAACGCGTCGCGGACTCGCGGTTACTTTGGGCCATGTGTGGCGTTGCGGAAGATCCCGAGGTTCGTGTGTCGTGTGGCACTGGATTCCCTCCCGGAGCCTCCCGGTCGGTCATGCCGTTGATATTTATCCAACGTAGAGACTCCGCGAGTATGGCTTTGTTTTGTGCGATCAAGAGTGGGAACAACAGTCAATGTTAATACAAAAAACCGCTTGATATACTGGGTAAGTACTTTGTGTATACAAAGAGTACGAAAATAGCTCAATAGGTAACAAACAAGTAAAGAGACAGAGGCAGAGTAACAAAATCGGACAGCTAGTACACGGGGCCATAGGTATGATGTAGTACAATATTAACGAGCAGATACTATGGGAGATCATGCACCACAGTGCGCATCGTATCTGAGTACGAGAACATCTGTGTCTCCACCGCCACCGCCGCGTACATTATTGACTGGGCAGAGGTGAATCAGTCTGCTCCGAGTCTACCAAGTGCTGAAGAACAGCCGATCTTGAGTCCGCCACCCTCGTCTCGCATTTCTTGCGCTCGTAGAAATACTGGCAATCCAGAGACTCACATCGCACGGGCTCGAGTGGACTTACAGCCGTGCACGACGCACATAGTTCGTGCACGGAACGCAACCTGTCTTCAGCAAGGTGCAGGCGCGAGAGTAACGCTGCGGCTGTCGCCTGTGGTCTTGCTCTGCAGTCTTCGCAGATCCCTAAAACCACAATGTGAACATCAGCCATCGTGATGCTCGCGATTTGCAGGACGAGGGCTTACCGTACGGAGTCAACGCATCACAAGTCATGCACTGCACGCTGTGGAAGTGTTCGTCTATCTTCGGTTTCTCTGGGGCATCCATATCTGGTTCGATGACTTCAGGCTTCTTCGGGGTCGAAAGTAAAGGGTCTCCGTTTTCGGCTCGTATCTTTCTCGACATCCCATCGTACCATCCGCGAACATCTGCACCCACGAGGTTGAAGATTCGTTCCAAAGGCGGTATCAGCACCCTAGAGATGTAATAGTGTCCATCTAGATATTTGCTCCTGTAGTATACGATGAAAATGCGTCATCTAGGTGCGTCGAAGGACATTTGACTGACCTGGAATGAAGTACGACCTCCGGAGCCACAGCGCGATCAACCAAGCGTGTGTGTGGTTCTCCTCTTGTGATAACATATGGTACTCGATCGCCGTAAGCTGCCTCGTCCATGGGGTCTTGCAACAGTCGTTGTGCAGCGACAGCGACTCCAGGCTGGGGAGGAACTTTTTCACTGTACGTCCCCATCTTCACCTCCCGAGCAAAGATAAAGTCCTGCACAGATACTCGGTTTTCCAAGAGCTTCGCCCATGATTGACAGCAATATTCCTTTACCGCACTCAAGTCCTGTGTTCGAAAGAGTATCCTGCAACACGACGTTGTTAGTTTGTGCCTCCGTTATGAGAAATGGCAAGGAAGCCTTACTTCAGCGTATTCTCCGTCATTTTCTGCTGCGCTGGGATGCCATCTCTTCGAACGGTCTCGATACCTTTGGCATCAAAGACTGGTTCGAGGTCATCCGGATTCTCGTGCTTGAAGCCCACATAGCGTTTCTTGGCTAACAAAACACAGCCGGAATAAACCTGATGCTCGAGACCTTCAGCGCATGCCGACATTTGAGGGGAAAATGTTGCGCATACCTTCTCAAACTTCAACTTCACAGGCGGAGGATTCAGCTTGGTAATTGTGTCCGCGATGTCGTGGCCTATCCGGAAAGCCTGGTCCTTCGTTCTTCCCGGAAGGTAGATAAACAAGGAATCGGTGTCGCCATAAACGACCTTGGCATCCCATTTCCTCGTTGACTCGATGAGTGAGATTGCCTGTCAGTGAGGATATCTTAAGTTCCTCAAGGTACATAATGTATCACCAGCTCACGTACCTTTTCCAGAGTTTCTCGCCCACTCTGAACTATACTATCAGCAACCTCAACGGCAGGCATCCGTCCTGAAAAGGAAGCGCTGGTGTACCCATACGTCACATTTGCGATAAACTTCAGGCCCAACTGTCTTGCGTCGAGGGTCCTCCTCAAAGTCTAATCCACATCTTAGCCACCGTCGAGACCTTTGACGGTAGAAAATAAGCCACACCTTGTTGTCCTTGACTCCCTTCATGGCCTGTTTCACCATGACCCTCGTCTCCAGCAGCTCTGTAAGCATTCTTCCAAGCAAGCCCTTCCGCACTTGAGGCTTGACATACATCATCCCGTTCGGAGCGACTAAACACCGCATGCGAGTTAGCAAGATTATTCATATGCGAAGTACACAAACTACTTGCCATTGATGTAGTCCTGAAGGGTATCAAGTAGTCCGGCAGGTCGCTCTAGCTCGGTCACGCCGAACTTGTTCTGGCCTTTAAAGTCCGTGACACGGCCGAGGCATGTCGAGTAACAATAGTTGTAAGCTATCATGATCGAAGGATAGAGGCTCTGAAAGTCCAGTACAACGACAGGGCTTGAGTAGAACGCCGATTGTGGTTCCATGATCAGTGGCATGCACTCTGCAGCATTTTGCTTTCCGACCTGCAGAGGGGGCAAACGTAATCAATGAGAGGGTAGCTCAAAAACGCTTAGAAGGGGCCGCACATCTGCTTTGCTAGGTGAGAGCAGGACAAAGCTCTCCGGCTTCGCTATCCGGAGCATGAAAGCTTCGACTTTGAATTGCGAGCCGCGGTTAAGAACGTCCATGAAATCTACACCGAAGACGCGAGCGAATTCCCTGTTCGGAGCTGTATCAGTATGATGACTTGGAATAGAGTTTGAGAGGATACTTACGCAGTCTTCGTTATAGTCTCCGCTTCGTCCAAAATCTGCAATACCATCAAAGTCCGACTGGAGAAATATCGTACGAGTGTAGCCATATGACTAGGATGCTCGCTATTGTACCACTCTGTCAATGTCCCGGCCTTATACATAGGTACCCTGTCCACGTGCAGTAAGCGTCTGTGTACGACTAAAAGTAGGACATGGACTCACCGTTGCCGAAGCACATGAAAAACGGTATTCTCAAATGTATACATCCCTAGGCTAAGTTCTACACGCATGATTCTCCACACATTCAGAGCATGTCGTCCGACAATATGTAGTGTCGAGGTTGTGCGCATGCCCCATTGTTCACTCCCCTGTGCATGCATGGATTGCAACGGTGGAGCACGAGAAAGATGCTCTTCAATATCGAAACCTATAATACCCAAGCCGTCAACAACACTATCGTTCATACATCGAACGAGACAGACATACCGTAATGATTTCCACGAGCCTTCAGATATCCCCACGAAGCATTCTGGATCTCCCAACCTACGATCACGTCGGGGTCCAACTCGAGCACAATATCAACGAGACTGTTGAGCAGGTCCAATTCATCATCGACGACATCAAGCTGGAAGTCGCGCATCCTACGAGGATCCGTGTGCGCATGTCTAGTGGCAACAATCCCTGTTCGGTATTGGGATGATGTGGTATCGTTTGAATCCTGGAAGGCATAGAAGACGAGCGCGACCTGATCCTCGTCTGGATCAGGGAGGAGGCCTCCGCGTGAAGGAGCTAGACCAATACACAGTCAACCGATGCTTGCAGATGGATTAGAAATATAATACTTGCCGAAAACTTCAAGTGAGAACACAGTTATGCTCTGACGCTCACGCATACTGTCCTGCGCCTGTGCATCGGGAGGGGATGTCTTCAGTCCAAAGGGATGAAGCTGCGTAGGTCCGTCGATCTTTTCAGGCATGAGGTTAGTTCACATCCTTCAGTCAGAATAATTGTCACTACCTGCGAATGAAGGTTTTTCTTCGTATTATACCGCTTCACCTTCACCTTCCTCCTACTTCCTTTCATCCTCAACCAGTCCCGCACCTCCCTCCCAGCCGGAGGTGCTCCACCCACATACTCCCATCCTCCCACTCCCGTGGGGTCAAACCCTTTCGACGTTCCACCTTTATGCCGTGAAGGTAGTTCAAACTCAGATGAATCAGTATTCCATTCCTCCAGTTCCCCGTATCCATCTCCGCCCCGTAGATGAAATCTCAGTCCACCGTACTCTTTTGCCCGGGCGGGCACGTCTGCGCGCTTAGAGTAATGAGGAGCTCGATATATCTTCTGGCGAAGGCCATAGTCCGAGAGCGTCGAAAGGAGAGAAGCTGATGTTGGTGGATGGACGGCGTACTCGTACATATTAGACTTATTTCTACCACGGGATTTATCATGCGGTTGTCGTGAGGACGAGATTAGGCTAGGTTTCGGAGTCGAAGCTGGTCCTCGGCGTGGCGTGAAAGTTGCGGTAGGGGCAAAAGTCAAGTGTTGGGTGGGTATAAAGGGAGAGGAGGGTATTTCGGAGTCGGTCGTAATGTCATGTGTAAATTTCATTCGTTTTCTAGGCCTGGTCTCCTCGGTTTCAACCTGGGCTGGAGGCGGATGGTTGGAAGCGCTGCTCGGAAATTCTACTACCGAAATGTCTGGATCGTCAAAGATATTGTCGTCGGGAGCAGTCGGTACTTCAGGCAAGTTCGTTCCATCGTGAAAAATGCCCGTCCGGGGTACATCATCTGTATCATAGTCAGAATTCGCGGACAGACTGCACATTGTAAAATTGTCAGTGGAGCCACAACAATTGGGAGGACGATATCGAGCTCACGCATCGTCCTTGGCGGCTTCCAAAGATTTCTGAAACGATCGTTGCTCTGTGAGTATCACCTCAGAGCTCGGCAAGCTTGCTAGATTCGAGAGTCCCATTCGCCCACTGATTCGTGAGCCCATAAGGTGCCAAATCAAAAGCGTAAGATTAGAACCGACCTGGTCTTTGGCGTGACCTCATCAAGGGGGTCAATTTGATCCTTCTGTTCTCTGTTTATTGCGGTCATGAGAACGACACGCCTCGGGCCACACACAGTGCCACTTACCCTGCCAGTTGAGTAAAGATCTGTTGGAATGGGTTCTTGACATTGGTGATTGTAGAATGCTTCAACGGACTATCCGAGCCTATGGTCATAGCGAGGTTGGGCGTGGATGAACTATAAAATATGGATTAGAAAAATCCCTGCACGCCATGTCCGGCGCACGTACTTCAAACTGCCCAAGGAAGCGTCTCGCCTCGTAGGCGTAGCGGTAACACTTCGTAGTCCATCTTCTTCAGCCTGCAGGTCGGCGCCATCCTCCGGCCACTCACCCTCGCCCTCATCACCCTCCGGGCCCCGACCGAATTTCCTACTCCACTCAGACTCGTCATTCTCGAAAACAGACGTGAGCTCCTGACTGATGAGCATGCTCTCGTCCACCTCAGCAGAGGTATCCCCTTCGCCGTCTCCAGCCAGGCCATTCAAACTCCCTCCACTCTGACTTCCGCTCACCTGCGAACTTCCAGAGGCTTCCTGATACGGATTCGACTCTTCCGGCTCTGTGGGACCTGTCCTAGCACGACTACCATTGACCTCGGCCGTGCGAGTTCGTTTCCGAGTCTTGAGATCGCTGGGCCATAAAGCCTCGATGCTCTCAAACACTGTCATGACCCACTTCTCCCACTCTTCCTCTTTCGTGGGCTTCTCCTTCCCCTTTTCTCTAGCTATCCTCTTCCGAATCTCAGCCCACGACCGTTCCTCGGACACCCAATCTCCACCACGCCCTCTTGAAGCCTCGCTGGGGTCCACAGGCATCGGTGGCGAAGGATTCAATCCAGCAGCGCTCCTCCTTCTTCGTTCGTCCTCCCACAATTCTCGGACCGACAGCACGAGAGGGTCAGGAGGGAGTGGATCAGCAGGGATAGTCAGTTTATGGTGGATGTTTCGTGCGCTGAGTTGGTGACGATTGAGGATATGTGCGGCGAGGGTATCGACCTCGAGTGTCACCCGACTCTGGCGAAAGCAGGGCGATTCCTCGAATTTGGGTAGGTCAATTTCCTCGTCTATACTGAGATCTATACTGTCGTCTGCACCCCCTTTGACCTGAATGCCGCCTAGAACGTCAATAATCGCGTCTCTGCCACCCCGCTGCCAGACCTTCCCTAATTCAATCCATCCACATCCATAAAGGTTGAAATCGCACAGAAATTGTAGTATGAAGCTTAGATGGCCCTCGAATACCCGAAAGCGAGTATCCATGACGGATCCAGACTGCATGATGGCTATACTCCGAGTAAAATATGCTGGGTCGACGATGTGGATCTTGAGGAAGAGTGAATAGGAAGAGTGAAAACCGTAGAAGTGAACGCCCTTGACAAGGACGATGGCTCGTACGAAGCGACAGTTTGGGGAGTCAGGATTGCGTTTGTATGAGACTGCAAGAGCGAGGTTAAGGGAGCGGATAAGAGTGCCAATGTAGCGGTTCACTTTAGAATCAGAAGCGAAGAATGCACACATGTCAGGGGATGAGCACCAAAGTTTTGGGGAAAGGCGATGGACGTACCGCTATCGGGATCGGTCTTTCCCGGATATTCTACCATAAAATAAGGGTAAACCTGATGGACGTGCAAACATGCCTTCTGGCCCGTTGACGAGGTTCCAAAGATGCGAATGACGGGAGCCTTGGGCAAGAGGGTATTGTCGAGTTCAGAAGGGTTGACCATCGTATGGTCGATGTTCGTGATTTGAACACGTAACGCCGGTTCTTGCGAAGAGTCCATATTTACAAGAATCGAGAAAGAAAACAGCTATGTACAGCAAACCATGAGAGCCGTTCACCGAGCACGAAGGAGAGATGCACAGAAGTTCGAGGAAACCATCCTGGCTTCGAACAAGACCGGGACAAGAGCCTCATCCGGCGGCAATGATCGAGACGCGACGCGACGCGACACCCTCGAGCCGGATGGCGGGCCGGAATTAGGACACGAAATTTGACCCAAAAATACATGGATAATATTCCAGCAGAAAACATCGAGTACAGTCAAACTACAGTTTTGGCACATACAACTCGGCTGAGCATTCTCCTCTTCTCACACAATCCACAAGTCAAACCAGAGTCAAGACCTGTTGCCCGATCCAACGGCTACCGGGCTCCAGCTTCTTGAAACCTCTCACATAACCTGGCTCGACGCAAACGAAGTGTTCCCTGCAGATATGGTTCAGATGCAAGACTAGGCAAGACATAATTTATGAGGCCTACCATCCGTTCTCCTCCATGTCCCCGATCTTACTGCCAGCTTCCGCTTGTGGGTTCCAGACCGTCAACGTCTTGAACTCGGTCATCTTCACCTCGACCCCACCTCCAGGCCAGATAACGCTGACTTTGGACGGTGCGTCCTCGTACACAGAGTCTGTGAACTGCTTCACGTCAACGGCCTCTCGCTTCTCTACCTCCTTTGCACCACCCTTGACTTTGTTGATGTACGTTAGGCCGTTGAGGGGAGAGATGGTGACGGCCTTGGATGGTGCGCGTAGATATGTGTGCAGTAGAGCTTGGAACTCGAGTGAGTCGGTGGTAGATGGGTTCGTGACGTGAAGATCGGTGCTGAGCTGGTTTTCAGCGAGAGTGACCACATAAGCGAGCTCGAAGTCCTTGCTGTATATGCTCTTGACGGCAGAGCTGGGTTTCAGCACTATTATGGTACTCAACAAACGTTGACCGAAGTATATGCAAAGGTATTACGCACAAAGACGAACTGATACGCCTGTCTCATTATCCATCACAACAGAGTCGAAAGTCCAGGTCTCGTTGCGGGCAAAGCCATGCTGCGCAAGCTTGGAATGTTCGGGGTGCTCTGGAGGGCCAAAGCAGGGGAAGACAACGGGAATGCCGCCCCGAACAGGTTTCGACCCGTCGAGGGCAGCCTTTGAAGAGACAAAGAGGTGTTCGGTACCACCGGATATGAGGCCTCCAGATGTCTTCCAAGAGATGATGGTAGCCCCATAGTGGAGGATCTCGGCGGTCGCACCCTAATCAAAGTATGGATTGAGATCTACGGTGCCCGCAGGATATCTAGATAGACATACCTTGGGGCTCTTGAGAATGACTTTATCACTGAGCTTTTCGACGGGCATGGTTGTTAATGTGAGTGGATGAGTGGCGATGTGAGAATGGCGGGAAACACAGCAGGAAAGCCACTCTTATAGGGATTTTGTGGCCACAGATGACGACAGGGGCTGGTCATCGTTCTCAGAGCCTATCCAATCGGTCGGATAATTGGATATCCTGCGCCGTATTCGGCTGGAACCACGTGTGAGTGACCCGACTGTCGGACGCGTTCCGTCAAGGCGTTCACCCAAACCACACCATTGCTTGTCTGCGGGTTGTGCAATGTTCGACGAACGTGAGTGTTATAGCTGTTAGAAGTTAGAAATGTCTCACGTCTCGAAATATAATCGCAGACATTGCGCACGCCTCCTCAGCAGGCCTTGCCCAAGGCTCGCAGCCCCACGTTCGATACGAGGGCTTCGAGCCCTCACCGTACAGCCAGGATGAGAGCAGAGCTGAAGCCCTCGATTTCGTGCGCCTTTGATGCATACCATATTCTATAAACCTATACTTATCTTTCATAATGCTCGTCATTGTAGGAGGACATCCAATATGCCGACCCAGCTGCAGCACTCGAACCCATCTTCGACCTCGGCCGCGTCCAGTATACCCTCCCAGCATCATTGATATCTCTTGTCGTCTCCTCGGACATGCTTGCCATGGGCCTCGCATCTAATACTATTGTTCTCATTGAATTGGCGCATGCGGACCAGGTCATCAAGATTCCAATTCCGAGGAAGACAACAGAGTTTACCATTCACAAATTGTTCTTGGATCCATCAGGGAGGCATTTGGTCATCACGTCTCAGCAGGGAGAGAACTGGTATCTTTACAAGGTGTGTAACTTCTTGTGGTTAGCTGGAGGCGATACATCATACGGTATTCAGCATGGGCAGAATATTTGTGGGGATTGAGACGCTAACATGCTTCTGCTGTTGTGTGTCTAGGGCTGGAAGAAACCCAAGCAACTCAAGTCGCTCAAGATGGTCATTGAGAGTATAGCATGGAACAAGGCTGCTCTACTGTCCTCTTCACACCTGACTTCTACACGCGAGATGCTCATTGGCGCGCGAAACGGGACGATTTATGAGGCCGTTCTCGATGCGGAGGAAGACTTCTTCAAGTCCCAAGATCGATACCTACACCCCGTGTTCACTCTACCAGAACGACATCCCATCACCGGTATCAGCTTCGATTTCTTTCCACCCCTGGATGCGAAGAAGGCGCTCGTAGTCGTCACAACACCGTCGCGGATATACCAGTTCGTGGGGGTGCCGGACAGACGGTCGGATGACGTGGGGAAGGTGTTCAATGGCCTCTTCGCGAGCTACAGAGATACAGCGCCGAGTAAGTGGACATTTTATACGGACACTAGTTCTTGCTGAACTCTCGTAGAGATCTCTGAACTGCCTGGAAGCATTCAACATTCCGAACTTCATTACTACACCCCCAACAGCGGCCAGGCACAGTCTCTACCAAAGGAGATGGCATGGATGACAGGTAAATCTCCCGTTCATGTCTATAATATAGCCCAAAGGGTGTCCGGACTTAAGCTCAAGCCTGATAGGACCGGGTATCTTCCATGGAACGATGAACTTCCAGTCCACAACGGACGACTTCATCGACAGCCCTCAATTATTCCAGTACCCCTCGTTCTCCCAGAGCGGCTCTCAACCGGGAGGCGCTGATGCTCCAGCGTCAATAGCTCTGACCGAGTTTCACTTTGTTATGCTTTACGGGGACCGGATAGCAGCGACATGCACCTTGGACGAGAAACTGACGTATGAGGAACTCCTGCCACTAGTGAGTCTGTTTACAACACTCATCATTTTGTACAAGTTTTACATTTCACCGATCAGAAACCTGGAGAAGAAGTCCGGGGACTGACGGCAGACCCAGTACGGAAAACCTACTGGGTCTACACCGACCAATCTCTATTCGAACTTGTTGTAGGTAACGAAGATCGGGATATCTGGAAAGTCTACCTCGAGCGTGAAAAGTTCGACGCGGCGCTGAAGTACACCAAGGTAAGGCGTGCTTCATATGCTGTTCTCTCTAAACTTTTCTTTCTGACTATCTATGCTTGTGCAGACAGCACCACAGCGAGACCACGTTCTCGCTGCTCAAGCCCATGCTTTCTTCAAGGATGGAAGGTACTTCCAGGCAGCACAAGCTTATGCCCAGTGCTCTGTCCCGTTCGAGGAGGTCACTCTGAAATTCCTGGATGTAAATGAGCGGGACGCGTTGCGCTCTTACCTCGTTTCACGGCTAGAACGCACACGACGGACGGTACGTCCTAGTCTATAATATACCGTAAATCGCAACTGACTGATATCGGCCACACTTTCCAGGACCTCACTCAGCGAATGATGCTCGCCACATGGCTGGCTGAGTTTTATCTGAGTAAGTGCAACGAGCTGGACGATTTAGCTGCGTCGTCCTCAGCGTCGTATGACGTGGAGAATGTGAAAGCGGAGCAGATGATGTTGGAGGAAGATCTCCGGCATTTCTTCAAGACATACAAGGTCCGCACCCTCTTTCAATATCGCTCTACTATGGTCTTCATCTGGTCGTTTCCAGGATAACATCGACCCTACGACCATGTACGAACTGATTCAAGGGCACGGTCGTACGGATATGTATCTCTACTATGCGACGCTCATAGGAGATCACGAACGTGTTGTCGAGCACTGGATTCTCGAGGAAGAATGGACGAAGGCCATCGAAGTCATCAGCCAACAAAGCTCTTTAGACTTGTACTACCGATTCGGACCCGTACTCATGAGACATTCACCCAAGGAGACCGTCGACTCTTGGTTGAAGCAGCCAGCACTTGACCCTCTTCGTCTTGTCCCTGCCCTTCTACAATTCCAACATGCCCCCCGAGATCCATTACAGCCGAATCATGCAGTTCGGTATCTCAACCACGTCATATTCGACCAACAGAGCACATCATCTACGATCCACAACCTCCTTATCACGTTCCATGCATCACCGTCCTCACCCGACGACGACGTTGCACTTCTCCGTTACCTCTCCAGCGCACCCACGGACCCTCTCACTAACAAGCCTTACTACGATCTCGACTACGCCCTCAGGCTATGCAGCGAGGCCAACAGGATCCAGCCATGCGTGCATATCTATTCGCAGATGGGCTTGTGGGAGAGTAGCGTGGACTTGGCACTAGAGAAGGGGGACTTGGAGCTGGCGAAGATCAATGCGGACAAGCCGGAGGACGATCAGCAGTTGAGGAAGAAGCTGTGGTTGAAGATCGCGAAGTTTGTGGTGCAGGATAAGCAGGACATCAAGATGTTTGTTCATTTACTATTCCTGCGTTGACACCATCAGTTGACTTTTCCTTTCCTTCTCATGATACAACAGGGCGATGCGTTTTCTCGAAGACACCGACCTGCTCAAGATCGAGGACATCCTTCCTTTCTTCCCCGACTTTGTTGTCATCGACGATTTCAAAGACGAGATCGCCAATGCGCTTGAAGGGTACGCAGCCCAGATTGATGGCCTCAAGAGCGAGATGGACGACGCGACGAAGAACGCGGATTCAATCAAGGAATACATCGCTGGACTGAGGAACCGGTTCATCACCATCGACGCAGGCGAGAAATGTACGGTGTGTTCGTACCCGCTACTCACGAGGCAGTTCTATGTCTTCCCTTGTCAGCACACATTCCATGCGGATTGTCTCATCGGTTTGGTAAGTCTACTCACTGTTTTTTCAGCGTGTTGGATCTAATATTTCATCCTGTATTCTACAGACGAAGGAATACCTCCCCGCACATGCTCTCCGCCGCATCCTAGCTCTCCAAAACGAACTCATGAAAGGCAACCCTAGCAGTATCGACCGCAGCGCCATCAACACACTCGCCACACCCGGCACAGGAACCGTCCCCTCTCGACAGCAGCAGCACCAACCGCACCACAGTCGTTCGGTTTCCAACTCGCACCCATCCCCACATCATTCACTACCCCCAACCGCCCAACGAACGCTCCTGTCCTCCAACTTCACCGCACCATTGCAAAACGGCACCCGAGCCGCGAACTCCCTCGGTCGGAATATTCTCTCTGCGGGAGACAGGCTCCGAGACTTGATCGTCCCGGACGCGCTGGCTTCAGTGGTCACGGCGCCGGCGGGGTGGATACCTGGGATCGGACTCGGTGCGGGCGTCGTGGGCGGGGGCGGGGCGAAGAGGGGGACGGTGATGGAGAAGGAGTTGGGGAAGAGGGCGGAGAGGATGAGGAAGGAGTTGGATGAGATATTGGCGAGGGAGTGTCCGCTTTGTGAGAGTGTGGTCGTTGGGCTGGACAAGCCGTTCGTGAAGGAGGGAGAGGTGGATTCGAGTTGGGATCTGTGAGATGGCGTGGTGGTCATAGTGTGGCGGCGCCGGCGTTTAGTTTATCTGCGTCCGAGTGATCTCATCCTTTGGAATGGTCGCTGTCGTGCCATTTGTGGTTCGAAATAGGTCGTGCTTCGATTGATATATGGAATGAGCGACATTTGTCCTCGTCGCTTTTGGTATATGTTTCGTACTAATTTGTGTCTTCTTGCACTATGAGGTTTTTTTTCATACCATCCGACGTCTCGCGAAATAAAATGCACGATGGCATCGATGCAGGTCAGACTAGGACTCGGAGATGCATCACTTGCAGAGACAATAGATATTCTGGAAGGCATGTAGACAGGGACATATCTACTATGTGGTTTTGTGGCGCAGCGCCGCATTCGCAGAGCAGTCACATCATGTCGGGTCTCGGTTCGGTTACCAAAGCGTGTAAATATTGTCGTCGATAGCGCGTCGTGTAAATATAGCGAGCATAGGTGTACGCACCCAGAATTCGGACAGACTAGCGAATACTTCCATAAAAGTCGCGACAGGAGCGTAAAAAGACGGAAGCGGGGCAAAAAGGAGCATGGGAAAGCCGGGAATCGTGGACGAGGACAAGGTCACTGGTTAATCTTTTTTGAGCGACCTGCCTTGCGCTTCAGTCTAGCGGCGTGGCGAGCCCCGAGCTGAAGAGAAGAGATGGTAGGATATGGTCAGAAAGAGACATGAAAACAAGAAGAGAAGGGGCCTGAGACATACTTTTGCCTTCATCTCTTCAGCCAGCTGACGCTCCTCTGCAGCCTTCTTTCGCTCGGCAGTTATCTCCCGTCTCCTGTTGCGAAGGCGTGGCGTAAGCGGGATGAGAGAAGAATAGGACACGAGAAGACGGACCGTGTGACCTCGGCCTGCTTTTCGTCCTTGAGCTCCGCCTGCAGTTTTTTTATGGCGAGGAATTTTGTGGTCTTTTCCATGCGGTCAGCCCATGATTTTGTCTTGAGAGCGGGCTGGAGATGGGAGCGCCTGGTGTATCCTTGTGGTTAGTGCGAAATGAAATGATGGGAGGGTGAAAGGACGGACGCTGTGGGTGCCTTTGGTGCCTTCCATGGCTTTCCAGACGTCCTGCCGTTGGAGGAGGAAGCGATGGGGACAGGTTGTGTGGCGGAGGAGGACATGGTGAGTGAAGAAGCGAGCCGGCAGAATGCGGCCGCTCGAAATCCAATATGAACGCGGTTCGCCTTGGCTCCTCGGTCCCCCAGCAAGGTATCTCCTGCCCGCCTTGCACGCCGTCTCCCTCGTCCTCCACGCCCTCTCGCGGCTGTCGTAGGCAACGGCGACGGCGATGTCCGCCTCCCCCTCCGTCGACGAGCACCACCTCAAACGTCTTCTTGACCTTCGTTCTGCGCGCACGGCCGACATGTACAACCACCGCCGCTTCCCTTCCCTCTCAGAAATGTCAGACTCTCCTTCGATCTACAGCCACGCACAGTTCTCCCCACAGCCTATGGACAGAGCTGAGCTCCAAGCGAACACAGCAGCGTTCAACTTTGCCATTCCTTCTCAGTACAAACGAACCGCCTCGCGCGATCCAGAGCCTAGGACTCCTCGTTTCGACCGCGAACGTCTCAACGACCCCTCTGCGAGCACCCTCATCCTCGATGACGACTCCGTCTCCTCCCGTGCCAACTCAGAAATATACTATGATTCCGACCATGAGGTCGACCCAGAGGAACAGGTTCAGGACGAGGACACTGGCCCTCGCATGAGCTACCTCGGCCCAAAGATGAGGTTTCACTCTCCAGCCCCTTGGGAGACAGGAGAGGAGACAGTTATCGAGCAGGATGAGCCAGACGATGACGCCCGTTCCTTCATCTCACGGCGTGGTAGGAACTGGACCAAAGGCTTCGGTCTCGCTACTTCCAAGTTAGGTGGCGCCTCGAGACCCAGCGGCGAATCGACTCGCTCAAGTGGAAAGGAGAAGAAGTCGTCGGACACGTCTTCATCTTCACAAGTGTCTGCGTTTGGCGCACTGCAGTACGTATACTGCACTTCTCCAGATCCCTCTATATTTACCTGATCGTACCAACTCTTCATCAGAGCACTTGCTCAAGCGTCTGTCTCTTCCAGCTCGATCGGACTGTCCGCTCCGAATGGTGCGCAGAGTTCATCGCAGCCGCAGCCTTCCTCATCACACGTCCGCAACCGCACAATCTCGAACGTCAACTCGTCCTCGCAGCCACAACACCGACAGCCCGCATCTCGTTCCAACACCTTCGACATGCCTTCCAGCTCTGCCATGCCGCGCTCACGCTCTCCCGCCAGTTTCATGCCTCGTCCAGATACTCGCCAATCCTCCTACCGCTCCGACTCGCCTGGCTCTCATTCGAGGCAGTCCGACTATGCTTCTGCCTACTCTCATCCATACGCGAATCCCGATTCATCCGCCTACAATCGAGACTCTGTACATCCCAAACTCGATATGTACCGCGCCGCAGATACCAGAAGTATCGTCCATGCAGAGTCGAACACGACCCTGCAGGATACCAACACGAGCGTGAGCTCCCCGTCGTCGAGACGTGGATCGGTTGCCACGGTAGCTATCTCCCCGGACACTTCTCCAGGGTCTGCAGGGAACAGCAATGTCGATATCGCAGGCATGAAGCGTTCTGTGGGCCACATTCAGGGCAAGACCATTTCAAGTCCTATGCCCGCTGATGGTCATGCTCTGCGCTCTGTGGCGAGCATATCGAGTATCGCTTCGCGGTCGCGTATTGATTCGTCGCTTCAACCTCCTGCCAACCCTCTGTCGCGGTGGAACGACCTTCCGGCCTCCCCGACGTTCACGCTCATATCTCTGGAGCAGGCGCAAGCCCAGGCGAAGTCCCGCAGTGCTACTGCGACAGGCACGCCGTCCTCGTCGGCAAACACGTTCCTGGATAGTGAGCCTCCTGTTCGTGTCAGCTCCAGAACCTCTGGCCATCGCACCCGTGCACGCTCGACGAGTGCGGGAGCGAAGGCAAAGAACACTTTACAGAGTTTGACGCCAGCCGTACCCTCGGCGGCGCCGCCCTGGGAGGGGGACGCTGCCCAGGAACAATGGAACAATACTGCCTCCCCTCGGCCGCCATTGAAACACAAGAGAAGTGGTTTCATGCGCTTATTCAATGGGAAGGAGAGAGAGCGCTCCGTAGCGCCACCGTCACCCCCTCCTCCCGTCCCACCTCTACACGACGCCAGCCCCGCTGCTCCCGTCCCAACGAGAACCCACAAATTGTCCGTGACCCGAGTGCCTGTCCCCACAATCACACCTCCCCCTCCACAATCTCTTGATGACAATGGCAGTGACGAACACCCCGCTGGTAGAATGCAAGACTCGTCGCCCTCCATGCGTGGCCGTCGCCAATTCCCTCCTCTAACGATTCTCCCTCCGAATGAGACACCAGGACGCCTGACTTTGTCACCCGACGCCGTAGACTCTTCGAAACCGGACAATCGTAGTCGGGCTACTCTCCGGCCAGAACCAACGCAAGCCAGGGGTGGTCTTGCACCACTCAGTGCCCCTCCTGGGACCACCGAATTCCCCAGCCTCAGCTTGCGTCCCGTCTCTACCATCTTCAGCGCTCATTTTGACCACTTGGTGGATTCGAACGACTCGGAGCCGGATTCTTCCGTTGCGACGACTTTCTCGCCTCTGAGCCCTGGCTTCTCCATGCGTTCGCCCGGAGGAAAAGGTGGCCAGGAACCCATGATTGCCACAGAGGAATCGACAGCCATCATCCAAGCGCTTAAAGACCAGATTTCGTCTTCTCGGAAGATATATCAGACGCAGATTTGGGAGCTGGAAGGCCAGATTCGGGATCTTCATGCAGAGGTGGATGAGTTGCGGAACCGGGAGGGTGCAGCTGGCGGCGACTTTTGTTCCGCTTGTGGGCGTGGATCGGCTCCCCTTGATGGCAATGCTTCCAGCGATGGAAGCGAAAAGCGGAGTATTGTGAACAGACCCAGAGCACGGACGGGAGTCGGTGGTTCTCGGTTTGTTTCCAAGTGATGAGATGCCCTCTTAATGTCTCGTCGGCCTTTCGTTCTCTTTTATGGTCGACGTGTATATACCGTCATGACTTTGTATCGTTGGATTCGGACATCTGGATGGACTTTTTGATCTGCACGTTTCGTGGTACGGGCATCATCTTACTTGATTTATTTCACTATTTGTTCACTGTCTTTTCTTCCCCATTTGTCTTCTTCAGCTCTCTTCTGAGGGCTTCTTTCATTTGTGGTTATTTACCATATATCCTTTTATGTGTTCACATCTCTTTTAACGACCTTCCTTAATACTGTGTAACTACTCTACCCTTTTTTTGTCCATCTTACCACCCCCTCTCTTTTCACCCCCTTCCTCGGCGCCTTCCACTGTGCTGTCGACAGGTCGGAGCGACCGACCCCCACCCCTGGATTCTGTTGTATGTCTGTTAGACTGCGTTATATTCCTCCTCCTCTGTCTCTCCTCGTCTCCTTGTCGCACATGCATACCCCTGTGGCATAATTGTTGCATTCCACACTCTCTTTGTTGCTCTTTTGTAAATAGGTCGTCGATAGGGCGATGCATCTATACGTCCCCCCACTCTCCTTTCCCCCGCCTATCCGTTCTTATACTATTGCACCTGCGTCACTGTCCCCCTGCCTCTGCCGGGTGCGCTTTCTCGCTTTGTCGTGCAACAATTTGCTCGCTGGCTTACCTCGTAGATATGTTTGACATCGTTAGTGTTCATGATGTGTCTATACATAAGTTCACGAATCTCCATGTGGGCTATCTTTCGGTGGTCCGGTTTATTCCATACTCTCAGATTATGGTCAGCTTGAACTATGAAACCTTGAAGAACAGAACTCGGTAAGATAAAAATCGACCAATGTTTGACACCCTATATATATCCTATGCCCCGCGAAAAGTGTCTCGAACTCCAATAAAAACATTCAACCGAGAGCAACGGTTCAATCACTCATCACCAAGCAGCCACCCGAGACCCTTCTGGAACACCCTCGTAGCCTGCGCCGACACATCCTCCTCCCTTCTTCCATCCACCGACCCACGATCCCTGCTATCCCTACTCCCATCCCTCCTACCCGTTCTACTGTCATTAGACGTGAACGACTGTCGAGAATCCGGTCTCCTCACGCCACCACCCAGAGATGTGAAGTTCGCCGCCACACGGCTGAATGTCTGTGCCAAGGCCGCCGTGTCCGGTGTATGGACGAGCGGAGAGGAAGGGATGTGGATGTCTGGCATGTGCAAGTTCTGGAAACGAGCGGCGAGGGAGGACGGCGTGTTGTTATAACTGTAAGTGCCCGAGCCGCGCTGCCTTCGTCCATTCCGCCCACCAGTATGCCTGCCGTTGAGCTCTCCCTTTTGACGCCTGGCGAGCTTGTCCTTGCGGAACTCGATGTCCTCGGCTTCGAGTCTCCGCCACGCATTGAGCACGTCTGGGATTTTATCGGCCGGACAGAGTTCGAGCGCACGCCCCAGAAGGGTCAGTTTCTTGGGTACGTCTGCGAACTCGGGCTGTCGTCCGAGCTGGAAACATCCGACCCAGCAGACCTCGATAGCTTCCTGCACCTTCTGATCTTCCACACCGGGAGAGGTGAAAGAAGCAGAGGCGCGCAAGGCCAGGACTTTGTCGATCATGGTCTCGCTAGCTTCGACAGCACGGTCGAAATCCTCGTTCTGCAGTGCCGTGTCGGCCATCATGGCGAGCGCTTTGACTTCGGCGGAAGGGTCGTCGCGGAAGCCGAGCTTGTGGACGAGGTCGAGGATGACTTCGGTGTACTTGTAGGCGTCGGCGTTGCTTGAGAGTACGCGAGAGACGAGGGATAGACGGTCCTTGGTGAGGCGGATTTCGAGGGGTGAGATGGGGATGCCGGAGCGGGACATCACGTTGAAGGAGGTGATTCGGGAGGTGGCTTCGATGAATTCTTGCTCTTTGGTGATCTCGTCTGAGGGTGCAGGCACCGAAAGGCTGTGGGGAAATACATGAGGTACTGAGTCTATCTGTATCTGTGGAGGGTAAGAATGAGCTCACCAGTCATAGGCCAACTTCATGTCGCCGAAGCGGTAGTTTCCACTGCTGGCATTGTCGTAGAACTCGCGGGAACAAGTCAGACAAATGTCCCTAATTACATCTGGGTCGAGGGAAAGAACGTGCTGTCTTGACCTGAGGAGACTTTTGGCGATATCAAATTCTAGTTCTTCACGTCAGCACTTCGAGGATATAGAATACTGGGATAATGCCACTCACTTCCGGTACTGAGCAGACCGCTGAAGAAGATGCGGATGATTTCCGTCTTCGACAAGAGACCAAACGCACTCCTCACCCCAGCTTCGCTCGTCCCCGACAGCTTGATCATGTCCTCCAACAGCCATTCCCAATCTCCCTGAGTGTCCAGTTCATCGTCCGTGCCGCCAGCACGCCGTGCCATGCGGGTAGCATACGAGCGCTGGAGCGCTTCATCGCCGGCACTCTGTAAGAACCAATGGAGTGGCGACGCCACACTCCACCTTGAGAATATTTCTCCTGATTCAAGGTGTACGTCCAGTATATCGAGTGCGCGAGAGAGTGAGGTGATGGGTAAAGGTTTAAAAAATACCAGGAGGTCCTCTGGCGTGACACGGGGCCTGGTCGTCGACGGTGTGACGAAGGCCCCCAGAGAGGTGATGGTCATATCCGCCGCGTCTGCTTGGTCTTCATCATCTGGGTCACTGGTCCAAGCAGGTAAACATTCGAAAATGCGGCTCATCGTTGACCACTCGTCCGTGCTGTTACTGCCGTAGAGACAAGCCAGAGCGAGGCGCACCATGTCCTTGTCGTCACGAATAAGCCGCTGAGACGCGGGGAGAGTGGGTTTTGAGGCTTCGAAGATACTCGCCACCATATCAAGCGGTGCGGAGAGTATATAGGCAGTGAGAAGCCGGATGGAAAGGGCAGGATCCGGACGACCAGCTCGCTCTTCGCGTGCCTCCAATACAAACAGGTACGGCATGACGAGTTTTCGAATGCTGGGGACGATACTGTTTGGCGTGGCGTGAGCGAGGTATGCACGAATGACTGTGGGTGGGTCCATAGCTCTCCAGGTATCCAAAGTCCATTCTTCCTCGACGTCATCTTCATCGGAGACCTGAGCGTCGTAAACGAGACGTGAAAGGAGGCTAAGCTCTTCTCCAAGCTCGTCGAGGTCAGGAATGCCTTGGGATGCACCGTGCTGGACCATGGCGAGAGCAATGTCTGTCATTCCGGTGGACGATAGAACGTCTTCGATACGTTTGCGGTACCATGCGGTGAGTTCATGGGCAGTAAGAGGATTGGGTCGAGCGCTCTTGCCGGGAGGTACAGACGGCTGTGGATCCTCTATGTCGACAACGCCAGATGCCTTCATGGATCCCCAAACAGTGGCTAGCTCCGACCAGTCAGGTTCTGGCCGCCACGGCTGACTCTGGGGGTGCTGCTCCTCATTGCTCCCTATGTCAAACGCAGGTAGCAAATCACGGAAATCTTGAGGGTGTGCATGCTCTGGGATGCTATCTAGAATGACGAAACGTTGTGGCCAGAGCTCGGTTCCGTGGTGTTTGAGAAGAATGTGGACGCATGAAAATAGTTGTCGGGTCGCCAATGAACATGCACTCTGGATTAAGGGGTTGGTCGTGAACTCGGAGAGTGGAATTGGTGGGAGTGATTCTGCTGGTGATGTGCTTGTCTCCTCCGCCTCCTCGCCGTCGTCCCATGGATCATCTTCCCATTCTTCATCTACCTCCTCATTTCCCTTTCCGTCCTCTTTAATCCCTCCACCAACTTTACATAGCTCTACATAGGTGTTCAGCCGATCCAGGCGTTTCAGGAGAACGGAACGTATGTAGCAAATCTGGGCGTCTGCAGTCTCGTCGCTGAAGTATGTCGTCAACGTCTCGTCTGGCGCTTCGGTTGCGTCTGAGCTCGCGTGTAAGGCATCGTCATGGGTTTCCGTAGGGTAGATGTTGGTGCACCGTTCGAGAGCAGGTTTAGTCCTCTCTAGACCAAGTGCGAGAATAGCCCGTTGAACGACTGCATCGTCCAGTATGCGGTCTGCACATGCAGCTGCGACCCAGAGGTCGTCTCTGACCAGCTGAAGAGTGCCCTGTACATCTTCAGGGGTAAGGTCTGTGTCAGATTTCTGCAGCCATTGTTCGCATAGGTCCTGAGAGTGCTCCGCCATGGAGGTCGAAACGAGGGGTATACTTAACGCAGATGAGGCAGGAGGCAAACGCGCCACGACGCGACGTGGCGCGTCGATCACTAATCTTATCTTATCTATACACACCCTCAAGAATCTTTGATCTTTGCTCGTACCTTGTGCTCCTTGCCTCTCTCCATCCTCGCCACTCTACATACTCCGATTCAACATCATGCGGCCTTTGACAGAGGAAGAGAGCAAAGCGGTTTTTACCAAACTGGCCAACTACATCGTGCGTTCTGCTCCACGGTTCTCTTCAACTTCACGCCCACTAATTTCTCGTCTCTGCAGGGGAAGAATCTTGTTCATCTCATCGACAGACCGGACGAACCATATTGCTTTAGGCTCCAGAAGGACCGTGTATACTATGTCTCCGAGTCTTCAATGCGTCTGGGAATATCTGTCTCTCGACCAAATCTCGTCAGCCTTGGAACATGTTTTGGCAAATTCAGCAAAAGTGGCAAGTTCAAGCTGCACATCACCGCCCTTGACTACCTTGCACAATACGCTAAGTATAAGGTATGTGTACCTTAGTATTATGGCTTCTCTCTATAGTTTCTCATCTCAGCGGCAGGTTTGGATCAAACCCAATGGCGAGATGCCGTTCTTGTACGGTAATCATGTTGCAAAGGCACACTTGGGTCGAATCACGGAGGATACGCCAGAGCACCAGGGAGTGGTTGTCTACAGTATGAATGACATACCATTAGTGAGTCTCTCGTTTACGCAATGTCTGCTCCCCTGACTTAGACTGTAAAAGGGGTTTGGTGTCACGGCACGGTCGACTGTAGATACAAGAAAACTAGACCCTACAGCATACATTGTTTTCCATCAAGCGTGAGTGCAGTAAATTTTCTGTTTCAGTGCATTCATGCTTACCTCGAATTCATATACTAGGGATATTGGGGAGTACCTGCGTGATGAGGTCCGTAACATTTTCCTATCTCAGTTACTTCTGTCTGACCGTGTTGCGCGAACGCGTAGGACACCTTGTTTTGATTCTCGAGAGACGTATTCCCTACGCTGGTCGGGACATCCGATGTCATGGAACCCAAAGTACTACGACGTGCTCTGTTGTCCGGCAATGGACAAGAGCACTTTACTGCTTTATTTATTTGTGGGACTGCCTTGCTTCTTGCACTCTGTATAACATCAGCTGGTCCAACGGTCCAACGCTTGTACTCATAAACATGAGCACTCTACCCTTACCAAGTGCTGGTTTTTGCGCCGAACGGGCGCTTATCTTGGAGGCGCAATCTCACCTCGATGAAACTTCTGAATGGTGAAATTAAAAGGGGTGCTACGCTTGGATATAATAACTGTACGATGGAGCCAACTTCCAATACATCGCTGAAAAATACCTCTGCAGAGCCCTCGACTAGCTGCTTGTAGACTCGGCTGCTTCTCCCAATCTGACCCACAGGCCACCCTATAGAAAATAATCGGTGAGCGTCCGCACACAGACCGCAAGCTGGATGACTTACATCAATAAACATTGTCAGGTTAGACTTGGGCCACAATTTCTCGACGCTTTGTCTCCCAGGAACATCAGCCCAAGAGGCGGGAGGGATCGATTTCGGCGGCTGAACGTCTTGTGCCAGGGACACCGACGAGAAGTTCTGGAGAAGACGGACTAGCATTATGGACGCTTCATTATACGCAAACTGGAATGAGAACAGACATCAGTATGGCATTGTAAGTATCGGAGACCGTTTGGGAGACGAGCACGTACTTGTTGTCCGAGACAGATCCTAGGCCCGGCATTGAAGGGAACGAAGATGAAGGGATTGTGAGTTAGGTATTGCTGCAGCCTTGCGTCGATGAAACGATCTGGGTCGAACTCGATTGCTGGATAAATCGGTCAGTCAGTACAGTTTACTCATGCGCGTTGAGACTTGGGCCTAACCATCAGGACCCCATAGGTCCTTCAAAGACAGTGAGTGGAAAATTAACGTAAGCACAAGAAGACGAAGGCTGGCAATGCTTACAGCTCGACGGTGCATCACGAACACAGAATACAAGACCCTACAATCTGGTCACTACATAATTCCTCAGGTGATAGATTATTGGAACATACGAAGTGCCGCGGGATATGTAAAATGGCTGTTCTCCGGGTGCTCCAGGTAGTGTCGTATCCCTGTTAGCATTCCTGTAGGTCCAGTCGATGAGACAGACCTTCCCCCATGTCAAGAAGTTGAGAAGCGTACCTCAAGTTGAACGGACTGAGGTAGTGCATAGTACTCAGTCTCAAATTCGTCGGAAAGACGCAAGGTACTTACACTGGTGGATAGAGTCGCAAGGTTTCTGTGGACGTAGATAGTTATGAAGGGTGTTATCGCCGAGTCCAACGATACTCACCGTTCAGGAATGCTCGCATATACTTCATCCCTCTTAGTTCCTCATACGTAGGGGCCCTCGATGGCCCAACGGTCTCTAGGACTTCAGCGCGCAGACGCTGAAGCACATGGGGATGCTCTGCAAGCATATATACGCCAAAACTAAGTAAAGCAGCCGTCTGTGAGAGTGTCAAGTCAGACTATCAGCTCCGAACAAACGGCAAACTGTTGGACGAGTTTACAGTGTCTCTTCCGGCCGTCATTAGATTAAGACACTCGTCCCTGAGCACCTTGATGTCTGCAATGGTATTCGCTTCAGAATGGCCAATGAAAGGATGAAGTGAACCTGCCGCACCATCGGTCGACTTGACCATATGCTGTAAGAACGTCTCTTCGTCATTCTCCGCATCAGTGAATGACTCGCCCTTCTTCTGCATAGCGCTCTGTAAGATAGGATCGACAAACCCCATGAGAACCTTCATGTCGTCTTCCGTCTGGTCCTTCCAGAGCTCCATCAAGGGCCACCAGGCCCCAAAGAAGAAACGGGTCATAACCCGGAATTGTACTTGGGCGAATGAAGCTGCGACTAGATTCGATGGGTGCATGAGTTCGGAAGTGCTGCTGGGTGCCGATGGGTAAGGCAAGCCTGCTGACAATGAGCTAACGTCGGACGCGAAAAGGAACTCGGTAGTTGTGTCCAAAGTAAAGCGTGAAGCCAAGTCCTGAAGAAAGAGGGGTTCAGTGGCCTTGGGTGCGAAACCAAATAAGTGAGGGATGGAGACCTGCTTACCTGGAAGTCGATAGGGAAACCAGTGCGTAAGCGTTCTTTGGCCAGCGTGATAGACGCCATGGCATGCCTATCGAAGTTCTCGAAGTCAGAGATTCGGTCCTTAGTGAAGAAAGGTCGGGTCATCGTCCGGTGATATCTGTCAAAGAAGGTTGGCTGAGTTCTGGCACATAGTAAAAAAAAAGTGAACGTTTCTTTACTTCCACATGTCGCCTTTTCCACCAGTTAGCCGCATAGTAGACCTGAGTGGTTAGATATGAGCGACGGGCGTACCGTCAGAGTTGAATACCCCCGTGCCCAAGACCGAGTATAGCTGATCATGCAAAGTTGTTCCTTATGGACAGAGAGAATATCAGCCATGCTTGAGAATAAGCGATCGAGTAACTGAAACGGCATTCACCCTTCTCCCAACAATCAAAGTTTGTGGCGAGGAGTGCCTGTGAAAGCGCAGCAAATATGTTCAGACCTCCTTAGCAGATGACTGAATACGAGTCACGGCGTACCTTGACGTGGTGCGGTTCCACGGTCATGACCCGCTCGTCAAACCCCGCACGAACATAGAATGTATGACCGTACTTCGCGATCCATTCCCAAGCTGTGTCGCCTATATGAAGCCACCGATGGTCATCCCACAATCCATACAGGTTCAGCCTCCAAACACGTACCAGGATAGCCGTTCATGAAACCGTTAAATGTCTTCCAGAAATTTCCAAGGTAAAGAGGCCATTTGTCTTCGACCACAGGAGGAACAACTGCGCCTATGGCAGCTGCATGACGTTTATCCATGAAAAACCTCCACTCTCGGCGCAGTACCACAAGAATAGAGAAAGAGAGAGGTACAATCGTCCATCTTGGCAGGATGCCGTTGCTATGATGTTGAACCAAGTACCCACCGAAGTAAAAGAAGAAGGAAGAGAAAAATATGCCCGGTGAATTCTTAAATACAAAACGTATTCCCGGAGAAATCTTCATTGAATCCGCTCAGTCGTGGAGTCCAAGCTCGGGGAGGTGAACTGTCTAGAGATTCAGGAAGAAGAGGCGCTCGACCTGGAACTTATAAATTATCCCCATTTTATAACACCGTGTCCTTCGTCCTATGACGTGCACTTCATTAGAAGGCCGCATGTTGACTGCAGTCTTATGATATCCTTCGGATGATCTCGGGGATGACAAACTACGTGGAACAGACTGAACTCCGGTATTGGCGCGCTTCAAACGGTTCTTGCCATGCCCATGAAGCAGAGCTGTTCAGTCAGGTCAACGGCAGTGAGTCGAGGGTTAGGAATGGCGGAGATCAAATACATCCCATTGGCCTGCGAGGCTCAGGAGCTCCGAGGACCCGCAAGTAAGACAATTCGCGGAGGTTATCCGAAGCATAGTCGAAAAATTCTGGACATGGTTGCTGGAAGAATATAAGTACACTCGTAGCAGAAAAGCACGAAGAGTCAAGATACAAGACGTTGATACAATGCGGTTACTCGCTTCACTTCCTAGACAACAGCGATCTTTGATGGGATGGCGGACAGTTGGCATCGCTTTCACGTCGTCGCCTTTGCTTCCTCGGCTTCTCCAAGTCTTACCCAAAGACCACCCTGGAGCAGAAGAGAGCCCTATATCAACCTCGACAGTACATGGACGAAAACGTAGAAAAACACTCACATCGACAAACATCGTCAGATGCGTCCCAGGACGAACTTTCTCGATACTCTGTCGCCCCGGAACATCAGCCCACGACTCCGGAGGAATGGTCTTGGGTGGTTGCGCCTCTCTCGCCAATGACACGGACGAGAAATTCTGGAGTAGGCGAACTATCATGAAGGACGCTTCGTTGTAGGCGAACTGGTGCCCAGGATGGGATGTGGAAGGTAAGGGCAGGCAAAACGTGGAATAGTACGGCACATGCGTACCTGCTGGCCCAAACAGATCCGTGGGCCTGCGTTAAAGGGAACGAAGATGAAAGGGTTGGGTGTGAGATACTTCTGGACCCTGGCGTCAATGAAACGGCTAGGATCAAACTCGAGAGCTGAAAAGACAATTATCAGTAATTCGAAGGACTCAAGTACTCAACGAGGCGCACCATCGGGACCCCAGAGGTCCTGATTAGATGGAAGTCAGCTTTGATGACGAGAAATATATATAGGGGATCTCACCGTTCGGCGATGCATCATGAATACAGAGTAAACGGCTCTGCGGCATAACAGTATCAGTTTCGTAGTCAAAGACTAATACTAGCACACTCACTTTGTTCCTGTAGGTATGTAGATAGGCTCTTCACCGGGTAGAGATGGAAGAGTTGTCGGCTTGTTTGCACTCCTGTATCGTTTGCAGGTTGAACGACAACACCGAGGACATTAAACTGCTGTCAACGTACCTCACATCGAACGGGCTGTGTTACCGAAGGATCTTGCTATGAGAATCACGACTGGAAAGGATGTGAGAAGACATACACAGGAGGATACAGCCTCAATGTCTCTGAAAATCATACGTCAGATCTGGCGAAAGAAAGGGGAAAGATGGGAACTCACCGTTGAGGAACGCCCGAAGATACTTCATGTTCCTTAACTCATCGTATGTTGGTGCTTTAGTCCATCCTACCGTCTCAGCAATTTCTGATCGAAGGCGCTTTAGAATATCGGGATGTTGTGAGAGCATATAGAAGCCAAAACTGAGGAGTGAGGCAGTCTGCGAGTCGTAGTTTGAGCACCATTTAAAAGTACAGACAATCAATTATTTTGACACTCTGCGTACCGTATCTCTGCCTGAATTCCAACGATGAGAGCGTTAGGAAGGTCCATCACTGGCGAGTGAATGCATAACGTTTACCTGCGATCATGATGTTCAGAATTTCATCACGAAGGACAGTTATATCTATTATCGAAGTGGTAAGAAGATGTTCTATACTTTGAAGCAATTGCATTGCCCACCATCAGTGAAGTTGACCATATGCTCCAGGAATGTCTCAGTCTCGCCAACCTTCCCCGTACCTCCAACCGCCGCTTCCACTCCCTTCATCTCTTGCTTCTTATTCAAAGCATCAGCCAATATGGGATCAATAAACTTGCCAATGATCTTCATATGTGCCTTAGTGTTGTCGCCAAATATCTCAACCAGAGGCCACAGTGACCCAAAGAATGTACGCTTGGCAATTTCGATTTGAGCTTGAGCGAAAGAAGTGGCAAATTGGTTGGCAGGATGAGTTTCATTGTTGAATTTGGTAGCATGCGGCGTGTTGGATGGATAAGGCAAGCCGGTAGATAGAGAATGGACGTCGGTGTCGAAGAGAAATTCGGTGGCGGAATCAAGAGTGAAACGAGATACCAAATCCTGGAAGATTACAGGGATGAGTTCACTTCATGAGTCTGCCCGCGAGCGAAATTAGAACTTGCTTGGAAGTCGATGGGGAACCCAGCTCGTAGGCGGTCTTTTGCTAGCATAATCGCAGCCGTTGCGTGGCGGTCGAAGTTCTCGAAGTCCGTGATACGCTCCTTGCTGAAGAAAGGTCTTGTCATACTTCGGTGAAACCTGGCATAATTCAATCAGTTTGTTTGAGCCGATCAACTCGGAATACCGATCTTACTTCCACATATCGCCTGTTCGAGAAATGTCGCTCAGGTAGAGTACAGTAAAATGGTGACGGACGGACTTACCATCGGCATTGAACACTCCTGTTCCAAGAACAGAATGCATCTGATGGATAAAGACAGGCCCTATGATGCCGGCTAAGGTTATGTTGCCATACAGATTTACCCTATGCATTACCTTTGTCCCAACAGTCGAAGTTTGTAGCCAGGATTGACTGCAAAGATGATACACCGTACTATGTATAAGCTTCGGTATATTTACATCCTCGTGTGAAGTTCCCACCTTGACGTGGTGTGGTTCGATGGTGATCATCCTCTCGTCAGAGCCTGTGCGGACGCGATAGGTATAACCTAACTTCGCGACCCACTCCCACATTTTGTCGCCTGAGAAGATTAATCAGAAACGTCAAGGAGGTGAATAAGTGTTAAGACGAACCAGGATACCCATGCAGGAAGCTCTCGAGCATAGCCGCCAGGATACCAAGGTGGAATGGCCATTTATCAGGGATAAGAGGTGGAATGACTGCGCCCATAGAGGCCGCCGTGCGCCGGTACCTGAAAAGACTCCATTCGAGACGGAGCACACCTAAGTAGGGTACTACTACGATGGCGAGGGGAACGATAGCCCATCGAGGGAAAGCGCCTCCAGTCTTGTTATACAAGAAGTCGCTGCCAAAGTAGAGCAAGACCGAGAGGGATATTATCGCAGGTGCGTTCGTGATTAAGAATCGAACTCCGGGCGAAAACATGATGTTTCCAGTTGAGTTACACCGTTACAAGTCGTGATACAATTTATCGTTCAATGTTGGGTGATGAGCTTGAGAGCAGGTCGTGGTGACCCGCAATCTATAAGTGGGGGAAGGAAGGATCGTGATTAAAAACGGTTCTTCGGGCGGTTTTGGGCAAAGTAAGACCGGATGGGCACATCAAACGGATGGAACGCTGGATCACCACGCCCACGTACGTGGACAATACGTGGAGCTCGTCCTCACTATGTAGTGATGTCAGATGGACCACGATGAGGGTCACTAGTGAAGATGAAATCAAAGGTCGTTTCAGATGACTTGTCTTGGGCATTGAGCCTGAGAGTCTTGTGACAAAATTACCAAGCTGAAGAGGGGTATTGGCTACCCAGAGAACGCGCGGCCCAGTGACTATGATGCGGCATCGGGAAAGAGCAAATGTCAAGATACCAAGAACAGCTGATAACGCTATTGTTCATGCTACTTGCGACGGCCCTCGTACAATCCGTAGAGTGAAGAAGGAGTCGAATTAGACCTTATATGTTTCAAGTTTACTTGAAACTCGTTGGCGGAAGATCTGTCCGATCTGCCAATGAGATTTCGCGAAAAATTCCAAGTTTTCACTAACATATAAGCCCTATTGAAAGAAAAAGAACTGAAAGCTTGAGTGAATGTTTGGACCGGCCACAGCCGCCGATGCGGAAGTCCGGATGTGGCAAGAGCCGACGGTCGGCGAACGCTTCAGTGGCGCGCGACAACGCACAAGTGCCTGTGGTTGACTGTCCTCAACTTGACTGCTTACTAGTATCAATCGCATTTCTGGCTGGCTCTGGGCTCGAGCTTTGTCTTCCCATAAAGCAAACTATGGCAGCTCCGTCGTTCTCCTCCTTCCAACCGCCATCATTCTCGTCATTCCCTGACCTCGAGCAAGGGCCAAGCAAGCGTGGCGCTGAGCCCTCCCGAGACGACGAACGGCGGACAAAACGTAGCCGGGACAAGCAGGATCACGATGATCAGTCGAAGAAACATAAACACCACAGGTCGCACCGTAAAGACCGTCATACATCCGAGGATCGTTCTAGCAGGCGAAAGGGACCATCTGGGGAGGACAGAGATTCGCGGAGGCATGATCGGCTGAGGGAACGAGAGAAGGGGCGGGATAGGGACGATAGTAGAGATCCAGGGAAGTCTGTGGAGATGAGGTCTGCCCTTGACGATGAACGTATTAAAGAGGAGGAAGACAGAACACGACACCATGGCGAGCTGCCGCCATCCCAGGTAGATTTGACCCGACCGTTGTTCTATTCGGACAAGAAGGGAGATGCGTTGAACGTCCGCTATGGTGGTCTATATGCGGGTGACGTACCCAAGTATCGTTTAGTGGGATGTACGTCTTTCGTCTCATTTATGCCCGGCTGCTAATAATGCAGAAGGGGGTAAGAAGGTCTTAGGATTGCCCAATGCGTGGACTGCTGTGCATAGGAGCAATAGAGGTATCGAAGTTACTGTTGGAGGGAAGCGAAAGGTAGGCCTGCTAGACACTTCCATGTACATAATGACTCAACTATAATCGACGTGATAGATGCCCTCCATTACCGACCGAAGCTCGCGAGACCTACTCAATACTGCACCTTCCCGCCGACTTGTCGCCTCCGCCGAAAGCGCACGGAAATACACAGAAATCGACGGTGTCATCAAACTCCCCACCTCTCGTCGCAAGCAAGCCCACAATGACCAGTCGTATCGCGATATCGAGCTTCCAAACGAAGACGCGGACTCTGACTTTGACTTTTCCTCTGCTTCCGAGGTGGAGAGTTCTGAAGATGATGAGGCGGAAAACGTGACACTTACAGCACACCAGGAGAAGACGAAAGCGCTCGAGCAACGGCTGAAAGCAGATTCTTCCTCGGTATCGACCTGGCTCACACTTCTCTCTCACAACTTGTCTCAAGTCCCAATTACCATCAAGAACGCGATCAAAGCGCGCTCTGAGATCACGATATCTATCCTTGCTCGTGCCCCCAAGTCTATCCCCAATTCAACGACGTTACGGCTCCGGTACCTACAGGCTGGAGAAGCGGTGTGGCACGCTAACCAGCTCACGGACGAATGGGAAGCCGCGCTCAAAGACGGAGATTCTGAACTTTGGCACTCCTGGGCGGATTGGAGGATTCGCAAGAATGTCGGTGGGCTTGATGGGATTGTCGAGGATGCTCAAAGAGTACTTGAGCGGTTGAAGACCGAGTTAGATAAATTGAGGATCCTCTGGCGGATAGCGATCGCTTTTAGACATGCTGGTATGAGCTGTCTTACACTGCGTACGGATAACACTTTACTGAGATACCGGAATATAGGTTTTATCGAGCGTGCTATGGCATTGATGCAGGCGCAAGCAGAGCTGACGTTTCATCTACCGTCTTCTCTCGCTGGACTACCTCTCGATGCACAAACAAGCGCTCTGGAAGAGTTCTGGGAGTCCGAAGTGCCCCGCATCGGGGAAGCCAACGCACAGGGGTGGGCATCATGGCTTGCAGCTGGTCAACCTGAATACAATCCTACTGCACCGTCACGAAATTCACAAACATCCACTCCTTCGACCAAATCTGACCCCTTCAGACGCTGGGCCCAGGGTGAGGTGTCCGCAGATAACGTGCTACGCCCTTCTTTACGCTCTACGGATCCCGAGGCGGACGACGACCCCTACGCGACGATCCTCTTCACTGATATCCAGCCATTCCTTTGCTCGTTGACATCCACTCGTGCCAAGCATACATTTCGACTCATATGGCTATCCTTCCTCGGCCTCCATGTCCCCGGGTTGGAACGTTCCTTTTTCTCCACGTCCGATAATCTCGATGACAGGTGGTGTGAGAACCATCTGACATCGCCGTACTACTTGTCCTCCATCTATCCGAGCATCACACAAACGCGAATGATCACGGCGGAATCTCACGCTGGGGTCCTCGTTGGTCCCGAGGAGGTCTATGAGGACGGATTTGGGCCGGTGAAGAATTGGGGGTATCGTGTCGTTGGGCCGCTCGATAGCTTTGGGAGACAGAAGTGGGGGATGTGGACGAAGGAAGACGTGCAGGGCGTTAATCAAGACTTTGTCAGACGCTTCTTCGAACAGTGCCGACTGGGACAAGACGATGTCGAATGGGATGTACTGGCATTGGCGTTCGAGGCGGTGGTCAATATCAAAGGGTATGCTCTTGACCTTTGAGCTCGTAGTCTTGCTCTGAATTCATCTCCGTTGTATAGTGCTTTAAAGCTCTCACAATCGTTCCTGGATGTCGACCGCGATTCTCTTCCACGCTGGGCTGCTCACGCTCGTTTGGAACGAAGACGCGGCAAGGCGGACAAGGCGCGTCAGGTCTACCAAACCGTTCTCTCGACTGTCACGCCACAGAACCGGCTCAGCGCAGGACCCTTGTGGTGGGACTGGACAGAGATGGAATGGCTAGCAGGCCATGCGGACGCCGCAATGCAAGTCATCATGCAATGCACCGGCCTGAAAGGTGGTGCTGGCGCCGGAGGGGTGGTAGTATTGCGTGCGCGGCGTGTTTTGGAGGACACGGTGAAGGATATACCGCCAATGCTGTGGAAGGTACGCGAGGCGTGGGTGAAGATTTCTGCGTTGCTCGAACTGCTGAGTGCCACATCGACAACGACTTTCCCTGCATTCCTTTCGGGGCCGATTCGAGTCCGGGATGGATCGGAGGCCGAGGAGAGTTCGGCGGTCGCCTCGCTGCATATGCTCTACAATCATGTTGTCACGCTGAAGAGTACGGCGAGGCCAGGCGTTCTGAGACAACGCCTGGAACACGCTATTCGTGCTTACCCCAACAACACGGCGATACTGGCCATGTTTTTGGAAGTACAGAAGGGGCAGGGGGTTTGGGGTAAGGTGAGGGAGTTGATAGGAGAGGATGGTGAAGGCGACGGGGGAGAAGCGAAGGGCGTAGCCAGAAGGGTGGCCGATGTCTGGTTGGCTCGCTGGGAGAAAGGCAGGTGGGAGTGGGAGATCGAGAGGACCCGAAGTGGTCTGAATGCCGCCATGGACGATGAACGGTACGCTTTACTTCCCTGATGTGCACAATAATTTCTCACTGTCACGCAGGACAAGGGGGAGTGCTGTCCTATGGCGTCTGTTCGTGGAGTTTGAGATACAGGCGGGCCAATTGAAACGAGCGAAGGATGTGCTCTTCCGGGCCGTAGCTCAATGTCCTGGAGTGAAAGGTATGCACGATGTCGAATCGTATCATTGTTGACTGATTTATCTAACAATGGCCCGAACTGCAGAACTCTACCTGCTTGCATTCGATCCACTCCGGGACGTCTTTGCGCCACACGAATTGCACGCGCTCGGTGAAACAATGATAGAGCGCGGGATACGAATGAGATCAGGCCTAGACGAGGCTTTGGATGGGATTGAGCTAGGAGGGGGCAGAGAAGAAGGCGAGAACAGTGACGAAGATGAGATAGAGTACAATGCAAGGGAGCTCAGGCGATTGAAGCCGTACTGAATAAAATGCTATGAATTGTGGCGGTGGCCACCGGCGCATGGCGCTATCACGTGGTGTGACAGTGTATTGCCATGAGCCTTTCGTCTGGACGTCGTCTTCGTTTCTCCCCGCAACATCAACCGCCCTCGCTTTCGAGCTTCAAGCTTCAGCAGCACATCCTCAGCAACATTCGCAGTCTTTCATTATTTCTAAGCCGTGTAGACCACTCTCCGCACGGCCTTTGTCCTCTTTCGCTTTCTTCATACCTCATACTTGGTCTACTTCACACCTCCCCCGCCCACGGGGGCAGGCTCTAATCTACTTTGTTTCGCACTACCATTCGACTAGTATTCGAATCATGGTCGCCGTACCTGCACCATCCATCACGCTTTCCCAAGAGGAGTGGCCGGACGCCGACTTCGACATCCCCGATGGCGTACCGCTCCACACAGGAACCGACTGGGAGAGGGAGGAGGAGGAGGACTGGGACGTAGACATGAGTCTTGGCAAGACCGGCGGAGCGAAGGCACAGGCTGTCGTCGCCGGAATTGTATCCAGAAAAAGTACGTCTCAAATGGTCAACATTCGGCCTCCATTGCCGCCTACGAGCGAGGACGACGAAGACGAGGAGGAGGGCCTCTCGACCATCAAGGTCGCTGCTCTCCCCAAACCTATCCCGTCCGCTGTCGACTCTACGCCTTCCATTGACGACGACGACTTCGAGGACGCGTTCTCTCTTCCCTCGGATCTTACTCAGCTATCTCTTCGCCCCCTATCCCTCCACCACCAATCGTCGAAAAACTCTCTCGAATGGGGAGAGAAAGACCATACAACCTCCTCTCAGTCATCCGACGCCTACTCTACTCTCGGGCTCGCCGAAATTTCCCCTTCCTCCTCCAACTCTACCTCAGCTTCACAATCCCAACCAGAGACCGATGACGAGGAGGAGGATCTTGACGGCCTAGTCATCCCTTCGGGCCTCTTTGAGTCTGCATCGAGCGCAAAGCACCTTGCAAGGCTACTTGAGAAGAAGCAGAAGGCACCTACTCTAGACGATAGCGTAAAGATCGCTAGCCCTGATCCTGAGGATGATTTCGAGATTGGTCTCGTCATCGACGACGACGCCGACTTCAATCCGAGCCGACTCTTGCAGCAGCATCAGGACAAGCGTAGGTCTTCCATAGGATCCCGTGCGAACGGTGCATCTCGACCGCTCGGGGCAAGGCCGCCTTCCAGGTTAAAGAACGATCGCCCTAGGTCCCCCGCCAATCCCCCGCCCTCTTCAGCTCGCCAGTTTCAAAAGCTTAAGGCGCCTCCCTCACCCCCAGAACATGCTAATCCGCCGCCTCGTTCCCAGTCCTATAACGCACTGCTCTCCGCCGATACTGGACCCTCCTCATCCCGCTCGGCAAAATCCGGACCTCTGCGTGGGCAGAAATCACATACGGGCCTCAAACCCACTACATCCCCTACGCAACGCAAACTCGTTCGGAAAGCGTCGTTGTCAGCACTCATGGAGGTCAGCCATCCTCAGGCGATAGCTGCCGAGTCGGCCTCCAAGCCGAGTGATGCCAATGGCGCTCGATACGAAGGGGCCACCGCAGCTTCCCGTGCTAAAACACACAACAGCTCCACTGGTCGCATGCGTTCGTCGGAATACGTAGTGCCACCCGCACGACCATCAACACCGTCATCGAATCCAGCTGCCTTACGCCTGACTATGCCGACATCGTCTTCTCGTCTCAAAGCGAGAACCCCGATTACATCAGTGTTTCCCGGTTCGTCAAAGACTGGGACCGGCCGTTCATCTCCTGTTCCTGTCCCTGTTCCATCTCGTCCTCCATCTTCAACATCCTTGCGGTCAAAAGCGGCTGCGGGCCCTAGCACTGCGTCATCGTCGTCAGGCCCGAAAATATTGCGCAAACCCAAACGACAACGAACATACGGAGACGGTACGGAGCTCGATGCATTCGATGACTTGCCCACCGACCGCGACAAGGAGACTCGGTATCGTGTCGCTCCAAAGCCGTATGGAAACCGTGTTCCAGGGGCTATGTACGCCCCGTCCAAGGTAGAGAGTAAGAGCACAACACGGCGGAAGGCTCCGAGAGATGGTTCAGGTAGTGGTTCAGGTGCGCCTTCATCTCCATTCTCTTCCACCTTCGTTCTTTGGCTGAGCTTTTTGTTTTCCTGCGCTATGATCCAGATCTTGTTCAGTCTCCAGAAACTATCGCGCGGCCCTTAAGGCATGCGAGCCGGATAGAATTGGCACCTCAGTCGTCAGCAGCAGACCCAGCTGCGAAGAGAAAGAAGACTGTAATATCGCCCACGACGAACCAACGGCGGAAACCTACACTGATCCGAAATCTGGGTGGTGCTACTGCTCCAAAAGGTATGTCTATACAATAGCATCGTGTCGTTCTCATCCTGACCCCGGTAATCTTCAGTCGTCGGGGACATGAAGTGGAATCCTCAAACACTACGCTGGGAGGGCAATGACCAAGCTCTTCGTGACTTCGATACTGTCGTGGGCACTTCAACACGGCCGGCCCTCATCACACATCTGACTGGCTCCTCTGTGGGCTCACCCGTGGGGTCGTTCGCGACTGGTGCTCGGAGGGTTGGTAATATGATGTTCGACCCGAATAAAATGTGCTGGATATCGACACTATCGCCGGAAGAGGATGAACCAGATGTATTCGCTGACCTTGCCGACGATGAACACGATGGAGACGGGTGGGAGGAAAGAGGAGGCACAATACGTGCCGGCCAACAGGATTCAACCATCACTCCTTCGGATGTCAGCCGGAGTGCGGCGTCAAGTCGTATGGAGACGCCCAGCCCATCCCGGAGTAGCCACAGACGGAGTCCATCAGATTCCGGAAGTGATAGGTGCTCCCGAGCATCAATGGTCTGCGATGTGGACGATGCGTTCCTGGAGCAGACACGACTAGCAGAGGAACGCCATAGGGTCGAGATGAAGGGGTGGAGAACGAAGGTACACGATGACCGTAGTCATCTGTACGATATCCGTGCTCTCGCCACCCGGAGATATTGATTTTTTTCGCTCTTATTATCCTGTGGTATGACGCATCTATATTGCTGCATTTTTCCCCCCTCTCTCTATGCTAGTAACCTATCTACTTTCAATTAGCTTTGTTCACCGTCACGACACGTTTCCTCATTTTTTCTCTCTCAATTCTGGGCCTCGTCTCGTTGTTTTCCCCGAAGAGGATATATCAGATCATGGAGTTCGGACTTGCACCATTTGTTCTCACTCGTCGCACTCGCACACACATATCCGATACAAATCGCTTTGTCTGTCTTCCCCTTTGCCCGTCTCTCCCTTGTTTTACCCCATGCCACTCCCCATCCTCGATGTCTCCCCTTTATACTTGCTTTGTTAATGCCCCTGTTCGACCGCATCCCTTTTGGATGCCGATGACACTCCTTGACTCCCGATTCCTTTTCTCCTCCCCTATGTCTCTGTCTAGTCCGTGTCTCGATATGTAGCGATGCTCCGGAAAATATGGAATAATATGACGAAATGCCCTTCATTCACCGTGCGATCTCGAGATATTGACACCTGGGTGGCGAGGTAATTAAAGGCCGCGTTTAATTTCCCAAGGGCAGACTGGACGGGATTTCAAGCGAGCATGACCTCCAGCCAACCTCCAGCTTCACCTTGACTGATAACGGGTGGCTATCTTTAAGAATTTCCGCAAAATCCTCCGTCTCTTTGTTTGGGACCGTTCTAAATGCACTACGGATAGCCTCCCCACAACGTTGTGGGTCTTTACTTTCCTTGCTCTTTTCCATGAACTCATCAACGTTCAATCTTTTATAGCCTAACGACCATTACAATCTGGTTGTTCATCGAGCTAGGACGTGCCACGATTAAAGCAGCCTTGTCCCACTAATGACTCTACGTGCATCCGGACCCAAACAAACAGGCGCTGGCACCGGAAAGATCGTCCTACATTCTCGAGACCCAGAGGTCGTCTTCTCGGAACTATCATGCACATATCCTCTGAAGTTACTTGCTCTTCGGTCTGCCGACAAGGGGATCGCAACGGCTTACATGGCGTCGTACGGAGGCGGCCTTGTTTGTGGAGATCAGATCGCTCTTGAGGTTCATGTTGGGCATGATGCTCGACTTATGTTGCTTTCTCAGGTGCGTTTGTTACCCCGTACTCAATGAACGTGATGTTTAGGGGGTTACATGTGCATAGGGTTCTACGAAGGTGTTCAAAACGCGCCCCGGACAGAGAGCAGCAAGCTCGCACAAGACTCATATATCATCTGCCAGACAGAGATTGGACGTGCACGTAGCCGACAGAGGCGCCCTCTTCCTCCTCCCAGACCCCGTCACCTGCTTCCAAGCCGCGTCATACCATCAACTACAAGCGTTTCATCTCTCCAAATTGGCATCTATTGTTCTCCTCGACTGGTTCACATCCGGACGGCGGTCTCGGGGTGAAGAATGGCAGTTCGCACGATATATGAGCGTGAATGAGGTTTTTGTGGATGGGGTACGGGTAGCAAGAGATGCTACTCTCCTAGAAGGCGATAGCACAGCTGCGAATAGCGATGTCCCGCCACTTCCTCGTCGACTACTCGCAGACCGACTGGCGCCGTACGCTTGCTATGCGACCGTGATACTCTACGGACCGTTGGTCGAAGGGCTTGTGAAGGAATTGGATGGAAGCTATGAGAAGATATCGGTGTTCAGACAAAGGGATCCTCCAGGTCTGATTTGGTCGTTGAGTCCTGTGAAAGGAGAGGAAGGAAGAATAGTCAGGGTGGCGGGGAAGGAGACGGAAGACGTGAAGGTGTGGTTAAAGCAGGCACTGCAGCCTCTGGAAGAGGTTATCGGTACGGACATCTTCAGGCGAGCATTCGTGTGATGGGCATCGGAGACGTTGTTGAAGTTTGTAGTGCGACGAGCATGCCCATCCCCTGGTGTCAAGGCATCGGAGTCCCGGATCGTGGTGCGACTTCCTAGTCGGCGAACTTTACGGTCTGTGGTATGTTTCCTTCTTTTTTCTAGTAGACCTTTCTTCGATTGACTTGGCCGACGTCGACCGCCTGCTTTTTTACTTTAGGAACCCCGTCTCCGCCATTCCTTGCGATGTTCACGCCGCGGCATTTGAGTTAGTTTCTACACAAGATACCGCAGGAATAACATCATCATGCAGCACCTAAGCTCGGATATAATTATCACTATTTACATTAGCTGTGAGGTAGCGCATACCCATGCAAGTTGTGCTTGCTGGTGCTGGTACTCGAGGGACCCATCTTGAATGAACTTCAGAATTATCGTACAACTTCGGCCGGTGGCGAGTGTGGCCCACGGAAGATGATAAGATAAGACCGTCCATGTACTTTATGTAGCAAACATCCGAGCCTCGGAGCTTTTGCACATTATCCCGTTCCACCATCACATTATGGAGTTCTCTACCACATCTCAGACGACCATCTCCCCTCATAATCAACAGGGTCTTGTCACCAAGCAATATCCGTCTGAATCCGAGCTCGATGGCTCAATCGAACGTGCAGCCAAAGCTCAGAAGGCATGGAGCAAGGTTCCGTTGAAGGAGCGGATTGCTATCGGAAACAAGTTCATGGTATGCTTGAAGTTTTGATCAAATATCCAGATAATCATAGTAGACTTCTTGTGCAGGATGAGTTCCAAAAGATGAGCGATGAGCTTCCACTCGAGCTCACTCTCCAAATGGGCCGGTGCGCATAGATCCTGATACTTTCATGGCTTGTGAACTGACTGTGGCGTCATTCATCACAACAGCCCAGTCTCCCAAGGTGCAGGAGAAATTCGCGGTTTCTTGGACCGTGCTCGGTACATGCTGTCCATCGCAGAGAAGTCTCTTGCCGACGTTGGCCTCGAGGATACAGACAAGCCAGGTTTCAAACGCTTCATTCGTCGCACTCCTCTCGGTGTGGTCCTCGTCGTTGCCCCCTGGAAGTGAGTACACCTCTACTACACCAGGGTCCGATGACTCTGAAACTTTTCCTATCATTTAGCTTCCCTTATCTTGTTTCTATCAACTCCGTTCTTCCAGCCATCGTTTCAGGAAACGCTGTCCTGTTCAAGCCCTCGCCACAAACGCCACTCACAGCCGAACGAATCGCTCTCGCTCTTACACGGGCAGGAGTCCCAGAAGACGTTATTCAGGTCCTTCACCTTTCTCCTCCCCTTGTGGAACACGCTATCAAGCATACGCTTGTCGACTTCGTCTCCTTCACTGGAAGCGTTGCCGGTGGCCAGGCTGTTGAGAAGGCCGCGGTCGAGGCCTCTGGGTTCAAGGGTGTGGCGCTCGAGGTGAGAATGTTCCGGACGCTCGGATGAGGCTCAAGCTGACTGGAGGGCTCGTATAGCTTGGTGGAAAAGATCCTGCGTATGTCAGGCCAGATGCTGACCTGGATTACACCGCGGCGGAGCTGGTAGACGGTAAGATGCCCTCTTGTTCAATAATCGTGCTGTCTACTGACTTGCCACAGGTGCTTTCTTCAATTCGGGACAGAGTTGCTGTGCCGTGGAGGTCAGTTTCGATTTTTAGAGTATCACATCGTATATGCTCATTGTGCCTCGATTCGCTAGCGTATCTATGTCCACAAGGATGTATACGACGCCTTCGTGCCCAAATTTGTTGAAATCGTCAAGGTATGTTCCCGAACGTCGTCATTCTGGCGCATCTTATTCATTTGGGTGTTGTGGCTAGCAATATAAACTGGGAGACCCTACCAAGCCAGAGACCAATCTCGGACCAGTCGTCAGCATCGCCAGCGCCAAACGGATCCGGAAACAAGTCGAAGACGCTAGTAAGTGTCGCAGTATCTCGCCATCCTCGACATCGCCTGATTCCATTCACCATCTCTCCTTAGTCAAGGCCGGTGCAAAGCCACTTGTACCAGAAGAAACATTCTCCTCCGCGGACGTGTATGTTTGAGCTTTTCTTCTTTACTGAAGACTTGACCTGACGTCCATCCGAGTTTAGGAAGACATCGGGGGAGTCTGCGTATGTGGCGCCTCAGGTCCTTGTTGACGTCAATCACTGTGAGCAATAATGCTTCCTTCGTCCATCTTGCGTATGGTGGTAGCTCACACTCCTCTTACTAAACAGCTATGGAGGTGATGATGGAGGAGACCTTTGGCCCGGTTGTCGGCATCCAAAAGGTGGATCCTTTAGCACTCGCCCTTGTGTCATAACGCTAAAAGCATTTATTCGACAGGTTTCCTCTGACGAAGAGGCTGTCAAGCTCATGAACGACTCACCGTACGGCCTGACGGCGTCCGTCTGGACCAACGCCGAGAAGAACGCCGATTCACAGGAGGCCTTCCTCAACCTCATTGACGAACTCCAAACCGGCACCGTTTTCCTGAACCGGTACGCCCGTCTCCTCTGTTGTGGAAGTGTAGACAGCTCACTGACCACGCATGCTTATCCTACCCTGGATAGTTGTGACTTCTTGGATCCTGCACTAGCGTGGACTGGCGTGAAGAACAGTGGTAGGGGTATCAGTCTGAGCAAATTCGGTATGTTGAATGATTGCCGCAGAGAATTGGCTTCGGGACGCTCACAGGGCTTGCTTATCCAGGTTACGACCAGCTCACGCGGGCGAAGTCGGTGCACATGAAGATCAAGACTTCATGAACGCAGGAATGAATGTAGGACAGAAAGCATGCAGTGTATTCGGAAGTAGTATACAGAATAGAATGTGCTAGTACAGACAGAAAAGCGCAAGGCAGACCAGTGGTATATTTCGTGAGTTGATGAGGTTCCGGAATGGTACGCCATCCCATACAGGCTGCGTTGTTGAACGAAGATCTAGATGGGTCCTACAAGACATGAAAGTCAGTATCATTGTGACAACAACGAATCAGACAGACGAAAGTTTCAGGGCCCTCAAGCGTATAAGAGGACCGGCAATAGTTGTCACCACCGTGCAGAAGCACTCGGTCTGGTGCACAGCAAAATATTCATCCTTTGAGACGGAGTAAGAAGAAAGACTCACAACAAGCAACACACAGGTATGTTTTGTGACACTGACGAGTGATAGAAAAGACCTGTAGATGGAAGAGGGGGTAGGAGGCAGACGGCGCTCAAAATTTGCGAGAACTTTATATCGGTCGCGTGCTAAGCGCGTGCGAATGTTCGCACGATCTTGGGTAGTAAAGCTGGACAACGCCGCGCTGTCTCTTGACACTCTTCGTACACCCGTCACGCCTCATAACCCTTGCGATGGTCGGAGAGCCATCTCAAGACTGACCACGTATATAAAAGCTATTCATGCACATCAGAGGAGCTCTTCCCGAATCCTAGTCAATGACCACCATCCCCTCGAATCCGAGGCCCCGTTGGCCGGCGGTAGACAGACGATAAGATATGCTTGCGCTCGTGTGGAGAGCTAACCATGGAAAGATCTATGCTGATGATGTCGACGACTTTGACCCCGTGCATATGGCTAGTCCTAAACCGTCCCTTTGCTTCTTTCTCAGCGAGCTCTCATGTCGTCGGACGACGGTCTCTCCAAGGAACAACCAGTCCCAGAGCCTGAGGGCGTGACATATCGCCCGGATGTTGACACCAGCTCGGTCGATGAAGCCAGGCTAATGCGTAAGATCGACATCAGACTCATTCCATGGCTGGCGCTGCTTTACTTGCTCAACTTCCTCGACAGAGGGAGTATCGGAAATGCAAGAGTAGGTCTTCGCGAAAAGCTCTCAGCGTGGTTTCTTGTGGACTGAGCACTTTTCCTGACTCCAACTTACTAGTTGTACGGAATGGAGACGTCTATACATATTGTAATGTCCTATGTCTTATGTCCTGCCCCTGCGCGTTATTCGTGGCTTATTTGTGCGACAGACGGACAGACAATACCTCATTGCTTTGACGGTCTTCTTCTTTCCGTACTCTCTGTTTGAAGTACGTCACATAGTCTCTTGATCTCACCGCACAAGCGACTGACTGAGGCAAACATTATAGCCTGCGACAAATGTCGCGCTTAGGCTCATGCGTCCATCCTTGTTTCTAAGCGCAACGATATTCTTCTGGGGTGTTGTCATGACTTTACACGGCGTCGCCTCTAATTACGGTGGCCTCATCGGGTTGCGATTCGCGTTAGGTCTTGCTGAAGCAGGCCTTTACCCCGGCATTGTCTTCTACCTCTCATGGTGTGGCCCAAACTCCTCTGCCCGTGATCTCGCCCTCGGGCAGTGAAAACTAGTTTGCTGATTGTCATTCATATCATCTATAGCTGGTATAAACGAAATGAGCTTGGAAAGCGAGTTGCTTGGTTCTTTGCTTCCGCAACGGTCGCCGGTGCATTCAGTACGTTCCACAGCAAAGTGCTTGTTCTTCAGACATGATTTAATCGACCTGGTATACCTCTTTATCGACTGCAGGTGGTCTTCTGGCAGCCGGCATTCATAATATGGACGGCATCGGTGGCAAGCCCGGCTGGGCATGGATCTTCATACTCGAAGGTCTCGCCACCGTCATCGTCGCAGTATTGTCACCATTTGTGCTCCAAGATTTCCCTGAGAATGCTAAGTTCCTCACCGAGACTGAACGTAAGCCGTAGTCAAACTCTGCGATCTGTCAACCTTCCAAGTTCCAACGCCTGTCTTCACAGGCGTATTCGTCGTCAGGAGATTGCAAGCGGATATGCAGTTCAGCGCCGGTGGAGAAAAGTTCCACCTGAAGCATGTGTGGTCTGCACTACAGGATTGGAAGTCATGGATTGCGATGGCGATTTATGCGGGATTGTGAGGATTTCTCAGTATAAGTCACAGTCTCTTACTGACCTGTTGAATGCTTTCATATCGCAGCGATGGGCCACTATTCGCCTTCTCGTTATTCCTACCCACCATCCTCAATCAACTGGGATTTGGAAGTACCGCGAGCAATCTTCTGTCGGTACCCGTATATGCCGTGGCTTGCATAGTCCAATGTCTCGTCGGATTCTTGGGTGACAGGTTCAACAACCGCAGAGGGTACATCAACCTGTAAGTCCAACAAGCCCTTCTAATCAATGCCGCCTTCTTACCTCGCCTCACCGCTTGTGTGGTCAGCGTCCTTTTCGGCTGTGGCCTTGTAGGATATGTCATCCTGATCGCATCGCGGAATGCGGCCTTGTCATACTTCGCCACCTACCTCGCCGCAATGTATGTCATTCAGTCATAGTCATAGCTCGTGTTAAGACCAGCCAGTATTCACGCATCTCTACAGATCCATATATCCTACCATTCGTGCGTACTATGCCCTTCTGATGATCAACCACCCACACTATTCCTGATCTCGGCCACTCGCAAACTAGCAAACTCTGTGTGAGTACATTCTGCTTTAACATGATGTCCTGCATAGCGTGCCATGGACGAGCTAACGCTACTTACGACCCGCAGAGCATGGGTGTCCGGAAATGTTGAAGGTTCGTACAAACGGAGCGCCGTTCTCGGAATGGCTATCGGATTGTAAGCACCTAAACTCTCCAAACCCTACTACTACCCCACGTCACTCACGATACTACCCTCCTTGCGGCCCCCGTCTACAGCGGAAACCTCAACGGAGCCGTCACATCCAACGTCGTGCGTATCATCTCGTTGCACCCTTCCCATATCAATGACACCAACGACTGACGACTCCTTGTCCCATGGCGATACTCCCATACACTTCAACAGTACCGCAGCCAAGACAAACCGTGGTACTCCCTCGGTCACGGCATCGTTCTCGTCTACATCGCCATCGGCTTCCTATCCTCCCTCGCCTACATGATCCTCCTCCGACGAGAAAACGCCGCACGGGACCGTGGGGATCGGGACGAAGTCATCGTCCCCGCTGGTGAGGCAGGAGGAGCGGGGATCTTCATAGACGAGGATAATAAGAAGAATAGAGTCACGAAGAGCGAGGGTGAAGTTGAGAGCAGCGAGGAGGATCTGAAGAGGAGGAGGAATGGGGTGTTTGTGAGCGTGGAGGAGGCGAGGAGGGAGAAGGGCGATTTGTGGAGCGGGTTTAGGTATTCGCTTTGAGATGCTTTCGCGCTCCGATGAGACGTGGACGCGGATGGAGCGTAACAAAAGGGCTGGAGTTTTTGAGTTTCTGAGTTTCTTGAGCAGTGCGATTTATGAGGGGATTATGTAGATAAAATACACATGGGAAACAAAAAATGGTGATGTAGCAAAGACTCAATGAGCGACTGAGTACCGTACCGATGACTTGACAAAATAAATCATTGCAAACTTGCAAAGTGATGAGTCTGACCCACGAACGCAACATGTATGTATCAAGCGAAAAGCCAATCGATTCGTCCATCGTTTCATGGACCATCGACCCGTACACTAGTTCTCGCGAACAACCACCCACACCCTAACCTGAAGACACTACAGATGCAATGTCCGCTCCGCGACTCTCGTAGTAGCGAGCTCAGGCTGCGGCGAAGGACCCGTGTCCGTCTCGCCAGGCTCGAGCGGCGGCGGCGCGCTGACCTCACCTCCTCCCTTCCTTTCCTGTTCGTCGAGCCACTTGTCCATGTCGTCGCCCTTGCCAAGGGGACGTTTGCCGAGAAGTCTGAGCATGTCCTCACTGAAGAAAGAGAGATGATGGTGATGAGAATGGATTAGATGTACACGGCGTGCAGAAGGAATACGAACCGGGTGATGTTCTCCTTCTCGAGCAAAAGTTCGGCGACCTTGACCACGTCCTCGCGGTGCTTCGTCAACAGCTCCGTCGTCCGCTTGTGCGCATCACTGGCAGATTGAAAACACGCGGTCAGTAAACAGAATCAGACGAACCTCCCTACGCTATGGGAGGGGACAAAGAAAGAGACGTACGTGATCATCTTGCGAACCTCGGTGTCCAACGTCTCCGCCGTCCTCTCACTGAAAGGCTTATTCCACCCCTCCGTCGTCCCCTTCGTCCCACCATAACTGACCGGACCAATCTTATCGTTCATGCCCCAGTTCGCGCATGCCTCGAATGCCAGCCGGGTGATCTTCTGCAAGTCATCCTGCGCACCGCTCGTCACGTTCTCTGTCCCGAAAAATATCTCCTCGGAGACACGTCCACCGAGCGTCATGCACATCCGGTCGAGCATTTGTGGCGCAGACAGGAGGTAGCGGTCGGTTGAAAGGTACTATCGCGGATTCCGTCAGACGAAGTCAGGGAAGATAAACGAAGAGTAGACATACCCGAGCGTAACCCAAAGCACCAACACCTCTTGGGATGATGCTGACCTTGAGCAGAGGATCGGCATGCTCAAGGAACCATCCACAGATGGCATGTCCAGCCTCATGATACGCCACCGTCTTCTTCTCCTCCGGACTCAACACCCTCGACTTGCGCTCCAAACCGACGATCACACGCTCAATAGCGTACTGGAAGTTCTTCTCGTCGACGGCCTCGGCGTTATGCCTCGCAGCGTGCAGCGCAGCCTCGTTACAGATGTTCGCGATGTCCGCACCGGAGAAGCCAGAGGTGAGGACGGCCATCTTCTGTGCGAACTCGTCGAGTGGAGGGAGCGTGTTGGCGAGGACGATAGGCTTGAGATGCACCTTGAAAATATCGCGACGTCCGCTCAGGTCTGGTCGGTCGACGGCGATATGCCTGTCGAAACGACCAGGACGAAGAAGGGCATCGTCGAGGACGTCAGGTCTGTTGGTACCAGCAAGCACAACAATGTGCTGATCCGTCCCGAAACCATCCATCTCGACGAGCAGCTGATTGAGAGTCGACTCGCGCTCGTCATTCCCGCCGCCGCTCGCCTTACCACCCTTCCTCGAGCGACCGATGGCATCAATCTCGTCAATGAAGACGATAGCGGGTGCGTGCTTCTTGGCTGTGGCGAAGAGGTCACGGACACGGGAGGCGCCGACACCGACGAACATCTCGACGAATTCGGAACCGGAGATAGAGAAGAAGGGGACATTGGCCTCGCCTGCGGTGGCCTTTGCGAGGAGGGTCTTACCGGTACCAGGAGGACCAGAGAGGATGGCGCCACGAGGGATTTTGGCACCAAGTTTCTCGTACCGTGTTGGATCCTTGAGGAAACTGACGAACTCCATGATCTCCTCCTTGGCCTCGTCCATACCTGCCACATCCGCGAACCTTGTCTTCACGGCTGCGTCCTTGTTGAAAAGCTTGGCCTTGCTCTTTCCGACATTGAAGATGCCACCGCCACCACCTCCGGCGCCACCTGCGCGACGAGAGAGCCAGATCATGCCGGCGAGGAAAAGAATGGTGGGAGCGAAGCTGAAGAGAGTGCGGCCGACGGAGACCTCATCGTGGTAGGAAACAGGTATGCGATCGTGTGAGGGAATACCGAGCTCGCGCTGAGCGTCCTCGAGCTTACGCTCGAAGGCCTCTACGCTGCCTATTGAAAAGTAGTACTCGCCGGATTGTGGAAGGTTGAAGGCCTGTGCAGCAACATTCGGGTGGAGCTTAACGCGCACTCTCTGGTTGTTGACGACAGTCAGCTTCTCGACGAGACCCTTCTCCAAGAGCGAGGTGCGGAACTCCTGCCAGGTGATCTCGCGAGTGCTATTTGAAGAGGGATTGAAGAGGAGGTAGTAGGCGATTACGGAGCCAGCGACGTATAATGCGAGCTGCTGGTTATTATTGTTGTTGTTGTTGCCACCTGGAGGGGGTGGTGGTGGAGCATTCTTCTGGTCATTTTCCTGGCCCTTCGACTGCTGGTGGTACCGTTTGAAGAAACTCTCGATGCCGCTCAGATCGGATTTCTCCTCTGACGGCTTGGACTCTGCCTCCTTCCCCTTGCCTTTCTCCTCTGGCTGCTTGTTCTCCTTCGGCTGCTCGTCTTTGTTCTCTTGTGGTGGTTTAGAGTCGTTCGAGGGTGTGGCGTAATACCGAGACCATCGTGCTGCGACGGATGATGAAGAGGACGCGGGAAGAGCGAGACGGCGAGCAGAAAGACGAGACGAAGCGCGAAGTGAGCGAGGAATCATGAAGGGGTTGGTGTATGCGTTGAGGGAGATGGTGGTCGAGAGGAAAGGGTGGATGTCTGGAGAGACAGACTGGATTGCTCACGACCTGAGCCGGCACGCAATATTCGTCACCCGCCGCCGAACGCGCGATGACCGACGTCCCGCAAGGCTCCGACGCCACACATGTTCCGCCGATCCCCCCATCCCACTGTCCTACGATCAGGAAAAGTCTGTACCTACCAGTTATGCTCCGGCTTTATACTGTAATAAATTAATTTCTTGCTCATCTTTCCATCTGCCGAGAGAATTTGGTAGAGACGAAGACATGGCTGGGGCAATATATACATTTGAAAGGGTATGTAAATTGCGGAGAGAGGATAATACGGTAAAGAATATTGCAACAAGCTGTAGCATATCGTCACCATCGACATCCAGAATCGCATCGCGTTAATAGCCCTCCTCAGGCAGGCCGTCCTCTACCTCGAACGCACAACAAAATGCGTCCCTGTCCAACAAAATCATCCCCTTCCCGTCCGGCGCCCACTTCAAATCCCTCGCATCGAACGTCTCTGTAAAACAGCCCCCAAGCAACGATCATAAATAAGACACATTCCCGACATCAACGGAACAATAAATATACGCACTCGCAGGTACACCGACACACTCCGCCATCTCCTCCGCCACGCCGTCTTCCCCGACCCACTCATCGCTCCACATATACATCGCCCGTCCACCACAGCACGCAGCCATGCTCCCTCTTCGTTGGGGATTCCATCGCGCTTGTTGTACAGGCCGTGAATGCAGCAGGACGCTGCGCAGTGCGGGCGTGAATGGCTCTCCTGGTTCTGGGAAGGAGAACAAATGAATCGCGTGTGGCACGTTCTCTGTCATATTTCCTCGAGTGAGCAGGGAAGTATGTTGTTGCTAGAGGTGAAGAAGCGCGCTTACCAAACCGGACGAGGAGGGCTGTTCCTGTGTGATTGAATTCGAGCTGCACTGGGCCACATTTCGGGTTGGCTTTCGATATGTCGGCTTTGAGCACGTTTAATGCATGTGGAGTTCTTAGACGTTCATCTGTTGTGAACGTAAACACACGGGAAGAAAAAAAATAGACTGGTCGGTCGTTGGAAGGAGCGATGGCACGTACATGACAAGAATCCTCTCCCTTCCGTCGCTTCAATCCAATTCGTTGGTTCTCTCCAGACAGTCTAGACTTAGCCACTCAATAAAGAGAAACAGACGGGTTGATAAAGACGGACCAAGTCGACTTACCGTCCCTGCCGGTATTCTAGATACGAGCTCGAGCGTGGCCACTCTCGACCACGTCAAATTTTCCAATATGTGGATCTATACCCAAAAGGAAGATAGATCGTGAACTGGTGCTCCCCTCCCCCGCTGAAACCATCAGTTCGAGACCTGCAGCGGAGGCTAGCTCACCTTGTCGTCCCAGCCGCCCACAGCAAGGAACATCCCCGAAGGATGCCACGCCACGGTTCGTATCCCAAACCCGGGATCCACGTCTGGCGTGAACGTCCCGAGCACGTCTCCCGCGAGCGATAGTATGTAGAGCTTATACTATGGTTGCGACGGAGGCCTTTGCCGTCATCCATCTAACCATCAATGCTTGGTCTGGAACAAGGGTGGACTCACCTCCATGGGGCCTTCCCATATGGCCAAATGATTGCCCGTCGGTGAGAGGGATAGAGATGACATGTAGGACGTCGGTAGGGGGTAATGCTGGTGGTCAGATCGTCCGGAGCCAGTGTCATCAGCGATTGCGAAAACATGAGCGAAAATGTCAGGCTCACTCGTGCGAGCCTATACTCTTCCGCTGCGTCGTAGACGCCTATGGTATCTTTTGATTTATGGCGCTCAGCAAGCACAAAATAGCGCCCATCGCGTCTGAAAGTATAGCCTGTAGAGATGAGAAAACAGCGGGGCGAGAGCAGAGTCGACAGTTGAAATACCTCGGTCAGGATGTAATGGATATTGGATGTACGTCGCCACGCCGCTGACGAGCGACCAGATGGTAACGCGAAGCTGCGAGCCCCCCATTGAGCTCACGACACGGAGATGTGAGATGCATACGTACAGCCCAGTCAGAAAAACAAACTATGTGTCTACCGTCTGGTGCCCACTCTGCTCTTGTCAAACCCTCTACGCCAGCCTCAACCTTCGTATACCACCTATCATCGCTCATCCTGAACACATGTACGACGCCCGCCTTTGCGCATGCAGCAAGCACGAACTCCGAGTCAGAGGACCATGCGAGGTGCGTGATTGTCGGCGTCTGAAACGTTCCAGAAGATGAAGGTAAGGAGGCGGTGGCAGATGGGGCAGGGTCGATGGCCCAAGAGCGGGAGATCTGGAAGGTGTCTGCGCGACGGATGATGACGCGGTCGGTTGCAGCAGTCAACAAGAAGTGGGCCCCAGGGCTAAAGGATACAAGACCTGAAGACTGTTTGAATATTTCTGTAAAGTCCATCGGGTGGATGTGGCCCGGTCAGGGAGTGAGTGGTTGGAGGACAAGTCCGAGACGCGTCGGATGTTGATCTGTTCGCGTTCGACGCGTCTATCCGACAAATTGGCTCAGAATATGATCGCCAGCCGCACTCCGGTCACTTTCGGAGTTTCCCGTCCTTTGGCTCGGAGTTCGGTCGCGCTGAGCATAGCACGGTGTGTCTCTCTCCGCCTCGCAACCACATTCATGCCTTTTCAGGCGCCCTCACCGCTAATTGACTCGATGTTTGCATGGGCTTCAGGAACTGCATCAGCCGCAATGAAGGTGCACATACTAGCCGGAGCCTGGAGGTTGAACCTGAAGGCTGACACAGACCCGACGGAATCTAAAACAATCGGCCCCATGTCATCCACCTGCTAGTTGAACCAACCCACTCTCTTTCCAATAACTTTATAGCGGCCGTAGCATTAACGCGGCCTTGCAGTGCACCCACTTTGTCAGCATCAGTCTCGGGCTCCAATGCTACGCAGGTCAAAGCGGCTGGTGGGTCGGATGACTACGCAATTGACGCACTGTTCCGTGTATGTATCCGTTGGCTCTGTCGAGCCAGATTCCTAATGCTCCGCGGAAGGAATATAAAGGGACGGGACCCAGGTAAGGGTTGATCCTGACCGGATCGTTTCCCCTCGTTCGAATCTTCTCTTCTGCTCCTGCCGGTTCTAAGGCTACCGACTCGAAGCTGCAAGTTACTGAGTACCGACTGAGCCCCGATCATGTCGAGTCCTGGGCCATATAACCCAAATTCAACGCATTCAATGACACCCTCTCCGTCTCCACTAGCGCCTGACGCTGAGAACGATACAACCTTTGGTCGCACTCTACAGGATGACGAGCGTACAGTACGTTCTGAGGAAGGTGTGGTGGCGAAGACAGGTGACGGCGAAAAGGGAGATCCATTTCTTGTCAAGTTTGAGGAGGGGGATAAGGAAAACCCTATGGTGTGCACATATTATGTCTCTCAGGTTAAGAGTATCTCACTCTGTCCCATCTGGTTATGTGTGCTTCACGTTCAGACTTGGGCTCCTTGGTATAGATGGTATCTGACCGTCGCTGGAGGCATGCTCATCCTTAATGCGTGTGTGGTTCTTATTGTCGAAACGTAGTCCTATATACCGATCTCATCATTACATTTGTGAACAGGACATTCGCGAGTGCTGCGCCTTCGAACCTTGCAGTACAAATCGAGGAACAGTTCGGTATGGGCGACGAGGTCTTTACTCTCACCGTGTCCCTTTTTATTGCTGGATACTGCATCGGTGAGTGCACCTCACAAATTATGTCCATATTTAGGTTGCTCATGCAAAATGCAGGCCCTCTCCTATGGGGCCCTTTGTCTGAACAGGTAATCTATCACTAGAACCTGAACTGCAACTTCGGTGGCGATGCTTAGTTGTACCCTTTTTCTAACAGTACGGTCGACGACCAATATTCCTCATCGCTTTTCTGTTCTACACGGTGAGTTTTTTTTTTGTCATCAACGATGATTTGCATCCTCTGATACGTTGGATGTCATTCAGGGATTCCAAGTTGGTTGTATGTTCGCCGAACCCTCATCTACCTCAGTTCGTGCTGATTTAGATCAACCTGTGACAGGTGCCCTCTCCAAAAATACCGGTTCCATTCTCGTCTTCCGTTTCTTGAGCGGTTGTTTTGCAGCAGCCCCATTAACTAATAGCGGGTACGATCTCTATTCCTTGATACGAACGCCGCCCGACCTTGGCTTCGAACTTCGAGCGCGCACGCGCTTCTCACGTTTGAGCCAACTCGTTGCTCACCTTACTGTTTTTCTAGTGGGCTGGTTGGAGACCTTTGGGAAAGCAAGATTCGCGGAAAGGCGATGGTCATGTTCGCCGTGGCGCCTTTCGCAGGCCCGTCATTGGGACCAGTGGTTGCGGGATGGATAGCTACTGCTGGGGCCGACTGGAGGTGGCTGTTTTGGGTGTTGACGATCTTCGTGAGTAACCCTTCATAACTCTTGAACAGTTCGATCGGGCTTCCCTCATCTGATGTATTGGTTTGTTTTTGACAGGCGGGAGTATGCCTTTGTATGGTATTGCTGACGATGCCAGAAACCTATGCGTGCGTCTCAACTTCGGTCTCTTTTTCTTCATCCTGAGCGACTGGATTGGCAGTCGTGTCTGACGTCTTATTTCGTGTATCATAGCCCAGTTCTCTTAGTCCGTAAGGCTCAGAAACTCCGCAAAACAACCGGTGACGAGCGATATTACGCACCCCTCGAGACGAAAAAGATGTCCTTCGGAAAGCGCCTTGAATCTATCCTCGGAAAGCCGTTCGTCCTCTTGTTCAGGGAACCGATGTTGATCGCCGTCACGATATACATGAGTGTAAGTCCATTGCGGCTACGACATTCCCCGTGATACACCTGCTGAGCTGGATTAGCCTATTTTCTATAGTTCATGTATGGATGCCTTTACCTCCTTTTCGAGGCGTATCCTATCGTGTTCACCGAGGGACATGGATTCGATGCAGGTTCGATATTTCCCGATTGCCTTGTGTGTCAAATATATACTGACAGCGGTGGTTTTGAAGGCGTGTCCGGTCTCATGTTCCTTCCTATCACTATCGGAGGGGTCGCAGGGGTCGTCCTGGTGAGCCGAACCTCTGAAATTTTTCTATCAATCAACATGACTGAACATTGACACCGACAGTACCTCACCGTCTTCGAACCGCGCTACGAACGCGCTGTCGAGAAACACTTTCCCAATATGGTCCCACCAGAATATCGTCTTGAAATGACGATGCTCGGAGCTCCTATATTCGCCATTGGTTTCTTCTGGTTCGGTAAGTACTTAGAGGTCCTCGATTCAGTAGTCCCGACGTTGTTTTGACGCGCGTATTTAGGCTGGACGAGCTTCCCTAGTGTCTCATATTGGTCGCCGTTGGTGGCTGGTGGTGTCCTTGGCTTCGGAATCTTCCTCATTTTCGTGAGTATACGAGCGTCTTTTCTGAACGGTACAGGACATCTAACACAATACATACTTGCACCCCTGTGAATAGCTGTCCTTGATCAACTACATCGTCGACACCTATCTCTTCGTCGCTGCTTCTGCACTCGCGGCAACGACGGTCGTGCGTAGCATCTTCGGTGCCGCCTTTCCCGTGAGTACTGTTCTCGTCCGCCTTTCAATAGTTCAAGTAACTGATTGTATATTGGCGTGGCCCGTGATATAAAATTGTAGCTTTTCGCCACTCAAATGTACGAAAAGCTTGGTGCGCGATGGGCGTCCTCTCTGCTCGGATTCATCGCTCTCGCTATGATGCCTATTCCTTTCTTCCTTCGCAAGTCAGTGTTCTGATTCACATTGTCGGCTCATTCAGCGCATTCGACTGATTTTTCCATCGCTTTCTATCTTTTCGCATCCGTAGGTACGGACCCGCACTTCGTGCCCGGTCAACTTACGCTCCGGATGTTCCCCGTCGACCGCCTCCGAAGGGAGAGGACAAGGTCTAAATGTCTCGCTTTTACCTGGGCCTCTATAGCTACCTTCCATGCTCTTAAACGCAGAAGTTCAGACACAGCCTATCATATCATTCTTTGAGGATTCACAACATACCACAACAACTATCAGTACTCACATCCTCGTACGCCAAATATGACCGCCGATCATTCCCACCAGCTACATAGTTCGCCGTGAAAACTCACTATCCTCTCGCCCCTCATTGATGATTTTATGAGCCTCACTGCCGGGTTCACTGTATTTCTAGACATTATACTTTACTGCTTGCTTTCGACTACTTATTGTGACTTTCTTTTATGCTTGCGCTTTTGTTGCTCATCTCTAAGGAAGCTTGATCTTATGAATGATTTTTGGGACGTTGATGGCTGCATGCGCACCCCGAAAACGGATGAACTCAGACAATGTTACCCTCTGGATCAAGTACATGTATAGTCAAAGGGCGATCAATATTCCTCATCCGAGATCAATGAAAAATAAGTGGCGAGGTGCTGGAGGGCAACTGAACAGACGTTTGATTTCCTTGCCCTGTGTGGTCGATGACTTGATGTGCGTCGGTGGCGTGCGCTGAGAACGAACTAGTGCCACACAGGATCTTTGCCGGAACGGCTCACGCCCGCGGGACGAAACACGGTCTTCCGAGACAGTACCCATGTCTCTCCCCATGGCCATCGATGACTGGCTCTATCGCCGCTCAATGCTCTTGGACGGAACCTTTCTCAGGGCATCGGGCATGAGAGATAAATAGTTTGTGCCTGCCAAAGACTCCCAGCTTGTCTCCACATCCTTCGTGCTACCCAAAGTTCAAGTCGACAGAGTTCTGCCACACGCCTTGCCCAGAGAAACGAACGCAGGACGGAACTAACAGAGATGTCCTCAATTAAGATTGACTGGTCGAAGGTCGATAGGCCAGAGCAGCTGTTGATGCGCTTTCCCAGTCGACGCTCGGTCGTGTATGGCACAAAAGGCATAGTCTCCTCGTCGCAGCCACTAGCCACCGAGGCAGGCTTAGAGATTCTGAGGAAGGGGGGTAACGCAGGTACGTCGATCCTCTATCTTGAAAGGCCCTTTTAGATGAATGTGGTTATGCTCCAGCCGATGCTGCTGTGGCGACGTCAGCGGCTCTGAATGTCACAGAACCGAGTTGTTGCGGGATTGGAGGGTGAGCTCAAAGTCCTATACAAATTGTTCATGATCTACTCATCGAACCCGTTGTTGCGTTTTTCAGAGATGCCTTCTGTCTATTCTTCGACGCAAAGACCAAGACAGTCAAAGCTCTCAATGGTTCGGGACGCTCGCCACAAAAGCTCACAATCGATCATGTTCGCAGTCGTGGCATCACTGGACACAAGATCCCCACCACGGACCTCAATGCGGTGACCGTACCGGGAGCAGCGGCTGCGTGGGTGGATACCGTGGAGAAATTTGGTAGTGGCAAACTCACGGTGGGAGATGTGCTCGCGCCGGCGATCAGGCTTGCAGAGGAAGGGTAAGTGCTACATGTTCAGTACCAAGTGAAGCCCTCTGATATTCCTCCAGTGTACCAGTATCAGAGCTTCATAGCTTTGCTGTGAGTGTTTTTCTATTCGTTTTTGCATAAATCATTGACCGCCGTATTTGCAGTGGCAACGCTCCGAGAAATTGATTCAGAATGCGTCCCCAAACGGTGATGAGATGTTGCTCAATGGCAAGGCCCCGCTACCAGGCCAGATAGTCACCCTCTCCAACCTCGGAAAGACCTTCCGCGCGCTAGCAGAGCAAGGCAAAGACGGGTTTTACAAGGGAAGAATTGCCGAAGCCATTGTCGAGCTCATTCAGAGCAAGGGTGGTGTGATGGAGCTCGAGGACCTGGCCAAACATGAGACGAAGATCGTGGAGCCTATCAAGTTCACATATGCGGATGAGGTGACACTTTACGAGGTATGATTAGACTGGGCGTCCGAATTCGCGATGAATCAAGCGTGGCTAACGCCTCCCTTTCACCATAGTGCCCTCCTAACGGTCAAGGCATCACCGCTCTCATTGCTCTTGGGATCCTTGAAGCCCTCCAAGAGCAAGGAACTATCAAGAACCTCCTTGAGATGGAGCATAACTCTCCTGAATACCTGCACGTTTTGGTCGAAGCTCTCCGGTTTGTGGTTCCAAGTCGCTTTATTCAATTTGCAGGAGGTTGACCTGTGCTGTGGCACCTTAGTCTTGCTTTCGCCGGTACAGTCAACCTCAACGCTCTCTAGTGTCATTTAGTTGGCTTACATATGCGACATTAGACAGCCAATACTTCGTGACTGACCCAGACGTCGAAGATGTCCCGGTGGATCAGTTGCTCAGCAAGGTTTGTACCAAACGTCTCCCTCGCCTCCGTTCTAATGTATTTATATCTCTTTTGAAACGCAGGAGTATCTTGCATCCAGAGCAAAACTCATTAATCCGACCAAGACCAACCCAACTGTGGTCCATGTATATCTAGCTCCTTTTGATACGTTGTGACATGATACTGAGGATTGTATAGGGCGACCCAGTGCACTCGTCTGATACCGTCTATTTCTCTGGTATGTTCCACGCTCGACAGTGTGGCCTGTTCTCTTGACAGCCTTCCGTCCCTCTGCAGTGACCGACCAATGGGGTAATGCATGCAGCTACATTCAGAGTAACTACGCCGGTGAGTCAACTTAACCTACGGGCCTTCATGCTCACAACTAATCCACCACATCGCTAGGTTTCGGAACGGGAGGTAAAGCTTCACCCCTTGTCTTGATAGACTTTGGCTGATTCACCACAGCTGTCCCGAAGGGCTGTGGCTTCACTCTCCAGAATCGCGGATCTGGCTTTGAACTCAAAGACGACCACCCGAATGCACTCAAGGTCAGTGCGATCTTTGCATGGTGACGTAGCAGACAATCTTGAGACCATATCCTTTTCTAGGGAGGTAAACGCCCGTACCACACCATCATCCCCGCTCTTGCCACCCGCGGAGACGAATTATTCCTATCATACGGTGTTATGGGTGGTTTCATGCAGGTACATCCCCTTCGCTCTCACTTGCATTGACTTCTTCTCATTGTATTCCCATATCCTCGACAGCCGCAAGGTCACCTTCAAGTCCTGCTAAACATGCTCCGCGGGTATACACCACAAACCGCCCTGGATGCCCCTCGCTTCTGCATCTCTGCTGGAAGTCCCGATACCATGTCTTCGAAGACAGGCGAAGCAGGAGACATCAACAGTGAAGTCAATTTTGAGGAGGGCATCCCTGTTGAGACTGTCAACAAGCTGCGCGGTACGTCTCTTGTGTCGCATTTCATGAGCTTTACATACAGATGAAGCTGATTCGTGCTTCGCGTCCTGGTAGAAATGGGACACGATGCACGCTCGGTCACAGGGTTTGGGAGGAGCTTGTTTGGTCGTGGTCAGGTCATCCAGAAGATCAACGATCAAAGTGGTAGGTTCGTGTGGGCCGCAGGTTCGGACCTTCGTGCGGATGGACATGCCGCAGCGCAAATATAGGAGACCATCGGAACGTTGGATGCATCCGTCAAGCAGAAGTGACCATCAGGGAAATCGATATATGTATACCTATGTTTATGTGAAATGTATTGTTCTCGACGACATAGATGCAAGTGATTGAGTACGTATGAGGCTTGGTAGTGTATAGTCTTGAAACAACAAGCAATGCGAGGGTATTGAAAGGTAAGCATACACTGGCATACGTTCACATTCTCTTCCTCCGCTCCGTACCGACTAGAGGATACGTAGAAGGACGCATGGTTATTTGACGCTGAAATCGCAGACTTTAAAGCAGACAATGCACTCACTCATCTGCTCACGACGATATTCTCTCAGATGTTTCGTCCTATCCGGACCCACTATCTTCCCCCAGCCCGCAAGGGGAACGACGATGGCAGTGAGGTTATCGGGGCTTCCCATATCTTCGGCGAAAGAGATGATGCTCTGAGCGGCTCGTTTGGGGTCTGGACAATTACGAGCGAGGTCGACTATTTCTTGATCAGAGGCATGGGCTGAGATGCCGTCGGATACGCAAACCATGTATGCCCAATCTTCGCCTGTATCATCTAATTTGAGCTTATGGAGCATTGGGGAGAAAAATGAATGGTAACACCTGTCAGGAGCTTGGTGCGGACTTCGGGCTCTGGGGTGACCCCGAATGGTTTCCATTTGAGATCACCAAGGCTGAGAGAGGCTACGTTGAGCCTTGCTGGTTAGCGACAGAGAACAATCGCGCCCACCTTCTAGTATTCTCCAGAGCTCCCATCCATCTGAAGTTTTATCCATTGAGAACCAAGCTAGGAAGTCTGAACCTTACGATGCGTACCGAGTATCACCAAAGGAATCCTGCACACGCGCTCAACACTAAACAACTGAAGAGATACGGCACAAAGGACCTACAGTGATCAAAGCGGTGGCCATCATACGTCGCAGACGACTCGATTCGATGTGGGTCTCTGCATGATGACGCTCGGTCATAGGAAGAACTCTGCCACGATCCGTCGAGCACAGCAGAATCCGGGTATCCCTAGAAGTCAGAGATCAGTGATGCCCGCGTCATTGAGGGTGACTATCTCAGAAGACAAACCCAACATGAGCCACAGTCAATGCGAGCTTCTGTGAGGAGAAGAATGGTGTTGCGGGAGCATCGAGAGAATGAAGAATGGCGACTGAAGCCGTAGAACCACAGGTCTTCGCTATCGGTTCTCCAGAGAGATTCCGGTCAACCTTAGGGGTTTGTTGCTTCAATGATGCGTTAGATGACCAAGATGCTGGATAGACGCACCTCAAAGAAAGCGAGTGTAGCGCGTGCGTTCAAATCCATCTCTTCTGGACAGTTTGGATCCTTCACCCAGGGAGCTAACGGCCCACCCTGAAATCGCTTGAAATATCCACCAATCTCCTTAATCCAAGCGTACGTTTCCGGGATCTGGTGTTTATTCACGGACTCAAACAAACCGTGAAACTCTTGTCGCAGGTATTGTGAGACCGTGGAACCGCCATGCCTACACACTCCATGGGTACGAAATACATAGGTGTGACAGATTCGTGAGAAAGCACGCACCCGTCGTATATTCCTACGAAAACAACCTGACTCGAGTACGGTTCGCCCACGCTCTCGGGATTCCAGTCGATCCCGTGGTGTCTCTTGACGCTGAGACGTAGTTCTTCCGGGTTCAGCGACAAGGCCGCAAAAGAATGAAAGTCTTCTTGGTAACTTATATAGCTCCCCAAAGTCAAGTTATGCCCGTGTGGGACCTGAGGGCAGACGCTTACGCTCTCTCACCGCGGGAGACGGCAGTCCCTATGATTTTGGAGAATAGCGGGACCCTGACGGGGCCCCCTAAGAAGAATCCCCTTATATGAACGTCACATTCTCTCGGGTACAGGAATGGCACGTACCTGGGGTAGCATAACGGACATAGTCGTGATAGGCCCGGGCATGAAGTGAAGGTGGGGTATGTCGGAAAGTGGCAGGGAGAGATAAGAGTCGAAGAGCCATTCACGGGAGTATCGCCCTCGACGTCTGCGTCGGCATCGCCTGCAGGTTGCGAGAAAGCGGCTAGGGACAGCGTCAACGACGCCGGGCGAAATAATTGTGGACAAGTCTTGGATGCGGTGTGCATCGTTCTGCCTGTTCGGGATGTTCAGGAGGCAGGTGTGGCGCTGGGTGGCGAGAGCGCGGGCGGGCCTCGGCGGGCCGACGGCGGCAAAGCTCCTTGTTCTCTCGCCACACATTGCACGACCGTCTCCACTGCCGTTGCTGTCGAGCTCAGACAGCGTCTCATGCTCGTCTGTCGGCATTTATCATAACACAGGATGGGTGGAAATCAGTCAGTGCCGAAGATCACCGCACAGGACAAGGCAATCTTGGAGTGCGTCTCTCGACCCCCATGAGGCGTATGCATCCGACTCTCAACTGCCTCACTTTAGCTTGAAGCTACAGCGTGATAAGCTGAGGCAGTATCAGAAGAAAGTATGTCTCACCTTACAGACGACTATCATTTTCTCCCTGATATCTGGCTCTCTTTCATAGCTCCAGGCCGTCCTTGATCGCGAGCAGGAGATAGCCAAGCAGCACTTGGCCAAAGGCCAGAAAGATCGTGCGCTTGTGGCCCTGAGGAGACGAAAGTATCAAGAGACATTACTAGTGAAGACGGATGGTCAGCTAGAGAATTTGGAGCAACTAGTATGTGTGTTCATTGCCTTGGGCCACGGCGGAATTAACTGGTTGTGTATTCGGCGCTAGGTCTCTACTATCGAGTTCTCGCTCGTCGAGGTTTCAGTACTACATGGGTTGAAGCAAGGGAATGAAGTCTTGAAAGAGATTCACAAAGAAATGAATCTAGACAGCGTCGAGAAACTCATGGAGGAGACGGCAGAGGCTCGCGCATATCAACAGGTATACCAGATACCCATCCCATACGCCGAATTAACTGCTCATAATTCTGGACTTTGCACAGGAAATCGGTGACATGCTGGCCAATAATCTCTCCCTGGACGAAGAGGATGCAGTGCAGGAGGAACTGAAGGCACTACAGGAACAGGCGGTATGATCCCAGTCTCGTCTCCATCGTGGGGCACGATACTGACAGCTTGTTGATAGATGCTGGAGGAGGCACACAAGACAGTTTCTGGCCTTCCTTCCGCTCCAGTAACTCAACCTATGCCAGCCGATCGCGAAGGTGTGTACAGTCTTCTTCGCTTCCTTGTACCCCCATTGAGACCTTGCTGTACCAGACGTACTGGTGGCGCCTGAACCAGAACCTGAGCGTGAGCGAGAACGAGTGCCAGTAGCGGCGTGAGTGCTAGAGCTTTGTATACACGTACGTAGACTTGAGACTGGACATGGTTATTTATTTCATCTATGTATATTAATCACTTTCATCACGCTGAACTATTACACCTGTTCGCGTTACTTCAGAGCGACACGACACTTCATTGACAGCATCCCGTGAGATCGTCAACAAGCAGTCCATTACGATGGTGATACATACACAAGCAAGAACTAGAAATTCGAGAAATCTCCAAAGCCCAGCTTACGCTTCTTGCTGTCTTCCGACTGAGCCCCAGCAACAGCGGAAGCCGGCCGCTTCAGGCTAAGATACTTTCCGACGCCACCACCACTACCTGTGGTGTCGGACGTCTCTAGTCCAACCTTGAGCCCGAACCAGTTGACGTCGTCTCCTTCCTTCTTCTCCTCTACTTTCGGAGTCGGATTCTGTTCTGCTTCTGCTCGCTTGGCCAACTTTTTGGCCAACCGTTTCTTGTAGTCCTCGAAAGGGTCCTGGTAACTGTTGCAAAAGAGCAGAAGCGCATACACTGAGTTCATGGATGAGGTGGAAGAAGCGAGCAAAGGACGTACATGATCACTTCGGTTATCCGGACTTCTTTCAGAGGCCGCTCAGTTCCAGCCTTCAACGTTAGTTTCTCCAGTGCGTTCAGAACATCGTCGCCACCGACTAACTTTCCGAATACCGTATGCTTGTTGTCCAAGTGTGGTGTAGCTCGGAAAGTAAGATAGAACTGAGAACTGGGTGCTCGCTTTCAGCATTGAAACGACATGCGATTGTGGCGGAACTACTGACCCGTTCGTGCTAGCACCCTTGTTGGCCATCGCTAGCGTGCCCCGGCTGTCATGCTTCGCAGCTCCCTTGAGGTCATATTCATCACGGAAAGGAGTCCCCCAGTATGATTGTCCTCCAGAGCCAGTGCCTGCTGGATCGCCTGTTTGAATCTGGACAGAGCAATGAGCATGAGGTAGGGTGAGCAATGAGATGGCAACTTACCATGAATCCGGGGACTAGGCGGTGAAATAGGCAATTATTATATTTTCCCTCTCGTGCAAGCATGAGGAAGTTGTAGCATGTTTTTGGGGCCTTATACGGGTGTCAATTGTTGCTGTCAGGATGAGGTGATGATAGAAACGTACTTTCTCGCAGAAAAGTTCCAGGTTCAGACTCCCTCCAAGACTAGTGACGACGCGAACGTACGCTCGACGTTTGCCTATATCCTTCTCTTTCCCCTTTCCCTTTGCAGGCTTTGAGACATCGTCAAACATGAGTTCCTCTTCGTCCCATACGAGTTTGGCAGCTTGTGCATTTGGGTCTACCGAAGTAGACGTGAATGAAGCGCCCTGTTGCCCAGATGAGTAAGGAGAGATGTTCCCTGTAAAATAACTTGTATGAGTGGAATGAAGTAAGAGAGGCACAAGAGGAAGTGCGGACAAGGTACAGCCTCTTTCTGAACAGCTGCAACTGGGCCAGCTTTCGCCACAGCAGTCTTTTCCTTGTCAGTCTTCGAAGTTGAGGCCGCCTTGGCGTTGGAAACTGAGACCGTTGGCATTCCATGAGGGTTCTGAAGCGTGATGACATCCTCTCTATGCACATTCGCCCATGTTAGAACTATGCCGCAGAGATCAGAACGAGGATGAGGTCGACGCACTTTTTGAAACGCACGTCATTCACTAGGTCTTTCCCTCCCTTGATACTTTCCGCGAGGAAGACATTGCCAGTGGATGCGATAGCCACTATGTGCGAGTGTTCGCTGAAAGGTTTGAAGGTTATGGGGTCGTGGTATTCACCGGAGGCTTTGCGGGAGTAGTGGAGGGTTATGAGGTCAGAGGGTTTCAGAGGCTCCTTTGTGACGGGATTCGTGTTATCGTGTTGTCTAGGAGGTTATCAGTCCAAAGGTTCGAGGTATGGAGGGCAAGTTGTACGCACTTTAGCCATGGAATGATGTTCGTCAGTTCAAACACGTTGCCTGTTCCATCATCATTTCTGGCGCATACTGGGTGGTTGAATGGCTGGAAGGAAAGTGAACAACAGTCGAAAGGTGTCAGTGCTCCGCGACTGGGGCCTTCCTGCTTCCTGTCGTATACTCCGTTAGAACACAGGCAGAAAGTGAAGAAGAGTGAACCCCACGAACGCTCTGAATCCTCCAGAGGAAGCAGTATGTTGCCCAAACATCCCTGAGTGCTCTGCATGAGTGACATAGAGCTTGTTGGAGTTTCCGTGGCCCATTGCCTATGCCGTGTATATGAAGGTTTGAAACAGCAGTGTGGGTCGTGGTAAGTTATGTGTTGAGTTGAGTGGTGGCGCAGAGGCAAGAGTTGAAGCGCCGCCGGTCCAGACGTTGCTCTTCTCCAACCAGTCGAGTATTTATTCATCTTTTCCGTCGGTTTTGCTCGCAGAGTACGTCTAAGACTCTTAGAGGTCTGTACACTGCCCACGCTGTAATCTTCCTTCAAATCGTCTCTATCATATTCTAAAAGTCTGGATTCCTCTTAGGCAAATTCCCCTCGCATGCTCACTCGTTATGCCATACCTGCTTCCCCCACAGGCCTACTTTTCGATTTCCTCGCACCAAATGCTGTTCTTCGAAGGCCCATCAGCTATCAACCCGAACAAAACTCTAACACGGCGACCAAGAGGCGGGGTACACCGACGTCCTCTCCAAAGCCTGCTCTGTCTACACACACCTCTCCTGCACTCATAGCATCACACGGGCTGCCCTCGAGACCCTCTAATGTCACCGCCTTCCATGTCCCTCAACCACTCAGCGATGTGTCTTCTTCAACCTCCGAGTCCAGCATTCAACAGCGAACGCGGGTGGCACACAACACATCTCCCGGTGCTCTTCAGACACCATGGCATTCCCCTACCATACCCATCTCTCACCAAGCTCGCGAGCCGCTTACAATTCGTCCAGAAACGAGGCCAAAATCTACTTTCAGACCAATCTCGTCACCATCCCCAAGGTCGCCACTGACGTTTGCCTTGTCCGCATTTGCTTATAAAGCCTCATATCACCCCATCCTGATTCCTCAGAGGTCCTATTCTAACCCACGGAAGACTCTTTCTCAGAAGTATCCTACACCATCTCGACGACCAAATACGCCTCCGACACCTCCACGCTTCGTCACACCAGCGAAGGCTGTCAACTCTGGTTTCGGTGACCCCAATCCAGAAGCCGGTGGCCCCAGCGTTGTCGTCTCTCCAAGTAATCAGGCTCATGCCTTTCACGCCGAAGTACAGGGTCTTCAAGATGCCCTATGGCAAAAGGACGTCGCTTCCGCTTCGTCTAGTTGGGCATCGTTGGAAGCCTCCAAGCGACTTCACCTTCTGGGACCGGCAGAACTCGAACGATGCTCCAGACTTATCTCAACCGTCGTTCCCTCCGATACGTCCAAATCCCTAGAAGACCACGACCGTACAGCTCTGGAAAACATTGCGGTCTATGCTGCTACGGGACGCGCTACCTATGCTCTTCGTACATTCTTCATGTATCACCTCCAGCGAGACGATTCCGAGGCTATTCTATCCCTTTACGATCGATTCTTGACGAGCGTCCGGACGCGACACGCCATAACGAACGAAGTTTTGGAGGAGCAGGAAGAACTAGACGATGAAGATACCGCTTTGGCATCGACGTCATCCCCGAGCTCTTCCCCACAGATCATGTACTCAGAATTCCTCATATTCGCCATCGCCGCACACGCTCTTCGCAACGACATGCCGGCTGCTGCTCAGACCGTCCTACAGTCTCCTTTCCGACTCCCCTACCGGACCGCCCTTAGCCTCATCCGCACCTTCAAAAAGCAAGATAAATTCGTACATTTCTTCGAACAAGCTAGATTGGCCGGACTCGTCGCCCATCCTCCCGCTCTGATGAGCCACGTATCTAAATCCGTCACCGCTAAGGCTGTCGCCCATCTCGAGAGAGTCTACAACGGCATCATCGCAGGCCTCGCGGACGATCCACCATGGCTATCCGCGTCGACTACCGCAGACCCTGCTCTTCCCGTTGTTGTTGAGTCGATCTGGATGGCATTTCTGAAAGCTTTCTTGGAGTTGGGTCGGATTGACTGGGCGGAACAGCTATGGAATGACATGACCAAGGCTGGGATCCGGCCTTCGGTCGCTGTGTGGAATGTCCTCCTCCAGGGTATCGGATCCACTCGTGACTGCTCGCGCGTCATGCAGTTGTGGGATATTATGTGCTCGCAGGACGTGCAACCCGATGGATGGACGTACCAGGCGGTCGTCATTACCCTCATGAGGAACGGAAGGATGCCCGAGGCTGAAGAGAAGTTTAAGGAGTTCCACAAGGAGGCCGCTAAGAAGAAGGAGCTGTTGTCAGACACGACGGCGGTCGAGTCGTTATATAACGCGATGATTTCCGGATACCTGTTCAACAAACGCGAGACCGAGGCCGACGAGCTTTTCGAGAAGATGAAGGCGGAAGGACCGTCGCCATCTATAGTCACGTACAACACTTTCATGTCTCATCATCAACGGCTGGGAAACTTCAAGGCCATTTCCTCGACGCTGCAGGCTATCAGAGCAGCCGGTCTGAAGGGCGATCCGCACACGTTCTCTGCCCTGCTCATGGCGTTGCTCCAGATTGTCCCTCACACAGAAGCCGTCACACGGACTAGGCGAATCATGCAGGCGCAGGGGGTAAGGCCCGACGCCATCATCTACTCGACGGTGATCAGCCACCTGCTCCGTGAACGCGAGCCTCAAAACCTCAAGGCCGCGATGGACTTACTCGCCCAGATGGAGGCGGACGGGGATCCCGAACTGCATCCTACCGCGGGAACTTACACTACCGTCCTGCTTGCCATCCACCGTTGGGAAGGACTCGCTGAAAACCTCGTAACGGACTACACGGACTACCTCACTCGGCGCATGCGAGCGAGGAAGATGCCGATGAACCAGGCGGCCTATAACGCGCTCATCAAGGCCTGTCTCGCGAACCGCGAGTCGACAGGTATCCGGAGCGCACTTCGATACTATCGGGAGATGGTGACGAAGAGGGTGGAATTGACGCAGGATACGTGGTATATACTGATACACGGGTTACTGTTCAGGAAGGAGATCGGGCTGGCGAACCAGTTGGTGGATGAGTTGGAGGCGTCGGGGTTCAAGGTTAAGGGTTCGCTGGCGAGCATGGTGGCGTCGGCGAGGGCGCAGGCAATGGCTGAACGGAATACATATTATTGAATATAATTGGTTCAATGTCTCGTAGCGTATGCGGTACAGACCGACTGTCATGAGAAAGCTAGATGTCGTTCTCCCACAAAGAAGGATTTCCCGAGACCGAAACGGAGATAGCGAGCATACGCTGAATAATAGCATGAGTTGTGAGCAATACGGACAAGAAGAAAGCGAGCTCACCCCAGTAACTCCAACGCCTGCCTAACCACTTTCCGAAATAGGGCATAAGGACGATGGAAACGAGTTGGGTGAGTTGTGCAAGACTCTCCTCCCACTCCTGCTGGGCTAGCTGGTACTCATCGTCCGAGTCGAGGGAGTCGTCTGAGGAAGCGGTCGAGTCGAGGGAGATGACTGAACGAGCCATGGTTGTTCGACTGTGGCCCTGCTGACGACTCGCAAACAGCACGGAACGCGCGCGGTCGGCACGGGCCGACGGGGATCATAGCAATTGGAATTGGCTCCGACGACGTCGTTCGCGGAGTGCGACCGACAGCGCCTGCAAGTTCCCCACCACCGTCACGCCCTCGCTCGCCATCGCTTTCAACGACGCCGAGCACGTCGCCCATGCGCCATGGACATACCAGTGCCCCGTCCGCCGCCATCCAACCGACGGCTAGTCGGCCAGCCCCTCCTCTACTCTATCTCCGTCTTCGCCTCTCTCGGCGTATTCTTGGTTAGTCCCTGTCACACCCACACGCCGTCGACATAGCTGACCCCCTTCCCCAGTTCGGATATGATCAAGGGTGCGCTTCTGCGCGAATTCTGCCTCTGGGCCTTTTCAGAGCCTCGTCTGACGCTATATATCCAGTGTCATGTCCGGGATCATCACTGGTCCCCACTTTCGAACTTTCTTCAATGCTCCCGGTCCCGTACAGCGGGGGACTATGGTCGCAGTCCTCGAGATTGGTGCTTTCAGTATGTCCTTCCAACCCGTCGAGACTTGCATGCGATGTTCTTATATTCGCCATCACAGTCACCTCTCTAGCCGCCGGTCGCATCGGCGATTCGATAGGACGAAGAGGAACACTCTTCAGTGGAGCCGTCGTCTTCGCACTGGGCGGCGCTCTTCAGACGTTCACCAACGGTTTCAACATGATGTGTGCAGGCCGTATCGTCAGTGGCTTTGGTGTCGGTTTGCTCTCGTAGGTATCCTATTCGGACTTATATCGCTCCAGCTAATCATCTTTCAGAACGATCGTGCCTATATACCAGAGTGAAATCTCGCCGCCCAATCATGTTCGTCATGTTCTCCACTCAGGTGTTCGGTTCGCTCACCCCTGTCTAGCGAGGTGCACTGGCATGCATGGAATTTACGGGCAACATCTTCGGTTATGCCTCCTCCGTGGTTTGTATCATCTGCTTACGCACCTGATATTCGGAACACAGCTGACGTCGCGAACAGTGGATTGACTACTTTTGCTCATTCATGGACTCCGACCTCGCCTGGCGCGTACCTCTCTTTATCCAATGCATCATTGGAGCCATTCTCGCCGCCGGTTCGCTAGTCATGCCGGAGAGCCCTCGGTAGGCTTTTATCATCGCATACACGTGTAATCCGCGCACACGATTAACACAAGCCTTCCGTGATCATGTCTTCAGGTGGCTTATTGACGTTGACCGTGACGCTGAGGGAATGCAAGTTCTCGCGGACCTTCACGGGGGAGACCCAGAAGATCTTATTGCAAAAGCCGAGTATCAGGAAATCAAGGACAGAGTCCTACTTGAGGTATGCTGGTTCTCAGCTCGTACTGGACAGAGTTTGACCCTTCGTAGCGTGAATCTGGCGAAGCACGGTCGTATACCGTTATGTGGCAAAAGTATAAGCGTCGAATATTACTGGCTATGTCTTCTCAAGCTTTCGCACAACTGGTGAGTTTCATAGTCAATGAAGCTCTGAGCTCTTTAAGCCTCATTCTTTGATACAGAACGGCATTAACGGTATGTTCCTACGACTTGGTCCGAGCAAAGCGCTGATGCCGAAGGATTGTGGCATGCAGTCATTTCCTATTATGCACGTAAGTGATGTGGAGGTCATCCAACGTGAACTGTACTAATCCTTGTTTGATGTTCTCAGCGAGTGTATTCGAAGGTGCGGAGCGAGCGAAGTGTCAGTCGTAGCTCAGCTGACCCAGCATCATCCCGCAGAGGCCGGTTGGTTAGGACGTCAGGCTATCCTGATGGCCGGTATCAACGCCATCATATATCTTCTGAGTACAATTCCTACGTGCGTCGCTCTCAAGAGGTCATTTAGGATATGCCTTGACATACTTCCTCAGGTGGTACCTCGTTGACCGGTGGGGTCGTCGTCCAATTCTTCTGTCCGGCGCTGTCGTGGTACGTCGCGATTCTCTGCCATGTTTAATTGACTCGCACTCTAATACGATATGCAGATGGGCACCGCGCTGTGTGCCACCGGTTGGTGGATGTATATCGACATCCCGCAGACGCCGAACGCCGTCGTGGTCTGTGTCATCATCTACAACGCGTTCTTCGGATACAGGTATGCATTCTTACCTCTGAGCCACGAATCAAGCTAACTTTGCGTGGCAGTTGGGGTCCCCTGCCCTGGTTGTACCCTCCCGAGGTCCGTCTCTCCGCGATTATCCGTGTCAGCTCGTACTGAGAGCGCCTTCCTAGATCCTTCCCCTCACCGTGCGTGCAAAGGGGGTCAGCATTTCGACTGCCACAAATTGGGCGTTCAATTTTTTGGTGGGAGAGGCGACGCCGTACCTGCAGGAGGTCATCGAGTGGAGGCTCTACCCGATGCACGGATTTTTCTGCGCCTGCAGTTTCGTCTTGGGTGAGTGGCGTCTTGTTTTCGTGAAAATCATTCACTGACAGTCTGGACTATAGTATACTTCCGTACGTTCCTTTCCGTGTAATGCTTTGATAGATACTAACACACCAGCAGTGTATCCCGAAACCATGGGAGTACCGCTCGAAGAGATGGACGCTGTATTTGGCGAAGGTACGTATCACGTGACTGTCTTCTCAAACACCACAAATTGATTTCCTTTTCTTTTTACACAGACGCACGCGAGGAGGAAATCGACAACCTCGAGTCCGAGCGAGCTTCCCTCGTCTCCGGCGCCATCCCTACCAATAGCCACCTCGCGATCAACAACACCTCGTCCGGCAGGGACAGCTCGCCGTCGCAGAGAGGGTGGGTGAGCCGGCTTCTGCGCAAGGGCGACGGACGGGCGCCGTACCAGCCGATCGCGGATGGAGAAGAATAGGAACTTGCGAGGTTGGATGGCGGGAAAGACGGAGACGGAGATGACGAGGGAGACGAGGGAGGAGGCGAACAGAGGCCCGGTAAAAGGCACCGTTACTCTTCTTCTTCGACTGCGTCGTCGGATGAGCGATAATTATTAATTTGTGGGCGGGAAAGGAAAGGAACTCATTATTGCCACTAGCGAGAGAGAGAGAGTTGGATGAATTGAGTTGGCTTTTGGCCCCCCTGGAGTTGTCGTCGTTCGTGTCGCAGGTTCTCTCGTACTACGTCTCTGTCTCATTTCCTCGCGTTCACACCTCGCAATGTAGCCTGTACTTGTTCACTGTTCTGATACGTCGCACGCAGCATCTCTAGTAGTCGACAACCTTCATCATCTTAGCCTTCCTTGCTTTTTCATGCTAATTCCTTTTCGCCAACCCACACCACTGTCGTTGCTCGCCATTTTCGTCTTCCAGTGTTTGTTATACCCTGTCTGCTCTTATAGCTCACTCTTTCCGTAATGCCCTCTTCTTTCGTTTTCTTTCTCGAATGCCCATTTCTCGGCCTCATCCATCGAATCATCGAATCATCCGTTTTATTTATCTTTCTCTCTCTCTCAACTTGCCCCCTTGCCCCCTTGCCCACACGGCGTTGCCCAGACATTTGTGCATCTGAGTAGCTAGCGGTACTGTACCATACCAATGTTTTTTTCCTCCCTCCAACCAACTGCAACAATCATAACGAAATGTTACAAAACATGGTCCGCCTGCCTGCTTCCTTTTGTTTGATTGATGATTCCCCGGAAAGAATTTGGTCACAACCCCAGCCCCAGCTGCGACACGTCCGCGCTCAATTCCCTCCCGAGCACCATCTCCGCCAAAACAAGACCCGTCCCAAGACTCAACGAAATCCCCCAAGGCCCATGTCCCGCACAAACGAACACCTTCCCTCCACCCTCCCCATCCACATCCTCGTCTAAGGCCAACCCCGTCTCTTTCGCCCCAAGCGCACATAACACCGGAACACCCCTCGGCGTAACCGGTCTATGACAAAATCCCTTCTGAATCACCTCGAAGTCAAAGTTCGTTGCCTTCCCTTCCTCACCTTCCTCATCGAGCAATTTTTGAGCGGCCTGGAGGAGGAGCGCGAGTTCGGAGTCGATGGGATGGACGTCGGTGGCGAGAGGGGGGATGGGGACGGAGGAGGTGTTGAGGCCGGCGAGGTAGAGGTCGTAGCCGTGTCCGTGGGGTGAGGAACGGCTGAAGATTTCGGGGGAGAAGTTGAGGGAGGGATAGGTCGTGAACACGGCGTGGACGCCTTCTTCTGCTGCTGCTGTTGCTGTTTGCGCTGAGGGGGGAGAGGTCCAGTGCGGAGAGCGGAGGACGAGGGAGTGTCCGGATAGGGGCGTTATGGGGATCGAGGTGGATGAAGTTGGGAAGAGAGTGCGGAAGAGGGAGGGAGTCCAGACGCCGGCGGTGAGGAGGAGGTGGGTAAAGGGGAGGGTGGTGGTGAGGCCGGTGGTGGAGGAGAGGATGGTGAGGCCGGTGAGGGTGGTGGGGCTGGGCGAGGTGACGAGGGCGGTGGGTGTGGCGGGGTGGTGGATTTGGATGTTGCGGGTTGTGCATTGTTTGAGGAGGAATTGACAGAGTTGGAGCGGGTCTCTAAATAATATGGCATAGGATGAATGGGTTATTGTTGAGGGTAAGTATAAGGAAGTTGGAAAAGCCTACAGCTGAGCGGTCGACGTCCCGTCCGAGATCTTCTCGACCTTAGCTTCAACCAACCCCCGTCCAACAGCCAACCACTTCGGCACCCCAGCCCCCTTCGCCGGTACCGCATCCCCACTCGCCGTCAACGCCCTCGTCGTCCCCTGGTGCAACCAATCCTCGCCCCTCTCCCCCGTCGAGGACGCATGCACATCCGCTATGCTCAACCCCGTACTGGGACTATATGCCCACTGATTCGCGCCGTCGTGCGCTGCGGCGAGGGACTTGTGGAGGTCGAAGGAGAGGGCACCGAGGGAGGAGAGGGCGGGCGAGAACCAGTCGCGCGCGAGGAAACCGGCTGCTTTGCCGGAGGCGGAGGCGAAGAGGGTGGGCGAGGTGTCGACGAGGTGGATGGTGGTGTTGGGCGAGAGCTCGGAGAGGTAGTAGGCGGTTGAGAGGCCTATGATCCCTGCGCCGAGAATGACGACCGAGTTGGTTTCTGAGGAGGACATGTTTGTGTGCTGCTAATAGAGAAGAGGATGGGGGTACTGCAGTACCCCCCGGCCATCATACTTTAAACCATTATACTAGAGTTCATGACTCGGACGAAGGACTGCCCTGGATGAGGCAAGATCGATCCTAGAGCACACAAGTGACGGCTTGGAAGTACGTCCTGGAACGCCGTGAGTTCGCCGTGAGCAGTGGTGGTAGGAGACGGAGAGCCGGACTCGGACTTGACCGCGAACGCGCCTTTTGCTCTTCTTTCTTTTCTACATGCCCCCTCGTCTCGCCGCGACTTCGACAACTCGTCTGTTTACTTCACCTGTTCATTATTCTTCACGGTCGTTTCGTTCATCCCCCCAAATATTACAATTACATCCATCCGAATCTACCCCAACATCAGAACATTCACGCACTCTCGAACCGTCCGTAGACGCCACACCACCCGCCCCCTCAACATCGCGCTCCCAATGGACGAAAGACATCGCGAAACCCCTCTCCAAAAAACGGCCACAGAAACGAAAGACTGAAGAGGCCCCTGCAGCGAAACCGTCCTTCACAGGCCTCGGCCTCTCCATGCCCATCATCCTCACCCTCAAAGCCACCTTTCCCAACGTCCGTGAGGCGACGGAAGCGCAGAGGCGTTTCATACCTGCTATTGTCCAGGGACGGCAGGATGTTTTGTTGAAAGGTCAGACTGGGAGCGGAAAGTGCGTTGTCTCTACATTCTTTTCTCTGCGACGTTGGGTCATGATGTTGATAGTCATACAGGTCTTTCGGAATCATGCTGGCTCTAATGAGTAAACCACTCCCGGACAACTTCCTCATCCAGAAACTCTCCAGAAAGCCCATCACCTCCCTCCTCCTCGTCCCACATGCAGACTTGGCGCACCAATACCTCCACTGGATCTCACGCATGGTGCGCGCAGCCGACCCTTCCCGCTCCATCGACTCCATCGCCCAAGTCATCGTCCGTGGCGACTCTTCCCCAGACCTAGTAGCCACCCAAATCGTGAAACTGCGCTCCGAGCCCCCTTTCATCCTCATCGGGACCCCACAGGCCATCCACGACGTAGCTCAAAAAGATCCCGGCGCACTCGGGATCCAATACCTCTCCACCGTCGTCGTAGACGAAGCAGATTTCCTCATCCCGTCCGTGCCATCGCATACGCCGGAGAAGAAACGCGAGCAGTTGAGGAGGAGGATCGAGATGCATCCGACGCTTACGAAACAGTTGCTTGATGTGGTTTATAGGTCGAGGATCAGGTCGGACGATGGCGAGGAGACCGGGAGTGCGCTTAGGCCGTTGCCTCAGTTGGTGATGTGTAGTGCGACGCTTAATACGGGTCTTAGGGCGTATATTGCGCAGAACCGGTGGATGAAGCAAGGTGTCAATGATGTCGTCAAGATTTCGGACGGTCAAGAGGATGCTTCGAGACGGTCTCAGTCAGAGGAGGAGGAGGAGGAGGAAGAGGACGAGCGGACGGCGCGGGCATATTTGGGGCCGAATATCAGTCATAGTGTGCTCGTCGTTTCTGAGGACGGCCAGGTGAAGAACATCGCGGGTGCGGTGGACGAGTCCGAGCCTGCCGAGGAGCAAGAGCAGGACCGTCATGATATCGATATTGAGGCTGTAGCTCAACATACTCACGAACCTACAAGTCCCGAAACGGACACCGCATCTGAATCACTCGAGAAGCTGCCGGACGACGTGGTTCTGAGTGCGCACCACATATGTTGCATCTGCTCTTCTTTGATGTGCTGATTCGCGGGCTATGTTTGCGTTTGCGTCTGTATCCAGGGTATGAGATGACGCCGAGCCCGTACCACGCGCCCTCGATGGAGACATTGGCCGAGATCTTCGCGGTCAACGTGCCCCGCGTGGCCCTCCTTGTGCTCTCCGCGTCCTCGTCCATCCCCCGTGCGGTGTACGACCTCCAAGCTTTAGGCGTGAACGCACGCGCACTGGACCTCCTATCCCCACACGGACGGGACCATCTCCTCCGTGCGCAGGACTCAAATGACCCATCCTCACCAGCAGCAGGGTACGACGCAGAACCGACTCTGCTGGTGTCGAACCTGGCGGTCATCAGGGGCTTGGACCTCCCTGAGCTCTCGCACGTCTTTTTACTGGGCGTTCCTGAGGCGGCACGGAAGGGGGACAGTTATCTGCATATTGCGGGGCGGGTGGGGCGGTTTGGAAGGAGAGGGCGAGTGGTTACGATTTTGAGGGCTGAACCGTATGAGGAGGGTGGGCGGAGGATGAGCGAGACGAGGGAGATGAGGAAGTTGTTGCAGCAGATTCGGGTCGTGCCCGTGAAGTACGACTATGTCGAGCAAAAGTAGAGTAGAGTACATACGATACGAGATACATAATTATATTTTGGTGTAAGGAACACATAAGGAACATGTGCGAGGAACGGGGTGTGGATGACGCAGTGAAACATATGAAATTCGCGCAGCTGTAGGAATTTGGGAGGCGTCGTCGTTGTCTCCCACCCACCACCACCACGTCCTTCACGCTCTCTACCGTGCCTTTCTACGTCACCGTGTCCGCCGCCCACGAGCTGAGGCCAGCAAAGCCAAAGGCTCGTCAAGGCGACGCTTTGACTGGGCGATTATTGAAGTGGGAACTTTCGGATCGGCTTGCGTTCGCCTAACTGAGTTTAATCACAAAGTCCCACAAGCTTTGCCCTTCTGCATCCCACCCGCTCGTCCCTCCTTCCTCCCGACCACCATGGCCTCCCTCCGTTCCCTCCTTCTCCTCTTCGCCCTCGCCCTCGCTTCCGTTCTCTCCGTCGTTGCCCAGTCGTCTTCGTCAAACTCGTCCAGTTCTACCAGCTCCTCATCGCTCTCGCAGACGACCTACCTCACCACCAGCTTTATCTCTACGACTATCGCGACCCAGTCCGGAGGCTCGACCGTCCAAGTGCCTACGTCCGTACCCACCACGCTCAATGTCACCTCCACCATCACCCCCACCTCTACCTCCGCCTCCGCCACTTCCTCCGCATCCGCCTCGGCCACCGCCACACCCATAACTCTCGCCACCGTCCTCGATCCTGCCTTTGGTGTCCTGGGAGGTCTGCTCATCATCACCGGCCTGCCCAGTGCTTTCTTGGGTCACAAGAACCGATGGTGAGTGTCCTGTCGTCGGGGGTCCATCCTCTTTCCGTTGGCTAAACGGTTCCATGATTAGGTCGTCCTTCTTCCTTATCGGCTGCTATACCCTCTCCCTCGTCTGCTTCGTCCTCATCCTCAAGTTCGGGATATTGAACGCCGTCAATCCACCCAGTAAGACCCTCCGAGGCATGTTCGTGCTCGCGTGTAGCGTGGCTGGCATCGCCGGAGGGGGTATCTCCATCTTTTTTTGGAAGGCGACGCGGTTCTTTATTGGCGCCTGGGGCGGCTTTGCGTTCGCGCTTTGGATCGAATGTTTCAGAGACGGCGGCCTCATACATACCATCGGTCTCCGCTGGATTCTCTTCATCGGTCAGTACCCATCTTGTCGAGCCCGTCTATCTGTTGTTTGTGTAGCTTATCAAAGTGCTATATATAGGATGCGCCGTTGCGGGCTTTGTGCTCTGCACCATCCAGAAGATTCACTATCACGTCGTTTTGGTCTCCACCGCGTTCGTCGGTAGCTCGGCCATGATGCTCGGTGTGGACTGTTTCACGTCGGCGAACCTGAAGGAGGTAAGCATAACTATAATTATAAATTCGCGCTTCCATCTCGCTCCAACCCCCACCCCCCTCCTGACATCCTTCCCTACTATGTTCACAGTTCTACATTTGGAACCTCGGATTCTCCTCGCTCTTCCCGAAATACACCAACAACGGTATCCAGTTCCCCGTCTCGCAGACGATGGAGATCGAGCTCGGTCTCATCGGCGCCATCGCCCTCATGGGCGTCGCCGTCCAGCTCCGCATCCTCAAGCTCCTCCAACGGAAACTGAAAGAGATCAAGGAAGAGCAAAAACGGCGGGACGCGGAGAACGACAGCAAGGAGGCCGAACGCTTCTCACGCCTCCCACAGGAGCTCGCAGAGTGGGAGAAGGAGCACCCCATCGACGGCAAGCACTGGCGTCAGAACAGCGAGTTCTCCTCCGTGCCCCTCATGCAGCATAATGCGACGGACTCGCCCGGGACCCCCGGGACCCCTGAGCCGATGTTTGCGCGTAATCGGAATCCGTCCGAGACGTCGCAGCTCATGTTGGCCCCTCCCTACCGCGCACAGAGCCCAGGCGCGCTGCCTGCGCTCGATCTGGGCCTCGACATTCAGGAGGACGTCCCGAAGGGGTTCATGGCAGATGTTGGGGACGACACGAAGGAGTCCGCGTCGAATGGGTCCGAGGCGAAGAAACGCAAGACGGAGCTCGAGGCAGAGATCAGCACCCTTCGTCGGTCGATCGACCTCTTGGGCGACTCGCAAGCCTCGTCCGCGTCTGGCTCTCGTCACCCCTCTCTCACCTCTCGTCGGACGCTCAGCTACGACCTCAACAACGCCGTCCTTCCTGCTGCTTCTCACTTACGCCCCCCCAAAGTGAACGAACAACGCAGCCGCGTGCAATCCATGGAACTGTCCACCCTCACCAGCAGTCAGCAGGCCGGGAATTCCATTGGAAGGCCGACGAGTGCGCCTCTGCGTAATCAGGACGATTGGGACGCGTACGTTCGCGATCGTAAGATCCTACAGCCACCCTCTGGTCCCTCGGCTCCGATCGCGACGACGCCCATCAGCATGCCCATGCCGGCACCTGCGCCACGTCTGACCGTTCCCCCTGCTGTGCATGAGGCTCTCCTTCGGCGGGGTCAGCGCGAAGGTATCTTGGACGGGGAAGGTGGTGTGCCTCTGGTTTCTCCGGTGATGGATGCTGAAGGGGCTCAGTTCTTGGGAGCAACGTCGAGACATCGCCACCACCGCACGAACTCGTCGAATGTGCCTCACAATAATAATAACAATGGTGGCAGTTCAGCCGCTGTGAACGTCTTGCCTCCCAGGAAAGGAACGTCGCCGAACGGTGGCAGCCCGAACGGACCTCATCATCCCCCTCGTACCGTCACTTATGAGGAACTCACGGAGAGGCATCGCGAGAAGCTGCGGGAGCTTCAGGCGCCACTCACTCAGGCCGAGAAAGAGCACGCCGAGCTCGAGGCGGCAAAGGCGAGGTGGGAGCGCTCGAAGGCGGTGGAGAAGCAGGCGGTTATGAAGAGGCAGGCGGAACAGGCGAGGTTGAACGAGAAGAAACAGCAGCAGCAGCGGACGGGTGCTGGTGCTGGTGCTGAGGACGCGCAAGGGCACGGCGATAAAGGAAATGCGCATTCTCGCTCACCGAGCGCCGGTGTGGGGAGGCCCGTCACGCATACGAAGAGGCTGTCGACGATGAAGGTCGAGGATTGGCAGAGGTATCAGTCGGATGTTGAGTTGCAGCGGTCGACTCAACAGCAGCAGAAGCCTTCCCCGAGTCGTAGACAGAGCGCGGTGCCGTTCCCTGATCAGCCGAGGGGGCAGCAGCAAAGGCCTAACCATGAGCGGAAGGGCAGTCGCGGTCTCTCGGGGGTGTTGCCGCCGAACTGATCGTTTTTGTGAATTGTGACCACCGCGGTGCATAGTGGATTTATTGGTCACTTTGTTCATGGACTGCACGTAACCTTTTCATTGTTGTTTCTTGGTACATTGTACGTTGACGTCGCCGTTGACATTGTTCGGGTATCGGTTTTCGGATTCTTTCTTGGCTCGCTTCCCCTCTCTTTCAGTACGTTATCCTCTTTCCTTCGCTTCCTTCAATTCGTCCATGTCAATGCGCTACCGTCGCCCGCCATGACCTGGTATTCTTTTTTTGTTGCAAAAACCCTAGTCCTCTCCTTCCATGTCACTCTTCTCCTCTACTCTTGGACTTTCATTCATTCTCTCTCTCTCGGTTGTTCGGTTTATCTTAATCGATAGCGGAATCACGGACAGCACAGTAACCAGTAACTCAATCTCTTCCTCCATACCTCCCCTCCCTTCCCACCACCAACCCCTTTCTCCCCACACCACATCTGTTCATCACTCATGACATCTCACCTCACCTCACATCCGTCTATGGACCCTCTGCACTTTTATATTTCTGAACATCCGAATGTTTGTCGCAGCATCACGCATCGTTAGTTAGTTAGTTAGTAGTAGTTGTACATACTTTCTCCTTGTCACCTCCAGTAGTCCAGTAGTAAGCAGTTGGTCGAACCCGTCCTGTCCCCCTCACGCCCCCCTCGTTTAGACGTTCGATATTCATGTAACCCACCATATCCCATATCGATTCTTCCGGACACATTTCTCACATTACGGTCTGAACCATTATTAGCTACATAGCATCATCATTCATCTTTATTTTGAGTACTCGATACGTCGTACATCGCGTTTGTGTTCTGTTCTGTTCGCAAATATACCTGTAAGGCGGGGGTTCTGACGCAGAGTCGACCCCGTCGTCACGCATAGTTAAAGTTAAGTTTGGTACGATATTTTGCTGTCTTGAGTCGATGTTTGTTGGCTGAGTCTTTGGACGTTATTTAAGTTTCCGTCTCGCGTCTTGTGATAAAATCATTGATGATGGTTCACGTTGATAGCAAGAGGTTATCCACCATTTGACGGACAGGAGGTAGTTATACGAGAGGCGAAAGACGCAATGAGTTGCATATGGATATGTATATCACAGAGACCACCGTTTGCGCTGGTAATCCAAAAGAATGGGTATAAAGTCGAGCAGACCGAAATCGGGCCAGTACGTGTCTGAGAACTGGATCTGTGTGTCTTCGCAGCACTGGGAACGAGCGAGACGTGACGTGGCGCGGGCGATTCCGAGAGGTCAGTGGTCAGTATGATGGTGATTTCAAGGCTCGAAGATGGGAGTAAGTATAGGAGTGCGAAGGGGGACGGGGATGAAGGTGAGGACAGGGATGTAGGAGAAGAAGGTGGGTGCTGGCAGATGTGTCATTCGTGAATCTAACTCTCACCTGCCAGAGGAGATAGTCGCTCAGGCGCTTGACGCCGCTGGTGCGGATGAGAATGTCGAGCGGGGGGCTGCCGCCTTTTGAGGTCATCAGGTGAGCGTCGATGTCTTTTTCTGAGATTGAGCTATGATGATGATGAGGAAGGGGACGGGAGGTCGATGTATTAGTGAATAGTGAGTTGATGCCAAAATGAGGGACAAAGGTGAGCGTACGCGTTGTTGTGATCTATGGAGTCGTCTATTGAGGAACGTACGGCTGCGGCGATTTCGTCGCGGGAGGTGTAAGGCATGCATAGGTTCAGAATAGCCCTGTGGAGGTACCAAGCAGTCATGATTCAGCGCTGAATAGTATCAAAATTTCGGACGAAAGCGATCTTTACCTGTTATTATACTTGGTCATTTCTTCTGCCTTCCGAGCTGCCTCAAGGACATCCGGTGGTAACAGGCTCACGTTGCCTACGATATTCAAACGGACGCTGTATTCCTGCAATAGATCCCTGTGGAGTGTGTATGATCAATTTCTGAGCGGTATGATTGACGCCAACCAACGTCTCCGGGAAGCGAGTTACGACCTGAAATTCCATACTCAAGGCTCACTCACCCTTGTTGACAGAGTTCTAAGAGTTTGCTTCGAGCGAGTGTCATGAGAGCCTCGACCTCCTCCGGCGAACGCTTGAAGTTCTCGATGGAGAAAGCATATGCTGAGACGCATGTAATATTCAGACGCATGCAGATTTCGAGCATCTGTTATGTTTGCACGAGGAGGTCAGTTTTCTTCAAAATTACAAGAAAGAGCAAGACAGTTAAGAAATGTTTTCCCACTCTTCTCAAGGCAACGAATCCTTCCGCATGTCCTTGCTGCACTTGCTTGTGCAGCCGACGTGCGTAGCGCCGGTTACCATCCATAACGAACGCGACATGTCGTGGAATGGGACCGGCCGCTAAGACATTGATGAGCCCCAGTTTAGCTTTTTCAGTGAGCGTGGTTTGGAGCCATGAGGTGCATTGAGTGAGATATCCGAGCACCATGTTCTGGAGATGTGCGGGCTACGTGGAAGAGTGGGGAAGCAAGTTCGTTTCAAACTCCGATGTGCAGCGTGGAGCAATCTTAGGGCCGGAGTTCCAATCCGATTTCCGAGTGGCGCGCCCCTCTGCAGAGTCGTCCACCTCTGTATGGGGCTCCAACCCAGTCTAAACTTCATAAACTGAATTCACCGATGCATAATTTTACTCTTCACATAGCAATGCACGAAATCCCCCGGCTACATATCTTCATCCGCACACGATCTCCCTTCTTTTCTTCCTCTGGCTGCTTTCGCAGCTGTCGAACCATCCCCGTGAACACCTTCTCTAAATTCTGTGCCGTCTTCGACGACGTCTCAAGAAACTCGCAGCCGAGCTCTTTCGCCTTTGCGACCCCCTCGTCATGACTAACCTCACCCTCAAAACTCTGTTTATCTAGTTTGCTCCCAACTAGGATGGAAACAGGTTTGGCTAGTCCCCTTAGAGCGGCATATTCTAGTGATGCCTGGTGATAGATGTCGATGTCATCAAATGAAGCGCAGGAAGCAATAGAGTAGATGAACAGGAAACCATCGCAGTCCCTGACGGGGTATAGAGTCAGCTTTGAATAGCGTAGTAAAAGAACTTGATATGAAGGAAATAATCACCTGAGAACTTGATGGTCGCTCGAGAAAGGGTTTGACTTCCAGTGCGGATCGAGTATTTCGAGGAAGCACATCTTGCTATCGACGACGAGCTGCTTTCGAAATGCCTCGTAAGCTTCTTGTTCTTCTCCCATCTGGTGCACGGAAGTCATGATGAGTGGAGGACTCTGACGTGTGGCATGATTTATGTTGTTTAGTTTTGGAACGTGCCACCATATCTGAGAATCGAATTTCATCAGTATGTTTGTAAGAGAACTTGATCGTGAGGACTCACCAAGTATGCAGTTCATCGTGAACTGTAAGTTATAATTAGGGCGAACCATACGCCATAAACAAAGGATCGGGCTGCACCTGCGTTGCCAGTGTGGTCTTGCCAACATCGTGATCACCCAGTAAACCGATTCGCCAGTGATCCATTTCTTTCAAATGTGGGCCCGAGGAAACGCCGTAAAGGAAGGTGAGATAGGAAATGTCTGAAGGACCCTATATATACCTGGCAGGAGAGATGCGAGTCATTGTCGTCTGTGGGTCGTGTGAAGAAGCGAGGCGGGGGCCTGTTTAGCATCTCAGTTGAGCCACAGTCTTCGACGACATGGTAAGGCAACGCCGAAATCCTGTAGCTACGACTTCTCGTAACCGATTGAACTACTTACCCTAGTTTTCAAAGAAACTGTTCATCTTACAGAATATTTCTCAGTTGTGTTTGCGGTAAATTAGGATTTACAGCCTATGTGTAAGTTGACTCTTCACATAACAATGCACGACCTCCCCCGGCCCAGCATCACCCTACGTGTCTTCGGCGGCACATGGTCTCCCTTCTTTGCTGTCCCTGGCCGCTGTCGCAACTGTCGAATCACCTCCATGAACGCCCTCTCTACGTTCTGAGCCGTCTTCGCCGACGTCTGGAAAAACTGACAGCCAAGCTCTTTCGCCTTTGCGACCCCCTCGTCACGAGTGACCTCACCCTGATAACTTTGTTTGTCCATTTTGTTCCCGACTAGGATGAAGACCGGTTTGGTTGGTCCCTTTAGAGCGGCAGATTCTAGTAATGCTTGATGATAGACGTCGATACCATCAAATGAGGTGCGGGAAGCGATGGAGTAGATGAGCAGGAAACCGTCGCATTCCCTGGCGTAGGTTGAAGAGAGTCAGCATTGGATAGGGTAGACGATCTTGATGTAAATAATGCCAAAGAAAACAAAATATTACTTGAGAACGTGGTGGTCGCTCTGAAGAGGTTCTGACTTCCAGTGCGGATCGAGTAACTCGAGGAAGCACATCCTGTTATCGACCACGAGCTGCTTGCGAAATGTCTCTTCTTCTTCTTCTGGCGTCTGTGATGCGCAGAAACCATCATGAGTGAAGGACGAAGTGTAGCGTAACCTATGCGGTCTAGCTTTCGAACGTACCACCATATCTGAGAATGGAATTGCATGAGGATGGGCCGCGACGTTTATGCGAGAAGTTTATCGTGAGGACCCACCAAGAAAGCAGTTGAGGGTGAACTGTAACATATCGTTATAATTAGGACGAACAGTACTCTGTAAACGAAGGATCGATCTTCACCTGCTTTGCCAGCGTGGTCTTGCCAACATCGCAATCACCCAGTAAACCAATCCGCCAGTAATCCATTTCTTTCAGATGTGGGCCCGAGGACACGCCGTGAAGGAAGGTGAGATAAACGTATGAAGGACCCTATATATACCACCAGGAGAGATACGAGTGATTGTCGTATGTGGATCGTGTGAAGGAACGAGTGGGCTGGCGCGTGCCTAGCATCTCAGTTGAGCTATCTGTCGACGACAGACATAGGCAGCGCCAAAAGCCTGCGAAGCATTAGATGTTATCTGCAGCCTGAAAAGTAAGAGTTTCTGTGAGCTTCGGATCGGCGAATCTGAAGGTCGGCAACGCCAATTTTCAAGTAATAGTTCGTCTCTGCACCTTCGGTAGGCGCCGACGCAGGCCAAAGCAGGGTGATCAGCCAATCACTGCCGGCCTACACATTCCCCTTCGAAATGAACTTTCACTTGAAATTCTCACTTTTAAAACTCATTCTCGTCGGTTTGCAACGCAAAAGTCCATTTTTCTGGCTGCAGATAACGTCTATTATACAACTTCGCGCATCGGCACTTGCCAGTGCTCACCATGTGACCGTGATTCAAAGACATTTGAAGGAGATGCTAAGAGATATATCTGCCCAAGGCTAAAGTCAAGGTGGAGAGCATGTTACAGTATTTCGAGAGACAGAAAAACCTCGAGCCATTCCAGGCGAGGTTCAGAGCCGTGTTGAACGTTGTTTGATGGAGGAAGCCAAGCTCGCGGTTCCCCGACGTGGCTGTGCCGCACTCTGTTGGATCGACGCGTTCGACGACGCGTCTTTGTTTGTCCGCTTTCTGCGCCGTGAACACGACGAGTCCTCACCTCCTCGCACGACGCACGGCGTTCTGAAGAGTCCCGATGGTGAAGCACTCCTACGCAGATAGCGACGACGAGTTCCCCATCGAATGGGTTACTCCAGCATCCAAACTAGCACAACCGACCCAACCCTCCCCCTCTCCTTATTATTCTGCAAGTTTGGCCCCAGGACTCGTATATAATAATACCAGCAGTGGAGTCGGCAATCCCATTGCTGGTACCAGTAGCACTACTGGCGCGGCGGCGGCAGGGTCGTCGTCCTCGAAGCCCGTGCTGGACTTGACGGATTCCCCGCCTCGAAAGCCCAAGACCAAACGTCAACGCAAGACGAAGGACGTCGAGCTACCTGTTCAATCTGTCCATAAGCCCATGCCTACTCAGATTCCTCAAACCCCGGCTCCTTTCCCAGAACTTGCTATGTCACGCCCGACTCCGTCTGTCTGGGATTACCCTCCCCCTCCGCCAGCCCGGGCTCCAGCTCCAGCTCCTGTCCAACAAGCTCCAACAACAACTCCGACGCAGAAACCTCCAGTGCCTCAGACTTCGACTCCGACTCCAGCCAAACCGCGCCAGCGCAAGGCGAAGAACACGGAGGACGCTACGGGCGTGCCTTCGTCGCAGAAAAAAGGAAAGGGCAAGAGCAAAGAGGATGGCACTGGCATTGGCACTAGTACGCGGCAGCCTAAGGCCCCGAAGGAGAAACCTGAGAAGCGCGAGGCGAGGTTCAAGTCTTCGTGTCCGCAGAACATACGGGAGCGTGTTGAGCGCGTGATGACCCAGAGGTGAGTGTTGCACGAGGTTCGCGGACTAGCTTACTCGATATACTGATTTGTTTTTGTTTTATTTCGATGAAAAGATTTTTTATGGTTGACCGTACGCGGAATGGGGATGAGCTTAAGGAAGAGTTCGATGTCTTGGGTTCTACCGGGAATGTGAGCATCCTGAGTTTATGAACATTTTCTTTTTTTGTTCGCTGACATTGTTTGTCGGTAGGTTTACAAGGTGATAATCGAGAAGACGCCGTCCTGCACTTGTGCGTCTTTGTTCTCACTACGTTACAAGTCTCCAAAATGCTGAATCATCCCTTCATCGGTGGCAGGCCCTGATTTCCTGAAAGGAAATCACTGTAAACATATCGTACGTTCCGATTTTTGCTGTCCGGACGCGTGGGCTCATCCCTATTCGACAGCTCTTCATATTCCTAAAAGGTTCGCACAAATGGTTTCTCGTCTGCTCATTTGTGTGTAAACGCCGTCTGACCCGATCGTGCTTTGTGCAGTTCTTCAAGTAAGCCAGGCGTCCGGGCACTGGTACCAAAAGTAAGTCCTCGACCCCATTCCCCAGCCCATCCCAAGTCACTCACGGTTTCGCGTACAACCAACACAGAGCCCTCCTCACCACCGAACTCGCCCAAATCTTCGCCCAAGCCCCCATCGCGCCCAACGCGCTCGCGAACCCCCGGATCCGCGAAGCCTACGCGAAAGCGACGGGCAAGACCACCACCACGTCCTCCTCTTCCGGCTCTTCCGCCTCGAACAGCACTGGCAGCAAGAAACGGATCCCGGGTCCGGAAGACGACTGTCCGATCTGCTACGAAAATATGCATAAGCTGGATCTGGGAAAACTCACGTTTTGTCAGGAGTGTGGGAACGGGCTGCATTCGGAGTGTTTTGGGCAGTGTAAGCCTGCGTCCTTTTGCTGTTTTTTTTTTCGGTCTACGTGACTTATAATGATGACCTTTGCTGGGATTTGTGAATATAGGGGCGAAGACGGCGAAGAGGAATCTTACGTGTGTGTTCTGTCGTGCGAAGTGGGTCCTCGCTGGTGCTGGTGCTGCTGGCGGTGGTGGTGCTGCTGGCGGTGGTGGTGTGGTGGCGGCAGGAGGAAGTCGTCGTACGGCGGAGGGATACCTTAATCTTGGTGCTGTAGCGGGTTTGAGCCCGGTGCGCGATACGAGCACCTGTACGTTCTTCCTATCCTTCTTTGTCTTAGGCTCGTAAATTGATGGTCTTTTGGGTACAGATTATCACGGACCACGGTATGGGCAGAGACATTATGGGTATCAGGAGTATGAGGAAGAGGATTATGAGTATTAGGTCTACGATCAAGGAGCGAGGAGGGTGTCAATATCGATTCTCAGATCTACGGAGTACTAATAGTAACAGGGGAGGAGGTCTCATCTTTCTTGGAATTCTTGATTCATCTCTACATTATTCACCGGCGATCTCTCGGACGTCAGACTAATACGGCCTAGCTGTTGTACACAGTGCACCATAATTCTTGCTTCACACATACACATACGTACACCTGGACTTCGAGAGTCGACGACCAAGCCGTGAGACTGCACCTGCATGCATGGTAAGGTTCCATCATCTGACGAGAACTTTACCGCACGTCATGGCTGCCACTTCCTGTTTCCCGTTTCCTGTTTCCTGTTAGGGAATACTATGGGAAGATGTGAACGCGAGAGGTCCATGTTTGGCCATGGATGTTCTCCTTCGAGATGGAGATGAACTTGTACGGTACCGTCGGTGGTTTCGTGGACGCAAGATGTGTTTGATCTCACGGCTCTCCCACATGTTGCATCATACTGTAGGTGTTCAGACAGCAGCATAATCTCGCTCTTGTTCGACCCGCAGAGTGGGAGTAAGTAGGATGGTGAGACGGGATCGGGGCCCCTGTCCTCGATCTAAGATCTATCTAGAGGAATCTAGCTATGCAAAGCGAACGAGAGCGTTCGTTGGGGAGGATAGGGCGCTTTGCAAATTCCGAAAAGGATGCGTTGGGGATCCAGTTCCTCTCAAAGCAGTGTGCATTTACACTAACTTTCCCCGCATGGAAAAGGCTCGAACTTGGCGTCAAGAGAATAAATACCCCGCATCAGGACCGCCGATGCCATACAACCACACACTACTACTACCTCACTACCAAAATGACCACCACTATTCAACGCTCGCACTCTGCACCACACTTTGGCTTGCAGCAGGGTGACAAGGACAAGGTGTTCCATAAACAACAGCGGCCACAGACGCCCAGACGAACGAAGACTACGACGGACTTCGCGGCGATGGCGATGGCGCCTCGAGAGGACCCGTTCAACATGGGCGGGTTCTTCCCGTCACACCATCGAGAGGAGGACGAGTGGAGTTGGCTGCACGCCGAGGACGAGGAGGAGGCAGGGTACGGGGAGGGTTACGAGGAGCAGGAGGAAGTCGAAGGAGGAGAGGTCGAGGCGGGCCCGGGTGCGGTGATTCGGAGCGAGGACAAGTTGGGGATCCTGAGTCTGCGTGCGTTCAGTTCCGTCAGTCTGCGGTTCGATGTGACGCTGACGGGGAATACCGGTGCAGTGGACGCGTTGCAGGGCGAGGCAGGTGCGGATGACCGATTGTATTCGCCGTACGCGGATTCAGAGGCCTGTGACGACGAGTCTTTGCGTCTCGCCCTTTGCGCACGGCGAGTGGCGCACGAGGACCGGTGGGCGTCTAATAGTGGGAAGGGGGGCCTGGGAGAGTTATTCCTGGGACCAGAGAGGGTGGAAGGGGGACGGTTGTCCGAGGGCCTGCAGCTGCTCGCTGGGTTGTTCTGAGCTCTGTCCGTTCCCATCTGTGCTCGATAATCTGCTAGACGTAAATATAGCGAGGACTGCTGGACAATCAGCTGGGTGGCGTGCCGGCTTGCCGCGCCTCGGACTTCCATATAAAGCCCTGCACGCTCCCACGATGAGTGAGCCAACGTGGTTTGCTTTTCGTTCCCACTCTCACGCTCGCGCCGTCTTTCCCAGGCTCGTCAAGAAGTCGGTGCGGGGACAAGATGAGGACGGTCATTCCCTTGGAGGACATCCATCCCTCCTCAAAACAAATCATTCAAAACAACTTCGAAGCACACCACCAGCACCCCCTTCCCCAGCCCCAAAACTTCTCCCAGCTCGTCGTCAACGCCATAAACGACTCCCACTCCTCCCCGTCCTCCCCGGACCACAACGTTCAGCAACAGTTCCACCCAGACCACGCGTCCCATCTCGTGTCCCTCCCACAGCAGGACCCAGTGCCCTCCATAGAGTCCATTATTGCCGCCTCCAAGCAACAGCAGCAGCAGCAGCAGCAGCAGCAGCAACAACAACAACAACAACAGCAAGACTTACCAGGCCAGCAGCCGCCGTGGCATATCCCCCATCCGCTTCCTATGGCCCCGCAATCCCAGCAACGTGAATTGCCCCCCGCGCAGCCCTCTAGACCGGTCAGTCCTCCAAGCTTACCCCCCCTTCCATTCCGATTCCACATCGCGAACGTCTTCCAGAAGAGGTCACGTGCTGATCATCTCTCTCACTCATCAGAATCCGAACAAGCGAAAGCTCGACGACACCGACACGGAGGATCCCCACAAAAAGATTCGTCGTGTCGTCCGCGACCATGTCGTCCCAGATCCAAACCGCGCAGTGCCCATGACCACCGTCATCTGCCTCCACGCCGCCGTCGCCCAAAAATCGTACGGCAGCGAGAAGCGCTTCCTATGTCCGCCACCCGTCGTCCATATCGAGGGCCCCGTCTGGCAGATGCGTCAGCAGCAGCTCTCTATGTCCGTCGTCTCCGAGACCGGCGAGCGTGCGTTCGAGCAGAAGCAGCCGCTCGATAACAGCATGTCCGCAAGCTTCAAGTACCTCCACGTAACTGGCACCGCGAAAGCGAAGAGCTTCCAGCTTTCGCTCGAGATCGCGGAACCCTTGCCTCACAGTACCGGTTCAGAGGGCACCGACGCCACCCCAGGACGCGTCTGGGCCACATTCGACTCCGCCCCGGTCACCATCATTTCGAAGCCTTCGAAGAAGACGGCGAAGACCCGTAACATCTCGTCCTGCATCCTCGCCGGTGGCCCCGTCTCGCTCTTCAATCGCATCAACTCACAGACCGTGCGGACGAAGTACATGACCATCGATCAGACTCAACTTTGCGCCAGCAACGTCTCTTGGTCTGCTTTCAACGTGAATGTCGTTCGACGAGCACAGGAGCCGCCGTCCCATGGTACGTATACAATACGACTTGCCATGCACTTATCGAGACTGACGCGTTCGCGTTCCAGTCCCCCAGCCAGTCACGTACGGCTCGGAGATCATCCTCACGGACACTCAGTCTGGTATCTCGACCGCGCCACTCGTCATCCGCAAGGTAGACAAAGGTAAGATCGCCACCGATGACGGTGGCCCGGTCAGTCAGATGCAGAAGATCGCACTTCAGCGAGTCAACCCAGACGGCACTCGTCATTACTTGTCCGCCTCTGGACCCATGCCTGGTGCAGGTGGCGCCGCCGCTACATCCCCTGGTGCGGCCGGCACACATCCTCTAATCTTCCAGTCACCTCGGATACGGGAGGAAGTGAAGGAAGGTACGCGCGTTGTGATCGACGAGGTGGACGATTATCTGTGTTGGACGATTGTGGGAATCTGTAAGTGTGGCCTTTTTACCCCTATCGCGCCACCCGTATCTCACCGCATCTCTTCTCCTTCAAGCCAAATTCCAATACACGTTCTTCGACGCGTTTGGGCCCAACAACAACATCCCCGAGAAGCCGATCACTCCGTTCCCGACGCTGTTCACGACGCCCGTCTACCAGCCGACGCGGAGTCATGCGCTCGACATGACGGTCTCCAACTTTTACTACGTCCACCCCAAGACGGGAGCGCACACGCCGCTAGACGTCTACCTCGGCAATATCGGCCCTCTCCCATTCTCAGTGTACCCAGATAAATTCTCACCGCTCACGAGCATCTCGCCGTTCGTGCACTCACACGGACCAGGCCAGAACGGCGGCCCCTCGACGGAAGTGGCCGAGTCGCCACTCGGGTCGAGGTACATCACTTCGGGTCACACGCACACGATGCTGATCGTCGACTTGCCACCCTTGGCAGAGATCATGAAGGCGGTCGAGGACGAGTCTCCCGAAGAGCGAGAGAGCGGTTCGTCGCGCACACGAGGAGACCGTGAGGACTCTGGGGTCGTGACGATTGCCGCACCTCAGGCGCTCGCAGGACGCAGCCTGCCGCTCCTGTTCATCCGCTCCGCGGACGGCGTAGGCTACCACTCTGGGCGGACGGTCGCCATCGAGAACCTCTTCCAGGAGATGAGCGGCCTTGGGGGAGACGCGTCGGGGTCTGGCGTCGAGACGCAATGGTTAGCGGCCGCGCAGGCGGCGGCGGCAGCGGATGGCGGTCTGCATGGGTGGACATTGAGGGTCGTGTAATCGTTTTGTACTTTCACTAGGCCGTATGTCGTTCTGCGTTCATTGGTTTTGCTGGCCGCGCTCGGTTGGACGATGGAACGGAAGATTGAGAGGTCTTGGTCGTGACGATGGGTTTCTTTTTTTTTCTGTGTGCCTCGCTTGCTTTTTTACATGATCGTTATCGCTGTCTTGTTGCTTGTCTTTTATGTATTCAGTTTTTTCTCTCTCCCTCTCTCTCTCTCTACTCGTAGTGCTACATACGTATGACAGAAGTGCCCTGTGAAAGTGTGAATGCAAATGAATGACGGTTTGTTCTCGGACCCACGAGTGCTACGTCGTCAAAGAATAGGTCGAACGTTCTTCGAATCAAGAGACTGGGCGACTGGGCGGCTTGGCCAGAAGAAACCGAGACGCGGCGAGCAGCGGACGCGTCGCGCGTCGACCAGCAATAAAAGTATTTTAAGATTTGCCTGATCCGCTCCTCCCAGTCTCGTCCTCTTCGCCCGCAGCCCAGCTCGTCTCTCGAACCACCATCGCAGCCCTGTACGTCCCCCGTCCACGAATCCATCCTTTGACTATCGCCGTCTACCGCCGGTTTCGGTTTCAGCTAACGAAATCCCTTTCCTCCTTTTATAAAAACCCCTTTACCACCTGACCATACGCTTTGATTTCCCCCCTTCCCCCCTCCACCCCTGCAACCCTCATCCAGCTCATAAACACCACACATACACAGATACATAGCTATGGCCGCTTTCCTCCCCACCGACGGTATTCGCTCTCGTCTCGAATGGAGCGCGACGCTCTCGCCTACACAGGCTCCTCAGCCCACTGAGGAGACCAAGTTCTTCCGCAAAGTACGTTCTCTTGTCCCTTTTGACGCCCGACTCTTGACTCATTTCATGCACGCACTGACTCTCTGATGGTGTAGACCGCGATCATCGCGACTATCGGTATGTTTTTTTCTTCTTTTGATGTGATCGTGAGGTGGAGATGGAGGTGTTGATTGATTGGGTATTTTTTTTGTTGGCGATACGTAGGCCCGAATGTGAATACTGTGGAGAAGCTCGCTGACCTCCGCAAGGCCGGCGTCAACATCGGTGCGCATCGATCCTGCTAGCCTTTTGTCCGTATCGTGCTCATCCTCAATCATGTAACTTAGTTCGTATGAACTTCTCCCATGGCTCGTACGAGTATCACCAGAGCGTTATCGATAACACCAGGAAGATGCTCGCTGGTCAGTGTTTTTCTCTTGCATCAGTATCAGGTCTTTGCGCCGGAAGTGTTTATTTACGTTTTGTGATTTGTTCGTGGGATGCAGCCGATCCTTCCGGACGTCCGGTTGCTATTGCTTTGGACACGGTGAGAGTTTCTCTCGACATTTCTTGATGTGGTGAATTAAGCGCTTAATGAGTCTATCGTATGGTTTTAGAAAGGACCTGAGATCAGGACTGGGCTTATGCGGGATAACAAGGATGTTCGTTTTTCGTCATGCGTTGCCCCACCACCCACGACGATGTTGATCCTGTGTGGTTTGTAGATCCCCATCAAGGCTGGACATGAGTTCACCGTGTCGGTGGACCCCAAGTATGCCGAGGCCTGCGACGACAAGGTCATCTTCATGGACTACGTGAGTGTTGGAGCATACTACCAGCCCCGTGTAGTAAATTGACCCCAGGATCTACCTCCAGACCAACTTGCCCAAGGTCACTGCCCCCGGCAAGCTCATCTACGTCGATGACGGTGAGTAAAAACCCCTGTTTTGAGCGAATCCCGGGCCAAGGTTGACATATCTTTTCCTAGGTATTCTCTCCCTCCTCGTTCTCTCCATCGACGGAACCAACGTCCGCGTCCGCGCCATCAACAACGGCACCCTCTCCTCCCGCAAGGGCGTCAACCTCCCCAAGACCCCCGTCGACCTCCCCGCTCTCTCGGAGAAGGACAAGGCTGACCTCAAGTTCGGCGTCAAGAACGGCGTCGACATGGTCTTCGCGTCTTTCATCCGCCGCGCCCAGGACGTCACCGACATCCGCGAGGTTCTCGGTCCCGATGGGGCCAACATCAAGATCATCGTGAAGATCGAGAACGAGCAGGGTGTGGCCAACTTTGACGAGATTTTGAAGGCGACGGACGGTGTGATGGTTGCCCGTGGGGATTTGGGTATCGAGATTCCGGCTAGTCAGGTGTTTTTGGCGCAGAAGATGATGATCGCCAAGTGTAACATGGCCGGCAAGCCTGTCATCGTCGCCACCCAGATGCTCGAGGTGCGTTGTCCTTTTTATCCATCAAATGGGATTTTTGACGAGCCTTTTGTTCCACTCTAGTCTATGACCGTACGTGATTCCGGTCGTTCCTGTTGTTGAATGCTCCTCATCATCTTTGGATATAGTACAACCCCAGGCCCACGCGTGCTGAAGTTAGCGACGTCGCTAACGCTGTCCTCGATGGTGCTGACTGTGTCATGTTGTCCGGCGAGACCGCCAAGGGCTCATACCCCATCCAGTCTGGTAAGTCCTATCTTTCTAGTCCTGTCGGCAAGCATGCAACTCACGGTGTCTTTCCCCCATAGTCCTCATGATGGCTGAGACCTGTCTCCTCGCCGAGGCCGCGATCTGCTACCCACCTCTGTACGACGAGTTGAGGGGCGTCACCCCCCGCCCGACCGAGACCGTGGAGACCGTCGCGCTCGCTGCCGTCGCCGCCGCTGCTGAGCAAAACGCCGCTGCCATCCTTGTCCTCTCCACGAGTGGTAACACCGCTCGTTTGATCTCCAAGTACCGTCCCAGCGTCCCCATCATCACCGGTACGGTCTTTTCGATTATCAAAAAACGTTGATCATGTTGAGATTTACCTTTCCGCTTTATTACAGTTACCCGCAGCGAGCAGACCGCCCGCCAGATCCATCTCCACCGTGGATGTTATCCATTCTGGTACAACGAGCCCCGTGGGATCCAGAGCCACCAGTGGCAGGTCGATGTGCGTCTCCGATTTAGGACACTCTATTTCCTCGGTCGATATACTTACTGATTGGCCCTTTACTCCTTGTTGCTCCTTGTTGCAGGTCGACAACCGTATCCGGTTTGGTCTCCGTAGCGCGCTTGCGATGAACCTGTTGAAGCCCGGATCGACGATCATCGCCGTGCAGGGCTGGAAGGGCGGCTTGGGCCACACGAACACGATGCGTGTGCTCTCTGTCCCGACTGACGCGGCGGACCTCGAGGCGCAGGACTTGGGCGCGAACTAAAGGTGCAAAAAGATCGGTAGCATGACGAAAGGAAAGGAAGTTGGGAATCGGTTTTTCTTTGGGAAGATTCGTCGAAGGAATACGGCAGCTTGTACAATTCGCGATATAGACGTCTGCTGTGAGATAGTTTTAGTGTAGTAATTACCCGGCGCTTATGCGATATAGAGCCTGTTTTTGTTGTACTTCGAGTGGAACATCGAGGACGCCTAAGTTGTAACGGGGTGGTGACATACGGTGGAATAAATAGAGTGACGTCTTGGCGTGTGGCGATCGTTCGGCTAATTCCAGGTGGATGGTCGACTGTCACTGTCCTCTTCAACTCATACCTCCATACCCTCGACGTGCACTCATCCCATCCCCATCCTTCCTCCACATTCCTCCACAAAGCCAGACGCGGGCTCATGTCTGGCCACTTTAATGCCCCGCAGACCCGCCCGAACGGGAACGGCAGCGGCCTACGAGAAAAGTCTCGCTCGCCCGTAGGCCTCCCCATCTTTTCCTCAGCAGTCAAGGAGAAACTGTCCCGACAGTCGCACCAAAAGACCTCCTCATGGATCTTCCCCCTCTCGCTCCCCATCCCAGGCGTGCGCACCCGTCGCATCCCCATGTGGGTCCCGAACCCCGCACGCATCCACCAGGGGAGCGTGAGCCGATTCGGTCGACGGCGGGGCCCCATTATTTTGCTGGCGTTGTTAGCGTCGGCACTGTTCACCGTGTTTGCGCTGGCGAAGAGGTTTGGGAGCGAGGAGAAGCAGTGGCCGACGCCGTTGTTCCCTGTGGGCGAGCCGTCGACTTTGGTGTTTTCGAGGGAGGATCTGCAGAAGGTTTGGAAGTGGGAGGTCGAGAGTGGGCATTATCCGAGCAGTCGGGAGAGTACGTCTATCGTTCTATGTTACTTCTACGAATCCATGAGCGTTTGAACCGATCATTGACGATGTGTTTTCGTGTTTTGTGTTGGTGGTGATTAGTCCCGAAGGAGGTCGGGCTCTCGACTGCGCCTTTGAACCCTGCTCTCCCCCCACGAAAGGTGGCCAAGATCCCTTCGCGGTTCAGGCCACCGACGACTCATGTCACGGAGACCGCTGGCCATGGCGCAAAACGGGTGTATCTCGATATACAGGCCAGGCCTCCCAATACTGCGTATCCTCCACGGCCTGTGCCAGGAAGCGTCGCAGACCTGGACGTCGTCATGGAGCAGTGCGATTTCTCACAACAAAAGGTATGTCACCCTCTAATTTTCTCCGGAGTTCTTTCATCAACGCGTCCACGCAGTATGTTCGCGATTGCCTCGAGGTTCTTCGGTTGAATGCCGGCCTCGATAATGGAAACCGACTCCGGAGAGGGAAGTTCGACGAGTGGAGGTACATCTATCTCGAAGATGGCGATGTGGGGACTTATACCGAGCCAGCCGCTACGAGCATGAAGCCCGGCTTCGACGCGATTCAGCCGTCTGGACCTCAAGACCCCAACGCAGGCCTCTCCCGGAAACCCAGAGTGGAATGGGAAGCACCGCTAAAACTCCCTGCGCCTCTCGAACACAAGCCGTACCACTCCCTACCGTCGACTTGCGATCCGGAAAATCCACGGCTGTTCCATATGTTCTGGGCAGGTCCGTTCACCGAAAAACCATACGTCGCGCTCTTGTCTTTCCTCTTCACGCAGAACGTCCGGTTGCATCTTCACGAAGAACAGCCCGATGCGACGCTCTGCAGGCCACAGTTCTGGATGTGGATTAATCCTGGGCCTGCGGCTTCTGTGCCTAACCCGTCGGCCGTTCACGATATGTTTGAGTCGCTCAAGGAGAATCCGTGGGCTTCGCCGTTCTTGCATCCTCGTTTCAAGGACATCATCTCGTTCAAACTTTGGAACACGACGGAGCAGCTGGACGGCGTTCCTGAGATTAAAGACGATTGGAGGGGGTACAGGGACAGTCTGTTCACTTCTGGTGGAAACGTCGAGGGCGGTCAACTGGATGCAGAGCCGGAAAAGGAGGTCGAGGAGCAGGTTGCGAGCGAGAGCGAGGAGGGCAGTCTGGAGGGCAGTCAGTCTGCTACTTCGACCTCGGCCGCAGCGAAACAGGAGCACAAGCCTCTGGACGAGTCCAAGAAACGGTTAGGGTCAAAGTCGGCCTCGGAGTACGATCGCCTCTCCGTCATTCTCTCCGATATGGCTCGTTTCGTGCTCTGTCATCGCTTCGGTGGAGTCTACCTTGACGCCGACACCATCTTCCTCCGCGACTGGGAAGAACTCTGGGGCTGGAAGGGCGCGTTCGCGTACCGCTGGTCGCGGCTCCCGAAGTATAACACCGCGGTGCTGAAGATGAACAAGCATTCGGCGCTGGGGACGTTCTTGTTCCGGACGGCGTTGAAGAACGGATTCGATTTCCATCCGATGGTCGTGTCGAAGTACATGAAGGACGCGTATCTGGAGGGATTGCTGCTGAGATTGCCGGACGCGTTGTTTGATTCCGCGTGGTTGAACACGGAGTACTACCAGACGGATAGGCCACCGCAGCCGTACATCACGCAGTAAGTGGTTTCCACCTGACATTAGGTTTCTTGGTGCTAAGTCCTCATGGTCGCTGTGTGATAGGTTCATCGACTTCTTCGACACTCCTACGCTGGTCAGTGCTGCTCCTCAGGCCCTTGGATTTGAAGGCTTCTACCGCGGGGCATACTCATATCACTTCCACAACTACTGGTGAGCAATGCTTCACCTGACTCTTTTCACGACATGTCCTAAGTCTGTATACAGGTGGAAGCCATTCGACCCCTCTCGTAATTGGCCAGATCTCGGCCCTCGCTTCATCGAAGGCGAACGACTCGCACGGCTTGGGGAGAATGCTGCGTTGAACGCCACGGATGAACTTCCCGAGGACAAAGTCGAGGACGACAAGCGAGACTTGGACTGGTCTACAGTGCTCAAACGAACCTTCGAAGCGTATATCCGCGGCGAACGGCCGAACATGTATGGCGAATGGCTGCAGTGGTAATTTTGGACCGCTCCAAACTCCGATTCCGTTCTGCTGTCCAGTCCATGGCTTTTACGTTTCTCCCATTCCATTCTCGCATGGCTCGAGGTGGTTCTTGGCGAGATAGAGTTCGCTCAGTCGTCAACTGCAACCTCACCTCACCCGGTCCTTAATCTCGCCGCCAATCTTCTCACTCATCGAACCACCCCCCACTTTTGCCTCCTCTCACTTTCCCTGCGCACACGGATCCTCTCATAGCTCTCATGTCCCACACTCACCCACTCACGCCCCAATCCCATACCCACGTCTAAAGTGCTCTCTCACATTCTATGCAATCTAATTCCATATCGTCAGCTCAGCTCAGCCTAACCACACACAGTGTCCTATATTTCACACCCGACCGCCTAACGCACGCCAAACAATGTCTATATGCTCGCAATCTTTTCTTTCTGTTCTTTTTTTTCTGTCCCAATATTTGACCTGATCTTTCTTTGGGCGGGTACTTACGTGTATATATCCTTCCTCGTTGCCTCGTTCCCTCATTCTCTGCCTAGAGTACTATTTACGAATACCAGATAGCCTATAGCGGTGTCATTCATTTTTTTTTCGTCTTCACGCAACCGGCAATATAGCATCTCTTTATCTTTTTTTACTTACACTTACACTTACATGACCCTACCTACCTGGCAACGGGACTTTCAGCGCCACCGCTCACTCTTTTTCTTTTGGACCGAGCGTGGGTCTTTCCGTTCGTTGTCGATTTTTTGCTTTTATTCCTTGTTCGTTGTGAGTCTTAATCTAGCCCTCGTTTTCTTACATTCTCTTTTTGTTTTTACGCTGCCTGTGGACAGTATATCGCATGACGAGTGGGGCGTGCCAATTAGACATACATATAGACTTCGAGAGCGGTAAGATGGCGAAGGGGTAGGCGATGTGAGCACTCGACTGTGGACTTATAGGGCTCCGCGACAGCAGCGCGCCCGTCTCATCGCGAACTTCAGGTGTTGATACACTGGAAGGGATATATAAAAAGCTTCATTTCACTGCTCCACAGAACTTCTTTCTAATGCATATCCACTGCCACTGGCAGACCGTAATGTGCTTCAACAGCAAACCAAGTCTAAGTACATCATACCAGTTAATTGATACACCACGCATCGTTTATTACATTTGTGTCTTTCGTCGTCTCTTCAACGTCTTTGTCTAGCTTGCCGGATCGTGCTCGATGATCATCGTCTCGCAGCAGCGATCCTGGCTTGCGCGGTGTCGACGGTCGACTTGAGGAGGCTGATGACTTTCTCTGGTTCTGCGGCGCCGAAGATGGCTGTACCGGCGACGATAACGTTGCTGCCTACGGGGGCCACGAATTACAGCGATTCAGCACACGGCCAAGTCTCAAGTTCACAAGAGGGTGAGGAGAAAAGGAGGCAGGAGGAAGAGAATATTACCTGCGTCGGCGCAAACGTCTATCGTCTTGGGGCCCACACCGCCATCGACCTCGATGTCTTTCTCGGGGAAGCGGGTACGAAGCTCGGAGACTTTGGGAACGCAACGGTCGAGGAACTTCTGGCCACCACGACCTTTTGCGATTTATTGAAGAAGAGGGGGACAGGGGGCCGATCAGTCTCATTCGGATGTTGGAGGAGAGGGAGGACGTACCTGGGTAAACGGTCATGACGAGAAGCATGTCGGCGAGCTCACCGACTTCGTCTGTGATGCCTGATGAGGGCGTATCGGGGGAGATGGCGACACCGGCTTTCATCTTGCGTTCATGGATGAAGTGGATGAGTGCGATCGGGTCGTCTGTATGTAGCATTGGCGAAGTAATGTCACATCGTCAAATCGATCGTAGAGCTAAGATGGATAACTTGGTGAATAAATAACTGACTGGTGGCTTCGATGTGGAAGCAGTACAAAGCACCACCAGCATCCGCGATGTCATTGACCCACTGGTATCAAAGATCTCAGACTCGATGTGAGGACGGTATCTAGTAGACGAGGGACGGACCTTTTCTGGTTGTGCGACCATCATATGGCAGTCCATGAAAATTCCTGGGACTCCCTTAGAAACACATGTGAGGATGGGAGCCCCTTCACAGCAGGTTAAGAATCATCGTTCGTTTGAAGATAGTGCGAAGAGAACGCACCCATAGTAATATTTGGAACGAAGTGGCTGCGATCCTCTAGATCAGATTTCTAGAGCACATTTTACAGACATGTAGCAGCATACCCATCCATAACGTCTTCAAAGGCCAGAAGGGACTGTACGTTCATTATCACGAGTTCCTACAGAGCTGAGGCAAAGCTCACCCATATGCAGCCATTCAGCACCTCCTTTGATCATACGTTTGCATTCTGCAGATAGCTGTCCAAAGTCCGAGGCAAGAACGGAGGGGGAAATAATGGCGCGAGGCATATTGGGAGGGGTAGTAGATATGTTACAGAGTGTAGCGAGTGACGGTCGTCCAGTGAGAGGGAGAATATTGTCCATCTCAATCTGACCTCATACAGCGCCAGACTTTGGGGCTCTTTCTTGGGCCACATCTTTGAGTGCCACACACAAAAAATATGGGCCCCTATCCAATCCCAAGCTTGCCGAAAGCAATGATAATGGTCCCAAAAAATATCGACACGGAACAGTCAATACAATGCATCGCGGTACCTATGCTGTACCCGTCGTCCCAGCCGCTAGTGGTCCAAGAAACACCTCTGAAGATGCACGATTACCACTCTCTATCTCCTTTTCCCTCTTCTTGGCCTCTAGCAGTATAAAGGAGACCACGACTTCGTCCGATATCTCATCTGCTAGCGAATCGAGAAGGAGTTTCGCAGGTGCGACAGGCGGTGAGCCGCGAGGTGCTTTAGGGTCGATTTGTGGTGGTACAAAGCGAGCGATAGGTCGAGTCTTGCTGTCCTCAGAGAAAAGCTGGAAACAAATTAGGAGTTGTATTGAATGTACAGCCTGCAGAAGGGAAACATACTTGGAGATGCAGACCTGGCTCGTTGTTCTTCCATTTAAACTCGCGGCCCTTGTCATCTACGAATCTCGCCGTTCTGAGTGTCAGGGCATCAGTTCACCTTCGAGCCTGGTGCAAAGGTATACGCGTTAGAAATACCTACGTCTTGAACGGGATCATGCTCTTCTGCAACCAATTACTTGCTGCCTCGCGTTTCCTATCCTTGAACGCCAGCAAATGAGACCGATTCATGTCCCTCCATATCCAATCTGCAACACGCTTCCCTGTCTCGTCGCATATTCTCGTGGTAGGGACACTCTTGTCGTCAAAGGTCGTAGTGATAGTATAGGCGGTGTTTCCATCTTCGTCGACCAGCTTCGTGTTCGATGGATTGTCAGGGTGGAGAGTGAGGGTAACGGTGTATTCGTCAGACATGATACGAGATGGGATCTGGGTGGATTAGGAAGAGGGACGCTGGAAGATGGAGTCAGGAGTCATAGTCCGCCTTATAAGCAGCGCCGCCGGGAATTTGTCCATAAACAATGGAGGTGACATGCCTCTAGTGCGGCTTCATCAATCGGATTATAGACAGGTGATGCATACTTAGCGTTCTGGATTCTTGACAGGATGGGTACTGTAGACCGTGAAACGTGGATACACAGGTTTGATTTCTATAGACGGCACGTTCCCGGATCATTGTATGAAGATAACAATGGCTGCAGACCTATGTAGACCAACTTCGGTACACGGTAAGTTGGTAGGAACCTCACGACTGCTGCGACAGCCTGTGCAATCCAGCGCTAATGAGAAAGGAAGTGGGCTTGGCATGCATCCAAAAGGGAGAGAACCTTATAGCCAAACTGGCCGGATGATATCAGCTACAGACCTAGCCGTAGGACAATCCTGGATAGTTATGGCGAGGAAGACAAGGCAGTCGCCAACAGGGGCAAACCTGGGCAAACATTGGGCGAATTTGCACCCTTCGCCACGTGGAACCGGCATCATCGAGTGCCACCGCCTGCACGAGCGCGTTCTTGCCACACCCTTCCATCTCGCCGCCATGAGCGCTGTCCAAATCGACCAACTACTACAGCCAGCCGTCCTAGACGTGTCTCAAAAACGGGCAATCCAGACTTTGAATGTAACTTGTGCCTCATCTCAGGATGTTGATGCACTCGTAGCCGCCGTCGGCAGCGCAAGGCAGCAACGAGACAGCATTAAGTCTTCAGTGCGCATGTCTTCTAACAATACACGATCGAACCTGAATAGACCTTCAAAGTCTAGCTTGCAGCATCTCAAGACAACGTCTCTGCTCTAATATCTGACGCTCGCTCTTCTGCTGCGTCACATCTTCGCGATGCTCAACAGCTTTCGCTGGATCGACATTCGCTCGCAGACGAGCTTTCTGCCCTTTCACTCGAATTAGTCTCTTCCATGTCCGACTCGCAGGACACAAAACCTACTCTTTTAGAAGACCTGGAAACTATGCACCGTAACCTGAAAGAGCTCGAGTCAATAAAGGTCTATGTGCAGATTGTCGAACGCGCTTTACAGCTAAGGTAATTTCATTAGTCGGTACAGGTTCGCCCGTGGGACTGACGTTGCATGATCAGTGAACAGGCAGTCGAGGAAGTCAAAACAGTCTATCCCATTTCCGTCTCTAAGTACGAGGCGCTTCGAGCGCTCGTATCCTCTGTAAGTGAAGCATGCTCAAGTACCCCGGAAGAGTCTACGCAACACATTCGCCTGGTGCCTTTCTTAGAGGAGCTCGGAGTGACTACCTGGTCGAATATGATCCGGTCTTTATCTACGTACGGTCCGTCTTCCTGTCCTCCATCTTTCTTGCTGATACTAGCATTATAGAGTACTGCTTTCTGCGGCAGAAAAGCTTCGGTGGCCCATGCCGGTAGACTACTTCAACGCCAATGCAGAGGATAGAAAAGCTTTTGAACAAGCCTTCATCAAGCTCCTGGACCTACAGATAATGTACAAGATCTACTCACTGAGACTTTCTCCTCACTGACTTGCTCCGTTGGTTATTTCAGGGGTGATAAAATACACTCTGATGAAAGGAAATCGGAGAAGGATGTGCTCTACGCCATGCAGGCGCTCGTTCAACCAATCTCTCAAAGGTTCCGCTATCACTTCGAAGGCACTCGCGAGACAAACAGATTGGACAAGGTACACTTGACCCGCTCACATTGCTCGTTCCACCCTAATTATACCGTCTACAGCCCGAATGGTACTTCACTCATATCCTGAATATAGCGCACGAGCACCGTTCCTTCATGGACAATGTGATCCAGAGGCTCCTTTCTTCATCTCCTTACAATGAGATTAACGCCTGGGTAAAGCTCTTGTATCCCCTTCCTCATCATGGTTAAGGCTCACATTTTGTACCAGCGAGAATTCTGCTCCAACCTTCTCACCATACTTTCACGTCGTTTGCGGCGTACTGTGCCGGCGCTTTTACCCCACCCTCCATTATTGGCCCATACCATCTACCAAGCCCTCACCTTCGACGCGTCATTGAAGGACGAAGGGTTTTCGTTGGCCGGTACACTATCCGCTCGTGATCAAGAAAGCCTCAACTGGGATGGTATCGCAGAGATCGTGCTTGGACGAAAGGAATGGTTCGACAGATGGATGGAGGGCGAGAAAGCATGTAAGAATCTTCCTCTGCTATTCCTGGGACGGTCAAGCCGCTAAACATAGTCATTCAGTCGCTTTGGGCCAATATAACGAGCTCATCACTGCCTCTGACGCCTGGCTCATAGCGGATGACGACAGTAGCCCAAACCCGGAAGAGCACGCTACAGCCTCACGAGAAGTACGGCCGACAGTCTCCGCACGCCGTCTCAAGCTCCTCGTCGAACAGGTGACAGACCGTTATGCGCCACTGCCTCAGTTCTCGCAGCGCACTCGTTTCCTCATCAACGTCCAATTACCACTGCTCGAGTCTTATCATGCACGAATCTCGTCCTCACTCGACGCTCATGAGAGTCTGTCCAGTGCGCTCGTACGAGCTGTCCCGGGTGCTCTCGGTGGTGCCACGGGAGACCATCGTGATAAAGGGCGATTAACGAGTGGTGTAGAGGGCGTTACGAGACTTTGTAAAGCGCTCGTCAGTGCGAAATGGATTTCGATGGCTATGAAGGGGTGGGGAGAAGATCTAGTAGGTTCTACTGGATGCACATGCCTTGGTTACCGACTGACGACTTGGCTTTCATCGTGCAGTTCTTCCTGGAGCTCTGGACAGAAATAAATCATCGTGCTTCACTCCGTGTTCGCGCCGAGACGCATCCTTCTTTACCTGACCCCAAGGAAGTTTCGGACGATGCACCGGAAGGGACGATCTTCGAAGAGTTGGTGCATCAGTACGAACAACTCGTCACCCGCGCGGAGGACATCATCACACAGCAAGTCTGCGGCGAAGTTGAGACTAGCCTTCGAAGCTATTGGTCCAAGTGCGTATCCATGCGCGACTACAAATATTTCGTAACTGAACCTTCCACCTAGCCAACAAACAACCAGCTCGCCCGACCCATCCCAAAGCGAGCTTCCGATCTCACCACAACTCCTCACAGCACTCTCCATTCTCTCTTCCCATCTATCTCTCTTGCGTCGCACCCTCCCACAACACACGACCACAACAATATACCGTCAAGTCGCCACCCGACTCTGCGGCCACATTCTCCAACGAGCCGTCCTCTACCGTGGCACTCAGACCCTCTCGCCCGCCGAAGGTAAAGTGCTCCAGAGCGAATGCGAATTGTGGGTCGAGACGTGTCGGCAGGCGTTGGGGGTGTCGCAAGGACGGGTGGAGGCGCCGTGGAGGAGGTTACTTGAGGCTGGAAGGATCGTGGGTGCGGAGGGTAAGCGGTGGGAGGATATTGTGGATGTGGCGTATAGCGCGATGAGACAAAAAGATTGGGAGGAGAGGATGGTGGAGTTGATTGATTGGACTGAATTGACGAGGGATGAGGTTGTGTTAGTGGTGCAGACTCGGGCGGATTGATGCTCGATCGTACGCGTATATTACCCGCATTGCAATCTAATACTGCGGTGGTCTACCCACCACCACTATTATATCCTGAAGAATGCATAATCATATGGTCCTGGTCAAACAGCACTGAATGATAAATTACAACGTGATCAATACCAGCCCCTAGATATCCGAACACCTTCGCACTCCAACACGCCCTGCTCAACAACGTCCCTCGCCCCCGCCACACACCCTTCTAACAACGGAATACCCTGATATGCATACGCTCCTACCACCCAAATGCCAACCGCCGTTCTGCCCTCTTCCACTGCATCCCTTCTCGCCGCTCCTTGCAACGATCCTAACCTCGCTGTCCGCTTCGTTTCTCCGAATGCCCACCGACGGGCCGACTGTACCACTGACAATGGTGATGGCGGCACAGAGAGCATTCGGACAGCTTCTTTCGATTCCGGCGTCAAGAGCGCTCGTTCCAACCGCGCGACGGAGAGTACGCTCCCAGGTTCCGGTGGATATATAGGATTAGTCGTCTGATAGATCGACAACGGGCCTGGTGGTATGTGTGGCGGCCGCGGTAGCATGTGTGTAGTTTGAGTATATGTAGACGGGACGACGTTCGACCTTTTCAAGTCTAAGTCTGTTGCTGTGATTGTCTCCTTTTCTGAGTAGTGGTCGGTATCCTTATGGGATTTGGAATCCATGTTTGGGGATGATGGGTCGGTCACGGTGACGAGGTTTAAGTCTCTTCGATCCCGTGGGTCGGAAGGCAGCATGCTCTCTGACCCGTCTGTATGGTTCACTACAATCGTATGCCTATACTCGAACTTCTTCAGACAGTCGGTCAGCTCTTTTGCTCTGAGCGCTGGGCCTGCCTCTCCTTTCTTGTCACTAAGGGCATCGGCGTAGATAGATACTATGGGGGCCGCATGGTTTGCCTGTGTGGCGAAGATGACGTGAGAAAAACCTTCGTGAACGGTGAGCTGGTGTGCATTCGAGGTCACAACGGATGCGAGGCCTGGATCTGTGGGGTGTGGAAGGAGAGCAACGGTTGGTTCGCCGAGATGGATCTGTGAGGACGGGATAGGTGCGCTAAGGCGGGCCACGACGTCGCGAACGCCATTCGAAACGACGTAGTGGTGTGTTCCGAAGGTCAGCCAAATAAAGTCTACGTGACTCGGTGAATGAGAAAGATGTTTTCTATCATGTAGAGGTAGTAGGCGTACCAAGAAACTCTTCCGCTGGGTGATTCAGAACGTCCTCTTGGGAGGACGTACAGACCGCAGAAAATAGCGGTAAACATATATCGCGAATAAATATCCGCCATCGCTCGTCCATTCCTAATTTCCTGGACGCCCAGCTATTGGGAGTCGTCCGTTCTGCCCAGGCTGACCAGCTCAAGTCTGAGATATCCCTGTGACGGAACCATGGTACTGACAAGAATTGTAGACGGAGGAAGTTCCATAGTAGGACGGCCATCGTTAAAGTGAAGGCAAATATGCAGGTGAGGTAACCGATTGCTCTTGCTGGGCCGTACGGTGAGTGTTCGTAGGTGTGCAGAGATGTAGGTATGCTGATTCCGCCACGACCGGAGGCACCACCATAGATAATACTGGGCCTAAGTTTCGGCTTCGAATGGACGGTGTTGATATAGGAGAATGAATAGGAGAAGTCGGTTGCACGAAATAGGACTCCGAGGTGTTTGTAAAGGGCGATAAGCTGTGGGTAATATCCTGAGATCCATGAACAAAGAGAGCAAGACGGAGGGTGGATTACAGGCGCGTACCACCCTGGAATGAACGCATCGGAACATCGACTCGCCACGACGAGGAAGACTTCGGAAGAGTAAACGTTTCGGAATGTGAGTCCATTCCGAGCGCTGACGCCTTTGAATAGGGCAAAGTAAAGTGTGCATGGGAACAAGATGTGTGTCGTTAATTGAAGGAGTCTCGCTTCGAAAAGCTTGTTCGAGACGCACCTTCTCAAACAAATGGACCTCGACGTCTACGTTGCTTCCTTCCAGTCGCCGGTCCTTCGAAGTCGACAAAAAGTACCCAGCACTGAGACCAGCTAGGCCGCTGCCTATGATGGCAACCTTGACAGTACGTCTGTCTTGCGACATGGGAAATACGGTAATACGGCGTTCGGGTGAGTTCAAAAAAGGTGGTTCGCCTGGATGAGTGAATCACTGTCCGCAATTCAACGATGTCGAATCCAAGTAGTAGCGAGCAAGACTAGGAAAAAATGGGGAGATGCTAATGGCTAGCGTGGGATAAATACGTGGGGCGCGAGCGAAAGTCAAAAGTGGTGTGAGCCATGTTGCGAAGAAGGAAGCCGCAGAGACCGAGGCCATGATGCATGATGCCCTGGCTTGGCCGACGGTGTCTCAGGCTCGCCCAATGTCCAGTGTGGGTGTCGGACAACAACGATGCCCGAAGTTGCAGCGAGATACGAGTTCAATGCAGACGCCGGCTGATTTGTCAACACGATTTCGCAAAACTCAGCGGCGCTCAGGGTCCTCGCTGTGCCCGAGCAGACGGATTCACTGCGGTTGAATTGAGCGGAAAAACGATCCTCCACAGTATTCGAACTACAAAGGAAAGAGATTGAATAGTCGAGAATTGGTACCTCATAGATGCACGAAGAGCATTGAGGCAGCCGTTCGCAGCCGTTGGAAAGGATTGTAGCAAAAAATATGTGCTGAAGCACCACCTCCGCCAGTCACTAACGAAGAGTTGAACTGAGTTACAACACGCGGTAGCTCTGACGCTGGTTCAGTCCACCCGACGTCTCTTCTCCTCTCGTCGATAATCACCTTCCCTCGACCGTGATCTCCTCCTCTCCTTCCATCGACCATCGTCGTCTCCTCTCCGCCTCTCACCCCTAGGCGACCGGTCACGGTCATCTCTACCTCCTCGCCCGTACCCTCGCCCTCCACTATCATCCCTCCCATGTCGGCCATCCCTGTCGGATCCTCTATGGCGATCACGGTCGTTATATGACTCTCCTCGTCCCCCATAGCCCGAGTCGCGACCTCGCCCTCCATCTCCGTCTCGTTCCCGATTCCGAGGAGCGTATCCATCGTCTCGATCACGCCACGAACCCTTGTCTCCGGCTGCATTTGCTCCTGTACCAGGTCTTCCGGGAGGTCCAGTATTTTGTGGACAATCTACAAAATGATAGAAGTCGAGTTAATACGGATACATTGGGCTCAGAATTGGTCGCTATGGTGAAATCATACACCTTTCTTGAGATGAGGGCCGCCACAGAGGAAACATCCTCCGCCATCTGTCGATTTTCCACCGCTCTTAACGGAACCTGCAGCGCCGAAACCGCCGTTGCCAGCCGTGGTGTCTTGGTCCAGCAAATGTGTGTATTTCGTTCGTCCACGTTTACCAAAGTTTTTCACTTGCATGACCTGAGGCAAAGCAGACACGTCGACTGTTGACTCTGTCTTCTCCGTAAAGTCGTGTCGTTTGAGAATGTCCGCATCCTAAAGATAGTCCAGGATCAGGATCCGAGTAGAGCTAGATGTGCCAAGACTAAAGAGCCGAACAAACCTGATGGAAAGCACCTTTGTGCCAGTATTTCTGTAAGAATACTTGACTGCCCTTAGGTTTCTCGTCTCTGAGTTTCTGAGCGCGCTCCAGATCTTCCTTCATTCGTTGTTCCTCGGGTAGCGCACGTCGCCTCTCAATCTCTTCCCGTTCCTGTTCTCTCGCGACCTCAGCTTCTTTATCGCGTTTGATTCGGGCAAGTTCACGGAGACGCCATGCCTCAAACTCTGCCGCGGGATCAAGACCATCCGTATCATCGACGTCAGGGGCCTCTTCTTCCTTCTCCTCTGAGCGGGATTTATGCTAATCAGTACGAAGATTGAAAAGGACGAGGAATGAGAATACGTACTTTCGGCCAGTTCGCGACGAATACTGTCAGCAACCATGTCGTGACTCTGCTTCTTCCGCTCCTCTGCCTCCTCTTCCTTCTTTCTTTGCGCTTCTTCGGTGCTCAGCACTATGGCCTCCTTCTCCGCGACAGTAGCCCGACCACGCCTGAGTCAACCGAGAGATATAGTTAGTATGAGAAAATAACTGAACAAACCAATGTATTGTACTTCGGGACAAAGACAGGTCTAAATTGAAGTTTGGGCTTCTCCTCCTCCTCTGATTCAGTTTCGTATTCACTCGACTAGGTTGCAGATATGAGATCGCATTCGGGTGGACAATAGACAAGTGAGCGACCTACGTCCTCTTCCGAGCCCTCAGCTTGACCTGCTATCCGAGGTTTTGCTTCATCCTCACTCTCTTCCTCCGATGACTCTGAAGGGAATAGAATCGAACCATCAGCAACTCAAAGTCGCCGCACAACGAAGACCGCACATACCGACCTCTAGCGCAGTTCTCCCTACCTCGTCTTTCCCCCCAACTATTACCTTACCCTCCTTCGAGATATTCACGTCTCGCAGAGCTACGCTCATCTTTCCTACCTTCTTTCCTTTTGTCCGTGACACACCTTCGTCGTCCTCGTCGTCCTCGCCCTCTCCGTCTCCCATTCCGCTGATGAGCTGCTCGCCACCTAATGGTACATCTCCCTCTTCCCCAACCTCCTGAACTTCATCCTCATCTTCTTCCTCGGATGATGGGAGTTCAGCGGCACCTTTGGGAGCTTTGCCCTTCCAATACCGAGCTGCGGGCCTGGCGGGTCGAGGCGCCTGTCTGCGCGCCGTCGAAGACATGATAAGGGGCTGGGAAAGACTAATTTACGAAGCTCAATGCGAGAGGTCAAACGTCAAGCGAGACAAAGCCACAAGTAAGTGGCCAGCAGCAGAAGGAATCAATAGCAAAGTCAATGCTCGACAAGTTGTTTGCACCGACTTGCGTTTGTGGCGCCGGGGTTGGGACCGGGGAACAGGTTACGTAATTCCTGAGCCAAACTTCGGCTGATCCGGTATTTCGGAGCTGAAAAAGACGAGCCTGCCCTAAAGTGCCTCCCAGGCCATCAAAAACCGAGCCGACGAGCATGCGGACGCCCACCACCTCTTCCTCCTGGTCTCTGTAGTCGTTGCGATCTACGACCCTTTGCCAGGTGCGTCCCTCCCGAGGCTCAGTGCCTACTCATTTCCTTATACTTATTTCAATGTGCCAGCCTCTCTGCCGCCATGTTATCGTTCACATTGTTATGAGGCTTTTTTCACGAAAAATACGTACCGCGGTACAGGATCACCTCGGGCACGCGGTCTCGAGTCGAGTGAGGAGGCGGAGCTCAGGCTTCGCTGTCTGATACTCTTCGTGCCGTACGGCGCGGCGAGGGCCAGCACCCGACTAGGCAAATGCGTCTTTTCACACTTCGAACGGATACCTTTGACGATCAGCTCTGGACTTCACATCGGCGCCCACCTCCCTCTGCGCTTGCTCTTTCTTTTTTTGGCGTGCCTGCATACTTTCTTGTCACCTGGACTCCCTCTTCTATTCGTATTCATCGTACCGATATGACGATCGTCGACAATCTACGCCACATATGCCAGCCTACCGTGCCCCACATGCGTACATGATAACCTGTCACGATCCGTCGCACACAGATATCGGACGACTTCGCTATATCGAAACATACTCGGTGTGTTTGTGTCGGGAGGCTCTACTAAAGGTCCTTCACACGAGGATGGTCTCGCTCTGCGATGACTGTTTATCGGTGAAGTCCTGCGTGCTTCGGCATGCCGTGGAGTTCTCTCATACGACATGGATTCTACACAGAAGCGAAGTTCTGTCTGGCTGATTCCATTGGGTTTTCATACGAGGGTGACCACCGCCCTGCGGTTGGTAGCTTATCGGTGATACCTTGCGTGCTTCGGCATGCCATGGAACTCTTGCCGGTCAGAATGAAACTAGAAACGATAGTCCAGACGTTGACCCCATACTGAAGATTTATTGGCACAGAAACCCACGTTTCATTGGCACACGCCACGTCCCACACCAGGACCTCGAGCACGCATACGCACACACGCTATCTGCTACGAACGCGCCCCGTCGCACTCCCTCCCAGGGAACCCCTCCGGGGGAAAGTCTCTACACAGAGCCACGCACCCCGTGTCCATGCTGCCCCTGCACAACGCACGCACGCACAAACTGCATATATAACATATCGCATAGTCATACCAGACATCAGGCAGAAATTGATCCGCCCATACCTCTTTCTTCTTTCGGCATCCCTGGTTCGGGCTCATCGTCGTTCGCGATGGCGATCTGCGACGACGACTGAGTTCGTTCCGGCGGTGTCTCCGTTTTGCAGGTCTGGAGTCGACCCACGGTCCTCTAGGCTTGCGCGGCTTCTGGTCTGAGGGTGATGATCCACGATCGTTGCTCTTTGGCCAGATGGCGAATGGGTCGAGTTGCTGTCCTCGACACGATTCCTCGTTCGTACCCGCAAAATTTTTGGAACCCCCCTCTCTTTCGTGGAGAGTTTTTTCTTTTCTTTTTATCTTCTTTTTTCCTCTTCGTGAGGAATTGTTCGGTTTCGTGTTGTGTGAATTGTGGGATGTGGTAGGGGGGATGCTATGTATGTTCTGTCGTGGTTGTTGTATGTATTGTTGCCTCGGTAAATAAATGTATTCCCTTGTCACAGTCATTGTGCTACAAGTTCTTGTGTGATTGAGTGCTCGTTGGTTCATGGCGAGTCTTCGGTGTGTATAACGTACCTGCATGGACAATCAACGCTCAGGCTCTCTTGGGTCCCGCAAGTTCTCCCTTTGAGCTCTAGTCCGCCTGTTCTGTCCTTCACGTGTTTCCCGGGTCAACGCATCGTTCACCAGCTTCATACATTGCCTCCAAGTATCGCTACTTTGTCGCTACTACACTGTTCTGTCCATGTACAATACCCAGCCTGACAATCGATCATACACCCACATGCATGAACGGTGCCCACCTCGATGGCTCCGCCCCTCCATCTCTGAGCTTCCTCGTCGCAAGATTCACCGCCTCTGCAACTTTCTCTATCCTCGGTCTCGCGCCCTTTGAATCACGATTTCCTTCATCACCTTTTTCCGCCTCCACACTTGTCCCAAAAACTACTTCATACACTGTCCCGGCCACCTCTGGCGCGTCTTTATCCGCAATCGACCACATCGCTCCAAGAACGCTCCGAAATCCAGCGACGTGCAGACCGAGTGCCATGTTACAGCCGTTTGCATATGAGATCGGAGTGACGCGCGGAGAAAAAAATGGCGCGCCTCGACCAAACAAAACCATAAACGGCAGTCTTTCTCGGCGCGACTTCGGCAGGCTTTGTGTGGCGTGCTCTGGGCGCATCTGCTTCGTCCTGCCATTCACCTCCAGTGCTCTACAGGGTTGCTCGTAGAGACTTGGTACTTGCTTCATTCTCGCCCACAATACACCTGTCGACATTGGCTACACCGGCCCATCACAAGGAATTTACATACTTAACTCTTGTCGTCATACCGGCTCAGTGGCCATTGTTCGATTCAGGCTAACCATGGCTACGCTCTGCTAAGCTGTACGGGTTGCGGGTTCCTCGACATCGAACTCGCACGTCTTCAAGTGACACCAAAATTTCAGCAGTCTTCAGTCAGTGTAGGCGCAGCTGTAACCGTAGGACACAGTGATGGGTGAAAAGAATGTCAGAGGTTGGAGTGGCCGTACGATTGTCGGATGGCTGAATTAGCCCCTTTGGTGAGTTATGTTTTTATATTTTTTCCTTGCTTTCCACTGTTTCCATACACGTTCGCGGGGGAGAATTTGTATCTACGCAGTTGGCAATCGCCGACGGCTGCCGAGCACTTGTGGTGCCTACTGCTGTATTCGCCCAGACGCCGTCCCCTCCTGCCTAGCATGAACACCTGTGGGCATGATTCCAACCATCACTCTATCCCTTTCGTTCACATGTACCACATTTGAGCTCTCTTCACGGCGCGTCATGCTCCCGTACATGCCTGGTACTACTGGTCTGTCTCTGTATGTGAGTATACATTCTCTGAAAGTACACACTTTTTTATGGTTCTGTTGGATGTCCTTTGTTGTTGGTGCAGTGTTATATAGCTGAGAGTAAAATGCATTGTATTATGGCGAGACCTTTGCTAATAAACTGAAAACTTGAGCGTAGAGGCTGTCGAGACTTTCGAAGCCGACAGACAGCACAAAGCTTTGCACGAGTGACGACGGTCTACGACGGTGCCACTGCCGACGCGTGCCGAAAAGAGCTGCCGTTTGTGGCGATGTTTGGTTTAAGGCACGCCATTTTTTTCTCCGCGCGTCACTCCGATCTCATATGCAAACGGCTGTAAGGGCTTCATCGGCTCCAGAAGTGCTCGATTGTGTTGCAGCGGTATGACAGGCCAACAAGCATGCGAATTCTTCCCGAAATAAAGCTCGAGGTCTGGATTCTTCCGGATGGCTACTCGCTGATCCTTGATCAGTCGCAGGAGATTGAGACGGGTTTGAGTCCAATTGTGACATTGGGTCGGCACGCTGACGCAATATCCTCATGAGCTCGTTCAGGTCCAGTGGACCATCGTAGAGATGAAAAGCACTGGTGTAAGTCATCTTGGGGCTCTGCGACGCGTGACATGCGAAATGAATCCACTGAGGGCAGTTTCTTTCGAAGTATGACCGGACGGAATCGACGGTAGCTGATGCGCCCTCTAGGATTACACATTGTTCGGGTGGAAGGATAGACTGAATACGGGCCATCTCGTGGCGGACGTAGGGTAAGGGGTTCATACCAGGTGTGTTTGGCTGGGCGATGGCGAATAGGTTGGCAGGACCTGTAGATGCTGGGGCTCGAGTAGCGTCCAAGAGGGAGGTGATCGTAGGCGTGTAGGACGATATGACGAAGTCCAGACAACCTGGCCCTTTCTGTGGCTGCGCTGCGTGCAGAGGCAGTCCTATGAATGGACCGGTAGGACACCACCAGACTCGCTGCTTCGTGTGCGGTGTGTCATCAGCTGTGATATCATCTCCTGAGGTCAGAACGCCGAGTACGGATAGTATGGGATGGACGATGGTATCCCATAAAGCACCTAATGCATCGGAAGCACCGTGTGCTGACATCTTTTTGGATGCGCGTTTCAGCATGTTCAAGCTGGAACCACGGTTCTCGTGCAGCTTCCGGAGCTCATCTAACGATACCCGAGGGAGAGGGACATGGGTGATCGTATTGGAAGGGAAAACGACCAACGCATCGCAAGAGTGCTCAGCCGCATTCAACACCACCACTGGACCGTGTAGGAGCGCAAATTCCATATTCGAAGGAATATCCTTCGGAGGGCCTACTAAACCCGCCGATTCCTTTATACTTCGCGGACGGGTCGTGGTGCTCGAGCTCCACATGAGCGTCCCACGTACGTGCTCCAAGAACTCGCCAGATGCAGCTCTCCTGAGCGAATAGCACAAACGACGGCGTCCGCTACCATTTCTACGTCGATAGACAATAGAAATATGGGCTGTATCAGCTCGGTTCTTACAAGAGGAACATCCACGAGAAGCTGTACGAGGCGACGGTACGCGTCCAGCGTCGACGTATGCTTCCGCTCTTCTGCGAAGCGCACCCAGGTACATGCAGCCTGATGACGCCAGAAAATGGAGCCTTGGGGAAGTAGAGCGACCGACTTGAAGGCCTCCAATGCGTCCTCAAACGCTGACTCGTCATCCGGGTTGTGAATGCTGAGCGCGGACAACATTCCGGCGAGTTTGTACATATATTTCGGCAGGTACCCTGGCGTTGATTGAAGGGCGAGGATGGTGGTGCGGTAGATCCATATTGCCTCTGAAAGGCTTTGAATATCGTCATGGTTTCGGGAATATCGTATGTCGAGGCCGTCAGCGAGATCCAGGCGGTAGCGAGATACGTCGCGGGTAGGGGTAGAAGAGGATCCACACGCTGTGATAGCGGAGCGGAAGTTTTGAATGGAGGCGTCGAGGTCAGAGATATCGGAAGTGACGAAGAATCGCATTCGCAGGCCCATACCGAGCAGGCTGAAGATGCGAGAAACCTGGGCATCCGTCTGGCCTGCGAAGGCCTGAGCCTCTCGAAGCAAACTAAGAGCTTCATCTAATCCTGCGATATTCGAGAGTAAGAACGAAGCCTGTTCAATAAGAGCATCCGCCAGGGTAGTGAGAGCGTCCACGGGAGGGACGGTCTCTGATCGTTTGACCTATGTATAGTTCAATCAGTTCCCTCCCAAAAGTAACGATATTGCGGTCACGACAAAGATGCAGACGGGCTCAGCTTACCTCCTTGAGAAGCTCTATGGCTTCATTGAATTCGACGGAGGAGCGCATTTCTCGATAGTATGAGACTAAATCTCGGGCTAGGGAAAGCTTGATGTTTAGAAGGGTCGATGACGGCGCCGTAGCGACAACACTGATCATGACGTGCTCGAGGGCTCGACGGCGTAATGAAATGGCAGACGTGAGGTCGTCAACGATATCGAGATAACCTGAGGTGTGATAGCAACTTGACAATAGGTCGGCAAGCCTGATGCATTTCTGGGCATACTCTGGATCATCGTGTCCAGAGGACGACAGAAGGTGGGATACTGCACGATACTTGTCCTCCTCGGTTGGAACCGTAACGTTCGCTGGCATCCCTAATGAGGTATCTACAAGCGAAATTCGGAATGGCCAATGCTTTGTAGACCGAAGATGAGAAAGAATCTACCCATGCTTCGCACAGCACGCGCAATCTAGTGGTCTAATAAATCTGGATTGGAAGCCTGAGGATGTCCAAGGCATGGAGAAAGAGTTGACCTTCGGGGGGCGATACTGGACCCATCAATCAATGATTGAGCCGAAGTCAAGCGCCCATCAACTTTTGTAGAAAGAACCTGGGAACGCCACATATTCAAGCAGGCGGTCACATCGATACGTGCCACATTTGCTAAAGACAGCCTCTCTTTGTTCCAGCATGTTTGCAGCATGAAGACGAGCTAGTGGTCTGGAAGGTCATAATATGGGCTTGTGATATCCGTCTCAGCTTTGCGGAAGAGCAGCCACGAGTATACAACCTATCCCGACGAAAATGCATTACAGCGCGAAGACCTCCCCTCCAATACATGGCCAGTGAGTGTCTCAAGCCGACGGCGTTCCCTCTCGCTTGACCCAGTCAAGCCACGATCCTTCATAGTTGTTGATGCTGTTCGCAAGCAACATTAATATTAGCTCAGTGTAGCAATTTACACTACCAAAGACGTTACACACTTTTTGTACCCGTTCCGCTTCGCGACATCGCTCGCGGTGGCACTCCGTTTACCGCTACGGCAGTAAAATATAATTTCTTGATCCTCCGTGGGCTTCTTGAATCCATATTTCTGCTCGAACTTGAAGGAGCCGAGCTTCAACGAAGCTGCGAGTTCGGATAGGGGAAGGTTGACAGAAGAAGGTATAGAACCCTGGATGACTTCATCCGGTTCCCGAACGTCGATCAAAAATTCGTTCTATGGTAACAAAATTATAATTCACTGGGAAGTCTCTTCTACAAACAATTAGGGACATACCGTGCTGGGTTGCTGGGACTTCTGCTTTACGACCTCATAGGGAATGACCGGAATCCTCCAATCACTTTGCAGCTTGTCTCGCGCGGCCAGTGCCGCCTGTCGTGCCGCCTTCTCCTCATCCGTACGAGGTTGTTGTGTGGAGTTAAATCGTATCGAGAAGCTGAGCATGGGTAAAGGACGGGATAATCGTGTACGAGAAATTGTACGGGCGGGGGCGAGGGATACAGCTCGAGAGAGGGCGAATGTGGTCCGCATCATCTTTACGTTTGGTGGTGGCTATACAAGGGGCAGTATTTGCAGAGGTAATAGACTTGACGACGAGCAGATAAAGAATTTGGAAGGAGAAATGCAAACGATAGCAATTAGAAAGCGAGAGTCGAAGTCGAGAGCGAGAATGGCGAGCGAGCGCTGTGGCGCAAACTTGACGCGATACCTCACGTGCAATCGCGCCATTGTGGCGCCCAATCAAGCACCCACGCTAGAGCCACGCGAGCGAGGCTGCGAGGCTTGAGTGCGATTGGCCGCGTAATTGCCTCCCTTCCTCCCACCTTGCTCTCCGCCATCATCACCAACCCGCTCCTCTCTTCGACCCGCTTCCCGCACTCACTACAAGTATCCTATACATCTGCTCTGTGTGGCTACTTGATGCTGTCGGACAAGTGGGAGCGTAGTTCTCAACAAGCTTGTCCCTGGCATCAATCTTTCCTCGACAGCGACGTTGCTCTGCATCACTCTTGTCGGGGCATATATTCAGACTCTCGATGCCCTCATTGGCGATTCTTCCTCTAGCGTCTGAGTCATACGTGGTGCAAGTGCGAGCGTAGTTCTCCGAATCCTGACCACCTTGACTGTCTCGAACAGGTCTACGTTTTGGCACCTGCAATGCACAGGACGGTGCGTAGGATCTATGAGCCTGTCGGGATACTCTACATATATTTCACCTTGACTATCTTGCCATGGTCCAGTCCCCCAACACAGGTGCCCAAGTCTCAGCACACGACGACGGGTATACGGGTAGGACTTCGTGGACAAGTCCACCGTCAGGTCCATGGCCCGTATCGGTAATTTCCTATACGTTCCCACGGTGACTGCGTCAACGTATCCTTCTGCAGTTGCTTCGCAGCGCCGTCTCTTGCCGCTCTACATCAAGTCGTTTGCTAGATCCAGTGAGCACTTACTCACCTAGCCGCCACCACATCACCGCGCCATCATGGACATGTCAGACTCCAGCACCGATTCCAGCTCTACCTCGACCATGATGATGGTCCCTTACCTCCACTTCACTGGCGGCGATGCTCTCTACTTTTCGTCTCTCGCCCCGACATCCTCTGGCGCGATTGCAGGCGCCTCAATTGTTCTTGTCGTTATTGCTCTCATAGACCGGTTGCTTTTTGCGATACGAGGGGCAATGGAAGATAACTGGCGCAGGAGGTGAATACCGCATATCTCACACTCAGAGGCCGTCTTTAACGTAGTCTGCCAGTCTCCTAGAGGCGAATGCAAACCGGTTGGCTAAACGCAGCCAAGACAGTGGCTCTGCATCGGATGTGAAGAGTGGTGAGGGGAGAGCTGAGCCCGTCTCGACGAAGGGCAATGGTGACAGGAGGACTCGCACAATGCCACCCTTCATTCCCTCTATCGACCTGACCCGTGGTGCTCTCTATGCCCTCCAGGCCTTTCTCACCTACGCTCTCATGTTGGCCGTTATGTGAGTTCTCTTGTCCTCCGCATCATTTTACCTCAGGATGCCCACTTATTTGGGATCTGCCTTGACCAGGACTTTCCAAGCGGCGTATATCATCTCCATCATTGTCGGGCTGGGGATCGGAGAGGTTCTTTTCGGCCGATATGGCAGCACACTCGCGCATTTGCATTGAGAGAGGACAGGGTTGCCACTGTTTCATGGAGATCTCCTGACTTCTTTCTCTTCACGTTTCCCGCACAGCGCTCCCCGTGGGTTGCTCGCCCGTAGTTCTTGTGTATACGATATTGTACGAGTTGGCCTTCGGAATACATTCACGAAGTGGTTGCTCCATGTCATAACATGTCACCGTGTTTCCGTCGTTCCCGCTAGTGTCTCCATGGCTTTCCCAGGTCTGACCTCAACTTTGCTCCCGATCAGACAGCGAGATTTCTTCAAAGAATCCTGAGGAAGGAAGGAATTCCTCTTTGCCTACATTTTTATTCTCATATCCAAGGGGACTACAGGAACACGTCAGGCTTGTCAAGGACGGGAGCAACGAATGAAGAACGACAGCACCTTCGCGGTCAACTCGCGGGGGCGGTAGCACGGAAGCGGCGTAACCGTCTCCCGCGACCTCGAAAAGGAAGGAGAGAAAAAGTTTTTTCACGTCCTTTCCTTTTCGAGTGACGGCGGGCCAAGCTCTTGGCGGGACGCGACTTCGCTATAAATCTTGGTTTCCCAACTGCTAGAAATCCCAGCAGGAATCGACACTTCTCGCTCTGTCTCTCCTCCTCACGAAATCTCATCCTCGTCTACGAACCTTTCTTACGCATCCATACCTCCACTACTAACCTACGATGCGTTTTACTCTTGCTGTTGTGTTCGCTGGTGTTGCAGCCGTCGCCAATGCACACTTCCAACTGGCGTACCCCCCTCCTCGAGGTGTATTCGATGAGGATAATGAGGTCAACTTCTGCGGTACATACTCCTTTCATCTCGCACATTCGAGTTTTCAATGTACTCATTTTTCTTCTGTGCATTAGACTCGTATACCAATGCAGTCGATAATCGTACAACCTTCCCGCTCAGCAACGGCTTTTTCACCTTTAACAGCGAGCACCCCTCATGGACTCGTAAGTGATCTCTCCCAACGTTCCTCATACACCTATCCGTTATACAGCAGCTGATACTCGTGTTTTCATGACTGGTGCAGTTGGTGTTTTGATTTCGACCGTGCAGAACCCTGTATCATTCGATAACTTCACCGCGAACGACACCAGCAGCGGTGCGGACCAATTTGCACGGAACTTCGCGTCTGGTACTGGCGAGGGTACTTTCTGTATTCCTCTCGACCTTTCCAGCATTGGGGTCTCGGGCGTGCAAGACGGCGCAAATGTGACGATCCAAATCGTGTTCGATGGAGGTGACGGGAACCTCTTCCAGGTCAGTCCCTTTCTTGCCCATTGCCGTTCTTATAGACGTTCCGCGTATATTCGACCTCACATGATATTGGTGTATTTACTGTATTTTCTACTCTCCCCACAGTGCGCCGACTTGACCCTCGAGAGCAACTCTACCACACCATCGAGCGTAACTTGCTCAAACGCGACTTCCTCAAGCTCTGACGACAACTCCACATCATCATCATCATCGGCCTCCAGTCTGAGGATCGGGTCTACGACGTTTGCTTCATCATGGGCTGCATATGCCGGTGCGTTAGGCGCCGTGGCGGGGCTTGCTATGTCGGTGCTATAAACATTCTTATTCGCTCTTTCGGGTTTTGTGGGCGGATGGTCTGCTATGATGGCGTATTATATGACTTATCAAAATGAAACGTATCCTTGACGATTTTCCAGTGACATCGGTCTCCACTACAACCTTGAAAGTGTGGATGGTGTCTCCAGCGCGCTGACTCGACAGGATACGTTGTGGCCACTTCTGTTCCATATTGTAGCGACACTGGGACATGCGTGTCCCTCGTCTATGAGTACATGCGTTTCTACTAGGGGTTCGGTCAATTTTTTTGTCGGATGTTACGGGTCCCTCGGTACGATACAAATATTTTCTATCAATATGCATATGCAAGTCCGCTCAAAGTCTGCTCTTGAGCATGAACGCACGTGCACCAGGACAATATATTCTCGGGTCAAGCCGGCTTGCAAACTTCCAAACAAGACATCCGCGTCTGCGTCACTCCACTTTGTTGCGCCTGATCGTGTCCTGCCTCCCTCGCGTAACGCACTTTCAGTAGGGTTCACCTTAGCTTTGAGCTATGCATACGCCGTCGTTTTGTGGTTGAAGCGGTCGAATCTGAAACTCAGCTGAACTTCCTCCATATCTGCACTGCTTTTGAGGAATCGCTAGATCACACATCACACAGATATCATAATCACAGCAACTTCGATCTCACCAAGATGCCCATCATGATATTGATCCCAGTGCTCTTAAAAACTTCCCCTCGAGGTGAGCCACGACCACTCGGCTGATTCACTGAGGAAACTTTTGGGAAACTTGCTCGGGCAGATGCATCCTATCCGCTCGTACATGCTGCCCCTATTGTTCGATCGCAGTTACAGGCGGCTGCTATCGAGCATCTTGACTTCCGATCTTTCTCGCAATTCAAGAAGGCCTGCAATGCTTGACACGTTCCATTGTGGTCATATTGTAGCGCCACAATCCACAATCCTGATTGCAGCAAAAGGAAACCATGGATGACAACGAGCGCATGTTACAAATGTGTTTAGTGTCATCTTCCCTATTCCTTGCCGGTCGGACGCGCAACGGCGTGTCTCCGCGTCTCTTCCGTCAAAAGACATTGTCAGAACCTACCAATCGACACTGCCTCGCCGATGGCTGCGCCCAGTACGTGGATCAGATTTCACTGGATGGACGGCATTGCAATTGGCCATGAGCAAGCACTCCTTAAGCGCTGCATTATAAGAGCAGGGCTGCGTACCCGCTCGTGCGAGCGAACTCTCGTGAGTCGCTGCGGCATACATACGAATCACTGTGACCCCTCTCCGGCCTGCTCTTGATCACTGACTCGACTCTTCCGGGCTACCTACCGCCATTACCAAGACGACGACATTCGAGCATTGCTTCCGTCTTGTCTACCACAACAAACACATCCTTATACCAGTGTTACATTAGGAGATGGGTCTTGCACGAGCGCTCTCTGCTTTTGTCAAGAAGAGGTCTGAGAGTCCGTGGGAGGTAGTGGACAGCAAGGACGTGGAACCCGTTCCCGTCTGGGACGACGAAGATGGTGCGTTAGTAGTACCCAATTATATGTATTATTCTGACTAATCACTATTCGTAGACCTTGACATTGTGTTCATCCATGAAACAGCCATTTCTCGCACGTACATATTCGACGTCTCACGAGATAAGGACTTCAAGAACGCTGTGGTGTTTGCTCAGCAAAAGATGCTCGAGGAAGTGAATGACAAGGGGTACAATGTTCTTTGGTGTGAAGGGTGAGCTTCATTGAACTTCCATGTCATCGATAGGCGATATACTAATGCGGTGTTCAACATAGATGGAGGGCAACCCTTCTTCGGAAAGGGAAGAGACATCGAGTTGAAGTCAGATATAAGGGGCGACCTGCACGTCTCTCCGGAAAGCCACTTGTGTCGCAGCTCCCTCCGTTCATGGGCGTTCTCGACGAGATGCGCTACTCTACACACTTCACGCCGTAGACTGAGCATGAAGAAGGCGCTTCCCCTTGCATTCTCAACGTATACCATATTCTACATATTGTCTATTTACCGTGTACTAGTATGTGTTCTCAGGCTATTCTACTGTATTCCCCTCGCATCACACTGTACTTGTATCCATTGTGTCAATAGAGCTGGAATCTACATCCCCTTCCACCCGTCGAGAGCATGTCGCCTTTTTGACGAAGGCCGGCAACAGCGTGTCCGTGCGTACATGCGCTCTTTCTCTGCTTTTATCAAGATGGACAGGCCCAAGTATCACTACTAGTAACAGCCAGCAAAGGCGTTTCCACTTTTCCCATGATCTCCGCTTTATCGCTGTTAGGTACTGCCCACTCTTTACAACGTGGCGACAGCTACAACCCACGACAAGGATCTAACTTAGCTCGTATAGCTTGGCACATACGTTTGATATGAACGTTCCTGCCAAAAGCCGCTTTGACGGGAAGCGATCTATAACATAGCATTCGGGAAGACTCCCGTCCCAAATAGAGCGAGTGTCGTACTCGGAAAGTAGTGCCACAGGCCTTTCTATTACATAGATAGACGGCTTGTTACGAGCCCGAATCCGTAAATGGGCTGACCTGGATACCCCTACAAGATCCTCGTTCAGACGTACCTTCAGACATGGAAGTGACACAGTCTCTACAAGCCTCCAGGTATCGTCATTGCGCTCGTCCTGACACACATCCAGACGGTGGGCCAGTCTAGACCACAGTGGCGCTCCCGAACTGGGTGTATGATGTGACATTCGTCGCCCCGAACGTCTCGGAGGTTCAGAGAGCGATTCTCTCAACAGGAATGGGAAGATCGAAGAGAAAGGAACCCCGTCGTAGAACCTTGCTCCAGCGAGCCAGTCTTTCACCTTCACACTTGGAGCGTTGTGATAGATGGCCCAAGGCACATATGTAATTTGTGATCGCCGAGTTGCGTTCAGTGATCTAGGCGACGTCAAGTAGAAGACACGCACGAACCACGGCCTTGCTGCCGGACGGTCGAACGAACTACATAAATAAGCGACTCGATGAGCAGAAACCTCTCCCTATCATCCCATAAAAACCTCGACTTCAATAACCACACATACCTTACCATCGTGATGATCCAACAGCTACCTCTCATAGCATCCACATCAAGGCTGGCTACCCTCGTCGGTCACATCACAGATCTCGTGAACGGCGAGAAGAAGCAGCACCTCCCTCCCAGTCACAAGTCAAAGAGTTCTAATTCCAAAGCGACACTCTGCGCATCTGGTCCCGCAAGAACGCACGCCGTCCTCCAAGACGCTACAGTTTTTCCTATAGCAGAAGTCGCGCACAGCGAACGAAAAACATTCGCCGTCCCAAAGTTTGGCGGACCCGCCGAAGTATCGCGATCAGTAGACGCAGCGAGAAGGGCCTTGTATAGCAAAGCGAAGGACGAAGGTGGGAACGTCCTCGTTGACGAGCAGTAAGTCACATCCTTTGGAGAATCTGGTCCAACCACGAAGTGATGATGTGAAACATCGTAAATAGGTGGTCCTGTAAGGTCTGCTCACATTCGGGCCACAAAGGAAAAGATAAGGTGAAAGTCGCAGTGAGTACCACCATTCTTCCTAGTTTCGCCGACATATTCATGGATTCGTATTTTAGGTATCCTACTCAGCGACAGCAGCACGATCCGCGTGGCAAGACGTACAGCGACCGGTGGGTCTGAAGGCGCTCAAAACGCTGGGAAGTTTGCGATCAATACGTGACGCACCCGACAAGAAATCGTTGTCTCAATGAAAGACCCCGGGTTCGCGAGCACTGCTGCATTTTATATCGGGGGTTGTGTATGTACGAGTATTCATTGCTTGCTTGTTGTATGACAGATAGTTGTGATAGATGATGTCTTCGGTATATTCGCATTCTATACATTGGCATAATTTAAGAGAGTCCGGGCGAGTTCATCCGTCGCTTTTCACGATGGGGCTCTCCTTCCTGGAAGCGTAACCGGTCCAAGACTAGGCAGAGTACGAATCAGCAGGTTATGCGAAAATAACTAAGGAAGACTCACCTCATCGTAAATGGATACGCGGGTAGCCTCGTTCGCAAGTTTCAGTCCGAGCCACAAGACACCTGTTGAAGTCGCGCCCGGCATTCTTTTGATCAGTTATTGTAGACACACATCAAGCGAAGCACAAATGTACCTGCGGTCATACCGCTTCCGCAAGAGGTGATGACCTTGCGCTTGCCCGTCAGAATTTGCTCTGCGTTTTCGGCTCCTACTGTCTCTACGAGCTTCTCTCTGATTTCTGTCGGGGTAAGAAAAGTGGTGTAGGTCTTGTCGGAGTTGGGGATTTTGTTCGTACGAAGGAATGTGTTGAAGGGCAGGGAGAATGAGTGGGGAATGTGGCCGGAGGAGAGACCAGCTCGTGGTTCGGGGTCTGAGCCGAGATACCTGGTGGTCCATCAGGCAGGAATAGGGTCAGCGATATCGAGAGACAAAGGATCGAAACTTACCTTCCGCGAGACCGAGCGTCGAGAACAAGCTCTGCAGCAGAGTCTGTTATATTAGACGAGGCGTTGTTCACGACTTGCTGATAACCTGCATGTAGATAGAGATCAGTGGTCGTGTAGCAGGAGCAAGCGCTGTTGCCGGCACTCACTCCTGACGACCTCCTCGTTCAGGGTCGGCGGAGGGTATGTGCTTTCTCTCACTTCGGAAAGAGGTCCAGTTTCGGTGGAACCGCCGTCGAGCTCCCATGCCGGGAGACCTCCATCAAGTACACTGGCCTTGTCGTGTCCTAACGCCTTGAAAGTGAAAAGGGCCCGGGGAGATGAGAAGATGCCCACGGAATCGTAACTGTACACAAGCACTCAACAGATGCATAACTATACACAGGGCAATGAAACACGCACATGATAATATGGGAGGACGGGCTAATCCCAGCCTTTCCTGAAGGAGGCCTTTACATAAGTTAAGGTATATCAAACGATTGCACTCTACTCACTCAGTGCTGCTCCGAAGATCTCTCCCGTGGGCATCATATGCTTCAGTCCGAGCTCATTGGGGCTGGCAATATCATCCAAGTCGAAGTAACGTGCACCTGGAATACGTTTCTTCAAAAACTCCTCTTTGGCATTCAGAGGTGAGTTTGGCATGTGCCAGCTTGCATCGAGGACAGAAATGTCCTCAGCTGAGCCAGCGGTGCGGAAGAGCTCAGTGAGCTCCTTTGGTGAGATAAGTAAAGGCATTTTTTTGGGTATAACTTGAGATGACATCGCAGTACGACCGAGTGTTCTTGCTCCGGAAGTGATATACCTCGACAGCATTCCGTTCAGTTGCAGGTGGGATGGAGGTTCGAATTGAAGCTGCGTCAAGGTATCTTTGCGCAACACGCGACGTCATATTTCCTCTTCCGTACTTGCCTAATCAAGACGTGTTATACGGCTGGTAAGGGCAACTCTATTCGCGACAGTTCTTGAGCTTCCACAGACTGGTACCACCGCGCTCTCCGTACGATGCCTTCAGATCAAAGTACCTGGCTCATCGCGGCTCCTCAGGATGGAGACTCAGAAGGTTTACTACAGGAAGTATATTCCAAACTCTCTCAACAATCGAAGACATTTTCTAGGAACAATATCGGGCAGCTCTCTATCCCTTCTTTCAAGGTGATGATCTCTCTAATGCGCGCCATCTTCATTCGCTTATCATGATTTATGAACTAGACGGGCACTCTGGACTCGCTTGTTTCGCTCTCCGAGGAACTGCCAAAGCAAGACTCTGCCTTCACTGCCGTAGTGGCGAAGATCGTGGATACACTTCGTAACCTATTGAACAACGACCCTTCAAAGCTCTCGCAACACATTCTTGTCAACGAGCAGAGTGTGGATGAGTACCTCTTGCAGGATTGGAGATGGAATGAGGGTCGCTATGGCGTACAGCGTGGTCTACGAGAGATGGTCGATGTCCTGGTCAAGGTGCGTAGGCTATACTTGCAGTGACTCTTGAAGACCTGTTTGACCCAACCATGGCTGGGGGGAAATAGGAGATCAACTCCATCGACAATGTGATGAAGGCGAAGCTTAATAGCTATAATCTCGCAAAGGGTTCGCTCACACAGCTACAGCGCAAGAAGACGTGGGTCAACTACTCTCTTCACATAATCATTGTGATTCTGACCCCCCGCGTTCAGAGGAAACCTGTCTGTCCGATCTCTCGCCGACATAGTTCGCAAAGAGGACTTCATTCAAGATTCAGAGTATATGGAGACCTTGCTCGTTGCCGTGCCGAAGTAAGTGGCGCAGTGTGTCATACGTGTGGCCCATCGAGCTCATGGAGGTTTAGGAACCTCGTGAAGGAATGGAATGCAAAATACGAACGGCTGACATCGATGGTTGTGCCTCGTTCCGCTGCGTGTGTATCCTCTTCGCCTCTCCTGCTGTCTATTGGACTAATCGCTAAACAGCGCCATTGACTCAGACGATGAATACACGCTCTATTCTGTCGTGATATTCCGTCGAGTGCACGACGAGTTCCTGCAGAAGTGTCGCGAGAACAAGTTCGTACATACTGAACTGTATTGTCTGCGCTCGCTCACGAACCCCCATAGGTTCATGGTTCGAGACTTCAATTTCTCGGAGGACCTTTTGTCCAAGGAGCGCGAAGAGCTGGACACGGCTGATACAACTGAAAAGGAACTCTGGGTATGGAATTTCACTCCACCCTTACTTCAACTGCTTCTGTGACTTACTTGCTGCAATCTGATCTCCTGGACGAAGACCGAGCTCCTTCGACTGTCTCGTACCAACTTCTCGGAAGCCTTCCAGATCCTTGTGCATCTCAAGATTGTCCGCCTATTTATCGAGAGTGTCTTACGATATGGTCTTCCCTCCAATTATACCGGGCTCGCCATCAAAGTGAGCTTGTCTTTCTACTTCCTCTTGTCTTTCACGCATTTTAGACGCCTCTCGACTAACCCAACCACCCATCATACAGCCCGAACCCAAATCCACCAAACGTACGCTTACGACACTCCAGACACACTTCACCTACCTCTCCCCTCGCTTCAGCGGTGCCGCCGGCTCGAAGAAAGGTGGCGCTAGCGATGACTTCGTTGGGGAGTATCAGACGCTCCTTGAGCAGGAGTTCTTTGACTTTGTTTTGTATGAAGTACCATGGATTGTGAACTAATTCTGCTGTAATTTCTATATTCCTCTTTTCAATGTCCTTCTCAATATGGACGTGATACGATTTGATATTGCGTGACCAAACCCAACATTCGCTTATATCATATTCTATACTTCAACACCACTGCATAATGTTCAGAGGCCGTAGACATCAACCCCGTATGCTAAGATTGTGTATTTCTACGCATAGCGATTGATAATCCAATGTTCTATCTCCTCGACCTTGCAGTTGGTATCGCAGTTTTAAAGTTCTTATGCAGTGGTGTGACACTTCTCAACTTACTGTCTCACCAGGCAAAGGTAGAAGGTTGCAGAATCCATATCCAAGAAGTTCAGAAGACCGTGCGAAAACTCATCAGGCAAAGCTCTACAACGTCACCTAAGTAGCCATGGGGGGGTGTCCGTCCTCTCAGTCTGTACATCCGTCCTGGATACGTGCACCCTTTGTGCCCCGGTCACGAGCACCCGCTCTATATATATATTTGAGACTACCATATAAGTCGAGAGCTTCCTTAACACGTGGGCCACTGGAACGACGGAAACCTTCCGAAACTCTGGCGCCAAGATCACTCACCACTTGAGCTCGACAAAATTGGCACTACAGACTTGTCTCGGACTCGCAAACTGTGGCACAACCGCTGAACTTCATTGCTTTTGTCTCCTCACTACCTAAACAGTTATGAATCACGTCTGGCGGATGAGGCTCGAGGGATGGGCAGGCCGTTTCAAGGAGGTCAGTTCGTCATGTGTATATTAGTGACTTCGTGACTCGCCTTCGGTTTAGGGAGCTACGAAGTTGTGATGGAGCGGGGGGTAAGGTCAGTTGTAGTTCGTCCACTCGTCGGTACCCACGCGACTCACGATCCACGTTTATAAAAACCGGAATATCTAGGATTTAAAATAGATATTGTTATTATCCAAATCCTTGCCTCGTGCAATTGTCGCCCTGGTATCATCCATTTCAATTCCCAACCGTTCACGACAAGAGCAACTACACCTGAAGGAACGTTACGAGCGACACGAAATAAGTAACAAGTCTACACTCGGGATGCATCATTGTATATGACCGAGGTGCGTTCATGTCCCTGACATTATAGACACGCTCCGATCGATGAGGTACCAGAGTACGGGTTTCTCTCTGGAGAATGTGGAAGTAGAGTGCGCATGCTGCCCTACCTCACTCGGTGTACAGGGACAGGGTGCTGTGCATCCCTGATAGAACGAGAACCGGGTGTTGTTAAAACAATAAATATGGAACGCGCCTTTGCGCGATAGCTCATTTCAAAGTCTGGTGGTCCCAATCTCCGACGTAGTTCAACATTGCCAGGGCGTGCGGAATGCTGAAGCTCTATGACTAGGAGGCATCCCCGTCCGAGGCATCTTCATCCTGCCTTCCGGGATAGTAGGAGCTGTCCTGGTAGACCGTGTTGTTATCGCCATAGTAAGCCTCGCCCGACGAGGACGATGCTGTGAAAAACTGTTGCGACGTCGGTGGATGTAATGGTGGAAACGAGAGTGTATGAAGTGTGGGGGAGATAGACGGCTCGTGTGGGCTCTCTCCTTCTGGCAGCGGGATCGCCCACCGATGCATGAATCCCTGGAGTTCTTGCGATGCAGCAGGATCTCTGAAAGAATTCGCCGCGGATGTCTGTTCTTGTTGAATTGGGCAGGCGATGCTGAAGCTTCGTCTCTCGCTGTCTGCGTAGGAACTACGCTCCTCAGCATCGAATCTGTAGCGGATAATTCAGGGTCCGAGCATCGTGACGTATGAGAGCGACGTACAGGTACGGTCTACCATCTTGTCCGGTCTTGATGGGCGGTGGTGCACGAAAGTCGGACGGGAGTATCATGTTAGGAGTAATGACAAGTTGCATGAGATCCCTTCTGCTTGTCGGTCTCTGGAGGCGACCAAGACGGAGGTCCTCCTCTGTGAAGTAGGAGATGACATGGTAGAGTGTACCCTCCATGCGAATGCTAATGGTCTAACGATGTAGGTTCAAGCATCAATGGTCTGACAGGGTGATCACTTGGATGGCCAACTACCTTTTTCCACAGGGCATCCTCATTGAGCGGACCTAAAGCATCCTCTGGTCTGCTTCGGTCTCCTGCCAAAGCTCTTCCCGTGGAGTGCAGGGACGGGCCTCTTCCTACCGGAGCCTCGGTGCCCACCACCTCTCGGTAGACCTGGGATACACATATGTTGAACGAGCCATCGCACTCGCAAAACGGGCCAGACGCACCAGAAAGTTCCCAAGAATCCTGGACCGGGTCCAAGCAATGCCGTCTGTCCATCTCTTGATGCCACTCTCCTCGACTCCGAAGCAGAATACAGCACCAGACTTCAGCATTGTTGACCTCTCCTCATCGTTCAATCGTCGTTGAATTCGCGGTATGATACCAAGCCTAAGGAAATTAAGGTCAGCTCCACGAAGCCGAAGATGATTTATCGAGGACGGACCTTGCTGCAAGAGCGATGTGCATAGCATCTACCGTCGTCTCGACTACCCCTACGAAAGGACGAACCTCTTGAGCCTGTGTCGGAGGCATTCGGGATGATGTATGGCCAAAACGAAGAGGACGTGCGATGCTGACGGGATGTAGTCGGTTACTCCGTCCATGCCCATTACCCAGTGCCATCCTTATAGGCTATCATTAGAAGTATTACGACCCAGCTCGCAGGAGATGGTCAACATTAATCATTGTTAGGCCTAATAGACTGCTGACTCTCCGTCGCACTCTGCATGATTGGGACTCCACTTATGAAGTCGGCTAACCATTTTACAGAGCCTTTGCAATCGTTTGCTGTTCTGTAGTACTAGTGGTCCCCGCCTCATGGACCGACGGCTTACCGCCACTAATCGTGACCTTGGTCCACAGTCGACTACCCCTTGGCTCGGGATGCTGGACTTGTTGAAGGTGGACATGCCCAGAAAGGCGGCTCGAGCGTACTGTACCACTTCAATCAGGTCGCCGGTACCTATACGTAACGGCCGTGGCATAAATTTTCTTTCGATTCCAGAGGTTTGCGAGCCTAAATGCGGCGAACCGATCGAGATAGTACAGTACTTCGTTCACAATGACGACTACTTACCTGCTCTCTCACTCCGCTCTCCAATCCATGACGACTGCAACTTGTCATACCGCCGGCCAGCGGTGTAGAACCCACGCCAAACCCACACAACCCTGACGGCGAACGAGCTGAAGACAGCAAGTATAAGTTGGCAGCGTTCAGCTTCCGGATTTACTCGCTGGTTTGCATTAGACTGGTAACCAAGTTTGCTACGCGTGGGGGGCTGGCGCGAGTATATACAGCGGTTTGCATGCCTTCTTTGAGTTGTTTGTGCACTACGAGCGAAAATATCAACAGTAACGCAAGCCATGCAAGATAATAAGGAAGGCCGCAGAACTGAAACTGCATGTCGTGGATAAAGCGACGCAGGACAGCGCAGGACTCGTCACTTACCCGATTCATGGCGGCACATTCCATCTTTAAAGTTACTTTCCTTTCTGGGTCACCAGGATAGTGACGTCCTTGCTTTTAGTCACCCAGGACTTGGTAGCAAACCGAGGTACGTAGCAACAGTCATTGAGTTCTCTGCCGTGCGAAAGGATTTGGTTCAAGCTTTGCCTGTGCTAAACTCAGAGGGCGCTATGCACAAAGCTGTCTGCCTGTCTGAACGCGGCTCTAAACGAACAATCCGGGAAGACGGAGTTCCTCGGGTCATGAGACTGAGAGTTCTCGCGAGGACCGGGATAGAAATCATGGACTTGAAGGGGGCAAGTCCACTTCAACAGTACAAGAAATGACATGCCCTGTGAATCGTTTGAAGCTTACAGAAAACGGCGAAGATTCAGAGAGCACTTCAGGAGCGGCAAATACACTTACAGAGAGTGATAATAGAAGCGTGAAAGGCAAAAGTGAGACAGAGTGCGATCTAAGAAAAGTCGAGAACGGATACATTGACCAACTAAGCGACCAGCCATTACAGACTCAATCAAACACTGAAGTACTGAGCACCGAGGGTGAGCAGGTGACTCATTTAAGCAGGTAGGCAAGAGACCGAGGTCGAAGTGACAGCAGACGACAATTGTGATATAATGCAAGTATGATACGGTACGGTACGGGTGAGTGTAGCACAGACACGAGGAGATATGGACATTGAACATTGAACACTGTATATGACGACGACGACGACTATGGTTCGATGGAAGGGAAAGAAAAACGAAGGTAACTGAAGTGGAATAAGATGAGGTTCAAGTCGAAGAAAGCGCAGCGGCCGACAATATGGTGACGATGCGGACAGATCGAACGGTGAATTGAAGGGAGAGACATACAAGGCGATGACCCATAAGGAAGTGCAGAAATGAAGACGAAGATGGTTATGAACAAAGCTAATTGGTGATAGGCAAAATTGGGTTGAATCAATGGAATAGGCTGAGGAAGTCCGCGTGCCCCTTCCCGGGCTATGTACAGACCAGACCAGACGGACAGACAGATAAACGGCTTCGAGAGTAGAAGTCGAAAGGCGCAGAGAACACGATATGGAAAAGAAGAAGTGTAAGCGGACTTTTAGGAATGCTTGCCTCGAACGTAAGGTATGGCGTCGCGAGAAAGAAGAAAGGCGAAAAAGATGCGCACGTCCAACCTCGAAGCGCGAACCAGCGAGCAAGCACGTGAATAAACTACTTGCACAACAACACTCGACCTCACCGACGACGAAGGGATGAAAGAGTGGAAGAGACGACTACAGTAGGCACTTCACCCATCAAACTCTCTAGCAAGGACTCACAAGCCCAAATTCGACATCACCCTCGACACATCGTCGTCATCCACCGTCTCATCCTCCAACAACCTGCTCCTCCTGAAACCTTGCGGCGTGCCACCATGACTCCTCATCCCCGGCCCACCGCCAACAACACCCACGCCCCCTCCGTTCATGTCACCCGGACTAAGCCCCCTTCCGTGTGGATGCGTATGGCTGTGGCTTATACTGTGACTGTGTCCGTGATGATGATTGTTATGGTGGAGCCCTCCGGATCCAGAAGGAGGACCATAGACGGAGGGGAACGAAGGCCCCGTGGCAGACGTCGGGCTAGAGCTGTGCGCCGTCTCGCCTAAAGAGTTGGTCGGTGAATCTGGCGGGCCACCGGGTCCGTACCTCGCCCCAGACTCTGTGATCCTCTGCAACGAGAGTGTGAGATCGAGAGACTGAGCCCTGTTCGTCAGACTCCGATTCGGTTTCGACATCTGGTCCTTCAGCTTCGCCTCGAGCAACGAATCCGAACCACGATGGAAACTACCCGGAATGTCGTCAGGCGAAAGTCCGAATCTCGCGTGAGGTGGGACACCAGACGCGGGAGACATTTCGTCGTTGACATGCGACATGGAGAGGAAACGACCGTGTCGAATCATGGGCGGTTGGCCTTGAGGGTTCCAGTAATCGTTCACTTGGGGTTGGATGGGTGGGTAGTTTGGTTGGCTGTCAAGGGACTCTTGAGCTTCGTCGAGGTGGTAGATGTACTGAGGTGAGTTATTGAAGAGAGCTTTAACGTCGGGAGACGAACTGGCGAGCCTCAGTCGTCGGTCGATCATGGGTTCCGGTCTTGAGAGGTCGGCGGAGCCTGTGTGTGACATTCCGTCATTAGCGTCACGTTCTGCAGAGCGCAGGGAGAAAGTTGAAATGGAGATGTAAACATACCACGTGTCCTGGGCATCGTCGACAACACCTTGCTATCGAAATGCGGGAACGCCTCCGCGAACGAGTCGCCCCTCTTATGTGTATGAGACGTTGGCGACGGATACACATGAATATTATGATTCAGCAAGAACTGCTCAAGCATCTCCCTCGCCGTGACGAGAAAATCGCTGTTGCTCCTCTGACACCGGAACTTGAACGAGCAATCTGATGGTGTTTCCGCACCGCCAGAGGCACCGAGGGATTTGAGGTTCGGTGAGATGACGACTTGGAGGTCTCGTTTGATCTGTTCGACGAAAGAGTTGAATTCGGGGGAACTGCAGATACGGGGAAGATCGGGTTGAGGGGGGACGGCCATGTCGGCTTCGAAGGGGACGTGCTCCTAGAGTATCAATCCGGGTCAGTCAAAGGTATGGCGGTAGGGAAGGCTAGTAGGGTAGGTGGCGAGCGTACTAAGAGCATTGTGGCGGCGATTTGGATTTGAGATTCTGGGCCGAAGATGGTGATGCAGTCCGAGGCGTTCTCCTTGTCTGGGAATCGGACGCGAGAATTCGTCTTGTTTTCAATGTCGTGGATGAAGATGCACTTCTCGCCGAGTAATGTCCTATGGTACTTCCTCGGGACCGCCACAGCCTCGCTCATATAATCCTTGTCCTGGACAACGCATCAGCAACAAAGCGCAAACAGCAAGAAGCATGATTGAACTCCACAAAAGACAAGAAAACGCACCTTGGGATTAACGAGCTCCATCACCGACTGCTTCAAATTATCCAAATTGATAGCATTCTTCGCAGGCGTCCTCGCCACCACGTTGTCCTCATTGTCATTATATCCACCCAACTGCGCGAACTCCTCCGCATTGCTGAACTTGACATACACCCCATACTTCTTCATGATCCTCTGGATGCTCCTCCCACCCACGCCAATAATCCGCTTGTGATACGATTCCGGCACGTGGAACGAGATCTCCGCGGGAAGTTCTTCTTGGAGGAGGGTGAGCCCCTGGAGGACGGAAGCGTCATTACCGGCAATGTCAATCAAGAAGTTGTGGTCGTTGAAGGTTTCGAATTTAATCTTCGCATTCGTCGTTTGCATGATCTTGTTAATTTTTCCGTTCTTCTTCCCGCTAATAAACTCGCGGTGTTCGTTCGCGAGCTCGATCTGGAAGCGTATCTCGTGATGGAAGGCCTGTGGACAAAGATAGACATGGCACGCATGGCGGGGCAGTCGTAAGCGCTTGATGCGAACGAAGGTGTGGAAGGAAATATGTAAGGATACGGAAGGAAGATTACCTTGACGATGTCGAGGTCCAAGATCATGTTGACTGCGTTGCGGACTTCGTGCTCAAGCCCATGCATCTCGAAACACATGCTCTTGAAAACGACCTCCGCGCCTGTCGCAGCAGAAACTTGCTTGATGATGTTCGTGACTTGCGTGGTGTTAAGGCTCGGGGGCGGTAATAGGACATTGAATTGCGTTGGAAGTAGCCAAAATGAGGCGATGTAGAATTGACATGCCTGAACACGGTGGTTAGATGGGAGGAGGGTTAATCATTTAGATTGAGCTCAATGGTGGGAGGGGGCAGGGCAAAGAGAGGATAGGGGCGTTGCGCAGACGATGCGAATAGAAGGAAAGACGTTACCCACAAGTTGCATAACCGATCGTATGGTGCGTTGAATATTGACTCTGTGATCGCCATAGACGGTAATCATACTGGTTGAGCTACCGATGGGAGGGAAATGAATGAACGTCGCATTGTCGTGCATGACGGCTTTGAGATCGTCAGCTCGGTTTGTGACCATCCAATCCAGCTTGCGTGGTAGAATCGCAGTGTCTCGAGAGATGACGCCCTTGCTCTGTCGATACAGTGTGACGCGTCATGAACTCATGAGAAAGCAGTTACAAGGGAAGAATTGGTGAAGGCGCACCTTTGTCAGTGCAACCTGGAGCAACATGTCCCGCGCCCTCTGAACGCCAAAGAACTCTCCAGTGATCCGAATAGCATTCTTGTTCAATCGAGGTGGGCTACCAGGCGTTGAAGGAACCGCAGACATATTCGCCACGTCAGGACCGACAAAGCCGTGCAATGGGGAAGGGTAGTATATGTTTGTCGCAGTCTCCTCTTGGATTGACTGTAGCATATGTCGTTTCCGGCCCGCGACAATAGCCTGAAGCTTTTGGTCGATCTCGCACACTTCGGCATGCAGGCCATTCTGCATTGACGCGCGGAACAAGAACCATTAAAAAGCGGAACAGGCAAAAACGGGGCAGAGGTGGCAACATGTGTTTCAAAAGCTAAATTGCAACGCACCAGTTCATCGAGCATCACCAACAACCTCACCCTCGCAATGTCTACCGAGTCTCCCGGTCCGGTGATGACAAGCTCGCATACGCGCTCCGTCTCCAAGCCAGACCATCCGGCGCTACTGCTTATGCCGTCCGGCGGCGTTCGTGTGGAGAGCGAGAATGGAGAGTTGACGACGGCAATGTGTGCGAGTGTTTGAGAGGCAATGTCGTCTAGTCGGCGACGAACCTCCGGCTTCAGTGCGGGTTTCGAGGAGGGGAAGTCAAGAACTTCGGAGCGCGTCACTTTGATGGAGGCGCGGTTCTGTACAAAGGGTGGTATGCGTAAGTTATTGTTGCACGGGGTGAGAGCGCAGGAAGATGGGTGTGAAGAAACGAATGCAAATGGGTCAGGAGCTTCCAAGCGTACAAGTCTAAATCTGACTGCGTAGAGGTGTTAACTCGCCTGTATGGGACATTCTTTGAGAATCATTCCTCGCGCGAAGAGCACCTGCTGATACGTCCCCGAAACGAGAAAATTCCAGGCAGTAGCCTGGTCGGCAGAAGCATAAGAGACATGGCAGGCCTGAGTGGCCATGGTCATCATCGCGAGCTTCTGGACTGCTTCGGCGTCGGCTTGTGAAGGCGCGAGGAGCTGTGCGTCGCTGGCGTTGTTCGTGTGTCCATTTGTGGTCGAGCTAGGGCTGTTGTTGGAGGTTGAGTTTGAGGAAGTGGGGAAAGGAGCGGATGGATAGGCGTCCGAGTGGTTCTGGCTGGGCGAGGTGCGGTTGCGGCGGGGGTAGGTGAAGGCGGTGGAATAGATGTCCATGTCGTCGTCGGGGTCGTCGTCGTCAACGCCGGCGTCGGTGCTGGCGGTGTGGGGCAGTAGAAGTGTGCTGAAGGGGTATGGTATGGGACAGAACGAAGGGGGGTATGGCGGAACGCAAGTGGTATTCGGTCGACGGGCTGCGATGGACAACGCTCGACTTCCGGCTCAATTCTAAATTATATATTCCTCCCGCGCCTCGACCACGGCGCCTGCTTCCGGCGGACTTTCAATCGTCCCCTAACATTCGTGCTCTACACTATGCATAGCAGTTCTCCCTAATCGTCATAGTCGTACAACGCATCGAAGCAACCTATATCCTTGGTTCTCACTCGAAAGTGCTCTAGCGTATTGTTCTTGTCCAGTCTATGCCCACATCGGTAGCACAAATCTTCTTGACACCTTGTACAAATCATCTTCATGTTGACAAGGCAAGGCAAGGTAAGGTCAGTCATATCCCTGCTCCGGATCCTGGACGAGGCTGCCACTTACATGATTGCATCCGTAACTCTTTTCAACCAAGACCTGAAAGAAAATGACAGGCGGGAGCGCAGTGCCCCTCTCCTCCATCAGCGTCATTCCTCTCGCGATCGGGGGCCGGATGAACGATCTCAAAAACAAGGATACCCACCATACAGCTAGGGCACGGAACCGTGTTCTTTCCGAGCCAGTTCCCTGTGGCCTGCTCCCCCAGGAACGCCTGCTCTTTGTATCTCAGGATAAAATGCTCCAGATTCGCTTTTCCCCGTTCCTTCTCCATCGCGAGCCGTGCGTGAGAGCGCTCTGGGAGCGCTAGGTATTCTTTCACAAAGGCCACTGAGGCTGGCATCGGACATTCAGATACAGGGCCATGCCTAACAGTAGGATGGCGATCGGTCAGCTAAGTGTTGCGGAGGTCTCAAAACCTGGTCAGTTATAGCCACGAACTCACCAAGCATGTTTGCAGAACGAGCAGAACGGGAATCGACACCTATAGGAGGCATTCGCCATCAATATGCTTGCGGAATATCAATATCCTGAGAGCAGGGGAAAGACTCACGATTGACATATCCTCAGCCTGTCCCCTCTAGACTCCTCTGTGTCTTCTGCTCCGGGCTTTGACACCGGCTCTTGACAAATCGGGCAATGAATTATGGACGGGTCTACAACGCATAAAGGGAGAAATCAACATTCCATTGAGGATGAGCACCGATGGTGGTATTATCAACAGGCCAAACACATACCTTTCTCAATTTATCTTTTCCTCCTCAACAACTTCCACCTCCCCACCGCCCTCTCGTTTCCCACCACTCTCCTAACCTCCTCCTCCTCCACCTCTACATACTCTCCACTCTTCTTACCCCTCTCCTTAACACACTCTGGATCAGGACAGATAACCTTCCCCACATCCCCCTCCAGAATACACATCGTCCAATATTCATGAAGACAATCCCGACAGAACACATGTCCACATTTGTCGAGTTGTACACACCGAGAGCCTTTGGATTCAGAGATGCATATGGAGCAGGTGTACGTCGTGAGTGCGAATTGGGAGGATTTCGAGAGGCGTGAGTGGGTCGTGAGGTGGGTGGCGAGTAGGTGTGGCGCTGGATGGGCGAGGCTATACGGACACCTTTTCAGAATTATGCGCAGTCCCGAGTAACGTATACGCACCTGAGAATCCCACTCCCCGGCTCATCCACAGACATGGTCCCCAACTCTCTCAAGAACTCCGCACTGCGAATCCACTCTACCCAGGTATAAAGCACCCATTCACCGGTCTGCCACATCCCCGTCAACATCTCCTTTAGCTGATTTATCCTGCGAAGCGTAAGCCACGAATTTGGGGCGTGGTCAGCGGATACGTTTCCGGCAACATAAACTGCAGCTGAATAGGCGAGAGGGACGAGAGGGTCAGTGTCCGAGTCGACAAGCACACGGTACTGCCGGTGGGCGCCATATTAGCAGAACCGTCTTGAATGATGTATACCGTCCGTTCTTGACCGAGTTCTACGGGGATTTACAGGGTTTTTATCCTATTTGAAGAATCGCTGGAGACACAGTCTGGGTAAATCGACTACAAGGAGGTCCCTTCTCGTAAGACTTCTCATCGCTATGATTCAGACATGGTCCTCATGAAGTACAAACATACCTCCAGGACCTCCCATTCCTCCGACTGAAGGCTAGCGCATGTCTGTTCCTCCTCGTCTGGTACACTGTCCATAGGGGCAAAATGACGAAATGAAGCACTAGGGAAAAGAAAAATCACCAGCAGAAGAGAACAAATTTCTAGGTCCGGAACATATGGACAACTATAGCCTCGTTCAGAGTTCGGTTTCGAGACATGAGCAAAGAGTGTTTAAACACTCTTTCAACAGTCGTTGAACGGGTTCTCGATTCTTGGCGTCGAAATACTCTGATGGCCGAGAGAGTGCTTTCATTCGGCATCTCTTTTGATTGGCTCACGAAAGAGTGTTTCGACCGCCAAGACTCGGATACGTTCAACGACCGTCGAAGGAGTGTTTAAACACTCTTTCGCCTCCAACTCTGAACGAGGCTTATGGACAGGTTTATGTACCCGCGCTTTCGTCTCGAGTCATCGTTCGTCAAAAATACTAAGCGGGGGGCTTAAGCGATATAAAGAGAAGGTGCACATTTCGCACGCCAACAAAGATGGCCGTGCTGCTCTAAAGGGCGGTGCAAAGCGGCTCTGTCGTAGAAAATAATACATTTCGACTGGTATACCCAGAAGCCTTACGCTGCGGCTTACATTGAGTGTGTACACACCTACAGTACTGTACCATGCCCTCATGTCCCACGCCTCATCCTATTCGACCGCAGCGTCGTGGCCATCCACAGGCTGTTGGGCGTCCTCGACGTCATCATAGTCGAACAGCTTCGAGTGGCACCTGTTGTTCGGGTTGGAGAAGTGGTCGTAAGGGGTAATCCGGTCTAATCTCTCGCCGCATCGGTAACAAAAGTTTTCGTGGCATCTTGAGCAGGTCATCTTGGAGAAAGGGAAGCGAGGTCGATGTAAGTGTAGATTGTGGAACGAGGAGGGAATATTTCGGGATGTCCTGTACTTACATGGTTACATCCATAGCTCTTCTCAACATGGACCTGGAGCCAACGAGATCAGCACCTCCATCAGTTCCCTCCCTTTCCAACAATATTGATTTAACCATGAAAGATAAAGAAATTGACAGACCTGACAATTTGGACAAGTCGTGGTGCGACCTTCGATCCACAACCTGTTCGATTTATCTTCTTCGCACTTCTTGACAAGCCGTTCGAGGGTTGCTTTTCCGTGCCGCTGTTCAAGCGCCAGACGTGATGGCGAGTCTTCCAGGAGCGAAATGTATTCCTCTACGAATTTCTCAAATGCTAGCGTTGGGCATTGAGAGATTGGACCATGCCTGGTTGGGGAGAGTGTGTATCAGGATCATGAACATTGCGTTTCGGCGAGAGTTTCACGTTCGGAGGAGTTGTGCATATGAAGGCGACGTCGAAGAAAAGAAATTCAGCAGAAACTTACCAAGTCCGTTTGCAGAAAGAACAAAACGAATATCCGCATCTCAAAAATTATCTAACGTTAGCATGTCGAGGATTAGCGTTGTGTTTACTTGAAACACGCACGATTGACAGGTCCTCAGTCTGTCCCATCCGGAACCGTCTGGCACCATTTCGGCTGTCTCCGGTACGGGCTCCTGGCAAGCTAACAATGGACAATAGATCACGGTTGGGTCTACACAGAAGCCGGTTAGTCAACGGTGCCCTCATAAAAACTCCATGGAGAGCACTTTAGGTATACCTTGCTCAATCGCCCTCTTCCGTTTCAACCACTTCCATCTCACAACCTTCTCCTCAGCAACAGCTCTCCTCACTTCCTCTTCACCCGCTTCACGCTTTTCTGTCACACACTCTGGCGATGGACACCCGACTCTTCCTACATCACCCTCCGTGATACACATCGACCAGAAATCATCAAGGCAAGACCGACAGAAGACATGGCCACAGTCTAGTTGTAAACATCGAGCGCCTTTGAATGTAGATATACAGATAGCGCATGTGTAGGATGTTTGAGCGAATTGTGAGGATTTGGACCGGGCATCGTAGTTGGTAAGATGTGTGGCGAGGAGGTGGGGCGCAGAATGAGGAAGTCTATACGGTGGTACGGAAGGTTAGCAGCTGTCGTCGCATGATTGTTGAAGTAAATCAGATGCACCTGACAACATTGCTTCCCGCCTGACCCTCCGACAACAAATCCAACGCGCCAAGGAGTTCCGCACTCCGAATCCACTCAACCCACGTATAGAGCACCCCCTCACCGGGTTGCCACATCTCCACCAGCATCTCCTTTACTTGATTGACCTTCCGAGGGGTCAGCCACGAATTCGTCGCACGTAACGAGACGATGCTCGGGGGCGTAGTTAACGGATATGTATCCTGTAATATGAACTGCAGGAGAACCGGAGGGAGAGACGAAAGGGACAGCAACCGAGTCGACTCAGACTCGGAATTGTCGGTGTCTATGGACGTCATATTCATTCCGTCGTCGACGATGTGCACTGTCCGTGCCTCACCAAATTCTACGGGAATTTCTAGGGATTTGATGCCTTTTGAAAGATCGCTAGAAACACAATCTGGGTAAATAGCCTGAAGGTCAGAGTTTTGTCTCCGTTAGCTTCCTCGTCCTTTTGTCCTTTTGACTCGACTACAATACAAATGACACGCACCTCCATAACCTCCCATTCTTCTACCTGAAGATCAGCATTTCTCCTTTCTTTGTCTAGGAATGTACTATCCATGAGGGGCAAATGATGGGATAAAACACTCGAGAGGAATGGACCTCTATTAGCTTGAGAAGAGAGCAATCACAGATTTGACATGAATTGATGGGTAACACAGATGGGCATATATACCCTTCTCACTGTCCTCTCGAGTCATCATTCGTCAAGGACAAGCGAAAGGCTAAGCAACGTGAAGAGTAGGTGCACATCTCGTGCGCCTACAGACGGTCGTGTTGTACTGCATCAAGAGGGCAGTGCAGGAGCGGTCTGTAAGTGCAATACTGCATAGTCAAAATTTCCCGTTAACATACGGAAAATGATGATATTGGGATCGTTACTGTTACACCCAGCAGCCACACACTGCAGCCTAATGTGATCTGTGCTGTGCAGAGGTGGAAACATTTGAACGGTAAACATACCACGAAAGATGAGAGCGTGCAACCTCGAACCCTAGTGTATGACACGGAAGAATGGAATCCATGAGATCCTCGCGCATCACCCGATCCTTCACTCCCAAGGTGCCACGAAATGGATCCATCATGCCTACTCATCGAACACAGCATCGAATCCTTCCACCGGCTGCCATCCGTCCTCGACGCTCTCGTAGTCGAAGAGCTTCGAGTAACACCTCGTCCCCAGGGTCGAGAAGTGTAGGTAGGGATTGTTTCCGTTTAGTTTGTCGCCACATCGGTAGCAGAAGTGTTGGCGACACTTTGCGCAGGTCATCTTTGAAGAAGCAGAAAATGAGATCGGTACAAATGTGCTCAACGGAGTGGGCCAGGATGGAATTGTTGATATTTAGCACTCACATGATTACACCCATGACTCTTCTCTACATGGATCTGGAAACGGAAGAACACCCATCAGCATCATCGCTGTCGGAATTTGACGACCAATTCAAGGCACAACGAATAATACCCACTTGACAACTCGGGCACGACATAGTGCTTTTCGCTAGCCACTCTCTATTTGCTTTCTCCTCTTCATATTTCAAGACAAGACGAGCGATATTTGCCTTTCCGTACCGCTGTTCTAGCGCTCGTCGTGATGGTGACTCTTCGGGGAGCGACATGTATTCTTGTACGAATTGCTCGAATACTGGCATTGGACAGTCAGAGATTGGGCCATGCCTGGATAAGTCGGAATTAGGATCATATATCGGGAGATTCCACATTCAGTGGTGCAAAAACTCACCAGGTTCGTCTACAGAATGAACAAAACGAGTATCCGCATCTGAAAGTATACGCGACCATTATTATGTGCAGAGGTCGCGTTGTAATTGATTGAAACACATACGATTGACATGTCCTGAGCCTATCCCAACCAGAACCCTCTGACCCCATTGCTTCCGTCTTCGGCACGGGCTCCTGGCAGACCGACATCGGACAATGAATTACGGATGGGTCTATCATGGAGAAACTGGTGAGTCAACGGTGTACTTATAACAAGATGGCTTGTACTCGTACCTCGCTCAAGCGACCTCTTCCGCCTCAACCACTTCCATCTCACTATCTTGTCCTCAGTGACTGCCCTCCTCAGCTCTTCCTCCCCTACTTCACGGCTTTCTTTCACACAATCCGGCGACGGACACCCAACTCTTCCCACATCACCCTCCGTGATGCACATCGACCAGAAATCATCGAGGCAGGACCGGCAGAAGACATGGCCGCAGTCTAGCTGTAAGCATCGAGCACCCTTGAGCGACGATATACAGATGGAGCACGTATAGGATGTTTGAGCGAATTGTGAGGATTTGGACCGGACATCGTTATTGATAAGATGAGTGGCGAGGACGTGGGGCGCAGGATGAGAAAGTCTATGCACGAATCGTTAGCAGCTGCTGTCGCACGATTGTTTCCGTCAATGTGACGCACCTAACAACCTCACGTCCTGTTTCATCCTCCGACAACAAATCTAACGTACCAAGGAAATCTGCGTTCCGTAGCCACTCCACCCAAGTATACAGCACGCCCTCCCCTGGTTGCCACATCTCCTCCAACATCTTTTGCAACTGATTCGCCCTCGCAAGCCACGAATTTGTCGCATGCAGCGACATAATACTTGGTGGTGAAGACATTGGGTATGTCTCCGGAAGAATGAACTGCAAGAGGACTGGAGGTAATGATGAGAGGGAGAGTGCCTGTGGCTCTGAGCGTGCGGTTTGATGATCCTCCGTTAATGAGGTCGATCCCATGGTTTCATCGTCAACAACTATCACCGTCTGTTCTTCACCAAATTCTATGGGTATTTCCAGGGACTTTACGCCCTTTGAAGGATCGCTCGAAACGCAGTCCGGGTAGATCGACTGCATATTCCTCATGAGCCAGTCCTTTCGTCGATGCTCGATAGTTGGACGCACCTCTAAGACCTCCCATTCTTCCAACTGAAGGCTAGCACATGTCTGTTTATCCTCGTCGTTTGCGTCTGTCATGAAGTAAAAGTAGAAAGAATAAAATGAAATAAACAGAGGGCGAAGGCAGGCCTACACGACCCACACCGGGGCCACTGTCTGACGGAGCATTTGACTCCACTCAACTTTCTCCCCCGATCGCATAGATCCCGAACTACCAATCGCTAGCGTTCTCTGCCCCCAATCCGAGGTTAGGGTTTATATCAATTGCAAGATTTTGGCAAGTCCCGTTCCTCCTTCTACTCACCGTCTTGGACGATGCCTACGCATGCTACATAGCACCTCAAAAATATCATGACCTATTTCGACTCTCCACAAAATTTCGTTCGTGGGCTCAAAGCGCCAGTCGACCCACCCAAGCAGGGAGACCCCGCCAAAATCGAGATCGCACTTGAAGCATGGCATACCCCATCCTTCGTTGTACCTTCCAAAGCCGAATACATCATCGAATTTATCCTCACCCGTCTCCTCAAAGACCGGAGTCATGACCCGTAAGTTTTTCTTGCATTTGTCTCACTGTGGCGGAAGTTTTTGAATGCTTTGTCTGTATCAATGGGCTTCGCCACATTTGCCGTAGAGCAGACATACCAACTCCAACCCAGTAGTCGATGTTCGATACTGGTCACTCTTAGCTGATATTCTATATCCTATCAACGCCGCTTCCCCTCACGAAAACATCAAGTTATACAAATCATGGCTTTTACCTTTACTGAATCGAACACCGTTCGCACCCATCATCGTTTCTCTCCTGGCGCTTTCAGTTTCCAAAGTTCTGGATGAGGAGAAGAGGAGGAAGTTGTACCAGTCTTCAAACCGCGCATTTGTGGTACTATGGCCCCTTGCTGTCAGCAAGCTCACTGCGGACGCATTGATGGACTGTTTTGGAGCGCTTGTGGGCGTGTTAGCGAAGGAGAAGAGCACAAGTGAGGACTTGCAAGTCATGGGCAGTATGATTGTTTCTGCATTCCGGAGCTCATTAGGAAACATATCGAGCAAACGGAAGGCATGTCACAGCATTTCGTTCACTTTTCTAAAATGTTCTAACGCAGTCGCATTATCTTCGAATAGCTTTACCAGACCTTTACCCAGTCTCACCTCGAAAGTTGGCTCTCTTCAGCTCTACAGCTAACATCTATCTCTATCACTCGGGAAACAGAAGGAGCCACTTCCACAACGAAGCCGGAATCCCTCTTCCGCGAGATTTACACCGTCGGGACCGATGTCCTTTTCAACCCTGACACCCTTCGCGCACAGTTTTCTGAAAGCTCGTCTTCGTCTTCGTCCTCGTCCTCCCCGTCATTCTTCTCGCCATTCCTTTCACTCTGCTCCTCGAAGGCCCAGCTATCTCTCCCTTTACTCCCCCATCTTCTTGAGTCCTTCGCATCTGCGCTTCGCAAGTATAGGACGACGTTATTTGGAGCAGGAGAGGCTGGCGTGACAGACGTCAGGAGCAAGGCGTTCGGCTTTTTTGAAGCCTGTGAGGGTGCTCTGAAGGAAGTGGAGAAGCGTGCAAATAAGGTCGAAGCGGTGCTGGCGTGGCGTACGAGGGTGGAACTGTTGAATGTCGTTGAGAGGGAGAGGTTATTTGTGGGTGGGATGGACGAGGCCGAGGTATCACTGAAAAAACTCGTTGAAAAGGCTGTAGAAGTTATTTCTACTTCATATGAAGAGATAGGTAAAATATCTTCACCGTGCGCTCGATATGATGTCCTATACTCATGATTTTGTATGGAACGCACCGCAGGACTGCATACGGGAGCCCTCGAATCTCTATGCGCCATCTCTCGAATCGACCGTGACCTAGTCGACTCCTCCGTCCCGTCCATCCTGTCATCCATCATCATCCTTCCCCTGACCTCTCCCAACACCTCGGCGTCTCAATTACCACAGTCTCTATCCCTCGCCACATCAACCCTTCTCTCCCTCATCCTTAACTACCACACTCAAACACGTACTCTCCCGACCCACTTGGCCCGCCTCCTTGCCGCCCTCACTCCACCTTTCTCTACATCCATCATTTCCCAATCGGCTGAGCCAGAAAATGTTTATCATGCTCTATCAATGAGCCCCAGTCTCTCGCGCGATCACCTCTCCAAACTGTCAAGAGCATGCAGAACGTTCATAACCCCTGGCCAAGCTCTCAGCACCGCAGAAGAAGTATTAGGGTCTTTGGAAGGAGCATGGGATAGTTTCGTGAAGGCTGCGGAATCGAGTTCGGGAACAGAGAAAAAGAAAAAGAAGAGGAGAAAATCCGAGAACCTGGACGAAGACGATGCCATGGATGTGGACGACCTTGCAGGTAGTGGAAGTGAAGAGTGGGGAAGTAAGGAGGCGTGGGCGATTGGCTTTGCTTTGGAGGGGAGGATTGTAGAATCTGTTCTCCTCTTGTTGCCCATGCGGAACGTCCCGGAGGACGTAGCGGAGACGATTAGAACGGTCGTAAGGAAAAGTACAGGAGGGTTCATGAGGGATGCGATTCGAGGTGGTGTGGGTGCAGGGCAGGATGCGGAAAAGATCGACGTAGACGGAGAAGAGGGAGGGAAGAAGAGGAAGCGGAAGAGAGTTGTTGGTCAGGAAGGTGGGATAAAATCGGGGTGGGCAGGGCAGGTCGTTGCAGCGGCCAGCTTGAGATTAACTTATGCAGTTGAGGGCGTTGCGGATCTTGTGGTCAACCCCGGGCGCGAGCGTGACGAAGAGAATCTGGTTGAGGATGCGGCCCTTGAAAGTGCGATGCTGAACACGGTAGGGGACGATGGATCGTTACCAGAGTTGAGGCTCGAACTAGTGAGTTTCCTACTTAAGAGGTGACTCCTCCTCATACTAACGTCCCTCATAGTTCCGTACCCTGTTCAAACGAGCATCACACCCAGCCTTTGCTCACCGCTCGCCCCTCATTGAACATGCTCTGACTCAACTTGAACGGATCATCTACCAATCGACACCAAGTCGCACGCAATGGTCCGGAAGATCCTCACAATTGAGTCACGGAGATGAGGGTGCCTCTTTGGCTGCCATTGGTCTCTTACGATTGGTGATGGACCGATTTTTGGACATCTTCGAGTAAGTTGTTCAACACGACGATATCAACTTGTTACTCACGAAATGTAATTCAAATCTTGTTCAGTGTCTACGCATCCACGGAGCAACGCGAGAAGCTCGTCAACATTCTCTTCACCATCAGCGGTACGAAATCCCAGACGAGCGTGGCGCCGGCGCCACACGGACCAGGACTGACGCCCGCGGGAGTTTTGACGGAAACCCTTCGCTCTGCGGATTTCTGGGAGAGGTCAAATCTTCGATGTACGTTCTCTTCCGTTTGCGTCGTATATCCTGTAGCCGAGAGCTGATTGATATGAACGTCCGTAGCTGCGCTTTTGTCCACTCTAACGGCTAGGACAGCTTCCCTAGACTCTGTCGATGTTTCACAGGTTCTCTCTCATCACTCGTCATCTTCTCAGTCAACCTCCAAGAAGTCTAAAAAAACAAAGTCAGCCTCTTTGACGGAAGAGCAGGTCAGGAATGCTGCGAGCGCGTACTCATTCCTTTTGTACGCGCCTAGCGAGTACGTCCCTCGGTCGGCGAGAAGTGAATTGTTGAAGAGAGCTGTGGCCTTGGATGGCGTTGTCATGCTGACTCCGGCAGACGACAGTGAGGCTGGGGATGCGATCATTGGCCGGGAGGTCTTACTGGCATCGATACGTACGTTTTTGTTGAGATCGTTCGTTCATGTTGGTGCCGCCGACCACCAGGTACTGTTTCATGCCCGAATTATGAGATCAGTTGGAGTACTGACAAGGGCCGCACCACAGTTCCTCGGAGAATATTTGCGACATCTTGTCATGAGTCGCGGTGCGCTTTCCAATGTGTCAACGCATACCTTCGTTACTTTGGATTTAATTCAGATTCATCTCTTGTGAGTGTATCCTAGCATGATTTTAGTGCTCTGACGACTAACGTGTTTACAGGACTGTCACTCGCATGGCCGAAAAGGAGGATGGAGGGAAGCATTTGCTAGATGTTATCGAATGCTGGACACGCATACCGTTCCATGACCAGTCATCGATTCAAAAAAAGAGTGCACTGGGCTTGATTGCAATGTTGCGGAGCGATTTTACCTATTCGAGGTGAGTTCACCCTTCGTTCTCTAATGCACGGTGATCACTGAATCCGTCTGCTGTGCGCCAAGCTTCCCAACAACTGTTCAGTCAGCACTTCAGAAGCTGTTGCACCATATTACAGAGGGTGTAAGGCCCGCTGTTGAAGATGTCGTTGCGCAGAAGGTCTTCGATGAGGAGACTTTGGATGCTTGGTGTAAATGTGTCCTGATGGCGAAGTGGACGGGTAGTTCAGGTATGTCCCGTCATATCCCATCCTTTGCTTCATTTCACTGACTTGTTCTGGCCTTCTGGCCTGGACGCAGACGTACCTTCCCCTGGGCTTGGGAAAAAACTAGCCCATATCTTATCCTCGAAGTCGTCTTCCGGAACTCAATCCCAACCTATGTCAATCGTGACGTGTAAAGCGGTCTTTTCCGTGATGCTGAGCGAACTTGACTGCTGCATTGAGGATAGGGAGTCTCAACTGGGGACCATCGTCGCGGCCTATGTGCTATTCTCGAGACTCTGCGAACCCAAGGGTGAGTCGTCCTTTATTCATACTCATATTTATCTATAATGCTAATGTTCTATGGTATGGTGCCGCAGAACAAACACAGTTCGATGAAGATGTGGCGAGGACGTCTCGAGGGCTGTCTGTCCCTGAGTACTCGTTCGTATTGGACCTCGTGTCCGAGTCTCTAGCACCAGGGACATCGGAGCAAGATCTCTCATGCTTAGTCCATCTGTCTACCTTGCTCCTGCATGAGACTCCCGAAGGTGCGGGCTTGTTCATTGTGGTACGCATATCTACGTTGGTATTGACTAGGCGGTTTGGACAGGCACAATGAAAGTGGTACAATCCTACATGACGAAATGCCTCGATACATTCGTCAATGACGAGAAGTTTTACTCTGGATCACCATCTCTTCGGCATCAAGTCCTGACGCTGCTCAATCGGCAATGTTCTGATAACCCTGCCTCGATCCGCTCCTCAAACCTTCCCGCCATCTGGACCCTCCTCTCCAAGTTCCTCTCCCCCAGCGCGTCAACGTCTTACCACGACCCCCAAACCCATCCCGAAACGTTCCACCTCCTCACTTCAATCATTAGCGCCCTCATTCGTCTCCGTCGTGATCTTGTCCTCACAACACTTCCACATCTCTGCCTTATCCTCCGCCGACTCATTTTCACCCTCCGCACACCTCGCCCTCAACTCGGCCGCAAGCAATACTCCTTCGTCGTATCTGGTCTTCCCCAATGGATCAATCCATCAGATCGACCCCTCGGGCCCGAAGAGTCAAAAGCACTCGCGAGACTGCTCACCACACTCTCCACTAAAAGCGTCATTCGCACCTACACCAATAATGCCACACATGGGACTTCGGCGCCATCGACAGATACACAAAAGCCCGAATCCCTTGCTCGTCCGCTGAGCAAACACGTTGCCTACGTCCTCCAAGCTTACATCGAAGTCGTCAACGATCCGCTATGCGTGTTCTCTAGCGAGATGAGGAAAGAGTTGATGCCGGGCTTGTTCGTGCTCTGTGGGATTATGGGGGAGCATGCGAGGGACGCGTTGATGATTTCGGCGCTGGATGGGGGCGGCAAGATGGTACTGAAGGGGGTTTGGAAAGAGTATGAGAAGCAGAAGTACGTTGGCAAGGGGTGAGGGGAGAGGTAGTTTGTTGTTGTGGTTTGTAGATACTGTACCAGACGGGGGACTCAGTCTGTCTGAAAAGCATATGGTTCCCAGTATAAAGCAACTGCATGCTCTCGATGAGTGGAGACCAATTTCATACAGTCCAGTCTAACAGACATTCTATGAAGCACAACATGAACAGCACAGGAACATTACATGATAAAGATATTTCACATTTCCTTTACTTCGCTAACTCGTTTAAGATCCACCCGTATATCGCCACAATTAGCAGTCTTGCTTCAGCCCTCTCCTCACTCGCTCAACTTCCGCCTCAAACTCAAACCCCAACCCTTACTCAGTGCTTAACCTTCACATAGATATTCTTCACCGCCCCATTCGCCTTCCCGTTCACCTCCGGTTCAGACCTCACGAAACCAGCCTTAATCTTCTCCTCCGCCAACTCCTTCATGAGCGCAAGGAAATCGTCGATCGTCTCGTCCGTGTTCTGTATATGGACGACGAGACGCGAACCGCCGATGGTGATAGGGTCGGGGAGGGACGCGGCGCGGGCCACGATTTCTTCATAGCTTACGCCGATGGGCGAGGGGTCGAAGAAGACCTGCAAGATAATGGAACATTAGCACAGCACCCCGGACGCAGACAGAGCGGGAGACGTACCATGCAAGTCTCCGCCTCCGACGTAACCTCCACCCCGATCTCCCTCAACCCTTGGTCAAGCCGGCGCGCCATCAGATGCACGTCCACCAATCGAGGGAAATTATAAGTCAGGGCGTAGGCCGCAGAGGCGGCCATGAGCCCAGTCTGGCGCATGCCACCACCAAAGAGCTTACGGAAGTGGCGAGCTTTCTGAATGAACTTCTTGGGGCCGACGAGGCAGGATCCGATGGGCGCGCCTGTTTAAGATGGTGATGTGATTAGTTGAGTGTGTCGAGCAGGGAACAGAGTATAAAAGTGACATTGTGAGAAAGATATGGTATGGGGGAAAGGACACAAGGAAGATATAAAAGAACGACGTACCAAGCCCCTTGCTAAAGCACAGACTAACCGAATCGAACGGATCGCAGAGCTCCTTGATCGAAACGCCCGTCTCAGCAGAGACGTGCCATATCCGGGCACCGTCAAGGTGCATGAGCACGCCCTCAGAGTGGGCCCATTCGGAGATGCGGATGACTTCTTCTTGGGGAATTATCGTCCCGTTCAGAGTGTTTTCGAGTTCAACAATTTGAGTGGGGGCGCTGTAAAATGGGGAGCAAATGGTAAGTGGTGAGTAAAGTGGTCGTGGTAAAGGTGGGAATGATTGGGTAAAGGGAGTGGCGGTGAAAAAGTAAATGAAGGTAGGTGATAGAGTGTGGCGGAGTGACGTGTAGGGTAAATCGGAGATCAAGCGTTGAAATTAGAGATAAATGGGGGTATTTATAGGTACAAGAAGCGATAACTCACGTATGAATGTTATCGTCGAGAACTGCGTGAGCCTGAACGTCCTCGAGCGTAAGATGATGACCTATCGAACACACACCCCAATCATAAATACCAAAAGCTCGGGAATATTCAAGATAGAAATAGTAAGACTCACCATTAGCGGGTATGACAGCATGAACGGCAGCACCAGAGTGGAACGCCGCACCGCCAGCCTCGTACCTATGGATGTGCGCTCTGTGGTCGCACAGGATCGAATAAGGTGGCTGCATAAGATGCGACCTGAGGGCGATTTGGTTCGACATCGTGCCGGAAGGCATGAAGAGGGCATCTTCCTTGCCGGTGAGTTTGGCCATGTGTTCCTCGAGGGCTAGCGTCGAGCTGAAGGTATAAAAGCATTGCCAATGATAATGTCAATAAGGGAACATGAGGGAGAGGGATGAGACTGACGGTTCATGGTAAACGGCGTCACCGAGCGAACCCTGCACGGCGTAATCGTACATTTCCTTAGTGGGCACTGGTAGAAAAGATTGATGGGATCAAAGCTGAGGATCATCATGTCCATAGCTGGAGATAGGTTGTAAGAAGTCACCTGTAAGAGTATCCGCTACAAGTACAAGCACGCCACAATTCATGATTCAGTATTTAATCATCTCAACAGTGGACGCCCGAAAGAGATGACTCACATATGAAGCTCCTCGAGACCTGTCTAATATGCTTCGCGTTATCGTCGGCCTGCGTCTCCTTCAAGATATCAAACTTGACCTGTGCGGCAATCTTCGCCCTCGCAGCCTTGATATCGCCATTGGCAAGACTCATCGTACTGATACTCGTCGGAGTCGAAGACTGGGAACGTTTGTACAGGTTCGGAGACGGAGAATAGGTACTGTAATAGCGCGGCTGGGCACTCGATTCTACCTGTGCAGCGTGTGGTGACATGGTTCCGGCGGTTAGCAGTGCGCCAAGGGGAGAGGCAGGGGAAAGACGGGGAAGGGGAGGGCAAAGCGGTGGATGGAGAGATGCCTCTAAAGGTAAGAAAGAAAGGACGGGGAATGACTGACCTCGGACGACAACTGGGCCTAGCTGGCGATCGCGACTGTGGACTGGTCGAACGAGACTGTCGGGGGCGGCCTGAAGTTACTACTAAACACATTTTCCACTGTTTTTTTTCGGGTATGTGGCGGAGAATGCGACCGAAACGAGTCAGTCAGCTCAGAATGGCGAATTGATCACACAGGGGCACACCGTCCACGTGGCACAGATATTTTATTTTTAGTCTCGGCCCGTGGCCGAATCGAGTTTTGCAAGATTTTGCAGTGGCGGTGCACCGCCCCTACTCGTTTTTGCCTGCTGTCCTCCTTGCTGTTGCTGTCTTCTGCTCCTTCTACTCGTTGTGTATTACTGTCTTTTCTCATCCTAATTTTCAGTCATGGGAAACGTACGGCCCTGTACCACCAATCGTGCAGGATTTATACTGATAATTCATCACCGTAATTCAGGGAGCTAAGGCCCAGCAGAAACGGGAGAGGAACGCGGACAAGAACGGCGCGAAGGGCTCCAAGAGCCAGGCAAAGGTCAACGAAGCCGCTAAGAACATTGTCTGTCAAGTCTGCAGACAGCCATTCGTACGTCTCTTGCTAGTTTCTGACCGACACATCTTCAGCTGCTGACATGATTATTGTTTGTTCCCTATCAGCTTGTCACCACCCGTGCCCCTGCGTGATTATCTTTGAACTCATCTCCACTGTGGTACGATACTAATCGCATGTCGTTCATGACAGTCTCGAGGAGCACTCGCAGAACAAGCACTCGAAAACCATGGCCGAGTGCTTCCCCGGCGCCAATTAACCGCCTCACCACCCATACCCCATTGCCTCGCATCACATCGCATCTTTCTCGCTTTCTGGTTCTTGCTGTGGGTCTTTTTCAGGAATTTACGGGTTTCCTTTTAGATGTTGTATCACTCTTCTCTCTTTTAATCCATTCATCCATCACGTGCTGTTGCAATCCCACATCCGTGGATCTTTCTATGTCAGAGTAGAGGTGGCGTAGCGCAAACTAAGGCCTAAAGGCACATAAATAATGTAGTAATCAAAGCATGAAGGGAAGGTCCTGCGAACTGAACAGAGATGTCAGTGAACTACAACACAAGAAGCTCAGTCAACAATCACCGACCGCCTCATCGAGCAGCTTCCTCTCCGCACGTATGATAATAGAAACACGAACCTCGAGATTAAAAACCAACGTCCATGCGAATCCCCAAACTCGGCTCCTACAAACCGAACCCTCCAGGACCACCGCCGGACTGTTGTTGTGAACTCGCTCCGACGGCCTGCAACCGTTCACCGACCTTCTTGTTCGCCTCGAAATACTTCGCGACGCATCGGTCTATGCAGACGCTTTCGCCTTTGTTAAGGTCTCCTTCCATATACCGTGTGTTGATGCATTTTGAATGGCACGCTCTATGTATTAAAACACGAATGTAAATGTGACGCAGTGTCAGTCAGTCTAACGAGGTCGCGTGCGATTGAAAGAGCAGAGGAGAGGATGCGTGATGCGTACGAGACGATGCGGTTGAATGTATCCGTGACCATATCCAATCTACACAGAAGTCCATGGACATCAGTCAGCGACATGGTGTAGGAAGTACTGTGAACGAAATCGACGTACTCTACCATGGCAGCCTCAATCCGCTCTGGGTTGACGGAACCCGAGGGAGGCGCTGAACGTCCGAACATCGACATTTTGGCTTAAAAGACGGAATTAAACGAGATAGGGATTGGCGTTGACGTGAACAGAGGGGCAGGAAGCAAGTTGAAGGTAACTTACAAGGAGACGAACAAGAGGACGAGACGAGGATCCGGCGGAGTCGACGCGCTTGCAAGAGTCCGATCGTGAAGAAATTTCAAGTCGCGTCGCGCCTCTTCACTGGGTCCCTTGCTCTTTTCAAGCTCCCTTTTCCCCGTAAATACCTTTTTTGCTCTCTCATTGTTCACAATATTTTTAACAAGTCAATATAAGCAAGGATGGGTGAATCTACCACTCTGGCCGTCCACCGGTGTCGCTTCGTCGACTACTCACCCTCCGCCATAACATCCATCGCCTTCCCGCCCCTTCCTCTCCCGTCCCTCTCCAAAAAATCAAAAGGCAAAAGCAAATCGTCATCAGCTTCTAATGCCAACGGAACGAGTACTCAGATCCCGAAGGTAGGGACACTAGCTGTAGGACGAGCGAATGGAAATATCGAGCTTTATGAGTGGACGGGAAATCAGAGGGAGGTTCAGGCTCCGCAGGCTTGGGTCGTTCGGCAGGTGCGTTTCATTATTAACTATCTTGCGACCTTAGGGAAACTTATACTGTGGACTGGCTCTTTTGTGCGATTATTATAGACATTAGTTGGTCCTATAGACTCCAAAATCGACTCTTTAGTCTTCACGCTTCGCTACCCAGACTCTGTATCTCGAGACGAAGGACCCTCTATCAATGACCTCAGATTATTCAGCACCTCCGGGGGGAGTGAACTCTTAGAATGGGATCTTCAGCGGAACTGTATACGGGTAATCTACATTTCACACCTCCCTCTACTGTCTTTTTTCAATGTGGCTGACGGTGTGGCCCAATTATTCAGAGATCCATTCCCTCGCAAGGAGGTTCTATATGGTCCGTGGCCGCCAACGCCGCCTCTACAATGCTTGCTCTTGGCTGTGAAGACGGTTCGATCCATATCCTGTCGCTCGAATATGATACGCTGGACCATCACCGTCGTCTCGAACGTTCGAAGTCTAGGATTTTGAGTCTTGCTTGGGGCCCACCCCTGCCGCCTCAGCCAAAATCCACAAGAAAATCATCTTCGAATCCACGGGCGGGTGTAGATGGAAACGATGAGAGTGATAGCGATAGTGATGAGGAGGAAGACGAGTGGAAGGACGAGTGGATCGTCGCTGGCTGCTCAGATAGTAGTTTGAGGAAATGGGATGTGATTAGTGGAAGGGTGTTGGAAAAGATGGGAACCGACAAGGTGAGGGGTGAGAGGACATTGGTCTGGACTGTTGCCGTTATTGGGTGCGTTTTTCCCCCGTATCTTGAACTGCCAGAGAAGGAGGAACTGAGTGTGGCGTGTCGTATACAGGGATGGAACGATCATCTCGGGAGACTCAATGGGAATGATAAAATTCTGGGACTCAAGGACATGTACCCAGTTACAAAGTTTCCAAGCCCACGGAGCGGACGTTCTTTGTCTCACCATCGGACATGTACGTCTTATACGCTCAGCGCCTACGCATCAGACTGACCTAGACAAATTCCTACAGGACGGAACAACAGTTTACTCCTCCGGCGTCGATCAAAAAACGACCCAATTCACGCTCATCAAAACCACGGGTACCTCCATCCTCTCCTCCTCCAGCCGATGGGTCCAATCGACCTCTAAACGTATGCACTCACACGACGTCCGCGCCCTCGCCATCTGGCCTCCTTATACTCCCATTCCACCCACCACATCTTCACATCTCCACCCCCACCCTGCCAACATCTCACCCATCCTCGCTTCCGGCGGCCTCGACATGTCACTCGTTCTCTCTCCAGCCTCATCGCCCTCCCAAACGACTCTCTCCAGAACAAAAACCATAAACCCGCTTGCGACGAGTCAGGTGTCCACATTTGAGGACGCTTACCATAGGAGGGTGGGGTATACTTGTGGGACGGATGGTAGGAGCGCGGTGGGGTTGGCTAGAGGAGGACGACTAGTCGTCTTGGCGAGGGACAGGGGGGTCGTGGTCTGGAGGTTGCCGAAGACGGTGGGTTATGATTCGGGGGCCGGGGTCGGAATGGGATTGGGACAGGGACAGGAGGGAGGATTCCCGTTGGAAGGCGAGGGGCAGGGAAACTGGGCGATGGTGTTGGAGATGGATCTGAATGTGCGGACGAATATTGTGTCAAGTGCGATTTCGGACGATGGAAAGTGGCTTGCGGTCGCGGATTGGTATGAGACGAAGCTATTCGCGCTTTCGGAGGATGTGAGTCTTTACCCTCCACTAGCAGCGACATACGTTTTGGAAGCCGAATGCTGACCTTGATTAATTTTTTGATACAGGACCGAACATCCGACCTGAAACCCAAACGCATCCGTGACTTCACGGCCATCCTCCAATCCCATCTCCCGCAGACCAACTCTCAGCCTATTACCCCAACCGGCGCCTCCTCCCTCCTCTTCACTCCCGACTCCTCAAAACTCGTCCTTGCCACCACCTCCTCATCATATATACTCGTCGTCGACCTCGGAATTGATACAGGCCGCCCGCGCGTTCTTCGTCGGTTCGACCATCACCGGACTACATCTTCACTCATGGGTTCCCGAGTCGTCAAGGGCAAGGGTAAAACTGGTCCGACAGCCCCTGCGACGTCTGTCCTAGGGGATATTGAGATGGTAGAGGCAGAGGCAGAAGCCGACGTCCAAGGAGGAAGTGACGCCAGCGATTCCGGCTCTGAGCCAGAAACCGACCCCAGCAAGCTGAAAGAATCCTTCGGCACCATATCACGCATGTCCGTCTCTCCAGACGGCCAATGGCTCGCAACGACAGATTCGCATCGTCTGACGCATATCTTCAATCTTGATTCCATCCAGCATCATGCGCTCCTTCCTTCGTTCGCATTACCAGTGCAAGCCATGACTTTCTCTTCGTTCTCGCCTTCGCCGTTCTCTTCGTCGCAGTCTTATCCTCTTTCGCATCCGCATTTAAACGGACATCAACCGCACGCACACCTCGCGACTCCCACATCCACCACTCCCTCTCTCGACGGTGGCTCCTCCCTCCTCGTTCTCATCTTCCCCAACCATACGATGGAGATATACGACGTCGAGCGGAAAACGTTCCCCGGCTGGGCAAGAGAGTTCTGTAAGAACTTGCCGAGGAGATTTAGTGGGTTGCATGATGCAGTGTTGGGCGTTGCTGTCGCTCCAGATGGTAATGGCGCCGGGACGAACTCGATGGGTGCGGGGGTGTTGTTTATGTGGGGTGCGACATGGATATGTAAAGTCCAGCTCGATGCCCCGATAGGTTGGTCAGGGTTCAACAAGAAGCGAAGACGCAAGGCCAACCAGCTTGCAGCCACCCAAGGAGTCGCAGAAGGGCAACCAGGACAACAAAGAGAAGGAGAGGACAACTTCAAGCTCGTGACGCATTACCGGCCGATATTGTACGCCGGGTTCTTAGAGAGGGGAGAGTTAGTGGTTGTGGAGAGGCCGCTGGTGGATGTGCTGGCGAAGTTGCCGCCAGCGTATTTCAAGCCGAAGTATGGAGTTTCGTAGGTGGCGGATCAAAAGTAGTTTTTTCTGCGTATTATGTTGCACGTTGGTATGTATAATACGATCACTACTGTGGGGATTGCTACGATATGATGTCTCAAGGTGTAGCGTGCAGCCGCCTGCGAACAAAGTCTGGCTTAGGGGCTACGGGCTAATAAGATAGAGGAAGAAGGCTCGTCGTATGTCCTTCGCTAAATAAACAGCGCTTACACGACTTAAATACATATACAATCCGAATTCGAATAGTTGGGAACGGACTGAAGCACATTCGTTCGATATAGTACGTCTGGATGCCGACTGAATTTTCATTTGAGCATTTGTGAGACGACCGTAAACTCGGCCTCCAGGTAGTGCTAGAGCCTTGGACCAGGGATCATCTCGATATCAAGACCGCCATTTTGTCCATCCCTTCCGAAAACCTATGGATTCAAACATCAGGTCTCAGCATCAGATCCAACATTCTTTAGCCCCGACAAAATCAGACAAAGCTCGAGCGCACCACAGGTAGTAGAGTCGTGTCCTGAGCCACGCCATTGTCAATGGTCAAGCTCCTCCCGAGGTCATTCGAATCGGCATGTGAACCACCAATGACATGGTGCTCATCGACCTCTCCGTCGCCAGGATATTCAAGCTCCTCTTCGGACCCATCGAGGCTATTCAAGGGAGCGCCGATGTTGCCGAGTATACGAGTCGACGCGAACTTGAGTGCGCTGTGCGCGTGAGGTGACACGGCGTTGTCACTATCGCCGTCCTGGAAGGTTCGCAGATTTAGGTATAGTCGGCTGATGAGCATTGTTGGGATCCTGACGATGTTTCGCAAAGGCGGTGTTAGTAACCCACCACCTGGGGCCCTATAGGCATGACCTGAGGGAAGACCTACGCACATGATCGTGTACGGATGCAGCAATAGAAAGAATGCGGCGCCTGAACCCAAGCTCTGGGAAACAAGGTAAGTGAGCGGCCAGATGAAGCACTTGGAGAGGCCGCTACGATTGTTGAGGTGATGTGCACATACCATATCCTGGGTGGCGACAGAATACACGGAGAGTACTGCTGCAGCGCTACCACACAGGAAAGAAAGCCTAGGGAAAGAATGGCAGTATATCATTAGTGCGTTCCATGAGCGATGCTGGGTCTCGCCCACTGACAAGAAATATGCCGTTCCTGTAGTCACAGAGATAGGCCAGGTGAGCAGACATGAAGAGATGGCGACGAAATTAGGAAGATACTGACCGTCTCGCAAAATCACTTCTGCGATGCTGATCTGCTTGAATTCTTGCATATCCTTGATGTGGCGATATGTCTTAGTCAGTGTCAGGATAAAGACGACAAGATCAAAGATCAGAGTGAGGAAGGTTGTCGCCATGTCCACTGTTACAACCAGTAGACCGATCGATCAGGACAGACTTGAAAGAGTGAAAACACAGAAGACATACATCTGTAAGTGAGGGTCAGGAAACTGCACCACGGAGCAGGTGAATATTTTTACTTACCCGACTACTTGCATGATGCGAGAGAGGAAGATGCATGAATTGATCCCACTGACAAGACCGGTAGTGAGGAGATCATCTGTTGATGTGTGAAAACTAAGACCTATATTGATGAGCTTCATGTAGAGGGTAATAAGCCATCCATCGCTTTTCGCGACAATATTTTCTTACCACATTGAGGGTAGCCTGAGCTATAATCAGAAAGGCCAGGATAGCCAGGATTCCACGATGCCTGTTGTAAAGAGCATAAACTCGAAGCGCGTATAGACCTACGGAGCATAGAATGTCAGATTGAATCGTGAATCGTACAAGGCGGCGACGACCTGACAACGTACTGTTTGTTAAGACACGAGAGACAGAGGAGAGGACACTGAAGATATATCCCATCGCATTGCACCTATTACACACGTTCAACAAAGAATATCAAGAAGGGCGGTAGGGCAAGACGTTACCCAGCAGGAGAAGCGATGTTGCTCGTGAAGAGCATCAAATAATTGCCAATGACATACAGCAGGAAACTGTATTTGTTCATGATATACATCGCAGAGGCAACAGACAACGGCTTCGTCCAGACGGTAACCACCTCTGTGGGGAGTGTTGAGAGTACGTCGTACACATAGAGTGCTGAGGGGGAGTGCACGGCCTTAGTCGAAGGTAAGGATGCTGGCAAAGTTTAACCGATACCTACAGATTGACGACAGGGTGATATAATTGCCGAGAAGACTATGTTGAGAATGCTTGGTTCAGCGTGCTATACGAGTGAAGTGCTGAAGAACACGACGGACGAGATGTAAAAGAATTCGGCATCCGCCGGTGACACCTGTGTTGAGTTAGACATGGCGTCGGAGGGAGAGATTCAGATCGAACAAGCTTGTCCAGGTGTTATCTGGCTCTGCAGCAGTGAGCAGTCTTCTTATAAGCAAAGGTGTGGTTCGAGAACATAGAGGCACCCACTATCGCTATAGAACCTACAACACAATTTAGACACATGACCAGGACATACCGTGAAATCGTGAACCCTACAAGGCTTCGAAGATGGAGTAGCTGATTTCGTTCTATTCCTAGCGCTCAAAACAGATAGAAACAGTGCTGGGCTGCTGGGCCCCACAATACATGGGACAAAACCTCCATAGCAGTGTTAGAAAGCTAAAGTGCATGATCGTAGTATTCGAGATACCCCAGACATCTTGATACGTCCTCTTGCACATCAAGCGTTTCTCTCATCGGCCTTTTGCAAAACAGACAATTGGACAGCCTAGACGATTCAGAGCGGCTTCTCGACGAGGTAACTGAAGGCAGTGAAAAGCAAACGATCATATCATCGAAGCAAACATGGGAAGATATATCCAGTCTTCGTGGGTTATACCACTCTGTCGAAACAGACGGCTGAACCTCACTCCTCGATAAGACTCTGTCTGCAGCAGATCCGCTGACCGGCTTTGACCAGTGAACCAAAGGTTGGTGACAAAGAAGGCGTAAACCGAAAATAGATGGGTACGGCCTAGCTGAGAGGAAGCATGCCCAGCGATTGCGCCATGATGGACAGGCGAAAGTGGCAGACCTGAACGGCACTGTGCACGGTTCAAATTCATCCTACTATGCTGCACACGTCTCTTTCAGCGCTCTAAATTATAAAGTAGGAGACCAAGTGACAGACCTTTACGACTCTGTATTGATATGATGGTGTTCAAGGCCATCGAGCAGCAGATCGATATCAGGGTGATTTCTCAGGAGGAGGGGAAGTGGAAAAAAAGAGACGGATTGAGAGAAAGGAATGGTGAATGGACGTGAGCGGTGTAAATGGTTTATACACACATTTTGTCTCCAGAGCAATGCCCTGTGCATGTAAGTCGATGGAAGATAGGCGACAAACTTGACTTTCTCGACCTGGGGAGGTGAATTACACTGGACGTATGACCTTCAGTATCTGAGTCTGTGAATTCTTGGCCGTACCCGCCAAGTCGGGAATCGATTCATCGAGTCGGAGCCCGTCGATCCGTAACATGCATTCACATGTCGAGTGGGGATGCCGTGTCAGACGTCGCAAGGAAGTCGTAGATGGACTAAAGAGATTACCGTATCATACCTCCTGTCGCAGTGCCATCGACTAGCGTCCACCGAAAAGCACTGGGAATAATCGCATGAAAAGCTGCATAGCAGGTCGGGCGCCCATCGCGACCGCAGGCTCCAATGCATCGAGAAAGACATGTAGCCTTTGCTATCTCAGGAGAGGTTTAGAACCAGCCGACTTTTGGTCTCTGAACAGATAGTCTGCGAATTGAACTCGGCAAACACCCGAATTATGGAAGCTTGTGCTTAAAGTGACAGTTTCGCTACATAGGGATATTCGGGGACTTGAACCATGCTATTCAGGCATGTTGTAATGAAGGCCGGATTGCTATGCAAATGCATATATCACTTGAGCGTCTTCCGCAAGGAGAGGCCACTTCGCAACGTACGATGATGGCATCATCTGGAGACAAGGACGATATGGCCCTTATGGCCCGTATCTCTGAGGTTGCCTGAGTGCGTCAGCGGCGAAATTCATGGGGACCCGGACAGGTACGAGGAGGGCAAGTGGTGGGACGTGCTAGGAACCAAGTCCAAATGAATGATTGTTCTTTCCCTTTGCGGGCTATTCGGGGAAGTCCGAATGCCGGATAGGGAAAGGGGTGGTGACGTCAAATTCCGAAGTGCCAAAAATACAGTGCGCCGTCGAGAGCGCCTGTCATCGTCAACTCTCGAAGGAACAACACGCTCTTTCCGTTCCTCGTCCTCTCTCTCTCCGCTCCACCACTCACGCTCACTCTATCTCCCCATCCCATTATCGTCGTCTGTCTCTCTCGCCGCCGTTCTCAACGATGGCGTCGTCGCTGCCCTCGAACGGCCCATCGGCAGCCACTCAAGCCAACGATATTCTTCGCGAGGACGCAAAGAAAGGAAATACGACCGTACATACTTTCGACCCAGACGCAACCCCAGAGCAGAAGGCTGCGGCTGCAGGCAAAGGTCGTGACCAACTGAAGAGCGTGGTAGACACGAACAAGGACGCCGTCGCTAGTAAAGGTATATTTATCACCTCGGCATTGCACATATTGCCATATCCCTGATTAACCATGCTCATGTTCCGGAACAATTGTAGAGGTTCCCATTGCCGGCGCAGATAATGTCATGCCTACAATTACTATCGAGGACATGGACAAGGCTGCCCAGGAGGGCGTTGAGGGGGTCGCACAGCCTCCAGGCGCAATACCCGCAGCACTTGCGCCAGCTATACCAGACTGTAAGTGATACGTTTGAAGGCATGCAATTGTCTTGCTCAATATTGTACAGGGTACAAGGTCGGATGGCGCGCGTTCACAGACCTGGACAAAGCCCCTGAAGATGAAGATGCCAAGGATACCCGTTTGTACAATGCCTGGATTTCTGACCAATATTATGGTCAGTGGTATCATAATGCAGCTGTGATCATCGTCGTACGTGTAATCATCTATCTATCGTGGCACCTGACCAATCTTGTTCCTGTCAGTCTGTCTTCACCACGCATTTCCTTACTCGCTTCGGCTTCGGCTGGGGATGGTTATTCATTCTACTTGCTTTCTGCAACACATATTACACGACTTCTATGGTCCGCGTTCGGCGAGCAGCGCGCGATGACATCCAACGCGAACTCGTCAAGACTCGTATCAGTAACAATACAGAGTCCACCGAATGGCTCAACCACTTCCTGGAACGCTTCTGGCTCATCTACGAGCCCGTTCTCTCTGCTACCATCGTATCCTCTGTTGACCAAATTCTCAGTACCAACTGTCCACCATTCCTCGACTCGCTGCGCCTTAGCAGTTTCACTCTCGGGAGCAAAGCGCCCCGAGTAGACTCCGTCGGCACGTTTACGAAAACCCCCGACGACGTTGTCCAGATGGATTGGAAGTTCTCATTCACTCCAAATGACGACTCGGATATGACGCCACGTCAGAAGGCGACGAAGAGCAACCCTAAGGTAGTCTTGACCATCCGAGTGGGAAAGGGACTAGCGACAGCAGGGATGCCGATCTTGGTCGAGGATATGACCTTCAGCGGACTCATGCGCATCCGGATGAAGTTCATGACCAACTTCCCGCACATCCAAATCGTCGACCTCTCGTTCCTTGAGAAGCCGGTCATTGACTATGTGCTCAAGCCCATCGGTGGCGAGACCTTCGGCTTCGACATTGCGAATGTGAGCGTGACAAGTATACCTCTGTCTGTTCTACGTTTACTCAGGTCGTTCGGTTTTCTTAGATCCCAGGCCTTTCGTCTTTCATTCGCGATACCACGCATTCTATCCTTGGGCCAATGATGTACGACCCGAACGTCTTTACCCTCAACCTCGAGCAACTGCTCTCTGGCGCTCCTTTGGACACCGCGATTGGTGTTGTCAAGGTCACAATTCACTCTGCTCGTAGCATCAAGGGCAACAAGATCGGAGGCGGTACCCCTGATCCGTTCGTCAGCTTCAGCATCAACAACCGTGAAGAGCTCGCGAAGACGAAGTACAAACATAATACGTCAGTCTTATTTACCCCTTCTGACGATCTATGGTTACGGCACTCACACGATTTGTTCATGGGCAATAGGTTCAACCCAACCTGGAACGAGACGAAATTCCTGCTCGTCACCAATCTCGCTGACAATCTCTGTCTTACTGTGTTTGACTACAATGAGCACCGGAAGAACACTGAGCTCGGCTCTGTTGCATTTGAGTTGGGGAATTTGGCCGAAGATGCAACTCAGGATGACCTTGAGCTACCTATCCTGAAGGATGGAAAGGAGAAGGGAACACTACGGTTCGACGTTCACTACTTCCCTGTGTTGACGCCCCAGGTCAACGAGTCCGGAGTGGAGGAATTGCCTGATTCGAGTACGTCTCGACCCACCGAGAAACATGTTCACTTACTAACCGTGCACCTACATCAGAGGTCGGAATCGTCCGCTTCGTCATGCACCAAGCCAAAGACCTCGATACCACTAAAGTCCACACAACCGACCTCAACCCCTTCGGCAAAGTCTACATTGGATCTCAATCTTCCTCCATCCACAGCACGCCGAAAGTCCGCCACACGCTCCAACCCGTCTGGGAATCCGCCACCGAGTACCTCTGTACCGACCGTGCCTCCTCTGTCATCACCATCAAGATCATCGACGACCGCGATTTCCTTAAGGATCCTGTCATTGGGCATGCGAGCATTCGGTTGGAGGATCTGTTGGAAGCGAAGAAGGAGGCCGGGAGGGATTGGTGGCCGTTGAGTGGGTGTAAGACGGGGAGAGTGAGGTTGAGTGCAGAGTGGAAGCCGCTGAATATGGCGGGCAGCTTGCACGGAGCGGATCATTATACGCCGCCGATTGGTGTGGTCAGGCTTTGGTTGCAGAAGGCGACGGATGTCAAGAATGTGGAGGCGGCGCTGGGTGGCAAGGTCCGTTTTTGATATTTCTATGATGTAGGCTGATTGGTGCACAGGCGCTGATTGTTTGTCCTTTTTTTCTCGAACAGAGTGACCCGTATGTCCGTGTGCTCATCAATGGGACCGTCCAGGCCAGGACTGAGGTCATCAACAACAGTGAGTACTGATTTAAGTATCCGCGACCTGTATATTAATCTAGCTCTATCCTAGACTTGAACCCCGTCTGGGACCAGATCGTCTACATCCCCGTCCACACCCTTCGCGAAACCATGCTGTTAGAGACCATGGACTATCAACATCTCACCAAGGACCGCTCCCTCGGCACCGTCGAACTTAAAGTGAACGAACTCGCAAGTGAAATCCCAGACTCCGCAGAATCCGAATACCGCTTCGCCTCCACTGGCAAGAAATCGGCCGCTGAAGCTATTCGTCTCGACCGCGGCGGAACGTTCAAGGGTCAACTGCACTACGTTGCCGAGTTCATTCCGGCTCTCAACCTCAAGGGCGTCAAGTTCGCTATGGGACCAAATGAGTTGGAGAGGATGGTGGGCAATGTAGGGTCGGACGATGATGATGGGGATGTGGCGGAGGATAGTGCGAGTAGCAGTTCTGTCAGTGGGGCTGAGGATGGATTTGTGCCGGGCAAGGTTACGGCCACGAGGCCGATTGGGTTCAAAGGGCACGCGAAAGACAAAGCGTCGGTCGATACGGTCAAGACGGTGGAGACTGTGAAGACGACGGAGACGGGCAGGACGGGGAGGTCGGCTGCTACGACTGGGACGGTGAATACGGCGAATGGATCGGTTGGACAGACGGAGAAGGAGGAGCCTGAGGTCGGGATTGAGATGAGTAAGGAGGAGTTGTTGACACATCGTGGGTTTTATCTTTCGCCCTCTTCTTCTTCTTCTTTTTTCCTATGACGCTGAACTCTTCGTCTCCGCTGTTGGCGCACAGAATCCGGCATCATCATCTTCAACGTTAAGTCTGGCGAACTCACCAAGAAGGCACGTCTCGAGGTCCTTCTCGACGACGGGTACTGGCCTGCGTTTAGTACTGCGCGCGCTCCGGGCCATAAAGCCGAATGGGAGCATGTCGGCGAAGGATTCCTCAAGGAACTCGATTTCGGTCGCGTGTGGTTGAGGTTGAATGTTGCGGATGAGGGCGATAAGGACGAGATTATTGGGGAGTGGAAGGGCGATGCGAAGCCGTTCTTGCAGCAGACTTTGGTGCGTGCTCTTGTTCTCGCTATTTCGGTATATTGTGGGCTAACGTCCAATTATTACGACGAAATGTAGGATGGTGCGTCGAAGTTCCATCTGGTGGATGAGGACGAACGCACGATCGGAGTCATCAATATCGAGGCTCGTTATGTCCCTTGTCCCGTCGTGCTCGAGGCCCGCGAGAGTATCAACAGTATGTTTCTTTCCCTAAATTATCCCACGTTGCTTTTTCTGATGTCCACTTTTAGACCAGGGCTTGTTACGCGTTGTCCTCTTCAGTGGCCACGACATCCGGGCGGTTGACCGTGGAGGTACGTTGCTGATTTCGCACAGTGAAATGTGGGTCATCAAGCTGACATTAGAATCGTAGGCAAATCAGATCCGTTCGCTGTGTTCACGCTCAACGGACAGAGGGTCTTCAAGTCTCAGACCAAGAAGAAGACGCTTAACCCAGATTGGAACGAGGACTTCACCGTATCTGTGGTACGTAATATCCTTACTCCTTACTACCTTTTGGGCCATATAGGCTGATCCTGCTTTCATCAGCCATCACGAGTGGGTGCAGATTTCGAGGTGGAAATCTTCGACTGGAACCAGCTCGAACAAGCCAAGTCCCTTGGCTCTGGCAAGATAAACCTCGAAGAAGTCGAGCCCTTCAACGCTCTCGAGCGGACCATCCCGCTGTCCACGCCCAAGCATGGCACCAAAGGCGAGATCAAACTCTCGTTACTCTTCCAGCCCGAGATCATCGCCAAGTCACGCAAGAACACCTCCACGTTCTCTACCGCCGGACGGGCCATGACCCAGATCGGGGCCCTACCTATCGGTGCTGGGAAGGGTGTCTTCCACGGCGTCACGGGCGTGTTCAAACATAAAGATAAGAACGGGACGATCGTGGAGGATATGGAGCCGGAGAGTAATGGCCAGGTCACGCATATGCGGGCAGCGAGTGGGAGTAGCGGAGGCTCCATACTGAATCTACCGAATGGGCAGATGTCGCAGCCTGTGGGACAGTCGGAACATATGATCGGAGGAGGAACGACGTTCCCTTCGAACGGACAACTGACTGACGGGAGTAAGGTGGAGCCGGGGATGTTGAAGGTTACGGTGTTGGACGCGAAGGATTTGGGACAGGGGGATGTGAAGCCTTATGCGGTGGTGAGGTGTGGCGATAAGGAGCAGAAGACGAAGCATGTCAAGACGGCTGCGCCGGAGTGGTAAGTCTTTCTCTTTCAATGTGTTTGGTACGTCGTTGAGTGTAGCCTGACGTTGCTTGGGCATATAGGAACGAGTCGTTCACGTTTAGCGCAAGTCCGTTGACGCCGAAGCTTCATATCTGGATTCATGACCACAAGACGCTGGGCAAGGACAAGCTTCTCGGGCAGGCCGACGTCGATGTATGTCTCATACTGCTTATATGTTCTTCGACTCGACATCCTCACCCTTCTTCTCCAGATATGGCAACACATCAAGCCCACAGGTATCTCCTCCGCCGACGTCTTCGCAGAATTGCGCGAAGGCCAAGGTCTTCTCCGTCTGAGACTCGAATTCGACCCAGACACCGCGCCTCTTGGCCGTCCGTCCACCGTTTCTTCGAATGAGAGGCCAGGCCTCGGGTCGCCGTCGAGGTTCAGCCTGAGTAGGAGGAGGACGACGAATCCGGGTGCTGGCTCGGATGCTGAGTGATCAGCTCAAGTTCTCTTTTACTCGCAAATGCTTCTTACTACTCGTTCCTATATTTTTGCACTCTTTCTTATTTTTCCGCTTCTTTTCTCCTCCTAGTTTCTTCTCTCTTTTTCTTCTCTACCACTACTCTGATACGTGAGCCTCATGTTCCCGTCTGCATCTACATCTTCATCTCCATCTGTCCTATACGCATTACCCACTTCCCCTCCCACTCCCACTCCCACTCCCATACCAGTATCCCCACCATTTTAAAATCAAACAAATGGACTGCTCCTCTCCTCTCCTCTCCCCTTTTGCTCTCCGCTATCACCATTGCCTACCATCTATCTCAGTCAAATGAGGATGAACCAGTCATTCCTCGTAATCCAAACAATCACCATCAACATCGAGGGCAACCCGAGATTTGTTCCAGTTCTCAAAATGCTATTACTACTCCGATTTTCTTTTAGTTATCACTCTCATTCCTACACTTCCCACTCTGCGGCAGTTTATTCGTTTGCCAGCTCCAGAATATGGACACTATTCCTTTCTGATCCTCATGCTGACCGTGCTCGTTCTGTTCTTGCTTTTTCTTTCCCCTCTCTTCTCTCTCCCTCGAGTTTGGTCTGTGTTAGTACGCCGTAGTCGCATATTCAGTACAGTACAGTATGCCCTTCTTTTGTCTGTATAACAGGTCGCCTTTTTTATCAATCGGTCAGGGGTAAGAGCGTCCTTCAATCAAGGCGTGGGAAGTGTTGAGTTCCTAAACCAATCACTAGCAGCAGGCCTGAGCACTGTTGAAAGGGTTATCGCAAGAAGCGGACGATGAAGAGGTGCTCGGGACCAGCTCGACGTTGGATGACGATCTGTGCGACCGATCAGAGGACTGGCTTTTTAAGCAAAGGTAGGAAGAAAGAGGAGACCGACCTCGCTTTGGAGACCATATCGTTCTTGCATGCGATGTTGAATCTCGGGGATGTTGTTTTTCTTGAGCACGACGAGGTAGAAACGGCCGTTCGGGGAGAGAAGATCCTGTGCAACGCAGCCCAAACGAGCAAGTCAGATTCTGGACAAAATATGGAGAAATATGTTCGAAGGTCGGGATGTAGACTGACAGCGACTTGCTCCAATAAAATGTTCGTTACATCCATACCATCTGTCCCGCCTGCCCAAGTACTAGCGATGTTAGCCCCAAGTTGTGCGGAGTCAGCTTCAGGGGTGTCTGTAGGGACGTAAGGAGGGTTGAAGAGGAGGATATCGATGGAGTGGCGGAGACGAGGCTGGAGTGATTGGGCGAGAGATGTGATGATTGGATTGAGGAGAATCTACTAGAGGATGGGATGGTGAGTTCTTGTTCATGGATAGGGATGTGACACTCGTGCCATCGGAGGTGGAATTACCTTGTTCTGATGGCCCGTCTGTAGGGTGCACAAAGCCGCGTGAGGATTGATGTCGGTGCAGAGGTATACTGTACCATTTGCATGAGCCTATAAGGCATATAATAGAGAACAAAGAAGCTGACATGGGTTCGAAGATCCTAGAATGCTGCCTATGAAACTCGAGACGCAACCAGAACCAGAGCTTCCGTCCGATAAAAGAGAAAAAGCGCGAGATATACGAGCACATGTCAGCTCTTCGAAGATCCCAGCGACTTAAATGGTCTACCCTATTTCAAGACATATTAAAGGCATCATCGCCTTCAACTCTTCTGCATCTTTCTCGAGAGCATCGAGGAGTAAAAATGTGTCTTCTAATTGTGAGAAGCCGGGTGTCAGTGAAGAGTTAAAGAGCAGTTAAGAGTTTGAGATCACCAGCTGGCTCGTATATAAGATTAAAGTCATCCTTAGTGAGATGTGAGGTGTCCGGTGTAGGTATCATCTTGTAGGTTGAGGGTAGCTGGGCCACTTGAACCGCGCCACACGGTGAGCGGAAAAGAGAGGGTGTCACGCGCCACGGAGATTCACATCTGAGGTCCAGATTGGAAATCAGCCAATGGCGAAATGCCGAGGCGCGGAAATGGCTCAACCGTTTGCTCGGTCAGCGTATAAATGCCTCACTGGCCTCACGCAGCAGCTTCGTCCTCCTTTCCCTTTCCTCCACCCCTCGACCCTTCCCGTCTCCTCCGCCGTCCGCAATCCTTACTCCCTGCTTAATCCATATGTTGTCTGTCTTCCTGATATCCCACCATGAGATAGCCATCCTGAGAGGCTTTCTCCTTCAAGCTCGACGGGTCCGATCTAAGGATTCGAAAGTCACTTGGTTGCTGCTCATCGCTGGCTGAATTTCCCGCTGTATCACTTGATTTTTACCTGACCCTGCCATGCATGCGAGCAATACCATCACTACCATCGACACGGGTACGTCTCCCTGTCTACAGTCCACATATTCTTTCTCAACATCACTTCACGCGCATCATTCACTTTTCCTCCTCGTCCTCCTCGTCCTCCTCGTCCTCCTCCTCTACTTCCCCTCCTCTCTCTCAACTACGAACTTAGCTGACTCCACCTAACCTCATTAGATCATGGTGCTGCGCCGTACCGCCAGTCTCCATTAGTCTACCTTGGTATCACGCTATCATCTTCGGTAGTCTATGGTCTTTGTCTCTGGTTTCTCGCTCTCGCTTCCTTCCACAACTCCTTCGCAGCTCTCCGACCTCACTCCTTGCCACATCACCGCCGGCCCGCTATCGATGCTTCCCACGACGACCGTGCGTGAATGTCGGCCGAAAACGTCCATATTGCCCTGGTCATGCGCCCGTCGCCTGCGAAACGGCGCGATCGTTGGCAAATGCTATGTTACTCGGGAACGGCGTTCGATGGCTCGGGAACGTTGCATGTGGACTCGGGAACTTCTGGACGTTTCGATGGTCATGTTATTGACAGATGGCGACGCCGCCGCCCTTCTACCAGCCAATGACACACCGCCAGCTCGACCCCCCTTGCTGGGCGGCCTCCCCGAGGCCAAAATGGCGACTGACCTCGGATGGGACTCCCGGCTATCGAGCGGGAATGGTGGCGATAGTAATGCAATTGGCATCTGGCGGTTTGTTCGCCGTACATGCACCCCATTTCTAACTCTCAGCAAGCTTGGCTTTTCGGATGACTGTGACGGCGAAGATGAGTGGTTGGGCGCGGTTATCACCATGTTGTTCTAGAGAGCTTTTTGCAGAAATATATCCAACTTTTGTGCCAAATTCGGACCTGTTCGGTACTTTCGGGGCCCATATTTATGCTGCGCTTTTTGCGCTTCCTGGCGAAGCTCAAGCAACGGAAGGTATCGACCTGTTGGCATTCTCCACTCATCATCGACAACAATGGTTCAACTTCCTGATTTTATGGGCTCTGCTCGCTCAACATCTTGTGCTACGACATGGAACGCATCGATAATGACTTACGAAGAGTGGTATGAGACGACTTTGCCTTTCCAGCAAGTGAGTGAGCGGCTCCGGTCGTTGAATTCGCTTCCTGCGCAATTTTCAGATGTTTACATTTCCATTGCAGTGGTGTATCGCCGACCTACAATACGCTCTGCCTACGGTGTACTTTTCTTGTGGTATGATAGCGCTGTTTATCCTGTCGAATGTACTGGGTACGATGCGAGCGAGACGGGCTGCCACGAAGTGAGTCATGGACAGCAATCCGAGAATCTTTCATTGACGACTCCACACGATTCTCTAGATCATCATCGAAAATCGTATCGTTCCTCCGTTTCCTCGCTTCTCGTCAGGTGAACGTCCAGATTTTAAACTGGTACTCCCCGAGCCTTGGAGTCACCATTGTTGGTGCATTAATGGTCGTTTTCATATTCGGTTGGTCTCTTCGTATTGGTCCCTCATCCGCTTTGTTCACCAATTTCCATCATAGCTCTGATGTTTTCGAATCACAAGTTCTACTGGGAGAATTTCAACATGGGGCACAGCCCGCCTCTTGGAACTAGAGGCGGATGGGTCTCCTTGGCCATTATGCCGTTTATGTTGTACGTCAGCGTAATCTGCCGTTTGAAGGTTTACTCATCGTATGGGATTTTTGCAGGACATTTGCTACTAAGGCGAACCCCATTGCACTCCTCACCGGAACCTCCCACGAGAAACTACAGATCTGGCATCGGTGGTCGGCGTGGCTCATGTGTACGTACTCATCCCACTCAGTTTAACTTTGTCTCCTATCGGATGCCGATGTCAGTTGTCAACCGCACAGATTTTGCCGCGCTCGTCCATACGCTTCCGTTCATCGTGTACAACATTCGCTGGGGCCAGATGGAAGCGAGATACGCGGCCTCCGCTGAATATTGGACAGGCATTGCGTGTCTCGTACCCATGGTAATTATTCTTGCCTGTGTTCTCCATCATTACATTTTCCTGACAAGGTCTCACTGGTCATGGTAGACGTGGCTCCTGTTCATGTCCGTCGGTCCGATAAGACGCTGGTGTTACGAATTATTCAAGAAGTGAGCTGGTGTCTTCTTGTCATGCAATGCCCTCTGACGCTGTTTTCTCCCCGCTAGGCTACATATCATGTACGTTGAGCTCGACTATATAATGTGGCAGAACATATTTCTGACACTGGTACTTGCAGCGGTGCTATCCTTTTTATCATCTTCTTCATGTTTCATTGCGCCAACACCTTGACCTCATGGTACGACTGTCACCAATCTGCTTCGACAGCCTATCATATTAATGTATCTCATTCTAACCACAGGCAATACTTCTACGCTACCTTCGCCCTCTACGGCTTCTCTTTCTTGACACGCCTAGCTCGTCTTCTCCCTTGCTTCGATGTTGTCATCGATGTTCTCCCCTCTAATACCGTTAAGATTACCATTCCCGTTCACCCCAAGTGCACGTGGAAACCTGGCCAGCATTTCTTCGTACGGTTCATAGGTCCCAGCCTCGGATTGCATAGCTTTAGTTCTCATCCTTTCACAGTCGCTTCCGTCCCAAGTGTCGGCGGTGCGGACAATACAGTAGAGATGTACGTGAGAGGATATCGCGGTATCACCGGCAGATTGGGTGCTGTGGCGGCGATATTGAAGGGGAGGGGCGTGACTGCGGTGTTGGATGGGCCGTACGGAGGCTTGCATACTTCGGTTCAAGGGTTCAATAGGGTGCTTTTGCTTGCCGGTGGAAGCGGTACGTCAATGTGCTCACTCCACCTTATCGAAAAACTGACAATAATACGTGCTTGCTTTCCTTGTACAGGTGCAACGTTCACTTTGCCTATCATGACCGACATTTGTCGAGCAATCTCCGCAGGAAGCACAACATGCAGCAAGGTAGACTTCATCATTGCGGCACCCTCTTATGGTAAGCCTCAACGTTACGGTCACTGTTGGTGTCTTCTAGAAGCTCTACCTGACCGTCCATATCTCGTCCTTCAGATTCTATTGAATGGTGCGAAGATTACTGTACGGCCGCTCGGACTATGCTTGAGTCCAACACTGGCGGCAAGGGTTCTGCTCTTGCCGTTTCCGTATACATCACGCGTCAGGATGCTTCGTCTTCTTCTGCCACAGTCGACGAAGAGAAAGGCGAAGCAGATGGAACCCAGAAGTTCAGGCATGGTGCTATACATCGGGAAGGTCGCCCAGACCTGAAACAACTCATTCGTTCTGCATGCGACGAACAACCAAACGGATCCGTTGCCGTGATATGTGAGCTTATCTTTCTGGTTTCCATGAACCTGCATCTGTGGTATGGACTAGAGCTCATCGTTGTATATGCAGGCTGTGGCCCGGATGAGTTTTCTTACGCTGTTCGGAACGCAGTGGCATCTTGCGAGCTGGACATAGCTCTCGGTCGGCTTGGTTGTCGGGATCTCTTCTTGCATACGGAGGCGTACAGGTCAGTGCCCAATGTTTCATGCCTTACGACCTCCCCCTGACTCATACTTCTGCCATTCCAGCTGGTGATATCGATGCCACTGCTTGCTTGAAATGCTTACTTTTCCTTGCGTACTTGTATCCTGTTTTTCTTCATTTGAATTTTTCTGTCTGTGTTTGTAGAGACTCTTCACAATTTATCTGCTGGCCTACGCATTATGCAACGAATTCTGACGACGAACCATCACGAGGGTTTTGTGGCGCGAGTGTTGGTGAGGAACTCGCAGATTGCCCAACTTTGATCCGACCTTATGATCATATCAGATTACCGGCGTTTGATCGCACTGTTATCTGATATGAGGCATCTTCTTTCTGCTCAATCTATACCCTCATCAACATATGCTGTCCGATCTGGTTACGCTTGTCAGTTTGAGTAACCCTCACCCTTGTGGCCACACGGTCTGCCATATTTCGCTTCTCCATATACTGTTCAGTGCACCGTTCACGCCCTCGTGCAACATGATCAGAAGTTTTCTTTACCAAATTCCGTGCTTCTCGAGAGATCTCAAAAGGCTTCACCCGCGCGATTTGTGCTCGAGTGGTTCTGCCTGCTCTCGCGAACTCAAGCACTCACCTTTAAATCCCCAGAGACACCTGCAGCTCCTCTTCCTTTTCTCTGGGCAGCTTTGACATCGGGATGTGGCTCTATTGGTTGATTCATCCGATTCAATGGAACGGCACGACCCACGCGGAATCGACCTATTACGATGCTCAGCTTTCAGACTATGAGATATGGATAAAGGCCACGAAGTTTCGGAGCGTACGTCCTTTTCTATGGTCTATCTATTTGTCAAAGACCTGTACACTGAAAGCTTTCCTTGTAGTATTACACTGCAGACTTGGATTATGGCAACGCAACAACTCTCTTCTACTGTGTTAGTATAGCGGTCTTCATGCTGGGGAACATTATCTTCGCCCTTCGCCATCTGAGGTTCGTTCTATTGAACTGATCAAAGTGGGTGAGATGACATCCGGATGTATTCAGGGCTAGTGCCGACATTTGGAAGACCAGCACGTATACTACCTCGGTCGCAGCTCTTCGATATCTTACCGCGAGACAGTACCACGTCCCGTTCTTTGGATGGTACTCTCCACCTCTTGCGCAGATGTTGGCCGTCGGGGCTATGGTCTTATTCTTCACGGGTGCAATTTTCTCTGGATCTTCAATTGCGTCGTTGTACTCATCCTTCCATCTCTAGTGTTGACATGGGCAGTTCGTCCGTACTATTGGTGGAATGTGCTGATCAACACTTGTCCGCCTCTTGCAAATCGTACGGGTTGGATATCCCTCGCTATGCTGCCTTTCGTGATGTAAGTGGTTCCGCAAGCTCTCTGTAAAAGGATGACTCTGAATCATGTGGGATTACGCTGATGCCTACTATCCACAGGGTGTTCGCCTCGAAGGTCAACTTCATCACAATTTTGACGGGAACATCGCATGAGAAGCTACAAGTATTCCACAGGTGGTCGGCATGGATCATGTGTAAGTCATTGTGCATGCCGATTATGCGAACGAGACTCGTCTCATGCTGCGTTCTGAACGCAGGGGTTCTGGCGCTCATCCACACAATCATCCTTATTCGGGAGGCCATAAAACGAGGCACCATGTTGTCTGAGTGGAAGGCAGGTCCCTGGTATTGGACCGGAGTAGCAGCGCTCATTCCTCAGGTACCGCACACTTTCTTTCAATGCGGCGAGGATGAATATTAATCATTGAGAGGAAGACCTGGCTTGTAGTAATGTCCATTGGGCCAATCAGGTACGTGTCCGTCAGCCTGCCATTCATTGCAGAGGTTCTGATTCAATGTATAGGAATGCCTATTATGAGACATTTAAAAAGTAAGCCCTCGGTTATTAGATCAGTAGCTGCTCGCTGACAACCGATGCTCTCATAGATTGCATTTTGTGTGAGCATCACCCCTCGCACCATCTATTACCTCCTGACAAGGTGTTCAGCGCTGTTGGAATCTTCTTTCCCTTTCTGTGGGTTCACTGCAATTTCCGACAGACTTCCTGGTGCGCCATATATTCGCCTTCTGTCTTCTTCAATGTTACTTAGCCCTCCCACAGGTGGTTCATATACGCAGCGCTCGGCGCTTGGTTCGTCACTTGGATTGTCCGTGTTGGCCGAGCCATCTTCTTGAATGGTGTCAACCATCGCGCGTCCATAGAAGCTCATTCCTGCAATCTAATCAAAATCGTGATTCCTACGCCGTCCAAGGTGCAGTGGAAGCCGGGAGAGCACTACTTTATCCGTTTCTTCGGGACAGGTATCCATTGTCTGAGCTCTCATCCGTTCACAATTGCGTCATTGGCTACAGGCGAGAAGAGCTCCTTGGAAGCTTGGATTAGGGTACACGAGGGTATTACGAAGCGATTACAGAGGAAGTCTTTAGAGAGAAATGTGACAGTGCCAGTCGTATTGGATGGGCCGTATGGAGGTTTGAAGGGATCGCTCCACGTGTATGATAAGGTGTTATTGTTAGCAGGAGGGTCCGGTGAGTCGATCCACTTCACCTGCTTTGCCATGTAGTCGCTTACTCTGAGCAAAAACAGGTATAACCTTCATCATGCCGATTCTCGTGGATATCCTTAGCCGCGAGAAAAGAGCAAGCAATACTGTCCAGCTGGTGTGGGCTGTGGCATCTCTCGGTGCGTTCGTCGCCGTCGCCCGTTTCTCTCCTTGCCATTAAATTCAAGAGGTATATAGACGATTTTGTTATGTTTGAGGATACCTATGCTCGAGTTCAGCCCAGCATCAACAACGGCTCCTTGACCATCTCTTGCTTCGTTACTCGTGAGACGTTCACACCCGATACTGCCACGACGAAAGACGAGCAAGATAAAATTCCGCACGATATGGAGACAGTAATTGGGCGGCCAGATCTCAAGCAACTTGTATTCAATTTCTGCTCAGGATCTGGTACAGTAGGCATGACGAGTAAGTCCGCCGCTATATCCGCTATATTTTCTGGACATAACAATGCACGGTGTCGGGATCATCATTGCAGCCTGCGGCCCTACTGCGTTCACGATGGACGTCAATAATGCAGCTGCTACCGTACAGTTGGACATCGCTCGCGGACGCAGCAAATGCACGGAACTGTATCTGCACACTGAGGCATATAGGTATGCATCTTGTCCATGCTCCATGCATGGTCCGTTCTAATAACATCTTGCAACAGTTGGTGAAGGGTAAACGACGGGACAAGTCTGGAGTGTACAAGCCAAGTCGACAGGATTGCGGTTGACTTATGGTGATTTAATGTCTATGTCATGAAGTGTGCACCTCTTCCAATCGTCCATAAAACATCCTCTTCGAGCAACTTTGATGGTAAAGGCCTGGCAGGCGAGCACGGTATGACCACAGAGCCCTCCTCCGATCGTCGTTATGCTTTTCAGTACAGTCCTTACCCTAGACAAATGAAGATAGCTGTCATTTACAATGTTCTTCTGTGACTTTTTCAGTCCAACTCCAAAGGTTTACTACATCGTCTGGCTCAAGATATGTTGAGAATGCTGTCCGCGAGTACGACGTTCTCAGAGAGATATTACTCGTGGCCAGGAGCATCTCAGAACGGTACGATATATGAGCCATTTACTGGGCAGTCAAGTTGATACGGCGACAAGACATAGATGAAGATGGAAGGTGACCAGATTTCACCCAAGTGTCGAGAATACCGAGTCGGACCTGATCTAAGGGTCGAGCAGAGTTACTCAGGGGCACGCAAGGGTCACCTCGAAACAAGCCTTCTATCTTTTGGTAGTATCGACTAAGCACTCGTGTGGAGGTATACGAAGAATACCAGTGCTGCTCAGCGAACTCAACTAATGTCTGGACATCATGAATGATACTCAAGGGATAGCCAATCCTACGGCGACTAACCTGTTCGTACGTCGTTTTTGTGTAAGGGGTATATATATGAGTGAGATACCGAAACAAGCGAATCCGATATTGCTAGAAGCTGAGAAATACATTATGTTTGTTCAGGCTGTGGAACCGCGGGCATACCACGGCCTCGAGCCAGCGCTTCGTTTTCCACAAGTACATCCCATGCTCGATGAATGTCCGTCTGTGTCTTTGAGAGCGTCCGATTCATCGATTTCGCCTTGTGATGCCAAAAGCCCCCGATCCCCTTCCTTCTTCTTGCAGGTAGCAGGTCACCGGCTCGTGGGAGGGGTGGCTGGACGGACGGGTCTTCCTCCACATTCGCGGAAGGCCGGAGGGCGTACGTTATGGGAGGCAATACTTCTACCACCCGAATCACGAAAGTGTCGGTATTTGCATGTTCCGGGTGAAGAGAACGCTCGAATTGGCAGCGCAAGCGGCCTACGTAAAATGAGAATAGATCAGCAACCAAGTCAAGAAGTCCGTAAGACCATATAAGACCAGACTAGTATCTACACACTCACCTTCATAACAAGGATGGTATGGCCCGCTCGACCCAATTCGAGACCGCAACGGGTTTACAAAGAGAAGCGCGAACACGCTCCCATCAATGAGACTTCGCACATTCACTCTAGTGACCAAGGTCGAGAGATCGAGAAGAAAGGGGTCTCCAATATTCGAGATGATGGATTTTGTCAAGCGACTGCCGTCCGTTCTCTTGGTGGAGGTTGTGGTGCTTTTGTCCTCGAGCAAAAGTCGCCAGAATACAGATGGCCTCGAGTGTGGAACAATGTACCAAGGGACGTCTCCGTCGTGCTGCATCAAGTCCTTTCCGGAGGCGAAGCTGGCGGGGTCGCTATCCTTCGTGATGCGAAAAAAGACCCCACTAGTGTGATGAGGCTCATCCCGGTCTTCTCGTGTGTCTGACACAGATTTGACATCTGACTTGTCCAAGGGTTGCGTCTTTCGCGTGGGCGCTGGATTGTTTGGAGGACGATAGTAGAAAAAACCATGGGTGCCTGCCGGAAACGGAAGATAATTCGTGCTTATATCCGCACGAAGCCTCTTGTAGCTGATTGGGGGAGAGTAGTAGCTCTTCCGGTCGGATGCCTTGCTAGCCGCCACGAGTCGGGGACTTTTAAGATGGGAAATATCCTGGAAGTCGGATGGTAGGAGACGGGATGGGTCCAGAGTTTGAATCATTCGGGGCTGGATTCCCTGTTTGCGGCGTAACCTCTAGATTGAGAGAGGAGTTTTCGTTGTCGTATTAGTGATTGTGCGCATGCGGAACGCATCGGAAAAGCATACTTTTATGTGTCCAGGTTTCGAGCCTGTTTGTGTACTGAAGCTGAGGCTGCCAAGCGACATCATCCACCGCGACGAATCGAACTGTTCCATGTGAAGAACGTCGCCAAACTTGAGGGGGGTCCACGGGAGGAATGGTATATTGGAGAATATGTTTTGGGGCGTACGTGGTAGCATACCGCTCGTTCAAAGCCCTTCTACCACAGATCGATGGCAAATGATCGCTGTGAACAAGTTATTGGACCAGCTAGTTGAACGCTGGCTACGTTTAGGGAGTGCGGACACTTCAAGAGGTTTAAGAACGATGTGGCGCAGCAAGAAGGAACTAATTCAACACTGCTTTGATCGAGTTTGATGCGATATGAACCTAACCCTAACACATGGTTGCGAGATTATGGAGTGTTAATATGCGCCACACTAACGAGGGACCGCTTTCAAGTCGAATACCTGAGAACTGGTAGTTAAATGCCTGCATCTTCTTCAGGCGAGTGTTTTATGATAGCTTGAGCATAATCGTCACCTTGTTCCGCGCATGTCACAAAGAATCTAACATATCTTGGTATATTTAGACACTGCCGCCCTCGTCGCTGCCTTCGCTCTCGGGAGCGCCACGCTTGGGTACTGGCTTGGAATCCGACGCGCTAGAGTAGGAGTACCTTCAGCAGCATCGTCTTCGATACAGCAGAGAGATCATCATGCTGCAAACGAAGTCTCATCATCAGAGTCAGACTCAGATGAGGAGGGTGCGTCGGGAGATGGGGAGCTTGGGAACGTGAAGGCGGGCTTGCTGGAAGATTGCAAGTTGGTGAGTTTTCATTCTGTCCTGTTCTTCCTGCTTGTTCCTCGTAATAGACGCCAAGTTTGTGATGTCATACATTCGTTGCTTGGATATGGTATCGAGATCTCGAGCTTGTTCGCAGTTAACCTGGTCTTCATAGGTGCTTGTTGTTCGTGGCGATCTGGGAATGTCGTCCGGCAAGATTGCTGCCCAGTGCGTACAATATTTTTTTGCTGCACATCCTAGCACTTCAAATGATGTCGTATACTGAATATCTCCGTAGATGCTCGTATGGATTCGAATCCTGTCTGTGCGTCTAATGCTCACAGTGCTCACACTCGGCTTCAGACACGCCACGCTAGCATGCTACAAGACCCTTTCCCATACAAATCCATCTGTACGTTGTGGTCTTCCTTCTCCCCTCAACATTCGACTCAGGCCATCACACCCTTTTCTCACAGCTCGTCCGGCATTGGGAACGTACGGGGTGAGTGCGTCTCAGTAACCCCACCCCCCTTTCATTGTTCCTTACAGTCACCGACGAATAGACAAACCAAAATCACTCTCAAATGTGACAATGAGGAAGAACTTCTCACCCTTCAAGCGCAAGCACAGAGTTTGAATCTCTGCGCAAGATCTATTCAAGACGCGTGAGCAGACCACCTTTACCCAAACTGAAAAATTAGATTTACAGTCATGATTGTTGTGTATGTAGTGGCAGAACCCAGATTGCTGCTGGTTCACGAACTGTATTGGGGATCGGCCCAGGTAAGACCATATTTCCCATCGAATACCTGGAGCTAATACCTTCTGTGACATGGCAGGGCCTACGAAACTGATCAACCAAGTGACAGGCGCGCTCAAGCTGTTGAGGTGATTGATGCAATGGGTGGCTAGACACTTGGGCGTCGGAGCTCGAACGTCGTAATGGTGTCCTTGCTGAACGTAGTACGAAGAGTACATCCCGATGAACAAAACGATCGGAGTGTTCATTCACGGGTGAGTGGCACGGAAAAGATTGTTGTAGCATTGATACGGCTAGGCGCTGACAGTGCGTAGGAAGGATACGAAGTGAGTTATAGATATCCAGAAGGGCTAGAAGTTCTGCTGGTCTTCTATTCTTTCGCCTTCCTGTAGCTTCGTCTTCACAATCCTCACCTTAGCGTTTCGTGAATCGACAATTGTTAGACTCCTTTCACTTTTCCACCTGTGTCGCTTGCAGCAATACAAATGGTTATCTGGCCCATATACGTCAATTTGACGACGGGGTGAGGTGTGATCTGAGAACATGTTGGTCGTGCATTCATACGCGCGTGAACATTTGTTCTGGGTTCCGGAAAAGGACGGGATGAACATTTGCATAGCTTATGCATGGAAGAAACATAGATCCAGGCCTGTGGCCTCGACTGGGTACCACTGTAAAATCTCCGTTCAAACCCTGGCGCGAAGGAGTTCGAGCGAACAGAAGCGAAGGAATATACTGGGTCGGAGGGGAAACGGCCCAGTGTGCCAGGGGCTGTAAACTAGATATACAGAGCCAAGCCAAGCCAAGTCTCAGAGGTGTAACGAGGCGGTCATTGTCCTCCGCCGAATGGGTCGCAGTGAGAGTGGACGCCCCGGAGGGAGCTGTTTCGCCCATTGAACTTCCAGCCAAAGCTCGCAGACTGAAACATTCGGTGACCGACGACATAAATTCAAACCGACTTGGAGGTAGGCGAATGGTAGGGACGAGGCGATGCACACTGCGGAGACTCGCTAACATCGTGCGGAGAAAATAGTGGGTGCCGAATCCGGCCTGCGGAAGCAGACCGCCGTCGTAAAGCTGGGAAAAGCATGCAAATATTGAGAGCATGTGTGGTCGTCTGAGAAGCGCACAGAAAACTAAAATGGACGAGAGGATAAAGAAAGGACGAGGCCGGAGGTAAGTCAGGAGAACGCGACGCGACGGAGGAGGAAGACGGCGAATTACCGAATCCGGAGGCGCGGTGGCCGTTTCGCACGGTGGCTCCCCCGCAAGGCTGTTGGAGAGCGTTCCTGCTGTTGCCTTCCGACGTTTGGCTCTTCACCCTCATCGTCGTCTCGCCAAACGCTCATCCCCCCATTCCGCGCTCATTCCACAAGGCCGGTCCTATCTGTCGTTCTTTTCTACAAGCCACACAATGGCACATCCAGCAGCTTCGTCCCACAGCAACCCATCCTATCCCGTTCAATTCGACAATTCAGACAATATCAATAAACCTTCGTACGACGACCTCATTGATCAGTATGCATCCCCATACGCCGCCTCGAGCAAACACAAGACGTCCTACGCATTCGACCATTCATCCGTCAGTTCACTTTTGGTCTTTCCCTTGTCTGCTGCTCACGTCCCTACAGAAGATGTCTCTATCAACAGACGAGACTAAAGGCATGGAAGCAGCTGACGATTTCCGGCGATCAGCAGCATACCCACCGCCACTGCCATCGTTACCGACACAAGACACACGGACATTTTCGCAGAAGGTACGTCTACCTTCATCCTTCCAGCTCTCATAAGCCCTCACGCCTCTCCGTGACATGCTATTCCACTAGTACTTGCCCGATTCCATGGCTTGCCGACTGTATATCTTCACCGTTCTCGTCGAAACAACAATTGATCTCGCTGTAGAAGGAGACCTTCTACTGCGGGTACATGAAGCAGGCGAGTCGGACGACACAAGCGCTGACCAGATCAGTGGGCTTGCCATCAAGATGCCAGTCTACCTCGGGATCTTCGCGCTCGCACAGTATGCCAGCCTCCTCCCTTCTCTGACTTAGTGACTTCGTCTGACCCGTACAATCCAGCGTATTCCAGTTCTGCATGGCAATCGACGCCGTCTACGCACGAAACACGCTGCAGTTCATTTTCCTCGCGTGAGCTCCAACATCATAGTCCTTCGTCGTCATGTACTGAACGTATCTTAAATTAGCATGTTCAACGCTCTCTTCCTCCTCTATTCCATCATCCAGTCAAGCGAAGTTCATTCAGTAATCCAAAACACAACCGGCATCATCGGCATCCCGATCAATGTCCTCCTCATCGTCGTTCCTTGTGTCATCTCTGTCTGCGAACTGGCCTACATTGGCCTCGGATGGAAAATCTACACCGAATTTGGCTGGAAGGTGTACAAGTTCCTCGGTGCTGATCGTCGGATCAGGCAAATGTATACCCACTACCAGATCTTCCAGTGCCTCGTCAAGTTCAATCTCTTCTTCTGGATTGGCTACTGTGTCCAATTGATCTGGCTCGTCCTGCCCAAGAGCGATTGGTCGTACTACGTCACAATCGTCCTCTGCCCTCTGTCGATCATTCTGCTAGTCGAGGGACATCTGGCAGCGCGATACGAGAACAAGTGGATGATGATCACATTCCTGGTCGGCGCAATAGGGGCGCTGGTTTACTTTTCCTACCAGGTTTGCTGGTTTCCACATACGTTGAAAAGATCGTATGCCAATCCGTTCTGATATCTCCGTACAGCTCATCAAAACACTGATAAGGAGGGGATCAGACGATTACCTGAATGTATGGGAATCACTGGCTGTTTTCTGTAAGCGTTGAATATTGCATACCGTCAAGGTCTGTCGCTGATGTCTCATTGCAGCTGTTCTCGCCATCATGCTCCTTCTGGCGACGATCACATACACATGCATTGTCTTCCGAAACTTCGGCAGGGGTCTGAAAGAGCAGGGTATGCTTGTTTCCATGTTTTACCCGACATTTCATACTTTTCTTATGACAACGGGTCTCGGCTGACATGTGCTGTCTTCTTCGTTCTTAGTCGCAAAGAAACAAGCACCAACGGGCGGCGCCAAACACGGCGCTTACCCCTCCATGTCCGCTCATCCAAACCGGATGAGCATCGACTAAACTCCTTTCTTCTCACTGCACAATCAGGTCGAGCTGGAGAAGGATCTCGGATGGGTGTACGTTGTTATCGTCGTCTCGCCGTTGTTGATAGAAACGGACTTGTATTTCTTGTTTGCCTCCTGGCCCCCACGGCTGTCTGTCTTGCACCCCCTTCACGCCCGCCCTCCACTCTCCTCGTACCCGTCACCCTGATCACACTCCCGTACCCTCCTTACGCTTACACGCACGACCTTCGAGTCGATGCCTCTTTTCGGACTCAACTTCTCCTGTCCGTGTCACCTTCCTATCTCTTACCTCGTCTCACCTTGCCTTCGCATCCCGTCGTCATTTCTCCATCCCATGGACTCGTGTTGTACCTACGGTCATTCCCTCCGACCCTTTCGTCACTCTGGTACATACTCCCTCTTACCTCCCTCCCCGCTCATACCCATCAAGCACGTAGACACCATCGCGCTTCATGAACATCCTTCTTGATCATAGGATCATCCGCACTTGGGCCCCCGGTGCACGCAGGGCATGTGCTGTTGGCTTCGGGCTGTGACGCCGGGCTCAGGCTTCCCTTCAACCTGAGTTGTCTCCTATCGTATACTCTAGTTGGCACTCTTTTAGTAGCGTATCCCCGTCTTTACTATCTGTCTTCCTCTTTTCGTTTCCTTCCTTCTTTACCCTTTCACCCTTGCGCTTCGTCAACTGTTGCTGGGTCTTCGTGTTTACAAGCGTTCTTTCTTTTTCTTTCACTCTTCTTTCTTGTGACTTCACCGTCGATTTCGATCTTCACCTTCTTCCCTCTTATCCCTTTCTTTCGTTTCGCCTGCGCTGCCTGCCTTGCGCCCTTGCCTCATTTACCTCCCTCTGCCACAAGTGTAGGGTCGATGACGTCGGCGGAATCCATACACTCGTTCATCCTCCATAGTCTTTCCCTCCACGATCAATCACCGTACAGTATCTTCATGTACATGATTGGCGACTGGCAACTGGTGATCTATGGTTTTTTATGATTCGTTTGGGACAACCTGTGCAGTCGGTGTTGGACGAGATGGTCTCGGGCGGCGCATACCTTCGCTTTTGTCTTTCCTTTTTTCGACTCTTTTTATGTCTTGGATCCCGATTTGCGCCTACGGCTCACGTTGGGTACTTACGCCTTCTTTTGTGCATATCATTGTATTGCTAGTTCAATCCGCGTGCCTTCTGTGCACCTTTGGTGAGCTCGTCTGAATTGCCGTCAGTTATGCAGACGAACCTGCCCAAGGATCGTGCAGAAAAGATGGTAGCGTTGCACTCACAATTGTGAGGCCAAAAAATGTGAATAACGAGCGGGGTCTCTCAGGGTCTTTCACATAAACGGACTGGAACGGTCCGTCGCGGTGTTCGCACTTCCGCGCGCCGCCTCGACGAAGTTGTTGCTCCTCGCTTCTGCTCGCCAGCATCCCTTCTGACCCATATCCCCTTGCATCGATTGCATCCCCCATGCATCATGGCTCCATATTGGTTCTTCAGGCTGTTCTTCGGCCTCACTCGAACCTACTTGAACCATCATCTGTGGACCAATAAGTAACCCCGTTACCATGCAGTCGACGTCTGTCTGTCGGAACGCTGCGCGCTGCTGCTGCTACATGTGCTCCCTTGTGCTACTTCTGGTCCCTTATGTTCGAGAACTGGAAAATCACCGGGTTCGCAGCCTGTATTGTGGTATTTTGACCCGAGATCACGACCTTGGCTGCTTCAGAGAGGCCGCGTCGTCAGGCCCGTCGTGGACCGTTGGCCTCCGTCGCCAGCTGTAACTATCATGATTATTGATCGTACTTGAGTCATAGGATGCGAGATCAGGGGCTGAGAAGTTAGGGGAGGTATAAAAGCTGGCTGGAGCTCGACATATGTCGTTTTTCTTCCTCATCCTCTATTCGTCGTTCATCGTTTGTGGCCCCAGTGCTTGTACCGGATTCAGCTGGAACCTTTGCTTCTCACTTCAATTCTCACCCGTCGGAACCTTTCTCGACTCCAGTGTCACGATGTTGCACATCGCCACCCTCTTTTATTCTATCGCCCTCTTCGCGGGGCTCGCCACTCTTCCTGTCGCGCTCGCTGATACGTGGGGACCTGCTTATTCGCTTGGGCCGACGAGTACGTCGATTATCGAGGCGTATACAGTCTTTAACCCTGGAACGCCACCGTCGCCTACGCAGGAGTATGTCTTCACCTCTCAGAGATTTTTTAGTCTAAGAGGAAGACATTGAAGGTGGTGATGGTTGTGTTGTGCTTGCAGTTATCTTTTCTTGTGGCCTGGTATCAGTAACGCTACCAGTGGACTCATTCAGTCTGGGGCGGACGCGATCGCTGATCAGGAGACCTAGTGAGTGTTCAATATTCGATACTGGCAGTGGAAGATCTCGCTGACGTCTGCTCCATAGCTGCGGCGCCACTGAAGAGCAGTGGTGCGTTAGTGCCAGCCGTTTCGGGTGCGTATCAATTCAAGGGACTTGGTCTACGAGGATCGTCCCCTAACGACAAGTGCCACGGTGTTACAGTTCGGACGGGCAGACTTCTGGAGATCTCGTCCCCGTTGATGCGAATACCAACATTACCATACATTACTTGGTACGTGTTCCGCGTTTGCTCTATCCGGCTGATTCGATGGCGCTTACTCTCTGCGTTTGATAACACATATAGTTGGGATGCGACGGCATCACATGGAACCAGACCGTCACAGTTGGTGGAGAGGTCATCTCGACCTTGACTAGCAGTGCGTTTCCGACATCTCCTATAGGGTTTCTCCATCTGATTTCTTTTGTGTTGTTATTATAGCCGATGGCCCTCTCATCGAAGGTGGCTGGGGGACGGGTACCGAATGTCAAAGCTCCTGTACAGGCACAGGCTCCGCTCAGGTGAATCTCACTCCCTCTCTTCCCCATATTGACTCAAAGTCGCTAACAATCCCTCGTTCATGCTATCTTTCGCTTTGGTAGTTCTACTACGACACGAAAATCACCATGTCTGCAGAAGCGCCCGAATTCGACCAGACTCTGGGCAAAGGCGACGGCGTGATCGCGACTGACCTGTATACGAACGATGGAGGGCTTACTTGGCAGGTCGATTCTATTGAGATTCCGAAGTATACTGCTTCGACTTGAACACTTCAATTTCTTGTCTATTTCTGGTCTGTCGGGAGAGGCCTTCCTTCACTTTTTTAAGGATCTGAACGGAATGAAATGTATACAATGTTTATGGTCAGTACTTATTTTGTACTTATTCAGAGTTCAAGTTATGGGTCTCCGGGAGGCCACGTCTTTGCTTTCGGTGCATGACAGCCTGTTGTATGTGTACTTAGCAAATGCACTTTCAATGAGGCCTGCTGGATCGCGTCTTCGCATGGATGTTTTCTTTGTTGAGTGGCACGACTCACGAGGGAAGACAATTACAGGTGTCGCAAAATTCCGAGTCGCCGCGCGGCAGTGCCGTGACACGCGCACGGGCCGCTGCGCCCGGCGAATGAAACTTTTTACTCTTATCATCTTTATAAGACACCTAAATAACCACTCTTGGTTTGCTTTTGGATAATAAGAGGGTCTTATAAGGGTGATTACAATAATTAAACATATTTAAGCACTGCCTTACTGGCAATTTTACCTTTTTGACAAGGGGGACAAGGCTGCCCTTATTTTTCTGTACTTTTCCCACGCTAATATATAGTTTCAACGCGTGCGCGCGAGGGGGTGCCATCGGGGATCAGAATTCTTTCCCTCAAGGACGTGTTTCATCTCACCACCACGCTATAGCCCGCTCTTCCTGCTCTCCCAGCCTTCCCTCCAGCTTTCGCACTATCCTCGCCACGTTCCGACTTGATAACTAGCTGATATACAAGCAACAAATCACGCCGTTCGCGTGTGGCCTCTTGAAGTCCGTGTCAGAGCGGCCGAACACCGACGCGACCAGACTCATTCAACCGCCACAACTTCAGCTCTCGTCACGTCTATTCAACCCCCAATCGATGCCCAGCCTCAAGCGCGCAGCGCAGGACGAGATACTCCCTACTCACGCACCTAAAATCGCCCGTACAGCACGGAGATACCGCGATTTGAACTCCAATCCACCTCAACAGGAGGGTATCTTCTCTCGTTGGCAGAGACTGTTCCTTGAAGCCGTCGAACTCGGTCGCGACACTGTTGGCTACCTTTGGACCGGTACAATGCCAGGTGCGGAGCATGCACCGTTTGAACTGACGAGAATGTTGAATTGACGCGTCTGTCCTCCCGATCAGTCTCTTCACATCCTTCGCTCCCAACTCCTCCTTCCTCCTCCGCATCACCGGATCGTCAAATAGCGCCCCCTCCTAAACGACGCTCGCGTACCAGTCGTTCTGGCCTTCAGACAGACGCGATGCCTCAACGACCATCACAGCAAGATTTCCACCGCTCACTGACACCCCCGCCTTCCCCAACTCGACCCGTGCCTTCGTCGTCGAAACTGCCCGCAACCGCCGAGAAAAGTTCCTCATCTCTTGATTCAAATGCCGCGCCTTCTCTTACACAGTCGACAACGGCCACTTCAACGTCCGTGTCGACGACTGGGCGATCGGCAGTATCGCCGCTGACCGCTACGCAAGATCTTTCGAGCAGGGTAGAAGCAACTTTTAAGCAGACGAATGGGTACAATCAGACAGAGAGGCCACGGCGGCGAGTACACGAACCGCCGTTGAGACATATACACCAAGAACAGGTGTGCATTTGAACATAACTCCGTTGTTCAGCTTTATATGGGCAGCGTGGGAGCTTTGATAACTGACTGGCGCCTATAATTGTAGCATATGCGTGATGTACAAGTGCGTCGGAAGAAGATGAAGGAGGAAATGGAGAAGGATCTATACCAGCTACAGACAGCTCAGCAGGGTGAGTTTGATGCGGATATCGCTCCCAATGTCCTATGTCTGACTTATAGATGTACAGGTTATCAAGCCGACTTCCAGACATTCAAAGGTATTTATTTATAGACATACAGTTGTCTCTGACCTCATTCTGACTGATCTTACTAGGTTATCTTGGCTACAAGGAGCGACTAGAAATGCTGGAACGGAGAGAGACACTCTCACGTAAGCCTCCTGCTTGTCATTCGTATTAGGAATCTCGTGCTTAGCTGTCTTTTCCAGCGTCCCGGTCCCTAGTCAATCTTCATGCCGCGAAAGAGGCATCATCGGCTAACAATCGACGATACTCTACTGGCTCAGTGCGTTGCCATTTTTGTTTCAGCTAACATAGCTGTATCTGATAGCCACCAACAGGAGCAATACGCGCCCAGCGAGAACTTCTTACAACGTGCCCTCGAACGAGCAAGAGAAACCCTCAGCAGGTATATAGTCCCTCCACACACTGTTCCTTCTCTTGAACCAGACACGAACTCACCCGCCTCTCTTTCCCTATGCCTGTGTCCTTCACCTCACCCAGCCCAGCCCCACCGAAACCTTTCTCCCCCAAAGCCGATCAGCTCTACTCCACCCGTCAACGACGCAACCTCGACGTCTCCAAATCAATCCTTCAATCCAGAGCCAAGGGTCTCCCCACTTCTCTCAAGCCTGCTGAAGAAGCACAGGTGAAGGCAATCCTGAGCAAGCAGGATGTCGTGTCCAAGTGCCTGAGGGAACAAGTGGCGGCAAAGGATGTGAAGAGGTTGAAACCTGGAGACTGGCTGAATGACGAGATTATGAACTTCTGGGGAGCGATGATCCTTGAGAGATCTGAGGCGATGAAGGAGAATTCGACGGCGGGGGCCACTGAGGTGGGAGATGTGAATGGCGTGAAAATCAATGGGAGTTCGGATGGGAATAGGAGCAATGGTGTGAAGGGCAAGGAAGAAGGGAAGATATTGAATGTGCACTATTTCAGCACATTCTTCTTCACGAAGTTGGTGCACCCGGGATACGAAAAGTCAAGGTTGGCGAAGTGGACGAAGAGGGTACGGCTCCCTTATTACTCTTTCATCGTGATGTTCCTCACTAACCAGCGTATGGATTGTTCTCTTTTATATCGCACGCAGTTCGATATCTTCTCGAAGGATATCGTCCTCATTCCCGTGAATCACGCCAACTCGCATTGGACGGCCGCGGCTATCAATTTCAGGAAGAAGCGGATCGAGTCATACGATAGTATGAACATGAACCGATCTGAGGTATTCAAGGTGCGTCGATTACTTCGACTTTGTCGTATGCATCGGTGTAGCATTATTAACTGAATATCGCACAATGCGTCGTAGTATTTACGGGAGTACCTCAACAAAGAGAGCCTCGACAAGAAGAATAAGCCATTTGATTTCACGGGTTGGGAAGATTATCAAGCATTGGTACGTTCTCTTACTCCTGCATTGCTTCGTCCATTCGCTTTTCTTTGCTAGCTCTTGTTCTCAAACCAACCCTTACTGACGATTGTCTCTCTTTATGCCTACAGGACGCACCCCAACAATTCAACGGGTTCGACTGTGGCATCTTCACCTGCCAGTTCCTCGAGTATTTGTCCAGGGGCAAGGAGATCCCATTCAATTTCACGCAGAAGGACATGCCTTACATCCGGAAACGTATGATTTGGGAGATCGGGAACGCGAAGTTTATGCCGCACGACGAGGACCCATAGTCCTGAGTCGCGGCTTGAAGCTTCCGAGCCTCCCCCAACCGAACCGTGACACCTCTCTATCCTCCCTCTTGTTCATAGTACTCTCCGGTTTCTTGTCCGTATCTCAGTGACATCTGTGTGGACCTTGTTGTCGTGTACGCTTCGTTCATCCGCATCCGGTTTTCGTTTCCATCTCACTTTCTCGCGTGCAATGCCACACGGTCTGTGTGTGGTTTCGTTCACCGCCCTGTAAACTTCATCATTATTCAATCGTCGTTTATTAGCTTTCCTCGTTAGTCGTTAGTTATTTCCTCCCCGTCATCGAGCGCTGTTCGTCTTTCCTCTTGCGTTTGAATGTACTTTTTCTATCGAGTCTCCCAGTGTTTGCTGTCTTTCTCTCTCGGTTTGTTTATTCGTTCGGCACTGTCCGTGTCTCAGTCTTGACGTTGGTCTCTTCTCGTCTCTCACATCTCTACCGCTGTAGCCGAAGCGTTATCCGAACGCACGAATCGATGGTTTCGCGGTCATATTGACCGCCGCTTCGTGCTCCCTGTTTATTGTGTGATGGTCCAGAGGTCACCTTGTTCAAGTGCAGGAAGGAAGAAAATGCGACAATCCGGTCCAATGTGCAAGATAAGGACGAGAGAGGAGAGAATACATGGGATGATATGGGATGCGGTGTACGGTAGAGAGGAGTGGAGAGCGGTTGGCGTCGGGTTTCTGTAGTCGACCGAGTCGCTTTGGTGATGTGGCGATGGTGGGCGCAGAGTAAGATATGATAGATAGGCTATGGGAGTTGACGAAAAACGAGATGATGAGGAGCGGAGTACAGAGCGATCATCGTCGAAACCACCAGACGATGAGGAAGAACCAGAAAACCATGACGAGGAAGACGATGTACCAGAGCCAGCGACAGCCTTGACGGGCGGCCATGTTGTTCATGCGGCGAAAGGTGCCGGACAGAATGCCGGAGGTTTCGGCGAAGGCATCGTTCTGGATGACCCGGTACATGAGCGAGATGAATTGGAGGAGGGAATAGGAGGGGAGGTGTGATGTGTATGGAGGCGTACCATTTGGCTGAGTTGTACTGTCGACTCGCGCACTTCGTTACCGATTCCAATGGTGATCTATACCCAAGCAGTCAAAGGTCACCGAATCATAAAGTAACTTGGGTCAGCATCATTGTTTCACACCACCAGCTAGTCGGACAAGTGGGAACAACAGACAGAACTCACTCACATCCTTCAAAAGTTTCACCTTCGCACTCAAGCCCTCCAACGCCTCATCATTCTGACCCTCTAGGTCATCCGCATAGCGATGTCCCATGCCTGCATTGGATGTATCGTTGAAAGGTGACGAGCGCCCGGAGTGTGGAGGCGTGAATCCGTATGGACTCGATGATTCTGGGAGACCTAGTGAGGAGCGGTCGCGGACGGAGGTTCTGTACCTATAAATTACCAGATTTGGAGAAGTATGGAACTGGTAAGTGAGTGTATTATGGATCATGCTCTTGACTTACCTTTGGGACATGATGGGGTCATCAGCAAGCAGCGTTCATAGGTCCCTCGCCACCCAAGAGGAACGCTTTGAGGAGAAGACGTGGCGTAGCCAACACGTGCCACGGCGCCAAAACCGCCGATCGTTCAACAAGGGCGTCGGCATTTGGGCTTCTTCAGGCTTCTTCCCGCTACTGCCTTGTTTTCCAAGCCCAATTCTGCAAGGAAATTGTAGTCGCCGACGTCTTATCTAGACCATAAGCTGACCTCACTCGGCCCGCAGGAACCAATGGTGAACCTTGTGTTGCGCAATTGCCGGAATATTTCAACACCGTGTTTACCGTTGGGAAGAAAAGTCGGTTTATGATAGGACCCCCGAAAACTGGCTGAGAAGCCATTCGGAAAAACGGGGAAATTTTGGGTTTTGGACCCCTCAGGCCATTTGGTTTTCCGGGGAAAATGGGCCAGATTGGGCCAACAGGCCGTTACGGAAAACCGGGGTAAAATGAGTCTAGAGACCGGAGGCCTCTTCGTTTTCCGGGTAAAATTGGTCGTTCCTTGGCTGTTCGGTGTGGCCCCCACATCAGCCCGTTTGCTCATCGTCATTCTGGCCATGGAAAGTGAGTTCTTCACTTCGCAAACATGATTTTTGACCTCCCAGAGCACGATACCGACGCCTGGGAGGAAAATTATTATATCCGGAATTGTTTGGCATTTTTTTCGGCTCTGAGGCCATTCCGGAAATTCGGGGGATTTTGGCAGAAATCGCTGAGGCCGTTTCGTTTTCCGGGGAAAACTGGCAAAATGCTGTCCGGGGAATTTTTGGGATTTCTCAGAATGTTCCGAATGGCCTCTCAGCCAATTTTCGGGGGTCCTTTTATGATGCGGAGGAATACCTCCCGCGGGCTTCTGAATTATGATGGTCGTCGTATGATACTTCACGTGTATCTTATGCATGGGTATATTGCCTCTCCTGGGTACGGTTATCTCGGCGCTGTGCTGGTTTTAGGTCCACTACATAAGTGCTGAACATGGTTGGATACGAGAGCTCACACTCCTAGACCCGGATATCCTCCGGCCTTCTCCTCCTACCTCAAATTTTACTGGACGCATACTTTGGCTCTTGCTTTCGGCTCTGCGTCGTTATCTCAGAGAACCGCCTATATATTTTACACTTGAGACAGAACGATGATAGACATCCCAGAACTTGGGGATATTCCAGGATCGACCTATGCGGTCATTGGTATCTCTGCACTTGCATTGCTCGCCTATCGACGACGTGCCAATAGCGGATCGGTATGCCCAACTCTCTGGCATTATATGGTGGATTTTATTCTGATGAAACCCCTTGGCTTGTACAGCTAAACCAGATACCGACCGTAGGCTACTCGTGGCCCATCCTGTCGTACTGGAGTGCCATCCGCTTTCTGTTCGATGGAAAGGCCATGCTGGAAGAGGGATACTCCAAGGTAGTGTTCGTTCCAATTTTGAGCCTCGGATCTCCAGAAACGAGAACTCGACCTGACGCGTCTTTGACAGTACAAGGGTGGCCTGTTCAAGATACCTATGACGGATAACTGGACTATCGTCCTCACCAGTCCGCAGCTTATCGACGAAGCACGCCAAGCACCAGACGAGCAACTATCGTTCATGGCAGCTGCTGACTTGGTGAGTAATTCATAGCCCGTTTTTATTCGCCACTGTCCTGCAGAGTGGCTTGGTGTAGCCTGTACCTCATCCTTCATCCTACAGAGCATACAAAACGAGTATACTATAGGAGAAAGCAATATGTCCAATCCGTATCATATCAATATCATCAAGTCACAGCTAAGAAGGAATTTGGGGGATATGTTTGGGGATCTTCGGGATGAAATTGCTCATTCGTTTGAGGACACCATACCCACGAATGGCCACGGTGCTTAGTCAGTCCATGTTTCTGCTCAGTTCAATTGCTGAGGGATCTGTTTCAGAATGGGTGAAAGTCCCCGTTTACGAGGCCATCCTGGATATTGTTTGCCGTTCTAGCAACCGTACCTTCGTCGGATTGCCGTTATGTGAGCGGCCAGCTCACTTATACTTCTTCGTCTATATCCACACAAAGAGGACTAACGATGGGTTCCTGGTAGGCCGCGATCCCGACTATATGGAGTTGAACATCAACTTCACCATGGACGTCGTGAAAGCTGGATTTATGATCAACCGTTTCCCCAACTTTCTCAAACCGTACGTTCGCCCATGCTCAACGCCTTGTTCTTCACCCTGCTGATACTACCAATGCCATTCAATGTTTACTCCATCAGGATTGCAGGTCGCATGTTCAGCAAATTGCCATCGCATCTCGAGCGTGCAGGGAAGCACCTAAGACCCCTCATCGAAGAACGGCGGAAGATGGTGGAAGAGCTTGGGGATGACTGGACCGACAAACCGGTCTGTCGTTCAACCCTCCAACTTGATCCGCCTTGCGCACAGCGGACTGACATGTAACCTCCTTACGCAGAGCGATTTCCTGATGTGGCTGATGGAAGCTGCTCAGGGCGAAGAGCGCACCGTGCCCAACTTGGCAAGGAGGATTCTGTCGACGAACTTCGCGGCGATTCATACATCCTCCATCGTGAGTGATTTTAGCCATTGACAATCTTCGAATCAGGCGTGGTTCATACCTTGATCTTGTTGTGGGCAGAGCTTCACACATGCTTTATACCGCCTCGCCGACAATCCCCAATGTGTTCCGGAAATGCGGGAAGAGATCGACGCTGTTGTCGCGACGGATGGATGGACGAAGATAGCGATGGGGAAGATGAACAAGCTCGACAGTTTCTTGCGTGAATGTCAGCGTATGGACGGTATCGGGCTTCGTGCGTTCCTCCTCTCCTTCTGATTTCACCGCGACGATCACTCATAACCTCACTTATCACCCCGCCCTCTTCTTCACTTTTTCATCTTGTGGAATCTGGAATGCAGTCGTAATGGGCCGCTATGTCTTCAAACCCTTCACGTTCTCGAACGGCATCACCATCCCTAAAGGCTCTGTCATAGAATGTGCCTCCGGCGCGATACACTATGATGACGAGTATCACGCCGACGCGGGGGTGTTCGATCCGTTCCGGTGGTCAAAGATGAGGGAGAATGAAGGGGAGAAGACGAAGCATCAGATGGTGTCTACAGAGTTTGAGTATTTGCCGTTTGGGCATGGTCGACACGCGTGGTACGTTCATGCAAATATGCCATGCAGTTCACGGAGGGTCGTACGCTGACAAGATCGTCATTAACCCCTGACCAGCCCGGGACGATTCTTCGCGGCAAACGAGTTGAAGGCGATGTTGGCGCATGTATTGATGGAATATGATGTGAAGCTGGAGGGAGCCTTTCCCAAGAGCATGAATGTGGGGTCATCCGTCATTCCTGCGAAGGCGAATGTCTTGTTCAGGAAGAGGCAGAGCCCAAACTGCCAGTAACGGATTTAGCTTCACCGACATTCTGCGTAGTGGAAAAGGCTTTATGTGGTCACTGCTTGGACTTTCGTAGCCTGGTTTATTTATGGGGTGTAATGGACGTTTACATGAAGGTACGAGTTTGTAACAACAGCGCACGGCCTACTATGCAATACCCTCGGCGCCACAATTCATCTACACGGAAGAGATGACGACGTACCACCCACGGATCGCGTGTCCTCAGATATCAGCGCCTGTGGTCTTGCGATTTTTTGCACCCAAGTCCGAGAACATGGACTACGGGAAGGATGACCGCTGTCCGATATGCGAGTTTTTAGCTGAAACTGTTTAAATTTGTGGCCTCGGCTAACTGCTGAGACGTATTGAGAGCACGAAAGTGGAGGTTGATGTTCAAAAAAAGGAAAGAAAAAATTGGCAACAGAGCTCAATGAGTAAAAAAGAGCAGAAGCAGTAAGCACAGAGCAAGTACGAGAGTGAGTATGAGGGAGTTGAGCCGGAAGACAGATGAGGACTTGCGCCGAACACGGCGGAGGAGCCGGCGGTGGCTGGGCAAGGGAGAGACCCTCCTGAGTCCGAACAAGTGTGACTGTCCTTGAGCTCTTCCTCCCTCTTATCGTCCATCGCCTATATAAACACGCAAGCAGCACCCGTCCCTCTTGCTCTCCTCCGCTCGCCCATCGCACCCTTTGTGCCCGTACGCCGCGTGCAAGAAGACGTACTCGAACGAACCTCACTACTTAAGCATCAGATATCCGCAGTGACTCTCTTCCCTCTGCCTCTACCCCGTCTTTCATCTCTCACCAGAACTAGCAATCCACTATGGGAATGAGCTATCGTCGTTACCTCGCTGGCGCTCGCGTCTTTGGCTGCTCCAAATGTCGTACCCATCTTGCCACTATCCACTCCCTCACATCCAGGGTACGTCACGTCTCTTCGTAACAGCCACCCCCTCCTCTAACTGAGCATACTATGAACCCAACAGGCTTTCAACGGACAGCACGGACGTGCATACCTCTTCGAAGAAGTGTAAGCTCACGAGCGAGACCGTACCCTCGCGCACATTAATTGACTCACCGGATTTCCCACCCGAATGTCGTGCAACCTCTTGTAGTGTAAACGTGATCCATGGAGAACCAAGCGACCGCCAAATGACCACAGGGAATCACACCGTGCGAGACATCTACTGCTGCAAATGCGGCACTACGCTGGGATGGAAATACGTGCGTTGGTTCACTTCCGGGCCATGACATCAGTTGGTACTGACATGGTCCCCGTTTTCCCACGACTATAGGACAAGGCCTACGAGGAAAGCCAGAAGTACAAGGAGGGCAAATTTATCCTCGAACGGAACCTCCTGATGGACGTCCAGTAGTCCTCCGCGTCTGACCTTCTCAGCACTCACCGCGGCCACGTTCATATCACTCACCGGTCTCAGTCTCAGGCATCTCACCAGGCGTCAACGCACTCAGGAAACACCCCGCACGCGTATCTATTACCATGGCACAGCCCGTCCTCTCGACCCCACCAGCATACTATCGCAAGGTGACGGTCTGTATAACGCCTGCTCTACAGCGGCCCCTTATTCGCGCTGGCGCTCGTGTTCCGCCCCACGCAACTCTTGCTATCCATCGATATCCGCTATCCGAGTCCTTCCCACTCGGTGGTACTCCTCCCTAATCTCGCACATCTGTTCGTCTTGTCGCGCGTCACATGGAGACCTCTCAAGATAAACGCTTCGTTGAACCCGGACTTTTCGTTTCTTGTCCCCGTCGGTTGCCGTATTCGTCCCACGAGCAGTTCAAGAAGAAATTATACTCGAGCGATCCGACTTCCGTATGGTACATTCGAGCGGCATGTCTCATGTCTCCCGCGCTCATGCTTCGGTAACACCTCAATGTATTGTTCCTCATACCTTGTATACATTCTTCCACCATCTCCGTTACTTCCATCCCTCCTTCGCCGTGCCCCCGTGTCCTCGTCGCGTTTTGCCACTTGTATCATGTTTTTCATTTCTCCGTAGGGTCCCCATGTGCATTCGATCCAGAGTCGTTCGCCTGTTAATACATACATCGGATCCCCATGTCACCCTTGCTCGGCCCGCTCGCTACTCACGCGGTCGCTCGACAACCCCTTCCTGATTCCTCCCTTCGTACCCCTATTTCTGCTTCGCACCATCTCTTTGCATTTTCGTCCTTTATTATCGATACCTCAGCCTTTTCCTTTTCCCTCTAATACTTATCTTTATATTCATTGTCTTTACTTGCCACTCAATCTCATTGCACCTTGCATCAGCCTCCGACTTTCACTTTCACCCCTCCTCGGTTTCTGGGTTTCATCTAAACCTCCTCTCTTGCTCGCTCCCGCTGACTTTCTTCGCACTCCTTCTTGCTGCCATTATTCTTCTCAATTTTTATCCCAAATCTTTCTGAATATCGTTTATCATTGACACTCCCCACAACCGTCGTACGGTGCTGCCCATCACCGCCGTACGTACTATACGCACTCGCATATATACACATAGGGATCATGGTCGTCATCATCGTGGTGTTGGGACTTTGACAATAAAATAACAATTGTCGTTTAGAGCTGTTCCACTGGCAGGACTTCTTGTGGCCGAGCAGAAATACCGTCACTCGGTTCAATGTGGACCCAGGACCAGTCTGAATGACATAGATTTACTTGACATGGCGCAGAAGACCTACTCGTCCTCCAAAGCTGGTTTTGACAATTATAATTGGTGTGTAAATTGGGCCACACTGCGGATGTACGCCATTTCAACAGGTCTCCGTCGGAAGCCATGTGATCAGACTGACCAGTCCAAAGCACACCATTTGCTTGGCGCCCTAGGCTCTGACCAACCGTTATCACCTGACGTGAAGATGATCGTTCACTGTTATAACAGTGCCCACTGGCACCCACATTGCCTCTGCTCTTTTTTCGGGACGGAAAGACATCCACTCTATATCCAGCACCAATACGCATGCCTGCCGAACTCGAGTGGGTTTCGTACGCGCGTACGAACGGCACGCCCTCGAACCAGTCAGCTCGCCGGTTATTTTCCAATCGGCCGACACATTTGGTCGAACATTGACCGGCTGTGACATGCTTTTGCTCGGGCTCGAGTGTCGACACCCACTCGTTCTGGTCCTGACTCGACCGACGTATCCACTTGATGCCTCTGATGGGATAAGGATTTTACCAGTCTGGTATGCCGCTTTCAGTGCGCACTCTATGTCCTCTCGCGCAGAAGCACATTTATGAATGATTGATCGACAATTTCAATAGCCCCTATCGTGCCACCGCCACTAAGCAATTGAATCATCTACACACGATTCGCAGTTCCACTTCTTCCCCGCCAGATATGAGGCCACGTCACCTCGAAAGACTCCGTTCTCTGTATCCACGCCGTCACAGATAATACTTACTTAGGAAGACATCGTCTTACCTTCGAGTGGATATAAAAGCAAGAGCCTCTCTTCATTACACTGTATTGAATTCGCCTCGACCATCACTCCACAAACCTCATCAACCAAAACAAGTACCACTGTCAACGTCATGTCTACCACCCTGCCCCTCTCTGGAAAAGTCGCTCTCATCACCGGCTCCTCTCGTTCCATCGGTGCTGCTATCGCACAAAAGCTCGCCTCGGACGGGGCCAACGTCGTCGTGAACTACGTCTCGAACGCGTCCGCCGCGGATCAGGTCGTCCAATCGATCGAGAGCCAAAATGGGAAGGGGAAAGCTATTGCGGTGAAGGCGGATGCGGGGACGATTGAGGGTGGGAAGGTATTGTTGGATGAGACGTTGAAGGCTTGGGGGAAGGTGGACATCTTGGTTTTGAATGCTGGTGCGTATATCTCTGACAGCAAAGTGGGTGAAGTTGGCAATATTGACTGATTCTGACTCTTATTTGTTGGAATGTGTTGTGGCGGGCCTTGTGTTGGATGCATATAGGTCTCATGGGAAACAAGACGCTAAACGACATAGACGAGGAGTTCTTCGACTCCCACGTCAATGCGAACTTCAAAGGCCCGTTCTTCCTCACCAAGCTCGTTTCGCCACACTTGAAAGAAGGTATGTCCACAGTCTCGAGGCCAGTCCCACTTCAACCGTCAGCCTCCGGTCGCTGATATTTGGCGGTTTGTTCGCAGGAGGTCGTATCATCTTCTTCTCATCCACCCTGACTGCGTTCTCGCTCGCTCCGCCCACCTCGCTCTTATATGTCGCCACCAAAGCCTCAGTCGAGCAGCTCGCCCGTGTACTTGCAAAGGAGCTCGGACCTAAGGGCATCACCGTCAACACCATCTCTCCGTGCGTCTCTTCAGCACCTGCTTCGTCTTTTATACGCCCTCCTCAGACACTAACCTCGGTCTTCTCGATGGGGATTCACAGTGGCCCGATCGACACCGAACTGTTTAGGAACGGCAAATCGGAGCAGATGATCAAGTTCTTCGAGGGCCTACACCCACAGAAACGGTTGGGCCAGCCGGACGAGGTCGCGCCTCTGGTAGCGTTCCTTGCGGGTCCGGGCGCAACGTGGATAAATGGTCAGAATATCAAGGTCAATGGGGTATGTGTTAATCAGCGTCTTCAACGAAAGGATATGTGGCTAGTGCTGATACCGATACGTGCTTGGCGTTGCATAGGGATATCATGTCTGAGCGCGAGCCCTACTAGAGGGGTTATAGATATAGAATTTGTGATGGGATTGACTGATGTCCCCCCATGACCATACACCGGTACCGCCCAAATGGATGCCTTGCATATTCTAGAGCCCAGCAGAACTAAAGACCCATATGCTGTCAAAGCACGGTCGCGTTATTAGCAGGATTGAATACAGGCAAGTTCAGCGGAAGGCCGTTGGGTGCCACGTCCTCTCGGTTCTTCCATACAGTATCTTTTTCAGGATAGACATCCTCCATCTGCGGTACCCCAACGAAAGTATGTGAACCGTGTTTGAGTCCAGAGTTAGGAGGTGACGAAACTGAGATAAACGTGCTGATGAGATTGGCACACCTTGAAGGGTATACGGCATGCCTCACACGCTTGCTAGGTCGCCAGGGATTTCCGGACGCCTAATGCCAGCGCGCACGAGTGTCTGTCAGACAATTTCATGCTATACATCGACATTCCATCATATCCGAGATCAGTCGTGAGGAATTACATCGCAGGCACAGCGAGCAACAGGACCTGTGGCTTATTAGCAGTGATTAAGGAGCGATCACAGGCAGTGTGGCCCTCGCGCCAGCCGATTGAAACTTTTGGTTATTCTGCTTACTGGCCACCATCACGTTGACGCTGTGGACTATAGTTGTCGTTATCTCTGGTGCGCCCAGCAATGCGGGAAAGTGGAGAAGTGGGGTTCGCAGAAAGGCGAATCTCGGCCAAGAACAGGTTTGCAGGCAAAGGAGAAGAAAGACACAGCGAAATTAGGACTAGTTGGGGAACCCAATTGTGAAGAACACGTTGCGCTGAATGAAAGGCTATATTACGTAAGTGCCGCGCTGGGCAGAATGAGGAAGCCGGCGAGCCGAAAATAGACTACCCCAGGCCCGGACCAATTTGGTGAGCAACCCCAACCGATGGACGCGTTTCCGACCGACGAGCGTCCCCGTTGTTCCCCAACAGCCAGTCATTTATAAATTGCCCTCCGCTCGTTATCGTCCCCAAAACCTGTCCTTTGCCCTCGCCCATACCCCGCACTGACGTCGTCACAAACATCATCTCCGTACTTCCATAGAACTCAACCCACCATATTCAAAATGCGTGAGTGCTCATATATCGCGATACTTGTCAACTTACTGATACACCCATCTCCCGACCCCCACAAACTACAGCGATGACCGTGACTGTACCCGCCTTCAACGCTGCGCACGCTGTACCCATGGTGTCCTCACCGCTCGCGTCGCCGACGTCGCCCACATCCTCTTTCCACCAGCTGCGACCACAGCCTCGACGCACCCCTTCATTCCCCACCGCACGCCCATTGCGGCCATTCGCGTCCATTAACAACACCGCCAACTCTTCGAAGAAGAGTGTCAAACTCATTGAACCACCAAAGGGCTTCGGTGGCACCTTTGTCCTTGATCTCACCCAGGCGGAGTTCAGCAGGCAGGACTAGTGCGGAACGCCCCTCCCGCCCTACACCTCTATCTTGCAGCGCCATTGCCCTCCACCCCTATGTCACTTTCGTCTCCCAGCATCATTTCCATTGGATGCACCCATCCACTCTTCATCCGCATTCGCATCATCTCGTCCCGCTCGACGCACCCGCTCATCACCGAATCGAGCCACCACAGTTATCCCGTGGTCATCACCTCTACCAACTCGGTGTTCCTCGCCCTCTTATCTATCCTGTTCACGGCTCGTGGAACTCTCTCTCGCAACTCTCACTGTATTAGCCTACTGTACAGTATTCATTTTAAACATTTCCGGATATGTTTCTTCTCTTTGGGTGTCTTTGTGGTTGATGTTGGGTTGAAGGCTTTTGAAGTAGAGTCGTTCTTAACCAGTAACTTCTTATCAGTCTGCTATAGTCCGCTCGTACATTTGTCTGTCCATCAGTCCGTATCCCTCAGCCCTTCAAAATGCCACACACGCTATCATTATCCCTCACGCTACGCCGTCTCTCCTATCCTCGAATGCTGGACTCCAGTAGTTCACATCTTTTCTCGTCTCCTCGCATATCGTTCGTACAGTACTCCTGTTTGACTTCGTTCGGTTGTACTCGTATATGCACCCCCTTCAGTTCCTCGGTTTGTCGTTCCCCGGTTCGTACCTATGCACCGTCGTCATTCTGGGAATCTTGATGTCACATTCCTGGCTATGACATTATGGTGTACCGCCTACGGACTGCGCAGAGCACTGCAATGCATACGCCACCGATATTGGAGTGTCTGTCCGTTAAACATCAGGAAGTTACTGCCAGTGGTACGGATGTTTGCTTTGAAGCACAGCTGGGAGTCAAGTCTGAAGATCTGAAGGCTGAAGTTCCTTGGTTCATCAGGGTTCAGCATATTGCATGTTCGGGATACCCTGGTTCTAACTCGAGACGTCCATAGTTATCATGGGTGGGGGGAGACACCGCAAGGATAGGGGTCATCTTATTTGGGAATCCGCTTTGAGAAATAGTGGAACATACCAGTACCATAATGTCGCCACACTGCCGTATCCACGATATCAAAGCTGAAAGCGAATAGGAGTCTGAGCTCAACCATATAAATTGCCGGAAGACCTTTCTCTCTCATCATGCCAGATGCCCTACCATTTCCCGTGCAGAGCACGGACCAAGATACGCCAACAGTCCTACTTTTAGCTTTTGATTCTAGTCCGAATAAGTATACTAGCAGCGGGTGGCGCCAACGTCGGTGTCTAAACCCAACCATCCTTTGGCCCGTATTTGATGATATATGAAACCGCACTTCGTGGGAAGGAAGGAAGGAAGGAAAGAAGGACACTTGCATTATTATCGTATACTTACTTGGCAGTAAGATAGACATGGATGACAGACCCGACTCAGCAGGATGACCGTAGTATCATCACTGACCGGCAGTGGTCCTTACCAACTCCATTCTTTCCTCTGGCAGCTAGAGCTAGAGCCACACATAAGTCCGAAAGTCCAAGGATCTGCGATCAAAAGACCGAAGGACGCCTTATAAGGGTATGCGTATGCGTAGGTCGCAAACCAGCAGTACCCGCCCCCGAGCAGAGATGGACGATAGTGGGCTTGTAGGGGTGGTGATGCAGAGGGAAGACTGAGTACCCTGCCCTCCATAGTACCTCCAGTTAATTATTAGCTGTACATGTTGTCTGAATAGGAGTCGCCGGATTGTGGAGGACGAGATGATCGGACACGGGCAGGTTGGGCTTTGCGGCTGCCTCACGGGGTATAAGCATGAGTTGACCACGACTATGGCCGTGATGGCCAAGCCTGCGCCCGTTGCTGTTGACCGACAATGAACACACTGTGTAAACCCAGTGCACAGATACGCCTTTACGTCGCGGAATACCCGAAAGAAGAAGTAGAGAAACGTAGTAGACGAGCGCACTCGGAGCTCTTCACGACGAGGGTGCTAATGTTGGCGTGCTATGACAGAGGTGTCCGGCAGGATTACCGCTGCCAGTCCCTAAGGAGAGAAGCTTTGAGCAGGAGAAGAGGGCAGGAAGAGCAGGCAGGCAACCGATGGACCACAATGGATGGCGCAACGCGCGCCGACGGGGAAGTCTGAGTAGGAGGGGCAGACGGGTAGAGAGGCCCATAAATATATCGTTCGGCCTACGTGTAACATTCGACTCCTGAACGAATGTGGTGATGCTCACAAGACCAGAGAGGGTATATTCAGAGGACCAGAAGTTGACCAGAATTGGTTCGTTATAAACAGATCGCCTGTATTTGGACTGTTACACCGAGCGAGACAGCATGTAGAGCTCGGAAAACTCGGGTGGCGTCGGCGATGCAAGGAGACCTTGCGCCTTCATGAGGAAGTGCTGCAGACATCCATCCGAGAGAAGGACGAACGCAGAAGCCTCGGGCTTCCGAGCCCTCGGAAATCTGCGTGATGGTGGCGGCGGCATTAATAGTTGGACGACGTCGTCGTACATACATGGACCCTGAATTCGAAGACACAGCTGTGAGCCCGGGCCCGTAGCAGACAGAGTGATAGTAAGCGTTATTCCCTCAGAGACCCAGACGGCGAGTGGCTTTGACAACGAGCTGCCACGAGTCTCTGGTAGAAGACGAGGCGAAAATCTCTCAGGGAGAGGAGCCTATATGCATGCAGAAACCGACGATTCCCTCTGCATCATGCGCGCCCAGTAAAGTCCCGTAACCTTTATGCCAGAGTCAAGGAATCGGATACAATTCGGTTACTTACACGCGTGGCCCGGGCTCAGGGACACCCTCTGACTAACTAGCCGGGGAATATAAACGCATCCTTTTCAAGCCCAAGAAGTTCGTGTCTCCAGAACGGACTGAGACCCACCTCAAAGTCTGGATGGCGTCAGGAGAATCCAGATATGTGCGTGTCGCGTAACGCTGGAAGTCTATCTGAAACCCAGGATCCCCGACCTATGTCAGCTCATACACTTTAGAGTGCATCCGAAGATCATAGCAGTGCTAAGCTCAAAGAGTGCAGACTGTGAGGAAGCACAGTAAAAACAGCCCGCCGGGACACTCACGGAAGAACGGCAACCCGTAGGGTCGTGGTAGGAAGTCGTTAGGATTAGCACAAACGACAGTACTAATGGGCTGTGAGGCAGTGAAGGCGAGTCATAAATAGCCTCGCGCGGTGGTCGCTCAACGTCACACGCGATGGGAGAAGGTGCACGATAGACGCACGAGCTTATAGACGGCAGGAGTTCGTAACTATAAAGCAAGGTGCACATGAGGAGAAGGTTTAAGCTCAGACTGAATAGTTACGAACCACGCAGCACAGGTGCATTCGGCAATGGAGGACGCAGCGGTAATCGAGCCGTACTGCTGCAAAGTTGACGGCACTCGTCGAGGTCGGAAAATGTGTATATCCTATGGTCCAGCGTTCGTCCGTAGGACCCCAAAGTAGAGCCATGCGTCATCGCGAGGAGAGCTAGTCTCTAGTGTGCGAACTCAATTGTCTCGACCACCGTCAATTCGGGCGCTACCTGAGACGTACCTACCTCACAGGCGCTTTACCAAAATGAAAGACCGAGTGAGATGTTGTATGGACCCATAAGAGCAGGACGAGCGCCCATGGACACCTACATGAAAACCTAAAATGACGGAGATAAAAGAGTCCCGTAAGTGGATATGTGGGCAGAGGTACTATAGCAGCATAGACCCAGTAGCGAAAGTGGGTGATCAGCTACTCTCAACAAAAGAGGAATCACAACTAGCTTCCCTACAAGTTCAAATGAACAGCAAATGAGCGCTCCAGAAGAACGATTTCGGGTTGTATGGTGAACCCTCGACCCTCGTTGAAAGCACCTGTGCACTGGCATACCCAAGAGCTCACGTTCCTCCCGATGAGACCTACTGAGATATAGACACGCTCTGGCAATGGTTTCCTGGACTGTGAAGCCCGATCACAGTGGCAATGATCGGATCGTGTAGCGGACGTTCAAGTGGACTTTGGAATGGGGCGCCTACTAGGTTGAACTACATTAGCACCAGTACGTTGGTTTGACCGCACGGTGGGTGAGAAAGTCTGCATCAGAGCATACCTCTAACGTCTGTTTTCACAGGATCTTAGACTGATATGGGCGGCGAAAATGGTGAATATAAACTCGAGGGACTGGATAATCGCCGGAGAATTGTATCCACCGCTAAATGCGAAGACTCACTTTCAAGACCATTCCAGCTGCAGACGACCAAGATCTTATTGTCTTCATGCCGTGTGATCCTGCTCGGGGAGAGCTGGGGAAGTTAATATAGCGCTAAGTGTATTCACATGTAAGTGAAAGGCACGACTCGTAGAAGAAACGTAGAAGTGGACTGGCACGAAGGTACACTATGGTACCTGAACAGATGTCGCCTTGATAGTCAAGACACTTTGGCTTAGACTGTGAACACGGCGCGTCCAATGGGTAAGATGATCCTCTCCTTCCGTGGAGAGCAGCGCACCCAGGTCACTTTCCGGGCGCTTTCGAAGCCTTTTCAAAGCGCAGAGGAAAAAATGCATCCCCTTCAGAGCCAATCAATAGCCGCCTGCTCGTGGTGCCTATTGAACAACATTAGGACGTCACTAACGCTCACCTGCGAGCACGGGAGATGACGGATAGATGGATAGATCCAACGGAAGATAGTACGAACTGGTCAGAAACGAGGTGAGGCTCTTATTTAGTCTCCGAAGCGCCATGTCACTATCCTCGGACGTGTACCGATTTGAGAGGAGACTCGCGGCTCTGAGTTCGCATCGATGCGGACGGGATGGACCAAATAGACTGGAACCATCTGCATCAAGGACATCCGCTCTGGAGGCTAAAGAGAGCACTGCTATCTCCACCTCCCTCTCCTTCGCTCATTTAGGACCGAGGGTTAGCTGCGGACCAGTTACTGAACCTTAGTATTGAACCTGCTGAAAGTAGGTATATTGAAAAAATGAGCTGATGAAGGTTTGATGAATGGGTAGTGCGAACAAGAGAGGCGTGTCCAATTAAGTCGATAGTGGACCGAATTTATAGGACGTACTTGGGTTGGTTGGGAAAGACGATCATTAGCGTGGCGGTCGCCGCGCGCGTTGATGATCATGAGGAAGGTATATTGTCTGCTAGAGCAATACAAATACAATTTCAAAGAATGAAAGAGGGGTTTTTTAACATACCAATTGTTCTCTCCTCCACGATGCGAGAGCTCTCATAGTTGCTATGAAACGGACTCTCTCGTCAGGGTCACTTCGTGGATCTCGTAGGAATGCAACTGGGGATCAAGCTCGTGCGACTCGATGAACTGGGAGCAGAGATGAGTCCAGATATATCCGAGCCGCAGATGTTCTGACACAAAGTCATGGAAAACCGTTGAGAACGTCTTGTGAGAGCAGTAGATGGTCTATGTACAGTCGCCGCATCGCGGACAGTATGTTCCACCGACTCTTTAAAACGGAGGCCGCCAATAGATGACGCAAGGATCAAGAAGCTGATAACGACCTACCGAGCAGACAATATTTCCTGCGAATGCACGGATAACACCATATGCCTTTTTTGTACGATCTTCGGTGATCTCTGTTGGGTGTGGCGCATGTGCGATATTGAAGAAAGCCGGATATCATCGGAGGCGGTGACGGGGACCTCGCGGTGATAGCCGACACGTGTTCGCAAACTTGCTTACTCGATTAGGAATTTAGAATTTCTCTGACCGCTCCGACGACTTTTCTGGAAATCACCGCTTGTCAATATTATTACACCGAAGATCTTTCTCTTTGACAACTATCAAACAGCTATCGATTATCTTGCCTACATCGAACTCTTGAACCTGCTACAGCGAAGTCAAGGCTCGAGCACGCGACCTGGCTACTGACTCGGAGGCGCATTCAACCCGATTATTACTACTGTGGCTCGCCTTCGATCCTCGCTCTTGACTCAACTTCTGTCTCATATCCCGAGATGCTTTTGTCTCTCGGGAAGCGGTTACATGTGGCACTGTCTATTACAGAATGTGTTCTGGTTCCGACGCCATGGGGACAACACGACCATGTCCTCGCCTTTTCGAGGTTACAATTTCTTTACTTTCTGAGATAGGGGTCAACATTATGTCCGTGAATCCCCTCAATGGAGAGGATCCGTGAAGGTTTCTTCATTCGTCTGGGCGTGGCCAATGCTCGCAGGGACGAAGACACCAGCCAATCACCACTCTCAGATGAACTTTCTCCTCGCTTTTCCAGAAAAGACGGCTGAACATTGCGCTACGATCTCAAATCCGACCATATTTACCCGAGGAAAATTCCGCCCTGGGTCGTCTCCGGCCGAAATCGGAGGATGGACTATCATCGAGGCGGTCGAATATCTCCACTCGGGTTTGTGGGCTTGAGATGAGGATCACTTTATGAAGGAGTCAGTAGCTTCGGAGAGGTATAATTATCTTCATTTACATGTGGACCTTCTCAACGATCCGCCAGGTTCCCCGGAGTTCCCGCTACTTTTTTCTGCTTGTCCATCCGCCATTCACATGAATGTGTTTTTTTGCGCGCTTGAGACTTCCGGATTTGTGGAGGACTCTCGTGCTGCTTGGCCAGACAATAGCTACGGCTGTACGGAAGCCTTGCCACCCGAGATCTGATACGTGTCGTTTGTACACACTGCTTTTGGCTCTCGAGAGGACGCGACCCACCGCGAGGAGTGCGACCTACCGTGACTTGCTGAGCGCTGAGCTCGCACATGGGTTGACGTTGTACCCTTTGATGCATTCCACGGGACCGATATCGCATGGCGTGCGCTCTTGCAGTCTAAATGGCGTGGCATGTCGCATCCGGGCTGTATCGCACTCTATTGCTTTGCCAGTGCCGCTAGGAACATCCCACGACGGGTTAGCGGCTTGCAATCAAAGCGTCTGCACAGGCTACCCCGCGATATGTTAGGCCACCTCCATTTTGCTCTGTTTTAGGACGAGTGCCTCTCGCTTTCGGTCGTGTTCTTAGATAACACGCCGGGGATTTGTTTGGTCGCCTGCAAGGCTGTTCTAGGCGTCGCTTGCGTCCGATGCACAGTTCCTTTTTCTGATTCGCTCTGCGGTAAGGGGCCCGGCGTTTCTCGTGTGGCTCTCTGCTGACTACAAATATTTAAAGTGCCCATGGTAGAGTGGAGAAAAGACGACCAGGGTGGATCGGGCAAGAGGCGCCTCAAGATATGTAGAGCGAGTGTAGTGCAGTGCCTGATGCTGTTGTAGATGCGGCGCCCGGGTTGCGCCTCGGAGGTCTGTGAGATGGTGGCGTGTTAGCGGGCAGAAGTTGTGGAAAAGGGAGGTAGGGGATGGAGGATGATGAGGGTATATAGGCCGACGCAGAATGTACTGTGTACTGTGACTGTAGCGTAGCATCTGCAGCGAGGGGACGGGGAATATGCAAGCGAGACCTGTGCGTGAGAAGGCCGTTAGGCGGTGGACCACGGTCTCGGACCGGGCGTGGGACGCTGGCCGGGAGGGGTCCGGGCGATATAATATGTTGGGTACGGAGGAATCGGTTGGGCTCACAGACGCATCCCACATAGCAAAGGCTCGACTGACCGACCGCCTCGCCCGACGACCCCCTCTCCCGCATTCACGACCTTACACGACCCCGCACGACGTTCGCTTTCGCTTCAAGTTCCCGTCGCTCTTATCCAAAAAATCTTCCAACACTTATCTGCATATTCTTCCGGCCTATTTGTCACTTTACGCCCCCCTCAAGGTGATGATCTTCCTCGATCTTCCCATTCCCAATTCGCGACTCATGTCTCTCCTCCTCGTACCAGTCTCTCTTCCTACTCTATCTCCCTCTCTTTGACTCGCTACTAAGGTCTGCACGAACTCTTACACGTTCTTGCGAACGACTCGTCTCATATCGCGTTCGTCTCGTGCCGCAGATATGGACAGCTGGAGAGTAGCCGTGCTGGGCGACGGTGGTGTTGGGAAGACGGCCCTGGCCGTGCAGGTACGTGTGTTTCATCGTCTAACACGAATTCAAATATCGACTAGTCGCGTGTAGTTCACTCTCAACTGCTTTGTCGGTAAGCACTTGTTCTTCAGTTTGGATAACTTGATTTGGTTTGACGAGGAGGCTTCGATGCGACTCGGGTGTCATCAGAGGTACGTGTGCACCGGCTCTCCGCCTGTCATATCTTCCTAATGATTACGCGGAACAGACCTACGATCCAACAATAGAAGACGCGTATAGAAAGCAACTTGTTGTTGACAACAGAATGTGCTTTGTAGAAGTAATTGACACGGCAGGGCAAGGTGTGTCGTCTTCCATTCTCCTCTGGGGCTCTTAGTCACCGCAGATGCTGACCCACGTCCACCTCCCCTCGAAGAGGAATACGCAACACTGCGTGATCAATGGGTCCGGTCGGTGCTCTTTCGTCATCGTCCTCGCTCCGTTCCGCGTCGCTTACCTGTGCTTTTACCGTAATTTCTCAGCGAGGGCCAGGGTTTCATCCTTGTATACTCCATCGCCTCACGAGCAACGTTCGACCGATTGGAGGTCTTCCGCCAATCCATGATCCGAGTGAAGCGGCAAAAGCCGATATTTATGCTTGTTGGCAACAAATGCGACAAGGCGTACGAACGAGAGGTGTCGCGAGAGGAGGGGTTGGCCATGGCCCGAGCGTTCGGATGCGAATTCCTCGAGACCTCTGCAAAAACGGCACAAAACGTGGAACGCTTATTCACGAGCCTAGTACGCATGCTCCGGATGACGAAACAGCAGTCAGAACAAGGAGCTCAAGTTCCTGGAAAGCAGATGAAGGAGGATCGGAAGAAGAAGTGTATTATCATGTAGGGGACCGGCCGTGCTTCACATTTCACCTCGCCGGACTCTAGATCATTTGTTCGTCTTTCTGTCGACTCTCCCTTTTTTTTACCTCTTACTTCTCATGATACCACTTCCTATCCTCACTTTTCTCCTTCTGGTTGCTTTTTCTTCATTCGTGGTCTGGTATGTTCAGGGATGTTGTTATGTTGTCGTTGGATACTCTACCCCTCCCCCTTGCGCCCGCATGCTCTCTTTCTTCTTCCCTCCTGCCTTCTACCCGCGCGCTCCCTGCCATGATCTACTCCCGTCACGCTGCTGAACACCCCAACCACGCTCGGTATGTGATATATTGCACGATGGTCTATCTGATTTGCATGTCGTAACATCGACGAATGCGAAGTATACAAGTCCTTCTAGTTAGCTAGCCTGTTGATTGCGGTTTAGACGAACTGCTGTCTTCGCTTGCTCTTTGTCGCCAGGTAAGGATTGGTCGGGCATATGGCATACACACGTCGTCGAGTGTTGGTAGCGGCCGTGGAGCCTTGCGAGGTCTCAGGAGGTAGGCGTCAACTTCAGACTTGTGGGTCCAAATATTCGATAATAGGCTCACATCGAGTATCACCGACACCAGCTCGATTGTCTGCTAATTGTTTCGGCATGTATTTGCAAGCATGTCCTGTCCACGAATGCATGTTGGGCTCACGATTCCTCATAGGGCAATCTCACCAGCTGCTCTGCACAGGCGTGGGTAAAACCGCAGGTCAGGTACGCACTTTGTGTATAACGTACACGCACCACTCTACTTACACCGACCGACGCAGAAAAGCGGAATGAAGGATGGTGCGGAACGGGTCTGAACTGGTTGGCATCAGAGAATCAGAGATCTCGTGTGGATGCTGTATGATTTGTGCAGTGCCAGTCCCAGAGTAAGACCGAATGTTGACCACGCCGAGGATGTTCACACCAAATCAAGATTTCGGACTTGCACAACGCTGTCCAGCGTCCACTGTACGGCAATATCCAGACGATGACGCATACGCGCCGCAGGGATACATGACGATGGGTGGACGGTGAAGTATATAATTCGTTACAGCACGGTGAGCTCGGTTGCGTGAAATCGTGTCTTTTGATGAAGAAATTCCCACTGCTTCAGGGTTATGCAGGCGTGATGTCGAAGTTTCCAAGCTGAGTGTTGGTTGTTGCAGGGCGCGGAGTTCATAGTGAGCAAATTCCCCCAAAACCATTGTTCGTTCGAGGTTCATTACGAGGGCGTGGCCACAAAATGTAAGCGCTTGGGAGGACTCCCAGATATCCGGTGGTATCAGGCAGCGAGGATGCACGAGTCTTTCGCCGGGCGTCATGGTGGACATCATGAGACTCACGAACATGCAGCGCCCCCATCACTTCTGCCAGGATACCGGAAGGGTAAAAGAGACGAGAGAAATGACCTGACAAGCGCCTGATGCAGTATCCTTTTCATGTCGCCGAGGACATTGGATGAACCCGGTTAGGGTGTCACTACACCCGCTTGCTCGATGTCTTCGGACCCGGAGAAAAGGCTGGCCCGGAAATACGTTCAATAGCTGGTCTCGACGTTTTCTTCTCAGAAGAATGCTGTCGAAATGGGTATTTACAGACCCTGATGTAACTGTCTGTACGCCCGGGCCACCCCCGACACACTGTGGCGGTGGCCCACGCACGGCCACCATCCCACTGGCTCGTGGCTGAGGTACCGCGAGAGGGTACGCTCGGACGATTCGCCAGTCTCACTTTGTTCGATTCTTCTTTTCGGCTCTCAAACGCGAACGCGAATGGACCATGGACCCGTACTGAAATCGCCGATGAAGTCAGGCGAGGCCACCTGAATACTCTAGAGCGAATTTAAGCATGCCTGCGGAACGGTCTGGGACAGTGGAAAGGGTGCAGAGGCTGTCTTCTGACATAAGAATTTGAGCTTTGTGTCATGGACGTGTTCTGATGGATGGGTGTGGAAGTGAGCATGACAGACACGCGAATAATATATCGACGCCGGACGGAAGTAAAGATAACATGCATGTCTAGGTGGCGTGATGATGAGGGCCAGGATCGCTATATATCAGGCACAAGACGGATGCATAATATATGGAAGAGTAAGGAGGGCTATTGAACGGCGTGTATGGTATATTCGTAGAAAGAAGGAAGTCGAAAGAGAAAGGAGTGCATGACTTGCCGAAAAACAAGTCCGGATGTAACGGAACCCCTAGCTCATGTATTGTGCCACAGTAGCGTCCGAAGACTCGACCACCGGTTCGAGTCGCGGTATATGTACTTCATCGAGTTGAACATGCCCGGCTGGATCGTCTCGCCTCTGTTCTCGAACAGCCACATCACCAATCCCCAGGAGATAGCAGCGAAGGCGGTGAAGTATCGAGAGTCAGGTGGAATGGGTTTTACGCCGGATATCGAAGAGGACGAATAGGGTGCTGTAGCACGAGGAATGAAGGAGGCCACGACACGGGAGCAGACATACAGCACGATCTAGGACGATGCGGGGAGTGGAGACGAGGCAAGACGGTGATTAAAAACCCAGAATGGAACTGTATGGCCCGGATACAGGTGGACGTACCTGCTCATTGATGGCATTCCGCTCTCCAAAGACGATGTATCCACCCAAAAGACCCGCAATAAACGTGTCATATTTTCGTTCCTTCCCTCCGTTGGCTTTTTTCTGCAAGAGTAAGACTGCTTTGTATAGCGACACGAACTTCGCGAGGTTCAAAGCATGCGTTTTCGTAGCACGGAAGATGACGCGAGCCCGGCTCTGCCAACTTCATTCATCGGGCAAATGCTCTTTGGTCAACATATGGTGCCGTTGAGATGAGCCAAACAACTCACTCGCCACGTCCGAAGAGAATAGCCATGATCAATGCATGAGGAAACCGAACTTTAGCTCCGTACACAAGTCCGTTCCGTGCGCCCTTCAAGATGGCCAAGTAGTCATGATATCGTGGGTCAGAGAGAATCTGTTCAAATGAAGACATTTTGGCTGATATTCAAGAACTTCGGCAAGGACTGTCTGAGAGTTGTAGGGCAAGGGTCAAGGGAGAAGAGGGTATCATTCATGTTGACCGTGCACCATGCCAGCGAGCCACCGGATCGGCACATGGTACGTATATCACATGCCTCGCACGACATGAACGCCACAGCTCCAGCCGGTTCAACCGTTCACCAACTACGAATAACTACATGAATTGCCGAGGGCCGGACAAAAGTGTGGTATAAAGCCATAATATACAGACATGAAAAGAAAAGCAGGAGCAGATCGAAAAGAGTGTCAAAGTCCTAAGTTCAAACCAGACATGGCCGGCGCGAGATCCCCACTGAAGAAATCGTCTTTCCACTCGAAATCTGACAACGTCGTCCACTCGGCCTGTACCACGAAGTAAGCACTTCTTTTCCACTGAGAAAGCCGAGAAACGCTACTTACTCCTAGAGTCTCAAAATCCTTCTTATCCTCCTTTCCTTCGTACTCTAAACGTCCTCTCAACACTACAAACCTCCGATAGTTCTTCATGATGCTCGGCTGCACCTGCATCGATGACAACGAGGACAGGACCTCCTCCTTTACTGCAAAGGGCCACTTCTCTTCGTCGATGTTTTCATATTCCTTCATGAAGTTGCGCAAGCAAAACTGGAGAATACCGCGCTCATCCATGGCAAAAAGGCGAAGCTGAGAGGAGGCCCAATCGGTGATGCCCTTGGCGTCATTTGGAAGGAAAGGTGGCTGCGTGAGGAGGGCTAGCTTCCCGTTTTTGATCATCTTGAATAGATCCTCGTAAATGAATCCTCTGCTACTGAATATCCAAGCCATAGGATAACCATAAGATCAAAAACACGAAGCGAGACGTAAGTAAGGGAATCCTCACCTATCCAAGGCGCCAGATGGATCCGACCCGCACGCATCCCGAACCACCATGGCGACCGTGGACGGAAGGATGTAGCAGTCCCACAGAGGATGTGCCTTCACTTTGTTGATGAACTTGAACATATCCTGCGGGTGGTTGTCTCTGAACACCGCCGGCGTGAACGTCACGATTCCACCTGGGAACGAACAATGAGACAGCGCGAAAAGGACGATCTTAGAAGGCTTGGACGCACCGAGCGGATATATCTCATGTACTCCCCACCGCTCTGGGCCGACAGTCTCATGCGTCCCGTACGTGAAGAATTGCACCCAGGGCCACTTCTTCCGCTTCCTCGCCAGATGAGAGAATTTCTGGAAAGCTACTAGAGATCCCACATGCACAAATATGGTCCTCAACTTGTCATCCTTAAGGTGCACTCTTTGTGCTCCACAGCGTTTGAGGATCGTCTGTAGAGCCCTCGTCTCACTTCCTCTCCACTCCTCTTTAAACTCCGAAGACTCTTGTCCAATCATTCCATCGCTCGGCTCAAACACCAACGCGTATTTCCGGTCAGCTTGCGACATGTGCCGGTGGAGCCAATTGGGAAACTGCAAAATATGGAGTGCACGGTGGTAGGAGGGATAAAGGCGGAGGCTATGGGAGCGGTCGGAGAGTTTGACGGGATCAGGGTTGGAGAAGACTGAGGGAGCCCTGACAAGAGAGCGCTCCTCTGCTCTGTACTGCGTCCGAAGAGTCTTCGCCACTTTTCCAGGAACCGCCCATGGATACAAAACTGCGATAAATCCACCAGGCTGTTTGAGATCTAGAGAAGGTTTGAAAATATCGCAGAGGGCCTCTGAGACGGAAGGAAAGAGGAGAAGCATTCCACATAGTGAACCATCCGCGAGGTATAACGGCGCGTAAGTTACCTGAGCGAGAGCGCATTGGATCAATCACACAAGGAATTGTAAGAGAAGCAGAAGAACATACCAATTGTCTCGGAGTCATGTACTTTATCAAGGTTCCGAATGCATCGTGGTCTTTGTTCTCCTTCGGCTCTAGCCTCCCAAGCTGCGATACTTGATTACAGGCAGCCTGGAGCATGGGGAGCTCGGACATATGCAGAAGCTTCATCAGGCGAAGGGAGTCGACCTTCTCTCCCATACAATAAGAGAACCGCAAAGTGTTTGACTGTTTCGGGGGCTCCTCCGAGAGTGTGCCTTCGAAGAGCTTCTCTGCGCGATCCTTCTCTGTATGCATGAAGACTTCGCCGGTCCATTTAAACTTCTTTGGAATGCTGTGGACAATAGTTTTCAGCAATGACGGCAGATCAGGCGAAAGGAAGAGGTAATGACCGGTATGGACCACTGGCATTCGCAGAGGGTAACGGGTATGAGGGAACCTTATCTGCACTGGTATCCACGCCATCGCTGCGAATGGGGGAGATGAGGGTCATGCGAACTCAAATTAGGATTGTACGTTGACCCACATAAGCGGTTCGCTGTTCAGGGTCAATAGTCAGTGATCCGCATGGGTAGCATAACTAGATGCACTCACTCGTTGATGGGAACGGTCGACAGAAAGTCGTCCACCGCTGTATTCGGCGCAGACGGTCGAACGATGCGACTAGATATGAAGGAATGGGACCTTGAGTGACCAAGGAGAGGCGCGGAATGGCGCCGACTGACCTGATCGATGACGGTAGATCCCTTTCCTGGCTTCGTCCCTCGTTGTCTGATACCTGCATAGGTGAAGGAGATCGCACGAAGGTCGCCCCCGTGGTTTGCACCTGTGCCACAGGGCTAGATGAACCAGCTTGTGTCACTGACAACCTCGGATCTTGCCGTAGAACAGGAGATGGTGCGACCGGGGTGACTGGCGAGGCCGCAGCTCCAGACATGGACTTATTCTTCTTGAATGACAGCTTTGACAGGGAGCCTTGCCCCGAGCCCACAACAGGGGATGCCTTTACTGACTTCATGGCTTTCGGGTTCATCAGAACGTTGGCTTCGGCGAGTCTTTGTTTGGTCGGCAGAGTGCTTCCCGCCTGAATCTTGTGCGGGTCGGCTTTGGAGTCTTTCCGCACAGTATCTCCTTTCGCGATCACCTTGGCTGCAGCAGGCTCGTTCGAAAGTTGAGGATTTGCAGGTGCGGGGGGCTGTTTGGCAGGCGAGGTGTCGGTGCCAGAGAATAGCGAGTGAGCTGACTGTGGGCTTGGTGTTCGTGGGCCGTCGCCTTGAGGCGGCGTCTTTTCATTGGCCCTGGGCTATGTGGTAGATTAGACGGATATGACGCAGATATGAAGATAAACTTACGGAAACTGTTGGTATCGCTATTTTCAATCCAGTCTTGGAAGTCGAGCTCGTTGATGGATTTGCCGTGGAACTGGCGGCTGCCTTTTGAGATTTTAGCTGCAGAAACTGTGAGCCACGGCGTCTAAGAATGTAAGTATGAATTCGTGTACGACCTTTAATACCGTAGCTTTCATTTGGGTGATCTCAGCTGAAGGATCTCGGTTCTTGGTGTGATTGGCCGAATAAGCCTTGATAGGTATCGGTAGGCTCTGAGAGAAACTCACATGGGATGACCCTGCAATGGCACTGTCATGAACTGACGGTTTTTTCGTCACTTTCGAAACCTTACGGGGCGGCTCGGCATCATTACTCTTTCTCTGAATGACCGAGATTCAGGCATACCACAAGGCCACTAGAAAGATAACGACTCACGGTAGAAGGCCCTTCCTTCGTATCCTTCGATATGGCTGAGCTCTTCCGTTTCTGACCCGCAATCTGCTCCTTAGCCTTGCCTTTGCCCTTGTCCAGTGGTTGTTGAGATAATGGTATATCGTCGTCATCCGACTCTGATTCAGACAGGACCCGTCTCGTAGAGGCTGCACCTGGGGCTTTGGATGATTTGGCAGGAGGCTTGGTAGTTGGGGTAGTTTGTGGGACGTTAGAGAGCGGCGTCTCGTCAGAGTCTTCGTCGTCCTATAGGAATCAACCCATCGTGATGAGTGATGGTTAAAAGAACTGCAAAGGGAACAATCACGGTGTTTAGTTCTTCAACAAATTTCTGGACCTTCTTCGTGGCCTCTGTTAACCTCTCCTTTTCTTTCTTAAGGGGAGGCTGCTTATTATTGGCGGAGACCTAGAGTGTCGTTACCGTGTTAGAGTGTTACCCGAGAAGAGATCTCGAACCCCTTACAGTGATGGCGGAGTGTTGTTTCTGCTTCCTCTCCTTCTCTTTCTGCTTCTTCTTTTTATCTTTGTTCGACTCATCGATGTGCATCTTGAAGTACTGCCGCTCTTTCTCTACCAACCGAAGGTAAAGAGAGAAAAGTGAGTTATACGATCAAACGCAAGTCAATCCCACACAAAAAATGGTCAACGATAACGAACATACTTATCCAAGAGGGTTTCGCCTCGCATACAGTCCCGACGGGCCAATCACGGTCATCCAGTCCAACATGGTTCCAGAAGCTTTTAAGAAGACGGTCATTATTGTCATGCAGATTCTCCGAAGGCTCCCAGCTATGGCCGTCGACGATTTAGCATTGGCGTAAGATAAAGTACGGAGCTCCTCATAGTCGACACGTACGTAGCATCTTCTGACCCGTAGCCATCCCACTGGTCAATTAAAGTGAGATCCTGACTTACTCCAACGCAGTTTCGATAACAGACGATCATCTGCATACCTTCACCTTGTATTGCTGCAGGAAGACACTATAAGAGAAGTTAATGCCACAGATTCGTACTCAGAAACTCACCCATTCGCCTCCTTCCACCACTCTGGCTGCAGTGACAACCTCTACAGTTTGCGGAACCCATTAACGATACTCACGTTTGAGGACTGGGAATGAATGGTGGCGCATACCGACGACAAACACTTCTTCCTCAGACTCTTCCTCTGGTTGCTCCTCAGCCGGTGTGGGCTGTTGTTTCTTCTTACCCATATTGATGAGTCGCCCAGTAGTCAAGCTCCGAGATCAAGTGGGTCAGACCGAACCGCGCGATGCGAAGAGGAATTGACGAAGCAATAATGCTCCTGCAATGCGAACGTGACCGTGCGGGAGCATGAGCGTGTTTTTGGTAATATATTCACACGCATTTGGCACCCGCTTCAAAATCGATGTTGGAGCTCTTTGGCAAGAGCTCACCGCTGATAGATTATGTTCGACTTAACGAAGCTCCTGTTTTGGATGTTGTGACATCTTAGATGAAGCTCCTGGAACTTGTATGCTAGATCTTTGGTTAGACAGTTTATACCGCCTTACGCTCATTATGTCGAAGGGTTCATCACTTTCTCACTCATTGGCCATGCGTCACTGTGTATACGACTTCTGTTCGACGACACACTGGCGAAAGATACAAACGAATTGACGACCCATCCAAAAAGAGTCAAATAACCGCGGCCAACGTACACAACAGAATCCAAGCGCTTTCCCTGTCCGCTCATATCAAGAAACTTACATCCCGAGCCCCATCAAAGCACTAACCAACCTCTCCGCCACATTCTCCGGCTCCTGCCTCGCCATCTCGACGACGCTCAACAACTTCTTCACCCCCACCATCATCGTGCCCCGTCCCTGCCCGTCATCACCACCAATGCCCAGGTCCATCCCACCCTCCTCGCTATCCTGGAATCCAGCCTGCCGGAGCATGCCCACGGCACGAGCGAGATCGTCAGGACGACGGAAGAGCTCGACGGCTTCGAGGACGTGCTTGAGGGAGGAGAGACGGGTGATCGGTGGGACGCGGATTTCGGAGTCGAAGGAGGCGAGCCCGAGGTCTGTGAGCATGGGTCGGAGGGACGTAGTGGCGATAACGAGGAGACGGTGGCCCTGGTGATGAAAGAGTAACATTGAGTAAGTAACAATGTGAACAAAGAGAGTTGGAGAGTGTACCTTTGGTGGGCGCTTGGCCATGAGGACCATGAGTGTCTGGAGGACGGCGTTTGAGAAACGGGGACCGACAGGTGTCCAGTCTAAAGTAAAAACACTTATTAGAGCGGATAATGGTTAGGACATTGAAATATGTTTACCTAGCAAACGCTCTAGGTTGTCTACAACGACTACACTCATCGGACTCTTCGTACTGTCGGCAAAGACCTTCGATATCGACTGGATCTTCTGCGCTTCCGAGAAACCAACCATGTTGTCGGGTGTGATGAGCTTGATGAAGGGGAACTGTGAGGCTTGGGCGATAGTGGCTGCCATTGCCGTCTTTCCTGTCCCAGGAGGCCCGTGCAGCAGGATGCTGACGAGCGGCGTGCGGCTGGACGTCCGGACTTGCTCGACGAAGAGTTGTCCGCTGTGGAGGAGTTCCTGAATATCACATAAGAAGATTCAGCATCCAGGTGTCTCGTTCGACAATGCGAAAGCAGCCTACGTTGACGATGGGGTCGTAATGGATGATCCCATTCTGAACGACCTGCGCTAGCTCCTCTTCCGAGACACCATACGCCGGATGCACCTCATCCAACGCATTCAGGAAGTCATCCATGTTCACCCTCAAATTCTCCACATCCTCCGAAATCCCCGCCATAGTCCCCACCTTCACATGCCTATTGAACGCAAAACTCGTCGCGCTCTTCACCAAACCGCCAATCTCCGCCCCCGAAAAGTTCTTCGTCAGCTGCGCGAGCTCCGAAAGATTGACGTCGTCGTCCATGACGCCGTTCGTGCGCATCTTGGAGGTGTGGATGTTCAGAATCTGGAACCGGCCGTTTTCGTCGGGGAGGGATATCTCCATGTGAACTTCGAGACGGCCGGGACGGAGGAGGGCCTCGTCGATCATGTCGATACGGTTGGTCATGCCGATGATGAGGATGTTGTTCAGTTGGTCGACACCATCCATTTTGGAGAGGATCTGGTTGACGACGGTGTCGCCGACGCCGGTACCGCCGCCAGTGGAGCCACGTTGTTTGAATATGGCGTCAAGTTCATCGAAGATGATGATGTGGAGACCACTTTCGTCTCCCTTCTCTTTGTACTGCATCGAGATCCCGAGGTCAACATACCGTTCAGGGAACAGCGAATAAACAACATACCTCCTTCTCGGCATCCACGAAGAGTTTACGGATGTTCTCTTCGGAGGCACCGACGAACTTGTTCAGAATCTCAGGACCATTGACGATCTTGGGCTCCCGCGCGTTGAGCATCTTTCCGATTTGACGCGCCATCAGCGTCTTACCGGTTCCGGGTGGCCCATGAAGAAGGATACCTGACCGTGGTGGCGAAGTTAGCTCCAGCCCTGGTACAAGAACAGCCAGAGCATACCTTTCACATGCTGGATACCGAGTTTCTCGACGAGTCCTGGAGGGAACACACGGGATGCGAATGCACGACGGAATATGGCGCTGAACTCGGAGTCAAGACCTCCAATACCCATATCTTCGAACTTGAAGTTCGGAGCAAGAATCGCATTTGGTGCAGCCCTGATCCAAATGCGACCATCAGCACACGAAATAAAGCTCAAAATTGAACAACACAAGTCACTCACTTCTTCGCACTCGACTTGATCTTAATCGCCGTCGATGGATCCTTCATAAACGTCACATCCGTCCTCTCCATCACAACACCCGCATCCCTAACGCCTGACCCGCCCCTCCCACCCCTCTGTCCATCCGCCAACTCCACGACAGCACAACTCTTGACAACAGCCCTCAAATTCTGACCATGAAACTCGAAGACCAACACCTCTCCAAGCGCGAACATGACGCCCGCGAACGCCTTGATGAACGTCCGCGCCATCTCGTCCGCGGAGAACTGTTCTGCGATTTCGAGGCCGCGTTTAAGGAAGCCGACTTCGAGGGCGATGTCTTGGAGGAAGGCAGGGGAGGAGATAGGTTCGATTGTTACGCTGTCGCCGGAGACGGAGAGACCGATCCATTGGCGTTGAAGAGCGGAGGCACCGATGCAACCTGGAGAAATGCGGCCGGTGTTATCGTGTCTATTGGTGATATAAGTGAACAGAGATGGAGTGACGATATGGTTAGTTATAGAGACAGACAGTAGGCCTATGAGCACGAAACCCACCTTGTTGTCAGGGGGAATTGGCCCTTGAGCAGGACATGCTCCCCATCGGCGAAATCGTTGGGATGGACAATCAAACGATTGGTGAGAGCGAGGGCGTCACTCGGACACGATTGCACACCATAGCTAGTAGATTGTATAGTATCAGAAGTTGTGCCGAAGGCGAGGCAAGTTTCTGGAGCTCCAGCAAACCACCTTGCGTGGGGGCTATCCAGAGTGTCGAGTGAACGCACCTTGCACCAGCATGCGATGGTGGCGGCCTTCGATCCACAGACCGTTTCTCATAGTCAGAATACTGAGGTTGTACGCGCTGTCCTCCGCGCGGGCCAGAGGGTAGAGACTGTGCAGAGCCATCAGGTAGTCTGGAATAGGGTGAAGTGCCCCTTGGTGGTTGGGGCGGCGGGGCACCACCAGAGGTACGACCAAAGAAGCTGCTCATAATGTTTCTAGTCTAGCAGGTTCTGTGTTCTGTCTAGAGGATATAATGAGGAACTATACGTGTTCAGGGTTCAGAGATGGTTCAGAGATGGTAGAGGTCAAGTTCAGGATGCGGGGCGTGGCACTTGTGGCGCCGCGACTGTAACTGCGATTTACACCGCCACACGCGTACTGAGTCGCTTGCATACGTGTTCTTGCAGGTTCTTGCTATGCTGACTTTGGCTGGCTCGCTTGGGATAGCAAGACTGCAAGAACATTAGGAACAATACCACAAATAAATATCTATTGTGTTGAAGTCAAGTAATTAAAGCTTGTTGGAGGCTTGGTGTTGAGGCCCGGACTCGCGTGGCCCGTTCGCGTTACGTCACGCTGACCGCCCGTTCCAGAAAAGCGAGGACACATCAACCTCGCGCTTGCCCTCGTTCTCCTCCACACCCTCTTATCGCCCTCACCAGCCTCGTCGCTCACCAAACAGCACAGAACAGAATGGCTACACCACAGGTATCTCACTTTCACTTGTCAGAAAGTGTTTGGACGTGGTGCTCACTGGACCATAATTTCATGACAGCACTATGCCTGGGCTGGCGGCCACTTTATCTTGCTCGTCTCCGCCGTTAAATATGTTCTTGCGGCCGCTCTCTTTAGAGGCCCTTCTAAGTGGTGGTATCAACGTATGCATTCTTCTACCTCGGTTTGGATCGCGTATTGAAGATAGATGTTTGTGCAGTGGCATACACCGGTGCCATCCTCAGTTATGGTATTGTCTGCTTGTGCGTGCTCCACCCCTGCCATCGTGTTTCTTTGTGATAAAGCTAACGTGTCTATGAATGTTTGAATAGCAAATCTCTCGGGGTATGTTTTGTGCCTATGGTTCGAGGGAAGTGGTGTAACTCATTGGAATGTAGGTCCCTGCACCCAATGGGACTTGGATTAAACGCGCGCTGGGTGACGAAGTCCGTACTCCTGTCCCTCTCTCAGCCACATCAGCGCGTACTTACACTTGTTTACCTCACTCACTCAGAATGTCCAATATCTCGTTCTCGCTGCCTTCTGGTGGTCCTCCAAACCCATCACTAGTACGTGTTTCTCTTCCCGGCGCCTGTCACGATACCTTTTAGGCCTGGCATGCATGTTACGCGCAGGATACTGACCGCCACCCTACAACGCAACAGTCACGCTGCTCCCCTTTGCTATTTTCTCACTCTTCCATGCTCTGACGTTCACGAGGACGACCATCATGCCCCAAGTCCTTCCTCAAGGTGCACCCACCACTCCGAATGGGCCTCCTCAGCCGCATCCCATCGCGCGTAAACTTCAAGTGTGGGTAAAAGGTACGTTTGCAACCCTGAATCTCTCGTAATTGTCCTCACCAGCTTACCACGCCTACTCTATAATCATGAACCAACTAAACAACAGCGAACTACGACACCGCCATGCGCCTGGTCGCCTACACCGAAATTGCGATCGTCGCCCGTGTCATCCTCGGCACCATCTTCCTCCAAAACTCCTTCCTCACCCCGATCTTCTACCTCCACTTTGTCCGCATGCGCTACTTCCAGTCCGCCTTCACCAAGGAAGCCTTCAACCACACTATCGCCGTTATTGAGAACTACATCACCAAGCCCGAGGCGCCGCTCAAGGCGGCCGAGCCGGTGTGGAATTTGTTGAAGTCGGGTGTGTCGAGGTGGATGGGGTTGCCGGGCGGTGCTGCGCCGCCACCTCCCAGGCGATGAGGGCTGGAAAGGGGAGAGAAGAGGGATGTATGATGAGCAAGAGCGTCGAGTGGTTCTGGCCAAATAGGCCACAAGGGCATCATCCTTCTTCTCCCGTTTTGAGTCGGCCTACACGCTGCGAGTCGCACTTAGGTGCGTATTGTATGGAATTGATGTGAATGGGAGGGAAAGGGAAGGGAGGGCAGGTTGGGGATGGGTGTTAACTTAGGTGACGTGACGTATCGTATGGTGTCGAATAACTCGGACAAGCGTCGATTTATTGGTTTTTGTGTCCAATAAAATTTCTTATCCTATTTCTCTTCCATTTTGTTTTGCATCTTGGTTGACCGCATCTGCGTGCTCCTCCACGCAGTCTGAGCGTCATCCCGGCGAGGTCCGAGCATTGCAGTTCTGCTTCCGACTTGGTTCCGTCAGAGCGACTCAACTGGAGCGCGTCCATGACGTCACGCGTAGCGCCTGTACTGACGAGTACAAAACACCCCTCTCCACACCCGCTCTTCATTCTCCTCTCTCTGACCCATACCACACCTGCTGCAACACCACCACGGCCTACATACCATATCCATTGCTTTTCATCCAACCAGTTAGTCCAATCAAACCATCCAATAATGACGAACAGCATCCCAGGCGCACTCGGAGACTTTGTGTCCTCCCTCTCCGCCATCGCCACCTCCCTCGTGCAATCTATCATCGCGCTCTTCCAGGCGTTCTTGGCGCTGTTGCAGGATGTGGCGAGCTCGGCGCTGCAGCTTGTGCAGACGTTTGTAACGTTGGGCATAGATCTATTCCAGGGTGTTGCGGGGTTCGTTATGGGTGAGTATTTCTTGTTTTATCTGGATGCCCTTCGTGGTGAATCGTGGCTGATTGTTGGGCTTTGTAGCGAACTTCTTAGTGATCGCTGTGCTCGGAGGAGGGTATTATCTGTATACGACGAAGTACCAAGGAGGGCAATCTAGGGGGAACGTGAAGGTGAAGCGGTAGAGGGTTGTCTGTTCGAACGCCCCTATTGTTGGCTCTGTTGTGTTACGAGTCTGTTTGTACGGTGAGTAACATCGTTTACCACTTCCATACGAATATTGTACTCATGCTTCCAATGTCTAGATCATAGGCGCATTCACGATTTCTGGATTGACTCTTGCTTTTTCGGGTGTACGGTATTGATTGTATTGTAGTAGTGCTGCTATTTACGTTGTACCCTATGCCACTATTACTTCGTCTCGAGAATGCTGCTGTCGGATAAGCGGCGACCAGTAATGGAAGGCTTCCGGATCGTTGAACGTGTAACGCGTCCTCCCGGCCACGTTCTCGTTTCTGCGCATAACACATCCAAATAGCGCCATCCACGCGCCCCAAACCGGATCGGGACTCGATCTGCACGCAAAAGCCGCGAATTGTGGGTGAACATTCACCGTGAATTTGTGGAAGCGCGTGAAGGTTCGCCGCCTGGTCCGCCGCCAGACTAAAGTCACAAAGTTTCACTCGCGAGATGTCCCGCATCCCAGTCCCGTCCTCCTCTCCCTCTCACTCCCGTCACCACGACGCTCCCGTTTCCTTTCCGGGCTCTGAACGTTCCCTTTCTCCTCTTCCATCTTCAGGTGCTGGTCAAAGACCCGCATCGCTTTATTCGACAACAGGTTCAATTAGTAACATGTCTTCAATCTCGGGCCATGGCTCGGACAGCCGGAAGAAGTTGAACAAGAGGGCGATGGGCGACGAGGTCAGTCTGAACATTTCTTCGTTGCCTTCACTTTTCTTTTCTCCTCCTTGGTTGGCGCTGGGGACGCGTACGGCCGGCGTGCACTAGTGCACTGCGATAGCGCGTTTTGGGATAAGAAGAAGGGTGCGCGGCGCACACGTGTAATATAATAAAACTCTTCGCTCGCCAAATACCTGAGACCGTACCTACACCCACATCCACATCCATTACCAATGCCCGACCAAACAGAGCCAGAAATCCTCTTCCCCAACCAAGTCCACTCAGCTCCAACCCATGCCGCGCCCTCCCATCATAGCGGCCAACAACAACATCGCCGCGTCACCCCCACACGCCAACGCACCACCTCCACAAACGCACAATCTCATACTCACATCCCTTCTCTCCCCCAACAGGCCCTCCGCAAACGTATCGAGAATGAATTGTCTCGTAAACGCACGATCTCCACTACCTATAACAATTCTTTACCTCCACCGGCAGGAGGCCGCAGACGCGGCAAGCCGAGCGCGGCGAAGGGGACCGTGGCGGCTTTGAAGCCCAGTCCGGCGTTGACTGTACCGGAGACGATCACGGTAGCGGAGGCTAGTCAGCTGTGTGCGGCGAAGAGGACGGATTGTGTGCTTGTAGTGGACGAGGAGGAGGGGTTGAGTGGAATCTTCACGGCGAAGGACTTGGCATATCGGGTGAGTCTTGTTTGAGTTTCAGGCTCCGGGAGGTGCTGATTAGTATGCCGCTATGTGATGGGGTGTTGGTATAGATTACGGCGGAGGGAGTTGATCCCCATGTCACGGCCGTTAGCCAAGTCATGACCAGGAATCCCATGGTCACTCGCGATACGACGAGCGCGACTGAGGCATTGCAGCTCATGGTCACACGTAACTTCAGGCATCTGGTACGTCCAACGTCCCTTATACCACTTCAATACGGTAATTCTCATTTGCGTCATACACTAGCCTGTCTGCAACGAAGAAGGCAACGTCGTCGGTCTCCTCGATATCACTAAAGTCTTCCACGATGCCCTCGACAAGGTTGAACGCAGCTCCTCCGCCTCCGAGAAACTCTACTCCGCCCTCGCAGGCGTCCAAACCGAGCTCGGAGGTGGTATCGCCACTAACCCCCAAGCCGCAGCCATGCTCGCCTATGTCGACGCGCTCCGCGAGAAGACCGCCCTGCCGGATCTTACTACCGTCATGGACTCTCGCACGCAGCCTGCTACCGTCGGGCCTAAGACGACGGTCAAGGAGGTGGCGAAGTTGATGAAGGAGAGGAGGACGACGGCGGTGTGTGTTATGGAGGGCACGACGGGGATTAACAATGTGCCGAGGGTGGCGGGCATCTTCACGAGTAAGGATGTGGTTTTGAGGGTTATTGCGGCCGGATTGGACGCGAGTAGGTGTAGTGTTGTGAGGGTTATGACACCGCATCCGGACACCGCACCTCCTACAATGTTTGTGCACGATGCGTTGAAGAAGATGCATAGTGAGTGATGATTCATGTGTTGCCCTCTGTCAAGATCACTAATGTTATTCGATAGACGGCCACTACCTTAACCTGCCTGTCCTTGAGGCAGACGGTCGACTGGTCGCAATCGTCGACGTGCTCAAATTGACATATGCTACGCTCGAGCAGGTGCGATTTCTATTTATTTCAATCGTATTCTACGCAATTCTTATGTCTGTCTTTAGATGAACACTATGACTGCAGAGTCCGCTGGTGAAACCGCTGGTGAGACCGAGGGTGGCCCAATGTGGGGTCGTTTCTTCGATTCTATAGGCCACGACGACACAGAATCCGTCATGTCGGGCTCTCACCTCCCGTCCGAATTCCGGGACACGTCCTTCAGCTCTCAGATACAACAATCGCCACACTCTGAGGTTCACCCGAACGACTCTGCCTCCGTCGTTGACGAGGACCCACACGGGTCGGTCATCAATGGCCACAAGGGTGCGCCTTCTATCACTGGCGCCGTCCCCGCGGTCGACGATGGGACGTATGTGTTCAAGTTCAGGACGCCGAGTGGAAACACGCATAGGTTCCAGGCGAGACACGATAACGTCGAGAACCTCCGTGATATCGTTTCCGGCAAACTCTCCGTCGACCCGTTCTTCGCGAGCTTCAGGCCAGAAAACGAAGACGACCCGATCCCGGACCCTCTCGACTTCCAGCTCGCCTACACCGACGCAGACGGCGACACCGTCCTCATGACCTCCGACAACGACGTCTCCGACTCTGTCAAGAACGCACGTCAGACACACGCCGATCGGGTCGTCATCATCATTCAGGGAGGAAAAGGATGGGCCGAGGCTGGTGCGGGTAAGAGCGAGGCTAAGGCGCAAGAGGCGAGCGCGAAGGCGGCGAAGGAGATCAGGGAGGTGGAGAAGACCGAGTCGACGCCGGTGGGGGGCGGGAATGTGCCGTTGCCGGAGGGGGTGGCGTATTCGGCGCCGACGCCAGCGCATGTGATACCGCAGGACGAAATATTCGGGATTCCGAGGGATATGGTGTTGCCGGCGAGTATTGGCGCGTTGGCGGTTGTGATCTTGAGTGTGTTTACGATTTCGAGGTTGACGAGGGATTGAGGGGTGTGATGGAGGATTGGAAGTTGTGGAGAGTGGGATTTGGAATGCGGATGGTGACTGCTTGGTTTCGTTCATTACTACAGAAAATGATACCGATCATCGGATGGACTACTTGGATCTCTAATATCTGCTCTTCCTAGGGTGAAGCCAGATACTTACTTCAAGAGTATCATACATACCTCTTCTCCTGATCATAAGTCGTTCACAACTGGGTCCTTTCTCGAGCTCAAGAGCGACTCTCGGCTTGGATACATACCTGGTGGTACATATGCGTTCTACTCCCGTCGATTCCGATGATGGCCCTCCACTCACTAGTTACTCTATACGTATTTCCTTTGGGTCTCTGGATCTTGTACGCTGGAGGCTTTTATATACATATGATTTTATGATTTTATCCCCTTCTCGATGTGCGCTGTGCTACGAATTGTTACGATTTTTCATATAGAATATGATAACTTCCGCTCGTTTCACTCCGAAGCCCGTTGTCAGAACGGTGATTGTTGAACTGCACTGAGGTGATCCTCAGGAAGGAAGGAAGTATATTCAAGAACTCTGCGCATGCATTGGAGTGGCACTGCGTCAAGTTTAACCATGGGGTAGGGTTAGGTCCACGCTTGTTGAAGTCCGAGCCTGAGTTGGCTTCAGTTGTTCCTTCTTTGCGCCTCATCATCGTTCTTGAACCTCTTCAAGTGTCCGCGCATCTTGGGCGGAGCGGCCAGTGTGTTAGAGGTGTTCAACCGTCTCGTGCGAGGATCAGTCGCCTAGTAGGAGGCGGTATACCACCTCGTTCGCCCCAGAGCATGTTTCCCAACTTCATCCAAAGGACGCCCTCCAAGTTTGTGTGCGTCCTTCACGTCACTAACTCCGCATCATCTCAGTGGAGAATATTGCGCAGCCGCCTCAGCTTTAGTACACAAGCTGGCTCGCAAGCAGGACAGACAACAGTATGCTTTCCCTACAGTGCGCCCTCATGTACACAACAACTAACAGACTCATCTCAATCTAGGGGGAGCGCAACGGTCAGGTACCGAAACCTAAACGGAGAGCGCAGCATAAATCTCGAGTTATCCAAACTCTAGATTCATCTCGCCTCCAACCATCCGACTTCCAAGACATTTCCGGTCTGAAGCGCTTGAACATCACCACACTGTCCGACCGCCTCTCTCCCGAAGGCCACGAACATGGCCGCAGAACTTGTATACTCTACTATGAGGATGTTGACCAGAATCGAGAAATCATTCCATTCCCGGAACACACCCGTGGCTTCTTCTACTATCGTCGAAACAGTTTAACACCTATGCGGATCACACCGCCCTCCAAAATCGCGCACGCCAAGTCTCCGAGCAGCGTACAAGAAGACCACGACAGTACTCGCTCTATCGGCCAGATCTTCTTCCGCATCACGAAGGACAACGATCCCGCCAGCTTCGCCTCAGGAAGAGACCTGGTGCAATATAATGGAGACGAACCGTGGCGTCTTGTTCCTCGGAAGAAGAATGCGCTACTGTGGCGTCTTCTGCTCCAAGATGGACTTGTCACAGCGTCGACGAAGAGCATAGGCCGCCCCATCGTACAAGAACCCATCTCGAACGTCGGGGTTCCATTTATCATTGACCTCTCGCAAGGGATCATCAGAGTGACTGTGCGAAGCCTCAGAAGTGGGGAAGTCCTCGCAATCACATTCGGCAGCCCGTACAGGGTTCGAGTCGGTCAATCACAAATATACCGCCCGTATTACCAAGGTAATTAGACGATGTGATTTTGTGTGTGGTGTTGTTGGATCTACAACATACTTGCTGACCTGGCTTCGTTACTGTGGATAGGCCGTTTACGCTGCCAGATTGAGCGTTCCTCTGACCCGAAGCACGCCGGCACCGACACTTTCGTGATTCGGGTGACGGACGTATTGTCTCCCATAGAGTACGTGCCTCCTCCTTCCGCCAAGGTCGAGGACTCGTCGAAGCTATTGAGTGCACCGCGGGAGGGAGAGTTGTTGCTTTCGAACAGGGACAGGGACAGGGGAACGGTTTGGTCTCGTACGGTGACGAAGAAGCGGCAGAAAATGAAGGAGCCATCTACTGCTCTACGAGCGTGGCGCATACTTTTGGAGAATGAAGCGTTGACTGGGAGCGACACTGAACATATATATCCGCAAGTGGACGCACGCAAAACGCCTTAACTCCGAATTCGATTAGCTGATGTGTACAATGGAATTTAAATGTTCAAAAACGGGAGGATGTGCGATTGAGAGTACAAGTTCCAAGATACAAATATGTCTATACAATGTACGTGCCAAAAACAACAAAGCTATGAATGGACCTGTGTGCAATATCAATGATCCCTGACGACACGTTGCTCTGCTCTAGCTCAGGCCTCCTGGTAGAACGAAGAGGTCGTATTCGGGTTTAAAAGCGCCAAAACAAGACCTGGCCCCGGCACTTTGATCGTGCACCCATCGCTACCGCTGCAGTCCACATACTTCGTCTCCTGCGATCCTTTCAGCTTCCCTTCCTTTCCAACCGTTTGCCCCGCCCACGTAATGTCAGTCTCCTCGGTGACCTTTGGTGCAAGGAGGTAACGCAGGCCAATGGTAGAGGCTACATTGGCAGGGACCTGGAAAGTCGTTGACGTCGAATTGTCATAGTTGATGAAAACGAATTTGCCGCGTTGGGCCTGCGACATGTCGCCGAGCCTGGACGTGGAGCCTGTCGAAGCGGAAAGATCGTATATGCCGTATGTGGCGATATGACTGTCGGAGTTTGACTTGGAGTTCTGGATATCCATGTCGACGACGATGGAGCCATTCTTGGACATGACTTCGCTCATCATCAGGGCAGAGTAATAGGTGGCTCCGGTCTTCCAGTCGGAGTCGAGAGGGTCACGAGAAGCAGGAGGGTCGAAGAGGTTGTAGGTGACGCCGTACTCGCGCGTGTGGATGTAGGCTGCGGAGTAGTTGTTGGCAGCCAATGCGAGGAAGGCGTCGATTTCCCAAAGCGTCGCGGCAAACTGACAAGTTAAATGTAAGTAAGGTGCATAGAAGGCCTTGGGGAAGCGGTGCTTACCGTGGGGGAGATGAGAGGACATCCTCCGCAAGCGCACGTGTTGGCCTCACTCATGATAACGGGAATGCCTGCCGCAGTCGCCGAGGCTACACCAGCAGACTGGAAACCCGAGTACGAGACGGCTAGGGTGATCGTCGTGAGTTGACGATCATTTGGTTTCGGGGGCATGTAGTGCGCTTACCAGACGTGTGAGTGAGGTAATTGGAGATGTTTGTGTTGGAGGCGGTGGGTCCAAAACAGTAAATGTCCGGGTAGTGCTGCACGCTGTATAGAGGATAAAGTGATGAGCGCCGGGCGAGCAGGCAAGGAGGTCGAGAAGACGTACGCGTAGTATTTATAGTTCTCGCCCGCAAGCCCAGCATTCAGAACATCCGACAACTCCCTGTGAGCGTGCATGGTGAGCCTGGGACGAAAAGGTGCGATAAAACGAGTCAACCAACCAGTCACAGCAGATTGAGGGACCAGCGAGGGAGTCCTTCGATCTCAGATCACCGTAGGGCCCTGTCGTAAGGTCGTTGACGATGTAATCCACCTCTCCAATCTATGGCACGCGTCAAAGGCATTAGATCCGGCCTGGCAAGGATGGGCATTGAATGAAGCTTACGTAGTCCGAGATGTTGTACACTTTGCGGTTCTTGTGGTCCTGGTACAAATCGGGTTCCTGCATGCGGGGAGTCAGAAAGTGTCCCTGGAAAGGGCGTGGACAAAACGACCCACGTTTCCAAGCAAAAACGCATCTAGCCTTGACCCTAGCTTCTCCGTCGCCACGCTGGCCACCTTCAGCGCCTCAGCGTCTCCACCGTTCTCAGGCGCCTTGTGCATGCTTAAGCCCGTCAAGAACTGCATCTCTCCTACATCATCCGCCATCTTGTTCATGACGTCGAACAAGACGGGACCATAGGTGGTGGCGACGGTATAGTTTTTCTTCACGTCGAGGTGCTTCAGCATGGTTTTGGTCAAGGCCGAACTATAATTGGAGAATTCCATAGTATCGCCGCCGACACGCATGCGGAGAGGGTTAGAGATGCGAGCTGCGATGTTGGAGAGGTAGTTCTGCATGGCCTTGGGTGTGCCGGAGGTGTTGTTGCCCCCTGAGAACGCAGAGGAAGTGTGAGGGATTGGGGTGCATAAAAGTAGAATGGAGATAGGACTCACAAAGCGTGTTGAATGAGCTCAACTCCCAACTGATTCCCATGTAATTGTCGAGCACCACATTCGCGATAGAGCCCGCCGGGTTCGTGGGGAAATAAGTCAAGTCTACGTCCACTGCAGCGTGTGCCGCTCCGAAAAGCGCGAGAGAAGCGACGAGGGCACCCGTGATGGATGACTGTATAGCCATTGTAGCGAAGTAGTTGACGGGTTAACGTCGAGTGGGAAGATGAGAGGTGGAGGAGGCTGAAAGACGAGTGACGAGAAACAAAATTTGGAGGGAAATAGGACGCCTTCTATACTCTGCGCATGAGGTCTGTGGAAGACTCGGAGCAATGTAAGTCATGCGCGAAATTGGCGAGCAAAATGTATGAGACCCTCCGCGTCTGAGTGGGTCGATAGAGCGGCAGCAATCGGCGGCAGGTCTCAGTTATGGCATAGCTCGCGCTGCTATCTTGCCTAGCGACATCCGCAGGGCCCAGAAAGAAAAAGTTATAGGAGGCGAAAAGATGAGACACTGTCGACTCCCACTGTCCATCCTGGTCAAGGTGGCGTTCAAGTAACACTAGGACGGTGAGGTTGGTCGCGACGCGTCGTCGTCAAGAACGAAGTCGCTCCGATCGGGATCATTCGGAACATTTTGGGAATTCGCAATCGAGCGCCACAGTGGCGCCACACCACGTCCTATGTACGAACGTCGCCCTCATTGACCTCTATAGCAAATTACATCCTCTTCGACGACAGTGCACTAGCAATGTTCAGACCATCCACTATCAACACTTCGAGTATCTTTCATTCTCTTGCGGATAAACCAATACGTCCATGCAGTCGCCGTCTTCACACTTCTGTTGGGCTGTCTGCGAAATCAACACGCCTATGCACTGTTCGCAAGAATACTTCCTATGCCTCAAGGGAAGATATTGCTTGTACCTCTCGGGCAGCAACATTACCGCATCCACCATCAGACACTCACCTTAGAGAGTCGCAGAGGCGATGGTATGCCACACCGCCTCCGCAGGTCGTCTACAGGTGGGCGGACAATCCTCACTCTACCCGGATGGAGGCCTGTGACATTGACCAGTATGAACCCAATGGGTGCTGGACGCGCCTAATTGAATAGCAATCTGACAACGGATCAGTACAACGAGCTGTCCGACGCGACTATGGACGCGATGCTGGACTCGTTAGAGGCGTTGGTGGACGAGAGCGGACAGCAGGAGTACGAGATTGAGTATAACGTGCGCCCCGTCCATTTTTGTATGGTTGTATTGTACTCACTCTCGGTTATGCGTGTTCAATGAATGAATTCTGGTTGTCCTTAATATGCAACGTCTTCGTCTGGGAATGTAGAGCGGGGTATTGACGCTGAAGCTGGGATCTCACGGGACGTATGTGATCAACAAGCAGCCGCCTAATAAGCAGATATGGTTGTCTTCGCCTTTGAGGTATGTCATTTAAACTATTACCTTCTTGTCTAACCTGCTCAACCTGAACCAATACTCACTCGCAACCATCATTGCTTTCGCAACACCTTCCCGACTTCCATCCTTCGCGTCTCATGCAAAACGGAACCATACATCTTCAGTGGTCCAAAACGTTACGACTACGTCCCAACCCAAGACGACTGGATCTACTCTCGGGATAACACCTCATTAAGTACCCTCCTCGACAAGGAGCTGAGCGACGTGTTCGGGAAGGAAGTCAAGTTGGGATTAGAGGAGACTTCGAAGTTGGTTCCTTAGACCCTCTTATGTCCTACGAGATATAGAAATATACGGATGCAGTGTTGGTTCATCGAACGGGAATACACGAGAAGCACGTGCAGGAGAGTATTCTATCAACGAACTTGTATACTCTAAGGAGATGAGCACGGAAGGTGAAAAATGCATGAAGGGAACGAATCGTGGGGAAAGTGAACGATGGGCAGGGAACGCAGAATGCAAAATCAAGCGAGGGAATTCTGTATGACCGAGAGGATGCGAGTGCCAGTGTATGTGTAAAGATACAAGTGATGAGAAGGAAAGATGAAAGAGCGCTGATATGGGAAGCAGGGGAAAGGACAGAGAACGGCAAGGATGGTCGAGGCGAATGAGAGAATATGACGTGAGGTTTCATAAGGGTGTTCCGTCTGATGGAAAGACGACAGGGGATGACGGTCACAGATACTGGTAACGGAGTGCATGATTTGCGGAGGATGTGGTGACCGCGTAATACGAGGGTATGGAGACGTGCCCTGAAAAGCGTCGACGGGGGGGCAGCAAGTGGTATGTGGAGTAGCGAGGACCCTCAAAGCATAAACTATGGAGAAAAGAAGGGAAATGTCAGCAAACAAGTAGGCGATTCAGAAAAGCACAACTCACGAGCGACATATCATCCGAACCGTTGCGGCTCCGAAACAGAAGGCGACCCATTGGCTTGTACGGGATCTTCGAGGTGCCGCCTTCGGCTCAAAAATAGCTCACGAAGCAGCCTATACGCAACCCAGAAAAATCCGTCAGCTACCTCGTGGAACGAAAGACGCGAAGGAGAGAACTGACTTGTTCGTATCCTCATACCGTTCCCTAACCCTATCCTCTTCGCCCATCTCCTCGTCTTCCTGCACTACAGGCTCTTGAGTAAGATTAAGGCCTTTGGGTCCTGAATGACGTTGTTGTTGATGAAACGGATGCTGTGCGGAGTGGTGATAGGATGTCGAATTGTGCGAATGAGAATGAATCAGAGCATGAGGCGGGGGGATTGGCGGCGACGGAAAAGTTGGTTTGCCAGCGGTATACCTCGTCACAGGGATAACATCTTCGTCTGGATGACTTCCATGTCCATATCCTTCACCGTCACCATTGGCGAGGGGGTATAATGAATTGAATCGCGAAGTCTGGGCGTAGTGTGCTAGCTGCGGTGCAGCATGGTGGGGATGGAGATGCGTGTGATACAATTGTTGTTGTTGTTGCTGTTGTTGGTCGGGGTAACGATATTGTGGATGCGGGTGAACACGATGGGTATAAGCTTGCCCATAACCGTTCGTGGTACCAATTGGGAGCGATGGTGGCGGTGGTGGTGCGCTTGGGCCAGGCGATGAGGACAAAATGCGCCGGTACTGCTGCTCCGCATGCAGATCGTGCAGCAAACTATTCACATTCCTATACTTCTGCATCGTAACACCCTGCATCTCCGCATCATCGTCTCCACCGCCAGTTGCTTCTCCAGGCTCATCTTCTGAAAAGTCATCGTCGCAGTAATCATCATCGTCTTCGTACGTAGAGCTCGACTGTAGGTGTGGACTGTGCAGACTCGAGGAGTTGGCCCAGCCGCGTGAGGGCCCGTCGAGAGAGGGGGGAAGGACGCGTCGTCGCTTGGAAGTGCGGAGTGGGCTGGAGGTTCGATTCATGTTCGTGTCCAGAGGTTCCTCGTCTTCGATATGGGGAATGTCAGGCGACGATGGGCGTTGTCTCTTCATCATCTTGCGCTGCATCTACGGCGTATGAATCCAAGTATAAAGTGAGGACAATAAGAGACTATTTATTGAAGAGGACGACAGAGAGCAGCGTCAAGAAGAGTTCACGCTGGAAGAGGAGAGCAAAGACACGGCGCCAAGAAAATCGATTGAAACCGCGACGAGACGCGTCACGCGTCGCTCGCGTCTCGCCACTGACACAGCGCCTTATGTAAGTAGCGCTCGTCATTGAGGGTGGCCCAAGTTCAGCTCTCTGGCGCCGTTCTCATCGACGACCACACTCTGTTTATCCGCCCTTCGATTCTTACTTTCCATCATGTCGGACATGGATGTATTTGCTGCTATGGGCATCGCTGGTTTTGGGAAGAAAACTAGTAAGAGGACGCTCGACGCTGGTAGGTTCGACAAGAATAAACGACAGGATGATGTTTGTTCTTTCCTTTTTTTCTCTTCGCTTTCCCTATGGTGTTCTTCGTGAAACTGATTTTATTCCCGACCATGCTCAGGCTTTGGAGCCTGCAAAGAGCGAGTCAGCGACTCCAGGTCCCTCTGCTCCTGTGCAGGACTCGACCTCGACCTCTGCCTCTGCTTCCCCAGGTCCTGGCTCTATGCCGCCCCCTCCCGTCCCTTCCAAAGCACAGTCACAAGCCCAAGCCCAAACTTCTTCATCCTCTTCTACAAACGAGCCTTTCGAACCCGAATTCGACCCAGACGAATTTGCATCCGACGACGAGGACGACGTCGGCCCCTCGCCTTTCAACGAACCCGGCAACGAGTTCCCAACGACGCACGAGCTCGTCCTCAAAGACCACACGAAAGTCGTTTCGTCGCTCGCTCTGGACCCGTCGGGCGCGCGGGTGCTGAGCGGGTCGCATGATTATGATTGTAAGCTGTGGGATTTTGGGGGGATGGATGCGAGGTGTAGGCCGTTTAAGAGCTGGGAGCCGGCGGGGAGCTATCATGTGCGAGCACCTTGTCTCATTATTCTGGTTTGTGGAGATGTTATTTGTTGCTGACTGGCGAGTCGGGGCGCAGATTCATGATTTGAAGTATTCTCCGGACGGGCACAAGTTCCTCGTTATTTCGGGCACGTCGCAGGCGAAGCTTTATGATAGGGACGGAGACGAACAGTAGGTTTTTTTTCTCTAACTCAAGTCTACTCCCTTATTCCTGTTTCCCGCTATCCGTCTGTTCCTTGCTTTCTTTTTATGCGATGTAGAACTTGGATACACTGACCTGACTGATAGGGCGACGTACATCAAGGGCGATCCATATATTCGGGACATGAAGAACACAGCGTGAGTTCCCACCACAAACTGTTATTCTCCCTCTGCGGGCCCTGACCTTTTTTCTTTTACTTTTTTTCTTACTTACTATGCAGTGGTCATGTTGGCGAGTTATCCGCCTGCGCGTGGCACCCGAAGGACGCGCAGACCTTCATCACGAGCTCGGCGGACTCGACTATCCGGTACGTTTCATTCATTTCTCCTTGTTCCCCTTGTTCCTATTAGTGCCCCACCTGCTCACTCGCCGTTTCCATTGCTGTTTCCATTGTAGGATCTGGGACGTCGAGAACAAACGGAAGCAGAAGACGGTGATCGTCGTGAAGTCCAAAGAACGCGGTGCGCGCACGAAAGTGACGACGTGCGGTTATTCGCCCGATGGGAGGGTCATCGGCGGAGGTATGTCCCCCTTCTCTCGACTCCCTTCTCTCTCTCTGCACCCTCTTACGGGTCATGTCGTATCGTTGTCGCGGTAGCGTGTATCGACGGCGCCCTACACCTCTGGAAGACGAACTCGAACCTGGTGAGGCCGGATCAAACGATCGAAGGCGCGCATACAAAGGGGACGGAGACGGGTTCGTTGGTTTTTTCGGTGGACGGGAGGACGTTGCTGACGAGGGGCGGAGATGATACGGTCAAATGTGCGTCGTCTAGCCTTTGTTTCTTTGATTGGATCTCCGTTCCTGATCCTGTCATTTTCTGATCCCTCTTCGTCATTCCTGTCATCGGCATCCCCTGTTGACGTTTCCGACGACGGTGATGTAACATAATTAACACAGTATGGGACCTGCGCGCGTTCAAGAAACCGCTAGCGACGCGGACGAACGTCCTCACGCTCTACCCGACCACGAACGCGATCTTCAGTCCGGATAACAAGTACGTCGTCACGGGCGCCGGAGCGACTGCAAAGGGAGGTAAGGGAAAGTTGTTGTTCTTGAGGAGGGAGGATCTGGAGGTGGAGAAGGAGGTGGACATGGATGCGACGCCGGTGGTGGTGCAGTGGCATCCGAAGATCAATCAGGTGCGTTCAAATTTCGTTCAGCTCGCGAAATGGAGTCTCAACATGATATTGTGCAAACAAAATACAAGATCATAACCGGCCTTACAAACGGCCAAATCTCCGTCCTCTACTCTCCGTCCTCCTCCCTCAACGGTGCCAAACTGCTCCTCAACAAAGGGCCCTCCAAAAAGCCGACGATCGAAGACATGTCGGACGCGCTTGCGGCGCCAACGATCATCACGCCGCATGCGCTGCCGATGTTCAGGGAGGGAGAGCAGGGTAACAGAGGGAGTAAGAGGAGGAGGGAGAAGGAGAGGATGGACCCGAGGAAGAGCAGGAGGCCGGAGATGCCTGTTACGGGGCCGGGTAAGGGAGGTAGAGTGGGAGCGAGTGCGACGCAGCATGTCGTGCAGAATCTGGTTAGGGATACGACGAGGGACGAGGATGTGAGTCTTCTCTTCTGTTTCTTTCACCCTTTTACCCTTTGTTCTTTTGCTGCTTGTCTGTTTCGGAATCATGCGTCGGGAGCTTGCGTTTTCCTTTCGGATGCGGGATACGCGCCTCCCATTCCGTTGTGCTTTCTTCTACTGGACCTGGATATGAGAATGCAGGGTGAAGAAGCTGGCGTTTTTGGGCTCTTGGGGTCCATCGTGGGCACATCTTGTGGTCCATCGGTCAATCAGTCTCGCGGGGGACTGATTGATCTGATATGGAATGTTTCACAAATGTTGTTGCTCATTGTTGTATACTACGGTGAGAGGCGGGGTACGCCGTGGGTGTTAGGGAGGACGAGGGGAAGAGGGTGCGGAGAACGTTCGTTGCGATAGAGGGGACGGGGGCACAAAAGTCGGAGCCAAGTCGACGCAGACTCGGCGAGCGCTTGCCGGGGTGGCAACGGGGCACCGGGGCTAGTCCCGGTTTGGCACCTTCTCGCACGCGACCGCGCGCGGCTGTTCGCTTCCGTTGATTTTTCCACGCCTGTCCTTCGCTCTTGCCTTGTGTTCTTGCGCGCTGACTCGTCTTTCACCAGCCTCGGGAGGCGCTGCTCAAGTACGCGGAGAGGGCAGAACAGGACCCACAATGGACGGCAGGTGCGTACACAGAGTCTGGGCGACGGGGCAAACGGGGGTCGCGGTCTTGTTTGGTGGTGTTGATGACTGATTGCTGACGTGTTTTTTCGGACTCCGCCGGGTGTATTCGCACGGACAGCCTGGAGGGCGAACCAGCCGAAGCCAGTGTTTGCGGACGTCGAGGAGGACGAGGAGGAGGGCACTGGGTCGTAGCGTAGCAGACTGCATGTACACAGCGTTGGGTACGGCGGGGGCGGGGGGACAGGGGACGGAGACGATGGGGGAGCGGACGAAACCTTTGAGGCCCCTGCGCGGGAGATCGAACCTTATTTCGAGCGGTATAAAGCCCTTTGGGGGCGTCCGGACGTGCTCGCTCCCCCAAATCGTTCCCTGCCCCCTGTTCCCTCCCTCACCAACACTCGTCACGCAGTCACTGTCACGCATCAAGCTCCCATGAACGCCCTCAACGGCCAACACGCCATCCCCAACGTCGCCGTCGACGACCACCCTGACTCCCCTATGGCTGACTCCCCCGCCACACCCGTCAACACAGCAACCTCCGTCGCCGTCAAGATCAACGGCGATCCCCCCCACGACGACGAGCCTTTTGCTATCAAAATAGAGAACGCCAAACTCGACGCGTCCTCGACGCGTCCCGCCGTCGGCACGCCCCTAGACCCAGGTGCGCTCCCTTATCTATCTCTTATCTCTCCCTCCTGCCAACGCCCGCCCCCAGACACCATCCCCATACACCCCCCAAATGGCACCCCGCCGCCGTCCAATGGCGAGCTCCTCGACGACGTCCGCATGGCCGAGCAACAACAAACCACTCAGGAGACTCAGGAGTCGCAGGACACCCCCATGGACGAGGATCCCGCTCCCCCTAATGGCCACGTCAATGGCAACGGCAACGGTACTACGCCCGCGTCAATTCCAAATGGCTCGTCGCCAACTGCCGTCGACAACGCGCATGACTTCCCCATGAATGAGGATGATGACGCACAGCCCCCACCAGCAAAGAGAGCGCGCAAGTCGTCCGACGCAGACATGGCATCGGCACATGTAAGCATAATTCCGCTCACTCCCATCGTCGTGCGCCCCCTTGCAGGCGTGCTGATCGTCTACTATTGCATTCCCTCCGCCTCCCTCGTCCCGTCGTCCTCACGCAGACTCCTGCCACTCCTCCCCCAGTGTCGCCCACGTCCTCTTTCACCGGCAACAACGCTCCTGTCATCGCTCCTGTCGACACTACACCGCGCGTGTCGACTCTCAGCGTCCATCAACATAAGTTTGCTACTTCGACTATTCGCACTCTGAAGAAACTCAAGGACGCAGGGCCATTCAAGTTCCCGGTCGACCCTCTTGCTCTTAATATCCCGCATTACCCCCAGGTCATCAAGGAGCCCATGGACTTTTCGACTATTGAACGAAAGCTCGCTTCGTCTAACCCCGTCAAGCCAGACCCAGATCCTACTCACGCGAGATATTATAACGCCGAGGAATTCATTACCGACGTCCGACGCATCTTCCAGAACTGCCTTACGTTCAACGGTCCAGATCATGCCATCACACAGTCCGGTCGGCGAGTGGAGGCCACGTTCGATAAACAGATCAAACAGATGCCGGCTAACGAAGCGGTAAGCTCCTTTCTGCTTCGTTCGGCTCTTTTTTTCTTCCTTTCGAATACCCGATCTTCCTGCGCTTCCACCCTCCTGTTACAACCTCCGTACATCTCAGCTCGGTTTGTTATGTCGAATATATGTGTTAATTTTCTTTTGGATTTTGTTCGTACGTCTGACGTCCAAAGCCGAAACCTCCCGTTGTGAAAAAGGTCGCTACTCCACCTCCACCACCGCCTGCCCCCGCTCCCGCTCCTACCGCTGCGTCGAAAAAGCCTGCCGCTCGCCGGCAGTCGGTTTCCGTACCTGTCATTCGTCGTAATGAGGAGAATCCAACGCGGCCCAAGCGGGAGATTCATCCGCCCCCGCCGAAGGACTTGCCTTACGCTGATGCGCCGAAGAAGGCCAGGAAGTCCTCGAAGGGGTCAAAGGGCACGAACGGGGCTGAGCAATTGAAGCACTGTGGTAAGATCTTGGACCAGCTGGGGAGGAAGTCGCATCACACTATTGTCGCTCCCTTTGCGCAACCTGTTGGTACGTCTCGTCTCGCTTGTTGACAACGTTTGTGTGAATGCTCAGTGATGCGTCTGTAGATCCTATCTCTCTCGGCATCCCTGACTACCCAAAGATCATTAAGAAGCCGATGGACCTCAGCACGATGCGTACGAAGCTCGAGTCTGGGCAGTATGCCTCGGCGGATAGGTTCCGGGATGACTTCAAGCTCATGATATCTAACTGTTTTGCGTACAACTCTGATACCTCGCCGGTTCACAAGGCCGGCGTGGAGTTGCAGAAACTGTTTGAGGAAAAGTGGGGGCATATGCCGCAGCCGAGGAATGAGACCGAGGATGATGACGATGACGAGGAAGATGACGAAGAGGACGAGCGCGCTCGTGCGTACCTTTTTTTTTCTGCTTGAGCGTGACCGCGAAGCTGACAAACGGTCGTTTGTAGGTGCTATCGCGGCGATGGAGTCGCAGATCGAAACGATGAGGAACAGCATCTCGGCATTAAAGTCGTCTGGTGTTTCGAAACCTGCGAAGAAAGAGAAGAAGAAGGAAAAGCATTCCAAGTCCTCTTCAGCCTCAGCCCCCATCGCCTCATCCTCGAAACCTTCGAAGAAGGAGAACAAGGCGCCACCGAAGAAGAAAGCTGGTGGGGGCGGTGGAGGAAAGAAGAATGCTGCCGCTGCCGCTTCGCAGCCTGTCGCAGAGGACGACACACTTACCTTCGAGCAGAAGAAGGATCTCAGTGATGCGATCACGAGGATCGACGGGCAGAAGCTCGAGCGGGTCATTCAGATCATTCATGAGGGTGTTCCTGAGATTCGAGACGTGAGTTTTTTTTTTGTCGGTCGTGCCTCTTACCGTCATCTCATTCGCTCGCCCGTTCTTTAGAGCCAAGAAGAGATCGAGCTCGAAATAGATCTGCTACCCGCTTCCGTCCTCACCAAGCTCTACAACTTCGTCCTACGCCCCGTCCGCCAAGCACAAGCACCCAAGAAGGCTCGTACCGGCAAGGGCACCGGCACAGGCGGACTGAAGCGGAAGAGCATGGACGAGGACGCCGAGGCGGAGAAGATTCGACGACTGGAGGCGCAGATGGCGTTGTTCGAGCAGCAGGCGAACGGCGGTGCTGCTAGTGCGACGAACGGTACGAGGCCGGGTGATGCCGGGATGGTGGCGGCGGGACATGACAGCGACGGATCGTCGGACTCGAGCTCGGACGATGATAGTTCTGGGAGCGACACTGAGTAAATCATGCATGTCCTTGACTGTTGTTTGCCTTTCCCGTTTAGTCTACGTATTGGCACTTGCGTGTTTTTTCCGGTTCTTGTTCTTGCACATGCTCGTTGGTCATTGGTCGTTGGGTTCGTTCAGGGTGGTCACAGACTCGCTCTCACTTTATTAGTCGATTACTTACACCTACTTCTTTCCCAACTTCTTTACTGTTTCTCTTATATTATAAGACCTTTTTCCTCGCTTCACTTGACTGGACAGCCATCCGAAAGGCGATTGTTCAACCGATTGTAAGCCCGCGACCGAACCAAGAGAGTAGTCAAAAATATAGTGCAGTGCGAGACGTATATCATTGAAAACACCAAAACAGCGAAAGCGAGGACTCATAATCATATATGTACAACATTTTCCACTGCCCACGATTCCTCCGCGTCCTTGCGCGCCCCAGATCAAAAGGAGAAAGGGACTTGCTTTTACTGTACTCTGGTACCAACCACTCAAGCACTCACCCTTTCCGCCCTCCCTTCTGGAAAGCCTGCCAGCCCGACCTCGAACTCTCCCTCGCCTCCGCCTCTTTCTTCTTCGACTTCGAACTCTTCTTGCTGCCGGTCCCACCCAGCGGAGGACCCGATGGTACGATGGCTGGCGCGACCGCGGGGGTGATACCAGTAGCGTTTGAGGTTGAGGTGGATTGAGGAGTCGGGGGAGGTGCGGCTGGGGTCTCGGGATGAGGAGCAGCAGCAGCAGCAGCGGTAGAGGAGGCGGGCGCCCAAGAGGATGTGGATTGGGGAGGTTGGGTAGGGCGTGCGTTAGATTGGGACGATGTGGGCGGTGGGGGAGGAGGGATTGCGGTAGTGGGAGTGGGAGGTAAAGGCTGGAATGAGCGAGGAGCGGAAGGGGGAGGCGGGTGTGGGGGATGAGTCATTGGGATCGTCGATGGTGGAAATGGTGGCATGGAGGTCGGTGCGGATGGAGGGAAGGGAGGCATGGAGGGTGGCGGTGGTGGCGGTGGTGTTGCATGGCTTTGCGGAAGAGGTGGAGGGGAAAGAGCAGGACCAGGGCCAGGTGCAGGCGGTGGGGGTAAAGGAGGTCCAGTTGTCGTATCGAGGTTGGACCAGCCTCCTGTGCGGAACGTGGGTGCTGAGCCGTGAGAGTGAGAGGCCGGAGCTGGAGGTGGGGGTGGGGGTGTTTGTGCGGGCGGTGCAGGCCCTGGGAGAGATGCCCACCCCGAGCCTGAAGGCCGAGCTGCGGTAGGTGGTGGCGGTGGAGGTGGTTGTGCTGGGGACTGCGCCTGGTTGCTTGGAGTGGCCGTGGCCCACCCGTTGTTGGAACCCGAGGCCGAGGACGACGAAGCAGGGGCAACAGGGACAGCTGCAGCTCCAGACCCAACGGGCTTCGCAAGCTTGATCCCTGCCGCCTTTGCCATCTTCCTCAGCTCTTTCTCTTCGCGCTTTCTCTCCTTCTCCTTGCGCTTGTCCACCTCTTCCTGCGTGTTCTGCTTTTGACGCTGGGCGAGCTGCATGTCCCGGAAACGAACCTTGTGGTGGTGCGCGTACGAGTTCGTATGTTCGTCGTATTGAGCGACGTTCTGGAATTGTTTGTCGCAGACAGAACAGTAGAATGGGCGGAGGGTGCTGCTGATTTCGGATTGGAGGGCAGCACGGCGGGCGACGGTGTCCTACAATGTTTATTATATTATCAGCAGTGTTGGCATATAAATTCTATAGAGTGAAAGAGAGTGGACGTACTTCTCGTGCGAGACGTTGGTCTTCGGTTTCTTTCACTTGACGTTCGGAGTCGAGTTCCCTGCGCTGCGACACGGTCGTCTCTATCATGCGCACGTCCTGGCTAGTTTTACCTAGCCCTGTCAAATCATTCTTCACATAAAACGGAATCGGATCAACGCGTCCTGAACACCATAATTAAACACCATCAGTCCACAAGCACTCCGAAGCAAAACAATATGCAGTCAAAATGAGACATTGGACGTGAATAACGCACCCTCGCCAGAGATTCCAAGCGGCTGACCCTCCGTCCACCCCAACTTCGCCAACATCGCGAACCCCTTGTTCGTAGGCTTCAACTTCGTCTCAACCGTGATAGTCTCCCTAGCCACCCCACCCACATACTCATCATACTTGTCGATGTCCATTCCGTCTCCGCGGCCCTGGGGAGGAGGCGAAGGCGTCCTTGAAGCGATCGACATTTCGTCTTCGCTCTCCATGGCTGCTTGGTCCCTGGCAAAAGGGTTGTCTGCGTCGGGATCATCGACGTCGCGGTCATTTATGCTGGTTTCGTTGACGCCGGCGCTATCATGTTCGTCATAGGCGTCTCTGGATCGCTGGAGGGGAAAGGAGAGGGGCGGGGTAGTACTGGTAATACGTTTGGGAAGAACGATGGGAAAGGGATGGAAAGGCAGAGAAGAGGTGAAAGAGTACCTTCAGGCTTGAGTCTGGTTCATGTCTAGAAAGTGGGATCGCGTTCCAACGCGCGATGGATTCAGAAGACATTCTTCTGGTCGAGGTCGATGTTCAACGTTAGGGTGGTTTCAAGTGCCTTGACTCCTGCGTCATCAATACTATTCTGGGGATTTCAGGTGTACTTGTATACCCTACAAGGCTTCGAAGTAATCGGATATGGTGTAACGGCTAACATTGCCGCCTCTCACGCGGCAGCTCGGGGTTCGATTCCCCGTATCCGAATACAAACTCAGCAATCCTCCTTTTTTTTCGTTTCTTCCTCCGTATTGAACGGAGGACTCTGAGACAAAGATGTATCACTGTCTTTTCTGTTTCACTCCATTTCGGTCGTTTTAATTAGAGGTACCGGTGAACCACCATGGTCATCGATATGGAATTGGCCCACAGAGTATAGAGTAGAGCAGCAGCAGCATCATTGGTGCTAGCTCTGAGCTCGTTCGAGCCTCTTGTAAATTCCTTCAACGCACTAAGAAAGGAATGGCCACAAACAATACAGGAAAACGACCAGCCAAATCAATCTACCACACCATCCTGCCACCCTAGTCGACCACAATCGACACCTGCATTCACAGTCCCATCCCATCATCATTATCGCCTCCCCAGCCGCTCGAGATGATCACGTCGTCGTCAGGACCGCCACCTAAATCAATCGAGCCAGCCCTGTCGTAGCTGAATATATCGTCGGTGCCATCAAGAGCGCCGTTGTCGTCGGTCTTGGATTCAGCACTGAGATGTGAGGTGTTGGCTTTGTGAGTGGGTTGGCCGGTGACCCAGCTGATCTCCTTCGGACCAACGAGGGCAATGGTGCTCCCTTTTGCAAGACCCTATCATTCACGTCTATCAGTAAAACAATAACATGTGTTGAGATTTAGTGACATACCTGCTCGGCTCCCCCTCGACTCTTGAAGCTGACGACGACATCCCCCTCGGCCGACCTCTCTACCGAGTCCACCTGTCCAGTCGTCTCGAACCAATCCCGTACAGCTTGTAGTGAGTCTTCGCTGACGTCCCTGACGACTAGCTTTTTCGGTCGATTGTCGAGCTTCATGCTCGCACGGGCAGGCCCACCACCTCTCGTGGCGCCACGGTAGTAACTCCGCGAACCGCGACCGCGACCACGATATCCACGGTAAGAACCGTACGAAGGACCATCTGGGGCGGATGGGTCGATCCCTAGACTGGTAGCCTTGATAAAGCAAGTTGGTCAGATTTGCATCAGCCTCAGGGAAATTCAGAACAAAGCAAAGGAAGCAAGACTTACCTCGGCTTTCAACTTCTCCAACTTTGCCCGCAATGATTCCGTCGTCTCCTCCTCCCCTCCATCCGAGCCCACGGTCGCAGAATGCATCTCCAATTCCTTATCCAACCTCTCCCGCTCCTTCTGCTCTTTATCGTCCGGCCGTGGCGTGGCGCTCGATCTCCCCTTGAGATTTGAAGACGAAGGTGGCGGTGGCGTCGAAGGGGTAGAAGCCCCCGTCATCTCCTCGTTCAGTTTCCGCAACCGAGCCATGATGTTTTTCTTCTCGTCTCCAGAAGCACCGTCTAATCGTGCCACAAGAGCCTTCTGTTCCGCGATCTGCTGTTCCAGTCGTTGCTGCTTCGCAGCAAGAGCAGACATAGCAGCGGAAGGAGTCGATGATTTTCGGAAGGCAGACGGTGGTTGTTCTGACGGTGCTGCTTTTGAACTCGAAGTGGAAGGCACAGCGGCAGCAGAATTCGCTTTCGCAGCCATATTCGCCACTAGAGGCGCCGAAGCCGCCAGCATCTTCTCCCCCTTCTCCCCCTTCCCCTCCAGCGGCCTGTGCCAAAATAACTTAACGAACCGGTTTTTAAATACCGCCTCCTCCGAACTCCACGCCGCATGCGCCTCCTCATGTTTCGAAAAACTGACGAGCGCCTTCTGGCTCTTCGGGTCGATGGCGACGTTCGTGACCGTGCCGAACTGTTTGAACCAGCCGTTCACGTTCTCGAGCGAGAGCTTGTCCTCGGGAATCTTTTCAACGACGAGGGTCTTGTCCGCTCGTTTGTCCGGTTTGGAACCGGGCTCCGGTCTGAAATCGTGGACTTCGGCGGGGAAAGTTCCAGCTCGGTTTGCACCGCGGCCGCCCCCTCGCTTTGCACGATAACCTCGGGATTGGGGATGATGAGTGTTGCTGGACATCGGATGGTGAGCGGAGCGGTTGCCCATTTGGATGGAAGGATTGGTCTTCATGAAATTAGAGTCCACGTTCATAGAGTTATCGACCGCACCAGGCGTAGGGTGCCCCATCCCGTTCGCCATGTCGCCAGCCGGTACCCCGTTTGGTAGTGAAGCTCCATTCGAGCGAGATGATGGGTCGTTAGGATCCCGAGGTGTGAGATCCTGGATGACGGGAAGTTCGCCTGATCGTAATGAGCCACCGGCGCCACTTTCCATTTTGTCTCGAGGTATGACGGGTGCTCGGGGTGGACGTGCACCTGGTCCAACGCCTCCGTTTGGTCGCATGTCGATTCGAGAGTCGTGAGGGTCGTACGCTGGGCCGGCGCCCATCCCATTAAGGGAAACTCCACCGTTCTGAAACATGGGCATGTAAGGCATTGGGCCGCCCCCATTCATTGGGTAGGACTGGCCGGGAACGAAGGCATCGTCACCATGACTGTATTTGCAGGTCGAGCCTCGCGCGCAGTACCCGTTATCTGTCCGCTATGTCAGGAAGAGGGAGACATAGTATGAAGCAGGAAGGATAACGCACTGTGATAATCGCGACATATACCCCTTCTCTGATCTGGCGGCCGATAATGAGGTACCCGCCCGTTCATACCCGCACCTTCTCCCATCCCTGCCCCATTCATGCCATTGATCATCCCCATACCTCCACCCCTGCCCATTTCCATCCCACCGCGACCCATTCCCATCCCCATGCCTCTCCGCCCTCGATCTCCACCACGCCCATAACCGAAATTCTCATACCCTCGACCGTTCCTCGCAAACTGACCGTCGTGGCTCAGTCTTGGGCCCTTCGCCGGTCGCCCATCACGCTCATCGTATTCCATAGCACGTTTTCGAGAGCGTTCTGGCGATGCTGAGCCGGATGGACCCATCAGAGCGTCGAGTGGAATAGGAATGCCCTGGTCTAGTGATGAAGACGGTGTGTCGTCGGGCTGTGCGGAGTATGGTAGATATGACTTTGTGCGAAGAGTAGTGAAGAGCATGTCGATGAACGAGGAACACTCTATAAGGTTACAAAACAAACCCATTGGACAGTCAGAGAGGCTGTGGCGAATTGATGTAGAGTGACGCACCTTTTTCGAGGAACTCCTCTAGTTGTGCTGCAAGCTCTTTTCTTAGTTCAGCCTCCGGTGCATTGTGTTTTAACAGCGCTTGGATGTACTCTGCTAGGGCTTCTGGGTCGGCGTCACATCTGTTCCCGACATGAATTGGTCAATACAGCTGGGGGGTGCGGATGATGAGCACGTACATGGGCTCGAGCGTCTTGGTAAGCCATGGTTTCAGATGTTGTGATGTTGAGGGGTCAAACAGCATCGCGGGAGGCTCTTATGGAAGAGCAAGGTTATTGGAGAAGGAGAGGGTAGAAGATAGGTAGAAGAGGCCAGTGGAGGAAAGCTAACAAGCGCCATTCGCGAATCGCGTCAAACAGTCTTGTCACAACGTCACAGCGTCACAGCCAGTACCATCAGGTACATACCAGCTGCGCCACCCAAGGAGATCAGCGCCACGCCGTGTATCGACTTTTCTGTTCGGAGGTAAGGGCACGAAGGGGCACGATGATATTGATTCTTGGAACACATGTTCGAGGCACTACATCACACACAAATAGGCGCGAATGCAGTTGCTCATTCGGAAGGGAAGCCCTACGAGTCAAAATACAGGACTGGAAGTCTTTTGTTCACTATATCTTTACTCAGTCGGAAATCGTTGGAAAATTCTCCTCCACAGTACAGCAGTGTGGCATCGACTAAGGCGCACTACGAGCTCTGCTAGCTTACCATGGTCCCAGTCCTGGTACCGCACCTGCCAGCCTTCTCAATGCATCTAACAACTCAACATCTTCCATCGACAGTGTCTGAACCTTCTTCCCATTCTCCATCCCAAACGGGAGCCTATCTGGCTCACAAACGGTACCCTCCTCCGGCAACGTTCCATTCACGAAGTACGTCCGTACTGCCTTCGCCGTACAAACCGAAGGTGCTGACCACGAACAATGCCCATACGAATGCTGCTCCAACAGACCTGCACCGGCGTACCGCTCGCGCACTTTCCGCGCATCAGTTATAGGACAGACTGGATCGTACGAGGGATTGACGATGAGAATAGGATGTGCCGTGTTGTTTGCGGAGTAAGGGCCCGTATACCGCCACTTCGCTTCAATCTTCCACTCCAAGCAACGGAGGTGGAACAACGCCCACATGGGCGCTACTAAGGGCGACTTCGCTGCGAGCTTGGCGTAATGAGCTTCGAATTGACCTGGTTCCTCGATGAGTGGACCGGAATCACCGCACGCAACGGCGTAAAGGGCCTCATTATCTGCCGTCCAGGGGAGGCCTTCCGTACCACAGTCGCATGAGTGAGATAGCAAGCCGTCGACCTTTTCCTCCAAGACCGTCTGATTTCTCGTCTCCACGGCATACAACTCGTCCGCCATGTGCCCGAAGAATAAATATGGCTCGTAAAGCGCCTGAAAGAGTCTAACCCGCGCAAAATCCTTTGTGATCACAGCTGGGCCGGAAGACGCGAAAGGGACGGGTACGGGAGATCGAACAAGGTCAACGAATATCTTGTCGACCCTTTCTTTGACCCTCTCCGGGCTCGGCTCGTAAATCGCGCAGTTCGATGGACCCGCCATGGAGCAGAAACCATAAAAGGCTTGGTGGACGGATTCCATGAATTCGAGATTTGAGGACCAGAGGCCTTTGCTGTAATTCTCCGCGTCGAACACCCCGTCCAGAACGAGTCGTCCGACTTTGTCCGGATACATGGCGGCAAAATACTGGCCCAGGACTGTGCCATAGCTCTGCAGCGTAGAACGAGGTAAGTGTCAAAAAAAGCCACAGTATGGGCCGCGAGACGTACGAAGCCCCAGTACTGCAACTTCTCCTGGCCCAACTTCTCCACGATCTTCAACATGTCCGTCGCGACATACGGTGTGCTCATAAATCTTCCCGCTCCCCACTCCTCGCCAGTCCCGCCCGCTTCCTCCTTGCCATTCCCTCCAAGAGCGCGAAGACACATGTCTGCAACAACCTTCTCCCGACTACGAGCCCGTCCGAACGTCTCCTTCGCAGAGAGAAGCAAGCTATAGAGTGACTGCAAACCCCATTGTTTATACCCCCGATCCGAACCAAAGCATTGAGCCGGTGGCGTCGTGGCGCCCACCCCGCGAGGATCAAAGCCCAGAAGATCGAATTCTGGACCCACAATCTTCGAAATCATCTCTCCTCGGACTGGCATAAGCGCTGTTCCAGATCCACCAGGACCTCCAGGGTTAAGAAATATCGTTCCTTTGTAGTTTGCGAGATCTGTGGCAGGACGAAGGAGAAGTGCGATTTCTGTGGTGGGGAGTAATCGAGAGGTAGGGCTAAACGGGCACATTTGTGGTCGTCGAAGCAGGGTGTCCAGGTGATATTCTCGTGTGGTTGGAGCTGAGAGTACGTCAGTAATTGTCGGTGATCCATGTCGTTAGATCAATCGAACGGGGACACAAACCTTGTACCAATCAAACTCAGCGGTCGATAGATGTGGACTCGGGTGTAAATCTCGAGAGGATTCGTTGGCTATATGTTGTTGAATTCTCCGTAGTACGAGCGCGAATACGGCTGCGACAAGCAAGACAGACCAAGGATACCCAGTAGAGAATCGACGCCACCGACGTCCATTCCAGGATTCCAAGTCCTCAGGTTGCACCAGATGTTTCGATACGTCGGAGTGAGAAGTCCCCATCATGGTGGTTCGCATCAAACCGATGCCCCAGTGTCACCATACTCCTGTCAGATACCAGAGTCCAATCGGCCGTGGGTTCGTGAGGTGTCTTGAAGAGCATGGGTCACTTGGTGATGCATGAGTTTATCAGATAATTTCTCTCGGATCAATTGATCACGGTCTGTCATCTTGGCACCCGGTCAATTCCGAGCTCACATTCTTCATCTTACTACCTGCACACCACCGGCGGGCAACATTATTGCACACCTTCGCCGGGCTTGCCTCCGTACCATCCTCTACTTCACCAGCTCAACCAACCAATGTCTGGCCCCCCTCCCCCCGCACCGCCGTCTGCGCCCCTGCCTTCCGGTGCACATCATGCGCCATCGACGACATCTAGCGATCGTGCCCTCTATGGGCCTCCTCCTAATAATGATCCGATACTTCAATTGATGAGCTTGATTAGAGAACAATTCGTGAGACAGGAGCAGAGAGATGCGGAGAGGGAGGTTAGAGATGCGGAGAGGGAGGTTAGAGATGCGGAGAGGGAGGTCAAGCAGGCGGAGAGGGAATCTAGACTGAATGACACTTTGGCGGGTATGCAAGCATCGATGGCGGGTGTGCAAGCATCGATGGCGGGCTTGCAGGCCTCAGTGGATAAGCGGGGCGATACTTTGCAGCAGGGGTTTGGAAGATTGGCAAACCTCTTGACAAATGGTTTTGCATCTAGGTGAACTTCAGTAGGCCTACGACAAGTCTCGGGATTCAATGAAGATAACTTCTGTCATGAGAAATACTGTACATCAAACCACCACCATCGAGTCTCTATGTACGATTTAATCCTGCCAATGACAGCGCCAGAGACCCTCGAGAGCGTAATAATACCCTCGAAGTGGGTCCAGAGCCATATTTCTCGAATACGTGGGGTGGATGGGTCCTTTGAGGCTCGGATGACGCTGAAAATGCCGATGTCTCCTCCTCCAACTTCCAACATATAATGACACCTTCGGACTGAACTATCTTAGAGAGCTCGAGACCCTCGAGAGCGTCCTCATTCCCTCGAGTATCAGTACATCTATCCTACCCTAGATTATCTGAGACCGTGAGAGACTACTGTACACAGGATGCTACAGTTAGCGCATGTACTGATTACGGATATGGGGTATTGGTCCTTATGGGCCCGTTTTGTACTCTGAATTAATCTTCCTTCCTTCCTTCCTTCCTTCTGCAGGTGGAAATAATAGTATTATGGGTCCTCAAGAAAATGTCTATGGTAGTGTTTGAAATATGAATAATGTCCGTGATGTTCGTAGTAGCTTAAGTAGTTATTTTTGACCTGACCAATACCCTGAACTTTGCTGCAAAAATACACAAACTGACTCATTCCTTCCTGTCCGATCATGCTAGAGTCCCGTTGACATTGACATCTCCTGCGAGAGGCCCGAGAAGCACCGAATAGGGATCAGGGAGCGCAGCTCTCACATCTCCTGGATAGTAGATCGTAGCGAGTGTTTCGTTCGATGAGGCGGAGACGTTCCCGGTGGTGAGAAACTCTATCTCAGCCGACCTGGCAGGACCAGGGACTGCACAACGGGTCAGTTGACTGTGGCGGTGGACGACGCGACAAGGGGCAGTGTGAGAAGAGATAATTACCGTAAATCGTACCATGACTGTCTCCGTGGCGGTCGACGAAGATGGAGTTTGGTGCTTGAGCCCATTCGACCGTCGACCACTCAGTCGGTGTGCTATGGGGTATTATAAGTTAGTATCGTTTCCATACATTTACTACAGCAGATCAATACGGGCTTACTTGAGGTCAAAGTCTGAGGTGACGAGCAAGAGGGAGACATTGGTAGGAAGCTCTCCGGTCACGCTAGTATTCGCGGTAAATGGCCATCCTCCGCACAGAGCCTAAGTCATGCATTAGGTACTATATCACAACGGCGAGAATCGGAAGTGTTACAAGACTCACATAAAGTGTCATGTCTTGGGAATAGGTCATGTTGTAGGTATCAGCCTGCGCAGCGGCCTCGCGCAACGCTTTGAACCCAGCAAATGTATTGTTGTCGAGAACTGTTCCACATACAGGATGAGGTCAGAACTGATGGCCTCAAGAGAACTAAGTAACACGTATACATACCTTCATCCAGACAGACGATCGGTAAGGCGACGAAAGTTCCCGCAGAGTACTCGTCGGCAATGGTGGAATAGTCAAGTGCGGTGGTATCGTTCAGACTCAGTGCAGCGTAGAGAGCCTGGCTCAACGCCGAGAAGTTCGGGTCAACGTTCATGTAGCCGATATAGATCATGGCACGTATGTCGTCAGCCGTAACACTTCCATAAGCTCCAGCGAGGGCGTTGTCGATTACTGAGCTGAAGGCCTGTCAAGTTGATGGTCAGTCAAACAAACGAGTTACGATTGAATCAGAATGCTCGATGACGAACCGATACAAGGCCGCCCTTGCCCTGTGACTTGAAAGGACAAGCCCCGTCGAAGTCGACACAGTAGGCGTCCGCGCGGAGCAGAAGACGGTTGACGGCCGCCAATTGGAGTGTCACGACCTCCGTGTTGTTCTAACATGTATTCTCGTCAATGGTAGGCAGAAGGGTACAGGCAGAGAGTTCACAATGCCTGGAGGGAAGACCGCGTCAAGAATGAAGCGGCCGGTATGCTCAGGATATTTGTGTGCATAATTTGCCGCTCCATATGTTCCACTGAGATCAAATACTATGAGTTGATTGCAATTGCTCCGACGGGGAAAGCTCATACTCACTAAGAAACGCCTAGGAAATTCAACGTATCGTAGCCAAGCGCTTCTCTCACGCTGTTCCAGTCTTGTATGGTGTCCGCTGTACCGACATGGGCGAGTATTCCCGGTGGAGTACTCAACTCCATGCAGGATTGCGCGTATCGAGCAGCCAGAGCCTGGTAGGAGGCGAACTCTTCTTCAGTAGAAGGTCTGACGAAAGACATGAGAATGAGCAAGTCTTGGTAAACAGAGTAGATGACGTACATGCTGGACGGGAACGAGATGCCATCGATGAAACAGTTCAGTGGGTTGGAGAAATAGGTACCCCTGACGTCCATAGCTGTAAAAAAAAACGATGATTATTAAACACGGCATACAGGATTTCTAAGGTCGGAACCACGACGCACCGAGGATGTCGAAGGATTCGAGACCGGTGAACGCATCAGCACCGGAGAGATTGAGAGCCACCTGCCATGCGTAGGATGATACCTCCAGAGCGGGGCCGCCTGGACAAAATCTGAATGAGTTCGAGTTACGCCTCTGACGCCCTGAGCACACAGACCTGGGTTGCTGATAACGAATATTAGTTTCACGCAGAACGTGGAGTTGGAGAAATACTGCTCACAAATTAAGAAGTCCTTGAGGGTTCTCGGGCCGATACATCGAGAATCCAAGAGCGATGGTATTATTCTCGTCCATCGGTTGAGAATAGTCCATGGCGACATCTAGACGGCCACAGGCTAGCGTAGAAGGGAGGGTGTCTGGGAGAGTAATATTGTCCTCCAGCAGTGGTGACGGAACATTGAGGGCACAATCCACCCATTGAACACTATTAGCTCGTCGAGAAAGAGCAGCAGCCAAGGAGCCCTCAGCAGCGAAAGAGACCACCATAAGAGCAAAGAGGCATGAGGGTGAAAAAGGCATGACTGCTCAAGCAATAAAAACAAGAAGCAGAACGGAAATATGAAGAATGAATGACGGGAGTCCTTGAGTCGTGGATAAAGGTTTTATACTCCTCTAGCCCGAAAGCCGAGCACAGCAATAAACTTCAAGTTGACCATCAATCATGAAGAGCAAATAAAGCTAATATTGCATCACAGCAGATCGGCTGCGCGAAATGATGGACTTGGACATACCTGCGTATGGTCCCCTATGTGGACCAATCGACACAAAACAAACACGGATTGATCAACGGCCAAGCACATATATCACGTTGAAGGCGAAGGTGTAGAGATCACCAGCATGCACCCATAACCAAGCTCAGAGGAGATGACGCACAGCATTGCGGTGAATATAGTCCGGGATAAACTTGAGTGAGTTACAGGGACAAAACTCATGCTATACTAGCCCGCTCAAGTTCTCTGAAACATGCAATGATGTTGTGGCAAAAAACCGCGAGAACTGATAACCAATTCAACAGCCCGTAGAAGATGCCTCATGTAGGCATGGTCTACATGTTCAGCCGCTTTGGGTTAGCTAGAGATGAGCTCACGTTTCACTGTGTCAGGACGCTTGCATGCGTGAGAAAAAAAGTTCACCTTGAAGGGCCAGTAAGCATGTCGTGACGACTAACTGCACAAACAATTTTTGGGCCACTAGACTCTAACAACACAGGGTCAAGGCAGTTTTAGGAGACGTATTACTATAGATTGAACAGGACAAACTTACCTAGAAGACACAAGGCACAGTTCGCGGAACTTGCGAGCACCCTCGGTGGTATCCCGGACAATGAACAACAACGGTCATGAATCAGACATCGATTCGCTCTCGATCTAATGTGGCGATACATGGACAAATAGTGGTGAAATCCCACTGCACTCGACTTAGCAGGCTCCTTCATAAGAGAGAAAGAGATATGAGAAAGAACGCAAGTGGACGAACAAACACGACCGTCGGAAACAAATACAAAATGGTGTTAGCAAGTGCAGCTATAAGGAAAGGATCAAATGGAGAAAGAAGAGCCTGTCCTCGAGATATCAAGTCTACACACGATGGTGACAGCCCCTAAAGCCCCATAACGTAGATATGAACAAGAAAATAGAAAGTTTCCGGATAGTATGTGGAATACCTCCAGGCGACAAAAGCCGTTTTGCGAGACTGTCCGACGTATGTATGTACGTCTCGCGAGTCCGAATCTGACCGATCGCCTACCGGTTCTCACCGAAATACCCACCATAAACCAAATGCAAGACTGACAAGAACTCCAATGGCACGGAGGACGAGCACAACGACGAGAGCTTTCCGAACGGCGGCGTAGAAAGTTGTCAGGGCTGCACCTGTCCAATTGATTCTGTTGCGAAAAGTGAGCTCGAGCCTGATGACAGAATTTCGTCTGGGTCACATACCGCCTGTCGTTTGTGCCACCTGCACGAATGGAAACCTCCCAACCCCTGATCACTTCCCGATACCTCTTTCCGAACACCCAGATCCAAAAGTTTACGTCCGGGTAGGAGAACCTCGGGAACACACTCGTCAAACTAGGCGGAGCATTGATGCGCCCCTTGCCCTTTCCGTGCCTCCGACCATTCCGTCTCCTCATATCCTTCCCATTCCGCATACCTGCGTTTGATCCGTTCCATCCCTCATTCAGCTCAAGCTCTTCGCCGTTTTCTCTCGTGATGCCCATATAAATATCGGCATCCCACGGTGTGAGTGGTGCACCAGGGGTGGGCGACATGTAGGCTAAGAGGTCGAGCGTCATGCCGAGGGAAAGACCCCAGAGTTTGAGAGCGCTAGATGTGGGGTGGCGAAGGGAAGGTGAAACAGAAGCCGGGTGAAGGGCTGGATTGAAAGTCCCAGCTTCCATCTCTAGCGACCCACGGGATTTTTCGGATGGTGATGATAAGGACGGCGGGAAACCGGACGTAGGTGAAAGAATGAGCGCGGGGAACTGCATGCTACCCACAAGAGCGCGCATGAGCAAACGAAGGGCAATCGAATGCCGTGGTGCGAGACGCGAGGCGGTATCGACGCTGACGGTAGACCAGATGGGACCCGCCCCAGAGTTAATGGACGAGAAGGGGAGGAGTGACGCCAGAGGAATCCAGTGAAGTGTCGTCTCCGGATTGGGATCAGTGGTGACTTGGGTCGGAGACAGCTGCAAAAAGACTGCCTTGGGGTTAGACGAAAGTTGAGGATATGAAGGCCGTTGAGACGCACCAAAAGGCGAAAGAATCATGAGAAGACGCTTGCCGAGCGAGGTTGTGATTTCCCTGTCGTCTAGCTGTCCGATGCAAGTATAGTCATTCTCTGCTAGGTCAAGACCTATCTCTTCCCAGGTCTGGCGCATGGCTATAATGAGATGGATGAGAATAACGCATACGAAGAAAGAGCATATGAACTTGCCAGTGTACTGCCCGCCCTCGTCTCCCTCCTCCATCCTGCCACCAGGAAATGCTACATGAGCCTCTTGCGTGTTTGAGGTCGAGCCGTCGACATCGGGTTTTGCACGCTGGATAAAAAGAATTTCTGGACGAGCAGCAGGGTGATTGACCCAATCGAGTTGAAAAAAGTCGGAGAGCGAAGGTGGGGTAGAAGTCTGCGAGGTAAAATTCGGTGGAGGAACCACACGAAGAATAAGGGCAACCGCAGCCCGCCGAGGTTCTAGTTAACGAGAGGTTCAGTGTGATTAGGAGTCAATGGTGGAGGCGGATATTAAAATGCCTACGAGTCGGCGGGGAAGCAATAATCCGCGGAGGTGTTGTGCGAATGCGATGGAGGGCTCGAGAGAGCAGCCCAGTCACAGACTTGGGTTCTGTAGAGACGGCATTAGAGGCAAAATAATGATGCAATATATCATGAATAAACCTTGGTACGAAGACATGATGGGAAAGAGCAAAGGGAAGTTGGGTACGTCGTGTGCACTGCCGACTCTAACGGCCTGCCGAAAGTAGCCTCTGCGTTTTCGTTGGGGTAATGACGTTGACTCAGCCACGAGACCAGTAAATACCAGTAAATACTCACGCCACATCTTCCAGTAACAGTTTGTTACGTCCGTATATTCTTCTATCTTCCACTTGTCTGCGATGTACCACCCTTATATTTGTAGCCGCATTACCTGACAGACTCTGGATGCAACACAGGGTCGTCTTTGATTTGTGAGGATATTCAAGAGCACACTGTCACCCATACAGGCGGCAGAGTAAGCAGTGTCGAAGTTGACCATCATCCATCCGATCTTCCAACAACTTATAACATTCTCATCAGTCCCTCATGGCTACCTTATATGGCGTGTCGAGTAGTCACCGGGCTCAGCAACTGGTTTGGAAAAGACAATAGATCTGCTCCACGCCAGGATCCTGGTCACTCATTATCTGCCAGTACTCAAGCGCTCAAGCCTGGTCCGACCACAGCGACGTTCTCTGTCCTTTCGAGCAACAAGGGACCATGTGGCGAGAAGGCGATTCAAAGCACAGGCTTCGCTTACCTGGCCTTCTATTCTGACTTCCTTGTTGTTCTTCTAGGCTTTGAAAACTGGACTGCCATCGCCTTGTGAACTTGCGCCACCCATCCGATATGCATCGTTCCTCCTTATTGTATCATCGCTTTGAACCTAGTAAGCCCCTGCTCATACGCTATATAAAGCACCCAACCTTTCATGCTTTTGATCCCACCCCACTTGACTATCTCATCGCTAAACTCTTTTGTCTTGAGACATCCCATGATGACCGGACAATACCAGAGGCTCCCGACAGATGAAGAAGCGCTCAAAGCTCTAAACCCGTGAGTATGAGTATGCATGCGTGTTACACTTGATCTGACAACAGCACTTTAGACAGACGATCAGCAATGACCCTTCCGGAAACCAAAGGTGAGGAAAGGCGCCATCATCGTACGGAGAGAACTACTTAACAAGGGCATGTACAGCTGGGTCAGGAGAACCCTACAACGTCTTACAAGCTGCGAATGCATCAGCTTCAGTCTTCTCATGGGGCTGCTATTCTTCATAGCGCTATTCGTCTTGGTTCGTGAATACCACTGGACCCAATCAAATATCACACTACTAACTCGTATGCATAGATCATCAAGGGGTTGACGGTCCTCGTAGAGGATGCTCGCGCACCCAGTCCAATCGCAGGCACTGAATTAAGCAACAGTACTACTACGGAGTGGGACGAGTGTCCTGCAGCAGTCGTTTGGAGTGGCTTAGTGCATGTTCTTATACTCTTGCAAGCCTGTTTTCTCCTTATATTCAAGTTCTCGTTCTCGACGTGCGTTGTATATTTCTTCATTCCACATGGTCATAGATCTACAAATGAACTCACGCCGGTTTCCTTTCGATTTAGGCGTCGTACAACCGACCTTCTCATCCGTAAATCGCTCCGCGCATACCCCGTTCTGCTCGTCGTCGGTTTCTGCATACTGGTCCTGTACGGCGGCCACTGTTCAGACTCTGCGCCAGGTACTTTTGCATTTACAGCTTGGACCGAAGCGCTAGTCATCGTGCCATCTATAATCGCCTATCAAATTGGGTAAGTGTTGTATTGCTTCTGGGTGCTGGAGGGACTTCAGATACTGATGAAAGTCTTCATGACAGGATGGACGAGATGCGCTTAGATCCCAAGGATGACACAATTATGCTCGAGGAGCTTGATAGCGTTTGTTGTCAGTGTCTCTGACATGGAAGGTTCATTGCGAAACAACGACACCTAGCCTGGCAGTGACGCAGTCTCTCTCTCTATCCTTTATTCTGGACATTCCGGTCATCAAATATATGTAAATAAAAAATATCCCTATGTACAACAATTGATATGTTCACAATTCACAAGCTGACGCTACCTCAGGCTGCAAATTGAACACCGATAACTAATTGTGTGTATACAACAAAATAGCTCCCTCTCGCATGTTTACCTCACGCCGGATATCAAAACCCCCTACGCTCATATTGTTGAGGGACTGCTGCTTATGGGGTAGAGGGGATGTACATTGGCTCAATTCTGTGCAGTATGGCGTGAGAAAGATCCTTCCGAGTCACTCCGATCCTTAAGCTTTTAAGCGCTTAAGCGCCACACAACTTGAAGCTCGCCAACTTGAACCTACATCACTTTCGACCTTGTCATCCTTTCACCACCTCTCCAGAACCCTCTGTGTTAGACTACCAGATTTTTGTTTCTGACTCTCTTGCTCGATTATGCTAAATGACTGTATCCTCGGAGAGACCGGCCTCAGTACATACCACTGCCCGCCAGACGCGAGAACGCCGAAACCTCCCCTGTTTCTGCCAGAGGGGGGCCACTGTCACTGCTTGACCATGCTTTCTTCGTTCTTTGGGAGAACATGGGCTCTTCTTGTCTATGTGCTTCCATACTTGTGGCCTCCGAATGTCGGACAAGGCAGTACATGCGCAGTGCGAGGCAGTGACGGATCCTTGTTCGACCAATGCGGTAACATCTTTGTGCAATTGTCTTCTTGCGTCTAGTTCATGATTCGAACGCTATGACTGCCGCCACCGTTCACACCATAGCATTTCCTATTGTTCCTCGTTTGCTATGAAGTCACTGTGGCGCGTTGTACACAAGTTATAAGATGGCGTAGCTCTCTTGAGATTCATGACACCAACCAGTCTACCGTTCCACTACTGTCAGCTCTACCGCACAGAATCCTCCATGGACTACCTACGTATACCAGCACAGGTCCACATCAGACTCCCCACTGACAACGAGATCCCACAAGAACAGGAAGTTGACACGACGTGCGTCCATTTATTATCTCTTCGCTGGAAGTTTCACTCTCTGACGAGATGCCCTATCCGTAGACACTCTGAATCAGATTTACCCGGTCACTCACCCGTTGCAATCATAGCGTGAGCATATATGAAACTTTGTATTCACTCAATCCATACTAAGGACTTGAACTTCAGCCCAGCTTGCGCAACTGAGGATATGCTAGACGAAGAACAGTGGCACTTGGCGCTGAACCCGCAACAGCCTGGTGCACCGTCCGGGGCCGAACAACAACAGCGGTCCAACGCTAATACGAGCTCCAAGCCCGGACAACCCAAACCAACCAAACCCTCCTGGTTTGCGCTCATAATGGAATTTCTCTTCCTTGTCGCAGTCTGCGCTCTGGTGCGTACTACTTACTCTGACCGTCACTTCCTCATCAACTGTCGTCGTAATGATGGCAAACCTTTGGATGACACGGACAGATCGTTAAGGCCGACATAGCATTCGTAAAGGATGCCCAGACCCTCGTTCCAGTGGATGGGGACGAAGGTACCCAACTGAAGGAGTATGATACGTGCCCAACGATGGTCGCCTGGAGCGGCTTCGTGCTCGCTCTCATCTCTTTCCAGGCCCTCTGTTTTGTGATTCACGACTATTGCCTTCCAATGCATGTCCTCACCATCATCCACACAATGCACCCCAATCATGGGTCGCTGATCATGACCTGCATGCCCTGATCACAAACTCCAGCCAATTCATCACTTGGCCCCTCCTCACCAAATTCTTCCATCCCTACCCAATCCTCTTCATGCTCGGCATTTGCATCGGGATCATCTACGGAGGCACATGCTATCAAGCCGCTCACAACGTCTTCGCATTCTCCGCCTGGACGGAGGTGATCGTCTTCTTGTTGTCTGTGGTTTATGTGTTATTCAAGTACGTCGCCTGCATCCTCATCACCACGGTTCGGTGTTGACGCTGTCGGCGGAATTTAGCTTATGATGCGTAGGGCTTGCCCGACCTAATTTGCAGCCCAGGGATATAGACGATAAAGTTGTAGAATTTTTCTGTGAGAATATGTGCGGCTCATGCTATGATTCTGATTGAATTGTAGCTTTTGCGAATTATGTACTGTATACCCTCGGGACCATATATACCTGTTCTCTCCCTTTAAGGACGTTCTATATAGAAGTCCTTCCGTTGATCCTGGAACGTGAAGTTGAGCTCACTGTTCGCCCCAGCCGCCTCGTGAGTTATGGCTCTGTGAGCGACCGGTCGACCGTGATATCTCTTCAAGCAATACTAGCTCATGCTATGTTAACTTCACTAGCATCCACAAACGTACAACGGTACATTATTCGTCTTCACACTTGTCCTTGTTTCTTCTCTCTATCTATATCTCCTCTCGTCCCTCCCCACCAAACCTCCCAGTCTACACACCCCGCGCCTATACCATCTCCATCTCACAACGGCAACCCGCAAACCTCACAGTCCGACCCCCCATGCGAATTCTCAAACGTACAATGCGGACACACCCTCAGCCCTCCCCCACCAGACCCGCCAGCTCCCGATCCGGCGCCACCACCAAGGCCCCCGAGTCCACCTGCACCTTCCGCACCTCCGAACTGTTCGTACAGCTCTGGAGGGATGTCTTCGTCCATGAGGTGGGAGGAGGCTCCAGAGGGAGCAGGTTGCGAGGGACGTGCGGGTGCTGTTTTCATTAGACGGAAACGTTAGTATTGTGAGAAGAAGAGGAAGTTAGGGAAGAGGACGTACGGCCTGATTCGCGAGCGAATGTGATGATGGTCTGCCAGCTTTCCGTTCCAACGAGAGGGTCAAGCACCGCCGGATCGTCCAAGCTCTGTGCAGAGGCGACCTTTATCAAGACTTTCATATCCGCCTTTTCAAAAACAAAATAAAACAAAGCTCCTATCAATTCGACCGCTTCACGAGATAATGCGAGAGAACGCGCACCTCAGAGAACAACCCAGACGTCCCCAAAAAGGCCACCAGATGCCAATCCGAGAGATACTTGGCGAGTGCGAGACGGCGGAGCACGTCGCGGTCGTGTTTGCTGTCCTGGACGTCGGGAGCATGGAGCTCGTTGAGTCTGTGCAGGACTTTCTCGATTTTTTGATCTTCTAGGCCTGGTCTGTTTTCGATTGGGAAGGCGATAGAATGGAACAACGGAGATGGATTTTGTGGGAACCCATGTGTGACCTATCGAATGTATTCGATGTGATGAGTATTCGGCACATGCGAAACAGGAAAAGGAAAAGTATGGACTCACATTGACGAGCAAGTATTCTACAGGGAACGCCGGCTTCGCACTCTTCTTCACCTCGATCTTATACTCATTCCTATACCTGAAAAACACGTCGGGCACATATCTCGCCTCGTCCCCGTCTTCGCCTCTACTCTCTGCCTTCACTCTCATCACCCCGGGATCCACGCTCGCCTCGATCATATCCGCCTGTACCATCCCCACAGCCTGTTCCGAAACCTGATACGCCGACACGTCGATCTGATTGTCCTCTGTACCCGTCAGTACGGCGGTGACGAGTCTCGAGGAGAAGGCTCCGGTGGGCGAGGATCGAGAGGGCATAGGGTGGAGGGATTGCATGTGTGCGGCGAAGATGACTTCGAGGGAAGAGAGAAAGAACGAATTCGGGTGTCTCTTGTATTTCGTCTTTGACCTATCTTCCGGCTCAGGATCCAAATCCGTGAAGATATAGCCCACGATCGACAAGGGCGTCGACGCAGATTTGGCGAGCTCCTTCAACCGTGGTTCGTCATCCCAAGGTAGACCGAGCGAGAGACCGTCCAGTTCGCCTTCTTGAGGTGGTTCGTGGATGGCTTCGACAACGGCTTTGACACCCATAGGGACTTTGTCGTAGGGCTCGTAACGGCCGATCAGCCAGCCGAAGCGTTGGACACCAGTTACGCGCCAAGCGTGCAGGAACCGGTCGACGATGTCCATGGAGGCGATCTCGAGATGGTCGACTGTACGGAAGGGTTGACTCTGGAGGGTGATAGCTGAAGGTTGGCATGCAGTACAGATCCCTGCGGGCCAGGGGAGATGGCCACCAGTCGGACAAGGCACCTTCACTTTGTAGTCCGGCGGAGACAGCGGTGGAAGGGAAGCAGCGGCAGTGGAAGAGGTCTTCGGTGTGAGTTTCCGGAGGTAGGAATGGAAAGAAAGATGTTTGATGTTATGTTCGGTGTGATAAGAGGAATCGTAGGGTTCGAGGGGCATGCAATGGTCGCACATGGCGTTGGGGCCGTGCTTGCAGAATTGAGCATCACGACCCCGAGGAATCTTACCATCCTGGGAGCGCCAGTAACGGTCGACTGCATCCTCTTCGACATTCTCCCATGGCCGAGCAGTGGAAACCTGGATACCTGTCGGTTTAGAGGCATTGGCCACGACCTGGGCTGGTGCTTGAGACACGCTTCCCGACGGCCGTTGTTGGTAAGAAACAAAGACGAGGTCCCCATGTCTATATGTTAATAAATAAGAGACGAGATGGATACAGCGGCAACCCGTGATGAACGCACTTGAGCCCGAGATCCTTCATGTTGCGCCCCTTTAGTGTGGAGACAGAGGTCTCGTTGCCTCGAGGCTGATTCGAGATCGCGAGGGTCGAGACATCACAGTCTGTGGTCGTTTCCACTATCTAGAATACTTGAGTTAATATCCAGAAGGCCTTTCGATACATGGTGGATGTAATGACCTTGGCCACGAGCTCTTCGATCTTGGTGGTGGGCTCCACTTCGAAACGAAAGTTACCATCGCGGGAGCGAATACGAACAAGCTACAACACCAACGGTCAATACGACGCATTATACAATTAATTTGGAGAAAACGGACCATAACGTCTCAAGCAAAAGAGTGTGGCGGTCAAGAGAGAGGGCGACGCGTCTTCGAAACGGACGCGTCATGCTGACCAATCATGCACGCGAGATCAATATTGATCTCATCTCTCGATTCGAGGAATTCGGAATTGTGGGCGTATATAAACGAGCACTGCACCAGCCGAATTCCAGATGGCCTGCAATTCCAGATACTTGCCCCAGGTGGCTGTTCCCCGTCGTCGATCCTACTTACAGCAGACGTGTCCGTCGACGTTCAGCTCAGCACGATGCATGTTCTTCGTCCCCTCTGCTTTGATTGTTGCGTGGCTTCTATCAGCAACCAATGGGACCTTTTACCGATTTCGAAACGGGTCTGGAATACAAATAAGTATGAGGGGATGATGTGTCAGCACCTCTCGTGTGTAAATGCCATGGCGGTCGAGTTGGAGGTGGCGGTTCGCTGATCTGGCGCAATCGAATGTCGCCATTGCGAATCATCAAACAAAACGTTGAGCTGTCCTCGCAATGCAGCCTCTCCCTTTCGCCTATCCTCCTTCTCGTCTTCTTTGTCGTGTACATATATACCTCACCGCATCCTACCCAAGCCCCCTCACACGCCGGCGCTCGTCTGGCGTAGGGCCATGCTCGACTCCCCTTCTTACGAGAGCCCACTCGCCCTCGCGAATCCCTCCGATAGCCTCGTACTTAACTCGTTCGACGCTGAGAGTATACAATCAGAGCTCGCCCTCTGGGAGTCTCTCAATTTTTCTTTCACCGATATGGATAAAGACGGGAGTGGGAGCGGTCTCAACAGACCCCCTTCCTCATCCTCAGGCGCGCGTGCCACGGATTCAAACAATCCCTCAACAGGCTCCAGATCAGCGAACAACGCCAATAATAATAACCTGAGCAGCAACAATCCCGTGCGTACCCAGTAACAAGATTAACGTTCTTACTTCCCCGAATTCCGAATTCAATTAAAGTTGACTTCGTATTCCGAATTCATCATTGTCCAGGTTCCCACCCACCATACCACCGGTGGCGATGCTTCCAGTGCAACGTCTGGGCCGTCCAATGTTGGCGTCAACCCGCTCAGTACGCCGGAGGGGTATGAGGCTCTGGCGAGGGCGTTGCGCACGCTACAGGAGGCGTATATGTTTATGCCACCGCCACCTGTGCCACAAGCCCAAATGCAACAGCAACAGTCGTTCCCTGCTATGTCCGCTCCTGCCCCGCAACATCACCACCACCAACAGCAGCAGCAACATCAACAGTCTAACGATGCCTCGCAGTACCTCGCCAACTTCTCTCCCAACATGCTCAACCAGCTTCCGCTGCTCCAGCTCCAGATGCAGGCTCAGCTACTGCAACAGCAGCAGCAACAACAGCATCAGCAACACCATAACTCCCCTCCGCCATTCTCTCTCCCTCACCAGCATCAACACCCACAACAGCCCCAGACCCAGCTTCATCATCAAACCCAGCAGCAACAACGTGAGCAACAACAACAACAGGAGTTCAACAACGCCCTCTCCCTCTTCCCCTTCCTCTCTCCTAATTCTCCCTTCTCGCCCCCTCCTGGGCCGTCCTCCGGCTCATCGTCCCACCTCCAACAATCCCACCACTCCCACCCGTCCGCGTCCTCGTCCTCCGCACCCATGTCCATAAACACCCAACTCCAATCTTCGTCCTCCCCCGTATCCGCTAACTCCACCGCTCCTACATCCCCTAATCTTGGCTCCGCCCAAGACTCAGGTCAGGGGATGGGTATGGGTATGGGTATGGGCGGTATGGGCAGGGATTCGCCAGAGACGGAGACGGGTATGGCTGAGGAGAAACGGAGGCGGAATACCGCCGCGTCTGGTAAGGATATCTTTATACCACCGCCCTCCTTCCTCCTCGCAGTCGCCTCAACGCGATTATCACGCATCCAAACCTAATCCAACGCACGTCCAATATTAACCAACCAACCCCCCTTCCCAGCCCGCTTCCGCGTCAAAAAGAAACAAAAAACACACAACCTCGAACGGACCGTCTCCGAACTAACCGGCCGCGTCGACGAGCTCGAGCAGGAAGCTTCCGACCTGCGACGAGAGAACGGATGGCTGAAGGAGATCGTGACGTTGAAGAGTAAGCGGTCGACTGGGGACCTGATTCAGGCCGCTACGGCGTCGGGATCGGGGTCTGGTGGCGGGGATGGCGGTGGTGGCTCGGGAAAGGGTAAGGACGGAGGGGGGAATGGGAGTGGGAGCGGGAATGAGACGGATAAGGGGGAGGGAGGGAGTGGGGCTGGTGCGGGAGGTGGGGGTGGAGGAAGGAGGAAGAAGACGCCGTGAGGGAGGTCTCAGATGTTAGGGCGAGGTTCGGTGGTTGAGAAGGCGGGCCAAATAAAGGACATCGTTGATCTACGACACGGAGAATAATTTATATCCAAATGCTGTATCTATCCTGTTGAACTTTACGCTGTATCCTCCAGTGCAATTCTTTCCTAGTCATTCATTGCGGGCCTTTGGCAGAATGCCGCACCAGGGGCAGATATGTGTGGAATCCAGGGGGGGTGTATGTCTGGAATATAAAGCGATGGATAGCAGCAAGGATAGTACATGGATACTCAACGAATAACGACAATGAATGCTGAGAGAACAGAGCGTCCGGCGGGGGCTACACAACTTTCTTCCCTACACCCGTGGATGTTGTCGGTGAGGAGGGCTGTGACGACGGCGTAGGATGTGATGGGTCTGAACCAGTATTATTGTCGCCTTTCAGGTTCGTCAGCCCGAGGTTCTTGAAGTCGTCACGGTCCATGAGTCCCCTGTTGGGCCACAGTAGAACACAACTATGCGTCAGCAAACGGAAGCCTAACATTATAAATCCCTCAAGTAGGAATGTACCAGTCGAGACTGAGTTAAAAACAGACAGAGTATGATGGAGACACAGAATATATATGCAAAGAGAGAACCACGTACTTCCTCATCCTACAATCCAAATAATCCCGGCTCAGATGTCTGCACTCCGTCGACGCATTATCGTTCTTCTTCATGCACTCCATATACACCATCATCGTGTCCCTACACTCGCCTTCACCCACGAACAGTACTGCTAGGTAAGTATTTTGTATGGACTTCGAATGAGTGGATAGACGTACCCCAGTGGTCCAGCGGGAAGGATCCCCTGTCGGGTGGCGAGACGGAGAAACCGCCAGAGATCGAGGGAGGGCGGCCGAATGACATGATTCAGCGAGGTTTATATTCAGAAGCGCAAAACAAAAACTAGGGAAATATTTTGACGTTTCTCGGTGAGAAGTCGCAGAGGCGATGAACTGGAATCAATGATGAGGTGGAGGAAGAGGCTTTACGCCACATTTGCGCCACAACTTGCCTCGGGGCGACTCGGGTAAAACAAACCATACCGTCCCGGCTCCTTCTTGAAATCCAGACTCAAAGATCGTGGAAGACAATCGTTCCTCTTCACCATAGACATTCAACCTTCCTCATTTTCTCTCTTTCTCAGCCGCCCCCTAACAACCACTCTTTGCCCGTTCCCTTGATCTCTCCTGCCTCGCACTCTACCCCCTCGCTCCTCACCCGTTCCTCGGATTCCTTTTTGGTCACACCGGGGGCCCACGAACAACCGCTTTTCTTTTTTTCTACGACCACCGACACTAGTAGATACTATAAAGTATTGCAACGACATCGCACGAATATTACTAGACACCGGTGCATTTGACTAAGTACTCCATCTTGACGCGTACAATGACTCACTAGGAGGCACCGTGCCCTCGCACATAATCTTCCATTTGGTTTGCAATATCTCAAAAGTTATCAACTCTGTCACCATCGTCCGCCCATATATATATTCAATGTACGGGTACTGTGCATAGCTTATTCTCCATTCCAATAAGAACCCTTCTCGACTGGCATCTGTCTTGCGCGAGGCGACCTAATACCACCAGTAACAACCTTGATTGTAACACTTTGATAAAGTGGCACTCAAATGATGCCTTCTGCCCAGAATAATTATCTGGAGGATTTGCCATGAGCCGTTAAGTATAAGCGACTTCAGCCTCTGCAGGTGAGATTTATGGACCGCCGTGAGTGAGTGCGACGACTGCGAAGAGTTCCCTGATCGAAGGCATAAACATATGAGCTGCCTCCGGAACGGCGGAATTTATGGACCATGGATTGAGATCTGACACCGACTACTTACAAACGGGCGATGCGTAGTTCCTCAGTATGGTTAATTAGCAAACTTTCATGATTGCTAATCGCACTGTGCAACCTGAAAATGAGGATATCGAAGGTGCGAGTCCGGCGCAAATATTTTTATTTGTTCTCTACGGAAAGTCATCCAGTGGAAGACAATGAAAAGGTAATAGAATGTCCATGAAATCACACGAATCAAAAATCGAGACCCTGTCCATGCCCAATCCGTCGTTCCGATGGTGATCCGATTCCGATGATCTCATGTCAGTAACATGCGCTGCCTAGACGGTGGGCGAGAATTAACTGCCAGCTACCAGCAGAAATATGAACGGTTCCTAGTATGAAGAGGTCGTCAACAGCGATGAGCTGCCCAGTCTTCGAGTACATGGGGTGATTCTGTTCCAGCGTTCGTGGAATGAGTTAGTGTGCGGCAACAACTAAGTAGCAGTAGACTCTCGTCAGACCGAAAAATAAAAACGCACTTTTAAATAGTCCTTCATGGATGTACCGAGGTGTCGCACAAACTGACGAAGCGTGATGGGGTTCTTGTCCTGCGTTTGGTCTCTTATTCCTATTTGCCGCTGCCATGACTCATCGTCCAGCTGAGAAGGCACGGAGATGCAATGAGTGATTGTAGACTGTTGAATATATTACGCAAAAACTAAGGGCATACCCATAGGCGAACTTGGGTGGTAGCCTTTCCCCCGAGTTCTGCTACCTCGTGCCACCCGCGAAGATGAGTACCAGTTCCCTCACAGGCTTGAGTGACAGTCAGGCCCAGGCCTCTTCCGTAAAGATGGTCGAAGAATATAGGCTTCTCGAGCTTGGCTCCCACCACATATCGACCGCAATTTGAGTCAGTGACGGGCTGCCAGTAACGCTGAGGGATCACCGATTTACACAAATCGTTGTAGAAGTCGAGGCATATGGGCATGTGAGGGTATCCGAGGGCGTTGGGAGGGAGGAAGAAGCATCTCCGAGAGCCCTCGTAGCAGACATGGAGAGAGTTGAACGGCGTATTTAGAATGGTTTCAAACGCCCTGCGAGCATCTTCTTTTCCAAACGAGTGTGAGATCAAACCGCACTCTAAAAGAGCGGCATTCATGCCACCATTGATCGTCTGAAGTTCGTGGTCATCATGATGTGATAGCAGATACCCATAGACAAGGCTTACCTTCTGGCAAGACACCAAATCCGCCACAATAGTCTGGGCCCTTGTCAGGACAGGAGAACAACCACTGGCAGTGCGTTGGGTGACACTGGACATCGAGTGGATTGACGCAAAATTTCTTGGTGTGTGTCGGAGAGATATCTGCGAGTGCTTGCGACATTGCAAGTCATCGTACACGCCCTTTAAACTACGGCGCCATGATGAAGTGAAGGTGAGTCAAGTAATGAGGAAACAGGTATTTGGCCTCCGGGAAATACTATGCTGGGGCAGCAATGATCGCATTCGACTGTTATGGTTTCAAGTTTAAACTCAGTAAACGTGGCGGCGCGTCTTCAACTTGAAGGGAACAAAGGACGACCCACACAAGATGTATACCCTTCAACACACGGGCACAGGTGCAGCGCATGGTCACAGCTAAGTTGAGGTCTGCATAATAAGAATGGAATCCGACATCAGCCGGCTGTTCTCCTCGGATAGGGGTGGCCACCACAAAGTTTTGATGCTGTATGCTGGATCACAGCGCCCTGTCTCCCGCGAAGTCCGAGAGCGTGGGGCATGAGCTGTAAAGAAAATAGACCAGATGCAACTTTCCTAGGATCTGCGCGAGTGTCTCGCATGAGTGGACATACTCTACAAAAGGTGTTGCATGATACACACCCTTTCAATCCAAGTGTGAGAAGCTCAGTGAACCGCTAGCACGGCATCGAAGCGGTATCAAGACCTGCGTTACGAGTGTCGAGCTGTTTATATGCCGGAAGTAAACCCATAAGTGCGGATATGAAGCTGTAGCAATGATTTGCGTCTTCAGAGTCCTACCTATCGGAGAATCCTCGCGGTCACAGCCAAAGAGCGGCCAGGTGAGAACTCACGGTGATCCACGGCGAGGTCGTTGACTTGCGTAAGAACTGCCAAAACTTGCCGTCCTGTGCAGAGGATGACGCCGACTCGGAACCTTTGTGTGTCACCACGACCACCGGTGATCGCATTTGATAGTATGACAGTCGGAGAAAACAATGAAGAGAAGGAAGACAAACCTGGTATATTCAGTCCCAGTGTCACGGAGTCGGATGCCATGGCATACTGATCCCACCATGTCCTTTAGGCCGACCTTACACTGAGTCGATCTATATGAAACCGTTTTACACTCTGATACCTTGAATTACCGGCACAGGGTGATCCCAGCTATCCTGACCAGTTTCGCGCGAATATTTTCCTTGTGGATAAGAAGCATGTCAGTACTTCTTCATCGCACCCTCCCAATCAGACCACGGTAGCTAAAGGCATACTTCTGATAGCTCGACAACTTCGAATCAGTACTGGTGTTACCCATTTTTTTTTATGGTGGGCAGATAGGACACCACTGCTGTGCTATATGAGCGCAATCCTCGGTGGTATGGCGAAGTAGGATCTCAACCCACGGTGACAATGAAGTAACTTGTACAAAGCAGAAGATACCAAGACCATCAGAAAAGGACGATATTATAAATAGTAGAGTTAGATTGACGGGTGGCATCATGTGGATAAAGTTGCAAGGACTTACACGTACATATATCACGCTGTTTCAGGTGGCGCTTTTCGCGACGAAAGAGGGACTCGGTAAGAATAAACACGTTACGTGGGTTGTGTCCCAATCAACTTTCCGGTTGCCATACTAATATAGAAACCCGATTTTGGAAGTGACCCCTTTTCGATTCAGAGGCGAGTCCTGGTAGTTCGCTGTGCAGAAACATCAGGAGATATTGGAGTCAGAGATCTGAGACATATCGGACCTGTTCATGGGTTCGCCGTGATCCCGAGAGCTTTCCCGTCCGAAATTATCGCCTGCATCCACAAGTCGGCGGACGTATTCAGCACCCGCAGCTTCCCTCGCGCTCTGCCTCCTTATAAGCACGCACTGCTGAGCCTTTGGAGCGCTTGTCGCGGGTCTTGAGTCTATTGTATTTGGCACTAGGGATCTACAGACCGCAATCGCGGACTATACACTCCGAGAAAATTAGACTCCATAGCCATTGCCCTCTAGGCTCTAAACACGAACATGCAACAGGCTCTGCTCCGTATAGCACGTAAAAGCTTCCATAGTGCGGTCAATCTTCGTGACAATAGGGCTCATGTGGAAGTGGAGACTTGAAGGTTTTTACGAAAGTTTATTAGTTGATCGGACAGATCTTCCGTCAGCACGTTTCAAGAAGCCTTGAAGCCTATACTTAACTTGGTCTAATAGACCTTATATGTTTCAAGTTTACTTGGAACTCGTTGGCGGAAGATCTGTCCGATCCGCCAATGAGCTTTCGCAAAAAGTTTCAAGTTTTAACTAACATATAAGCCCTAATGACCTCGTCATATTATACAGACATTTTGAGAACCGCATAGTAGACCGACCGGAGATAAAGAATGTCCAGCCAGAGAGCCAGAGAATGGGTGACTTACCGTAGAAAAAGAAAAAGTATGTTCTACCCTAAATGGTCACGGAACGTCCTCCGAAATGAAAGATAGAGAGCCGCCTGTTGGTCAAGGAGCAAGATCGGGCTGAAATCGGGGTGAATAGAGATTATCCTGCGGCAAGTCACTCAATGTGAAAGGCAGTATCAATAGCATAAAAAATAAAAGACAGTGAAACACCTAATAGAGGGAGAGGTAACGGCAGTGCTTTCTAGGACAATCCTGCCAAGAGAACTTTCAAACTGATACTGTGTGGGACTGCGACTGCACAAGAAGACAGAAAGTAAGGCCCGGGTCCTCTGATGGTTCGACTTCCATTCTCGCTGCGGGAGTCTCGCGTATGGCATGGGAGCTCGGAAGTTTGTTGGCGGGGAGTTTCTAGCGCGGTAGAGGAGGACGAACAAGCGTACCCGGGCGCAAGATGGCCGCTGAGGTGAAGACGGCGATTACCAAGAGCACTCCGAATTGCCCGATGCTAGAATTCCGACACAGAGGCTCAGATCTTGGCACTCGGTCCCAGTCCTGTGGCGCTAAGCTCACCATAAGTGCGATTTTACTCACTGGTCTTTCCAGACCGCGACTGTCGTGGCTGTCTTTCTCGACTACTTATGTGCAGCTTCATGTCAGGGTTCGAGTGTAGACGCCCGTCAGAGTCTTTTTTACTTCTTTCTTCGAGGCGCATTAATGTTGTATCATTAACTTTGCTACGGTACTTCGCCAACTTCTTGTTTATCCTCGCTCATTAATGCTACGGTACTTCGCCATCCTTGTTTACGCTCGATCTATATTCCCACCTGAATAATTTCAGACCGTGCCAGCTGGTGATGGTCCGGGGTTAGTCAGTAGCGCCCTACACTGGCATTCGCCTTTGTACTCTTGTACTTTTTTTACATGTCCTCCGTGCTATCATGCTTTCCGGATCCGCAGGCATAATAACGCATTACACATACTCACTTGCTCCCCCCTGCTTATCTGTTTGCCCATGTATACCCCCCCCCCTCACTTGACTGCGTATTCCTGCGCTAGGCAACTTGTAAAATTGCCTGACTAGCCGGCCTGATAGAAGGTTTTTATCGACTAGGCTGCATGGTTGGATGTTTATTCCGAACGTATGGTATTTATATAAGGTCCATGCAGAAAACTCCATACACACAAGCAGAATAAAGCGCCCGCAGCAAGCCATCTCCTGCGCAACCCCCATGCTTCCCAAACACGAACTAATTGCGAATCGCCTTGTGCTCAACGAACCATCAGGCCTCGTTGTAGAAGGTCGTCGTCGTATTCGGGGCCAAAAGCACCAACACAAGCCCCGGACCCGGCACCTTGACAGTACAACCCTCATTCCCGTCACAATCAACGTGATGCGTGATCTGCTTCCCCTCCAACTTCCCCTCCTCCCCAATCGTCTGCCCTGCCCACTTGATATTCTTCTTCTCCGTCACCTTCGGCGCAAGCAATGATCTGTACCCAACCGACTTAGCCATGCCTGCCGGGATATGGAACGTCGACGACGTGTGGTTCGAATAGTTAATGAGCACGAGTTTACCGCGGTGGGTTTTCGTGGGGTCCGCAAGACGGGATGTCGAGTCCATGTAGTTGTCGAGGTCGTAAATGCCGTAGGCGGCGATGTGGCTGCTGGCGTTCGTCTTTGAGTTCTGAAGGTTAAGGTCCGTGACGATCGAGCCGTTCTTGGACATGACTTCGCTCATCATGAGGAGGGAGTAGTATGTCGAGCCGGTCCTCCAGCCTTTGCTTTCCAAGGGGTTCTGGGAGGGAGGGGGATCGAAGATGTTGTAGGTTACGCCGTATTCGCGAGTGTGAATGTAGGCTGCGGAGTAGTTGTTGGCGGCTAACGCGAGGAAAGCATCAATCTCCCACAGCGTCGCGGCGAACTGAACAGAGCCAGGTGAGCGATATGAAGTGGACGTCGTTAATGGGGAAATGCGTACTGTGGGTGAGATGAGAGGACAACCTCCGCAAGCACACGAATTGGCTTCACTCATGATGACGGGGATATTGGCCGCGGTCGCCGACGCAACTCCGGCGGACTGGAAACCCGAGTACGAAACGGCTGGATAAGGCGAGATATAAGTGGTCGATACGTATAGATAGCGAATGAGGATATTGCTTACCGGTCGTGTGGGTGAGATAGTTGGAGATGTTGGTGTTGGCGGCGGTGGGACCGAAGCAGTAGATGTTGGGGTAGTGTTGTACGCTATCATACGTAGATAATTTCATCAGTAGATGTCTCGGGTAAAAGCTACAAGACGGATGAGGAGACGCACGCGTAATATTTGTAGTTCTCGCCTGCAAGACCTGCATTCAAGATGTCGGACAGTTCCCTTCGGTGATGGAATGTTGAACGTCACATGTCAAGTGGATGAAAAAGAAACCAAGACTGACCAGTTGCAGCAGATGGAGGGGCCGGCAAAAGAGTCTTTCGCTCTCAGGTCGCCATAGGGCGACGTCGAGAGGTTGCTCAGGATGTAATCGACTTCATCAATCTAGGACCATGACACGAGATAAGCCGAGAGGCCGATACAGAATAGAGTGTAGTAAAGCTCACATATTGCGAGATGTTATACGAAGGGCGGTTCTTATGCCCTTGAAACAGATCCGGCTCCTACACACGAGAAAGAGAAGAGATTCAGTCACATCGCTCAACGCTCACGTAAACGTTCAATGGAAAAAACGCACATTCCCAAGTAAGATCGCATCCAGTCTAGGCCCAAACTTCTCTGTCGCGACACTCGCAATCTTCAGCGCCTCCGCATCTCCGCCGTTCTCGGGTGGCTTATTCATACTCAGCCCCGTCATGAACTGCATCTCCCCTACTTCGTCCGCCATTTTGTTCATGACATCGAACAAGATCGGGCCATAAGTAGTGGCGAGCGTGTAATTCTTCTTAACGTCCAGGTGAATAAGCATGGTATCCAGAGAAGAGCTGTAATTTGAGAATTCCATGGTGTCGCCGCCGACGCGGACGCGGAGCGGGTGAGATATGCGGGCTCTGATGTGGGAGAGGTAGTTCTGCGTAGCCTTGGGAATACCAGAGGTGTCATTTCCCCCTGTTCAACATGAAAGTCGGTATCAGTAGAGGTCCATGTCGCTGAGACAATTCAGCCGGGAAAAAGTGAGTGTTAAAGAAAGCTCACATAGCGTGTTGAACGAGCTCAATTCCCAACTCGTCCCCATATAGTTATCCAGTACGACATTCGCGTACGTCCCCTGAGGTGTTTCTGGGAACCTTACTTCTATTGCGGCGCTGGAAAATCCTGCTAGTGCTAGAGAAGCGACAAGAGCACCTGTAAGAGTTGAATGTATGGTCATGGCGGTGAGATTGAAGATGGTAAAATGAGTTTGAAGAGAAGGCAAAGGCGACGACCAGCGGACGAGCACGCTTAACGAACCCTTTTATACTTACTTGGGGCATAAGAGCTCTTGGCGATGCGGAATGTGTAAAGAGATAAACCTCCATGAGACTCTCCTAGTCCGAACAGGAGAACCGGATGGTTCAGCATAGCCCACAGCCCAGAGCGGGCTGCCTTTCCTCCTACCCAACACTAACATTTTTGGAGGATAGAATTGCCAAGATAGTGACGAGATAACTCGAGCTATGCGCCTGGCCATTGCACTTCGATCTTTGGTTGAGTTTGCCTCTGACTTCTGCCATCCGCTTGCTTCCGCTCTGTTGTTTCTTCCTCAACGCCACACCGGCTAGTTCCGGCTTTCCTATCACCGTTGGTACTTGGGCCACATTTGTATCCGAGTTCGATGCTGCCTCGTTCACGATCATGCCAAGACAGCATGAGCACAGCTGTGCGCTGATTTACAGTCGCCGCGGATGGAGCGAGGGCTGGCGTTGGGAGTAGTAACTCCTTTCCTGACCAGATCGTACTCCGTTGTGGCTGTCCCTTGGGTCACATTCAAGGAAAAGACCACAAAGCTTCCGATGATCAGAAGCTTCCAATGCGAGGAGTGTTGACTTCATCCTCGTATTCCTCTTCCATTGCCTCGCAGAGCCAAGCTAATCGCCCTGTGATTCTGCATACAGCCCGACACTCCTCCCGGAGACTGGTGTAGGCAACGGATTAAACCTCGAAGCTTGGCGCCGTCATCGCGTGTATCGACTGATGACTGGCGCAGTCAGACAGAGACCAGACCAGTTGTGACACTCACATCCGTCTGACTGACGAGAGTTTGGAGTTCGATGACAGAGGAAACGAGGAAGATAGGAACGACAGGAAAACAAATCCGTGTTTCGCTTCATATAACATACCGAATCCGATTCCAGATTACGAGAACAACAAGAATAATGCGACGACAGAAAAAATGGAAAACTGAACTGGGACGAAAACGAGATGGATATCGAGGTTAGATCTTGGCCTTGCCCAAGGGAGCATCGGAGCTGCCTTTGTAGACGAGCGTGGAGGGCGCATAGCCAAATGAGTCTTCAAGGGTGATGTTCTATAGGTAGTAGAAGAGCAGAGCAGTTAGTTAGATTGATTAGGGATATGTAAAGGGTTGTGGAGAGACGGACGAGTTCGCCTGCAATGACGCGGACCTGGATGATGAATATTCGGCGGTTAGAAAAAGAATATAGCAAGGCGTACCACGCAGGGAGATGAAACGTACCATCGACCAATGATGAACAGCGTGCAGCGCCCCGAACCATACCTGAGTCAAGGAAGAAGAAAGTCAATCAAACGGTCAGCGATCCATTTGTGCGTCCATCAATTCGAACATGACGCCACAACGTCCGTAACGCACACCACCTCTCAACCGCCCAGACACATATATAGGCAGACGCGTATACAACGAGTACGTAAAACAACTCACCTCCCTCCCAAAAGTCGACTGGAACGTCTGCTCATACGGCGTAATCGCGTTCAAAGTCAACGGCTCGTCCAATCTGGACTTTGGCACGACCTCCTTCAATCTATCCATCGTCTCCTGAATCGCCTCTTTCGCAGCCTGCCTATTGCTCTCCATAGGTGTGTTCCGTGAACGCTTATCGTAGGACATGATGTGTGGGGCGGGGGAGGTAATGCAGTCGAGGAGAATGGCGAAGTGGTCCCGGGCGTGGCGGAGATGTTTGCCTGAGTGTTTGTGAGGATTGTGAGTGGTTCATCACAGACAAGTATGAGGGATTCGGAGAAGTTGGAAGCAAGTGTAGAGTGTGGGGGAGCAGTACGCACCGATCGTCGATCCTGGCAAGTATTTTGATTGGACGGTAAGCTGCTCGTCGGAGACGAGCGAGTTTTCCAGCAGGTCAATGGCCTGTCCTAACACTGTCGTCGAAACATAGAGTATCTGCTCCAGGTTCTGCATCTCTGTCTCCGTATGCTGGTTGCCGTTCAGAGAGAGGTGATTCATCTCAGTGTGGAGTTGTGCAGAGTCGGAAGAAACACCGTTCACAGCTTCAATTGTGGCGGACATTGTTTAGAAGGCTAGGTCTGATTCCGAGAAGGGTGATAGAGCGGATTGACTGGGGTGATGGTGTGTAGAGTGGTATGCTTGGAAGACCGAGGTGGGGGAGAGAAGCGAAGAAGGATAGGGTACCGTGCAAGGGATATGGAGCAGAATGTGGGGGGGTCATCACGGCCGTCTGAAATAAACAGGGACTTGTCGTTCATGTTGGGCACGGCAAACGCGAGGCAAACGAGACGTTTTCTACCTCACTCTAGGCCTTACAGACACGGTCATTGTCAAGGGTTTTGCGCATGCATTGCTCACATGATGATGACACGGAATATTAGATGTAAAATACATGGAGGTGGAGGAGATGTATCTCTGCGTAATTATGGGCCACCCGTGGATGTGCAAAGGAACCCTTACTCAAAAGCGAGATGAATAATATACCAGACATCCTGTCACCCAGAATGAGAGACACGAAGAGAACATAGTCATCGACAGTCATCTCTGAGGCTGATAGTCGAAAAAGAGCACGACGCGACGCGCTTTTGTATTTTAATTTTTTGGATCTGATGACGTAAGATATGGCCACGCGCGTCTCCGAGCGGGATGAGTTCGGGAGTTGTGGAAGAGTTGAGGTTCTCACGTCCGTTTAACAGCTCCTTGCTTCAGACATGCTCGCATCGCTCAGGAAAGCAGGCTCTTTCTCCCGCGTACGTTCCATTTTATTCACAACCAAATCGTATTAATTTGGTTGTCATAGGCTCTGTCTGCGGGCCAGAAGCGCTTCCTCTCCATCCACGAATACCAATCCGTCAACCTCCTCAACTCCGTATGTGCATCCATTCGTATTTATTCGTGTATAATCATTCAACGTTCTGTTCACCCTCGAAATGATAGTATGGCATCGCCACTCCCAAAAGTCTCGCTGCAAAGACGCCAGAGGAGGCCTTTGAAGCCTTCAAAGCATTCGGTACGCGCAATTAAACACCTGTTCCGTCGCCACCCGAAGCGGCACTCCGTACTGAACTTCGTGATTCTACTCCTCCTGTTTACCCTACCGCTGTCTATAGGCCCTGACGGAGCTGTGATCAAGGCTCAGGTTCTCGCTGGTGGTCGTGGAAAGGGGAAATTTGACAATGGCCTCCAGGGTGGTGTACACAAGGTCGCTAGGTACGCTCCGTTCCATCAATTTACTTCCGAACGAATAAATATCTAATTGTTGCCTTTTTCTAAATGTTCGGCATTGTGATGAAGTGCGGAGGAGGCGCAGAAGTACGCTAAGCAAATGCTCGGTGCGAAGCTCATCACCAAGCAAACTGGTGCAGGAGGTCGCGTCTGCAACGCCGTACGTTTCCCCCACACCATCCCCCACACCTCTCTCACATGCGTCCTAACACGGAAACATATGAAAAGGTCATGCTTGCGGAACGCCGCGATCCCACCCACGAATATTACGTGGCGGTTTTGAACGACCGAGTAAACCAGTCTGCCGTTCTGGTCGCCTCATCCCAAGGTGGTATGAACATCGAGGAAGTCGCTGCTAAGGACCCCTCCGCCATCATCACTACCCCCATCCCGTACGAGGGTCTCCCTGAGGACAAAGCGCTTGAGGTCGCTGCGAAGCTCGGTTTTAAGACCGCTGAGGCACAGAAGGAGGCTGCGGACATCTTTATCAACCTTTACAAGATCTTCAAGGACAAGGATGCGACCCAGATCGAGATCAACCCCATGGCCGAGACGGCTGACGGTCATGTTCTCTGGTCTGTCCTTCCCTTCCCCTTCGTCATCCGTTTCTAACGCGAATGTGGGATGAAACAGCATGGATGCCAAATTCGGCTTCGACGACAACGCCGAGTTCAGGCAGAAGGACATCTTCGAGCTTCGTGACGTCTCCCAAGAAGAGCCTTCTGAAGTCGAGGCCCAGAAGTTCAACCTCAACTTCATCAAGCTCGATGGGAACATCGGATGCTTGGTTAACGGTGCCGGTCTCGCTATGGCTACTATGGACGTCTTGGCCCTGCACGGCGGCCAGCCGGCGAACTTCTTGGATGTTGGAGGGTAAGTTCAATATCACGCTCTCAGTATGTTTGGAGGAAGTGAGACAGATTGCTGATGTGTACTTTACAGAGGTGCGACACCGGAGACGGTGAAGAAGGCGTTCGAGATCTTGCTCGCGGACCCCAAAGTCAAGAGCATCTTCATCAACATCTTCGGTGGTACGTCTGTTTCGATGATCAACTTGTTACCATCTCCTCATTTTGTCCATCTGGGATGTGTAGGTATCATGCGCTGCGATTACATCGCAGAGGGTGTCATCAAAGCCACCAAGGAGCTCCAGCTCGAGATCCCTCTCGTCGTTCGTCTGAAGGGTACGAAGGAGGCCGAGGCCAAGGAGTGCGTCCATCTCTTTTCCCATCTCCCTCCCCTGTAGAATGTGTACTAACCTTTTCTTCTCTTCTTTTTGTTACCTTTCTCCGACAGGATGATCCGTCAATCAGGACTCAAGATCATCCCCTTCGACAGCCTGGACGACGCAGCCGAACGTGCCGCCCAGCTCGCGCTCGCTTAATCCTCCTCCTCCCCGTACCTTCTCTCCATCCTTCACCAGCACCGTCCATCTTTCCCGTTTCGCATTGATTGATTTTGATTGGTTGGGAACTCGGGACAACCCACTGTTTTCATTACTTCCCTCTGTTCTGCTTCTTTCACTGTGAACCGCCAATGCAATACCTAGATCTTTTCTTGTTTTCTATCTGCTTCACCGTGTTGTTCGAATTGAGTCCCATAATATAAACACACAAGAATGTGCGGAGTCGACAAAATCCACCGGAGCAGAGCCTCAAGCGTTGGGCCCTGCGCGATGATCAGCTCGGAAGACATTAATATTGCACTCACACTCTGGTGATTGAGGCGGATGGTACCGGGTAGGTGTTCCGGACTACTCGCTCTCCCCTCAGCGTGAGATCGTCCAACTGAACGAATTTCGATGGTCAAGAAGTTCAGATGATTCGAGCACGGGCTGAGTACGTACGTACTAAATGATAGGTAGCTAAAGAGAGAGAAAAACTGAGGGAAAAGAACGAGACTGGACGAGGCTCTGAAAAAGTTGGCGAGACGGTCGAAAAAACGGGAAACGAGAAAAGATTGAAGGCGCGTGGATGCAAAAGGGCCGATGAAATTTGAGAAGGAAGGCGATAACTTGAAGAAGAAGAGCCATGAATGGTGCGTCACGGATCCACCGGCAAGTAAGAAACCCGTAGACGACACTAAATAACTAGATGCAAGAAAAGAGAATAAGAGATAAAAGGGAAATCATTGAAGGGAACCAAGTGAAGGGAAAAATCACGAAGCCAACGAGCTTGGGGTCAAGAAAAAGAATGCAGTATCGTAAGCGTCAGCAAATAGGCGGTCCATTGCGGCTGAGCATGACGATGTACACATGTATGTGCACGTATTTACACACTAGCACCCTCGAGTGCAACACTACCACGGACGGCCATAATGGGAAGCACCGTAGGGTTGTTGTTGCTGTTGCTGGTATTGCTGTTGCTGCTGTTGTTGCTGCTGAGGTTGCATCATCCCCTGTGGCGGATGTCCATGCCCCATCACACCACCCGGCAGAGGATGTTGCCCCATCATCGGCGTCCCCTGCACCGGCATGGCCCCATACGCACCCCTCTGCATACCCTCACCGGGCCTTCCTCCTACTACACTCCCAGCAGGGCTGCCGGGATAAGGAGGTGGAAGAAGCGGTATATGCATCATCGCAGGACTGTTCTGATACATTGGGGGCATGCCTTGCGCGGGATGATGAGGCGTTCCTGGGGCGACTTGCATCTGCGGATGTGCATGGGCGTGCGACATCGCTGGGCTCATCTGCATGACGGTTGATGGTCGACCGCGGTTCTGCTGCACAGGGACTGGTGGTGGAGGCATCGATTTTGAAGCTTGCTGGGGTGTTTGATGCGGCTGTGGGTGTTGATGATGCTGCTGCTGCTGCTGTTGCTGTTGCTGCATCTGTTGTTGTTGTTGCATATGCTGTTGATGCTGCTGCTGAGCATGGAGAGCAGCCTGATGGTGTGCATGTGCCGCCACAGCAGAAGCCTGAGCCTGAGCAGGGGTGTGCATGACCGCCGGCGGAGGTGTAGCGTACATCGTCGGTGGGCCACCCCCGGGAGAGGGATAGGACATATACTGCGCTGGTGCCGGGTATGGTGAAGCAGGCATAGGTCTCATCATCGGTGTCTGAGGAGCTGTGGGCATCCATACCGGATGGGCATATTGTGGCGAAGGTCCATTGACGACGACAGGGCCAGGACTGGGAGCCATGACGGCGGGGTACACCATCCCTGGTGCGGGCGTGTGGCTCATCATCGGCGAAGGGTAAGTCATGTAGGATGGGCGCATGGCTTGTCCAGGATTAGGCACTGGCGGAGGGAGTGTGAAGCTGGGTGCACGAGCGGGTGGAGGGCGCGAAGAAGAAGACACGTTCCCGGACGATGGCGGCTGGATGACCTTGGCCGAGGACGAGGACGAAGGCGTAGGGACTTGCTGGAATGCACGAGTCACATCGTGCAGCGACATCCGTGACGGACCATGGGACGTCGTCGGAGGCGGTGTTTCCCCATCTTCGGACTTGACTTCCTGCAAAGTGAACGGTACCGAAGTCAGGTCGTCCGCAATACCTTGAAGCGAGTTCACAGAGGGAAGCTCCGCCTTTGTTTGTGACCAGAGAAATTTGAGGTGTTCTGGATCTGGAGGCCGCGCCGGCGAATCTTTCGTGGAGAATGCACCCGGGGACTTCGTCCATGGCGCTGAACCGGGCTGCTGAGGTGGCGTTGGCGGCATGTGTTCAGATTGTCCAGACTGTTCCAGACTGTTCAGTAAATTATCTCAATAAATGTATAAGTTAGCATGATACTCACAGAACCTTCCGAGCTCTTGCTCCCCGTGCCATTCTCTTTACTGCCTACCACTGAAGGTCTTAGTTGTTCTGCGGAGTGCACCCCATTCAAAGCAGTACGCTCTGCCTCTAGCTTGGCCCTTTCAGCAGCCATCGTCTCTGGATCAAACCGAGGTGGTCGCGGCCGCTGACCTTCCGGCAGCTCGCTCGACACCATAAAGTTTACCCGCGAAGACGAGTCCACTATCTCCATTGGATATTTGCGATGAAGCGGCTCAAAACCCTCAGACACCTTAGACGCTAGTCGTGTTGATGCCGTTCCGTCCGGTCTAATCGGCGGAGAATCGGGAGGCGCACTTGCGTCAGCTTCAGGTGGTGGCGAGAGGCTGACAGTCTCGGGTTGATCGACGGGAGCTGGTGAGGGTGGCGAAGGCTGAGATGGCGGTGGAGGAGCTTTCTGTCGCCAAGAAGGAAGGTTATCTGCCTCTCGTGATTTCCCAAACGCTCCTGCACCATTGACGTTCGCGGTCCTGCTAGGTGGTGGCGGCGGAGACTTCGCGAGAGCAATAGTCGTGACCGGAGCTCTCGTCTCTGAAACAGAAGGCGCGATAGAAGCAGGACGAGTGGGAACAGAGGGCCCCTCCCGAGCAGGATCGCATGGCGTCAACCTCTCCTTCGAGATATATACCTTATACTTGATCTTGCCGTTGTAGTTCGGTGGCGCCGGCCTTCTGAACAACACGTCATTCAACGACAAGGTGTCCCGCCTCATCCCCTCCACCGGTGGATCGAAACTCAAAAGATTGTCCCACCGCAGCGCCCTCGCCGTTGATTTGTAGTACGCATCTTGCTGCCTCTGCGTTACAGGTGGCCACCGTGGCACGAAATGCTTCGGGAGTTTGACAGTGTAAGTATTCCATGCGCGCGGGCTCGCAGGCTCGGGGTCACTTGAAGTGGCGAAGTCCTTCGGCGGTGAAGGCGGCGGTGGATGGAAAGTGGGCTCCGAGGGGACAGAAGCGCGGGGTTCGCGTTCGCGTCTGACGAAACCTTCGGGCCTGCGGTTGGGTGGGATCCATACCTGAGGCTTCGTGGGCTCGACCTTCGCATGCGTAGGTGGGGTGAAGTCGGTCTTGATCTGAGTGAGTTCTGGTTTCTCGGGATGTCTTGGTTCAGCACCGGCCAAATGCTCAGAGCCAGATGGCTCTCGCGATCTGTCCGTAGTGTGCATATGGTTAAGTGTGCTCCTGATGCGACTTATCGTGTCGTCCAAGGCTGACAATGAAGCTTCACGATACTGAGAAGCCCCTGGCGGTGGACGATGCGCCTTCAATCCTGGATGACCTGCGGATACCTGGGACTCCGCGACAGAGGGCAGGGGCCTGATCGAAGACTCAGGTGAGCTCCCAACGACGCTCGAAGCTGTTTTCGTGACCGTGACAGCTTCGTCGGACCGACCCTCCGGTACAGAGGACAACGATTGCTCATCGACCGCCTTTCTCCTCCACGAAGACACGACATCGTTCCTAGTGAGAACTTTCGACTCCGTAGCCAGAGGTCCATCATCGAAGAAATCGCTAGCCACAGGCCGTGGTGGCTTCCTCGAAAGCCCATCCTGCGCTACGGTGGGTTTCTGTCGAACCTCGGGCGACGATGCAAGCTCTTCTGGGATGGTCGACGGCTTGTCCTCAACACCGACCAACTTGCCCATGTCCGTGAAATCAACCTCTTCCATCCCCTCGTCCCTGTCCAACGAGATATGCTCGACATCAGCCACGCTCGGCCGAGGTGCCTGAGCCACCGTCGATACAACATGCACGGAATGCTCAGACCGCGCCTGTGACTGAGATGAACGGGTACGAGTGACTGGGTGGTGCGGTGGTGGTAGAGGTGGCAAAGGACCGGAGCGTCTCCAAGTGTCGGGCTCCGCAGAAGGTGGGGGCGGGGCCGGAGCATGCACGAAGTTTTGTGGACCTCGTTGAGAAGGCCCTGAAGAACTTAATCGCGGACGAGAGAACTCTGTATCCCGAGGACCTGGTGCTGGCCTGAAGGACGAAGTCCTCGAAAACGCTGGCTTCTCTCTTTCCGAGACCAGAGAGGCTGCTGGATGCGACGGTTTGACATCCTCCTTCGGGGACTCAACAACCTACAATAAGGTTCGTCAGCACGCCCAATACACACAAACATAAATCGGATATCAACTAAATTGCGATCATACCTTGATCGTTTCGACCACAGGGGCAGCAACAGGCTTCTCCTTCTCCTTCTCTTTCTCCTTCATCGCCAGTATCCTCTCCTCCAACTCTGCCGCCTTCCGTCTCGCCCTCTCCTTCTCCTTCTCCCTCTCCTCCTCCTCCTGCTGTCTCCTCAATCTTGCCCTCTCCGCCGCGGTATGCATAGCCGCCTTTCTCAGTTCATCTTCATCTACGACACCCACCAGCGGCGTAGGAACGGCGGGTGGTGGTGAAAGCGCCGCCTCCGAAGTCCCAGAGACGACTGACCCGGGACCGAGAACCCGCGTCGTAGAACCCGGCGAACGAGCGGACGAGGCATGGCGGCCGATACTCACGCTCGACATTGCATCCTCCCGATCCACATCCTTCGCGCGTAAATCCCACGATTCCCTTGTTGATGGCTCGCGGTCCCTCGTCGCAGGCACAGGTGAGTGAGGAGAATGTAAGTGTGATTGAGAGTACTGCCGGTGCGGAGGGATAGTCGAAGGTGGTGGCATGGCCGACAGATGCGGTGGAAGCTGTCTGCCTCCTCGTCCCAAGAGCGGGGACTGCGACTGAGACTGAGAAAGGGATTGAGTTTCCGAGGTGGATGACATTCGACGGGTTGAGGGAGGTGGGCCCCAGGCGTTGGTTGGTTCGTGGTCAGAGGTCGGAGAGAAAGTCTTGTGGCCGGGATGGAGACCGTCGGGTTCTGATGGCTTTTGGAGGAGTTGAACGTTGTGATGGTGCGATGGCACATCACGACCATTTCTTGAATCACCTGTTACAAAAATATTGAATATCGTATCCCTTACACATCTCGAAATATGCATACGCAACAAGAAGGAGGCATGCAAAGAAGCAAGGGGGAAAAGACGCACCAGGACCGCCTCTCGAATGGGCATTTGCATAAGGCTCCAACCGATTCGACCTCTCATTGAATAATACCCTCGAAGGCTCCTGCGGGGATAAACTCGAAGTCGAAGACCCCGCCCTTCCACTTCTCCAGCCACCTCTCGGACCGTCCGCACCATGATCATGATCAGGACCGTGGGCAGGAACACCAGGCCCACCTCTCGGCCTCAGACCCCATGCATTCGCAGGCGGAGGAGGCCTTCCACCTCCCCCGCCCCCACCCGACCTGGGCCAGCTCCGATCAAAGTCGTCCGCGAATCTGTCCTCTTTGTGCACTGGACCACTGGGTGGCGAGGAATTCGAAGGCGGTTGTCCGTCCCCGTCCGCTGTTTCGACAACTTTGTACTGTCGTCCGTCGCCGAACTCGATGACCTCGTCTAGGAAATCGTCATTGTCTTCCTCGATCTACATCAGCCATACACGCCCAAGCACACAAAGTTGATCAATTATTTACATTCGAAGGAGATATTTTATGAGACAGGGAGGACGAGAGAGAAATGAAACGCACGTCGTCCCAATGGTGTGCGTTTGGATCTAAGTGCTTGCCTCGGAACCTATCTGCCGCCTGCATCATCGCCTCGTTCGGTGGAGGTTCCTTATTCGTGTCGGTCCCTGTCGATGTCGATTGAGCCTGCGAGCTCGAAGCCTTCTTCTCCAGCTGTTTGGCCGCACGACCTTAATGCACCATAGAAAAAAAAGACCCAAAAGAAATAACGTTAATTCAGCACGACGCGCAACTCCTTTCAATGCACAAAACATCTTTCTAACAATACACCATACTCAAGAAAGGGATCCCACGCTGATGAAAGGGACAAAGAAAAGACGACGTACTTTGCGCCGCCTCAGCCGCCTCCGCCGCCGTCGGAAAGTCATTCTGCACCCTCGACATCCCTGCTCCCATTCCCCCGCCACCTCCACCGCCCTGCCCCGTCCTACCCCACACAGGCCTACTTCCCCCGTTCGTACCTTCCTTCTCCATATTGACAATAGCCCCTTTCGGCATTGGCTGAATCACCTTCCCAGCGATCGGTAAAGCCGGTGGACCATGCCCATGGGTCGCAGTCGATATGGTCACCGGGACTGGACCGCCCGGTGGTACAACGGCTGCGGGGTTGGTAGCGTCAAGATTAGTGGAACTGGGTGAGGGTGAAGGACCATTGGCATTGAGAGAGGGAGAGGCTGAGGAAGGGCGCGACCAGCCTGGGCCAGTTGTCGTCGAAGGTTGAGGGTGGGCTGTAAGTTTTGTGGTTATGAGGCGAGAGTGAGGTGCTGTTGGTTGCGGAGAGGGTTTTGCTGGTTGATTGGGAAAAAATGAAGAGTACGTCAGCTAGTCAAGTCAGAAAACAGCAAGATCTTATAAGAGCAAAGAAAGGTGCGGAGAGGAGGATCCAGAAATACAATTTGTCAAGGACACGACTATGAACACAAGAACGAAAATATGGTAATCGTGAATGCAACGTGTTACCACGAGTCTTAAGTCTTCGTCGATATTTAAAGAAAGGAGCACTGTGGAAGCAAGGGCATCCAAACGCCGATATTCCAAGTACTCGCAAACACAGTTGTTCACCATAACAGCATACGACTCTCGATTCTCGCGCCACACGAACTGTCAAATTCCATCCAAATAAAGAGCTCTCATAACCTCACCCGAACCAAACCAGCAAGGAAGTGAACGCGAACAAACAAAAACAAAACCAAAGCAACCCGACAAAAAAATAAGAAGAAAAAAAAGATAAAAAGATAAAACACTCACAACTGCTCGCCCCCTTTGACACACTCCCACCGCCCGCCAAGCTCGACAGCCCATGTCCAGACCCCAACGACCCTAAGCTAGGACTAGCACCAGTGCCACCCGCCGCCGACGAATGATTCTGCTCCCAAAACTTCTTTGCGACGTTCACAGCGGCGAACTTCTTCGGATGCGGGGCTGCCGTGACCGTTGATGCAGCCGAGCCCGAGAGGGGCTTAAGCGATGTTGAGAATGAAGGGGACGAAGCCGATGAAGTCGAGGTAGATGGTGCGACGGTGACTCCGACATTATTCGTGGGTGCGTTCGCACTCGTGCTTGCGCTGTGGCCGGGGTTGGCCGTATCAGGAGTTGGTGTCGGTGTCGTAGAAATTGTGGCGGCGGTGGTTGCGTCAGTGGTGGACGTCGATGTCGGTGGTCCATCAGCCTGGGACTGCTGGAGTGCATCATTCGAATTGGGATGGCCGTCGCTCTCAAGAGGGGTACTCGACTCTGGTTTCGACGGAAGGTTGGTGGCGGTCGATGTGGCCGCAGGGGTCGAAGAAGGAGCCGGTTCAGTTCCCGTTCCGTTCGGTCCAGAGATCCCCAACGTCGTCGTCTCGTTATTCTCCATAAACGCGTCTTCAGACGCAGACCACTTTGTTCTTTCTTCACGGGTTGCAAGGGTGTGCGACGACCTGTGATCGCCGAACCGAAAACCAAAAATCCAAATGCGCACAAAGCGGCACAAACAAGTCAATCATCCCGCAGTATTCGAACATCTGTCCAAAGATATGTCGAGCATGCGCACCTGTCGGCTATAAAATGTGCAGCCTGATGTGTGTATATGGATGGGTGTGAGTGTAGAGGGGGCAAAGATGCCGGTGGGGAGGAGGAAATATCGAGCAGTCGATTCTTCTGAAAGTGGCTGCTCGCTCGCGGCGGGCGATTGCTCCCGTCGCTAACCCTTTTCCGGTAATTTCGAGGCCGCACGCCGCCCCGCATCCGACACGCGCGAAGAACGAGGGCCACAGCGCTTTGCGGATCTTGCGCCAGCCCATGAATTATTGTTCGACGATGAGCACGGAGCGTTACGACGAGTTGGAAGAGACAAAGCAGGTGCAGTGAGCAGATAGATTACGAGTCAACGGGCAATACCGTTTGCGTCCAGAGTAGTAAGCAGAATTACAAAAGTGATAATACCGTACAACATGTGTGGAAGCGATGAATAATGATACACAATTGCAAAGGAGGATCGTGGCTCAGCGGGAAGGACAAGGAACAAGTGGAAACATGTACGTGAGGGTGCGATGTGAAAACCTGGAAGCGCAGATGAAATTTATAAGGCGATAATGTAGCGTTTGCAAGGCGTTTCCGATCCACAACAAATATGGTAATAATGGTGTCCGTCGAGTCCCTGAACAAATGATAAATGTTAGCTACGGGCATATCGCAAAGACTTACATGGCAGAAGGACATACCATCATATAGACTAGTACTCGTCCGACTCGCTCAGCGGCACATCAGACAAGTTCCGCCTATGCCCCGCCACTGAGACTGAGCTCCTATCCGACTCAGCAGCACTCGTTTCGTACGACACAATGCTGCGAGTGGTGCTCATCTACACATACAAGAATGAACCACTGTAAGCTCTCTGCCTCGGTTTGCAAGCAGCGTGGTAATGAACATACCGATCCTCTCCTGTCCTGGCCCTGACCGTATTGAGCACCCAGATACGAAGACCTGCTCGACGGCATCTCCTGAAGTTGAACTTCCATAGGCTCAACTGGGGGTGGCGGTACGAGTGGCGTGTTCAGCAACAGATTCAGAGTAGACAAGAATGACTGCCCGAAGGTCTGTTGTTTTCGAGGTGATGGGGACGAGCTAGACGGAGACGTGGAGGAAGATGCGGCTGCTGATGGTTCAATGTTGGTAGGCATAGGCGTAGGCATTTCAGGAGCAAGGGCGGAGTTCATCGTTTAGATCGTGAAATGATGCAGGTGTGGAAGAGATGTAGGATGGTTCAGCTTAAAGTGGTGAGCCGTCGAGATGATCAATGGGTCAATGCACAGGCTTATGTGGGGGTATGAAACAGTATGTGAGGCTCGAGCCCACGGTCTCAGCGCTGCCCTTTATACCCAGCGCTGGGGCCCAGCAGCCAGGAAACGTACGATGGAGAGCAGATCTGAACCATGACGAGACAAAAAGTGCGGGATGGAGCGTGTGAGGGATCGCAGGGACGATGACCTCATCATCTTCCGCAAATCTCCCGCAAGAAAACGCTGACTCGCTGACCGATCTCCGTTCCCGGGGTCCGATCACTCTCGCAAGCCAATGTCATGGTCTCCGTCTCAGCCCGGCGGTTCGGAGCGCCTAGCTCGAGGAAAGAACAACGTTCTTCGACGAGCCTAGAACGTTGGTGGACTTCGAGGGTGTCTCTCGATGAGACGTCTAGCGAAATAAAAAGAGCGATATACTCATTCAGTGGAGGGAGCTCGACGCAACTCTGCGAAATTCCGCTTGAAAACACCCCATATCAATTCAGAGTTACGAGACAGTCGTGACCTCAGCCTACGAACCTGCGCGTTTGGAACGAGGCAGAAGCAATAAACAAAGTCGGGACAGCAAAGAATAGATAAAATACAGAATCAAAGCCAGAGACAAAAACAGGTGGCGACTCCACTCCATCTCATGCCAACGCTCCAGCCAACTCCGTCTCCCTCCTATTCAGCCTATGCACCTCCATCTCCAACGCTGCGTTCACAGTCTCAATATTCACCACACTCGACACGAGACCCTGCCATCTCGTATCGAGCGTGTCCAGCTGAGCGCCTATCCGATCCTGTAGGACGGGAAGGTGGTGATGCGGAAGTAGGGATGTTAAATATGTCAGTACGAGATAGAACTGAGAATCGAGGTAGGCGGCATAGGGGATCTGGCCGAGGTGAGTAGAATGGTACTGACCTGAATGGCCCTCCTGTCTCTGTTCACGTGCGTCGCTTGTTCGCGTGCCTGCTCGAGCAATTTCTCCTCTTGTTTAGTATCTGCTTCAAGGAGGTAGTTGTGTATCCGCCATGCGTTGCTTCCATACTGTTGAAGCAATGCAAGATTATTGTGCCTATACGGATGGGCATATCAGCGATGAAGGGACCATGTAAACAAGATGACACAGATAACAAGGCATTGTGCTCAACCTGCATGTTTAAGACTGTAACAGGTGGTTGAGAGAAACGATAGTGTGACGAGATGCGTTTCGGGACAAACATAGCTACCACTCGAAATGGCACTCCACTGAAATGGTGAGGGTTATAGAGAAAACCCCTTGGCCTACGCATACGTCAATTATAGAGCAATAGCCAGTATTGTCGGGGGCGTTTGGTGAGGAACTTCACTACGTTCCAGTGACGGCACTCACGCGGACGAAGCTGTCTTAAATAAGATGGCGAACACTCATGATACCAGCCTCAGAGGTATTCCTCCAAAGTTTCCTCCATGTGCATTCTGCAACTCATGACCGAAGCCCAGCTCTCACTTTCAGGCCGAAAGACAACTGGACTTACCGTATCCTCTGATGCTCAACTTGCACATGCGCATTGTCCAACGCCGCCTTCCACTCCTCCTCCGTCGCATCGGGTCCTGGAGCTACCAAAGCCAACTTGTTTTTATCCGCATTGATCACGTTCAACTTCTCTTTCCGCTCCATACGCTGCATTTCAGCCGCCAATAGAGGGTTGTTCTGTCCGAGAACAATCCTATAATGTCAGTCCAGAACCAGGCCAGCCAAGAGGAAAAGGGGGGCAGGGTGGGTGTAGAGAACTTGAACGAGCACGAACAGAGAATATCTCGAAAGCTGGGGCCATATGGGGGTGCGGCGCCTCTTGGCTGACCTGTTGTGTCTCAACGGCAAGTACGTGCGCGACTTGTTCTGCGAGGACGGGGTTCTCGTCGCGGTCCTTGTCGAAGTAAGGTAGTGAGTCGAAGATGATAGGTGATGCGGATTCAGATGATTCTATCGAGGCCATTGTTACTGCGTTTTATACGGTGGCCTGAAAGTGCAAGTGAGGTGAAGGCAAGGAAAGTAGAGAACGCGACTTTGTGGCGAACGCGTGCCGGAGGGGCTCCGGGCGGAGTTTGAACTTCCCACCGAGCTCGTCGTTCGCGTCAGCGACGAACCGACGATACACAACAATGTCCCTACGCGCCGCCGTCAGAACAGGTCGTCTGCTCAAGTCTGCGCCAGTGGCTGCACGGCCAGCCGTCTGTGCGGCGGCACGCAGCTTGCACTCATCTCGTCCCTCTAGAGGTAAAGCCCCAACCAATCCCGTTCTCCGTCTTACTCTTCACCCCGCATCCTTGCCTATTCACCTAATTCCAACAATTCCAACTTTCGCTTCACTTATATCAATATGTCTTGAATCCTTGCATACATTGTAGCCTCCGAGTCTCCTTTCACTGAACAAACCTCTCCCAACCCGACCATTACCAAATACGCCGAGACGACCGAAAAGCTACACTCCTACGGCTCCTACCTCCTCCAATGCCTCCCTAAATATATCCAACAATTCTCAGTCCTCAAAGACGAACTGACGCTCCACATCTGTCCCTCCGGCGTCGTCCCCGTCCTCACCTTCCTCCGCGACCACGCGCAATGCCAGTTCAAATCCGTCATGGACGTGACTGCTGCTGACTTTCCTGAGCGGGACAGGCGGTTCGAGATTGTGTATAATCTGTTGAGTATCAGGCATGCGGGGAGGATTAGGGTGAAGACGTATGCGGGTGAGGCGGACCCTGTACCGAGTGCGGTGCCGGTATTTAGGGGTGCGGATTGGTGAGTCCTTTGAAGGCTCGATATCTCTTGTGGTTCTTGGAGACGACGCGTGTATTGACTGAAAGGGATATGCATTCAGGTATGAGAGGGAGACATATGATTTGTTTGGTATCTTCTTTGAGGGTCACCCAGACTTGCGTCGTATCATGACCGACTACGGTGCGTATCATTTCTGCTGCCACATTCACATTCGAGTTCAACTGAGCTTTGTCTTAGGCTTCGAGGGTCACCCTCTCCGGAAGGACTTCCCTCTCACCGTAAGCACGTTCGTTATTCACGCTCTTACAATCCATCTCAATGTTGGTTCAGGGCTACACCGAAGTTCGTTACGACGAAGAGCGCAAGCGCGTCGTCTACGAGCCTCTACAGCTCACCCAAGCATTCCGGTTTGTCCAATTTTCTCTCGTCCCTTGTTATTATCAAACTGACCCATCCTGCTTTCGTCTATATAACACAGCAACTTCGAGGCCCTCTCTCCATGGGAACAAGTCGGCGGTGGAACCGAGCCTCACCGACCAGACGAGCTCAAGCCCGTCCCGCCGCCCAAACCTGCCGAGGAGCAGAAGAAGTAGGTATCTTGCCGCTCAGCTACATCTTTTTGCGGGAGGTAATAGAGATCATAATTATCATGCATTTCTGTGCTTGGCTCGCGAGGGATATATTACATCTTTTTCGACGAATTTCATGGTGAGAGTACACATAAGGCATAAGAAACTACCATCCACACATTCCAGCGTAAACCATCCATCCAAAATAAAAGCTCTAAAGTCCGTCAAGACAACTCGAACAATCCTCCCTCAAGCGTCCTCCGCCGACGGCTCAGCGCTCTCCTCAATCGGTTGCGTAACCAGCGCACTCTTATCCTTCTTCCCCCACCCCATTCTCGCCACAATATATTCCTGCCCCACAACCTCAACACCCACCCTTAACGACTCCGCTACTAGATCCTCAACCCAATCATAATCTTCCCAAAGCTCGGTCCATGCACCGGGAACGGCTTGTGTGACCGTCGTGTGAGTGAGTTGGTGTCCTGGGTCGACGAGTTGGATTACGAATTGAAGGTGGTTGATGGGCGCGCTCGGAGTGTTAAGGGTTTCCTCGGTTGCTGTTGATGGGGTGGGGGTTGGAAGGCTGAAGGAGGTGGTGTACGGTTGGATGCGGAGGTAAACGTAGGAATGAGTCGTTGGGTTCTCGGCGGTGGATTCTGTGGTGGGTGCTGGGGCTTTGTTGGTAATTATGATTTCGTCGATGTTGGCCTGTTGTGCGACGGACGTGAGTAAAGAACTGGATGTGGAATGCACGGGCAAAATGGGGATATACCTGTGCGAGCTTTAATGCGGGCTCGAAGCCTTCGACGGCATTCATTTCACGTTTCGTCTCGGTGGACTCTTTGTGCTTGGACTCGTTGCCCTTATTTACGACGAGGTCGCCTCCTTCGACTTGTTCCATTATCTGATTGTTGAGTGTCGTGCATTAGACCTCAAGGATGTAGAATATAGTATAGACATACTCACCCGAGCAAGAGCGTTGTACACGAGCGACTCGACACCGTCCATGCCCTGCATATCATGGCTCAACCAGACCTGGATAACCTCGTGTTCCGAAATAGGGGGAGCCACGGCGTTCAAGATATCGGTCAATGTCGACAATCCCACTCTCCTGAAATCCTTGCCTATGATTCCGACCCAAATCAGCAAACACTTCCTCAAAGGAAATCACCTGAATCCGGGGAGAAAACATACTAAGTTTGTCCAACTGAGCATTCTTCGCATACTCCATCATCCCCTCACTCCACGCTCTCGCCTTCTCATTATTTGGCAAATTCTTAACCTGCTCATCCACCACCGTCTTGGCCTGTTGTAACACCGTCGACGCACTCGACCACACACTTCCCCACCCCCACCCTCCTCCCCCCGCGATCGCCGGCTGAGCCTGCTCCGACTTCCCTCCCGTCGCCTCCGCACCAACTCCACCCGTGATACTCTTCCCCGCCAAACTCGAGCTCGAAGCCGGCCTCGAGAGCCCCTTCGAGCTCATCGTCGACGCCGGTCCTCCAAGCGTAGCCGGCGCTCCGACCTTGACTCTCTCCCCACTCTTCCGTAACGTAGGCGTTCCCGCGCGCGAGAGTGGTCTGTCAATGGCATGGGCTGAGTGTGTGACGGTCGGACGGGTGGGTTCGGATGATTTTTGGGTGATTTCGTCGAGGAAGGCGAGGACGTCGGCGGCTTCGTTGGGGTTGGAGGTGGGTGTGGCCCCTGAAGGGATGGAAGGGGGCGGGGCGGCGGGGGATAGGGAGTCGAGGTCATCGAGGATGGCGAGGGCTTCTTCTTGTTTGGACTTCGACATGATTATAGGGTGGTGGCTACGAGTGGTTGATAGTAGCGGGTTTTGGTGAAAGAAATGAGTAGGTTGGGGTTGAAGGAGAAGTTCAGAGACGGCTTCAGTTAGAAGTTGGTACAGCATCCGTGGGATTCTTCTACCTAAACCGTCCTCACGGCGAATTTGGTGTCGTGGCCTACTTTGTCCGTTCTTCCTTGTTCTTTCCTTCGAATGCTTGACTCCGAGGCCTTATCAAGCTCTCTTTCGCTACACCATAAACGAGCATTCCTCATCCGGTCTTTTTCTGCGTTTCTTCTCTTGGGATGATGATCATCGATCGACCTCAAATTTGGACGATTCAACTTGGCTATAGGTCTCTCGTTGACAAAGTGTGGAATCGCCACGGCTTTGTTAAATGTATACGAGCAGTCAGAATGGCGCAAGCACGACACGACTGACGAATCGAAGTAGCTCCCAGATCGTCCTGAATCAACTCACTCCGTACAGGACAGATCCCTACGGCATAAGTGATCAGTAGGCGACTGCAACTCACTTCCGTTATGCACTCCACTTCGTCTTTGGCAGTGTTCGCCCGCACTGACCGAGACGTCTGTTGCTGCGCTCGAGTGGCGTTGATGAAGGTTGATGATCGATGCCCTCGAAGTATTTCTCGTCAGGGCAAAGGCATCAGCTAGTAAGGCCATCCGGAGGATTCAAACTGTCAAGCATCTACGAGTTTGAGGTCACGAGTGAGTATCGCACTTTGTTATTGTCAGTTATATGTCAGTTTCAAGCCGTTCCAGCTCACCAAAATGTATTTGTTCATGCAGAAACTAGAGTATAACTGCACTCTAATAGTAGAAGTCGCCAGTGCGAATGAGTGTCCCATCAACATCATTCTAACTTCCCTTCAGTGGTCTCAAGGGCTGCACGGGATTCATTGTCCGCAATGCAGTGCGTCATTCTCATTAGAGTATGGTCTCCGCTGCTGCTCCTTGATCGATGTCAGATGATACCGTGTGTTCATCCATCAATACAATGCTATACCACGATTTCTGCCTCGAGCGAATAGCCATGTGGATCGGGGTCGACATACTTCTCATATACCCCACGAATATATCATGAACCTCGGGCAGCAACAATCTTTTTCGCGCAGTCTGCCTGCTATGATACTGTTCAATGTTTACTCCGTCCGTTGGAATTTTTGCATATAGCATTTGGAAGTCATGACCGAGGGTGGCGGCTAAGAGGCTGTACTCGCCATCAGGCCAGTGAATGCATATAAAAGCCTCTACGGCGGCGTTGAGGACCTTCAGTCACTGTTCCTCTTCCTCTTTCAGTCGGTTCTTGATTCGTTAGACATCATGTCTCCTCTCTCTCCTGCCTTCCTTTTTCTTCTGGCGACTTTTCTCGCCGCCGATGGCACCTTGGCCACTGCAATTACAAGGCGTACCAGTAGCATTCAATGGGTGGACTGTGCGTCTAACGTCCCGTCAACGCTACTGGCTGCGAATTATACCCTCCCGTCCTCTCTCCCGTCCACACTGGCTTGTGGCCGTCTCGACGTTCCCATGGATTACTCCCAGCCTATGACCGATAACAATACCATTACTCTTGGTTTCTCAATGTATCGTCCGGAGAACCCTCAGGCCCTCCTCAATTTGTAAGTTCATCGGCTTGCGGCTTCGGTTTGGGAGCGTAACTGACATTTTCTATCAGCAACCCAGGTCAGTACATTGGGGACGTCGAGGAGATATAAATCTGACTCATACTCCTTCCAGGCGGCCCCGCTGAAGAGGTGTCATCCTTCGCGTGGCAGGTGGCTCTCAACCTTACAGATGCTTATGCGTTTGCCGGCCTGGAATCCTTTGACTTTCTCGGTACATCCCCGCTATTATTATGAGGCGACCATGTCTCGTTCTAAATGAATCTTCCGTCTTCTAGCGATGGACGTTAGGGGCACCTACTCGTCCAATCCACTGAACTGCTCCTTAGAGGGAATCACACTTCCATCTGGGATGTACGCCATACAATTCATTCGATCGGGGAATTGAAGTGTTTATTCTGAGTACTTTTATCAGTCCCTCTACTGCAGAAGATTTTGCGTCCTACCAAGCCTTGGCCACGCAGTACGCGCAGTCCTGCATAGAATTGAGTACTCCGACTGGCATCCTCGCTCATATGGCTACGACGGACACCATCCAAGATTGGAACAGCGTGAGAGATGCGCTTGGGTATGATACGATGGACTACCTAGGTGTATCTTAGTGAGTCGCATTGATTTGATGCTTGGAATATTCTGAAATGATCCTAACGGTCTTAAAACTCACTCTTAGTGGTTCATTTGGAGGTGCAAACTATGCCAACAAATACCCTGAACACACCGGCCGTTTCGTTCTCGACGCTATATTTCCTCCTGGTCTCGTAAGGCGTTCCTATCTCCCTGATGGGGCGCACGACTGATGTGACATCATGCTAGGGAAACACGGACCTCGTAACGTTCCAAACGGCTGCTCTTAATCGTCTTCTTCTTCGTGCAGATGCTTACTGCGCCGACTTTGATGGCACCTGTCCTTTCAACTCTCAGGGAAAAGGCAGCGTCGTTTCGGTTCGTCTTCGAGACAATTATCTTCTGTGTATACCTTCACTCATTTCGACCCTCCAGGCCTTCAGCACTGTCCTCAATAACGCACATGCTGGAGCTTACGGAAATGTTACCGCAGATGACGTCCGCGCGATGACCTACATCGCGTACATGAATGGAAACCCAAACTTTCAAGCTTTCAACCAAGCTCTGTTCGCCGCATCTAACTTGAACGACACCAGTGGCTTCGACTATTCTACTATCGCCGCCGAATATACTGCGGGTTTCTTCGTTGTCTTGCCCATCATCTGTTTAGATGAACGTGTGTATACATCTATTCCGTTCCACTTGGGCATCAATTCTTACCTCCTTGCTGATCTGAAACAGACATCGATGACAACACTTTCGGTGGATTCCAGGCTATGAGGGAGGCTGCCGCATTGGCTGATACCTACAATATGAGCTATATACAGGACGCGACCCTCATTGTGAGTGTTCACGTCTACCCCATGTCATCCATCACTGTGAAACTCAGTCGCCATCGACAGGCCTTGTGTGGAGGGTGGCCTTTGGCTACGAACAACAATGGGACTGGACAGCTACCAACCAACACCTCCCTCTTGCTTGTCACCTCGGATTTCGACCTCAAGTGAGTGGTATCAGACGATGAGTACATGCAACGATACGCCCGTGCTAATGAATGTCCAATAGTACCCCGACTGAATCGTCAAATTTTGAATGGACACAAGCCCCTAACTCTATCTTCGTCGTCCGTCACGGAGACGATCATGGCACGATTTCTGGTAAGCAACTATTTTACACCGTCTCTCCTTGAGCACTCGTTCACCTCGTCTCTGCAGTTCCCGGTCCTGCCAGGGATGCCGAGATAGAGTTCCTTACGACGGGAAGTGTCTCTCCATCGTCGAACGAGTCACTCGCTACGGTCAACTATCCTGGAGACGTCAGGGCTGCCATTCCTGATCCTTATGCGGTACCGCCTGGGACCGTGGCGGGAGACGTCAATATCAATGGAACTCTTGTTTGATATGGCAGCAAGGGTGATTTTATGACTCTGTGGGTACTATGCACGCGTGTTCGGTGTTGGTAACCAGACACGATCAGTGACGATGTAGCACGAATTGGACGCTATGGACATTATTTATACACTTTATACAGCTTCTTGATACGATGCACCTTTTCCTTGCTTTTTCCTATCAAGGAATCGCAAGTCTGGACTTCTTGGAGACAGGCTTCACTTTTCAGATCTCAACTGCTATGTGTTGAACCTAGGTAGGTATTGCGACGAGTGGTCACAACCCCAGTAGATACTAGACGCCAAACTTGGAAGTCGGAGACCATGGACTTAATCCACGTTTTGCTGGACGCATCAGAGAGACCACCGTCAGCGATGATGCGGGCCTCGAGCCACGCTTCTTCGGCCTGTAGTCATCTGAATACAGGCATTGTAGTCTGAAAAAACGTTGACAACGAGTTAATCCCAAAAGCCTAGATCATTAGAATTTCCGCTCACACTGCGCTGTTCCGGAACGTCTGAGAGGGCGTGATGAACGTCGTGTAGAGTCGGCTACGAGCTCTGACGGAGGTCGCCCGTTATTAGCGGGAGTGGATGGAGCAAAAAGTCGTGTTCGCTCACGAGGTGAAGAATGCGAACTTGTAGTTTAGGCTGTGTAGGGAGAGCAGGTTCGACAATGACTTCAAGAGCTGAAATTTCAACATAGTGGTTATATACAGAGGATGATTACGGGCTCTGGTCGGTATTTAGACGACAGGTCTGCCAAACCGGTCCGGTCTCAACTACAGAGTGAGTGCATAGATAGTCGTCAGCCTAGTCGGGACTTTGAAGGCTTCAGCGCTAGGAAGAAAGGACCGTAGATCCCAAGTAAATCATCACCGTGGACGTGATGCAAGTGATCCCTTCCCTTCGATCTCTGAGAAACGGCATTGCTTGCACGGAAGGCAACACCACAAGAACGCGGGCACTAGGATAGTTTCGGCCGCACGGAGCGGTGCGACAAGGAGTCAAACACCTTCATTGATCGCAATGCGGATAGTCATCGGCTCAAGTATGAACTTTGAGTCCGGGATCATTCGAGGGAGCAGGCACGGAAGCCTGCACTCAGCCTATAGATCCGTCGTTTCAGAGATATCCGGCTTGGAGAGATGTGACTTGAACTTTATTACAACCAGACAGAAGCGAAGTGAAAGAGATACGCGCCAGTATAGTATAGATGTCATGACGATCGTCCCGGGCTCCTATCTCACAACTCTGCCCATCCAGCATCCATGTCGTCCCCACCGCTCACCATCGCCAGAATCACCATAATCGCACCAGCTCCAACCCTCATGCCCAATCCCCGATATAACTGTCCCAAACCCGTGTGCCTCCACCAACTGCTGCCCTCTACTTCGTCATCCTCCGGCCCCTTCTTCTGATCTGCGCCATCCCTCTCTTTCCCCTTCCCTTTCTTGTCACCCTTCGTAGCCCTGGTTCTCCGCCTCTCAATGGGCAAATCCGAGCGCTCCTCTGTAAGTATATGCCACAGCGTATCCACAACCCCATTATACGGTGCCGGCCTCGTCTCGACACACGTCTTCAGCGGCAACGCCCGTCCTCTTGTCTGAGCCTGCAATCTCCGCCGGACAGTTTCGAAAGGCAGCGTAGCTAATAGCCCCACGACACTGCTGCCAAACTCGACGACTCCCCAAGCGATAGGGTGCGTGTCTGGTGCGATCAACTGACCAGGGAACATCCACCCTGCCAAAAATGGCGTAAATGTCAGGGAGATGATGGGGCGGAGGGTGCTGTCGATGATGGTTGGAAGGAGAAGGTGTGGGTGGAAGTAAATCCCGCGGAATCCGCCTTCGTCGCGAATGATTTGATGTAGGGCATCAATTGGGCCGGAGTAACGGCGGTGGCGAGAGGATTGTACGATGAGGCGGGTGCGGACAAGGTCCAGAGGCGAGAGAACGAAACCGGAAATGAGTTGAGAGGCGACAGGCAGGAGAAGGGAGGCTGATGAGCTTGGTTGGTGATAGGGAGATAGTGTTGATGGAGTGAAAAGGGCTTGAAGGAATGCGAGGATTAGGGGCTGGAGAGTCGAAGAAGCGACCTCAGTGAGGCATGAAGTCAGAAGACCTAGACATTATATTAGGCATTGTCCCTGAACGGAATGAAAGACGGTCTTGCATACCCTTCCATAGTGAAAGCCAACCTTCACTCCGGAAGCGTCCCACTTTCTTGATCATACCCCACACACCGTCCGCACTCCCAATAGGAATGAGATAGTCTAGCTGTGTAGCTTCCTCGAGCACGTTCTTTCGGATGACGTACCCGCGTTCGTCTGCCGGCCTTTGCACAGGATACCGAGCAGTGGAAGACGCGTTCGCGTTTGTTGGATCGGCGAAATAAGAATCTTCAGCAGAATCATCACTCAACTACCGCCAATTAGCTTCCGGTTCGATGAAGTAAGTGAAGCAACTCACCACTTCCTCCACAACCTCCTCAACTACAGGCTCCTCGTCGTCCGACTCTGCTGCATCACGTGGCACCCATTGCACTTGAAGAAGTAACTTCCCAACTTCCCATGGCATAGCGATTGCAGTGGTAGTGTATTGCAGGAATGCACTCGCTACAAGTGTTTTGAGCAGTAGACGCATATCCGCCCCTCCAGGTTCTGTGAGTCCCGGAGAAAGTTCAAAGATGGAATTTGGCGGTGGCCTAGAGGTAAATGTGTATGCCACCCCATTGCTAGAGGATGGCGGTGAGGGTGGCGAAGGTGTCGAGTTGTTATTTGAAGATGGTACGAAGGACCAGGCGGTAGGGGCGTCGTTATATAAATCGCGAAGAGATGCGGGGCCGCTCATCACGAATCACGAAGAGCAACCAATAATCGATAATCCTGACAATGCGGCCCTTTATTGACAAAGAAATCTAAATTTTCCAGAGTAAAGAGCGACGAGAGGAAAGCGATGTGTTAGAGTTAAGAGTCGGGCAAAGGCTCGGAAGTCGATGACCTACCATTGTTGCCGACAACACGGCGCCACGAACCCAACACGTTCACCCTCGGCAATCGGCATTCTTCTTACACGGCGAAGAGAAAAGGACGTGCTTCGTGTCCCTCAGGCCCACAATTTCGAGCATGAGCATAAATTGAAGGTTCTGAATCGTAGTACTTTGTATTTTTGAATTCGGTTGGCCAGCCTGAGGTTCTTACTGGTTAAATAAGCCTAAATACCACTCTACCTTCAGCAGCATGGCGCAGCTGGTATAGCGCGCAGGGCCCATAACCCTGAGGTCCCTCGATCGAAACGAGGTGCTGCTACTGTGTTTTGAATCCTTTGAAATTTTTCTTGCTGCCTCATTCACCTCACCGCAGCGAATAGGCGTCGACGATACTACATATTGAGTGATTCATTTACCGGCTCCAGATCGCACCGGCGCTCTCACCCCCTAGGATATCGACCCATTCACCCAGCAAGTACCCCTCAGTTGGCATGCAGTCTGAAGTTTCGCGCGAAAAATTGTCTGTTTCACAGACATAAAGCTTCTACTACTTAATTCCAAAAATCACGCATCGTCTTCGCCATAATTCTCACTCCTCTCCTCATAGACTCCTCCTGATTAGAACAGTATGGTCAGCTTTCGTGTCCGCCTAAGTATCTTTAGAAATGACTCGACGGAGAGTGCGAGCGAGCGAGCGGAAGGAGAGAGGGAGAGCCAAGGAGATAAAACGCACATTAGCGTTGGAGAAGCTCATCCTGAAATGTCCCTCTACATTCGGATCCGCCGGCGGCTCCACAAGATCTGTGGCGAAGAACCAACTAGGCGCAGTGATGACGCCCGCCTCTGCAAGTTTGGACCATAACTTTGTTTCGGTGGTCTCAGGATCGTCAGGGGAGGGCTTAGGGATGCTTTCAAAATGTAGCTTGAGCTGGAGCATGGTGGGCGCAGAGTCAGTTAAGAATATATAGGAAAATCATGTTTAAAAGCAGGGTTGTACACGCACCCAAAGGAACATGCCGCTCGAGGGCGCCACGAAACTCAGCATACGCTTTCGCTCGGGGGTTTTCTCGTCATTGCCAGTCAACGATGACCTGCAGGTGATGGCTTTCGATTTGGTGTAGGCGGTATAGACGGTACAACCAGCCCAGGCGCCCATAGACGAGGATCCGGTCGAGGTACTGAGGTCAAATTCTTCGCTGATAATGTCGAGGAAAAGATCACGGCGAAGCTTGTATTGGAAACGGATGCCTGGGGTATGTGAGTATGGACAATGATACGAAAAGTAGTGCTGCAAACCTCGTAGCCAGCGGACGTAGCCGTCGAATTTCCATGTTAACAGGAGCTTCGTTACCATGGCCTTTCGAGATGGATAGTTAAATTGATATCACGTCGAACTGTGTTTATGACGAATGTTCTGAGCTCTGCTCACCTGACCAACACCGCATGGCGACTGACTCGAAACCTCGCCAATTCTCTCAAACCTCTCAGCAAACATCGGATTGCAGGTGAACCAGCCGAGACGAACGCCGGGGGCAACGGTCTTGGAGAAGGTGTCCATGCGAATTACGCGGCCTTGGATGTCAATGCTACGATGTAGGGATACTAGCGTCAACGTGTGCAGACAAAGACAACACATATTGGGGCAGACCTGAGGTAACTCGGGGAAAGATTGGCGAGATACTGAGCGTTATCCTCTGCGTCTAGAGCAAAGACATCACGGGATGACTTGGGAACGTATTGGCCGATCTGCAGGAAGTAGTACGGATCGTCTTCACAAATGATAATGTCTGGCCAAGTCCGTCATTTAAATCAACGCTAATTCATCCGAAGAATAGAAGAACAAGAACTTACCATGTTCTACACAAATATCGTAGATGTCGCTTTTCCTCTGTAGTCCTGCGGTCTAGATGAACGTCAATCTTAACGGACTATAAAACATACCAGAGGGTCTCACCGAACCACTCGGATTCTGTCCCACAGGAACTGTATATAGCAACCTCGGCTTCTTTCCATCCTTCTTTTCATCCCACCTATCCAATGTTAGCCTCAACTTGTCCGGCCTCATGCCCTCCGCATCCATCCCCACAGGAACGACTCCGAGTCCAAAAGGCCTCGCCGCAACTAATGCAGTCGGGTAAGCCCACTCATCTGTCAATAGATTGTCCCCAACATTCATCAACGTGCTCAATACTCTGCCCCAGCCGTCGGTATTTCCTGTATGAGCTAGAGTGGTGAAGTCACTGAAGGCGGGGTTATAAACGCGAGCCGAGAATTCCTGCAAAAAGTCCTGGAGAGGCTTCAAGCCGGTCGCGGGTCCGTATTGGAGGGCAACTGCAAGATTGAGACCAAGGTCAGTAGGTGCAGGTGTCTTCGCGACGGTAAGTTTGGTGGTATTCTGTTGCGAGGATCCGAAGAGGCGCCAGAGCCATCCAAGGGGGGAGGGTGGAGTAGATGAGGAGTCAATCTCAATAGGAAAGGCGTCTTCTTAGCGCATTAGAGGAGAGATCGGAGAAGGGGAAATAAGCCGGGTCTGGAGAGCCTAGAGAATGGTTGGTCAGTCGTGGCCATGAGAAAAAAATAGATGCAACAGGATGGGATGAGCTCAATTTAGAGCACTGGACTCTGAAGGGACTATCACGGTTCCTTGCGACGGTAGGCTCGGAAATTCAATTAATCGTCACTATGCCCCTGACGCCACAGTGTGGCCCAGTACGACTTCCATCTGAGAGCTATTATTGGGCAGCGGAAAGACTCTGTCTGGCTCGCGAGGACTTCTTGCTAGCTTACCTCCACCAAATTCGATGTTTCCTGGCTTGGAGTATTTCTGTAAAGATTTAATCGGTGATGCGACGCGCCGCTTCGCAAGGTCAGAGAGGTGATGGGAAAAGTCGATAGACTTGTAGACCCTGTGTTTCTCATCTTTCATCATCTAGTCCAGGTCGAGAGGGTGGATGCCTTCAAGTAAGGCGTGTGTGTGGAAACGCAATTCGAGGCGAGAGTGTATTTAAGTAGCCCACCTGGTAATATAACCGGTGGCTTGCGGGTCATCTTATCTGATAAGATGTGACTCGTCTCAAGTCATCCTTGCGGTGAGACTGCGAGGGTAGACAAAACACAAGGGGATAACGAAGTTCAAACGTTCACTGACCGATGTCATTTCAGGGCTACCTAGTCAAGGACTTGAGCGGTACTCATCTTCGTTGATCAATTGACCAGAGTCTCCCGATGGGGGTCACGGAAGATCGCACTGAGTCGCACCGTCGTCTCATGATAGCGGACGAGGGAAAAGAACGGGGCTGAAGTCAGGCCATCAAGAACGGCAATTACGTCTCCCGCAAGCAGTGCATCAGGCAGCCAAGGTTACGAGAGATTCGGTAGCGAAATTGCATCACCCGAGAGAGTAGGTCGACGTCGTGGTGGTGGTTGGACGCGAAGGCATAAAGTGTGGCGGACAGTGCCACACTTTCACGTGAACCGCGTCATTTCGAAATGCATGTCCACGACTCCACGTCGGGCTGCTTGAATGGCAGCACAACTCATCCACCTCTCGCTCAACGCCTACACCCGCCTCCCATCTTGTTATCGTCTGAATTACTCTAATTGCTTAGAATTGGCTCTTAAGCCATACTCGTAGAGCATGTCGCTCTCTTGCAACCGCTTCTTCCGGTTTCTTCGCTCGATATTCGTGCCAACCACCACTATCCTTGCTTTCTCGTGTTTACTTCTCTTCTTCTTTATTCTCTATCAACCAACTGACGGTCCCGGTGATCAATTGCGTCTCGGATGGCAATCTTGGGACTACATCTCGTCTTCCTCTGAGGCTTCGTACGTAGGTGCGGGTAGCGTCGACGCCGAAGAGGGACATTCTACACCCTCACAAGGAGATACCTCAGTACCGGATGGAACAGATTGGTGGAATGTCACTGCACCGGAGGGTGAAGCTGTCGACAGTGCGAGCTTGCCGCTTGATATTTGGAATCCGCTACTTCCGCATGACACTGGCTGTACGTCCTCTTTCCTTCATTTGTAGCGTGGTATTCGAATTGTGGCGTGAGCATCCTCGAAATATGTTCCCCTCTTCCCTGCATCCCGATCATGTTTCGGGCAAGTCGGGTAGTCGACTACGTTCGGGCAAGCTTAATATTCGCGCTCTTTGCCTATGGATAAATGACATAGGAGACACCGGGAAACCCTTGCATACTGAGAGTGCGTGGCGGACATACATGTGCGCAGCCTTCGCGACGAGCAGTATGGTGTAACCTCACACAATCGAATGATAGCTAACTTCTATTCCCGTCATATGATTCTGCTGTCCGAGTTGTGGCTGAATTCTTCAACTTTCTATTCAAAATGTTTATCGCTGACCATTTCTCTCTAAATCTTCAGTGTCTGAGATCATGATCGTGCGCTGCATGTTCGCCTCTCAGTGGGCTGAAATGTGCGCACCCAAGTCGTCGAAAGAAGACGAGGCGATCAAAGGCAAATGGGTCCGTGTCGATCCTGATCTGAATATTCAATCTGGGATGTGGCATCTTGTGAGATTTTCGTTTCGTTGCTCAATTCCACAACATCGACTAATTACAGGTCGATTCTCCTATGATAAGAATGTTTACTACCGCCGCACTCGCCGACTCGATGTCCGACTCATCACCAACATCCAACTACTCCCCACCGACGCACCAGAACCACCGCCTTCCACTCCAGGCTCAACCTGGACCAAAGCCGACCTTTCCATCCGTGACGGCGTCTACAAGACCGAGCCTCTCTTCCTCTGGTTCGAGACCGGGAAGACAGCAGGCGAAATGACTGCCGAGGAGAAGCAGAATTTGATCACAGAGATCGACGTGACGTATGGAGACGGAAATCCTTGGTTTGGCTTCGAGAAGCTGTCTCCAGCGACGACCGAGAGGCAGGAGGGTCTGCGGGAGAACGTGTGGTTGACGTACAGGAAGGGTGTCAAGGGTATGTATCTTGTCGACGTAAATTGTTCCTTTGTTTACCAACTTGGCATACTACAGCCGTTCCTCGCGCCCCGCCGTTGCACTTCTCTCGGGATGGTCGATTCAAGATCATGCAAGTCGCCGATCTTCACGTATGTCCTTATGCCGCCACGGATACATCTTGAATTCTGATAGTTTGGTGTGGTGCAGTTTTCAGTCTCAGCAGCACCCTGCCGCGACACGAACATCAACTGTGATCCTGGAGCCTTCAATGTCACCTCCACTCTCATAGGCCAAGCCCTCGACATCGAAAAACCGGACCTCGTTATCTTCACCGGCGATCAGCTCAACGGCCAAGGCTCTGCCTGGGATGCCAAATCCATTCTTGCCAAATTTGCATACGAAGTCACTTCTCGTCAGATACCATGGGCTGCTGTCTTTGGTAACCACGATGACGAGGACGCTCGTGAGACAGGTTGGAAGAAGGACCAGATCAAGATGATGCAGGCAATGCCCTACAGTCTCGTGAAGGCGGGACCAGAGGATGTGCATGGGGAAGGCAACTATGTCCTCAAGGTTCTCAGTGCGGACGCGAGCAAGACTCACCTTTTGACGATGTACTTCTTGGACTCGGGGAGTTATTCGAAGGGCTTCATCGACTGGTTTGGATTCTTTACACCAACGGAGTATGACTGGATTCACGAGGTACGTTTACACCACTTTTCGCTTATATACTCCAGGACTTCTAATGGCGATCTACCCACCAGGATCAAATCGATTGGTTCCTGCAAGAATCGGGTATGGAGTTTGTTTGTGCGGTTATGTTTCGAGATAGTACTCAAATGCCTCCACCCCCAGCTTCTATCAGTCCCATAGAGCGACCATTCACGCCTGACGGCACCAGGGATATGGGTGACTTGTGGGCTCGTCAAGATCAGGTCGCTCCCCAGACACGCAAACTCGCAAAGCCGAACGCTCTCATGTTCTTCCACATTCCTCTGTGCGTATCCTCTCCCTTCGTCATCCCCATGTTGTTGCTTACATTAAAGGCCGAATAACATAGTCAAGAAGCCTACGCCGCACCGGACGTGCACCCCGACACTGGGGCCCTTCTTAATGTCGGGCTCCATAGCATAGAGAACCCCGGGGCTGCGAAGACCAACGGAGGCATGTTCTCGAAGGGACTGTTACAGGCCACGGAGAGCCCCCACACAGGGAATCGGGGGATCCCCGAAGTCAAGGTCGTCGGTAACGGACATTGTCACAGTGAGTTGTACATCTTGTTACAGTTTAGGTTTTCATGCTGATGTTCTCTGTTAGTCACCGAGAACTGTAAGCGTGTAAATAACGTGTGGCAGTGCTTTGGTGGTGGAGGGTAAGTGTTTCCATCGACGCCACAGTGTCCATCTATATTTACATCCCTTCAACTCATATAAATCTCGTCACACAGGTCATACGCGGGTTACGGTCGCGTTGGGTTCGACCGTCGCTTCCGCATCTATGATATCTCGGATTACGGAGAGACGATCAAGACATACAAGCGTCTCGCGAGCGACAAGGTCATGAACGAGATGGTTCTTGCAGGACGTGGTGCCCCTCCGTACCTGAAATGAACAGGTGATATACGGTGATGTTGGCAGGATGTGTTCCGGATCCGAGCCTACTTACTCGCTTCGCGTTGGTCTAGATTCGGTTGGATACGGGATTGTAATGGATATTAGTTGTATAATATATTGGATTTCCTTCTCTTTTCATTGACTGCCCCTTACAGCGCAAGTATCCTGTCGGTCGAGCGGGCAGGTAAGTAATTCCATTCACCGGGCCACGTTCCTTTTATTGGTCGCAGGGCCTGTAGCTTTCTGCGGTCGTTTACATCCCTACTTTGCGTCGTTATCTCTTCCATCCCTTCTCATGTTCATTCGACCGAAGCCTCAAAGATTCACCTCGGCAGTCCGAAGTTATTCATAAGTCGTCTCATGCTCAACTTTCGAATCCTAACTTCGAAAAATGCTGAGACGTTGGGCGAGCCGAATTTTGCTCCAGCTCCGATGTTGACATCATTAACCCTCTTGCTTTCAGACAGTGCCGTGTGACGACGAGTTGACGACTCTGGTGGGGATTACTGTTTTGGAAAATACTTCGTTTTCCAGATCACCTTTCAAATCAAGATGGTCAAGAGAATCAGGTATATAACATTCACTCGTTCTTATTCGATCTAGTCCTTGTGTGGTCAACCATGTCCATAAGGCAATGCCCATACGATCCCCCCTTGTAAGACCCCTGATGTCGTTCGCCGACCTCCAAGCGAAACACGACTTCTCGTTCCCTGACCCCTCTCAGATATGACCTTGAGGTCCTCTTCTGTTCGACATGGAACATTTTGGACATTGATATTTAGATCCAACACCTGCGCGGACCTTTGGTTTCTTTTCTTCAATGCGGAAGCCAGCTCTTGATAGAAGGTCGTGGTCTCTGCATCCAAGTATTCTAACCGCCGCAAGGAGGGAAGTACGGCAGTCCCATTCCGTGAATAATCTAAAGCGCGAGTAGAATCGCGCCATTCTGCATCGTAGACATGCATATATCGCACTTCAGGAAGTTGCTTGTACAGCGTTGGCCAGTGATCACCCTGCTGACCTCGACGGAATTCTAAGCAAAGAGTGTGAAGGGAAGGGAGTGATAGATGCGAGCACAAAATTGCGGCCGCTAAAGACAGGTCCACGCTAGGGGGCACGAAGGCCAGAGGAAACTCGCTTCGGCGGAGATTCCACAAGTCGAAGCGTATCTCGTTCTGCGCAGTCTGGAAATACATATTCATCTCTTTATTTGGCGGTTGAGCCAAGATTGTCAGGCTCTCGATAGCCGACTGGAGTGCGTTAGGTGCCGAGGTGAACGCCTTTCGACCTGCGAGCAGGGAACGAGAGATGTGAGGATCATAGCACGTGAACCTCACTAATGCCCTAGGTGGAAGGTCGATGCGGCATAGAAGACGAGCACAGGTAACGAGCGAATCGATTTCGAGGGACATGGAAACAAGAGAGGGGAGGTCAATGACGGTGGAAGGGCCGGGATCGTGGGACTTGCGTTGTGTGTCTATGACTTCCGCTAACACCACCGTGTGAAGCCGTGGCATGTTGCCTAGTGCCTCGAGCCACTCCTCCAGCGGCCATTTCGTGAGAGGGCGTGTACCACCCATCATGGAACCGCCATGAATCTCTAGAATTTCTAGACCGCGAAGGAGAGTTAAGGTAGGCGGTATGGTGAGGAACAAAAGTCGAAGCTCGCGGAGGTTGGGGGCATCCCCCGCGAGCATCGTTTTCGGGATTGTCGGGGGTACAGAATGTTGAGTCCCTATCAAGTTCAGTTGGTAAAGTTCCGGGGCACGCTGTTGCGCATGTTCGAGAAAGTAGCGAGCACCAGCACCCCAAAGTTCGTAACTTTTCAGAGTGGGAATCGTGCTGATAGAACGTTGTATCACAGCCTCCATGGAGGGTGTGTAGAAGCTGCTGCCCCAAAAGTCGAAATCGAGCCAGAGCTTTGGTTCGGTAATGTCGTAGTTACGGCCTCTCAGCACAGTGCTGCTACGTCCTTGTCTGTGCACGTAGGCTGGCGGAGGGGGAACAAACATGTCTTCCCAGAGGTTTGGCGTCCCGATTGCGGTATCACGCCACGTTCGACATACGTGGCTGAGAACAAAGAATCGAGTGACCCTTCCTGTCCGCGCTACGCTGTAATTCGCGTTCCAGCCTCTGTCGTACTCTGTCACAGTCCATCGAGAAGGAAGAAATTGAAATACATAGCCCAAGATTTCGGGTGGAAGGCGAAGAACGGGAGTCGGCGCATCATTCCGGATACTTCGCTGTATGGCGATGATGATCACTGTTCAGTACATGCAAATGAGTGTGATGCACATCGCACTCACTGAAGCATCTACATCCTGGCCCACAGACAGCAAGGCTAAAACACCTACATGAGTGAAGGCTATTCACTGGCATAGCGGACAAAAGACCCACATCGTATGGCACGAGCAGGGAATGACAGCACGCTTTCGTTGATAGGAGGTCGCATGTTTGACAGACTGGAGTCAAAGTATTATCATTGTCAATGTTCAAATGTTGTCTGTCAGTGTCATCGAACGAGAGGACCAAGTCTAGGACACTAAGAGCTCACTGCTTGCGGAAGAATCTCCGAGTCGATCAGTGCGCTGAGACAAGGATTGGGCCTAATCGCGACAGACAACAGAACGTGCTGAACAAAGGATACTTATAGACAGCGTCGAATGACGATCCTATCCGATTGTAAAGAAGTAAACAAAGAGGGTGGACGCTGCTATCGACGTTAACGTGTTTAAGGTTTGGTAGAAAGGCAGAGTATCCCAGCGCACGCCACGTGCCCCAGCCTGAGAATCCAAATAAGTTATAGAGGGCGTGGCTTCTCGGCACCTTTTGGTTCTCTCACAGGTTGAACAACTTGAACCTTCGTTGCATCCGTCATACACGTAAAATCGACTGCCCCTCATCTACAGCAGTCTATAGCCTCCTTGAACGCTTGCGAGCACTATCTATCTCCTAAGAACACTAGGTAATTGCATTGTTCCCCTTCTTCATAATATTTGCTACACATTCAAAAGAGCTAAGCACGACCACAGATCATCTTAGTCATTTGAGCGCCAGTGAGCCCGATCTCTGGCACTTTCGTTGCCGTTTGACAGAGATTTCCCGTCGACTTTTCTTACTTAGATGGTTCGCCGGACATACGAGGTGCCTCGTCTTACCCGTGTTGTGAAGTCCAACCTCCCTGATATTTGGACGTTCCACAGTTCATCCCCGGATTCTTCATCCAGGACGACAAGAATGCCGACCCTGGTTTGGTCGGGGCGGTAAGTTGACTTCGACTCAAACGTATGATCCAGCGGCACCCATCCGCCCATGAGATTTCCTCCTCCACATCGCTTCTCACTGGTCCTGTTCCTTTGATACTCCTCGGCGCCACCGCTTATTTTTGGCTTGCAGATCCCGCCATCCTTTGGGCGTCTAGCTCCTTCATGGTCGGATCTCCACTCGAAAGTATCGGAACTCAACACTACAGCTGGGAACGAAACATCCTACAAGGTTCTGATTCTTGGAAGACATGGACAAGGATATCGTTGGTCTTCCAAACTTAATGTTCGACACTTGTGATAAACTGTCTTTGCCCAGATAATGTGGGTGAGGCGAAACATGGAAGTAAGGTGAGCTTCGGTCCCGCTGATTCTTCCGGACCGACCTCTGACGAGATCTTGTCAGGCCTGGGATGAGTGAGCAGTTTTTCGTTTTTCCTCGGGATCGCATATTGCTAAGATACGTACAGACACTGGGCTCTTCTGAACGGAGACGACCAGATAACCTGGGGCCGTGAGTTCTGGATCTTCCATGTTAGCAGAATATTATTCACGTGGCGACAGCGGATCCCATCCTCACGCCATTGGGCGAGGAGCAAGCGCGGACCGCTCATGCTGCCTGGAAGACCGAGCTCGCAAATGGGCTTACTCTTCCGCAAAAGTTTTACTGCAGCCCCATGGCCCGTGCCCTCCGTACACATACGATTACATTCGATGGCATTTTACCTGCCTCAGATCGCAAGACGATCATCCTAGAGGTGCGGACATCTTCCTCCCACCCGTCTCCGTGTCAGCGTCTCGTCGTGAACATGGCTTGTCGCTTATTATGGCTATCGGGCGCCCCGTAGGATGCTAGAGAAGAGTATGGAGAACACACATGTGACAAGCGACGTTCGCGCGCTGCGATAGCAGCGGATTTCCCTGATTTCGTGTTCGAGAATGGCTTTGCAGACGAGGATGTGCTCTGGACAAAGGAGAGGGAGACTAAGGAGAGCGCCGAGAGGCGGGCACGGAATGTCTTGGACAGAATCTTCGATGCCGATACTGACGCAACATGTGAGTGCGCACTAGCTGATTCCCCCATGCTTCCTGCAACGTAAGTCTGAACTTCTCGACAACCCTGCGGCAGACGTGTCCATTACTGCCCATGGGGGAATTATTAACGCTATTTTACGGGTTGTCGGGCGCGGTAACTTTGGCATGACCACCGGAGGTAAGCACCCACCGCTTAGAATTTGGGGCGTTAACTGAAGGGCGGGCGGAACATAGGCGTTATGATGATTGTAGTAAAAGGAATGAAGGAGGGGGGAAAGAGATAACTTCCTGGAGGCTCAGCAGGCCAGACACATATCAACAGCGCTTTGAACAGGTACAACTATCGTGTTTTGTAATCAAGTTATTCAATAGATACAGATACAAGCCAGTCAGATCATCATAACGTCGTGCATAGGGTACGGAAAATGCGTAAATCTCCAGAAGGCTACATACAGACACCGAAAACGATTATTTCGTCGAGACGTCATGAGCAATTCACAAAACGGAGAGAAGTGGCCAGCTGGGTAAACGTGCTGACCACTGTACGGAGGGTATACCGACGGATAGCAGCGACCATGTGTTATGACTGATTCATGATAACCACCTTGAGATCCTGACCCCTGCGTACGGCCTCCAGCGCCTCCTCGCTCTTCGTCAACGGGAATACGGCTGTGATCATAGGCTTGACATCAATCTTCTTGCTCGCCATGAGGTCGATGGCGATCTTGAAACACCCGGGTGTATACCGTACGCTCCCGATGACATTGAGCTCCTTCTGAACGATGGCGAATGTCGGGAAGAGGCTGACGGTCTTACCGAGTCCTGCTTGGATGACTGTGTGGACCGGGAAAAGTGGATACAACGGTGAGAGGGGGCCGACACCGAAGTCAAGCAGATACGAGAAATGAAACAGTGACTCACAAGTACCACCCGAATGCAAGAACTCCATTGCGGCGTGCATGCAGGCCTCAGCCCCTGATGCCTCTACGGCGACATCCACACCCCAAGAGTCCACACCTGCCTCCTTCAACGCATTGGCTTTGAATCCAACCGACCAAGCGGAGTAGCTCTCCCCTTCTGCCGCAGGGGGAGAAAGGGCGGCGTAATCTGCACAGAAAGAGCGAGCGAAGTCGACTCGAGACTGAGAGATGTCAAACGCGAGGATCTTGGTGACCCCGTATGCGCGAGCAACGGCCATCACGAGACATCCTAGAGGACCACAACCACTGTGTAAAGATCGTCAATGCGCAGCCTAGACGGGTGAGGGATTACAACGTACAAAATAGCGACCGTTTGGCCAGGGCTGAATTGTGCACGTTTGGCCAACTAGTACAGATCGAGGTTTGCTATCAGTATAGGTCCAGGTCAGCGGAGCATCAACGTGGACTGACCTGAACGGCGACCGCAAGAGGCTGGATGCATCCTGCTTCTTCCCAAGATATGCTTTCCGGTACCTTGACCGTGTAATCTGACTCGCACGCATAATACTGCGATAACGCTGTCGAAGAACGTATCGGGTTATTGTTCGTTCATTTTTGGACAAAAGTGCAAACAGTAGAAGGATACTTACTTCCTTGCGTGGGAGACAAAGAGGCCTGCTTGAAGGAGCGGCAGATATTTGTCTTACCGACCTTGCAATTTGCGCATCTGATATGGAGGCCAACGATGCCGCGGGCAGCAGGAAGGAGAACGGCATTGTGTGAGCCGGAAAGGAATTCCATGCAAGAATCAATCGATGGAAAAGCCCGCTTACCTTCTGCAGAACATGGTCGGCTCAATTGCGACACGATCGCCGACGCTGACGTCGGTGACTGCGTCGCCCACCTGGACAACAACGCCGGCAGACTCGTGCCCCAAAACTAAAGGCCCTGCAATCGGGCCTGCTGCACCTCCATGGTTGTAGTTGTGCAGCTATGTTGACCAACATGGATACATGAGCACGTCAAAGCGGCCATATAAAATCACAAGGTACGCACATCGCTGCCACAAATACCGGTCGACTCGACTTTCACCAAGACGTCCTGAGCGCCAACAGTGGGCATGGGGATGTCGCGAATTTCGACGGTCTTCTCCTTGAGTAGTACGCATGCGCGGTTGCTGGTGCTCGCCATAGCTGTCAGAGTAGCTGTGGGTAAAATGAAGAGCGGGATGGATTGCGATCTGCAGATGATGGCCCCTGAGACGTTTGGGGATTACCAAGAGTAAAGGAGCGTGCGGGTAGAGGTCAAAGAGGTGCAGAAGACTGCCTAAGTATATATACGCGCCATGGTCATTATCATTTTCACGTACGCGTCAAGCTAAGAACTCAGCGTACAACTGTAATGGATGCGTACCCCGGAACGGAGCACATCGCGTCGGAACACTCTCGCGACGGATCGGATCCATCCGTCACTATTATTCCGAATATTTCGTGCGCTCGTCGCGTGCGTACATACGCGTTCTTCGCGTTCTCTACTGCGACGGAAGCGTCAAGACGCTTCGTTGAACAGGATCACATTACTCTTCCATGACTCCCAGAACAGACCACGTTCTCGTCATTGACCCTCTGACCTAAATGTCTCGAAGGTTTCCCTACTTTGTTTTAGGCTGTAGCCCCGACCGGGGGTCACATTCGCAGCGACGGATTAGGTTAGTTGGGTTTGATGAGTTCGGCTCCAACAGTCGCCTTCCTCACTGAGCTCATTGATACCTCAACTTCCCTCAACTCCCCACCCTGTCGAGCATAAGCAGACGTTTCTTCTCAAGCGCACCGTTGTCAACTGGAGGAAGACGCCGTCTTACGAGCCTTCACCTCAGTGAAGAGCGTTTTAGAATGAGCGAAGAAGTTGATGCAAGAAGAAAGACGAGCGCTGTACTGAGCGCAAAATACTCAACATGGTCGTCGCGGTGAAGTACTGAATAAGAACAAACACCGGATTGGGCCGATACCGTGGGAAACGCCGCGGCTAGCGTTGACCACGTGATAGATAAGTTATTCGAGTCGCGTCGCGAACGGTGACACGGACTGTCGTTCGACTTCATCTCCTTTTCAGTTTCTACAGCCAGCTCAGTTCTCATCGTAGATAGTTATGAGTGTCGCGATGCTTAAACCTCTTGGACGACGCGCTGCATGGTTTGTCTACCTGAACTTCTCGAGTTCTTTCTGGCTAATTTTTTCATTGTTCAAAGTGTCCATAAAAGCGCGCGATACGCGACACCCTCTATCCGAACTCTCACTGGTAGCACATCTTCTCGCTCGGGGCCGATCACAGCAAGTCATCCAAGCGGCTCGCATACAGTGGATATGTCCGATAGCTCTCCAGGGCGACTTGATCGCGTCTTAGAGCTTCTGTCGATGTGCTCAGCTGACGAGCGCGAACTTGTCAGGAGACAGTTGGCACAACCTCAGGTTATTTCACCGGTTATTCCATAAACTTGGATTGTATTGACACAACTTATATCTTAGACAGGATCCCTTCGGTCGTTGTGTGTAGCTGGCGCACGCGATCTCGCCACATCGTTTCCGCCACAGTTGACACTCAAGCGCCCTCTGGTTTGCTTCGATCTGGAAACCACGGGCCTGGCTAATTCTCACATAGTCTCCATGGCATTCCTCAAGATATATCCCACCTCATATTCTCCAGACACCTCACTTCCTCGTATTGAGACGTTCGCTCCGGGCAATTTCCGACAAGGCGACGGCAGCACTTATGTCCGTCCACCTACCTCGATCAGCATCCAAGCTACAAAGGTCCACGGTATCACGAATCGGGACGTCTCACGACTCCCTCCCTTCTCTGCTCACGCCCATGCTCTGTATGACTTTCTGAAAGGCTGTGACCTCACGGGTTATAATGTCGCGAAATTCGATATCCCGATCCTCACGGCTGAGTTTCAGGCTTGTGGTATCGTGTGGCCCCCGACAGAAGGTGAAGAGGTCCCCTGCGTTGTCGATACACTCAAGCTCTTCCATGGCTTGTCGCGCAATCTCGAACTTGCACATATTTTCTTTGCGGACCAAGAGATGGTAGGCGCACATAATGCAGAGATGGACGCTGTGGCAGCGATGAAGGTGTTGTTCGGGATGGTGAGAGAAGACAGACTGGGAATGCGGCAGAAGGTTGGAGATATGTTGACGAGGTCGGAACAGGGCACGCCCCGAGTGGTTGGCAGTGGAAAAGAGATGTCTGCATTCGCAACAAGAAAGCGTCCGAGTAGATCTACGGGAACGACCACGGTAGATCGGGCTGTACTTCCAAATCGTGCGCAAGCGCGTTCACTGTAATGGTAGCACGTGTTTATGAGTGTTGTCAATGGCGTTACCAAATTGGATGAACTTCGATGTCCTTGCGCGCTTTGCTCTGCGCTCTTGTGGATCAGGGCAGCGAACTCTGCGGATCGTGCTGAGAACATGTGCTATCCTGGATACGGAAATGAAGGAACTCAATCGAGATATGTGCTAGTGACGATGCACCTGGTTCTCGGACACGGAGACTGTGGTGGCCACCACCACTGAAGGACGTGCTACGAGAGTATACGATCGCTTCTTGCGTTGTGACTACCCAACATCAATACACACGAATGCAGTCATCGAAGGTCCACCCCAGTGCCAAACCAAGATGAGGTATACTTTGAGTAGATACAGCAGGTTGACTCGAATAAAGGCAATTGAATACTCACGAAATTTGGATGAGTGACTATCGAAGTCTGTGGAAAAGCTGAAGCCCGAGGAGTCGTCAGCCGACATCTTTCAGTAATACTTTGGCCACCGCTAGCTGCTGCAGTATAGTTCAAAAATATTGGTGACCGATCAAGCAGAGCCGACCCGCGGAACCTCGGTAAGAATCTATATACAACCCGTTGTACTTACAGCCAGAGGCCGAGCACCATGATGAATGCGTGGATTGACCCGTGCACAGCGGAGGTGTAAACTCTCCGGTGCACTTATCGACACGTTGTTACAAGGGCCACAGGAAATGACCACTCCGAGATGCATCGACAGATGTTGATGAAAGTGATTTGGATGAGCACGATGGGCCGTGTAAGACTGGATCGAGATGGGTCAGATAAAGTCTGTGAAGAAGAAGAAACCAGATACATAACGAGACAGGTAGCTTACACGAGGTCGATTGTTGTACCATAAACAGCTCTGGTCGAGGTAGAAAATCTTTGGGGCGCTGAGATGAATGAAACTAGGCTTCTCTCCCACAGATATCTACACGAGCCGGTGGTTCGCCGCGGAGATGATCAGTGAACACGACGGTAACAGCGGGCAGTGAGAGATGAAGAGCGGGTCCTCAGGGCAACATCGTGTACAGCGGCGGAGTCGGATGTGTGAGGGGCTTGAACTGCAACAGGTACGTGAGGTGAGAGGTGAGATCTGAGAGCCGGCGGAGAGTCAACGGCACGAGTTTGTGACGAAACAGCACGTCTGTACAGAGAAAACACCAGAGAAACCCGAGAGTGGAGGGGTTTGGAGCGCGATGTCGAATTGAGGACTCCTCGGCTGAAATACCACCATCCCAACGAAACATGCGCGAAGTCCGACCAGAGGAAGAGGAGTAGTGGGATGCTTCGAATGCATGGCGACCGGCGTGTACGTTTACGCCTAATGTTGTCAGCTCCACTAGATAGGAGGTGGCACAGGCGGCGAGAAAGCAAGACAAAGGCCGATTCATCTATCGTGCAGCCTTTATAGGGTTCAGAGGCCCGCTTTGACTTGGAGAGTTGGCAATGTCAGAACGTCGTACAGGAGGGCGGCGAGACAGACTCTTGCGACGCCACGAGCTAACAAGCATTGTGGCGTGGGAGAACCAGGAGATTGGTCCGAGGAGCATCGTAGTTCCCACCGCGGGACGCTTCTTCGGTTGGTGCTTGGTCCGAGGGAATGCGTTGGGAAAGTCGCAACAGCCCAGTGCATACGACTGCCATACAAATCGTGACGCCTTTCCCAGCTTTATAGTCAGAAACTCTCCTGGGCCATTTGAATGATGCGGGAACCCACCACACGCTCCTCCGAGAACTCTCTGTCCGCGCAGTCATCTTGGCCTCAGAGGTGCCACGCTCGACGACTAGCCCATCCTGTCCTTTCTGTATCTCTTCCGTATACACTCCTCGACCGCGACCGTGATGGGTCTACACGAATCTCCAGCTGCGGACACTAATACCCTCGGCGAGCTTGAATCGGGCGCACAAACTGCTGCTCCGTCTCTAGACAGTTCAGAGTCTGCCAATTTGAATGATGATGTTCGTTACGCTCCCAGGCTCCTACAGTCGTGACAGTCCTTCATGCATGACACTGATCTAGCCGTAATTATCAGCACAAACCCATAGACGATCCTTCGCTTATTCCTCCAGATGGGGGGATTCGCGCCTGGATGACCATTCTTGGCTGTTTCTTGCTCTCCTTCACGTCGTATGGTATGCTCGTCGCTCTATATGCGCTTTCGGAAGGGGAGGCTAACACTTTCCTCATGGATATAATAAAGGTCAAGTCAACGCATTTGGTGTCTTTCAGACCTATTACGCAGAAAATCAACTCCAGGGCCGTTCTGCGTCAGACATCAGCTGGATAGGAAGCCTACAAATAGGCTTGATATACATTAGCGGTCTCGTCCTTGGACGGTTCTTCGACTTGCACGGGTCCAGGGTCAGTATATCTTGCTACGGTCAAGACACATGTCTAAATTCTGCTAGCGCAGGTCCTCTTCGTATCTGGGTGGCTCCTATCCGCTTTCAGCCTCATGATGCTCTCCATCTCGCGGCTGTACTATCAGATCATTCTGTCTCATGGCGTCGGGTTTGGTCTTGGGATGGCTCTACAGTATGTTGTTCTTGATCTTTTGCGACACAACTTATCTGATCACGCTGGCCAGATTCTACCCTCTGGTAAGTTATGTTCAGCGGCATCACGACCAGAATTTGACGCACTGCGCAGCTTGCTATACCATCTCACTGGTTTCTAAAACGTCGAGCTTACGTGCTTGGAATCGTAAGCCCCTATACTTGGGATGTGGGAACATATGTAGCTAATTCTTCATCGACCTCCAGGTTGTGGCCGGGTCCAGTCTCAGTGGCGTTCTATTTCCTATCATGTTGTCTCGATTATTTCCATCGATTGGCTTCGCATGGACGGTTCGCACCTTGGCCTTCTTGTGCTTCGGACTACAAGGTGTATCCATCTTTCTCGTCAAGGAGCGACTTCCACATCGGAAGCATGCTCCACGACTTGACATGTCCTTGCGAGGCGATATACCCTTCATCCTCCACCTTGTCAGCGGCTTTTTCATCGCGTTCGGTGAGTGTCTCTTATTATTCGATCTCCATTTCCACCTGACCATTTAATTTTTCCTAGGCCTGTATACGCCAACGTGGTATATATCACTATACGCTCTCAAACAGGGAGTTTCATCCAACCTCTCCTTCTACCTCATTTCTATCGCCAATGCCGCAGGGATGTTCGGCCGCATAATCCTTGGTCACGTCGCAGACAAGGTGGGTCCTTCCACCACGACTGAGGCACAAGTACGCGAGCCGTAGCTAATTTTATCTACAGACTGGGAGATTTAACACGATGATTGCAACAATACTCATCGGCGTCATCTCCGTGTTCGCGATATGGACAACAGCACACACGGCTGTCGCGCTTGTGTGGTTTGCTATCTTGTGAGTCCACTCTCGAGCCCCGCACATCAGCATTGAATACTCACACCCTTCCTTCACATAGATCGGGGCTTGCGGTCGGTGAGCATATAACTCAGTTCGTCTCACCGGAATGTTTTACGAACGTAACCTATTCTATCAGCGGCCTATACGTCCATTGCTTCTTCGTGCACGGCGCAACTGACGCCAGATCCTTCATGCATCGGCGCCCGAGTCGGATTGTTCATGTGCGTATTGAACAGAGCTCGACGCTCCGCCTCTATTCACACTGATTCCACGCACATCGTCATAGGACTGTCATGGCGCCAGGAATAACCACAGGTCCATCTATAGCCGGAGGTCAGTCGCTTCGAATTCCTCTCGGCCCTTGTCACTTTCTTCGTCCACTGGAGTGGAAATACTCCGATGTCATGGGTACTGACGCATGTCATCTTCTATCTCGTGTCGTCGATAGCGATCATGTCGGATACAAACGGGTCGTACCTCGGGTTGCAACTCTTCGTCGGAAGTACCTTCGTTGTGGGAACTGTATTCGCTATTGCAGCTCGAGTGGCGGGCTCGCCACATTGGCGTTCTAAATTCTGATGGGGCCGCGAGTATATCACTGTGCGGTTCACTTCTCGACTCTTGCGCGTGCATCTTGCAGCGCCATTTGTACTTAACTCTATACTTGTAACATTAATAGTCGCATACCAGCATCTGCATTCGTAGTATGTACCCAGGACTAATGATACGGACATTCTGTAATAGCTCGAGCTGAAAATTGAATGTCTGTGACATCTGACCCAGGCTTCGGGTATCGTGGCTAAGGCATCCCAGGCCGGAAGATTTGTGTCACGCACACGATAGAGTAGAAGCGAGGACGATCCGCGGACTCTACGGTGTTTAAAGAAGGCGTAGGTGGCCGGTGACCTGGTTGATGAGCTCGACAGGTGCTGGAATGGGGTTATGGCTCAGAATGGATCCCGGCAATCATGAGGTGGATTCGACGCTGGCGAAGCCCGTTGACTCACCTGGACCGATACCTAAGACCGTCCGCGAACCAGGGTCCACCTGTGTCCTTCCCCTGTCGGAATTCCATTTAAATTGAGTGGAGTTCGTTTACCGGATGGAGAGAGAGAGAGATGACACGTACGCGTCTTGTATTGAGCGAGCGCAGAGGTTGAGGCTCTTTGCGATTGCTTCTAGTTCGAGGAGCTCATCTTCCGACGAGGCTTTCAAAGCGATCTTAGCTTGTCTATTGACAAGGTTATACGTCTACTCACAAGGGAGCGAGAAGGAGTCTTACCCGATACGTTCCCAATGTTGTACAAGCTGAGCACAGCAAAATCTTGGTCAGGCCAGGGCTAGAGGATTATTTTTGGAAAACCCTGACCTTGGGATTGGCTTTTACCAGTGCTTTATAGCAAGCGAGAGTAGCATGGCTGCAAAACAAGAGGATCAAGCTTTGACTCGGACTTGAAGGTAGTGATAACTTACCCGCACCTGCAATAAAGACGCTATGAGCGGAGAGACAATTAGTGGGTTTTCGAGTGAGAGACGACCTACTGGGCAGCAATTTTTCCAGGTGTCATCTTCAGGTCCGTTCGCACGACAAGCACCTAGGGAGTCAACCACGAGACGGACTGTTTTCAGTGACGTGTGCGAGCCGTTAAAGTCTCATGACCATTCAACCTACCAATTTACAAGGTTCAACAAAGCCGGCCTTCACAGACCCGAGGTCGCCGTCAGCGATGTCTTCCTCTTCGTCATCACTATCATCCGGAGTTTCCTCCTCTTTCGGAGGTGAATTATTCTCGGCCGCTGGTTGTGCCAAGGGCTGGGTGGTGTTACTGCTAGAAATCGGGTTCGTCACAGAGGCGGCGAAGTAACCTAGAAGGCCGGATGCCACGACGGTTGTGACAAGAAGCAACGATGTGGAGGTGGAACGCGGGAGCATATTCAACAATGCTAAATTTCCGCGATTGTTCACCCGTAAGCGTTTACGAAAGGGTAAGCGATATAGAAAAGCGGTCAGTAGCCTGGAAGTCGAGGTGGCGACGAGTCGGACACAAAACGCGTGGCGAGCAGGAGAACCGAAACCTTGGCTTTTCAACTCCGCCTCAATCTGAATATTGAACCGGCGTCGTGGTTGCTTTGTAGTTCTCTTCCAGTCTCTTTCTCGTTCACGAACCACTGCACGCTAGTCAACTCCCTTGTTCCTCCTGCTCCGAACCTGCTCAGAACTCTTAGCTAAATGCCAACAGAAGGACCGTCAACCGAGCCCCATAATGCCCGTTCGAGCGAGACAACAGGATCCACCTCCAGCGCACATCCTCTGCAAGCGACTTCCTCTCCTGGCAAACGTCCTCGCGTCGAAGAAGATGAGGAGGACAAAGCGGATTTGGTCGGGACGATGCTCAATATATATTTCGACCAATGTTCCGACACCGAACGTCGAGACTTCAAGCGTCGTGTGTACGAAGTCGAGGTGCGTCAGATATCTGCTCTTGCTTCTTTCTAAAGTTCTGACAAATGTGTCACAGCGTAACAAGGCCATACAAGCCTTCGTCCCATCTTCCCTAGTTCTGACGCGCCCTCTCGTTTGTTTTGACTTCGAGACCACGGATCTCTTGCCCCATGGACGGATACTTTCTATGTCATTCATCAAGGTTCACCCTCGCTCTGGCGGCGCGTCCTCCAATAAAGTGGAGGTATTCATGATGGGGAACCTTCGACCCACCGATGGCAGCGTCTATGTCAACCCAGGCGTACCATCTCACCCGGCAGCTTTGAAGGTCCATCGAATCAAGGACTCTGACCTATCCTCCCTTCCACCATTCTCTGCCCACGCTCAATCATTATTGGCGTTCTTGAAAGGATGCGACCTCCTTGGCCATAACATCAAGGTCTTCGATGTCGAACTCCTCGTCAAAGAGTTCAAGCTCTGTAACATCGACTGGTCTCCCGACACTGCCGGCGTGAATCTGCTGGACACCAAGCAGCTTTATTCACAATTCGATTCGGGCGGGAACCTCGAATCTGCGTATAGGAAATACGTAGGCGACGAGATGCAGGGAGCACACAACGCGGAGGCGGATACGATTGCTACTTTGAGGGTTTTATGTGGGATGGTAACGAAGTCGGCCAAGATTCGGGATGCTGTGGAGCATATTTTACGACCAACGACCGCCGTAGCTGGACCGAGGCCTAGTTCGAGCTCCACGACGAGTAATGTTCGACCTAGTCCAGCGGGAGTCCGACGTTTAGTGGCCACTATGTCCTCTCCCGCTGTGACAAAATGACAACACATCCCGACTTATTTCCGCTGGAGTGTAGCATAGCAGTGCTCGCGTTGGATGGATAGTTCACAGCAAACATGAACGCTCGGCGACTTGGTAGCGCCACACTTCAAGATTTGGGGTGGCGTCTCGCCTAATGAGACAAACCCCATTTGGATCGATTTCTGAGGCTTCGGGCCCAGCTCGGCAGACTCATCCCCAGGTTCTCCCTATTTAATCTTCGGCACCCTGAGCACCGGTCAATAAACAAAGTCCTCATGCCGACCGAACCCCCTGTCGCATCGAACACGCTGTCATCGAACACCATCCGCACGAACGGCGACTCCGCGCAGATCCCCAGCGCTGAGTCAAACGACGTACAAGCTTCCACTTCTCTTGGCAAACGTCGTCGTGTGGAGGAGGAAGATGAGCAGGAGAACTCGGGATATGCTATCCAAGAGCGCCGCGTCTTCAAGGACAGGGCTCACGAGATAGAGGTGCGTCTGCTGCTTGATTTCGTGCAGTACACTATTTCTCACTCTGTTGTTTGGTTCGTTAGAGAGCTAGTCGTCTCCAGGACCTCGAATGGACTCCTGCTCGAACGTCCTCTCATCTGCTTTGACCTCGAGACGACGGACTTCTTACCAGAGGGACGCATCATCTCTATGTCCTTCATCAAGGTCTTCCCTCCATCACACCCATCCACCACCGCCACCTTCGAGGTCTTCGGCTCCGCCAACCTTCGGGTCTCCGATGGCAGCGTCTATGTCAAGCCAGGAGTCAAGTCTTGCCCAGGGGCCCTCGCCAAACATCGCATCCAGGACTACGAGGTCGATCATCTCCCCTCTTTCTCCGCCCATGCCCAGTCTCTACATACGTTCTTGAAGGGATGCGACCTTACAGGGTACAACATCCAACATTTCGATATCAGTGTCCTCAAGCTTCAGTTCTCGGAATGCGGTATCAACTGGAAACTTGACGAGGAGGACGTCAAGGTAGTCAATACGATGGTGATATATCAGACTTTAAAGAGGGAAGCCAATCAGAGGAGAGCCAATCAAGGTTCACAGAGAGCCAACAATCGGGGTTCACGGAACAGAGGAAACCGAGGCTCGCAGAGGCCCAATCAGAGTTTCCAGACGGCCCCATCTCATACTACACAGCAGGACGCGTATCTGGAGTTCGTAGGAAGGAGAATGCAGGGAGCGCATAACGCGGAGGCGGACACGATCGGAGCCCTCGAGCTGCTGCTCGCGATGGTGCGCAGGGGGGATCTGAAGGCGAAGGTGGAGCAGATCTTACGACCTCGTTCGACCTCGTTCAGGGGTCGCTTTTGATGGTTCGTTTATCTTCGTCTGAGTTGCGTTGCTCTATTACAGAAAATCATTCGATATACTCCAGAAAATCCTTGATGTCTCCGCTCACATAAAATCCTTGATTATCTCCACTCGCTACTTCCTCATATGTACAACACTTCTACACGAAAAATGAAAAACCCTATATCATTTCTCAGTTTGGGTGGGATGCTGGTCATCTTGTCGTCTTGTTAGTGGGTCACTTTCCGTAGGGGAGTCTGCAAATTCTAGAATGTTTCTGTGCATCAGGAATTCTTTTACATTATTGCTACGGGAAGTCGCCCGCTGATAGACCGCTGCGGTAAGTCATTCAGTATTTCCCAGCGGAGACCTCTCGTGCAACCTGTAGCGTGACGAGTTGCCTTTGCGGTCAGTCATATACTTACTTGGTCTTTTCGGTATGAAGGTTAGATAGATAATTCACAATTGCGGCCTGTAGGTTATGTACATGTGGTTGAGATGAATTGTCAGAGGTCGTGATGAGTCGATGATGATACATTGCTACAGCACCCGAATGTAGGTGATTGGGAAGTGGTACACATAGGAAAGATGGAGAGTGATGGAGTGGGGTATTAGGATGAGGTGTTGAAACCTGAAATGGTAAAGTAAAACCCCGAAAATAGATAGGTAAAGGAAGGAACCAAGAAAACGATGACATGATCATACACCCAAAACTTACACTGGCTTAAAAGTCGAAACGGTTGCACAACCAGCCTTCTCTGCCCCTCGCCTTCCAAACAAGCGCAACTACGAACTAACAACAGCCTCCTCCTCCCTCTCCCGTCCCTTCCTCCTCCCCAACAACCCGACCCTCCCACCCACCGCGAGCCCAAAACTCCCCGTCCTCCTCTTCGCACCCTTCACCGCCCCGTTCGCGTGTGAATTCGCATCCGCATCACTATTATCCTCCGCGCCAGCCACCCCGCCATTACTTCCACTCACAACGCCCATACTTCCCTTCCTCAACCTCCTCCACAGACCGCCCACCGGACTTCCACTAAATCCACCTCCCCCACCCCCTCCTCCCCCTCCTCCACTACTCCCAGCACTCGAAGGCAACCCCACAACGAGACTAGGCGGCGACGAAGAGAGCCCGATACCTTCCGTGGAGTCGTTGAATACGGATGAGAGAGTGGAGCGGGTGGAGGGCGTGCGGGAGTGGGCTGGGCGGGTTGGGGAGAGGGAGTTGGTGGTTGAGGGGAGGGGGGTTGGGATTGGAGTTGGAGGTGAGTGTGAGGGCCGGTGCGGTGGGGATGAGGAGAGATCGTTGGTTGCGGTGGGGGCGTGTGCTTCGGGTTGGGAGCTGGGCTCTTGTGTCGAATCGGGTGTGTCCTCAGGCGAGGATGCGGACGGGGCGCTGTTGCTGTGTGTAGAATCGGGAGACGAAGACCGTTGAGAACCAGAGGCCGATGATGATGATGGTGCCCCTTCCTCCTCGTCCTCATCCTCGTCCTCCACAACTTCTTCCGCCCCCGCCCCCGTCCCAAAAACCTCATCAAGCTCAAACACCTCTCCCCCTCCCCCTCCATCCCCACTTATCCCACGCTCCCTCCTCGAACTCGCAATACTCCTCATCGAATGTCCGTCCCCGCTCATCCTCCCATGTCCATCACTACTCACCCTCCCATGTCCATCACCACTCATCCTCCCCTGTCTTACATACGAATGACTATCCGCGCTTCCCCTTCTCGATATCCCCGGTCCGTGCTGGTGGTGGTGGTGGTGATGTCCGTGTCCGTGTCCGTGTCCGTGTAAGAGCCCGGGCAACAAAGACGTCGAGAAATCCCAAGAGTCGATGGTGCGGTGTAATGTTGCGTTGCGGGCTTGGAGACGTTCGAGGCGTTGGACGATTGGTGGGAGGTCGTCTGTTGTGTGTCGTGTTCGAGGTACGTCGTCAGTGAGGTGAGGAGTAGGGATAAGATATGTAAGAGAATGAGAGGATAAGAGATGTAAGAGAATGAGAGAAAAGAGAGAGGAGAGGGGAGAGAGGAGAAGAACGTACGGAGGATAGTCCCGACGAGGTATGATTTCCGTTTCGCGTTCTTGAAGAAGGGGGTTTGGAGGAGTTGGGCCGCGGTCGGTCTGTAGCGTGTGGCGTATGGCGGGCGTTGGGTGGCGGGTGGTAATACAATCAATATCATCCAGAAGACTAAGAGAGAAGGCGAAGAGAAAAGGAGGGACTTACCGTCCAGCCGGATCCTTCGCAAGACACTTGCCCACGACCTCCTGAAACGCGCGCGAATACTTATGCACCCCTCCGTCGCGATCTAGCGTCGGCGCCGCGTCTTGCACACTGGATATCACGTCCACATATCAGTAACCGAACCCCCTCAAGCAATACTGATACCGAAAAGTGCGACATAAATGGACAGGGGAGAGGGGGATGACTCACGTCTTGAGCAAAACATTATGCGACGACTCTCTCGACCTCGGCGCGCGTCCCTGCGCGAGCTCCAGCGCCGTGATACCGAAACTCCAGATATCGGCGCTCGAGTCGTAATGTTTCCCCGAGATCAGCTCGGGCGCCATCCAGCACGGCTAATCCACCCAACGAGCGAGCGTGAAGTCAAACAGTAAGATCAGACATGTCATGACATGGCCACGAAACGAACAGGAATAAGTCCCGCGACAAGACGGACAAACGGATAGACGGGGGGACATACAGTTCCAACGAACGACCTCCTCTTCCCCACCCTCGCCCTCCTCGGCGGCGTATTCCCCACCGCATCGAACACAACGCTCCTATCCGTCTTCGAATTCGTACCGTTCTCTTTAGTGTTAAGATGGGGATGGGTGTGGTCTTCGTCGTGTAGAGGCGCGGCGACGCCGAGGTCGCCGAGGAGGACGGTGCCGTCGTCGTCTATGAGGAGGTTTGCGGCTTTGACGTCGCGGTGGATGAAGCCGTTTATGTGGAGGTAACTGTTTTGTTTTTTTGTGGATTTTGTGGAATTTGTGGAGAATGGGCGTGAGGAAGGTCGGTCGGAGGTGATGCGAGGGTTCGGCCGTGGTGCAATAGGTGGGTGGGTGGGTGTGGGTCCAAAGAATGAGTCAGTGAAGCGCAGTGGGAATGGGGATTGTGGCGGAAGCGAAGGTATGAATAGAGATTGCAGGGTTATGTATAGAACGAGTGGATCGGGCGGCGATTATGAATAAGGCGATTGTAGTTATTTATGGATACATCGACGACGAAAGAGCCCGAAGAGGGTGGAAGACAAGAGGATGGAAAAGGGTGGAAGGGGAAGGAAAGGAAGGGAAAAGGAAGGAAAGAGGTACGTACTTGAGACCCTCCAACGCCTGCTTCAGTATACACCTCACGACCTCCTCGGACATCCCACCCGGCCATCCATACCTCATCACGTCCGCGGCACTGCCTGCATTCATGAGCCTGAGCGCGATATGCAGTTTGTGTCCCTCGATCCAGCTTCCTCGCACACGGAGGACGTTCGGGTGTTTGGATAAGGACATCAGTTGGGTCTCGCGTTCGAGGAGACGGAGGGAGTGTGGGGGCAGTTTGTCGAGGTCGAGGACTTTGAGCGCGCAGGGGACGGGGTTTGGAGTGGGGGAGGATGGGGTGGGTGGGGGGTGGTGAATTGCGGAGTAGACGGTCGATGATGCACCGAAACCGATTGCGGGGCCGAGTGTGTAATCTGCTGCGTTGTCGCTGTAGGGGACATCATCGGATGTGAGTCGATATTGATTATCAGAATGGAGGTCAAGATGATCAGGGTGACGGCGACGAGGAGGAAGAGAGAGAAGGGAGAGAGAGGAGAAAGAGAGGAGAACGGACGTGTAGAGCTGCCACTCGTCCTCGACTGCGCCGATGAAGGTGCTGGCGGGGCGCTTGTCAGAGACAGCGCTCGAGGACGGCATGGCTTGGATCTTGCTGGTGTCGGACGGTCGAGAAAGATATAGAGAAATCAGAGTTTATTTTTGGAGAGTGAGAGTACGGAAGAGAATGAATAAGAGAGAGCCGAAAGAGGGTGAGACACACTGCCTTGGTTGGCAAGCCGCAGACATGAAGGCCGCTGTGATGCGGCGAGCGTTGTGTGTCTCCGCGGGGCGGCAATCAAGTCGTGTCAGTGTAATTGTAAAGCAGCTGGATGGATATAGCAGCGCTTCTGATGACGCGCGACACATGTGATAAGCCCATGAATCTCTACAATCTACAGCGCCGATATCAGACCTCGACTGTGGCCCACTATCAGACCTCGACTATGATCATGATGGGCATCGCGGACATCGTCGAAAGGGAGCTAAGTATGAAGCGCGAGAATGCTCTGGAATATTCAAGTGGGCCACTCTGGAGCGAGTCCAGGACCCACTTGGCCAAATAAGCTCCATGGGTGACCAACCGCGGGTCCCAGTGCACGGTGCGCCGCTGTGCGGGAGGGTGGACAGCCTGGCGACCGAAAGGAGGGCCGGGATTAACGCGAGGGCTATGATTGGACTGGGAAAGGGCCGAGCACGATCCGACGGTGTCGAGCTCTCGTCGATTTTTCGAGAGGCGTCGCTGAGTTTGGACGGCCAGCAGAACAGAAGAAACGAGAGGCGAGCTCCACCGGGGAATCAGCGGGCGATTGCAAGATATAGCTAGCCGCCTTCCCATCCCGGCACAGCGCCTCCGTTCCTTGACTCGTCCCACACGCTTTATTATACGCCCTTATCTCCTCCATCCGCCGACCGCCGACCCCCTCCGCCCTGCCCCCTCCCTCTTATTCGACGTCCTTTCATCACAACCACAACAATACCCCCCTCTAGCGTCAGTATGGCGCCCAGAGACGAAGAATCCGCCGTCGAATACAACGCTGGTGGCTATCTCCAGGTCCACCTTCAAGATACCTTTAAAAATGGTCGCTATACCGTAGTAAGAAAACTAGGGTGCGTCCTTCCCCTCATTCTTACTCTCTCATTATCTCACATCAGCATCGCGTTCCATAGTTGGGGCCATTTCTCGACCGTATGGCTCGTCAGAGATGAAGAGTGCGTTATCTCTTCTAATCCGCTTCATTCGTCTGTGCCACCACCCGCTGACGCAGCTCACGCGACCACAGTAAACATCGCCACTCCGCACTCAAGGTCGTCAAGTCTGCAGGCCGCTACACAGAAACAGCGCGCGACGAGATTAAACTCCTCCAACAGATATCAGACACATCCCCCTCACACCCCGGCCGCGCCCATATCGTCTCCTTCCTCGACTCTTTCGCGCACTCATCTCCTCTCCACACCCACATCTGCATCATCTTCGAACCGCTCGGCGAGAATCTCCTCTCGCTCATCGAGAAGAACAGACGAAAGGGCGTCCCACGATGTCTTGTCAGGTCTATCACACGTCAGGTCTTACTCGGCTTGCAGTATCTCCACGAGGAATGTGATCTCGTACACACCGATATAAAGCCCGAAAACATAAGTGAGTCGTTTTCCCATTTTGTTGTGTGTTCGTGTGGAGTACTACACCTGTAGGCCCGTCATACGCGGACCACCGATCCTATTCTTGCAATCCTGTTGGCAGTCAGCCTGTGACGCACTCCGACTCGATTGGCTCGAATTACCTTGTATCCAGCCACTCACCGTCCGCACCTGAGTCAGCATAAGACTCGTTCATCTTTTCCTTCTTCGGCTACTTGCCATTTCCGACATAAGCATTAGCGCTGTGAGCTTGCCGCTAATCATAGCCTCTCTCTATCTCCACCAGTGATGTCAATCCCGAACGTCGAATCCCACATCCGCACCGAACTCTCCTCCTCACCCCGCCCAATCGCCCACAAACTGCCCATCCCACCCAACCCCCGCACACGCACCTCCAAATCCTCCGCCGCCGCCCCCTCCGCCTCCCGCGCCCGACACCGCTCCGTGCACATCACCGAATCCCAACCGCTCGCGAGTCCCTCCTCGCACGCGTTCCTCTCCGCACATATGAACGTGCTCTCGAGCACGACGGGGACGAGCTCGACGACGACGAGCAGCAGTTTTGCGGATTCGTTGGACGAGGATATGGCTGGGAATTCGGTCGATATGATGATCATGGGTGAAAGCTCGAAGACGACGACGCCGGCGACGAGTCTTGGGAGTGGGATGTCGAAATTGAGGATCAGTTCTTCAGACCAGCAGCAGTCTCCCACTCCTGCAGCCGCTCCTCTCGCCTCGGACCAGCGCTCCGGTGCGCATGAAGTAGCGCCGAGTAGGGATCGTTCGCCGGTGGAGGGGCTGCAGGTCCATGTCGAGGCCAGGTCGGCGTCGAGGACTACGAATAGCGGGAGTGAGAAGGATCCACTTTCGCCGACGATCAGTCCACCGCATTCGGTCACGGTGCCAGCGGCACCTTCGGGTCCTTCGTTGCTCACGCAGACAGCGCCCCCGAAGGGCACAGCGGACGTTATCAACGGGAAGACTTCGCCCGCGAGCTCTTCGACGTCCACACTTACTGGCGATTCGTCGATTTCGAGCGGATCGTCAGACGAGTTGAGGAGAGGAGAGATGTTCCATCCGATTTGCATCAAGATCGCCGACCTGGGCAACGCCACGCCTTCTCGGAAACATTACACCGAAGAGATACAGACGAGACAGTATCGGTCCCCCGAAGCGATCGTAGGCCGAAGCGACTGGGGCTGCGAAGTCGACGTATGGTCGCTCGCGTGTGTCGTCTTCGAGCTCCTCACGGCCGAATATCTCTTCGAGCCGCAATCCCAAGGTGCTCTGTTCTCGAAGGACGACGATCACTTGGCGCAGATCATCGAGCTGCTTGGCCCCATACCGCCGCATGTGAAGAACGGGGGCCGGTATTCAAGAGAGCTGTTCGATCATTATACGGGGGATTTGAGGTATATTAAGCATTTGAAGCCGTGGCCGCTGAGGAGGGTGATGGTGGAGAAGTATTTGTTTGAGGAGAAGGAGGCGGAGGGGCTATGTAAGTTCTTGGAGAAGATGTTGTGTCTTGATCCGAAGAAGAGGGCGAGCGCGGCAGAGATGGTGGGACATGAGTGGTTGGAGGTGGATTGGGAGAGAGAGGGAGAGGAGGTTGCGAGGGTGGTTTGGTGAGTGTGAGGTATTAGTGAGGGAGTTGACGGTGTGGACGGTGTGAGGTGGCGTCTACCTTTTTGGTATTTATTCGCTTTTTTATGGGTTTGAGTTTTACTTTAGACTTTTTCTTCCTCTTCTTCTCCTCTTTCTCTCTTCCTTCCATGCATTCACTTCTACTCTCATCTTTTCGTAATCCGGCAACATCGTCTGCCATCGGACGCTTACCTTTGCAACCTTTACCCCTTTCTTCCGCCTCATTGTCGCTTGTGGTCTGCATCACACCCATAGATACATAGACAGTTCCGCTCGTCCGTTCTGTTCTGCCTCTTGCCTCTTGCCTCTGCCTTTGCGTTGCATCATGCTGATACCTGTGCTGTGTATGCCCCATTCTCACTCCTAATTACCCCATCCCCCCTTTTTTTTTCTCTCTCTCTTTCACCCTTTTCAGCTTTGGTCAGTTCACTTCCATGTCAGCGTTGTATTTCTCCCCCCCCTCTTGTCTTTGTGCCATCACTTTTTTTTTATTCGATCGAGGTCTAGTTGCGGTTTTATGTTTTCTTTTTTGAGTGTCGGTGTCGTGCGCACTTTACTTCGCTATTACTTACTCTTACTCCCCTTACTTCCCTTACGCTTACACCGTCGCCTTCCGCCTCCCACTCCCGTCCAAACCGTTCGATTCTCTCGCCTCCGCATCCGCCTCCGCACCTCTCATCCCGTCTACTTCAAGCCCCCACTCGGTTCACTAGCCACGCATCGGTGAACTACACCCCTCCACCTGCTCGCCTACTCGCCTTCGGGCTTCACTTCCGACGACGCACAGGATTGGCTCCCGCCCTCTCCACCCTCTCCCTCTCCCCTCGTTCGCCCCCCCCCCTTCCACCCCCCCCACCCCCCCCGGCCGCAGTGCTACCCCCCTTCGCTAATTCCGAACTCAGCAGACCCGTGCGAGAAGAAATACCTTTAGCTTATCATTTTGCTGTTTGCTGTTTGATTTTCTTCGCCTATTCCTTATTCATAGGTTCAACCTCTTGTTTCGTTTCCTGTCTGTTTTTTTGTCTTCTTGATCGTCTTTCTTATCTTGGCCCAGTTTTCAGTTTCCAGTTTTCAGTTTCGGGTCCGTCCGCTCTGTAGCTATGTAGCTCTATCCTCATCCTCATCCACTCTCACTCCACTCTCTTCGTCCGTGCATCCATTCCTCGCTTTCTCTCTCTCTCTCTTCTTCCGCATATCCTCTCCTCTCTTCCTCACGCTTCTGCACCCCCAAGTTCCAACTCGTCTCCGCACTCTACGTTTCCGCATGTCTCATGGCTCATGTCTCACGTCTCAAGTTCCAAGATCTCACGTCTCACCTCTTGAATTCTCTTTCCACGTCTCTCGTCCGCACGCCCACGTCCCCCACTCGATGCTCACTCACATCTACATTTACGTTTTGGTTCGTATGGTACATTAAAATAGGTAGACAAACCACTGTAGTAGCCTCTAGCCCGTACTTGGTTTCCTTTTTCTGCCCAGCTCTGCCATCTCGCCCCGTCCGACGTTGTTGTTCAGGCTCCATGGTTGATGGTTGAAAGCTTTTGGTTCAAGCGTGTTGGTTATACATAGTAACGACTCGGACGGTAACAACGCGCGGAGGTATAAGTGGTACGATACGGTATACGTGTATATAAAAGGTACTCTACGATCCTCCAAACAATCGATCAAACAATCCTCTTTGCTCTCCGTCTGAATCATAGCCGGCGGTTTGGTATGGTTGAAGAAAACGAGAACGCCAATCGTGCGGGTCACCGCCTCTGACGCAATGAGCAAAGGTAATTTGAAATGGTGCAACCTACGGTTTAGTGGAGTGCACGTGATGAATTGCTGTATACTGAACGCGCTTAACACTTTGAGCTTGGATTTTGACACAAACCTCTTGCTTTGCGCTTGGACTGTCTGGTTTCCATCTCTTCTACAGATATAGATATCATGGCCAAATCGGAGAGGGACGAGGTGCTCGACGAGCTGGTGAGCTTGACTCTTGCTTCTTTTGTTTGTTCAATCGAGTGTGGCGAACTGATTTGCTTTGCGCGAAGGCTTCGAGGGTGTTCTCGACTATGCTGGATGATCTTATCCTGGATGCAGCGCTGCAGTCGCATCAGGAGGTGGCGCGCAATAGGGCCGTTTGCGATGTATGTCATACCAGGTGCGCTTTCACTTCATCTGTCTGCTTTAATCCAATTCTTTTCCAAGGCGATGTGTTCATGTTCATGTTCGTGTTGTCGTTGCGTTTTCGTAGGTGTGGCCTAGGTGAGCGGTGCCTCCAGGATACTCCAGGTCCGATGATGAGTGGAAAGGGAGATGTATATTGATCATTTGTCGATGTGTCTATGCAGCACATAACGCAGGACCCTCAACTCTGGCCATGAACGGCCGCTCGAGAGCCGGGACGCCGAGTCTGGAGGGTGGAGGGAGGATGGGGACGCCCACGCCTGGGAGCAGCACGCCCAAGTCGGACGGGAATATGTTGTTGGATTGTGTGGTTTGTGGGAGACAGGTGCGTTTTCCCTCTTCTTTAGACTACGTTGCTGTTTGCTGTTTGGTTAATCGCTCATGGTTTTGCGTGTGGGTCGGGACTACTTGTAGGTCGCTTCGGCGAGGTATGCACCACATTTGAGTGGATGTATGGGTATGAATGGGACGCGGAGGGGGTCGTCGAGGAATGTGACTTCGAAACCGAAGTGCGTGTTTTTTGTTTGTTTATATCTCTGATTTTCGTGTGCGCGTGTGTCTTCGGTGCGCCATGTCCTGACGCCGTGGGTACGTGCAGATTGCCTTCAGAGTCTGGCAGGTCGGCATCTCCATATCTTGACGGCGACTTTGAAGGGGAGGATATACCATTGGCGATGAGTAAGGCTAAAGCGCCGTCGAAGAGCAAGCAGAAAGGTGCGTTCTGAGGAATATATATTGCACTGTCTCGTTGTTGACGACATACGGTACTGTAGACGACGCTCCCTTCTCAACGAAGCGTAAGCAGGTGAATATTCGCAACTTGGGTTTGGCCGGGAAGCCCGTTAATCCTTACGTCCAAACAGACCGGCTCACCATCGCCACCAAAGAAATCAAAGAAAGCAAAGACTGGAGGTCCGTTTCCCACCGGAGTTTTCCCGCTTCTTGTCTTCTCGTCTTCAACATCCTTCGTCCCCAGCGTCTCCTCTAACCCGTGTCGCCACCATCCCAGATATCCCGGGCAATCCTACCGTGAATACACTTTTCAGCTCTCTGCACCCGATCTGTCTCAATCTTTCGTTTATCAGAACCACTTCCTCTCCATCCCCTCCAACTCGCAATCCAAGGTCCCCTCCCGACTCCGAGAATCTTCCACAGCTTTTCTCGACCGTGACCGCTCGTCATCGCCCGAATCCGCGTCCTCGCCAGGCACTTTACCTATCAGTGCGGCCACACCCTCGTCCGTGCATTCTATACAGACGAACGGGACGAAGAAGGGTGGGGGAGGAGCAGCTGTACCCAGTGGGTTCGGTAGAGGAGCAGGTGTGGGGGCGGGGAGAGCGAAGGTGCAGCCGAGGATGCCTAGTCCCCCGAGGCCGCCTGTGACGGTTGTGAGGAAGCCGGACACGGATTATCTCGTTGGTAGGTTTCCTGGTTTCCTGTTGCTTTATTCACGAGGCGGGCAGGTCAAAGTGAAGCTGATCTTGGTCTGGTCTAGATGTTGAGGGTGACGAGACCGGCTCCTCGACCGATAGCTCTAGCGATTGAACGCCACGCGATCCATAACTCACCTTTTTACATGTTTTCCCCCTTGCTTTTCTTTCCGGATATTCTTGTGGATTATGTTATTGCTTTTACCATTGCTTTTACATGCTTTCATTCAGGTTGGATTTGTATCGCTATTGTTCGTTGACATCCGGCTGTTGTAAGATGAGGAACTCACGTTTATGCTGTATTCCACTGACTTTGTTCCTGCTTACTTCGGAGTTGAGTCGAGATTCATGAAGAGGTCTGTCTAGCACGTATGAATGTCTGGCCTAGATGTTCACACTGGGACGATTGACGTTCGTTGGTCCACGTCGCTGTATTCCCTTTCTGTGCAGGAGCAAAAGGAGGCATGTTATATTTCTGAGTATACTAAGATGATGTCGCGCAGGATGTTGATGACGGGTTGAGGGTTGCATGTGAATGAGCCTGACCCTGTACCTCTAAATGCTGTACTATCAAAATCTGGGGAACCACTGCCTCGTCTTCCCCGCTATCTCCCTGCTGTGCACAAGGGCGTACCGAGACCTTCGCTTGCTGCATTTGTTGTGCGTAACAACATCGTTCACAGCTTGGGCAGGGTCTCGCGACGTCATCGCCACATCGCCACAACCAAATTTGGCCCAAGACGCATCGCATTTCATCTCTCATTTAGCGGGGCTTCTGTCTCCGCGCGCGTCGAGCGCAAACATATAAAATGGCCAGCGTTTCAACCGCTCTCGCTTGTCCTCTTTCAGCCCTCTACCCCTACCCACACTTGCAGTTCCTCCAGGTCTATACCTAGGAACTTGAATCATCCTTCTGAAGCACTTTCTTGACTTGAATCGTTTGAAGATACGCGATGTCTGACCAGTTGGTTCGTCGAGCTCTTTTCTTCATCCCTTCACTCCGTCCGTGTTCGTCCCCAGCTCACATTATCTCCCTTTTCTCGACGGCCTGTTCTATCAATAGACTCAAGGTGTGTTACACCCTCTAGCGCTTCGTCTTACTAGTATCCTAATAATAGCAAACCCTGCACAGTGCAAATCGATGGTATACCTATTTTTACGTGACTGCAGGTCACTTTGCGTGTACACTAAACTCACCATTACCGACCACAGAGCTCAAGGAGGCCTTCTCTCTCTTTGACAAGGGTACGCACTTCCTCCTCTATCATTCTTCCGGAAACGCGTTCTCTTTCCTGTTATCAGTCTTCCACATCTGACACCTTCGTAGATGGCGACGGCACCATCAACTCCCATGAGCTCGGCACCGTCATGCGCTCCCTAGGCCAAAACCCAACCGATGCTGAGCTGCGAGACATGATCAGCGAAGTCGATGCCGACGGAAACGGCACCGTGGACTTCCCTGAGTTCTTGACGATGATGGCGCGCAAGATGGGCGAGAAGGATGTCGACGAGGAGTTGAGGGCTGCGTTTGAGGTATTCGACAAGGATGGGAGTGGGACGATCAGCGCGGCTGAGTTGAAACAGGTCATGCAGAGCCTTGGTACGTTGGTTTTGGGATAGCCCGCCCGAAAGGCATTCGACGGGGTATTGTTTGCTCATTGCATGTTATATAGGCGAGAAGCTCACCGACAACGAGGTCGACGAGATGGTTCGTGAAGCTGACCAGGACGGTGATGGCACCATCAGCTTCGAAGGTTCGTACCAAAGCCTCTGTGAACGCACTACTACTCACTTATTATCCTTCGTATTCAGAGTTCGTCAAGGTTCGTTCTTCCTACTCGTCCTCCGCCATGAATTTCTCTGTCTGACTGACTTCCATTCGGATTTCTCTAGATGATGACCGCACACTAAATATTATATACCCTGCCTGGCTGAAGAGTCTACAATCGTCGGAAATCCATGTCTATCTCAATGTACAGTATACCTTCTGAATTGCCGTGCAATCATCTTGAATGGTGCAAAAAAAGCGAAGAGATTTCCAGTATGCGGCCGACTAGTTGTGAAAAGGTCTTCCCCCTTCGCCGTCGATGGTCTCGCTGACAGTTGTCGTGGTCCAAATGAGGTAACAGTCTGCCGAACAAGCAATTATCTGACAATAGAGATGATCATAAGGAAATACAAGCGGATAGCAACCCAGAAAAGACAACAAAGAATACGACGCTAGCGATCATCTACTCCACTGTCCCTGCGGTCCACTCCTACTGATAGTTTTCTTATAAACCTCCTTGTCCACCTTCTTCTTCCCCAATGTCTCGATCCTCCTATCCTTGCCCTTCCGCCTCGACCTGTTCTGTGCTCCCTCGTCCTCACCTTCACCTTCCCCAGCATCACCACCATCGTCGGAGCCATTCTCACCATCCACCTCCCCATCGTCCTCTCTTCTCCGCTTCACGCCACTCCGTCCTGTGCCACCTTTGCCACCACCGATGTTCACGTTCACGCGTGGTGGAACGGAGAAACCGAATGCCTTGCCAACTTTTGTAAGGTCGAGCGAGTTGACATCGAAGATCTTCTTCAAGGAGTAGGACGCATATGACTGGAGGTATGACCGGTATCCATCCTTGGCCGACTGATGAAGGAAGTAATTTTTCTGGAGCAGCTTTTCAAGCTAGAGACGGACCACGGAAGTTAGGTGACCGTTACGAGGGCGGACATGAGATGACGTTGAACGTACCTGCGACTGAACATTCGCGATCTTATTCTGCGGGAATGTAAACTCGTTCAAAGGCACCTTCGCCTCCTTCAAGAACCTCAAGAACCCAAGCTCGCTCTCCAGCAGGAACAACAGACTCTTCCCGACCTTCCCGGCCCTAGCCGTCCGTCCGACCCGATGGATGTAATCTCTCGGGTCATCTGGAGGGTCGAATTGGACGATCCAGTCTACGCGGGGAATATCGAGACCACGCGCAGCGACGTCTGTACAGAGGAGGATGCCAGTCTCTGCGTTACAGAACTCGAAGAAGGTGTTTGTGCGTTTCTGTTGTTTTTGTTTGCCCTATAACGCAAGTATCAGTTACCGAGTTCGACCCTTGGAAGAAGAGCTAGAGAAAGTACGAACGTGGAGATCCAAGACGGGTACGTCGATGTAGTTCAGGAGCTCGGCGTGATATTTTACAGAATTACAACTCGAGAAGAAGACGACGATCTTCTTTTTGAGGTTTTTCTTGAGGAAGGTGAACAGGAGGAGGAAGCGACGATCGGAGGGGCAGACGACATATCCTTGTGAAAGTGTTGCGACGGTGCTCGTCTCTTCGGATCCGTGGACGTCGATGTAGAGGGGACCGGGGCGCAGTGATATACGTGCGAGGTCTTGAACTTTTGTTGTCTGGGTGGCAGAGAAGAGCATGGATTGTCGGTTCTCTGTAAAGCACGAATAAGCCATCCAGTGAAGAGCTCAAACAATATCTGAGCGCCTACCATTTGGAAGAATAGAGATGATCCTTTTCATTTCTTCCTCGAAACCAACCTCCAATATCCGGTCCGCCTCATCGATGACCAGCGCTTTAAGATTCCGGAACACGAAGCCTTTCGTATCCTGGTCATTTCACAAATGTCAAAAACATAAGACAAACATATCTGAAGATGATTCAAACGCACCTGAAGATGATCCAACAACCGACCGGGTGTGGCGACAATCAGATTCACACCCTTTACCAGCTTATCCGCCTCAGCTCTCCTATTCGCACCTCCAATAACAATACCGAACGTTTGGGAATGGTGGGCCATAAGTTCCTTCGCCACACCGAAGATCTGTAGCGCCAACTCTCGTGTAGGAGAAACAATGATAATACCCGTTCCTACATGCGATAAATATCGTTGTCCAGATAAGCCGTAGTCTTATGCAATACATGTGAAGAAAGACGCACCATTTCTTGGCTTGAACTTTAGTCGGTGCAAAAGCTCAACCGCAGGGATCAAAAATGCCAAAGTTTTGCCGGAGCCCGTCCGTGCCGCACCAAGTACATCCTTTCCAGCGAGTAATGGAGGTATTGACTTGGCCTGAACCGGAGTCATAGTTGTGAATCCCATCTCAGCGAGGGCTTTTTGAGTTGGTTCTGAGAGCTCGAGCGTAGAGAATGGTTCTCTGCCTGGTTCACTTGCTTGAGGCACTGGGGCCGGCACGATGGTCTGTTCGTCGGCCATGACGAAGGGTTGAACGAGGTGGGGGAAATAAAGTTCTTGGAAACTCGAATAACCTGTAGGAATTGATGATATGCCGGATGAAGGAAGGTAGCACAAGTGAGCGCAAGGACCAATGCAAGGCTTCGTGCATGGGGAGGAAAAGTCATTCGGCAACGACCGAGACCGCAAAACTAATTTGAAATGGGCTCTTCAGGCAGTCGCGCCGACGCATCCCTCTCGAAGTCTCCGTCTTGCTCTACTCCATGGCGTTCAAGTTGTTGTCCTCCCGTCTTTGCCATGCTCAACTCGACGGACATTGATTGTTATCATTTTATCCTAGTCGTCGTGCATTCTGAATGCTATCTGTAATAACCAGAGGAAAGCCTGCGCGCCAATATCGAAATCGTATCTTTTGTTCTCCTCTACTAAGTACTCTAAAAAAGGATCGTCACAAGGTTCAAGACGCTTAGTAACCACTTCTTTTCTTGGATGCTTGACTAGCACGACTCTACTACGTCTCCGTCTTCGGCAAACGGAGTAGTATCACTTGACGTGGAGGCTGTGATCTCCCTATTCCTCCTAGTAGCCGTGTTTGTGGAAGATGATCTGTCAGGCTTCATATCTCCATATGGGGAACAATGAAAAGAGCTCTGTACAAATATCTGCTGGCTGGTTCGGCTGAATGCAACACGCTCCATCCGACGTTCCGGTACTCTCTCTATCGAAGCACTTGCCAGTGACCGACAGGACCGCGTTTTTGCTATTTTGATAGCTCCCAACAACTACTTTTCCGTGCGTCTCCATAATATTGATTATCAATCTTCTATTAAGCGCTGACTGCATCTCGCAACAATCTACTCTAAAGAATCTATGACTATATCAACCCAGTTCAGATGGCTGCCAGACGAAGAAGCCTGGCTTGAGAGCCGCATCATCGCAAATCATGGGATATCGGACACGACAGACCGCATTTGGATTCAGGGTCTCATAGAAGATTTCAAGGCTCAGTTCCCATGTGTCCTCCGGACGCAGAAGACTGGACGGAGAGAGACGGAGAGAGAGATGATGATGAGATGGGCAGAGATTCCGAGGGTAAGGCCTCTGTACTGCCTCTTTATTTCTGGACTGAATTGTTGATTTGATGAGCCTCTTATTTAGATGGTAAAAAAGTGGATTCAGAACCACCAGCACACCATTCTGTCTAGGCATCAGCGGAAACAACCTCAGGCTTCGACCATTCGCAGCCTCAAGCACGTAAAACGCTCTCGTAAGAAGAGCGCGCGGGACTTAGCTAAGGCCAATGATCCGGAGCTCAAATCAAGACGAGCAGAGTTGCAAGCGCAACTGAACGCGGGCAATATTACACGATCTGAGATGGCCACAGAGATCAACCGTATGGCCACACAGCTGCTCCAGGACGTTGAGAAGAGGGAGTTTTATGCCGAGCAGGCCAGTCGTCAGGCAGATGCTGGGTCACCCCGATTCTCGTGCGAGACAATGCCTATCGGCCCAGACCCGCTTCATGGAGAACTACCTGTGTTCGCTTTGGATGAGATCATATTCTATCGGTATGTTAGAAGTGTCTTGCAGGCTCACAAAATTCTGAAGCCTCCGTCCAGGCCTCCATCTTCCAGCGAAGCAGACCACACATCTATCCACGAGGACGACACAACGATGCAGTTCGTCGAAGAGCCTGCCTTCCATAATGCTCGCGACACAACAGATGTCCCAAGTCATGTAATAGACCCTCTGCCACCGGACCCACAGCCCTCTCGGGTGTTGCAGGCGGCGCTCATTCCTTCTCGCCCTCCTACGGCATCCGAGGATGTCCCAACTTGCCTCGACCAGATAGTATCGACATCATCTTCCGTGCTCGCCCATGTAAACGCCTTCTCCACGAATGACTCACAATGGACGCCACCGCTTTCTGACGACCTCCAACGTTCACCATGTAACCAATCCGAGAAGGCATATCGCACGTATCCCGCGATGGAGCCACCATTACATCTACCACCATCTACTGAGGCCTGTTCGCACTCTCCTTGTGTCCCCACCGACTCCTTTACTGGATCGTGGTCATTGCGACAAACGCTCATTCTACTCGTACTCGGGTATAGGCCAAACAGAGATGTCAGATCGGTCGCGCTTAGCTGCCACGGTGACTTCGTTGTTTGTGGCTTCCGGAACGGCATGCTCCAAACGTTTGACACTCGAACAAAGTCATGCATTTCCGAGATGTCTCCCGGGCATTCAGACTGTGTTTCTTCCATCGCAGTGTCTTCGGACCACAAGAATATCGCCTCCGGGTCGTATGATGGCACAATGCGCATATGGGATACAGTGTCCGGAGCATTGTTATTCGTGCCATCCGAAAGCCATATTGACGCGGTTAACATTGTCGCGTTCTCGCCATGTGGGCACAAAGTCGTTTCGTGCTCTTCGACAAGCATGACCGGCCCGAAGATATGGGACCTTTCATCCGGAGCACTATTGGCGACTATCGACTTTCTCGAGCTGCTGACTTCCTATCGTCTGGAGCATGTCGCATTCACTCTTGACGGGGGATACCTCATCGGCATCACTTCCAATGCGGATGTCCTTCACTGGGAAGCGGAAACCGGCATACTACAGATGGGCGAGTCTGGAGAATGTAGTACCGTCTGGACCGTGAACTCTGGCAGCAGGCATACGATCAGTAGTTGCGAGAATGGGTCCATCCTCGGTTGGAATATACCCGACTTCGCATCCCGCAGCCCATCACCCCTCTTGGCCATTTCGCAAGGTCGAAAGCATGTAGCGGAGTGGAGCCTGTGCGATGACATTATTCGCGTATACGAACGGGATTCAATCGTTGAAGAAGATCACGAAGTTCTTGAGAGCAGAAGTATTGTGAGTCTCATTTACGATTAGATTCAAGTACTGCGACATTGACCTCGACTTTCCCTATAGGACGATCACTCAGTCTTGAGAATGCGGCGGTTGATCCCAAGGCGCTGACTCCAGGCAAGGTGATTCTGGGGCTAGCTATTGCTTGTGAGAACTCAGCTTCCTGCCAAAACGTGGATTCGTTCATGTACTTAACTTTATCTAGGTCATGCACCCCCCGCAAGCATCTTCCCTGTGATTCCCTTCTCTTCCCCACTCACCCTCTTTGTATCCTAAGACCATGTCCTGCCTAAGCCAGTCACTGGCCGCAATCATATATAATGCATGTGCATCATAGTCATATATGATGATTGGGTTTGTATGGTTTTGTCGATGAGTCACGCATTCATGTCTGCCCGTGAAAAAACAAACAAAGTACACAAGGTCTAGGATATCCGAACAAAAGATCGCGAGTTGCAGCCCGTGGGGGCAGCAAGGGGTTGATGATCCTCGCTTCCCAGTCGAGACTTAGTCCACTCTGCTTCTAAGAGAGTGAAAGCGACCTAATTTTTCGTTCGACTCGGCAAACTAAGCATAGGTTGTAGTGCCACGACCCCTCTTCTGATTTGTTGTGGGGCTACCTTGTATTAATCGCGTCTGCCCGTCGTAGGTGGGTCGCGTTAGCCCTAATGAAGACAAACAAAGACGCGCTTAACATTTATAGTAACTAGGAGAAATGTTCGTACGGGCGCGCGCTAGAGATGCGTGCACGGGCATCCGACGGGAGCTCAAAGGAGATGAAGAGGCTACGGAAATGTAGTCCGAATACCTGAAGGATCTAAAACGTGTCGGCACCCCTGGAGAGCGAGCGAGCGATTCAGAGTAACGCCGAAAGTGCTAGACATGTCGTCGTGTGCGGACCAGACGATGAACAGCAGGATGTCAGGCCCCCGATACAGTAGTGATAGCCGCCGCCAGATACGGCGCCACGAAGCTTTTACGCCATCATACCGGGAATGTCGGGAGAACTCGGACAATGTGTTTCTTACTACTACTTACCACCACGGCTTTGTCGAACACCACTACTTACCCTTACTTACCCTTAGGGATGTTCGACGCTGACATACTTGTCATGTTCGATTTAGCGTAAGTATGCTCAACTAGAACGTTAATCTGGCAATATGAGATTTGAGAACTCGCTCGGAATGCCCCTCGCGGACTAATTTGTTTTATGCCTGACCTTCCTGGCTTGGACGGTCTTCGGGGTCCAGGACGATCGCCGCTCTATATCATTATAATCGCACCTCAAATTGGATCAAGTTCCTCACTCATCAGGTCTATGAACTCACAGGGAGTAATATCATGATTCATCGATCGAGAGCACTGGCAGAACGGGATGCTTGTAGAGTACGTAGGACGAACCTATCACCGTGACGTAGGTACGGACACGCTCGGAGCCCGTTCACTCCCTTATGTATCTCTGCCCTTGAACTGATCAGTCTACTTTACCTCTCGTATTACGTACCACAGCCATTGTAGAGCTTCATTTTGTATGTCAACGAAGTCGAGAAGCGCTAACTGTGAGGTTACAGGCCATGCGGCTGTATTTGTGGGCGTCCAGGATACTATTCCTGATCCCTGGATCAGATCATCATTCTGGTACGGCCAGTAATGAAGGTCAAGTCGTACTTAAAGTTACAGACTGTTGTGTCCCGAGAGCTAATACTTTCTACTTTACTTGAAAAGCAGTGATGCTGACTCGATTTCTTGTCCGTAGGAGAGTTGACATCGACCGGAAGCCGCTACGGACCTCCAAGGAACCTGTCAATTCTCTTCACTGCAACTTGAAAGGCAGATAGAAGTTCGTATGGTTTTTATTTGCACTGCATACTGATTCATGTTCGGGAACCACGGTCGGGCAATACGAGACTCGCACAATCAGATGGGCTGGTGAGTAACCTTACGTCTCTGTTTATGACCATATGGAAAATATGCGTGGATAGATTGGCATATCCTCAAGAAACATAGTTCTCGCTGCTGTCAACATGAGACAGTATCTGGAGAAGCAACCCTCAGTAGAACGCCACACGGTGATGTAACGACTCCGTGCGCAAAAAAAAACATTGTCCTTGTAGCGCTTATGGCTTCACCAACCTAATTATGACCCGAGTAACACTTCACGATTAGAACTCCGATCCACGCCCATGGGACGAAAGACATGCCCGGCCGCAGATCGTGGAATGACCTTGAAAATCGCCCTGCATGGACTTGCTGTCCGCACCTAAACACCTAAATGCTATGGTGCTGGATAACCTGTCATCTGCTGGCCCGGTGGTGTATGCCTCGGGACCGGTGGACATTAAAGAACCATGAACAGGATTGGCACGGTCAGCGCGCCAACGAGTAGAAGAGCTATCGGCGACGCCAGTGAGTTCCATAGCATGGCCAATGTAAGTACTTAACGTGTCTCGAATAAAGAAGTGAAGGAGATGCCGATAGGCGTCCATACTGACTCTGGCAGGAGTGCCGCACAGAGTCGAGAAATATAATCACAGCAGTCGGAATCTAGAAAATAGAGCCAAGTACGCGCGATAAAAACTGGCGCCACGTTACTGGTACAGAGTAAGCAAGCACTGAGCCTTTGCGTCGGAAATCCAGCTCCGGACAACTTTCCGGGGTATTATTGGTAATTGCCGTCTTCTCTCGTCACCACATCGGCCTCTTCACTTCAGCGGCCCTCTTGGACCTGGGGACGCTTGTTCATCTCCCTTTACCTGGCCAGAAACTCTCCGCCGATGTACTTCCCATGTCGTACGCGAGACTCCCGCGGCGATAATGGAAGTTCACCATCAAAGAATTCCCACTTCCTGTCTTCTTGTGGGGTCGCGGTCCCACACCAGCAACTTGAAAGTCCACTTGGCCGTTCTATCCAGGATTATCCTAGGAGCGTTACAATGCCGTTGCCTTTTCCTCTACTCGTTTTATCGCCTTTTGTTTTTCATGCTGCTGATACGGCCTGCTGGCACATTCGCCGGGTCTCTCTAGCTGGGCATCGCTTATCTCAGGTCGGTCTTTATGGCCAAACAAATCTGTACAATATGACGATGGCATGGTCACGAAGGTTGAGCGCACTATCAAAGCTCTCACGCTATATGGAGCAGGGCATGTTGCATGTTCGTGTATAGAACCTGGGGATAAATATGCAACCCGAATTTCCTCGGAGTGTGTAGTCCGCGACTGCGGTCTTTAGATCCATGGTGCCAAATATAACAAGCTCAGGACCGTCGACAAGCGCTCCAGAGGCTCAGCTGTCCGTGCTCGTGAGTAGATGTAGGGCGTCGGAGCAGCTGCCAGTGCTGGAAAATCTGGCGTATGTCCGGTGATTTGGGGATGCAGGCGCTGACTTGAGTGGGACGCTGTAGGGCCAAGAATGAAACGGGAAGACTCTCGGGATCACGGCGAACACATACACAGGCGCAATCTGTCTCAGACCTTTGACTGTCGCCACGCCACAGAATCCAAGATCTCTTGATGTCTTTGTCTGACGAACTGCGGGGATCTCGCTATAGTATGCAAACTGAAAATCTGACAGGAAAATAATCCACATAATACATCTATTCCATTCAAGTCTCTCTTTCTCCGCAAAAAGTGCCTCCCCACGTCGTTTCCACATACGCATTTGACGCGGGATCATGAACTAGGAACGTAGATTCTCCGCCGCAGTCGTAAAGGCTGGAGAGAAGGCACTAATCTGAAACAACGGGGTATACGTATGTGTACGTTCTGCTTGCAATATGCACATACCACTCGTTGATATAACTCTACTATTCATAATGCCCTCCCTGTCTGATGCTGTTCTGCAGAAGCCAGTGCATGGATGTCACCGCGGGTTGAGATCCTGCTTCACCATACCATTGAACAATGTGCTCATATATCATCAATGGTGTTCTATCTGCATCCCATGACTCCAGCAGGTAACACGAGTGCTAGTTCGAAGTTATCGAACCATCAGAAGCATGCCTGTGACTACCATGATCTGATTGGGACTCGGCTTGCTGACATGCTTCCTGTAGGTGTAGATCTCCACAAGGAAAATACTCTTGCAGAACCGTTCAAGAAGGTTGGGATCGTCTTGCGTCGGAGATAACCATCCCCGAACTTGTGAGATTGGGATATTTTTTGACTGGCGCTTACAGGTACCAGAAGGTCGCGGCGGCGCGAAAAGGCAGGTCAGTGGAGCCAGATCGGGACCTCCAAGCGTCTTCGGGCATTTTGCCAAATATTCCTATCAGCGCCTTCACCACAATGAAGTTGCAACGATACCGATTGCCTCCATTTGACTCAGAGGCACTTTGGGGGAAACCTGTTAAACACTTCCTTTTTTCCGAGAGCGTTATCTTTTTCGGACCGCCACTGCGCTTCTGCATGACGACTATCCGCAGACGTATGCTGACAATGGTGTTCTTCGTTCTGAGGTCGCTCTGTTGGGTGGTACAAGTTACCGAGGGAAGCAGCCCAGCGCTCGGTGCGCATTTACAAACTGTGTAGATTCAAATTTTTTCACGGCTTGTCTGCAACCCGATATGCGAAGCATTCATGCCCATCAGGTCGGCGCACTTTAGAAGGATCGTCATAAGTGTGTATTGTTCGTTCGCGGAGTCTGTAATCTGCTTGCCATGTTGCTTGGACCAAACTCTACCATGCGTGTCCAGTGGGCACTCTGTGTCATCCGCATTCTTGTCATCCCGGCCGGTTAAGGCCACATAGTTCAAAGCCAGTGAACCACCAGGACTCACCTCACCCTCTATCACCGTGTGAAGTTGTCAGCTAATCGCGGTGGAGCTTTCACCGCGAGAATTTCCCTGAACTAGGTAGGATTGTGAAGATGTACAGTGTTGCGAGAGCTATCTCCCCTCGCTTCCTAAGTGCAATTCCAGCGTATAAACAGCGAGACGCTTGTAGCGCAGGTGTTGATCCCGTTTCGATGTTATGCCAGCAGTCCCATGACCTTATCACTTGGATGGACAGGGTACGCATCATTCCACGCCTTTTGCAGAGTATGTACACTCATGCGGGAACCTCAAGCAGATTGCAGCCAAAGGTGTACCTGGTCTATTTTTTCACAACCCATATTGGACTTCGCAGGAGAAAGGACGCTGTGATCTAGCATACGGCTTCAAAATCTGGTGGTACATTCACCTCCCCTGTCCGAGGAGAACAGCCGGCCGTCTTCGGATTCCATTCCTATTATACGCAAACCTCAAGGCTATGATCACGCGCTGCATCCGTCGGAACCGTGCCTACGTGTTAAAAGCTACTGACTTCTATCCATCTTATGTAGGTCGTCCTTTGTTCCCTCTAAGTCTGACGGCTGCATTGCCATGTTTACCGGGTCGAAAATCATGATAGTAGAATGTGATTATTGCCGCCCCTGAATGGTACTTTTTGTCCGGCAGCCAACTGCCTGTTTCTTTTATACTTGACTCGCTTCACTTTACTATTGCGTCGCAGCTTAAAGGGCGTGTACGAGGACTAGTAACGTTGCAAGTGGTACTCGCAGATATCTCTCCTACACGCCCCAGGAAATCTTGAGTGCATTCACTCGATGTCCAGTGTCACGCAATGCACTGCCAGTGGTCGTCCTCGGGCTCAGACTATGGCGTCGGATTTGACGTCGTGCCAGAAGGTAAGCCTAGTCCATGAGTATCTGCTGTCTCCGCTCTTATCACATCATGATGACACCGAACTTCAGACGATCAACGGTGGCATGAATGCTGCTCTCTTGGAGTGCGGTTTAATTTCACACTCGTTCGGAAAAGAAGCTGCTCGTAGGGTGTTTGAAACCATTCTCAATAAGCCGTTCAACTCTCTACATGTCTGCTACGAGGGCTCTCGCAGATGCTTCTTCCTCCCTCCCAATGCCCTTGGATACCCTCACATGCCCATATGCCTCGACTTCTACCACGATCTGTGTAGGTCGGTGATCCCTCAGCGCTATTGGCAGCCCGTCACGGACTCAAATTGCGGTCGATATGTGGTGGGAGCCAAACTCGAGAAGCCTATATTTCTCGACCATCTTGACGGAAGAGGGCTGGGCTTGACCGTCGCTCAAGCCTGTGAGGGAACAGGCACTCATATTCGCGGGTGGTACGAGGTAGCAGAGCTCGGGGGAAAGGCTACCACCCAAGTCCGTCTATGGGTAAGCACTCGGTTTCTATGCAATGTATTCAACACTCTTCCAAAACTCACTGCGTTTTCGCACCTTCGCAGCTGCACGATGAACCATGGCAGCGGCAAATAGGAATCAGAGACCAGACGCAGGAAAAGAACCCTATCACGCTTCGGCATTTTGTGCGACATCTTGGTACATCTATGAAGGACTATTTGAAGGTGCGTATCATTTTTGGGACTGACGAGGGTCTGTTAATATGTAGTTGTTAACGCACCCTGACTCGTTTGACGAACGCTGGAACAGAATCATCCCTTGTACTCAAAAACTGGGCAGCTCATCGCTGCTGATGATCTCCTCATACTGGGAACTGTCCACATTTCTGCTGGAAGCTGGCAGTTAATTCTCGCAAGTCCGAGTCTGAGCAGCGCAGGTTACTGACATGGAATCAGCATAACCGTATCACGATCAGAACGACGGATCGTGCATGGACAGGGTCTCGGTTTTCGATTAGTGTAATTTCATGGACATATTATCGCCTTTTCATTGTCTTCCACCGAAGGACTCACTGTAGAGAACAGACAGGATGTTATCCTGGGCAGAAAGCATGGTTCGAAGGTTACTTTGCTAAAGTGTTACGGTCGATATTGTTACTTTCTGGTTGTATTGATTCGCCTCGCGCACGACAGGTGATGCTAGACAAAAGGGACTTCAATTAAAATGGAGGATAAGCTGTGTACAGTACCAGTGCATTGAAAAACATATATAAATATGAGCGCACGATGGTGACAGAGTTGAATAACCTTCGGAATATTGCAAACCAGATGGAAGATTCTGTGCGAGGGCATGGGTGACTGCTAGCGAGTTATTGTACGTGTGCAGATGAGGTAACAAAATGCACCGGTAGGTATTAGTACTCGTGCGGTGTTCGTTGCAATTCTTTATAGTACCAACTAAGTAGTGTCGTTGGCCGTAAAAACGAAGGGCGGCTGTTTGTGCATGACGGAAGAGGAGTATGAGGAGCGAACGAGGAGCGAGGGGGCCGGATGCTAGGCAGGAAAGATAAAGGGGACGGGTAGAGATTGGCTACCAGGGTGCGACGGAGACGAGAAAGACAGGAAACGAGGAGGGGAGCGTGGAAGGGTGGATGGGGGCTGAGTCGGAGCAGCGGCTGCCGGCTGGTTATACTCTTATGACGAGCAATATTGAAGGGACAACAACTTGGCAGCGCACGGGCCCAGCACGGGCCATGTCGTCGACAGAAATTGACGCCGCTCTGTCGACAGCCTGGCGTTCTCGAGACTTGATGCAGAGAGTCGAGGAAAGCGTGGTGAGAGCAAGTTGAGCGACAAAGTTGGACTCGGCAGTTCAGATCCTTCCATAATTGCTCATGGGAGGTTCCGAGAACGCCCGGCCCGGGACAGGCGCTTGCCAAGGTCTCTCCGCAACATGAACGTAAGTACACTACTTGCAGCGCAAAGCAACATATACCTACGCGTGTTCAAAGCATGGCTTCACGTCCTCTGAAGACTGAAATATTTCGTCAGTACTTTTTGGGAACTTGATCCCGGCTGGAAACCCGAATTGTATATTTGCGCCGCCGCTCGTTATGTTTCCGTCCCGGCGGTACCTGGCCTGGTGCAGTGAAACACACGAAGTCTTGGCATTCCTTGGGCTGTTGAGCGAGTATATAGTCTCAGCGTCTGGCTCAGTGTCGCTTACCTCCCTTCCCGCTCGTTTTTCTTCTCTCCCTCTCTCTCTCTTGTTGATCTTGTCTACCCAAGCAGGGTGTAGATGCTGACGCTCGTTACTACAATATAATTACTGACTATCTACTTGGATCGCCAACATGAAAAGGCAAAACTTGGCTCATATCACTGGTGTTGTCCTCACCTCTCTTGCGCTTGTAGGCGGTGCAAGTGCCGCAGTAGAGGTAGACTTCCCGGTCACACCTAAGGCGCAGCACGCGAATGTCGTTCAGGATAATTACTTGGGCATTAGTTGGGAGTTGGCCTCATTTGATACTCTATGTGAGTCCCTTGAACAAGCATCTCATTCAAATATACGTGATCAGACGACTACAGTGTTCAATGCTTTAACATACGGCTTCTTGTTGAACAGGGGGAAAGAACGCCTCCCAGCTCCCGCCAGCTATGCAGAATTACCTTTCCAACCTCCGTGCCCGCATCTCTCATCCGCTCCGCATCCGAGTGGGCGGCAACTCCATGGATTCCTCAACCTACGACGCTTCCAAGAACGATACCATGCTCACCATCACTGATAGCTCATACTACAACGATATGCCTGTCACGTTCGGCCCGGTACTTTGGGATGTTCTGAATGGAATGTCGGATCAGGTTGGAGAGATGCAGTTCTTGGTGGGGCTGAGTATGCAGCAGGCACCGGAGGATGGTGGTGATGCGAATGCGTTGCTACTCGCGCAGGAGGCGGAGAATGCATTAGGTGGCCGGTTGGATGCTCTTTTGCTTGGGAATGTGAGCTTGTTTTTTTTTCCATTGAGATGTTGGACTAACCGGGACATAATGCCTCAGGAGCCAGACCTGTATGCCGGTCACGGGAAGCGCGTAACGTACACACTCTCAGACTATGTAAGTCGTACTTGATACTCTCTAATCGTCTTTTTCTGGACATTGACCCAGCGTTATGGGATTCCCACAGATGCCAGAGATTGATTATGTCGTCGCAAACCTTACGACTGGAGACTACGGCAACCTGAGATCGTTTGGCTCTATCGGTGGACCTACTGTCTGTTGTAATTGGTATGAAGGATCGTTCTCTGTCATGCCTGAAACCGTACGAATACCTTGTGAAATTTTTATAGGGAACTGTCGGATGTTATTGAAGCGGGACTCGGAGATCTGGACTACAAATACTATACGTAGGTGTTCCTTTTCCCAAAATGTTCACCGCTCCCTTGTAGCACGAAGTGTGGCGGGGGAAGATGCCGGAGGGTGTAATCGTCCCGCCACTTATCTCGTTAGCGGTGGATTGACTGCATCCTGTTCATTTTGCTATCACTATTCTGACATGGACTTCATCTTCTAGTTTGCAACAGTACGCGAATGCCTCTCCCTTATCCAACCTGGCCTGACTTCTTCATCAGCTATCCCAACAATTTCTGTTCTGGTGCCACAGCTAGTAACACAAACATCTCCGCGTACCTCACTCACACTACTGGTATGTGTGACCCCTTCTTTATCTACTCTCACGACGACAAATATATCTAATACATCGCGGCATATAACAGTCCCTTCGTACACCAGCTGGAACTCCGCAGGTGTTCTCGCAGCGGCCGAAGCCAACGTACCCGTAGTAATGACCGAATTCAACACGTGCTCTTGCGGAGGGTCGCCTACCATCTCGCCCACAGTAAGCATACTCCTATTCATTCATTATGTCTCTTCCTCTTCAATCAACCACTCGAAATCGATAGTTTGCCGGAACTCTTTGGGCTGTGGATGCCGGTATGTCGTACGCTGCTACCAATCGGACGGCGGTCTACCTTCATACTCGCGAATACGGCGTAACCTACAACCTCTTCGACCCTCCATCCTCTGGTGACTCGATGGCATCCGGCTGGAGGACTTACTCCACTTACTATGCCGCCTTGATGCTCAGCGAAGTCATCGGCAATAACGGAAGTATTGTCGTCGATTTGGACATCGAGAACTCAAGCACGAACGCCAGCAGCACGATAGCCGCCTATGCCGTCTACGATTTCAACACTACCACCGATGGGCAGGTCAACTCTGAAGTCGACGTCTCCTCGGCCAACCGCGGAAAACTTGTCCTCATAAACTACTCCAACACCACTTCCAAGTCCTTCCACGTTCCATCAGGTATCTCTTCCTCCATCGGTACACGATCACTCCTGGCGCCACACGTCAACGAGGAGACGAATATATCATGGGCAGGACAGATTGTTGGCGAGACTGGAGACCTGCAAGGGGACCAGGTGACGGAGTATGTGGATTGTGGCGGCGATGATGGATGCGTGATCGAGGTGCCAGGTCCAGGCGTTGTACTCGCGCTCTTGGATCCCAATGCTACGTACACGGTGTCGTTCTATGAGGGCAACTCAACGATCGCTGGTCTTGACACCTATTCATCAACTGATGCGGATACCTCTGGTGCGGGTAGGATAGAGGTGGGATTGTGGGGGTGCTTCGGAGTGGTGATGGGTGCTTTTGGGATGATGCTCATGTGAGGGCGGTGAGCGGGTGATTTTAGGCTTGGTTTTCGTTATATATTTGGCTTGGGAAGACATTCTGGCGATACCCCCATTTTCATACATAGCATAATTTATTTCATGGTTTAGTTGTCCTCTTGCTCGAGCCCGCGTCAGCAAGTCACAATGCGCCGTTCATTATTGTGTCTGGCGACGTAGAAGCGCCCCAACTGAGTTGGACTACATCAGGCAACCATTGCGTCCGATAGCGATATCACGAACCGCCACCGAATTCCTCTGCCGCACCTACATATGTTGGTGCCTCTACGGTTTTCCTTGGATTCGCCCTCTTGGGATGGGTACAATGAGCATGCGTATTCCTGATATACTTTAAGAGCTTGTTTGCACAATTATAATACCCAAAACGTCGTAGCAATTACACGTGTGCTTTTCGATACACGACCTTGATGACTTCTCGATTCCGACTTACTTTATCAATTATTCATTCGAGTGAACCACTACCCATCTCATGACCGTCTTCGGGCTGGGTACACTCTGAAGCAGGCTTGAAGCTAACGCTGCTGTAAGTGAACTGATGGTCGCAATGAGTTTTCGCGTAACAAGCTAGGCATGCAATGATACATGGGTAAGTCGCCTGTTCGATGCACCAGAAAGACGATGCGGTTTAGAGATTAAGTGGTCTGACGCAGTTTGAAGCGAACTCACAGCCAGGAGAATCAATAGCCTTGAAAGGACTTTATTGACTGTGCCCGGGAAGAGGTCGGCTGTTGTGAGGATGTACATGACCTGAGTTTAGATGTTAGCTTCAACCCATGGCATGTCTCACCGGAGCATCCACAACATACCCAGGTTATACAATAGAGGACGCCACACTCCACGAGAAGTACGAGAATCCGCTCTGCTAGGCCCGTCCCCGACCGCGCTTCTGACAGATTCTTTCGAATAAAAGCGCGGTGTCCCCTGAGGTCCTGCAGTATAAGTCTGGGTTTGGAACTTGAAGAGAGCGTCCGAAGGTGAACATACCAGGCTTTGATTGCAATCAAGGTAGTCGGACAAAGGTTCGTCAAAAGCGTCGGGACTGCCATGATTAGCGCTCGCGTGAAGACGACTGATTGGCCCCTCAGAACGAGAGCCCTCCCATCCCAACGATTCTTCAGATCTAGAGCAAGGTCAACCGCTGATCCAGCTATGGCACGAAACGTTAGCGTTCAAGGGGCTATGTATAGTAAGGAGCTAATGGGGCCCCCTACCAATCGTGGCCAGGATGCAGCCAGAGAGCAGTATCTTGACGTTTCGGTTCTGTGGCCATAGCGCCCAAGCACGTTGGACGACCGTAGCGTCGGAGAGGACGTAGACGACTCGAACAAAGACATCATTTGCCGTCACCAGTTCGTTGTGCTTTCTAGTCAGTGACGATGGCCTTGTATTCTCCGGATGAGTTCGGTGCAGGAGATCGAGTAGGATATCTATGATGACCTCTATCCACGAGGCTGTCGCTGAGACGAACATAACGAAGGTGGCGAGCAACAGAAGGCGCTTCGTCCAGGTAATGAGGAGGCTGTTGTGGCTGAAGTGAAGTCAGTAATCGGCTAGGAGAATCGCACGGAGGAAAGACCTCACATCAGTAGATACGTCGCCTGTACCCACAGTACAAAATATATTCCTATGGGACATGTGTCAGTATCGCCAGCCGGCAGATGAGAGTAAATTATTGCATGGTCCTGACCGTAGAATAGAGAGACAAGCGTCAACTCGAGGAGATCTTCCCGGATATAATACAGAGCCGCCTTGGTATGGGAGTCTACCATTCTTGATGGACCATGTATGGCGCGGCTGGAAGAATACAAGGGGAAGGCAAACGACGACGGAAATCTTCACGAAACCCGCACTTTGTATGCCTGTGGCCGATCCAAAGGCGAGCAAGACGGAGGATCGGTGAAGAGGGTCATTGCAGCTTCGTACGACGACGAGATCTGGCAGTTGCGGATCCGTTTGGGCGAGTGCCTGTGATCATGAACAGAAATGGACGAAGTGAATACTGTCGTTCAAGCACAAGCGCCCGAGTGGCAGCTCAGAGTGAAAAAGGGATTTGTGGGTCAAACCAAGCGAAGGGGAAAGAAAGACAGGCGGTGACATTAAAATAATGAGCTCTAAGGCCATGAGTGGCAGTGTGAGGAAAACGTCTTGGATCCCTGTAGGCAAAGGACGATTCGTCTTACTGCGACAGATCGGGCTTCCCTTCCTGGTACCGAGCTGCGGCAATCATCAACTTGTCATCAACACACCGAAAATATAAAAGCAAAGACGCACACGGCCTCTAACATTGCATTTTCATCAAAATGTCCAATTTACAACGGAGACGAACAACACCCGAGGAACGTCGGCAAGAAGAAGATTAACAGACAGCCGTATGCATCAGAAGGGAACAGAGAATTTATGCATATAGAGAATAAAAGGGAAGAAGCCAGAGCCATATCGTAGTGAGTCCGATACCAAGGCTAGAGAACAAACCTTGCCGAGACTTCGCCAGAACCGGGGAGTAACGAAAGCTTTTGTGTGGCGTGAATAGCTTGAGACACGCAATTCACCCACAGTCCATCACCCGTAGAGAGTGGAATGTGGACAGCGCCTAGTAGCGCCGGTCGTAGTCCCTCTTCTCGTAGTCGCCCCTACCACCGCGGTCATACCCTCTCTCCCCTCTCTCCCTGTCTTCGTATCCTCCACGGTGACCTCCTCCGTGCCTGTCATAATCGCCCCTCCTGGGGGGAGGGTCGTCGTAGCGCCCTCCGCCGCGACGATGGTCATCGTCGCGCGCATAGCGCGAGTCGTAGGGACGGGGGTCATAGAAACGTTCACCTGGAGTCTTTGCATGAGCGGTGCCCCATAGAAGAAGACTTGTTTAGTACTCACGCTCGTGACGTTTCGGTGGTCCGTAGTACCTACCCGGCGTAGGAGTACGAGCACGGCCACGACGGGCCTGAGAACATAACCAGAACACAAAAATTATGAGTGGTGGCGTCGGCAGCAAGAACACGAGAACACAAACCTTTTCAACATTCATAACCTTGCCCATGAATTCGACAGCGTTGAGTGCCGTAATGGCGGCATCTGCCTCCTCAGCCGTTTCCATTGTAACGAAACCGAAACCGCGCGACTCGCGGGTATGCGGGTCAAGCATGACCGAGGCTTTCTGGACCTGAAGCAGCGTGATGATAGAGCGGCATGAGTGCCCTTTCTGATGTACCTGGAAGGGGAAGAAGCTCACCCGGCCAATTTTTCCAAAGGCGGCCTCGAGATCGCGAGTGTCAACGCGGGTAGCCAGCCCGGAGACGTGGAGGTTGTTGCCAGGGTTAGTACCTCCTCCTTCACCGCGCCTGTGAGGAAAGTGAACACTTTGTTAGCCTGCTCTCGTCATGATAGTAGTGAAAACCTACCCTCGGTCATTCCTTACAGGGCTTCTGCTCCTACTGGACCTCCTAGGACCATCGCGGTCGCGGTCGCGGTCTCTATCACCCCCGGGACCCCGACCTTCCCTGTCCCTGCTGTCCGGCCCACCAGCACCATTCCAGCCGGCGTCATCGTGGCCTCCACCGTTAGACATAGAACCGTCGTGGGTAGGGATACCAATACCGCCTCCAGAGCTAGTGGGAGCGATGTCTTGAGATTGCCAGGCTGAATGCGAAAAACGGGGGAAATTGGGAGTGGGAAGGAGAAGATATTGTTAGGGTCGGAGGCGGTGGAGACGACGTTGACAGAAGGTGAAAGAGAGACGGCAACGCTGACGGAACTACCGGAGGCGATGTAGTGACGAAAATAACATGATGCAGGGAGAAGCGCTCGCAGGCTTGGGGTTGCGAGGTTGAACACTCGACGGCCACGCAAGGTAGACCGATGGGCCCACTTTTGGCCAAGGGCGGGGAAGTCAAGGCACCGCGAAAACGAACAGGTTAAGTCGACGTTGCTGGCTCCAAAAAAGGGGCGTGCACGTCGGCGACGGGGTTGGAAACTGAACGAAGAACGGCGGGCGTGGAGAAAGAGGGTAGTTCGCTGGCTGACACCTCACACGGCGAGGAAAATGAAAGAATGCATCGTTGCCGCCCTCGCCTCCAGCACAGTTGCAGACACAGACGCCTCCATCGTCGTCGCTGGTGATGCTGAGGACGTACCGTCTTCCATTGTTGAATCTTGTCGAGAGCTTGGTCGTGGTTGTTGGGGAGAACGGAGGAACAGCCTCGGCGCCAAAACGGGGCTGCTCGTTTGTCCAGCGTGGGAATAAACGCGATAGCGTGACCGACGCGTGACACCTCGCGTTCAAGTCGAGCTCTGTGTCGAGCTCGTTGTCCAGAGCCACATCCCTTCGTTGCTCACAATGCCTCCTCGTCGTTCCACACGCTCGAGTCAGTCCGTCGAACCGACGCCAGCGCCGCCCGCTAAGCCCGCGTCCACTATCAAACGTAAACGACCCTCAGCCCAGGCTATAAGCGAGGACGAAGTACCAGAGGCCGCACCGAAGCCTAAGCCCTCGCGCTCAGGGAGAACATCTTCGAAACCTGCTGTGCCATCCTCGACGCGCTCACGCAGTCGCGTTCAGGAGTCTGATGAGGAGGATGAACCAAAGAGACCCGCGAAGAAGTCCCGGCCTTCAGACGAGCTGGAGGACGTCCAAGAAGAGGAGGATGAGGACGACATACCTCAGCCTCGTAGCAGGTCCCGAACTACGTCGAAACCTGCTCCTGCCCCCAAGAAAGGCAGACGCAAGGTCGCCGAGGAAGAGGATGACGAGCACGACGATGAGGCCCCAGTGCCTCCACCCACTCGGAAACCCTCGTCTCGTCGCCCTTCTGCTACCCCCGCTGCTCCCACTTCACGTCGTGCCCCTCGTTCGCGATCCGTCAAAGTCGAAGAAGTACAAGAAGAGACAATCATCAGTGTTCCCTCGGACCAAGAGGATGAAGACGAAGATGAGCCTGCTACAGCTCGTCCACCAGCTCGCCGACCAGCGGCCAAGTCGGCGAACTCTGCGGCTATCGTGGAGAAAGTTCTCGACGACAACGGCAACGACCAGCCGGACGATGAGCCTCCCAAGCCCACCTCGAAACGCGGCAAGAGAGTATCGGTCGCCGACTCAAATGCCGACGATGAACCTGCTACTGCTAGGCCTAAACCTCGGTCATCTCAACCTGCGAGTACTTCCAAGCAAACCCTGACAAAGCCGTCACGGCCCTCTCCCGAAGACGAAGCGGAGGCCGCTTTCTTCAATCCCCCCATCCCACAAGCTGCAACGCCCCAGCCTCCGTCTCAAACCCAACAGCAGCAGCCAGAAGAGCCCAAAGGACCCAAAGCTCGCCTGGTAATCCACAAGATGGCCCTCGTAGATTTCAAGAGCTACGCTGGACGTCAAGAAATCGGGCCATTCCATAAGGTCAGTTTCATCTGCGCATCGTCTCCGAAATCTTTTACTGACAGCTTGTATGCAGTCATTTTCCGCTATAGTTGGTCCCAACGGTTCCGGAAAATCCAACACCATCGACGCTCTGCTCTTCGTTTTCGGGTATCGCGCGTCGAAGATGCGCCAGGGAAAACTTTCTGAACTTATTCACAACTCTGCCGACTTCCCTGATCTCGACGAATGTAGTGTTGAAGTCCATTTCCGTGAGATCGTCGACTTGGTATGTCCTCCCTGGGTCTTTCATGCTCTCTTGTATGTTAATGCAAAGCAACCAGCCGGGTCCGAACAAGTTCAAGGTCGTCCCTGGTTCAACACTTGTCGTCACTCGCACAGCGTACCGAAACAACTCCAGCAAGTACACGATCAATGGCAAGTCAAGCAGCTATAAGGAGGTCCAGACGCTTCTCAAAGGTCGTGGAATCGACCTTGACCACAACCGTTTCCTAATTCTTCAGGTAAAAACTCTCCGTTGTCTCTTCCGTTGAACGCGATCTAAACATATCGCAGGGAGAAGTCGAGTCCATCTCCCAGATGAAGCCGAAGGCACCGTCGGAGCATGAGGACGGTCTGCTCGAGTACTTGGAAGATATCATCGGTACCTCATCCTATAAGGAGCCGATCGATCTGTCGTTGGCTGAGATGGAGAGGCTCACCGAGGAAAGGACTGAGAAACTCAACAGGCTCCGGATCGTCGAAAAGGAGAAAAACTCTCTGGAAGACAAGAAGAAAGAAGCGGAGGACTACTTACGGCTCCAGAACGAGCACGTTCGCGCGCTGTCAAGGCTGTGGCAGTGGTACCTGTGGAAGTGTTTGCAGAACGAGGACGAGTTCACGAGGAAGATGGTACGCTCTGTCCACTTTTCATCCGGCCTTCTTTCTATGTACTGATGCCTGTGGGCTATAGGCGCACGTTGAGACCAAGTTGAAGGAGGAACAGGAGCAGAACCAGGGAGATATCGAGCATTTGGCCCACCTGGAGGAAGACTACGCAAAGCGAATGGCCGTCTACGCGGTAAATAATAATACTATTCGCTGCTCGTCCTCAATTAATTCGCTTGGGGCATACAGGAAATCAAGGAAGCGGCTGCTGCTGCGATGAAAGATCTTGCCGTTTACGAGAAGCAAGAAGTTGGGCTCCAAGAGAAGCGCAAGCATGCCAAGACCAAGGCCAAAAAACTGACCAAGTCTGTCCAGGAAGTTTGTACTTTCGTTTGCTTCACCTCCTTTGGACATCGAATCTGACTTGAACTGTTATTTCAATGTAGGACACGCACGCCAAGGATCAGGCCGCCCGCGCCATCGAGGACAACGCCAGTAAGATGAAGAGCGAGAAGAAGAAGGCCGATGACTTTGAAGCCGAGCTCGTTGACGAAGAGAAGGTTCTCGAAAGCATTCGTGACAGCCTGAAAGGTACGTAGTCGCCGCGGCACACTCGTCTGCACAGACTGACCGGCCGGTATTACCTATCTCAGGCAAGACACAGAAGTTTCATAATCAGATTGAACAGAAGCAGCGCGAACTTCAACCCTGGTCTGCGAAGATCGACAAGAAGCAAGCCGAGATCGATGTCAAGACGAGCGAGAGAGATTCCCTAGTCAAACGCGCCGAGGCAATCCAAGAAGCTAGCAAGGAAGCGCAAGAGATTGTGGCCAACCTGAAGTCCGAACAAGAGGCCAAGGTATGCCACTAGTTTCCTGTGCCTTTTATCCCGAGTTTTTCCAGATTATCGCTTTGCATGCATATCACACTTCATTTACGGCGCTCTGCTTATGGCAATATCGTCTATGATGTTCACTTATCACTCTAGATGAATGAGCTTAACGAGCAGAAGGCGCGCAAGGGCAACTTGCAACAAGAGCATGGCCAGGCCCAAAGGAAATCTCAGGTGTGTTAACATCCGTGTATTTTGCTCGCGCTTTTCCGTTAATAATTTGACAGGATGCTCGCAAACTCGTCGAAGACCTCAGGAAACATGCTTCCAATGCGAGGCAACGGGTCGACGAGGCCAAATCCTCTCAAGCGCAGAACACATCTCAGAACCGAGTCCTCGACAGTCTTCTTCGTCTGCGTAGCTCCGGTCGTATCGATGGCTTCCATGTACGTAGCTCGCAGTCGAACCTACTCGTCGATATCTAGCTGACCGTTCGTCTGCAGGGCCGTCTCGGTAGCCTCGGAACCATCCCAGAGAAGTACGACGTCGCGATCTCTACCGCATGCAGCCAGCTCAACAATATGGTCGTCGACACCGTCGAACAAGGCCAAGGCTGCATCGAGTATCTCCGCAAGCAGAGCATCGGGCGTGCATCCTTCATGGTGCTAGAGAAGATTCCAGGTCAAGGAAACCGAATGAACAGGATTGAGACACCGCAGAACGTCCCTCGTCTCTTCGACCTGATCAAGCCCAAGGAAGACCGCTTCGCCCCCGCATTCTACAAGGCCATCGGCGATACCCTCGTTGCGAATAATCTCGACCAAGCCAACAAGATCGCCTTCGGTAGCGGAAGACGGTGGAGGGTCGTCACCCTCGCTGGCGAACTCATCGACTCATCTGGTGCGATGAGCGGTGGAGGTAACACGGTTGCACGAGGTGGCATGAGTGCGAAGCTGGCGGCGGACGCTGTTGCGCCTGAGGTGCTGCGTCAGTACGAGCACGACAGCGAGACCGCCAAGGCAAAACTTGAAGCCGCGATCCAGGAGTTGAAAAACGCTGAAGCAGAGTTGGAGGTCATTGTCAAATCCGGGCCACAGATCGACGTTGCTTTGCAGAAGCTCGACCTCGACATCAAGAATCACACCAAGCGTGTGGCAGATGCGGAGAAGCGCGTGCAGGAGCTTAAGTACGCAGACAGCCGTCTTGACAATCCCTTTTTTTCGTCGACTAATGGGTTTCTGCTTATAGGAAACAGAACCGTCCGGATGCTGGAGAAGTTGCTCGTATTTCTGCCCTAGAGGAAGAAATTGCTGCTGCCACCGAGGAGATCGAGGAACTCGAAGAGCGGTCCGGCACCATCAGCCAGGAGATCAAAGCTCTCGAGGAGGAGATTCTTAGAATAGGCGGTTCCCGCATGCTAACGCAGAAATCCAAGGTCGACGGCATCAAGCTCCACATCACTCTTGCCAACGACGAGATCACCAAGGCTGAAGTTGCCAAAGCCCAAGCTGAGAAAGACGTCAAGAAACTCAGCAAGGCTGTAGAGAACAACACAGCAGCTTTGGAGGAAGCGACGGCGGAGTTGGAACAGCTGGACGAGGAAATTGCTGAGGTGTCCAAGTATACCACCGATCTTCGTGACCAGGTTGCTCGTGCGCAAGAAGCAGAAGAGAACAGGAAGGAAGATCTCGACGCGGCGAAACAAGAATTGGACGAACAGAGGGCACACATCCAAGAGTTCAAGCAGAAACAGGTGGATATCACGTTTTATACATGGAAACTACGTCGTGCTAAACACCATTATGCCTCTAGCTCAAACTTCAACAGTCTCTTGACGATCTCAGGAAAGACGCAGAGGAGAATCGTCGATTGCTGGAGCACTGGCAGACTGAACACGACAACCTCCAGCTCGAGGACATAGAGTACGTTTTCCGTTCTTGACCCCTTCCTTGTCTTGCTAACTTGACTATCTTCAGTGAGGATGACGACGAAGATGACGACGAGAAAGAAGGTAGTGTCGCCCCATCCGAAGCCCCGAGCGAGCATGTGAAGGAAGATCCGGACGCTGAAGAGGGTAGCGGTAATGGCCGACGAAAGTCAAGACAACGCACACCCTCCAACGAGCTCCACATATACAGCGAAGCAGAATTGGCCCATTTCAAGAGGAAAGATATGATTGCCGATGCTGAGTTGCTCGATGGTGAGCTAAAAGCTGTGACTTCTGCGAGTACAATGCTGACATATTCACAGAGAAACTGAAGAACGCCAAACCCAACCTCGGAGTTCTCCGTGAGTATCGAGAACGCGAGGAGGAGTTCTTGCGTCGTGTCAAGGATCTCGAGGACACGACCAACGAGCGTGACGCTCAGAAGCAGAGGTACGATGGTTTGCGGAAGCAGCGACTGGATGAGTTCATGGCTGGGTTCAACGCCATATCTTTGAAGCTGAAAGAGATGTACCAGGTAAGTGCGAATTTCGTTCGCCGGAGAGAACCTTATTCATGTTAATTGACCCCACCGTAGATGATCACCCTGGGTGGCAATGCCGAGCTGGAACTTGTCGACAGTATGGATCCCTTCTCCGAAGGTATCATATTCAGTGTGATGCCGCCGAAGAAGAGCTGGAGGAATATCTCCAACCTGTCGGGTGGCGAGAAGGTAAAAAAAATCTTCACTGTTTCGTAGCCACACTGCTAATCTATGCTCTAGACACTGAGCTCCCTCGCCCTAGTTTTCGCACTCCATGTTTTCAAGGTATGTCAGCTCAATCCTACTCTTAAGCAAGGAGCTGATGGACAAATTTTATAGCCTACGCCGCTCTATTTCATGGACGAGATTGATGCAGCTTTGGATTTCCGTAACGTCTCCATCGTAGCCAACTATATCAAGGACCGCACGAAGGACGCGCAGTTTATCATCATCTCCTTGAGGTAATCCGCAGGTCCTGATTTCTGCTCCGCCACAGAAAGATGCTAACAAACAACAACAGGAATGACATGTTTGAGCTTAGCCACCGGCTCATTGGTATCTATAAGACATCAAATCAGACCCGCAGTATGTCCTCTTCTTGTTACCATTCAAAGTCGACCAACTGATATCGTCTCACAGGTCTGTCAATCGACAACAAGTCGATACATGCCGTGGCTGCCATGGGCGCCATGGTTGTCCATCCGCCGAACAGTGGCAACGCCGTCTCATCTGCCGCAGTTTCTTCTGCCGCGTAGTAAACTTCGTACTTTCTTCCCGTCTATCATGCTTTCGCGACCCCCGTGTCTGATTTTCGATATATTTCTTATTATCTTTCCCTTTCACGACGATGATTAAATGTCCTTGGTCAAAGTACGATTGTAGTTGTATATGTGTGGTAGTATCGACGTAGACTGTGTGATCATAATCTCATTTCTATTTCCTTGATCATGACGGTAACGGAAGCGCAATAATAGATGAAAGACATTGAGCTAGAGATCGGTCTTTCCAGGTCGTAGCAGCCGTGGGGGGTGTGGAGTCCATATGGTCAGTGAATGAAGTAGGCAACAACAGAGGCTGCGACGTGAACCAGGGGTGGTCCACCGCTTTTGAAGCTTTAATGCGTGAGGACGGTGTGTAGACGAGTAATCGGTGGATGAGATCGAGGGGAGTGGGTTCTGGCATCTCTGGAGGATAATGGCTGGTGGTAGTGGTAGACAGTGACGCTGATGGCAAGTTGGGAAGTAGAGTGGAAAGGGGAACGCCTGGTGAATCGATGAAAGTCAATTTCGTGGCGTCCGGAAGTTCCTTGAATGTCTGTGTGTTATAGGCGTAGGCTCTAAATCAGCAACGAAGATTCTTTTCAAAGACCAAGCAACCTACGGGCCAGTTCTGGTCATTCGCTGTTCCGCGAGTCTTGAATATACTCCATATGAGGCCAATATCCCCGCGTTCTGAGTCGAACAGACAACATCTCTCCCAGCCGTCATCGCTCATTACACGCGGATCCTTCGGTGGAACGTACGGTCTCGTGCGTGAGTCTTCCATGTCTTCGGAATCAGAGTCTACATCCTCATCTTCGTCGCAGCTTGAGTGTCTGATGGAAGTGAAGAACTCGGCGATGGTTGCTCCCAGACTCCATTGATCAGATGCCAGAGCGTCGTAGGCTCGAGGTCCAAAAAGTAGTTCTGGAGCACGATATGGTCTACGAGGAAGTGATCAAGACAAATCAGTAGTAGGAGGGCGAACGACAAACCCCGTTGCAACCTCGTTATACATATGGGTGGAATCCTCGTCCCATATGTCCTTCTTCCGATTGTCCTTGGTGTCTGTCTCCTTGTAAGCGATCCCGAAATCTACAATCTTCACACACCCGTCTTCAGCCACTAGGATGTTGCTCGGTTTTATGTCCCGATGAGCTACGGCTCGACTTGGATGATGGAGGTAACTTATGCCGGATATGATCTGGTAGATGAGCGATTTCGCCACCATTGTGAAGGTCTCTGTATGGACGCCAAAGGGAGCGTTGATTGCTGCCTGAAAAGGGCGTGGAGAGAATTGCGGGTATCGGAGAAGGGTAATGAGATTATTGGTGATGTAGGGCATCCAGAACCTGAGCATCGATGTTTTGGGATCGACCGTGGAGCCAATGACATCAATAATCTAGCTATGTGGTTAACTTGGGTCTGTTACAGATCAGCAGAACGGCATGGTCGCCATATACTGACCGAGGGATTGGATAGGGTAGACAGTATCCGTAGCTCCTTCACAATATCGTGCGGCTCTCTAGTGAGTTCGCGTCTAGTAGTGGCAGTTTTGACGGCTACCCATTGGGCGGAGCCGTCAGCGAGATACAGTGCGGATCGGGTGACAATTGAAACCAGAGTCTCAGCGACCACCTGAGAAGTATTCTACGGTGATACGTCAGTGAGAAAAGTCGCCAGACCAGACAGTATCCTCGACTCACCGGGTCGTATCCGAGGACGCCAGAGGGGTCCATGGATGACAACAAGACTGTAGACGAAGCTCGCAACAGTACGGGCGAAGCTTGAGACAGCCCGGTAGCTCTCGGCTCGTAGTACGTGTTTCCGAGAGAGATCGATATCTGAGATTCAGAAGAAGACCCCTGGTTGGCGCCACATCGAAGAAGAGAAAGGAACGAGTGGCACTTGCATGCTAACAGATGATCGTAAGTACTTCAAGTCCAAGAGCCTCAGAAGAGCTGGAAGTAGGTTTTGACCAGGATATGCGAGCCCTTGACTTGTCAGAACAGAATGCTTTCTTGTTCCGGTATGGGATTTTTGGGTGGCAGCAAGATGGCAGTGGAAGAGATCAAGGAGTACTTTCCCACGGTGCTACTTAATCTTTGGCGTGACCGTATCCGGCGGACAACTGGATTGGTACCGTACTGCCTTCAAGCTCAAGCAGACGCTTCTAACTACTCGACACTTATCCGTTCTGAATTCACCTGTCTCCAACACCCTTCCTTCCATTATCTAAAGCCTTAGACTCCGCCATGGCTGAAGACGCATCTGGAGCAAGCACCAGTATGTTCTCCCCTTCGAGATCTCCTCAATCTAGCTAAGCATGGCTATCCCATGAACAGATGAACGCCTACTTGCAGCTGCACGAACCGACAACGAGGAGTTGTTGCTTGAAGTCTTCCAGCAGGAGGATCTAGATATCAATCACCAAGACGGGTACGCCTGCACATTTACTCCCAAAAGTGCGCATAGCGCCAACGAGACGCGTTCTCAGTCTGGGGAACACAGGTGTGTACATGCACAAGATTAGAATCGATGAAGTGAACCGACCATCCACAATTATACAACGCAAGCTCTACACATCGCGTACGTTTACCGTTCTCTTTGCTGACGTAGAGTCTGATCAGTGTCAGCTTATTGAGACTTGAATTCTGCCAGGGTATCCCACGGATCGACAGACGTCTTGGAACACATACTGACACATGAAGACTGCGACGTGGACCCTGTAAACCGACTAGACAAAGCCACTCCGCTTCATCTTGCTGTGCAGACCGAGGATCCCGAAATGCGCAGATATCTGGTAGAATCGCTGCTCGAAGCCGGTGCGAATACCAAGTGAGTAGAGTCACTTACACTTGCTGGTTCGGGGAGTACTAAGATCTGATTGCTCCAAACAGTGTCAAGGATAAGCATGGGGATACGCCCATGGCATATCTTCCCGATGACGACAAGGAGGTGAAGGCCTTGATTCGCAAAGCGCAAGCTCAGGCTAGCGTCTCGAATGATGATGTGGCTAACGGTGCGCTTTCTGCGCACACGCATTTAAAACTCTGCTTACCCTTTGTCCGTGTAGATGATGATGATGAACCTGGCTCTGGCTCCGGATCCGGCTCTGACGATGAATGAAACAGGGAATAAGCAAGAGTGCAGTTCGGAATTTTGGATGTAACGCCTAGATGTGGATGTACAGCTGACGTTTATTGTCACTAATATCAAGGAACCACGTGGGTCGTGATCTGCTCTACAGACTTTCTTCATGATTACTACCCTGTCCTGTCTTAATGCCAGCGAGATACGGCAGTCGTCCACCTGGGCCACCCTGGGTGGCGTATTTCAAGTATTCATGTCACCACCGTGTACCGTGGTATCTATTATAGAAAGCTGGGCAACGAATTAGAATGTGTGCTCAGGTCACTGTCTATTGTTCGCATTGTGCAACCGAGAAACAAGAAAGTACCAGGCGATACGCGTTGCTCTCGCGTCGTACTGCCTGCTTTGGGATGACACAGTCGACGAATGTCAATCTGACGAGTGGCGCTCGGAACTTCGGGAGGTGCACTTTGTGATCAAGCCAGTGTCACACTCACATGGCGATTCTCCCATAGGAATATCCTGCATGGGGCGAGGGCATGACACCGTCTTGTTGACAAGGGGTGACCCACTTTGAACAGCGTTTTCTCGGAGGGACTCGTGTGGATTGGTGGCAACGAAATTGGAGTCTGTCGTTGAACATTCTTCGACTGAAGGAATACGGGTGGATATACTAGTATTGTGGGTAGTTGTAGATCTTGGAGTATTTACTGATCACTGACCCCTACCTGTATAAAAGCCCCAGCCTCAACGACTGTTCCTCCCACAATCAGTCGCGGAACATCTCCACTAGTAGAATCAGCTTAAACATGATCCAACAAACTACCAAGCTCAGCGGGACCGCTGCCAATATCGTTCTAGCAAAAACAGGGGTATGTGTTCGACTCCTTCCTACGCTCCGTTCGTGTCCCTCCCTAACCAACCTCTGCGATGCAGCATGGTCTCGCCGGTATGACGTATGTGCTTTTATGCGTCTCAAAGAGTCTCGCTGTCCTGATGGAATCTTTCTTCGTCTCCCAGTCAGAAACCTGATCCTCTAGACGATATCACCTGTTTCAAGGCTATCAAAGCGAGTTTGGACAGTGTGCCTGCGGGAGCGAAGATGCTACTTAACAGCGGTAGGGGATCCACACACTCTGGTGATAAAATTCCTCTCTCATCATGTCTGCGTCAGCCGAATTTTACGGCAGAAGCCCACCGACAAGCAACCTCGAGCTTCTGTCGAGATTCTTCGAAAAATATCCCGAATATGCCGAGAAAGCCTTCCTATCTGTCAAGGGAGCAACCAAAGCCGATAGTATGATGACCGATAATTCGTCAGTGTGACATTCACTTCTTGGCAATCTCTCACTAATCCTCTTGGTGGTTGTTCGCGTCAATAGTCCGGAAAACTTGAAGCGTAGTGTTGACACATGCATCGCAGCCCTACGCGGGATGAAGAAGATAGATTTGTTCGAATGTGCCCGTGTGGACCCAAAGTACCGCATCGAAGACACCCTGCAGGTTCTATCTGGCTTTGTGAAAGAACGGAAGTTCGACCATATCGGACTTTCCGAATGTAGCGCCGAGACTGTTCGCCGTGCCAACAAGGTCACTGAAATGTTCACACACCTGCAAATCCTTTTCTTTACTGACCAGATTGATGAACTTCGTCTGTACCCCAGGTCTGGCCTATTGCCTCGGTAGAGATAGAGATCAGCCCCTTCTCATACGAGGATGAGACCAAGAAAGGTACAACTAGCCATTCGTTCATGTTCTCCAGGTTCATCGCTAAATAATAATATTTGACCAGTCGTGGAGACTTGCAAGGAGCTCGGGATCGCTGTCGTCGGATACTCGTAAGCCTCAAGCCGCAGATCACCATCTAGCAGTCACTGAATGCCATCTACAGTCCCATTGGTCGAGGCTTGCTCACGGGGACGATAAACAAAGCCGACGACCTTCCCGGTAAGTATGTTTATTACTTCCCCAAGCGTCGCCCACTCACCCTAGCTGTACAGAGGGGGACTATCGCAAACATTTCAGTCGCTTTCAAGAGGGAGTTAGTCATCTCATATATTCTCCAGCGTTTGTGCAGGTCGTCTGATATATGGTTCATGCAGAACGTGGAACACAACGCGGCCATAGTCGACGCTCTGACCTCCATCGCGAAGAAGAAGAATGTGAGCACTACCCAGCTCAGTATTGCCTGGGTGAGTGCACTCGGTAGCCACGTCATCCCTCTTCCTGGATCATCGTAAGTCGATGATTATATTATCATTTTGCACCGTTGATTGATTGTCTTTCCAAACCATTAGAAACGCGACTCGCACTCTGGAGAATCTCGCTGGTGGCGACATCGAACTCTCTACAGAGGAGCTGGATGAGATCAGTCAGGTCCTCGCGGCACACACGGTCAAAGGCTCGAGGTACTTTGACAAGGGCCCTGTTCAAATTTTGAACCTCTGGGGTTAGAATGTCTAGTTCCAGACGAGGCAGCAAAGAGGACGCCATATGTAGTTCGTCATGATTTTCACGCTGGTTTCACTTCTTGTAATAGTCAATACAAGATGAACATCCATGGTTTTATGGGTAGCAAGACGAGTATTATTGCAAAAAATCTATGTTGTATTAAGGAAGTCGGCGAAAAGCGGGTCAGCTACAGCTACACTGTATGATACAGAGCATCGTCTAAAACATCCCCTATCTATATGATGCATGACACGGGCATCGACGACCAGCCCGTCGTCGGTTTTCATGGGAGTGAATCGTAAGACTAATCAATCGACTAGCGTATCGTAAATCCCGATCCATGATTGTCTTTTTACACCTCCAACTCCAACGCATCTGCATCCTTTTTCTCTACATCGCTTGGCCTCCGACTCAAAGTGGGAGTCTTATCGAGCGAATGCTCAGCATCCATTTCTGCTCGATGCTCTCGTACATATTGCTTGAAGCGGCGAGGAGCAATGCCACGAGCGTAGAGGAGATCTATGTCGCTGAATGAAAGGCCTTTCGTCTCTGCGAGATATTCAACGGAATAAAGAATAGAATGATAAGTCAAGGTCCAGAACGAATTACGAGGTCAGACTGGGATAAGACAAACCTGGGAGCATGAAGTATAGAGTCGACCACACGATGCAACAGAGAGCGAAGTAAAGGAATCCGACCTTACCTGTATAACCCATGTGCTTAGTGATCATAATCGGTGATAATGAGAAAAGCAAAGGGACCGACCGCCGAGGTTGCCTTGATCGGGATTTAGCATGAAGGGTATGACGACCGCGAACACCAAGACCATCAAGGACTGGCAAACTGTCTGGATCATTGACAGCTGAGCTCTCAAGGACGGTTTTCCGACTTCCTGTGCGAATGCAAGACCCGCTGCGCCGATCGTGGATTGGTATACCTGCGTCAACATATGGTAGTGAGACCTCACAATCTTGAAACAATCAAAGCCGACAGTACTCACGATACTCCAGATAAAAACCGTGACGACCATGACCCACCCAGCGGCTGTGGATGTGAAGCAACCTGCGATGCCCATCACAAGGAGAGTAACGGCCAGGACGGCGATTCCGGGAAGAATAAGCCCCCTTCGACCATACTTCTCCACAAAGACGAACGCAGATGAAGTTCCGATGAGCTTGAACGCAAAGAGGATGGCGGTAACAGTGAAGACATCTTCGATGTGAACGTTGTTGAAGAAATAGGATACATCTGATGATTTCGGTGTATTGATGAGTGTCTCAGAGCACGAGTTTCCAGGAGAGGACAATGGGGTTCGAACGTACATCCCAGAACGACGCTGGCGCCACACAGTTGCTGTCCCACGGTCGTCGCCACAGCAGCCAAAGTACGTTTCTGTACGATATCGATGTTCGATTCAGCAAGATGTACTCCTTGTAGGTGCAGGCACAGAGATATAGGGCAACGTACTTTGTTCGTCCCGGAAAGACACCTCAAGAAAGCCATCCTGTCCTTCTTGCCCCCCTTGAGAGCCTGCAACTGCTTCGCCTTCGTCACTTCGCCCTGCAGCCTCTCGAACTCGCTATCTGCGAGCGCCTCATTTCCGTGCAGACGAGATAGAGACTTTCGGGCTTCCTCGGGGCGATCGTGCAGTAGAAGCCAGTATGCGCTTTCTGGCATGAACCAGTACCCTATGAAGAGTATGACTATTATTCTGAGTTAGTATGATGGCTACTGTTGGGTTTGGGTAGGATAACAGACTTACTGATGAAGAAGTACTGCACCGTCAATATGCTTCGGTATTGCCATCTACCGGTTATGTGGATTATGCCCGGAGTGATGAATGCTGCCAAACTCTGCCCGAGGACAATGCTAAAGCTGCAAGTGCGGCACTTGTGTTCAGCCAACAGACTCGGACCGAATGAATGGAGGAAGGAGGACGCTTACTTGTAAAAGCAAAGTGTGAAGCCACGCATGGTTGGATGCGACAACTCCCTGCCGAAGAAGGTAGACTGAGCATCCCAGACGATGAGACGGGAGTGTCTCAGACTTACCCTACGAAAGCTATAAGGACGAGATCCGGGTGAGCAACCGTGGCAGACAGAAAGCTTCGTGACAAGGATGGTACCGAAGACTTACTTGGGCTCAAGGTAATCAAAGTCCCATTCCCGCACATCATCACAAGAATTCCTCCAAAGTACCGCTGCCACGACAGCGCCGTGATCTGCAGAGCAATACCCGCACAGCTAATGGCGCACCCCAGGAGGATGATATGTCGGCGTCCGGTGCGGTCGAGAAGAAAGCCAGCTATGACGCTGCCCGTACAACTCCCAATGGTCTGGGCGGCTGAGAATGCAGCTACATAGGGTGAAGAAGTAAGCAGGAGAACATATGAATACGTTCAAGATACAACAAGCTCTGTACGCTTGGAGGAGAATATGGAAACGGAGGGTCAGAACATGGAACAGCTACGCACTGATGTGCGCCGCCGGAATGACATATTCTCCGTTATACAGGTATCCGAATTGCTCTAGAAAGCTGGGGAATGCAAGCAACTGAAGAGTGACGAAGAAGTCGTTTGTCAGAAACAATAACACAACATCAAAGACAGCAAATCAAGGTAGAAAGAGCTAACTCACCTGCCCGAATACCGTATATGCATAACCCATCTGAACATTTCCAAAACTCGTGAAGAAAGCCCAAAGAAGAAACCGTCTATAGGTGAACAACGCAGACCAATCGAGCGACATTGTAAACAGTCGCCAATATAAGCGTCAGTAGCGTACAACCAGTTTTCCCAACAGACGGAGGGATGAGAAGAGAGAAAGGAAGAGAGCAGAAAAGAAAAAAGGCAAGAAGCTGGTCCAACTTCTCAGAAGGAGACGGATGCCCGGCCAGTATAAGTATCTGGCGCGGAACTCATCCACTTTTCAAATACGGACTCAAGGGCCTCGCCTTACCATCCTTAAACATAATTGGTCTGGTGCTCTGCCTGCTGTCTCTCCTCGAGTAGAACATGCCATCGTGCTCAACGTAAAGAAGGACACAAAAAGCCCGTCGGCGAGCGCATAGGCTGGAAGTGAGGGTCAGAAGTTCAGACTTTTACTGGTAAATGAGATTACCTTGCAATTGCGGACAACACATAAGTCCGAGCACAACTTTGACTAGTGAGCACCATGTGCATGAGCAGAGACGATGAACCAGAGAATTGTGAGAGAACCATGCAAAACACATTGGCGTCTAAGACAGTGATAATCCGACGTTTCCCCGGGTGTAGACCCAGGTTATGATGAGATAATCATCCACCGCATCTCGTACTTTCTCTGGTATTCTGAAGGCCCTGAGCATATTATCACGTCCAAGGCGGCATAATGAATGAATGCATGGGTACAGCGATAACGGATTGTCATCGTTGAGTAACTTGAAGCATTGCGTGTGGAAAGGACACCAAATTTGTGCTCGAGGCCTAAACTTCGATGAACGAGGCAGTCGAAGTCTGATAGCTTGAGATATGGCACCCTCGAAAACACCGGTATTCATCTAATCAGTCTATCATGAAGACCACTATGCGCCTATGAGAAATGAAGACTCACGCGTGGCAGGTTCGTGTATGGCTTCGCACCCCAGTAAATCCCAGTGCAGCCTGAGTCAAGTTCAAGGCGACAATCATCTCGATCTCACACAGCACCGACATCGCGCCTCCTTCCTATCCCAAAAACCCATTCTATTCGTATTAAAAGAGTGCCGAAGAGAATGATTACACACTTGGTATCCAATACCCACAACTACGTCAATCAATGACCAGCCCTCTATTCCGAATATCCCGCATGTATACCATTCCGACCCTTGAACCAAGAAAACCTGCAGATCGTCCCATCCATCCATCCATCCCGGGAGTTGAGACGCGTGTCAATCGTAAAAATTTCGTAGTCTTAACCGTAGCCGTAGCTTGGCTTGACCTGGGGGTATATGCGAAGTCGGAAATCCGTCTACCCGTCCTATGATCACCGCGGAGGCGAAGCATCCCTCCTCCAATAATCATACACCCTGCTATTCCTCGCACTATTCGATATAGCCTCCCGTCCTCTCTGAGCCCACTGATGATATATCGGCGTCGAAACGTTCCTCGCATGTCGATGCGATTTCTCCACGTTCGCACCCGTGCCCAGAGGTTCCGTATCGTCTGCTGGAGGTTCCCGGGTGGATCTTGAGAACGTCCGGGTGCGGGTGCGGCGGGCGGGAGAGGAGGGAGTCGTGGTAGGGAAGGGGAGTTTGTTGATACGTGGAGACGAAGATGCGGATGGGGACATGGTACCGAACCAATCGACGGCGGCGATGGGGACGACCCAGACGTGCGATGTGCCGTTGGCGTGCTGCCGAAGGGCTAGGATGAAAGCCGTCAAGGTGAAGCCGAAAACTGGTCCAACAATGTTTGTTAGCAACACAGAGGGACCTAGTCGATACAGGAAGTATTCATGAACTCACGCAAGAAAGCAATGACGAAAGCGAAGGATTCAATCACTCGATACTGTGCTTGGTACATCTCCGTGGTGACTGTCAAAACGTTCGTTAGGATCGCCGCCATTGTGATTTCAGAAAACTGTCGGGTACTCACAACCACCGACGACGGTGCTATCTGAAGAAGAGGCGAAACACTGGACGATGGCAGACTTGGCTTCTGAAGCCGCGAGAGAACCAGCAAGAGCTGTAGCCAAAGCCGTGATCCTTGTCAGATGTGTATGCGAACGACGAATATTGACAGTGAACGCACCTAGCCATAGTGTGGCCATAATTCCCGTACCAACCAGTTCTAGCCGAGTGGAAACAAGGCGCCATATGCCACTTGCGATTCTGTACGGAACACGGAACACAGAGACGTTCATAACTCAGCCAAATAAAGTAGAGTTGAAAGAACGTACAGGCCAAGCATAGTTACGAGACCAAGACATGAAACAGCGATTGCAAAGGGTACATCACGGGCTGAAGAAGGGAGCTTGCTTAGATACACGCGGCGGAAGTGAAGGTTCAGATTTGGAGGATTGACGCACTGAGATGGGATGGGGTGAGGATTGCCTGGAAATGGCCTGCCAGGGCGAGACATATGAGACTCAAAACGAGCACAAAACCTACGGGTCACCAATCAGAAAGGACATAGCAGAGGAAGCAGCGGGATAACGCACCTAGTAGACAGGAATGTAGGACGCTGAAAAGCGAAGGCATGGCTTGCACTCGAAGAATCCTGATAACCCGAGCCCGGGGTATACAATATGATAGTCAAAGACAGACAAAGGGACTCGGTAGCCTCTCTCTATGCGCACAGGGCAGTCAAGCCGACAAAGAATGACAAGTTTCACAATCAACCGACGCCAGAACGACGCCGTTTTCGATGCCGGTGAGTGTCGCCGACAAAGGGAGAGCAGTGGAGCGCAGCGCTCACTGAGTTGGAAAATAAAAATAAAAGAATGGAGCTATCGCTCAAAGAACAGTTGGTGAGAGAGAAAAACAGTCGAGCCGGTGGACCTTATCAATAAGTCCCATCGCCTCGGAGGTCCCTTCACTTGTCCCTCACAACCGACAGCGACCATGGGCGGCAAGGCGGCAACTCGGATTGACATAACATACCATCTTGTTAGGGATCCACCACCCGCATGCGCTCCTTCCAGACGGTATGATGAAAAAGTAAAGGTGGCATGCAAATGTTCTGTGTCACCAGGAAAGCTGCAGGCAGCAGCGGAAAGAAAGGCGCTGTGGGAGAAAATCAGTTCGGAGGCTTTCGGAGGCTTCCTTTGATTTCCCACGTGCAAGTGGCGAAAGCCTTGCACCCGAGTTCTTGGTGTGTGGCGCACAGTCTCAGTCTCATCTTGCGGCGACCAATCTGTCGCAAGCACCTCCCGCTTATACAGACGCAGACGCAACATTGGAGTTCATTCAGGTATTTATAAGGTCGCAAAAGCTTGCATGATATTACAGGAAGTTTGGTTTCGTGATACAGTACAGGTGAAATGCCAAGTTACTACCGGACTGGACAAGGACTGGACGGCGATGCGGAATGAGGTGATGGAGACACAGGACATTAGGCAACAAGATGAGCGAGATAACTGGAATGGCGACACAGGGCTAAATATTGGGGGGGGAGGGGGGGAGATAAGATCGCTGAGATACATGAGAGGAATATGAACTCACGATCTCTTAACCCCCAAGATATTTCCCAGCCCGAACACGGCACACAATCTGATCTCTCAAATACTCAACTCCCTCTCTCTGATGAACGCGTCCCTCAGTTTCATGTACTCGAACGGCGAGACACTCTTCCCCATCAACCTCTTACCCATCACCGCATCTAACGTCGACGTGGTCATCCTCTTACACTCCTCAAGTTCCTCCTTGGTATGTATCCCGATGACGGACCGAAGGATGTGGGCGTGATATTCCATAAGGCCGTGCGATATCACAAAGAGACTGATTGGGTCGCTCGACACGGGCTCTACGGGCTCTACGACTTGGCTGTATGCGCGACTCGGATAGGCGTGGCTGCTGGTTGACGCAGAAGCAGGCAGGAAGTGGGGATTATAGCTCGAGCCCTGTACAGTAGGAGGTGCACGAGATGTCGATGGAGGAGGGGCAGGTTGGGCGGCTGTGATGGTTCATTCATAAAAATGAGAGAGGTGGGTGAGTGAACTGTTCGTCAGGCATAATATAAAACGGACCTCGGGGAACCGACCAAATTTCTTTCTGAACTGGGTGCCGCTCGCGACGAGGCCTAGCGTTTACCTGATCTTTTCCACCTTCGAGGACGACAATGGGTTCGGCTGCGGGAAGGTTTTGCGAGCTGGGAGGCATAACATTACTTGGAGCGTTCTCGATTACTGGGCACGATATTAGAGATATCGCAGAATGTAGGCGCTGCCACTAAATATAAAACGCACATTCGGTTCCCTGAGTTTGGATATTCTGAAAAGAGGCGATCGTTATAAGGGCGTTAGTATCATTGTCAGACATTTAGGGGCATCAGGCGACCAACATGAGCAGCATTTAGGGTACCAGTGTGTACACCAGGGGCTGTTTGCATCTCTACCATGAACAAATTTATACGGTGTAAGTCAAGCGCATAAGAAATTCGAGGGAACCACTAGGCTATACCTTGGGCAGAGGAAAGGCCAACCATCGGTCCAGGCACCTGAGGCTTCTCCCTCGTCGCCATGAAAGCCCTCCAATCCGTCTCGTCAGTACGCATAGACCGATCATGCTCGTCCAAACCTCCGTAATGTGCATCTTCTTCTAGATTATCTCTGAACCGCTCCTTGTCGAGCGGCTTACGGCACACGCGCATATGGTCATTGTCGATGATGGCGGCGATGGTTGCTGGCGACCTGTCGTACCGAACGGAGAGGTCTTGGACATTGAGACGGCCCGATTTGTAAAGGTCGCGAACCTTGGCACGAACGATGCGGCTCCTCTTCCATCTAAAGAGTGAGAGGCGTAACGGTCACCGTTCAGCATTTATGTATGAAGAAGGAACGGTGTATAGACACGCACGTGACAACGGCGGAGTCGTAGATTTTCTTCGTCTCGTTCATTGCGGACCTGTGTCGGGCACCGACGGTATGTGAGGTGTACGACGATTGGGGGTGGGAGAGGAAAATGATTGATAGGAGGAGAACAGCACTTGGCGAGACTTTATGTCGAAATCCGCGCGCGAAGTGTGGTGACGTGAATAAGAAGCAAGTAAAGGAGAATAATCAAAGACAAAGACAGGACAAGATCCGCATACAGCAACGGAGAATCAACCGCAAGTACATCTTCGTACAGCTGCCAAATACGGCGAGGCGTCCATTTTTGGGACACACTCAGAGAGAGAGATGTCAAAGAGGCGCCTTGTTCGGCTCGTTCCGAACAATGGCGCGCATGGGCTGGAAGAGAAGACCAAAACTAAGCACACTGTCAATCAAGGCGGTGTCGAAGGTTGCGAACGATGCGGATGAGCTCACAGATCTAATTTTTCTTCTAGGCGGTCGGTCCATGGGTGGCATTCGACATGCGTCGCACAGGTTTCGAGAACGTCCACGAACGCCGTGATCGTTGAAGGGAGGGAAATGAACGCAGAAGAAAGATAGACAGGTGATGATTGTGCCACGACGATCAGAAACGTCCTCTTCTCAAGGTGTAAGTACATCGAGATGGGCCACACTAACAACTCACCATACAACCCGGCTTGATCCGACGATGTGCAAATCTCAAGCGGCGTTCTGGGCTACACCCGCACCGACGCTCCCAATACCCATCTCAACCACATAACTCTCCCTGCCCAACCTCCTCATCTCATCGACAACATCACCCACCTTCTCCATCTCCATCCACCTCCGTCTCTCTGGCTCCTCCCCGGGCCCTCTCCCAATTACTTGTGTGGCACTGGCCTTGCCTGGGTCCTCATGCGCTTGAATCAGCCCGGCCGGCAGCAGTTCCACAAATCTTACCCTCAGCGCGAGCCACTGCCAGCTCTTGACTTCCCTCACCCATTCCTCAATATCTCCACGCTCGCCTTCGGCGTACAAAATGCCTGGGTGTCCGACCTTGGCGAACCCGGTGAGCGAAAGCGTTGCGGATAAATTAAGGAGGTTGCGTCGTTTAGTGGGCGAGACAAGGTGGTGGGAAGTCAGGAGGGCATGATAACGTTGACTGGGTTGTGCTGGCCCTGATGTAGATGAATGTGGAGTTTCTGAGGAGGAAGGGGACGAGAGCTGAGAGTTACTGTTCAGCGAGGTTGCGTCGTGTAGAAGAGGAATCAGGTGTTCGGAGAGTAGTTGATAGATCGGATATCTGGTTAAACGCGGGAACAAACTACATCAGCGTCTTTCAACATAGAAGCACAGAAGAGCTGAACGTTTAGTGTGTATCCGTTTGAGGCGGAACGAGGGCTAAGTGACTCGTGACAGTCTGAGCCTATACTCACTCACATCCATCGGCCTGGCACGCGACCTCCATCTTCTCTCTGACAATCTCCTGCCACCTCGCCTGTTCCTCCCGACCCATCGCCTCACCTTTTACACTCACTCTGATACCTCCTGACCCATCGTTAAGCGCACGATTCGGATACATCCGTGGCACGTCAACCTCATACCACACCTTCTTCGACTCTTCCAATCCGACTCGTATTCGCGTTCCCTGTGGGCCCCACACGCCTGTAGCTCCCGATTCAGATTCAGAACTGGGATCATCTGCAGCTGCAGGATCACCATTACTAGCCGCCACACAGCTCGAGTGTTCCACGGAGGAGCGTGGCGAAGGGGCCTCAACCTCCCGCACTGAGTGTAATAAACTTCGAACCGCCTCCTCCGGGTCCATGGTGAACTCATCAAGCGCATGTGTCCATAGAACGGCCGCACGCGACGTGGAAGGGGGGACGACGAATGTGAGTTGTTCACCCGGGAGGAGTGCATGTTTGAGGAGCGATAGTTCTTCGAGCTGGCGATTCAGGACTTCGTCATCCGTGTCAGATGACTCTGTTAAAAGCCCCATACTGCAGTTGCAGTAGAGTTAGCGCGAGATACCACAGGCTGATGGAACTGGCAAAGACGTGTAGCACGGTTGGGCGATGGCAAACACGTTGTTCGTTGTCAAATCCGGTCAGGGAGGCGAATTTTCCGAAGTGGGGAAGGTTCGAGGGTGATTGTGTCCTTAAAATCACGGAAGAGCAGTGAGAGCGCGAGGAAGCACTAGTGTGGGGCGGGGTGCGGGAGAAAAACACGAGCAAGGTGCCAACCCGAAGTTGCTTATGGCTGGGAGATCTGTGGAGTGATGATGAGATAGGCTAGGGAGAACGACTCAGCGCTTTCCAACGTCCACGATTCAACGTTTCAACAGCAAAGACAAATAGACAAACTAGTGAGTGAGTCAATGATCAACGTAATCCAGTACTCAAGTTCAGTCATTTCTACCTCCACGCCCTCCACCGACGCATCGAAGATACTTGTCGTGCGGCGGTCCGAGGAGCTCAGTGTTGCCAACGCTTTCGAGATCGAATACCACATTCATAACAGTATTCCGAAGTGAAGATTACTCACACGAAACTAGAGCAAGTAAATCGAGTCAGGTTATGCCAGCAAATCTTCGGTATGGTGACGTCGTTGGTGTGCTGAAGAACGCCAAATCGGGTCCGGAGATTCAAAGCGTACGCCACGTGGGCTAGTGCGCAAGATGCCGGTCAAAGCAAAGCCTTCTTTCTCCACAGCTTCGACTAGCAAGTCAAGCCAGCCAGTTCGATACGTGGGCTCAGCTTATAATTTTGACAAGGTTTTACGCTCGAACAATAGCAACGGGGTCGCCTTGGAGTGGCCTTACTTAATACGACCTCAGGTGCCCGCAGTCCCACTAAATTCGAGGGTCCTTCAACAGTGTCCATGAGACCTATAGACTACTGTTTGAAGATGCCTCCGGAGACATTAGTTCAGTCAAACCCCAGCTACCAGTGGTTGCGCGACGACCCCTAGCCTGTATCTCATGACAACGACGTCTGACAGTCGAGTTCGAGCTAGATCCGTATTGCTTCCTCCCGATATCGCTAGTTCCGCCCATTGCATCTATAAGTACACACCTACAGACATGCCTTCAAGCTCAAGGACTACCGCGTCTCCTTGTGGAAATATTTTCGAGAGATTGAACAGTCAGAAGGCTTCCCGCACTCTGAGGAAGCAATGACACATGGGAAGGTGTATGTGCAAGATCCGTCTATGTAGTTCTCTCCAATTTCTCCCAGATAATGTGCGCTGTCATTCAATGAAGCCATGTCCGCAAACCAACATCTTCCTTGGCAGATATCCTTATAGACATAGTGTAAGTACGAGAACGAGCCAATCGCAATGCCCGCGGTTCACAACAGAAGCGAGAAGCCCGTCGAACAAGCACATCGGTACCTTGTCAGCCCCTGAGGCCTAATCAACAAACTGGATACACTTCAGGGAGCACGAATTCCCTTCTGCAGTCGAGTCTTCCCGTTTTCATGTACGCAGAAGACAGAAGAGGTATCGCTCCCTTCTCGTTACTTCTCCGGATCAAATCAGCGCGTGAGCGAGAAGATCGCAGGATGCGGTCGTATACTTAGACGTCCCTGCCAAATGGAGAGAGGTGTTGATCTGTGGGCGCAGGGATGTTTTTGTAGGAGCAAGTCGAGGAGAGTCACCAGGTCAAAAATCAGGACCTCTAATCACAGCGCTTAGTTTGCCGGTCTGCCAGTGAGAAGACGGTGGGGGAAGAACGCGGTATTTGTATAACTAGCGCTGTGTCTCGTTCAATATGCGTGCACGTAGAGAATCTGCCCACTTCGTTCATAAATCCGCATTGGTGACCGTTTCTGACTCGTCAGACGCGTCCCATGCATCACGGTCTAGGGTAGGTCGCCGCCGGTCAGACCGAGGCTGACCGCTGACAAGAGTCTCGAGCAGAGTCTCGAGCTCAACATACATAACAAAACGCGTCCGTTAGACTCAAGCTCAGATGAATACGAGAAGGTCGAAGTCGAGACGCTCTCTGATATGCGCTGTATAAGGCCTGCCTCCATCCTCCAATCAAGTCATCGTGAGTCCTTTCACAAAGCAAGCGATCGGTAGCGAAGTCATCGGACGAAACTCGAGCATGCATATTTATGTACGTCCCGGTCCTTGCTCACATTGCAAGGCTTGGAACTTCACACCCACAGATATAAAAGGCGTCTGAATCAGTATCAGACCTGTGGGCTATGCCAAGACCCTGAGGCGTAGCGCTGCGTTTCGAGAGTAAAGACCCTTTTCACCCGCCGATTGTGAAGATGTGACACGAAGAACTGTGCGAGCTGCGACCGCGAGCGCTCGATAGAGAGAACGAAAAGATAGCGGAAGATCGGCCACGCCACTCGTTTCATGCAACTCTCCTCGCAGTTGAATGTTACAAGGATGGAAACTGGCACACGCCACTGCGCCACTACTTATTGGCAGAAGCTGATAGGGACATAGCCAAGATTAGGATAAAGTAGCAGGATGCACCCATGCTCGTCGACGTTTCATTTCCGTCTTGTCCGGCTATTCAGAAGCACGTCCACCGCACACCGGGACCAGGACCGAGATCAACAACAATGCACTGTCCAAATTGCATTCTGCCACCGGGTGCGTCGTCGGTGAAGGAAGCAGGGTGGCACAAGCAACACGAGTTTGGCAAAGGCAGATGCACTTACTGCATACTTTCTTCTCGAGTAACACGCTTGATAGCTGTGTTCCTACCACGTACGTACACCCTGACCACAAGCAGTATGAGAGAGATATCCCGAGGAGCGCAGACGTTCCCCGTTCCAGCAACTCACCTGCACACCCATCAAACATCACAAGTTCGTACCAGCCCGTACCCAGGACTTCAGATATGAAGCTTCATGCATCATGCCTCAAGCCAGCTTCTACCCGAGATCCCAGTAGAGAACAGCAGAGAATCCCAAAGCGAGACAGAAGAGCCTGTGCCACTGTGCACTCTGCGGAAAGAACGTCCGTGCCTCGTTGAGCGATTTACGCTACTGCGCCGCTACGCTACTGCGCCGCTACGACCTGCTACAATGCCACCGGTCATGTCGATGTCGTGATCAGTGATCACACCGACGAAGGGGGGTCAGAAAAGAACCTCCGACAGCCGAGCGCTGAAGAAGAAAGCTCTTGCAATCTTCAAGCTTCATGGCCGTAAGATTGCAAGAGAGCCTCGAGGAGCGTTCCATTCAACGATTCATCTCGCGGCGCCATTGACAGAAACGAGCGCGCCGGCCGAGGGGAGAACAAGGAGATGACATTGAGTTGGAAGTGAAAGCAAACGATCGAGCTTCAAGGATCGAGGATCAAGGAACGAGCGTCGAACGGGTCACAGATGGAACGGAACATGCATGTCTGCATGCCCTGAAAATCCGAATTTGCAAGTGACCGTAAGGACTGTGGAGAAGAGCAGCTGCAGGGGATCCGGAAAAGTGTACAGTACCGAGCCGCGAGCGAGCCCCGGATTCGGCGTGCACACGTGCAAGGGTGGCCCGTTAGCGGGTGCGGGTGCGGGCGCGGAACGCTCGCGCCGAGGTGCCGATTCCGATTCCGAGAGCTTCAGCGTGTGGCAAAGTGGCAGGAGAGAGAGAGATAGAGAGGAGAGCTGATCATTGTTTTGTTTGTTGTTTTCTCCACGGAGTGCAACGATCGAGCCGTCACTTATAAAAACAAGATCGTCGTCGTCGTCGTCGTCCAATCCCTGTACTCTACATATCCTGCGTCATTCCATTCCCGAGGCCGGCGAGACGGAATAAAATAACGAAAAGTTGCATGTGTATGTATCCATGTCCGTGTCCGTGTCCTTCTCCGTGTCGTCGTGAGCCTCGTGTCGTGAGGAGAGCTGCTCACAATAAGCAAAAGACGAAAGACGAAACAAACACAAACACAAAAGAAACGTCGGCAGAGCACGGATCACGGAGCACGGAGCACTGTGAGCATTGACACTACAGCGGAGGCTGCAAACACCTGCTCTAAGTAAGCCCGCAACGCAACGATAGGCAACAATGATGGTGCGCCTGAAATGAAGTCTAGCGCAAAAAAGAAAAAGGCTCGCTCAAGAGGAAACTCCGACTTGAAACCCAGCAGAAGTTCCGGGCGACGATGTGACGATGTTTGCGATCAAAACGAAACAAAAAATTCAAAGCAAGCTAAGTAGATAGGCACGAACGCTTAGGCTCACCTGTAAGCGCCGAATGCAGATGATTCAGACGGAGCAAGTGCAGACGAACGGCTGTGCGTGCGCGCAGAACGTACTAAGCTAGTGCTCATCGGTCGGTGTGATGACTTTGTCGATACGCAAGACCCAAGCTGATAAGTAGAGGTCATAAGTGATCATGACCGACATCAACAGAGCTCACAAGCCGTCCATCCAAGCGCTAGCGTCCTCGTCAAAGCAGAGAACACGAAATCAGAACGCCTGCTTCAAGTTGCACGCAAAACATCGGAGCCCCCTCGGAGACGAGCGGAGTCGCACATTACGCACGGCTGACCGGTGACCCTCGATCGAAAGTTGAAACAGCGTATGCACATTGCAGTAGGGTGGCGGACCGAACCTAGGTTTGGTACCCAAAACGTTTTGTACCGGGTTAGTTACCGGTTTGGAACCAGTAACTTACTGACCCCTCTGAGGAGGGTAGGTTAGGTACCCAAAGGTCACGTGTTGCCACAAGGTCACCACCTCACCAAGGCTTGTCAAATAAATTTCTGTCAAAGTAATTTGTGGGCCCAGGAAGATAGCACAACGTATATTGTGTTCTACCGCAGTTTGAAGCGAATTCACCTTTTTAGGAGGATTGGTGGTAGATATTTCGGACATTGCCGAGCTCTGCGGGCACTTGGTCAGAATATCATGACAATATTTATCAAATGCTAGCCATGCAGGTATTGTCCATGTTGTGCGGGTAGTTTTAGTAATTCCAAGCATTTACAGTTCCGTCTTACAACAAAAATGAGCACAACACAAAGGGTAGGCACTCCCAGGCAAAGTCCACTAGTACTGTGGCGCCACACAACCATGCAGGAGACATCGCGCTGTGCGCGAGAAAATTTGTGCATAAAATCATATTTTGCTGCACGTGAGGTGACTTTCCGAGTACCTTACCTGGTAAGTTACCGCCCTCTCTGACCTGGCATGGTAAGTTACCTGGTACCTAACCGTCAGGGAGGTTTGGTCCGCCACCCTACATTGCAGGCGGGCTTACAATTTCCTTCCCCTTCCCGTTTGCCGCCTTAGCCGCCCGTGCGCGTGAGGAACATACGCTTTGCCACAACACAACGACGGTTCCGTGTCCGAACGCCCCGAAGTTTGAATTTGAAGATTGAAGATTTGAGCCGGCTCAAAGTGAAGGAGGGGGGTGAGCCGGCCGTCATGATGGTGTATGGTGCATGGTGCAAATACATGCAATGGATGGATGGAAAGCGTAGGGAAAATAATCGATTGGCGATGGCGATGGCGCTGTCGATGGGGGGTGATGGTGCCTTGAATTTGGGGCCTTGCCTGCCTGCCTGCCTGCTTGCGGAGCTTGAAGTCCTTGAAGCCTTGAAGCTTGAGGAGTACTAGTGGGGAGGAGAACCGGACGAGTGAGCGAGGCACGCACACAGGCAGGTCTGGAAAAAACGAATGCATTAGGGAATTAAGGTATTCGATGAGAGAGGTCCATGGGCGGATATCCGTCTGCGAGGATCAGCGACGACGATTCAACAATAGTACAACAGGGTGGTAAGCAGCTAGCAATTAACGACGAGCAATGAAAGGAGAAGAGGAGAAGATTAGAGTGGTGGGCGGGACGGGTTTGGATTGGATTGGATTGATTGGATTGCAATAGATATAATGATGAGGACATGGGAAATGTGTGGATGGGGTGCGTGGATGGGGTAAATGTGCCGGGTATCGGAAAAACGGAGTCGTGAGAGGGGCGTCACATAGCGAGAGCGAGAAGCGAAGAGAGGAATACGGATACGAGCACGAACGCATGTCGAAGAGCATCAAGCGAGGGGTGGTCGTGAGTGCGTGGGTGGGGGTGAGGCCATTGCATCGTGATGATGATGATGATGATGAACGATCAGGGATATCAAGACGAACAGAGAAAAAGTCGAGAGATAGAAGGAAAGGAAGGATTCCATTGAACGCCTTCTAGGTTTCCTCGACTCTGCCCGTCTGGTCAGAACCCGCCTAAACAGCCGTCGTCATCAAGATCTGGTACAGCGAACTCGCTCCTCTTCGTCGGCAGCCTCTGTCCCCTCGTCCTACTCGGGCTCCTCTTCTTCTCTCTACTATTCCGCTCCGACTTGGGAGAGGGCGGTTGCGAGAAGAACGAACGCATCCTGTCGTCCTTTGGATCGTGCGAGTGAGTGGGCATTGCGAAGGATATCGGGGGTAGGAGCTGAGGATGCGAGGGATCGGGTGGGGTGGTGACGGACGTATCCGATTCGTCCGACTCTGATGACGAGTGGTCGTGCACGAGGGCAGGGACGGCGAACGAAGACGGTGGTGGGGGATAGAGGGATATGGTGGGTGCGTCGATGGGTTCGCGTTCGCAGGCCTCGAACGCTTTGGGGTGAAAGTAGCTGCCCTTGATCGTCTTCGCGGACGATCTCGGCGGTGAGCGTCTCGCGCTGGGTTCTGAGGAGGGGGTGTACGTGCGGTCGTTACGTGCGGGGAGGGCGCACGCGTTTGGGGAGACGACGATGGGAGCGCGATCGTAGGAGCGTGGGGAGTGGGTGAGGTGTGTGGAGACGAGGGAGGGCGTAGGAGGGAAACGAACACGGGTTGGAGCGGAGACGTTGGAACAGGCGGCGAAGGGGAAGGGGCTGGAGGAGGGCGAGTGGTTTGGCTCGTGGTCGAGGGAGGGACTGCCGTCGTGCTTGAGACACGGGCGCAGCGAGTGAGGCATCGTGCGTGGGATGGTGATGGTGACGGAGTATGGATAGGTGTGGGAGGAAGAGCACGACGGAGGACTGCAGGGCAGACCCTCGGGGTTTTGAGGGCGGGATTATTTGGGGGAGAGCGGGAGGAGAGCCATGGTGTGTATATATGTACCGTCCAAGGTGCAGCGAAAACAGACAGACGACAGCAGGGCGCTTCCACATTTCAAACCGTCCCTTCCCACGCCCTGCTCTTTGGCGCACTCGCACCCGCGCCCGCTCGCCGGTCCCTCGTCGGCTGATCTCGTTCTTGTTCGCCGGGAAGCACAGAACGTACATAACCGCTCTCTGTCCTTTGTTATCATCCAATCTCCCCCAATCCACTCATCACAACGTGCGCACCTTTCCTCCTTCTCTTTCCCCTTCTCAGCCCTCACGAAACATATCATCTAAGTTGGGCCTTCCACCCACCAACCCCCTTTCACCTACCCACGGCGATATGTTCCAACGGTGCCCGCGGCTTCTCTTGGCCTGCTACTGTGTCTTACATCGAGCCTCCGTCGCACGACTCGTTCCATTCTGTGCCCGCTCCGGCTCTCTTTGCTCAGGTGCTCAACATATGTTTCTAGTCCTTGCCTTTCTGAGTTCCGCCACCGTATCGATCGCTTTGCGACACCAGAGCCTGCAGGGGACGCCGTCCTTCCGCGAAGCCTTGTCCTCTGTTACTTTATGTGCGACGAGAAGCTGCATACAGAAAACACACCGTTATCCGCTTCTCTTTCGCTCCACGGGCTATGCTAAACATACTCGACATCGAGGCAAAAACCTGCCGTGTACATAACTCGCTGCACTGCACTCTAAACCAAAGCCTGTTCGATTTCTAACAAAACAACGTGAAACAATGCAATAGAAATGATGCCACTGATGATGATGATGCATGGTGATGGGGAAGCGCAAACAGAAACAGAAACAGACAAACAAACAAACAAACGAGCACACGGTGTGTAAAGTGCCGGACAAAATCAAGAATAAACCAGCGCTAAGTATCCCTCCCCGCCTCAAACTTGAGCTTGAAACCTTCGCAGCTATGATACAGCCCGAACAGTGACACTGGCAAGGCACGCCTATCCGCGCCCTCTGCTCAACCGGTCATCTCCGACCCGACTGCCCCCGGCGTAACGAAAGCGCGCGAACGAAACAGCAACCAGTAACCAAACGCAACGCAACGCAACGAATCAACAAGAAACGCGTGCGGCGTGCACCCACGGCGAAAACCACTCACGAACGTTCGCACGTATGCACGCTGACCAGTGATGATGGAACGCCATCCCCATCCCCGTCCAACCATTCAACGTTCAACTCCAAGGATTGCTCGCAAACTTCGCAGCGTTATTCGCCCCCGAACTCCTCGCAGCCCACGGATCCGCCCCAAACTCCGGATCCCCCATCGTCGACACCGACACCGACCCGTCCGCCCCGCCAAACGAAAGTCCCGTGGAGGCCCCCGCCCCCGACGAATCCGCACCCGCCGCCGTCGTCCGGAACGGGTTCGAATAAGCCCACGAAGCCGAACCCGCCCCTGCTCCCCATGCACTGTACACCGAGTCTTTCTCCGGCAGTGGCGGTGGCGCCGACGAACCAGCGTTAATATTAGCCCACGATGTCCCTGGCCTGTCTTCGTCACCAGCGCCCCCTTCTTCTTCTTCCTCCTCCGCGTATCTCTCGCTTGTTCGATTCTGATTCTGAGTCTGAGCCCGGGAACCGTATCCACCACCCCCGAATGACGACGTCGAGTACGAAGACCCGAACGGGGCGCCAAAGCCCGAGCCCGTTTCCATCCCCGACTCCGACTCCGCTTCCGACGTTGCACCGATGCCGAATGTCTTTGACTGAGACTGAGACTGAGACTGAGGTAATGACGAAGACGCAGAGGACGAAGAGGAGGAAGGGGTGGGATTGGGATTGGGATTGGGAAGGCGCGAGGGATTAGCGTATGACGTCAACGTCTCCTCTGCGCCCTGCATCCGTGAATCGCTGAGCGACAACGTCCGGGAGAACGTCGTGCTCAGATCACCCCTGCTGGGCCCTGGGGCTGCAAATTCGGACGGGCCGTCCAATTCATGAGCTCGTGTCCTTGGCGTCATCCCGGCGTCCCTTTCTTCTTCCTCTGACCCCACTGAGGTACCAGGAGGTGTAGACGAATGTGGAGGTGCGGATTGGGAGCGAATGGCAGAGACGTCAGTGTGGGGTGGGGAGAACTGCGACGCAGCGTTCAGGATCGTAGGAGGCACGATAGCGCCTTCGAGGGTATTCCGTTCCTTGTCCCCAATGACGGCCTTCATAGCAGCCAGATCGAATCCAGCATGCGCCGGTAACTCAGAATCGACGCCAGGGGACGTAGGCGTCTGTGCCCCCGAATGAGGAGTGGGTGTCGTCGTTCGCGGCGGAAGGTCCTCGTCCTCGATGGTCGTCGCAGACGGAGCCGCCTGCGCCACCCGCTTGTGCGTCCTGTAAGACGAAGCCGACGGCGGACGGGAGGTCGACGTCGACGGAGTGTGGCCCGAGGACTTTGCCCGAGAGAACCAACTCTTCTTCTTCGGGTACTCTTCACCTTCCCGGACCACGATCCGGTCTTCTTCGAAATCAGGTTCCTGAGCAGACATAGCCAAATCAGCGACGATCAGCGAGACGGGTGGAAAGAGGAAAGTCGCACTCCACGGGTGGAGTCAAAAGGCAATTGGAAAGACGGTTATTTGCAATGCATGAATGAACCCCAAGGCCCGGCAGACACAAATAGGACAGAGGAGCCTGTTGCAGAGCACGTAAGAAAGCTCACCTCCGGTTCGTCGAAGTGATCAGCGGATACCGGGAACCCCAACTGATCCAGGATGAGAGGCATGAACGTCCTATAGCTCATATGTCCCGCGATCTTGTCCGTAACGTCAACGTTCTCCAAAGCAGGGACGTTCTCCACGGGTCGCAAACCAGCGACGGTGTTCAGACCTCCACTCGTCGCACGGAATAGGTAGTTGAGCACCCAATCATTCCTGGCGAATCCGTTCACGAAGCGTCCGGACACTACGCTCCGAGCTTGAAACCACGTCTTCTGCGGCGCGGTCACACTCGCACCGAGGAGGAAGACGTCCTGCACTATGCCGAACGCCTTCGCTTTGGCGAGCTCGAGGAGAGCGTAGAAGATCACACGAGCACCGAGCGAGAAACCGATGAGAGTGATGGGCCGCACGCCGAGGTGGCGATGGAGGAGAACGTCGGCGAGAATGCTGCCCGCCGACTTTGCACGGTCAAGGGCGTTCGACCATGGGTTGTCGATCAGGTAACCGAGTTTCGTGAGAACTGCAGGACGGAACGTCAATCAAAATTAGGTGGGAGACTGTGGCATTTCGATACTTACTGATGGGCCACTGCAGCGCACTCATGAGGGCGGTCATGACCGTGGCTTGTAGCACGGTCTGTCCGATCTGGGTAAGTACCTCGGTTGTGAGAATCTTCAAGGCACTACCAGTCTCTCGAATCATTTCGGGCTCCCAGAGTACACTGAAGACGTCTCCGACGATAGGATCCAGTACGCTGAAGGGCAATCTCGGGTCATCCTGCAATCCGTTCAGGAACCTGGGAGGATACTGCTATCAGCAAGACTTTGAGGAAGTAACACAGACTCTTGAGAACGCACCCGGGTACAGTGATAATACAGTTGACGCGCTTGTTGTTGTGTAATGGCAAGATGTCGAACGTTCGCACATACTGCGTCCTTCGAGACATACCGCGCGCAGCAATACCAGAACCAGTGAGAACGCCACCAGTAGTGATTACAGCCGCACCAGCTGTGCCACCCAGGAAACCGGCCGTACCAGAGATACCAACTGTCGTGAGAGCAGCACCGATACCTGCGCCAATGACGGGGGCGAGCAATCCGGCAGATAACCCAATTACAAGGCCACCACCTAGAAGCAAGAATGTGTATGAGCAGGGCTGATTGTAGGCGGCGATACTCGGAATAGCTGAATGCAGACGCACCAAGGGTGGCGAGACCGACCATCATGTATCTTCGTTTCCGTGAGGACTTCTGACGCCCTTCGACTACTTCACGTTGCTCTATTCTCTCAGTTCCTTCTTGGATCTCGAGTGCCTCGGTTACTCGCTGTTCAAACTTCACCACATCTAACCAGCCCAGACCAAGATGAATGGCGACGTATTCGAGTAAGACACGTGATCGAGCATCATACACGCTGTCGGCGATGAGGATGAGGAACAGGTCGCAGAGTACAGTCCACCGGATGTCGAGCGTGACTCTCTCGTCGACAGATGATAGGGAAGTGGTTACACCGGCAAGTTGGGCGGTAGATGTGTCTTCTAGGACACGGGTGGTTGTTTGGAACGTTTTGGAGTCGTGTGATGACATGGAGGGGGAAGAAAAGGACTTCGGCAGAGAGGGAGAGGTCGATCCCAGGGATACGGTCACTTCGGAAATATCGTCCTGCTCTTCGAATAATGTCCGCTCGTCATCCTCTTTCTTCTGCTCGGCTTGCTTCTTCGCCTCGACGGGGTCGTACTCAGGATTAGCGACAGTATGAGTGGTCATCAGGGAGGGTACCAGATCGTCAGCCCGAACACCATGCAACGCCAGATTCTCAATCATCTTCTGTTCTAGCAGTCTCGTTTAGCCTCCATCAACGAATAGCCTAACGGTTTAGAGAACGGTGGAGGTGGCAACTTACCTGCAGTGGCGAGCTCCATATGATAGTATAGCCTGCCTAGAATCTTCAACGCCCAAAGCTCCATATTCTGAATCGCAGGCTTCAACTCCTTTGCGTTCACCCTCCGAAGCTGGTCCGCCATCTCCTTGCTCGCAAGCGCGCAAAGCCCGACGTACGCGATACGCTGCGCCTCCGTCAGCATGTTCTTCGTCGCCTGCATCTGGCTGAGCGGAGTCATCGCCTTGTCCTCGTCGAAGAGATACTTCGTCCGCAGATGAACCTCGTCCGCGTCCTCCTCCTCATTCATCCGCAACCTCGTGTACTCGCTCTCGTCATTATCCTCAGCCTTCGACCGCCACTGATCCCCACGGTAATCCACGTCCATAATTTCGCCCGTAGCATTGGCGGTCGTTCCGGATCCAGCTGCCGCACTCTTACCGGGGTCTTTCTTCGCTTGAGGAACGTAGCGATACTTCTTCTGGTCCTCCTCATCAAGGCCGTTCGCAAATTCGTCGGATTCGCGGACGACCGGCATGTCCTCCCAGCCCTCATCGTCATCGTCGTCAAAGAGACTGGCGTGCTGATCCTTGAGACTAGTAGAGGCAGTGGGCATGGTAGAAGAGGTGCGTGGATATGTACAGCGGCAATCTTGAAGACGAACGCAAGATAGGCGCAAGGGTAGTGGTATGAGTCCAAGAAATATCGGACAACCCGAGCGCTTTCGGCACGGACTCATTCCGAAGAATTCTCTCACGGGAACGAACTAACTTGTGCCACTTCGAGCGCCACAATGACTGATTGTCTTCCGCTATGGCGGGCTTCATAGACAGAGTCTCTTTGGGCATCTCGGAGTTCTATATTCAGCGAAATTTACAGAATATGTACTTCTCCACAACTGGACAGGCTAAAACACTCGAACTTCACTGATAAACTGCAGGACGGTGACTTACATAGATGGTGCAAAAATGGGACCGCAGAAATCACTCGAACCTAACCACCTTCACCGCCTCCCTCAATCGCTCAATATCCGCCCTACACTGCTCCATCGCCGACACCTTCATCGGATCCTCGATCACCAACTCCTCGAGCGGAACTCCCTTCTTCTTCCTCCCATCCATCTGCCAAACCAAATCCCTCAAAAACCCTTGTGCATACAGCCCAACCCTGGGGCCCCGTCCAAAATCCATGTTCTTGAACTTCAAACTCCGTAAGCCAGGGAAAATAGGCCTTGTAACGTCACTCTCCGGCGAAGATTCCTGTATACCTCCAGGTTCGAGGGCGACTTGCTCTTCTGATATGGGACCGTTGAAGTGGAAGGGGAGTTGTGACGAGGCTGACGGCGGGATGGTGGTATCGGGGGGCGCATATGGCAGCATGAGTCCGGAATAGTCCATGCGACGGATGTGGCGAAAGGGAAAGAAGATGTTGAGCCAGTCGCGTTTGGCCAGGTCTTCCCTTCTCGATTCGAACGATAAGAGGTCAACGACGCGGTCATAAAGGGGAAGAGCTCGGCATAAAGACCGGATAATATCGACGGAAGCCTGGTACGCGAGATCGTCATAGGAATCGTTGAAGATGGCAGTGAACACATTGACGCGTTTGCTATTGGTTCCCATTTGTGGCGTCGTCGTACCAGAGATATTTGTGATGCACGACGGTACGTCAATAGAGACGGATATCGTCAACCGGTCGTTCTTCCGGATATGAAACTCCTGAATCGGCAAGTTATTGTAAGCAGGGTCCTCGACGCGTGCTACGAGCAGTGGGACGATATCGAGTAACCGCTCTCCAAGTGGCGCCCCAGCGTCTGCGGTGCAACACAGCGTAAGGTTCGCCGTGGGCGGGAAAGATATTGACCGCAGCAATGCCAAGCAGTCGACAACGCGTCCCGTCAGGACCAAGGTCTTCAGATGAGGCAGCGTTACGATCGGAGAACCGTTGGCTGGCGATGCGTCCTTACTGACGACCGGTAGAGCGTGCGACAGCGAAATCAATTCCAGCGATGGGGCATTGCGAAGAAATGCTAATAGCTGTGCATGGGTGGGGTGGTCTTCTTCATCGTCATAGACGGGCGCCCCGGACGCGTCTGGATAGCAGGAAGGATAGACGATCGTGAAGTGAGTGAGGTTATTGAGGACTTCTGACCCCCATGGGACACTACACTGATACAGGTATAGTGTCCGTAGTTTAGGTGCAGAATCACCGAAGACATGTGCAGGCAGATCGACCCATTCAATGTAGTTGTGGAGAGAGAACTCCTCCAATGCCGAGGCTGGGTGCACCAAAAGTGGGATCATGTATACGTTCCCAGTCATGTTCAGACTGCGTACGTTTGCAAACACGTTGGATTGGGATAATTGGGCGTGTAGGTATTCATCAAGTGGCGTTGCTGTGGAACCTTCGGCAACGGTCCAGGAGAGAGACACGGGTATATTTCGAGAGCGTTGAAACATCTCCTCAGCCCATCGTGGGCCAAGGGATGTTCATATATTCGTCCAGAACAAGGGAGCTGCGAGAGCGGTATGCCGCCAGCGTTGGCAGACGTGCGTAATGGTTCGAATCCATCCGAGATTGGCGGGGATGTGCCGGTTCTTGTCGACAAATGGGAAGTCGATAAACGCGATGTCTGCGAAGATCTGAATGAGAGTTTCAGGCGGAAGCGTGTTAACGGTGGCGAGATTGTTGATACGAGCTCGAACAGACTGCAAGGCGAGACAGAGGCGCGTTTCCTCAGCTTCTAAATCGCGACGATGGGCGTCAGGATTTGTGTATGTCGCAGATATAGGATCCATCACTTTATATTTGTAACAAGTACGTTAGAATCAGATGTAAATTCAGACAGGGCTTACAGACCTTGGGGCGACGACATGCAGGATTACACTCTGAGAGAACCGGACGAAGTTTGGCGAGTCAGGCTGGCCTGCCCTGGCAAGAAGCGTCGAAAGTATAAATCCGGGAATTTCCGAGAATACTCTGTCCTTGTAGGAAACCATCTCTGGTAAGTCCTATATACACGAGGTTGGGAGACAGACTACATGATGAGTAACGAAGTTTTGATAGAAAAGGGCGAAAACCTTTGGGTCTAGCTCGAACTACGGGTCGAGGTGCTATCGCGCCTCAACCCTTCATACTCCACAGACCCTCCAGGGTTCCTTTCTCCTATGCTACCAAGTCTACTAACAAGGCGGATCATAGAGCATGTCCTGTTCGATTTCTTCAGGGACTCTTTGAGATAATCTCGTCGTACCGGTAAATAAGTTGCGCCTACCTTGTGCATGATCATGGAACGACTGGCAGCGAGAGATCATCGTGGTGGCCACTTCGAGAGTGTGGGCGTATCGCACAGCCGCTGTTGGTCGGCAGATGCCTCCGACTACTTGGCCCGCCAATGAGAATGTGCTTTTGTCTGGATAGCATGGAGTACAGCCGATAGGTAAGGTGCGAATGATGATAGAGTAGTATAACTAGTGCTACAAAGCGGCAACAGTACGAAATGCATCATGACAGGTAAAGAGCTGACAGTCTACGGTCTACAAAGAAAAACATGCTACAGATATTCCAACAAAACATATGTGATACAAAACAAGTACAGTGACAAATATGGGATACCGTGAGTCATCGGGCATGCAGCGAAAGATGGACGCAGTACCAGACTACATTCCTCGAATTCAAAGCCCAGAATGCCTCGGAACAAAAATCTCGCTCCATCTCCTAGACTTAGGCTTGGGCGTATCAACCTTGCTAGGATCACCTGTGATCCTAGGCGACCCCTCCGACGACGAGCGAGTCATGCCCATCCTCCTCAACACACTTCCAGATCCCCTCGACATGAGTTTGCGCGTCGCGTCTGAGAGAGACGAACGACGTGAAATCGCAGGGCGAGCTGCTTCCATAACTTTCTGCTCTTCACGATCGCCGTCGACGCTCCCATGTCTCCGTGACTTCTTCGCCAACAGATTCGAGTTTCCATCGCCGTTGCTCCTTAGGGCATGATCCGCAGGCCCCGTAATGGCGATCCCCAACGCCTCTGTGACCAGCCTGTTTATCCTCGTACTCTCCCCGGGCCTGATAAATGGCTCCCTCAGCGTCCCCCTCGTGCCTGCGTCCGACGCTTGATACCAAATCCTACATGCCAACATCTGCATTTCGCACGATTCACATAGCGAGCCTTCTTGAGCTCCCGATGGAAGTGCGTGATAGCAGCGAGGAAGTGAAGGGATGGGAAGCGGGCTGGGCAGAGTGGCCGAGGCTGCGGCATTGATGGATGCAGCGCGGTGGGCGGCAGCAAGGAAAGATGATGGGGTGAAGGAAGTTTGAGTCGGAAGAATCGGTCCTTGGGAGCAGACTGGTGTAGGAAGAGTGTAGGTGATGGCAGGAAGTGCTGACTCGCTTTGCAAATCCAGAGCGGAGAAGGATATGGGTTGGGTATGCCGATCGAGGGCGAGTGCAGGGCAAATGGACAATGAGTCTTCAGGATCACTCTGTATGGTGGTGGAAATGTTGTCAGTGGCAACGCAGGAGCGTAACGGGTGGTGCCCATACCTGAGTTTCTAGTGCAGTCACATAAGCAGTACCACGACCCAGCGCGCTAGTGGCTGCGCTCGGTGCTTCAAGCAGAGACATATCACTAAAGGTCTCAGACTGCTCAATCACGGGAGACAGGCTTTGAACCGACGGGCCAGTCTAAATCGTTGTTAACCTCATGCCTCCATCGTCTCCGAGCGGAGTGCGTACCTTCATTACAAGTGACGAATCAACGAGCGTGTTGGGAGATGAGGGGTTTGCTACCATGGGTGCGGCTTGCGTCTGTACAATGATATCCATCTTTACTGAGCTGTTGTCATCACTGATGAAGAAACATACGTGACTCACCTTGGTAAAGCATTCGCCATAGCCTTGCGATGAGCTGTCCATCGCAGTCCGCTCGTCAAGAGCCTGCCAATTCAAGCTATGATTAGCTACCGTTAATCATCGTAAAGCAGAACTACTACCAACCTCATAAAATATACTTCCGGAAGCATTTTGATCATGGATCATGTTCATCGTCAACTGGTGCACAATACGACGTCAGTCTTTATGCGCAATGAGCAAACGGACAAAGCTGAATACATACTTGCTCCATTTCGTCTAAAGACACCTGTAATTGATTATAAGCGTAATACAAAGCCACAAATTACAGTGTAACGCCTACCCCTGAGCGAGAGTCAGATAACCTGCTCGTGCTGGACCTTCCCCCGAGAGTGGATGATGTCTGCGAGGTCACAACGCTCGATTTGGACCTTTGCCTCGAAGGTATTCGCGAGCCACTTGACGTGGTAGCTATCAGAATACAGAGAGCTATTATGCACACGCACATAGCATGGAAGAGGTCAATAACGTACCTTTTGTCAGGGGACCAAAAGAGCCTGAAGCAGGTATATCGAATTTCTACCGTGCGGACGCACAACAGTAAGTGCTAGAATGATAGTAGAGGAATATGAATGACCTCACAGGACGCAACTTCACGAAGTTATTCAAGATGCTACGAGTCCGTTGAAAGACACCTGAAATAGCCCGTTGAGAACTCACGTCCGACCTGCGGGTGGTGAGCTGGGCGGGCGAGGACGACACTGATACATCCACACTGCTGGAATCGTAAGTGGCGAGGACGCCGCCCGGGCTGGTAAGAACGTTCATGGTGGCTCAAGAAAAGTATTGGTCAAGAAAAGACCTCCTAAAACGGGTATTATATACGCGCGAGGTGCTCTCGGGAGAGGAGAGACCGCCGTGCGTCCACTGGACGAGACAATCACGAACTGTGACCAAGCAGACCAAGTCGAGAGAACTATTACAGTAGCGCGGGTGGCGTCTCGGCAATATCCGCGGAGTTTGATCTCAGCAATTCAACTTTTTAACCCCCGTCGTCCGGGCACGGCACGTCACGGCCTTGCTCTCGCTCAACGACCTAGTATACGTTGACCGTCGTGTGTGAGGTATCTGGAGACTCATAAGCCTAGCCTGCAGCCGCTCCTGCGCACTGCGTGTCGTCTGTGCACACTTTATCACTCCGTACCCAAGGCGATCTGAGGCGACCAGAACTTAAAGTTTCAACTTGTTTGTGTTTTTGGAGTCGTCTACTCAGTAGATCGCGTCTATCAGATGCCTCCCCACAGAATCCCATCTGTTGACGAGAGGCAAGTACCAATCTTTTTTTTTTCAAATAATCTTTTGTGTACATTAGCTGTCGGCTGATGACTGCCGCCCACACTCTATATTGACACAGACGGCGAGCTCGTCGTGCCCAGATACGCTCAGCAGCACGCAAGGGCGAGAGCGTCGCCTCCCTCTCCAAAAGATTTGAGTACACACGGCGCACAGTCCAAAAGATTGTTAATAACAATCCATACAACGACAACCTACACGAGGACGCAGGTTTCCTCGACATGGATCTATCTGAGGAACCTGAGCCGGCGCCACCTCCTCGCAAGGCGAGGCGTGAAGTACGCTGTGTGTGTTTCTATTTATCATGTTTTCGGCAGAAATTTGCTTATGGGCTGGCTCTCAGTTTCACCTACTCCTAGCGTCCAATCCATAGGCGGTTCTTCGGACGATGGTTCCAGCACTTCACCTCCAACTTCTCCCCGTGCAGGGCCATCGAATGCTCGCCGGGGCTCTGCTGAGGCCCCAGACCCTATACTAGTATTTATCCGGCCTCTGAACCTTGGAAAAAAGCATGCAGATGCCCTGCGCGCGCATGGGATTCACACACGAGCACATCTATATGATCTCAGGGAGCTTGACTTAGGCACTCTGCAGGATGTGCTGGGGAAGGTCTTAGTAGACTCAAGACAGTTCAGTTTACTCGAATGGATGAAACTCCGGTCGGCGATTTCAAAGTGTAACGACGAGGATTGACCATGTAGCGTGTATTTCTTGTAACGTGTGTTTCTTTCTTGGTAGGGTGTTCAAAATGGTCTCCGCGTGAAATGTTTGTTTTCTTGTTCATAGTACCCAGAATAATTATACTAAGCTCACGAACATTCCAGCCTTTTCTGGCACTTAATTCTGATGGAACTTTTCCTGTGCTCCACAGGTTCTGACGGTCTTGACGCTTGAAGGTCGAAGGGGCTGCCAAGGACCAGCCCATAAGGTTTGACCGACCCTGCACCCCGTGAGAATCCTAGCCAGACGAGGTGGACCGCACAGCCAAGTACTTACGCCCCTGCATCTTGCCCCGCCTCTCCACCATGTCCCATATCTCAGACCACCACGAAAGGCAAGCTTGCTGTATATCTGAGTATATGTAGTCGCACGAGCTGATTCTGTTTTCTGCAGGAAAGGTACCCCGTTGACATATATGGAGAGTGACGAAGAAACGGAGACGTTGCGCAACTATGGGCCCAGTGACAGGATCCTTTACAAGGATCGTACGGAGAAGGAGAGGTGAGTTGGCTCATTCCTGAGTTAGAGCCAGGAATGTTTTCTGACGTCAGCCTATAGGCGCATCATCCGCGCTTTCGTGCGTTACGACAATGATAGAGAACACGATAGTAGAAGGGATCTTATTAAGCGCTACATATGTGGTTATGGCACCGTCGAGAAAGCAATACGCAATACGTATGGAGACGTCCTATCTGAAGACAGTAAGTATCGACGTGAAAGATTTTGGGCTCTGCGAAACGAGGACGATATGAAGGTAAGTTTGTTTTCGATTACGAACAGCAATGCACTTGGCTTCAAGTTGAGTAAGCTTAGCTAACTCGATATTGCTCTCGCTGATGATATAGGCCACAACCAAAGGTCGGCATGCACCAATTCATTTGACCTTACAACTACTGACCACTCCACTTCCTCAGGCCGTACGGTGAAAAGAGGACGCGAAGGCTCAGCGGACTCCGTCTCAGAGATAGAAGAAATCATCCAAACCCCGAGACCCAAACGAACATGCACAACGCAAAGAAAGGATGAAGGTCTGTCGATGAATCATAACCCCCAAATCCATCTGTCCCGGCAATGTTTTTCCCCCTCTTATTCATCAACATGTATAGATTCCGAGCCTGTAACGCGGGCTACCGCTGGCACCAATCGCAGCACCAGATCTACAATGCGCCCCAAGCCACAGACTACGGCTTCGACCTCCAACAAAATCAGAGCCAAGTCCCCCGTGCTGCCCTCCAAGAAGACTGGCAACGACGCCGAGCTCCTGCGCTTCCTCCAAGCAGCCGAATTGCCCGACAAAACAGCCAGTCTCCTCGATCGGGAAGGGATCTCGACCATCGACGACCTCAAGTTCATCAAGAATGTGAAGCAATCTTCTCGGGAGGAGATCAAAAAGAGTCTGATGGCGGCAGGTGGATTTTCCAGGTTGCAGTGGGTGAGATTTGAGGCTGCGTTGGATAGGTTATGACTTCGCATAAGGATGTTGGGTTGTGATCTACTCGTACAGTATACAGTATTTCTTGCCACCCGTTCTCTCTCTGGACTAACTTAGTCCTGTGCCGTGACTCTGCGTGCTGTTGTTCTTGTTCCCGGAGTCTTCTCCGTTTTTTTTTGGTCTCCGCCATTTAATGTCTGCTTTTCTTGCTCTACCATGATATTCTCGCACCTGCTTTGTTTACTCTTCGGACTACGATGTGTACCTCTCTCAGCGTATCATATCCTCTGATTCATATTGTCCTGCGTTTGTTGTTTCATGATGTGATGCTCCCGGCTGCCAAGGTCGCATTCAAGACAATTCATATGTGCATGCCCAATTACACTGCATCTGTGTTTATGGATACACCATGTACCATTATAGCGCTGTTTGAATCTAAGGTATTCAGTCTGAACAAACAAGCCCGTCTCATTCATTCATTTACTCCTACCATAAGTGCGAGGCATAGAACCACAGCAACGATAACTCTTTTCCAATACCACACCCTTGACCGGGCGTCGTGATCATTTAGTATTCTTGGTTTATAATTTATGATCTCGCCGCCGGCGTGCCAAGACGTTGCGGAAATACTACACACACAGATTGATCAATCAAACACCCTCAAAGTAATAAAAGGGACGAATACAAAAGGTGGGTCGCACCTTATTCTGAGTCGATGCTTTATCTAATGCCTTCTTCACCTCCGCTCCCCCACTCCCCATTAACGTCTTCAACTGCTCATACCCACTACCCAAATCCTTCATGGCCTGCGTATTCTTCTCCAAGACCTCATGCACCGCATTCCCACCCACCTTCTTGCCCAGCTCATACAACTCCGCCGTTCTCTTCCGAAAAACAATCAACAGCTCGACTTTCACATCCGGCCTCACATCCTCCAAATTTCCGCTCTTCCTTTTACTCTCATCCAGAATCCTCTGAATCTCTCCGTATGCCCCCTGAATGATCTCGCGGGCTTCATCCGCATGGTCTGCGGCGACCTGGCCCAGCGAATCGAAAATGGTGTCGACATTGATGTAAAGGGACAGACCGGGAATGAAGGCGACATGGGAGCGCACAACGTCGCGAGCAACGTCGAGAAAGTAGCGGAAGGCGAGGTTCCATAGCCGGTCCATGGCTGCACTGTCGCTAGACCGAGCCGACGCGCAGATGCAGGCGTCGGTGGCATGTTCGAAGTCCATTCTCAGATTGCCTTGTCTCTTGCCACCCCTTCGCTGTCGATTCGGACTTTAGACTCAGAAGAGCAACCCAAGTGACATCCCACAATTCTGAAGCAAACCAACTTACGACTTTATCGTTCCAAGGTTGCAGCGTCAGGTCGAGGTGGGGAATCAGGAAAGAGTGGTCATCAGTGGGCGCCAGGGAAGAGACCGACCGGAGCTTCGTGTGAGCCAGCTGTTGGTCTAAGTTTACACCCAAGGCCCGTCTGGGAAACAACTCACTGGGACATCGGATGCGGCTATTCCATCACGACATGTTCTGAGTGATGCTTTATGCGTAAACGTCCTTAGCCAGTGGTTTTCTCACGAAATAAGTTGTGGGTGCCCAGTGATAGGCCAAACGTTCCGGCCGCAAAGTGAGCATGGGGTAGTACATCGGACGGCGGGTTTGACGGAGGAGTGATTCGAGCTCGTAAATCCACCGAGAGTGAAAATCGTGTCCAGCTCAGTTAGAGGGATAACGCTGTCAAGAGGTTGATATCGAGAGAGGATTTGGATATAGAGCCTCTGAGGACGTCCGTGACGTTGTTCGAGGGGTGAAGATCCTTGAAAGCATCGGTCCTGTTTGTTTGGAAGTATGGGATGTTGTCAGTATATCTGCTATATGTCAGACATTCAGTCCGTATCCGCGCTCACGCATTGCTTGTCATCATAATGCAGGGTATCCTGAAGTACAGAAACAGTGGATACATCGATTATTGCTGGTTGCATAAATAATGAGAATCCGCGGCGAAAGAAAAAAAAAAGTTTGCGATACACTGCGATAAGTGAACAGCGTCAAAGTTGAAGGCAGGAGGTCAAATGCGTGGATATGTTCAGGATAGCAAAGCGAAACTGGACGTGTGCATTGAATAACGATGAATGCAAGGTGGTGATACAGACGCAAAAGGCTAGGAGTTCAAAGTTCGCACGGTAGTAACTTGTAAAAATAAAAACCTGGAATTCACTCCATTGATAACCGGGCGTAGAGGACCACGAAAGAGAGAAAAAAAGCCAAACACCCACCAGAACAATCCTATCATGTCGCAAAAGCCCGCGGCGAGGAAAACGAACAAGCCTTCCTCCGTCTCCCGATCGTCATCAAACCCGAGGTCGTCTTCGATGAGGCGTCTTCTCGCTCGTCTGACGTACCAGGGCCGAACGTCATGGTGACATTGGCCGGTCCCTCCCTTTCCCACTGGCTCACCAAGCTCGAAATGTCTGGATGACTTGTGCTCGATCGTCGTATTCCCGGTGCTGGTGCGGAGAGATGGGTCGATTCGGCTGTGGTCGAGGACATCTTGAGGGAAGAAATGTTGGGAGTACGGCTGTATGATGAGCGACTTGAAGAACTGGGCCGCCTGGTGTGAGGAGGAGTGATCGAAGACGATGTAACTTGATGGATATGCGTTGGAGATGGCGTTTGTTTCGAAGCCCGATTCGCAGTGAAGAAATTCAGATGCTCGTAACTCCGTCCTGAACTTTTTCCAATAGACGCGGACGAAGGCTTCCTGGCAATCGGAGACAGCGTCGGCACTTCATGACTCCTGACCAGCCTCAACCCAAGATCACCACTCGCACTGGACTCCATTCCACCAACATCAGTCTCGTCACCACCCTCTCCATCTCCCTCACCCTCCACCTTCCCATCGTCCTCCGTCCCAGATCCAGACCCGGACCCAGAACCCTCCGCCATCTCTTCCTTATCCTCCCACATCTTCTCCACACCATCTGCCCTAACCACCCTCGCCTTCTCATTATCAATCTCGACCTCCAATCCCCTCTCTACCTCGCCCTCCAACCTCTCCAATCCTTCCCTGCCCCTCTCCCTCGCAATCCTTGGCAACGTATACCTCACCCACTCCCTACAGCTCGCAAATGCCTCCTTACTCGCGTCCAGAAACGCAAACGCCTGGAACACATGGACCGCATCCTCGTACAATTCGTGTCGCACTTCCACTCCCGCGAGCGTTGCTTTGTGTGCCAAGAGCGTAATTTCGTCACGCAGGACTTCGGCTTCGCCGGATTGTACGAGCAGCGGGGGAAGGTTTTGGAAGGTGCCGAAGAGGGGGGAGGCGTAAGGGTGGGTTAGGTAGCGTTCCATGTGGGGACCCAGGTAGCAGGCTACTGGGTCGAGGTGATCCCCCATGGCGGGAATGGGGACGATATCAAAGGCGGCGTTGCGGTCCCATGAGTCGCAGCTGAGAGTTAGATCTTCAGAAGAGAGAAATATAGATGCAATGAGCGTCAGAGCAGATGGAAAGACATAATGCATACGGGAAGAATGATACGCACCGACCCATGGAGACATTAGGATAGCACCGCCGGGCATGGGATAGTCATTATCACGAAGGTACATAAGTAGAGCGAGCGAGAGACCGCCTCCGGCACTATCTCCAGCGATTAAAATATTCTGCGGTGGTATATGTAGGTCGTCGACGAGTCGTAAGTACGATGTCGCTGCGTCGTGTAACGACCCAGGGAATCGTGTTTCTGGTGCAAGACGGTAATCGAGAGCTGTATGAAAAGAACTTGAAGGTCAATTGAATGATGCTCCAAGATAAACATGAATGACTCCGTACCAAATACTCGACAGCCGGTTGCTTTAGATAATGGGACAGTTATTCCCCTATGAGTGGCAGGCGAAGCCAGATAATACGCGCCTACGGATAATATCGTAAGTGTGTGGTCCTCATCCAGAGCACTGAGACACAACCTACCGCCATGCAAAAACAATATTACTCTCTCCTCGTACTGCTTTCTTGGCTCCGCCTTGTCCGTCTTCTCGTCCTGGTCCTTACTATTATGCTGCCCATGCTTCCACTCCGCCTGCAACTTCTGCCACAACTTCTTACTGACGACCCATTCACCTGACAGCTCCCTCGATCCGTCTTCCTGGGCGTCAAACGCAGCCAATATTCCGCGCAAATTGCGTTTACGGACACGGAAGGTAAGGGGGGTGACTAGAGCGTCTGAGGGTAATGGAATGAGGTTGCCGAGGCTTATGAAGGTGCGTATTGTGGCCTGTTGCGCGAAGTGTTAGATGTTAGTAAAAGTAGATAAATGTGTCAAGGATATGTGGTGTCGGGAAGAGGAGAGAGCGGGCTTACGATGTCAACGAGTTGGGAGTGCTGACCTGCGCCGCGCATGATTGAGGAGAGGATAGTCATCTGGATTCCCCATGACTTCTTACGTGGTCCCCAGATAGTATGTGTGAAGACATCTGCTGCAAGCTCCGTTGCTGTAAGACAAATACGAAAATAAGCACACGAACGACAAAAACCGACAAGTCATCATTCTCGAACCAAACAACCACCACAACAGCGAGGATGTGCGAATGCAGGATCCGTCAATGAAACGGAAAGCCTGAAGTTCAGCATTGCAAGCCATGATCTCATTCGCGCTCAGCTGACCAGTTCGGCGCGGAGTGAAACCAGCGGAACCAATGAGGTCCGTCTCCAAACAGTCACACGATCGCAGCTCGACCAGAGAGCGACGCAGGATCCGAAACATTCGGAGGCGGATACACACCGCGTCCAGTTCCACCTTCATCGAGGGTCCAAGCGCCACAGTGGCCGCCGACAGTAGCGCCTCGGTGACCTCAAGGGTCGTACCACACCCAAAGATGAAAGCAAACGAATTATGCATTCGCAGCGGTGAGCAAACCGAATAAAGCAGAACAAAACTCACTCTTGAACGCAACGACGACTCCCAGCTTCGCCGCGCTCCACAAAGTCATCGAAAGCCCATCCTGCTGCTTCACGCTTGGGTCGACGCGCGACGAAGGAGGCGCTACGCCTGGCTTTTCGTAGTGTCGTAGCAGACTAGAGACTGAGACTCGGCGTTTGAGGTTGGGTGGTGGTGCTTGTGGCAAAGTGTTAGGCAGTGCGAGAGTTGTTGTCGATGATGAAGAAGAGGAAGAGGAAGAAGACGAAGCAGTGTTTATGTTCGGGACGACGACGCGGGAGAGAGGCCAGGGTAGAGGGATGGCCATGGCTGATTAGAACTCAGTTGTTCGGGGTAATAAAAGTATCGACAGTGTGTTTTATTATGTCGCGTGCAGCAGTACTTGTAGCAAAGCGTCCACAGAGGTTAAATACGAACAAGCTCGTGATGTCCTCAGCCAAGTCAGAAAAGAAACAGCGAAAGGTCAAAGCGCTATGCTGGGTGGATGAACGTTAGGTTCTGGTCCATGTGCATGAGGTGGTTGGGGAGAGAGATTCAGTGGGGTTGACACAGCAGACGTAGGTAAAAAGTCCATGGGTAATCGTAAGAGCGTTATATCTTTCCGATCGGGATCTCTCTCGTGGGCCTTCCGAGACATCGTGTCATGGCAAGGGACGTTCCGAGAAAACGGCGCCATTCTCGCTCAATCACATGCGGCCGATCACACTGTCCAATGAAGACGTCTGTGGCGTCACGGGCCACATCAACCAACTTCTTGAGTCGTCCGTCGGACAGTGAGAGCGCGAAGAGTTCCAGGATAGGGAACACTTGCCACAAATGCACTTAGCACTTCTCTTCAACCTCACTTGCTACGAAGCCAACGGAAGCGTAGAGCCACGTCGACGCGCTCACGAAGGTCAGCTGTCTCCACAATAAGAATCACAGGAACGTCCGTCGTGGATGCATTGCAGTACAGGTACGTAGTAGTACAAGTCCATGGTCACTAGGTCATCCTCGAAAGCACCACAGGATTACATGCTCCATCTACGTATAATCCAGGGCCACGAACCATATCAGCAATCAGTAATCGTCTCCCCGACTGACTACTTCCTTCACAGTCGGTCTCAGCAGGATAGTATGCTCCTGATGGAATAGAATTAGCGAATGATTACACGAAGACAAAGAGCAGAAGAGCAGAAACGTACGAATTGAGCGGTCATGGATCCCCGGGCGTCACATAACGGAGGATAGTCCTGGACGATCCCTTGTGTTACCAGGTTGTTCAGCTGATAGAGAAGCAAGATATGGATCAGTCAGACATCAGTCAATGCGGGTCAGATTGTTGGCGATTGGTGGCCGCAGGGCGAACGGCGTGTGCAAGCGGTGAGTTGCGGGCTAGGAAGGACACGAATGGATGTGTGTCAAGAGAAAGACTTACTGCAAGCAGGTACTTGCTCTCCCCAGCCCTGTCCAAGTATCGTCGACAAAACGGAAGTGTGCCAAAGTTCTTCGTGATCGACTTGAGAAGTGTCTTGGCAGAGGTTAACCTGGTTATTCACAAAACAGTCACCCCATCCCAGCCCGACTTATAAGTAAGCGACGGTTCCTTAAAATAGAGATAGAAAAACAGAGAGGAGTGCGCAACGTACCGGAGCGGAACATGTGGCGCATCGACAATCTTAGCATAGTGCGAGCAGTCTCCCTGTAGCAGCCAGAAGGATTCGACCATGGCGGGTCAGTCCAATAGTATTGAGAATAAAAATATTGTAATGACGTACACTCTCAACAACACGGCCACGCCCTGTCGACCCGAAAGTCTCGATAGCGAAGTATTCTCCCTCCTCCATCTTCGTCTGATCGTTGTTCGCAACTATCTGTACAGATTTTCCGCCGTGGATTTGATAGAGGTTGATCGAGTGGCCACTGAGGTTCTCGATGGCTTTCACTGTTCACGAAGAGCGCTCAGCGGTACAATCAGCGAGAAAGTTCTCAAAATTCTACAGGGAGGAGAGAGAGATAAGTGCGTACCAGGGTACACCTTCCCACCAACTTCAACTTCATACGACTCCATTGTCTCCTGTATAGCCGCCCCTATCTCTCCTAGTCGTACATCAATTCCAGCTTCCTAAATCCGCCAGTCAGTAAACAAGATATTAACAAAATAGATCCTAGTACACACCCGTATACCAGTGTTGGTCGCGGCTTTGACCGCCTCCAGGAGCTTGTCGTATGTTGGATCCCAAGACATAGTGAAAGCTGAGTCGACTATCCGTCCTTTCACATGCACGCCAAAGTCGACCTTCAGAACGTCTTCTTTCTGCAGCACTAAACCTCTCACAATCAGCATACTGTGCTTCACACCATTTCGACGCGGCACGTCACACCGCGCCACACGAAACACATCAAACAGAAGTAAAGAAAGGAAATAACGCACCCAACGTATCCCCCGGATTCGGCGTATAATGTGCCGCACAATTATTCAGGCTCAATCCCGTCGGGAATCCCACACCCGTCTCGAGCCCATTCTCCTCCACCAACGCCCTCGTTCCGTCCTCGATCGTGTTCGCGATTTCCGTCATCGTCATTCCCGGCTTGATATGCTTGCGAGCATAGTGTCGTACTTGACGGTGGACCTCTGATGCGCGCCGGATGTTCTGGTAGGTCAGGTCGGGGTCTTCGTTAGTTATGCGTTCGAGGTGACGCTTTTCTTCGGAGGTGGTGCGGTAGTTGTTGCTGCATGAATGATGGTGGGTGGTGGCGATGAACAGTGATTATTATCAATGAAAGGTGTATGATAGGATGGGAGGGGGTGTCGAGATAGGAGTGAGATGGGAAGAGTGAGTGTATTAGTATGCATACAAAACTAAGCGAAGGGAAAAGACGCACTCGTCCTTATACTCGCAGATCTCTCCCTCGGGATAGATGCCCTTGGTGAAGATCTTGGTGAGACCAACCCGAGGAGGCTCGCTCTGCTGAGCCTGAGCGGTCTTCTTCTTCTTGGGCTTCTTCTTTTTCTTTTTCTTCTTGCCCTCGCCTGTTCACACCATACCAAACGAGACCATTGAGCTTCGAACCGATACGTCCAGCATGAGCTATCGATATGACACACGTACCACCAGCTCCATTTACAGCATGCTCTCCCTCCTCGTCATCGTCATCGTCATTTTCGTCCTCCCCATCGGGGGTCAACGAGGGTGGGATCTCCTTCTCGAGATCCTGGGGAATGTTGACCTCCTGAGATGTGACCGGCTCAGACATGATAGTTCGCCGGTCCTGTAACTTTTCTGGTATTGACGCCTAGTATAGTGTGCCCAAGTTCAACCTGAGTACAAGCGTGGGTTGTCCAAGCGAAGGATGAGTACCGAGTATAGATCCAAGCACCACGGCGATGGAGATCTGGCGGGTGACACAGTCAAAAATGCAGGCCCACGGATGACTGGGCGGTGATGACGCATGAGCATGACCGCCGGACGCTTTGAATTCAAATTGATTTCTTTTGCTTCTTTTCTTTTTCGGTTCTCGAGCGTTGCGCTGGTCCTTCATCCAGCCATCACCGGGTTTCGCATGTTTCGTTTATCTCGACAACACAAACATGCTCCATTTTAGCTTGTAATGACACTGTGCAATCGGTACTGAAGTTCTGGTGTTATGCTGAATGACTATGTAGAGACATTTGAACTGACATTCTGGCTCCATTCGATTTATTGGAATACACCGCTGTAATCCTTCTAATGTTAGCATTTTGGAGGACTACCAGTACTACCAGATTCTGAGTCGAGACTTTGTGCTAATCTTGCGACTCGAATCACCGTCCCCTAGTGTCAATGCGACGGAATTATCACCCGAGTGATGACCTGGAATGCATGTGTTTGAAGAGAGCCGGCATTTATTGGTAGCCAGGATCTTGGGTCGAACGGTTCTGCCACAATCATCTAGTGGACGAACGAGAGACAAGTTCGATTCGCAGGACCTTCAATGATCCTGATCATTGAGCATGAGTCGGGTCGATGCACAAGGTTGGCGGTGAACATGGTGAGGCATCGACGGAAGGAAGAAGCAAGAGATGTTTGGAAAACAAAGGATGGAACATCGACTGTTATGACATGCAGGGAGTACAGCAAATAGAGCAACAAGGCAGACTTAGAAACCAGTCCACTGTCCAGTCGTACTTTTTCGGAATAGAGTATTCAATTACACAAGCCTAGACTCCCAGGACGAAGAACGAGTCTCAGGCCTGGACATTTTGACTGTTCAACGTCAAATCAGCAACCAACACTAGGACGAGCAATCATGTAATACTCACGGGAACTCCCCAATGACGTTTCCGGCTGGGTAATATTCGCAGACATAGTAACTGGTGGGCTACAATTACCAATCGATCAGCCACCAGGAATAAAAATCTTGGAACGAGGCGGAAGAACGTACACCATATACACTCTCGTCGAAAATGGCGCACTGAGCCTCTGCACAACCGAGTTGGGTAGTAGCCTTCCATACCATCTGAGTGAAGTGCGAATACTGAGGGTTGTTGGGGTCGTATTGAGCTGGAAGCAAGTCGGCATTCAGAACGCGGTGAATACTAAGAGTGAAAGGAGGTGTGTGTCACTCACTGGCTTCAGCAGCCCAGGCACCTACACCGGAAGCGATAGGGTAGTCACCCGTACCGGCGGCCAAGTTTTCTGGAGACAAGAATACAATCGTCAACACCAGAATGAAAGTTAGGCGCTACTAAATCAAAAAGAGAAGAAAAGAAAAGAAGTGTTGGTAACTACTGACCACCGTACGGCCCAAGCGATCCTCCAGAATGTTCAAAGACACATCCGTTTGCCCAGTTCTGTGCAGCCGTAGCCAATGTATTGTTCCAAACGAGGTCAACGGCGCCGTGAGCTTCACGGAGTGTGTTGTGAGCACTCAGGTAGGAGTCAATGTCAGAGGACGAGGTGCGGGTGGCGAGCAACGTGGGTGAGGCGAAAGCAGAGCTCGCGAAAGCAAGCGCGACGGGAACGAGTTGAGTGAAGGAGGGAAACATCTTTTTCAGTGTGATGAGCAGTGTCCTTGGAGAAGAATGAGTGACGGCTGTTATGTAGCTGACGGTGGCAATGATGACGAAAACGAGGAAAGGAGGCGGATAGGAGGCGAGTCGGGATGGACTCAGTGGAACTTCCGTCCGTCGTTATATATGCCTCACCGACGAGGCAACGCTTAGGCGAAACTTTGCCGAAGTCTGATCTTGATCCGAGCTCGTTTCGGGGCCCAAGCAAGTACAGCGCTGGCGCTGTATTCTCCGGGTGGAAGGTGGTTATTGACACCTAAAGGACGCGTGCATGTGAGCAAGAAAGGCAATTTCAAGGTGAGATGGAGGTGGGCATACCCTTTCATTCATTCCTCGGAGGAACGTATGCGCCAGAAATGGAGTATCTACTACGTGGTAAATATTTGCTGGGCGACCATCGTGTTTCGTAGTGATCGCATCACCACAGCAATGGGGGTTTGAAGAGCTTAGATCTGTATGTGCATGTGCTGCGATGTCCTATGCAGACCATGGCCACACGGTATCTATGTGCCCTTGTCAAGCCCTTGGATCACCCGCTATAAACGGGTCTGTCATATGAAATCAAGAAACCAAAATGAAGAGCTGTCAGTTGACCTACGACACCATATGCGTTTCTTAGCTCAGTGTTGCGTCCTTCCAGCTTGAAGAGGCCTGAAAGGGACTGGTCAAAACGCGGTAAAAGATACCTCATTCATCACAGCATTTGCGGAAGGTCCGAATAAGCTTAGAGGGTTTATTCTGGTTCTTTGTCCGAGAAAATAGGGGGTGAAGCGGTGGAGAACAGCGGTGAGTTCTGAGCTGGCACCATCAACGTCAACATCATGCTACCACTTCAGCAGCACGACAGCGCTGGGATGAAAAATGAGGTTTACCATGCATCAAAGAAAATAAACATCGTCTTTTCGTCGCATGATTCAAGCTGGCCTCAGCACGGTGGTCAAGAGCAAAGTTAGCAGTGGCCGCGGGACGATCATTACGACGCCAGAAAAACACAGAATTATTACGTTATCGCAGCTTGTGGCGCAAAAACAGATGTGGCCCCCCATTTCTCTGAACACTCAATCCAAGGCGTGTTCACATCCTTCAACACACGAACTATTTAACGCCCATGGCGACCAATCCTTTCTACTACACATTGATGTGTAGGCCTCCGTACGCCGCGTTAGCTGTGGCCCCTCGTCATACCACATGGACAAAGCCAAGCGGCGCTCCCAACAACTTAGACTAGCATGCAGCAAAACGTACTCCCACATAGAAGTGAACTGCGCTCAGGCTGTACTTAGACATGCACTGGTACATTCGAGAGTACATCATGGAACAGCGCCCGAAGTACTCGTGGTAGAATGCCAGCGTTTCACCGAATAACGCTCACACCCTCCAACTCGCGAACTAACCTGAAAGAACCTCGCACTGCAACGAGCAAAGGCGGAGCGCCTCTAATGCGTGCATCCAACTCCCGCCTGAATTCGGTGATTTTTTATTCATATTTTCCTGTATCTCGGTCTTGTTTAGTATCTATACGATCCTTCGTGAACCGACACTGAAGTGCCTGGGACTGTACTGCACGAGGAAAAGCTTGAAAATGGCTCGAAACAACCGGGTGCGGACAAATGAACACAGACGGAAGTCAAAGAGCGACCGATGGGAGTTACGGTGGATGATAGTTCGCAGGTCGGAGCTTAACGAGATCTTCAGTGACCAGGAGCCATGCAAGATCAATGGCTTGCTTCATGAAATCCGCAGAACACACATACGCAAACCGTACTCGGGACCACATATTTCGCCTTCCATCTTCCAAATTATCAGACTTAAACGTTAAACCCTGAAGACGAAAATTGAGCTCAGTGCCAGAGAAACAAAAGACAAAGTCTGAGATGAAACCAACGTACCAAAAATCAACACAATAACCGCGGCAATTGACAAGCTCCCATGCAATCAAGTGCAAGTCGCGACCTGGTAGTTAACGCGCTGCTGGCAAGCTGGTTTCGCGAATATAGTATTGTGGTCAGACATGGATTTCCATTTCACAAAGATCAACCGAGGGGTAGGGGACGAATATGAATAAAGTGACTTACTGCCGGAAAAGATGGGCGGCTGGCCATTACCGTAGAAGTAGTACTCGCAAGATTGGCCGTTCTTGTGGTTGTTGCAGGCGCGAGCTATGAAATGTAGTAGGAAGGAGTGGAGAGTCAGTTCGATTGACTGATATGGTGTAGTGACTAAGATGAGGATAGGGAAAAACGTACTAGAATCTTCAGCAATAGCGTTTGCACCGATTCCAAAGAGAAGGGTGACGGAAGCGAGGGTGAAGAAGAGGGTGGGGAATTGCATGATTGGGGATTACTACAACGTGGGCCGAGTTGACAGTGTGATGCACTATGGAAAGTGGGCGTGAAGTAGAGGTGTCGATGCTGAGAAACCTACGAGGTAGAACGAGAAGGCCTTTATGCCCAAAGACGAGCCTCAAAAAATTTGTCCTGCATTAGTGCATCAGCCAGCCTGCCACTTGACTCCACACTGCTCATGATCATCGCGCATGTCCTCGTACAAGAATATAATATGACTGATGATGGCCTACGGTATGTCGGAGGATTGACTGGGTCAGAATATGCGGGAGCTGGTGGACGTGTCATGATGTGATCCGCCCATGAAGGCTCAAGCAGGCAACACGATGTCAGTTCTCCTAACTGAGATTGAAATCTCGTATTCGACCACAAGAACGTCGAGAAGAAGTCAACAATACAGCGTGCGCATGTTGATATGGATTGATGGGATCTGTGGGCGGCCCGCCCCCCCCCCCTCC